AATAAATATAAGCTACTTCTTCTTAACTTTAAATTTAGTAATATATATAAATATTATTAGATCCTATATAATAGATATATTTAGCGCTCTTTATCGATAATAGTAAATATTATATACGGAATTAAATAATTATTTAACGTTAACGCTAATAGCTAGGATTAAGAGGAGATCATAGATAAGGCTTATAAATATAGGAAATTTATACTAATAATCCTTTTAGAACTAACGGGGTAAGATTAGGATAGTACCTAGATAGAGGGCGGATTATAATAATTAATATAATATTTAGATAGATTAGAACCGATATCTTTATTAAAACTAGGGTTCTAAAATAGGCCTTAAAACCCTGGTTCTAATAAAGATAGAAAGATAGAAATTTAATAGATTAGAACTAGGGTTTTAAATAATTACTTAGAACCCTAGTTTTAATAAAGGTATATATAGAAACTTACCTTTTTTAATATACTATATTACCTTAGACTAGGAGTTTAAGGTAGAAGAATCGGCTATTAAAAATATATTAAGCTTACTAGTTTAATAAGACTATTTTATTTTAGATAGTGATTAAGAGCTTAGAATATTGCTAGTTTAGTAACTTAGAAACTGACTCTTAAGACTTCGTTAGTATTAGATATTATAATCTATCTAAGGGTAGTCCTAGTCTTTAATTTAAAAAAATTTAACCTTATATTAAGGGGCTAAGATAGTGCTAATTATATAGATATTACCGAGCTCTTTATTATCTATTATAGAGTAATACTTATAGAGTTTACTCTTAGCTAATTTAAGGGCTTAATATATCTATTATTTCTATCTAATCTTCTTTTTACTAAGCTATCTAATTAACCTTTTAAAATAATTAAATAGCTTATTATAGATAGTAAAGATAATATAAATAATAATATCCTTTATTTTTAAGAGGACTATAGTAAATTAGAAAAATAGCTAGATAATATTAAGAAGATAGTCGATCTAGCGTTATTTATCTATATCAATTTTAAGATAAGGATAATTATATTTAGAGTAAAATCGATTAAAAATTAGTTATAACCACTTTGTACGTTAGAGTATTAAAAAGGTTGAATTTTATCTAGTTTAGATATCTTAAATTAGAACTAATCAAGGGTAATCGGACTAGAGACTAAAGAAGGACTCCTAACGTTAAGGGCTTATATTAATAAAGATCGTAAGGTTTCTAATCTAAAATATAAAGTAGGTTAGTATTTTAACTAATAAATAAGGAGTATAGATATATACCTTTATAAGAGTTATTGTAATATCTCGTTTTTATGTTTTTCGACGGGCGTATTAGATATATTCCTCGGACTAAATAGTCTTAGTTACCTTATTCTAAGGGTTTGTTTTTATCTAGCTAAATAGTTGTTTTAAACTTAACTAAATTATATATATAATATATAGAACCCGAATAATTATTACCTTAGAGTTAATATCTAATAATTAAATAGAATCTTAGATACTTAAAATAAAGATAGAGTTATTTAATATATTATTAGTTATTACTATAAATACTTAGTCTTCGATCTAATATTTCTAGAGGATATTAAGAAGGGTTATACTAAGATTCTACCTAGAGTATATACTAGAAATAGGTTTAAAGCTAAATAAAACCTCTCGATAATTCTAGTCTATATTAATAAAATAGCTAGAGATAGCTATAAATACTTATTAAAATAGCGATATCTAATAGTTAAGACTAATAAAGAGCTTAGCCTTAGATAGAAGCTTCTAAAGTAAATCTTTCTATTAATTTTAGGTTATTCCTTAGATTCGACGCTATATAGTTCAATAAGAAAGGAAACTAGAGATAAATAATAATAATTAGGTTATTCGAAGAAGGGCTTAAAATTTAGGATACTCGATAGTTTAAAAAAGAAGCTATAAGATAGTTATTATAGTAATTAATTATTACTTCTATAGCTCTTAGGTAACTAGCTAGACTATTTAAGGGGAGTTCTTAGCCTAAGAAAGATTAGTCTATAAATTAAATAATAGCTATATAATATACTATATATTCTATAAGATATTAGATTATTAAATATTTAGTAATATTTTAGTTTTTTTAGTATATACTCTAATTCTAGTAGCGTTAGAGATTTATTATCCTATTCTTAGTATAGACTAAATAGTCTATAATCTTACTATATTATTTATATAGGAGCTTTGGCTCTCCTATTACTAAATATATAACTTAATTAAAATACGACTATATATTAGTCTATTATAGACCCTTCTAGTTTATCTTCTTTATAGTATTATAAGAACCACTAATTTAGGTATTAAGCCACTAGTTTAAAAACTCTACTTTATTTATACTATTAAAAATTACCTAGGTCTTTTTCCGATTATCGGATCGTTTTAATATTAGTGATATAATAAGAGAGAGGCTTTACTCGGTTTACTAGCTTTCTAGTAGTTCTAAGAGGGTATCGAGAAGTTAATTAGAATAGAAAATAGATAACTTAAACCCCTTACTCTTAATAAGAGAGGGAGGGTACGAGGTAGATAACTAAGATATAGAAGAGATATAGTAATAGTATATTAAAATAAAGGACTTAAGATATAGAAAAATAATCTAAGGTAAATCATCATAGATTTAGGGGAATATATAGATCTAATACTTATTTTTTATTAATAGATAGGATTCGGCACTATCCTAGTGCTAAATTTTATAACTAATCAGAAGATACTCTACTATAATATATATAAAGCTTATTAGATAGTAAGAAATAGATTAATAGGTTAATCTATAGGTTGACCCGTTAATCTAAATAATTAGGTAAGAGTAATACCCTAAGACTTTTATTTTTATCCCCCAAAAATTTCAACCTAACTAGCTAACCTTTTTATGTAGGTATATTAGAACCGGGGCTATAAGTAAACGCGTAGGTAGATTAAAACCGGGGTTTTAAGCAATCGCGTAGATAGATTAAAACCCCGGTTCTAATAGAGGTAGAAAGACTACTATAAAAAGGTATATATTTTATTATATCTAGTAAAAAAGGGACTATATAACCCTTTTACAGTAAGAGACTCGAGATATAGAAAAATAATCTAAGATAAATCATCGTAGATTTAGAGGAATATATAGGTCTAATATTTATTTCTTATTAGTAGGTAGAATTTAGTACTATCCTAGTGCTAAATTTTATAACTAATCAGAACAAGCTCTACTAATATATATAAAGTTTATTAGATAGTAAGAAATAGGTTAACGGGTTAACCTATAGGCTAACCCGTTAACCTAAATAATTAGATAAGAGTAATACCCTAAGATTTTTCTTTTTATCCCTAAAAAATTTCAACCTAATCAGCTAATATTATTATTTTATATAAATTTAGAAAAAATATTTAAAATAATTCTTTTATATAAATAAGACTATAATATACTTATATATTAATAAAGAAATATTAGATATTAGATTTATATCTATTTTATTATTTCTAATATATATAGTTTATTTATATAAAAAGTAGAAGTACTACTATAGACTTCAAATATATATTTTTAGGTTTAGTATAAGAAATAGTTAACTAATATCTTCTTTTGCCTATATCTATCTATTATAAAATATAATTCTTACCTTAAAGTATTAAATTAATAAATTAATATATTATATATTCTAAATATATTATTACTATATAATATTCTTTTTATAAAGAGTTAGAATTATAAGTTATATTAGAACAAAAACAGTATTTAATAATAGTGTATTATTAAAAAAGGTAAGTAAATTATCTATCCTAATTAAGAAATTTATGCTAAAATAGGTCAAAAATGGGTTGACCCGTTAACCCACGGGTCAACCCATGGGCGGGTCAGGATTTTATTGACCCGACCCATGGGTCGTGGGTTTGGGTCATGGGTCAAGATCTTTGACCCATGGGACGGGTCTGTCCATGTCTAATTCTCCTATCTCATTTCGTCGAATTTCTGCTTGTATATTATAGATATCGCGTGGTATAATTTGTTGACGAGGGGACTCGCTATATAACGCACTAATAATATACTTCGGTCTAATAGCAGAGAGTCGTTAAATTAAGGTTTTCTGCACTAGGGTAAATTAACGTGCGATTAGGTGCGCTATTATATCTTGATTAGCAGAATGATTATACGCGGGGTTCTTTACCTAAAGTAGCCAATTAGAACTCCTCTGGCGATTCCTATATACCAAAAATAGACAATTTTGCCGCCGAGTACTCGTTTTGCGCCTTTTGGCGCCTATAGGCGCTTGTATTCGGTCCGAATATACCCTAGATCTATCGCAGTGGAGATAGACTTGCCTATCAGTATTAGACCGCTTGATAGTAGTAGTATACCCCTGCGCTATACCTTACTGGCGCATAAAATCGACTAATTCATCCCGATTAGGGAAGGTTCGTTGTGGTGGGGGCAGCAGATCGGTAGTGGCAGCGGTAGGCGAATCAGCATGCAAATCGGTAGGCGAATCAGTAGGCGAATTGGCGAGGGGTCTAGTAGGCAAATCGACAGTCGAATTACCAGTGGTGGCAGCAGAGATATCGGGGGGAGTAGCGGTAGTAGGGGTGCTAGGGGCAGGTATAGCGGGGTTGGTTTGTATGGTATGCATGATAGAGCAGACGAAGCAGATAGGGTATGCAGAAAGCGAAGAACTAGCAGGGTAGTAGTAGAAGAGAAAAAGAGATGAAGCAGAATATTGAGTAGATATGCAGTATATAGTTGCTATAGTGATGAAAATTGATTATATCAGCGATTTTGCTTATGTCAGAAAATGAGGTGTCAATAGCGAAAATCTTGAGGTGCCCCTATCAATACCCGCCAATAGCCGAATTTTTGATGTGTCCCTATCAATATCCGCCTCCCAGGTCTATCTGGTCAATGACTCCTAGACCTGAACACATCTACTCCGCCTTCTAACATTGTGTGCCCGTCAGCAGTTTCCCCTCTTTTACCAACTATGATTCGCAAGTTGTCTTTCCTCCTCAGCAAGCCAAAAAAAAAAATGTCGTTGTCGCACCTTACCAACCGGCGTCGGACCGACCTCGCCCAGCCATTCCCTGCCGATTGGAACTCTCACGATGAGTTTTTCTGCTACACGAGAGGCCGCTTTATAACCAACGAATCCCATGAAATGGCCATTCGCCATGTTAAATTCAATATGAATGAGCTTGCGAAGTGCGCTGCTAAATCGATAGGCCCTGACTCCGCGCATTGTGTCCGTATTGACAAGTTTCCGGATGGAATGTTCAACAAGACATTCCTTTTCACTATGGACAACGGCGCCCAAGTTGTAGGCAAAGTTCCGAACCCAAATGCGGGACGAGCCCATTATACAACTGCAAGCGAAGTGGCAACGATGGATTTTGTAAGACAGATTTGATCAGCTCTTATCCTGGTCCTGCGCATGTTCTAATGTTCACTTACAGGTCAGGAGTAAGCTGGGAACACCGGTGCCTAAAGTATTGGCATGGAGTTCAAAAGCAAGCGAGAACTCAGTTGGCGCCGAATATGTAATCATGGAAAAGGTCTCTGGACTGCAGCTTGACAAAATTTGGCCGAATATGGACATTAAGGAGAGATTTGAACTCGTTAAAACAATATCTGGGTATCAGAAATCCTGGATGTCGACATCATTCTCCCAATACGGCAGCTTGTACTATTCGTCCGACCTACCTGATTGTGACGAATGCACTCTTTCCAAGGCGGACGGGTCTGAAGTCAAAGAGCATGGCTTCTCTGTTGGTCCGTCAACAGGACGGGAATTCCTCGACGACGGAAGGATGGCATTAGACTTCGATCGAGGCCCTTGTAAGGTGCTCTACCCTATATGCCGGAAAATTTCTGCTCACATGTTCATGCTAGGGGATACCGTGGAACAGTACAAAACCGCAGTTGGTCTTCGAGAAATTGCTTGTGTGCAGAATATATCGGAACTACCCAAGTCACCAGTGTCGCTCTATGGCCCAGGCACATATAGACCTTCTCGTTCCAAGAAAACAGCCGTACTCGAAAGCTATCTTCGTCTACTGAGATTTTTCCTTCCGCTAGACCGATCAATTTCATCTTCCTATTTATGGCATCCAGATCTCCATGCTGAGAACATCTTTGTCAACCCCGAGAGACCAGCGGAAGTACTAGGTATCATCGATTGGCAATCGAGCGAACTTTTACCACTCTTTGATCATGCCCGTGAGCCTTATTTTCTTGACTTCGATGGATCCTATTCAGGCAGCCTTAATCCGCCTCAACTCCCTGATAATTTCGACCAGCTTGACCCTGTGGAACAAGGAAAGGCCAAGTCTCTATACCTAAAGAATTCTCTTGTCACCTTGTACCGAAAATTTACCCTTGCAAAGAACGAAACACTATTCAAAGCCATGGATTTTCGGCGGTCTACGAGTTTTGAGATGATGTTGTTGGCTCAGAACCTCCTTGTCGACGGGGAGTCGTTATACCTGTCTAGGATTCTTCAGTTACAGGATGAATGGTCCTGCCTGCCAGGTGTCTCAGCCTCTGGATATCCGCCCTTTCCTATTCAATTCTCTGAAGCTGAGGCGGCTTCCATCAACAAAGATTCCACTGGTGCAATTAGAGGCATGGAAATAATGCGGCAGTTGAAAGAGTCGTTGGGTGACCTATGGCCTGAGAAAGGTGTTGTGCGGTCCGACCAGTATGATCAAACCAAGGAGCGCCTGAAACAAGCTAAGACGGAGTTGATCGATCGACTTTCACGTTCCGAAGCTGAACGAGCCGCATGGGAAGATGCATGGCCATTTGACGAATAACTAAGGTAGTGGTTGCTTCATCAATGAAAGCTATTGGACTAAATTTTAGATTGTGCCCCAACAAGCATGGCACAAGTGTTCTCTTGCCCTGTCATCTATGGATCAAGAAAAGCCTTGCCTCGTTATAGATGTGAACCTATTATGTCGGCGCTTCCAGGAGGTATTTAACAAAAGAGGAGTCCTGTTGTACTGACTTCAACACTGAGTACCTACAACAATAAAAGGAAGCAATCTAATGAAATTTTGCCGCAGCATTCTTGTCCCTTTGGGAAAGCCCTAATCACAGTCGGTCTTCAGCTTTTCAACCTCTGCCTACCCTTTCAGGTCTTTCTCCAAATCCTCGAAGAGCTTCTCCACAGCTGCTTTTGCTGCAGAAGCATCTGTTGTGACGGATACGTCCGCCTCGGCCCACACTTTGTGAGAATCTTTGTTCGCCAGCTCTTTGAGCGTCGCATTATCCGCGTTCTTATTGAGTTGCCATTTGTACCGTTTATAGTCCTTTCCTTCCTTTACAATCTTCTCGCCATTATCCAAACGGGAACCAATTTTTGTGTCGTTTGGACCGCTCTGGGAGGGGGCTGCTCTAGTTCCGGCGATACCTTGGCCTGAGGCTAATTTCGTCACTTGGGATGACCTTCCCAAGATCCATTTTCTTAGGGCGTCAAGGGATTCCCGCCTTGCGCGACTCATCTTGCACTTAACGAAATTAGACCTTGATCCACAGAGCTGGTCAAGCATACTTACCTGACAAAAAGGTAAATAACGAAGAGTCGTATATGCGAGGAGGGATGAAATGAACGCTTCTCTCAGACCTCTGCGACTGTAGAGGCAAGAATGATTAGAAGAAACGCATACTTCGCTCAGCCAAGATTGCCGTCCATTGAAGGTCCTTATTTAAATTTAAAAGTAGCTAAGTAATCGCTAGTTGATGAGAGGGAGACATTGGCGCACTTTAGCCCATCTCATACTACAGCCACCTTTGAACTATGTGATGTGATTCAACGTGCATACACGGCGACAAACCTATCTATCTTCGTCCACCTTACCTGAATTGTAACCACTTGCGCTGATAACATGCATGTGCGCGCCAAATCAAATGTTATTATCAAGTAAGGTGGCCAGTAAATTAATCCCCACTTTGCGCAGTGAAGCAAGAATCACTGAGTCGAGCAGTGGGTGTATTCTTGCCCGACTAATACCAAGAGTTCTTCTCAGTGAGCACTAGGGGAAGCTGGGGAGAGCAGAACTCTGAGGAAGGGAGCAGAAGAGAGAGAGAATCAAATTATCTGTCTGTAAGGTCTCTATGTAGGCGTGGATATGTCTGTCTCATCTAAATGGAATCACATCTATACCTTCCGGTCTAAATTAGTATTCATTATCTATTGTTCTCTAGTACCTATATCCCTCCACAACTACAAATTGATATCAACACATTCAACCCGGGCAGCAATATATACAAGGAAAGATACAAGGAAAGCCCTCATTTCAGCAGGGATTCAATAACCTTCGCAACAGCAATACACTTCTCTTCCCCGTATTTGCCGCCAACAACCTGCACCCCGACGGGTAGGCCCTCGACCGAATCGACATTATCTGTGATTGTTAGCAATTATTGAGAGGAAAAACAAAGACGAACAAAGACGAACATGAAAGAAAAGAAAGGAAAAGAAAGAGAGAAACATACATTGCTTATGATTGAATTCATCCGAAGCATTCCTCGGCACATGGTCGCGCCACGCCTCATCACCCTGGTCCTCGGTCTGATTCACCGTGGTAATGGGCATCGTGAGAGCAGCATAGTTGACAAAGTTCCACACGGACGTGTAACCCACATACTGGTGGCTCTTCACCCAGGTCCAGGGTGGATAGCCGACCCACGGGGTGACGGGCATGATTAGGGCGTCGACGCCGGAGTCGGTCCAGCGCTGGAGGTATTCGCGCTCGTACATGGCTTTATCGAATTGGAGCTGTAGATATGTTAGTAGGTGTATGTGGTCTGAGGGTTTATTATCTCTTTTTTATTAAGAATGGCATACCTTGTGCAGTTCACTCGTATTCATCAGATCCTTCTCCGTGCCCACCAACATTCCCTCAACCAGAGCCTCGCCGCTGAGCGTGCTCATCTTGCGCGCGCCTTCGCCTCCGTCGGAGAGGATGCCGCGCTCCCACATGTCGTAGCAGTAGCCGTGCGATCGGGCGTCCCATTCGAAGACTAGAGTTCGTCAGCGGAGCACATAACAAAAACAAGCCCACGATAAACATCAAGAGCTTGCGGTTGATATTTTGACTCAGTCACCCACCTTCATGTCCCGCATCATGCAGCGCCGCAATCACCTTCTTGACAGCCCGCGCCACAGGCGGCTGCACCTTGACGACGCCGTCATCGACGACATATCCGATTCTCAGTCGCTTTTTCGTGGTGCACAGCTCCGAGCGCCAGGGCACGGGGATCAGCCCCGGGTCGAAGTGCCACGGCTCGATCTGAGCGAGTGCGCTCATGTATGCCTCGATGCTGGAGAGACTGGTTGTCATAGGGCCGGCAGTTGAGGGCACGATACTCTGACGGGGACTGTCAAGGACACACCTGTGTGTTAATATTGATCCAGATATCACCATTCAGAAAACTCGATGTCTTTGACTTACCCCGATTGCTCGTATGGGTGGCGGCTGGTCGTCGGCGACAGCCCATACACACCACACAGTGCCGCGGGAATCCGCACAGATCCACCAAGATCCGACCCAATGCCCACGATACTGCCCTGGGCGCTGACTAGAGACGACTCGCCGCCGGAGCTGCCGCCGGAAATAAACCTCGTGTTGACGGTGTTGACGCATTGGCCGAAGAGGTGGTTGTAGCAGTCGGACATCTATAGAGGTGAGTGAATTGGTTCCAGCGCTTCCAGGTTTATTATTTGTTCTTTAGGCGTACCATCATCGACTGCGGAATACTCGACTTGACATAGAGAATACCGCCGAGTCGTCGAATCACCTGCGTTGTCGGTCCATCTTCCACAGCAGGTTTTCCAACCAGCCCAATCCAACCTAACCAGCAAGTAAGTCCATGTATTCATTTGTTGTATTGCATCCTGCTTTGAAAGCTGTCCCGTAGAAACATACCAATAGTCGAGTCCTGGCCCTTAATCCGAAAAAGATCCTTCATGGAAACAGGCAATCCATGCAGCGGGCCCAGAGTCTTGCCCGTCTTCGCAAGATGCGCATCCGCATGGCGCGCAGCCTCCAAAGCCTCATCGAAGAAGATTTCCGTGCAGCAGTTCGTCAATTGGTGCGCGAGAGCAGCTCTCTTGCAAAACGCCGTAGTCACATCCACAGAAGACAACTCGCCCGCGGCCAATTGATCCAGAAGGATCTTTGCGTCGGTAGTTTCGGTGATTTCCCGCTCCTTCGGGGACAGCAGCGTGCTCTGGCGGATGAACTCGAGCGCATTGAATCCGGTCTCGGGGGATGGCACCTTGGGCAGATGCCATGCGGCGGGGATGGCGGATTTCTGGCGCGCTCGTTTCTGGAGCACGCGCTCCTCGAGCATGTCGTTGCTTGTTCGGGTCATGTTGTTATAGTAGAGGCTGTTCGGGGTTGCCGGGGTGTGTGCGGCTGCTTGGGAGTATAAACGGAGGCCTCGAGTGGAATTCCCGAGGGACCTGGGGCGCATGTCAACGTAAGGTGTGAAAGTGTGTCCAAGATAGAGAACGACGCGGGTTTCACTTTTATTATATTAATATATTTTTTCCATCTCCCCTTTCAGCTTCCCTACTTGTTTTCGCCGGTTCGAAAAAAGCTATGGCCCCTCCGGGGGCCGTCGAGCCCGTCTGTCATTCGCGATCCAGTCACTTTATAAGTTAGTTCGAGATGTTGATCACTCTGTTTCCTCGGCCTCTATGCCGATGTCTGAGTTCTAAGCAACTCGGCCAGAATACTATCATTTGTCTCGTCCCTGAATCCCTGAATAAATCACATGTATATCACCAAGATCCAGTCACTTTCCAACATCTCCGATCTACCGCGCATGACAGATGCAGAAGATTGACAGCGAGACCTCCCAGAAACAGGCAATTGACTCGAAAGTTTTAGCGCAAAGACCCAAAAATGGGGACCAGGATAATGATTAAACCATGCGAATCCTTCACCATCCCCAAAACGGTGATGATTGGCGCTGGATGGTTGCTTCATATAGAAAGTGGCAGACTAATCGGCCCCCAACCCTAACGGGCGTGGCCACACTATTGGGTTGACTACAACGCCACGGTTGGGGGCTGGAGCTTAACTTGGCGAACATCAATCACTTCTTTGGGTTATTCGATTCGGATTTGATCCGAGTTGAATTGAAATATCTCGGAGAAGGAAAGAAAAGAAGGGAGAAGAGAAAGAGAGAAAGAGGGAGAGAGGGGGTCTTGTCTGACCCACTCCTATATCAACTAGCATAACCGGTTCCTGGCCCCACGGTTAATGGGAGACGGACTTACTTGGCATGCTGATCTTATGAGAATAAATTCGAAAGCATCGAATTTTACAATAAGGCATTGAACTTGCATACTGGTTTTGTTGCGAAGAGGTCTCGACGGACTATGTCAGGGTGGTACTGTGCATCAACCACTATCACAACCTGACTACCAACTACCAAGATTCGTTGCACTCGGCAGTGGGCTCATAATGAGTCAAGAACGTTAACCCGTCGATCACGACACCAAGCAACCGATCGAGACTCAACTGAGCATTGTCGCCATCATATCACCCAACTACAATATCACGGGCAAGCAATATACAAGTATCCAAGTCAAGTTCCTTCAAGTACCTATGCGGAGGTAAGTAGAATCTCACACAGATATACTCAACAGACTACCAATCTCAGAATCCTACAATGTCAACCTCGAATTCGGTGAATCATTCTTGACGACACGCCACATCCAGACATCAAACAAAAAAGTATGTGGTATCAAACAGAAAAGGGGTTGGAATATTTGGAATCGGAGTCGGAATCAGGGAGATGTGAGAATGACGGAGGGAGTGATCAAATCTCATGCGCCAATGGGAGGAAATAGGTATTAGAGAATGGTGTCAATGGGCAGGTACAGTACAAAGTCAAAACCTCCACGCGGGAATATATTTATCGTAACGACAAGGGGGAATGGGGAATTAGAAAACGGGTGGTGTCGAATCCATGCGACAGACCAGGGGGGAAGAGAGAAAAAAAAAGAGATAAAAGAGATAAAGGTGGAAAGAAAAGGACTGGATGGACTGCTCTAACAAAAGCAGAGCAAGGAAAACAGCAAACAAGGGTAGAAATGTACCTTGATAGACCTCCAGCCGTCAGATGACAACAGACATGAGACTCCACGGTCCCGAAAGGACCACAATCTGAATTTTCAAAGGAAATAGGGGATCGAGGCACTAGATGCATTGTTAGCAAAGAAACTTGACCATCCAGAAGACCAGGTGAAAACGTACGCAAGGGCAAACGCCGCTGAAACACCAATCAGAGCGCGGTTGCGCACTCGTTCCCGCTTGATCTTGTCTTCCAACACCTTCGCCTTCTTGGCTCGCTGTGCAGACTCTGCGGCAGTTTCCTCATCATCTTCCTCAGACTTGCGCTTCTTGGTCACCGTAGCAGACGCCGATTCTGCGGATGCAGCCCCAGTCTTCTCTGTCCTGATGGCATCTTCCACCATGCCCTTAGCCTTGGCGATCATTTCCTCTGTCTCGGAAGCCGACGGGACCTCGGGCAGACTGATGGGCACATCAAGCGAGACGGTTTTCTGCGTAGTCGTGGCGTTGTCTTGAACGGCAGCAGCCTCAACCTCCACTTCCGCTTCCTTCTTGCTTTCCTTCTTCTTTTTCTTATCTCCCTTCTTCTCCTCCTTTTTCTCTTCCTTCTCCTCCTTCTCTGCTTTCTCCTCGGCCTCTGCCGCAGCCTTCTTGGACTTACGGCCTCGTGACTTCTTCTCGGGCGAACCGGTTGCCTTCACGTCCGTCTCCTCTTCAACAATCTCCAGGTTCCCGTTGACCGATTCCGAGTCTGCGGTGAGGGTCATGTCTAGTGTGGATTGGAGACTGGCGTTGGCAGCACTCGTGGACGGGGTACTCGTGATGTCCTTAGTAGCCCGAGGTTGGCGTGACTTGCGAGGAGACGAGGCCTTGGTAGGCGAGGCGGAGCGACGGGATCTGCGCTGCGACGAGCTAGTGGGCTCATCGGACGGCAAGCTGAATTTTGGTGGCGGGGTGATCTGCTTCTTTGCGCTGGACGGACTCTGAACAATATCGGTAGGATCCAACAAGGCGCGAACCCAATCGTGCATCTTGTATTCCTTGGCAAGCTCGAGAGCTAAAGATGGCCGTCAGGATCTGCGTGTGACAGATAGACGGGAAGGGAGCTTACCAAACATAGGGGAGATCCACACATTGCCCGCGACTTCGTCTTCACTCGTGTATTCACGGGTCTTCAGGTATTCGCGCTCATTCTTCTCTTCATCGGCCTTGGCCCAAGGGAATGCGATCTTAAACATGCCCGTCGCGCTCACAAATCCATCTTTGCTCCTCCGCTGTGCGCACGTAGTTAGCGACCATCTTGCTACCCTCCCTGACGGGACCATGGGACGGTTTGCCTCACCATCAAAAAGTAAGTCTCTGGGTGCTGCGCTGGTGTATGCGAAGGAAAGATCTCGGAGCCCTTAAGGTCCTTGGGCAACGGAGCCCGAAGATGGGCGTACTCGAACACGCCCAAGTTTTCAGGCTTGGTCGCATTCGACGTGCCGATCTGCGCGGGCTTTACAGCGAGGTTGGTCTTGCCCAGGCGACGGCGCGCAAGGAGTTCCTCGTCTGTGGCAGGTGACATCCAGATTAGCGACAGTGATCTCGAAGACACGGGCGGACTCGATGGGCACGCGCGCAGTCGCGCGACCGTACGCGACAAAGTGGGAACTTACAGGACGGAGCCGCATCGGCGACAATCAGAGGGTTATTCTTCTTCGGCAGAGATCGCGACATGGTGAATACTGGAGGTGGGGTATGGCGGCAGACCTGGGGAAAAGTCGAGTGCGAAGAGGAAGAGAGGTGCGCCAACGGCGGCCACGTTGCAGGCGCGTCAAGCGTGAAAAATCACGAATCGGATGTTTCGCCCGAGGATGGTTGGGGAACTCGAGCCAGTGAAAGTACCACACTTGATTGTGGGATGGTCAATGTGATTGATCAAGCGATAAAGAAAAGAAAAAGAAAAGAGAAGAAAAGTCGCAAGATACAAAGAAAATGATCAGGGGAGATCGCGACGGAATTGGGAATTGGGGCACCCTGGCCTTGCCTCGTTCCGGTATGGCCGGTGGGTGGTGGAGTGGTGTATTTGGGGGATATTATTGGTCAATGCGTTTAATACCTGGTGTTGGCATTACTGTTATTTAGGAGTCCCGTGACCCCCCTGTCTGAAGTGTTGATGCGTTGGGACTCGATGAATTGTCTACTGTGGATGTGTTGTTACTATGAGAATCAGTAAAATTCTAACTAAATTTCTCTTAAATATATACTGCATGATTTTGTAACCTGCATAAATCTATACGTATTATATTAAGCCTGGCAAATGCGAGTACTTGTAGGAAGAACCTTTTACCCAGCATCTTATTATAATAACTTTCATGCTATATAGATATCAATGCCTAATATACGAGCAAATAACTGCTTCCCCTATAACTCCTGTGAACGTTGGGCCATGCAGCTGTCGATATAAACTTGCAGTGATGTACATCCGGAATAGCCTCGCCCCTCTCCCACCGCCTTTCCACAACCCCACCACGGCGTCTCAGGAGTTAGAGGGAGGCACCTCCTTTTTCGTCGTTAGAAATCCCTCTCTTTCTTTCTTTCGCCTTCTTTCCAATCCCCTCCATCTGGGTGCCCAATCCTACCTTTGTTTACCATCTCCCCGCGGTCCCAATTCCTTAGTTCCCGTGCCCCGCCAGTGCCAACCGTCTCAACCCAAAACAATGGCCGACCACCACGACGACGACCTCACTGCCACCAAGACCGAGGGTTTCAAGGTGGGTGAGAAGAAGACAATCCAGGAATACCAGGAACTTGGTCGGTGCTTCTCTCAAAAAAAGTCACATTAAAAAAAGAATCTCTTCTCACACTCCTATTTCCCCCACCTACAGATAAGAACGATGAGTCCCTGAACCGCTGGAAGGCATCGCTGGGCCTAAACACTGGCACACCCATTGCCGATCCCAATGACCCTCGCAAGTGCATCATCAAGTCACTGGCACTCGAGGTCGCTGGCCGCCAGGACGTCGTGATCGACCTGTCGAGCGCTGGTGCCCTGGAAACCCTCAAAAACAAGCCCTTTACCATCAAGGAGGGGGCCAAGTTCCGCATCAAGGCTGTCTTCCAGGTCCAGCATGAGGTGTTGAGTGGTCTCAAGTACCTGCAGGTGGTGAAGCGCAAGGGCCTGCGGGTCAGCAAGGATGAGGAGATGTTGGGTAGCTATGCTCCCAACACGACCGATAAGACTTCATATGAGAAGCGATGTGAGTTTTCTATGCCAATGGCCTGCTGGCTGTTGACTGTCTCTACTATTCTTGCCTCATAATCATACTAACTCAATGCCTACAGTCAACGAGGAAGAGGCCCCCTCTGGCATGATTGCTCGGGGTCACTACAACGCTGTCTCCAAGTTCCTGGATGATGACGAGCACACCCATCTGCAGTTTGAGTGGGCTTTTGACATTGCCAAGGACTGGTGATTTTTGGATATACCCAAACTAAGACAGAGGAGAGAGAGACTTGGGATGACCTCGGTGAATTCTTCAGCGGCCGATTTGTTTCAAAGCGTAACGAATTTCCTTCCTGAAAAGAAAGCCCAGTTGGAGATCCCCTCTTCCAGCTCGGACCATTTCTGCACAGGCCAAGCGTTGTCATTATAGGGGTTTGCAATCGTTTTGACATTTTTATTCTTCTTCATGCTGATATTCTTGTGAGATGTTTTGTTTCCGATGCTAAATAGCAAGCCTCGCCATGTGTGAATGTGCTTTGAGATCCCCTCCCCAAACTCCTGTATCGTGCATAAGTAAACAAAAAAAAAAAAAAAAAAAAAAACATTGAACATAAAATCAAACAGAAGACAAAAGACCAAGGGGTATCATAAAAAGTAGTCAATCATGGGATTTTTTCCATCCCTGTTCTGCTGCATCTGCTCATTGCGATGCACATCGTTCTCGGGCGAGGCTTCGAAGGTATTGAAGAATCGCTCTCCCTGGTCGCCGACCTCAAGGACACTGGCCATATTGCCGCAGCGGTAGCAGTAGTTGGGGGCACTCCAAACCGTACTGAGTCGGTCATCAAACAGAACCTGGTAGCCATCGTTGCAGAGCTGGTGGGCCCGCAGAATGTGGGACATGCTGTTGAGCTCGAGGAACTTGCGAACAACCTGTGCCCCGAATGTATATCCAGCGCCACGGGGAGAGAGGGAGAATTCATCACGATCAGGGTCCGGGTCCGACCAGACCAGATCAGCCATGGGCCCCTCGTGGGGGATCTCACGGAAACGGTCAATGATTTTGACCTGGTCGAGAGAATGGAGAGAGGGGGAGAGGCCGCCATGCACGCAGAAGATTTCATTGTTGATCACAACGCTTAGTGTGATGAAGTCAAACATGTCGGTGAAGTAGTGCCACACATTGGCGTTGCCATATTTTCGGGCACACTCGGTGTAGAAGCCATAGGACTGCGTGACTCCACGGGATTCATGATTGCCGCGGACCAAGAAAATGCGATGCGGGTAGCGGAGCTTGAGGCACACAAGGAGGGTGATGGTCTCAACACTGAACAGACCGCGGTCCACATAATCACCTGCAATTCTCCCTTCACGTCAGCAATCTTTTATTTCCAATATCCCCTTGACAACCAAGACAAGAGCACACAGGTTTAGAGCCTGAACCTTCCTAACCTTCTCGCTGATTCTCAAAAGGACTGCATACCTAGGAAGAGATAGTTTGTGTCGGGGGGATATCCGCCAATCCTAAAGATCTCGATCAGGTCCAAGAACTGGCCGTGAATGTCCCCAACCACAGTGACAGGAGCAGCGATATGAACCACATTGCTCTCCGTCATCAACAGCTCCTTCGCTTTGGCGCATATCGCCTCGATAACTGATTCTGCAAGCAGTTCTCTCCGGTAGATTCTTTCGATGCACTCATCCAAGTCGATACTGGCTGGAGGGATGTCAAACTGTGCATGAACACTCGCTATGAGGAATCAACGGAATTTGTCGCGGAGTACATACATGGAAGACCAGGCATTGCGATGAATGGCAAAGCCCAATGACTGCGAGAACAAAAGAATGCAATGTTCCTCCTTGGGGAGACGACAACCAATTTAAGGCAATGGACAAAGCCCTAAGTACCGGCCAAAAGAAGAGCCAGGGATACGACCGGGCTCTGGCGCAAGGAGAATGAGAGGACGGGAAGGTTTGAAAATAGGAAGACACAAGGCCAATGAAGATTATGAGAAGGAAATCAACGAAAAAGATGCCTCGAAAGATCCTGCAGTGAGCATCATGACCACCAAGCCAGCTCCTTTATCAAAAGTCAAGGACAGGCCAACAGAGACTGTCACACCAGAGAATCACTGGCACACAGTAAACTGCAAAAAGAAGTGGGTTGTTGGTGCTGGCTACATCGGCCTCGCTCGGTTACGGAGGGCATTTTGCCCAGGTACACCGCTCATATCCACGTGATTTCTAGGCGGTGGATACCGCCTCGACGATCCGTGGTCCCGAGTGCAAACGGTGAAAACAGCTTGCTGTTCTGCAGCTCGGAGCTTTGAATTCCTCTGGTCTCTTCTGCATATCTTCCTGGTTTTTTTTTTTTTTTTTTTTTTGCTGGATTTGTGGTCTCGGTGATGAAATGTCTCTTCCGGGACTAGATCTCTCCCAGCCGTCGGAGGAGAGGCAGTATGCGGTCGCACCGCCGTCGCAGATCAGTCTATCTCCGGGCTCAGAATGGCGATTTGAGGTTGGATTTGGTCATATTGTGAAGGTCAAGGTGCGTTGATATCTGAAGGGGAAAAATACAATTCTGGAAGAAGGAATATGAGGACCAATTGGTTAACTGACAATTAACTCGCTTATAGATTCTCAATGGAACGGCCGAGCTTTTCGGTACGGAACTGGCCGAGTCGCAGAGCTACAGCTTCACTGGTACCAAGGCGGCAATCTACACATGGCATGGTTGCACATTAGAGGTCAGCACAGGGGAGACAAACCATATGATATCAGATGGGGTGACTCCGACAGCGGGCCATGGAGCGGGCGGGTGCCAGAGCGAGTACACGGCAGAGGAGACGCCGATGGTGGAATACGCCAATGTCCACTTTGCACTGGAGACATTGCGGCAGGAGGCCCACGGTGCGGGCAAGGACGGCCCGCGTGTGTTGCTCCTGGGGTCTGAGAATGCGGGCAAAACCAGTTTGGCCAAGATCCTGACGGCCTATGCGACCAGGGTTGGCCGGCAACCGCTGGTCGTAAATCTCGATCCGAGCGAGGGCATGCTCAGTGTTCCTGGAACCCTAACTGCGGCTGCATTTCGCACCTTGCTGGATGTTGGGGAAGGCTGGGGCAGCAGTCCCATGTCTGGGCCCAGCCCTGTACCCGTGAAGCTGCCGCTCGTATACAGCTACCCGCTGACGAGTCCGTTGGATGCTGATGGCTCAGTCTACCGACCTGTTGTGTCGCGGCTGGCGCTGTCGGTGACGGGCCGGATGGCCGAGGACGAGGACGCACGCGAAACCGGCATCATAGTCGACACCCCTGGGGTTCTGAGTCAGGGCAAACCGGGCAGCCTGGAGCTGATCAATCACATCGTGACCGAGTTCGCCATCACCACCGTCTTGGTACTGGGATCGGAGCGTCTCTACAGCTCTATGGCCAAGCAGTACGATAACAAGCCCAGCTCAAGTGCCACGGCCACGGCTTTGGACGAGCGTATCTCGGTCCTGAAGCTCTCCAAATCCGGGGGCTGCGTCGACCGCGACGCCGCGTTCCTGAAGGCGACCCGCGAGTCGCAGATCCGATCATATTTCTTTGGGAATCCGATTACCTCCGCGGCCTCGGCTGCTCTCTCAATCTCCGCCTCGTCCGCCTCCGCCATCACCTTATCTCCTCACGCGCAGCAGCTCGACTTCGCTTCTCTCGCAGTCTACAACTACACCATCTCTGCGGCCGATGACGGGGACGAGGATGATTACGACCCGTCTCAGCTCACAACCACCGACTCTTATCTTCCGGGCTCCGAGCACTCGTCTTCTCAACCAAGCCAACTCCCCTCTGACCGCGCCGCGCCCTTGCCGGGGGTTGTTGGCCTCTCTTCCAACCCTTCGGCATCTTCGCCTGCCACTTCATCTGCACAAAGCAATGTTCCTCTGAAAAAGGTCCTCCCACCCGCCCCCTCCACCCTCGCCAATACCCTCCTTGCCATCACCCACGCCTCCACCACCGCACCTGTCGCCGAAGTGCGCGACGCCAGCATCATGGGCTTCGTGTATGTCGCCGATGTCGATGCTGACAAGGGCAAGATCCGCGTGCTTGCACCCGTTGGCGGTAGATTGCCTCCGCGTGCCATGATCTGGACAAAACGCTGGCCTGGTGAAATTGTTGGCCTGGTTGGCTGAGGCTGGGTATGAGCTTCGCGGGCATCTTATCCCTCAAGTGGAGCATTTCACGGCCTTTTTTTCATTTAAGATTTTTCTATTCAACTCCCCCCCTTTTTTTTTTGTCACGAATCGGCGTTCCGGTTTTATTTGGGAGGAATTGTTTCTGCATGATGGGCCAGAATGGCAACGTTGTATCTATATTTCTTTCCATGATGAAACTGCCCCTCGGCCAACGACCACAGAAGAAAAATGACATTTATTCATGTAATAGCATCGTACCACTTTATGCTATTCAACTTAAGCACTAAGTAGGTCAATAGTGGGTAGATACACATCCTTGGATAGCTCCGCTGGAGAGTACCCGAGAGAACTGTTTCTTCGTAAACAAGCTTCCCCAACCCAAAGACTGAATTGTGTCCTCGTTTCTTGGGGCCGATACGGCCCTTGTTGAGTTTTTGTGTTCAGAAACTGAAAAATATCGCACGGTCTCGATTCAATTGCCATACTAAAACGTCGCCTACTTCACGGCGAGATCACTTATGCCGCTGCAAAAGAACAAGATGCTAATATCCTCCATCAGTTGAGCTACAGAGATCAGAAGATTCGCTATTTTTACCCATCTGTACCGCAATCGCAAGCTGATTGAAACGATTGTCGCCCAGGCAATGCGGATGAGAAGGTCCGTTGCGAAGTTGGCACCTACGCGTGGCTCCAAGACAACTGTCCCACGGTCCCTATTCCAGAACTTTATAGGTTTAGACTAGCTGGGGGAAATACTGTATGTCCCTCTTTCTCTTGTCTTACGATGATATCAAGGCTTACATTCTTAGTTTACCGTTCTCGATAACCTGCCATTTATAACCCGTACTGTTCAGCGTCTACGCCGTCGATTGCTACAGTAGTTAGTCTATCCCGCTCCATCACTCTATGTTCAACATCAAATCAAAGATCCGAACATACTAGGCATACCCTATCTTTTGATTGAATATATCGATCCTTCATGAGGCCAAATGCTTTCTGAAACATAGGAGAAAGGACGTTATGATTCTGGGCCTCACCGATCTCAATCAATCTAATATCTTCGTTGACGAAGATTGGAACATCAAGTGCCTCATCGATCTCGAATGGGCATGCTTCTCACCCAGTGGAAATGATTCATCCTCCATGCTGGTTAACAAACCAGGCCATTGACTTGATCAGCAACGATGACTATGAACCTCTTCACAAACAATTCATGGAGGTCTTCGCAGAGGAGGAAGTGAAAATCGGATCACTGATCCCTCTTTCTCCTATCTTGCAACGGGGATGGGAGATTGGAACATTTTGGTATTCCTTTACGCTCAGTAGCCCTATGGCGTTGTTCAAAATCTTCTATGACTTCATTCAACCGAAGTTCTCGAGGACCCACGATGATCCGGCCTCCTGGCGGATTACTATGCCCTACTGGACATTCAGTGCTTTGGGTTTGTTGAACACAAGGTGAGGGATAAGGGACGATACGATATCGCGTTGCGTGAAGCATTCGAAACGCCAGGATCTCATCAGTAGTTGACTATAGTAAAAGCTCACTGGGGCCTTTGTATACTCAAGGCATAGTTCTGGGAAGAAATTAGAAATTAGTAGCAAGCAATTTATCTTCTATGTGGCCATTTCCAAGGCCTAAAACTTTTCATCTGGCCTACCTTTTGGCGGCTTATGGTATCGCATTTCTCTGTAGGCACCAGGTCGTAAAAACATGAAGGGATTCCTCTTTTTAATCACTATTCATCCCCTCTTCTCTATATTTACCTTGATTAGCTGAATGAAGGTGAGGGGATTCTTTCACCACGGTCATATATTCTTATATTACAAATCTCAACAATTATTTGCACCCCCGGAACCACACCCAACACCATAACTTTGGCCCATTCTCTAAGGACTTGCTGTCATGGTGACAGTCGGCTGGATATTTTCTGGTCGATAATCAGGATCCTCCGAAAAGCTCCATGCAGGCCGGAAGTCCATAGAGTCACAGTCGCCCTTCTTGGGCATGCCGAAGATCTCTGTTTGGTCCGGCAGCTTCTCAAACCAGCAAGTGCAGGTGTTGTCATAATGGCTTCCGAGGATCGACGTGTCGGTATCCTTACATTTGATGTCTCCGTGGTCCCCGTTGGAGCCAACGCCTGTAGGGTCGGAGTTGTCGCTGCCCACTGCCATCAATTGGTAGACCTGTATGCCAGGGAAAAGAGATATCGTTAGAATAGGGGACAGGGGGAAACAATTTTGCTTTTTGGGGGGTTCACATACCAAGCAGGTCTCCTTGAGACTCCCACCATACTTCTTGTCCGTTGTGTCTGTATCGCACTGTTTGTTCCATGTTAGATTATTTCACACATGGCATAGCTGACAAGCAGGCAGAAGTAGAGAAACAGAAGCACCACTTACGCTGTTCATAATCGTCCGGAGTCGGTCAATGCAGAGATCTGTGTCGCGGAGTCCCTTGCCCTTAGGAGGCCAGGTAGTGAAGCCCGTACAGCCGCCGCCGGCGAAATAAGCACCGATCCACAGTTTGTCTTTGCCGTCATTGATTTTGAAATCGCCACTGGCCCCAAGGGCCTTGCCCTTTCCATCTTTGGTCTGCCCCGTGCCTTGGTTAATCGGGGGAGTGAACACCGTATCCCAGAAACCTTCGTCCTTGCAGAAATCCTTGATCTTCTCATCGGCCTCGGACGTGGTGAAGGGGGATCGGTCCGAGGGTGCATCGCCCTGGCGAGCGCATTTGGGTTCCGGGACATGGTAATATTTGCTGAACGCCTCCATCTCGCTTCTGAATGATTCAGGGTAGTCTGAGTCGGGCGAGAGGGTCTCGGAGTCGGCTTTATTTGACAGCTCCCCGACATCCTGACCAACGATATCGCTGACTTCGGCACCTTCGCTGCTCTGTGTGAACTGGTCGAGGCGGTCTTGGTTGATACCAAAGGTCCCGTTGTCGCTGGTCAAGAAAACGGCTGATGATCTCGTCATCCAATCATGGGCTTCTTTGTCGGCTAGGGGTAGCCATGGGTATTGGTTGCCATCTAGCTTCGATTGCACCCACTTTGCTTTTTTTTTTTTTTTGTTAGTGATGGTCTAGATAGTCAATCTTTGAGGTGGTTATACATACCCAGAGCATACTGAGCATAATTGTCCGCTGAAGAGAAAACAATTAGCAAGAGAAATACCCACAGAGAGAAAATAGATGAAACTAACCATTCATAGTGATGGCTTCCTCCGCAATGGCCTGTCTCGCCGTCCGCGCGAGAATTTTGCAAGGCAGAGCTTTGTATGCGTCCATCTTCACCAATTTGCGATCATATCCACGGTCACTGCTTCGCTTCTTGTACTCGTACACGTGCATAGTCATGTCTGTAATTCGGCGGTTTTTGTTTTGTTTGTACGTCATCACCGTGGCATGCATCATCTCGTGGAGTATGATATACGCTATGTATGTCAGTCCAGGTACTTGGTGTCAAATGGCGAGTCAAGGGGGCCTTGATCTACCTTGGTTCCTATACTTGTCCAAATCATATCGCCATCGGAAATCATCTATGTCCTTCAGGTCCTTGATGGTGTCATCCAACTTCTTGTAGTTGAAGAAGATATCACAGAAATGCATGTTGGACACGGCATCAGCCTTGTTGTAGGGGGGAGCCGTATTGGGGTCTTTGGCATCTTTTTTCGTGTTCCACTGGTAGGCAGTCACTCCCCGGGAGCATCTGCTGCCGCTGTACTTGGCGTCGTTGCTATTGCCACATCGAGCATTCATGCGATAGCCTGGCCAGAACCCATTCAGTTGGAAGGTGGAAATATGCTCATATACCGATTTGATATTCCCCTGCCAGGCCTTGTTCATGGGGCTGGGACCCAGGTATTCCAGGGCGCCCGGGTCGTTTCCAAAGTCGATTTCTTTGACATGTTCTGCCATCTTGACTGCATCTGTATGGGCTTGCTTGATGGCTTTCTGTTGGGAGGAGCTGCAGTCTTGGAAGTGTAGCCATGTCCATTCTGCATGGACATCATCACCATCGTCTCGAGTCTTGATGGTGGTATTGGAGGCTGGGGCAGCCTGGGTGGCTCCCAGGAGCAGGGAGGACACAATGAGAAGAGATAACTGAGGAAGAATCATCTTGTCGGTTGCTGTGTGCTAATTCCTCTAGACGGATAGTAGTCCCTTATATAGTTTACCCTACTCAATACCTTGCGTATAGTAGAAGGTCGGTATGATTAAAACACTCTAAATATACTCAATCTTTCTGCCCCTAATCAAGTAAAATAAAAAAAAATCAGCTAGTGCTGCATAAAGAGGCGTCGAACTAAAAACGCACCTCGTACTCGAAATCCTTTGAACCATTGGCCCGTTCAACTATCGTCACATCCAAACATTCCAATTCAGTGCTGTAAGCTGCCGGTCTCATTAACGAGACCCTAGCCAGTGCAGGTCCCCGCTATGCTAACAATCCTTCCAGTCAAATAGCAGGGTCTGTTAGGGTCTGTTAGGGTCTGTCAGGATCTGATAGGCCTCTAATAATAGCTAGCGTTGCTGTAGTGCTCGCCAAGCGGCAGGGCGCCTAAGGCTGAGGCCGGAGGGTCTTGGCGCAGGGTTCACTGAGTCAAGCCAAGAGCCGGCACCACTTGGCCTTTTGAATCCATCATTTGGCCCCCAGACTGAACATACTACAATAGCTATCTGGAATTTCAGGTGCTTTTCTTTGCAGAAAACAAACCCTCCACACAACGTGGCATCGATGAACCTGGACAACCCCGGAAATCAGCCCCAAAGGGCTCGCCCAACTCGGTTATCGTCCACGATCATCAAATTCCTCTGGGCGGGTCTGGTTCTATTACTTGCCCTGCTTATTAGTTTCATCTACTCCTCTCGTCAAAGTCCCCTCTCTCCAGATACGGACAGCTCATCTGGGAGTGACAGCACTGCATCTCCCACCCACAACTGCTTGCTCCCTATTACCCGCTATGACATCTATACCGGCCAAGTAGCATGCTACCCATCCTCGGGTGGCATCTGGATGGCCGAGCTAGGCCCGCTGGAGCTACAACACTTGAACATCAACCGGTTCGAATCCACCGAGCGATCCTGGAACCAAGCAGACGAGGATAAGTTCTGCGATCAACTGCGGCCGTTCGGCGGATCCTGGTATACGCAGTCTGCAGACGACCTCTGGGTCGGAGGCGAATGCCATGAACTGCACGAGTTTGAGCCCGCCTTGTCGATCCATCGCCAGATCGCATTTCCGGAAAACGGCGGCGTATGGGTTCTAGCGATCGAGGGAGATGCACTGTTTCCGCCTGGGATGGCGACAGTCCGGAATGCGCTCACTATGGAAGAGCGTTGCAAGGCCCTCGAGAAACTGGGCGCTGTCTTTTGTGCGGATTTGACGAAATGTTCAGCCCTCCAGGATCTATCGCAGCAGCCATCCCAACTGGTACGAAAGAAGAAGTTGGACGATGCTCCAACTTGTGGTGGGGCCCTTTGACTTGAATCTTGCTACAGTCTTGGAATCACACTTGACGCTGTGTTTGATGTCTCGAGACTGCCTATGAATAACGACCTGGGATTTAATGAGATACCAGCCGCTGACCCTCGCTTCGCTCGTGTGGGATTAGGAAGCATAGTAAAGAGTAAATATCGGATTTTAAAGACTGGTTCTCTTTCTTCTCCTTCTTCTCCTTCTTCTCTTTCTTCTCTTTTATTCTTTCTCTATGCTTTTTTATTTTTATTTTTATTTTGCGCAACAGCCCTATATCCTTGGAGTCTTATATTATAAACCCCGCTCTTGCTGGGGTTTGGTCTTTCCTACCAAGAGAACCCTGGAAACTGTGGCTTTCTCGATGATAACATGGAGGTTTTTTGGATACCACCCCACGGAGTACAATTCATTTCGGACGATTTACCTCAAACTAAAATCCGAGGTCAGCATCCCTCTAGAGCCTTGTGAAGGGATGCTAGGGTTTGGAGATTCCCCGAACTAATTCAAGTACCGGCTGCTAAAGGCCTATTTTTGGTGCCAGCATCTTGGCATGGTTCTTTTGGCTTGCAATGGACCCCAATATTCCTTGGCGGAGAATAGCACTAATGCAGAATGTGTCCAACACGAGCCGCGGAGAGCTAAATTTACTTGGTGATTCATGAAGCCTGTGATGCCTGTATTGCAGAATAGACATGGTCGGGATGCTAATGGATAGGATGTAGTTGTCTCTAAGTATAGGTGGCATTTACGGGCTGAGCCTAATGGAAATTATGCCCAGGATGTCTAGAGCCATGTGGGAAACGGTCTGTTTATTTGGTCGCGTTCGAAATTCCAAGTTCAGCTCCCTGGGGTCGAAAAATATATATCTCCCCCACCTTTAGATGACAGTTATTCTTTGAGAGGCCACTAATAATATTCTAATGCTTAAATTGACTAGTATGCCCTCTGAAAAACCATGGGTTTACGTTTGAATAGGAATACAGATAAAAAAAAAAAAAAAGTGGTTGTGTAGTAGTCAAATATATTCGTCAAAAATCGTAAATGAAATTGAATTAGCAGATTTGTGCAAACACAACAAATGGACACTATGGCCGAGTGGTCTTAAGGCGTATGGCTGCTAATCAGCAAACCGTATTCATTCGTGAGCCAGGGTTCGAATCCCTGTGGTGTCGTTTATTTTTCTTCCGTTTTTCTTCCGCTATGCTATACAGCAGCAGTAACCAGCCGCCGTTTTTTTTCTCTCTTTTTTTTGCTCCTCCTTCTCCCTTTGTATTATAAATAAACCAAGTAAATTCTACTATTAGTAGTTCAGGTCAATAGACTCTTTATCGACTATAAACTTTATAATATACCCAACCCGCCTTAGAGGTAGTATAGAGACAACCCTAGAGTCTCTGTACTAGCTAATTTTAGTTTTGCTAGCGTACTACATGGGCTATTATTCCTCAAACCCTGCTATGAAAAGACGCTGTGGCCGAGTGGTCTAAGGCGCGGGACTGCTAATCCCGTCCATTCGTGGGCGTGAGTTCGAATCTCACCGGCGTCGAATTTTTTTCTCCTTACACTTTTTGCTTTTACTCCTTGCTGGTCTATTTTTCGTTACTGCTCTCATATGTAGATTTCTTCTCCGTCCAATTACCTACTTGCCTGCCCCCTTTCCTACTCAGCTGTAAATTAATGATCATGTTTTAACATTGCCTACTCTTTCAACAATTGTCAGTTATGCCTTATCAACTCGTATAACCTTTACTAGTAAATTTTCAACCACGGAATTAAATCCATAGACATTTTAAATTATCGGATAGGACCATAGCACTGCCGCAAAAGTGCTTTCTTAAACAATCAAACTTCAAGATTTCCTTTGTCATGAGCACCCGCAATCGAACTTCGATACCTCACCTGCTCCTGCTTCGTCTCCTGACTACTTGACCCTTCATTACGAAGGTGATTTTTCAAGCAAGCTCTCGCCTGAAGCCGTCTCTTTACACCGAAACGTGAAGCTGATTTGCTCATAAGCCATCCATGGATCTTCAACCAACATGACCAAGCGAAGGAAGCTCAACTCCATTACAGAGAAAAAGGCCACCCACGACACGGACCTGCCTTGTTCCGAAACGATACCGTTGCGGAGGAAATTGCCCACTCAAAGGAATGAGCAAAATCAGTTTACAGCTGCCGCCAAAGAAGGGAACAGTACCCCAAGCGTAAGCGATATTGTCCTCGACGATCCACTATTTGAAAACTTCAATGACGAGGATTTTATTCCACAAACACTCGATCTAGTCCCCGAAGAACTCGATGAGTTTGACAGTGAAAGAGAAAACCCCGAAGATGAACCCGAAGATAAAAAAACACACCACGGCTATGAATCTCCTACTCTTTTAGGTGTGGTAAAAAACCCCAGTGAAGCAGAGAGAATCAAGACTTGTGACGACAGAATGCAAAAGGCTGTTGAATTCCTGACTGGGAAAGCTAGACAATCAAAAGAGGAGGGTACATCGTCTACGGAGAGTGGATGGATAAATTTGGCCTTCATCATTCCCATGAGTCGCTCATCACCTCTCACGATCTTCAAGATTTTCCAGCAAATCATTCCGAGCTCTACCCGAGCAGCTTTACGTTACGATCGAATTACCACTGATCACTTGCTGTCCCTTCCCGAGGTCGACAAATCATGCCAGGATTGCGTCGGTGTGTACCTCAACTGCGCAAGAAGGCTCGAGCCTCAACAGCCAGATGCAACGGACACTGTCGTCGTCAATGATACAAATGGTCCCGAGTCCCAAGTTGTTGACTCTGTGTATGCTGGTTCAAGCACACATGATCTTGAGAATCGTGTCCGTCACCAAGAGAAAGAGATCAAATACAAGAACAGCGGTAAAAGACCATATCGCCAACAAGTCATACAGGAAGATAGCCTCCAACCAAACTTTCGCGTGGTGGCTGTCTTTCCAACGCAGATCCCAGAAATTGGAGTGTTGGGCGCAGATGATGGCTGGCTCATTCGCCTTTTGGAGACGGTGATAGTCATGTTCTTGGACGCTTATCTTCCTCCTGATCCCAACTCCTTTCGTATCCGATATGGCGTGGGACCTGAAGAATATTTCAAAGCCCTTGATCAATGTGGTATTCCGCGAACCCATCTGCGTCCTTTGAATAAGGCTTTACCAACCAAACAAGCAGTCAGAGACCGACCCCGGAGACGTCAGTGCCGAAATTGCAAGACTAACCAAAGCCTAGCGTGGTACTACGATATGGTTATCTCCGATGTGGCGACAATTTATTTGTGCCGCGCATGTTACACCTATAGGCGCAGGATTGCGACCGATAGGCCGTCATTTCTTTTTAGTCGTCGAGCCCCAAAACATGGACCTTGCTCAAACTGCGAGATAACAGTATCTTCTCGCTGGAGGTGGCATCCGACAATTGATGGACTCGCTTTGTGCAATACTTGCTATACTTGGCTCTTGACCCAAGGGAATGACCGCCCCGAAGAGGTTTGGCTGCGGAGAAGGGATGGAAAGTTTTGCTTGAATTGTGAGACGACGGAAACGTCTAGGTGGGTACCAGTTCGAGGCTCCGAGGGGAAAACGACAGGCAATTACTGGTGTGCTGCATGCTCCAAGGAACTTCGGAGAGCAGAGGACCGACTTGCGCGAGTTTTGGGGTGTTATCGATGTCACAAATGTGGTACGACGGATTCTCCTCTGTGGCCTGCCCCCCGGACCTGTCAGCAATGCTATGATGATGAAACAGTGGACGACGATTTGAAACACAAACGCGATAGATCAACTTGCTTGAACTGTGGAGTGAGCTTCAACAACAATACCAGGAAGCTCTGGTGCCAAATCCTGCAGCAATGGTACTGCAACGCGTGCTATAAGTGTATCAAGAACCATCGATGCCATCGAGTGACAGTTCACCACCTCAAGGAGCTTGAAATTCGGTGCGAGACATGCCAAGCTCTGTGGGCACGGCGTTGGAGACTGTTCCCAGAAGACCCATTGGGCAATGAAAGCCACGGAAGGATCCTATGTGGGAGATGCTTTCGCCGGTGGGAGGAAAACAAGGAGAGGCCGATTGATTTCCCTAACAGGATTAACTACGAGGCCAATCCTCGGGATGTCACTTTCCAGGACTGGATAAAACAACAGAAGATCTGTCGAAATGACATTCTTGCCAGCTATCTTCTTCGCATACACGGCAAGGTCATGACGATTGATGATATGCCGGAGCTCCGGGTAAGGCTACAGGCACTCAAACTATGGGAGGCGCGCACGGGAGAATAGTTTGAACCTAGGAAATTTCCTACTCCTTCAAACCGAGTAGATTCAACTCCTAAGCTCCACTCAAATAGAACGAGAACGAATTATCATCAGCTAAAAAGGCCAAATTTAAGCCACTACGAGAATCCGGAAGAGGTCCAAAACACAGTGTTTTTCATTGAATGTGGATACTTGGACTGGTACACTCTAAATAAACCAGTTGATACCCAAACAGCCCCACAGACCTGATTCTGGGGTTGGGGGCCCAAAAGTGAGAGAGATTTGAAGTATAAGTCGACCACATTGCCCTCTTTTCCCGCGAGAGCAACACTCGGAACCTGATTGAGACCTCCTCTCCGTCAAGTCAAACCACAGACAGATCCATATCTCTGACTCCCCCCACACAGGACCTGTGGAACAAACACAGCACACACAAAACCATGGCATCGAACTCAGCTATACCGGTCTGGTTCATCACCACCGCCAGCTCAGGCTTCGGTCACGAAATCGCCAGCGCAGCCCTACAACGCGGCCACCGTGTAATCGCCACACCGCGCGACCTAACCAAGGTCGCAGACCTCTAGTCGCAGGGCGCGCACACACGCTCGCACTAGACGTGACAGCCCCGCTCGCGCAGATTGAAAAGATCGCCTAGCAAGCCACAGAGACCTACGGCCGCATCGACTACTTGATCAACACAGCAGCGTATATCCTCGAGGGCACGGTCGAGGAAGCGACCACCGAAGAGGTGCAGCAGAAATTCAACGTGAACGTCTTCGGCACAGTCAACACGATCCGCGCGTTTCTGCCATATCTGCGCGCGCAGCCGGTGACAGAAACCCGGCCGCGCGCCACGATCGCGACATTCGGGAGTCTGGGTTCGTGGCAAGGCGGCGCGAGCTATGCGTTCTACGGCATGACCAAGGCTTGTATGTCGTCGCTGGCGGAGTCACTGGGAGCAGAGCTTGCACCCTTTGATATCCGCGTGACGGTTGTCGAGCCAAATATTTCCGGACGGGGGGTTTTGAAGGCCGGTGCTAAGGTCTCGACGCAAGCTCGGATCCCTGCTTATGAGAATCAGAGTACACCGTCTGGGATGCTGCGCAGTTTCTTGCTTACTGCGGATGGCACACAGCCGGGGGATGTTCGAAAGGGCGTCGCTGTTTTGCTTGATATCCTGACGGCGTCGGGCGTGGCGGAGGGGAAGGAATTGCCTGCGCGGATTGTTTTGGGGAGTGACTGTGAGGCTGTTGTTAGGGATAAGTGTCAAGGTACTTTGGATTTCTTGGATACTTGGGGTCCTATTTCTAGGTTGACGGACTATGCGAAAGAGGCGTGATCTGTCATCTGTTAGATAATTTTTTAGATACGCGCAAAGAATAGATCCATGGGTAGCTTTTTAATATTTTTACTTAAGAACTCTGAAGGTTATTCTAGGTTGAGGGATGTAAGACTACCCAAGTTATGGAGCAGACTACCTGCATACATTCTATCTGTCTACGAAAAGAGACACGAGCAGCAAATAACCAAATAACAGAAGAAATTCTATTGAGTATGCTTGGATCGGCGTATGCAATTCTAAAAGATGAGTCCCATAGTCTATACAGAACTCCCAACAAGGCAAAGCGTAAATGTACATAAAAAGAGAGAGAGAGAGAGAGAGAGAGAGAGGCCCAGCCTCACTCCCAGCGGCGCCACTCCGCAATAGCCTTCCTCATCTCCTCATTGCAATCATAGCCCCTTCCCTCAGCATCAAGCAGCTCATCCGCGCGATCGCGGAACCGACGCTCCGCCTCGAACCGGCGCAGCGTCACAGAGCGCAGCGCAGCGAAATCATCCCGGTCAACAGTATCCCGGAAACGCGCACGCATGCGTGCCGAATACAGCTGGCAGCTCGCCTCGCGGCAGTTGTTGGGCCCGTCGCCGGGGAGCAGGCGCATAGCAGTCGAAAACATGCGGGCGATGGGCCGACGGGATTTGGCGAGCGGCCACACGACCTCGTCGTAGCAGTCCTCGCAGACGCAGAGCTCCGGCAGCGACGGGATGTAGTGCCAGGTGGTGAGGACGGGCTTGTCGCGCGGGCAGTCGCGGAGAACGACCTTGCGCCGCGCGTAGGCGATGAACGGACGCGGGTCCGGGCGAGAGCGGGTTGAGCTGGCGTCGGCGCGCGAAGCGGCGGCGTCGAGGAGGTCGATGTACTGCACGAAGCGGGGGCTGCTAGTGAGGAAGTTGCAGACTCGTGCTTGGGGCTCGGGACTTGCTTCGAATGTTTCTCGGTGGCTGGGCATGAGGATGCGCACGTTGCGCACGCAGCTGCCGCAGACTTGGAAGCGTGGTAGGTATTTACCTGTGTCTGGGTCCACGATGCGGTACCAGTTTTGCTCGCTGGCGATGCGGCCGGGACAGCCCCGTGCCCCTGGAGGCGGGCGTGTCATTTGATATAGCATCTCGAGGCTGTCGTGCTGCTTCTTGATCATCTGCGCCCATGCCAGTCGTGCCCAAGGGTTGGCGAATGCGCATCGCGTCTTTTGGTTTGGGGGTTTCACCAGGCTTGGGATGAAGAAGTTGCGGTAGCGGGAGTGTGCGACCTGGTTCATGCACGATGGGCAGATGTCAAGGTGTGGGAGCCCCCTGAGGGTATACCAGTCCTGATAGCCTGCCACGGGGACGGATCGTGGACATGGCGACACGCATAGCCCTGCGGGGTTGGAGGCCTGCTGTGGTGCACTGGACATGCTTGTTGGTCGACTGGATGCAGTGGAGGGCTGGCTGCTCTGTACAGATTGAGCCTGCGACCTGTCTGAGGCGGACTGTGGGGTGGTGTGTCGCCTTAACACTGTCTGGACCTCATCAGAGGACCCAGGCCTCAAGGGCTGCCGAGTTCCCGACGATGATCGTATCCCGGACCCGCCGGGAGGAACAGGGACTGATGCAGTTCGAGGGCGTGAATATGAGGAGCGCTGACTCGTGGCACGGTAAATTTCTTGTGATGGTAAAGAGGGTGCTGATGTACGGTTTGAGTTGCCCGACACTGTGCTAGGAGGTTTCACGCTTGCAGCTCGGGCCCGTGACTCGGCGTCCGACATAGACCCCGACTCGCGGCGTTCCTGTCGCTGGCGAAGCTTTTCCTCAATCCGCTCTGCAAGAGTAGGCCCAGGGGGCAGTGTTTCGGGCATTCTCATAGACACAGTAGATACGGACGGTGGAGACCCACTGCCACGGGTGGGTAGTGTTTCGGGCACTCTCGTAGACACGGTAGATACGGACGGTGGAGGTCCGTGAGACAATGGTCGGCTGCGAGCGGTGGTTAAATCGGATTGATATCCAGACCTTGGCCCCGAGCTGTTCTGGCTTGCAGTCGAACAGGCCGCAGAAGAGGGACCATAACGTGAGCGTGCGCTGTTCGAACGACTCAACGGCGCCTTGGGTGGGTAAAGGGAGGGTTGATTGTACATGGGGCCTTGAGAGCCCTGAGAGCCTTGAGTCCATGAACGTTCGGAAGCAGCTCTTCCACGTGAATCATGAGGCGCAATTTGTACCGGTTCTCCATCCCGGCTCAAATAGCTCTCCCTAGAAGAACTAGAAGGTGGACGCAGATCGCGGCGCGCGCTCGGCTCACGACTGGGCTGACGACTGGGCTGTTGGTGAACCTGCGCTCGACCATGCATCTTGCTTGAAGTAGACGATGACATAGACCTAGGGCGGTGGACCGACTGAGATCTGGAGGTTGTGGGAAACACGGGCTCATGGAAACTCCCCGGCGGCGTGGCTGGCCCCGTGCTGTCGTCGGAAGAAACGTTGCCCAGGCCAGGCACACTTGGGACGCTGGGAGGGCTGGAGGATGCAACAGAGTTCTCGGCTGTGACAAGCACCGGATGCTGGTCCACCGTGCCTCTTGCACAGGTACCCTCAAGCCCAGGCTTATCGCCGAGTTTGGACATTCCATGGAGCTCGCGGGACAGGGCTTCGACCTCGTCCTCGACGCGAGGCGCCGGAGGCCATGGGGGACGTGTGCTTATGCTTCGGCGGGAAGATGGCATGGTTGCTTAATAGTTTTGGAATCGCACACAGACAGAGTAAATAGCGTTAACCTGTTGCGATGAAGTGTAGAGAGGAATGGTCTCGGGATATGTTGTTCATAGTCTTAAAATAGTCGGACTCGGGTGTGAAAGAAGAGGGCAACAATGAGCCCCGAGGAGATTTTTACTTCAAAGCAAATTCATCAAAGAAGGGAGTTTTTCAGTGCGTGGTACCCGGGTGTGCCAGGGTATATAAGTATTGGTGTACAGTATCGGGCACCATCCTGGGCAGAGAGCCCTGATAGGGCCGCACCAGCGATTGGGCGAAGCACCAGAAATAGCATCAGGCCGAAGAAGAATCACGAGTGCCTTGTTTCCCTTTTTCTTTTTTTGTTTGTTGATATAGTTGAAACAGGGGGGCAACGAAACAAAGGGGCCAGTCGAGAGAGCCACACCCCACGGGTGTGGCTATGGGGCCCTGAATCAATCGGAGTCAAAGCGGATCCCAACTACTGGGGGGTTGTGTTTCAATAGATTTATATAGAACGACACGACCACTGACAACAGAGGTCGGCCAGAATAGCGGGGATCATTCTATTCCTTGGGGGCGAAGGATCCATAGATGTTTGGAGAGAGAGGCTTCGTAAGATGTTGGAAACATCAGCACGGACACTCGTGGCTCGCACTGCGCGGGGGAAATCCGGGTATAGCCGTGGCATGACTGGCATGACCCTGAAGGATGCGATGAATGATGCAAAACACATTGGCACTTGCATCGGGGCCAACAGATATAGCGTCTTGCAATGGATCGCTGACGGGCCGGGGCGCTTTAGTCCCTCATGGGCTCGGGTGGCTTGCATCTCGTTGCTCTGAGTCGCTGATGAGCCCCCAAAACACACCGGCGGCAGATCTGACAGGCCTCGTGGAGGCGGATCACGGCACGGCCGTTGCAAATGGAGGCTTCCCCTGTCTGAGGAGTCTCCGGAGGGATGGGAGTGGCTGGAGGTGCATCATCCGGGCATTGTTATAATAGAGCCATTATAAGCCCCAATGGTACCGTGACTACCCCCCGCAAGGCATCCTAGTTTCGCGAGGCGCCGCAAGAGGATGATGTTGAAGGAAGCTCGAGGATTTGGCCCCGATCGGCTCGATGCAGATGGGAATGGCGTCACCGAGGCTTGACAATCCACTGCAGCAATTCTGCTTCATGCAATGGCTCAGGCCCTGAGATAAGCACCATTCGAGGGAATTGGTATATCAATAGAATTATCCAGAAAGAGATAAAAACAAGCAACTAAATATAGAAATCAAATCAACTCTCCAAAATGAAGCACCGCGGGAAGAACCCGCACTGCGGGGAGATGACAAATGCCTGTTGATGCAATCCACTCCGATGAGTTCCCCCCTCTTGTCCTTGCGATTCTGACATGCTTCGCTCGTTTCTGCGCAGTACGCCTCGTCTTACGGTTCTTCGCAACCAACTCGCACCAGGACCTTTCACGCATACGCCTATCCGTACCATGTCCCTCCCCACCACCATGAAGGCCGTCGTGGTCGAGCAGACCGGCGGCCCGGAGGTGTTGCAGTTCCAGACAGCATACCCGGTGCCAACCCCACAGGAGGGCCAGCTGCTAGTGCGGAACAATATCTCTGGCGTCAACTTCATTGACACCTACTTCCGCACAGGGCTGTATGCCTCAGCCAAGCCCGAGGTGCTGGGCCGCGAGGGTGCCGGCACCGTCGCGGCAGTGGGACCCAATGCCAGTGGGTTCCAGGTCGGAGACCGCGTGGCCTGGCTGGCGACCAGCGGATACGCTGAGTACACTGCGGTGCCGGCGGCCAAGACGGTGAAGATCCCGGATGGGGTGAGCGACGAGGAGGTCATGGCCTCGTTCCTCAGCGGCTTGACGGTGCTCTCGTTTGTCAAGGAGACTTACCCCGTCCAGAAGGGCGAGTGGGTGCTTGTCCATGCGGCTGCTGGTGGCGCTGGCTTCCTCATGACTCAGATCCTCAAGACCATCGGTGCCAAGGTTATTGGTACTGCTGGTGGACCTGAGAAGTGTGCGCTTGTCAAGGGATTGGGTGCTGATGTGGTCATTGACTACCGCAGCGAGGAGGGCAAGGACTGGGTGAAGAAGGTCAAGGAGGCGACAGGAGGCCGTGGCGTCGATGTCGTCTATGACTCCGTCGGCCAAGATACCTGGGAGGGCAGCTTGGAGGCTGTCAAGCGCAAGGGCACCATCATCTGGTTTGGCAATGCGAGCGGGCCGGTGCCTCCTCTACCTCTTCCGTATGATCATTCTCCTTGTATGGAACTATACCAGATGGACAGTCATGCTGATGAGCTTTTTGTTAGGAAACTCTCCCCCAAGTGCGTCAAGGTTGCTCGTCCCACCCTCTTTGGGTATATTGAGACCCGGGAGGAGTTTGAATACTACACCAACGAGCTTTTCAGCCTGCTGAAGTCGGGTCAGCTCAAGACTAAGATCCACAAGGTCTACCCACTCGAGCAGATTGCCCAAGTGCACATTGTATGTGGCTACATACTTCATTTTTCTGCAATTATGCTCACTATTTTTACAGGATCTCGAAGGGAGAAAGACCATGGGAAAGCCTCTTTTGAAGCCCTGAATCTGGGAGAGCGTGGATCAAAATAAGTACATAGATGTCAATACCTTGCAATGAGATGCTACAATTCTGGCTTTGTAACTCAAAAGCATGAATATCTATAAATTTTTTCATAACTCGCTCTGATTTATGGCTCTCTCTCTCCCTCTCTCGATTGTTTTTTTTTTTTTTTTTTTCTTTTGTTCTTTTCTTTTCAATCCTTGTGACTGCACGAGATCTGCGCGAGTTTTGCATCACTCCTCGCCCATCGACTCCTTGTCCTGGCATGTCATAACCCCACAGTATTACCAAGACTCTTCCTCTTGCATCTTGTCAACCTTCTTGGGAGGAAGACTCTTTGGCTCTTTCCAGCCCATCATCAGATCGTTGGGGAGCACCGTATAGAAAGACGCAAAAGCAGACTCGACCGCATCAAAGTAGAACAGCCCACAGTTCAGCTGCCATACCGACGCATTGACCTTCATTCCGGGGTAGCAGTGAGCAAGCAGATTAGTTTCCAGAAGGAACTCAAACTCATACGCGGGGGCCATGCCCTGATTCCAGTCCCGGCGCTCCCGAGGACTCAGGTCGAAATCAGGCTTCGCGGGATCTTGGAAAGACCTGACCTGGATTTTGCCGAGGGGAATTAAATCTGGGGCAGAGCCCTTGTAACAAGCATAGACTTCGGGGTCTGGCCATACGATGGAGATGATCTCAAAGCCATTGATATCCGGGATCTGCATGCCCCGCAGAGTGCCGTTGCTCTCCAGGATTTGGAATCGAGTCATTTGCTGACGGGAGCTGCAGACCGCGAGCGCAAACTTGACTACCTTGCGCGCAAAGTCGTCAGGAATCGGCTGTCGTCTTTCGGGAATCCAGTCCTGTCCATCGCCTGGGACACTGAAAGAATACCCGCCGTAAAGTGTGGCGCAGGCCTGGTTAAAGCTACCTGGACCCTCGGCAACAAACTGCTGGTTCTTCCACAGCTCGACGGTGGCCAGGTCACAGGCCTTGCAGGCCTTGTCGATGTTCTCCTTGTATTCGGGGCACACGTCATGGTAAAGCAGGTATGACAGAAAATTGCGGATGGTCACTGTTGCAAGTTTGATCTTTTCCAGGGATTCCGGATGGAAATATGCCGGAAAAAAGGAGGTGCTGGGGATTGAGGTTAGCCGAACGGTTTCCAGGAATAGCATGCCGAGATGCATGTAGTTTATCAGGAATCCTTGTACTTACAGGAAGCCTCGCACCACTTCATGGAAATCCACATCGAGATTCATCTGGCTGAATGGAACGCCGGTCTGACTGCGTGCCTTGATGGCATCTTCCTTGTCCATGTCTCTCAACTCTTGCGGAGTCACGCCGGCAAACGGCTTGGGGCCGACATTGACACCGCCGTATTTCAGGTACTTCACGAAGATGCTGCTTCTATCATTCTCGAAGCGGCGCTGGGATTGGTAGCGGCTCAAGGCCTCGTCAATTCGGCTGTAGAAGGGTAATTAGTTGCTGAATTGCTGATGTCTTCAATTCGTTGTCCAAGCATCTCACATGATGAAGGGAAGTTCACTGCCAGACAAAGTTAGTAAATATGTTTCCATTACCAAGCGCAAGGCCCACTTACGGGTCATAGAGCTCACAAAGCTCCTCATACTCTTCGGGAGTGACAGGAGCATCGGCATAGAAGTCCTCGAATCCAGTGGGCTTGCCCTATTGAAAGAACAGAAATTAGTGACGGGAGTGTGAGAAAACATCTGTCACAGAGTGTATCTTACCTGGCCTCGCTTGCTCTTGGGCCGTCTTTTTCTGCTCCTCTTTTTTGCCTTCACGTCGAGGATATCTGGCATGGTTGAATTGGTATGGTCTTCATCTTCCAGCGAGTTGGGATCAACTCCGGATCTGGGATCGGGCTGAGTCTTGATCATTGGGCCCGCCACATCATTGTCCTGGACAGTCTTGGGGGAGGTTTTGGGTTCCTGGTTTGCAGTTGGAGCTCCAGAGTGACGGGGGATTGAGGCATCCCACGTCACAATAGGCTTTGCTGGGCCGTCCATGTTGAGGCAGCTGGCCGTTTCTTTTGAAGGTAGAATGCAGTTGAGGTAAAGAATGAAGGATGATGACAGACTAAAGTATGAGTAGGAAGGAGCACTAAGGTGAATGATGAAGAGCAATAAATACTAAGAGGCCTAGGAATCCAAGGTTGTCTAGCGAAAAGTAGACCCAGCCTGGAAGTACGCGCGCAAACATCGTGAGAGTGGCGCTAATAATTATTGTAGCTGAGTAGTTAAGAGGCAGACGGTCAAAAATAAGTATTTATTGAATAAGAGAAATTTAATCAGCGGTACTAGAAAAAGTAACGAGAAGTTAAGGTATGAAGCAGAGGAAGTATATAGGTAGGAAGGTTAGAGTATAGCGGCTTTCGCAGATCGGAGATAAGCACTGATGGTCCCTCTTTCGCCTACTCCTTTCCCCGGCCTTTTCAGCCCCACTAGGCTCTCCCTATTTCCACGTTACTTCCATATTACTCCCACGTTATTTTATATTATTTCATATTATTTCATATTATTTCATATTATTTTCATGTTATTTTCACGTTACTTTCACGTTGTTTCGACCTTGTTTCAAAGTTGTTTCCACACTACCATTGTCTACTTTTCGTCTTTTGCTGTCTTAAGTTCCTCGATTCCTACTTGAGTCATCCGGAATGCTGTGACGGGACTTGCTCGCCGGGTCGCAGCACAATCCCCCCTCAAGATGCCACCCTCGAAATCAGAGAGTCGGAAGACACCACAGCTAGGCAGTGATGACCTGGTCCCCTTTGATCATGTTGCCGCCGGACAGTAAGTACTTATTCCCGCTGAATGCCAGCTACGCGACGATCTCTCAGGACACCTCTGAGATGGTGTCGCGTGTGGGGTTCAGGAGGCGGAGGAGTTGATGATGACTTCAGCAAATGCTAATTGTCCTCTGGTAATCTTCTAGCGAGGGTGTCCGCTGCACCTTGTCTGGATCGCTGATCGCGAAACCCTGCACACCGCAAGAGGTGGCGTTCTACGAGTCTAGTCCACTCCACCCGGCCTTCCAGGAATTCATGCCCCTCTACATTGGCTCGCTCTCATCTGCTGGACAGCAGCAACCGCTGGCGGTCGCTGCGGCCCAGGAATCCGGCGCTGTATTTCTCCCCACCCCCGAAGACTCGGCCACCACCTCCGTCGAGCCTCCCTCACAAACCCCCGCCGCGGCACACGAGGCCGCGCCCACACCCACCAAGGAGGAAGGTTGGATTCCTTCTGGCGGCAAGAAGTTGGAGACGGGCTTGTCAATCGTGTTGGAGAATGTCGCCTGCGGATTCCGGCGGCCGAATGTGCTGGACGTGAAACTCGGGGCGCGGCTATGGGCCGACGATGCACCGCCTGCAAAACGAAACAAGCTCGACGCCGTGTCCAATGAGACTACAAGCTCCAGCTTGGGGTATCGCATTGCAGGCATGAAAGTGTGGACTGGGCATAACGGCGAGACCGATGAGGGTGACCGCACCGACCCGTACGCCACCAAATACGAGGGTGCCGAGGGCGCGAAGGGAGAGGTCATCGAGAAGGATGGGTACCGGCGCTACGACAAGTGGTATGGACGGTCTTTTAATGATCAGAACGTCAGGCAGGGGTTTGAGACCTTTCTCGCTGGCGCGAAAGCGGGCAGGGAGGATCGGTCGACGCTCGTTGCGCGGCGCTTGGCGGAGGAATTGAAGAACGTGCAGCATGTCCTCGAGTCCGAGGAGAGCCGCATGTATTCCTCCAGTGTTCTGGTGGTTTATGAGGGGGATCCCGAAGCGATGGAGCACGCTCTCGAAGAGGAAAAGAAGATCCCGGAGCCCGGCTCCAAGGACACGGAGGAAGATGATGAGGAGGAGGACTTTGAAATCCCCGAGGAAGCATTAGAGTTGGTTGATGTCCAGCTCGGGAACGGGAGGGCCCAGCAAGCGATCAATATCAGCATCGATCCTCAAACCGCACCCATACCGGATCTGGGTGACGAGGACGAGGAGGAAACCCCCAAAGTCCATGACCTCCGCTTGATCGACTTTGCGCATGCCAATTGGACGCCTGGGCAGGGCCCGGATGAGAACATCCTCAAAGGAATTCGCAGTCTGGTTAAGATGTTCGAAGAATTGGCTGCATGAATGCCTCCAAATGTACAGGGCCGACGGTTGCTGGCGGCCGTTGGGCCTTGACTCACATATGGCGAAAGTATATTGGACCATGTTTTCATTTGTCAATTAGCCCACATACTGCATTTGAGCCTTGCTATTTTCCACCAATATTGTCTATATACTTTATTTTTTCGTATCTACATCTTGCAATGTTGTATAACTGCCTTTGTATACCGAGGGCTTGATGACGGCTGACATAAGCCAACCGCCGAGACTTCCCCGGGGCCGTCTTCAACTTTCGCGAAATCCAAGCATCGGACTGCCTCAACCACAATGCTCCCCACACGCGCCCTGCTGGGCCGATCGGTCTGGAAAGGTAAGGGATTGATGCCTCTAATAATCAGGTCCCATGAACGAGAAAGAACAAACCGACTTGCTAACACCGTCATCCAGGCCCGAACATCGTCCCGTACGTGAAACCCGCCTACAGCATGCCCAACCCCCCCATACAACCTCGACTCTGATTCGAACCGAACCATCATTATATCGGCAAAGAAGGGAGAAAAGAAATACTAACCTGTTGATCCGGATTTAGTCTCGCGCTCCCGCGCACCAACCCGCCCCCCCGGGCACGCCTCCAATCCGCACGCAAAAGCGCGGCGCAACGATCCTGCCCAACTTTGTGGGCTTGCGCTTTGCCGTGCACAACGGCAAGACATACCAGGAATTCAGTATTACCGAGGAGATGGTCGGGAGGAAACTCGGGGAATATGTTGCGTATGTATTACCCTTGTGTTTGGCATATCTGCTCTGCTGGTTTGCAAAATTTGAAAACCCCAGAGTGATACGTGTGTCTTCGGCGATGATTGGAAACCAGGACATGACTGACCTGCTTGTTTTCACATTTAGGACCCGCAAGCGCTTCACCTACAAGATGTCCAAGAACAAATAGTCGAATCGCAGGCTGGTCGATGGATATGCGAGGCTTTTCTGTTTCTGGTCTGGAATGCTCTTCTTTTGGGTTTTTTTTGGCACCAGGTCGAGTGCCATACTTCCTGGGATGCATCTTTCGAGCGAGAGATGGGCCAGCACTCTATCTATAAAGATGGATTAGGAGTGCCGCACTTGGAGGCGGCTTTGTTTCTTTTGGCATTCTGCCGTGTACAGATATACTGATGTTTTCTCTTTTTATGTGCAATTAGCTACCTGTGGGATGGAGTTTGCCATGGACTTGTCGAATAAATTCGATTGCATTCACTCTTCTAAATGCAGGGATCTTGGCCAGCTCCGGCATCAAATAAAATAAAGAAAGAAAAAAGAACTCCATTTTCTGATCTCATCCCGCCCATCAAGCCTGGCCATATGGCCGAATCAGTACGCCAAAGCACCGGGAAACCATCCCATCAGTCGAAGGGCGACAATGTCAACACAAAGAAAAAGAAAAGAAAAGAAAAACAACCACCCCATGCATCATATCACCGATAAAATTCCCCGCGCTTAACAGTGACCCCATACTCGCTAACCGCCATCCCCAGATCCTCCATGGTCAGCACGGTACGTCCCTGCCCAGAGCCACCGGAGCCACCACCCCCAAACCCCGGTCTCTGGATGCCAAGGTGCGTGTTGCCCTTGTTGCTCTTTCCGCCTTCGCCTCCGGCCACGCCGCCGGGGGCAGCGCCGGCGCCGGCGGGTGCGCTGAGCCCCGCGGCGGCCGTCAGACTGCCCATGGGGTTGTTGGCAGAGGAGCTGTTGGAGGCGCGGATACGCGCGTACTGGTATGAGTCGGCGGCCAGGTCGGAGACGAACTTTTGCGTTGCGAGCGCTAGCAGTCGCGCCAGATGCGGCGGCGTTTGGTTGGGCCCTGTGCCTGGGGGGGGAGACCGGCCAGTGTGAGGTAGTGAGCTGTGACGGCGTCGGGAATCTGTGGTAAGAGTGTGGTCAGCTTCTTTCTTTCTTTTGTCACGTTCTTTTTGTTGGCTTCGGAGAAGTAACAAAATGATAAAAAAGAGATCACAGTAAGAGACGAAAAAGACAAGAAGAAAGCAGCCGAATGCAAAGAAAGAGAGAAAGAGAGAACCCAACATACAATCGGCGCATAGTCATCCATCTTGCCCAGGAACTCGCGCAGGCTCGTCTCCTTCTTCGAGGGCGCCGGCGCCGGCGCCATGGGGTCATCAGCGACAGCCTCGGGACCAGCAGCAGCAGCACCACCACCATTTTCGTCCGGGACAGTATCCGACGCGGGCTGGTTGTCAGAGGTCATATCGACTTCGCGATCGAGAGAAGCTTCAAGATCAGGTTCAGGCTTGATGGAGGCGTCTGGTGCAGAGGACGAAGCAGCGGCATGCTCTTGTGACCCGTTCTGGGGAGGTGGATGAGGAGGGTGAGAGTCGGCCATGGCGGTCGCGCGCGGGGGCGGGGGATCTTATATAGCGCAGGGGTTGTGTTTTAGTGGATTTGTCCCCCCTCTTTGGTATTGCTTTCAGCCTTCTGCGCTAATCCGACAATCGATTGCAGATTGGATGTGACACGGCCGAAGCGTTGCGAGGGTTCGGCAGATTCCCTCGGGCGGTGCGCGACCCACTTGGAGACCTTCTTGGGGGCCGCTACTCTATATACTATCCATGGACGGCATACCTTTGAGTATTGCCTGTAGTTTACTCGAAAGTGATATAAGAAATACAAAGGAATGTAAACTCCAATTCATGTATGTACTCGTACATTTCAAGCAATGTTCCACAACGCCGCATCTCCGTGATAACGCCATGGGCTTGGGGAAGCAATCCTATACATAGTACAAGTCCCCGATTCTCACAAGAAAAAAAGATCAACTCCCGAATGCTCCGAGCCCCATGGGATAAAAAAAAAAAAACAAGGCGTGTTCAGAGAAAAGAAAAGGAAAAGAGTAGAACAAACGGAGCAATGCAACTCGGCAAGCCTACTGTCCCAGCTGCATATTGGGATCAATGTGGTCGGGCGTTTGCGAGTGTTGGTGCTGTGGGTACTGGCTGCCATGGACCTCCTGGCTGAGGGTCTGCATGAGGTTCTGTTCAGCGGTTTGGTCAAAGACCGATTGACTGCTGGCATCCGGCAAGCTGGGCGAAGCGGACATCTCATGACCTGCCACGGGCGGCGCATGGGCTCCGGCCAGGGCCATCATGCCCTTAATACCCTCCACATGGGCCTTATCTTCCTCGCCCTGCTTCTTCTGTCTCTCACGGGCCTCGCGCTTGGCCGCCTGCAAAGGAGCCCGGGTCTTTAATTCGCCAGTCACAAATTTCAGATAATACGGGACTTCGATCCCACTCTTGAGAAAGAATAACTTGAGGTTGCGTGCCTTATCTTTGAGCTGCACCTGGTTGCGGTCCTTCAAAGCCTCGCTAATGGTGCCTCCAGGCCCGAACATGGCAAGAATCTGACTCCAGTGGGGACCCTTGACCCGGTCCAGTCCGGCCATCAATGCGTTCTCTTCCTCGGTGGTCCAAGGGCGGCGTTGACTAGGCAGCCCGGATTTGCGGCTCGTCGGAGATGACTTGGCAGATGCCGCCATGCGGGCACGCTCATAGAGAACTTGGGTGGGCTGCGATTGAGAGTAATGAGGAATTCCCGGCATGTATCCATGGTTGGAAGACATGCCATTCGTTCTGGCCTGCATCGCCTGCGCCGCATTGGGATTGTACTGTTGGAAATTAGCCTGCAGCGGGCTCTGCTGAAACGTGAGCTGCCCAGAATGCTGCGACTGGTATCCGCCAGGCGGGGTGGGACTGTGTTGATATGGCTGAGCAGATTGGCCGGGTTGCTGGGCTGCAGTATACCCGTGGAGATATTGGTTGTCAGATGGGCTCGCTTGCTGGGCTACTTGCGGCTGCGGCGGCGGGGGCTGCGAAGGGGACTGGCTGGCCTGAGACTGTGCCTGTTGCGGCTGCTGCTGGTGTTGATGTTGCTGCTGCGATTGCTGCTGGGAACGTCGAAGTCCATGACCTTGCAGAGCTATTTGTGCAGCACGAGCAGCACGGGCCACAAGATCACCGTGCATGTTTCGGTCCACGGGGACTTCGACCTGCTGGTTGACCGAGAATTGTCCTTGGTGCGTGGTATTGAGTTCCTGCGCATCGCCGCTAGAGCTTGATGGCCGGCGTCCTTTGACGATCTTCTTCCCCTAGATGGTGTGAGCAGATGAAGATGGCCAAGACAATCGGGGGGGGGGGTACGAACCGGTTGGGCGCTGATGGTCTCAAAGTTTTTGGAGATGTAAGAGCTGAGATCCCGAAGAAAATCTTCCCAGCGATACTTGTCGGGCATGGTTCTCAGTGCTTCTTCATTGTTAATGTCGCCAAGAAGAATTTCCCGTCGGGAGGTGAGTCGGTTGACAAAGTCGGTTTCGCTAGGAGCCAACTGCCGGGTGCCTGGACGCCGTGCCAGCAATCGCTGCTCCATGTCGTCGGGGAACAGATCATAGAGAAGCTCAGTCCGAGAACGGGATTTGTTGTTCAATGCTGAAATGAATGCCTGGGTCTTAAGTTCAAGGTACAGAGCACCTTGAACCTTCAACAGGCGGCCACCTTCAGGGACAAACACATCCAGGAAGTGTTCATTCAATTCTGCAAAACCAATTTCCTGGGAGCCGAAGATGCTGGAGACGAACGAAGCCAAGTTCGCCTTGCGGATGGTGTCCACCTGAGAGGGGTCGGTGATTTCGAGGTCGGAGGTTTGGAGGAATGAGTGTTTGATATTGTATACTCTCTTTGTATGATCAAAAAGAGAGCGCATGGTTGCGTAGGCCTGGCCATTCTCAGATTCGGGCTCAGAGATCATCGCAGTGAGGTCTTGGTAGGTGTTTTTGGAGAGAAAGGATAGGATTTGAGTAGACTAAAACACCGGGAGATATTAGACATAGAAAAACAAAATACAATCAAACGCAAAGAAACTCACCAGATTGTCCAGAATCGGCAGGCTCTGGATCTTTAAGTGGGAGTTGGCCTTGAGGAAAGCAAAGCCCTTGGCCCCGTTGAACTGGCTCGATTGCGGAATTTCCTGCTGGCCCAGCATCACAGAATGCTCCTGGCGTTCAGTATGGTCCATGATCTCCGAAATGATATTAGCCATGTCGGGATTCACCTCAGTGTCACCGTCCTCGGCTGCTACGGCCTCAGTGGACTGTTCCAGCTGGCCATGCCGGTCGCCAGCATGGTCGGCTTGCTCAACGCTGTCCACTACGCCTTCTCCAAGTGCTGTGGCCAGCTCCTCCTCGATTCGGTGACCCGGACCCTGCTGGTCCGTCACCGACATGGACTCGGGAGGCATGGAAAGCGCTTCATCCGGGCCGGAACCCGTGCGGCGCTTTTTGGCCGCCGGAGGTGAGCCATGTTCCTCGTTGTCAAAAGGACGCGGAGGTTTCTGATCTAAATTTACAAGAAAAATCGATTGTTAGCATGAATTATACTAGGGGTTCTCAAGAGTCAGAGGTGGATTGCGAGGGGGGTTGGTTGAGGCGCGTCGGCGTCAGATCAAACAAGATGGACGCGACGACATCCAACACCAAGACTTACCAGGGTTGGTTTCATCGGGAGAGAAAGAAGGAAGATCCAGAGAGCCCTCACCATCAAAAGATGGCTGCGGACCACGAGTTTCGACCATCTGGACTCGACAGCGGATTGGACTATCAACTTCCAAGAGCAGAAATGAGGGCTTAGGGTAGGGGTAGGGCGCAGATGTAGGGCTCGCAGGAGGGAGAGGTGTGGAAGGATGCGCCGATTTTTTTTGCCAGGCGGTCAGCCATCCCGGATTATATTTCCTCCCGGGAGGCTGCCTGGTCGACATTCGATCCTGTGCAGTGAAAGGATGAATAGCCTGGTTTCATTTCTGTCTAAGACAATTACTTAAGATGGTGCTTAAGAGGAGATTGCAGTATTTACCATGTTCTACTAGACATCGGAGTATATATGCACATTTTAGTGTATCAGGGCATTAAGCTAACAAAATAATAGCGTATTAGAGGGTTTATTTTTTTTTTTTCAGTGCCCTTCAAGATTGATTTGATGCAGTAAGTTTCCTTCACAAGCATTGGAAGCCCATGGGGTTGATTCTGGCGTATGTACTTCATATATAGTGCCTGAGGCAGAAGAATATTATCCCGCAGATGTGGACCACTTGTGCGCGTCATCGACGTGTGCGCTGCGTGCAACCCTCAAGATAACGCAACAAGAGCCTAACACAAGAGCAGAAGGTTACTTTGATTCTAGCCCGAGGTAGGAGCTGTCATGGCCTCCTCTTTTGACCTGTCAACCAAGGTTTTTCTAGTACTTAGGGTTGTATAGCCAGACCAGCAATAGGGAGCTCAACAATTGGAGCTTGGTTAAATCCATGATGACAGTGGAATCATTCCCCTTTTCAATTGAATAGGAATTATGTAAAGTCCTGGGAATTTTCGTATTCTTTTCTGTGTTCGCAAAGTTGAGCTGTTGTCAGGCACACTCTGAGCAAGGTGGAGGAGTATGCGGAATTCTTCCCCAAGAGCCCCCATTTCTTGATGGATCCGACATGTCTCCACCCAGGGCAGCCAGAAGTAAAATGCAGCTTAAGCTTAAATCTCTTCAAATCCTGGATAGACGAATTGAATGCCTGTTTTCCTTCTGCCCAGCATGACTGATTTCCGAACGCGGATGTATGAACCCATGGCTAAGTTCCCTGACATCCGCGAAGCCCTAACACACCTGGATCTCCCAGGGATCTCGCCCACACACCCTAGTCCAGGGTGAGGCCCCGATTCTTTTTATTGCATGGTGCTCCCTCCTGTAGTCTGGTGTAGTTTGTATCCGCATTTACCCACAGCTTCGTTGGGGTGTCTGTTGCCCCCTGAGGAAACCCCAATTGTCTTGCCAGGCTTATTTAATTCAATGGTCTGAACGCCCGTCATGTTCACGACTCACGCTTCTATCGCTACCCTCGTACTCGCCCTGCAGGCGGCTAGCCCGGTATCCGCGCAGAATTACACAGAGAAAGTGTGGGGAGTCGTTGCCTACACTCTCTATGGAGACAGCACCCCTGTTGCTCTCGTGCAGGACAGCTCCAGGGTCTTGACCAACTATGGAGCCAGCAGTCTTGCTGCAGCCGGATCGGCTTTCCGGGATCGCTATGTGGCAACGGAAGAAAGCGGCAACGAAGCAACGGGCATCCAGGATATCTCGACGAATCTCTTGGACACAAAACAGATCGAAGTGTTCTCGACCACCGACCAGTATGTTGCTGCCTCTGCACAAGCATTCTTGCAGGGTCTCTATCCGCCTCTCGGCCAGTCCAATATCACATATGCCGATTGGACCACTGAACTGGCCAATGGATCTTTGGCGAGATCTCCGCTCGATGGGTACCAGTATCCACGGATTGTCACGCTGGGCTCGTCAGACCCTCAGTCTCTCACTCTGGCAGGACAGACGCGGTGTCCCATGCATAATGCCGCAAAATCTGAGTATCTGAATAGCGACAACGTTCAAGAATTCAGCCAGGAGATGCGGCCTTTTTACGCATGGATCTGGGGCGAAGCGCTGGCTGGTGTGTACGCAGAATCGTCGGCTACATATTCCAATGCCGTTGACATTGCCAATTACCTGGAATATGAGCTGGTGCATAACAGCAGTCTGCTGAAACATGTCAACCACGACGAAATCAGTCGGGTGCGGTGGCTGGCGGATCGGTACACTTATGACACGAACAGCCAGGACTCTTCATTCAGTCAGTCATCGTACATCGGTGCTGTCAATGCTATCGCGGGCCAGACATTGGCATCGAGCATTCTGCATGCGTTGGACACAAATGTCAATGGGAACGGTGCTCAATCGAAAATGACCTTGTTGTTTGGCAGCGATGAGCCGGCCGTCGCCCTGGCATCCTTGGTGGGGCTGGCGGATCAACAGCAATCCAACTTCTACTCGCGCCCGGCACGAGGTGGCTCACTCATCTTTGAGCTGTACAGCTTCGGGGATAGTGAACAAGACTCAGCCTACCCGAGCCCAGACGACTTATATGTGCGGTTCTTCCTGCACAACGGAACCAATTCCTCCATCGAGTTTTTGTCCTATTCTCTCTTTAAACACGGCCCTAGCCAGGCCTACATCCCATACACCGAGTTCCGCACCGAAATGGAGACGTTTGCCACGACTTCGATTCAAGAGTGGTGTCTCCGATGTAACTCCCAGTCGGTGTTTTGTGAGGGGGCCGTGGACCGCAATCAATCCCCATCTGAAGGGAAGAAGCAAGTGTCCCCTGCAGTGGCCGGGGTGATTGGTGCTGTAGTCACCCTTGTTGTGGTTGCAATGCTGGCAGCCATCTGCTTTTTAATTTGGGGGGTTCACAAGCACACCCACAAGCCGAGTCTGGGAGGCTTCAAGGGAACCAGGAAGCTTGCAAGCGACAAAGACGTCACTTTCCGTAACCCTGTCTGGGGCATTTTCAAGCCCTTGAAAAGCCAGCAGCCAGATGAGGCCCCTGCTGATGCCATTGTGCAAGGCCATGAGCGTGTCGGAAGTTGGGAGATGGGCCAGCAACAAAAGGAAATTGAAGATATCTCGACGGGCAATCCACAAGGGATATCACCATTCGACGAGAATGAGGAGGAATGGCGAGCCCACAGTGGGTTGCAGCCTGTCAAGGTGCGGGAAAGTGTCTGATCTTTTGATCAGAACGTAGGCTTGGATGATATTGCTGGTGGGGGTTTTTTGTGTCGTCACGAGGATTTAGTTTTTTGAAGTCGAAAAGTAAACATCCTTCATCTTCCACGCGCTTTCCTTGACTTCTTCCCTTGCACTTTCTTCACCAACCGGCCAATCTCGCCTTTTTGCCTCGAATTTCTTTCTTGCTGGTATTTCTCCCCTTCACACTCCGAGACCATGATGAAGTATAACATACCAACACTGCTGGCTTTGAGTCAGGTCACAGACGTTCACTGCAACTGGACTGCACATGCAAAAGAGTGTAAGTGGGCTCTTCCTGATCGCTGCATAAAACCCTTTCATGCCAAAGCCCTGGGAATACCAGGAGGGATCCATGTCAAGATCATCAGGACCTTGCACCATGCACCGAGTCTCTCCCGATTAAATCCTGCAGAAACAAAGATCCTTTAGAGTTGCATGTAGCATGATCTTGAGCATAGATTCCTGTTGTGCTATCCACTCTGGAAACTTCCCTGCAGAAACCTGGTCAAGAGCCTTTGCTGACCATGACCCATAGGCAGGTTGCTGCGTCCTGGCCAAAGCAACAAACGCATTCTTTCTAAGACTCCTCAAAACCGACCGATCGAAGAGTCAAACACGCCGCCGCGACCGAGCAAAAACGCAGCATCAAAGGCCAAGTTGCGTGGGCGATCGGCGACCGTCAAAAGCATAACCCAGCCCTCGTTTTCAACCAAAGACGGGGGCTTTGCTCGCTTCCTAAAAGAACACTCTTCTCCAACGCACCAGCGAGTCACTGCTGGTGGCAGGATTGTTCCGATGGATCCTCCACACAGAGATCTTCCAAACGAGGGAGTGTCTGAGCACCGAGTAAGCAACAATCTCATGACCAGACAGGAAGGCCTTGGACTCTCCCACGAGCCCAGCAATCCTTCCAACAGAGAGAGATTAGTGCAGCCTGGACCTTCTACAGAGACGTCTGGGACTGGGGCTAGAAAAGACTCACAAAAGGCTAGCAAGCCTCATCGATCTTCCCGACACGAAGATGCCCGACCAGGGCTAATGGACATACCGAAATGGCGTCGGCTGCTGGGACGCCCCCTTCTCCCCAGCCCGGTTGTGTTGTGGAAACCACTGCTGTTGAAACATCCTATGCCACCAACAGGTCCAGTGGCCGTTGCACCCGCGCATCTTCTGAACCTTCCTGACAACACACTGGAGAACATTAACCAGAGCACAAATCATCCATGGCCAGCAACTTTGGTACAGGGTCCTCTACCCTCGGACCCATCCCAGGGCTCCCAAATTGGTCAGAACCAATCGGGGGTTCAATCGAATGATCATCTCAAATGGGTGGATCGCTTCAGTCCCCTTTCCAAAGGCCTTATACTCACATCTATGCAGAATGAGTTTGATCTTGGGTTTGTGCGCAGATTGGTAAACCGTCTGTGGGATCGGTGGAGAGGCATCAGAACCAAACTCAGACATGTGAATACGGCCATGGCCTTTGACTGGAGTATATGCCCTAACGAACAGTTTGTTGAAGAGCGCAAGATCAACATACAGGTAAGAGAAGTTCTGTTTCAGATGATTCTCTGGACTCTGCTATCAGCTCGATCACGGCAACCTTGCGAGAGATATGACAAAATGGTGGAGTCACTTGATCCGGACCTGAAACGCGAAGTGGGCCAGTACTGGGATGCAGAGTATCCAAACTTCAGAAACGAAGTGTTGCAAAGATGGGGATCCACTGAACCTCCTCGGGAGGTAAGGCAGACTCTGAGCAATGGTGCTGTGGATGACGGCACGAGCTCTTTCCCGAGCATACTGAGCCATCATCTGCACAGCCCCGGTGGTGCTTCTTTGGCCTTTGAGACAAATCAGGCTCTGGGAACTTTCAATGGCACTGCTTTTCCGTTCAATCCAAGCCAGCCTTTGCACAAGTCTGGCGGCGCGCCTTTATCCTTTGACACGAGCCAGGCTCTGAGCAATCTCAATGCCTCTGCTGTTCCGTTCTACCCAAGCCAGGCTCTGCAAACCCCCGCTGGTGGCCATCTGCCACTCGAGATGAACCAGACTTTGGAAAATTCCAGTGCCTTTTTTCCGTCCAATGCAAGCCAGGCCCTGAACAACTCTGATGGAGCTTTCCCATTTGAGACGAACCAGGTCTTGGGCAACCCCAATGCATTTTCTTTTCCATATGCCATGAACGAACAACTTGGGATTCTCCATGCCCAAGGGGGTTTTGGTGGTATGGATGAGAGCCACCACGACTTTGATATGGAATTCCCGATGGACATTGGCGCTGAAGAAGCTGGTCCTTTGGGCACTGCCACGGGAGGTTCCCTTTCGCCTCTGGATTTGCCAGAAAGCACTTTGTTTTATGACCCCAATGTGTCAGACACGGAACATTATTCCGCTCCTGCTTCTCCGGCTGGCGGCATTGATGTCGAAGAGAAAATGACTTACAATGAGCTGCTTAGTGGTGATGAAGTGCCGAATGTGTTTGTTGAGCATGGATTTGGCGATGAGGACGCTTTTCCTCCACAGAATGATGGCGCACAGAATTACTATCCGATCCACAATACTGGCCACATCAGTCAGACTGTGCCCTGGAACTTTGGCCGGAGGATTCGTCGTGAGTTCTCATTGATCTCTGAAGCTGATTGCGAGATAATCGATGAGACAAAGGACATGGAGACTCTGAATTTCGGTGTCCGTGCTGTGTCTAGTCCGGTCACTAGGTCAGTATGAAAAAGACCTATTTTTGCTGGATGGTATTAACCTCGAGGATTGCAGGTCTCGACCAGAAGAAACAATGGACCATTCCCAAGAAAAGCCGGTGCCGGAAGAGTATGCATCCTCTGACAACGGCAAATCTCCAGAGGGAGACAAAGTCGGCTTGATGAGTGATGATGGCCAGCAGGGTGAGATGCGAGGCGCTGGGGAGATAGGCACACGCTTCATCAGGACGCTGAAGAAGTGGAGGGTTCGAAAGTCAGGTACCGACTATTCTGATCTCTCTGACCTCACTTCGCGACACCACACAACAGCCAACTCCCCAGAACCATACGCAGAGAGACAATCCCACGCAGACACTGCAACCTCAATGTAAGTGCCGGCTTTGTTCGATCCAGCTCAACAGACTGCTAACGTGAGCCAACAGGAGTTCTGAATCAATGGGGTCGTCTCGCTCCGAGCACCAGCCCAATGAGGGCCCCGGCTCGAAATCATCTTCATCCAGCACGGACCGATCTATGGCGTCCACTTCCAAGACCACTGTCTCCCCGATTTTGCTCTCAATGCTCTCTCGTCAGGATAACCAGGTGTATACTGCCCGGGCCATTCTGGACATCACCCCAGTCAACGTGTACGCATCTCCTGGCCTGTGGGGTCGCAACCGCTGAGGGACTTACGGCACCTACATGAGACCTGAGAGGTTGGGATACAAAAAACTCATTGTTTTCACATACACTCTTTTCCGCTTGTTTCTTTTATTCTTCCCGTGATCGTTGAGAATTTTGAGAAGGAGGGCACATTCGTTGGACATAGGGCGTTTGTTTTTACATTGTCTTGTCCAGATGGGGTTGAGTGGAGTCTGTCATGAGTACAAGGCGTTGTTTTCTGGGGATGTGTGGGGGAGAACGGGGAAGACTGGGGATCAGGCTGGGTACATGGATACATTCCACCATGGCAAGATAGCGCAGATCCAAGTCAATTGAATTCCTCAAGATATGAGAGCTATCATGTATTTTTACCCGTGAATCACGTGTGGCTTTGCCCCTGGCGGCGTCCACGGGTCGATGGCGGCAAAATTGCCACCCGAAAAAAAAAAAAAAAGGCAATGTAGAGAAATCAGGATTAAGAGCCTTCCACTGAAGAGTGTTCCTGGCGGCAGTATGTACCTCACCTAAGTAGTATTGGGGCTGGGGGTAGGATTGTTAAAGTAGTATGAAGGTGTGTTTATTGGAAGTTGAAGAGCCCTACGCCGTGGCTGTTGTGTCTTGATCCTCAACGCCACTGACTAAGCCGGCCTCCACACTATCTCCACTCAACTTGCCAACTCCCTTCTCTCACTCTCTTCCCCTTCGCCTTGGTAAATCTGGTCTCAATTTGTGACTCTCCTTGCCCTCTCCCTCTTTTTCCCTCTCTTGGATATGTCGTCCCATCCATGAGCCCAGTCTTTGTGGTCTTTGTTGCTCCATTCTTTCGGGTGGTTGTTTCAACCTGGTCTCTCTTACTGAACCCCCTCCCGCGTGGTTGTATCCCCAGCGTTTTGACCCCTTGGAACACAATCTTGCCGTTCGTTCTGTCTTCCCCTCCCTGAAATTTGCATCGCCTTCCCTTGGAATTATTTTGTCTGTCTGCCTGGTTGCAGGCAGCGAAATTGTTCTCGAAGACCCACCCAACATGACGCAACTCTTCGCGTCCAGTCCATCGACCATGTCGAACGAAAAGCGTGGGAATTTCCCCGGTCTCTCTCTCCCGTCCCGAAAACACTCCAACGAGTCAGGCCATTTGCCGACAAAAATCAAGAATTTCTTCCGCATCAACAGCTCCAGCAGCCACTCGTCCCATGGGCATAGTTCTGGCAGCCACGACCGCGAGCGCGACAGGGATAGTCATGCCAGCCCTCCCAAGAACGAGAAATCTACCTTTAGACAGTCTCGCTTTCTCCCGGCTATCGGTCGCAACCGGTCGACAACCGTCGCGAGTGAAGGCAACCCTCTGGACGATGGCATGTCGCCCACCGCAACGGCGAACCCGTACTTTGCCCACCAGGGCCAGCCCGCCTTGCGGCATCGGAATGAGGGCTCCGTGCCCTCTCCCCTCCAGATACCCCCGAGTTGCAGGTCACCGGGGTTTCTGCGGTGGAGCAGGCTACCACCGCGAACAAGGAGGAATTGGCGCGCAAGTTGCGCCGGGTAGCCTCAGCCCCAAATGCCCAGGGTATGTTTGCCAGTCAAGGTGACGAGCGCCCTCGAACTGCCGATATGGGCAAGGAGCCTCTTGTGGAGCTTCCGGGTCCCGATGGATCTGTGGGGTTGGTGGACCCGAACAGTGAGAAAGAGATACTGGCCGTGCCATCTGCAGACCCAGATACCAAAATCCCGAGCGCTGGTCAGCTCCGGACCAGTGTTTCTTTCCACCGAACATACAGCTCGAACTCGATCAAGGTCCGCAATGTCGAAGTCGGTCCAGCGAGTTTTGATAAGATCAAGTTGATTGGTAAGGGCGACGTGGGAAAGGTTTATTTGGTGCGCGAGAAGAAGTCGAGTCGTCTCTATGCCATGAAAGGTGCGTCTGGATCTTGGCTTTAGGTTGTGTATGACTGATGCTAACTCGTGTACAGTGCTGAGCAAGAAGGAAATGATCAAGCGGAACAAGATCAAACGTGCTTTGGCAGAGCAAGAGATTCTGGCCACAAGCAATCATCCATTCATTGTCACTCTGTACCATTCTTTCCAATCCGAAGATTACCTATATCTCTGCATGGAGTACTGCAGCGGTGGCGAATTCTTCCGAAGTACGTTCTTTTCTCTCGTGTTATGATCATCCAAGTCTCTTGCTAATTTCTTGCAGCTCTGCAAACTCGCCCTGGAAAGTGTATTTCCGAGGATGCTGCTCGATTCTACGCTGCCGAAGTCACTGCGGCCTTGGAATACCTTCATCTGATGGGCTTCATCTACCGTGACTTGAAGCCGGAGAGTATGCTGATTCCTTTTGCTCTGTGCTTGGCTTGAAGTTGGAATACTGTACTTACGCATTGATTAGACATCCTCTTGCATCAATCAGGTCACATCATGCTTTCGGACTTTGATCTGTCCAAGCAGTCTGGGCCCGGCGGTGCCCCTACCATGATCCCTGCGCGCACTGGCGGCAGCTCTACCACGGCTCTGCCTACCATTGACACCAAGTCATGTATCGCCGATTTCCGAACCAATTCCTTTGTCGGAACAGAAGAGTACATTGCACCGGAAGTGATCAAGGGCTGCGGTCACACCAGTGCCGTGGATTGGTGGACCCTGGGTATCCTGGTCTACGAGATGCTGTATGGCACCACGCCCTTCAAGGGCAAGAACCGCAATGCGACCTTTGCCAGTATCTTGCGGGATGAGGTGTCATTCCCCGAGCATTCGGGTGCACAACAAACCTCCAATATGTGCAAATCCCTGATCCGCAAGCTACTCATCAAGGATGAAACCAAGCGACTTGGCGCCCGTGCCGGTGCCTCCGATGTCAAGACACACCCGTTCTTCCGGCAAACCCAGTGGGCTCTCATTCGTCATATGAAGCCCCCCATAATCCCGCACCAGGGCCGCGCCGGTACCGACACTGTGAACTTCCGCAATGTTAAGGAAAGTGCCAGTGTTGATATTGGTGGCTACAATACGACCAAAATGGAGGGCGTGCCCATGGACTCCGGCCTGGCGACCCCGAACGCCGAGTTGAATGATCCCTTCGAGGAGTTCAACAGCGTTACTCTCCACCATGAGGGAGATTCATGATCAATCGGGCGGGACGCCCCGTGCAACTTTAGCTCGCAATTGCTCTTTTCTTTTTCTTTTTGCTTGTTTGTATCTCATCCCGATATACGAGGGCCTGGGTTGAAGGGCAGCTGCCGGTGCATCAGCTCGTTAACGACTATGATGCCTTGACGACTGTATTTCAGACGCTTTTTCTTTCCTTATTTCCCATTTGCAATGCTCGCCGGGCGTACGGAGTGTTTTCGGGGCCTCTTCTTTTTGTGGTGGATCTCTCTGTATGCTCTGCTCTCTTGAGGGGCTATAGTTTGCAGGATTACCCAGGCTAAATCCCTAGGGAAAATTTGGCATTCCTCGCATTACTTCTCGTATGTGTTCCGTAGTGGCACAGTCCTAATCCATCCCCTTGTATGTGTGCTTGTAGTAGTGGTGCCATAGTGGTGGACAATTACTTCAAGTTTCTTGATAGATCCGTGTCAACGGCAACGGAGTATAGAGAGTTTCAGTAGACAGTTTGAACCATTGAATTATATCAATTAGAAAAAAATTTGAATGTTCTGCAAGTGCTTATTGAGGATGAATCGCCAACTATATATCCGGACCTCTTCCTCCATCATATCGAGGAGCATCCAGATTCAGAAGAAAGACTTCCCGCAACAGCTCATATGTTCCTCCTTCTCTTTTATTTCTTATAAAAATTCTCCCGTGTTTTCATCCAGAGAAGTGTTCAAGATACCCATCCTCTCTGCACGAATTGTAGAGTGGACCTCGAAGCGGAACAGCGCCAAAACAACAAACCCGCCATCACCGCAAAACCAGCAACCTCTTCCCATCTTCCGACACTCCGTCCGATAGATTCTCTTCTCCTCCAAATTCATCAATTGACCAACCTCTTAAAAATTTGCACCTCCACTCCACCATGTCTGCCTTCGCTGCCTCCGACGACCCAGACGCTGATTATTCCTTCACCGAGGACCCCGCGACCACCCCCCCGTCGCCGACCAATCCATGAGCCCCGACGCAGACGCCAACGCCAGCCGGAGCCACTCGCACAATCCCCTACTGGGGCCCGATCACCCGCTCGTCTCGGATCTGGAGCAAGAAGTGCTGGACGAGTATGCGCGGCTGTCGCGGAATGTGAACCAGGTAAGCTTGGAAGGAGCCCCTCATTCCGGTGATAGTTGAACCATGTTTCGTGTGCTTTTTCCCATGGGTTCTCTATATAAATACACATACTCTACTATGCACGTGCGGGAATACCTCTTCATGATCGATGCATTCATACGGAATATTCTCTAATTGACGGATTACCTCCAGCTCTCCGACAAACTCGCCGACCTCGCCGGCTCCCCCGCCTCCCTAACCCTCGACGGCCTCCGGCTCCTCGAGCGCAAGACTGCCACGGTGTGCACACTGCTCAAGGCGAGTGTGTACAGTATCGTGTTGCAACAACAAATCTGGAACGAGAACGAGGAACAGCAGCAGCAACAACAGCAACAGCAAGAACATGATGAGCAGGAGCGCCAGTTCCAGGATCAGGAGTATCATACTCATACTGGGGGTGCATATGACGGAGATGGAGATGTGACATTCCAATGAATTGACACTGGTCATTTCAATGGTTTATTTTATGCATGGGGCTGTTTACTGTGTACTTGCATTGTCTGCGTATACCCGTGGTGTTTTGGATTTATTTTCTATGCCATGAATAGCATGATTGGAGAAATATGGTGTTGGGGTTTAGAGTGTCAGTCATGTTTTCTCTGCATATCTCCGAAGTATACCGAAGGCTCTATAATAAGGACCTCGGACTATCAAGGCATGGATAACTTATTCTGGATATCAATCAATGGCGATCTCTCGTATTTCAGACATAGTACAAGTACATGCAAAAGAACACACAAGGAGAAGAGAAGAACAAAGACAGCCCATTATATACACGCCAGCGACCACGCAGGACTCGACCCGACCAGATCACTTAAACCTGATTCGCGTAGTACACCTTGCGCACATCGACAATCTTCTTGCCCCGGGCACGGGCAATTTCTTCCGGATCACGCTGGCTCATGAGCGCCTTGTACGTGGCCTTGACCGTGTTCATCGGGTTCCGGGAGCGGTTGACGCGCGCCGAGAGGTCGCGAATACCGGCAGCACGGCACATCTCCCAGATGAGATACTGGACGCGAAGACCAAAGCCTAACCAGTACAGTTAGCAAGAAGTCAGAGATACCAAAAGGGGTCATGTTTTAATAAAAAAAAGAAAAGAAAAGAAAAGAGAAAGGTTTCAACGGACCTGGTGGACGGTGCATCAACTTCAACTCCACAGCTCCCACCTTGCCGGTCAAGTCGCCATAGACGGTGCGGTTCTCGTAGCGCGGGACCGGCTGCATGTTTCGAATGGCGCGGGCCTTTGCTTGAATATTGGCATCCGTGCCTTCGTCCGACTTGGACTCGCCGATACCCAGCAGACCTTTCTGGTTCCCGGCAACGGCCAGGCAGTACTGGCGGCGGATCTTGCCTAGTCGGGTCTGGTTGACAACACTGTGTGAGACGAGAACCTTGGTCCGGATGTTCTGTGCTTGGCTACTGGTGTAGCCAGTTGTCATAAGAAGGTTTTGATGGCCTTCAGACATTTCCTCAGCTACCCGCGATCTCTCCTTTTCGCCCCTTTCGAAGGCCGATTTTTGTTCCTCGATGCGGGGCTCATCGACGGTCTCACCGGGTCCGAAGAGCTCCGGCACAAGCGCGCTGTGAGGCTTCAATTCGTTTTCCTCCTTACCGCGGGTGACCCGTACCTCATCGAGGAACCGCATGAAATCGATGTTATCGGCCTCGTCGGGCATATCTGCAATATACTTGCCAAGGTCTTCCGCAAAATCTTCCTCGCTCTTCGGCTTCCAATTGTAGTCCGTGTTCGACTGAGGGTTCCGCACGTGTCGGTCAATCACGGGCTCAATCACCGAGAAGTCGTCCAGGTAGCGGAAGTGCAGCGGGTCCTGGCGCGGATTAAACTGGTCTGCCAGGTCCTTGGGATCGATGGCTGCCTCGCCGGCTGCGACGGCGTCCATTTGTGCCTTCGAATACTCCTTGGCCAGCGCAGCCTTCTCCTCCTCCGTGTACTCCTTGAAATCTTCTGGTTTGAGTTCCGGCTTCTTTTCTGGCTGTGATGTGTTCACAGCTTGGGTCTTTGAAGCATTGATGTCCGGGACTTTGGGCTTTTCGTTCAACAGCGCAGTTGCGGGATGGAATTGGCGCCGGGGAATTCGCGTGACCGGGGTGGCAGCACGGGAGAAGCTGCAGAACAGACATCTTGCTGGCCGGGCAAAACTCATAATGACGAGGAAAGAAGGGCTCTGCGACCAGCAGGAGGCCGGCCACAAGCTCAGAAAGGGAACAAGAGCGGCAAAAGCAAGGCTAATGGAGACCGACAAAAACAAGAGACGGAGACAGCAAAACGTCGGGGACGAATTTCTCGCTCGCGGGCGGTCAGTCTCCAACCAATCAGCGGCGCGGGAGATACATTGCTAATAAATTTCCCATTCGCGAACTCCCAGCTTTTTTTCTTGCTCGAATCCCTTATTTTCCCACTGGCGCCGCCGTGTATATATGTTCGCGGTACGTCCGTTTGCCTGGAGTCTTACTCGTTCTTGGTCTACTGCCATTCGTCCCGTCTCGGTGCGCCCAACCTTCAACTTCTCTTCTCGGTGTCCCAGCAATGCGCCAGTCCCCGCTATAATGCCGAAACCAAAGAAACAATTTAACGGCCAGAAGCGCAAGAAGGCCAAGGTCGAGCGTAACAATAAGAGCAGCGGACACGATGAGGTCCTCCAAACCGACATCGATAAACTCCTCAAGAAAACTCGGCCCGAACAAAACCAGACCAACGGTGACAATGAATCGCCGCCTCCTGCCCTCCCCGAGACTTTCACCGAGATTAATGTGAAGATTTCCGAGCTATCCTCTACCGGTGATGGCCTTGCGCTGTCAGAAAATGCGGATCACATCTATGTGGTACCTTTTACGGTCCCCGGAGATACGGCGCGGGTGAAGGTTGTCAAACACTTCCCGTCTCTGTCCTACAGCATGACCGATTTCCTCGAAGTGGTCGAACCGGGGCAACAGAGAAACGATGCGCTGATCGGATGCGGGTACTTTGGGAAGTGCTCCGGGTGTCAATTGCAGATGATGTCGTACGAGGACCAACTTGCCCATAAAAGGCGCATCGTGGAGAAGGCCTACGCCAATTTCTCTGGGTTGATTCCGGAACTTGTCCCCACTATTGGAGAGACATTCCCTTCACCAATGCAGTATGGTTATCGTACAAAGCTGACGCCCCATTTCGCGAATGGGGGTGCTGGTTCGAAAGGCAAAAAGCAAGACGACGCGCAAGAAGAACCGGCCGAAGTGCAGGTCCCTCCCATTGGGTTTACCTACAAGAACCGGCGACTAGATATGGATATTGAAGATTGTCCACTGGGGACAGACATTGTGCGACGCGGCCTGAAGAGCGAGAGAAAACGAGTGGCCGAGAATATCCGCTCTTACAAGAAAGGCGCGACACTTTTGATGCGCGAGTCGACGACCCGAGTTCCCAAAGAACCGGCCTCGGCCAGCGACTCAACACCCGCTGGCGAGTCGACGACATACAAGCCAGACTGGCTCACGCCCACGCCGGGCAAAGACACCGGCGACGTGATTCGCACAGAGCGCGACACCTACATCGAAGAGAAGCGATGCATCAACGACAACAACGCCACCTCAGTCGAGTACGTCGACAACTACGTGTTCAGCAACAAAGCAGGCGCTTTCTTCCAGAACAACAACTCGATACTTTCGGGCTTCACCGAGTACATCCGCTCGCAAGCGCTGCCCGCCGGCAACGACCAGAGCCCACAGCCCATCAAATACCTCCTCGACGCCTACTCGGGCTCGGGCCTGTTCACCATCACGCTCTCGCCCCTCTTCAAATCCAGTCTCGGCGTCGACGTCGCCGGCGACTCCATCACCTCGGCCCGTGACAACGCCCGCGCCAACGCCCTCCCGAGCACGGGCTTCGCCGCCGCCGACGCCGCCGTCCTCTTCAAGGACGTCCCCTATCCGCCCCTCCAGACGTTGCTCGTCATTGACCCGCCGCGCAAGGGCTGCTCAGACGACTTCCTGCGCCAGCTGCTCGCCTTTGGGCCGCGCCGCGTCGTCTATGTTAGCTGCAATGTCCACACCCAGGCCCGCGACGTCGCGGTCATGGTCCAGGGCGACGAAAAGAATAATATCCGCTATGAGATCGAGAGCATTCGTGGCTTTGACTTCTTCCCTCAGACGGGGCACGTCGAGGGTGTGGCTATCTTGAATCGGGCTTCTTTCCCGTCGGAGTCGAGTTGATTTCTGAGAGGATGTTGCCGGGAAATTTATCCATTGGTCTATCTACCTGTATATTTGTGATGTTACTCAGTGTTGGGATATGGTGCATTTCGTCCACGGCGTTTTTGTTATTGGCGAGGACCCTAAAGGGCTAAAAAAAGCATAGAGGCGAGGATGGAGTTGGCTTGCATACCAAATACAACTTGTTTGATGCTGTGCTGGTCTTTTGAAAATGTTTATTTCCTGCTAGTTGCTCCCACAGCCCGATGTCATAGACCGGGGAACTACGCTGCCTTGAACACCTTAAACTGGAGGGTGTAGAACCTTGGTATGAAAAGGGGGGTGGAAATAAACATGAACTACTGACTATGAACAAAAAAACATTGATCTACACCGGCTGACAAGCATCTGATGAGACAAGCAACTCCACTATTTTTCGCTTCTTACGAGCTCCCCGGCCCACCGAGCAGCGCAAACCGGCGCACAATGCTGGGGCCAATCTCATCGTACTCCGCCTTGGTGTGGCAGTAGCTCCGGAACTCGGGCGTCTGACCCAGCAAACTACCTCCGAACCAGGGACCGTGTCGCTGGCGCTTGTGCGTGACGACGGCGACGTCGAGACCGCCGCTTCGGGCGCCACCGCTGCGAGCCTCCGACGCGCGAATACGGGCATCCACCAGGTGGCGGATATCACGCTGTAGACGACGGCCAAAGTCCTTGTAGAGAGTGGAGCCACCGGACAAGACAATGTTCTTGTACAGACCTCTTCGAACGTCAATGGGCGAGGATTGAATGACGCCGTCGACGACGTTGGGCAGCGGGGTCAGGAAGTCGGACGAGTAAATTTCGGGGTTGAAGAAGATCTCCGGGGCGAGGAAGCGTTCGTATCCAATATCAACGGTGACGCTTCGCCCGTTCGGCGAAGTCACGGTGTGGTTCAGGAAGCGGTCGGGTTCACGGTCGTAGCGCGCGAATTCCTTGACAATATCCGGGCTCACGTAGCAGTATTCTTCCTTGACCTTCTCTGCCGTTTTCAAGCTGCTGTCTGGCTCGCCGCGGTCACGCAGCAAGCTCTGCACGAAATACGTGATATCTCGCCCAGCAATCGGTATACTCTTGATGGAGGACCCGATGACGTAGCCCTCGGCTACGGGGATGACATGGGTAACACCGTCACCCGAGTCAATCACCGTTCCTGTCAGCGATCGGTCGGTCACCTTGGAGGATGTCCATGATGCAGCAAGGGCAAGCACAGCCTGCACGGCAATGTATAGACCGGCACAGTTGAACGACTCGAACATGATCTCGGCGGTATTTTCACGGTTCTCGGGTGGGTTCAGCGGCTACATCGCATTCATGTCAGTATTTCCTTCTGCAGGTGTGAACAATCCGACGGGCCCATAATCCAATGCCTTACAGGTTCGGTGAGTAAAAAGTAGTGGTCCTCGGGCTCCACGCGCAGGTACTTGAAGATCGAGTTGGACCAGAAACGCTCCATGTAATCCCAGTTCTCGATCTGTCCATGCCGAATCGGATAGTTGACACCATAGCCCGGACCACTGCCCGCTGCCAGGGCCTCATCGCCAATAAAGAAATCCAGGTCCTCCGTGCCACGCTTCGCGGACAGGTGGGAGCTGGCCCCACCTCCACTGGCCAGGAACGACGGTTTGTTCGCAACTGACGGCCGGGCACCCGCGGAGCTCCCAGCGCTCCCAGCACCGGCTTTAGTCGCAATTGCAGTGGGAAAGACGAATGAGGGGGAGTCGTTACCGGCGAATCCTATAGCGGTGGAGAGAACCAGTCAGTCTGATCCTGGACCGCCAGCTCTCTCAGATCCTACAGGTCACACATACCAAGCTTGGAGTAACCAGTACCGCTAGAGAAGGTATCAGGTCAGCATTGGGGGAGGTCCCATTTGGGTCTATTTAGCAGTTCCACTTACTTGTCCATGACAACGGCTGGTGTTTGGGGCGCCATGATGGTGGGTTGGGGTCGGGAACAATCCGGTCGGTCACAGTATGAGTAGAAAATCAGGGCAAAGACTAAGGAAAGAATAGACGACAAGACGTCAATTGCCACAGAGCTCCCCTTGACTGGAAGAAGATGAGGACAGGCAGCGAAGGCGGGGAGGGAAGACGGGTGGCTGACTAAGCTCCCACATCTCCCAAGTTGGAAGGCTCCAAGGTATCGAAGTCACGGGCACCGGTGCCTTCTACAGCTTCATTGATGTTTCTACTGTGGGCGTTGTTGGGTCAGTCTGTCTGAGGAGACCTCGAGTCCCTTCCAATTCCATATTGCGGTGAATATATTCTTAAAAAGAAATATGGAAGGCACCACCGAGACCCCCGCGGAACGCAGCCTGCAACAGATCCACAGCTTTCTCTCTCTTTGCACACTCCATCCCTAAGCCAGTCTCTCTTTTATTATTTCATTCTTTATTGTTCTCCCTCTTCTCATGAGGTACGTCGTGTGTGGTGGTTCTTCACTCTTTCTCCGCGCGCCGCTTCACTCTTCGCCAGCACAGATATACTCCAGTCCCAGCGATCTTCTCTCGCTTTAATACCGGTCCCTAAACAATCAAGTGCTCAAGGGCTCTGGCACCCCCCAGGCCAGGTCATAGGTCCAATCGCTTCAGTCGAGGACAAGACCTTGCATGAGTAAGTTGAACTCGCTGACCGACCGATTGCCGACTTTGCCTATCAACTCAGCTTCTCAAACACTCAGAGCTTCCGGTCAATAGCACCTGTAGTGTGATTGAGCTACATAACTGGACTCCTATCCGCCTGATCCAAGATGGTGGACATCAAATTTCACGATGACAGTTGTGCCATCTTTGTCCATGCCGGAGCAGGCCACCACAGCATCGAGAACCAACACAAGCATCTAGATGCTTGTTCCAAGTAAGTGGGTGTCTAGGTGGGCATGTCTGATATGGAGGTAGCTAATGGTAGGACTGATGCTAGGGCAGCCAGAGCCGGCATGGCCTTTCTGAAGAATGGCTCGTCGTCGGTTGATGCTACCGAGGTGGCCCTTATGATTCTCGAGGATGCGCCCATCACCAATGCTGGATACGGCAGCAATCTGAACGAGAAAGGGGTAGTAGAAGGGGATGCGACAATTGTTGACCATCGAGGCCGCAGCGGTGCCGCTGGAGCTGTGCCCAGTAAGTTACCTTATCCACTTGCTGTCACCCGAAGCCTTGGCACCGTGGACCGGCTCTGATGCTCGAATTATAGATGTCAAGAATCCAATAATGCTGGCGCGGAGGATCTATGACCACTCAAACGTTTCCCTGAGCTTGCAGCAGGTGCCACCCAACTTCCTAGTCGGCCAAGGGGCCAAAGATTTCGCCTGGAATCATGGAGTTGTGGTTGTACCCGACGGTGCCATGATTTCTCCCACTTCCATGGGACGATGGAAAATCTGGACCCAGGAAATTGCACGCTGGGAACGCGAACATCCGAATATAGACAAGGGGGAGACAGATCCTTGGATTCGCCGACCCCTGACTCCCCTGTCTACTCGCCTCGAGCGTGCCGGCCTTCCCGGATTCCCGTGTGACTTCCAGATCGAACCGGAGAGCGAGCTCCTGAACAAGGAGACCAAGATCGCTTCCAATGAAGTGGATAGTGATAGCTCCAGTTCCAGCCGTATGAAAGACGGGAAGTCTCTGGACGGTGATCTGCCAAAGCGACAGTCGGCATCCCGAGAGAAGGTGCAGCATTCCGAGGATACCTCGGCCAACCCAATGCAATCTGCGAAGCCCACCCCCGAGTCGAGACATACAAGTAACACTCAGCCTCCCAGTGACGAAGTCGACATGGTCACCGACACTGTTGGAGTAATTGCCATTGACCAGTACGGAAACATTGCGGCTGGATCTTCCTCTGGTGGCATTGGAATGAAACCCGCGGGCCGAGTTGGACCTGCTGCACTCCTGGGCATTGGCACATATGTCATTCCAGTAGACCCGTATGATCCCGAGCAAACTTCCGTGGCCGTTGTTACTTCTGGGACTGGCGAGCACATTGCCACGACTTTGGCGGCCAGCACCTGCGCAAACCGGATTTACTACAGCCAACGCAAGGCCGAAGGCTGCAAGTTTGACCGCACTACCGAAGAGGAAGCGATTACTTCGATGATCAAGAATGAATTCTTGGGTTCGTTACCCTGACCCTGCACCGGACTATCATGAAACTAACACTGTCCTTCTATGTTAGATCACCCGACCGTGGGCGACAGCAACATCTTCGGGGCCATCGGGATTATGGCTGTCAAGAAGACTGAGGACTCAATTGCCTTTTACTTTGCGCACAACACTGACTCGTTCGTAAGTACGATCATGACCACCCCCCAAAGCTTATTACTAAAACCTGATATAGGCGATCGCGTCTATGTCCATGAAGGACTCCAAGCCTGCTTGCGTGATGTCCCGGACCAAGCGGCGCGGCATTATTGCCCAGGGCGGTTCTATGATTCGGTTGAAGTAGTAAGTTCAGCATCCATGGACGCGTCCACATTATATCGCAAGGTCAGACAAGGACAAGAACTAACGGCACGACAGACTCCTAATGCCTCACATCGTTCGCACCCAGGCGATTCGAAACTACGCATTGCAAAGTATCCCCCATCCAGCCACCCCAGTAGGTGACTTTGGCTCTTATGAGCATTCTTTTCCATTTCGAATGATTCCCTAGTTTGCACATGGCGAATTTCTTTCTATGTTTCATCTTGCATCCTCGGCGTTCCGTTCCAGCATAGCGACCGGTGCGTACCTGAAGCATCGATGGCCCCATTCCTTCACTGAGGTGGCTCTTTTTCCAGTTCTCCCGAGAGTCGCCGGCGAACCCGCATTCGCGGCCAGTGTCTCTGTGCCAAATGCCTAGTGTGTTCTGCGCTTGTCCATAGCTTCCCTAAAAAATCCAACAGAGCTGCCTGCACCTAAATCCAATGACCATGTATCTGTCTAGAAGATAGGCAACTCCCTAGGACAATATGCTCTTCTCGGACTGGGGAAAAAGACAATAGATGATTTTTTTTTTTTTTTTTTCGGTCCCTATATATGAGAGAAGAGATCAAGGACCCGGCGTCGGCGTGGATATGGGGGTACCTGTCGCCGAAGCCCCATTGACCCGCTTCTTCTTCTTCTTTTTCCGGGGCAGCAGAGCCGGCGTTGCCCCATAATCACCAGGATCCAGCTGGGTGCCGCACGTGAGGCAGGCATTTCCAGGAGGCGGTTCACAGAAAATACTGAGACAAATAGAGCAGACGAAGCCGACATCGACGACACGGCGATGGCAGAAGCACGCCGCCCGAAAGTCAACATCGACACGAGTCGGGAGCACCAGATGGCGGCGCGAGCGCTGGTCAGGCAGAAACGCCATCATCAGGTACTGCAGCAGGCCGCGCGGCTCAGCCAGTGCCATGTACACGCCGCGGGTGGCATCGGACGCTTGCTGCAGGAAGACGGCGTCGCCGCTGAGCTTGCACACGTCGATGGGGATGTGCAGGCGCTGGCACGCGAAGATGCTGTTCATCACGGGGATATACTGGTGCGCCGAGTCGCTGGACCCGCTGACCGAGATGATCAGGATCCGGCTCTGCAGCCGCTCGTCGTCGCTGCCGGTCGCGGAGAACCGGTTCCCGCTCGTCGTCGCCGCGCCGGTGCCGACCTCCGCGGCTGTGTCTTCCAGGTCTGCGCCGCCGTGTTCCACGGCCCAGGCGATTGTGCGCCGGTTGATGTGGCTCAGGGCTAGGGTTAGCGCGCCGGCGAGCATTGTCGACGTGTTGCCGCGGACCTCGGTGGCGGCTGTGGATTGGAGCAGTGCCTGCAGGTTGCGGTTGACCTGTTCTTCGACTATGCGGAACGGCCGGTATTTGTTGGTTTGTGTGGTGGTGGCTGCGGTGCCATCGCTGTCGCCGTTCATGGTCACGTCGCCATCATGGTCAGCGGATCCGTTCTCGGTGGAAGCCTGCTCGACGGGGTAGAGCCAGGCGGCTTTGTGACTGTGTGAGGCGACGACGGCAACCTCGTTGGCGTAGTTGCAGGCCAGGTGGGCATTGATGAAGACGAGGATGTTTGCGATGGCTCGGGAGAGAGGGAGTGAGCCTTCGAGGGCTGCCCAGGCGTGCGGGTTGGTGTCGACGATGACGGTGAGGAGGGACGGGGCGAGGTCTGTGGCGTGGGGGTTGCGATGATTAGCCCAATAGATCGCCTGAAGACTGAGCGAGGCAACAGACCGGTGGTCCCTAGCTCGTAATGCTCGGATGCATCGACGGAGTTCATTGTGCCAGGCCAAATGATCAGCGAAGACGGAACATGGTCTCTGAGCCTGGTTGCGCAAGACCGGATCAGAGAGAAGGTCAAGTCCGATGCGAAAAAAAAGACACAAGTGAGGATTACTTGGGACGGCTTCCAGCGTCCAGCTTGGACGGAGGGAAAGTTGACGTGGGAGCCAAGAGGGTACGATAAGCTCGTCACGGGACGATAACCACTTGACATTCGGGGGAAATCCCAAGGGGGCATGATTCTGCAGACTATTGATCCTGGTGTCTTTCTACACCTCTCTTCCACCACTCCCATACATCCCTGGAAGGTGGCACTGCTCACCGTCCCAAGACCTCTAGTGCAGCGCCAAGTCGTGGATCAAACCCCTGGGGCGTAATCCACGTCTGGGATCGACCAGAGAGTCGATCATCGATGATATCAGCTACTCTGTATATGGGAGAACGCATGGTGCAACCGTGCGAATCCGACAGGGAGATCACTGTCAGGGTGGCACAGCGACACAATTCCTCAAATCGACGTGTGCGGTGGAATTGTAGATGTTGAGATATTGAGATGTTGAGGGATGCCCGAGGTTCAGTATCCCAAGTACCAAGTATACCAAGTACAGACCACCTACCAAGACGGAAAGCTGCTAGTTCCGTATCAAAACGTGTGGGCGACAGTCGCTGTGGTTGGATCTCTTATCAGCATGTTGATAATGGCCGTGGATGGGAATGGGGGAGAGTGGGGGGACCGGGGGGGGGGTTAGGGAGTTGGGTATTTCAGGAGCCTCGAGACTTCTCAGCCAAAAAGCAAATCTTCCAAGAAACTAATCTTGAAACATAGTCATTGCTTTTCTTATCCCCTTCCCCCTTCCCCCTTCTGCCTTCTGCCTTCGTGGCTTCATCTGATAAATCGGTGATCCTCTTTTCTCCGCCTCCCCCCCCCTCACAAAAAAAAGTTTCGACCGCTTCGCTTTTCCGCTCTTAAATGATTTGATTTCGCACACTTGACCCTCAATTCTTTTCGGGAATTGTGCTGTTCTTCTCGCTTCTCCCCTGCAATGGTCCAAACGGGCGAGGAGCGCGCTGTACACCTGGCACGGGAGGCTGTCGAACTGGTCGACGCCGGCCACCGAGAGGTACGCGACCCGTGCTTGAGCTCTTTTACTTTCCTTCCATCCCTATTTATGCCATTTTCTACATTTTTGCATCTCCTTCTGTTGTCATTTTGCTAGCTATGCTTCTTGGGAACTCTGCATGCTAAAATCTGCGTCGAACAGGCGGCGTCCCGAAATCTCCGAGAGGCGTTTTCCATCGCCTCCGACCACCCCGAAGTCAAGGCCGCCTTTCTCAAAGTCCAGCAAGAAGAAGAAAACAGTCACCAGCTGTTGGATCTCTGCCAGCGCTATGCAACCGGCAAAGATGAACAGGCAGGAAAAGAGGCGGTGGCCTATCTGGGCCGGGACGGGCTGAAATCTCCGGAGAGTGTCGCCTTGGAATCGTTGAAGCTCTTGTTGGCACAACGGCCGCATACCCTGTCCCCGCTCCAGGACGATATAATCTCTGGGTTGGTTCGACAGCACGCGAGCGTTCGACAGTTCTTCTCGTCACAGCTGCAAATCTCCGTCACTACATTTTTCGATGAAATCTACGACCGAGGCGACAGTGCTGCGGTATGCTTGGACACAGTTGTGTTGGACCCTAATGTGTGGCCATCGGAGGATACCCGGTCGCACTGCGAGAGTGAACTGTTCCAGCTGTTCCTTGCCAAGTTGATGGAGTCTGGCCATGATTTGGATGGTCGCTCGCTGAAGGGAATCACCCGGTTGCTCGCGGTTGACGCAGGGCGACTGCAACACCTGATTGATGACGAAGGGTTCGAAGTGATTTTGTTGTCGTTGGACAATCGGCTGCCGCTGGAATTGCGGAGCCAGGCGACTTTGGCCACGGCGAAATATCTCGAGGTGTCCAAGGAGACGGGCGAGAAGAAGTTTTCGACCCTGATTGCGGCGATGATTGCCCGCGGCCGCTTTGACGATGTGGTGGTGGCCTTTTCCGCGTTGGCTGCTGTCTTCCCTGTGGCTCCTCCTGCTGCCGCCCATCTATTCTTGACAGATGAATTTATGGCATCCTTGGCTCCGATGGTCTCGCGAGACGCCAAGACCAAGAAAGTCCAGGTCCCTGTGCTAGAGCTGCTGAATGCTGCGTGCATCAACCGGCCATGTCGCGAGGCGATTTCTAAAAAGTTCTCCGACTGGCTGTCGCACATGTTGACCAACGGCAGCGACGAGGCCTCGGAATTGGCGGCGGTGGTCCTGGCGAAGATCCGAGCATCCGAGATCGAGCCATCCTCAGGCAACGGTAAGGTTCAGGAGGAGAACAGCGAGGTCCCGGAGCTGGTTCAACGATTCAAGGGACTGATGTCTGAAAATAAGGGTGAAAACACTCCTCACGCAATTGAGGGACTGGCCTATTCTTCGGTCAAGCCGGCCGTCAAAGAGCAATTAGCCGAGGACCCTGCGTTTCTGCGTGAGTTCATCATAGCGCTTCAACAGTATACTCGGGATTCCTCTGTCCTCTATGGTGGGCTGATGGTCATCGTGAACCTCACCCAATTCCTGCCCAATCTCTCCGAGGAACAGAAGAAAATGTCGCAGCTGAAAGACTACGCCGATATCTCGACGGGGAAGGCAAGGGCTGCGCCAGATATTCGAAACGATGACGAGGCCGTGCTGCAGCGTTGTGGCGCTATCATCAATGCGGGTATCATGTCGTTGCTGGCCGAGTGCGGTCGACTGGCTCTGCCCTCTGTCCACGACCTTGCAGCGAAAATCCTTCTGGCCTTGGCGAAGAATCAAAAGTCTCGTGGAACTCTGGCCCAGCAGGGTGCGGTGAAGCTCTTGCTTAGTCTTACGGTTCCGAAACAAGGCACTCCCTTGCCTGCTCTCAGCGAAACGACGCAGAACGCGTCGCACGCATTGGCCCGAATTCTTATCTCCGTCGATCCTTCAAACGTCTTTCCGTCTTCCGGGTTTCCCCAAGTCACTACCGCCGTGCGTCCTCTACTTTCTCTCCTCTCGTCGCCGGAGACAGCCAGTTTTTCGGCCGATCAGCCCCGTGACCTCCTCCCGGTGTTTGAGAGTCTACTTGCTCTGACAAACCTTGCATCCTATCCACACGATGACTCTGCCCCGGAACTCATTGTGCGGGAAGGATGGGACGCCGTGGAGGATCTCCTTCTGTCCAGTAATGTTCGCGTTCAGCGTGCCGCCTGTGAGCTGGTCTGTAACCTGATGACCTGCGAATCTGGCGTCATTAAGTTTGCCGATGGGTCCAAGCGAGCTGCCCAGCGCCTTCACATCCTACTGGCGCTGGCCGACGCGGATGACTTTGCGACTCGGCGAGCCGCCGGTGGGGCTCTCGCCATGCTGACTGAATTTGATGCGGCTATGGCGGCAGTCCTGGATCGGCCACGTGGAGTGGAGCTGCTATTGGGCCTCTGCCAGGAGGACGACGATGCTTTGCTTCACCGGGGCGTCGTATGTGTGCGCAACCTGACCTGCATGGCATCCGGCGACATTGGTGTGCGAGCCAAGGCCGCCGTTCGAGCTGCTGAGGGTGTGGACATTCTCACCGCGTGCCTCAAGAAGACCTCGAATCCCGCTGTTCTGCAGGTGGGCGTCGAGGCTCTAAAGCCATTGATCAGCCAGTGACAATGACCACCTAACCTTCTCTTTTATGATGACTTGCTGCCTTGGATTTTGTCTGTTTGGTCTCTGCGGAGACCTCTCGGGTTTACTTTTTGACTCTATTTGCATGTGGATTCGGGATAGGCTGGTCTGGTGTTTATCGCTGGAGTTTCATGTTTTAATTCTTGTATGCTTGGATGAATTCTTTGCCTTTCCCCAGATCATGAGCACAGCGACCGACCGTTAAGCGAATTGTTTTCTTTTCTTCCGACCCACGGCGTCTGTTTTGTTGGGACTTGGCGCGAGTTGAGTGTTGCATACGACTGGTCTTTTATAGATGAATGAATTGAATGGCTTGAATGTATATTTTGGACATGACTGCCAAGGGCGTGCAGGGATTGCATCATGGCCATCGGGCATGTTGGGTAGGGACAGTCCCGCTTGCAATGGTTCTTTTGTAGCTCCCCTCTTCTTTAACCTTCTGAATTGTATTTTCTTTCTTTTTGTTTTACTCTGCTTTTATCTCCCTCACATGCCCCCCTGACCTTCCCCAGACAATCTGCGCTGAATCACTACGATGCTACGTTCATCCGCCATATCTACTCCGAGCCACCGTGTAGGTTGCGTATGTCCTCTGGGCATCTCTCGACTCACCCGAGTCACCAGGCTTCGGGGTTAAGCATTGCTTTATCATACTCGAGCCAGATGGTATATTTGCAACCCTCCTGGTCCACCGTATTACCGACAATTCTTGGCATGCGGTGAATGAGCTGAGGGCCAAGTCGTAAGGCCTTCTCTTGTAAAACGCCTCAATGGAACCGTGGAGCTCAACCCCACGGATCGACAAATCACTGCCGCCGCGGCACGCACACCTCCAGCTGGTTTGATCTGGGAGCTTCCTTTCTGTCGCCTCTCACATCACATCGTATCGTCCACATTCTGGGATCTTCGTGCGTGAATCAATTTTTTTCTTCCTCACCGCATGTCTACTGACCCCACATCGCCAGGCACAGGTGCTTTTTGAGCTTGGTCTCTTCCACACTTCTCTTTTCCTCTTCACCCCCATCCCGCCTCTCTCATTGATGGCGCACATTACCTCCCTTCCCTACGTTCGCCTACTCACCTAATTCCACTGTGATATTCAGGTTAGACTCGAGTCACTCTCTTATCGCTGTTCATTTTCTCAGACGTGGGCTTTGTGCCTCGGTGGATATAAGTTGGTGGAACATATTGGCGGGTGTGTACAGTTGTCAGGACCGCCAGAACCACCAACATGAAGTTTGGGCGCAATTTGTCCCAGTTCACAGTGCCGGAGTGGAGTGCCTCCTATATCAAGTACAAGGCATTGAAGAAGCTCATCAAGTCTGCGGCCGAGCAAATCAAAGCGGGCCAGGAGGCTGACTTGGCTGGTAAGCCCGGTGCTTTGCAAATTGTTCCTTGCGCCGTCGCTCTTCTGACCAGGATGCCCTGTTTCTTTTGTTCCTTTCGTTTGGGTCTCTAGGATTCTTCTACTCGCTGGATCGAAATCTTGAGGATGTCGATTATTTCTACAACAAGAAACATGCCGACTACACCCGTCGTCTGAAGCTGCTGGAGGACCGATATGGATATTCTATGGAAGGCCGGCATCATCTCGAGCCCGAGGACCGACATGATCTGCGCGAGGCTCTTCTGGACCTGCGCTATCATTTGCGCCGATTGCAGTGGTATGGTGAGGTCAATCGCCGTGGTTTTGTCAAGATTACGAAGAAGCTGGACAAAAAGGTCGGTGCTCAGGCTCAGAAGCGATACCTGGAGACCAAGGTCGATCCCGCACCGTTCGCCTCGAATGCGCGTGTGGCCAAGGCCCAGGAGCGCATCAATGCGTGGATGGCGATCATCGCCGACCAGTCTAAGGCGGACGAGAAGCTGGCCGATGATGCCAGTTCCACGCATTCGTCTCTTTCATTGAAGCGGGGCGCGTCGCGGCCTTATCTCAACTTGCCCCCAAGTGTTATTACCGCTGTCGACGATGCGCTTCGCAAGGATGATACTCACGTTTTGCTGGAATTACTCGAGACCCTGAAGTCTGCGGCCGACGAAGCTGGTGAGGCCGTTTTCTCTAAGGTTCTCAAAACTTTGATCCAGCGCTCCATCTTGCACCGCTCGCGGTCTTGCGCCGCTGCGCTCCTGAGCCGCGTGGACACCTTGGAGGAAGATGACGACATCAATCGGCGTAATTGCCTGCATCGTCTGGTCATCTCTATCGGCCGTGAACAGTCGACCAGCGACTCTGAGCCCGCAGCCTCAATGGTTCTCGATTTCCCTCCTGAGACGTCTCGTTACATTACCCCCGCTGCGCCGCCGACCCTGCAGCCGCCGCGCTCTGTGGTTAAAGAGACCAACATGCCTCAGCAACTGGGTCGCGATGATTCGACCGTTGCTTTACTGCAGTACATGCTGGATGAGCTGCGTCCCAACCAGCGGGAGGCTCTGGTGGCGAAAGATCTGTCTGGACGCACACCGTTGCACTATGCCGCACAGTACGGCTTCAAAGTGGTGTGTGAGGTTATTATCGAGCATCTCAAGGCGTGGGAGATGTTCGATGTCAGCGAGGGCATTGACGGGCCTTTGTGGCAGGACAATGATGGGTGGGCCCCGCTGCATCTCAGTGTGGTGGGTGGTCACCCGAAGACGACTCGATGCCTCCTTGATTCCGAGGATTCGCAGGATCTCTCTCAGGATAAGGGCGCCATCCGGAAACAAGTGTCCAAGTCCAGCGCGGTGCTAGCGTTGGCTACCAAGGCCAATTTTGTTGATATCGTCCATCTCCTGGTCGATGCCGGCGTTGACATCAACTACCAGGATGAGCAGGGCGAGACGGCGCTGCATGTTGCGGCTCGTTTCGGACACGCCGAGTGCGCGAAGATCCTGCTCGATGGCACAGATTACCAAAAGGCCGACACCGACCTGGCGGAAAACACGTACGCGTGGACACCACTGTTTATTGCGTGCGTGGACGGCTCGTTGAGCGTCGCTAAGCTGCTTATTGCTGCCGGCGCGGATGTTGACCGGTTCGATTCGTCCGGTTGGACGGCCAAGGAGCATGCTGCACTGCGAGGCCATCTCGCCATCGCTCGGTGTCTGGCCAAAGTCAGCCCTGGGCCTCCCGCTGCCGAGCCTGAGGTAGCTGGACCCACTACTTTGACCGTCCATTCCTCTCCCTCGGGCTCGCCCCCTACCCAGTCGTCTCTCTCAGATCGAAGGTCGAACACGCCGGGCCCGACCTCCGCCGGGAGTTCTGGGCTACGGAATTCTGAGCCTATTAAGACTTTTGGACACCGGTATCTCACCGATGAGACCATGATTCTGGTCAGCCTGGGGACCATGGACATGCGGAAGCCACTTGTCACTGTTAACCTCGATCGCATCCCGATGGAAAACGCCCATGCCACGCAGCTAGATACGGCTCTGTCCCTGGTGGTCACCGCCAGCGGCGCGCACGGCGAGCCAGAGGTGATTGACCTGCCGGTGCAGGAAAATATCTCGACCGAGCCCATTGTGTTCCACACCGCTGATGCGAGCAAGGTGCGTCTTCTTTTCGATCTGGTGCCCACCTATTCGGGATCAAAGGACCAGGTTGTCGGCCGTGGTGTGGCGCTGCTGTCCAGTGTCAAGCCCACGGTGGGCTCCCAACGTATCAATCTCAAGGGTGATTCTACTGTGCCCATTGTTGCCGCGAACACCTTGGATGTGATTGGGTCTGTGACTTTCAACTTTCTCATCATCACCCCATTCAAGCACCCCAACATGTCCATCACCGGCAACCAGACCTACTGGCGGTCCATGAGCTCGACGATGGTCATTGGACACCGCGGCCTGGGCAAGAACATGGCCAGTCGCAATTCATTGCAGCTGGGAGAGAACACGATCCAGTCATTTATTGCAGCGGCCAACCTGGGCGCGTCGTACGTTGAATTCGATGTTCAGCTTACCAAGGACCACGTGCCGGTCATTTACCACGACTTCCTGGTCAGCGAGACGGGCATCGACGCCCCTGTTCACACTATGACCTTGGATCAGTTCCTGGAACTCGGCAAGGGTCGGCACCGGAATGTGTTGCCCGAGGGTGTGGATGCCAACGGCGATCTCCCGCCGCGCCAACGGTCCATGTCGGTTGGCGGTTCCGAGTATAATCCGGCGGAACTGACCGAGAAGATCAAACACACGCGCGACTTCAAGAAGAAGGGATTCAAGGGGAATACTCGTGGCGAGCACATCCAGGCGCCGTTCGCCACGCTGGAGGAGCTGTTCAAGAAGATCCCGCAGCCAGTCGGCTTCAACATCGAATTGAGTGAGTTTCCAGTGACCCCGTAGAAGAGCAGTTACATTTTCGACGATTCTGACCCCCAGGATCGCCTGAATACAGAGTACCCCATGCTTCATGAGAGCGAGGAAGAGGAGATGGACACCTATGCCGTCGAACTTAACTCCTTTGTCGACACTGTCCTGACCAAGGTTTATGATTTGAACGGCGACCGTGACGTGCTGTTCTCCAGCTTCAACCCGGATATCTGTCTCCTGCTGTCCTTTAAGCAGCCGTCGATCCCGGTTCTGTTCTTGACTGATGCCGGTGCTTCTCCTGTCGGCGATATTCGCGCTAGCAGTATCCAGGAGGCGGTGCGGTTCGCCTCGCGTTGGAATCTGCTCGGTATTGTCACGCAGGCCGAGCCACTGGTGTTGTGCCCGCGGCTTGTGCGGATTGTCAAGGAGTCCGGTTTGGTGTGTGTCTCGTACGGTGTTTTGAACAACGACGGTGTCAACGTGGATGTAAGTCGGCCCCTTTTACAGAGAGTATTTGCTTTTATCTGTACGATACTAACACACTGGGACTACAGTACCAAGTCGCTGAAGGTATCGACGCCGTGATCGTCGACTCCGTCCTCGGCATTACCAACGGCCTCATCCAGCGTCAGAACAAGAGCGAGCGCACCCCGGGTCCATCCCCGAACCCGGCTCCTGTGGGGGACAATGCCGCAGATGTGGCCAAGGACGCGGTGCCTGTACCCGAGCACGTCCGCAAAAGCCATCCCAGCCCAAACCTGAACCCGTCTGTCATCCTCTAAACCGAAGATTCGCCAAAAGAGAGAAAAAAAAGAGTCTTTGGGAGCGATTGTTCATAACTTTGTTCTTTGTTTGATCTTTTCCAAAACGCACTTCGTGTGCCCATTGTCCGTGTCTATACCATTACAATGTATATTGTGCATTGGTTTGTCTATAGGTATCTTGTTAGGCTGGGTGCCAGCTTCAACAGCTTGAATGTGAATGACTTTTGAAAAAATTGTTACAATTGAAGCTATCGAAGATCTGTACTGTATAAGTACAAAATAATAGGCATTCTCGAGGCTGGAACCATCTCCACGCATGTCCACGCTAATGCCGCAGCTCGCCAGGTGGCCAGGTGAGAATTGTTGGGTTAATTCATTGTATGGCTCGATCTCCCTCCCTCCTACAAAAGCATCAGCCGAGAGAATGCTCCTTAGAATGAATATAATACATGCATACTCCCAGGTTCATTAGGCGAGATGCGTAGCCAACCCATGGACGCGATGATGTGATTTCCGCCTAGCAAGATGCCATTTGCAGCTAATACACGGGGTCTCTTATCTTGCTTGACTCCCGAGCAATTTCACAAGACGGTACAGGCATCTAGATTATCGGAGGCTAGATCATCCCGTTAATGCCAACGGCGACAAGAAGTGGCGGGCCAGAATCCGAAACCACGAAAATGCACTCTGATAAGAGTAAAGAGAGGAGACGAAGAGGGAGTTGATTCAGCGAGTTTCCAGTCTGTATTTACCTATCTATCCATGGATATATATAGATTTAGTTTTGTGCCTTGTATGGTTCAACTCGATTTGCATTCAGCAAGGCCCGGAACCCCGCAAATTGACATAGACAATATATATATGGTGTGCTTCGGAGACAAGCCTCGAAAACAAACATGTGCATGTAGACTTGCATAAATACTGGATATAAGTTGGAGGTTGCTGTCATTTGTAATCCCGGTTGCGCAACCTCCAGGACATATTGTTTCATCGCCAGGGTGGATTGCGAATGGCAACTTCTTTTACTAAACACTCTGACTGTTATCTTCTCTTCATTTTATGTAATGCGGAAGACGTGCTTTCGACAGAAATATGCGACAGTTGTCCGTATACTTCTGCGGGGTTGTAGCATGATGTCTTCTCTGAGTTGATATTGTTAGCCGATGGCCGACAGCGCTTGTACTTCATCAAGTATAAAGAAGGAGATGGTCCATATAGTCTGAATTGTAAATCTGCTAAATTACTTTTTCAAAGTTCTTTACCTACTGCCTCATCTTTCTGCCTGCCTACCTGTCTCTGCCTCTACTATGGCCTCTATCACAGAAACTACTCCCGTGGTTCCCATCCAGGAAGATAAGATTACCTTAAAGGGCCTTGAAAGAGTGCCACTCAAGTCAAACGGGACTCTGGATGCCTTTGAGTCCTTCGATGTCACCCCAGCCATCGGCCGGGAGTTCCCCAACGCCAGTCTGAAAGATTTCCTGCGCGCCCCCAACTCAGACGAGCTACTCCGGGAGCTTGCTCTCACTGGTGAGATGAAACTTTACCCCCAAGACTCTCAAAGCGGACTCGATGCTCACCCAACCCAGTTTCCCAACGAGGTGTAGTCTTCTTCCGGAACCAGGACGCTCTGGACGACGAACTGCAGAAGGAACTAGCCCAACGCCTCGGCGAACTCTCAGGCAAACCAAGCACGTCCGGGCTGCATATCCACCCGGTCTCAAACTCAGGCCGAGAGCACAGCGTCAAGGACGACGAGATCAGTGTGATCAGCTCCGAGCAGCGAAAGAAGCTATACAAGGACCGCAACCAGCGCAAGCAGACTGCCAGACGGGAATGGCACAGCGATATCACCTTTGAGCCCATCCCGAGCGACTATACAATTCTGCGTCTGACGGACCTTCCCAAGACTGGTGGTGGTATGTACTATTCCCCTTTTCCCTTTTGGTTGTTTCATGCATGGCTCATGTTTCCACAGATACGCTGTGGGCCTCCGGGTACGAGGTGTACGATCGTATCTCAGAGCCATACCAGAAATTTCTGGAGAGCCTAACGGCAACGTATGCCCAGCCGCGCTTTAACCAGGTTGCCAAGGAGAGCGGGTTCGAGGTGTATTCCGGAGCGCGTGGAGCCCCTGAGAATGTCGGCGACGAGCTGCGCGCCGTGCACCCGGTCATTCGCACCAACCCGGTCACTGGGTGGAAGAGTGTCTTTGCGGTGGGATCGCACGTCGAGAAGATTAATGGCCTGGCTGAGGAGGAGAGTCGACACCTCTTGAACTGGTTTGTAAATCTCATTGTAGAGAACCATGATCTGCAGGTGCGGCTTCGCTGGCAGAACTCGAATGATCTGGGTACGTATCTCTGGTGATGTGTTTGAGAGGGGTCGTTCGGTGGCTAATGTTGTGGTTGCAGCTATCTGGGATAACCGGTCAGTATACCACGCTGCGACGTGGGACTATGAGGATCTTGGTCTTCGGACTGGGCATCGGGTCGTAGGGCTTGGGGAACGGCCATACCTGGATCCTAACAGTATTGGGAGACGGGAGGCACTTGCTGGTGATGAATAAGAAGATATATGCATTTTCTAGTGGGAAAGTCAGTTGCTATAGGCAGTTCTATCAACGCCCTATATTAGAGTGAATTATATACTATATGAGCTATTCCTATTTCCGAAGTATATTGGAAATATTTACGACTTCAAAGTGGGTTTTCTAAGGATATTCCCCAAGTCTATCCTATAAAAGAAGGTAAGCCTATACTAGTGAAGAGGAGCAAACATTGATTGACTTAAGCTTTATTTATCACCTTGTGTATTTTTTTTTACCTATCTTTCTCTCTCTGTTCTCTCTTTCACTCTGTCTTCATCCACACACTCTCTATCCACTTCAAACTCCACCCTCTTATTCTTCACTTTTACCTCTCATCCATCTCTCTACATTCTACCTCTTTCACTCGCAAAACCCTAAGGATGGTCTCTTCCAGTAGAGATCCGTCTTCTCATTGCATCCTTCATCCAAGACCATGGTTCTCTGGTCTCGCTGAGCGTTGTCAGCCATTCCTGGGTTCAAGTCACCAGAGAGGCACTGCGAAGACTCCCAGAGACACTCCAGATTAAGTCATACGGCCGAAGCAGAAGTGGCCTTGACGCAGGCTCTAGGTCAAAATATGCTGTACAGAGCATATTGATGGTTTCCCCAGAAATCAACTCGCCAGAGGTATGTATCAACCATGCATTTTGTCCATTATGGCGATATTGTATTCGAGTACATGCACTGACTGTTTAAAAAAAATCAAATAGCTGCGGGAGTTTTATGACTGGCATGGCTGGCATCTGTTCAATAAAAAGATGGACGATCTCTTGCTTGGAGATCATGGGTTCGTCGCGGCCATGACTCAATTTGGCATGTTTCGAGATCTTCGCCGCATAGCTCTCAATTTAAAAGTCTCATCTGAGGGGTCTTGTCGAACTTGCCGTTGGTACACTATATTGGTTACCTTTTTCTTCGGGATCCGAGGAGTTTCAGGGTTGGGGGAATTGGCTGTTCAAGGTCTCCAAGCTGCTATGCCTTCGGATGAAGAATGCCCATACTTGGAACGGAGCATTCGAGAAACTCTGCAACAAGCCCAGTTGAAAACCTTGAGACTGGCATTCTCAGCTCCCCACCCCGAAAATTGGGTCTTGGTGAATGAGGTTTGTTGAAATGATCTAATACAAAATAAAGAAGGGGAACGGTGCTAACTCACTTTTTTGTTTTGCTCAGCAACCTATTCGGACCTCCCTCAATTCCCAGCCATGTTACTGGCTCATTCCCATCACAGAAAGACTATGCCATCTCGCTCTGTTTGGCAAGACGATCCTTCTCGGATTGGATTGCTATCGCTGCATCCGCAACAGTCGAGTTCGAGGGCCTGGTGACAATGGACCGAGTCCTGGATGGTCTTGGCACCAAGGACCGCGGCGCCTCGAGCCGGTGTACTTTGTTTTCGGCCTTTTCCCTGGCCGGTATCTAGCATTTGAGGAGAGACGTGGTGATCGTGACAGACGAATTCCCCGGAAAGGGGCTCCTCAATGTGATGAGGCAGAGAGGAAGGCATTGCGGGCTTTAGTTGCGAAGACTGGTCAAGTTGTGGTTGAGAATTCGCGGCCTGGATTTGTCCATGTCAGAAATTTGTTGGGGCATGTACGAATGAAGAAGAAATGAGAGGTAAGATACAAACACTTTGATCAACTCACTTGTTGTTGCTTGCAACAAGGGATGAATATTAGTGATAGGTGAAAGTCATACATATGTATCCAAAGTAGACTGTACTCATCTCCCCCTTTCCTCGCTGATTATAGTACAAGAGGTTTCTGTCCACATTCACCCAAGTTTCCATCTTTGTCTCAGATTCAGGTCACTACAGTTTTCTACCCTTCGACTCGGGGACTCAAGCACCCCCTCACTATTGCTCCTTTTTTTTTAGCCATAAATCCAGAACCCGAATGCCAAGCCGAATCCTTTCTCCAGATGACGCAGTGACGCTTTCTACTCGTGGACACCGGTCAGGAGACTGATCAGGGCACCAAAGAATAGATTAAATCAAAATAAATGAAACAGAAGTTCATTAAAAATAGAAGATAAATGGAAAAATAAAATAAAATACTAATACTAGTAATGATAATAAGAATATTTATGTATATCTATGCCGGTCCAAGCTCTATTTTAAGCTCAACTGAAACATCCGCGAAGACCGCATTGTCCTGTTGATCATATACCCGAAAAATAGTACCTGCATTTGTGTGTGCAGAGTATGTGTGTGTTTAGGGGGCCAGCTCGGAAATCCTCGGTCTTTGGAGAGAAGGGGGGAGAAGATCCCTGATCCACTCCAATTGCCACGAGGGCACGGACCCTTGGCAAAAGAGAAGAAGAAGAAGAAAAAGAAGAGGAAAGAAAAAAAGACAGGGCAAGAAGGAGATCTCCATCGGCCCCCCGATCGGTACGAACGCATGCCAGGGCTGAAACATGAAACGCGGGAGACATGGGTTATGGGGACGCTAATGACCCCCCAAAGCCACGGGCACAGGCCAGGGGAAAAAGAAGTGGCGGATGGTGACAGAAGGTAGTTTTTTGAGTATAAAAATAGCGTGTGGGGAGGTGCATTAGCGCATGTACGGTTGTGTGCTTCGACCTCCTGGCCCTTCCGAAATGAACCCGGCTACAGTGGCTGGTCCTATGACCATGGTTTATGCATAATAACAATGATAATAAATAAATAAATAAATAAATAAATATATATATATATATATTTGAATATTCTTTAGCATGATTGTATTGGCTAATTGTTTTTTCCGGGCACCGACATTGGGCATGCATGCTATTTTTAGTATACACGGCCGGATCGACAAGGCTATAGTAGTGTATGTCCTTGACTTGTGAATTACGATCATCCAACCTACCTCTGCACGTTTGAACGGAGTTGACATACTATACGGGGTGCATGGAACTTCAGGGGCTGAAATCCCATGAGTTTGGGCCCTCAAAAATAGACAACCCCCGAGTCCTTGCCAAGGCACGCAACCCCGACAGAAATGGCGGACTATCCATAGATTTCGTACGGAGAAACGACTGGAGATGCCAATGCATTGGCCTATGTGAAGTGGGCCCAAGCATAAGAGCAATCGTCACTAATGGTCGCATTGAGCAAAGGTTCCAAAAATATAAACCCCATCTTGAACGGGAACTCCGGCACAGAGAGTAGTGGATGTCGGGCTCTTCCATTTCGGCGTTAATGAGTCGCATAGATTCGTTTGATGCGAAGCAAGAGTGAACGTGCAAGGACAAAGGGACACAGGTCTACCGTTGAGAAACCCTAACCCGTGGGAGATAGTATAGCAACGAAAACACAATGTCAAGCGTTGATCAGAGTAGAGGAAATCTTCATATTCGTGGCTACTCTTGACTGCCAGGCGTCCAAGGCGCCCACCGCTTGAGAAGGTATATTAATCGTGATTTCCTTCACGATGAGTGCCTCGAATACCCAACCAGCAGACCGACAACCGCGCAACGATTCGCCTTACTCCGTCTTGAACTCGCACACGGAAACTTTCAACCATGTTACCATCGTCCCGAGAGACCTGCAATAACTACCAAGGACTGCTGAGCTGAAAGTCGCCTTGGCTATCCCCGCGGTTCAGGATGAATCGTTCATGACTCGTTGGCCGGATTGGCGCGACCTGCAGTTATCGGATGACCAGCAAAAAGAAATGGGAGTCACAGTCAGGGATATTGGTGTACACCGAGAACATACTCATTTCTTTCCATCGGTTCCATTGCGATACTCGTACCCGTCCGCTGCGACAGAGAGCTTCTCACGACTCCCAACATCTTTGTGCGACTGGCCGAACCAACGACGTGGAAGATGTGCCGATATTACAAGGAGGGAAATATCCTTTAGGAAACAATCTTCTGGGAGGACTTTCGTGTGGAATGCGATGAAGGGCTACAAGTCAGGTCTTAAGACCTGATCCTCGCAGTCGTCGCCCGCGTTCAGCACCCATGGAGAATTACATCACGGTCCGGGAAAGCATGATCACGACATGTGCAGAGCAATATACAGAGACCTCTTTCGTGGTTTGCATAGTCGCCCAGGATTGTTCAAAAAGCCATTTTGTGCCTCAGTACATCTCAGCATACTGGGAATTGGCCGGAAGGCAAGCTTTCAAGATTCGTATAGCAAGAGTCGGATTTCGTCTGTTCATGATTTTCTAGGGTTAAGTCAGTAAACTGGCAACAAAAAGAAAAAGAAAAAAAAGGAAGAAAGAAATGATAGCATACAGCGAAGCCGGAGCTTCGAAATCGAAAAACTCACCATGGAAAAGACGATCCAACAAATCTATGCCCCATACTCCATACCAAAGGTCGTTTCATTTGGGGGGCATTGAGAGTATTTCGAATAATTGAACCAACCTACACTTTACTTGCTTCCCCATGGCTGAAAAGACCGAAAGGGCAACCCCTGAGAAACCGATTCTATTTTTAAGGTTTTAGTTTTACCACATGCCCGACGGATCTCCTCAACTGGACCTGCATCGATTTGCACAAGTGCGTTTCGAATCCAAGCCATGACGTCTCGGCTATCCAGACCCTCGGATACTATCCCGTGACGCGTGCGAAGAATATAGTGCAGGGGCAAATCCTACGGGATCTGCTAAAAGGGCCGTAATATTTTTAAATATTCCTAATTCTTTTTTTCTCTTTTTCTATTATTTTATCTTTGCTAATTCTTAATGCTGTGATTTCTGTTCTGGTGCTGAAGCATCCTAGGGGCAGCCCCCGGGGGCGATCCTCCCGAGACTTAATCAACCCCCTTCTCTCTATTAGGGCTTTCGCCCGGCACAATAGGACTTGTCTCAACGAAAGAGCAAGTGTTGAGAATAGATTCCTAGAAACCGGGCGTAGGAAGGCCACACGTTTAGTAACACAAAATAACCCCTTACCACTTCAGCCTCTGCTAGGTGCGTCCCTGAGAATAGTATAATAGTATCAAGCCCGAGAACCACCCTAGCCACCCTATAAATTCAGCGATTGGCCAGATAGTCCACTCAGCTTTGCATAGTTGCAATTCTATGCACAAGTCGGGCAAACTGTGTTGCAATAATCACGCACTTCCACAAAGCCCGGAGCCACTGCGCGGAAAGTCCGGGCTTGATCAGCTAGGGTTTCTCCGTAGCTAAAACTAATACTCCGAAGATGTGCGCCACTAATCTTCTCTGGGTTGCCCTTGAACAGACCCACTATTGAACGCTCGGGGCATACGGGTTGACCATTTCAGGCTAGTTCCATGTATATGAGCAATAAACCTTGTAGAAGCCATTCCTTCGTGCTCACCCACCCACCCACTTCTCTCTTCCCTCCTCTCCCCCCTCCCTTCCTCTCCAGAGATTAAGGGTATTTGAAATAGGGGCATGGGATCAATATCCTCAACGATCGCCATGCAGCCCCGGCTTCAGGTACAGGTCCCACCGCAGCCCCGAGCCGCATCTGTCGAGATTAGGACCTGCGTTATCGGAAACACTTTACACACTTCACAATGTCTGGAACGGCCAAAAGGGGTGGTGCCATGGGAGGCACGTAAGTCTATCTACGTTTAATACTCTGTTCGGCTTTCGCCGGGGTCTACACTAGCTCCCTTTTCCCGTTCGAATGCATAGACAACCTTTAGCATCCAAGAAAGTTGCCCGTTGCCCAGGCGCTGATACATGAGAGAGATCTAAGGAAAGAGACCTGACGACATGGATGTTGTTATGAGAGTTATAAGAATAGCCATTATAGAACACGAACACGAACACGAAATAGATGGAATATGAAATATGAAAACATTCAAGGCCCATGTTAAATTGCAAAACGTCTCAAGACTACGCTTGGAAATGCATCGGAGCGAGCTGCCATGGATTTCAGCCAAAACCATGGCTCAACAAACCCAGCTGATCATGGAGCCCAAAGGAATCTACCTCTTGATAGTCTATATAACCAGTCTACAATGGCTCAACAAACCCAGCTGATCATGGAGCCTAAAGAAATCTACCTCTTGATAGTCTAGATAACCAGTCTACAATGGCCCATCAGGATCATGCGTCGATCAACCGCGTTTCTGCTAGCGTTATGGGGCAACATACATACCCATGTCTGGGTCTGTGGAGGGGCAATGTGTTTTGTTTTGTTTTTTTTCTTTGGCTGCCGCGGCATTGACCCTGTCCGGTGTCACCCCCCGAGAGCTACTTGAGTGGACCCCATAGTTTACTCAAGGAAAAAAGAAAAAGGAAAAAAAAAACAGACTATCCAGTTGTTGCCTGACCCAAGGATGCAGATGCCGGTTGATCTCCATGGCCTCATTCCCATGCTATTATTCCTTTTCTTCCTTTCTGCTGTTTCAGGTTCCAGCCACGAGGTGGCGGCAATCCGGTCTTTGCGGAGGTCCCAGGGGTTTGGTAAATGAACATCGACATTGCTAGTGCGGTATGGGAGAATGGCGTAAGGTGGTGCATTTACGAGAGAATTATTAGTTTTCAATCTTTGGTAAAGGGGTTCATTTTGTTGGGACTGGGAGAACATCCATGGATGAACGTACCATGATTATATAGAGTCACCATGTGAACAACACTCTCTTAATCGAGGGAGATATACAATTAGATATTCATTTCAAGGACTCAAGACTCGATATTTCGACAACTCGATAACTAGATCGCAGCAAATATCAATGGCTACCGGTCCGTGTGCCATTTTAGGATATAGGAGGATATACCGCATTGGCCTCGAGTCTTGGTATAGCAATCACCTGAACTGGGCAACGGAACAATGGTACCAGTGTACATCGACGGATCAGCCCGTTCCAGACAGGAGAATTTCTTCCCCCCTCTCTCTCCCCCCAGTTCGGATAGCCGGTGGGTACATGGCTTCTCGCGTGGCATATTTACGATGGAAACTAGGTAATGATCTACCCATATAGCAGGACCCGTCGATCCGAGGATCTCCGAGCTCATTAAGTGTCTCTCCTCAGAACTCAAAGAGACGGGAGGATGGAGAACCGTTCCATCCAGGGCACTCGACCTGATGTCACACAATCTGGATCCAACGATCAGCTTAAATGGTTAAATTAGGAATTCTTATCATTGCAAGAAAGGGCTGGGATGCTAATTTGAGCTTTTTATAGATCTGCGATGCTAGGCGGAGGTTTAGCTTCAAACAGGAGTGGCGATCGCTGGAATATTAAGCGTTGGGCCGTTTTGTGCCAGGGTTTCCTCTCGCTCGGATGGATTTTCCACCGGAGTAAAGAGATGAAGGCGAAAGATGGGGGCCCTTCTTTTCGCCAAAACGCCACAACGTCACAACTGCAAGGGCAGGATCTACGGATGTTGGGGATAGAATTAATTCAAAACCAACGATTCAATTTAAAATTAGGAATTTAAGCACCCTCCTGGGCTGAAAAAGTTCTATAGAAAGATTTCCCGCTTCCACCCTTTTTCCGGAAGCAAAGACCTCTAAATTGATCGACACACCGTACTGTGGGTACCATAGTTTGATCGAGAGACAATTGGGTCATTATCTCAGGTTTTGGGGGCGGGGAAAGAAGAAAGTGGAGTGTTTCCAGGATCCGATGATCCTCTCGAGGTTTTTACTTGGAAACTTGGGATATAGTCTCCACCAGGGGCACGTGTAACCAAGATCAAGAATGTCACGCTAGTTCCCTCAATTGAATGCTAAATACTAATGATATGCGAGACGGCCTGGCCAAGTATTCTTGCCAAGCCCGGGGGGGGGCACATGGCGGTCAAGTTAACTTGATTACCCACTTAATCTACGAAGGGAGAGAGCAAGACAGCGCGAAGGATGCGCCTGATAAACTCAAAATCAAATAGATTATTTTCGATTTTCCCACTTTTGGTCTTCTGTCCACCCTGCGTTGGTATTCCCGGGTTAATTAGGGTTTAGTGATTACCTAGAAAGGCTTTGTACACGATGGCTTCTATGTTTTGGTATAATGTCGGGAATACCGCCTGCCTATGCGGATCACCCTCGCCTATTTAGATATGTCGATTAATATTTGCAAGCGGGCTACTCACCTCGCGTGGGTTTAATTTGGAAGAGGCAAACGTGCATTAGCACGGAATGATTAGTTCGGAGTAATTAAAAAAAAAATTGCGTCAGCCTCAACCTTTTTTTTTTAACTGTACAAATGGGCTTTGCAGACGGGGGTTGCAATTGTTAGCTCTGTTTCATGTTATTTTTTGTTTTGGTCTCTTCCCACGTGGAACAGGGGGCTGATTATCCTCGATTTGACATGCTCGATCGACCATGCCCTGCGTCTGCGTTTCTAGTAATAATTTAGTGCGGCGACTTCCGCTAGGCAACCGGGGGGTGGGGGAGGATCATTCGACACTAATTCCGTAACCGAACGCAATGACCAGCTTATTCCCCCCCCTCTCTCTCGTTTAGAGCGCCATGGAATATCGCGCTAACTACTTGTAGTTTTGCTCTTTAGTTACTTCGTTAGGCGAAAAAAAAAAGATGATCCGCTCTTCGGCCCCCACGTCTAACAGAAGCTATTTTATAATATTCGACCTGTACGCGATGTAACACTCTTGGGAATGGGGTCAAAGGCGGAAGAGTCCAAGGGTTTGATCTTGAAGAAGTGCTCGAAACTTTGTGTAGATTGTGTAGGCCCCTTCAACACCGGGGCTGGTTTATTTTGAAGGGGGCAGGCCAAGTTTATACTATAAATAAAGTCAAGGGGGCCGGGAAATGTCGATCTGCAACCGAGGAAACGTGTATCTTTCACGCATGGTTTTCTAGTCAGCGATGCTTATTTGTCAAGATGAACAGGGTGGAGCTTCGGAAAAATAAAAGCTGATACTATAACTGGCCCGTCACAAGCGTAAATGCAGGAGGTTAAACCAAGTGGGCTCACGATTGCATCTTCTTAACCCTAAAACCATCTAGAGTAGAAAGCGGTACCAGCCGCAGATCCTCCCTCGGCGCAGATCGGGTGGAGGTACCAGGCCTTGAATCCTCGTGGTCATTCGCCTGTCTGGACTCTCTGGCACCATTTAGCCTTCTGGGTTTCTCCACCCCCAAAGGATTGCACCAGGATGCACTTAGTGACGGAGTTTGTGGTCATCAAAACCGGCATGGACTTGGTAATTTTTACATGTTTAGACTCCACACGTGGGATTAAGCCAATCCACGAGGTGCTTGGCCAGTCTGGAACAATTCCTATCTGTAGTTAGACCAATTCTTGTGGACTTTTAGCTTGGGGAAAGTGTTGGTGTGGTCGTTCATCGGCAGCCTTGGACCGAGCTAAATGGGCCCTATCGCCCCCATCCTGAAAATAGAATGGTCTCTACCCCGTCCCCTACGCTGTCGGCCGTCGTGTGGATTGCCTAATCGGGACATCTGCCATGGCTATCCTCCAAGCGAAATAGGGGAGAAAACTAAGGATAAACACACCCAAATTATGGCTCGAACAAATAGCATCTTTTCGATTTCACTCTTATTACAATCCTCATTCTCACTCTCACTCTCACAGTAAGAGCACAGATCCTCCAGTGCCCGATTGATACTAGACTCGTAAATGCGACAATTGTATGTCACATTATTATGGAAATGAACCACTGGGCGATCCTCCCCAAGTGGACAATTCCGGGCTGCGATCAACCACGGCCGATCATCCACTCATTCTATCCACTTTCTCTGTAAAAACCCCGGGGGCCGGTCGATCGAGTTTAGTGTGAGGATCCCTATCAGGAGGTAAAAAACCTTGGGCTGTTTCAGGATTTTTTTTTTGATTTTTGATTATTTATTATTTATTTGATTTTATTATTATTATATTATTTTTATTTTTAACTCTCGGCCATCAATTTTAAAATTACTTTACGATTAAATCAAGTGATCCTTGTTGATCCGTTGGAAAAGGTAAGGATTTATAGCGACGGATCCCACGGGGGCCGATAGCCTTTTATTCAGTCCAACGCTCATCTCCTCTGCCTTAACGGTTCCTCTTTCACTGCCGGGTCTATAAGATCTCCTTCGACCCTGCTCCAGCGACTTACTTCTGCAATCAACATCCACACATCGAACGCATATGGCATAAGCCTTCAACCATCATCACGACATATCCTATACACCAACCTCGATATACCCAAAGTCCATCGCCATGTCTATGTATAACGTGCCCTACGTCGCGTCGCTTCCGCCTATGCTGGATTCACCCTACATCGCTGGCCCGAGTCCCATGATGCACGAGCACCAGAACGCATCTATTCACCACCCCGCGAGCCCTCACCTGAACTTCTCTTCTCCATCGCCTTCCATGTCTTCCTCAAACCGCATCAGTAAAGCCAAGAAGGGCAAGCGTGTACATGCATGCGAGTACCCTGGCTGCGATAAGGTGAGTGATCTGACACAGCTTTCTGAGAATTTATACTAACGGGAACCCTACAGGTCTTTACCAGAGCCGAGCACCGCAGGCGACATGAACTCGGCCACCGCTCCAAGAAGCTGTACCAATGCTCATACGAAGGATGTTCCAAGGCATTCCACCGACCCGACTATCTGACGCAACATCTGGCGAAGCAGTGAGTTTCTGACGTGATAGAATCCTTATCTGAGTCAGATCATAACTGACACTGAGAAAAAGTGCCCCCAACCCCCCCAAAGCAGAGTCTCCCTCTGTGGAAAGCACCACCGCCTCATCACCAGCTCTCAGCGTGCACAAACAACAACCTCCTCCCCTCACCTCCGAATCCCCCGTCACGACCGGCGCGCAGAGCGAAGCCATCCAAACACCCCCAGCCATGTGGACGGGCATGCCCGTCCCGCTACTGCCGTGCTCGCAATGCCCGAAATGCCAAACCCAGATCGTGGCCTCGGTCGACGGCAATTCTTTCTACACCTACCCGCCCGAGATGTCTGAGTCAGGAATGCCGCAAGACGCTTTTGTTCGCGGCCAGTTTCCTCCCGCGCCCATGTCGGTTGGCCTGGCTACTGTCATTGACCAGTACATGCGCGGGGTGCTGAAGCCGGATGGTCTTCCTTCACCACAATCGCCGCAAATGGGCTCTCCTTTCTTGGGCTCGCAGATTGATCCCAGTCTGGCGAAGATGCCTCACCCGGTATGTTTCTGTTTCTGGTCTGCAATGCAGCCAAAAATGAACTTCAAGCTAATATCTTTCATTCAGACTTCCTACAGTCATCCTTATGCCTCTTGGGCTGAGACCGAGGGTCTGTCATATGACAACCAGCCTGTTCACCATATGGGCACCAGCACACCCACCACAACCTGCTAGATGCGTGGATTGGGAATGGCTGGCCTATGAAATGATGTACAAGCAGGACTTGGTTTTCTTTGTTTCTTTTCCTTATGTTTCCTTTTTAGCGGTTTCCTTGTGTTTTTGGTGACGGTTCTCTTTGTTTTCTTTTGCCTCTTATATCCTTATGTATTTTAACACCATTCGCTCGCTCATGTGGACCATAGAGTGTATATTCGCGGGATACAGGTTACGGCGCTCTGATGAACGATTATTAATGACATCTTGAGACTTGATTTTATTCCATTTCCAATCTTCATATTCAAACGTCACATCTGAATCTGTACTTCATTTCAATGACACAAGATCGACACCGAGCTGGGCTGAGGGATAAACGCATAAATGCCTCGGCAAGTGCTGGAAAAGTAAGTGGGTATAACCGGTACGTGCCCCGTTTTATGCCTCTCTAAACTCTCTTGTTGCACTTGGCATTTTCTCCACAAGCCTCGCGTCTGTCTGCTGAACTCGGTTTAGTTGCACCCACCATTTCTTTCTTTCTTTCTTTCTTATTTGGTTCCCTCTTTTTTAGGGCTTCAACCTAGTCGCGGGGCACTATCATGCCGACCTGCACTTTTGTAACAGGTAACCCGAACAAGGTGCGCGAGGTGCGTGCGATCCTGGGCACCACGATCCCTGTTGAGAGTGTGGCATTGGATATCCCCGAGATCCAGGGCACGCTGGAAGAAATCGCGCGAGACAAGTGCCGACGGGCGGCGATGATTGTAAATTCCACATTCTTTCTTTCTTTTCTATTTTCTATTTTCTTTTTGGGTTCCCCGTTTTCCTGTCTTTGGGTTCATATCTGAGTTTATATGTTCATCTGCCATTCTGATAGGTCGATGGCCCCGTTGTCGTGGAAGACTCCGCGTTGGAGTTTCGCGCGATGAACGGATTTCCCGGTCCTTATATGTGCGTCTGCGGGAATTCCGTCTGTGTCCATCTTTTGGTCTAGTTACTCACTTTTGTGATGCTGTTTTTTTTGTAGTAAGGATTTCTTGGAGTCTATTGGCAATGATGGACTCAATCGATTGCTGCTGCCCTACGACGATAAACATGCAGAGGCTGTATGCACGGTCGCCTTTACTGCAGGACCGGCTATGGAGCCGCTACTTTTCCAGGGCCGACTGAAAGTATGTGAAAAAGGGAACAGCTGATGGAATTTGACCTAGTTTGGTGTTTCGATCTGTTCTGACGATCTTGTAGGGCCAAATTGTGCCTGCGCGTGGCCCTCCTAGATTCGGTATGTGCAATGCCTAGATCTATAGAGTGGCATGAAGAGACAACTCACTGTGATACAGGATGGGAGCCAATATTCGAGCATCAAAGAGAAACGCTGGCTGAGATGGAACACGAGAAAAAGGTATCGTCATTGACTCTTACAGTCGCCATCGAGAAATCTCATCACTAACTCGCCCCAGAACCGACTCTCGCACCGCTACCAAGCGCTGTTTCAATTCCAGGCCTGGCTGGCTCAGGATGACAACCGAGCTACTTACCTCCCGGAGTCTCAATTCCAGTCCTAGTGTTTGGACTTCCATGAAACTTGGCTGATGAATCGGCAATTGCCTTGGAGAGCTTCAACCCCGCCAGCGGGGATTGTTCCTTTGGGCCGCCAGGGAAATATTCCCCGTCCACGCGGGGCCCCACATTTCAATGATATACGGGGAACAGAGGGAACTGCGAGGCATCATTCAATGTTTATTGGATATTGGCCTTTATCGCGGGAACCTTTCAGGACTTGGTATATACCCATTGGGAGAAGACGATGGGCTACAATGCCGATTTGGGAGACAATTGCTCCCTCTATATTCAATCGCCTTGTTGGCGCGCTATGTGGAAATGATATTTATACCTCTCTCTCCTGAACCTTCTATAATGTGACCACCTGGATTGAAAATATCTTTCTTCGCCCACGACCCAACGGGGACTTGTCTTGAGACATCCGTTGCGCGAGGGTTCTATACTTTCTATACTTTCTTTGGAGCTTCTACCAATCACAACACCAAGATGTGGTCACTCCTCGCAACAGCACCGTATGCTATTGCCTTGGCCTGCTTCCTTTTTGTATACTTCATTGTATATCCCTATGTGGAATACCTGCGAGACCCAAAGGGTATGTAACAAAGATTCACTTTGGAAGTCTTCTATCAGATTGGCAAATCGCTAAAGACCGACCAGGTCTCCGAAAATACCCTAATCTCTCTCCCTTCTCGGGTATTTCTGCACTTCCGTTCATGTTCCTCGCTTCGAGAGGCTTCCGGTCCATGGAACTCAGCGCCCTGCACAGAAAGAACCCCGTCATTCGCACGGGACCCAACATGCTGTCCTATGGAGACGTGCGAGCCATCAAAGACATCTACGGCCACAACACAAAGTGCATCAAGGACGCCTCTTACGTGGTCACAGCAGGCTCTCATACCAACTTGGCAGATGTCGTCGACAAGCCGGAGCATGCCCGCAAGCGCAAGGTGCTCTCCTCTGCGTATGCACTCAAGAACCTAGAGAGCTGGGAATACAAAGTCAGCGACAAGATCGAGCGCATGATCAAGCACTTTGAGACGGTCTGCACGGCGCCTGCCTCACCAGACGTAGTTTCTGGAAAGGTAGCGCCAGATCCAAAAGACCTGACTCTCGATTTCCGAGCCTGGAGCAACTTCTTCACGCTCGACGCCATCGCCGACATCGGGCTCTCCGAGAAACTCGGCTTCCTGGACAGTGGCACGGACGTGTGCATCGCCGAGCGCAAAGACGGTTCAACCTACGAGACGAATCTGCGCGAGGCACTATACCCGACCGCACGCAAGCAATCACTGATCCTCTGGAACTACGCCTGGTACCCGGTACTAAACCAGCTCGTGAACGTAATCCCCTTCTTCCGACACATGCAGACATCCGCCGAGAACTGGGAGAACATCATGTGGCGCCGGGCCAGCGAGCGACTACGGCGGTACGAAGCCGGCGAAAAGCTCGAGGATTTCTTCCAGGCCCTGATGGAAGACAAGACCGGGAGCCCCAATAACCTGGAATGGGGCGAGGTCGTGGCCGAGTGCAATATCATGATGAACGCCGGCAGCGTCACGACCGCCGTGGCGATCGCCAACGTGTTGTACCAACTGCTGCGCAACCCGCGGTGTCTGGCGAAGCTACGCGAAGAGCTCGATGCTGTTCTCGACGAGGATGAGGTCGTCGCGGAGTATGATAAGGTGCGGCATTTGCCGTATCTGCGCGCTTGCTTGGATGAATCGCTGCGCATCTTCCCGCCTACGTCGCATGGTCTGCCGCGTGAGACTCCCGTCGAGGGTACGAATATCCTCGGCGAGTGGGTCGCGGGTAGGACCTCTGTGAGCATGTCGGCGCTGGTGGCGCACCGCGATGAGAGTGTTTTCCCCAATGCTGATCAGTATATCCCCGAGCGCTGGCTTGGAGAAGAAGGGAAGGCGCTGCAGCCGTATTTGATTGCATTTTCGGCTGGTGCCCGGTCGTGCATTGGTCGCAATATCTCGTATCTGGAACAGACGAAGCTTGTGGCTTCGGTGGTGCATCGCTATGATTTTGCTTTGTCGTATCCCGGTTGGGAGCTGCAGCCGCTGGAGACGATGAATTTGATTCTGGGTGGGATGCCGGTGAAGATCTGGCGGCGTGGTCTGGGTGTGGAGGTATACATGGGAGAGAGTACTTTGTAGCGTGTTGTTACTGTCTAATGGTTTACGACTTTTTTTTTTATGCACGAATTTTCGGGTTCGAAAGGTGCTCGTGCCAGATCCATTCTTTTCTTCCTTAGCATCTATTGCAGAAACTGTGCTATGCTCTGGCATTGAGATAGAGTTATACTCCCCACCCCTCCGTCGGGGGTAGTTACCCCGAGATGTCTCGGCGAAAATCTTCCTTTTAGGGATGACGTGCAGGGCCATTCCTCCACACTCTTACTCCCATCAACTCCAAAATTCCATCAAGATGCAGTGGATGTGTCTCCAGCCACTGCGGGGTGATACTTCACTCGTGGGGTATTTGCTCCACGTCGACTTGCACACTGACAATATCCCATGGTCAAAAACCGCTATTTCCCTTCTCTGTGGGGAATCTTTCCCCGCGTGCCACTTCCACGATGATCGTCGCTCGACCGATCGGGCATTCTTTCCGCATTGAAGTCGCCCTATACATGGATGTGTGAGGCACCTCGTGCTTTTATACCTGCTCTCCCCATGTTGGATTTCGACATTGATCAATGATCAATCTCGCTCTTATATGACACTCTTCATCTTCTGACCCTTTCCCCCTTCTTCATACTTTGATACCCATCTATGCATTAATACCTTTAACATTCCAACATCATGACCTCTTTTCCACAATGGAACATCCCACCAGAGCTGTGGCAGGGCCTTTCACAGCTCGCCTCACCAACCGGCCTCGCCGACTATGCTGCTCTGGCTGTCCTCACAGGTGCAGGAGCCACATATATGTCCCGCGGCATCCTCTGGGACCAGCCGGATCCCTACGCTCACCTCGCATTCGAGCGACCCCAGCTGAAGAACGGCGGGCAGATGGGTGCTGGCGCTGGTAAAGAAACGCGAAACATCGCCCAGAAACTCGAGGAGACGGGCAAGAACATTGTCGTCTTCTGGGGATCCCAGTCCGGGACCGCAGAAGGCTTTGCCCACCGGCTCGCCAGAGAGATCTCCGTTCGGTGGGGCCAGGAGAGCATGATGGCAGATCTCTCGGACTATGACCCCGTGACAATCAGTGAGATTCCGCAGTCGAAGCTGGCTATCTTTATTGTCTCGACGTATGGCGAGGGTGATCCCAGTGATAACACTGCGGAGTTTTGGACCTGGATTACGAAGGCTAGTGGTGTCTCGCTGTCGAATCTGCGATATGCTGCTTTTGGTCTGGGGAACACGAACTACAAGTTCTACAACCGTGTTGTCGATGTGATCGTGGAAGGTTTGGAGGGGTTCGGTGCTAGTGCACTCATGCCTGCGGGCAAAGCCAATGATGCGGAGGGGGCAACAGAAGAAGATTTCATGGCGTGGAAGGACACGCTTTTCACTGTTTTTAAAGAGCGGCTGGGCTTCCAGGAGGTTGAGGCGAAGTATGTGCCCAGCTTGGTGGTCCAGGAAGATGAATCCCTCGATCCGATCGACCTGCACCACGGCGAGCCGCACAGCCATGCTGATACGCCGAAGGCTGCGTCTCAGTCCTCGCCTGTTCGCTCGCTCAGTATCTCCAACTCCAGAGAACTCTTTACTTCGTCGTCTCGAAACTGTCTACACATGGACCTTGATCTGAGCAGCGAGCCGGACTTGACGTACAAGACGGGCGACCACCTTGCCATTTGGCCTGGCAATCCCGATGCCGAAGTTGAGCGTCTTCTCGAGGTTCTGGGGATCTCTTCACGACGCGACATCCCCCTTGGAATTAAGGCGCTCGATCCCGCAACAAAGGTCACCATTCCCACACCGACCAGTGCTGTCGCTTTGTTCCGCTACTACCTCGAGATCTGCGCACCCGTCAACCGAGACAATGTTCGCGATCTCGCACAATTCGCACCGACCCCAGAAGCAAAGGCCTACCTTCTGCAACTGGGCCAGGACAAAGAGTTCTACGCCAGCTTCATTGGCCGAGCACACCTCAATCTCGGCCGTCTATTACAACTAGCAAGTCCCAACGACCCCTGGACCAATCTTCCACTATCATATCTCGTTGAGACGCTACCGCACATCCGAGCCCGGTACTACTCGATTTCCTCGAGCAGCGTCGTCGCACCCCGCAAGCCCTCAATCACAGCAATCGTCTCCACATCGCCACTTCCCGACAACCCAGACGAACTCGTCCACGGCGTGACATCGAACTACCTCCTCGCCATCTCCCAACACTCGCACTCCCAGCCCCATCCCCACGGCATCACCTACCACCTCAATGGACCCAGCGACTCGCTCCAGGGCGGCAAAGTCTTCGCGCATATCCGCCGCAGCAAATTCAAGCTCCCGATCACAAGCAAGACGCCGCTAGTGATGGTCGCCGCCGGCACGGGGCTGGCGCCGTTCCGCGCGTTCCTGACCGAGCGCTGCCAGGTGCAGAAGATCGGGAAGGAGGTTGGACAGATGGTTTTGTTCTTTGGTTGTCGCAACCCTGACGAAGACTTTATTTATCGCGATGAACTGCAGGTGATGCAGCAGACTCTTGGGGATCGGTTGCGTATTGTCACGGCGTTTTCGAGGTGCGAGGGAACGCCGCGCCAGTATGTGCAGGATCGGGTTGTGGAGATGGGTCAGGAGGTTACTCGGCTGATTGATGAGGGTGCAAACTTTTATGTTTGTGGGAGAGCGAGTATGGCTCGCGAGGTGGAGAAGGCTATTGGAGAGACTATGCGGAAGGCTAAGGGGTGGACTGATGATGAGGTTAGTGGTTGGAGCAAGGCTGTGAAGAAGAAGAATAAGTGGCAGGAGGATGTATGGGGTTGAGAGAAATTAATTCTCGCACATTTTTGATGATCTTCAAATTCTATACACGACTTCCAATTCCATATCATACAATTTCACTTCTCCCGATTGTACTCTGCCAGATTAATCTGCGAAGTCTCAACACCCTCAGACAACAACGTACCATAGACGCCCTCAGAACTAGCAACTCGCCTCGCCCGTTTGATCAACAAGCCCGGATGAAAGCCGAGCAATAGCAAAAGAGTCAAAAACATCAAAAACGCATCAAAAACATACAACATAGCTTCATGGTCCGCAATAAACCCCCGCGTTCCCTGACTATACTCAATCGCACGCACAAGATTGCGCAAAAACACAGCAACACACTCAACATACAGCGCAACAAGGTACCGTCTCCACCGCAGACGCGGATTATCCCGCACGATAGGCGTGGGCTCCCTCGCAAGACGAACATGGAACCGCGCCGCCGTCGCAATAAACAGCAAGTAGACGACCAAGCTGAGAATCAATCCGCCGAGCACGGCCTTCTGCCCGATCTTCATGATCCTGTCGTCGCCTGTGATTTGCACGCCCGCGCCGCCGATCTGCGTGCAGAAGCAGACGATGTCGTTTAGCACGAAGATGGCAGTTAGCCATTTTGTTCGCACCATGGAGTGGTGCTCGGCTTGCAGCGAGCGGATGATCCGACCGAGGATCATGTAGATGGTTGCGGAGATCAAGGGCGGGGCGCACAGGATGAGCAGTTCTTGCATGATCCAGGGTTTCATGTCGTCTGGTTTGCGGTGGGACCAGGATCGGCCGTAGTAGCCGAATGCTTCGCCTGTTGAAATATGAGTAATTAGAGTATTGCTTTGGTCTTCCTGCATTTCAATGGCGTGGAACTGGATGGAATGGAAATAAATGTGATGAAGAGGATGAATGTTGACTCACATATTCCGCCCAGAATTAGTGGAATAAAGTATGCTGCCCGCATGGGAAACATCATGAAAAAGTGTGCGACGGTCGTAATCCCAAACAAAACCACGAACGCCCAGGCGGCGGGCGCAGAGGGCACGTAGGAGTAGTACTCGACATGGATAGAGCCATCGGGATTCTCAGAAACGGTGATATCCATGATGGAAAAGAGTAATTGTAGAGACAGAATATCTGAAGAACAAATAAATCCATTATCATCTGGGCTTTGTTCCATTTTTATATTCAACATCCCCTACCTTGAAAAATGTTTTATACATCGCTTTCCATTTTGGGTAAATTCTATGCGAATACGCGATGTGACCCACTGCAAGAACACGGGGTACTTTGTCTTGAGACTTTGACACCTAACTTTGCAGGTGTCTATATCATGTGATACAAGGCAGCAGCGGAAGCGGTGAGAGGACTCCGATGTACAAAAAGCAGCCCTCCGGAGGAATAAGTATTTGCTATTTGGATAATATTAATTAATTGAATGTAAAAAGTCTTACATCTTCAATATTCTAAGTTTCCCAGAGATAAATTGTCGAGGATATCCGGAGCATCTCAATTAACCAGTGTAACTTTCTTCACCTTCACACTTTTCATACTTCCCCATCTATCTTCAAAAGATACTACAGGAGGGCCCACTGCAAGCCAAAGACGGGCACTTTACCCGCTCGAGAAAAGTTTGAACGAGTACGACGCGAATATAATGTGAGATTCAGGCTCCACCGCCGATTTCTTGGAATACTGGTTTATTTTAGCCACCGATTAAGCATCTTTTGTTGGTTCTTAGACTCAATTAGAAGGCATCAGTGTTTTGGCTTCTCGGACTCCACTCAAATTTATCTGCCTTGCATCTACTGCTGATCATTATCGGTGCTTGAACCCTTGACCCACTTTGTTCCTGATTGCAGAATCTTTGGGGAGAAGACGGGTCCGTTTTATAAATAATTCTTCAATTATACTTGTACTATGCCACTAGTTCCCATATTTAAGGGTGACAGGAGTCAACAAGGAAGGGAATATAGAGATATGGATAACATCCAATGGAGTTTATAAATCATAACGTCTGCTTTCGGAGCAGTCCCGATATCTCCCACATCACATCAACTCTGGATAAAGCTCACAGGCCACGAGATCCAGCCCCGATAGTCTGCCCGTAAAGATGTCTGGATCCCCCGAATGACATGCTCATCCCAGCCAACCATCAACCAGGAAGATCGCATGAATTTCAAAAGCATACACCAGTGGGCGAGGACAACCATAGCCAGCGGATCCTTGGCCTCGAGTAGGTTGATAAACTCCTCGGGACGCCGATAGATCCAGCCGACGACAACATGCAACACGCAGATACCGTCTTTGCCTGCACTGCGAAAGGCATATGCCTCCTCAAACATCTCCAGTAAGTTATCGATGGCCCCGGCATACATTATGTGTGTATCCACGTCCAGATGTTGTGAATCGATGAGTTGTCGAACTTTCTCGACATGATACTTCTGTTGGCAAAGCTCGTCCTGTAGTAACGGGCCAACTCCCTGGATCGAGGGATCAGGCTGGGGTTCCAGGACCCCAGTAAATATCTTTGATCGGTGGGCGTGCAGAATCGACCGCACCCCTCTCATCAGAACCAGCCATTCAGCCTTGCCGGTCTCTCCGAACACCAGGTACTCACCCAATCGCGGGCCGTGCCCGAAATACACGAGGCAGATCAACACCGCCGACATGTAGATTAGCTGGCAGTTCTCGGGGTCAAGCTTCGACAGCACGGCCGTGACGGATCGAATCCCGAAGGTGAAATGACTGTCGGCCTGCATCACGTATTGGTCTCGCAGCTCCGGCTGCAAATAACCTAGATGGAGCGCCGAGAGAGCGAGGATCAGGTGGAAGATCGATGGCGAGGAAAAGCCCCATTGTGGAAGATGGGTCTGCCAGACACGGTTGCGGTCCATGGACTGGTCGGCGAGGGTGCGGTAGGCCTCGGTAACGTAGTGGTGGAAGAGCTTGAGGTCTGGAATGGAAATGCTGCCGTGGTTGGGATTGAAGATATCTGGTGTGCTACCTTGCTTTTCGGTTGAGATCTCTGGGGTCTCTTCTGAACCCGTGTTGCTTGACAGCGGGGATTCTTGCGCTTGGTACTTGGATGACTTGAAGCGGAATCGCTTTTTTGATGGCGCTTGTGGAGATGGTGCCGAGCAAGGAGATTTTAATGAGGGCATTGCCAGGAAGTCACATTCAATGGAATGCGAGATGCATTTAGAGCACGATGGCTTCGTCTCATCGCACTGTAAACGGTTAGTCGGTTGACTGCTCAGTCCTGCCCCTCCAGCGAGGCAAAATGTTCCCGTCCAAGGCAAAAAGTATATCTTCTTCTCTTAGGCAATCGAAGATGATCAGGTAGACAGATTTGAAAAGCGACTCACTTTCACACGTCGTTTTTTACAATTCCCGCAGCCTGACCGAGACTTGTGATGGGGCCGTCGCGAGTGAACTTTTTGCCGCGTGGAGTTCATCGCATAGATGGTGTCTTCGTTCTTCCTTTCGATCGATTCGACAAGAGATCCTCACGCCAAAAATAGAATTAATATCACGTGATGTCGTGGATATCGAAAGAAACCAAAGAACAGCAAAAGTAGAGCTAATAGGCGCCTAGAAATTTGATACAGAGAGCATTCGGTGGATTTTGGGGCACCAAAAGTTCCATGGTCTGGTTTTGAGGGTCTACGTGACCGTTTTATCTGTCTGCCTGGAAGGGATCGGCGTTTCGGGCTTGTGTTGAAGATCGAATCCAATAAGGGTGGCTGATTTTGAACCCTTTAGTGTTTCAAGCAATAGTAATGAGATAACAAGAAGATTAATTTAAGCACAGTCGGTTATAAAGTGCGCTATCATCCAGACTTATCAATGTGGGTTTTATGGTTCGATGAACCTGTCCAGCCCAACTCCTTCTGTAATGCAGCGAACGAGACGACGAATAGACTGCAACTCCGGGAAATGACTGAGGATAAAGACGTTTCTGTTTCAGCTTTTTGGGCTAGTTGCGATATAGTCCATTCGAACTGGAATCATAGTCCATGAAGCATGACCGGTGACAAAGGTATTGAACAATCATGAATAAGCCCATCGACATCAAGTGTTCAATCATAGTAGGCCCCTTTGTCAAGTGGATTCGGTGTTCCATCCGGCCACAGCTTCAGTATCCCCGCCTTGGCTTCCGCGACTTGAGCTGCGCTTGTAATCAACTGGGTCCGGGAGAAAAGTTCCAACTGGTCCATGACCCAGTTTCTGCATCCAACCCCATTGGAATCAAATTCGTACTTGTGACGCCCATGTTCACAGATGGTGTCGTAGATATGTGCAACAGAAACCCCAGAAAACACGTCGAGCACGAAATATGTCTCCGCATCTGGAGGGAGGACATGATCCAGCTTGGACATGATCAGATTGGCCTTGGAGCCTCCTTCGAGAACCGTACCGGGGATACTGTGGCTTGGCTGGCAGTCGAGCTGCACGGAGATTATAGCAGAGGTTGAGAGGTAGAAACACCAGTGGTTTGTGTCTCCGAGGTTTTGGTGGGCGACCGCCAGAATGCGAGTTACTGGCAAGTCCAAAATCTGAGCCTGGTGGCTTGCTGGTATGAAATGGATGGGGTCGAAGGTGACCATAGTGAGGTTTGACTTGTAATCAAAAGGTGTATGTTCGCCGTGAGTCTGTTAGACTTGATTTCGAAAGGGTCGTGGTCATTCAGAAAATGCGGGGCATACAAACACTATTGCATGCATCAATACATGCATTACATGCATCCTTGCAAGTGTGTTTGCCAGGGACTCCCTCCCCTTGTTGAGTTGACTAGAAACAAAATCTTACGATAGCCACTGCATAAGCATGATGTCTTGTGCTTCTCAGCCCCTGAACTCAAGAAGTTTGCTGGTTGTTCCATGGTGTAGCCCCCACCTCATGTTGACCATTCCTTCAAGCTCATATCTAATCCTACTTGACTCGACGCCTTTTCTCCGCTCTGGACCAATTTAAATATTGAACAAGGGATATTTAGCCTTTGGTACAGAGCTTACTCGTGGAGAGGCGGCCATTCCCAGGGAAAATGTCTATTGCTTTCTAAACAACAATCAGCAGGAAAAGCGTATAGCCGCACTCTTAGATCTGTCGCTGATTCTAGCAATATCTCAAGTATAACCACGCTCCTCTACTTCTTTAAATGTCTAAAGGCACAGTCGACAGAGTTTGATCACTTGAAGAAAAGTAATGGAAGGATTCACGAGCCCAGCCTTTCACCTTGTCTCATGAAATCCTCATCTCCGATCTCTGTAACGGAAAAGTCTATCCTTAACTATGGGAACCATAAAGTGTGTGCTACTAAATCCCCCGGTGTATAAATGAGGAAAGTTATTCTAATCCTTCGTATATAGATTATACCACATTAGCAACATTGGACCAGGATAACAGAGACTGTAATGACTTTGGAGTCGCTAACCTTGGATCTACTGGGGTAGACAGCGAGGATATAAGTTTCCATGGCCTTTTTTTTTTAAAAAAAAAAGTTCCTGCGAGTCAGGATCAAGTTGCTCTACCATATCTCCAAGGTTGCGGGAACTCGATTATATCTCTGCTTGGGGAAAAAAGGTTCGCGCCTCTGAGCATCGCATTTACGGTCCTATCCAAGAATAGACACAGGAAAGAGAGATTGAACGAAACCCTTTTTTTGTGCCGCTCCTGCTGGCTGACAGCCCGTGCTTACTTTCCATGTACAAGCCGTGGGTGGAGGAAATTGGTTAGAAAAGAGCAGCTTTTACAGCGCAACGAGCATCCAGAATCTTGTAATTCGTCCTTCATATCAATACTTAAAGGGTTTTCAAGTGCGGACGGGAAGTGGAGCTACAGAACAATACAAGAACTGGAGGCTGATGGCTGGCGTGGGGGATTTTCGTTGGTGAACAACAACATTGCCATAGATGGTAAAGATAACCCCAAGAAACTCACGTCATCCAGCGGAGCCAGTGATGGGGTTGTACATTTCCTTTGACATACGCTTATAATGTAGTGAATAGGGTCCAGCTCAAATTTGGGCACAGGGGGTGCCCACAAGGCGAATACAAATCTCATAGTTATTCATTCCGTCCGCCCCACCCATACCGGTGGTAGCGGCCCCAATGAAGGATGAACTAACGTGGAGCCGGGGCCACCTTGAGGGCTAAACCGCTGCACTAAAATTGAACCTAGTAGAGTAGACTCACGCTAAGCTCGACTTACCGGCGATCTTCAATATGAGGCGAGTTTCAATGCGGTCACTAGACTATGGTGACTAGCTGGTCTTATCCAATCTCCGATTCAGTTGTATGAGGTTTTATCCGGCTCCCCTGATACCAACCGGCTTTTTGACCCCCCTAACAGGCCAAGCATGCAATTGGGGGAAAATGATAAATAGCTGGCTGGGGGGTCCTGTTGATCTCGGTTTATAGGATCATCTTTTCTTTTTTCTTTCTACATACCACACCCCAAATGGATTTTCTAGATCTTGTCCCTAGCGGCTTTGTGCCCCGGCCGCTGAAGGTTGTCGTGATTGGAGCTGGGTAAGCATAGATCTACAGTGTGAAACAGGCGGATAATCTAACAAATCTAGAATTTCTGGCATTCAATTTGCCCACGATGCGACGACTTCGCTATCAGGTATCGACCTGGAGATCTATGACCGGAACCCCTGCCTAGGGGGAACGTGGTACGAGAATCGGTATCCTGGGTAAGTGCTCCAGCAATGAAGATAAGAGGTGGCCAAAGCCTGATGCTAATGTCCTGGCTAGATGCACCTGTGACGTCCCCTCCCACACCTACCAGTTCAGCTGGGCACCCAACCCATCCTGGTCATCACTGTACCCACCGGCCCCCGAGATTCGTGCCTACCTGGAAGGGGTAGTCGACAAGCACCATCTTCGACGATTTATGTCATTCAACACAGAGTGTCTCTCAGCTCACTGGCACGAAGATGACTCACAATGGGAGATCGTCCTTCGTAATGTGCTCACCAAGGAGGAGAAGGTCATTTGGTCTGATGCATTTATCTATGCCGTTGGTCGACTCAACAACTACAAAACCCCCCAGATTCCCGGCCAGGAAAAGTTCCGGGGCCGGCAGGTTCACACTGCGAACTGGCCGACTGAGTTGAACGCTAAGGACAAGCGAGTGGTTGTCATTGGCAATGGAGCAAGTGCGGTGCAATGCGTGGCAGCCCTACAACCAGGTAAGCCATACCATTGAATCATTCACTCTGAATTGGGCAAAAGAAATAAGGCTAATCATATTTAAGTTACTTCACGCATTGTCAACATTGCCCGTGGTCCAACATGGATTGTGCCTCATATCTTCTCCGAAGACGGGGCTGTTCAACGTCAATGTATGTTCATCTCATTGAGACAGCTGGTTTAGCAGAGATGGGTTAAGCTAACACAAACACAGATTCCACCGAGCAGAAGCAATTCCTCCAATCAAATCCTGAGCAATATTACAGCTTTTGCATCGGACTGGAGAAGAAACTCGCCGCTGGCTTCCCAGGCCTGTGGAAAGGGACAGCATCCCAAGCCCAATTTACCTCCCTGTCTCAATCATTCATGAAGACCAAGATCACAAACCCCGATCTTCTCAGCGCACTGCTACCAAAGTTCGAAGCTGGCTGCCGCCGATTTACCCCCGGTGGTCATTATTTGGACGCCATACAGAAGCCCAACGCTGAATACGTGAAAGATTCCATTGCCGAGTTGACCGAAGATAGCCTGGTCACTGCTTCGGGCAGGCAGATCGATTGTGACATTGTGGTGTATGCCACCGGATTTGAGCCTCACCAGCCTCGCTTCCCAGTGATCGGTCGTGCTGGACAATCTCTGGCCGAGGACTGGGATCGCGAGGGACCCTGCGAGAGCTATATGGCCGCGATGGTTGCTGGATTCCCTAACTTTTTCGGTTCGTATCAACTCCCCTCATGCACGTTGCCCCATCGTTTGCTAACAGGCAATGCGTCAAATATAGCTTTCAACCCTCCTATCTGCCCCGCCATTGGCTCAGCCGTCCCAGGCATCGAGCGAGCAAGCAACTACATGGCCCGGGTGCTGGCTCGACTACAGACCAACAGACTGCGCTCAGTCTGCGTGACAAGCAAGGCTCAGCGCGAGTTCAACCAGTGGGTGCAGTCAAGAATGCCGCAGATGGTCTGGTCAGGACCATGTAACTCATCGTGTGAGTATTACCTACCCAAATGACTACCACAAAAAGGCTCTACAATGCTGACACTGGGATCTGCAGATAAAAATGGGCAAGGAAAGGTCATCGTGCCCTGGCCGGGTACTATGCTGCACTACTACGCGGCAACAGCCATCGTGCGCTGGGAAGACTTTGATCTTGAATTCGAGAGCCCAGGCCAGAAATACGAGAGCTTTGGTAACGGAGTGACATCGGATGGCTTTGTCCCTGACCAATTCCCTTGGGTCCATCCTCCGAGCCCGCAGGTCGTGGTTGCGAGGAAAGCCGAGGTACCCATTACCACCGCTACCACTGCCACCACTGCCACTTCTACTGCCCTTTCAATGCGGGGCTTGAAATGTTAAGATGATCCATATGCTGGCCTCATGGGCATCTAAATAAGCCGGGAATATCTTGTTGGGAAGAGAAGATGTACAAATGCTGTCTAGAAACACAGCACACTTGACATGATTAGAATGGTTTTTTTTTAACGCAATTCACAAGTGATATTTGACGAATCAATTCGGTCTTCAAGACTTTTAAGACAGTTCTAAAGTCGAAATATCTCCTCTAAAATCTCAATCTCGCTTGTAGACGCGTGAAGATATCGCGCGCACACTAACCGGCCATACCCGAGGTCCTCCAGTCCAGCAAGAACTACATCATTGAAGCGCGCCGACTCCGGTATATCCCCCGCGACAACATTTATACTTCTGGGTGTAATTCCAGCAGCAGACTCTTCCATATCAGCCACTTGCTCGACGAACCGCGCGATCAAAGATCCCTCCCACATGCCCTCTTGACATCGGGTAGCATCAAGCAAGGAAATAGCCCTGCGCCTGGGAATAGTACTTCGGCATTTCATGGCAACGAGGTACAAAACAGGAATTACCCCTGGCTCCAGAGTAAAGGTTAATGTAGGAAGGTTTATTGGAGTCTGCACATTGCTGGAGAATGTGGCATTTCCGGTCAAGCGCTCCACCAGAGAGACGATCCTTTGAAAGGTGTTATCAAAGTGATCGCATTTCTCTTCGCGTGTATCGCGACTGGTTGACAGAAGGAAGTCGATGTAGAAGTGCTGGGTCTCGAGAAGTAGCGTTGGCCGTGCATATGAGTATAGCGGGTTGGTAGCAAGAGATTGAAACGCTGAGAGCCAGCGTGCCAACTTGAAACTCAGCTCGGCTTTCTGTTGTTCCAGGATTGGGTGGCTGGATAGATCTACAGTCTTCGCGCGCGAAGACTGTAGGCAGTATCGGAAGATCCAGTCCATTTCGGTGTTCTCATGGTCAATTTCACGTCCCGCGAGAGCAAGCAACTCTCCTCGGAATCGATGGACCGCGTTAGCAAGCACATCCAAGGATAGTCGTGCCTCAGCCACGCTAGTGAAGAAACATGGAATCCCGAACGCTGGCCCGTCTGTGTTGCTGACGAGATCCAACGCAAGGGCCGGGGCCTGCTCCCCAAACATAGTGGACTGGTAGTCCAGACGAGCAAAGGTACTTGCCAACAACCTCATTCCCAAGGGCCCACAGTCGAGAGAGATTTTCAGTCCAATCTTCCCTTCTTGGGTATTGAATTGAATATCCGGAATTTGCATGGTCGACAAGATGCGAAGTCCTGTCCGGAGATGCGCCAATGCACCCGGCCTATTACCCTGGAGCATCTCCAGGCAGATGAATAACAGACACGCTACCAGGGCCACCTCGCCACAGACTGCATCTGAGGGTCCATTGAGTCGGCTTCGAAGCTGATTCACGGATTTGACATATTGCCTGATGGCGAAGGGACTCTTCGGCTCAAAGAAGCCGGTCATGGTTAGAGAAGGACATTGGCCCCTCGACAAGCGATGCATCGCACCCACAGCCACGGCTGCATGAAAAATCGAGAGCTCGTTGTTGCTCAGTGGAAGTATTATTTGATTCCATAATGTAGAATCGAATCCTCCGGCGATTTCCCGCGCCGTGTGCAGCTTGAAGAAAGCGAAGCTCTCGCCCTCGGCAGTGGATAATGATGGTGTGGATCTCGGTTGGGTCGTTATAATAAGAGGCTTGTCATTATTGCGACGAAGTGTCTGCGGCTGAAGCTTTCTTCTGCCTTTGTTTTTGATTGCTGCGTCTCGGACCGCAGTCGCAGCTAGCTCGTAGCCGTCGCAGGTTCGGCCGGTGGACTCGCACCGGTGGCACCGGGGCCGTATCTCATCACATTTGATTCTTCGGATTCTGCACGGGCGTTAGACAGTATGAATCGTAATCAGAAATAGAAAGCATGTCTCGGTCAAGGGTACTTACCGGCAGGTCCGGCAGCCTGTTCGAGCTCGCCTTTTCCGTGATATCGCAGACATGGAGAACACGGCTCGTAGAACACGGTAGTAGATATCAGCATCATGGTTTCATGAAAGCCTTGCAGTCCCGATATATCCCCAGGCCACATCTCACGTGAAGGTCATCCTGGTCGGGCTGTTGGTGAGCGATGGCGCCGGGGGGCGCATGGGGCCAACACTCAACTGCGCCCGATTGGCTCGTTCGCGAAGGATTTGTTGATGGCCAATCAAATGGGCCTGAAGTATATAAAACGAGGTTCTTTTTTTGGGTTGTCAGTCTTCTCTATGGTCGAATTGCTTGACTGCGACAGACGGGCTGCCTCCAGCAGTCAAATATAAAAACCCCGTTCTGGTCCAGGGAATTTCGAGATGACCCCATCAATTTCCAGTCGAATCCTTCACCATGGCAACTGTAATCCAACTGATTCACATCCACTACCGTGGCAAGTATCTGTCTTTGCTGGACTCGGATGACACCACGCCTATCTACACCGTCAAGGTGTGTCGCGAAGCGCCCCAGATGGAAGTCATTCGACTTAATCGCGACAACAACCACAGTGACAATGGAGACACAGCATTACTGAGCACTGCCTCTTTCAAGACACTCAGCATGGAAGTGACCCTCTCCATCCACGACCATATGGTTATGTTGCGGCGCCCCAACATCTTTTCGCGCACCTACGGCTTCGAGAGCGTGGCTTTGCCAGGCAATACGCTTCTGTGGGAGGCGGATGGGTCCTTGTCAGGCGACTTCAAGCTCGTGAATAGGAGCAATCACCAGGTCCTGTCCCGATTCCGGAACAAGGTATTCTCAACGACAGAGGTCGGGTCGTTCGAGATGGTGGGCGATCTATCTGCAGAACTAAAGGACGAGATTGTGGTTAGTGGACTGGCAGTGCTGGTCATGGTGCAGAGTTTGAGTCTGGCTGGCATGGTTTTGGTGGGAAGTCCCTAGGGGGAAGTGAGATCTATTTTTTTCGAAGATCTTGCTCTCTTCAAATTGTTGGTTCCTTTTGTAAGGCACACCGGCACGCAGTGGTCTACCTCAGTCAGCATCCGCTCCCTGGGCCGATCTGCGTGATGTGAGTGGACGACGGGAAGTGTATCGGCTGCTCGTCGGCTCAGTGACGTCTCGCTTGTGAGGTTCGGCAGATCGCGCGTTGGCCGAAGGCTGGATTAATAATGCGCGGGGGACTTTTTCGAATGTTATATTTCTCAGTGGAATCAGGTTTTTTTTCTTTCTTTTCTTTTCGAGAATTGTTTCTATTGCTACTACGATTCACTCCTCTCGCTTGAATTGGTATTGTCAAGGTTAGTCGTGTCTTACAATGTGCTCCCTCGCGTTCAGGGCTTTGACGTCATCGTACAACCCATCAATCGAGTGCATTCTGTTAATAAAGACCCTATTTTCTCCTGCAGACAATTGAACAGACTCGCTTTCAACTCATCGCCTTCCTTTCACAATGGCCGACACCCAGATGGAATACACCCGGTAATCCCCGCACCCCGCACCGTGTATGAGTGATGGTATACTGATGGCCAACAGACTCGGGAACTCGGGATTGAAGATCTCCAAGATCATCCTGGGCGCCATGTCCTTCGGCAGCAAGCAATGGCAAGAGTGGGTGCTGGACGAGGAGGAATCATTGCCGCTGATCGAGCACGCCTACAAGCGGGGGATCAACACATGGGACACGGTAAGAAACCATAGCCCATGGGTTTGCAGTAAACAACAACACTATATTCTGACTATATGTCTATTTATGAAAACAGGCAGATGTCTACTCCCACGGCAGATCGGAGGAAATTATCGGCAAAGCCCTGAAAAAGTACAACATCCCACGCAACCGCGTGGTGATCTTGAGCAAGTGCTTTTTCGGCATCGACGACGAGGGGAATTTCCCTGCGATCTCGGCGACTTCACGCAATGACGGCGCCTTTGTCAACCGCGTCGGCCTTTCGCGCAAGCACATCTTCGACGCCGTCGACGCCAGCGTGCAGCGACTGGGCACGTACATCGACGTGCTGCAGATCCACCGACTGGACCGGGAGACGCCGCGTGAAGAGATTATGAAGGCGCTGAATGATTTGGTCGAGAGCGGCAAAGTGCGGTACATTGGAGCCAGCTCGGTAAGGTCTCCCCCCCCATGTCAGTATCGTTGAGGTTGATGAGCGCTGAACCTAGAATAATTGAATTTAGATGGCTGCATGGGAGTTCCAATCCCTCCAGAATATCGCCGCCAAGAATGGCTGGCACCGCTTCATCTCCATGCAAAACTACCACAACCTCATCGCACGCGAGGAAGAGCGCGAGATGATCCCCTACTGCCAGGACAGCGGCGTCGGACTGATCCCGTGGTCGCCGATCGCACGCGGTGCGCTGGCTCGCCCGTGGGGCTCGCGCTCCACTGTGCGCGAGAACACGGATGGCGCGCTCAAGTTTCTCGTGCGCAGCCGCGAGACCGAGGCCGACAAGGCGATTGTCGATCGCGTTGAGGAGCTTGCGAAGAAGAAGGGCGTGGCCATGGCGCAGGTTGCGCTGGCTTGGACGCTGAGCCACCCGAATGAGTGCCCGATTGTTGGACTGAATAGCGCGGCTCGCATCGATGAGACGGTTGCTAGTTTGAAGGTTAAGTTGTCGGCTGAGGAGATTCGGTACTTGGAGGAACCGTATGTGCCCAAGGCTGTTACTGCGCTGGAGCGGTAGAGCTGAGCTGATATGGGGGTGGTGATGCTGGGACAAGTTGATGTCGACTTCTTTCCTTTACGACCTTGTGAATAACTGCACTCCGCTGTGGTGTCTGTTTATTGCTTTTCCTCGAACTCCAACCAATTTGGACATTTGGAGAAAGTGGATTTGACTACAAATGCCAAGCTCCATCCCCACGTCGTTGGAAATTAATCCTCGTAGCTGTTCGGTTGTGGAGGCAGTGCTCGTATTGCATTTGCAGCACAAAGTACCAAAAGAATATAAAACCGAGTCCCTGCTTGTGTCCAACATATGAAACACATATCTCAGCTAAACACACATTCACGTCCTCGACAACACAAGATGACCTCGCATCCATACCTGGAGGTAGAAAAGCCCTCCCGACCAGCAAGCCAAAGCTCCGCCGAACTATCCACATACAGCGACACCACAGCGACAACACTCCAAGGTTCCCGGCTGTTCCACGTCCACCACCAAAGACGCAAGCTCGACTTCGCCATTTCCACCGAGTCCAAGATCCCACTAGCCTACGTGCGCTGCTCATCCTTTACAATCGGCAAACCAGACCTCACCTACCACGCAGGCGCAACAGAAGACGCCCCAATCACAGCGGTATGCAAATTCATCAATTTCTCACGGCACTGCAAAGTAGGGCTCGGCGATCCCGCTGACCCGAATATCGCCTGGGAAGATCTGATCCGCCATAAGCTCACAACGCACTATCGCTTTGAGATCTCGCTGGGCGATGCCGGCGAGCGCAGGGCGTTTGTCTGGAAGCGGACGAATAGTGTTGGGATTGGGGGGAAACGCCGTCGAGGGTTGGATCGAGGAATTTCAAGTTGCTGGATGAATGCTCTGGGGAATTGGTTGCGGTTTACTTGAATAATGGGGCCAAGAGCTGGTCGAAGTGTGGCAAGTTTCAGATTAATGTTGATTATGGGGGTGTTTTTGATACTGTCGTTTTTATTACTGGGTTGGCGCTCCTGGAGAAGGAGCGGCGGCGTGCGCGGAGTCAGTCCGGGGGTGGAGGTGGTGATTGATCCATATCCATGGTATTGTCTCGACGTGTTGCCCGAGCACAGTATATTGTTGGCAATATCAAATTTGGGATCTTCGAGTGTTCTAATCTTCTCATTCTTCTCTCTATCCAACTAAAAACGGGTGCTCGAGGAGCGCAGCAGCGGATGGTCGGTCCTGTGGATTCTCCTGCAACATTGACCAAAGGAAATGGACGAGCTGTTCGACGCTTTCTGTGCCAAAGTCACTCGGCAGCCTCTCCTCAAGATAGACCGCAAAGCTATCACTCCCACCCTCGATGAATGTGTGTAACCGGGATATCAAAAGCTGATGTATTTCATCAGCTGTGCAGCCAAAAGATTCCAGCGGAAAGAGTGGTTCGTTCGTGGCAAGTTGAAATATCTAGCACCATGTTAGATTGGTACAATCATATCATAGTGGGAAGTATACCAAGCAGCCAAGAGTCCATATGTCAATCTTCTCGTTCCATGGGCATTTTTCGAGTAGCTCGGGTGCCCTCAAAGCAGTGGGTGTCACCGGAAGAGAGTCATACTGGCCGCTCCACATAGCTATCATAGCAATCAGTACCTCATATTCCTTTATCGTTAAAAATAATCTCACCTCCGCCCAGATCTCCGATCTTGACTGTAAGTGCCGAGAATACGGCATTGTCAAGCATTCCGCGGGGCCGTTGTGAAACCACAAGATACTGGGGAGCGCTGTTATCAATTTGGATTTTTGGGAGCCAATTGACAGGACTGAGTTCGGGTTCCATTAGAATGTCGCTGGAGAGGTCACAGTCATCAGAAAATAAAATGTTCGCTGGCTGCAGGTCTATGAAGAAATCAGTCTTGAAATACTCTGAATATAGTTCCTATGATATATACCTCCATGAATCAAGCCTTGATCATGAATAAACTCCAATCCTTGTAGTATCTGCTTGGAAAAAACTTCCTGGACATAACCCGCGCAGCGTGGCTTTCGTTGACAAGTCATCGAATCACCATCAGACAGCATAACCGGGAACACAAGACAGAGGTGCAAGCCATTTGGCCCTTTATGTTCAAAATGGTCTATCAAGGGCACGACATTGTTGTGGCCTGGATGGTGTAGATCTGATTTCGATAGACGAAGAAGAATTGAAAGTTCCCTGCTGTCATTTGAGGCCTCGGCTTTGAGAATCTTCAAGGTAACGTATCTTTGAAGTCTGGAGGGTAGGAAAGCATAAGTCTTGATGCATAGGGGATATCAGGTAGAGACAGGATGCTCACCTCTGGTCTCTGGCAAGCCAAACTGTGGAAAATTGGCCAAATGCCCACTTTCCAATAATCTGATACCTGTGGTGAAAAACGTCATGGAGGTGAACCGGATGATAACCTCCAGCACGATACTCCTCCACAGGTTCGACGACATCATAGATTCGCTCAAACCGACGCGTCTTGAGGCATTAGAATTAGTGGGATATCGGAATCAAGAACGAGTCGGTGATCTCTTGAAAAAAGCGGTCGCAAGGGGAGTCGGTTCATCTTGGTCATGTGATACATTTGACTCGCGCCCTCTAAGTATATCCCAAGGCCCCCTTCAGCGCTTGTTTGTAATTCTCGGCGGCAGCTGTTCCCTTGTGACATAGTTCTTGTCCTATTTCTGGGATTTAAAATGACGTTGAGAACTCGTGGCGGTTACGCTAACCTGGGCCCGGATAAAGGGCTTCTTCCCCAGGCGCCAGCTAGTTTCATCGTAGACTTAGTGCCAAATCAGAATTGACACATGATGGCCAACGGATCTTGTGGTTTATGCGCTCGTGAAATCAGCAACGATGTAGCCAAACACTGTTTAAGAACACTATAGTGTTGCCCTCATTTCACTCAACACTTGTAACTTGGCAATCAAATCTCTTGTTTCTTGCCACAGATTCGGGCACGATATCTGTTGCTATATTCTTCATTATGGTGTTGCCCGTTGAATTCGAGCCGCCGACCATGTACTCCACCCAGCCCAACACAAGGGCTGAATTTGAACGGCTTGTCAGAGCCCATCACCAAGCCAATCTGTTGGGGAAAGATGGGAGAATATATGACAAAGCCGTTGTGATGTGAGAGATATTTATACTTGATATGAATTTCTTCCTCGCTGACAGTTTACAAGATGCAACTTCCACACGAGTAGCCGTAGCGGCGACCCGGCGGAACACTGCACCGTGGAATACCACGCTGGGGGAGGTGTGAAGGTGCAACACATTTACCGCGGTTAATCCGGCAATTGCGATGCGAAGGCTTCATGTCCAGTCAGTCACATTGATCCAGGATATTTCGACTTCAAATTCCTAACTGGGAGTTGGGTAACTTGCAGGTTTCACAATTCCGATGTCAATGACACAACCTAGCGGGTAGATTTCGAATTTCTTTTTTTTCTGGGCCTTGTTGTGTATATATATATATATATATCTCTTCCAGAAGTTGAGGAGCCATCACAAGAATACGAGGGGAACTATGGGGATTCAATCTGAGAAGATCCGCAGCATCGTGCTTTGTTATGTACAAGATAAGCTTCATGCAACTTTACCTCGAAAGAATTTATTGGAGACAAGAGCAAATGAGCCTCCATTTTCGTTGTAGTCGTTCCTTCGGTGTGATACATGAGTCCGATCCCGACACTCTTGACTCGCTGAAGAAGAGACGCCTGTGTCTCAAAATAAGGCTCTAATTTATTCAAATAAAGGGGGGTGAAAAGGCAAGATGGTAATCTTCCATTTCGGGGGGCCGAAAGTCGCCGTGCTCGCTGAGGAAGAGATGGTGGTGGATTTGGATAGGGCGGTTAACAGGGCGGCTGGCATGCGTTGAGGATACACGGCACCGGCGAGGTCAAGCGAGCCGGAAGTGTTTGTAGCTATGGAGGCGAATTCAGCTTCGAGGATCCAGCGCCACAGTCCCCCCCCCCCGTGTCTTGGTGAGTTTTCTCCGAATCGAGCGAGATTCCATATGGTGACCCGCAGAATCCCCTCATGAACACCAAGATCAATTTGGAAACTGGTGCATGGGCCTTTTTTTCTTCGGTCAAGAGGAAAACTCTGCACCGAACCCCTATAGTCTTCGAGATAGGGGTTCACCTTGATTGTAATATCTTTCGCAATTAGGAAATAGAACCACAGCCTTGTCTTAACTATTCGATTGAATTTCATGGGTTTTGTCTTTCAAGCGCTCTAGCTCTATTCTTTCCACTCCTTTTTTCTCTTCCCTGGCTCTCTTTTCCCGTCTAGTTCGCCAATGACATATCCCGATCTGACATCTCGGGAATGAGTCCACCGCCAAACCCTAACTCTCGGAGCTGCCCCAGAGCGGCTGCAAACTGCACCGATCGAGATTGGAGCTGGTATTATCTTGGCGGATGTCGATCTCAGTCTCTTGAGCTCGCCATTCCCTCCATCTCAGCCGATCCCTACTCGATATCGGCTAGTTTTCTTTGCGATATCGATACTCTGGAGACTCCTATTTGTCTTGGCTGGAACCCATATATACACAAATAAGCAGAGAACCCAAATAATGGGATCTGCAGAATCCACGGGGAATGATTCGCTTGGGACCAAGCTAATTAATAGGTAGTTCGAGTGTGTGTTGTTCTCGCATCTGGATGTGTTGTTTCTCTCTCGCGTTCACTCTCTGTCGCTGTCACTCTTTGATCTTCATCCAAATCAGTCTCTCATTTGCCATTTTTTTTTTAAAAAAAATAAAAACAAAAATTCGGGGTAAACCCTGTCTGTCACTCCTTATACCAATTTCCACCTCCTACTCACCATGCGCTCTTTCACTTCCATCGCCTCCGGGCTGATCCTCGCGGCCTCTGCCTACGCCGTCGACCCCGCTGCCGTCTACACGGCCGGCCACAACTCATCCAGCAACAACGTCCAGTTGCGCATTGGCAATGGCGGTGCCGGCCAGAGCGGCCTGATCGAGGGTAAGCCTGCACCCGAACTATGGACCATGTCCACTGCACCCCACATGATCTATGACTATTTAAAGGGAAAAAAAAAAGGACAAGCTCATATATCTGCCAGTCCTCGCCAACGCCTTCATCAAATCCAGCATGCGCAACGGCTCCGACCCCTTCGCCGTGGCCTGGTACAAGTCCGACACCACGGAGTCGATCAACTACCTCAAGGACGACACCATCGACGTCGGCATCACGTACACGCCAGCGGCTGAGCAGATCGCCATCAAGAAGGGCATCGCCAAGAGCCCGGCCTGGTACGCATGGCGCGACCATTTCCTCTTGGTCGGTCCGTCGTCCAACCCGGCCAAGCTGAACAAGCGCGACGACGTCAAGACCATGTTCTCGGATATCTATACCACCGCCGAGCAGGGGACGTCGGACCCGCCCGTGCGGTTCTTGACGCGGTATGATAAGTCGGCGACGAATATTAAGGATTCGCAGTTGTGGATTGATATTGGGCAGGTGAGGAACACATTACTTATCTTTTGCTGAGTATATCTTCAGTAGAGTAGATATTCTACTGGAGATCTATCTCTATGGATAATCAGACTAATGCTGATAATAATAATAGGTCCCCTGGGCAACTGCCTACTCGAAATGGTACCACCAATACATCGCCTATCCAATCCAAGCCCTGACCGCCGCCATCCTCCTGAAAGAATACTCCATCACCGACCGCGGCACCTACCTCTCCATCCCGGTCTCGCTCCAGAACCAGACCACCATCTACAAGGCCGCCACCGATGACGCCGCCGACCCGCTCCTCAACCCGGCGCACCTGCTCGTCGGCAAGAAGCCCAAGAACGAGAAGATGGCTGACAAGTTCGCGGGCTGGATTGTCAGTGCGGAGGGCCAGAAGGCTATTACTGGTTTTAAGAAGGGTGGACATCAGCTTTACACTGCTGCGCCGGCTAACAAGACTGCTCAGTTTTGATCTCAGTTCTGATTTGAAGGGTGGAAAGGCTGGGCTGGATGTGTTGTTTTTGTTGTGGTCTCTTAACCTTTAGCTGTGGGACTGGCTGATCCCTGCTTTCGTTCTGATATAGATATTATGTTTAATTTTTGCTGTTTAATTTTCTCTCAACTCCCTTGCTTCAGATTAGTACTACAAATACTTGGAATGCCAAGTTCTATCATGTTAGATGTACATCTATCAATGGGTATCCATTCATGTGATTGTCATAAAATAGATGGCTAGGACATGATGCACAATGCGAATGCGAATAAGAAGAAAAAGGAGAGTTGAGATAGGCGCAGGGTAGAAAAAAAAAGTAGGTGGAAGGTGGAAGGAGGAAAAGCCCAAGGAAATTCGTGCCAGCCGAATTCAGTCCAAATGCAAAACACCCAGCCCAGATGCGAGAGATCCAAGATAATGTTAGAAATTACATGCGGGTCTGGCCGCTGACACGATGCAAGAGGAATTATACATAGGAACGGTGGTGAGAGGGGTGGGAGAGGCCGAACAAGACCTCTTCAATGCGCGTCGTTTTTCCGACTGAAGATGGCAAGAAGTGAACTAAGCCGGTGGCGTCGTTTGCCCTTTGCTGCGCCCGAATTGGGTCCCTCGGAACTGGAAGGCTCTGCATCCCCGCGACGAGGGGGTTGCGCATGTCGAACATGGCGGTTCTCGGCGTGTGGGCCTGCAACTGCTCGATCGGGCTCTGGGCTCTGCTTGACGTTTTTCGTGTCGAGCTTCGCTTGGGGTTTGGACTTGGTTTTGTCGGTGTTATTTGGTGATTCTTCCGGGTCAATCGAGTTCTGGCGCAACGAGGTAGGACGGGAAACAACAATGTCGCGACCATGCTCGCCCGACCCGGTCAACATGCTGTGCCGATTCAGTCGGCTGCCTGTTCCCGAGGCGCTGCGCCGTTTGACACGGTCCATGAAGGCGGCTCCCGTTGAATTGGAGCGCTTCGAAAGGCTACCAATTGGAGTAGGCTTTGCCTGCTCCGAAGGCGCCAGGGTATTGGCACGTCGGATGCTTGATATTGACATGCAGCGTTTGCCCCCATTGGCAGGCTCCTTGACTGGACTCGTCGTGTCATGCTCGGCCAAGGCGTCCTTTTCAGTCTTTGCCGTGGTTGGAGAGCTGTGTTTCGAGGTCGCTGGGGAAGCAGCCGATTTCGTCTGACAGGTAGAGACAGGGTCGCCGTAGCTGAAGTTATGTGACCAGCCCTCACGGAACGCAACCCAGATCCCGGTAATGATAATTAACGTCCGCAGTCCATCATCGAGGGTGACCGCGTTGGGATTCACCGGCGCATCCAGGTCAGAGACGTCGCTGGCAACAGACATGCCCGAGTTCGGAGTCGTGGGCCCTCCACTGGAGCGAGGCGCGGTAGAATACTGATCGTACACTTCGAGCTGATTGCGAGTCATCGATGCGATGACCGGATGCCGGCGCGTGTGCGGATCAATAATGCTGAATGTAAACCGCTTGGGGTCCTCGCTCGGCTGCGTTCCCGGGGTCGCAGAGACGCGTCGATTTTTGCCTCCGCGCAAAGCCCATCTCATCACCTGCACGCCATGGTCGGTGTGGGCCACGAACTCGTAAGATCCGCTGGCAAGAGGCGTGGCCTCCCACACGGGCCCGAAATTCAGACAGATCTCCGCCTTCCCCTTCAGCCGGGCATCTTCTTGCAGCAGCTGACAGATTGTAGCCACCACCTCCCGGTGTTCTTCGTCTTCGTCTTCCGAGCTCCCACCGTTTTCGGGGATCTTGGACACCGTGCGCTCGTACAGCTCACTCATCACGATAATCAAGTCGTTGGGCCCCAGCCCATTCTTGCCGCGGAACATGGCCGGGAATTTGCGCGCTAACCGGGGTAGATACAGCGTCGACGGCAAGATATCGAGGATGGGCAGGGGCCGCGGTGTTTGCGACACCTGCTGTAGCTGCAGCAGCAACTTGGGCCGGAGCCTCAATCGCTTGTGGCGCGCGTGTGCGGCAGGATGAGCGAACTGGTAGGAGGTTTTGGGCCGCGATGATTTCCGGGTAGAATACGAGATGGCCCGAGGGTGGGCGCGCAGCTTGGTCGGCAGGGCCATTACCTTGGACGTGTTCTCCCCACTTGATTCCGACACAATCGGGCTCATAGCCATATCGGATGCGGACCTTGTAGGGTGTGTAGGACCATCGGGGTGTTTAGATCGGTTATAGAATGTACCCAATACCGGCAGTGCAGACAGAGAGAAGGTGGAATAGGGAGTGGAAGTCGGAGATGGTTGTGATTCTGTCTGGCTGCTGTTGCTAGGCGCTTCGTTTGTATGAGCTGCTGCGGCATCCGCGGTCAGGCCAAGATTCAACAGCATTCTTGGGACCCTAGCGGAGCCACATTGGTCTGTTGGACAAACCCGCGACTTGCGGTGGGGGTTTATAGGATGCCCGAGGTTCACGACCAAGACATCAAGGACCGCGTTCAACGCGTCAGCTGTGGGAGGGACGCAACCAAAGAGCGTCGGAGAGGGGTGCTGCAGGCACCGTGCGTATGCGCAGTGGACAAAAGAAGAACAAGAAAAAGAAACAAATCAAGGACTACAGCTGGACTTGGAGGCGGGAGTCGAATCGGGAAGCGTGACCTGCACGATAATAAGAAAAAAAGAAAAAAGAAAAAAAGGACGTATAGCTCACAGAGGCTGGCGAATGCAAGGGGGGAAAAGGAGTGGAAGGGATGAAGGGTATGTCAGAGAGGGCGAGAGGGCGAGAGTGCGAGAGTAAGAGTGTCAGATTGTATCCGAGGGGCGGTCAGCCTTATGAAAGCTGATTTTAATGAAAAGAAGAGAAAGTGGATTTCATCGGCATCGGTCATCGCAGACTCCGATCCGGATCATCACAGCTCGAACGTCATGGTGGCACTTTTGCCTATTGTAGTGGCTTGGTATTCTTGGCACTAGAGGTGAATAATTTCATAATTTCAGTACAAATAATAAATCATATCATGAATGGCGTACAAGGAGGGTCCAGTACCGAACTTGCCAGTGGGGGCTGTCACGTTCGCAGGCAGACTTTTTCTTCGATTTCGCAAAAACCAGAACTATGATAAATAATATAATATGTTTAGTCAAATATATCTAGTAAAAGTATATCTAGTAAGATATATTTAGTACAATAATAATCAACTACCCAGACTCAGATCAGTATGTGGGAGTGCCTGAAATACTAGAAAGACTAGAAAAGAGACTCTCTCGGCTGGAATCGGATTGATGCGCCGATCTCCTGAACCGCACAACTTTATTTGGTGATTTTCTTTTTTTTTTTTTTTTCTGTTCTGTTTTCTTCTGTTCCTTCAACCTTGGTCTGGCCGTCTGAGTCATGATCAGCCTAAAACGCCTAGTGCTGATAGTGGTGGACTAAATCCAGCAAACTCTGCGAACCTACCAGCTTCGTAGGGCTGAAATGCTCGGGAGCGCGTTCCAAGGACCCAACCCGTGCGTCATGACTGTTTATATATCGGTGGGGTGCTCTGGAATTTATGTACAAATCCACTGTCAACAAACAAGGTCTCTTCAAATTTTGTCGAGTATCGATTGAATGATCATAATAGAAAGACCGAAGTATACAGAGAACACACAAGGCCCTCACGAGTGCCCAGCGACTTCTCGGCATCCGGTCCTGCCGTGCCGCTGACTAATTATGCATTTTGTGCGGGGCGCGTGACTCCAGGGTCTTGCCGAGGTTGATGGTTGCTGGCATAACTGCATAACCTGGTCTTCGATTGTTCATTTTGTGGGTTTCTTCGAAAAACACGCCACACCCCCATTGAAGTGGTCGTGATGAGCTCGAGATTGTTTTCTTCTGCAAAGCTCCTCCGTCTGGACAATCCCATTAGAAGCCTAACGGTCGCGTTCTGGCTATGGAAGGCTCTTTTATTTGTCGCCATCACGGCTTGTCCAGGCTCCGGCTATGACACGTCCACCACGCTGATCCCCTATGAAGCTTCGGGTCCAGCACTTTCCGCAGGACCCGAGCCGCTATCGGGGCCATTGAAGTTTGTCCGATGGGACTCCATTTACTACCTGCATGTCGCCCAAACAGGTTATGTTTTTGAACAGGAATGGGCCTTTGGCTGGGGCTACACCAAGCTGTTGGACCTGTTCATCTCTGGTATTCATCTCTGTGACTCTCCCCATCTTTCTCTGCGGTGAATTGACCATCCTCAACAGGAATACGTCTTTCGGGGGGGCTAGGTGGGCCGGCTAACACAGCCCTGGTAGCCGTGGTGCTCTCCCATGTCGCGCACTACCTGTCTGTCTTGGCTCTTTACCGTCTCTCGGCCAATATCTTTGGCCAGGCCACAATCACCCAGGAACTCTTCTGTTTTTTGTCGGCGGGCCTTCACATCGTCTCTCCCGCCGGGGCATTTCTCTCAGCCCCGTACGGGGAATCCATCGTCTCCATCTTGAATTTCTCTGGCTATTACCTCTACTCGTCCTCGCTGATTGCGGAGCGTGATGGCGCGACGAGATCCCGGGATGCCCGCGTTCTCACGGCCGCGGCGCTATTCGCGATCGCGACCATGGTTCGTAGCAACGGCATCCTGAGCGGGTTTTTGTTTGCCTATGATGCGTGTGTGCTCGCTTGGGGAACCTTGACGCAGGGCCCATCGATTCACAACACACTCCGCCTCGTTGTGATAGTCCTCGGCGGTTGTATTGTGGCTTCGGGGATGGTCATCCCCCAACTACTGGCTTACCGCACATACTGCATGCCCGACGCGGGTTCACGGCCCTGGTGTGGATGGACAGTCCCGAGTATATATGGCTGGGTCCAGGAACGTTATTGGTAAGTGTTAGCAGCGGTCATGTCTGCGGTATAATTGGCACTAACACTGGGCCAGGAATGTTGGGTTTTTAAAATACTGGACCATCTCCAATCTGCCTCTCTTCCTTCTCGCGGGGCCCATGCTGTTCATCCTCTGCAAGTCTTCCCTATGGGCCATCCAGGCTCCCTCGATGTTACATCCGACTCCTGGCAAGAAGTCTACGGCACCAATCGGCCCTGGGTCCATGCTATTCCGCCTGGCAGTTCCCCAGGGACTGCTGGCAGTGATGGCCTTGACCAGCTATCATGTCCAGATCATTAACCGGATCTCATCTGGGTATCCGGTGTGGTATTGGTATCTGGCCTCTTGTGCCGTAGACAGCATCCGAGGTCTTCCTAAGCATAGCCAGGGCCTGGCAATTGCAGTACAAGGTATGGTGGCGTATGCGCTGGTCCAGGGGGTTCTATTTGGTTCTTTTCTGCCCCCAGCATGAGGCTTTGTCTAGGCGAAGTGATCTTGCATAGTGTGGGCCTGTTGCATGTCTTCCATGACCACATCGGCCCACCAAATCCAGTCCTCATGGTCGCAGTAAATATTTTCTAAACTCTCCCAAAAATAGTATATTATTTGTAATATCACCTGTGAGGTCAACTAGCAAAAACAAAGTCTGTGGGGATGTTGATGACGCAGGGTCCAACGACCATTAGATATGGGGACCCAAGCCATACACGGCGGAGTCCACGTCAGTGTGTCTGCCTACCTGCACTTCAGTACTTCAATACTTCAAGTTCCTGCGCCAGATATACGGCAGACAATGGTCGCTACGCCGTAAACTCTGTCCTTATAAATGCCAGGTCACCTCACCCGACTCCCACGTTCCGGTTGTCCGTTCTCAACTCGACTTTCTCTGACCTTGAAGCTGTTACGTGGAATTATGTCATCCAAGCCACCATCCATGGATTTCTCCTCTTGAGCCTGGATCTTTCTTCTTTTGTCTGCCTTTTGTCTGCCTTCGAGTGCTGTGACCATCGGCCAGATTACTAACATCGTCGACTTCCCTGACCCACCAAAGCTTCGCCCTGTGGTCGCTTAGAGTACCCGCCGTCAACCTCATGCGAAGGTTGTGTGCAACGCTCTCTCCGGCCTCAACTTCCGCCCCCCTTGGAGTGGAAAACCCGAGTTTCGTGGTTGATGTATGTTTCTCCTTTCCATCGTTGGGTGTACTTGGTGACCGAAGATTGCTGACGTATTGATTTCACAGCTCGCCTGACGTCCACGGCAACTCCTCTCATCACTCCACGTCGTGTTCCTCGACCACCCTCCCTCCCCTCTACCCTCCCTCCGATCATGGACGCCTCTGCCCCCAAGGCGATTCTCACATCCGACAATTTCAACCATGCACAAGAGATCTCCCGGGCCACCTCACCCGGTGGGGAGCCCGCAGCGCTCAACGGCGAGGGTGAGCCAAAAGCCCGCGTTCGTCCTCGAACCTACCCATACTTCCAATACCTCCCATATCAGCCTGAAGGAGAAGCAGACCGAGAACGGAATCTTCGAGAGATCTTAAACCAACTGTACATCTCCGTGGAGGCGGGAGATTTCAGTCCCGGGGCCGTGCACTGGACACGCGAGCTTCGCGGATGGTTGTCGCTCAAGTTTGATCCGACTCGCAAGGAGCGCATCAACCTTGTCAAGCTCTATTATGAATTGTCGCTAGCTCCCGGGATCGATCCCGCCGTCGCGGAGCGATTTGCAAGCATGTTCATGTTGCTGACCAAGTGAGCCGAATTACCCCAATGCCTGGACGTGTGTCTGAGGATGTTAACCCGTGGTACAGGCGGAAGCACTACTTGAGGCCGGTCAAGGACCTGGTTTTGGATTGGAAGCCCCTCTACAAAGAGCTGAAGGCCTTTGTACTCCCCACCGAGTCCGGTCTGGTTCACTCGACCAACCTCAAGCGGAACGTCAAGACATTGACAAAGCTATGTGCATTCGCTCAGCTGTTCATCGATCCATGTGAACTTCCGGACATGCTCGAAGAATTCCTTCCTCATTACACCACCTCGTTCTCGGAGGGTGCCTTCGTCGTCGTAGGATTGATCAACCTACTGCTTCCAACGTCGCCTGCACCTGCCTCACGACAGGACCTATTGCCGCAGAACCATCTGCCGACACATTTCCATCTATGGTCATTGGTTGGACGCTCCAAAACCCTTGATATCACGTATCTGGATTACCTCTCTCGATTGGCACGAGACTCCCTGCCAGCCGGTCACATCCCCTTCTCCGAGCATGGTATCTTCACAAAAGAACAGTCATCCCTCATCTTTACCGCGATCCTCAGGCTCTTGGAGATCCCTGTAGGACAGTCCACGTCACCCTACAGCGCTTTGGTGGACATCTCATCCGGTTTGGGTATTATGCTGGACCGGGATTCACGAAAGCACCCAGTTGCCCACCACATTGCCCGATGGATAGTGATGTCTCTCTCTCCTGCGTGCGTGGAGTCGGCAAACTCCATTTTGGTGCAGCTTGAGGGTCTTATCCAGGCCGTCGAGACATTCTTCCACCCTTCGAACTCGGGTGCTTGGACGAAGGCATTGTCGCAGCTGGTCTATTACCTGACCGATTTCTTCGTTATGCGCTGGAACCGCGAACAGAGCGGAGAGATGGAGGTCCCGGCCGAGCGACGACTGAATGAACCGCTGAAGCGTCGCTTTGTGCTGTGTATTCGGGACGTGATCTTCATGGGCATCTACTCCAAGAGCAGCTCCGCCATGACGTTCTCTCTGTCGACTTTGCAGGGACTCGCCTATTTGGAGCCGCATCTGATCCTGCCGGGGGCCTTGCAGAGGATCTATCCTTCTCTACAGGGTCTGGTCGAGGTGCATCGAACAACCTCTTCTCTTCGGGCTATGCAGGTGCTGTCCCGTGTTATTACACGAACGAGAGGTTACCGGTGCCACATGACAACCCTTCTGGGACTTGCATTGCCTGGTATCGATGCCAACGACCTCGAGAAGTCTCTTCACGCCCTTTCCTTCATTCAGTCAGCCTGTTACAATATCCCAATGGTAGATCTGACCAAGGGGAGAGAGGACATCAATTGTAACATGCTTGCGTTGCAGTGGATCACTGGCGAGATGGAGAGAATGGAGGAAGAAGGAGCAGCAGTGCAGTTGAACTACGAAACCGACCTGGATGATGAGACCGAAGAGATGATCCTGCGCTCCTCGACATGTGGATTCGGCGACTTCACGGTCTCTTTCCTCGGTCGCGTCTTCACCCTCCTGGAGAATCTCCCCGATGTCAGTCGAGTGCGCAACGGTTCGCCCGAAGAGAACATCGTCAACACCCTCCCCGCCACATTCATGCCTCTCCTTTCCTCCCTTTCCGAAGAGTATTACGATATCGCCTTGTCAAAGATCGTTGACTTTGTATCCAACCATGTCATCCATCAAGCTCGGGACGCAATGGCCTTTATTTGCAATGCTCTGTGCAAGGTCAACCCCGAGAAAGCTCTGAAGCGCTTCATCCCAGTTTTGACCCAGGCAATTCGTACCGAAATTGAGGATAATGGCGCCGGGTCAACCAGAACCACTGGAACGGACGTTCTCCCTCGCGACCGTGGCTTGGTGTGGAATGTTAGCATGTTGAGTATGTGCGTGGTGCACGTTGGCGATGCCGTGCTGGCCCACCGGAAGGAGCTCTTTGACATTGCACTGTACATGCAACAGAAATGCCGAGGCATTCCGACCGTCCATATTTCCAACTTCATCCATCACCTTCTGCTTAACCTCACGGGAACCTACACCAGTGATTACTCCCTCTATGAACCCCATGTTGTTGCAAACGGCATTCAGCCAGAGCATTGGAGTCATCGAGCCGATGTGTCTGGGTTGAACGTTAAGTGGCATGTACCGAAGCACGAGGAGCTCGAGTTTGCGGTTGATGTGTTCAAAAGTCAAGCGGAATCAGCCTTGAAGCAACTGTCCGCGCTGACCCATGAGACATCGACTGTCAAACGCGATGGAAGCGGAAAGGAATGGTCGGATGAAGTCACTCGCAACCTTGTGCTTTTGCGACTGCTTCTCTCCGGTATTTCTGTGCTCTTCGATCCCAAGGCTGCATCGGTTACCACCAAAGAAATTTCAAATGGTGCTTCCGCTGCTTCCAGCGATTTTGAAATGGTGGACGACCCGACCCTGTCCAATGGCGCTGAAAACAACGATACCGATGCATCTCTAGACGTTTCAGACGAGGCCACGGTCAGAGAGGCCTTCCCGTATCCAACTGGGTATCCCCTGCAAGAGACTGACCCGCTGCACGCCACTATTCATGAGATTCGCGAGCAAGCCGGCTGGGTTCTGCATGACGTGCACCGGTTCCTGAGCGATAAACAAGAGGATGATGTGCCGTGCTTCGCGGCTTTGTACTCTGCTTTCAGATCTTTTTTCATTGATGTGGGCATCGAAAGATCTGCTCATGTCTTGGACCGAGTCACACGGCTTTTGGCAGCAGACATTCATCCGTACAAAATGAGTGGCATTAGGAAAGATTACCCGAGGGCTTTGCTAGTGCGCAGAGCCAATGTGTATCACCTGCAACGCCTTCGGCACAATGCTGCCCCGCGACCTCGGTCCAAGCTTGACGAGATTCTCCTCCTGGACTTGGCTGAATCTTGCGTGTCTTTGTACACCGAGACGCGCCGCAGTGCTCAAAACGCTGCTGAATCAGCCTTCAAGGCTGTCTGGGGTTCGCGCCTTCTTGTTATCCCTCCCCTCCTTAAGGCCCTGCAGAAGGGTGTCAAAGAGAATGACCATGCCCGCATCAAGGGAGCATTATTCTCGTTGCTCCTGAGTAGCGTTGCCAAGGCCGTCGGGCGCCATTGGAGATTTGCCCCGACACTCATCAAGACTTTCATTGACGCTAGTGCTGTTGACAAGCCTTCCGTGCAGAAGATCTGCTCGGGTGCTGTGTTCCAAGTGATGGACTACGGCCGCTCCATGGAGCGAATGGCTATTTTGGACCCAGAGATTGTGCAAGCACTCGCTCCTAGTGGGGATGTTGGACAGGAGATCGAACAGAGACACAAGGGTATCACGCACAGGCGCGCTGTCGTCGAGAAAAAGAAGGCCAAACTGGCCGAGGAGCTGGTCAATTTGGCGCGAGTGTCTCATTGGAAAATTGCCAGCCGCGCAGCCACAATTGTCATCACCATGGGCCTCCGGTTTGACTATGTCGCCAGTGAGAACCTGATCGAGTTGGTGACTTCAGGGTCGATTGATGATCACCCAGGCCTGCGTGGCATGTACTCCCAGGCACTCATTGCATTGTTCACCATGATCGATGTTCGGGCCATCTGCGGTCATGAGTACCGGAACTACATTCTCGGACACCAGAATTTCCCATCGAAGATCAAGGTGACAACCAAACCATATGAGAAAGGGTGGACTAGCGAATACTTGTCCAGCTTTGCGAACCCTGATGCTCAATACTATATCGACCACGATTTCCCAGGGTGGCTTGTATGGGCCAAGACGATGCCCGCATACAAGTCCAACGTGAAACGCGACATGGAGTATGATGAGGTCGAGTGGAAGGTGCGCACCAAGATGGGCCAATTGTTCACTCGGGAATGGTTTTCCAAGTTCTTTATGTATCTGAAGCAAGAGCCGCGGGACCCATCTGCCGACAAGTTCCGCATGTCTTGTGCCATGATGCTTCTCTACGCATTCGAACTCATGATCCGAGATGGTCTCACGGCTGCCTCTTTCAAGGACATCCAGGAAGAAATCCAAAATGTCTTTGAGGATGGCAGTGATAAGCACCAGCACCGCGCTACCTCGGAGATCCTCGGCGCCCTGATCAGCTCCGTGACAGATACCAGTGTGGAGAACCGAACACTCGTCTGGGAGTATGCATTCCCCATCGTGCGGAAGATCTTCACAGACGGTCTGACGCCGGAGAACTCTGGGTATTGGACAACGTTCCTCCACATGATACTGCAATGTCGGGATCCTCGACGGGCCTGGCCCTTGGTTGACTGGCTCGCCAGCTTCCGTCTGGACATGTCGACGAATGCAGCCTTCAAGGAAAGCTCCAAGATTAACCTCCTCCACCAATGTATCATCGATGCTGGCTGGCATTTCCAGCTCGACAAGCCAATTGTGGACGATTTCCTGGCACATCTAGACCACCCGTATAAGGGTGTGCGAGAGGCCATGGGGCAGACTCTTGCCACTATATCCCGAACACGTTACCACGAGTCGTATCCTGACGTTCAGCAGCTTTTGGATGCTCAAAGGTCATCTTCCTCCGTCGGCACATTCCCCTATCTTCCGTCCGATGATTTCTCGCAGATGGTTCGTGGGGTTTTCAGTCAGATCGAGCAGTGGCGTCAGGCTCGTCCCGCCGGTCAACAGACACCCTCATCCTACACTTCTGGCAGCAAAACGGTTCTACTCTGGCTAGATTCAACCTTGTCTTCCCACGAGTGCACACAGCTTGTTCCATTCTTCCCCGATGTGTTCACGGCGCAGCTTCTTCACATGATGGATGTGAAGGAGGACCCGGAGCTGCAATCCCTCGCCTACCACGTCTTCCGCCATCTCCCCAACATCCCCTATCCCGCCGAGAAGAACTCCGAATTCATCCAATCTCTCATTCGCATTGGACAGACGTCTCCGTCATGGCACCAGCGGTTGCGTGTGATGATCAACATCCAAATCATCTACTTCCGCCGACTGTTCCTGCTGGATCCTGCCGACCGCGATCGGCTCTTCGAGTGCATTGCCTCGATGCTCGAAGATCCCCAGCACGAGGTTCGCGCAGGCGCGTCGGCCACACTCTCCGGCATGATCCGCTGCTCGCCAGTCTTCTTGCGCGACAAGATGGTCAGTCGGTTCCAGGAACGCTTCACAAAGGTTCTGGTGGATAATCCCCTGCCGAAGAAACCCAAGAATCCCCGGTCTGGTGTTTCCTCCGCGGTTTCATCGGGCGCGGGAACCCCCACCCCCGAGCACAGTCGCCTGATTCTTATGCGACACGGCGCCGTGCTTGGTCTTGGTGCTTTGATTCAGGCCTTCCCCTACAACAGCCCTCCGCCTCATTGGATGCCTGAAGCATTGACTTCACTGAGTATCCGTGCCGCCAACGATCCAGGCATCGTTGGCTCGAGCGTCAAATCGATCATCAGTGAATTCAAGAAGACCAGGCAAGATACTTGGCACATCGATGCGAAGGTGAGTTGCTAGTAGCCGACTGCTATTGTTTATTATTTAGGATAATATCTAACTGGCTTCCTTTTTAGGCATTTACCCCAGATCAGCTGGAAGATCTGTCTGGCGTGCTGTGGAAGAGCTACTTTGCCTAAGTGAGGCTCAACTTCACACTCATTTTGAGGTATTTTGCGATCCGATGATCATGCTATCAGTACAGCCAATGGCCCAGGCCCATTTTGACCTGGTTGGTGTACTGCGGAAGTGGACGGATGTACTGTGTCACTATTGTTATCTGGTTGCCGCTCAGGCTGCTCTTTCATCTTGCCTTCGTGTCCATGTTTGTGTTGCACATACCTGGCTTGAATCTGTTCTCGGCGAGGAAAAAAGAAACTCCCAATTTGGCCTTGATAACAATGTTTCTAATGTCTTTTCATTCTGTCTTGTATGTGTAGAATTGGGTTGTAACCACGGGCTCCGGCGGTAGTAACTGTCATCTTGGCTTAAGTTAACCATTTAGATAGAGGATGGATATCTAGGCACTTTTCTTTCTGCTCTAATGATTACTCCGTGACTGTCTCCACTCGTGTATTTCTGGGAGGGCGGCTCGATCAGGAAGAGGACGTTAATACCCGCCAATCACAGGACTTTTTTACTGTATGGCGCCATGTGACTGCCGTCTATTCTATTTATGTCGACATAGGGCCGAATTCAAGCAACGTATAGATGTTGCACAGCGGCCTAACTGCCCTGTCTAGTGAGTATACAGTTTCTTTACTGTAACATTCTCCACAACCCTTTTGTGCGGGTATTCGTAATAGCATGATACTAATAAGGACAAGAAGGCTGTCGTTTCCCCTTGTCGGTCGGGGATATACAAGGCTGCGTATATATGAGCGTATATATGACATCCCCTCTCTAGAGTCGCTGCTTGTAAATGTTCCCCTGGAATTTCATTCTTTTGGTTTTTCATGCTTTGCTTTCTTCCTCTCTCTCTCTCTCTTACTGTGCCTCTTATATTCTATCGCTCTACCACCACTCGCTCACTCACTCACCCTTCTCTTACTTACAACCATTGTGTATATCCTTTTTTTTTCAGTGGTTTATTTCTTTGCCAGCTACCATAAAGCCCTGGATGGCACTTATCACCTCCCCTGTTGTTTTTAATACCAGATCCTTACCCTGGTCATGTCGATGGGCGTGGCTACGCGTGCTTGGGGCTCCTGTCTTTCTTATCACTGTGATACAAATATGGATTTATACCTCGAGACATCGTGACCCGAACCCCATCCGCACGACCTCCCCTCCATTACATCGTCCTGGTATCCTTCGACCGGGTCAGTATGTGGAAACCGAGGATCGGTCTGTCCAGGATAAGGCTGTCGACGAGGGCACGCAGAAGCAAGGTGAGGATATTGATGAGAGGTTCGTTGATCTATTTCATTTCTTTTCAGATTATAATTAGCTTTGTTTTCTTTTCTTTTCTTTTCTTTTTTTTTTCCAACGTGACTTTGATATTGAGTTCATTTTTTTCTCTCATTCTAGGGACAACCGCTTCTACCTCGGCGGCACCCTAACCCTAACCAGCACCTCCCGCGAAGAAGACCCGTCCCACCCGGCTCCACTCATCTACGACCCCTATCCAGCATATAATACCCAGGAATGGAATCGGGAATCCCACGGCCATTTCCAGCCCTGTCTGGGGCCGCGCGGCCGCAACCTAGACCACAACAACCCCGAAGACATGGTCCACGTCTACAAGGGCAGGCAGACTTCATTCCCAGTACCGCGATTCGGGTCCTACGAGGCCCTCGGCCTCGACGGCGATGTATGCACAGATCGCTACTCACGCTACGGGGTCTACGGGTACGAAGAAGACAGCGAAGACGACGTCCCGGGCTTCACGCGCCCGGCCGCTGTGCCCTGGGACGAGGTCGACTGGTACCAGCTGCAGGCCAGCTGCTATGAGCGCAATGCCGGCCGCTATAAGCCCAGAAACGGAATGAACATTTCCATGCAACGGCCCCTCACGATGCCGCTGAATGAGCCGCCTTCTGCAGTTCACCAGGACCAGGAGGGTCAGGAGGGCCAGGAGGAGAAGGAGGAGATGAAGGTGAAGAAAAAGCCTGGTTTCGCGTCGGACATGCGGAAGCGCTTCCATTCTCGCTCTGCTGTGGTGATCCGCGCCTGGCATGATATACAATGGACGCCAGATCACTGCCGGTATCTGCGCTCGTTGATTATGGAGCTGGCCTTGCATTCGGGGGCTGAGTATGAGGTCTTTCTTTTGGTTCACGTCAAGGACGATGAGCTGCCGATCTTTTCGGACCAGGAGACTCTTCTTAAGCTCAAGGAGGCTATTCCGTCCGAGTTTCGCAGTATGGCCCTGTTCTTCAATAACAAACTGCTCGAGGCGTGGTATCCGAAGATTCCTGAGCACAGGTAAGGACATTATAGCCCGAAACTGATAATACCGCGGCATCCTTGCGGTAGCTGTGATGTCTTGTGTTGTTATACTGACACCAGTCTTATAGTCCAATATTCCAGCAACACCAACCCATCCAGATCTTCTCCCAACTTTACCCCAACTTCGACTACATCTGGCAATTCGAGATGGACGGCCGCCTTACAGGACACAGCTACCACTTCCTGGACCGGGCGATCGAATTTGCCAAAAAGCAACCGCGCAAATACCTCTGGGAACGCAACGCATACTTCTACACGCCCGGCGCGCACGGATCCTGGGAGAACTTCACGCAAACCGTCGACGAGCGCCTCCGTAACGTCTCCAACAACACAATCTGGGGCCCGATCCCAGGCACCGGGATCCAGCCACTCGGCCCGGAACCACCAGTCCCGCACCCGGACAACGATAGCTACACCTGGGGCGTCGGTGAAGAAGCCGACATCATCACCTTCCTACCGATCTTCAACCCGCAGGACACGCAGTGGACGTTCCCGGACAAAATCTGGAACTTCGAGTCCGGGCTCGAAACGCCGCGTCGCGCCGCCGTCATCACGATGGGCCGGTACTCGCGGCGGCTGCTGGATCTGATTCACCACGCACAGGCGACGCGCGGGCTGGGGCTGGTCTCAGAGATGACGGGCGTGACGTGGGCGCTGTTTCATGGGCTGAAGGCCGTGCATGTGCCGCATCCTATCTATGTGGATGGACTGTGGTCGCCGCGGGAGCTGGCGCGCATCTATAACCCCGGCACGCCGGAGAATGTCAATGGCGGGCCCGATAGTATCATGAACTGGGATGACCACTTTCATTATATTATGTATCGCCTCTCGTACATGTTTACGAGTCATACCGGCGAGGATCTGTACAGGCGCTGGCTTGGGTATAGGACTGCGGAGCAGGAAGAGGCTGAGAAGAGGGTATGTTTATTTTTCTTTGTTTTCTTTTTCATTCTTCTCTTTTCTTTCTGATGATATCGCTTCTGTTGATCTATATTTTAACGCTTTTCGTGTCTCGCTAACATTTATTCTGCGCAGTCCGAGGAAACGAGCTATGGTCGCCACTGCTTCCCGTCGATATTTCTTCATCCCGTCAAGAACGGGGAAAAAATCATGGGGCCGAACAAGGCAGTTCCGTGATTCGCGATAGGAGGTTATCATGCTAGCATTGCTGGGAATTTAGCTTGTTTCTAGCTATCCGGGCCTGGCAAAATCAGTTTAGATATGGCGCAATGTACAAACAGTGTTTGTGGTCTTTCAGGATAGATGTCTGAGACATAAATCAGCTTCAAATCAATATATTGCCTCGCAAAGAAAACACATCTCTATCACTATCAGGACCGACCACATTCACGAACCAAAAAAAAATAAAAATTAAGTGTAGGCAACTTATGTACTCGAACGGATATGCATGACAATTCGAATAACCAAAACGCAAAGAATAAGCTCGGCCGTCCGCTCTGTATTTTTGGTCTTCTCCATCCCAAGAATGAAAGCATTCCATTTTCATGAATCGTAAAAACACACACCAGTAGGTTAGGAGCATTGGTGCCCCTCTCTATCCCCTTCCATTATACTTCTCATTGAAAGCGTTGACCGCTACGACACATCAGTCAGCACATGGCACGTAATCAGATAAAGATGAATTTAGAGATCTGTACTCACCAACGGCAATTTGCCTGTACAACCAGTTGCGCGCACTCTCATCCTGAACTGGGATGAAAGGCCCATTGGCACCGCCCTTGAGCGTGATGCTCATGCCCGTGCGCTCCTTGGAGATGGTTTGGATATCGGTGAGACGAATGTCCCATTCGGTGGCGAGCTTCTTAGTCCGCACAAGCATGATCCGCGCGTAGGTCAACATGACCAGCATGTCCCGACCAGGGAGTTCCAGATGCGCAATGTAGTCTTCGTTGAAGTACTTGCCATCTTCCGTGGTCTTGAGCCAGAACTGGCCAAGCGCTTCCCGCTGCGAGTACGGGCGAACAATCCCGTCGGTCCCGATGAAACGAGTGAGTCGTACACGGTCGAGACCTTCAGCATCGAAGACTGTGGTGGTGTTGCGAACGCCTTCCGCGAGATCTGTAGGGAGAGGGGGATTTGTTAGTCACAAACTTCTAAAATGGGGGGGTTCTATTTCCACTTACTGGAAGCAAGATCAAACGCGCCAATGGCGGGCTTGGTAGCTAGTCCTAAAACACCTTTTCCGACGCCCTTGAAGAACCCTTGGAGGCCTTCCTTCTCGGCACCTTGCAGCGGATGGCGTGCCAGTCCGCCAATGCCACTGGCCAAGCTGTTCGCGAATGCATTGCCACCGGCCGTGATACCATACAACGCATGCTTAGGGCGGTTGCGAGCCTTGGACATACGACGCTGGTTCTGGAACTCCTTGTCGAGGGTTGCAGCGGTGAGACCCTTGGACATACTTCCGGTGAACTTAGCCATACTGTCCGAGAATCCAAAGACGGATTTTTTGACAAAGCTGGTGGCTCCCTTTGCAATGCCGTAGCCCAGCTCTTGGGGTCGGTCCGTCATCACCAGACCCTGATATGGCTCGTAGAAAATAGCGGCAACACCGGAGCTGACGTTGTTGAAAAGACCGACTGGGTTTCCAAGGAAGTCGGCCGATCCAAGAATGATATGAACCTGGCGCAAGAATTCCTGGGTGTAGTGCGCGCGGACGTTGCTCACTAACCGTCCGAAGGAAACGCGGGCGTTCTCCAGCATCAGAGCATTGAGTCGAACAGGTGCGTCGTTGACGTTACCCATCGACATGGTCATGGCATTGACAAAGAACATGAGCGGGTTGGACGGCTGCATCGCGTCTTCCACATTGACACGCTCAGTCCGCATGAAGGAAATGTCCAGTTGCATGGGCTGCAGATGAAGAAGCTCAAAGTACACATCCTGCCCAGCCTCTGCCTGTTGCGGCTCCGGAATGTTGAGGTCCTCATCGCATAGCTTGCCCTCCTGGGCCTCGGTCCACGACGCGCCCGGGATCTTGACGAAGTCCAGCATAGCGAGGACAAAGTCCTCGTCCAGCTCGAGCGTCATCTGTTGCAGGAGCAATGTCGCATACTTGATGTAGAGAACACCGTACGAGTCATCCTTGACCCTAGTAACCATCACGTGGAAAATCGGGTGGGCTTCCATTTCCTTGCCGGTCTTTGGAACCACACTGGGATACAGCAAGATGGGGAAAATACCACCATACAGCTGGTTGTCGATCTGGATCCACTTGATCGTAGTATTAAGGGTCTGGTACAGCCTCGACTCCCTGTACTTGATCTCAATCTCACGAAATGTGAGATATAGCAGTTCCTTCAGGTTCTGGTTGATCAAAGAAATCCCAATGCCTCCTAGGCGAAGCTGGGCCTTGAAGTTCACATCAGAACTCATTTCCTTGACCTCGAAGCCAGTGTTCGTGCTGGTCTGCGATGATTGCCCATTCCGCTGTTTGTACATGCTCTTTGACGGCTTGAAGTTCGACAGCACAAGCGATTGGGTGGGACCATCGGCAACAATATTGATATCGATGATCTTCTGATATCCACCAGGCTGCGTGGGCGGGATGCGCATCGGAATCAAATTGCCTATCTCAGCAAGCTTGATATGCCGTTCCTTTCCTTGGCAAGTCAACACAAGAGACTTGTTTTTGGTCGCCGGATAGTCCCATGCATAAGGCATGATGCTCCGTGGCGGCAAGCGATACCGAATAGGACGCCAGCCACTGGTCTGGTCGTCCTCGTCATCTTCCACATTCGGATTCTAATCCAATCGATTAGTTTTTTCAGATCACAAACACCGGGGGATGCACTTACGGCTTGGTAGAAGATGAACTCCATATCGCTCTCGTTGCGCATCGAGAAAGGCCAGTTCCGGGTTTCGAAACTGAAGTGCAAGAACAGCGTCGCACCCTCCATGACGACATCCGCCTTGATCAGCTTCTGGCGCTGGTTCGCCTTAGCCAGCTTGACATGGACAGTTCCAACATCGGCAATGTTAAAGGGAGATGACCATTGGTTGTTGACGCCTGGGAAGCACAGACAGAGTTGTTTCTCGGCCACTTGCCGGAGAAAGTGAAGTGGGACCAACTCTCCGCTCTTGATCTGCAGAACATTGGACGAGCCTGGCTCGCGCACCAGAAGATCTTCACTGAGCTTGCTCTTCAGAATGAACCGTGGCGCGATGGTGACCACCTTGGTCAACTTATATTTGCCCTCGCCTTCGACAACAGACACACCGGAATGGAACTCGGATCTGCCTTGTCGGTCGGGGAAGACGACCTCAAAGGTGCTACCGATGGCCTCGAAACTTTGCGGCTTGCTCCACGCAGAATCACCGACCTTCAAGATAGACCGGTTCCGTTGGTCTTCGGTGGCGTATGAATACATGTAGGGGAGTGCGTGGCCACCATCTCTCGGGTCCGCTCTAAGGCCCTGTCCCGCGGCATTTCGCGCAGACTGCAGAAAAGCCTTGCTTTGGATATCCATGGGAAGCCCTGTCTTGTTCAAGACCAGGTATGGACTGTAAACAGAGACCTTGAAAGCACCGCCACTGTCGGGAATGTTGAAGTAATGGAGTTTCAACTTCAGCTGAAGACCCCGCTCATCTTTCAGGGACAGGGTGTGCTCTCTGCGATAGTCCTGAGCATTCCCGTTGACGATGGCGAATTCGCTCTGCCGGAAGACTGTATCTTCCAGGTCAATGCTGAGCAGGAGCAAGTGAGATAGCTCCACGACATGAACAGGGCTGACACCCCCTTTCGCAAGAAGTTTGTCCAGTCCTTCTTCGTATTCTTGTCATATATGCGATACTTGAAGTCGTAGGGCAGCAAGTTTTGAATCTCCACAGGAGCAAAGATCCTGATCCTCATGTAGGGGTAAATGCTTGTAAGCGAGTCCTTGTTATCGTAGGTCGCGTTCACCTGGAAATAGAAGGGCGGTGACTGCTGCCCATTTTCACTGACACACTTGACCGTTCGGGTGGGTCGCCGCATAAGATCCTTCCAAAACAGTTGCTCGTTCGACCAGTCATAACCAAAGCCCTGGTCAGGACGAACGACCACAGAATGAAGGTACGCCGATCCAACTGGCGCTGGTCGGGCATCACCAGGTAGAACCTTCTCAATCTTCAAGAGGTGCCCATCACCGGGGCTGAAGACCCCAAGTTCCACCGGGATCTGCGTATTGTTTTCGACCAGGAGCGGCGAGCGGAAGGTGATATACTTGACGTTGTCGGCGCCCAGCTTGACCTCGACGAGCAGCCGGTGAAGGACATGCTCTTGTTTGGGTTTGAGACTGTAAACAACCTCGCCCTCTCTCACAACAGGGATTCGGCTGATACTGTCAAACCCACTTCCTTCCAGCTTGACCCCTACCACACCGGCATGGCCTTCTGGATTAAGAGTCTCTCGGACAGCCGTTGAATCCTCAAATCGCCATGGGGATTCCTCTCCATCGCTCAATTTCGCTGCCGGTCCATCCTCTCCAGCACTGACATCAGCCCATACCCGAAGGTCAAAGCCAGTGTAGTTGCGAATTCTGTAAGGGGCATCTGCGCCTCTTGGCTTGGAGAGAACGTCTTCATCGGTGGAGAGGAACTGGAAGGACTTGGACGCAAGTGCAATTGTGGCTGATGTCACCGTGAGCTCCATGGTTTTGTGCGAGTAGGCATCAATCGAGAGAACATCTGGGTTAACTTCCTTGGCCATGTGGAAGCCCAGTTGCCATGGCTCAATGAATGGCTCCCAGGACGACTTGGAGAAGTTGTACACATTAAGGAATGTCTCGAAGTTCGTGTCAGCGTTGAGTGTTGATGACCAGTCCCGCACATCCACGTTGAACTTTTTGACACTCCAATCCAGGAGAGGCAGGTCATGCAAGTCACCGATGAGAATGACTCTAACACCGTCGACCTTGGCGGACAACTCCTCGCGCTTGAGAACAGCCGAGCTCTGCGGAGCAATTTTCTTGTCGATGGTCTCGACTGTTTGGCTGACGCGCCGCCGGGTTCTAGTAGCCATAGTCGCAGACGTTTTGCTGGCAGATCGTCCTCTCGTGCCTTTACCATCCGGAAGTTTTTTTGCTTCTCCGCCCTCGATCTGCTGAGTATTTCGAGCCCTCATCTCGGAGGCCTTGTTGACAATTTGGATTGCCATCAAGATGTCTCGCAGCGACAATCGAAGAACCAGTGGCTCGACGTGCACCCCGATCGAAGTCAACGCAGATCCCTTTTCTTGCGGTCGGCTATCCACGGTTATTTCCACGGTGAAATCATCCAGAATTCGGAGCCGGCTGGTCTCAAACTTGTCCATGCGGCACAAAAACATGCCGACCTTTTCGATCTGCAAGGTTGAGACATTCTGGTGGGAAATGAGTATTTCTTTGGTCCCAAGAACGATGGCCTCAGAGTGGGGGATTGCTGGGTTAGCCACCATGATAACTTGGGCGTCAACCAGGTTCACCCGGAAAGACACAGTCGTCGTTCCACCGGCAGCATCTCCACCCGATGCCTCAGTCGTGGTTTGATCACTGTTGGCAGCTGCAACAGATCCTACTTCTGACTCCTCGGGTGTTTCAGAGTCTTCCTCCACGGCTTCAGTCGGTTCGTCGGTAGCAAATGCAGATTGACTGAATGACTGAAGAGCGGACAGATAATCCAGAGCGAACATAATGCGAGGACTATCGATGGTCAACATCGCGATCAGATGCTTGTCAGGCCCTGGAGACATGGAGACGCTAGCCAAGAACTGCTGCTTCACGTCATTGTTGATCAAGGACATTATGTTTCTAAACTTGTTCGTGTCCTGTTTGCGGCTATCTCGAATTGAGAACGAATGGATGAGGAGCTCCGACTCCAGCGACCCATCTGTCAGCATGCGGAGCTTGACTCTGGTGTCATTGAGAGAGAACTTGGATAAGCTAGAGTCCTCCAAGCGACCAACCGGTTGGTTGTCATTTGCCAGGATAAGCTCGAGTCCAACGCTATCAACCTTGAAGATCATATCCAGCCGCACCCATGTTTCCTGGGTTTTGCTGGCATCGGCGGGTGCTCCTTGTGCCTGGACGGCCTTGGAAGTGGCTTCCCTTGTAGGCTCGGTCACAGATGAGGGCAAAGACTCCATAGCCTCGAGCTGTTGCTGTTCGGCATCGGTTGCAAAAGCACCCGGTATCGATTTGGACAGTGCCAGCAAGAACTTGAGTTGACTTTGCGAAATCCGAAGGTTGATAGGAGATAAAGAGCCTTCGACTTCCATATCCGAGCGTGGGTTGTTCGGCTGGTGCTCCGAATAGCATATGCTGAAGTCCAGGTTCACCTTCTGGATCATTTCCAGTTCTTCGGCCCCGCCGTCTTCGAAATGGAACTTTGAGGTGAGGCGGATATTGCGTACACCAGTAGAGATAACATTCACGGCGGGGCTATCCCTAGCATCGTCCATAGGCACAAAGTCATTCTTTGCATAGATCTCACCCAGGTGAGCAGTGATTGTGTCGCGGGGTCTATCATCTGCCATCACTCGTGGGAACACCAAGATAGGAGTCTTAACCACAATGTCGAACCGCATCCGCGAGGCATTCTCCTGCAGCTGGTTGGCCTGGTTCGCTGCGGCCTGGCGAGCGGCATTGAATATGGCTTGCATCTTGCCAAACTTGACAAGGAAGTTGATGATTTTCCGGTAGGGCTCCTCGAGGAAGTTAATCTTGATGGAACCAGATCGCAAGTAGACCTCGGAGTCATATCCGGGGTACGTGTCGCTGTCTGGATCAAAGGTCTCATACTTGAAATCCGCAAAGTTGTCTCCCTCGATGGTCAGCAGACGCCGGACATCAGACTCTTCTGGAGCCCCTAGGTTGACATCGTCAACCAGGGTCAAGCTGCCTATCCGGGACTGGATGACCATAGAGCGGCCCACAAGGAAGATTCCAACATCAGCGGTATTAAGACTCAAAGTCGCCAGGCGAACACCATCATTGTTCAGAACCAAAGCAATACTCTTCAAGTTCGACTTGATCCGAAGCTTCCCGGCTTGTTGGGGCTCCTGCGCCACGTTGGCTGGGCCTTGTATGGCCTTGTCTGGGTGCGCGCTTTCATCAGCCGGTTGTTGAGGGCTTGTAAAGGTATGAAGGATGAAGTCCAAAAGCGTAAGAAGAGTCTTTCTTGTCACGACGAGATTAATTGTCGACACCGATATGTCAAGATTCATGCCCACGCCTTCGTATGTTGATTCGAATTCAGGAGACTCAGGCTTCACCCGAACCATCTTCAGGTGGAAGAGATCTTTGTCTTCGTCGGCGTTGAACCCCTTTGACGAAATAATTCTCTTAAATTCTGGAACTGGGTTCTCCTCGATGTAGTCGTCCACACTCAAAGACTTGAGAATTACCTCGGCAACCATGTCATAAGGGCGCATGTAGTAGTCCAGCTCAAAGCCTTCAGCAACCAGCTCAACCAATAAATGATCCCGTTGCGGATCATTAGAGTCGGAGCGGAAAAGAGAACCACGTAGACAGCCAACGGTAAATTTGAACTCAAAGTCGCGTCGGTGAATGTTCGCCGGAGTATCCAGACTTTTCTGGTTCTGGTCATTGTCCGCTTCGGCTTCCAAATCATCGTCCACAACAGGTAAATCCCGTCGAACTGCAGGTTGAAAAGATGCTGATCTGGCCCTTGTGGCGATTGCCGCTTCTTCTTCCTTGGCCGCAGCCGCAGCCGTTGCTGGGTCAGATGACTGTTTGCCATCGTCAAACTGAGGAATTGCAATATCGATCAGCTTCATGAGGCCTTTGTACTTGGTGTCAGACATGGAAGCATGGAGTTCCGGCAGGTGTCCCGATATGCGTGTCCGGGTAAGTTGCGTCACTTTCGGAACAATGCACATCTCCAGAACAAAATCCACGTTGATGCGATCAATGATATGGAAGTTCTTGGATTCGACAGTAGAGGTGAGTTGTGCTTTCGTCGCCTCAACGCCAGGTCCGATCAAAAGCTGCGTGGAATCGAGCTTGATCAAGAATCGATCATAAAGTAGATGCTCGAGCTGCTTGTAGTCCTCTTCTTCATATTGCCGCTTTTGTTTGGACTGGAGATCCCGCATCGCCTGACGATCGACCAGCTCGCTGTTAACACTGGCGTGACCCGCATCCAGAATTAAGCAGAGTGAGCTTTCTTGGGTGATACTCTCTGGCACAATGATCAAGGGCGCGTGGACATCAAACTGCGCGTCAACCTTCTTGTGCTCCTGCAAAGCAAACTCCAAGCCTGCTCGGGTTTGCTGCCGCAGTCCCTCGACTGTGGCTCCTGCGGTGTCCAAAAGGGCCCCGATCGACTCCATGTGCCGCTCTGGTGGTTCGAAGAACTTGACTATCCCCACAAGGAATCGCGGGTTGTATATAACCTCGATACTCTTCAGCTTGACTTTGACAGCCGAATCGGCATCGCTTTCCAGCGGGTTCTTCTCCAGCTGTAAATGGAAGAGGCTATCTTCATCTTCGATAACATCTGCACTGGTCTGAGAAGCCAGGTCGTCGTCGTCTGTTTGGCCTTTTGCTGACTCGGGGAGCGAATCCTTGACCTTGACAATCTGAGGGTAAAGGCTCCCCGCGGTCGTGCCGTCGTACATCTTCAAGCCTCCGAGGTCTAGATCAAGAAGGTAGGAGTCTGGACGCTGAAGAGCTTTGGCTCGGAAATTGTCGAAAACCAGCTTCATCACTTCGTTTGCTGCTCCGTGTGGATCCTTTTTCAAGGTAAAGCTACCCGCACGAAGACTCCAATTGACTTGAAGCTTGACCCATTCGCGGGGAACGTCAACGCTCTCAGAAAGCGCCTTCTTTTCATCCCAGTCAATGGCGTTATAGAGCTCCTGTCGCTGCTCTTCGGTCATGGCTGTTTCTTCAGACTCCTCCTCCTTGGGTGCGCCCCAGATCCATTCCGACCAGGTTTGTTGGCGCGCAGGCTTTTGAATACCGACATTCTCTTTCCGGAGCTGATTTCGTGCCAGTGATCGCCAGAACCGGATATCCTCGTAGCTGAGTTTCCATTCCAGCCGTTCCAGCTCCTTTTTCTCATCCGGCGTAAAGGCTTCTTCTCGTTTCTGCTTCTTGAAAAAGTTGATGTATGCTATACGGTCATCCCTGCGCTCCTTAATGTAGTCCCACGTCCATCGTCTGTTGCGATCGTGGATTTTGCTGAGGACGGCCTCTCCGGCAAATCGCATCCAAGCACGGGGGTCTTGCTTGGGTGTGACTTTGGGTTGGAAGCGTTTGTACTCTTGGTGACGGATGAAATAGTGGAACAGGTCCACCAGCATCAAGGCATCCCGGTATTGGTTGTCATCCAAAACGAAGCCGAGTTCATCAAACAACAAGCGTGCTTTGACGGCGGGGCGATCATATTTGCCCGATTTATCGAGCTCCAACCCTGCACGCCCACTGACGGGACGAAGCATGAACTGATTTCCTTCGTCGCTGTCGATGGATGTTCGAAGCTTTTCCATGAGGTCGTCATGGCTGATTCCTTGTGCCTCGGCACCAATATCAGACCCTCTTCCAGTTCCCAGAAGAGTCGCATCGGTGTTCCAGTATACGGATAGAGCACCAAGGACGGCCAATTTGTGCGTCGTGCCCGAGGTGGATTGAATGAAGGTTGGGTTCCACTCCGAGTCGGTGCTGACCGCGCTGAGCTCTTTCAACGTCAGACCGACGGCGAACGGATGACCAGGAGAAGCGATTGAGTCTTCGTAGCGGAAATGCACGTTCTTGATCGAGATCTGCAGGTTATCCACCACCGCAGTGACCATGCTCTGAGTAAAGCTCTGGTTCCGCCGCTGCTCTTCCTGGCTCATGCCTTCAGCATTTCGTTCGCGCAGGATCTCGGCGCTCTCAATCTTGTCCATCTTCAACGCGTGCTCTCTCTTTTCTTCTTCCTCCGCGTCATAATCCGCATCTTCCTTCGGGGCTGCGAGCAAGAAGACATCTTCGATATCGACCTTCACGGGTTTCCCTCTCAAATTGGACCATGGGATCGATAATGTGAGCTCACCCAGATGACCCCCGACAACGTTCAAGGGCAGATGGAGCTGGTCGAGTGCCTCCCGACGCAACTCGAGGTTGCGCAGTTTGACATCGCCGGACCAGATTCCGATGTTGAGCTGTTTCGCATCGAAGTTCTTGACGTAGATCCCTAGAAAGCGATTGAGAAGGTTGGCAACCAGGCCTTCTAACATGGTTGCAGGGTGCGGCCAAAGACCGGGCCCGGTGGTTGGGCTCTATGGCCAGGAGGGGATGGCGCTGGGTGCCGCGGATCGTATGATGATCGGTCTAACTCAGGGTGACAACGGGCCAGTTAGTAGCTGTCTCGAGTGATTTGGGCTATTCGCTATCAGGACAAGACCTCCATACAGATCCGAATGAGTTTCAAAGATGCTTAGGATCGGGTAAATTCAAGCCATCCAGCAGAGCGGGTACAAGGCTGCACGCGATACCGAGGCGGAGAAACCACCGAGGTGAGCGGGAATCGATGTGGGTGATAAGATGGCTAGGTTATGAGGGAGTGAGGGTGAGGTATGAGAGACAAATTGATAATTCGATACCCTGGACCAAGCCAGAGCGATGTTGAGGGTTCAAGCCAAGCCAATGGCCCTGATTGCGTGGAGTAGGAAGAGCGGCCGTTGTCCCTATCCATTACGCAAACTGGGAACGGGTACAAGTACAGGGTACATACAGGGTACAAGCATTCTCTTACGTTTCCAATTATCAGGAACCAACATTAAAAGTATTTCAAAGTTCCTAGGACTTGGGTAGCTAATATTATCTCGATGATCGATTGGCGGCCTAAAAAATAGCCCAGCGTCTGATTTAAAGCCTGCCTACACATGCTTCTGCGATGTACTGATGGGGTACCAAAGCCCCTCGTGTATTGTACTGGCGTATACGCCGTGTTTACAGCAAAAGACCTGGGCAGTGACAGTGACGTATGTACATGTAGGGCCCCGTGGTGATTAGTCACCTAGGGTTGCGCCCCCCGTGCAAGGGGGTCACGTGCATAGACAGACGGGCGCTCCAGTTCTGCCTGAGGCTGCCAATGGTGCAGCTCGGGTCGCTACGGTCCGCCCGAAGGCAGAGCACACCTCACCACTCGGTCACTTCATTTCTGGATACTCTTATTTGCTCCCTGCCCCGGAAACCCACGGCGTCTCCGACCTCGCACTCGAGTCTCTGCCCGGGTTGATACCCTCCTCTCCACTCAATCTCCTTTCCAGCATTTTTCACAGGCCAATTGGGTGGGTTGGGTCTTACCCGAGGCTTCTCGCTATCCCGCGATCGCTAACCCGACTTCACGAAAAAAGCTGTTTCTCCCCGCCATGCTGTACCGTACCGCCGCTGCCCGCTCGCTCCTCCGGGCTGCCTCGAGCTCCAATGCCTCTGTCGCCCGCTCGACTCTGGGCAACCAGGTCTTCAAGGCCCCGCTGACCTCGTCCGCCCGCCATGCGATCCGCCCGACTGTCTCGCCGAGCTTCGCGCTCGCTGCTCACAAGCCCGTCACCACCGCCCTCGTGCGCTACTCGTCCTCTTCGGCCAAGGTAAGGGGGAATTATCGCTTGAACGAATTGTCAAGACACCCAATGGCTAATCTCCCGGCTTGTGATAGGGTGAGGAAGATGTTGATGTGATGGCGGGTATGAAGTCCGAGGCGGTAAGTTTCCCCGCACAAGGAACCGGTAGTATTTTGTCGTCGATGATGGGGTCAGGGCTAATTGGATATTGTGAGTATAGAAAGTGATCAAGGACACCTTCAGCCTGGCTGAGGTCCCCAAGGAGGCACTCTACATCGGTATGGCCGGTGTTGTCCCCTACCTGGCGACCTCTCTCGAGACCGTCTACCTCTCCTACGAGATCAACCGTGCCGCCAGCCTCGGTGACGGTCTGATCTTCTCCGGCCAAAGCGCGGAGCTGATGCTGCACATGCTGGAGCCGATCCAGGTTGGCTACGGTGCGGTGGTAAGTTGCAACCCTCATCTCTTTTCATGTCAACGTCTTTTGATGTCAACGCGTCGCTGATCACCACTCTTGTCAAGATCCTCTCTTTCCTCGGTGCCATCCACTGGGGTCTTGAGTGGGCCGGCTACGGCGGAAAGTTCGGCTACCGCCGTTATGCGGCCGGTGTGGTTGCCCCGGCCGTGGCTTGGCCGACGCTGCTGTTCCCTGTGGAGTACGCATTGATCAGCCAGTTCCTTGCCTTCACTTTCCTTTACTACAATGACGCCCGTGCCGCCGCTGCCGGCCGCGCCCCCCACTGGTACGGCATGTACCGGTTCGTGCTGACCTTCGTGGTGGGTGCCAGCATCGTGGCCACTCTGATCGGCCGCGAGCAGATCCAGCAGACGATCACCTCGGAGCACACCATCACCGACAAGATCAATGCTCTGGTGTTCCTGCAGAAGAAGGAGAAGGAGGAGGCTGATGCCCGCCGCCGGGCTGAGCTCGGCCAGGACTCCGAGTAAATCCAAGAGAAAACCGAGGGGATGAATCCCCGGGGGGAGGTTTTCAATGTTTGCATTACCTGTGAATTCCTGTAGAATATACGCAGAACCCTACCAGGGCGGTCGCTGAATTTCATTTGTTCATTTTGGAAAGTATATTTGCAATGGCATCAACACGTACTTGGAGGATATATAGTGCTCTGAGGGACGACAAGAGAGCCACGTGCATGTCAACTAAACCGGATTCAAGGCCGGCATAAACCTCAAAAACAGTAATTCTCCATTCTTAATTAATAAATAAAATTAAATAAATTGGATGGATTAATAATTTATGGTTCTCGAGGTCGGGCTACCGGATCGGCCCTGGTGACGAAGCGGCCGAAATTCCCTGGTTGCAGACAGGGGAGAATCGGTTGATACGGCATGCAGGGTTCCATTGTCGATCCTTTCCAGATCGCTTGAAGATAAATATTATATGATATTATATTAAAATTATGAATCTAATTGTAAATATAAATATTAGGAATGGCATTGAATTGGAGCGTGTACCACATAGTTTACTTCTGGGCATGAAAGAAGAAAGAAAGGGGGAAGGTCAAGCGAGTAAGACGTGCATTCTGAGTGTAGGACAGTACAGGGTCGCGAACAAGAATTCCTGGTGGATCGACTCTAGAATTTTTCTTTTTTTTTCTTCCCCTCGCGTGATCTACTTTGCCCCTCGCACGTCCCCGTCCCTGGCAGATTTTGGGCATGTCTCTCCACGCGTCCAAGACCGAGACAAGTCTCTCATAGGACCCCAAGGCCGGGGCGAACAAGACCGGTTTCTCCAGGCTTTTTTTTTCCTGTGCCAATTGGATATTAGATCCAAGACGTCATCCACTATTGCCCGGTTTTGATAATCAGAGAACATATCCAAGTTTCTTGGAAAGAAAGAAAGAAAGAAAAAAAAAAAAAAAACCAAGGTCATTGATGTAGCCAAGGGGAAAAATGATCTACCCTAAGAAAAAAAAAGAAAAGAAAAGACGATAAGGTCGAAGGAATAGTGTATGACACTAGCATCACTATTGGTTCCCAGAGGGGGCACTGGGCTTCGAAGATTGTTCTTAGCCCGCAATAGACGGTTATTTCTCATTCCTCCGATTACACTGCATTTCTCCGTGAATAGGAGCACTGGAAAATGAAAATAACAATTAAAAAAGGGGGAGTTCTAGAAGCCAAGGGGACAGAGAAAAATGGAGAGTGTCATGTGTTCAATGGGGCTACAGTGCGGAGCAGGGGGGGGATTCAAGTAGATCTGAGAATCTCTTCTTAGTCTTTTATACTTCATTCCATGTTCCATATTCCATATTCCATGTTCTCTGTTATGTTCTATATTCGATATTCGATATTCTAGGGGTACTTTGTATATTCCCAGTCTTTCTTCTTTCTCAGACTATCTATATCTATAAGCATACCTAGGTATAGATCCATCAATGGACGTGCCCATGCAAGTGGGGGGTTGAAGGTCTTCTGATCAGAAAAAATCCCCCCGAACCGGATTTGGGCCTTCCCCCACCCCACTCGGCGCGTTAAAGGCCTTTTGCTGTCCACTTTGTTTGTCGCTTTCTTTTCGCTTTTTTTTTCTTCGTTTTCCTCACGGTGATCCTCAGGCCCAACTCCCCCGTGACTCAACCTCAACTCTCATCCTCTTCGAAACCACATCTTGTCATCTTCCCCCCAACCGCCAACTTTCCCGAATTCGACTCCCCCGACCTTGATCCCGAATTGTTGGCATACCGAGTTCTCCCCCCGTGGTCACTCGTACGTCACGCTCCACTTTTTTTTTCCACGGGAGCTTGTCCCCGTATCACCAACACCGCCACCTTGTAGAGAAGAAAAACCCCTCCTATCGTCATTTTCTCCCTTTAGTTCCTTGGACGTAAATCGCTCCCCCACACTTCTTTAATCTTCCGTCCCTTCGGACTCTCTCCTATCCCACACAACACTCTCTTGCTCTCTCTCTGTCTCTCTCTTTCTTTTCTCTCCTCTCTCTCCCCTCTCGCATTCGCACACATTTTCTCGGAAGATGCGAAACCCCTTCGATTTGGATTTTGAGAGCGTCGACGGAGACTCAGAGCCCGCCCAAGAATTCGAGAACGAGCCCGAGACCGAGGTCGAGGTCAATGTGCAACCAGAGCAAACCGACGATGGGAATCGCTCGCTACTGCAGGATGAGGAACGCCGCGGAGACGACCTGAAGGAGCGCTTCATCGGTACCATCGACCAGGGTACCACGAGCACTCGCTTCATTATTTTCGACTGCACTGGTGTTCCCATCGCCAAGTACCAGACGGAATTCCGTCAAATTCACGAGAATCCCGGGTAGGTCAATTTTGACCCCTTCCAGTACCCCTCCATTTGTGGCCCAGGGACGGACCCCACTAATTTCTTCCTCGCGCAACCAGTTGGCACGAACAGGACCCCTATGAATTGGTCGAGTCCGTCTTCATTTGTATAGAGGAGGCGATGAAAACTTTCCTCGCCCTGGGCCACTCTCGATCCGACGTCGAGGCCGTCGGCATCACCAGCCAACGGGAAACCACTTTGGTCTGGGATTTGGAGACCGGCGAGCCGCTGCACAATGCCATCACCTGGACGGACACGCGGACCATGAACCTGGTCCGCGAACTGAAGGAGAAACCCGGCGCCGAAGATCTGGTCAATATCTGTGGCTTGCCCCTCTCAACATACCCCTCCTCGGTCACATTACGGTGGATGCTGGACAACCTCCCAGACGTCAAGTCGGCTTATGATGACGGCCGAGCCGCCTTCGGAACCGTAGACAGTTGGCTCATCTATAATCTCAATGGAGGTCCCCAGAACAAGCGTCATGTCACCGACGTGACCAACGCCTCGCGCACCATGTTCATGAACCTCGAAACCCTCAAATACGACGATCGCCTCCTGAAATTCTTCGGCATCGATCCCAAGAAGATCCACCTTCCGGAGATTCTTCCTTCGGCCGACCGCGAAGGCTTCGGCGAGATCTGCGAGGGTCCGCTGGATGGGGTCCGCATCACCAGCTGTCTGGGTGATCAGGCGTCAGCCCTGGTCGGCCACTGCGCCTTCACCCCGGGAATGGCCAAGAATACTTACGGCACAGGGTGCTTCCTGCTTTACAACGTCGGGGAAAAACCTGTCATTTCCAAACACGGCTTGCTGGGTACCGTAGGATTCCAGCTGGGCCGCGATCGCAAGCCCGTCTATGCGCTGGAAGGCAGCGTGGCTGTGGCCGGCAGCGGTGTCTCCTTCCTGATGAACAACTTGGGCTTTTTCCGCGACTCGCGCAAGGTCAGCGATTTGGCTGCGACCGTACCGGACAACGGAGGCTGTATATTCGTGACGGCATTCAGTGGTCTCTTTGCACCCTACTGGATTGACGATGCCAAGGGAACCATTTGTAAGTGAAAAATTTCACCGCTTGCCTTGCCTATGATTCCGCTGACCATTGCTAGGGGGAATCACCCACCACACACAACGAGGGCATATTGCCCGCGCTACCATGGAAGCCGCATGCTTCCAAACAAAGGCCATCCTCGACGCTATGGAGATGGACAGTGGAAAGAAACTGACGGAATTGGCCGTGGATGGCGGCATGAGCAATTCCGACATTTGCATGCAGGTACGTCTCTTATTTCTATCTGGAGTCTATTTCCCCCAAGCTCGACCACTAACACTGTATACCTCTCGCCAGACCCAATCCGATATCATCCAAATCCCCATCGAGCGCCCCGCGATGCACGAAACAACGGCTTTGGGAGCCGCGATCGCGGCTGCGTTCGCCATCGACGTGTGGAAAGACTTTGCGGACCTCAAGTACATGAACCGCGCCAACCGCGCCACCTTTAACCCCAAAATCTCCACCAAAGCTAGCGCCCGCATGTACAAGCAGTGGTCCAAGGCAGTGGAGATGTCACGCGGCTGGATGGAACCAAATGAGAGCGATGACGAGAGCAACGAATAAAGCATTTCCATCCCCTACCTCATCCTTCCCTTTTTTTCCCCACCTACGAGGCCGCGATTCATTTGGCCCGTCATGAAACTCGGGTTCTCAAGCGCAAATTCCACATGAACACATGAACACAATTATCCTTCCCCCTCCTTTTTCAACATGTGCAAGAACCACTTGCCAAGTACGACTATCCATCACCCGAAGCATGATTCGCTTTCAATACCCGGATCCAAATCCTTTTTTGTTTGTTGCGGGGAGAAGCCCTCGGGAGCTCATATTCACATTCCATTATATATATTATTTTTTCCCTTATATTTTAGAGATTCTCGATTAGATAGCCCGTCATAATAGGCTCCCCTTCATGACTGTGATGATGGGAAATGCCTGCCTTCAGGAGGGATGGGAGAGCTGAATTTCCTTCCCCTTTTTTTACATTTTCATTTTGTTGACATGACACATGTATATACGAAAAACAGACCATCAAACATAAAAAATTCAAATCCAAATCCAAATCCAAATCCAAATCATTCTAAACCCATCATAGTACTTGCCGAAATACTATTGGCAGGATTTTACCATTATTCCATTCCCCGGCCATAAGCTAAGGATGCCATTCGTGGAAGCACCTTGTCCCCCAAGGTTTCCAGACAGGGTTCCCCACACGACGGTGACATTATCGGTGCTGGACCCGATCCCAAACAAGCTTGGGGATAGGCAAACATGTTATTTCGATGATGATGTAGGTTTCTGGGGATCAAAGAACCTTGGAACCTCTATTTAATCTATAGGCTATAATTAGGTCTCTGATTTAATTAAACGTTATAATAAAATAAAGACTTACTTCTCCTATCGATATAATTATTAGCGCGCTAAAAACAAAGACCTAAAGATGATATATAACTAGTTTAACTATATCTAAAAGACAATTAAAGAGAATAATATTCAGTATAATAATATATACAACTTTAATAAGACTAGTTTCGCGATAGACCTTACCTTAATAACTAAAATAATTACCCAATCTAAATACTATAGTCGGCGATCGCTATTTACAACCCTGGAATCGCGAATAGATAATAGCTATCGAGTTAATTACAGTAATATCTCCGGAAGATATTACCGCTATATAGTATCTTTAAAGCCAAGGTCTATATCGAGGGTTGGTTTAACGATTTACCTCTTAATTAATACTTCGAAGTTAGCTAAAATAGCTAGTCTATAGACGAAATTAGCCTTCATTAGCTAAAAAGGGCCTTTATCCTAGTTACTACTATTTATATAAAGAGTAAATATCGATTTTTTATCCTCGATAATTAGTAGCTATTTTACTCCTCAATTTGATTAAGTATATAATGAGACTAATATTATTCTAATTTGTATATTTATCTATTCCTCGTATTTTTTTTTAAATCTCTTAATATCAGCTACTTTACGCCTTTAAAGAAGATATATAGCGGTATAGTTAAGAAATAAATATAATATAAAGTTAACTATATTAATAAATTCGATTTTCTTGCTATATACCCTCTTACTCGTTTATAAGCTTTTAATAAAGCCGAAACTATTCAAAATAGCTTCGTAGCTACTAGATTAGTCCTATTTAATCTAGACTAAGTCCTCGAGAAGCTAGATATTTAGCTTTGTACACTAACTCACACCAAAAATACCTTAAAATCTAAGATAACTATAACACAAGGCTTCGTCGATCAAAGCTTTATTAAAATATCGTTCTTATAACCCACTAAGCCTAACCAACGCAGCGCTAAACTAGCTTATTAAAGGCTGCTAGCTAGTGATATATAGCGCTACGATCCTCGCGTAAGAAAATAAGGATTTATACGTAGCTAATAAAAAGCAGAAACAAAAGCGAGCTAGATCTAATAGGTAGATACCTCGAGAGGAAGACCTATCTGTTCTAGAAGTTCGTAAGCTAATATCGACGCCAAGCCAAGCCTCTGAAGCTCAATCGACTACCCCGGCAGTGGATTACGTTAATAGTGTCGGTGACTTAATATTCAGGCTTAAAACATCTAATTTACATCCTTGCCCACTCTATACCCTGAAGGAAATCTATTTTTGTATGAATAAGAAATAAAAACATTCTAGATATCCAACGAGCCGTCTCTAGCCTAGGTTCAATTCGAAGTGTTGTTCTCAAGGCTCAGGATCACTGGGCGGCTATCCGAAACACTGGTGTGTGAAAATCACACGAAACAACCTCCACCAGCTGGGCGCTTCTCAACTCTTCACACGGCCGAAATAAATTCTCCGGGCGCCAACTCTGCTACCCATTTATCTTTCCCAAGCTGGCTTCCTATCTGCTATGCTCGCGCCGTTGACCCGCAACGATCTGGAGCGCGCCTCCTGGGCCGCTGCCATTGGGCTTCTGCTGCATCCCCTGCCGGAATAGGATGGTTTCAATATACGACATCTTTTTTGGTCTTTCTTGAGCCTTGACCAAGCTGAAACAATTCAGCGCAGTATATACATCATGGATCCTGGGTTATGTATCGACCTTTTCACAGATACTTCTCCTTTATTCCCACGCTCGCATCGCCACGCGGTTGTCGAGTACATGTTGCGCCTGGCGCGCACATCATGACTAGATGGGAGCCCACATTGGATATTCTCAATCATCGGGATCGGTCGTCTGATTCCCGGTCGAGCAGCTCCATTTCAAGGAGCAAGAGCAGTGAACGAAAACCACGCAGTCCCAGCCATTCTTCTTCGACTCTCAACAATGGCAAAGACTCCACTTACAGTTGTTCAACCTTGGGACGAGAAGACTCCGAAACCCGGGAGGAAGTCCAGACGCCAGACTGGATCCCGTATGCTTTCCGGGCTTCCTTCTTGAGCATGCTCAGTCTGGTCGCCTTGGTCCTTTCTGCAATTATCTTCCTGTTATTCTGGAGGTCCTTGACAAACTACGGTCTAGGTCGAGATGATGGTTCCTCGATGCTTCTGTTTGGCTGGCGATTTAGCCCAACTCTGATCGCTGTGATCTACATCCAGCTTACTGCCATGCTATTCGAGGACGTTGAGCGAACAGAACCCTTTGCTCGCCTGGCGCGGACAGAGGGGGCAGAAGCATCAGCGAGTCTTCTCCAAAGGCCAGGTGCCTGGTGGAATGCTCTCTACGACGGTCTTTCTGGGAGAAAAGGTGGACGCAGCTGGGCACTTTTTTGCGCAGCGTTAGTCAACTTCCTCGGATTCCTGGCGATTTCGCCTCTATCATCTGCTTTCTTGTTCTCCAAGGATGCAGTAGTCCCCCGATCCATTGACTTCGCCCGGCTTACACCTTTGGGCAACTCGCCTCTGCCTCTCGATGCGGGTCACAGTGCCCGCTTCCGGACGATCAGCAGTCTCCTGCAGAATGTGTCAACATCACCTTGGATCACCGATAACTACACCGTCTTCCCGTTCTGGCCGGCCTTCTGGCAAACGGCACCACTGAGTTCCTTGCCTTCAACGTCTGAGACATGGCACGCAGAAACAATGGTGTTCAAAAGTAACCTCCACTGCACCCCAATGCTAACGGAGCGCGAGTCCACCACAAACGTGACCTGGGGCGCCTACGGCTCCAAGCCTACTGTTTCCATCCTGTGGTCCTCCATCGACGGATGCAAGTATGGGCTGGAAATAGGCCAGGACGAAAACCTGTTCAAAATTGGCGGCGGTAGCTGGTCTAACACGTCGACTTTCTTCAACGGAGAGGCGGCCCTCAATTCGGCCACACCCATGGTCAGATCTAACCAAACAGCCCAATGCAAAAACCGCGAGATCCTCATCGTTACTGAGCCTTGGACATCCGATGGAGCTAAGTACTCAGCCCAGCTTTGCGAATCCAGCTATGCCATGGCAAATCTCACGGCATCCATGACGTTATCGAGCGGCGAGCCCCAACTATCCTTCGACGAGGACGAATTTCATCGGAAGAAAGTGCCCATCCCGGATAACGTTCTCAACGCCACTCAATTCCAAGATCTTACTCTGAATGCAGACTGGTCGACGTACATGGTTTCGATTATACATTTACAGACCGCCATCCTGGGCGGTCCCTCGATCCTTCTCGGGGCTCTTTATGACTACAACATGACTGCCCTGGTTAGGGATCCAAATATGATTGTCAAGGCTGCTAAGGCAAAGCAGCGCTACTTCGGCGAGGTTCTGCAGTCTGCCTTAACCCATCCGGGTGCTTCTCAGAAGACCACAGTCCTAGGCCAGGTCTACGCTGTGGAAAGACGAGTGGTTGTGGTCGCCGGTTCCGCGATTGCCCTAGGAGTGTTATTCTTTCTGTCTTTCTGTCTTGTGATTACTATCTGGCAATGTGCGAGGCTCCAGCGCCGGCCGCTGAATCTGAGGAATGACCCTGCCACGACGGCTGGTGTCACTTCCTTGGTGATGCAGAACCCTAGAACCCGAGCCAGCTTCCAACCCTTCAATCAGTCCTCCGCAGAAGATTTACAAATAGCATTGGCTGGCAAGCAATACTACACAGATTCCGAGGGCCTATCTGGTATGACAGCAGCGGACGACAAGATCACTGCACCGCCTTCGATTCTTTCACCTCGGCCAACACACTGGACCCCAGCTCTCCTGCGGCTACCGGCCCTTCTCGCTCTGAGTGTGTTGCTCGTGATCGTTGTTATTGGCATAGCCGTGCTCTTCCACTTCGCAGAGAAATCGGGCTTGTATCAGAAGGCCTTTGTCTACCAAATCCGACTCACTTCCTTGAACAAAGGTCCCTCCTCGGTGGCCCCATTCTCTATGATTCCCACCGTGATTGCAGTCGCCATTGGTCTGTGGTGGGGTGCCATCGACGACAGGTTCCGGCGCCTTCAGCCTTTTCTGTCCATGTCCAAGGGTAGTCAACCATTGTTGCAGGGGGTGTTTTTATCCTACCAGTCCTCATACTGGCTGTTCGCCTCTGTCAAAGCTGGACTAAACCGGCACTGGTTGCTTTTCTTGGTCACATTCGGAACGTCGCTTTCCCCGCTGTGTAAGTATCTTTTTTGCCTGATTGGAGCTGATGAAATCGCGATATCTAATACCCACTATTAGTTACTACCACTATGTCCGCCCTTTTTCAGCACGGCCCTGGCGTTGTCACCAAGCCCGTTACGTTGGAACGCCAGCTAGAAATCCGCGACATCCCCCTGGTATTCCGGACGGGGCAAGCAACGATGCGCAACTACTCAAACGACTATGCAGGTTCCATTCTCGCAGACTTCTACCAAAATCTTTCCGCGCACTGGATGTACACCGCCACCATCCAGCTGACCCTGAACGGCTCCGAGCCCGCATGGAGCAAAGACGGCTGGAGCTTCGTGCCTGCCGACTTGAGCAACATCAAACCCGCCGACTCTCTCCCCAATGGCGATGTGCATGCAGCGCAAGCGAATAGCGCCGCGGGAGGTTCCCAGACCAACGTTTCCTTCACCACAACCGCAATCCGAGCCCGGATCGAATGCACACAGCCGCCAGTGGATACCCTACGCAATCTCTCGAACTGGCTGACACCCACCGACCTGGGAAACTCCAGTGTGTGGAATGGGAGCACGATCCCAGACGATCTCGCCGGCGGCTGGCAGCTGGGAACGACGGCGCAGCGCGGCGGTCTCCCGCGTTTCATCACGCCGCTAACACCCTCCCAGAACTGGACCGAGTGCCCCGGCTGCACGACAATGTTCGTGAATCCATCGCAGGTGGTGTGCTGCAAGAATGGGGGCAGCAGCAGCAGCGACCCGTACCCCAGCGTCGCTGTCGGGTACTGGTCCCCCAATAGCAAGGTCACCAGATGGACGACGCGCGACTGGCAGCACAATTTTACGGCGAAGTGGGTGCATGGCAGTGCCGTGTCCGGGGTTCGTATGAATGACGATGTTGCTAATGGCCATGATATCGGTTTGCTGTTTCCTCGGCCGCCTTCGTTGACGCTTCTCAACTGTATGCCTCTGGTCGAGACGGCCGATGCTGAGGTTGCAGTAAACCCGACGAATGGAGAGATCCAGGCCTACCATATCACCAGTAAACCGGAGAAGGTGGCCAATGCGTTTTCGGACAATTTCGTGCCGCGGAATGGGTCATTTGATGATGGCGGAGTTACTTACTATAACACCACACTGAGGTATGAAAGAAAAAAAAAGCAATGGAAAGCACTGAAAATATGGCTGACAGTTTCATCGATATTAGTTACGGACAGCTATTCATGGCCTCGATGTTGACCGCCGCGGACACACTACACATCCAAGGCGCACCCCGCGTGGGCAGCTACAACATAGAAGACCTCAAAGACAACACCTACAACATCCGCGACGAGATGCACGGACTGAACATGGACTTCATGACCTATGCCATGTACAGCATGGCGAATAAGGACCCGGCGGCGCTGCTAGACGCGGATCTATTCACCCAGCTCGCCACAAAGACATTCACGACCTTCTTCCAGCACTTTGTGAGCAACAACGTCTCCACCAGCACCGGCGGCTGGGCCTACCAGCGCGTAAACGCCAGTCTGCCGCAGGGCCTCGGTCCAGCGGTCGAAGACTATCTCCCGGGAGCGAAGATTCTATCCTCGCAAAAAGAAGACAATAATACTTCCAGCAGTTCCTCGCAAAGGAAAAACAACCAACCCACAATAGCAGCGCATATATCCCACCGCGTCGAGCTACTCCAGATGAACGCCGTCGCCGTCTGGCTCAGCATCGGAATACTAGCGTGGCTGATCCTCACGACAGCCATAATCGCAGGGCTACAGCGGCGCTACTTCAGGAGCCTCGCACGAGGCATTGAATGTCTAGCCGATCTGCTGGTGTTAGTGGCCGGCAGTTCCCAGTTATTGGGGGTGATCGACGATCTGCAGAGTGGCAGGGTCGTGCAGTCGGAGCTGGGACATCTGCGGACGAGACTTGGATGGTTTGTGGGTGATCATAATCACCATCATCATCAGCGATATGATTACCAAGGTGTTGATAATCAGCCTCATCATCATCCTTGTCATCCGGATGGAGAGATCCGATGGGGGATCGAGGTGGAGCAGGATCACAGCGAGGGGGGTGTTGATTGGGTTTCTGGGCCTGGAGAATTGAGAGGATCGGAATTGGGATTGGATCGGGATCGGAAGCCACGAGTTCCTACCTGTTCTCCAAGGGCTGGTTGGTAGCATACTTGGAGATCTTTTTTGAAGGAATGAGGGGCTAGAGGGGGCAGGGGAGGAGCAGGAACTACTGGGACGTAGAAGCCGCACCAAAAAAAGAGACTCAGAAAAAAGAAAGAAAAAAGTGATCCATTCGACCGAAAGAAATCGGGGGAATCCACCTCTTACTGTCTTACATAGTATCATAATTGCCCCCAGTCAGATACCCATAAAAAAAGAAACAACCATATTACATATTCGATATAGCTGAGTTTCTCATGTCTTATGTCCCAATCTGCCTTCATACTTGAAGCGGTAGGTAACACGGAGATAGTAGTGGAGTCATCCATGGATTGTCGATTGCTGACTGCGGAAAATCGGATCCCATCGACGGCGGATCCACGAGAAACAAGGTTTGCGAGGAATGTCCGTGCAAAGAAACAAAAATATCTTTGTGTTGGAAAAGGGTATATCATCCCTGTCTTCCTGCTGTGGTATGCATGCATGCGCGAGGTTATTTGAGATTTAGATTTGATATTTGATATTTGAGATTTGAGATTCGCATTGGAATCCATGACCGCCTCAACCCTAGCCCAGAAACAAAGAATAAAAAAAAAGCTTCTGTACAGTATGTGGAATCTAGACGGTGTAAATACTTAAATTACTATTTACATCATTGTCCATCTTTGGTACCCGGGGATAGCTCAGACACCCCAAGTTTCGGAAGAGATCCAGGGATGAGGTGCGCATGATTATTTGTAAGTGCACCCCCGTCGGATGGATGAAAAGGTATACACCGTAGCTATTATTATCACCTGGACAGGCAACAAACCATCAATGCATGCCGGGCTCGGGAACAACGCATCCGCGATGTACCGAGAGTATGTACTGGGTCTATACCTATGTAGTATATACATATCAGACGATTCATCGACCATGCATAGATTCAAAGATTGAAAAAATACTTATCGTTAAAACTATCAAATTTGAAATATAAAGAATAATAGCTTAAATTATTGATAGAATATATGTACATCAAGTAAATAAAAAGGAAAATGTTCACACAAGAAAAAGCAAAACAGCGAGTCGGAAACAAGCTGGAAAAGACTCGGATGATTTGGAAGAGCCCATGATTTGGAATACGCCCAGCCGCGCACTGATTGGCTCCAGCGACGTGCTTCGATCCTGGCGGGTGTGGAGCGGGCGATCGACGGCCAATTGGCGGGCGCCCGCAAATATCAAATCCCCATTTTGCGAGGGCTGGTTGCGTTGGGAGAGATGTGGTCGGAGAAAAGGACGGTATTAGAAATATTAGAAATTGTTGCTTATACTCCCTATAATAAAGGGTGTTTCTCTGCTAGTAGTCTTATATTGCACTTCTTTTTTCTCTAGTTCTTGGTTTTGCTTGTTGTGTGCTTCTGCTTTTTTATACTTCTACTTCTATCCTTATTTTTATTCTTAATACCTTAATCCCACACCCTATCTCTCCCCCCTCTATCACAATGGATATCGGTCAGCGCCCTGTTGCTAAGGCTTCGGAAGACATCATCCAGTGGGTGAATGGGACCAATGTCGGCAGCACCCAAGGTATTTTCTCTCTCTCTCTCTCTCTCTCTCTTGACTTTAAAACTAACACATCCCAGAATCCGTCTCCAGAGCGGAGATCGAGTACAAAGACTTGATCGGCGAACTCTTCAAATCCACCCAGTCCCGAGCCGGGAGTGCAGACAGAGGCCATGCAGCCAGAGATCACGACAAAGCCCAACAGGGACGCAAGGCGTGAACAACAAAACAGGTAAGGAAAAGAAACCGCTCTGATCATGTTCGGGAATTGAATTTCCAGACTGACCGCCTCGTCCAGATCAACCCATATAAACCTGCAATTTTCTTTCAACTATATCACCTTTGGCCCCGGCAGCTCTCGGCATCATCTTTTTATTCTAGCCCGCATATCCAGCAGAGAAACACCAGAAAGAAATGATTGCAATGACACATCGTCTCGTCCCTGCGTCGCCATAGTCGCCCTTGCCCTCGCTATGATGTCATGCTGGTGATTGAATATCAAGACCCACGTCGGTGGACAACAGATCGACAGGATTCCAGGGACACCCGCGCCCGGCACCGCTGCATCGTCGGTATGTGGGAAAGAACAAAGACTACGGTCTACTTTTCTTCCCTGTGGGGTTCTCGTGGGGGGTGAAAGATATCAGATGCATAGCATAGGCATACAGGGTGTATGTACAGAAACCCGTTATAGGTCGATTCGGGCGCCAACGGCCTGGGGGGTTTCATCGGTTGATGAATTCATCACTTGCCCGTGCCACTTGGTTGTCCGAAAGAGTTCGAGAGAGACAAGGAAAATAAAAAGCAAAATAGAAGACAAGCCAAGGAACATGGTATTTTCGATAGAGACGCCCGAACGATCCGGGGATGCACAACAGAAGAAAAAAGGAAATGGCATAGGGTTCAAAGGCCAAAGAAAAGGGGTGTAATCAAACAGAGGGGAGAGAGAGAATGGGACAATTGCTTATTCCGTCGCGGTCGGTGGCCCCTCGGTCGCCGCTGACGGGTTGATGTTGCTTTGCTGCAGAGCACCCGGGAGCTTGAGGGGCGCGCTGGGCGTTGACTCGAGCTTCTCGAGTTTCTCTCCCTTAAGCACCCTCTCCATTTCCTCCCTGGTGAGCGTTTCGTACTCCATCAGCGCCCGTGTGAGGGTTTCCAGCTCGCTGCGCTTCTCGGTTAGGATCTGTTCTGCCCGCGCTCGGGCCTCCTCCACGAGTCGCCGCACTTCAACCTCAATCTCCTGCTTGGTTTCGGAGGACAGGCGTTCGTAGTTAGACGAGAGGTCGACATTGCCGAGCTTCTTCGAGTACCCGAACCGCGTAATCAGCGTGAACGCCGTTTCGGTCGCACTCTGGATGTCCTGTGTGGTCGTTAGATATCGCTATGCATTCAAATCAAGTGAAAGGAGAATCATACCGCTGAGATGCCACTGGTGACATTATCGTGGCCAAAGATCAACTCCTCGGCAGCCTTGCCACCCATAGAGACAGCGATGTCAGATAAATACTCGGTGTAGTTCCTCGAGACCGTGTCCATCTCCGGCAGGAAATGTGTAATACCCAGAGCCATGCCACGAGGAACAATCGTGATCTTATACAGCGGGGTGGCGGAGGGAGAGAAATAGGCGACGAGAGCATGCCCAGCCTCGTGGTACGCCGTGAGAAGCTTATCCTTCTCCTGGATGACGCGGTTGCGGGCCTCAGCACCCATCATGATCTTGTCCTTGGCCCAGTCAAAGTCCATGGGACCGACCTTGACCTTGCGGTCACGGCTGGCATGGACCGCAGCCTGGTTGACCAGATTCTCCAGGTCCGCACCAGAGAATCCGGGAGTGCCCCGTGCAATAACCGCCACGTCAACATCCGTACTGATTTGTACATCCTTCATGTGGTGTCTCAGAATATCCATCCGCCCACGAACGTCCGGAAGGCCCACGACGACTCTGCGGTCGAACCGACCAGGTCGAGTCAGCGCCTTGTCCAGCAACTGCGGGTAGTTAGTCGCCGCAATGATGATGACACCACTGGTTTGAGAGAAGCCATCCAGCTCCGTAAGCAGCTGGTTGAGCGTCTGCTTCACATAGGCAGCATCCCGCTCATTTCGCTTCGCACCAATCGCGTCCAGTTCATCAATGAAAATGATCGCCGGGGCCTTGCCACGAGCCTGGTTGAACAACTCACGAACCCGCTTAGCGCCGACTCCCACATAGACCTCGTCGAATTCAGATCCAGACATGTAGAAGAACGGAACACCCGCTTCTCCAGCCACTGCACGGGCGAGCAGAGTCTTACCAGTACCAGGAGGACCAACCAGGAGAACACCCTTGGGCAATTTGCCTCCCAGAGACGAGAACCGCTCCGGGTTAAGGAGGAATTCCACCAGTTCCTGCAGTTCGTCCTTGGCCTCGTCGCAGCCGTGCACGTCACTGAAACGGACATTCTGCTCCTCAGGCTGCGCTTCATTGGTCTGCGAGCCTCGGATGTTCTTCAACACGCCAGTGGTCTCGACCAGGATAGTAATAGTCACGAGCGACATGTAGGTGAAAAAGCAGAAGTAGAGGAGGAATTTGACCCAACGGAACACGGCGCTGCCCAGAGATTCCTCGACCACGACGTAGAGAGGAGCCTCCTTGGCGCCAGTACCGGTTTGCTTCGCTGTCAGCCCAACTTGACCGCCATGACTCCGCGCAGCCACCGCCTGGCCGATCGCCTGGAGCTGATCAGGGCTCACGTTCTGGTTTTGCCCGGCAACAGGCGCTGTTTCCGCACCACCGACACGCTGCAAGGCTTTCGTATATATCATTTCAGACACGGCATTGCTGGCAAAATGACCACTACGGTATCTTTCCACGACAATCGCCGGCAAGTTGGCACGGAAGAGGGCATAGTAGAAGGAATTCTGAGCGTTCGCACTGTTTGGGTTGTTGTTCGCGGTCTTCTCTTTTTGAGCCAACATATTCTGTGACGGTCCTCCAAACAAAAACCTCCGCTGTTGAATCTTCGAGAGTCCGTTGGCCTTCGGGGCCGGGCGTAGCGAGTGAAGGCGGAAGGGTGTCAAGGTCGAATACGAACGAGCAGCCGAAAAGGCGAGAGCGAAACCACGATTAGGTGCAACTGTTGAGGCAGCCCATATCGTCTTTCCATTCAATTGTGGCGACCATCCGCGTTGAGCAGGCCGGTGGAAGACACCAGCTCCCAACGCTTCCATCGAGACTGTGTCCAAGCATTCCGGCAATGCCACGCGCTCAGACATCTGCTTCCATTAGTACAGGCCATCCAAGCATCAGTAGTGAAATGGAAGTCTTACCGTCGTAGTTTTTTCTTTGTTGAGATTCCGCCGGGAGGCCTCGGCGCTGGCCGTTGGAGTTCGCCCGCTTTGCTTCCAAGGAGCAGCCAACAGGCTGGACATGGAAGGCCAGAGATCCGACGTCACAGCCGCGACATTCTGGTGAAGCATCGTTCGCGTCAGTGATAAGCTCTGATCGAGGAATCGAGAAGTGGTCCTTACGGGCCTGGGGATCGAGACTTGAAAAGCCATGGTTGTCCGATATACAGCGGCGCTCGGCCGCGTTCGAAAGAGAGATGTACTCTGTCGGGAGGGTAGATGGAAAATCAAGGGAAGGGATATGGGTTTAAAATTGAGTTGAAGAAACCTCCATGGCTAACACCGAGAGAATGCAGATGACGGCGACAATGGCTGAGGCTGCTGCGGCGAAAGTCGGTTGCCACTCGGGTCCGTGCCGTGTGCCGTATGGTCACGTGTGTATATATCCTCAGGCATCAATATCTAGTACTCCCACAGAAATTCAAAATTAAACCAGCTGGATCTTCGTGTTGTGGCGAAGTGAATACTATTGCAATATATATAGCTTGTAATTCTCTTGTCTTTGGTGTGAGCATGCTGGTGGGGTGCTTGTTTGACTCGACAAAAAAAATATAGATGGACCTTGGCGTATCTCCCGTGGTTCGAGTTTGACAGAGTTCACCTCCTTCTGGTTCAACCTGCATTTCTCAACGTGAGGATGACATGACGGCCTGTCACATTTGCCTTGCTGCATTCGTGCCCCTTGCTAGCTAATCGTGGACAAGCATGGGGCTTGCGTCTCTGAAGTCAGGCCGAGAGTCCACCAAACTCAAGCCCCAACGCTGATACTGCGAGGTCATTGATATGTCTCGAAAGACCATCTTCTTGATGGGGGCTCCCTTGCCCGGGAATCTGGACTGGGATAATGACGAACTTTTAAATACACCGATGCCTCCCTTTCGTGGTGAACATGCCGACAAAGAGCTTCGGTCACCAGTCCAGCAGCGCCCCATCAAATGGAGGGTGTTACCATCTTTACCGGTCATTGACTCGGCAAAGGACCTGGAATACCACGATAGCCCAGGAGATCCAGCCTTCTTCACCACACATCAGTTGGCCATCAACAATGCGACACAGGCGGACCAAGAAGACTCGGCACTCTCACAGTTCTACGACCATTCCTTTGCGGTTCATGAAACATCCGAGATATCTGTCTCTGGTCTGCGTGTTGAATACTCGATTGAAGAAAGCGATCTGTGTGGGAAAACCATGGATACCTTGGACACCAGTACTACCTCTTCATCAGGTCCGGCAGATGCGCCGGGGCCAGCTCCCTTGCTCCGGATTCCTCGTCTCAGCGACCTGCAGGATCTTCCCACTGCAAGATACCTCGAATCTATTGCGCCCCAGACAATGACGGTGAATCTGATTGCAGGGGTCATTGCCGTGCAACCTCGTCGCCGCGTGGTGACGCGACGATGGAAAAAAGAATTAGACATTATCGAGCTTGTGGTTGGGGACGAGACAAGAACTGGGTTTGCCATAAATTTCTGGCTTCCGCCGAAAGAGCCATTTGGTCCAACCCATGAGGGGGGTGACCTCGGTCAATCGCTGGCGACTTTGCGGCCACAGGATCTCGTGTTGTTGCGGACCGTAGGGCTGAGTTCATTCCAAAACCGAGTATATGGACAGAGCCTGCGCAGAGGAATGACCCAGATTGATCTTTTGTATCGACGACCTGTGGATGCCGTGGATGCAGGGGGCTTTTACAGAGACACTATCTACCGCTCTCCCGACCAAGTACCACCAAAGGTTCGTCGAGTGCGAGATTGGGTGATACAATTTGTTGGTGCAACGGATCAAGCAGGCGGTGGCACATCTGGAATGTTTACACAACGTGGGCAGCTGCCTCCGGACACGCAGTAGGGGGACCGGGGGAGGGAAGTATGAGGGTTTACCGCAACCGACCTCGGAAGTATATCTAGCTTGGGTACACAATACCATTGTCCTATTTCTCAGGGCAACCCTAGAAAGATTCACCCAGGAAATATCTCGGAGCAGTCAGACAGTCAGGCAATGTAATCAGGCAATTTGGTCAATAGTTCCTCGTAGACAACGCGGTGGGCTGAGCCAACGTTCCCACGTTGCGTGGTTGATGCCTTCCGCACTAGTCCTAGCCGGTGGGACCAGGTACCAGTCCTTTATACAAGATCACTCACTGCAATATGAGTATATAGATAAATTATGACAAGAGCTATATAGATTTAATATTATATTAAGTATTTTATTTATTTGTCTTTTAATTAGTAAAAAATATAAGAGAAATCGAGAGAAATAGGCAAAATACAGCGTGAAGAAGCACCCCTTTTTCACTGCAAACGTGCGCCAATCACCCGCCACTCACGTGGCCCACCTACCTGATAAAAATAACCCCAGCCAGGTGTTCGTTCACCCCGGGCGTCTCTCCCTTTTGCAAAGGCATCGCCTCTTTTTAATATTCTCTCGCCGTTTTTCTTCTTTAAGCAATTGCCTTTGTGTTCTGTGATTCTGTGCCTTCTACTCTGACCTCTCCAATTGCCTTTCATCATGAAAGGTAGGTGTTGTCCCACCCCCCCCCCCCACCTTCGAATCCCCAGCACTAACAGACCTCTGTAGCTCTTATTCTCGTTGGAGGGTTTGGGACCCGCCTCCGTCCTCTGGTATGTTGTTGCTGATATCTCAATTGAATTGTGGAGAGAAATAGTTCTTTGCTAATACTCTATATGTTTAGACCCTCACTCTCCCTAAGCCTCTAGTGGAGTTCGGAAACCGGCCCATGATCTTGCACCAGGTTGAGAGCTTGGCTGCTGCAGGTGTGACTGATATTGTGCTGGCTGTCAACTACCGCCCCGATGTTATGGTTTCGGCACTCAAGAAGTATGAGGAGCAGTACAACGTGCGCATCGAATTCTCGGTCGAATCGGAACCGCTGGGTACGGCTGGCCCGCTCAAGCTGGCGGAGAAGATTCTGGGCAAGGATGACTCGCCCTTCTTTGTGCTGAACTCGGATATTATCTGCAACTACCCGTTCAAGGAGCTGGCCGACTTCCACAAGAACCATGGCGATGAGGGTACCATTGTGGTCACCAAGGTGGATGAGCCCTCTAAGTACGGTGTCGTGGTCCACAAGCCCAACCACGCCTCCCGCATCGACCGTTTTGTGGAGAAGCCTGTCGAGTTTGTCGGCAACCGCATCAACGCCGGTATCTACATCCTCAACCCCAGCGTCCTGAAGCGCATCGAGCTGCGCCCCACCTCGATTGAGCAGGAGACCTTCCCCGCTATTTGCAAGGATGGCCTGCTCCACTCCTTTGACCTTGAGGGCTTCTGGATGGATGTGGGCCAGCCCAAGGACTTCCTCACTGGCACCTGCCTCTACCTCACCTCCTTGGCCAAACGCAACCCCAAGCTCCTCGCTGCCAACTCTGAACCCTACGTGTATGGTGGCAATGTCATGGTTGATCCCTCGGCCAAGATTGGCAAGAACTGCCGCATTGGGCCCAACGTGGTCATCGGCCCCAATGTCGTGGTTGGCGACGGAGTCCGCCTGCAGCGTTGCGTTGTGATGGAGAACAGCAAGGTCAAGGACCACGCGTGGATCAAGTCCACTATTGTGGGATGGAACAGCTCCGTCGGCCGATGGGCTCGTCTGGAGAATGTCACCGTTCTGGGTGACGATGTCACTATCGCCGACGAGGTGTACGTCAATGGTGGCTCGATTCTGCCCCACAAGAGCATCAAGCAAAACATCGATGGTGAGTTGCACAGTCTACCAAAGTGTGTTCTTTTGTCCATGCTAATATCTCTCTTCAAATAGTCCCTGCAATCATCATGTAACCCCCTTTCCTCCCTCTCTTCACGTCGATATGCCCTCAACTGTCTTTCGTCTCGTGCCGATACCTTTCTCCCTGTCTTTGATGCATGGAACCGGAGTCGTTTTCTGCGTGATCTTCTATCTTATTTGTTGAACTCGAAGCCTTCTCGGTCCCTTCTTGCCCATCTCCCGCGACAAGCGATCGTCCTCCCACTATGTTCTCATCGTCTCTCCTCGTTTCTTTTCACATCCCGACAATCGATGCACCCAGAAGCCTAGATGGTGGAGTTGCCCGATTTCGTCCGTTTTCCTCTACTTCTTTTTTAGTCCCTTGTTCTCCCCCCACCTTGCACCCCTACTTTCAGTGGATTGATCTATTATCTTTGCTGATTGCCCAATTGCCCCGGAGAGCTGCTTTCACACCTCCACTCTGTTGCGTTGTGCATGCCTTTTATCTTTGCAAGTTCTTTCTCTTTTTCTTTCTAATCTTTTCTGGCAACTGGGGCAAAAGAAATCATACCATATCTGATTTTTAATATCATGGGCGCAGGGGGGCCGGGTGCTGTTGATGTACATAATGGGAGGCGAAATTCAACGCAAAAAGATACAAGTCCAACTGGCTCGGGTAGATCGTGATGATGATTTGACATTATGGGTTTGTATAGAGACGCATGTGGAGAATACATGCTATTGTACTTTGTGAGGCATACTGTCTGAGCAGATGGCAGCAGGGCCATCTCGACTTTCACACTCACTGGTCACTTGTCTTTGCCTTCTCAGCTCGATCCAGGATTTCATCCCACTGGATCCTCAGCTCCTCCATCTGCTTCCAACACTTGCGGCCGAGCTCCTCAAAATTCTCCCGCTCTTCACGGGTCAGGTCGACCGCACCCCGTTTCCGACGCCGGCACCGATCAGCCTCGACAACAGGTCTGCCCACAACACCGCCATAACCCCAGCCATCAATCTCCGTGCAGGCCACACTCTCGACACCCAGGCGGGAGCTGGACGAACCCCATTTGGCACGCCCACCGCCGGCCTGATGGTAGGGTTTCTCGGCAGCATCGAGCGCTGCCTGACCCGACAGCGCGAGGAAGACCGGGGCGCAGGCCCCGAGGTAGGTGGAGAGAGTGTGCCACGGGGAGCCTAGCATGCGCGCACCCCAGAAGGCGATGAGCATGGCGTAAACGAGAGGCAGTGCGAGCGGGATGATGGTGGTGGCGCAGACTCCCGGGTGGGAGAGGTACATGGTGGGCTTGGGTGCAGCAGAAGTGCCATTGGTATCGGGGTTGGACTCGAAGTCACCGCGCAAGAAGCTATCCACCGCCCACGGCGCTGTACCGGGCAGGTCCGATGTCAAGGCCAGGATGTCCGTCAAAGCCTTGGACGACTCATACGGCGCTGCAGTGCGCAGACCCTGCAGGTCATCAACATGGAACAGCTTTGTCGTTGCTTCGATGCTGGACACCCAGATGACTCGGCCGGGGCCATTGGGAGTTTGAGCTCGTTGTAGCAGCGGCGCTACATTGTGCGCCAGCATGTAGTGACCAAAGACATTGGCGCAGAAGACATAGCCAAGCAGAGGCTCCTCTGGTCCCTCCGTTTGCTTGTTGGTCAGCACCCCCACGGGGGCAAGCTTATATGGTGGCCAGGTCACCTGGTGGAGTAAATCCGTGCACACACCCCAGATGGCGTTCGGCCAGTCAATTCCCGACCAACCGCCGATCCCAGCGTTCAAGACAATAGCATCGAGTTTGGGGAGTGTTTGCACGAGCCGACGAGATAGCAAGCGCACCGAGTGGAGGTCGGTGAGGTCGACATTCTCGGAGACGAATTGCACGCGCTCGGCAGCGGATGGGGTGGATGAAGAGCGAAGATATTTTTCCAGGCGGCGACGGGTGTCTTCGGCTTTGCGCGAGCTCCGCGTAGTGAAGATTATGGTGAGAGATTGTGAGTCGGGGTGTGTCGAGAGGAATTCATCGGCGAGGCGGCAGCATATGGAGAACCCGAGACCGCTGCAGAAAGTCGGCGACTCGTCAGTCTTGGTCTTCTCTCCGCAGGGGATTGGCAGGAATAGGGTTGGGGCTGGGGGCCTTACCTGTTGGCTCCGGTCACCAGAATGTAGAGATTTTCATGAATCTCCCGAGTGTCATTCTCCCCCATGGCTCGCCCCCGTGTAGAATTCCGATCGAAGGTGTTTTTGATCCGGTCGACGATAAGGGGGTCTTGTGATATTTCAAGGAACCGACACAGTTGAACGTGACAAGGTACAAAGTGCTCTGAGAAGGATTCAGGCACTTTTTGCAGACGATAAACCAACAGTGATAGAATGAGGTTTGCAATGTCTGCCGCTTGGGCAAGAGCAATTGGAGAGATTTGTATACCCACCACGTGATTCCGTGTCGATCATATCACATCGCCGATCTCTCTTCAGCACCGACTCCTCCCTGTCAATGCCGTGCTGTCTGCACAGTATGCGCGGATAGTTATGACCACGAGACTCGAGCGTTTTTTGAACTCGAGTGTTTTCTTCTTCTTTGCTCTCGTTCTCTTCTGCCTTATCCTCCTCACTCCGGCCGATGCCATCTACCAGTGCTACGAGACCCAGCGACTCACCAATGTTTTCTTCATCACCGGCGCCTATGTAGTCACCTTCCTGCTGGTGGTCCTCATCTATGCGACCCGCATCTACACCAACCGAAGCACACTTTCCGGCATCCCCAAAGCCTGGATCCCCGTGGAGAAGGAAGATGTGAATAAGAGCGTCCGACGGCTGGTGATGGAGGGACTCGCTCGCAGCGCAGTTGTCTCGTACCAGGCCCGCCCCCGAGACACTGAAGCCGAGGGGGAGAGTTTCCAGAACCATAAAACGCTGCTCATCAATTCCCAACACCCGCCCTGGGGCCGCGTTGAGCACCCGGGCTGGTCGTCACCGGCATGCCCCGACTTGCCCGATTTGCCGTATCGGACGGTGATCCAGGAACTGCCGAATCTAATCGAAGCCAAAGCCGTCTCCCTTGCCCCTCCCGACATAATACCTTCTCCGCACCTGGATCCCTTCCCCCCATCCGGCGACTCTACCACCCAGTCCCTACCCGACATGCGCGTGGTCGAGGTGCTGCAGCGACCGGCCTCGATGGGCCTACGAGAATACATCCGACACCTAACATCTTTGCATGCGATCAATCCGCCCGAACTCGGTGCAGAATTTCTGGCGCTCTATGAGCACGCGCGGTTCTCGTCACGCGAGCTACACGAAACCGAGTTCCGCGAGCTGATGCACCTTTTCGCCGAAATCCTGCGAGGGATGACGACCCTGGCCCCACCGGTCCTGAATGAGATCCGCGACAGCGCAAGCTACTACCGCGCCGATAGCGAGTCGGCGATCGGGCCCTCAGACGAAGAAGGAGAGACGGACACCGTGGAGCATTTCGGGTTCGACGAGAATCTGACCTCCATGCGCAGTAATAGTCTTCGTCCATCTAATGCGTCGACGTGGGAGACTCAATCGGGGTACGACACCGCGCCAGCGACGCAAAGTCCTGTCTCAGGTATGTCGACAGGCGGCGGCTCCTACTGGGCGCGCGGTCTACTGCGCACGCCCTCGACCAGGTCGCTGCACCGAGTCCCGTCGAGTCGGTCTGGGAGTTCGGGCGGGAGTGTGATTCATTTGACGCAGCCGCGCGACCCGGCTGACCTGCCTTACACGATTGACTACGCTGGCCGTAGGATGTGAACATGTCCCCATGGCGTAATGTACATTAGTTATCGCGATGCAGCTTAGTCACGCGGAACAAGTTCCGAGTTCCTTGGCGAGAAATGTAACTTGATTGATAAGATCCTAGCGAAAAACACCACAAAAAAAAAATAGAGACACAGCGGGGGAAGAGACGATCCTCGTCTGAATTGACACTGGATCGATAAAAGAAAGGTTTGAATTCGTGCCATTCTAGTCGGATCGTCACTATGCACCTCTTCCGCCGTGGCACATCCTCGCTCTTCGGCTCCTCCAACGTGTCTCTTGCCTCGTCCCGCAACGGTACCGACACTGAAACCGACGCCGTCGGCGACAATGCGCTCGCCGCCGAGGGGTTTCGTTCTGTGGCCGCGCACGACAAATTATTCCAGAAGCCTGACCCCGCCGTTGATGGCGACGAGTGCTTGCATGACTGCGCTACCTGCACTGTCAAGTACCCCGCCAAGTTCGAGGTCGATCACGCCGATGAGCTGTATGGGCAGGTTAAGGGGTGGGCGACGCATCTGCTTGTAGCGACTGGCAAGTCGGACTGGGTGAGGGATGTGGCGGATGAGGAGGGGAGTGTGATGGAGGCGATTGAGAAGGGGGGATTGGAGCCGAGCAATGGGGTAAGTTTTATAAGCAGCAGCAGCAGATGATGACGATGATCAGGAGGAGGAGGACGACAACGATAAAGCAAGATTACATTGACTGACTGACTTCTGTTCTCCAGCGACTCAAACTGTCTGCTTCCAACATGCCCGTCCCCGACGAATACCACATCCACGAGCCAGGCAAGCAGCCCACAGACGTGCTGCTCCTGCCGAGCTTCACGATCGTCGAACATGTCACGCCACAGCTAGCCCCGGAATTGATCGATCACTTTGTCAACCGGTCCTTAACAACCACCACTCCACTCGGCACCCGCCCAGCGACACAAGCACCGCTCCCGACAGAGCAAAGCAACCAGGGCCAAGACCGGGACCAAGACCAAGAACCATCATCATCACAGCCCCCGGTAGTAACAACAACAACAAACCACATCCCCACATCTCTCCGCTCCCGTCCCTGCCCACACGCTGCCGTCATCCTCCTCTGCTCACAGCGCACACGCGACGCGCGCTGTGGACAATCGGCACCGCTTCTGCGCCGCGAATTCGAGCGCCATTTGCGGCCACTCGGTCTATACCGCGACATGGATGACCAGCGGCCGGGAGGCGTGGGCATCTATTTTATCAGCCATGTGGGCGGGCACAAGTACTCGGCCAATGTGATTGTGTACCGACGCCGGGACTTTGAATGGTACAAGCGTGAGGACACAACGGCGAAGCCATCAGCGGAAGCTGAGCAAGAAGAAGAAACAGAAGAGGGTGCCGCGCAGGGTATCTGGCTGGCGCGGGTCCGGCCGGAAGAGTGCGAGAATATCATTCGGTATACCGTGTTGCAGGGCAAGGTGCTCAAGCCGGAGCATCAGTTGCGTGGTGGGTTTGATCGGGAACGCGGGTTAGTGAGTTGGTAGTATATCCAACAACATGGATATGACTGTTTCAAGATACATTTGTTGGAATGGCTGACATTCCAGTCTCGGTTGTTGTGCATCGCATTTCGGTCTTGTGGTGTCATGCTCTGTCGAGATTGTCTTTGATGATATATGGAATCACTGCATTTACAAAGATCGAAATCAGCTATTTTGGTATTCTGACGTGCATCGTTAGCTAGGGGCAGTTTCATCCACTGCTTCAAGGATGGCAGTTGCCGAGGTATAAACTACAGTAAATCCAACCTGGTTCTCGGTGGCAAGTAGAAAGTAGAAAGTAGAAGGCAGAGTAACCATGGAGGATGCCTAGTAATAGGATAGGATAGTAATATTTGATTACCGCGATAACCGAAACACATGCCTACATCCATCGAGAACAAAACCAGTTCTACGAACGAGAGAGAAAGTACCCCGTTAATCCGATGCCAACCCAGCATATGGTACCCCCACATCTCCCAAGTGTATAGGCAAGTCATAACCCAGCGATAACGTCATTCTCCCCCTTGCAAAAGTAAGCGAAAGCTCTCTCTCTCTCTCTCTCTCTCTCTCTCTCTCGGTCAATGAGAACCGGATACGCCACCGCGTGCATCAAATGACCAGCAAGGGGAAAGCGCTACGCCCATCAGCCGCCCCGGTTTCTCTTTTCTTGGAGGTTGGAAGTGAACCTGGCTTTTACTGGACAAGAGATCTATACCAAGAGCCCTCGGATGAGCGGTGGACTAAGGATACTTCCACGGTTGTCCACTCACATCCATCCAACACATACGATCCGAGTATAGTTAGTTGGTTGGCTGTGGGTGGCGTGGCGTAGACGACCACTTTTGACCGGCACCGGACTGATGGGATCGAATCACAATGTGTTCTAGGAGTTTACCGATCCATGTCGTTCTCCCTCTTCCCTTGGATAGCCGATTCTTTCCCGTCCAGTACCCGTTCTGTCGGGATGGCATGTTGACCTTCGCGGCGACAAGCATATACAAGTATACAAGCATAAAGGCGCCAAGGAGGGGGAGGGGGGCAGTCGTCTCAGTTTTACGGGTGGCGCTGCTACTTCAACAAGATTTAGGAAGGGATGAAGAGAATTACCAGGCATGATTCGACAGTTCAAATAATCATTATCAGCCCCAGAGCGCACATGGGCGTTTTCGTCTATTTTTTCTTTCTTTGATTCTATGCTGCGCTTTCAGCCCCATAGACCCCCATATGTGGTATCGGGATAGGACGCCATGTCTGCAAGGGGCAACATGGCGTGTGTTTCCATGTCCCAGAATCCAGGATCTTGGACGGAGGATTTTCCATTTCTAGCACGCTAATAAGCCCCCAGCCCTGCGAAAGAGGGCGGGGAGGGTACAAGAGAGATAGAGAGAAAGACAAAACTACTGACCGACACTTGACAAAGCCAGAGAGGAAAAGACGGGAAACTTGGGAAATCATCGACAGACACGCTGCAGTGTGATGGACCAGTCAGAGCCAGCCTGATCTGGGTTACCTGGATTGTCTTTGGTGGAAAGGAACAGCGCGCAAATTATAGCTCACACTAGATCGAGAGATGTACGAATAATATGAGAAAGAGGGGCGAAAGAAAGAAAGAAGCTGAGTCTCGCCATGCATCGGAGATTATTTTCTTAGCAAAAGCCCCCCAGCTTCTACCTTTTCATGGTTGCCTGGCAAAAGTAAACCTTCGATTTACTTTTCTCAGCAAGAGAACAATACGTAGTTCGATCCACTTTTCCTTTTTTTTTTCCCTTTTCCTTGTTTACTCGAGAGTTGCCGCGTTTCACATGGCGTAGACTTCGAGGTGGAGCTTGAGCAGACCTAGGTTGGCTGAATCAACAAAGATATGCCATCACATCATCCATACTGACATACACACTAGACTTGCGGAGGAAAAAAATATCTCATCTTTGCCCGGTGTCATCCGAAAGCGAGCATCCGCATGCGGGGTAGTTAAGTGTATCGAGAAGGAGAGAAAGAATGAATGCATTTCACCTTGTCGCCCCATTAAACCCTACTGGCCTATTCCTTGCTTGAGAGGTGTCCTACTTCCTGCAGCTTCTATCACAACCCACAATCCACGCGTGACGGGAAGGAAACAGCGTGCAGTGATGCGGAGTGCTTGGCCCCGAAAAAACATCCCGACTCCTATCGAGCCGGTTGATTCTCCCACTGCAAATGAGCATGTAAGGGAGGGATTGAGATCCGCTGACCATGATCAGGTTGAGTCATAGCAATATCTTGATGAGGTCTTCCCCTCTATACTTCTGTACCATATCTAGATGTACAGAAATATAGAAATATCATTCCAACTTCTATAGTAATAAATGGATATACCAAAAAGAGGATGCCTAAATCAGCCCACACCCTAAGACCAGAGTTTCATCTACTCCAAAAAAAAAAAAAAAAAAAAAAAAAAAAAAAAAAAGAGCTGGGGCCATGCATTCGCTACCCTTGTTTTGAGCTAGTCGCACTTTATCTCCGTCTTTGAGAGTCTGGGGCGGATCGGCACGTCCATCCCTTACCCGTTGACTCTCTTCCAAGATTCGACTTTCTTTTGTGGTAGACGGGGAACACTCTCAAGTCTAAACCTACTTCGGGATAGAAAAAAAAAAGCAAGTGGATGGCGGTGCAGGGCCCACTTGTCGCGTGTTTTGGAAAAGCATATCCTCCCTTCCCAACAATGTGGGATTACGCCAACGGCTGAGCTGAGCGTCGATTCTTTCTGGTTTAGGGGATGTAGCCTGACCTGTGTACTTGCTGTTTATAGGGCGGACTTTTAGTCCGTAGTGTGTATGATGTCTGCTGTGCATACACTCAAATAGTATAGATAGCCAGATCCGGCGAGAAGTTAGGGCTTGGAAATAGACATCGTGACTGGAACAGAACGAGATAGGCTTGCTCTTTCTCTTTCTTCTCCATTTATTTTTTTATTTTTTTATTTTATTTTTTACGTTCAAATCTCTCTTTCCCTCAATTTATTATATAAACAAAATTGATGTACAATTTCTGCCGATCATATCGTGGCGTTGCTATCCACCTCCCTAATTCTGCAATCCTCGTGGCTCACCCCCTCGCTGGGCCTGGGTTAATAAGGTTGGAGGATCAGACGATCAGTTGAGATTGCACTGGTGGATCGCCACGTTCAGCAAATGCCACCGAGGTGCCTCAGCTCCCAAACTCAGTGCTCGGTAGCTTTAAGAAATGACGTTGAGCCGAGGCTACCCGGACCCTGTGAAGATGACTTGGTCGACTTCAATCCCAAAGTCTCCTATGCAAGGATTTTTCGAATAGAATTTGGCAACACTGGAAACGATACCTGAGCACTGAAATCAGTGATTAAAAAAAAAGAAAAGAAATAAATATTACCGCCAGGATCAGCCCCTATCCCCAAGGCAATGTTTACGACTCGAAACTCTATCAAACTCAGCTACGCCTGGAGAGATCCCCAGGATTCTGTTCGATCCCTGGAAAATCTCCCGTCTGTTTCTTTTTCTTTTTTTCACTCTCATTTCCCCTTTATAGTGGATATAGTGGATCCCCCCGTTAAATGAGGAACCAGCCCCAACCTTAAGGAGATGAACCCAGAGTCTTGGGCACTTGGGGGGATCCAACAAGCATCGGCGCTCCCGCAACTGGGGCGTGTGTGCCTGATCCTGCCGGGAGCCTCTAAAGGCTCTCCCTGTTTTCTGGCCCCGAACTTTTTTTTGGCCGCGTCATGGGCTATCCCTTGCTGGATGTTCTGGTGTTGTATTGTGATTATCTCCAGGTACAAGTGGGAGTAATGTTTAGTTTTGATTTTGATTTTACTGTTATTTTTTTATATTCTAGTCTGACGGGGGATTAACGAAAGAGACACAGAGAGCGGGTGTTTGGGGTTATACCTAGGTATAGGAACTACAGGGTACCCATCTAGTCTCTTTCTCCCTCTTCCCCTCTTTCCCGCTAACAACAACGGATTGTTAAACCAGAGAAAGATCGTCCTTAGCGCGCCAGACCTCTCGCATCCGAAGCAGCTCGGCGGGTAGTGGCTTGGCCCATTGGGCTGCACGATCGTTGAGTGGCTGCATTCCCGAGCGACGCTGGGCGTGGGGATGATATCATGGCAAGAGAAAGAGAAAGAGGAGGGTTATGTACAAACTGGTCTCTGTGCCCCCGTTCTGGTTCACCGGGCTGTCATTTCCACCCAAATCCTTCCAGCAGTTTTTTTTGGTTTGGGGGAGTTCAACGGGGGGTGGATCTAGCTGGGTCTTGCTAAAGAAATGGGCTTTTTTTTTTTCCCTCAGATTTCCAAGGCTGTCTTAACTTTATTCTCCAGGATTTCTTCAAGTTTTTGTTCTACATACTGTATAAGAGACAGTAGACAGTATACTATACAAGTATATTACTCCATACCCCCGTTACTCCGTTACTACTGTACTGCCAGGGCCAGTGGATTACCAGTATACCAGTAATACTCACCTCGTATCCCCCCATGCTCAGTCCAGTCTGGCATGTCTTGTCATCTTTGGCCCGAGTGGGTCACTGAGCCCGTCTCTTTTTAGTGTGGGGTGTATTCTCGGTAATGAAATAGGAGGCCTCAAGATACAGAAACAATGGGGTATTAGTATGTGAGAGATCAAATAAATAAAACATGTCTATTTGATCTATTTCATCTTCCTTATTCAATCCATTCAACGAAGAGAATGTGGAAGTCTGAATTCCATGGCCAACCGAGTCAGAGGATACAACAGTCCGACGTGGGACACCCCCCTTTCCATTGACAGGCGGGGCCTGTAATGTATCGATGTATTGTTATATTATTATCGTTATATTTAATAATAATATTTTAATATTTAATAATATTCTACACAAAAATACTAAAATAAAATAAAATATTCAAATCCCCAAAAGTCACTAATAATATACCGTCTCTTTGCCTATTTTTTCCCTTAGGCCCAGCTTCGATGCTCATTTCTCCAGATCTCACTTATTATTCTTCATTGAGCCTCCCCTCTTGTGATCTCTTTATCGTATATCATCGACTCCTCCCCCCCCCCCCTCTTCTCCCTCTCCCTCCCCTATCACTATTATGCCCCGGGCCCGCCTACTGAGCATCCCGGCTCCCATCCAACCGGCCTGACCAGGATCTAAATTCACCCCAGATCCCAGTTCCTTTAGTGTTCCCTGTTATCATTTCCCCTGCGATCGCGTCGCATGAGCTTACGCTCTGGTTCCCTTCCCCCCCCCCTTTCTTTGTTGAATTTCTTCCCGATTCTTATCTCTTTTTCTTGCACCCCATTTTATCCTCTTCCCGATTTCCTCGACTTGCTGAGTCGCATCTCTTCAACTTGGAAGGTGTGGCCAATCTCTCTCTATCGCAATCATGGCCCCCGGCAGTGGACGCGATTTTAATTGCTCATGGGATCATTGCGGCAAGGTGAGTATTGATAGGCGTTTTTTTCCCTTTGTTTTTCGATTCCCCTAACAAAGCCCCGATAGTCTTTCAATCGCAAGTCCGATCTCTGTCGCCATTATCGCATACATACGAATGAGCGGCCTTACCACTGCACTGTGAAGGATTGCAATAAGAGTTTCATACAGCGCAGCGCCTTGACTGTGCATTCACGGACTCACACGGGCGAAAAGCCCCATGTCTGCGACCACGATGGGTGCCAGAAGGCCTTCTCCGATGTGAGCAAGTTTTGATTCGAATGGGATTCGATCGGCGCAATCCAACTAACACCGCGGCCCCCCAGTCTTCCAGTTTGGCCCGCCATCGCAGAATTCACACGGGTAAACGCCCATATATCTGCCAGGAGCCAACATGTGAACGAAGGTATGTGAATAATCAAATGGTAAATGAGCTTCTTCTAACATGGATTTCTTGCTTTCTCTAATAGCTTCTGCCGCAAAACCACCCTCACCAAACACCAACACCGGTCCCACCCAGCCGGATCCCTGACCCGACCCTCCTCCGAGGACGCGACCTCGGAGCACTCCTACCAACACCCAACCCCGGTGACGGTATCTATTCCACCAAACGACCAGTACCTCCTCGCCCAGCAACCCTACTACCCGCAATCCGCGACACCGAACCACGAGTTCTACTCGCCGCAAAGCGTGCCTATGGGTTCAGTGCCCGTCCATGAAGCCGCTCCCCCCATAGTCACGCAGAATGTGCCCGTCACGTCACCTCTCAACCTGCCACATGCACAACCACATGCGCAACACCCGCACCCGCACCCGCAGCATCAACCTCAGCACCAGCCGCATCAGTCGCATCAGCAGCAACAGCAACAGCAGCAATATATGCAACTGATGCAGCAGCGCTATGATCCAAATCCACGTACTACCTACCTACCCCCTGAATACCACCAACCTCCGCCATTCCCTGGCCACCAGCTGCCAGATGCCCAGTCCATGATGATGTCCTACCATCCAAATTTCCAGTACAAAGCCCCCACTCGGATCTTGAACCAACCGGAGGGGACTGACTGGGGTTTTCTGGGTGTAGGTTGAGAAGTGACTTCTCATAGAGTGTGATTGAGATGCCCGTTACGAATTTTGCTTTTGCTTTTGCCTTTTCATTATTCTCTCTATTCTCTTTTTACCTCAAATTACCGGGATCATGCATATCCATTGCCTATTGTATTCGGTCATTCGTTTTGGACTCATGTGGGTTTAGGTGGGCGTTTCTGGGTCTTGGGTTTCCCCCTCTGATATTGGTTTTGTCTCTGGGCTTTTTTTCTCTCATGTGTTAAAAGGGAAATGGCGTTGTATTCTCTTTTTTTTTTTCTTTCCATTCTCTTACTATTTTCTGATTACTTCTATATCCATCGATCCATCGATCCATCTACTTGTTTACTTGTTTACTCCTTCAAGGGGCGCATCTATTTAAAGTCGAGGCAAGAAGGATTTAACTCTCCGCGCACCAGGAATACTAGCGGGAAATGACTTGCCCAACTCATTGGTTGCCTCATTTCCATGAGCGCCCCTCTCTTCCTAAGGTGCCCCAGATGGGAAATGAAGTAAATCCATCAGTTCTCTTCCATAATCATTTCATAATCATCTACTAACTCCTGGGTATTGATAGGGACACACCCGTTTTTTCGCTATTGGCACACCAAAACGCTTATTAATAACCATTTGGACTTATATAATCTTTTTTCGACTTATTCTCTAATCACATGATAGTTTTTATTATAGCTTAACTTACTATATAAAGTAATTGAAGCCCTTATTTACTATACTAATATTCTATATATATATATATCTATATTAATGTTTGTTAATATATTTTTAGAATTATAATAATCTTCATTTTGGGTCCTCAAAGTGATAAAAATTTTGAATACTAAAATAGTCACGTGAAGAGTTAAATGCGTTGGTGGTCCATATCAACCCCTATAATTCAGCACTTACTCTTAAGGTTAACCATATATCTTATTTTGATACTTTATAGCCCTTTATTTACAATTTTCTTGTATCTTTTTTTTTAAAAAAAATAAAGTATAAATTATCTTAATATACTTAAAGATATAGATGAAAAAATAAATCATATAACTAAGATACAGTGATTATGTCAGATTAGGTGTGCCAATAGCGAAAAAAAGGGTGTGTCCCTATCAATACCCATATTCCTAACCCCTATTAAGTAACCTTCTCGTGAGTAAGTGGGGGGAGGAGTAGGAAAAGGATTGATTTTCTTTTTTTCCCACACCGCCATGAATATAGAAGCTGAAACCAAGGTGTGATTTGATCTACATGCCTTCTACCCATGCCCAGAAAAGGCCAGCCATCGAAAGGAAAACTTCTAAAATAACTCATGGGCATCATTTCTAGTGGCCCCCTATTTCTACTGCTGATTATATTCATGGATTTTTATGATTATTAGTATTATTATTATTATTATATACAAAATAAGAGTATAGTCGTATACATGGATATTTACATAGTGGTTAGTATGTAAGTGTGGCCAACAAAGCAGTATGAACCCTGTCAATCGGCCCCTTCTAGTGGCCCCCTTAGAACAAAACCAGCGAGTTCTCATTTGCGCATCGAAGTTCGCTTACTATTCTAGAAGCGGGCATGCTTCTGAGTGGGCAGAGTTGGGAATGATTTCCTTAGTTAATAAATTCTTGGCCTATTTGTATACCGACTAAGGTACCTATATATACAAAGTAAGTAAACATGTAAATAATAGTATAATACATCGATGATATTAATATTTAATATCTCAAATATTGATAGAAAAAGGAAGGAGACAATAAAAAAGCAGGCATATAGTATGTTTCAGGTTTCCCCCCCCCCAGTTCCTCATTTGCTGCTCTTCTTTCTCCGAGTCTCTGCCTACTGGCTACTTTGCTACAGGATGGAAAGTGGAGGCCAAAAAACCGCCTTCTAGCGTGGTTATCGCGGCCTTACCGGTGAGGGGATCGCCCTTCTCCGCACACGTGTGAGATGTACAAGTAATCTAAGGGTCTTGGTGCCTAAGATAGGAGACTCGTGGCGAAAAGGGAAAAAAAAATCTATATTGATATTCGTATTAAACTCCAAAGCATTAAAAGCCACTGCGCACCTTGTGTGACATGGAATCTTCACAGCAAGTTAGGGTTGGCAGGGGCAGCCGAAGGAACAAAGGAGTATACACCCGTACCCTAAATAAGAGACATGTAATCCAAATATCGAAGAATATTTCAAATCAAAAGAAATCAAATCAAGCCAAACCAACTGAAATAGACTAATCTTGTCCACAGGTAAACATGATCAAATGTCTAATAGCATGTAGCAATTTACAAGTAGGCAAATATCCATCCAACGGGAGGCCCACTCAACAGATGGAGCTCCCGGCCGTTCAGGACCGGTTTTCTGGGATTTTTAGGCGTGAAACACCCTTCAGTCGAATCATGACTGTGTGGGAGAATAGTTCCGGATGGTTGACCATATCCCTTTTTGGTTCTTCGGGCTGTGTATGTTTTTTTTTTTTTTTTTTTTTTTTTTTTTTTTTTCTTTTTCTATTTTATTCTTTATTTTACCCCTGACTCTATAGCCATAATTGATATCTGTTGATTATTATTTGGTATTTACTCATGATCACTATTTCTATTTCTGTTTCTATTCTAATTCATTATTAATTCTCTATATTTCTTTTTCTCAGTAGGATGATCTTCATTTGCACGGGACTCTCTCTCTTATTGCGGTGTCTCCAGACTCGCGGCTGATCTTACCCCCTTCACCGACCACTCGTTGTCCATCGTCGATGCAGATCCATCTAGGGGTTGATGGTTGTTGGTTTGCTAGTTGGGGCCGCTGGAAGGGGGGGGGGGGGATGATCCCATCACTTCCGAACAGAAATAGCACTGGGAATTGGGGCCGAACTGGATATACGGACTCTGCCTCTCTTGTTTTCTCTCTTTTTGTGTATGCTGGGCCTTAAATAATAATAGCAGCACTAGTAATAATAAAGACTATAATAACAACATGATATATATATATATATATATATATAAATAAAAGTATCGAAAATAGGATGGATTGCCTAATTGAGAAGACCCGAGAAAAGCTGACGCGGGCTTTTTTTTTCTTTTGCGAGCCTTGTGATTGTCACATTCACACATTCAGATCGCCTATGGTAGTACGAAGTGATCACTATTGTCGATCTACATAGCTACGAGTCCTCGAGTCACTAAGTTCTATTGTTGAGAACTATTCCTCCAATAAAAAGTAAGTGTCAACTCTTCGAGAGTTTCCCCCCAAAAAACGCGCGGTGAGATGAAATCAAATCCCGATGGTGGGTGAGTTTATTCGAGTCTGTCTCCGTTGCTGGGTATGGCCCTTGTTGGCCTGACTCGACTTTCTACTTCTCACTATGACAGTTCATGTGTATACTAGTTTTTTTTTGTGCCCGAGAGCATTCTTTTTTTTCTTTTTCTTTTTCTTTTTCTATGTTTAAACACCCACTCTGGCCCAAGAATTGGACCTCGCCTCCGATCAATCTATACACCTAGCCCCGGCTACTAACAAGCTAAAGAACTTAACTATGTTCCCTCTAGTTGAGCGATTGAATCTTAGACTTGATCGGCACGGGGCAAGGCGTCCTGCGCAATCCGCTGATTCCTGGGTATTAGTTACTATCATTATTGTTATGCTCGTTCGATAATTTGGAGACACGCTATCCTGTTTCCCTTTTATTATTATTATTATGATTTATTTCTCTATTTTTCCCCTCTCTTTTTATTTCATTAACGATTAGCGATCAATTATTTTTTTATTCTTATTTCATTAATTTATGGTTCTATTTTCCTTCCCCTCACAAGCAGGATCCCTCTCCTGCGCTAGCGCTCCTCGAATGCGTGCATAGGTGGAGTCCAGCAGGATTGCTACCGCGTGTACTCCTGAGCCGAGCAGACTCAACCACACAGAATGGTAAATCTGATAGGGGGCGAATGCTTTTGTCTCGATCAGCCTCGATTTCGGATCGACTCATGCCAAGCGACCGAGTTCGCCTTTGTCGCCCCCAAGCTAAGCCTTGTTTGATTTAGTGTCTCCATATGGACATACCTGGACACTCTACTGATGTTCTGTACATATACTCATAGATACTCATGAGTGTATGTACAATCCTCTGTAGATATGGGATGGATCGGGAGGATATCACATACATGCAGCTAAGGATCAAGGTACATGCGTCAGCGGAGAGATAAGAGAGTGTGCCACACCTTAACCTTGGGGAGAGCTGACATGAATATACAAAGCAAGATGTATACAATACTTGGTACAAGATATGATCTATGGATACAGTATCCATAGATTACTTACTATATTTACAGTACTACAGTATGAGCATACATCATGCCCTGAATTCTCTATAGCTCGAAGCGAGATCTCCGGGGGTGGAGGCTTTCTAACGGGCGATTGCTAGGCTTACCACTCGAAACTGGAGCCCGCAGGAGAGTTCCCCGCCGACATAAGTGGAGCGAAGTCGAGCAGGGATGGTCCCTGCTCGGGGGGCGATGATCGCTACTATACGCGCAGAAACCGCAGCAATGACGACAGAGAGGAATCACGACGTCGTATCCCCGAGCCTAGGCGCCGGGAAAAAAAAGAGTGGGCATCTTTTTAGATCGCTTGGGTTGGCGCGCTGCGGAGCCGGTGGATATATACATTATCTACTAGGCACTCCCTAGGAGGATACAATTATTGGCGCAGGATGTTGAATACCTCTAGGATTAGTATGTAATCTTTTTTTCTATATACATGTATGTATACTTCCTGTAGATGTAGACACTCGCGAGGCACAGTAATAATTATATTGCTGTTGTGTGACCCAACCGACTCGACATGAAGCATTTCAATGGCGCTAGTGCGAACGCGCTCTTGACTTCTTTTTTAGTTCGTTATTGTATCATATGGTGGATATGACGATGGTTATCGTCATGTTCATATATGTTATATGTTATTGTGATCCGACTATCTATCAAGGAATTTACCACTGTACCAAACGAATGCCTCAGTAGATGATATACATATGTGTACCCCAGCCAAGCTGGGGATACGAGCATCCACATCCAATCCCAAGCTCGAGATTCCAAAGGAGCTTGGGCCCAGCGACGTTGATCGGAGCTTCGGGTCCACGGCGCAGAGGGTGGTGGGTGCTTTTCTGTCGCTCCAACGAGTATACTTGTATGTATGTATGTATGTATGTATGTACACATCTGTATAATAAACTTGAAAAGAATTGTGTAGACCACATGTAATCCGCGTATTAATGTTCCTCCAAAACCACGGAGTACCCGCTCCTGGCCCGTTCCCGGGGCGGGTCCGCTAGGGACAGGCTGATAGACTGGGATCCCGGTACTTGGAACGAAGGAGACTGAACGCGAGAGTCTTACACCTTTTACATAGTATATAAGCTAATAGAGCAAAGCCATGGGAAAATGAATGAATGTTGTATTGCTTTTGAAATTAATGTCCTAATATCCAAGGAACTGCTGTGGTTGGGTGTACTGTATACTATGCATGTAACTCGCCGAGGGATTGTATCCGTGGATCTATAATTGGCAAGAGATCATGTAGCATTTTTAGATACTACAATAACAATAACCATGATTCATGGTCAACGGACTTGCTGTCTAGTAAGTATTTCGGCTTTATAAGAGTCAGGCCCCTGATGCGCCAGAGACAAGAAGTGCACACTCTGGATTGGGCATGGTTTAAGGGGAGAGATTCCATGGCGCTGTTCTGGGGATCTTGGAAATGAGTGGAGCCGCTGTCCATACCGTCCATGAGTGTATCCTGATGTACAATCTAGTATACTGTATGTATTGCAAGTAGTACTTTACACATTCTAATACCTATGTATACATATGTACAGTACAATGTATTTTACGTTGAATCCATGTGGATTCAGCCTGACACCTCTTCATGTTGGACTGACTCGCATGCAAACGCCCCGAAGGATTGACGAATTTCTGCTTCGGGGCTAGAACAGATCTGCTGGCGTATAGGATCCTGGTGGGACGGCTACACCAAACAAGCTTTTACATTCGGGGGAAACGGCCACTGTCTCAAGGGGGGGGCCAACTGGGGCACAGCCGATCATCTTTGAGAGGAGGTTTTCTCCCCTTTTTCCCACTTGGCCCGATGAGGCAGGCCCTTAGGGCTAGTTTTGATGGGCAACTGAAATACGAGGGATCGACAATGGTTTCTTGAGGGGAGGTTGGCCAAACAATAGAGAAGGAGATGATGAACAGAAAAAGAAAACAATGGAGAGGGGGGCTAGGCTGAATCTCAACGGTGCAACTCAAGTCAACTGAAGTATAGATATACTGTTCATAGGCACCTCGAGCTGTGCCGTCCAGATATTTATTATTTACTGTTGATTGTTGGACTGTTTACTATTTACTTCTCAACGAACTACATTGTATACACTGAGGCTCGGCCCACATGGCAGCCTCGATCACTTGATTCCGACGTCATGCGCATCCCTGACTATTCTGTCTCCCTCCCGGTCTCTCCCTACGATGTACCTACCTAGTACCTAATAGGTAAGTGATTCGCTCGACGTCGTGCCACCGGAGACACTGGAGATCCTTCTCCTTGCCCCCGATCATCCCCCGGGCGCATCGGTCTAGAATTCAGGGCTCGCAGGATCGGAGAAATCGATCTTGCAATTGTGTACAGTACTGTGTGGCTGTGGTGCACCGCAGGATCGATCCACTGATGATTTTACATACATACAAATATACAAGTATTACATATGTACTGTAGATGTACATACATAGCTACAGTAAGAAGTATTCATACGCAATAAGTATACCGATCATATGCTACTATAGACGGAATGTATATAGGAATTCAGTAACCCAATCCCTAAACTTACATTCTACATACACAAATCAGGTGTAGATGATAGGCTCACCTTCTCCAGTATCATGCAGATACCCCCGAAATACCCCCAGAATACCACCATCCCTACAACAGACTAGCAACAACCTGCCAAGTGGGCCCCGCGAACCCTAAACCACATCCCGTAACATCAGGCGAGCGATATGTCACTTGGTGGCTGTGATTGGCTGTGGTATTTCTCTTCTAATCCCATCGCGACTTAGTTGCAAATCTCCCGAATCACTCAGCGACATTGCAATGATGGTCATGATGGAAGAGTAAGGGAAATATCAATGTGTGTGGCGAAATATTATCGCAAGTTGAGTCCCTACACAAAAAGAAAGAGAAATAGAAAGAAGGACGTGGTTCAACCATGGTCGAGATCGATGTTCGGTGTTTTCCAAATTGGGTTAATTTCACCAACGGGACTGACTATCTACCGCTCACTGTAGTTGATATGTACTTAGCCATGGTTTAATTGTACAGGTATAGTAGTCTAAGCGGAATGCAGTCTAAAGGCACTCTAGAAGATATGCCCACATGTAGCTATCAGTATATATCATCTACATTCTCGAGTAGGAATCTCTCTCTACTCGGACAGTCAACCTAGTATATCTTGATAGATCAAGTTATCAGGTAGAAATGCAATTCATTCATTCTATTACGGTCGCAATGGCAACGCCAGGCACAGCCCGGCGAATCAAAACTCTAGATAGAAAATATATCAAAAAAAAGGGCTTCATCCACTTAATCGTCCTGGATGGCCACCTCATCCTCCCAGCGCTGGGGCTGACCCATCTCCCGCGCACGGCGGATGACACGCTCGATACCATCGAGACCCATCTTCAAGACATCCATCTTGGGCCCGTAGCTTAGACGCACAAAGTGGTGGCAAGGGCTGTCGAAGAGATCACGACGCTTGGCCGGGTTCAGATCGAAGAAGATACCCGGGACCACAATGACCTTCTCATATAGCAGGGCGTTGAAGAAGTTCAGTCCGTCGGAGATGTTGGCTTCGGCCGGCAGTGGCGGGTCGAGCGAGGTCAGGTCGAGCCAGATGTAGAAAGTGGCCTGCGGGACGTCTTGCACGCGGAAGCCGATATCGTACAGACGGCCCAGCACGTAGTCGCGCTTCTCGCGGAAGTGCGTCTGCAGCGCCTTCATCTCGGCGCGCACCAGCGACGGCTCCAGCATCGGGATGGCAGCCTCCTGGAACGGCGCGTTGGCGCCACCGTCCAGGTACGATCCAGCGGAGCCCAGTGCATCGACGAATTCCTTCGGGCCCACCACCCACGCGATCCGCCAGCCCGGCAGGCGGAAACGCTTGGTAAGACCGTCAATCAGAAGGACGTCTAGATAGAGCCCAAAATCAGTAAGTGGCCATGGAGTCAGTGGGAAACAATAGACTTACCGTCCTTATTGACATCAACAACGTGCTCGGCACCACTGATCGTGCTACCATCGCAGTCGGTCGTATAGTTATAGCCACCATAGAACTCATCTAGGATGAGGGTGGCACGGTCACGGCAGATGTCTTGGATTTCCGCCAGCTCGTCGTGCGATACGAAGTGACCCGTAGGGTTACGGGGGTTCGACGTTAGCAGCACCTGAGTACCACGCGCGATTTCCTCTGCAATCTTATTGGGGTGGATGTGGTAGTGGTCCTCCTGAGCCAGAGGGATGGGAATCGGAGCAATCTAACACCAAGAGATCCAGTCAGCATGTGTTCGCAAGCTTCTTGCACGAATAAACCACATACGTTCTTGAACAGCGTCAACATCTCCGAGTACGCAGAGTAGTCGGGAATGGGGAACGACAGGTACGAATTGCCCAGAATCGCAGCAATTCGGATCAAACCAGCACGGCCACCGGGCACGATACAGACATTCTCCCAGGTGTACTGGCTGTCCTTGCCTTGCCGGTAGTGCTCATTGTAAAGCCTGGCCACGGCTGCACGCAGCGGCTTGATACCGGCGGTCGGGCCATACTCCCGAGTGGCAGAGGTGATGGGGATCGTCGTCGGACGGGGAAAGCTTCCCTCGATCTCGTCGTCGGCTTCGGGGGCACCCTGGCCGAGATTTGCCCAGCCAGAGGGATCTTCGGAGTATCCATGCTCGCTGGCACGCTCTGTGCACCAGACTACACCGGTAGAGGCACGGGAAGCATCGAGACCAGCGTGGGGACGGTGACCCTCGTGGGCGGTTCGGAACTGACGATGAGTCTCGGACCGTTGCTCTGGGGTAGAATCAGGTCAGTGCGACTGCCAAGGCCAACGATCCTTTTCAAGTGTATAGTGTATATAATGTACGCACCATTGTCCGACAACCCCTTGCTTGTGGAAAAGCGCCGGGTGGAGGGGCGCAGAATGCTCACGCGACGGCCGGAGAACGACATGCTTGGCTCTGCTGGTAGTGATATGTGGCTTATTTAGTGCAGGATGACAGTCCACTCGAATCTTGAGGGTTCTGTGATGCTGATGGCGGTTTGAAGTGGTTTAAAACCGCCAGCACGAGGGGTAACAGCTGGAAGGAAGCGGGGAGGGGCCAAAACAAAGACTTTCCGATAAAATCCACGTTGCTTGACCTCGAGTCCCTCGAGTATTTATAAATTTCTCCAACCAGTCCTCGCCGAGTGCTGATGTGGCATCTGAGTCTGACAATGTCAATCCTGGGCAACGATTCGACGAGGCCACCGACTACGTTGCGCCGAAGTTGCCGCGTTGGAGTCGAGCTGAGGCCACCGGGGCGCATTTCGGCCTCATTGTCGGGGCGTCCGTGAGGAAATTCCACATTAATACCGCAAGGAGGCTGGACAGAATCGCCGTGTTTGAGGCATTTCTGAATGAATTCGTTGCCCCAGGGGAGAAAAAAACCATCGCCCCCTGAGAGCTTAGAGCTAGAGTCGGCATGGTCTTCAGGAGGTGTTCTTTCGAGTATTACGATTGAGGTCTATAGAGAGAAACAATGACAGAAATGACATCCAAAGTCATACTTCAGCCCTGCCAAGAGCATGTGTGCAGTGATGCGGAGACGGTATTCCGATCCGGTAGATCATTGCGAGGCGTGTAGAATTTCCATAGGGCTGCCTACATCCTGCTAGAACAAGAAGCCAAAAAAAAAAAAAAACACAACTGGTATGCATACATCATGGAAGGTGATTCATACGTCGTCGACATGGGAACACGGAAATCAATCAACAGTCCTCGCCCCCGTACAGATCCAGAAATAAACATGGCACGAGAGGAGCGGCCCCCCTGTTGAGGTCTCGTTCGGTCGCCAGGACACCGTCCATGCCACAGTTAAAAATCATTATGCAGAGGTCCTCGCTCAGATGCCAGTCTGACCACAGGCTTGCCATGGGGGCCCTGCTGGGAAACCAAAACGAAGAATCTCCAAAAGCTCTGCTCAACAGTTGAGCTCAGGCCAATCCAGTTGGGGAGGGAAGAGGACGGGCGCCGCAGGTAATGCAAGGCATGGAAAGCGTAAAAGATGAAGAAACATTCACGTCGGAACATATGGGAACCGGGACTAGTCAACCACCTGGCAATAGAGCTGAATCTCTCCGACCAAACCCTTGGCCAGCATATCCCGGTGTTGCTCACGCCACTCCATAAAAGCAAGTTGGACGGCCTCATCGCTGTCAATGGTGACAAAATCCCCATCCTCGTCGCGGTAACGAAGCCGCACAGTTTTGGTGCCAATGGACCGGTCTGTGAATCGCGCCAGTTTTGCATCCACGCGATCCGTCAACGAACGGAACAGGATGTTGGTCGCAATCACCAGTGTAACGTAGTTGTCATCAAAGTTCACCTTGGCCTTGAGTTGCGTCGGCATGAACGGGTCGCCTCCCTCCGGCTCTTGGCTTAAAGGTGAGGTTGCATGTTCAGAGAGCTGCCCCGAGGTGCGAGCTTCGCTGTATTCCGGGTCGTTGAAATGCGAGCTATGAGAACCATGAGAGCCATGGGAATGATGGGGATGAGTGCGCATGGGGAGTTGACTGTTGGTGGGCGAATTGTTTTGGCTGCGGTTGACAGGCGCTTTCATGTTGGCCATATGCGCAGGGATGGGTGGCACTGGCACGTTGTCGACAGTCTGCATCGTGTGCGCCCCCATGTACCGCCTCGATTCGGGGACATTGTTGTGATGGTGAATATCCGGGCTGCTAGCCGATCGCATCCGTTGAGTCGCACCATTCGCTGATTGCGCCTGAGGCCCCGAAAGAGGGGGCAGAGATGGACGCTGAGCAGCCCGTCCATTGGATTGACCAGAGAAATACCCTGCGTTCGTGCCATCGCGAGACGCCCCGCGAGACAGTGCAGGCGCGGTGTACCGGTTGGACTCTTCATTCCAAACAGATGACGCCCCCGTGGAGTTCGTGTTTTGACGGCCAAATGAATACCCAGTCGATTGGGAACTTGACCGCGTGGACGGGGTTTCCGTGGGGGAAAAGTAAGAGTTCATACTCCGATCATTTGGTGACATGCTCCCGCTGCCGGGGAACTGGGTATGTACCGAGAGCGCTGGATCGGTGACTCCGTAGCGTGGACGGCCGTTTGAATGGGGAACAGAGCTTGTGCTGCCGCCGGTGGCAGATCGAGTCCTCAGGCTGGTGCTGGACGCATTTCGGCTCATGGGAAATTCAGAGTAATACGGGCCCTCTTTGTTACCGTCATCTGCGTCATACTCTTGCTGGTACGGATTCGGGATGTTGGTCATTCCCTCCATGTACGTGAACTCGCTATCTGATGTGCCAGTATGCCGAATGGTGCGCCGCTCTGCTTGGATTGCTCGTTGGGTGTCGATGTCTCTGTACCAATTCCGCATCGTATCTTCGTTTTGATATCGGATAATGAAATTATCGACCACTCCCGGGTCTCCCTTCCAAAATATCTGAATGCGATAAAGGCCTGTCTGCGGTCAGAAACACAACATCCAGTTCCGACCAAAGACCCAGATGGTCACTCACCAGGCTTCTGAAGGCAAACGATGTCTGTTACATTGGCCATGTAGATTCGGCCCTTCAGTTGAAGACGAGGCTTTCCTTTTGCAGTAGGTGTCGGTTTATCTTTGTTCATCATGAGCTTCGTCTTTTGCTTGTTAGGGTTGATATCTTTGCAGCAAAGAAGAATTCGCTCGAAAAGAAAGATGTGGTACTAAGAACCGGGGCATGTCAGCGGGGAATTCTGTTCTTGAGAAGGGAATCAGGAACTGGCACGCACCTCTCTCTCATTATCCTTGCCACTGTCCCCTTTCACCACAGCGAAGGTGCCAAACCGAAGCAGATCTCCAAAAGCATCCATTTTCAGCGCCTTCCAATCATCTACTCGCTCCGACAAATCCACCACGGCCGCAGCCAAGTGCTCTTTGTGAATGGCTTCATTGGCTCCGTCCAAAACATTTTGAATCGTGTCAATTGCGCCGGTAATGTCAGTCTGGAGCTGTGGATCCTCAATTTGCTTGCGCAGCTCCTGAGAAGAGACGACCAAATTAGATTCAGGATCTGGAGTCGCGAGGGTCGATCAAATTGCTTACCGAGAGCATCAGTGGGTATCTGGTCAACCGTTGAAAAGGCTTCACAAAGAAACCATTGAGAGTCTTTGGTTGCGCGACCATTTGCTGGAGGTCCAGATGACGTGGAGCAACCCGAATCTTGTCCCATTCCTTCAGGCAGGTTTCGTCGCAGCGCATCTGGTTTGCAATGAACGGTTCATACTGCCGGAAAGCTTCCTCGTGCGAAGAGAAGAGATGGCCCCAATTTTGCATTTCTTCCGGCAAGGCGTAGTGCTGCTCCATGCGAATGAGGAACCGCTGAGCAAAATCTAACAGATTGTTGAGGTTCAGGAAAATCTGGTGGCTTCCGTCGCCAGTCAAAGCACCCGTTTCCTCCAATTCCTTTTTGAGAGCCTGGAGGTTCTGCAGATGGTGGACATAGTCGCGCTCCGTTTCCAGTAGCTCCTTGAGAATGTGCTCTCTCTTGGTAAGCTTCACGGCCCCTTTTGTGCCAGTGGGTTGTTCTATCACTTCCGATGACTGCTTCAGCTGGCCTTGCATCTCTAGGATGTCCACGACCCGGTTGACCATCTTGATCACTTTGATAAAGCCTGTCGTGCTTTCGCCATACAGATCTGTGATGAGGAAGCAATCTTGTTGGGGGAATGCCAGGTCCTGCAGGCAAGCCTGCAGGAACTTGAATGTCGCTGCCTTTGGACGCTTCGCCTCGGGAACTCTCGCGGGATCAATTTCCAGCGGCTCGGCTGGTCCGGAAGCATTATAGATACTCAACAGTGGATAACCGTTTCGAAGACAAGTCCATAAAGAAGCGACTGGGTCTGTGTTCCCGCTGATGCGGTCTTCTTCCATATCCTGCAAATAAGGTTCAAAATTGGGAACCTCGGACAACCGGCGTTTCAGATTAACGCAGCTCTGATAGATCGATTCTCCACCACGCCGATTGATGATGTTGTCCTCGGCGACCGGAGCGCCGCTTATCCCGGCGGAGTCAATCATGTTGATGTTCCTCGGGGACCAGGTATATGAGTTAGACCAGCCTGGCTCCGTTCAAATCCGCACAGCAGACCTGGGAGAAATATAATCGGACAAAACGACGAGCGTCGGGGGGATAGAATGCGGACCATGGATTGGTGATGTCGAATCAGGTGGGCTGCACGGGACCCGGGAAGCCGAGGAGAATATCCGATTCAAAGCGGGAGATGGCAACACCGCACTATTCTGACGTAGATCGCAAAGAGGGACTTTCTCGACTGGGTATAATCGGGAGAGTGTTCTCGAGAAGGGAGGGTCGAATCCAGGGCGGAGATATATATACCAACAGGGCAATTTCCCCAAAATGACGCACCGCCACTCTCCCGAAAGAAAAAGGAGGGGTGATTGACGAGAAGATATTCCAACTCCTGCAGGCGAGGTCCCCTAGCCGATCGGGGATATAATTCTAGATGTCGGAGCTAGCACTGCAGCCGGGCAGGCGTGCCGAATCAGAGAAAGGAAAGAGACCGGTCAAAACAACCTGAATAACCAAGTTAGGACCGGTGACCGAAACTCGGAGGTTGTGCGGCAGGGTTGAGTCGGGGCAGGAATGGATGTGGGGGGGGAACAGGTGGCAGGAAAGGGGAAGCAGAGCGTCCGCATTAGCGCCAGCACATACCAACAGATGGTGAGGGATGAAAGCGATGGGAGAACAGAAAGGAGAGGAGAGAGGGTGAGCGGAAGGAGAGTGTTCCATTACCCCAAGAGGTTTAGCGCATGTTCCATCGGGCGGTGGGATGTGGAGAGGGGCGACTCGAAGAATTCGGTGATTTTGTATTGCACGTTGTGAGCTGAATATTTATACTATTTATTAGATATTACATATTTTAATAACAACATAAGTATTAGGAAAATTCTCAAAATAGTATAATTTGACCACCTGGTATCCATTATGAGTGTGAGTATTCTGGTGTGATCTAGTGAGGGCTGTCTACCTGAAAGTAGCTAGGATAGGTAGGTGGTTAGGTATCAACCCCCCCCCAGACCTTATCAACCTTAGGTACCCTTGCTAGACATCTCCTCGGTAATATTGCACAAGCACCACGGCCTTCGAGAAATTAATCTAAATTAATTTAGAAAAGCCGATATAGCAGTCAGCCTTTCCTAGACTCGCCCATTGCTATTATTATTAAATTATTTCATTCTTTAATCATAAACCCATCCAGCATCTACATTGGGTCCTCTTTTCTCCCCAGATACATACCCGGACCACGTGATCATAACAGGGTCCATCTGACATAGTTTCGACCTGTTTATTTTGATTCTTTGATCTCTGGGTTGCAGAGGGCCAGTAGGAGGCTAAAGGCAACATTTCGTTCCGATCTATCACTTTTTGTTGCCCTGGTGGAGCCTATGTCCAATGCGACGTGACAAGCATCGAGGTTCTCCAAGTTCAACCATCCGGCTTAACCTCCCCTCTCAATCTTCCCTTCTTTCATCTCCCCCACCTCTCTCGGCTTCAGAGGGATCAGAGGAACATACCCACGTCTATTTATTTGCGCCAAACCTCGTGGATCGAGTGACACCGAACAGCCTTCAATCGGAACTGATACGGGTGCCTTGCAAGGCCACTTCCGCAAGTCGACTCACCACGTCACGAACCATCCCGCCAGCATCGATGGAGGGAGAGACATTACCAGATCCTTCTATCTCCCCAACACTGCGGCTACAGACCACCGCGATTCCCGGGTATCCTGTGCCGTCTCTTTCTCCCTCCTTCAAGCTGGATGAAGGCTACTCAGACGAGACCCGAAGCCCGTCAGACAAAGATCTCGCGTCAAACCATGCCATGATGCTTCCAGACTGGGTCCTTGCCCAGAGCGAGGCCAACAGATCTGGTAAGACCCAAACTTGCTGTTATTCTCTTTATTTTCCCCAGCCAAGCTGGTCTGCCCCAATTCCCTCCCCCACAAACACACCTTGCCTCTTCCCGAAGCGTTGATTAATTCGTTGCGTCGCCACCTCTAGAACTCGCGTATAGTCTTCTTCGATCACTTCCCACCTCCATGGTCGCTGCGGTGGTCGAGCGACTCAACCCGCTACTTCACATGGATCCTGTTGCTATGCTACCCCCCGAACTCACCTCGGAGATCTTCTCCTACCTCGATCCACGCACCCTCCTGAGAGCATCACTCGCATCTCGTTCCTGGCGAAGCCGCATTCTTGACTCTGGTCTATGGAGAGTGCTATACATTAATGAAGGTTGGCGCGTGGATGTGCGCGCAATTCGCAACTTTGAGCAGGAATGCTCTGAGTCTATATCACCACAGACCCGCAAGTCGCGCCCACGTCTCTCGGAGCCGGATCAAGGGGAACCGAAACATAAGAAGCGCGTGCCCCCGACTTGGCTGGACTCACGAAACGCCGAAGGTCAAGGTATGGTGGCGGTCGACAGTCAAGCACCCACCGAAGCAGATTACGAGGGCGACCATCACATGGTTGATGCCAACGATCGCGGTTTGCCCTTGGTGGCGAACGGTCCAGGGTTGGCGCCGACGAGACAAGCTTTCTCGCCTCTCCACCCACCTCTCAAATCCACCCTCCTTACCCGCTCTCCAAATGGGACTGCCAAGATGAACTGGGCGCACCTTTACAAACAACGTCGACGCCTCGAGGCGAATTGGCAGCATGGTCGATTCACAAACTTCCAACTGCCTCACCCGTCTCACCCGGAAGAGGCGCACAGGGAGTGTGTGTATGCGATTCAGTTTGAGGGGAAATGGCTAGTCAGTGGGAGTCGGGATCGATCAGTGCGCGTTTGGGACTTGGAGACGAAACGCCTGTGGCACCGTCCATTAACAGGACACTTGAAGTCAGTGTTGTGCCTCCAGTTCGATCCAAGCCCCGAAGAGGATGTTATCATCTCTGGCAGCAGTGACCGGACCATCATTATGTGGAAGTTTTCAACCGGAGACAAGGTCCATCAAATCACCAACGCCCATGCTGACTCAGTGCTTAACCTGAAGTTTGACCACCGATATCTGGTTACCTGTTCCAAAGATCGGACAGTGAAAGTGTGGAACCGGAAAGAACTTATGGCCACGGACGAGAACTATCCTCGCATCTGCAAAGGAGCTGGGGCCACCTATCCCTCGTACATCGTCGATCTCAACGAGATGTCGCCCAGTGTGCTTGACGCCAACATTGCCAACGAGCACATCAAAGCTTTAATGCCTTATTCCCTCCTGATGACAGTGGAAGGGCATGGTGCGGCAGTGAACGCCATGCAGATCCACGGCGACGAGATTGTGACGGCCTCAGGCGATCGTATGATCAAGGTCTGGAATATCCGCACGGGTGCCTGTTTGAAGACGTTGATGGGCCATGAAAAAGGCATTGCATGTGTCCAATTCGATAGCCGACGGATCATCAGTGGCAGCAACGACAACACTGTACGAATTTACGACCATATCTCCGGGGCTGAGGTGGCATGTCTCCGAGGTCATAATAATCTAGTCCGTACCGTTCAGGCAGGGTTTGGCGACCCCCCGGGAGCAGATGAAGCATTGCGGCTGGAGGCGCTGGCGGTCGAGAATGACTTCTGGAATGCCCAGCGGACTAGTCTGTCCGTCGAACTTGGACCACGGGCTCTGCGCCGTGCCGGCCACTACTCCAACACTGCGGGGTCTCGTGATCCTCGCGACATCCCGGCTCTTGGGGCAAAGATCCCGCCTGGCGGCGGCGGCAGTGCCTGGAGCCGTATCGTATCAGGGTCCTACGACGAGTCAATCTTGATTTGGCACAAGGATCGGGATGGCGCGTGGTCAATTGCGCATCGACTGCGTCAAGCTGATGCCGTGACCAACGCTGCCCGTGATCAGCTCAGTCCAGTTGCGCAAGCCACTCTCTCTGCCCAGGCCCAACAGCTGCAAGCAGCCCAGGTTCTCATGACACTCCCGACGGCCCAGGGCACCAACACCACCGAAAATGCAGAGGCCGGCCAGCCTGTACCTAATACGAACCCAGCCCCTAATCCCAGACAGCAAGATGGCCCTACCGACCAAAATAACACACAGGCCCACGGCGCCCATGGTCCTCCTGCTCCAGCTGTACCCGCTCCCACTAATGGAGCGGCCGTCCACCCAATGGTTGCCGCCCATCACCATCATCATCACGTCCATGCTCACCGCCATGCCAACCGACCCCACGCACCACAGGCCACTCCGCCAACTTCTCGGGTTTTCAAGGTCCAGTTCGACTCCCGCAAGATCGTCTGCGCCAGCCAAGACCCTCGAATCGTGGGCTGGGACTTTGCATGCGATGATGACGAGATCACTGAAGCGTGTCCATTCTTCCAAGGACTATGATTTCCATCTATTTCATAATGCCGCTTCCTTTCTGACCATTAACCTGGTCCGCGCTGGGCGCGACTTCGACCCCCTTGACAACCATCTGAAAGATGCAATCCTGCATCAATGAACCCACACCTCTTGTTTTGCTTTCGCATACCCTCCAATCCCTATTCTTCCTTCTTTACACTTGAACACTTGCGTCCACCCTTCTCTCTCCCCCCCCCCCCCCCTTTCCAACGTCTACCATGTCCACAAAATAGGGTGTTCTTGTTTCCTGCCCACCTAATGATGCATCCCCCCCTTAACGGTCCCTCTTGAGCCCTTACGCATGAAGGAAGATGTCTGTCCTTCTTCGTGTCTTCTTCTCTTTCGCATCACCTCAAGGCTCGCTATTTTTATTCCTTGCTATCCCGGTACGATTTTCTTATCGACCTTGCATGGCCCGATGTCGGGTGGCGAATATCTTCTTTTCTATTTTTTATTAAATAGCATCTATTAGCATCCCATGTCATAGCACCTCTCGATGATTCGTGGTGAAATCTGAATAATCGTGATCTTGGCCTGCCAGTACCTGGTCTGACTGTTCACATGATTAGATCTAGATGGCTCATGTCCTTGGAAGGATATAGCTGTCGAACAGAAGGGTGTTGATCAAAAATAAGAACTGGAAAGGCACCTGCTGCATGGAGAATGTGTTTCAATTCTAACCAAAATAAGAATATGAAAAAACCAGCCACTTGCCATGTAGAGGCATCAGACCAACATGGGTATGAAATCCCACGAATTCCAAGCGCATATCTACATAACTGACTTGGCCCTATGAACCCCAAATGGTGCTTCGATTAAGAATAGACAATCCCAAAAGTGTACCCAGAAAAGAAAGGATGAAAAGTAAAAGGGGGAAAGAGACATTGGGTATCATGGTAGCAATAAAACAACGCATAAACAGATATATCCCGTCGCTTCAACAGTTTAGACGGGGACCGGATCCACGATCCGGCGTGCAGGAGACACAAGACCAGACACAGACGAAACCAAACACTGAAAACCATACCATCGAGGATGCTGGTTCTCACTTCCGAGCCGCGTTGGAAAAAGAGGGCCAATGGCCGAGAATTCGCTTCTGGCCGTTGCGTAGGTTTCTAGGGAGCTGGTGATATTCAGAGGTTCCTCGAAGTTACCGTGACTTTTATGAGTTGAATAATTTCCCAGGCAACAGCACAGGTAGATGCGAGCTGTGAGCCAGGACATAAGATCACGAGAAGAGAATGTCTCTGTACCGAAGTCTTCCTCTGCTGCCGTTCCATCCACGGTTGCTGTGAGAGGAGGCAATTGAAGTTGGGAAGGATTGGGAGGAAGATAACCCCGTCCAATGTTGTTCCCTTCAACAGGGGACTCGGCTGGGCTTACAGACGGTGCCACTCTGGATGGCCCGCTCTGCCGTGCCGGATTTCTTGGGGGGCTAAAAAGCGCGGTAGCCTTGATGAGTTTTCGTGAAACCCCTGTCACAGCGGGTGCTGGTGCGGACGGTAAAGCCGCCCCCGAAGATAAGCATGGACGGCCCGAGGAAGCCGCTTGAGGAGTGCGAGTGGCTAGGTGAGCCCTGGCATTCTTTGAGGATGAAGCATCCGTCTCAGGCTCGCTATCCGCCGCCACCATCTCACATTGGGCAACAGCCAAATTTCGCTGATGAAAAGGATGATCATCCAGCTGCCGGGCTAGGTTCATTCCATGGCCGCTTGTTCGGTAAGGGAACCGGCCCTGGACAGCCGTTCCATCCTCGGCTCTCCCAATGCCAGCTACCGAGAGCTCGGCGGGACGCGATGTAGATGAGGCTGACAGGCCAAAGAACTTCCTCACCGCGTCGCCGTATGAGCCAATCCGTGAGCCCTCTCCAGGGGTATGTCGTGAGGTCCAGGGTGTAGAAACACCGTTCTGGCGGACCAGAAACTGGGAAGAGCAGCAAACGGCTTCTTGGGTACCGAAAGACGGAAGCCCGGGGGTGTTGGTGCCCTTGCCGGTGGTGGGTATCGGGGTTGAATACTTTTCACGGCAGATGGCAAGGGGCCTGGCCACTTGGGCTCCGGTAAACCACGATCTCCGAGAGAAACAGCTTTGCAATGAATCGGCCGAGCAGAATCGAGTGCTGGGTCATCGTTGAAAGAAGTTGGTCCCGGTGGATGCGAGCTCTGCAAGCACTGATCCGAGCGCATTTGGGAGCGCCACCAGAGTGTTCTCGATCCTTGTGCCTGTATTCTGTCGTATGGAAAGTCGGCAAAGGAGGAACCGCCGTGTGAGTGACCCGTAGGAATGAACATGGCCATGTTTGCCGCTAGTCCTTGCTCCAGAACAGGATTGTTGTTGTAGGCGGAGCCACCAAACCGGATATCCTCCCTCGAGGAACTGACTCTAATAGCATTGAATATAGATCTGTCGTCGCTGAGGATGGACTCGGATGTTCCATGATTATCGTATGAAGGCGACAGCGAGGCAGAGTCCTGGATGTGACCGTCATGCCGGATGCCCTGCGCCGCTAAAGATGCCGACTCAGGGAGACAGGGTCGATCAACAGCGCCGCATGCTCCCCGATCATAGTTGACAGTCATGATAAAAGACCGAAGAAGCAAAAAGTGGACTTGAACAAGGATAAATGTTGCGAATCAAGAAAAAAAAAACCAAAAGTCCCCGGGCGACGTGATCGCACCTGCCGGGCCGTGCAAATGCCTAAATATGATACACCGAGCACTCTTCTATATGTACATTTTCGCGAAAAACAAAGGCGCTCAAAACCGAAATATGAGAGATCATCATCATAAGGGCGTGCCAATCGGGCTGGGTATGGGCTTGCCAGTTACATTTGCATGTTCCTTTCTGAGGGCGCGCAGTACTCCTTCCAGTCGCCGGCGCTCTTCTTGCTCCGCCTGTGTTCAATGTGTGAGGAGACTGAAAAGAAACTGTTTTGAAAGACAAAACTCACCTTCAAGATCTTCATATTCTCGTTGCGGGTATCGCGCATCATCTTCTTGAACTCGTTCTTGAGGACCATGGTTGACGTCGTCTCCGAAGTACCATCGCGGCCCACGGACGTGGGACTGCTGAGGTTCATCCAGCTGATACGCTCTTCGCTGAGCTGCGTCTCGAGCTGTTCGCAGCGATCCCGCAACTTGTCGATGACACTCTCGAACCGCTCACGCTCTTTCTCGAATTCGATGCTGGCCTTGGTCATGGCCTCGTAGTCATCCAGAGTTTCGCGAAGCTCTTTCTCCAGAGTATCGGCCCGCTGCTGGTTACCTTGCTGGCCTCTGAGCGTAGCGAGCTCTTCGGTGAGCTCGATATTGCGAGTGTTCAGGGCATCGATCTCCTTTTGGATCTCGGGGTTGGAAGCAACCTCTGCCGCGCGCTGGGCTCGGGTACCGTAAGCACCGTCGAGCTCTGCCTTGACCATGGTCAATTCAGTCGTGACCCGCACGATTTCACCCTCAAGCTCCGTCATCTCGCCTTGAACGCGGTTGGCATTCTCCTCGGCTTGGCTGCGCTGGTCGAGCGCCTCCTTCACACGAGCATCAGATTCATTGCGCACCTCCTGTAAAGTGGCCTCGAGCTGTGCCACTTCTTGGTCCGCGCGGTCGCGAGCCTCCCGGACTTCTTCTGCGCGGGCATCGACCTCGCTGTGCAGTGACTCAACCACACTCTGCAAGCGTGCAACTTCGCCTTCCGCCTGTACAAGGGCTGCCCGGGCCTCCTCCTGAGAAGTACCGTTGTGGCGCATAGAGTCGAGCTGTTCCATGACTTGAGACAACTCATCCTGGTTGGCCTTGCCTTCACGCCCCGACACCTCGAGATCTTTCCGCATATTCGCCAACTGTTCGGTCAGGTCAGTGATGTGGGCATCTCGTTCAGCGTCGGACTTGGAGTTAAGCTCGCGCTGCTGCTGGATTTGAGTGGTCAGGATGCTCTTCTGCTCGAGTAGCCCGTCCACCCGGCTTTCTAGACCATCCACACCAGTCTGAAGGTATGAGAGCTGCTCCTCCAGCCCCTCACCCTGAGATGCATCGGGAGGCGGGGGCAACGTCGGCGAACGAGTCAAGCCGAAACGATCAACAATGCTCTGCACCCGATTGTTAATTTCAGTGAGGTGATGCCTCCACGCGTCCTCGGACTCAGGATCTCTCGCCGCACCCGCACCCGCACCCACAGCAGGTCCTTCATTTGCAAGGGGTCGCGAGCCAAGGGCATTCAGTCCATTTTCAAGGTACGCCATGTGGGCTTCGACCATTGCTGTCGAGTTGACTGGCCCGCCATCAGCAGATGACTGTGGCGGAAGATCGACAAATTCATCCGGGTTGGACTGGATCATCATGTTGCGCATGCGCTCATTGAGCTCCTCCAACCTTCTTTCCGTGGTCTGTAGGACCTCGACATTCACCGGCTGACGATTGACATCTCCTTTGTCGGAGACTCCAAAGTCACCCAGGTGATCTGAGGCCTGGTATAGGCTGCGATCATCAAAGTCGTGGCCATCGTAAAGATTGGTTGAAGCGCGTGGACCCGGGTTCTTCGCGGCTTTCTTCAAGCCCTTATGGGTCATTTGCAAAACACCTGCAGTATGCTCCAACAAGCGCTGATTGATCTGCTGGGTCCTTCGTTCGAGCTTCCACAGCTCTTGCGCCAATTCTTCACATCGCCGCTGGCTCACCGCCAACTCGGAGTCGCTCCTGTCGAGGGCTTCCGCGGTCCCATTGCGCCCGAAGATGCTGCGGCTCCTTCGGTGCGACTTGGAAGTGTCGTTGGCACCAAACTCCCCGCTGCTTCGCGGACTGGGGGGACTGTACAGTCTGCCGATGGATTGGGCGGCATCGCGCAGCTTCGTCTCCAGCGTCAATTTCCGCTTTGTGCCCTCAATACGACCAGACAGCACCGTGCGCTCCTTTTTCAGTTCCTCCACCTCCTCGAACGACAGAACTTCGTAGTGCATGCTGTCTCCCATGGCGGTCTCCGTTAATAGATACATGGTTACGGGGTCGTTGGCGTTCAGGAGAGCCGAGCTCCGCGGGTGACTCGGGTTGAGCTGGATCACAAAGAGAATATGATTAGCCTGGTCCAAGTTTTAGTTCCAAGAACTTTTTTTCTTTTTTTGCCTACCGGATTGAACCGCGACCGGTCTTCAGGTTGAGGATCAAGAGCATCGCGATAACCGTCCACCAGGGTCTTGGAGAGCGGCGAAGGACCATCAGAAGCCGTGACGGTCGAAAGGTATCGAGGGTCCCCATAAGAGGACTGACTGGACCGCAAACTGATGTTCATGGTGCTCGGTGGTCCAAGGAAAGATTCGTTGAGAGAAATTCAGGAACAGGTGTGGTTCATTATGGGGGCCCGAGCAGTTCTTGGCAGAGATGGGAGGTGTTCTAGAAACAGCCCCCACGGTCACAAAGATAAGAAAAAAAATAAAGTAAAAAGCCCGGAGAATGCCAGGACGAGGCCAAAGAATGACGGGGTTAAAGAAACTGGGGGAAGAGGGGGCGGGACTACATAAAAAGGGGAGGCTGTCTCTCTGCCTGAGGAGTTCCTTTTCAGCCACGGGAATTTCTGGACGTGTCAACTCTCGCGGAGATTAATTCACCTGATCGATGTGATTTGGGCTATCTAAGATCGGAGAGATCTGAAAGACCTGAAAGAGAGAGAATATTCTGAGAGAATCACCGAGTATTCTCTGGCGATGCATCAAATCCGCAGACGATGAAGCGTCGCACCAGCGTCGATTCCACATGGGCCTCTCCCCGCCAAGGTACCACCAGTGTACCTCCGTTATGCAACGTCATCCTACCCCGTCGGAGGTACCCGCCAGGTACTACTGCGTGCCTCGGGTCATTCTCACGCCCTATCATTGGGATGGGATGCGCTAGCCCCAAATATGACTCGCATCCTCCCTCTCTCTCTCTTTTCTTTGTTGCTCTTGGGCCGTCGATGATGGTTCATTTCTCTCGGCCGTGTTGACATGTCGACATCCAAGGCTCCCGAGTCGCAGCCCGTCGCACGGCCCTACAAGGTCTATAAGCGACGGTTCTGGGGCTTGGCGCAGCTGGTACTGTTGAACATCGTTGTCAGTTGGGATGTAAGTGCTCTGGAAGAAAGGGATAAAGGCAGGAAAGAATCAGGCGAAAAGTGTAGGGCTGACTTATCGGTATTAGTGGTTGACCTTCTCGTCGATCTCAACCACGGCCGCCGAGTATTTTGGGGTGTCGGAGAGCGCCATCAACTGGATGAGCACCGGCTATCTCTTTGCATTCTGCGCCGTCAGCCCGTGAGCGCCTCTTTCTTTCTGAGAGGAGGAAATCGCGCCATACTTGCAGCTTTGCTGACCAAGTCTCCCTCCCCTGCAGATGTGTGATTTGGGTCCTGAACAAGGGCGGTCCCAAACCGGCGATCATCACCACCGCAACGCTCCTGCTCGTTGGAAATTGGCTGCGATATGCCGGCACCAGAGCCAGCAGCGGCATCTTCGGCCTGGCCATGTTTGGGCAGATCCTGATCGGGTTTGCGCAGCCCTTCTGCCTGTGCGCGCCCACCCGATATAGTGATCTCTGGTTCTCGGACCGGGGCCGTACCAGTGCCACGGCTGTCGCCAGTCTGGCTAATCCGCTGGGTGCGGCGCTGGGCCAGTTGATTGACTCGGAGTGGGCAACCAAGCCAGCAGACATCCCAAACATGGTCTTGTATATCTCTATCATTGTAGGTCCAGACTCTCTCTGTTTCATAGAAATATAGAAACCGAGGCGTTGAGTCCCACATGCTAATCCCATGATTTTTGGTGAATAGTCGACCGTCGCATCGCTCCCATCATTCTTTCTGCCCGCTGCGCCGCCGACTCCCCCAAGCGCATCTTCAGCCATCCCGCGCACCCCGCTGATAGCCGCATCGCGGCAGCTACTCACGACCGTGGAGTTCTGGCTGATCCTGATCCCTTTCTCCGTATATGTGGGATTCTTCAACAGCGTCTCATCGCTGCTGAACCAGATCCTGAGCCCGCACGGATTCTCCGAGACCGAAGCCGGCATAGCAGGCGCGATCCTGATCGTCGCGGGCCTGGTGACAGCGGCCGTCACATCACCACTGACCGACCGCTTCAAGCACTATCTCTGCTCGATCCGCGTGCTGGTACCCATCGTCGCAGCTACGTACATCGGGCTGATCTTCGCGCCGCCCAGCCCCGCGGGCCTTGCCCCGTCCTATGTGGTCATGGCTCTTCTGGGCGCGTCCTCGTTCGCGTTGCTCCCCATCGTCTTGGAGTATCTCGTCGAGATCACCTACCCGTTCTCTCCGGAATTCGGGAGCACCATCTGCTGGACGGGTGGCCAGCTCCTCGGCGCGTGCTTCATTCTCATCCAGGACGCGCTCAAGGCCGATACGGATGCAGACCCTCCGTTCAATATGCGCAATGCCCTCATCTTCTCTGCTGCGGTGGCAGTCGTCGCTGCTCCGTTTCCTCTGTCTCTTGGGCTGTTTGGGAGAGTTGTTAAACGGCGTCGGCTGGAGGCTGACCGCGTTGTCGAGCTGCAAGCGCCCGATACTGAGGCCCAGCCAGATACTAGTGCTGGTTCAAACGCGGGGATCTGTCAGCTTGACTCTGCCACTCCATTGGACACATCCAATCCGAAGATTCTCTGATCAGGAATCTGCGGGTACCTGCATCTCTCTCTTTTGGAGTTGGTAGCTGCGACTTGGTGCCTCCGTGCTGACAATAGTCAACCACTTTCTCTGCTGGCCATGAATGATGATTTTCTTCTCTCTCTCTCTCCTCTCTCTTTTGATGATGCCAGGTATGTTTCCAGCGATGTTCGACTATAATGAGTGTTTTATATCTTATTTAGCTTCTGCAAATACCCACCGTTTCTTATGAGTGCCACTTGAGGGGTACTCTTTTGATAATTCGAGGTGATGATAATCCCTGCAGAGGGCCGTGACATATCATTACAGTATAAGCCGAGGAGCCGAGCAAGGGCAAGTCAGTATACCCAGATCTATATCTACAGGCCGGCCCTGTATGTTCTCATCGATCAAGGTTTCGTTTGCTGTGTGTACTGCCATTGCCCAGATGGGCTGCAACTTATTTCCCTAACACCCTCGACCTCGACCTCGGGCGGGAGGATAGTAGTAGACCTCCTGTGTTGCTACGCGTTTCAGCAACACCTCAGTAACACTCTTAAGGATATGTTTAGCATATGGCTGAAGACAGTCAGCATCGACCGCGAAGTACTCCCTTGTATGCGCATCTAGGCACCAAGTTACCACACCACTACGCCATAGAATACTCGGTGAGAAAAATACTGAGTATCCCGGTGCCAATAAACCAAACACCTCTCGCAGGGTACCTTGACGACTGCCAGGAATTGGCCAGTCTATGGCGAGATGGGAGTGCTGCACAGAACCCCAGGGGGTATAGAGCTATTTCCGGATGCCCTGGCCAAAGCCAAAAGTACGAAGAAGCCAAAAAACTCAGTCTAAACAGATGAGATTCGTCTCGGGAAAATCGAAGAAATAACAAAAGCACAGTTCGAACAGGCGAAGACCAGCTATCTGTACATGCAAGGCAGAGAGAAAGAGGGAATGGTGGTCTATTATTCTTTTGTTGTTTCATCTGGCCTCTTCTCTCTGCCCTGAAACTCAATATGCGCACACACGTACACGAGGAACGATGTCAAAGATCAACATTTTCCAATAACAAAAGGGGCTATGTTGTCTTGGTCGATCCTGTATTCTCAAAAATAGAGCGGCAAGCTATCACGTCGGAATCCGAGGTAAACAGCCATCATAATATATTCTTCAACGCTAAGCTTGCGTCACAGCCAATGCACTTGCGGGGAGATGTCAATCGAAACGGGTCAATGCGAAAGAGACGAGTATGACGAAGTGGCGCCGAATTGGACCTGGGTTGATCCGCTTATTTGAGCTCCCTCCAGAGCTTGGGGGCAGCACAGGCAGTAGCGCAGTGCGTGAGGTGGAAGACTTGAGAGAGAAACAAAGATGTTAGTTGTGGTCTTTAGGTGTTGTGGGGGCAAAAGTCCAGCAGTGGGGGATCAGTCTTGAATCTGCCCCATTGCGACATTTCTAGCCGTATCACTCATATCACTTACACTCCTCAACGCAGTCCTCCTTGGGACCCTTGAAGTCCTCATCCTCCTCCTGGCGGGTGACGCGCTCGACACACTCGTCGTAGTGGTGCTTGTAGGGGGCGCACTGAGCGGAGTGAGCGCAATCTAACAACAAGATTGGAGTCAGTCGCCAACGTGATTCAAATAATGTAGTAGCCCAGATCCAACGGCAGTGCCATTGGCACTCTCGGGGTGCAGAGATGACAGCACAATCGATGCGAACACCCAACCCCTGCATTCGCGCGACGTGGGCAACTTCGGGAGAACCGAGAACCACAAGCAAAAATGAGAATTTCAAACCACTCACCCTCCTCGAGCTTGGGCTTGATGTCCTCAGGCTCCTCCTCCTCTTCTTCCTCTTCCTCTTCCTCCTCCTCGGCCTCAGCCTCTTCCTCTTCCCCACCCTCTTCAGCCTCGGGGGCTTCTTCGGAGGAATCCTCAGGGGTCTCCTCAGCAGAGTTGGTCTCCTCAGAGGAGTCCTCGGTGGATTCCCCAGTCTTCTGGGCGGGCTCGGCGTCCTGGGGGGTGGAAGTCTCGACGTCTTCGGCGGGAGCCTCAGCCTGGGCCTCGGCGAAACCCAGGGAGGAAACGGCAGAGAAGAAGTCGGAAAGACCCATTGTGAATGGCGTCAATTGATCGTGACCGGGCGGTCTGGAAATTGGGGGTGCAAGAAGGGTAGGGGGTGGGTTGAATTGAGAAAGTTGGTTTTCCAAGCTTCTTTCGGACTGGAAAATCGGGATGCCCCGGCTGAGCATTGTGCCACACGTGATTGGCTGAGAGCACCTGACAGAGGAACAGAACAATATCGATGTTTTTGATGTGATTTTCTATTTCTTTTATTATGGTGATTTACATTCATATGGCTCCTTTCTATGCAATAATTGCTAAAAGCCAAATCTGTTCGAGGTGCGCCAGTACAAACTCCATGGCGATTGCTTTCTACTTGCCATAAGAATCGCTTTCGTGTCGCTAACTCGTCAAAATTCGTAATATACATGTAGAGTGGAGGTTCCCCGAGGTTCAGAGATGCAAAGTAACCAGCGACATAACCAGAGTTGGGACATCATTCTGAACCCATATCGCCCATGTTAGCTGGACCTTCGCAACCGCTCCTCCAATTCATTCGCCACGCTTTGCTGCTGAACCTCCTCGTAGCATGGCGGGGGCTCCACAGGATCGGGACCTGTCACAGATGCTCTTTGTGTACTTCGTGACTCTTCTGGTGGCTCACTGGGCTCAGCGTTGGAAGCCCCATTTCGAGGACCCTCGTATGCAGGTAGCTGCTCCAGATGGACCGCAGAGAGATCCACGGCGCGCGATCCTCGGGCATTCTCTCCTGTATTCTCAACGGCCTGTTCGAGTCGTTCCTTGATGCGCTCGAAGTTTGTATGAAAATCAAAAGCACCGCCCTCTTTGAAGGTGACTTTGGCTTGTACGGCGGGTAATGACGCTGAAATGCCGCCCCCGGACACAGGCTGCACCAGGGCGGTCCATACATTGGGGCCGAAGAAGGGGGCGGAGACGTGTGAATCATGGACATGCAGGAGAGGAGAGGAGAAGGACTGGAAATCGTTTGTTGCTTGGGCGGGGAGGTAGACGACCTAGCGGGGGTTTAGCATGCGCGGAAGGGGGGAGCCATGTTGCGCGAGGGGGAGGGGACTGACCCTTTGGTTGGTGATGTGGATACAGCCAGCACCGCTCTGGAGAGACAACTTCTCTTTGCCCTTGTAGGCAGAGGGTGGTGTGAGGGAGAAGCTGGTGCGGGGAGGGGAGGAGTATATCAAGCGCTCGTTGGGAAGACGGACGAAGCCGTCCTGGTCGTGGAGCATCACCCAGCTGCGCAACTTAGCATCACCATACCACTGGCCACTGGGAAATTCAAGACACGTACTTTACAGACATGTTGAGAGATCCACGAGGTAGAGAATCGGGAATAATCGAAGAAGAGAGATACAGTCCGAGGATCAACGAGAAAAGAATTGGGGGAAGTTGCGGGGCAAACAGTCAGCCACTACCCAAAACCACAGCCATAGGTAGTCAAGCCTTTGAATTACTCATGGATACCAGACCACATATCCACCTAATACAATAAAGGAATAGGAGCTAAGTAGCGTCAATTTTCCAGAACTTCCGCTATTGCTTTGGGATACTCGAACGAGTACAGTGTCTCTACAGGTAGTGGGTACTTGTCTGGCCGGAGTCTTCTCAGGTCCCTCACACCCCAGCAGATCAGTCGCCCTGGGGATTGAATTACTTTTGATGTACTTTTACCTACTTATCTCCGAAAATGATATGCCAATAGCCAAAATTTGGGGGTGCGTGCTCCGATCAATAGTTAGTTAACTGTCCAAAAAAAGATTATATAAATCAAAAAGCTGATTATGTCAGATTTTGTAGTATACCTAGGTACCTAGGTAGGAATAGGTGGAATCCTGCAGTATTGCTTTTTTATAACCTGTAGATAACCGGCCGTTTTCATAAATTACAGTGTCATCCGTCCGAGAGCCTGTAATAAATGGTAATTTATGAAACGGGCTGGGTACAGTAGTACAGTATGTATGTATGTATATCTATACCATTGCAGGATCTCTCGCCCCAGAGTAATAAAGGGGGCCGACTCTATAAAAAGGGGCCAATCGTATAATGAGCGGGGGTCAATTCTATTTAATAGGGTGCCTTTATATAAATAAATTTCTCCCGAGCTTGAATAACGACTCCCGATTCTACCCCTTCACTATTGTTCTCTTTCTCTGGCGGCCATGCTGGTGTCCCAGGAACGGATACTGCTCCTAGTAGCAGTACTATCATGGTCGTTTCTAACCCTTGCCGGTCCATTGCCCTCGAAAAGCAGCCCGCGTCATCATGCTCTCGCAACCCGGTTTAACAATGACAAAACAGCTACAACTAAGGGGGACTTTGGTGAGTCGATCGACGATTATACAATGCTAGAAGATGATTCTAACGTTAGTCGCGTACACCAACAGGTGGGCAAGTGAGCTGGGTTCATATGACCTCCCATGACGGTACCACTGACGGTGCCGACGACGACGGAATCGCATACATCAAGACCAATATTGAAAAGTACATTAAGGATGCGGGTGCTGATCGTCTGGGCATTTTCTATACCGCGGTTCCAAGCTTTACCTTGAGGTTGGCTCAAAGCATTGCGTGCAACGAAGGTGGTGGCCACATTGTCAAACAGATTTTTTCCAATCCTCAAAAAGAGCAAAATCTTCACTGGAGACAGTTCTATCGGTCTTCGAAAGGTAGGCTACCTCAACCCTTCCAGTTGGACATTACCGTATCCTAATACTAAGACTTTCAGCCTTTGCGTTGGGAGCAAATGGGGGGACGGCCTACGTCTTACTAGATCCTGACAACGGCCGTACAATTTTCTCCCCACCCTCCAAGGACCCTCGGAACCGTAAGTCTATACTCTATTCTCCATGATACCCTTTCTCACGTACATCCATCATTCTATGCAGGTGACTCAAGCCAAGGCGGGAAAGCCACCGTAGGTGAAGTCTGGCATTACGCCGAGCTACCGGCTCTCATGCGAAACACAAATATCCACACAATCAAGTCCGCATGGTATAAGAATGATATAAATGCTGGATGGGACGAGTATGATCTACGCACAGAGTGGAATATCGATGCTGTGAGTCTTAATATTTCTCTCTCTCTCTCTCTCTCTCTCTCTCTCTTATACATAAGGGCAACATCTGATAGATATACAGGATGGGGACAAGTACCCTAGGGATAAATTCCCGGAAATAGCGATGGATACCACTCCTATTAAAATTCCTGGACGGTCTCCAATGTAAGGGTCATCCAAATGTTTACCCGAGGATTATGATCTCAGATTTGGAAGAATCTACCAAAATGAGGTTGGGGTGTACAGAGACAAGGCGTGTTGAATTACATATAGACGGGATAGAAGAATAGAATCCAACTAACGCAGTCAAAATAAGTGAACGTTCTCGGAGATTAACTATACCAAAATGGCGTCAAGTCGACTATGCCCTAGCGCCTAACTCTCGTATCTCGCAATCGAAGTCCTTGTATAGAATTCAAGGCAGCTAGGTCTGGTTGCGGTATATGTTATTTTTGTCTATTTCTGATATAGCGAGATGTAATTTTTTTTTCTATTCCTTTTGTGGAGTGGTTGGTAAACATATTCTCATACTCTATAGTTAGATATATAATAGGAAGATCGATGGCAGCAAATAGCTGTAATGACGGGACCGCAGTACTCACACGAGCTCCCCGTAGAATGTTGGGAGCTTGGCCCGTGCAGACTATGTCTCTCATACAATAATACAATAATACAATAATACAATAATAATAATATGATAGAATTAGATTATTGTATAATTTTATATCCGTAGTAATGAAATAATTATTTTATGCAATGACAGTCCTAGGTAATCGAGAATATCGACTGTTTTCCCAGGCATTCTCGAAGCATCCGCGCTAAATCCCCAATCTTTCCGCATTCGACCCTGTTCACCCCTCCTTGGCGCAAATCTTCTTTTCTCCGATTCTCTCTTGTTAAACCCCTGGGAATCCTGATTTTTGTGTCTGGTGGGGAAAACAAACCAGGTGAGTGTCGACGTCAGAGCGTTTGGAAGTTTTGTGGAGCTTCTCGCGAGGTACTAACAGTCGATTTTCCTCCAGTGGGAACCGCTTCATGTCGACACTGCGACCGTGACCGTGACCATACCTGAGCCACCGCGCCCTTGTAGGAGACTGATCGCGTGAGAACCGTTGGATCTCTCCCGACACCATGGGGAAGACCCAGCCGTATATCCCGCCCCTCATCGGGTGGCTGTACGATCTGGTCTTGTGGACATTCTCCGTGCTCATTGATCTTTTCTTCCGCGAGGTACACCCGCGTGGATCTTGGAAGATCCCTCGCCGCGGCCCGATCATCATCGTCGCGGCCCCTCATGCAAACCAGGTACGGACGTCGCGTCGGCCGTAAACACCCATCACACTAACCATCTGTCGGGCAGTTCGTGGACTCGTTGGTTCTGATGCGCGTTATCCGCAGCGAGGCCCACCGTCGGATCTCATGGCTTATCGCCGAAAAGTCCTTCCGGCGCAAATTCATCGGAATGCTGGCGAGAGGCATTGGAACCTTACCTGTGGCGCGGGCAATGGACAATTTGAAGCCCGGGACTGGAACCATCTATCTACCCGACCCGGTCAATGAACCGACTCTGCTGCGAGGTGTCGGCACCAATTTCGAAGGTCCGGGATTCGAAGTGGAGGGGACAATTGCACTGCCTACAATCAATGGGACATCGCATAGCACGGCCATTGCAGAGATTCGTGGTCCGGAGGAACTGGTTCTCAAGAAGGCGTTTAAGCATCGCGATGCGCTGTCTCAGCTGACTGGGAGGACCGATATCACCAAAGACGGAAGCTGTACTGGTGACCCGTCTGACCAAGCTCCGGACTTCAAGGGCTCCAAGTTCAAGGTCGCCCCGCACGTCGACCAAACGGCCGTTTACAATGCAGTTTTTGGACGACTGAACGCAGGCGGTTGTGTGGGCATCTTCCCCGAAGGTGGTAGTCATGACCGCACAACTCTACTGCCCCTCAAAGGTAGGTCGCATGTGTCTTGTGAAGACCACAGCAAGCTTATACTAATCTGTTTACTTGATTCTCTAGCTGGTGTGGCCTTGATGGCTCTGGGAACACTGGCTGACAACCCGGACTGTGGCCTGAAGATTGTGCCCTGTGGCATGAATTATTTCCATGCTCACAAATTCCGGTCCAGGGCTGTCATCGAATTCGGTAATCCAATCGAGGTCCCTAAAGAACTAGTGGAACAATTCAAGCAAGGTGAACGGCGAGAGTCGGTCGGTGCCCTATTGGATATTATCTACAATGGTCTCGTCGCTGTCACCGTCACCAGCCCCGACTATGAAACTTTGATGGTAAGCCCTCTTGTCCTCGGTCTTACCGCGGATGCTAACAAATCACAGGTCATCCAAGCTGCCCGGCGCCTGTACAACACCAAAGGAAAGAAGCTCCCCCTTCCGATGGTGGTGGAGCTCAACCGCCGACTCGTGAAGGGTTACGCCCATTTTAAGAACGACCCACGAATTGTGCACCTCCAGAAGTCGATTGTAAGCTACAACAAGCAGCTTCGGATCCTCGGGATCCGCGATCACCAAGTGGCCTACGCCAAGTTCTCGATCCTGCAAGTGATTGCCACATTGATCTATCGCCTGGGCAAATTAGCTCTTCTGACGATCGGAACCCTGCCCGGACTGCTTCTGTTCACTCCTGTGTTCATCGCGACCAAATATCTGTCGATGAAGAAGTCAAAGGAAGCATTGGCTGCCTCGACGGTCAAACTACAGGGTCGAGATGTCATGGCCACATGGAAACTCCTCATCGCCCTTGCGTTCGCTCCCGCCGTCTACGCATCCTATACTGCCGCATTCACCTACTGGACCTATCGGAACCGGATCCAAGGGTGGGTCCCTGAATGGGTGCCGCTCTGGTTGGTGGTACTGATCGGCGTGGTCTTGTTCCCCACAATCACCTTTGCCGCACTTCGGATCGGCGAGGTGGGAATGGATATCATCAAGTCACTGCGGCCGCTGGTTCTATCTCTCAATCCGTCGTCGGCCAACACGTTAGTGAAACTGCGGGAAAGACGCGCCACCCTTGCTCAGCAAGTTACGGATGCCATCAACACCATGGGCCCTGAGCTCTTCCCAGACTTTGATGCTGCCCGGATTGTCACGGACCCCTTCCGGGAAGTCAGCCATGATGGCAAGCCCGATCTCAGCCTACCGGAGATCAGAAGATCCGCCGATGGAGACTTGGGCGAGGGAATGCCTTCCCAAGAGCCTCTCCCCCGCAACGAATCCTTCCACAACCTGGCCAACATTGGCTTTTTCTCTACGCGGCCACCCAGCCGTGACCGCAGCCGCAGCAGCTCTGTTGGACCTCGGCCGGGCTCGCGGCATCAGCTTAAGCCTCTGAGTCCGATCACCCCGAAGGACCCGCTGGAGGATGTCAGTTCGCGTATCCGAGATGCAATGAGAGAGCGCGGCGAACGTCGTCGTCGCCGAAGTGAGGATGGGAGCTGGGACATGGCCAGTTCGGGACCCGGGACGCCGTCCAGCGGCGAAGAAGTCCGAAAAGACCTATAACCGGCAGCTGTTGTTGCTATTCATGGGGGTAAAAAAAGCTGTTGCTCAATATGTTTGGAATGTCTGTTATTGAAGTCACTTGGATACCCGTCTGTTTTTTTTTTTTTTTTTTTTTTTTTCTTCTTTTCTGTTTCTATGCCTTCTGATCCACTTTATTCAATATGACGAGAGTATACGATGCCGTTCAGTACGCCCCGGAGAGAGGCCAGGTCTACTCCAATGTATAAGGTAGACAGCTCACCGGAATGAGAGAATTTCGGATATCAAGAAACAAGAGATTCTCATACGCTACAACTCGGTCCACCTCATCTGAGATTTCTACACCAATCCATGAATTCTGATACAAAGAATTTCCAGGTGCCGAGTATCTTGTCATAAAATGTCGTATCCCAGAAAGGATGTTGGCCAAGATCATTTGATCCTGGGAGAGAGCTACAGTACAATGCTAGCAATCACCTGACAATGGCGAAGGCCAGAGAATGCATGCGTTCAAACCAAAAATAATCAGAAGAGTAAATATAGGAGTTCAGCGAAATCACTTCAAATCCCAACAAAGAGAAAAGTGCAGCCTGGCATCGCTCTGCTCCGCCTCCTGCATGATTACGGACCACGTTGTTCGCCCATCATTTTCCCTGACGCATTTCTTCTCCGCCTCCGCAATCCTGGGCCTCGAACACAACTTTTTCTTCAATCCAGCCCTACGAGCCTCACGCCCGTGATTTCCACCATGGCGGGCTCAATGCATCTCTCTCGACTCAGGAGATGGTTCCTCGCGTCCCCGCCGATCGAGTTCGCCATCACGAACTTTAAGGAGCTGCTGGTTGGCGCACTCCGCCAGGGCCCGATTCCACAACATGTGGCCTTTGTCATGGACGGGAATAGACGGTTCGCCCGGTCGCATGGGATTGAGACAGTGGAGGGACACAATCTGGGATTTGAAGCGCTGGCAAGGGTAAGGCTATCACAGCTCGGGGATAAGCCCCGGGGCTTGCTTGCGTGCCCTGGGCCTTCGGGGCGCGCGCTGAGACTGACGAGACAATGGCTAACGACGGATCTCTGTAGATCCTCGAGGTGTGCTACAAGAGTGGTGTGAAGGTGGTGACGATCTACGCGTTCAGCATCGAGAACTTTAAGCGATCCAAATTCGAGGTCGATGCGCTTATGGAGATGGCCAAGGTGAAACTCTCCCAGATGGCCCAGCATGGCGACCTGCTGGATCGGTACGGGGCAAAAGTACGCGTCCTGGGCCGTCTCGACCTGCTCAAGCCCGACGTGCTGGCTGCAGTGAACAAGGCCGTCGACCTCACCAGCCGCAACGGCGACCGCGTCCTCAACATCTGTTTCCCCTATACCTCCCGCGACGAAATCACCACTGCCATCCGCGAAACCGTCGAAGAATACAGTGCACCGCTCCATCCTGCGCGTCCTGCCGGTGCTACTGCACGCACTCCCTTCTCTGAATCGCATATTGCACACAACATCCGTGCTCAGACCCTGGGCACCAAACCACAAGAGGCGAACAGCGACTCGGAATCCACATCTGCCGAGTTGTCCACACAAGAAGATGAGTCCGGTGCACGGAACGATCGCTCCCATCGCATCTACGAGTCAGGTTCCTCCTTCTCGTCCTCGACCACGCTCCACCTGGGAGGCCAGCCAGACGGGCAATCGGCCAAGGGATCAAGCCCGGAAAATGTCTCAGACGCAGAAAACCCGGTCTTTATCTCCCCCGAAACCATCTCTCGCCAAATCTTGTCCGATCACATGTTGACCAAAGGTAACCCGCCGCTGGATATGCTGGTGCGGACCTCGGGTGTGGAACGGCTGAGTGACTTTATGCTCTGGCAATGTCATGAAAACACCGAGATTGTCTTCCTCGACGTCATGTGGCCTGAGTTCGATCTATGGCACTTCCTACCGGTGTTGCTCGGCTGGCAACGGCGCATTGCCAAGTCCCGCCAGAACCCAGACGCAGAGGGCAACTTTGCGGGGGACAGTCCCGAATCCAGTGAGGAGGATGCGGACATGGTCCTGCGACAGACCGGGAAGGTCAAGGGCGTATAGTACATCGTGTTTTTGTGTTTGTTTTGTTCAGCATCCAAGCGGAGTTTGCGGGTTCCGACTGATTATCTTCTCCTGTGTCATATATATTCCCATATATCCACGATGCCTGCCTTTCTAGCATTTTTGCAGCAATATTACTGGCCATGGATTCCCCCAACCCCCCTCTGATTTCTACTTTCTCCTAAAGTATCCATCTTCTAGCTTTGCAACTATTCATGCTTGCCGAACACCGATACCGGCGCACGTGACAGATGACTCATCGCACGATGGCGGGGAAGTCGAATGCATCGATAGAAGACTCATCCACCACCCATCTATTATATCGCCATTGAAACAAAATGGTCAAGCAAGTCGCTGGTTCTAAGGCCCTTCTCCTCGGCTCGGGCTTCGGTATGTTATTCCCCTCCCAGATGCGCAGCTTAGTCGCGTACCCCGCATGCCCACCTGGAGGGGCCCGTATACAGTTTGCTCACAATTGAATTCCCATAGTCACGAAGCCCACCGTCGAGGTTCTGAGCAAGGCGGGTGTTGAGGTCACTGTCGGTAAGTGCAATTGGCCACGAACGAGGCTTTCGTTACGGAGGTAAAAAAATGGCATCGGGATTTACAAGGATATCACCGCTGATCCTATTCGTGCCCCGCAGCCTGCCGTACCCTCGAAAGCGCCCAGAAGCTCTCCGAAGGCTTCCAGAACACCAAGGCTATCTCTCTCGATGTCAGCGATGATGCCGCTCTGGACAAGGCTCTTGAGCAGGCCGATGTGGCTATCTCGCTGATCCCGTACACCTTCCACGCGGTGGTTATCAAGTCGGCCATCCGTACCAAGACGAATGTCGTGACCACCTCGTACGTGTCTCCGGCCATGCTGGAGCTGGAGGAGGACTGCAAGAAGGCCGGTATCACGGTCATGAACGAGATTGGTCTGGACCCGGTAAGTGCATCATAGATCCATGGGCATAACACTTATATCGAGCCTGTGACTAACTTGAATGTATGAATAACTAGGGTGTGAGTCGTAATCTTCGTCAACAACTGAAAGCACAATCAAAGTCTAATAATTTTCTCTCTAGATCGACCACCTGTACGCCGTCAAGACGATCTCGGAGGTGCACGCGGCTGGCGGTAAGGTCACCGGGTTCGTGTCGTTCTGCGGTGGACTGCCTGCGCCAGAGTGCTCGAACAACCCGCTGGGCTACAAGTTCTCGTGGTCCAGCCGCGGCGTGCTGCTTGCGCTGCGCAACGCCGCCAAGATCTACCAGGACGGCAAGGAAGTCAGCATCGCGGGCCCGGACCTGATGGCGACCGCCAAGCCGTACTTCATCTACCCGGGCTTCGCGTTCGTGGGGTACCCGAACCGCGACTCGACAGGCTTCCGCGAGCGGTACGAGATCCCAGAGGCGCAGACGGTGATCCGCGGCACGCTGCGGTTCCAAGGCTTCCCGGAGATGATCAAGGTGCTGGTCGACACGGGATTCCTGAATGACGAGCCCAACGCGGTCTTCCAGAGCCCGTCGACCTGGAAGGAGGCCACGCGCCAGCTCCTGGGCGCGACGTCGTCGGCCGAGCAAGACCTGCAGTGGGCTGTTGCGTCCAAGACCGCCTTCCCCAACAACGACGAGCGCGACCGCCTCCTCTCCGGCCTGCGTTGGATCGGCCTCTTCTCCGACGAGCAGATCACGCCCCGCGGCAACGCCCTCGACACCCTCTGCGCCACCCTCGAGAAGAAGATGCAGTACGGCCCCGGCGAGCGCGACCTCGTCATGCTGCAGCACAAGTTCGATATCGAGCACAAGGACGGCTCGAAGGAGACTCGCACCTCCACCCTCTGCGAGTACGGTAACCCCTCCGGCTACTCTGCCATGGCTAAGCTGGTCGGTGTGCCGTGTGGTGTGGCTGTGAAGCAGGTCCTGGAGGGTACCATTGAGAAGAAGGTATTTCCTCACCTCTTTCCTTAATACCCCTTGTCTTGTAACAATCAACGCTAACTCTATCAAGGGTATCCTTGCCCCCATGACCATGGACATCTGTGCTCCTCTACTCAAGACCCTGAAGGAGGAGTACGGCATCGAGATGATCGAGCGCACGCTGTAAATGCACCATTTTGGATCGTCCATTAAAAAAGGAAAAGAAAAGCTAGCGGCTAGCGGGCATTAAAGTATCAAATACGATAGATGACGATTGGACAAAGTTCAGATTCTCTGGCCTCGTAAATCTATTACCAAGCAATGTTCCGTTCTATTGCTTGGGCAGCGTATAGGGAAATTCAAGTCCATCTGCACCTTGGTATTCGTCTAGGCACAGATAATTGTAGTGTGATAAAGAGATAGGTGGAGAGATAAACCATGCATTCTTGTCTTCATTATCATTCGCATATCACTTTCCTCTATCGTAGCATCATTGAACCCGCCAAAGCCCGAGAGCAACATCGCCAACGGGCCGAGGGCGGACAAAAAAAAAGGAAAAAGAGGAGGAAAAACCGGACCACCCAAGTTCCCCGCGAGCTAGGCAGATTGGAATGCTGTACATTTCTGCCATCCCAATTGTCTTCGCAGTCTTGTGTTCTTTGTTTGGTTTTGTTTCTATGGGTAGATAAATCGAGCCGGTTGATGCGTCTGGTGTAGATCAGGCGGCTACGGAGAGTGCACGCAGTCGATCAGAGAATAGTGCCAAACCTATACCGAGGAAGAGAACAAGGAAGACCGTTAGTAAAGAAGTCCAGGAATGCAATAAGGATCTGGATCTGCAAGAGAGGAGATGCGGGTTGGCAAAAAGACAGTGTGACAAGGTGTATGATGAGAAAAGAAGCAAGAAAAAAGCCAAAGAAGGGCCATATCTCAGAGAAGAACACAAGGAGAAACAACAACACATACCCGAAAGTCTGCTTGATGCTGCGAACGTAGTACAACTCCCAGTTCTGCTTGGTGACGTCCTCCTGGCCAACGGGGACGCCGGACCAAGTAACCCGCATTTGGGTAACGCCGTCGAGATCGTTCTGGTCGAAGTTGATCTCGAGGGAGCTGAAGTGGCCGGCAGGCCACTGCGCCAGACGCCACTTCTGGACGATCTGCTTAGGCGCGTCCAGCTTGACGTACTCGCCAGTGACATTGCCGTCGAAGATAGCGAACTTGCCGCCAACCTGGGCACTGTCGAACTGGCGCGGCGGGCCGCGCGTGAATGCAGCAATGCGTTGCGGGTCCGTGAATGTGTTGTAGAGCTCCTCGGCCGTGGTGCGGAATTCGTCCGACGCCGTTACGGTCGTCGTGTTGACGGCTACCTTGCCGGTCGTCGAGGTGGTAGAAGTGGCAGTTGCCGGAGATTCTTTCTTGGTGGTCTGCGGGTGGACGCTGGCCGGGGTGAAGCCGCTGGATGGGTTGACTCCCGGGGCGTGCTGCAGGTCTTTGCCGTGCTCGGTGATCAGGTCCGAGGTCATCTTGGACAGCGCCGTGCGGAGCTGGGGGAGGATCTTGGATCGCACCAGATCCTTCACAGGCTGCTTGGAGGCGGAGTCCGCATGGTTCTCAATCTCGAACTACAAGAGAAGAGAAAACGCGTTAGTGGGCCCTGGTCCCTTTGTGTTTCTGAATTTTTGTGCCTTCGAGAGAAGGCAATGGGTCTAAGGGAACGTACGACGTACTCATCTTCCTCGGTGTCGTGGGCTACCTCAGGGATGTTGATGGAGCCGCTCACCTCCTCACCGTCCTGGGTCTTCCCTATCGAACAGTCTCAGCCAAGACCATCATTTGATATTTTTTTGTTTTGGACGTCTACAAACCTGAATACTCTAGCGACACCTTGACATCGAACAGGGTGATGACCTTGCCCTTGCGTTGGCTGACATCTACGTCGCCATCCATCGACAGCACTTTGGCTACTGTGGCGGACACGCCCCCATCCTCGGCATTTATGCCGCAAAGGTTCTTGTTCAGGTAGTCCTTGGCCCAGCCAGAGGCATCCTTGTTCACCCAGTGCCAGTTGTTGGGGTTGTGGAGGACCATGATGAATGGGGGATGTGGGAGGTGGAAGGTGGTTTAGAAAAAGATTTTTGTGAGGGGGTTCTTGGATTGGTTCTGTTCTGTGTTTCCTTTTAAATTTCTGTTTGTTTCTTCCGCGAGGACGGCGATGATATTTGATCTCACACCGAGTCTGAAGTCCTGTGAAAATTCGAGTATTAGCAACTGATATCTCGATTGGGTTTGGCATGTAAATTTCTGCAGAAGAAAAAAAGAGTCGCACGGAGCGAAAGCCACAATTGTCAGGTCACGGAGCGTATTTCCGGACACAAAGCTATTCAGCAGTGAAGATGGTTGTTCCATCGATCTCAGACTGGTGCCAGCTATGATGTCTCATCATGTTGGGCCAATTGGAGGTTCTCAGGTCGGAGTGGTTGCGCGGTTGAGAAGCCATGAAACAGAAGAATTGATTCTCATGGGAGGACAGGGGATAGAAGAGAGGGGGGGGGGTATTAGGATACTTACAGTATGAAGTCTAGGGAAGGAGAGGAAAAGAGTGTCGAGCAGAGAGAAGAGGAAAAGAGAAAGTCGGAGGGGAAAAGCGCGAGTCGGCGGAAGCTGCTAGAAGGAGCACGTGATTGTGGGTACTTCCCTTCTGGGACAGCAATTTTATAGTGAAGATCTATGACCGAAAATTATATTTCGAGGAATGCAGCTCGGTAGACATTGAATATCTACAGTACTTAAAATGCGTATATTTCATAGAAGAAAGTATATATAATCCCCCCAATGGCCTGGCAAACGAATGCGCATCTCACACCAAGCCCATCGGCACCCATGCTTCCATTCCTTTTCACTGTTCCAATTGCTCCAAATCCTCCCAGCCATCCTCGGCCAAAAGCTGGTCTTTGACCCGCTCCCGAAGACCCTGGATTTGGCTGCCCAGAGCCTCGGCCCACTGACCCTCGACCGTCGCAACCTTATCCTTCAAGTCGGTAGTGAGCACCAGTTCTTCGTCTGCGCGAGTGGCCTGCATTTCTCGGTGTACCTGGCCCTCATCCTCGCCATGCTGTATGCGTTGCGCCTCGGTGAGGTTGCGGTTCGCACGCATCACGGCTGACCGGACCTCATGCAAGAGACACAGCATATTGGTCTGCGACTCGATGTATTGGTAGCTTGATTTCTCTGCGTGCGACAGCAGAGAGTACAAGTATTGTAGCGGATGAGCGTGGTAGCTCGGGTTTTCATCGTATTCATCTGCAGGGATTTGCACCTGGAACCCGCGCAAGTTCTCCGGGACTTGCTGCACTAGCGCCAGCAGCGACGGGGCGATGTCCCAAAAGGCTGACAGCTGCACTTCGACACCACGCACTACATTCTGCTCAAGGACATCCAGGAACGAATCGAGCCGATCGCATGTCTCGGTCTCATGCTGTGCTCGTCGGGCCAAGGCATCTTGCGTGAAGAACGCTTGGGTTTCCCGGAGCTTGTCGTCGTTTTTGTTCTGCTGGTATGGTAGTAGGGCAACCGTCTTGTACTTCTCGTCGCGGCCACTGATCAAGTCAAACATCTCGCGATGGAGCTGCTCGCGGGCTTCAAATAGCCATTTCAGTTGCGTTAACGTCTCCAGCAGCTCGGGTTTGCCGTCGCCTTCTTCTTGCGTCTGGTCTGGGGTTTCGTGCTGGGCATCATTAAACAGCTTGCTGCTCAGCTCGTCGATGCAAGCCGTAGCTCGACTGACCCGGTCGGTTAATATTGCATGCATCGGTTTGAGCACAGTCTCCTGATAGGTATCAAGTTGACGTTTAGCAAGATCCCTTTCGCGTTTGTTGTCCTCGACAATCATCGCTGCCTCTGCCTCTGCAGCCTCCGCGAATGTCAAGCTACCCTCTTGGATTTGGTTCTGGATATTGGACTTGAATTGGCGATGGCCCTCCTGTACTTGTTCTCGATGCTCTTGGAGCATGGTATCCACGTCGTTCTTGTACCGCTGTCGGGTGGATTTGATCCCCGAGAGATCGGTGATCGACCGGACCGTGGTTCGGTATGTCACTAGATCCGGGTGGCTGTTGTTCACGGCAGGGTAATGTCGCGGATATGGTGGAGGCAGGGTGATCAATCGCGAAACGTCCAACCTGTGACTTTCCCTCAATCGCCCAAGATGATGATCTCCTGTCTCGGCACCAGAATAAACAGGAGATTCTTCGTGCCAGCCGACTTTCTCGGGAGGGTATTCATCGGGCCCATAGGGTGCAGGCTGGTGTCCGTAATTCAAACCTTTGTCATCCGTTCTCGAAGGAGTCACTTCCTGGTCCCACTGCATCGCCTCCCGGGGCAATCCCATGTACTTTGATTCCCGCTTGGACCGTTGAACCTTTCTCTCTGCTCCCTCGCTGCTGGAACCCGTTTTAGACTCCCACCAACGGCTCGGGGCACGGCCGCGCGAGCTCATTTCATCATTGCTCATACTCATGCTGGCTATCGGCGACAGGCAAGGCTGGTAATTGTTCCACCATCCAGACTCCGGTCGACTGGGCCGATTCTGAGGTATCTCCAGCGGCGGCCCTGGTTTGGTTGGCTGGCGGGAGGGTGGAAGTGTGGCGGTTCCATTGGGAGGCATTTCAAACAGCTTGCGGTGCATCGCTTCAAGTTCCAGGGACCCAGACTCCCAAACCCTGGCGTATCGCTCGCGCCGAAACCGAGATTCTGTGATGATAAACTCGATAAAGATCTGTAAGGATTCGGCCTCATCTGCTGCGCTGGCTTCCCTTTGAATGAAGGTTTTGTGGCGTTGGATGGCATCCTGCACAAATCTGGAGTCTTGTGAAATGTTGGATTCAGGCGGCCTTTGCTGTGACGGATCCCGACGTGGGGACAAGGGTTGCATCATGGAATCAGAGTCGTTAGGCAAATGTAGGAGATGCGAAATCGGACGATCCTCTGCTCCTCGAGACGCGGCGCGGGACCGTGATCGAACATCTTTCCCAGAATTCAACGGAGGGGTTGGCAGTGCCTTGGGTGGGACTGCCTGGGATACTCCTTTAGAATATGCCGGAGAGGTGTCTCCGTGAGGCGAGAATGGGGGTGTATGCGCAAATGCAGTCGACGACGGGCCTGCCGGGCTCGGCTCTGGCCTGGGCGTGGAATAAGACGACTGATCCGAGAATAGACCCGCAGAAGATGCTCGAGACCGCGAGGTAGTAAGCGGAGCATCTGAGCCAAGGCTGCGTGTACTGCGAGGAGTGATCCTGGACGATGTCGGCTGTCGAGTATAATCTGGGCTATTGTTTGGCTCCGGGAGGACGAGGTTTGACGGCCTGACCTGGTCCAGGGCATCAGCCCAGGGATTGCCGCTCGTAGATACAACACTGGCATCTTCATACGACAGGCTTTGTCGATTGCGGCGTTCGATCCGCCTTTCACGAATGCCTTTGGCGCTGGGGTCGCGGATTGCTGAGCTGCGAAACAGTCCGCCACTTCCAGGGGTTCTTTGGGATGGTTGTGAAGAACCGTTGGAATCTGGATGGTCTGTCCGATCCGGTAGCTTCGCCGCTTTCGTGGTATCAATGGACAAAGGCTCCTTGTCCCTGCTTGGTCGGCTGTTCAAATATGCCTCATCCACCCAGTCAGCTGGTGTTGGTGGGATACTCCCAAGCCCAGTACCCAAAGCCGGCGGTGCTCTGGCCTTTCCTCTACCATGGCCCTGGGGAATTCTCATGGACGAAGACTCTGATGAGCCGCTCGCGCTGAGAGATCGCGAAGTAGGAGGGGGACCAGGGGGCGGTGGTGGAAGAGGCATCCCAGGCTCCCAGTTGTTCGTTGGGGATAAATTTCTCGACTGACTGGCCGATCTTGAGGTTCCTGCGCTGCTTACCACGGCGCCGGCAGAGGCAGCTCTGCGGGACGCAGGAGGTCGCGTCGGGGTTTCTAAATCGCCGATTTGTTGCATGGGGTCATTTCCCCTGAATCCTGGCGAGGGCAAAGCCTGCTCATACTGCGAGGCCGAAATCGACAGTTGAGATCTGACGGGGGGTGGATTGGAGCTGTAGGAAGGGCCCTGGTATGCATCGATCCGACTTTGTGAAACGGACCTCGATCCCGGGTATCCCTGCGGTGGAGGTGGAGGAGGGGGTAACGACTGCTGATGGGAACCGGGTTCATTCGAATACACTAGAGATGATGGCCGAGGTCTGTGCATGGAGCGTCGTTGAGGCTCACCAGACACCTCGGAGCCTTCTTCTCTGAAGGAATTATGCGTTGGTGTTGGAGCTGGGGTAGCGTAGTTGGCATTCCGCCCAAAAGACTCCTGCGACAACCGGTTTCGGTTGCTTGGGGGTGAATACGGCGGAGGCGGTGGTGACAGAGACATATCTACCAGGATTGAGTCAATATCCACATATCGAAACCGTTCCCGAGAGGTTTGGTGTGAATGATTTGGCCGTTTGAGTCCGAGAGTAGAAGGAGAAATACAATGGACAGACCAGTATGAGTACTCTGCTGCGGCACCGCGCGATGCATGTTACTTGGCTGATATGAGCCCCGTGCCGAGGCACCGCCCATGGGCCCCCAGTCCTGGGGGTTGTAGGGCACATTGTATGCAGATGGATGCCGAGAGGCCATCGCCGGCGAAGGAGCAGATCTCGCGTTGGCAGAGGACGGAACGCAAGGAGATTGGCCGTGGGTAAATGGACTGGATAGTGAAGTTGACGACAGAGGAGTCGACGCAGGACCAGCCGTAAGAACCTGGAACTGAGGGCCGTTGAACGCGGTCGTCAACAGCGGCGGCTGAATGGCATGTTCTCGATGACCTGGAGAGCGCTGGTTACTGCTGCCAGGTGATGACCAGTTAGGATATCGGTGGTTGTTTAATGGCTGCTCGTCGCCTGCATGGGTCGACGCCAACCAGCTAGACACAGTCGATAATCAGTATCGAGGAGAGCTTGTCAGGCATGAAGTTGAGATGATATAATAGAAGAACAGCCCATCACTCGAAGAGGAAAGAGAAAAGAAAAGAGAAAAAGAAAAAAGGGTCGGCGAACTTATTCATGCTGGCCTGCGCATCCATCAAGAAACAACCGAACTGGTGGCCATGACCACGGCGCAAGGTCGAGGAAAGAAGGGGAGAGTTACAAGAAGCTCTCTTGCGGAGCACGAAGAACAAGAATTTCTATTCTTTGCAACAGCTGGGATCACAGGACCGAGAGAGAGAGACCAGATCAACCCTAAGATGCCATAGGGCCAATTAGTGAAGACCCAAGCACACGGCACGACTCCATTCACGGGGGCTAAATTTGGAACAGAAAAGAAAAGAAAGAAAGAATAAAAAAAAAAAAAAAAAGGCGAAAAGACTCCAGGGCCGCCCGCCCTAAGCCCAAGGGAAAATTGACCCTTGAAGCGGGGTGTGAATTTGCCATCTGCAACTTGGGAGGTGCTCATCACACGCGGGCCCAAGTCCGGCGCTTATCGGCGTCGCTGAGAGGCCCAGCATGTCCCCACAATGTCCCTGACCCCTGCAGCGAACCAACGGTGGGAACTCAGGCCGCACGGGGACCTGAATATTGGAGGGAAATAAAGGAAGATCTGTGTGGAAATTACGAGGTACTGCAGGGATGTGTTGAGGTCTGGTATTACTATTTGGACCAGACAGGCCTCGTTTCAGACCAATTTGGAGTACATCTCCCTTCGGGAATGAACAATATGGAGAGAAATTTGGAAACATTGATATTCATGAATAGACGAATCGAGGTGTCTGCCGTGGCAAGAGGACAGCTCGGGGGCGACACGGGAAAATCGAGTGTAATACCCTATATCCACTAACCATTATTAGCATGCGCATACCAATAGAGGCAAGTCGGTAATGTCAAAAGCAACAAGATGAGAAGAGGGTGTCAGATAAATGCCCTGTCACAGGCGGTGGTCATCAATGTAAAATCCTTATGTTGACCGTCGTGATAATGTTAAAGTAAATCATCATAGTAATGGGGGGAATGCAAGAAAAGACATGAACTCGACATAAACAAGATTGATACTCACGTGAATAAAAAACGATCGCCGACCTCTACGTGGTCAGTTGACATGTCTCAAGATCAACCCTGTTCGAGACCCATCAGCATCGAGTACTGACTGGAGTTCGCAGACGCAGGCATGAAACTCGTGGCTGATCAGTCATGACAACTATCGTCTTGGCCAGCAATGCCGGCTTGGACATATGCTTGTCTTTTGTGTTGTGTCGAATCATCATGGAAAGAAAGGGAGAAAAGAGACGAGGCGTGACATACACCTACGGTCTTGAGGATGGGGCCATTCATAGTCCCATAAAAATCTATAATCCAGTGCCATCATTAGCAACATGTAACCAAAGTAGATGTGTGGAAATGTCACAGTAAAGTGTGGGTCAGAAAAGCATGAATGGTAATTAAAGGATGTTGTCTGCATCGATAACTCGAATAAGACTCGTCATCTAGGGTATCATCATGGTAGGGTTGGCAATGGAGATGAGCCAAGAGCGGCATACCTGTGGTTTCTACAATTTTCTTTTCCACAGTGAATAGCCGACACACTACTGTTCGAGACGATCAGTGACTGGTCATGAAATCATCTCATGAGTCCATCAATAGTGAGACATGTCTCAGTGGGCGAGGTTTTCTAGGCCTGCCACAAAAGGGCGTATCCATCATGACCGGACGTTGTCAAACGCCGTCGGAGCCCAGTGCCGTTTCATCTTCGGACAGTGGATGTGCAAGAGTCGAGGGTGTGCCATAGGCTTACCATTCGGATAGCCGGGAGTATTGTACAACCCTGTTTAAATCTTCGTAACCGTTAGCAGATGATTCCACACACAGTCATGGTTTTGAAATGCAGAAGCAAGGTGAAAATTCAGTAAAGCCATTGATTTTCGTCAAGGGTCCGAAGACCTTGGACGGTAATTTCCAGCGTATATTTTAAAAAGCGTTCATCATGATAGAGCGGGAAGGTGATAGTGAGAAACAGGAAAGGTAGAACTCACTATCTACAATTGATGCCGGATATAGTCGGCGGAACAAGCTGTAACTTGGTCCTAAAAAGCCGAGTTAGCTTTCTGTCAATCCCACTAGCCATACGTGATAATTCGAAGCAGGTGTGAAAATTTCAGCCTGACGTGCAAATAACATGAGTTTCATTCCCTTTTTGGGTCAAAGACTCTAGTTTGAAATGGTTATGTGTATCATCATGTGAGGGGACTGGGATAGGTCGGAGCCATCGCCATCAGCAGGCACCTACCATCTGTTATTGTGACAGAGATGATCTGTCAGTAGATAGTTGCAAGACTGATCCAGGAGCCATGCTCAATCGCAATGGAAACATTCATCCATGGTGAAATGGCAGGACATCCGGTAGTGGGAGGAGAAGGAAAACAGCAGAAACAAAAAAAAAATCGAACTTTTTCAAGCTCTGCCGCATCGGAGCCACATTTCACCGAGTCTAGCCTTCATTGGGCCTAGCGGATATCTGCCTCAGGCGAGATGTTAACATCACGTGATATTGACATAGAACCCTACAATGTCACTTCTTGGCTTTTTGTGCCATTTCAGTACTCATTCATCGCCGCATTTTTGCTTATGACAATTGAGCGAGATCTTCGTATTTCTATGTGTGGCCTGGAACCTTACAAGGTGGGAGACTCACCGCTTTTTCGGGGTCGAGAACAAAGAGACAAACCATGGATTGTTTACCTTCGCATTAGACCAATATCATTGCCCTAAAATCTGTCACTCTGAAACCACCCACAGCATGTTTCAAGACGACTGGCCGAAGATGCCAGATGGCAGCGACTTTGATGGCCAACATCTACTCTGCCTAGTCCGAAGTGGCAATATCCCGTTCCGTGACGTTTGGGATATAAACCTACTGGTTCGAGAAATCGAGGAGAATGTTGGGGTGCAGGTGATTGACATTCCACGCACTTACAATGACTCTAACAGCTACGTAAGTCTCTAGCCCAAGACCTCTGGAGTTTGCAACCATTATCTAGTACCGACTAACTTTCGATAATCCAAGGGTTTCCATTTCAAATTACACAACGGACAGGATATTCTATTGCCGTGTAGCCTGAGGCGATGTCAACATGCCCGGCTACGATGGCTTTCCAATTCATGTGCAAATTCCCGAGCTCAATTTCGAGGTGGTAGTATACCAGCTCTGAATTTAGTAAAGACCAAGAGCTAACTTCCTCGTCTCTATATAGGCTCTCTTCAATCAGGCACCTGATTACGAGCATGCAATTCGGGCAGGGAAAGATGCTCGCCACCTTTGGTTTGCACTGCGAGAGTGACGTGGTGATGATCCGGAGGGCTACATTGGCAACTTGGGCGCTTGGGCTGAAACACGGATGAAGGAGCTTGGTACTGACTCAGATTAAGTTCGAAGCATACTCTATTGCTATTAAATACTTTATCTATTGTCCAAGATGGTCCCTCAATGCCGTAATCACTTCATCAGCCGTTGTGCTCTCAGTGAGCATTGCCAAAATATGCTGATCGGGGCGAACAAGTATGCCACCCGATTTGTTCAGCTCTGCAGTAAACCAGGTCTGCTTCACAACCTCAAAGTCCTTACCAAAACGCCAGACATTGAAACGGATGTTAGTCGCCGCGCATTGTTTCTGAACCTGCGCAATCTGCGCGACCAGTGGCGTATCATTGTCCCCCAGAATCAGAGTAAATGCGTCCAGCCCACAGAGATCGAGGGTGCTCCATTGACAATCTCGAACTTGCGCTTTACTCAACTCAGTCACATAGGAGACGTCGACTGGCTCTGCAGGCAGCGAAGAGCGCGCGGCTTCAGTTGAAGTTGAACTCTGGTCGGGGAAGGAAAAGGAAATCCATGCATGAGGGAGGCGAGCTCCAGACACAAACTTGGGTGAATAGTGGGAAGCATGAGATGGCGGTTCGCTGGCACCATACACGTATCCGATGTGGAGCTCAAGCTAACAAGAAAAGGCGTTAGGATTACACCATGCGAAATAGAACGAAATAGAAGGTCAAGAAGCAGCGCTCCACTTACATTGTCAAAGTGTTCTCGCTGCCCTTCGATCCCCTCGTCGACCTTTGCCCGCTGCTCTGGATCAGCCAGTGTTGCCATCATGTTGTGACGAGCCTGGGCGACATCATCAACGCCCGCCATCTTGAGACTTTGCAGGAGAGCGAAGATTTGCTGGCCGTTCTTGACGCTTTGTCTCGAGTAGACATCGGCCACGCTTCGGCGCTCGGTTGTATATGTTGAAAGAAGTGACGGGCGAGCCACCCCCCGATGGACGAGCGCAAGCTTATATGCCAGGTTATGGGCGTCTGCCATTCCACAGTTCAAGCCCAGTCCCCCAGTGGGTGGGAATGAGTGCGCGGCATCCCCTGCACTGTTGAAAACAAAATGAACCATTAGCACACACATTCCGGCAGAGCTGGATCAACGTTGAAGAATACGGCACTCACAGGAACACATTGCCCTTTTGAAACGTCTCCGCAATCTGACGCCGGAACACCCACGGTCGAACGCTGAGAATATCAAATGGAATGTCCTTGCCAATAGCATCACGGATCTTCGTCCGGCACATCTCGTCGGACCACGACTCAATGGGCTGCTGGGTCACGTCGACCTGGCTGATATGAACTTGAGTGCCGTCCAAGTCATAGCCGATGATGAATCCTGCGGCTATGGGGTCCATGATCCAGAACAACATGCCGACCCGATCGCCCACCACAGGGCGCAGATTGGCATTGAAATGGATGGTCATCATGGTCTGCTCAGAGTCCTCGCCCTCAGAGGAGATCCCAAGCAGTTCTCGGACTTTGCTCCTCCGGCCATCGCAGGCCACAAGGTACCGAGACCGGATGGACAGAAGACGTCCAGTAGAGCGCTCTTCAACGGTGGCCAGAACCTGGTTGTCAGTCTGCGACAGCGCATGGTTAGCAATGGTCTAGCTGGTGTCCCTACGCTAAGTCATCAGAGGCGTACCTGATCTACGGCGTGGATACTGAATCCCTTGTGCAGGGTGATATTAGGATCTTCCGCAATGCGGCTGGTCAGCTCTTGTTCTAACACTGGCTGAGGAATATTGTGGATCATCTGTTAATCATCAGTCAAAAGTCGACGCAATAGTATCATTAGGAATCATCATGGTATGGATTACCTCGGGTGTGTCGTCCAAGACGGCAGGATCCATGCGTTCATAGGGCAGCCGTCCGACAGCATCGCCGCTCAAGCTGGTGATAAAATTGACCCAGGAGCCATCGGCGCGCGAAGTGCCCAGTTGTCGGACTCGTTTCTCGCCCAGGCCATATTGACGCAGAATTTCCAGCGACCGCGGGTTGATCGCGTGAGCTTTGGGAGCCGCCAGACGTTGCGGATAGCGTTCGATGATCACCGATTGAACTATTTTGGGCCGTTTAGTCTAAAGCCGAATTTCTCTCTCCCTGCATATCAAAAGGATTCGAGGATTCGACCCAAATCCTTGAACATTCTTTCGGGGGGCAAAATCGAACGCATGGCTGCATCGTACCTCCAAATTGAGACAAGAGCAGAGCTTGCAAGAGCCCGATAGGGCCTCCACCGACAATCAGGACGGGGGCGAACTCGGGCAGCCCGTCAGAGGAGTCTTGCAAAGCCATTTTGGGGGTGATTGTCGCCAGGCATGCCCGATGCGCAAGGCGAATGATATACGGCGTTGGTATATCCGACCACTGCGTATATTGCCGAAGTGGCCCCTATGGCCCTGGCCCTTCATGGCTTGCCCGATATAACGTGGGGCATTTTTTCTGTCGGTGGAGCCCTAATTCTTTTAGCGTTTGCGATCGTCTCTCTGCTGGGCGTATCAGAATGGCGTGTTGCGTGGATAATCCTCCCCACGCACCACTTGCTCTTAATGCGACAGCCTGTGGACGATGCCGGAGAAACTCTAGACCCCGCGAGGGCAGGGATGCGCAGTGGGTGGCCACAATTGCCTTTCAAGCAGATTGGCTCGGGTTTTCCGACTTGAAGTGTTCTGGTGCTGAGTCGGATCTTGAGTCCTGCATCAACTTGATTCAAAAGACCGAAAGGTCCGGTCCCGTCCCACTTTGTTTCTTTTTCAAAGTCACTCTTTTTTCAATTATTTTCAATTATTTTTTTTTTGGCAACAGACCTCCCTCGGCATTGACACTCCTTTTGCGCAACACCTCTTCATGTCGCGTGAGTACGAGGCGGAGCATTTCCGCGCCCCTGGAACGGAGATTCTGTTCGATGAGGGCTCCAGCGATGTCGGTCTCTCGGATCGCCTCCATCAGTTGAAGCATCGGACAAAAGGCGACTCGCGCGTGCTGCTGGTTCCTCAACCTTCGACAAACAACCCGAATGACCCGCTGAACTGGTCGACGACGAAAAAGAGCCTGGCGTTCTTCAATGGCTGCTGGTATGCGTTCATGGGCGCCATCACAGGCCCGATCATGGCTGCTGGTACGTATGGAATGTAGAATCGAGGGGGTCAGAAAATGAAGAAAGAGAACTTATAGACTAACTGATACTCCCATGCAGGTATGAACCAGCTGTCCAAAAGCTTTGGCAAGACCATGCAGCAGTTGACGTATGCGAACGGCGCTTGTTTGATCAACCAGGGAGTATGGAACTGTATCTGGATGCCATTCGCCGTCAAGTACGGTCGGCGTCCAATTTATCTGGCCTCGACGTTCCTGATGATCCTCGCATGTATTTGGCTGGCCATCGCATCGAACAAGGACTACACCACGTTCATCGTGGGGCGTGCTTTCTTGGGTGCGTGGGAAGCGCCGATTGAATCGATCGTGCCATCTACGGTGACGGACATGTTCTTCCTGCACAACCGCGGCGAGCTTGTCGCCATCTATGGGTTGGCCGTGCTGGGAGGAAACGAGCTGGGCCCCATGTTTTCCGGGTTTATCGTCCAGGCACTGGGCATGGATTGGGCGTTTTGGATCGTGGCCATTTTTATTGCCGCGAATCTGGTCTGTATGTTCTGCTTTATGCCCGAAACTAAATTCACTGGTCCTCGCCCTCAGATCCTGCCACCGTCCCGATCCGCCAGCGAGTCCTCGACCAAGGGACTGGAGGAGATTTCAGTCGACGAGCTCCAGCCCGTGCCCAAGAAGTCCTGGCTGGAGGAGCTGAAGTTCTGGAGCCGAGGCGACCCCAACGTGAACCTGCTGCATGTCTTTCTGCGACCGTTCGTGCTCATGGCCTACCCGACGGTCGTCTGGTCATGCTTTGTGTACGGGCTGGCGCTCAGCTGGAACGTCATCCTCGGCGCCATCGTGGCCCAGCTCTTCACGCCGCCCCCGTATGGGTTCAACTCCAACGCCCAGGGCCTTTTCTTCCTGTCGCCCTTTGTGGGCTCGCTCTTCGGCGTGTACTTCTCCGGGCCCTGCGGTGACTGGATTGCCAACTTCTTCACTAAACACAACCGGGGCATCCGCGAGCCCGAGATGCGCCTGCCCACCTGCCTGGCGGCGGCCTTTTTCACGTTCTTCGGAGCCCTCTGGTTCGGCCTGTCCTACGAACACCAGATGCACTGGGCCATGCCGGTTGTGGGGGCAGGGATCCTGTCGGTGGGGAGCCAGATGGGCACGACTCTCGGCATGAACTACGCACTGGATTGCCACCAAGAGGTATGTGCCGAGTCATTTCGTCAAAAACAAGAAAAATAAAGTAAAATATATAAGCTGACCCTGAATCGCAGCTCTCCGTCGAAATCATGGTGACCATTGCCGCTCTCAAAAGCTGCATCGCCTGGATCTGGACGTGGGTGATCAATGACTTCATCACGACGTGCGGCGTGTTGTCGGTCTTCATGACCGTAGCCGCCATCAACGTGGCCATCTACTTGATCTACATCCCCTTCTACTACCGGGGCAAGCAGATCAGACTGTGGGTCCACCAGAAGAATTTTTTCCAGGCCGCGGGGCTGGCATAATCAGCCCGGTATAGGACAAATTCCATGGGATGCAATCGACACCACACGCTACTGTAAATGGACTCAAATGAGAAGGAAATGTTAATGTCTTGGTTCTATGTCTATATAATTATGTATTAATCTAGTTCCCCCTTCCCATTTACCTCTCACTAATACTAAATTCCATGCATCCGGCCTGTCTTGGCCACCCAATTATCACCAACACAACCATCCATGGATATTCCCCCTGTTCGAGGGATGCGTGTCCCTGAACAATCGAATTCTCTGCCAGCCAATGGAACGGGCGCAGTGCTATCGGCTAGGATCTCGCCTCTATTAATATTCAATTTAATATAAATAAATAAATATATATATATATATATATAATTTTTTTTTTTTGCTGTTCAGCCATCGGCCCCTTCTTTGGCCCGCGGCGATACACGCCCCACTATAGATCTTCCCTGTATGGGGTTTCAGCTGGTGGAGCTGCGCGGCATTTATCCGATGCCCCAAGGTACGCAATTCCCTATGCACGACATGAACGGTTTATAATTTGTATGTAGAAATAATGGCATAAGATAAGATGCTCTGACTCGACTAAGTGTGTCCATTGGGCCTCTCAATTCTCGAATATACACTAACATAATACTACAGCGGTAACCGTGAAGTGTTGGGAGGCCAACAAGTAGCCAAACACACCGAGATACTCCGCAGCCACAAACAGGTCTCTCGAGTGGGTCGGTAAGTTGCCCTGGAAGGGCCAATCGCACTATTCATCAAGCCTCTCTGCACATCCATGGATGAGGTGGCCGTGCTATTGATTTGACCAGAAAAAAATACTCCCAAGGTCAATTAATTCGCGCGGGCTAGGGGATGTCCGTTCACCCTGAAATTGTTCGTCCTTAATATGCAGTCCAATATCTCATTCACGTTACAAGAGCTCTCGCAGGCAGCCCTACACATGGGAATCATAGAAAGAGAAAGAGAAAGAGAAAGAAAGAAAGAAATCATGCGCCTGCCTACTTAGGGCTTGGAGGTAGGGAGAGAAAGAAGAAGGGCTGAAGGATGGGATCATGGAGAGGAAACCTGGCCAATAATTAGCCTGACGATGATCCTTTCTCGAATCCCTAGTTTCAACCAGAGCCAAAGAAAGCATAAGATCAGGAATGGGTGCAGGGCAAAAAAAGGATCATATAGCACCACGCGAAAGGCTGGTGTTGGGCAGACTAAAAGATCCTGCCGGTTAGGCGTTTTTCCCCTGAGACAATTCTTTAGTGTTTTCTTTAGTGCCATGGATATAATTAACTTTGATTAAAGTCTTTAGTCTTGCCAGGCCCTTGTTTTGCTGCGTTTATTGGCCTGCCCGAGTGGGTCTCGCAAGTGCGTGGTGAAAAGATGGAGCAAGTGGGCATTGCAGCTTTCTATAAATTATAATTTTTTTTTTTTTTCAGATCCGATCTACACTTGCCAATAGGTCGGTCCTACTGAAAGTTTGTACTTGGCCAAGCCATGCTGGTTCGCCCGATCCATACGCGCAAAATGGGGTTTGCGCCTTGATATGTCATCATTCTTCTATTCCTATTAACTTTACCCTTCTCCTCTATCTTCACTTGGCTTTGCTATGGAGAGTCTCTACCCGGCCTGAACACTACTCTCCAGTCAATATGGCAAAGGGCATGTCCGTGGCCATCTTGGTGGTCTCCTGGGCGGAGACCTTTGTGGGCCTGACGTTTTTGACGCTGCGCTTTGTGAGCAATTGGAAGTTTGTGGGCCGCTTTCGCTGGGATTTTGCAATTGCGTCTTTGACGGTGGTGAGTGTTATTGACTGATACTTGGATTCTTGAATAGAAGAAGATGCTAACAACCCACTCAATAGCTCACCGAAAGCACCGCCCAGATCTTTCTCCAGCTCTCCGTCAATGCGGGCATGGGCCAGCATATCGCCGTTCTATCAGACACACAGCGAGTGGCCGCCTTGCACTGGGGATGGGTCTTCCAACTTCTTGCAATCGGAGCAAGTATGCTCGGCAAGCTGGCCATCCTGGCATTCCTGATGCAGGTCCGGGGCCGGCACGCCTCGAAGCCGTGGCTCCTGATTATTCTCGGGGTGTTGATTTTCGCCGTCAATATCACCGTCATGGGAACTATTTTGGGCCAATGCTCGCCGATGGAGAAGCTGTGGGATGACTCGCTTCCGGGGACATGCGATCCAGGTCGTCTGATGAACCAAAACTATTCATTCTTCCAAGCGAGTGCGTTGCCCCGGTCTTTTTGTCTCTAAATCCCTTAAGTATGCGAACTAATTCAATTTCTTTAGGTTTCAACACCTTTGCCGATGCCGCTTTGGCAACATACCCGGTTCATCTGTTCTGGAAGTTGCAGATGAAATTGCGCATCAAGATTGCGCTGTCGATCCTCATGGGACTGGGATGGATGTGAGTGACTCCTCATACCACATATGCCTTATATCTCATGCTAACCACTCCTGTGACAGTGCTGCCGTCTGCTCCGCAGTCAAATGCTACGAGCTCAAGGCCTTGACCGAGACAACCGACATTACCTGTATGTATCTCACTGACCTCACTAGTCCACCACAAACAAACAAGCTAACTAACTCATTTTTTTTTCCTATACAGATGCACAAGCCTCTCTCCTCATCTGGGCCTCCACCGAAGCATGGATCGTCATCGTCGTCGGCTGCGTCCCACCCATCCGCCCCCTCATGGAACGAGTCCTCCAACACCTAGGCCTAACAAGCAAAAAGACCTCGACCCCGTACAACCTCCAAAGCCCGAATGCCTACGTCGCATATGGCACCAACCGCTCCAACGGCGCCAGTCACTCGCACTACCAATCCAGCGCGTTCGGCGGCCGCAAGCCGTTCAGTCGCGACGAGGAAGACGTGGACTGGATGGAGCTCACGGATGCGCGCGGGTCCAGTGCCAGTAAGGAGCAGATCATTGGAGGCAAGGATGTCATGGTCACGACGGATATCGTGACGCAGTTCGAGGAGCGCAGGAATCACCGTGCGGGCTCGTCGGGTGGGAGTCAGACGTCGGGCGATGAGGCCGCTCGCGAGACTACCGACACTCAAAAAGTGGTTTAATGGTGTTGGGTGGAGTTGGACTTGGAGTTTGGTTCATGTCCCTTATGACTTGAGGTATGGATGTAATGTAGCAATGACACTGGCTGGCTTTCTGTATAGATTGGTTCGCTGTATAGGATTTTTAATTGTTTGTTTGTTTGTTTGTTGGGTGCTGGGCGTGTGTAGGGTATCTATGGATGTATATCAGATTGAACCTTCAAATTACCCTTGGTCTATCCATTCTCACAATGATTACCTACTGGTATATTTGTTACAGAATGGTTGGACTAGGTGGTATTACTCGAATGAGAATGATTGCTTCAACTACTGGTCTAGCTGCTTATCTTCTAGGCATCGACACTTCCAAGGTTGTGACGATATTATATATACCACAGCATGATATCGAAAGAGAGCTTTACAAGAACACTTTATCTTCGGCCATGAATCTGCTTGGCAAATCTAAGCCTCGGAACCTTGATCAAAGTAGTACAGAGGAGCCAAAAGTATGTTCCAGTAACTCATGGACTCAAAAATATATTCGTCATAACACATACTTGAATAGAAAAACAAGATCCAAACTGACTGCCATATAAGAAGCAGGAAATTTCATAATGCCCATGAAAACTACCCCCCCCCCCCCAAGCAAGACATCACTCATTAGTTGGCAGGCCTCTTTGCAGTCGCTATTTTGAGCGCCTTGAGTTTTCTCAGCGCTTCTCCCACACTCGCGCGTTCTTTTGGGTCACCGCAAAGAGAAATGGCTGCCAGATTGACCTTATCTTTATTCTCATCATCATCCTTTGCCAAGTCTGGAATCTTCTTTCTCAAGACATCTCTTGTCTCGTCCGGAGTCAACAATTTCGTGCCCTCCCCGACTAAGGCTTTCCACAAGTCCAAGAGCTTGGTCTCGTCCGAAAGCTGATCGTAGTAAGAGAGTTGAAGCCACATCCACATTACAGCCCACCAGTCAACTTTCCTACCGAATGGTTGTAGTTTCACCTTCTCTGTTTATTCAAAGGCATCGGTTAGCTCATGATCTCGACAGCTCAGCGAATATGGTAGAAGGAGGCCAATTCTCTTACCGGGAGCCATATGACCCGGTTTACCGATCCAGTAATCGGTCGACGAGGGCTCACTTGTAGCTGTGTGGAAAAACCAAAGCTGATACTGGTCGTCTCCCATGTCCAGGACGTTGTAGAGGGTGAGATTGCCATGCCAGATGGCGTATCTGTTGACCTTGGTCCGATGGATCGCCTGCACCCCTTCCAGCACTTGGATTATTGCCTGGTTCACCTTGCTCGGGTCCTTTGCCAGCTCCTTGGCCGTGTCCGGAACCCCCAGCATATCGCCTGGGATCTGGGGCATGATCTGATAGGCGGTTTTGCGGTGGATGTCATAAAACCAATCATCTATACCGTGCACACGAGGGCTTTTGATGAGACGTTGGAGCTCCGCGCTCTGGAGGATGCGACCGGGATAGTTGGTCGAGTTGGATATCATGACGTTCGCCTTCTGGCCCTCCGAAGTCATAGTGCCATCCCATATGTCTCCCCCATCTGAGTAGCCGATCTTTGTCTCCATATGGTACTCGACCTTATCAGCCCGATCCTCCTCACAATTCTCGACGTAGGAATTACAATAACCCTCCTGGGGTTTGCAATTCCCAAATGGAACGTCATCGGGTGTCCGGATGTCTTTGGGTTTATGCTTGTTGATATAGTCCGTGTATTTCTGCCAGACATCCCAGTTGGCGATCGCATCGGGCAGGTTGTCTCGGGCGTAGAGTTGGTTGAGAGACTCGGTTGGGGCAGAGTAGATCACCGATGTGAGCAACAAGAGAATGCTCAGAATAGCGAGGCCGGGCTTGTGTAGGACGCCCATATTCGGACCTGTAGCACCGCAGATGGGTGCAAGGGTTGTGGGATAGCAACGATGAAGGATTGGGGGGCGGATCGACCGTTTTTATTGTATAAGGAAGTACTTTGCTCTGATATCATCTCAATTCACGCCCCCACAGACCAACCGTGTCAAGACTGAACCACGTCTGTGGGTCTGAGTCTGACTGGAGACAGTTAGTATCTACCTAGGTATTGTTTTCTTGGCTTGAAGGAACACGCCAGGAACACACCGGCTCATGCGAGTCGTGAATCTAGTTGGTCCTGACGCCCGCCCCCCACATTCTAATTGTACATTGTTGGCCCCTGGTCCAGGATGGGGAGCATGTCGGTCCAATAATCGTACATTTCCCAATCACCTTGTCGGACAATACAGTATGTCATACGCCATCGTGGAATCCAATTACGACCCCCACTACCTCACTTACCGAGAATGATCTCAATGGCCCCAATGACCGCACATCTTTACTATAGTCTCTCATGCTTCAATATTGACCACTAACGAAGGATAATTGTCTATCCCGTACAGCGAGAGTCATTCTATAGTTATCGTTTCCGAAAACCGGCTTGCCAGGCTCTCAAGCGGCTTGCCGATAACGCAATCGCTGGTGTAGGATGTGGATAATGGAGCCCAGGATTCGGGGCCGCCCCTCGTCCCCATTGACCTACTCCCCTAGCGCAGTGGTGAAACCGGCTATGTCGGACAGAGGCTTGCCTCTTTCTATCTGCCTGATCCTCCAGGCTGGTTATCATACAGTAATAACTATGCTTCATTCTTTTTTATGTCTTTACTTAGAAATTGGTATCTTTGCTTATTCGAATGTTCATGCTGTATGACGCGCCTATTTCCGCTATCGGTTGTCTGTTTTCTAACGGTTTATTACCTGAGCAAGTGAGATCTGTCCACTGTATATCAGATTGCCGTCGAGCAGAGTCCCGTGCGTAGTAGCTATTTATGGCCAAACTTTAACTTCATTCGTATTTTTGTAGCTCCAACTCTTGCTTCAACTCTTGCCCCTTGTCAATACTCACCACTCCCTGTCCCAAGCTGGAACACTCATGCTTCTTGAATCTCCATGCAGGCAGTCTCGCCGCAAACAACTCATCAACCTCCTCAAGGCCCCGTTCCCTGAGCTCCGGCATAAAGAACCACACCCAGATGGCCCCCACACCCGCGAAACCGGCCCACACGTACCCGAGTTTCGCCCCGAGATTGGCTCCGGGTGTGGAGAGGAGGTAAGGGGTTGTGTAGACCACGACGAAGCCGACGACGACATTGAGTGCCGTCTAGATAAGTACCAAGTTAGCGAATCTTGCTTTAGTAGATGCTTTTCGCTTCCCCAAAAGTAAACTACTCACTGAGATGGCCATGGTTTTCTCTCGCAGGGTTGCCGTTCCAAGCTCCGCGGCCGTGATATATGCCGCAGGCCCCAGTGTGGCGTGCAGGACAGCCGCGTACAGGATAAAGGAAGCCGCCATTTCGATAGTATCGCTAATTGTGCGGTGGACCTTGGAGCCCAGACCACCAATTAGACATAGGAAGACAGTTTGAACCCACCATCCATGAAAAGTGACGTCTCGTCTCCCAAAGGTGTCGAACAGGATCATTCCGATTAGAGCGGTGACCACCGAGACGCCGTTGTTGACTGCCTACACAGACGAGGAAAGGAAAGAGTCAGCGTGTCCCAATCCAAGAACGTGGGATAGTTGATCTGGGCCTTGATGCATACAGCATACGTAAACGCCATGTCCCCCAGCCCGACTTTCTATAAGAAAGTCGGTCCATAGGAGCTGCTGAATGTCACGCTGGTCAGTTGCTGCAATGCCATGATTGCCAGTGCAATGGAGGTGCGCCGACGATTTGCGACGCTGAAGAGCGCCGACCATGGCATCTTCTCGGTCTTATTGTCTGAGTTCTCCAGGGCAATCATCTCGAGCTCGCAGGAGCCGTTATCCACTGCTTGTTTGGGATGGAGGTGGCGTAGGGCGGCCAGTGCGTCGGTGCGCCGGTTTTTGGAGATTAACCAGCGAGGGGAGTCTAGCATATGCTTAGCATGACGCTTCCCCTAGTAGCGACAAAAAAAAGTCAGGGATAGGATGGATGAGAAACACGTACTCGGCGTAAAAGGAAGTCCCGCTAGAATGATGACTGCCGGAATGCCTTGGATCCCTGTGGCAAGCATCCAGCCTGCATCATTCGTGGATTTGGACATGTACTGGTTCACGATGCCGGCGACAAAAGACCCAAATGTCAGGAACAGCTGGATCGACCCAACACAGAATCCTCGGAGGGGAGCCGGACAGATCTCAGACTCGTATGTGGGCACCACCTGAGAGAATAGAATTGAGCGGACATATCAAAGTCACCGTGCACAGCAGTTTTCTTTACATTTTCCACCAGTCCTACAGCCTTATAGATCAGATTGCGACCAACAATAAAGTGTGCTGCTGAGTATCTCGTCACCTGGACTATATGAAGCAAATAAGCCCCTATTCCCTGCCCATTTGGAATAGTGATGGATTGGGATCATTCTTACTGACGGCACCGACAATCTGAACTACACAGGTCCCTGCCATGGCCGAGCCATGACCAACCCTTTCGATAATGGGACCGACAATGACCGCCCTAAGAACTTGCCGAGTGTCCCACGCTATCAATTATCAAGGCGTCTCTTCTCGAGGATCCCGCCGCTGTTGAGAAAAGCAGGAATTTAGTCACTGGGCTGAAGCTGACGGATGGCCAGACGGTTCGAGCCAAGGTACGCATACATCACGCACAGGCATCCTTTCTCTTGAGTTACAGAGATATCTGATCTCACCTAGTACTTCATCGAAGCCTCGTACGAGGGCGACTTTCTCACCGCTGCAGGCATCTCCACGGCAATCGGACGCGAACCATCAACCCAGTACAATGAGAGTCTCGCCGGAGTTCGAGCAGATACACGATACACACAGTTCGACGTGCCCGTCGACCCGTACCGCATCCCTGGAGATCCCTCGAGCGGTCTCATAGATGGGATCTCGTCCGAGCCGTTTGGTGAACCGGGCAGCGGAGATCAACACCTGGCAGCGTACTCGTACCGTCTGCTACTGGCCGATGTCGAAGACAATAAGATGCCTCTGTATAAGCCGGAGTGCTATGACCCGTCACAATACGAGCTCCATCGCCGCTATCTACAGGCGGGCGGAACACTCTACACGCCCCGACTCAAAGGGATTCCGAATCGCAAGACTGACCTCATTGGATCCAAAGCTGTGCTAGCGACTGATCTGATTGGAATGAATGATGACTGGCCGATGGCAAATGCCTATGCCCGACAAAAGATCCTGGATGAAACGGCCACTTTCACCAAGGGTTTGATATGGTTTCTTGCCAATGATGAAACAGTTCCTGTAAGTATACTCTTCCCCAATTATTCGCTTCCTTCTACCTGTATGCTCTTGTGGGTGATACTAAACAATTCTTTCTATATAATAGTCAGATGTCCGCCACGAATGGTCTCGATTCGGATACTGCCTCGACGAATTCCGCGACAACAACCACCTCCCGCGCCAGCTGTACATCCGCGACGCGCGCAGAATGGTCGCCGACTATGTGGTCACGCAGCACACAGCCTCGGAACACAACGGCGAAGAGCTCGACCCCTATCCCGTGGCCATTGCCTACTGGCCCACAGACACGCACTGCGCGCGGCGCGTAGTCCGGGACGGGGTGGCTCACAATGAAGGATTCGTTTTCAAGGACAAGCACCGGTGGCGACCCTTTGGCATCTCGCGTCGCGAACTCACTCCGCGCAGGGCGGAGGCTACGAATGTCTTGACGGCTACTTGTCCTAGCTCATCTCATGTTGGATATGGTATGTGTTCAGACCATGTTCTCTCTTCTAACGAAAGACAAGATAGAAGGTTGACGAAGCTGATTTTTGATTAGGGGCTGTGCGCATCAAGCACCAGTTCTATGAGCTGGGTCAGGCATGTGGGAATGCGTGCGATATTGCATTGGCTCATTTGGATACCCGGATGTCTGTACAGGATGTTCCGTATGATATCCTCCGTGCCAGGCTGCTTGACCAGGGCGCTGTTCTCGATGTTCATTCAGTGAGGAAGCCGGATTTCAGTCTTGTTTAGATATAGATCGTGAGGGTGCATATCCTCAATGAAATACTTCTCGACCATGCTTTACCCAAAGCACCAGATCTATTTCAATATTTTTTTATTGTATTTCTAAAAATTATTTCCAACACAGCGGATGCAAACATCCTATCAAAAAAAACATCGTGAAGGCGCTGAATGGCGACTTGAACAGATGTCGTCGAATCATACCATGGAGACCAGCACACGAAACTCCGTCCAGCCAATTCGTCACTCCGTGGGAATGAAGGGAAATGTTCCAAAAAGAAGAAATAAAAACCAACAGGTCGAGATGCTTATTTTTTCTGGTACTTGTTGTACATATCGATGACCTTCTGGACCTCGTCGCGGGAGCCGAGGAAAACACCACTCTTGTCGTGGATGTGCTCGGGGCAGACCTCCATCAGACGCTCCATTCTCGAGTTGACGGCCAGACCGCCGGCGTTTTCGAACAGCATGGCCATGGGGGCACACTCGTACAAGATACGCAGCTTGCCCTTGGGGCTCTTGGAGTCGGCCGGGTAGGCGAAGATGCCACCATAAAGAAGAGTTCGGTAGGCGTCGGCGACCATGCTGCCAATATAACGGGCGCTGTAGGGTTTCTCGCCCTCGGGCGGGAACTTGAGGCTGTGGAAGTACTGGGTGCACCACTCGTCCCAATACATGCTATTCCCCTCGTTGACGGAGTAGATGGCGCGCTTGGGGGGCAGCTGCATGTTGGGGTGGGTGAGGATGAACTCGCCCAGCGAGTTCTCGAGCGTGAAGCCATTGACGCCGCCGCCGCGCATGGTGATAACCAGCTGGGCCGACGCGCCGTACATGGTAAAGCCCGACGCCACCAGGCTAGTCCCCGGGTGCAGCAGATCCTGCGGGCCGACGGACTTGTTGGGGCCCAGCACCTCGTCGGGCAGCTGGAAGATGCCGAAGATCGTGCCGACCGAGACACCGGCGTCCAGGTTGGACGAGCCGTCGATCGGGTCGCACACCACGGCGTACCGGGCGTCCGGGTGCTCGTCGAACTTGATCACCTCCTCTTCCTCCTCGGACACGATGATGCGGCACTTGCCGGACCCGCGCATCGCCGACACAAAGATATCGTTGCCGATCACGTCCAGCTTCTTCTGGTCGTCGCCCGTCGTGTTGGACGACCCCGCCAGGCCCGTCAGGTTGATCAGCGACGCGCGCCGGATGTAGTAAGCAATCGACTTGAACGAGAATTGGAGCGCATGGCACAGCAGCGTGAAGTCACCCGAGGCATCGGGGTACTTGGCCTGCTCCTCCGTGAAAAAGCGGGACAAAGTCACAATGTCGGTGTTGATGTTTTCCTGGCCCACTGGGGGGCTCCGCTTCCATGGGTAGCCATAGTAGAGGGAGGAAGGAGGGTATTTTTCGAGGTAAAATATAGTAACAATGCAGCGAGGCAATGGGAAAGTAACCGGGTATATATGGATATTCCAAGGTGCCAGTGGCAATGAACAAAACCAGTTCAGTCGGGGAAACGTCAGCGGGGAGGGCCAGTGGGACCCCTCATACACCGTGACCTCAGCATCCCTTCCCCCGCGTGACTTCCGGTTTTTTCCTCTTCCCGGCACTCCGGAATCTCCCGGTTTACAAAGAATATATACCTCTACTACTGGAATATCTTGGTAGATCCAGATATTTTACTATTATCTCAAGTCTAGCATACCGGCATTCTCAACGTTGTAAGGCCTAGATCGAATGCCCCTCCGAGCAGGGCGCGGAAGAAAGAAATCCCTCCAGTTTTTGCATCTCCACCGTGGGATCATGTGGTTGATTCAGGTTTGCTAGCGTCGATTAATGACATTAACATTGGGAACCTTGGAATATCCAGGTTTCTTTTTACAGACGTAACTTCCTCTGCCAAAACCACGTTCCGAGGGCGAGGCCATGTGAATCATGACGTTTCCGACATTGCCCTTTTAAATAGTTTACTTGGATGAACACCGCTCAAGCCTACAATTGAAGCCTACAATTGGACACAATCTTTGGAAAATGTATATCATCTAGACCTCTTTCAATACATGACAAGGAAACCCGGAGAGTGAAAGGACAGAATCCCGCAAGAATGCTGGAGCAAAAGAGAGTCAAGAGAAAAGAAAAATACAAAATTAAATACAGACAGTCCAACCCTAGTCGACCGGATCTTCCTCCAACAGGGTCTTGAAGCTGAAGGGCAAGAAGGGAATACCCTCGCCAATGAAATGCTTGCTCATCGCCTCAACCCAGTGCAGACGGAGAGAGTGCAGCAGGGCACTGGTGCCTTCCATGACCACGAGCACGCCGACGCTGAGGACGAACCAGGCATAAAACGTAACAACAATCATGATAACCCGGGTCGTGGGGCTCTCCTGCTCAAAGGCACCGCCAATCGTCATCTTCCAGAGAACGATAGAGAGTTGCTGGTGAGCCAGCGAGAGAGCCCACAGACGGAGGTAGGAGGCGGTGTGCGAGATACAGTTCAAACAGAATTCGATGGTGTGGATGACCTGGTGGATCATGACCTCGCCAAAGTCGAACTCCTCGTGCTCCTCACTTTCGCCAAGGTCCTGTGCGATCATGGCCACACCCTCACCATCACTGGCCAGACTGTCGCGTGCTCCCGCGAAGCCGCCGTCCATGTCTGCGTCATCTTCCAGCGCAGTCACCCGGGACGGCTCTGCGAGACCCCGGTAACCCAGGGCCCGGGCGCGGTTGTGCTCCCAGCGAAGGTAGAAGGGTTTGAAAAACAGCATGATAGGCACCTGAACAACAGCGATGAGAAGCAAGAGCACTTGGACAGTGCTCTGGCCCGAGTAGAGCGGCTGCTCGACTTTACCGGGGCTCAGGAACATGAAAATCAGCATGTTAAGGAGATTGGGAGGGTCCGTTCCCTTGGCCTGCCAGTCGACAAACCACTTGTACAGAATGGTGATCACGAGGTAGCCAAAGATAGAATGGAAGAAAAGCATCGATGGGATGAAGTTGCCCAAGATATCGACCTTGGACTTGAAATGGCGGGCGTTGATATACTGTAGGCAAAGAGCGTAGGTCATCTGCGATTGTTGGTTAGCCAATATTGATCAAAGAGATCCTCAGATTAGCACTCACATGAGCCCAGCCAAGCAGAATACTCATCTTCATCTTCATGCTGTTAGAGAAGAGCAAAGAGTTCTCGGCCCCGTGCCAATTCCAATCCAACCCGATCGGGTAGCGATAACCACTTTTCAATGACGCCTCAACAGACTTGCCCTCTTGAATGCTGTCGGGCCATTGCCACTGACTAGGGAAGATGGTGAAGGGCTTGGAAAAGATGTCGTTGTAGATGAACCCAGTGTACATCGAGAACAGACCCATCATCAGCATAACATATCGGCCGTAGAATGCCATGTAAGACAGCTCGTCCAGTTTAGTCCGCAGCAACTTCTTCTCCCAGAAGATCATTGCCACTGCAGCCATGGTCATCAGAGCACCGTGTCCAAAATCACCGAACATGACAGCGAACATGAAGGGGAAAGTGACAACTGTGTACAGCGCAGGGTTGACTTCGGAGTACTTCGGGATACCGTACGCATTCACAATGGTCTGGAAAGCTTCCGTGAACTTGTTGGTGCGAACGTAAGTCGGAGGGGTCTTGTTGGTCTGGATCTGATTCACGATGGTGGGGACCGTGAGACCAGCACGGTCGTTGACATCCTGAAGGGTAGATTTGATCGACGCAAGGGAATTGGTCGGGCACCACGCCTCGGCAATCAGCGTCTTTCGCGCCTGGTCATAGGAGAATTTGTTCAAAGTATCGTAAACCGCCTTCTCCTTCTTCACGATGATCATCCACGCCGCGAGCGAGCGCGCAATCTGCGAGAGCTCCGCATCCAGAGTCTGCTTGGTGTTCCGCAGCACATTGCCCACGTCGCTCAGCCGCGTGTTCACCTCGTGGATCTGATCCCGTCTCAACTCGCTGTTCTCATCGACACCGTACAGAGAAGCGTTGAGCGACTCCGAGATCTTTCTGATCTTGGAAAGGATGGTCTTTCCATGGGCGAAAACCACGAAAACATTCTTGTGGATTTCTTCGTTGGTCGTCGGGTCGATAATAGGCTCCGAAATCTCCGACTGGTTCATATAGAGATTGCCACGCAGCGTCCGCCAGAGAATGCGTTCAAAAGCCCCGATCCGATCCCGGGGGATGACACCAGCAACGAAGCCGATGTTCATCTCAGAAAAGCTCTGCTGACCCTGCATGCCGCCATTCGCATCACGAGGAGCATGCTGCTCAACATCTCGGAGGAGCGGCGCTTCGTCGTTGTCGAAGGATTGGCGGATATCTTCGGTATGGGTATGGGCCTAGCTGGAGTATCAGTTGCCATCCGTCGACATTAAACACCATCCAGTAAACTGACCCGATCAAAGAATCCACCGGTCTCCCGCAACACCCAGCGCCATTCGCTGAATTCGACCTCGCGCTTTTTCAGGGTCTCGTAGCTGTCATTCAGAGAAGCGATCCGATGTTCCAGGCTCTCACTCCGTTCAGCCAGCTCGTCAATCTCCGAAGCCAACGGCGCAGCCAACGTGTCCCCAAATTCAGACGAGGATCTCATCGGGATACCCGCCTTCTCCATTTGAGAGTGAAAATAGCCTGTCATTAAGACCAGAGTTCAGTGTTTGGTTCTGTATCCACCATCGCAACCATCGGGAGGTTCTCGGAACACATACGGAGTTGTCTGTCAACATTGTCCAGGCGGCGAATCTCTTTAGTGAAAGTTCGTTGGAAGGCGTTGGTATCCGGGTTCAGCTATTGGCACAACATCGCCGGTCAGCGGGGATCCCTCGGGCTTGTCTGCCAGCATCCGACCACAACTCACATCTCTGAATTGCACCTGGCCCACTTCACCCAGGGCACTGACAACCTCTCTCCCGATCTCGTTGGCGATGTAGAGCTGGGTCAAGCTCATATTCGCCGAGCGGAAGAAGGTGTCCCGCGGAGCCATGGTGGTCAGGAGGCTACGAGGAGCCGTGTGTTCCCACCAAGAAAAAAATAGGTTGTGTAGCAAAAGAAGGACTGGGGTGACTATGAGATGATGGTAAAAGAAAGACGCTGATGACAGGGAATACCGGGTGTCATCCAAGGATCCCGATGGAGGCACTCCTTGGCCGAGTTGAGCTAGTTGAGCTGGCGCGGCATCACGTGTAGCACGTGATCGTCTCGGCCCTGAAAAGTGGCTTTGTTTCAACATGAACGACCTCTTGCATTGCACCTGGACAGAAACTAAACCCTCTCAATATCGTACAAAAGAAGAGACATCAGTAATCTCACATGTTCTCACAATTCAGGATTCCATGCAGCCCAGCATTTTAGGATCTCCCCGTCCGAAAACAAACCGATTCGACAGTCTCTTCACGCCTCGTGCTTCCCTTTCGTCCCATTCGTTCCATTCTTCTCGTCTTCCTCATCTTCCTCGTCTTTCTCGTGTTCTTCATGCTCCCCATGTTCTTCATCTTCATCTTCAACAGTCTCAATTTTCATCTTTTCCAAGAACTCCTGGGCCTCCTTGATACCGGCCTTGAGCTGAAGTGCAGAACGGGTGATCTCTTCCAAAGAAACACGCAACTGACTGAGTGCAGTGATGGTGTCAAAGCTTTTTTGTGCCTTATTGATAACATCCTCAAGAAATGATTTCTTGAATTGGTTTGTTTCAATGTCACCTTCAAGGGGCTTCTCCTCTGGCTGGAGGGCACCTTTCATGATATCCATGATGAATTTGACAGAGCATGCTGTACAGAGGATGGTATCAAGTTAGCACACAGACACTAGAGTAAAGTATACATATATATATATATATATGTATATATATATATAGTCTTTGCAAGAACAGCATCTTGGCTTACAGGAAAAGAGGCAGGTGCGGCTTTTTCCGTTCCAGTAGCAGTTGGCACAGGCTCCACCCAGCTCGTCTTGAGCAACCATGCAGGAGGTGAACGGGCTGCAGTCGGCTTCACAGTTGTCACAAGGTGAGTAGGAAGGAGTACCAACAACCTGAACCAGAGCAGCATCAAGTTTTCTTCTGTGGCGGAGTTGGGACTCGAATTCTGCAGCAGTCATGTCGCGTACGACAGGTTCCCGGAGAGACTTCATGGTCTTCAGGCGTGTGGTGGACTCAGAGATAGGTCCATACAACTGGTGCTTCAGGCGGCGGGCCCAGCCACTGGGTTTGACATCCTGTCCTCCTTCAGTGCGAAGTTTGGGCAGGCTTTTGCCCTTGGTCACCTTGGTAGGAGACATGATAGACTCAGAGAATAGAATTGAATATGTTTGGAGAAATCACGTGGGTGAGGTATGGATGAGACAACAGGGGGTAAGATGTTTGTGGTGGGGAGGGTTGTTGATGCGTGTAAGGGTGAAGATATCTCTCTCATATTGGGGGCAACGATGTAAACGCGCTGACTCGGCGACCTCGAGGAATATGGATTTAATTTCTTGGTCTCTCCTGCTCAAAAAGTGCCACCACATCATCTTCCACGGATATTTCCTCGTAAATCTTGAATCCAGTCTTCAATAGGACTTTTGTGCTGCCAGCATTTGCTTTATTGCATGCTGAATATAGCTTTTCTGTTTCCGCTGCCCTCGACTGCTCCGGTAACTCTCTGGGAAGCTTCCACCATGCATCTACGAGTGCTTGCACGGCCTCAGTGGCGTATCCATACCCCCAGAACTCAGGATGAATCCCATATCCAATTGACGGGCCTGGGACAAGGGCATTGATTCCAGCGGCACCGATGACCCTCTGATTTGGGTCGTTGGCAGGGATGATAGCAAAAATGAATTTCCGCCCAAGGGCACCGGATGCGTCGAGCGTTTGGAAAGTCTTGCTGGCAATCACTGCCTCGGTTTCTTTGATATCTTTATGGGGGATTTTGGGCCATCTGAGTTGAATGCGTAATGAAGACGGGGTTGGAGGTTAGCAAATATTGTGTTTCATCTCAACATGCAAGATTTGAAGAAAGAAAAGAAAAGAAAAAGCAATTCAGTTGCTTACAGCCAATCTGCCACATCTTGTCTGCATCGATAATCAAAGATGCTGGGGGCATCTGTCATCTCCAGAGGACGCAAGACAAGGCGTTGAGTGCGAAGAGTTTCTAAATTCGCCGGGATGATGACAGTGGTAGCTTGTTCCAGGTAGAGGCTTTCTTTTTTTCGAGTCGACATATTGAAAAGCCGTGTGCTCAGGGCTTTTGCTTGACAGGTGTGCTTTTTTCTCCTGGATATCTTCAGCTCCAGGGCTATAATTATATCTTGTCGATGACTCATTGCTGCACCACCCCCTGCTCGGCCCCCAAACGCTCTATATCGCATCTCTGCACTAATTGCGCCATCGGAATAATTGTATTTGTCGATTCTATATAGCTGCACCCTGGGTGAAATTGGTGGTTTGAGTTGGTTTCAGTTCCGGCCTATGTATAGTCAGGCAGCAAGAAATACGATCAACCCGATATATAGATCAACAATATATTGTCTGAAAGCCGACTGGAGACTACTATCTGAATATATTTCTAGGCAGACAAACCGGCAATTTTTCACATGAGATTGCGGCAGCCTTCCGTACAAGACTACATCTCTGCCTCGTTGACAGTCCTGTTCGCAAACAACTGGCATGGAAACCATTTACATTGAAGTCCTTGCGGTAAATAGCAAGGTAAATGGCAAGACTCATATGATGAGATTATTGGACTCTATATTGATACCACTGCCTAACATGAATGACAACTATATAACCAGGTAGGTCTTCAGCAAGACCATCTACCCCTGCAAGTTTATAGGCCCATCCTGTGGATCTGTACAACAGCAGTATATAAAGATAGGACATAGCCACGACTCCATACACAATTCCCAAAGTACTCTATCATCACACATGATCGTCGAAAACGTCACCCAGACACGCATGGCAGAAGGGATAAATAACATCAGCCCCAAAGAACCACATAACTCTTCCCCATCTATGCACCCCCTTCTCTCTTAGCATACTCATCCTCCATCCGTTCCTCATACAACCGATCCGCTTCCTCCTTATTCATCGCCCGCTCGCTCGCAGCGTTCTGCAGGAGATCCGTATTCTGCGACGACGAGTACCCGGGCGCACTGACGGTACCGCCGGACCCGGTTCCGAAGCGGCGCCCGCTGCTGTTATCCTCGGCGGCGGCGAGTGTGTCGAGCGAGGCGTAGCCCGCGGACCCGGTCGGGCGCGTGCCCGTGGTTTGAGTGGATTTGTTGGAGAGGTCGGCGGTTGGGATGGGCATGTTGGGTGGAAGGTGGATTAAGTTGCGGTAATGCGATGTGTGGGAAGGAGTTGGGTATGGAGGTTGTCTCGTGGATGGAGATCGGTCACGGAGAGGATCTGAGGCTGAAGATTTGGATTTGTTTGAATAGGAAGGTAGGTTGTACACTGTCAGATGTTGTTGCTGGCAGGTGTTGGGAGCTGGATGGGTCGTTGCCACGGGTGTGGCGAGTCACACGTCATAACAACACCAAGGCACACACAGCTAAGAAGATGGCGCCGACCGTGTCATTTCATATGTTCGAGACATCGGAGACGCAGATCCACACGGACTTGAGGGTTTGCCTGGATAGACAAAGACCAGATGTAGCTCGACGGAAAATACAAAACATCAAGGGTTCTTCACTCGAATCAAACACTACAGAATCCAGGTTCTTCTTCTCCAATCTCGAGCCACTGGCCCAAAAATTGATGAAAAAGAAAATAATCCACAAGGTGGAAGGTGCCAAAGAATACGCCTGTCAATGACCCGAAAGCCGTTGAACAGACTGTTCCGCCGCGCTGTGCAATGCAGGGACCAATCTGTGGTGGGCCGCCTTCATGATCGCAGCCACCCAAACAAGGTAAGTATGAAGAAAAAAAAAAAGAAGAGGAATGATGGGGGAGGGAGCAACCTTAAATACTTTGGGCAAACCACGCTAGCGTTAAGCGAGCTCTAGGAGATGAAATATGATTGGCGTGTTTGGCATGGCCCATGCTGAATCATATGACCATCAGGTGACACCGACTCCTTGCATGTCACATGACAATGATGCCCAACGGTTCGGAAGAAGTATTGGCCGTTGATTTCCTATACTAAAAAAAAAAGAATCGATGATTGTCGTGTACCTTGCATGCTATAGTACAATACTGACTATTTTCCATCAGCCGTTGGAAACATGACCCGAGGACCATCCATTCACCGGGATCAATTATTAGGGCTCCTTGATTGTTTTTTTTTCCATTACGGGGCCCTTCAGTAGTGGCCGCGCCGGCTCCAGTCTGAGCTTGTGTGGATCCTTCCCCTATTCCAACAAAATTGGCCAGGCCTGACGGCAGAGTTTTTTTTTGTTCTGTTTTTTTCCCCCACCGTTTACTCCTTACGATGATCATATGTATAGAATGGGGACGATGGGGCTACTTACCGATTTTCATATTCGGACTGGACTCGAGATAAAAGTCTGTCGGGATCCTACAGAGAGAGAGAGTCGTACAGAGAACAAGATACTTACAGTAGATGTACAGAGTCTGGTCGGGGAGGAAGGAGCCCACCGCAAGGACCAGCGCAAATCCTCATCAAAGGGTGCCATGGTTACAAGACTCGATGGACGAGCTAGTGGACGCTAGAATCTAGTCCTTCGGAAAGAGAAGGGAAACTTTGTCTCCCATAATCGTGTACACCGCATGAAGGGCCTTGGCAAAGAGTCAGGATTTGATTTGATTTGGTTTTTTATTTCGTTTACATCGTGTTTTGAATTTTCGTGGTCAATTATCGTGTGCGACGAGAACATTCCTTTCGCAACCATCGACGTTGGCGACAAGCGGGTAGATACTCTGCGGACTGACCGCATGGCACCTGCATGGGTGTCAGAATTCCCTGCGAGCCAAGCAAAGAAGAAAAAGGGAGGAAAAGAAAAGGGATCATCAGGAAGGGATCGTCAGTGCATTGGTCATTAATTGGGCTCAGAGCCGGCAGCCCCCATGGCGCTTCCCGATAGACCGCGAAAAAACGGGCGAAAAAAGGGAGGCAAAATAATAGTCTTGACTGGCCCCAATTGAGAAAAAGGGGGTGTGATAGGGTTGTCGACCTCAGGAGTGGACCATCGCGGGCTATCATTACTGGAAATGCCCCGAAGGTCGCATTCTGGCAGTCGAGGGGGCCTTGATCGTCATGGTAGGGACATCCGGTCAGATGGCCTGACTCTGAGGATTTTCTTCTTTCGAGTGGCACAAAAGCCAGCATTTTCTGGGCGGGAAGAATCACCAAAATAAAAAAATAAAGCAAGAAAGAAAAAGAAAGCTATGGGTGATTCACTTAGGGCTGGCCACTCGAGACACACGGGACCGCATAGTCTCGGAGTGGGGCGAGGCTATCTATTGAGCGTTAGTCGACCGGAACAATATCCAGAAAAGAAAGAACAGAAAAGGGGTTAATTAGGGTAAAATTAGGGGGAGGATTTCCCCTGATTCCTACCATTCGTAGTGGATCTCCACGAGCCGGTTACAGAGTTCGTGTATGTATACTTGGTGTCGTCTCGAGGACTCTGAATGGCCGAGAGATAACAACGGTCATGCGTTCAAAATCACGTAATGTAGATGCAGTGATGATCCTCCAAAAAGTCTCTTTTTGTGTTGCAAGGGCTGACCTGGTCCGGTCGCAACGGGCCACATCTGGAGACTTGATACGGTGATAGGGCAAGGGAGAAGAGGGGAGGGGGGGTGACACCGCTGGTTGGCCCATGCTAGGAAGGACGCCACTGGATCATTGATATCAGTTTGCAGACGGTCATGGGGCCGGTGACAAAAGAGCACACTGGGAAGTCGTGCCGGCCAACCATTTGGATCCAGCAGAAGTTCAGTCCAAGTCCCCGGGTTGGATCACCATGCACCAAGTAGGAAATGTAATGAAGGGGGGGTCTGCCACCCTACATCAGGTAAAAAGGAGTTGGAAGGATGGCCCTAAGGAATTCAAGGGCCAAATGGACTGATTATTGGCCCTTGGGGAGGGGAAAGAAAGCCTTGCAAGATATCTCAACAATCGAAACGCTCGAAACGCTCGAAACGCTCGCTTGGCTTTGCAACGTGAGTCTGGCAACTCGCCCCCTTGAAGTGTGTAACACATTGAAGACCGATCATTGATTCATCGAAAATCTGGGAGCATATAGAGTTTGGAGCCAAGATGATCTGACGCCATCCACGCCACTGCGTGTTCGACCATGCAGTTCTGTCGCGTGTTGAAAGCCGGTTAATTTGCTGTCAGACCGGCAAGGGGACCCGAGAAGTAGGTTAGGACTGCTCCACAGGTTGCCATGGTGTGATAGAAATCTCTCCTGACAAATGCCGTCTACTTGAAAAAAAAATAAAAATAAAAATAACAAGAACTGGGTCGAGAATGTGTAGAAGTCTAGAAGTCTAGATACTGATGTTTCAAGTCACGAAACACAGTAACCGCCGACGAAGTCGATGAATCAATAATAGTTGTTCGAGACAACCTTGGAAGCCCCTGAAGCCAAAAAAAAAAATAATAATACACGCATTAGCTAAGCAGGTTCCACCTCCCTGCCGCTCCTTTCCTGTTTGGTCGATCAACAAGCCCCCTCTCTGTGCTCCCCCCCAAAGGCCCTTATTTTTTTCCCTTCCCTCCTTTTTCTTCCCTTTCTTCTCTCCTCTTCCTTTGCACCTGAGCACAATACCCCCCCCCCTTTATTTTCTTCTTGTGATACCCGAGCTTCTCAAGCTCTTATTTTCATTTGCGTTTCCTTTGAGATACCCAATACCCCCCCAACACGCTTTTCTCTTCGCCCTAATATACCCCAGCCGACTTCGGTTTAATACTCATTTTTAATCATGTCTGACGCTCAGAAGCCTGTTGAGGAGGTCCCTGTGGCCGCTCCTGCCACTGAGACTCCCGCAGAGACTCCCGCGGAGACCCCAGCTGCCACCGAGACGCCCGCGGCAGCTCCCGAGGATGCTGCCGAGAAGCCCGCTGAGGAGCCCACCGCGACTCCCGCTGCGGAGAACACCGAGGCTGCTGAGCCCGCCAAGGAGGAGAGCAAGGAGGTCAAGCCCGCCAGCGAGGGTCAGCTCGGATACAAGGCCCCCGGTCTGGTGAAGTATGCGACAGCAAATGCAACAAAGCCAGAGAATCAGGAGCTGACAAGGTGATTTTTTTTTTTTTACAGGGGATTCCGCTTCGCCAAGCGCTTCTTCTACTTCAGCGAGGAGGCCATCGAGGGTAAGCAGCTCTCGGTCTACCACCAGAACGAGAAGCCCGCTGTCGCCAACCCCATCGCCGCGTGGGCCAGCCAGACCGGCAAGGGTTTGCTGCTGTTCACCAAGCGCGCTGAGGACAAGGCCACTCCGGCTGGCATCTTCAACCTGGTAAGTGGCACAATTATAGCGCGATGGATTTGTATTTTGCGCGCACAAGACTAACATACTGGTAGGCCGATGCCTCAGATGTCACCAAGGAGGGCTCGAATGAGTTCCTGTTCAAGGTTGGTGGTCAGAAGCACACCTTCCAGGCCTCCAGCGCCGCTGAGCGTGACAGCTGGGTCGCCGCTCTCGAGTCTAAGGCCGCCGAGGCCAAGGCTGAGAAGGAGACCATCACCTCCAGCGAGGGTTACAAGGCCGAGCTTGAGAAGCTGAGTAAGTGACAAGAAAACGAATGATCCTTTGGAACAAGCTTCTAACGTTTTTGACTGCAGCCAAGCCTGCCAGCGCCGTCGCTGCGGCCAAGAAGCCCGCTGAGAAGCCGGCCGAGACCAAGGAGGAGACCCCCGCTGAGGAGGACAAGGCCAAGGAGGCCAAGCCCGAGGAGGAAAAGGCTGACAAGGCCGAGAAGCCTAAGGAGGACAAGTCCACCGCCAAGAGCCGCTCCCAGTCTCGCAAGCGCACCAGCATCTTCGGCAGCCTGCTGGGCAAGAAGGACGCTGAGGAGAAGAAGGAGGAGAAGCCCGAGGACAAGAAGGAAGAGAAACCCGAGGAGAAGAAGGAGGAGGCTGCTGAGGAGGCCAAGGCCGCCGAGCCTGCCACCGAGACTCCTGCTGAGCCCGCCGCCGCCGAGACCACTGAGGGTGAGTACCCGTAAAACCGACTGAGTCAAAGGTTATGCTAATTATGTCGTAGCTGCTGCTGCTGCTGCTCCTGCTGAGGCCACCGACAAGGAGGACAAGAAGGAAGAGAAGAAGGAGGAGAAGGAAGAAGAGAAGAAGGAAGAAAAGAAGGAGGAGAAGAAGAACAAGCGTGCTTCTATCTTCGGCAACTTCTTCCAGAAGGTCACCAGCCCCTCTCAGGAGAAATCCGAGAAGGAGGCCACCGCCCCCGCTGAGGAGACCACTGTTGCCAGCACCGCTCCCCAGCTGGACAACCCCGTTGAGGAGGCTGCTGTCAAGCCCATTGAGCCTGAGAGCGTGACCGCCCCCGCTGAGGCCGAGGCCTCCAAGGACAACGCTGCGGCTCCTGAGACTCCCGCTACCGAGACCGCCACCACCCCCAAGGACAGGCGTCGCACCTCGTTCTTCGGCACTCTCGGTATCAAGAAGGAGAAGAAGACCGAGTCCTCTGACAACGAGGCCACCGAAAGTGAGAACAAGGATGCCAAGGAGACCAAGGCCAAGTCCAACAAGCTCGGCGGTCTTTTCCGCAAGCCCAGCAAGGCCGTGAAGCTTGACAAGGAGGAGGTCGCTGCTGCCGAGTCCGAGGCCAAGGCCGACAAGGCCGAGGAGACCAAGGAGACCACCGAGAACAAGGAGGCCCCCGCCCAGGAGGCCGCTAAGACTGAGGAGACCCCTGCCGCTGAGGAGGCTGCCAAGCCCGTCGAGGCCCCTGCCACCGAGGAGGCCAAGAACGTCAACGTCGCCGCCTCGACCCCTGTCCAGGCCGCCGCGTGAACTGCGACTCAGAGACGCGTTGTGGAGTTTGAGCGATGGTGGGACATGTCTTACCCATCGCCTGTCCGCGACATTCCTGACGGACTCGGTCATGCCATGATTTGAGTCTGGATGGTGCAAATACGGATGATACCATTTCTGCTCCGATTACTTTGTTTGCTGCTCGCCACTGCTACTCTCTTTGGGGATTTCAAGTCTACTTGCCTGGACCTGTGGCTTCACTGGGAGTGGCAATGAGATACCCGCTGTCGCCTTTTTTTTTCCTGCTTTGTTTAAATTTCTCTTCTCCGACAACCCAAAAATAATCTCGGCGTCTTGTTGCCAGCAGTTCTTCGGGACTGTGCTTCATTCCTTTACGATGCGTCCCGCAACCGTGACCGATTCGCGACGTGCTTATGCGTTACGTGGTGTGTCGCCCGACTAGATTGATACCACTCTGCCGCTTCTTGGTTTTGTGTGCTTTTGCTTTTTGAGTTCGATACCCTATGGGGAGGACGGGTGCTGTTTTTTCTGCTTGTGCTGTTCCTTGTGGACTTAAGCTCAACTCAAATTGGCCCTTTTAATGTTGTCTACCGATGTTCCTGTTCGTGGTTTCATCTACTTGGAAGCCGGATGTGGCACATGCTGTGATAGGTAATACTTAATAGAATCTTCTCAGGTTTGTTTTAATTCTTGGATAAGCAAATAATCATCGTAAACGAGCCGAAGGTGGAATATCCTTGGTGTGTTGGTCTGGATTTGTATGGGTCTGGTCTGAGTTGTGGGTTTGTGCAGTATGCAAGCCATATACTCCGTGACTCCATTGCAGTGGAGTGCATTGGGGTACATGAGGCGGGGCTTAGTGCTGTTCAAATTTTTTTTATTTGCTTTTTTTTCTCGTGATGACCGAGTATGTATGCTGTTTCATACAGGATCTCATTTTCTCTGGATTATATCTGGTTGGGGTTGTATGTTGAACCGGCATTCATGCTAAGATAGGGCTGCCACACGTTATGTAGCGCAATAAACAGTCCTTGATTCTTAAAATCCAAGTATTGTTAGAGCATCTGCTCTAACTCTCACTTAAACCCTTTCGGAGACTATTCGGAGACTTTGACTGTTGATAAAAAATTCGACCGATCGGCGAGGATGCTTCCTATAGATGTAGTAGTAATACTGAACCGACATTGCACACCTAGGCACATTCCCACCATATCGAAGCCGAAGGCTAACTCGGAATGGTCGACAAGATCAACGGTTCGAACTACAACCTGCTCAGCAGAGTGCATGATTCACACACTCTCATTACTTGAAATTATTATATTTGATGGGAATTATCGTGCTTGCCTGGGAACTAGTATAAATATAGTATATTGTATGTATTATGATAATGATGACGACGATAATCATACCAATAATAATAGAGATTGTCGCTAGGATATCATTTCCATCACATGGATATTTTTCTTTGTTTGACCGCTACGACTTCGGCGTCGGCTGATGGGAGAGACGTCAGACTACATAAATGTACCACTGAGATCAAAACCTTGGGGGCCACAGAATGGAGTGAACGAGTCCATCAGACGGGGGGACCGGGTGTGTGGGAGAAACCAGGAACAGCCCCCTCCTCCTGATTAAAAATCAAGGGTTACCAAATCATTCCAAAGGGACAGGCCTGGAGATATGTATGATCCAATGATGAAAGCATGGGGTGGCTGCTAGGTCAGATGCAGGAGAGAGAGAGTTGGTCCAGAGCCTCGCTAGGGAGAGTAGGGCATGTTTGAAAGACATGGGTGTCTTACTGCTTCGTATTGACATAGTCCCTTTTGCTTTATAGATCCAGTGGGTTCTCTTATACTTTGTATGCCTTGGACACGATACGTTGGATATATGGTTGGAACATTATAGGATGATCAAGTATGAAATCATTTAATGCCTCACGTCGATGGCCAAAGTCAATTTCACGCCCTTCGGCAAGGCTAACATCAAAATGGGTCGGACACGGGCCAAAAGACACAGCCCATGGCGGGGTCACAATTAGGAAAGGATCAGTGGATCTTTCTTTTTTGTTTCATTTCTTTTCTTTGTGGAATTCGACCCCGATGCTTCTTTTGGGAATGATGATGCGAGTACGAGTAAAAGAAAGGACTAAAAATCTAGGGACTCTGCCTTCCCAGGGTTAGAAATATTAGCGGAGGATAGTCTGATGAGAAATGTCACGGTGGAATGCCTGGTAAACATGGAAAGGCAGAGATGCCTGGGAGAGGCTCAAGCCCAGTAACTTGGAGGATACCTGAGCCACCCTGTTATTGACCATACACAGTCAAGTATTACCTTGTACCCGCTGCAAAAAATCTGGCCGGTTGGATCCACATCCAATCATAACCCTGAACTAATTGTGACTCACACCCCGTGACCTCGGGCCCATCTTACCCCCGAAGACGCTGATTGGCTGCCCTCGGCCCACGGGCTCGCACAGCCGAAGCGGCCACCGCTTAAGTAGTGCCTTAGCCCCCGTAGATGCCTGGATTACTTTTTTTTTTTTCTTCTTTTGTCCTACATCCGCTTTCCTCCAAACAACTATCCTCACATTATACCTTGTTGATTTTCACAATTCCTCCTACATTTGATACTGGACTTTATACTACACTGAATATCCAAGATGGGTGCCTTTTAAGCCCTTCAGAACCAGCATCGTCTTTCTCGATTGAGACAGGCACAATTAATCCAAGCGGAAACCCTCGCGATATCTCCTCTCTACCATCTTCAGAGCCTCCTGTTCCAGGATCTCTGAACTTCAGCAGCGCATTGCGTAGCTCGAGTTCTATCACCAACACTATTCCCCAGATCGACGTTACGTCGTTCACCACGGATCACAATCTGCAAACATGGCTTCCCTCGCCTCAGCCCCCACAGCCTTTGGCTTCCAATTTGAACAGCAACAGCAACAGCAACAGCAACAACGGTGTTCTAGAGGACTTTGTACTCTTTCCGCCTTCTCAACCTCGCCCGCAGCCTCATTATCGAGACTCGCGCGTGAAAGCACTTTCCAGTGGAACTCATAGATTGTCTGCGTTGCAGCCTTTCTTGGCCAGGAACCAGTCCCAGCCGCATTCTTTCGGTCTTCAGTTGCAGCGCAATTTGAAGCAACTCTCTGGTTTTACTCCAGATCCTCGAACGACTAAGCGATCAGGCTTTGCTGACTCGTCGCCTTCGCATCACCCCACGAAAAGAAATTCTTTTGCTTCTCTCCCATCTTTTTCTCCTGACCACATTCACCTTCCTCATTCCCCCATTCACGCGCACATTCACTGTTCCGGAAACCCGTTAAATTCTCGTGAACCCGCGCTTTCCGACATGTTTCTTACATACCCCGATGGTAAGAACCTCCCTGGCCTCAAGGGTCGCTGTAAACGCCTGAGAAATCAGTCGCTGACGCCGACTTTTGCAGATGAGCTCCAGCATCTGCTGGAAAGTGAGGGCTTCGGCTCTGACTTTACCCTCGGCCCACTCCCCAGCTCTGAATTGACGCCAGAGCTGGGTATGCTGTCGGGTAGCACCCTCGACGCCGGGACCACGGTATCGCCTCAAAGCCTTGTGCTGGATGGCACCATGCCTCCCTCGACCACGTTTTCGGGCTTGAGCAGCCCTGGCAGCTTTGAGTCGGCGACTCACTCCGCCGACCCCTCACCTTACATCGCCAACGTGAGCGGTGTGCCCGGGGAGGCCAGTCCCGATCTGGCCTCCGCCGCCCTCTTCCACACCGACTCGGTTGTGCCGACCGCGGGTGCTCTGTCCGAGCAGCCCGCAAAGGCCGAGAGCGAGGTCCCTGCGCCATCTGCGCAAACCTCCCCGGCCTCCGTCTACCGCCCCGCCCCCACCAACCCCCGAAAGCGCAAGTCGCTTTCTCCTCTGGAGGGCCGTCTTCACTCGATGGACCCGGAGGAGCAGCGCCGCGCCCGCAACACCCAGGCCGCCCGGACCTCGCGCCAGAAGAAGGTCGCCCGCCAGAAGGCCGCCGACGACCGCATCCGGGAGCTGGAGGCCACTGTCGCCCACCAAGACGAGGAGCTCAAGGACGCCGACGCAGCCGTCAAGACGCTGCGCACCTACTACCAAACGCTGGAGGACATCGTCTGTGCGACCAAGAGAGACTTGGACAAGGCCCGGCGTGTGGTTGATGAGCAGGCAGAGGAGATCGCCAAGCTCCGTCACCTGCTGGGTGATTTGGGTGGCCCTGGCGGCGATAACGACGAGGAGTGAGCTGGGACTGGGACTGGGTGTGTGGTGGTGTTTACACTTTTTTTTTCGTTCTCATAATGACCTGTGTGTGCCTGCTTTCTCTGCTTTCTCACTTTTTTCTCTATTTCTTTTTATTTTGTTCTTGCTTATCCCTCAGGGACTGTCAAGTCTCTGTCCGGGCCCTGAAAAGTTTCATTTTGCTGTGTCGTGATTTTTTTATTCTCTTTGATTCATTGAATCTTTTTTGCCGGTTCTGATGTCTCCCCTCCGAGGGATTGACTCGTGGCTCGTGTGTTTTTTTTTCTTTTCTTTTAAATCAACCAAATTGCTTTGCTCCCAACCTTTCCGAGGTCACTTTATATGCCAAGCTCCCTGAGAACTGGTGTAGTCTGTATCACTAGGTTTTCTACTCTCAGTACTTATAGCTGCTGCTCTGGCTTATTTCTTTCTTCTAACTTATTATGTAGGTACCCCATGGAAGCTGTGGGCACTATAGAGAATGCTTTGTCTATGTGGAAAAGACATGCACTCTGTATGTTTGTCGTTGCCTGTCAGTTGAGTTACAGCACTAATGTGGTTGATCTTAACTACCAGCAGCTAAATCCTATGTATACAAATTTCTTTGTTTATTTTCTCTCTAAATCGCTATAATTGCAGCTATATGTAGCTTTTTACACAGTAGAGAAAATTCATCCCAGAACCAAAGGTCCACCTCAGACTTGCCTTTTTCTACTCCCTCATCAACCACCCTTCCGCCAGCACCCCAACAATCACCTTTTCCCACATCTCTTTCGAATTGCCCTTCCGGTTGGTTTTCCCGGTGTTATCTTTGCATGGCCAAATCCGAATACCATCCCGAAAAAGAACCAGACAGCAACTCCTTGCACCGAGGTATCTCAACCCCATCCCCCCTGTTCTTTTTCCCCGTCGCCTTCCCGAGCTACTCGCCGCCGCCGAAGTGGCTGCTGTTGCTCTGGGAAGGAAGAACAAAGAAAAGAAGAGGGGGAATGGATGGTAAACCACTAATGCATGGGCGTCTGCGTTTCTTTTGAGGGACAGTAGACTGGGATGCTCGGACGACATAGAAGATATAGAGGGAATTAAGGTGACTGGAGGAGGGTTGCGCTGAACCGGGCGGAGGGGAGTTTCGGAAGTATCTGATTCCATGGTTGTCATCATTGCTGAACCCTTGGGATGGGGTTTGTGGGATGGGAGGATGGGTTGAGGACACTAGGGATGTCCCCGGAGGAAGGAATAGCAGAAAATGAGACCGGGGAGATGGGAGACGATGGGAGAAGATGTGTGTATGTGTGCAAGTACATAGGATGAAAAATGGAAAAGAGATTGAAAGAGAGAAAGCTAGGTTAGTATGTCAGTCCCCTTGGATTTGCCCGTCTCCATCTTCGCTGTGCGCGCGCCGAACTGGATTGCGCGTTTCTTCTCGCGAGCAACGTGATCCAAGCTTAGCCGGAGCGCGACGAGGCGAAGTGCCATTTTCTCCGGGTTGATGCCCGACCTTTGATGGGATTCATCCGCTGAGACGTCAAGAGGCAGTGGGTCAGGCAGTCCGAACCCGCATTTCTCCCAGACCGAGGCCTGGAGAACCCATGCCACAAAGTCTTCGTCTAGGTAGGGAAACCGGGTCTCGCGGCCCCAGTGCGAGAGGACTCGGTCGTCGCGACCGAGATTGCGCTGGCCGAGCCGGCTGACGTCCAGGTGGATCTCAGAGAGAAGGCCCTGGAACCCGCTGCGCGTGAATGCGACCCCATGGCGGCCGTAACCGGCGAAAAGCTCGTCGGCACCCAGGCCAGAGAGGAGAACGCGGGCTGAAGTGGTGTAGTTGTCTGATTGTTCATGTGTATCTATACCGGATGAGCTGGTCAGGGTGCTGCCCTGGCCCCGGGATGCAAAGTACAGGGCGCATGCGATGGACATGTCCATCTCCGTGTTGTGAGGCCTCATGAGACGCTTGACGGTGTCCCGGTGCGCGAGGGTTTCGGCGTAGGGGACGTCAATGGCAATGAACCGCCAGGTGCGGCCAGGGCAGGTTCGCTGAAGTTCGGTGTGTGCCGAGCGGCCGGTGATTCGGTCGGGGCAATTTTCATAGATTGAGACGGGGGGCAATGGCGATATGGTCTTGGACCGATTGGATTGTGCAGTTGCCGCGACCCGTGGGTTTTCAAAAGCGATATTCAGCAGGTCGATGGGCTCGTCGACTGGAAGAATATCGTGTGAGAGCCGCGCGAGAAGCGTGCAGTCAAGACCGCCGGAGAAAAGCACGGCGATCTTGGCGCTGTGGCCTTGAGCATGACCCGGAGGTTCGGGCACATTTTGGATTCTCATTGCTAGTGACTGGCGAAGTCTGGTCTCTAGTTCTGTGATGCATGTCGAGCCCATAGTCATCGGAGGAGGCTCCTTGGCTGGAATAGACATGTTCATTGGGGGCAATGGATTTCTCTGGAGATAACACATTAACTTCATTTCTTTTCCTGTGTTGAGCGATAGAAAGCAACACATACAAGATGCCCTACTGGTGGCGAGGGATCAGAGCTCCAAGGCAGAGTCTGAATTTCGTATAGCTTTCCAGGAGACCGTGCTGAGTCCCCATAGCGCCCTAGATCAATCATAGCAACCCCGTTCATCCTCACCTCCTCGAAGTGGGTTGACGACGAGCCATCGCAGATGCTGCAGATCTTCAGGGCTCCATCCTTATCCACCCCCTGCAGAAGAGATCTTCGGCCGAGGCAATCTCTGCTAAAGAAGAGTCTTGAGTGGACCGCATCATAGAACACAAAGGCAAACGGTCCGGAGATACTAGCAATCGCATCGGCCAGCCTTTCAGTGGCTTGCTTACGGTCACAACAATCAATGGCCTGCAAAAATAAGTCGAAGACGCGCTCTGTGTCGTTCCCTTGCACTTTCTCGCCCGCGATCTTCCACGCCTCCCCGTTCCAGCAGAGCACAGACTGGGTTGCGTGGTCTACTATTGGCTGGGAGTATACATGGTTGCCTCGAAGCGACAGGACCGACGATATAAAGGTGAGATGGTAAGAGCAAGGCGGAGACTTTTCATCCAAAGCATCCACTTCCTTTTGAACCGTATGGGTCTGGACACTGTCGGGACCTCTCTTTTGAAGCAAACTGCAAGTTTCTTGAGCTGGTGGTGTAGGTTTGGACGTGCTCAAGGAGAAGAAAATTCCACACATGGTAGGGGGAACAAAGAAGAGAGGTTGGTCCTGGCTGGCGTTGTTTGGCGCGTATTTTATGGAGTATTGCCTGAGGCATTATATTAGTCATCTCAAGTATGAGGTGAAGTTGGAGCCCTTGAGGGATATAGTTCGAGTTTCATTCTTTATTTCTTGTCTTTTCAGCTCGAAGACTAGGACAGGCGTCTTCTGTGGTCTTCTGCCAATTAATTTCCACACCCTCTATACAAGAAGATCGACGAGATATATTTGGTACTCGACCCCGTCCTCAGGCCGCATCGGTTGAATAATGATCCGCCATCAACATAGCCCCCCAAGACTCATTGTTCCTCTTCCCCTCACTCCTTTTCTCCCCTGGGCGCGCATGCAGAGCTTAGCTTATGTCGACCACCGAACCCTCGCCCTCTCCGGCTCCCGAGAAGAGGGACGATCAGAGCATCCATGAGGACACTAACGGCCCCGGAGCCACCGCTCCGACCGATCTCTCAGCCGAGGTCGAGGATGATCTGTCGAAACAAGACAACCTTCAACCGAGCGAGATGAGTGAAGAAGCAGAGAAGCAGCCTCAAGGTCCTGGCGAGTTGTCCGGGACCATTGCGACGGACGCGCCGGCCATTGCTCAGCCCTCGACAGCAACCACTTCCCAGGATCCGCTTCGGGGGCAGATGGAATCGCTGACAGTGAATACGTCGCTGTCTGTCAATTCAACAGAGCCTCGCCCATCATCTAGCGCATCTACTCCTCCGCCTCCTCCGCCCGCGAAAGACGATGTCTACGGAAATTCGAGCTCCCAGCCCGCGGGCGATCCCACCTCTGCCCCCAGCTCGGACAAAGACCTGCCTGAGGTGCCGGACAACAGCGATCCCGAGTCAAAACGCGACAGAAAAAGCGAAGAAGCTCGGGATGAGAATGACTCTCAGCCAGAGATCCAGAATATCATGGGGCAATTCCAGGACCCTGCGCGGAGTACCGGCCAACAGGAGATCATGTCCCCTCGGCTGGGGCTAGCTGAATTCCGTGGCGCAAACTATTTCCCACCGCGTAGGGCAAGCTTGGAACATAACCAACACCCTGGGCCCGGTTCTTCCGCGGCTCCGCCGGATAATCAACCCAGGCCCAGTATCTCTCAGCATCCTCACAGGCCCGGTGGCCCGGAAGAACCAGTCTTGACGCGGCAATCATCCGCCTCGACAATTCCTCCGCTGCCGGAACCTGAGCCTGATCAGCCATTCGATTTCCATCGCTTCCTGGAACAACTGCGCCACCGCACAGCTGATCCGGTTGCCAAGTTTCTGCGCTCGTTCCTGATGGAATTTGGAAAACGGCAGTGGATGGTCCACGAGCAGGTCAAGATCATCAGCGACTTTTTAGCGTTTATCACGAACAAAATGGCCATGTGCGAGGTTTGGCGAAATGTCTCGGATAGTGAATTCGATAATGCCAAAGAGGGCATGGAGAAATTGGTCATGAATCGCTTGTATTCCCAGACCTTCTCGCCGGCTATCCCAGCACCCCCGACGATCCCCAGAAGCGCCAGCCGGAGTCGGCGGAGAGAGATCGAGCGACTACATGGGCCGTGGCGACGCGGCCAACACCAGGAAGACATCGAGCGTGACGATATCCTCGCACAGAAGATTCGCATCTACAGCTGGGTGAGCGAGGATCATCTAGATATTCCCCCTGTGAGCGGGAGTGGGCGCCGTTTCTTGAATTTGGCGCAGCAAGGTAAGTTCCCCTGAGAAAGGTTGTGGACGAGACAATTTCTCATTCATAATATAGAACTGTTGAAGATCAATGGCTACCGCGCACCTCGCGATAAAGTCATTTGCATCTTGAATTGCTGCAAAGTGATCTTTGGCCTTTTGAGGAATACCAAAAAGGGCGACACATCAGCCGACGCATTCGTTCCTCTCTTGATTTACGTGGTATTACATGCCAACCCCGACCATCTTGTCTCCAACATCCAATACATTCTCCGGTTCCGCAACCAAGATAAACTCGGCGGCGAAGCTGGCTACTATCTGTCTTCGTTGGTATGTTTATTCGAGTTGCATTCGTAACGTGATTCTGCGAGCTAACTTCCTGTCTCAAGTCCGGCGCCATCCAATTCATCGAGACGCTAGACCGCACCAGCCTTACAGTCAGCGACGAAGAGTTCGAGCGCAACGTCGAGGAAGCCGTATCCGCCATCGCCGAACAAAACCGCGAATCCGAGTCTCTGAGCAAGAAACCCTCGCGCCAGCCCGCGCCCGGCCCTGCCTCTTCCCAAGCCGGTCCCAGCCGCAAAGACAACGGCTCCGCGCATTCCAGCGACGACGACAGCAGTGCGCCCGTCACCGGCCTTCTCCGCACCATCCAAAAACCCCTCTCAACCATCGGCCGCATCTTCTCCGACGAGCCCGACACCACGCCCTCCGCCTCCTCCCAAGACCGCCCCCTTCATCCCGCTTCCACCCCACAACCGGGCGTCGCCCCGCCCCGTCTCTCCCCAAACGTCTATCAGCCGCCACGCACAAGCAGCGATGAACGCTCCCGCGCCGCCCGAGACAGCGCCGACTCCGCCCAGAAGAACCTCAGCCGCGTGCTCGACGCCCAGGACGCAGCCGCGCGCCAGGCGAGCGCCGAAGACGCCGAGGCCCGTCGCATCCAGCGCGCAGAACACAATACCGTCGTCGAGACCCTGTCTAATATGTTCCCCAATCTGGACCGCGATGTCATCGAGGACGTGGTCAAGATGAAGGAAGGGAGGTGCGTAGACAATTCATTCTCCTCCCGCTTCTCCTTCATACTCACTTCTTTTAAATAGGGTCGGTCTCGCTGTCGACGCGTGTCTTGCTCTCAGTGCAGAGTAGTATATATATATACCACCTATTTCGCAATTTTCTCTGACTCGACCATCCTAGGTGGGGCCTGCCAATGAGCCCTAACTTGAGCTCCCTTTTCGTCTTGGCTTATTTGCCTTGGCAACGGTTTCCTCGATGGGAAGGAATGATATGGCTTCTTTTCTTTTTCTGCGCATTACATGTCAGAGTATATCACCCTGTTGCAGCGACCAATCTAAACAGGTTCTCCTCTTATCGACTGTGATAATTGTATAGGTAGATCAGAATATGTAGATTGGCAATTGGGAGAATGTGCTATGTAGAAAGATGATTTACACATCGCTGAATTGAAGAAAGAACGACAAAAAACCAAACAAAAAAAGCAATTCGCTCAGATAGCCGCCCACCTGGATGATAGATGCATACAGACACAAAAATGGAAAGAGAAAAGACAAAGCCTCAAGCCGCCATGGTGAGAACGTATCTAGAAGATGGGAGTCAGCATTGAACACAGCCAGAAACAGAGAGAGTGGGAAGGTTAATTAGGTAGGAGGGGAGAAGGGGAGTCATACGAGGTAATGCTATCCATGCGCTCGGTAGTCAACTTCAAGCTGACAGTCAGCAACTCCCGAGCAATACGTGGTTCCCGATCCTGCAACTCCCTCCACTTCTCAGCGCCGAGACACCAAGCCAGACAATCGCGCTCGGCCTTGACGGTCGCTGTGCGACGGGTATCACTGAAGAAGGGCAGCTCGCCGCAGGGCCGGCCAGCGACCACCAACTCGAAGTAGCGGCCCTGCGGCAGGTCGTATTCGGCGCGCAGCATGCCAGACTCGAGGAGGTAGAAGGCGCGTGGGACGTCGCCCTCGTGGTAGAGGACGGTGCCGGCGGCGTAGTGCTCGGGCGAGAAGTATGCGCAGACGGGGAACCAGAAATCTTCGTTCTGGACGCTGAGCCCCTGGAAGGTTTGCAACAGAAGTGGGAGGGGTTGTCGCATGGCGGACCAGGCGGGTGCGGCCATGAGCGCGGTTTCTTCTTCGTGCTCGCGGAGTGTGGTTGTCGCTACCCGTTGCAGGTATTGGCCTCGCGGTGAGCTTACGATGTTGTCGGCGAGACTTGTGGGTTGGGATGTTGGCGGGACGGGTACAGGGACTTGGAGATTGTTGCTGCTGGGGGCGGTCGGTTCACTGGGTGTCCGGAGGGCTTCCTGTCGGCTGTAAAAGACCTTGAGGTAGTCGTTCTCGCAGAACTCTATAGCTGAGTTGAGATCTTCGAAGATGGGGACGCCTGTCTCGGGCTCGAAGAGTCCGACATTCTGCAGGCTCTTGCCCACATCGCCGTCCACATTCAAACCCGAGATGGTTGTCTGCACGTTGCGTTTGCGGAGAATGCGGTTGATGCGAGTGAATGCCTCGGCAGCCGAGAAATCGAGCCCATAAACCCGAGAAAAGTCCAGGATCAGGAATCGGATGGGTCGCCGCTGGAATGCCTCCTCCTCGATGAGCCCCCGCATGGTGTCCTCGACGTTGACGATGGTCCCGAAGAAGAGGTAGCCGCCGAGCTTCATGATTAGGGTTTGCTGCCCAGCTTCACGCAAAAACTGTTGCTGGATCGGGGGGCGGCGAACGGTAGAGCCTGCAATCTCCCCGAATAGGTTGCCCGGATGGCAGATTTGCGAGAGGTTTGGACCACAAAGTTCACACATGCCAGGATGATACCAACCAGGATACCAAGGACAAAGTCCCAGGCTCCCATGGTAACAACAATGATGACCACCTATAGATTGGTCAGTTATAATCCCGGTTATGTGTTCCTGGGTTGCATACTGTCAGATACTCAAGTCGAGAAAGCTTCCCCCAAGTGTCCACCAAAGCCTCCTGCATCAATTCGATACCCAGCAAAAATATCAGGGCACCAACGACCATGACTGGAATGTAGCCAATAATGACTGGGCCGATGACCAGAATTCCCACGGTTGCCGCTGCCAGCATGAGACCAGCCAGTCGAGACGTTCCACCGCTGGCGATGAAGAGAAGGCTATTTGTGTATACAAGGTAGTTCTATTTGAGTTAGCTCGCAATTTTCCAATAGAAAGACCAAGGATCCGTACCTGGATACTTCCCGAGAACCCAGAAAGAGCATTCGTCACACCGTGCGCCATCAGCTCTCGATCGACATTTAGGTTGTCTTCACCGGTCGAGATACCCAGAGCGGGCACATTGATCGGAACGTGGAGCACGCCGAAAAATGTCAGGGCGAACATCGCGGGAATTGTATCGGCAAAGGCAGACCAGTTGACCGCAGAAAGATCTGGAGTGAAATTAGCACGGAAAAACTCCAAGCTGGGCTAGATCTGGCGACATACCATAGAGGGTATAGAAATGATACCAAGGATTGTTGGATGATGGCGCACCAAAAACCCACCCATTCTGATGCAAGGTATCCATGGAGATGTTGGCACACAAAACAACGATATAGAATAGTGTAGCCACAGCAATGAAGTAGCCACCAACGAGAAAATTGGACCGAATGAAATGCTTCAAGACAAGAAGACCAATAGCAAGGAACAAGGGTATCATCCAAAGAGGGAAAGTGTCAACATGGAAGAGCTTTTGCAGCGTGGGGAGATTGTATTCCAGAGAGCCTGGAAGTCGCGCAGAGACCTCCACCCCGGTCTGCAGAAGGAAATAACCAACACCCCCGATGCAGCCGATGAGGATATGTCGAGGGAAGAAGCCAATGAGCGAGCCCAGCCCGCAGACTCCCATCAGGAAGAACACCAGACCGGTCAAGACAGAACTGACAGAGAAAGCTAGGATCGTGGTAGCAATCACCGATTGCGGATTGTCCTTGCCGACGGAGTTCATGATAGTAAAGGCCATTTGATGGAAGAACGGGACCACCTCGATCATTTCGCTTCCTATCCCTCCCTTAAAGATCGACCCCCCGCAAGAGAATACCACCTGGGAGATGATGGTACTAACGTAGAACATCGAGATGCCGTCGGATCCTAGATGGGCAAACAGCGGTTCTCCCAGGGGAAACAAAATCATTCCATAGGAAAGGGCATCAAGAATATTAAGCAAAAGCCCTAGCAAAACGGCAGGAATCAAACTGATCGGATAGACCACACCTTCTTGCCACAAGGTGCGTCTATCCCAGGATTTGGGGTTAGACAGTGCTCGCGAATACTTGGATAAAGTCGATATTTCTTGGGTGAAAATGTTTGAAGACCGGGTCGCAGTTCCTCCTTGGCTCTCAACATCGTCGACCAGTCCATAGCTGCGGGAAGATTTGGATCGTGTCTTGGATAATAGAGCTGTTCGTTCGGTATCCTGGGGTTCGGACTCATCCTGGATGGTGGGTAGCGGTGGGAAGGATGCATCGTCCATTCCAGCTTGGCTGGTGTGGTCATCGACCGCGTCTGTAGACGGCCGGCGGATCATCTCTGTCAATGCCGAGGAAGCCGAAGTAGGGTCGACGGGGACAGGACCCGAAGCCAATGATTCTTCGCCTGCAGTTGGATAGGAACTTGCGGCATTCTCCTGTGAGGAACTAGTTGCGCGTTGTCCGTCGTGAAATATGTCAAGGCTGCGGGGCAAGCTTGGCCGGTCTCTCAAGAGGGGTTTCTGATTCAGCGACAGACCGTACGTCGCCAGCTCCGCAGTCTGGTCACGGAGGCCGTTAGACGCATAATGGGCCGAGTCTAGCGCAACGGGGAGTGGTCAGCGAAAATCACTCTCACAAAAAGAAAAACAAGCAGGACTGTGCCCACCCATTGTATTGACAGATCGACGATTGAAGGATCGGTTAGCGGTTCGCACACTCGATCCATCGTAGCTCGTGGGTTCAATGCCCATGGGGCCAGGCGGCGTGCCCAGGTGCACTTGTTCCACCTGTGATTCGGGGGCGTCGTGGAAGTCCCGATTTACAAGCAATGTACGGGATAAGGCCGATGCGCGAGAGTCGCGGCGGCCACGAGGTTGTAGCACACCCATGAGCACAGCTCTCGCGCAACCAAGGGAAGAAAAAGATGAGGCCGATAAGCTGGCAAACTAGCGTCTCCGACCGTTGAGCAAAACGGTCGATGACGCAACTGGTGCAACGAGCACAACCATGGCGGGAGCAGGGATTGCAACAGGATAGATATATTTTATATACCTTCAAGAGGTACGTCTCGCCCCCCTTATCATCGATAATTAGCAATGAGAAATGAGAAAGAGCAGCGTTGACTAACGTTCTTATCGCCGGGTGGGGAGGTTGGATCGGCTAAACCGCTTGCGGAGTGTTTATCTATGGCCGTCCGTTGCCTGAGATATTGAGGGATTATGTGTTGTTCTATGTGAGATAATTAGATATATTACAAGAAAAGGTGTAGAAAGCAATAAAATATAGATATATGAAGGGGTATAGGTCTAAACAATTAAATAATTCACTATTTTGCGATCGGCATGCAGGCGAGTGGATTCTATGCATCCCATAATAAACTTCACGTTATTGCTCCGATCGCCTATATTTGGTTTTGCAGAAAGTAGACTATTTTATAATTCATGAATAAATTGCCTACGCTCTGCTCTCTCATAGAAATCCATGACTTTGAGTTCTCTGTCTTAGTGAAGTGGAAGATACACCTCGGTATGTATGGTTTTGCCTGTTCCTGCGTCAAAGGAAAACCAAACGATATCCAAAGAATAGGGATATATGGTATATGAATTGCCTAACTAGAGGTATCTCTTACACAACGAATCGCTGCCAAGGCAGCTGTGACACCTTCGCAGCTTGTGGTAAACAAGCTCATATTGCAACGAATACTTAAGTCGAGGGAAAAGAAAAGAAGAGGAAGAGAAGTCTCCCTCGATGCACCAATCTACACTCCATGCTCAGTCACATCTAAAGCATCCAGATTGTCACAGACTGAAGTGATTTTCTGGCGCTAGACAGCTATGATAGAAAGAGACTTTACGCTTATGTCAAGAGTGGACGGAAATTCTATTCTATAAATCATATGGAGTGGAAAGGATCATGAGTTTTCAATATCTATTCCCGGTTGTCTTGATAGTGAACTGCCTTAAGTTGACTAAGCGCATAGATGGAGCTGCAAGGCCTCACAAGCCTAGCTATCCTCTACCAGCAATGGCGCTTTCCATTCTTCCAATCTGCTCTCGTCCCAAATCGCGTAACTCCATTCCCAGTCTTCCTCCGACTCATGCTTGCTCATTGAAAGCCCCAAGTCTTTGTTGCTGTTTGGCAGTAGCCATGCTTTCTTCCAACCTACAGTAGGTTGTTCAAGAAGCGGCAAAGTAGACCAGAACTCTTCAAAATTATAGCCCTCGAGCCGATCTGCCGGATCGGTCAACGATCAGCCCGCGAGAATTCAAGCCGAAGTCCAATGAATGGCCCTGCCCAGAAGTGGCCGGTGCTGGTGCAAATGGTATTACGTCGAGAGAGCCGATCCATGTGCAGAACGCCGTAAAGAAATTCGGGTCCTAGTTCTGCTAGTCCCGCGAAGTGCTGCTGGAAGCGAACAAGATCCCATTCGCTTTCGATTTCACATGGAGGTGGCCGTTGATCACGGGGAAGAATATCCCAGAAGAATTCGCACGATGTACTCTTGCTGAGTTGCCCTAAATCATCTGAAATCTCCTGCGCGATAACCGCGGCTTTGGAGATGAGATACCCTAACACGCTACCCATTTCTTCATGTTCCTATGGGGGCATCGTGCCGTAAAATAACCGATATGCCGTCTCTCGAATATGCATGTCATTGTATAATTCCGGGGGTCTTCTGATTCATATGTGTTGGGTAACTGCCAGATTATAAACCGACCGTCTGGCTCCCCGTCTGAGTCTCCGAAGATGTTCGTCAAAGCTTGTAATCGACACAATGCTCGTAGAAAACGGCACTTTTCAGATTGTGACAAGCATAAAGGCAGCTGCGCTTCCCATTGAACAGGCTGAATCCAGGGTGGTCTTGGTGCGTTGATTGAATGATCTTCGAGGAAGAAACGTAGAATTTTGTGGAAATGTAATAGCTTTATAATTTCCTCCAGGCCGGCAGGCTCGGGTAGCCGATTTGACGAGGATTGATTGAGCTCGCGAAGCTCATCTCTGCGACGCCACTGGTCCAGCAAGGAGATTGCGTTTTCCCTCTGGAGGGTAAAATGCAGACCTTCAGACCGGATAGCAGTGAGTGCCTCGGCTATATCGAGGAATCCATTATATTGCCGTTTAACAAGACATCCAAGTACTCCTTGTCTCGCCGCAAGGTACGAACTATGGTAGCCAGGCGATGCAAGCACGAGGGATTTGAGAGTGTCGCCGTCGGGGACTCGAAATAAAATCAGGATCTTGAGCTCTGTAGGCAGACCCTCAAGCGTTGGTTCGGCCTTGATAGATCATTAGATGACATTTTTGCGAACTGATTCTTTGAGATCACCATTTTTTTGTGAAGCTACGGCCGACTGTTGTGTTTGGGAGGGGAAAATGAGGGCTTGAAGTAGGGAGGCTTGAAGCGCCAGCCCGGGTAGTCAGGGGCCTTACATAAGAGGCTCAACAATGGGCTCTGTTAATCAGTCAACAAACATACTGGACCAACCGGAGCTTGATTTTCTTCTTTCAAAGCCTTAATAGATTTGGACTATATATGATAATATAAATTATGTAGTGTACGAGGTCTGAACTAACCATAAGGATTGTAATTAGATGATATATCCGAGTATCGGCAAGATTTAAGTGCATTTGCTGACTTGGATTTGTGTGAATCCACATGGACATGTGTGAGGCTGTATCCACACTTAAAAAAATTTCTCTAGTAGAAGAGAAGTGATTTGAAACACAATAGGTATATATGTGACTAGATTGCTTGGCAGGGTCATTAAGAGATTTTGCGGTAGGAAATATTGTAGTTCAGAGGTACAAATTGTGTTGAACTCATCCAGAGGGAAAGACAAGGCTCTATATACAATAGGGAGACAAGTTGATTTCCAATCAACTTGGTTGTCTGTATAGACACCTTGGAGCTAATTCTGACAGTGTGTGGCTTGGTTTCTGATCTGCACCAGCTTCATATCACAACAGTTACCATGTTGTGCATATACTGGCGGAGTTTCTTTGATGGGGAAATCTCCAAAAGTTGAGGTCCGGCATAGACTAAATCCAACAATTCTTGGAATGTGAGTCACTTCGGCAATTGATAAATTCTAGCTGCCGGATGTAAATTCAGCCATCTACCTGGAAAATGGATGCCTCATGGTTTGGAATGGGCGCTAGTTTCAACAGATAGAATGATCGTTCCTCAGGTTCCAGCATGTGCTCACATCGTGACAGAGTTTGGCGAACTTAAATACACTCAGGATGAATTGATCTTGCCAGCATCAATCCAGCAATAAAAAGAGACGAGCCCAATCTGTATCCCGATTGCCACCAACGGAAGCCAGAAAGTGACAGATCCGTCCCAGGCAATTGGTCCTTGGCGTATACAATGGGCTGCATATGCGGGAAAATAAGTGAGAGTCAGGATTGAATTGACCCAGGCCACCCAGTGAGGAATGATTGGATCTAGGCAGCGATTTGAGAGGATGGTGTATGATATAGCAAATTCCTGAACAGCGAAGGGGGTTGTAATCAATGTAAAGCTTAACCATGATAGGTCGCTCAGAAGTTGGGTTAGGTTCGAACTCCGCTCAAGTCGATACATAGTCGATGCAAAAAAGGCCGCGATAAGTGCAAGTGAGAATCCCGCTACCGAGCCACTCGAAATTTGCAACATTATGACGGAAGGATTTACGTCCTTAATGCTACTCAGAGATTTGGTGATAGCAAAAGAATAGAGTGGCCAGAGTAGTGAAGAAAGGACCAAAAAGTACAGGCCTGCTTTCATGCCGTCTTCATTTTCGCGATAGTGGTTGGTTGTCACTTCTGCGGAGGATGTAGGACTGAGGGGTGGTAGAAGAAGTGATGATGCAAAGAATATTAAGACCAAAAGTAACGATAGTGGCCCGAAGGAAATGAGGACCCTATCGAGTAGATTGTGGCTGCTGTGCTTTAGATGCAACATTGGATGTTTGAAAAGACGGCTTCTGTTCTGCGTGATGCTGGTCGCAAAAAATCTGGGAGTGGGGAGAAGATATGGGTGGGAAACGCCTTTAGGTCATCGATGCTATATCTTTATTCCATTATTTTTCTTTCAAACATGTTGAGTACTCCGACAGTCCGCACAATCCGAGTCATCATGGTGTTAGGGATCGGTTGGGACTGGTTCTTGAAAAGTGCGGTGCCTTTGCAACATACAGCGCTAATGCGTTTGGGCACCAACGCATTTGGATACTGCAAGCATATGTATGTTATATGTGTAATAATGGCTGGTAGCGGCTATATGCGCCGAACATCAGTGGCTCATTCTAAGTTTTGCTCCTGCATAAACCCGAATGTAGTCCACTACGCATATCGCGCTATATCAAAAATTGGTTCAAAGCTGATTTATACCTGCGTATGAACTAAGCCTACCTTACCTAATACAAATGGAACCCGATCAGGGCTTAATCCGATAGATAAATACATTATTATGGTAAATATGAATTTTATTTGACTTACAATGTAACTTTGTATTGATTTACATTACCTCAATATCTCTTTTTGCAATTGCCGCATTGTGCTTTTGACGTAATAAGACCTAAACGCACTGCATGGCTAAAGTCGGGAGAGTGATGACGGAGGAACATGGGACGTAAGAAGGAGCTTAGAGAGAAGTACGGTATGACTGTCCGTTATAGATTGAGGGTATCGATCCCACCTAATTGGACGCTCCAATTAGGTCTTTTCTGCGTGACATCTACCATAAATTCCCGTACGACCCACTTTTACAGTACCTCCTTAAATATAAGGTATATGTATGATCCCGTACCGAAACTTGTAGATGGGTTCCAAGGTTTATTTTCTGGCCGTTGGAAATCAAGCAACCGATAAACCCCTTTTGGCACCACAACGAAGAATATTATGAATTGAGATATTTCATTGGTAGAGCTTGTCGTCATCGGAACAATACCCTTCAACCATCCCACCTGCCTAGCGGGGATCACATTGCGTTTATGACGTGCGTTGAAGAGAAGCTTTGATGACTGGGAACATGGCATATTTAAGACGGTAAGGAAAGGGGGAAATGATGGGACAACCGAGTCTTCGTTTTACTCTTCATCTCAAATCCAAACAGGGCTACCTCTAAGGCCCTCACCCCGTATCTGATTTGGAAGGTTTTTGTTTGCCTTGTGTGTATTTTGAGACCTTCGCCTTTGGCTGTGCAGTGTGTCCGACTTACTGCCCATCATGTCTACCGCAACAAAACCCGATTACTCGGTGATCATAATCGGGGGTGGTTTCTCCGGAGTTACCATGGCTTGTCGGCTTCAGATGAAATTCCAAATGGATGACTACTGCATATATGATTGAATGGAGGGCATAGGGGGCACTTGGCGGGCCAATCAATGTAAGATATCGCCAGAAGGTGTGGTTGACTGGCTAAGCGGCGTTCATAGACCCGGGATGTGCGGTCGATATCCCTGGAGCCGTCTACAGCCTCTCTTTTGCCCCGAATCCGGCATTTAGCGAATGGTTTCCCCCGGATCGGAAATCCTCGACTATCTGGTCGGCGTCGCTGAGAAGTACCACGTCAACAAGCACTTCGTGGGCGGGACTGTGTGGCAGGGAGCCCGCTGGCAAGACTCCACACACACCTGGCAGGTGCAGTTGCAGGATATACTAACGGGTCAGTTGTTCACCCGCGAGTGCTGTGTGCTGATCTCGGCGGTCGGCGGCCTCGTGGACCCGCATCCCTTTCGGGTGCCGGGCATTGAGACATTCTCTGGTGATATCATGCATACAGCCAGGTGGAAGCAGGAGGTGAATGTGGATGCAAAGAAAGTCGCCGTCATTGGTAACGGAGGTTCGTTGGCCCTGCTCTGGTGCAAGTGCAAGGGACCGCCAAGTCCCCACCAAAGCCACGCTAATGCCGGTCATCATAGCGTCTGCATCGCAGCTGGTGTCCGCCATTGCGGAGAAAACTCATTCCGTCACTCAGCTCATGCGTGTAAGTGAATTGACCTTTGGCATGGATGGAATCTGACAGGACTGGCCTGAAGACACCACACCACATCATGCCGAGCTGGAACTTGAGGATTTCGTCCACGTATCAAACCCTGTTACGCTACATCCCCGGTCTCTTATTCCTACTGCGCATCTTGTTAGTTGGTTATATGGAGACCTCGTTCAGACAATTCGACGCCAGGGAGTCCAGAGTCCCGGAAAGGATGCGCTCGGTTGCATCGAGCTATGAGCATATCCAAAAGAATGCGCCCAGTAAGGAGACTCCCTTAGGAAGAATGAGGATCTCTTCGACTGACAAAGCAACCTCGCTAGCGAAGTATTGGAACCTTCTTCTCCCGACATACGAATTTGGATGCAAGGTAAGATAGTATCATGGGGGCAACGGGTGAGGCCCGGTTAACTTCCACCAGCGACGGATTTTCGACCGCCACTACATCTCCACATTGCGTCGGAGCAATGTTCACTTGGTCGACGATAGAGTAACGGCGATCGAAGGCAAAGATATCCTAACACGGACGGGCATGCGTTTCGAGGCTGACGTGCTGGTAAGTTCCCAACGTGATTCATTCGCATGGTGTGTGTGGAGAAGTTCAGGGTTCATGGCCACAGATTCTTGCTACGGGATTTTCTTTGACGCAGTATGATATCCCCCTGATCGGTCGACACGGCAAGCCCCTTCAAAGTCACTGGGATGCATGTGGAAACAAGTCTGTGTACAAATCCGTGGCGATGCATGGATTTCCCAACTTCTTCTTCGTCTTGGGTCCGAACTCCGGGCGAGCTAACACGTCGACAATTTTGTCAATCGAAAGGTATGCCCTGGTCATAAACCCAAACCCAGGTTGTGACCAACCTCCAATTGAACCAGCACCTACGCTAACCGGTCCAGTTTCGTGGAATTGATCATTGCCGCCGTTGGCCCGGTTTTTCGGGGGGAGCATACTTCCGTCGAGGTCCAATTGGAGAGTGAGAAAATGTACAATGACAATCTGCGGTCGTCTCTCAGACATTCAGTACAAGACAATTCGTGTGCAAGCGTAGGTCTTGAAGCCGTCGATCCCTCCTCTTCCGAGGCTGGATCACCACGTGTCCTTAGGTATTTCGGTGGCTGACCATTTCCACAGTGGTTTATTGACCCACAAACCGGGAGAAATTGGTTCAGCTATCCGTGGAGTGCTCTGACCATGTGGCTGTCTACGAATCCTGCAATGGTGACAGCGGCAGATTGGCGCTATTCACCGGCCAAGGGCGTTTGACCATGCGGGGCTCGGTGCTAAAGACTCTAGCGAAGAAAAGGAAGAGGCGAAATGACCGGGAGGGAGGAAGGTGTTGATCCAACATCAATCACAAGGTAGGGATTTGTGAACGGGGTGGGTATCAAAGGTGGCGTGGATTCATGAAATTCCCGCAGCGGTCACTATTCCAGGATCTTCCTGTCAGTATGCAAACTTCTCTGTTGAGTAATAAGAAACATTCCCTTGCGCGGCCCCCGGTGCATAAGTAGAGTAGTACCCGTGGAGCTGGTGCTTTGTAGTAAAACCCTTCCATGGATCAATCACGCATTGGCTATACGAACATGAGCTCCTTGTCGATAGTTTTCCTACGGGCAGTGATAACTGGGTTGTCAGTGATCTGCATTTTCATCATGATCATGCTGTGCCGAGCGGTCTTCGTCTCTCGCGAAATTGTCACTCGGGCAAGAAGGCCGGCGGAAGTTTTGGGAAGGCCGCTCTTCTTCCCCGTCACCGTCGCTCATACCCGCCGGAACCCTGCAACCGACGTATTCCATAACCGCATTCTCCTCGTCGGGGTACCTGTCGGTGACAAGTGTCACCAAGGACGCTTGCTCTCCATGGCTGACGACTCTAGAAGCTCGATGCCATGGAAAAGCTGGTTCCATTTCGACACTGCGCGGTATCTGCATCGCGGCGATGAAGAACTTAGCCTGGAGGAAAAGTTGCATAGGTTTTTACGGGCCCAGGTACTGCTCCACTTAGTTACTCTGTTCCTCCTCTTGTTCGCCGACTAACCAGGTTCCCCTGCACTGAGGCCGCACTGCTAACAGGGCTCCTCTCTGTCTAGGACCTTGATCCCAAAAGATGGCCCTACGCGTATCTCGTCAGCGTGCCACGGTGGCTCTGGTGGTCCCATGGCGTCCTCAGCTGGTGGTATCTCTACTCTCCGGACCGTGAGCTTGATGCTGTGATAATGGAAATCAACAACTTCTTCGGGGAGAAAAGAAACATCTTCGTCCAAGTCCAAGGGTTGAGCCCATCGTTCGGAGAGCTAGTTCCATCGGCTAGTGAGGACCTCGACGCGGCAGGACTGATGAGGTCACTGCCTTCAGTGCCCTCATCTGGCTACTATAAAGGATCTTGCATCAAGCCAATCTACACCACCCCATTCGGTACCGTTGACGGGGAATTGGCAGCCCGCTTTTGCGATCCCCTCCAAAGACAATCATGGAGGAGTACGGTGTCTTTCTCCAATTTGACCAGCGTGGGATCTGACGGCAAAACAATGGTTTCAGCGAGGATCAACTGCTGCGAGTCCCCATTGGACCCGACTCGCGCATCGGCGGTCCAGCTCTTCCTTTTTCTGATCCGCTGGACTTTGCCTGGCACGCTGGGAAGCCCCCAGATTCTCTACCAGGCCCTTCGAATCAAATACAGGGGCATCATGCGCATGACGGAGCGACCCGTCATCAGACGCGGCAGTCTACCGCGCAAAGCAAGCTCTGTGGAAAGGTAATCAGCAATATGGCGACCATGTGAACGACTGCTAACTTGACCCGTTCATATGGATAGATCTCTCGAGTTTTTCTTCCGACAATTCCTTGCCTATCAAGTTCGAAACTTCCCGGATGCGATCGAGGTGACTTATGTTCCATCGCGTGCCTGGTCCGATGAATCAATCTGTCTCCGCTCCTTCGCCTGTGGTGACACGAGTGATGACAACATCCGCCGCGTGGGATTGGAACCACTCGATCCTGGTTTCTTTGGTCGATTCATCCATTATTCCACTGTCACTGAGGGAGTGGCAACAGAGATGCACCCCGCAGGGAGCCCATCTGATCCCGAGGCAAGCAACCTGTGGGCTTCTGATCCGACATTTATTCTGGAATTGCTTGGGTCGGGAGATACTGCATTTTCAACGAGTACACATCCCTCTACGAGCCTAACGTGGCGAGTCCTTTTTTATCTTCGAGGCTCCCAGAAAGAAACCACGTTGGATTCATTCTGCCGAGAAACTATGGCACCATCACTTCAGCTTCTCTACACTTCATATGCTCTGAAGGATGTATTCGGGAAATGTTTTGGGCTAGACTGGATTCGGATGCTACAGATTTACAGCACCATTGGGGTAGTGGTTCTTATCTGGTTGGCCTACAACGCAACGCTGTGCCTTCTCCTGGATTTCTCTTTCTGGAAGTCAGGTTTGTATGCAGGGACTGCCCTTTTCTTAGGGCATGTTGGGGCCCAGGTTGTAACAAAACTCTAATATTCAAGAAATAGAGGTATCTATATAGGTGCAGCATCATCACCATCGATAATGAGTATTTCTTTCTATATCTCTATCGAAAAAACGACCAAGTTATAGTGTATGTTTATTATATATGGTATAAAAAAAGACTAAATCTATAGCATCTAGTGCTTTAGGGATTTTCGAATCGTAATTTTCACGGGCAAATTACAATTATTCTCTGCTCAATTCCCTGAACTTCTTAATTTGGTAGATCCAGTAGGAAACAACACACTCACAACCAACTTTTGTAGTGGCACTGCTCGAAAGATAATATTTGGCCAATTAAATCCCAGAAATACGTTCTTATGCTGTGTGATCAACGTCGATCAAATCAACGTGCGGTGGCAAATTTTGCCGATTTTCAATGAGATGCCTTTCTATAGCTAAATCTGGGCGCTATATAGAGCGAATTGTTTACCTATTTGCATACGGAAGTAATGTGCTCATACCTTGTGACAAAATGTGTGATATGCCCCAAAATCACCTTGCTTGGCCTCCTTTATTGCGCGACCCGCGGGACTTCGAGAACGATACCGAGAAGGAAGGTTTTGACCGACGTATTCTTCTTTCGCTTGATCGTAATGCCGAAGATAATCTTCTCCAAGCAAGAGTCCAGACGGTGGTCCGCAATATGTCGTCTTATCTGTGGAAATTGCTCTCGGAAACTCTGCATGATTCGATTCGCACGAGTATGGAGAGGGTTGCGCAAAAAGCGGCTGACTTTTGGCTTCCAATCCAACGAGCTCAGCAGAAATATGAGACAGGGTTTGATACTAACATTATTCCCCCTAGCCCATAGGTGCTCATTCAGACGGTCCGCGCATAGTTTCTTTAGGATGGAAATAGACGAAAGTTCACGTGTATTTAACGGCGACGCCAGAGGCAAGCATCCCGATAGAACTCGGCTCCATATGATCAGTGGTGGGTCTCTGAAGAATAACAACACTCTTTTTAATGGCGATTTAGACCCGCAAAGTTTTATAGAGATTTTTGGCAAAGATGGCTAGGACGACCGAATCGGAACAATATATAGCACATCGTCTGGGCTTTGTAAGGTCGATTAATTTGTCAAAGATTCTTGAATATACTTGAATTATCTCTTTTGCAAATAACTCCAATTATTGTGAGAATGCCCTCTACTATGCACTTAAATTAGATAACGTACAGAATATAGAAATCTGTCTTATCATAAGTTCCAAAACGGAAAAGTTCTTAGACTCCTTAGCTCCCCTCAGCTCACAGAAAATTTATACACAACGATTTTACGTAAAGAGTTTTTTTTATTTCGCTACTTATCTCGGCTAATCGCGAGTTATACCAGTTATTCACTATATTAGGTATAGTACTCACAGCTCGTCGTTTTGTGTACTGCTATAGATATATACTGTATACCGAATAGTGTCGGAGTTAAGCTCCCATCACCGGGTCCCGTGAATCTTTATCGAGGATCACCAAGGTTCAATTGCTCGTCTAGGAAAGTAAAATCTCTCTCTTGAACACACGCCCTACAAACTGTATAAATATAAACACGTCTCTTCGAGGGAAATCAGGAAAGACGAAAAGGCTACAAGGAGAGATCCGGGCTCGCGTAGGATAACTTTGATCTTGATACGACTAGAATCTATATCGGAACAGCAAATATACTGCCATAAGATAGTACCGATCATACGAAGATAGAGGTCAGCACAGTATACCATTAAATATAGTGGTATAGTCCTACTTTAGTTTAAGACGCGAGGTTAAGATCTAAATGGTGTTTTTCAGATAAAAGTAGCATTGTTCGAAGCGGAATATAAATAAAGATAGACCCCGCCAACCCTGTTCGATGGTTGCAATTCCACTCCGTCACTTGAAACTACACTGCACCGTGGGTAGGGTATTATAGGCTAAGATAATGCTAGTTGGCCTGCGGTATTGTTTCGGACCACGGCTTTCTTAGAGGGGGTAGGGCTAAGCCATATACACGGCGAGCTGCAACATAGTTTTGGTCTCGGATAGGGTGGGGTCGCTCAGCCTAAAATGAGATACAGCCAACCTAAAGTTTATTCTATACATTTCCATTCGTTGGCATCGATTCTATATTATAGTGATTATCCATAATCTAAAACGTAATCGAAGTCTCTCACCCCGAGGGGGAGTAAAACAAGGATGGCCAAGGCATGCAGTCCCTATTCCATTTAGTATCAATTGCATTACTCGATTTCCCATGGCGGTGTATTCTAAAATGACCTAATCCTCAACCTTATCGCACCCATAAGCCACTCGGTGTTGATCCCTTCCAGGCCAGGCCTCAAACTTGCTCCCAAATAGGAATATTTGAACAGTTGAATTTCTTTTGCTCTGTCCAGTCTACTTACCAGAAAATGGCCACCAGCTCTCGCGAACATCCTAAAGCCTCCAGCGTGGAAAGGAAATCACTGCGACAGAAAAGAGATCGACGAAAGGCAAACCTAGAGAAAAAGTTGCATGAATAGTGCAAACTATGCGAGGCTGATTAGACCTAGATAGACTCGCGGATAACCTATATAGGTCAACCCACGGGTCAGCCTTTGGGCGGGTCGTAGGTTAGGCCTCTTAACCCGTGGGCGGATCAAGATTTTTTTGACTTATCCTTTTTATAATAGTTTATTTTAGAATAACCCTTATTTCTAAATATTCCGTAAATAATAGAAGGCCTAAAAAAAGAGTATAAAAAAGCTCTAAATTAGATATAAATATACTAAAAAGAAATTTAATTTTTTAGTAAAATAATTATATAATAAAAAAACTAATAACGATATCTCTTAATTTATAAGAATCTAGAATAACCTAAGAATAAATAGCTAGTGATCGATAACGAATAGTAACTATCTAAAAAGATAGTTAATAAAAAAGTTAAAGTTATACTAGAAAATACTAGTTATATAATACTATCTTAACTATATCCGGTATAATAATCAATAAAGAGTATAAACGAAGAATTACTATAATTAATATAACGATAACCGTTTATAATATAAAAAGGATATACTTTCACGGCTCTATATAATATAAAAATATTCCGCTAATACTATCGATATATCGCTAGCCGATCCTATAACTAAAAGATAGAGGCTAACTATATTAGATATAATAAACGATACTTTTTCTTAAACTATCGCTTCGGTTTACGTTAAATCTCTAAATAAAAGGCCCACGATTTACTTTATCTATCTTAGGAATTCATTATTACTATAAAATAAATATTTATAGAAGTTCAAGAATTCTAGGTTTTTTAGCCGATACTTCGTAAATAAATATATTGAGCTATTTTCGAATAGTATATAATATAAATATATAATTTATAGAAAGTAATTCGAGTTAAAATCGGCACCATTAAACTATACGTGAGATATATATAGAATCGTGTCGTATTTATCTCTACTAATTCTTAACCTACCTATACTATAAGAACTAAGCTTATATTACTTTTTAGCTAGAACTAGTTAGATCTGTAAGGCTTTTTATGCGCGTAATATATATCTATTCTAATTGGAGTTGATAGCTTTAGTGTTCTTGCATGGATTGTTTCCGACACGATCTAATAAAGACTTGGACGAGCTCATAAATAGGCTTGCAATTGTCATAGAAGCCCTTACAAGCTCACATATGCTACCTAGCCAGGAGCGTCTTGTTGATCTCATCGCTCGTTCTGTCCTGCGCTTTGTCACTTGTCGAAGGTTGAACGTCTCCCATACCTGTATCCACGATTACTACGGGAAAATAGAAGAGGAAGAGATCGAGGAAATTCAAGATAAGGAACTTCTTTTGATACTTGAGCTTGAAGGGCTTTTGGCTGAATTTGTCCAAACTTTAGAAAATCTCTCAGTTATTCCCAGACTTCTTGACGGGCTATTGGCGAGCCTGTATGAAGGAGGTTGAATCTTTGAGTAGGGTGCCCAGTGCAGAAGCATCCGTTGAAATTCTCGAGACTGGAGTGATTCTGTATGAATAAGAATCTAAATTGAACTCATCGATTATTTTGTTCAACTGGGCATTAGTCAATAAGTCCGCCAAGTTGGTCAGTTTTAAGATTCGGCTTTCTAAGCTAATTTCTAGATATCTATACTTCTCCCGCTCTAGTTAGGTGGAAGAAATAGCAAATATGGGAACAGTGGTATTGCCCTTAGGGTTTGCGCCACGTGCTTCACCTATCTTTAGGATTCTGGGGGCGCAAAGGGAAGTCCACTCTTAGACTAATACTAAATGTTCCGAATAAAACATTGTCAAAATTGAGGGAATATAGTGGAAAGCCTTAGGTAATGAGAAAAATATATTGAAGAGATACCGTGCAGGCATATAGGCGATATATATATCCACGGCGTAGAACGCAAATCTAATAATTCAGATCATCGACCAAGCATCTTCGCATATAATATATAAACAAGAAGCTGAGAAGCCGAACACAGATTTAGCTTCTGCTTCTTTAGTTATCCCAATCCCCCAAATCGAGCGACGGAGTTCCCTCGACTCCCTTGTCATAGATAGCATAGTCGGTGGTGTTCTCATTCTTGAAATGGAACAGGACAGCTTCGCCCGCCTTGTTTGTGAAGAGCAGCTTCCCAGATGCCGCTTTCAAAATAAAGGGCGCGCCATCGCAGGCAGTTCCCCCCATTGCGCATCATACCGATACTCCGGGGGAGACTCGGGTCGTCTGGGAAACCAAAACCGCCTTATTAGTAGAGGATAGAGACGGAAAAGAAGAAGAAGAAGAAGAAGAAGAAGAAGAAGAAGAAGAAGACATTAATCGGCAGGACTTACAATCCACCCAGCAGACATCGGGCTTCGGAGGGTTGGGGCTAGAATCGCCGAATGCGAGCAGGTAGCCACTCGTGCCGTGACAGTCGATGGCGGGCATGTCGAAGTCAACGATGCACCCCGACTTCTTGTCATCCGGCCTGATGGTGGCCTTCAGGTTCTTGACTTGATCCGAAGGGACGGGAGCGGGATGACGCACAGGACCGGAGGAAGAGGGAGAGGGATAGACAGAGCGAGGATCGGCAGAGCGAGTTGGCTCGACTACAGGGCTCGAAGTTGCGTAGGCCGCAAGTGCGCCCAGAAGGGCCAAGTTTTTGATATACATTGCTGGTGTGTTGGTGTAGGTTTGCGAATATGAGGAATAGACGAGAAAAGTTGTGGGATATAGTTCTCAAGTCTTTCTCTCATTCGGGGAAGCAGGGAGTTGGGGGGGTTTTTATATTCCAATCATGAGAATAATAAATGGGATGGGAGGCCATTTGGCGTCGAAAGCTAGGGGCCGGGCGATTTAGCCTTTGTGGGGGCCAACTTTAATTGAGTAGAGGATGGATGTATTCTGCCTCAAAAATATATCAAAGGATTTAGTTGGTTCGCTGCCAATCAACCTGAGAAGTGTGGATCATACACGCTGATTTGCTGGGGAGTTGATCGGTAGTGTCCTGGATCCCGTCCTACAGTCACCCCTCGATAAAAAAAAATAAAGTACTTTTTGCTTCTATCCAGATTCTGCTGTTTATAGTGATATTACCATTTGATCGTGAGGCACCGAACGTACCGAGTGTATTAATACTATAGTAAATTATGTAGACAAAATCTAGTATGATTAATTGAGAAATATCTGACCACGTCATTCCTTAATGCTTGAACGGGATATCGCTACACTTAAGGATGTATATCACGCTATTCCAATCAAGGTAATTCAGATGCCACTAGGATATTTTTAGATTCTGGAATTTTAGCCGTCTAAAATTACAACTGAAGACTCAGCTAATCTTAGTCATTTTACATTAATCTACTCGCTCTTGATGTTCCCATCCATGATTTTTAGGGGCACAATTGCACTTGCTAGGATTGCCTTAAATGAGCTTTGATCTCGCTTGATCCATCTCAGACAATTCAGCTTACTTATGTCCGGAATTGCGTTTGTTCCGAGGTCCCTGATAGAAGCATGTAGCATGTAGCCGTCCCCTTAAGTCGGACCCACAGCTTTCAGCTATTGGTCCTCCATACCGAAACGCAAATATTCACCGAAACGCAAATTTTCACTGAATCGCAAATTTTTCTCTTTATTCATCTTCTTTATTCTATACTTAGTATACCAAAACGCGATTAAAAACCAAAAATCGCGTCGCTGGTGCGCGAATTCGACGTTCCCTATTATCGATTTCGCGCTAGAATTTATAGTCGTTCACCAAAAATAGCTATTACTCCTACTAATAAAGTACTTAATAATTTTTAAGAAAAATGTAAAGGGTCTACAAAGATAGTGAGGCATGAGGTTATTCCCAACTAACGGAAGGGGTGGATCAGGGTATTGATAGGGGCACCTCAAGATTTTCGCTATTGACACCTCATTATATTATGTAATACTCATTTTGACTTATGTAATCTTTTTTTGATCTATTTTCTAATCACATGATAATTTTCAACCACATCTCTAATCACATGATCCTCTTATCCTAACCACCAAAAACAGATTACCCTATTTGGCAATAGGGCAACTTCGATATGTATGCCTAATTTCGCCGCAATTCGAACACTTTGGGGGCGCCTTCCTTTTTTTGATTGGTTTAGCCCCCTCGCTCCCATCTGATATCTGCGTAGATTGCCTTTTTGGGAAAGCAGCAGGCTGAATTCGGGGATTTAGCAGTGGCTGCCAGGCGATATCAGATGAATCTTCAACCCTAATTCGCCAGAATGGATGAATATCAGCCAATGGGATTGCTTCTTTTTTTGCGAGCAAATCAGCAATTCGATGCTTGCATAGTAACCCCATAGTACTCGTCCAATAATTGGTGCATATACCAAGAGGGGCCTCTAAGGTAGCCCTACTAGCATAGATTCGCTGCATATCAATCTGCCTCAGCGAATATCGAGATACTCGCTTATTGAGAAAGGTATATAGCCAATCAGATGCTAGTATCAGATATATTATCTGATCTGCTTTAATCTGATATTCAATCAGATTATATTGGCTGGTGATAGCCTTATGAATAGACTTCCATACAGTGAGTAAATCATTAGTAGAAGTATTCATATGCCGTTTTAGGACCGAATGCGCCCCCTCGACACGTGATGATGCATTATTACCAAAATGGGTAAGGTTTTTGGTCCAAGCATAGACAAATCTCTCTTTATAGGGTAGCCATGTGTCTGCGAGATAGCGTATAATTGGTGGATGAGATCTCCCATAGGTCCGATTAAGGTTATCAAGATTAACCTTGTATTCATCTTCGGTAGATGATTGGACCAATTGACACCATACACGCATAAATTCATCGAATTGGGGAGTATTTTCGTCTGATTAGCTGATATCTCGTTTTGCCCTCGCTAAAACTGCTTTGTTGATATGCCAAATACATAGTAAATGTGGGGTATGATACCCCTAGATACTATATATCGCATTCATCAAAGCTAATTCGCGATCAGTTACCAAAATCGGACGAAAATCAGATTCAGATAAGAGATTTAGCCAATCAAAAAAGGTCTGAAGCACCCAAATATAGCTTATTTCAACCTCATCAGGCATAAAACATAGAGCTGTAGTGAATGTATGGTTTGATGGCGTCATACCTACTATATAAAATAGAGGCATACCAAACCGATTAGTCTTATATGTGTAATCCATAATAAAAACCTTAAAATATTAGCCAATAAAATCATATAAAAATAGATGAGATAAATACCTTATTATATGAATTGGCCAATTGAATTGACTGAGGATGAGAGAAAAGAAAAAATTCGATATGCCCCATATTATCTTGCTTGAATGAATATTTATAACCTTCTGAATCGAGTAGTATCTGTAGATATTCAAGAATACTACGTTCTCCTATCTCTTTTCGTCGAATTTCTGCTCGTATATTATAGATATCGCGTGGTATGATTCGTTAACGAGGGGACTCGCTATATAGCGCACCAATGATATGCTTCGGTCTAATAGCAGAGAGTCGTTGAATTAAGGTTTTCTGCGCTGGGGTAAATTGACGTGCGATTGGGTGCGCTATCATATCTTGATCAGCAGAATGATTATACGCGGGGTTCTTTACCTGAAGTAGCCAATCAGAACTCCTCTGGCGACTCCCATATACCAAAAATAGATAATTTTGCCGCCGAGTACTCGTTTTGCGCCTTTTGGCGCCTGCAGGCGCTTGTATTCGGTCCGAATATACCCCAGATCTATCGCAGTGGAGATAGACTTGCCTATCAGCATTGGACCGCTTGATAGTAATAGCATACCCCTGCGCTATACCCCATTGGCGCATAAAATCGACCAATTCATCCCGATTAGGGAAGGTTCGTTGTGGTAGGGGCAGCAGATCGGTAGTGGCAGCGGCAGGCGAATCAGCATGCGAATCGGCAGGCGAATCAGTAGGCGAATTGGCGAGGGGTCTAGTAGGCAAATCGACAGTCGAATTGCCAGTGGTGGCAGCAGAGATATCGGGGGGAGTAGCGGCAGTAGGGGTGCTGGGGGTAGGCATAGCGGGGTTGGTTTGCATGGTATGCATGATAGAGCAGACGAAGCAGATAGGGTATGCAGAAAGCGAAGAACTAGCAGGGTAGTAGTAGAAGAGAAAAAGAGATGAAGCAGAATATTGAGTAGATATGCAGTATATAGTTGCTATAGTGATGAAAATTGATTATATCAGCGATTTTGCTTATGTCAGAAAATGAGGTGTCAATAGCGAAAATCTTGAGGTGCCCCTATCAATACCCGGAAGTTAGACCTTATTACTTAACCTACCTTATAGTAGAATAATTACGATACTTCATAGAGATCTAGTCGTTTATATTATCGATAATATATGGAGCTACGAAGATATAATATAATAAATTAATAGTCTTGTATCTAGCTAGTAAAATAAGATTTAGTCTTAATAGTAATAAAAATATATTCTTTTCTTTTACTTATATTAAAGGGCTAAAATAGAACTAATTATTATACTAAACTAGATTAAGAGTAGGTTAACCCGTTAACCCGCGGGTCAACCTATAGGCGGGTCAGGATTTTGTTGACCCGACCCATATATGGATCGTGGGTTTAGGTCATAGGTCTTGCAAGACCTTTGACCCACGGGACGGGGTCTGTCTATGTCTACCCGTGCTCACCTTCACCATCCCGTTCCTCGAACTTCTCACCTATATCACCCACACCCACCCTAGGGCCCATTGCATCGCTGTTTTAGGACGGCAGTGGTGTTGGGACTGGGGTTCTGCCAGCCCTTTCTCCACCGCCTCCCTGACCACCCGCGGCGGACCTGTAGGTAGCAGATAGCTTCGCTTCTCTTCTTCTCTACAGACAATTTGATTCTCTCTTCTGTGCCCTTTCCCCTCAGCAGTTCTGCTCTCCCTAGCTCCCCTTAGTGCTCCCTGAGAAGTGGTGTAGAGGGTACTTTGAGAATTGGCCTTAAACAATAGGTGGCTTAAGTACGGCAAGCGGACAGGAAGCCCTGTTCTCCATACCCGATGGTCGTATGTACCAGAAACCTCATTTGAATAGTTCAAATAGCTAAGACATTAGATTAATATAATAGGAATCTCTCCTTTCTTATAGTCTTCCTACCCCTGCACTCAGTCACCCACGTAACTGCATGACCGCCTGCTGTCAAGATCACCTTCTCCCTTGTATTTACTTTGTCTTCACCCTGTCAGGACCCAGTCCAGTGACGATGCTCCGTCCAACACATCGACTCTTGACGCAACCCTTGTTTCGACATCCCGCTTCGCCAGCGCGGTATTTCTCTCAACCCAGTGTCCTTCTCAACTCAACCGTAAAACTGGAGGAGGAAAGGCTGCCATGATACTCGCAAGATCACTTTTTCCCGGTGAAAATTGGCGATGTCTTTCGTTCGAGGTACCAAGTGATTGGAAAGTTGGGATATGGGGGGTATTCCACCGTGTGGCTAGGCAGAGATCTCCAGTAAGTGTGTTCGTGCCATAAGGAGTATAAAAAGTATAAAGAGCTAACTAGTCTTAGGCAGCATATCTATGTCACATTGAAAATAGATGAGCGAGATTCAGCTCATGGCAAAAGAGAAGCACAGATCTATAATCACCTCAAGGGTGTCAAATCAAGCCACATAGGTGTCATTCTCATCCGTACAGTGCTGGATGGCTTTCAAATCCCTTCTGCCGATGGCTCTCACTCCCATCAGTGCCTTGTTCATCCTCCTTTGGCCGTGAGTTTATTAGAGCTTCGGAATCGGACTAAAGCGAAGGTTTTCCCTGATTCTTTGCTGAAGCCGGCTCTGATCCATATTCTTCTTGCCCTTGATTTCCTACATACGGAAGCTCACGTTATTCACACTGGTATGCTACTCCTAGTAATAGTCAGCCTTATATACTAACCTATGATAGATATACAAGAAAAGAACATCATGCTCGGCGTTGAGGATGAGTCAATCCTCGTCGATTTTGAAGAAGCCGAGAAATCCAACCCAAGTCCACAGCAAGTCGTTGGGGAACGGGTGATCTATTCTTCTCGAAAGCTGGGGATTCCTAAGATCATGGCCGCCCTATCCTATCTGACTTTGGCGAGGCCCGCTTTAAGTCGAGTGTAGGTACACACTGGGAAGATGTGCAACCATTGATCTATCGGGCCCCGGAGGTGCTATTGCGGATGCCCTGGGACCAGAAAATTGATATCTGGAATCTGGGAGTCCTGGTATGTACAGTATGTATCGGATTGACGTTTGGTTCTGACTATGATCACTTCTCTAGACCTGGGACCTTTTCGAACAGGGTCATCTATTCTATGCCCGAGATGCGAATAAGAACGATTCAGACAGTCATCACCTTGCTGAGATGATAGCGCTTCTTGGGCTACCGCCAAAGGAAATTCTGCAAAAAAGCGAGTATGCGAGCGAATTCTTTGATGACGATAGTAGAGTTCCTGAGTCCATTCTAATTTACCTTGCTACATTTGTGTTGCTGATGAGTGAAAAAAAGGCAACTGAAGAGGTGTCACTGATATCCCCTCTTTATATTTAGAGAAACTAGAGGGAAATCTGCAAGGCGCACAGCAAGAGCTTTTCCTTTTGCTTCATGCGCAAAATGCTTCAGTGGCGACCGGAAGATCGAGCCTCGGCAGATGAGTTGCTATCAGATCCTTGGCTAAGGTCACCGTAGTGAAATGTACCAGACATATCTCCATCAATAGATCGAATGATTAGACATATGCTAGACTCATTAACGAAGAGTAGTAGAAGTCGTATCAAATGCAAAGTAGATAAATGGGACCACCAGGGAAGACTCCTGATGGCGGGGTATCTCAAAAAGTACATGAAGAATTCGTCAAACCGCACTCAGCAGACATAGTTCGGCAGTCAGCTTAATCGCTCGAGGAAACCCTGAGCAATCAACCGCTCGACATCGCCTTGGCGGACATAGAGCTGGCTGTTCTTGGTCAAATTGATCACGCTGTAACAGAGTTAGCGCGGCAATAAAGCATAGAGAGAAGAAGAAGAAAAGGGAGGGAGGGAAAGAAAGCCAAACATACCCATATTCCGTCTGAATCTCCCCCGCATCCTTCAACACGCGAACATCAATAAACAATTCCTTCGGCGGCTCCAACGTCCCCGTCAAATCGATATCCGTCCACTGCCCCTTATACGTCGCCAGCATATCGCCATACTGCCGAAAATACTCCTCCTCCTCGGGACTCAGCGAGCTATGCCCACCGAGCGCCGCCGCCGATCCCATACTACCACCACCCTGCATAGCCTGGCCGCGGCTGTTGTCCTCGGATGCGTCGCTGGGCTGCTGCTGCTCCAGCACGTCCACGCCCTTCCAGCACAGCTCCTCCAGCTTCTCGGTGCGTACGCGGTGATACGCCAGTAGACAGCGTTTGTTGCGGCGCATGCACAGATGGTCCACTAGCAGGGCGCATGCCACGGCCGGGTCGGCGGATGGGTTGAATGCGCCCTCGAAGGGGTCGAGGAGCCGTGCTACATCGCGGTCGAGGTCGCGGACTTCGCGGGTGACGGCGCGCGCGAGCTCGGTTTGGTAGGGTGGCAGGTGGACGAGGGATTGGGTTCGTTTGGCGTGTTGGACCTGTTGGTTGGGTTAGTTGAAGTAAGGTGGGGTTTACGTGGTCAAGACTCGGTCAGATCTACTTACCAGCTTGTTGCCAAGTTCGCCGTACATTGTCGCTACGCGGTCGGGATCGTTGCCCACATCGCGACCGCACCTTGGTCCTTGATCCATTTCGTGATGCGTGCCAAGATTTGCCTTAGTCAGAGGTGGAGCTGATCGACGATTGCATTCTCGAGATTGTCCTTGGCGAGAAGGGAGTATGAACGGTGGGAATGACAAGAAATTTCATTGACTTGCATTGGTAAGGATGAGGACCAGATAGTTGGATAGTTGGGGTTGAGAATGGGGTAATTTGGAGGGTAAATTGCGATTGTCCTACACAAGTTGCCCGGGTGGTATACTTCAGACACCACCTGGAACTAAAGAAGCTCAAGAACTAACTCAGTACTGCACCGATGCACACATACGGCTGTACTCCGTGTGTGTACTTGGCTAGGACTGTGGAGGCTCGTCAGTGCCAGACGGGTTGCACTCGAGGACAGACTCAGGATCGGGAGACAGGAAGTACGGGATCGAAAACCGCCGGCGCGTCATCCGCTGGGCACTTTCGAACCGATCTGGAAAGCGGCAGCAAGGTGACTTGATGACTGGTCGACCTCAGGTGGTCTATCCTGTATTGATTAGGGCTTACACAAATGCAAGGCGAAGAAACCGACCGTTGCTCCACCGCTACAATAAATATTCATCACGATGGCGTTTTTGATTGGCGTGGCAGGGACGAATATGCCCGGACAAGACACCTCTTCTACTTCCAGTCCACCGCAGTCATCCTGGAAAAGCAGGGTGATCGAGCTCCAATCGGTATGGGCCGGGCATCGGACTGCTCACCCCGTCTCCAAGTCTGTCGCTGGGATGGGCGGGTAGTGTAACAGACGCAGTTGGTTGTTATGGCCTGAGTGCCTCTTCAGTAGATATTCCTCATCTTCCAGCTCCAGACCCAGAGCGAGTGCTTGCAAGATCTCGCCTGCCACGCGGAAACACTCCCAGTAGAATTGCGTCATAAAGGCCCGGAATCCAGGCAGTGTGTGCTCTGGGTTGCATTGATTCGGCTGGCTGGGGTTCTCATCGCTGCCATGTCATGACTTTCCTATTACTAGTCAACGCACTATGACTGCGAGGATGCCATCGGTTGATGTCCTTGACTCTAGTAACATGCGTGGGAAGTTGCGGGATTGGCGTTGCCAGGCTTGTCTCACCTTGACATCTGGGACTTCTCTCAGCTGCCTGGCCCGTTCCTGGTTGTTGGTATCGCTGGTCTCCTGCGAGAGTTTCTCCAGTCCGGGCCAAGAATAGCCTCTGTGAACCACCCATCCCTCTGGATGAGGCCCCTGGGGTTTTTCATTTTTGGACAACTCGAAGAAGCGGGCAGACCAGTCGAACGCCTCGTCCAAAAAAGTCTCTGACAGGGAGTGGTTTGTGATGTGCACAACCCCACCTCCCTGCACGCCGCGATGAGATCTTGCGCTACACGCAGCCTGGGAAGTCCAGCGGGAGAAGTCCACGACTGGGATCTTGGTCTGTGCTGATTCAGGCATTGAAGCAATGGTCCACTTCGAGATGAACGAGTGTAAAATGTTTGGCAAAGCAAATCGGCAAGGGCTGGATTTTCGGTGTCGTTAGACTCTGGAGTCCAAGGTTGGGCACAGGGTAATAAAACCCTCGAATTGAAATCTCTGTGTCCCAGAAATGATGCGGTGTTTCATTTCGGTCAGCTGGGCACTATTGTCAATGTGGGCTCCGGGGCCATGCGTGTGTGATGAGAACGGGAGTTGGGCTGCGACTCGTTGCTGTGGCAGGGCGGGTGGAGAATGGGCCCGACTACATCATTCCTTTCGCTCACTCCGATCTGCTTTACACCCAAAGAAAAAATCGTTGGATATCCACATTGAGATCTCAGTGAGACGTATGATTCAATCCTCGAAGTGAGAACTGTCTGATTTGTTTGATCGCGCGCTTTTGCTGACGCTCATCTTACTCGTTTGAGTAGTTTGTTGACACCCGAGTCCAACCCTCGATACCGTACCCAACTCACCGAGAGAAGCATGGGATATTGTGAACACTGAAGAATTGAACCTGCGAAGACAAGAAAGCGACACGGCATTGCAATCCAACATTCTGACAGCCGCCCCGCCCACAAGAATGCGGGCTTCGTGGGGGTTCTGGATCTCGGCCGCATTCCTCTCCTCGGCGGTGGTGTCAACCGAAACAATCCCATTCTCTCCCCCGGAAACCGTCGAGACCAACAAACGCGCCCTTGAGATCCTCAATATCCTGAAACGATCCGACAACTGCCCCGGCGGATATCATGGGTGCTCGAACCTGGGCAACGGGGACGCCTGCTGCAAGCAGGGCACAAACTGTTCGCGCGATGCCGCCGACAACATCGCCTGCTGTCCGACTGGTGCCAAATGCACGGGCAGTCTAACCTCTGCGACCACTGCGACCGGCGCGACCGGCGCAACTGGTAGCAGCTTCATGTTTCCCCAGACGGCCACGGCCACCACGACGGCGCCGGGCGCGGGCTCAGATACCACCGGCTCGACCATGTCCGGAGCATACCCGTTTGTCTATGTGCCGACCTCGTTCGCCAACCCGGCGACTTGCTCCTCCTACTTCTCGCAATGCCAGTCTGAATACCAACAATGCACCGGCGTATTGATGGGTCGCTACGGGGTTACGGTCGGCGGACCAGGTGGTGCGGGGACGACAGTCGAAGCTATAACGGCCTCAACTCAGGCGACCTCCATATGCTCTAGTTTGAGTGTCGACGCGTGCCATGGTCTCCAACTGGGATACTGTGGCACGGTCGAAACGCAGACCGCGGATGCCCACGATGCCAATGGAAACGCTGCCACGCCAGGGCGATCATCGAGTCTTCAGGACCTTGTTCTGGGTCTGGCTGTGGCTGTGGCTGGAATGTTTATATGATTTTATGTGATGCTTTTGTATATTTTTTTTTGTTGTCACATTGGGATCTATGGCCATGTGGAGTAGAGTACCTTTATGAGAATTGAACGAAATTTGCAACTCGACCGGGGCAACCCCGGAATCTTACTTTGCTTATGGACAAAGAAAGATCAAGTAGAAATATCAGAACACCCATGGTTATCATGGTTCTTTATGGTTCTTTATGGCTGGAGTGTAGTTGTATAGTTGATGAGAACGGAAGGGATCGTCTCGCGGGGTCGCCCTGACAGCATACCAGTGAATCAAATCCTGATCAATTACTCCGTATTATTTTATATTTTAGTAGTATTCCCCTTAATTGAATATACAATTCATGCGTATGTTAACTCCGTACCATCTGAGTATCCACGGGCAACATCTGAAACCCAGCCCCCGCCAAAATCCGCCAAATTTAGGCGATTGGAAATCGGGTGGTTGGGTACTGGACTGGAGGCTGGGAGACTCGTGCACCTTCTCTTCTTCTTTTCTTTTCTTCTTTTTCTCTGTTTCTCTCTCTCTCTCTCTCTACATTCCATTGCCTTTTTGACATTCGCATTCCAACTGTCGGTTTTCCGAACTTCGTGATTTACTTCTGTAGATCAGACCGGAGCATACACCGTCCCGTGCGATTCGAGTGTCAGCGCCGATCCCGATCGCAACCAGTACAATCGCCAATCACCAAGAAATCAATCTTTTCAAAAAAGTCACACTGAACATCGCCAACGATCCTTGCGAGCCCTGCCTCGCTCCTCGCCCGCAATGCGGTCCTTTTCCGTGATCTCGCTGCTCTCGGCGCTGACTCTCCTACTGAACCACTCACAAGTGGCTGTCGCAAGTCCCGTCGCCCTGGAAGAAACCGATGTCGAAAAGCGCTGCGCCAAACCTTGCGGCTCTGGTGGCTGGCTTTGCTGTCGTGAGGACGAGACCTGCAGCACCAACAGCGCGAATCAAGCAGTGTGTTCTGGCGGTTCTGGCGGCCAAGGTGATTGGCAGTACTTTACCACCACGTACGTGGTTACTGAGACCGACAAGTCGACGATCACCTCTGTCTGGAGTAGCAGACATGCCCAGACCGCGGCCCCGACACAGACCGGCAGCTGCAAACTCGAGATCGGCGAATCGACGTGTGGAAACGATTGCTGCGATGCTTCATCAACTTGCGAAAATGGCAAGTGTGTTCAGGAAAGCTCTTCGGCTGATGCTTCGGCGACACCTCCAGTGCGGGGGACGAGCAGTGGCATGTCCACCGCGACGGAGACCGCAGCTCCCACCACGACCCGGGGATTCATTGCACCTGTCGGGACAGACGGAGCCGACTTGGTCGGAGCCAAGGCCTCGGACGGTGGTGGAGGCCTGAGCGGCGGTGCCATTGCAGGTATCGTCGTGGGTACCATTGCCGGTGTCTTTCTGTTGCTACTACTGTGTCTCTGCATGTGCTTCAAGGGTTCCTTGGACCGCATCTTGGCTGCCTTGGGCTTCGGCAAACGCCGCAGAAAGGACACTACCTATGTCGAGGAGCGCTACTCCCACCATTCGCATGGCAGTCGACCAGCACCAGGCCGCCGGACGTGGTTCGGCACTCGGCCAGCGGCACCCCCGACAGAGAGCGATGTTAGTGAAAAGAAATCCAAGTGGAGTGGCTTGGCCACCGTCGGGATCATCCTGGGTGCGCTTGCGCTATGCTTGGGGTTGAAGAGACGCCACGACCGAGAGCAAGACCACGACGATGACAAGACCTCTTACACTTACCCGAGCTCATACTATTACTCCGACTACTATACTCAGAGTATGTCTACCCCCAGCAGGAAGCACACCCACGGAGAGAATTTGGCTGACTTCTCCCCAGGCAGCGAAAGTTCAGACAGACGAACGCGAGACACACGACAGTCTCGACGATCACGCACACGATCCCGACGCTGATGATTGACGAGTTCCGCTGAGGTTCTTTGCAAATTGAGCAAACCAACTATGCATCCGATGGCGCCGACTTAATGCGATTCATGTATCATTATGACTCACCCGATGTTGCCCTGCTTTTGGGCTGTGACGATATGGCTTTCTTTTTCGATGTCGATATGAACCTGGTTTGGGTTTGGGGATTATTTGGGATTCTTGGGAGATTTTTCTTCTTCGCCTTTCCGACATGATCGAGGACAGGCGATGTAAATATGAGATATGAAAAAATGGATTTATGATCATTTCAAGGAGGGATTGTTCATGCGCTCTTGGAGATGTTCTTTACATCCATGCCGCCATTTAGATCTGGCTGCAGGAAGCAATGAGCCGCAGCGAACGAGAGATCGGGGCTGGTCTTGCAGACACAATGTGCTCCGTTGGCCAGAATGTGCTGGGCAATCTGCAGACTCGATGCGGAGATCCCCATGTCCCGAGTCCACGCTGAAAAGGATCTGCAGTAGAGGATACAGACAAAATAAGAAAATGAAATAAAACATATATCTGCTATAATTGAATATCACACTCTCTCAGAAGACATTGGTGAAGATGGCCATGGCTGGCAGAGTGTGACGGGGCACACAAAGTGAAGTCTCCCCGCCTTCCGAGCCCGAACTTCTCTTCTCTCTCTCTCTCTCCGCCCAGGCAACACTCATATCCATCCCCTTTGTTTCTGCTTCATCAATGACCGTGGTCACGAGTTGTATCGCCTGACACTGACCGCCTATTTTACTCTATTACTGAAAAAAGCCCCTGCCTTGCGGTGTCGGTCGCTGGCACCTGAGATCCCGACCCTTCGGAGCATTACGAGTCCCCGACCCGACCCCCCATCGCCATGCTTCAAGCGCAGGGCCAACACGTCTTCTCTCATCAGCATCAATACCCCCAGGCTGACCCCTCGTGGCTGCACCAACAGCAACAGCAGCACCACCAGGCCCAGCCACACCCTCACCAGTCGCAGCACGCCTCCCTGGTCGCCCAGCAGCATGCTCAGGCTCAGGCAGCTGCCGCTGCCGCTCAGCAACAACACTACGGTCGCCTGGCTATGACTGGCAATGGTGCTGGGAATCCTGCGCAGGGTGCCGGTGCCGGCGCCATGGGTGGTGAGGGTCTGTCGAACGTCTCGGTCATGGATGGGGGAATCAGCGAGGAGAATCGCAAGGTTTTCATCTGGGTCGCAGAGCTGCTGGACCCGGCTCGTCGGGAGGCAGCCCTCATGGAACTCAGCAAGAAGCGCGAACAAGTCCCGGAACTGGCTCTGGTGATCTGGCACTCCTTCGGTAAGAGTCATTCGGGTGTGCGTGGGATCCTCTGGATCGATGGTTCACTAACGGTCGGCTTCTGGCAGGTGTCATGACGGCCCTTCTTCAAGAAATTATCTCGGTCTACCCGCTCTTGAACCCGTCCCAGCTGACTGCTGCTGCATCGAATCGGGTCTGTAATGCGCTGGCGCTCTTGCAGTGTGTCGCATCCCACAATGAGACCCGTACCCTTTTCCTGAACGGTAAGTCATCCGCTGCGCGCAACTTGATAACCGGATTTCTCGACTGACCACTATCTGCTATAGCTCACATCCCTCTGTTTCTCTATCCTTTCCTCAACACAACCTCCAAGTCTCGACCCTTTGAATACCTTCGTCTTACATCGCTGGGTGTCATCGGAGCGCTGGTGAAGAACGATTCGTCGGATGTGATCAACTTCCTCCTCACCACCGAAATAATCCCACTCTGCCTCCGCATCATGGAGACTGGGTCCGAATTGAGCAAGACTGTCGCCATTTTCATTGTCCAGAAGATTCTCCTCGATGACATTGGTCTGGCGTACATCTGTGCGACCTACGAAAGGTTCTATGCTGTGGGTACTGTTCTCAGCAACATGGTTACCCAGTTGGTGGAGCAACAGACCGTCCGTCTCCTCAAGCACGTTGTGCGCTGCTTCCTTCGGTAGGTTTCGCGACAGTCCGGCTTGTTTCGGATGACCGTATACTAACAACCAATTCAGTCTCAGTGACAACAGCCGGGCCCGAGAGGCTCTGCGACAGTGCCTTCCCGAACCCCTTCGCGACGCCACTTTCTCCTCCGTCCTCCGCGACGATGCCGCTACGAAACGCTGCCTCGCACAGTTGCTCATCAACTTGTCCGACAACGTCTCGGACGGGGCCCCGGCGGCCATGTAACATACGAAAAACGCATCTGTTTCTTTCCTCCCGGGATATCTGATCATTTTACGACATGCATGGGGCTTCTGGCGATTATTGGACACAAGGCGCAACAATTGGGGGTGGACACTTGATGGATCCAACGCATGAGGTAAGCTGTCATCGATGGGAGATCCGCCATTTGTTTTTTCTTCTGTCTGGCTTGTTTCCAACATCTACATCGGGGCAAGTTCGGGACTCCGGTGACCTTCTTGTGGGCATGGGAGGGCAACATCCTTTCTCATGTCTTTTTCTTATTCTTCTTCTTTTCCTTGCTATTCTATTGCATCTTGCTCGTGGGAAAATATGTCTGGTTTTCTGCTTTGCTTTTTCTCTGATACTTTTTCTCTCTTGCTGTCTCTTTTCGCGGTGCTGGCAAGTTGGGTGGCGTGGGTTTTCTGGTCGGCGCTGTTGTTTGATGTGCATTTGCCCTTGACGATCCCCTATTGCTCTGTGTGAGATAGAACTTTGAGCGAGATACCAAGATCCAGGCGTCGTTTCTTCTTTTCTCTCTCTGGCATCGCCAATGGCTTTTACTGTGGATAGTGCTGCGCAAAGGAATGTATACGGTATGGTATAAAATCGAGTCCTTTAGTTTTCATAGTAGCACCCTGGTTCTGGGGGCAATTGATTCAGTGAACGAATCCAATGGATGCCTCCATGGCGATTCATAGAGAATGGGTCGATCGACGGTGAAGCAGCGGAGGCGGCAATTCAAACGCGAATTCCACGTGACCCGACGCGCCTTTCTCTGAGCTCATCTCCCATCGCCTCTTCACCAGGGAAAAAAAAAGTCCACGATTCTCCCTCGGCTCTCTTTTTGGCTCTCTCGTTTTTTATCTCTTCCCATTTGACCCCGAGTGTCACATCCATTGTGCCATTGATCACGACACCAAGTTCCCTTTCAGCCAACTGCCACCGAAATCCCCCTTGACATCGGCCCGTGAAGGTCCCCCCGTCCCGTCGCGATGGGATCGCGAAAGCGCACTCGCTCCGAGGCGGTCGCTGTCCCCGAACAGCCACTCCCGGAGGAACCCGGCTTACTCCAGCGGATCAGGAGCTCCTGGGAGTTTGCGAGCCTTATGCAATACATTGCCATCTTCGGGCCAGTGATGAAGATCGACGAGGAGTTTGAAATCGAGGTATGGTTGTCACATTTAGAAGCTCTAGCCCAGGTTAATGTTTTGTTTGCTCGAACCCGGCTGATACTTTCTTCATCCCTACTGGATATTAGGACTTGGAGGACGAATGCCTCAAGCCTGAACCCTCGCACAAGTTACTGGAGATTGGGTTGTGTCTTCTCAAATGGATCTCATCGCATCGCGGTCTCACGTATGTAGCCTCGCGTGCGCATCTATGATGGTGATCTTGACTGACGCCAACGTCTAATGACAGGTTTGACAACTTCGACGAGTACACCCGCCGTCAGTACAATGCCAAAGCCCCACATGTCCAAAACCCCTTCGGTTATGATGAAGAGCCCCGCAGGTTCTTGGATTTCGATGTCTTTCTGAAGCTGCGCGTCCTTCAACAATTGAGTGTGTGGACGTTCTGGAACGCTGATCGCATCCGCGACAAGATGCCCGAGAAGAAGGAGAACGATCAGACAGAATGGGTAAGTTGGCTCTCTCTTGGACAGAAACGTACCGTGGCGCCCATTGACGGTTTACCAGCGTGTCGAGGAATTTGGCTACGATCGCGAAGGCCGACTTTACTACGTCCTGGATGACAACCGCCTCTACCGACGCACCGACCCTCCCATTCCTGCCCCTCAGCGTCCGAAGAAGAAACCAAAGAGCAGATCGTCGCGAGCCTCGCGCACGTCGAAGCGAACCTCGGGGGCTGTTGCGGCGGAAGAAGACTCCGGCGAGGAAAAAGAGGCCAACAATGGAACAGCCAATGCATTTTCCTCTGAAGAACCGTTCAAGTGGGAATGTTTGGCGGTTACGCTTACGGATTACCAAGAATTCCTTGATACCATCCGAAAATCTAAAGATGCAGATGAGAAGATACTGCGCGATCAAATTGAGGAGCATGTCTTGCCTCTGCTCGAGAAGGCGGAGGAAGCGCAGCAGCGCAAGCGGCTCAAGCGGGAGAAAGAGCTGCTCAACATGCAGCTGATTGCCGGCGCGAAGCGGTCGAGCCGTCTCGCCGCCAAGGAAGAAAAAGAGCGTGCCGATCGTGAGGCTTTCGAGGCAGCTCGCAAGCGGGAGTCCGACCTCGCGGAGGCTCGCAGAGAACAAGCAAAACATCAACAACTTGAAGACGACCGACAATCACGCATGATGACCCGTGAACAGCGCATCAAGGATCGCGAACAGAAGCGGATCCTGCACGAAGCAGAGCTTGAGAGGATCGCTGCGGAACAAGAAAGACTGGAAAGCGGCGAGAGCAGAGCCTCCGCGCGGAACCTCAAAGCTGAGCTGGAGAAATCACAGAAGAATTTGGCAGAACTTACTCAGGATGATGACTGGATCTTCGATTGCTCTGGTTGTGGGGTGCATGGCGAGAATCTGGATGATGGAAGCCATAGCGTTGCTTGCGAGAAGTGCAGCGTCTGGCAGCACAGCAAGTGTCTTGGTATCTCGCAAGAAGATGCGGAGAAGGAGGACTTTCATTTTGTGTGCCGCGACTGCAAGCGAAAAGATGAAGAGGCCAACCTCCCCAAGCTTCCGCCTCTCAGATTCCAGCTCAGTGCCTCTCCGTCTTCTGTTCCCCCGGCAGGCAAGAAACGAAAGATGGAAAACGATGACCACGCCCCGCCGTCACCCGTAAAGAAGACTCATACGGCTCTTTCCAGCGTCCAAGGCGGATTGCTGCCCGGATCGCAGCCTGACCTTCCTCCGCTTGCCCCTGGTCATGGCCCCCCGTACCCTCCATCGCCCGACCGTCGCGCTCATCCCGCAAACCAGACCTCGTTGCCGCCTTCGAGCCCTCCCCGCGTACCTTTCTCTCCTCCAAAGGGCATGAATGGTCTGATGCAGCCCGCCATGGGACAGCACCCCAATCCTGGGCCTGGCCGACCGGCTCTACCGCCGATGCAAGCAACACCGCATCTACCTCCAATCGGGTCTTTTGGCTCCGTGCGGCCTTCATCCTCCCATTCTGGTCAAACCCCGATCCAGAACCGACCGTCCATGTCTCCTACACAAGGCAACCATGATGTCGGCCCTCTGGCAGGATTCCCGCCTTCGGCTCCGGCCGATGGGTCGACACCGCGTCCCTCTTTTGAGAGCCATGCGACTCCTCGCCCTCAGTCTGGACATGGGGCCACTCCCGCGATATCTAGTAACTACCCATCCTTCTCGGCTGCCGCAACCCCCAACGGCAACCACTCCTCGCCTCCGCAAAGCTCCCATGGCATGGGCATGTCAGGGATTAGTCCGATCAAGCATTCTCCTCGGCCCATGACATCTAGTGCTATAGCGGGTGCCCCCGTTCTGCCACCTATTCGCAAACTAGATCCTAGCCCGAAGCTCATGGGCCGTAGCTCGCCGGATGCCCCGATTCCTGCTCCCACGAAATGCATGACCCCTGAACAAGAACAACGACGGCAAAGAGAGAATGTATCGTTGCTGCAGCAGAGCCACGCCTATTCCGGAAATGGACAGCCGAATCTGATGTCGTCGCCATCCCTCAACCGTATCCCTCCTCTGGTTTCAGCGGCGACATCACAGCAGCCTGACCCATCATCGCCCCAGCGCGGGAATGTTCCCAGGCAGTGAATTTTGCAATGAAAAGTCAAGATCGTTCTACGACTATCTTCTGCTTCATTTTTTTTCTCAATTGATTTGACCCAACTCGGGTTGCCGACCTGGATATCACGACAGAGTTAAGTCGGCAAGCCGAATGGCTGCACAAAACCTTAGCTGCGGCATTGTGGTTACCTCATCTGTTCCCTTGACGTTCATTTTGGCTTTCGACCGAATATGGTGGAACCCCTGAGCACGCGGTGGGAGCGAATTATGGGTATCCGGAGTTATTCTCCCTGAAATGAGATCCACCTTCAACGGCCGAGCCAGACGTACAACATTGACAACATTGAGTTGGTGTCTGTGACTGCGAATTCGTTTTTACTGTCGATCAGAAATTAGACGATCTGATCTGTGGCAGGAAAGTATAATTGTGCCTCGTCCAGGAGTGTTTTGTCCGGGTTGGTCTCAAGGTCCCTGTTGCTTACGGCCACCTTTTTTTTTTTTTTTTTTTTTTTTTTTCTTTGCAGCTTGCCTGAAGAGTTGGTGAGCTCTAGGCAGCTTTTGATGATCGGTCGGCGTTTTTCTTTTCTGTGTCTTTTTCTTGTTTTCTCTGCATCAAGATGGATGGACTACTGCGGCGTTTCGAGATGGCCATCCGGGGCGGGGAGTGTTTTGCAAGACCGGTGGGCTGGGACATGTATTTCTAATAGAATTTCATTTGTGAGCTTGTGTTCTTGTGTGATTAGTTGCCTGGTTTGTAGAGCTTAGTGGTTGGTGTTTACATGCCAGGATATGAATAGACTTCAGTATACTCCATAATTGATGTATCATTTTGTGGAAATCCAGTTCAAATCAGTTGTTTTCTAGAGCATGGATCTTACTTTCTACAGCCAGATATTATCTATTATCATGGAGTAAAGTATTTCGTAGGTTCTCTTCTCACTTCCTATTTAGGCAGATATAGATGCCACGCATACAAATCCCGACCTATATCTCCCGCCCATTAATACCGATATCAAGTATTCATTAAGACCCGGGTTTTTCCAATCTAAGCATCTAAGTTGCAATACAAAACAAACTGTATTGTATCCCCAGCCCGAATGCCAATCGACCGATCCAATCCGATCGACAGCCCCTGGCTGTGTTTACAATTGGAATTGGAATTGGGATGTTGGTGGTTAAACACAGACTGCATAAGGCTGCATTTTATATTATTTTGCTTTTATTTGGTTTATCTATGGACTAATTCTTTTTGCATATCCTATCCCTAACTACGTATACTTGGTAGTATGCATGCAGGTACCTACCCATCGAAGCCATATATCAGCACGGCCCGTCGCATGGCCCCTCCTTATTTCCACTGGGTAGTCTCAATTATCAGACTGACAGTAATGACCGTTTAATTCAACCCCCCCCCCCCCCCCCTTTTTTTTTTTTTTTTTTTCCCCTTTCTTTCTTCTTTTTCTTTTCACAAAGAAATGTTATCCGAAGATATGAGCATCGCCAAACTATCGATAAACTAACTTCACCCCGTTAACGCCCGAGCGTCGCACTAGACTAAGGGGATTGGAGAGGTCATAGTGTCATAGTGTAGCATGTAGCATGGGCCATGGAGTGAGCAAAGCAAAGCGGCTCAGCCTCCCCTTTAGACGCGCTCGATCTGCCTGGATCTTCCGAAATTACCGTTATTCCCCACTCCCCCTTTTCTTCCTCCTTCCTTCTTCTTACTATCTACTATGACAGCACAAGAAAAAGGAGGGCGTACCCAAGGCAAAAGACTCAATACGAGAGAATATTCACGAGTCATGTTCTCCCCCCCCCCCCCCCCCTCCTCAGTTCTCATCCCACGGATTCGCATTTGTAGGTGTCATTCCCACCCCCCGTTGTAACCACGGTTCAGATGAGGCGCGAACTCGCCGTGGATCCCCGGCCGGTCCACCCCCAGACGTGTTTGGGTGGGGGTGTTCATCACCCCTCGAGAGAGAAAGAGAAGAAAGATCTCAAGGGATGAGAAGAGGGATCCACTGAGAAGCCCGTTTTTGGTGGATACCCCGTGGTGATTCCATCATTGCATTTTTGTGATTCCTCTAGATCGTGGGCCTTGCCCTAGTTAGGGAGATATGTATAGTTCCACCGTTCTGTCCGTACTGTCCACACTGTCCAATGTATGTAGATTATGTACTCTGTAGCTCATGTATCTCATCATATAGACCAATTTGTATGACATATCCCAGGTTGGTCCAAGCTCCCAGCTCCACTCCTGCAGCTCATCCTGTCTGACCGAGAACGGGGTGGATCTGAAGCCACCTACACTCTCGTGAGTTGGCCCGTCCATTTGTGGGTAATTGGGGCGCTTCCTCCCGTTTTCCTCTTCTTCTTCTTCTTTCCCCCGATCCGCGGATCACCAAGAATTATTCCAAGATTGCCATTTCTGAAGATGATCATGCGTTCGTATGAGTAATTATGTTATTCACTACCCTACCACTATAGGTAGCCATCGGGGACTTTCAAACTTTCGGGGTTAGAAGAAAAAAAAAAGAGATTACAAACATCGCACATAGACCCTACACTCAAGAGCAACCTTGGAAGTAGATCGCCTTTGCATCTCCCCTCTTTAGCCGGTGGACCCGGCAACGATTTGTCACGACACGGGATGGTTCAGCCGAAACTATTGGATTAGATCAGGATAAACGGCTTCGACTAGGCGACTAGGGATAATTGGATTTATTTTTCTCTTCTTATTTTGCCTGTTGTGCAGATGAAGAGAGAAGAAAGGTACTCTCTCCACTCTTATAGTACTTCTGTTGCTTCTGTAGATACTATATACCTAGCAAGATATACACTTTCCTGCTCGCTGTCACCATGAGATCAGCAACGTGGTCCCACGAGGGAATACGAATTTCTCTTTTTTTTTTTTTTTTTTTTAATATGTTAATTATATGATTATCGGACCAGGGGCCAGCACTGGCGTGTGACGGGGAAATGCTTCCTTGGCGCCAGTATACGCGGGTCGAGCCTCTCGTCGTTTTTTTCCTCTCTCGTCTCGTGAGCCAGCGGTACTGGTACAGCAGTCTGTCTAGTGTTAGCTGGCACAGTCACTCTCTTCTGGACGCATTAGGGCTGGTCGGATGTGGCCGTCACATCCTGGGAATCCCCCCTTTCCCCCCTGGACCTCCTTCTCACTCACTGAAAAGCGGGATCGAAGCGCCAGGATTCTCCCACATTATGGCTAATACCCGGCCGGAGGTGTGATAGCACTCTCCACTTCTCGTACTCCACTTTCTCGCTGTGTCTCCGAGGATAGACAGACAGACAGACAGACACACATGCACAAACACAGAGATAGGTATTACAGAGAAGATGCAAGTGTGATGGATTGGCACGAACTCTAAGCTCTCGAACCCGTTGACGATACTTGCCTGGTCAGGAAGAACCTCCCCCCGGGTCTCATTAAGGGATGAGCCCATTCGAAAAAGAAAGAGGGTCTCCAACCGGCGTCGCCGAACCGATGTGCCAGCAGCCAGAACAGGTGACTGGAAGTGTCTGCGGGGGCTAACGCCACGCGTGTGATGATAGGCAGAGAAGAAAAGAGACATGATTGTCAAGTTCCTGGGTGCCCGGATCCTTTCCCGGTCAGGGTACTGTTGACGACAACACCTGGCTCAGGCCGTTACCTCCCCCCTTTTTGTCAGGTTTTGTCTGGTGAATACGGCAGGGCTATATTCGGGCTTACTCGGACAGAGAGCGACAGTACAGTAAGCAGAGTTCTAGCCCGACTTCGGGGACTAATTGACTGCGCCAGGTGAAATTTCCGGGATCTCGATGATGTGATGATGTTATTCCCAGATGATCGTCTCTCTCCCCCGTCATCTCCAGGTTGGTTCTGCTTGGAATTGCCCGTTGCGTCCGCATTGCAGAATGGTCGAGCTGATAAGGCCCTGAGGATGTGAGCATACTCAACATACCCATTCACGCTGAAGCAAACACTCTAAAAGTACAAGCGAGGAACCCTGGAGCATCGCATAGCACCAACACGTGGGCTTTCACTAGAGGCTTGCAGCAGGGATTCGGGGATGCACGTTCGAATAGTCCCCTTCGCCCGAGTGTACAATAAATGACCAAAAAAAAAAAAAAAATTACATAGAACGCAAGAACGCATGAACACACCTGAATCATGATATGATGATCGACGCCCGTTGCCGCGAGTCTTCGCAGCCGGGGTCGTTCGGTAACCGCAGAAGCCAAAAATGAGCCCAAGGCCCCCGGATGAGGCAAGATCCGCTGAGAGAGAGAGAAACCTCGTCAATCAGACGGCGTCGCTTTACTGTACGCCTGCAGGTGATTTCTCTCTGTGCCATTCTGGATTCTGACAGTGGTAGGATACCTTCGGTGGCCCCATCTAGAGACCCGGTTGCCCAATAGTGGCTCTGCCTGGGTTGGTGACAACGGCCCCAGGGGGAGAGAGAGAGTGGAGAAGAAGATCACGTTTGGGAAGGATCCGAATAGATCTACATTATTCATGGTTGTATACACACATCCTCTTGAGATGGGTGGAAAAAAAAAAGAGTTGGGCATCTTCTCTCAGCACTCTCTGTTGGCACTTGGCACTTTCACCGAAGCGTTCACCAGAGACAAGGGTTGCCCACGCCCACACCTCTTTCCACAGTGAACTTGCTTTAGGGTGGCATGGCCCGGCCGATAGCGCGAAGGGGCCCCCTCTTGCTGTGTGTGTCTCCGCGAGGATCGAATGGCAGACCCCGATTTTTGCGTGAATTTCTGTGGTTCACTCCCCCTTCTCCCTCTGGTCTGATTCCCCGGCAAGGGAACGTGGCAGCCCGGGTTTGTACAGATAGGCGTGAGGCTTGCCATGGGTCATAGTCCAGCCACCATGGGTCAAGGCGACTCTTTCTCTATCTCTCTTCTTCTCCCCGAGAATTTTGTTGGGGGAAAAACGGGCGGTAGGATGAGATGACCAGATTTATCCACAGGTGCGTGCATGAACAAGCGAGAGTATCTCACGCCGTTTCTTGTGGCAGGCGAACGGTCGATCACCAAACTCTGACCATTCCTTTTTTTCTTTTCTTTTTTTTCTTTTTGCCCTTCCAGTCACAATCCCTGCAGAAGAGAGGAGGCTCGCTCACAGATGTCGAGGATCATCGACAGACCCCGTCTCTCTGCCGTTCTCATCGGCCAATGCGTTTTGCCAAACATATCCTGCTCCCGTCTGGTTCGCACCAGTCTATGCTTCCTTTCTTTGATCGAGTCCCCGGGGGCTGACGATGATAATTATAGCCTCAATGAGCCTCAAGATGAGGCATTTCTTTCTTTTAGACACATGGACATGGAATGGACGATCAGGGAGGAGGGATCATGAAACACAGATGTTTGACAGTGAGACCGTGGAGAAGGGGTGGTTACCCCCCTTGTTGTCCTGGTCAGCCGACTGAAGTGGCGTGAATTAGTGCGCTCGCCCGATGTCTCTGAACCCTCGACACTCAACCTTCCAGAAGGTCTTGGAAGGGGCTGAGAGAAACAGAGAAAAGAGGGGCTAGTGGAGGGCATCCTTGCTGTCAATCGTGTTCCATTTTGGACCAGAAAAAAAAACTGCAGGGAAGAAATCATTCGGGGCCTGAGCACCCTGGATCGTGAGTCTCCCCGATAGCCTCGCCTTGGCTCACCCACGATTTGGAATTCGGGGAGTCTATACGATGGCAATTTTGGCCGTGCGGAGGGTTCTGAGAACGAGGTTCTCGTTTTTTCTTTCTTTCTTTTTTTTTTTTTTTTGCTGTCCACAAGTCTGTCTGTTAGCAAGTGTGGTTTCCACAGGCATATCTGTTGTCTGCCACTGTTATGTCGGACAGGGTGCTGACAGGCACCCCCTTCTCTCCAGGGCTTGAGCGAGAACAAGAAAACGCATTAAGCTCACGCAGACTGAGCCCCGCCTTCGTCGAGTCAACCACATGGCCATCAGATTCCGTGCGCCTCAATGGGTCCCTAAAGTGGTGTACCACATGGCAACACGAGGTCTGATCTCGGGCTATCCTCTTTCGAGGTCCCCGAAGGGTGGTCTGCATGGTTGCATGGCTGCATGGTCAACAAAGAACGTGTCAAAAATTGAAAGAAAGAAAGAGAAATGCGAAAAGAAAGAAAACGTGGTTTGCTGTTCCTGCGCAAACCATCGGGACCAAAGTCCCATTTAGTGTCGAACACCGGTTCATCCCAGTTGTCCTCACCGCACTTCGAATCTCCCCGACAATGCATCCATCGAAGAAAAGGTGGTTGGACTATGCCTGTTCCGGCAGGGTGCAGAGAGGCTCCTCGTAAGCGCAGCCGCGATGCGTCTGATCCTGTCGTAATCTGAGATTCGAAAAAGACAAAAAAAAAAAGGGGGGGGGGGGGCTGATGGAAGGAATAGGGGCAAATATCGGGGAGATCCCCCCTGCCACCGCTAATCATGGACCATGACAAGGTGTCATGATTCTCTGTGGCGTCTTAACGGGCGACCAGCATCTCACCCCGCGAATGAGAGTTGGAGGCGGGGGGGATCATGTTGGCACTACGTGAGGAACTATCGACATATCGTTCGAGTAGTCCGTGAAGATCCACACAGAGAGAGAGAAGATCAGACTGGATCTTGCCAATCCCCCTCTCTAGACTGGTCAACGGTCCTATTCGTACACTTTTCGATACTTCGGGGACTTTTGAGAGATCGGGGAGGAGACCCTCCGAACGTTAAGTTGGGAAGGGCTCCACATCGCAAGCCGCCTTTTACCTCAAGGAGTTTAGCATCAAAAGTCCCAGTCAACCGCATCATTCCAGGCTCGCCGGATACATCAACCCGGCCAGTGCAAGTACCAACCAGCGTGAGAGTGGCGCTCAATCTGCCAGGCCTGTGAGGTTTGGTGTCGATCAGGAGGATCCGGACTCCACTCAGAACCGTGCAGCCGAAATAGACGGAGTAAAAATAAATTAAAAAAGAATTAAAAAAAAAAGAATAAGCATTTAATCAAATAGTAAAATATATAGAAAAAAAAATCATAGAACAACTGTATCATGAACCACTGGGAGTTCGAGCCGGATGACAACCAGAAAAACCTTGGTTAGGGCTATTTCTCGACATCGCGCATTTCCCGATTCCCCCCGAACAACCCCCCCAAATCTAGAACTACTCCTCAACAGATCCCTCAAAACCATGGTTGAAGGTGTGATGGGCGTTGTGTGGAATATTGCACTATACTGAAACCATGCCATGCTGAGGAATAAAAGAGAGAGTGTGTGTGAAAGAGTCATCCACGGGTTCAGAGCTGGAGCGAGGAAGAGATCTTGGGGAAATGCCGATCCTAGAAGTCGTTGCTTATCTGAGAGGGGTAATTCACTGGACTATGCCTAGAAACTAGTGAGGTAGTGTGATAATGTATTCCTGTTACCTCTAAAGAATGACTAGAGAATGACACCCGTTATGATGTCTTGCAGCTAGGCTTAGCTCCGTGTCTGTGCCCGAGTATGAGATGCCTTGGACAAAGTCAGATTGAATGGTTTCTTGTATCGTTTATAGAGTATATAAATTGAAGATATTTAGATTTTGTATATAAAAAAGGGCATAGAATAGAAAAAAAAAAAACAGAAATGTAATTCAAGTAGATCATGATGTTATTTGACTGCGAGACGTCACCTCATTGCTTTTCCCCGGCGCAGTCGCATCTTCCCCATGCAAGCCCCAAAAACCAACTAGCCGTGCCAGTCCAATCCAATATCTTTTTCTTTTTCTTTTCTTTTTCTGGGGATTTCTGACCATTTAGAATTCATCTTGCCCGGGTTTCTCCCTTTTCCTATTTGCATCCGTCCCATTACATCCCCGTATGCTGTGCAACAGAGGCTCCCTCACGTTGGGGGGAAAGCAAACCATACCTGATGTTGGGACCCTCTTTTTTTAAAAATCTGTTACAATCTGCTTCTTCTTCTAGACTGGGTTCTGCGAAGAAACCCGGCACTCCATATTTGGCACAAAGAAGGATGTGTTTCCGGGGAGAAGGAAATGCAGTCTAGAAAATCCACGATAAAAATAAACCCAAAAAAGAAAAACCGCATAGAATAATAATAATTCAATAATTGAAATAATTAAATAAAATAATAAGAGACAAATGGGAATTCAGCTCGTCAAGCCAATCGTAAAACACCCGGACAAAGAAGGGCGTGCTAGAGGCGTGGAAATAAAAAAAAAATAGAAATTAAACGATTAAATATTTAAATATTTAAATATTCTATTTAATAAAATAAAATCCATGCCACTAACCAGCCCAAGAGAAATAGATCCACGCCGTATTGTATCCAAACCTCCCTACAGTTTCAGCCCAGTTCGTCCCGACATAAAGATCTCCCCCTCGCCCTCTTCACTCTCTTCTGATCTTCACTTTTTCAAGTTCTGGTTGATCCGACTCAGTGGACCTCTTTATCTCTTCACTGCTCTCTATCCTTCCATACTTCTACTACTTTGTTTCTTCTTCTTGTTTGTTCGACTTGTAAAACACCCTTTTCTCTGCTCGTCAATCCAATTGGGTTGGTACCTGCTTGTCTCACCTGTCATCGTCTGCACTGTCTGAGAATTCCGCTCTTTCAGGGGGAGATTCCCTCAAATGCAAGACCGCTTGCAGGGTAGGACAACAGCGGGCAACCCCTCTTCTACTCTTCTTCCACTTCGTTTCTACTTTCGGAAGAACCCTTCTGGCTTTTTCTGAATTAGCCCTCACGACATCTTTTACTCTCTCTCTCTCTTTTTCTGGGGCTATTTTCCGACAATAATCCTCTGAAGCCAAAAAGAAAAAAAAATTAAAGAGAGGAAAAGGACAAAAAGCAACAATGGCAGCTATGGCAAGAGCCATTCCTCCTTCTCCTCCTCAGTCTGCGGATGGTGATCGAGCTATGGAAGAGCCTTTCGAAGGCTGTGGCATGTATCCTTCTTCATATGTGCCAAATGATGGAATGGATTCTGTCAAAATGAACGGCGAGGAGTTTACGAATTGCAGTCAGCCCCCGTCGATGGTGAGTATGCCTATCCTGATGATATTCCAGTCCAGCCCTAACATATCCTCAGATCTATGGTTCTCCCACCTCCTTTTACCCACCCAACGACTTTCCTCAGACAATCTCGAACCCATGTGTAAGTATTTCTTGCTGATCTGACAGGGTATTCCAAATTGATGGTGATGATGATGATGACTGACCGTTTCCCCTGCACAGATGGTGATGCCCGGCCCTCAGGTCAACACGCCGCCTCCGGCGGCTGACGAAGGCATTGTCCCCTTCCAGCTGGGATCACCCAAGTCGACATCATCGCCGCGGCGGCGTCGGGCTCCTGTGCCCAAGGCCAAGCTCGACCGATCCCCACGGGAACGACGGGCGCGGGCTCGGAGACAAGTCTCCGACGGAGGTCTCAAGGGCCAGGTGATTAACGGCCCGCTGAGTGAGCTGACCAAGCACATGCACAATGTCCCCCTCCGGGATATGGAGGCCTGGGTGCGCCGACCCTATGTGGAACGCATGCGCGAGGTGAACGAGAAGGGCAAGGTCTCGCGGCCCATGAACTCGTTCATGTTGTATCGGTCAGCCTACGCCGAGCGCACCAAGAGCCTCTTGAGCCACACCAACCACCAAAAGGTCTCGTGTGCGGCGGGCCAGAGCTGGAGAATGGAGCCGCAACATATCCGCGACAAGTATGAGATCTTAGCCAAGATCGAGCGTGACACCCACGCTGTGGCACACCCGGACTACAAGTTCACGCCGAACAAGGGCCCGGCCATCTCCAGAAAGAAGGTAAGCACGGATGAGGGTACGCCCTCGGGGTCTGTCGTCGATGCCGGCAGTCCAACAGACTGGGAGGGCAGTGAATATGCCTCGGGGTCGACCCCGGCACCTTCATTCCTGCACAACCGCTCGCAGAGCTTCGACGTCGACCGCATGTACGGCAGCCGGTCCTCCACCCCCTTTGACGGACCCGACCCGGTCTTTGCCCCTGGCAACTACCTCAGCTCGTCCTGGCATGCCAGCTACCATAGCCATAGCGTGCACCCCGCCGCCCTGCACGGTGTAGGCCCCCACATTGAGGACGTGCACTTCCGCCGGCCCAGCCCTCTGCAACAAGACTTGCAGTACGGCTCCTCGTCCAGCACTCTGGCCGCGCTCCCCGGCGGCACGCACCACGAGCTGCTCGAACACCAGCTCACAGATTCGCTGCCGGGCGGCATCACCGAAGGCGGCCACATGGACCCCCAGCTCCTCAGCTACGAAAGCGGCCCGGCCGGACAGCCCGTCGGTCCCGCCGCCTTCCCTAACGGACTCCCCACCCACCCGGTATGGGCCGACGAGTCCGCTGGCCATTGCTACCTGACCACATCGGCACCGTCGGTCACCTCAAGCCCGGCTCCGTACCACCATCCCCACATGGGATCCGCCTACCTGCCCAGCATGCAGCCGGCGGATGCCCGGGACTCTTCGTGGGACTTGCAGCAGCACCACCAGAACCATGAGCTCGAGCCTTGGCTCGAACCCCATACATTGAGCTGCTGAGTAACTCCCATCATGAGAACACACATTAATTCGATGATGCCCTTCCACGACCAACAGACGAGACATGACACACAAAGCGCAGTAATGTCCATTGGAGCTCGGAGTCGAGCTCCGAGAGTGGCTGACCGACATCGCGGTGCTGGGTTCCTGGCTGAGCTGGGTATCGAGATTGTCGGCCATGCCGATAGGTTTCTTTCGTTTCTTTCTCACAAGGAAAGAACCCAAGGAGGAATTTGGAGTTTGTTTGAGGGGTCTGTAGGCTACTTGAAGGAGGATTTTTCTTGTTCTACTTCTTTCCTTCTGTCTGCTTTTTATCCTGCTTTTTTTTGTCCTGTCAAATTTGTTGTTTTCGTGTCTATCTCCTCTTTGTGTGAATTCCCCCGGGGCAGTTTGTCTCTTGCCGGAGTGCTGGATCGGTGTCTGGTGTTTTGGGGGAGGGAAAGATGTTAGATTTCTGTTATGTTAAAGAGAGGCGGGCGGTAATCTGCTCTTAATGCACAATTGGTTTATTTCTGCAAAACAAAAGAGAAAGAAAGAAAAGAAATTCCTCGCGTGCAAATACTTGAGACAGGTACAGTTTGAGCAGCGATACCCCCGTTTGCCCTAAGTCCGACCAAAACCTCACCGCTTTTGCCCCGGCCACCGCCTTTCTGTTGATTCCCCGAGACTCTTCGACTCCATCGTTCGATCTTCAAGACTCCTTGGCGCAAGCGATTGACCCTGGTTACGATCAATTTCTTTCATTTTCAGCTATCATTCTTGTTAAAAAGAAGCCTCGTGTCAATCCACCAACTCGCTCTCCTCAATTCCTTTAAAGGGATCAGATCACCCCACTTCTCCGACCCCTCCATCCCTCATCCATCGCTATCCGATACACATACACAATCCATCGATCAAGATGTCGATTCCCAACGAAGCCTTGCAGAAGGTGAGTTCGTCTCCGTCAGATTCAGCAGTATTGGGAAGATCAGTGGAGACATTGCTTCGCAGCGGAAGAGCGAGAGTGGCTGTCGAATGAAGAATGAAGAATGGCGACTGAACAAGCATAACTAACCATACAATCTCTGCAGCTCCTCCAGGAGATTGAGTCTCGCGCCATTTCCTCGCAGCAGCAGATGCAACTCACCAAGGCGCACATGACCGCCAAGCAGCGCGACATCCGCATGCTGCAGCTGACGTCAAAGGAGCTGTCCGAGTTGCCGTCCGAGACGCCGGTGTACGAGGGTGTTGGCAAGATGTAAGCTTTCAATTCTCTTTTTTTTTTTTCTATTTGTCATGCCATCCATGGTCTCTTTTCATTCCCCCATCGTTCGGTATATCAGTGGGAAGCTCATCTCTGACTTCTCTCTGTGTGCATTCTGCAGGTTCGTCAACGTCCCCATCGACGCTGTCAACAAGCGCCTTACGAGTGAGAGATCCGAGGCAAGCTCTGAGATCAACAATCTGGAAAAGAAACTGCATTACCACGAGACTACCCACAAGAACAGCCGCGACAACCTCGAGCAGATTTTGAAGTCGGGGGGTAAGGCGTGAGAGCAGGTTAGCCTGGCAACAACAGAAAAAAAAAGGACGATGCTTTGAGAGAATGAGAGGGTTCCTGGTGGAGACTCGTTATATGCCCGGGATGTCTGTGGCCTGGCACGTGCGTGTGTGCTGTTTGAACTCCTGTCGAACTTGCGACACAACTGGAGAGTGGATCAGGCACACACTGATATACTCGTGTCCCCGGATCGGGAGAATCAAGTGTCTCCTTGATGCGCCCCCGAAGAGACAGTCAAAAGGTCACAGAAGTGCAGGCCCTTGTTCGGCATCGATCTCCCGGTAGCTTAGGAAGGCGGAATGGGAAGTATACTAGCAACATGGATACCCAGGAGTTTATATGGTCATGGACTCGAGTTTCTACACAATGAATTCAATTTCTATTCAATGCGGGACTTTGGGATTTCTTAACCTGTGGGGCTGATAAGCTTATCGTGCCGCAGCTGTTATGGTGGGATAGATCTATGGAATGCGATGGCATTGAGTAGTTGGTTCTGCGATGTAGATATTTTTGAAGTGGTAATCCTGTGGATGACTCAAATTATTCGTGTAGAAACGAAACAGGTTGATTTATTATCCGTGGATGGTATCTATATACCGTTGAGGAATACAGTATGAGCATATCTAGGAACAGCGATAAGACAATCCCTTTATTTTTATAATCTTTATTCCTCATTATGCTATATAATTTATATCTTTTACTATCATATTAAAAAAAAAAAAGGTTTAAATTGACAAACGCCCCTCCCACCGAGCGCCATTGGCGTCATGCTTGCGTTGGCTGCCGACCCAAACGAAGATGTTCCACCGATATGATCCAAAATGACGTGTCTGGAGCAACCCAGCCGTGGAACACTATTTTATTTATTCTTTTCCTTTTTTCTATTCTATTGCCGAGACATGATGATCGCTGTTAGGGCTGGACTCTCGTAAAATTCTAGTAACTGTGCGAGATAGCCTCGGATGCATTCCCGTTGACATCGAGCCGCCCGCAAGTCTATGTATATATATATATATATATAGCTCGTTTTCCGATAGAAAGGAAAAAAAAGGAAAAGTCGGTGGGCATGTGGTTCAAACACAACCCTGCAAGCACCCCGAAGTCGTACTTTTGAGAGCCGGCCCTTGTGGAGTTCCGCATAGTTCATGGATATCCGGAAACCTGGAATGCGCGACCTGGGGCACCTCCGGCGATTCGCTTTGAGGCCGATCATATCGTGGCTTCCAGCGGAGTTTTACTGCACGAGGATCGGCGGTCGAAGTACAGTTTTTATGCAATCTTCAGTTAGCGTGAATGCAGGCGGTTGGCACCTGCCATATTCTGGCGCTTGTCGTAGATACTGCCATGCACAGGAATTTTTGAAAAATCAATCATTCAAAAGGACTCGGCGTACGAGTGAAGTGATTGGCAAAGAAAGACCAAAAAAAAAAAAAAAAAAAAAAAAATTGATCGGGTCAGATATTGTATCAGGTGTAGAGTGCATGTGCCATGGGTCATCCGCGGGACCACCCGCTGGATCCATGGTACTTGAGATGGACAGCAGTATGCACCGCGGGAAATATTGATCCCTTTGGGAGTTGCAGTATTGCTACCCAAGCGCCGGGCATATCAAACAGGGTCTTGAGGGTTTCGAGTTTCAGATGTGTAAGGCACAGCTAATTCGAGTGCCAGATCGTCTCGGGTGTGTTTCAGATGGCGCTTTTTTGTTATTTTTGTCATTGTTCGAATTGTCGAGAGCTCACACGCGCTGGGAAATGAGAGGTTCGACGATCAGTTATTTTCGAAGTGAGCGCTTGCGGTTCTCAATCATTCGCAATAAGGCAAGGAATCTGTCTGTTAGGCACTCTCCCTCGTGTAAGTCTTGCGTTGGACTGCCAAGTGGGGGCCCTGTCGCTGGGACGCTTGAGCATGGAAATGAAAAGAAAAAAGAGAAGTCAGAAATGGGGGGAGGGAGAGAAGAAGAAGAAGAAGAAGAATGGTGACAGACAGAAGAAAGAGTTGAGGCTGGCGGTGGCTAAGTCGAAGAATCAGGTCAAGATATAAGCTGATGGCCGATCTTGAGGCTGAAGTGCCCAAAGTACTGTATAGGCGCTGTGTATTCATGGTGTTCGGAGTAATATATTCAGAGTAATATTCCTATATTCATAGTAACATAGTAACCGGTATTTTAATATTTTAATCTCGATGCCCCCCGTCTTTTCTTTTCTCACCCAGCCCCTCCCCCTCTTTCAGCCGATCACTCTACTGTGAGATATTGGCCCCTCTTTTCTTTTGATATTTTCTTCTTTCTTTCTTACTCTCTTACTCTCCCCCTTTCTTACTTTTCTCTTTTGTGCTCCCAGCACTCAAGTGCTTAGGCCCCCGCCTCTTATCAGGGCTCGACACACACCCCCACATCCTGCCTCTGTTATCCTCGCCCAAAAATGGTCCAGGAAATCTTGATCGACTCGGACGACTCAGGTTACTCCGAGACCGACCTTTCCATCCGCGGTCCACGCCGACACACCTCGTTCCGCCGACGATCAGTGTCGCGCCGCCGCCCAGAACAGTTTCTCTCGCCCGAGAGACAGGGCACGCGCGTAGTGCGATCGGCGTCGACCGGCGGACGACGGCCCCGCGAGCGCGAGCAGCCGACCGTGATGATCATCAACGACCAGCAGCAGCGCAACGCCCACGACCAGCAGCAACGCAGCGTCAACAAGCCGCGGCGGGTGCAGCAGCGAGTGGTGGAGCAGGACTCCGAGGACGAGTACGTGCATTCGCCGCGGCGCCACCGTGCCGTGAGCGGCGTCACACGCACTCCATCGCCCTACCATCGCGACCAGGAGCTCGTACTGGGACAGCGTTTCCTCGAAAAGAGCGACCACCGCCATGAGCTGGAGCTCTGGAAACACCAGCAGGAGATCGAGCGGCTGGAGCGCGAGCTAGATCGACACCGTGAGCGGGCGGAGCCCCGCGACTGGCGTGAGTCGCGGGCCCTGCGCGAAGAGGAGGAGTGGTACGAGGAGGAGATCAATGCGCGACTGCGTCGTCTGGAGCGGCTGGATCGCAAGAACCGCACTGACGAGGATCGGCGCCAGGCCGAGTACCGGCTCAAGATCGAGCGGTTCGAAGAGGCCGAGAGGGAGGCTGCCGAGAAAGAAGAAGTCAAGGCCAAATTGCGTGACGAAAAGCTCAAGGAGCTGCAACGCCAGAAGGAGGCCGATGAGGAGCGCGACAGAATCAAAAAGGAGATCAAAGAAGAGAAGCTGAAACAGCTGCAGCGCGAGCGTGAGGAGGAGGAAGAGCGCGAGAAGATGAAGAAGGAGATCCGCGATGAAGAGGCCCGCAAGGCACTCGAGGCGGAGGAGGAGAAGAAAAAGGCTCTTCTGGCCAAGGCCGCTGCCGTCGAGGAGTGGAAGCTGGAACAAGAGCGCAAGAAGCAGGAGGAGAGGGAAGAGGCCGAGAAGAGGGACAAGGAGTTCCGCGAGCGACTCCGTATCGAGTTCGGCTACACCGAGGAGGAGATCGATGCATTCCTCAAGAAGAAGAGGAAGGACGAAAAGAAAGATGAGAAGGACGACAGAAAGGACGACGATGCGAAGATGACTTGGATCAAGGTATGGAGCCCGCCATTATCCCACGCTGACCGTGACTGAGCTTTGACTGACGGCTATCCAGGTCCATCGCAAGCACCTGCTCCCAGAGACCCTGATTGCCTACAGTATTCCGTGGGACTGGGACGAGGTAAGAACTGCTTATACATAGCTTCATATACCTTGTTGTTTCTGGATCCCTCAATGCTGACCCCTGGGCTTTTGTATTTAGCGTGACAGCAACTATATCATCATCAAGCGGTGGATCACCGAGGACTTCCAAGAAGAACTCTTCTCCCACTCCCGGCGCCTGCGCGAGGGCAAGGTTCTGACCCAAACCTCCAGCTCGCTGACCGAGCTCAAAGTCAACGACCGCAACAAGGACAAGATGTACCTCATCCGGAAGAAGAGTCCTAGCCGGCGCCTGCGCATCTTCTAAGATGCGGGAATGGGTCACCAGAGTTTGGATATATTGTGATTCATCTCCCCTCGTATATTCATTTTGTTGTTGTTGTTGTTGTTGTTGTTGTTGTTGTTGTTTATTTTTATTTTGTTTTGCGATGAGAGCCAGATTTTTGTTTGACAAATTTTTAAGTTGAGATGTTGTTCTTGTTTTTTATTCTTTCAATGGCTACCACGATGCCTGTGGTATACAAATAATGCGACACGAGATGATGACACCCCCCTCGTCTGCTTTTGCATCCAACGCTGCTCTTTTCTATGTATCCAGCCATTTCTTGTCTAATACACGTTTCTGATGAACCTTGTGTGTCAATGCCCAGCACGGGGATAAGAATGGATTCAAGATCATTCGATAGCCATGTCTAGTTGACTATCATCCTCTATAGGAAACTCCGATGATGAGTCCATTCCAAAAGCAAGGTGTGTCGTGACCACACACACGGGATCAACTGGCAGTTGTTGGTCCCAGACTAATAATACAGAAGTAAAGATGGGTATGAGGGATGGGTACGAGATGAGATGAGATGTTGATCAGCTGAGAAATCAGAGGGTCAGCTGATGATTATTCGCCGCCCACCGCTTCTCGGCGCGCAGGATAAGCTCCTCGTAGACCGTCCATGCAAGCGCGGAGCTGAGCGCCTTGCGAGCCATGCGTAGACCAAGCCCCCCAAAGAGACTGCGAACACCATCCTCCTGGACCATCAAGCGCACCGCGCGCAACATGTTCCCGTACTTGGTGGGCATCAGCTGCAGCCGGGTCTTGACGGCATCGAACGGATTGGTGATGGCAGTTGCCAGCCCGGCGGCCGAGGCACCCGACACGAAGTTGATGGACGAAGACGAAACGGCTTCCAGCGGGGTGCCATCACTATTGGAGGAGCGCCTAGAGGCTAATTGTCGTTTGAGCTGCTCGTAGAAGAGGACGTAGAGGCCGGCGTAGGGCGCATCGCGGGCGGCGGTGGCGCCAAAGCCCGCGAAGAGACCGCGCATGCCTTCGGTGCGCACAATGTCCCGGCCGGCGCCCCAAAGACTACGGTAGGCGTAGTAGTCGGACTCGTAGCGCACCTTGAGCACGGTCACGGGCATCATGACGAAGCCCGCGGCGACGCGTGCGACGGCACCCGTGGCGAGATTGGCTGTGTTGGAGAGTTTGGGGAGGGCGGAGGAGGATTTGGGCGTGGCTGTGGCATTTGCCAGCGCGATGGGGTTATTGGCCTGTGCGATTGTCTGGCGCAGCGCATTGAGGCTGGTGAAGTAGAGCGCGGACCCGAAGCCTGTTCGGAGCGCTGAGGGGAGCGTGCCGCGCCATAGTCCACGGACCGGGTTCGGGGATGAGAGGATGGCTTTTAATGTTGGGAGGAGGGCGGCTGTTTGCTGGGATTGCTGGACGCGGGTTTTGAGGAGATCGGCTGGTTGGAGTAGGATGGAGGAAGTGAGACCGGAGCAGAGACCGGCCGCGAAGTGGAAGCTAGTTTTGGATGCTGCAGAATCGCGTGGTGTGTTAGCGATGCAGGTCACAAGTAAAGAAACCGAGGGCCATACAGGTCGAGGTGCCGGTCTTGACCTGCGGCACCACATATGCACCGTTGTTCGACATGATATCCTGCACGGACTCCGCAGGATCAACCCGGGACCGAGACAGGAGAGAAGAGTCGGATCACAGAAAAGAATAGGGGATTATTATTGCCGGTATAGGAAACTCGATACCAGACCGAATCCCATCCAGGTCGTGTGGACGAGGCTGTGGAATGGTCCAAGTCCACCGCTTGCGGGAAAAAAATCACCAGAGAAGAACCTCCAAGACCAAAGACTGTCACAGGCGGAGAGGGCGATTTAAGCAATCTGCATTGCAGGCAAATGAATTGAGAAAGCAGCGAGAGACAATTTCCGACATTCAAAGAGTGAGTCAAGAAGGCCGGGGACGAGGTTGATTAGGTGAGTAGCGCACTGATAGTGAAGTCATCGGGAGGCTCAACCTCGGTAGAAAGTGTACAACTGGCCAAGAAGAACAGTCTATTCAGAACACGTAAAGAGATGAGAATGTATATAAAAGACTGAATGCCATTGTTTTTTTTTTTTTTTTTTGAATTTCTTATTTCATGCTGAAGCTATATCTTGTAGGCCGTTCTTTACCCTGATAATAACATCATATCGACAAAGAAATGCCATGAATAGCAATATAGAGAACCTAGTATGATACAACATACTAATATATATAAACACCATAGAAATATCTTCTAATATATTATATATAATATCTCGTTCACAACTAAACGCCTCTCAAACGCCGCAAGCAGCTCGGTATTTCGCGGAGGCGCCGCAGTGGCCAATCGCCGCGCGGCAATTGGGTAATCGACGTCATGTGCTGGTATTATGCTCTTCGCCTTTGCCTTCCCTTTCTCTTTCTCTCCTTCTCTCTTGCAACAAATCCACTTGGGAGCTTAAAATCCCTCCACCATGCAGTGGTCGCTCCCCTTCTATCCGTATCCGGCCTCCAAGGTCGGATACTGGAGCCCTGTCACCTCCACGTTGAACTGGTGCGAAGAGGTATGCGTGTCTCTATGCCCCGCGATGCGCCAGCAATATGTGGCAAGCTGGGAAGATAATCACCGCTATTCGGAGCCAAGCTAACTCTCTGGTTTTGTTCTCTTTCGCAGGACTACTATGCCACGGTGTACTCCGCCGAGATCGTCAACACCCTGACCAACCTGCTGTTTATGTGGCTTGGAATCAAGGGCATCATCAGCTGCCGGCGCAATCAACATGACCAGATTTTTTTGGTGGCTTTCTGTGGATATTTGGTTGTTGGAACCGGGAGTTTTCTGTTCCACTCCACCCTCAAATGTAAGTTCAGACATTTCCTGCGCGTGTCGGACCGACGACGCTGACCATTGGACGCGCGCACAGACCCCATGCAGCTGGTCGACGAGCTCTCGATGATCTATACTACCTGTCTGATGGCCTACGCCTCTTTCTCCTACTCTCGTCCTTCCGGCATCCGTGTTGTCCTGGGCATTTCCCTGGCTGCGCTGGCCATCTTTATCACTTTATATTATCATTATCTTCAAGACCCTGTTTTCCACCAGAATGCCTACGCGCTCCTGACCACCGTTGTTGTATTGCGCAGCGTGCACACTATGGAGGTGACTCTTCGCCCCCGGTGGCGCCATTCCGACGAGGAAGACCGGATTGAGCGTCAGAAGAAGGGCCTTCCGGTCCCCTCGAAGGAACGCCAGCACTATGAGAATGTACGCGACATCAAGACTCTCAAGACGATGTGGTTTATGGTTGTGTACGGTCTGAGCATGTTCCTGGGCGGGTTCTTCATCTGGAACCTTGACAACCAATTCTGCTCTGAGATCCGCCAGTGGCGCAAGACCGTGGGCTTACCCTGGGGGATTTTCCTGGAGGGACATGGCTGGTGGTATGTGTGGTTCTGATTTTGCTCCCCCTCAATGACCTCTCTAATTCGTGTGTTCTTTGCAGGCATATCATGACCGGAATCGGCGCATACTTGTATATCATATGGGGCATCTGGCTCCGCCACTGTCTGAACCAGCGCCAGGACGAGTACCATCTGCGCTGGGCCCACTTCTGGCATATTCCCGAGGTCATCCGCACATCGCCCCCGCACGTGAACGGAGTGTCCAGAGACAAAAAGTCCACCTGATTTTTGTCCTCAATGTGACGTGCACTACCAAATAGACACCGATTTCCCTCATCTCCCGTGTTTTTGTCTTCTTCACACCGCGAGCTCGGTGTACTTTTGATCCCTGGCATTGCTGTCAAGAGGTCACTTCGTCCCGGAGACGGAATTCTGTTCTGAATTCTGGCTTATCATAGATATACCTCAGATGTGATGGGGTGTTTGTCGTGCGGTACGCGAGATCCAAAGACAAGAGTAAGCATGGCGCGAGGTTGCTATAGACGAGGTCACGATTTGGCTGATCGATTGCGATTCTCTCAGTTTGCGGTGCCCAATCGTGTAGGACTCATCAATAGGATCCAATACGCAATAGAAAGTTTCAAGAAGCCCTTCTACCTGGACGTAAATATAGTGATGTATGTATATTCCAAGAACCAAGTCTGAGCCAGTGTCCAACGCCGAGTATGAATGGGATCAACAGAGCCTATCCCCATTTAAGAACCCCCAAAATCAAAAGAAGAGCAGCGCTTGCATATATACACGAAATCATCTGCAGAACCTTACAATTTGGACGAATCCTTCTGATCCGGTTTCTTGGCCGGCCTCCGCGGCGCAGGGACATTCTTCAACCACTCTGCGTCAATAGTCATTTTTTCGAACTTGGTCTTCCGACTCCAAGCAGCACGGAAACTGTCTTCCTCTTCCCGCCAGCGCCGCAGCTCCGGCGCAAACCAACAAGCCGCGGCATCGGCGCACTCATTGACAGCCTCCTGGGCAAGCAAATGACCGAAATCCGCAAGGAACACCTCGCGCACACGACCGGCCGCCACACCACCACTGCCGCCAAGCCCTGTCCCTGTCGTGGTGAGCTTGGCGGCGCGCATCTTGGGCAGACACATATCGGACTTGCCGGCGAAGATGTACAAGACGCTGGGCCGCAGGAACGGGAGCTGCGCGAAGATGCGCGCGGGCTCGGGCCGGTAGAACGGGTAGCAGTCCGGGTGGTCTCCGTCCAGGTCTGGGTGCGTGACGCGGTTGACGGGCTGCTTGCTGCCCGGGATGTGGTGGTAGTTGGGCCGCGAGTAGGTGAACACTTCCTGGTGGAGTGGGGTCCGCAGTGTGACGGGTGCGTTGGTCGGGTCGGTGGTGGTGGTTGCGGCTTGCTTGTCGAGTGGGTGGATGGCTGTTGGGAGCTCGCGCAGGCCGTGCTGCACCCAGCGGGCCAGCACGCGCGGGTCCCAGGCTCGGTAGAATGGGCTGCGCTGGTAGCTTTGGGCGGCTGCTTCGCGGGACGGCCAGAGGTCTCGGCGGTGCGTGGAGAGCTGCGTGGTTTTGGCGATGATGCGTTGCTTCTCTTCGAGACTCAGTGGGTCCAGTTGTGTGGTATGAGGCTGGATCACCGGGTCTAGCAGTACCAATGTATGCAGCAGCCGCGGATGCATTAAGCTCAGCTGGACCCTGGTATTTGGAAGGTTTCCCGTCAGTATAAAGTGGAGTGTATCTATAGCACATTCTCGGTAACTGACAGATGTGCGCCGCCCATACTATGCCCGACGCCGACGATAGGCCGGGGCATCTCAACGCGCTTGACATTGACCAAATGGAGAAGATCCCGCGGGTGGTCGAACCAGCTGGCTGTGGCAGGGTCAGCTTGAAGCCTCTTTGCTATTAAACATGGCCTTCGTGAACCACATACGGTCATTCCCAAGAGCGTCTTCGTTGATCACACTGCTCTGGCCCTGGTGCGCCACATCGGACATCCAGATACTGCGAATCCGGAACCCACAGGCGCGAGACCGAGCGTGGATTTCCTCCCAGAGAGGTTCGTAGAGTTCCTCGTGCACAAGTCAGTATCATCAACCACGACTCCATGATTACCCGGCAATGGCAAGTATCAAAGCCCAAGTTCGCAGGTGTGCGGTATCCGAGCATACCTTGGGAAATCCATTGGCGTGCGCAGCCAGAATCGTCACATCGCCCGGTTGAGGATCCGGGTTGTCGAGGGGGATGTACTGCTTGACGGCCAAGTGCAAGGGCTCTTCTTGCTCGTTGGCGGTCGCTGCGGGATACTCGCGGATGTGCTGGCAAGGCACCACATGCTGCACGATGCGAAAAGGCGATTGAGACATGCTTAGAGTTTCTGTAGGAGGTTGAACGAATCTCCGAGTCTGATTTGCTTTGCTGTGTGTCTCCAAGTGATGTCGACAAGTGGGCCTTGCCGATGAGCCGAGGCACGCTGGCAGTCCGCGCTCACACAACTGCCGGCTTCTTGGGATTGTGTCGCGTTGTCCGAATAAGATCGAGTGATTTTAAGGTATACTCGTGCACTATTTATACCCGTGGACTAGTTAAGTAGATATGCCCTTTATCACTAATAAATCATGTATGGATATTCACGTTCACCCCGCTGTTTTGGACTGTATAGATCAAGTAATCGTTCCCACCCCACACCTATTAATGCTATTTCTACGTCCTTAAGGGCAATATTCTTGATCCCGAGTCTTCCAATGCTGTCTTGGTGCTCTGCTGTTTTCGTTGTTTCCCTGTTTCCCTATTCCCCCAAATTGGTATATCACGTGACTCGGCGTCGGCCACGCGCGAGGCGCGTCGTGATCGCCTCGATTCGCTCTCGCTCCCCACTAGTGATCTGGAACAACCCCCCTTCTCTCCGTGGACATTATGGCTTCGGATGGGGAATCAAAGCTTCTCGAGCAATGCAATATCTGCATAATATGCTCCAAAGATCTCTCGCGAGACACCGCGGAGCAAGTATGAATTTCTCTCCACGTTCCCTGTCCTTTTCAGCGTACTCCCAAGCTAATGACTCCTCCTTGGCTAGCTGGCAGCAACTATCTCGCAGCATGGCGGCGAGGCCACATTAGTTGAGCCCGGTGATGCGGTCCCCGAAGTGACACAGTTCAGCCACCTAGTTTCCCACACCATCGATTTCCCAGCCTACGACACCGCGTGCGATGCCCTGATCCCAGTCGTGAAACCGCAGTGGGTGAACACATCACTGGCGAAGCGAAAACTGGCCAACCCTCGCCAGTACAGCCCTGATCCGCGCCTCTTTTTGAACGATGTCGTGGTAACCTGCGGGGATATACCCGAAGGAGACAAGGATGCCATCATTGGAGGTGTTGTGGCCAAAGGCGGGTTGTACAGTCCTCGAATCTCCGCCATGGTTACTCACCTCGTGGATTTGACAACCGATTCAGACAAGGCGCGCCTGGTGCACGCGCGGAAGTTGCCTATAAAGGTTTTGCTGCCGCATTGGTGGGTCTTACCCTTTGCGACTGACGGGGGTCCTTGCTAACGACAGGCAGGTTTGACGACTGCTTGAAACTCGGTCGTCGTATCGACGAGCGTCCTTATACCCTGCCCGACCCTGAAATCCTGCGCGCGGGCCCCGACGTTCCTATTCGATGGCAAGAAAATAAAGATCTGGTTGGCGCGTCGAGTCCCGAACCGTCTAAATTGCCTTCTCGGGCCAAATCTGTGCACAGCGAAGACCAGCGCAGCGTTTTTCACGAGAAATGCGTCATGCTATCTACTGATCTGGGTATCGGGGTGCATCTTCGCGAATCCATCGAAACGGTCCTCAAGCAAGGCGGCGCAACAATGACTACCGATGTCAATCATGCGGACATGCTCATATGCCGTTACCGCGAGGGATTTGTATACCGGACAGCGTCGAGACTGAACAAAGAAGTTGGGAACCTGGCCTGGCTATATCATTTGATGACATTTAACACCTACACTTCGCCTTTGCGACGGCTCTTGCACTACCCCATATCCCGAGCTGGCATCCCCGGCTTCCAGGACTTGAAGATCAGTCTGTCTAACTACATCGGTGAAGCAAGGATTTATTTGGAAAACTTGATTGCAGCATCGGGCGCTGAATGCACGAAAACTTTGAAACAAGAGAACACGCATCTGATCACAGCACATGGAAACAGCGAGAAGTGCAGTGCCGCGAGGGAATGGGGACTTCAAGTCGTCAACCACCTGTGGCTCGAGGAGAGCTACGCCAAATGGAGGCTGCAGCCCGCATCCGACCCGCGCTACAGCCATTTCCCGCTGCGAACCAATCTCGGAGAAGTTGCAGGCCAAACACGACTAGATCGGGACGTGCTTGAACATATCTTTTTCTCATCCGAGGACACCGTTCCTCCCAGCCCGCGCCGTGCCATGCAGAGCAAAGACCAGAACACAGCCGCGATGCAACCACCTGCCGAGACAAAACGCAGAATCGAGAACGCCGCAGAGACCACGCATGGCACTCCGCAGGCGAATGGAAAGTCGCGTCGACCTTCCGAACACAAGAAGTTACAAACGCCGGCACGGTCACGGCTCATGTCCGAGGGTAAGGAGAATGACACCCCATCATCGACTAGTAGTCGCAGGTCCAAGGAAACGGCAACTGCTCGACTCCACGACATTGCCCCAGACATCGCACTCTACGAAAAGGAAATGAAGCGAGTTGGTGGGGTGATCTATGGCGGTAGGCGGAAATCAGATGAAGACCGGGTTCGCGAAAACCACAAGAAACGTCGCTCGGTGGAGGCGCAGGATGGAAGCGATGGGGAGCATGCAAATGAGGCCAAACGACAGAAGAAGTCCCGGCCGCCCATTGCCATGCACCTGCTCATTACTGGCTATCAAAAGTGGGTGGGGAAAGGAAACGAAAAGAAAGAAGATGCAGACAAGGTTTGTTGGGCAACAATCTATCAACATCAATTGTCCAGGCATGCTGACTCTCATAGCGACATCTTCGGGATCTCGGCATCATGGTAGTCCAAGATGCTCGAAAATGTACCCATATTGCGGCACCATCTATTTTACGAACAACCAAGTTTGTCAACGCACTGGCATATGGGCCGACGATTGTGCACACCGACTTTATTACCGATTGTCTCAAAAAAGACGAGCTGATGGACCCGGCTGATTTCCCTTTGGTGGATCAAGCATCCGAGAAGAAGTTCGGGTTTTCGCTTGCCAAATCCACGGCCAAGGCGAAGGCAAATAAGAACAAGCTTCTGCGTGGCTATCGCATCCATTGTGTAGAGGACATCCGTGGCGGAATCGATGCATTCAAGTCCATCATCGAAGCGAATGGCGGTGAGTGTCTGCCATTCCGTGGCCGCCTTGGACTGGCAAACCAAGCCCGACGGGAGGAGAGCGATGACGAGGACAGTGATATGGATGATAACCAGCCGGGGCGGAATGAAGTGTTTCTGCTCAGCAGCGCGGGGCCCAAGCACGCCCGGCTCTGGCCTCGATTCCGACAGCTCGCGCTGGACATCAAGAAGACGCCGCGCATTGTACGGGTAGACTGGCTTCTCGACATGGCCATGTCACAGGAACCGCACCCTCCCGAGGAGTACGAGCTGACCGAAGACATGGTCGAGGATGTGGATGAGTAGGCGAGCGATCTGCGTTTGGACCAGCCGTCGTGTTGGGGTATTGTATATGGTAGGAGTTATTGGTTCTCGCCGGGTTGTCATGATAGCCACGATCATAATCCAGAAATGCATCATCTAGAAGAACTTGACACCCTCCTGGCCCTCAGCACCAAAGACCTGTGCCTTGCCGCGCTTAACAAGGATGTTCAGCGAGCGTAGCATGACCTCGGGATCCATGCCATGGAATTCTACCCGGCAGTCAGCTAAAGATCATATTAGAACGAAAAGCAGGAAAGTGAGAAATACCTTGCGACCCCGTCCCCTCACCCTCCAACAACTCATAAACCGTGAACACCACCCCCTTCTGCCCCGTGCTCTCAATCCACTCCGCCAGAAGATCCGCCCACTCCGCTGGCTGCCGCCACCAGATCCAGGCGACAGTGCGCCCGGCATCGATCCACTCAGCGCGTCCACCACCGCCGCCCTCCTCTTCGGTCTTGGCCATCCAGTCAACGATCGCGCGGGCCTCGCGAAGATCCAGCCGTTTGCGCAGTGCGGCGTTGTGGAAGAGCGGCGACTCGACGGCGTCGATCAGTGCCAGTCGCTGCTGGCGGTGGTGTCGGCACCAGGCTTGGATCAGAGCGGCCCATTTCTTGAGCTGGTCGTGGCGGGTGTTGGTGTTGGGTTGCGGGGTGAAGAAGGGCGGGAAGTTGTAGGTGGAGGGGAAGGAGAAGGCTGTTTCTGTCATTTTTGTTGTTTATTTTGTTGAAGACGCTGCTATAATTTTCCAAAATATAATTCAAATGTAGAAGTGAGAAAGAGAGAAAGAAGGCACATCAAGATTGGAGGTGGAGAGATAGTCGGAGTCTCCAGGTCAAAGTGGGGCGCAAATTCCCTCCCGCTCTTTGGCTTCAATTCTTTGCAATACACCTCTCTCTCTCTGTCTCTCTCTTTCTCTCCTCTCAACTCCACTAGCGCCATCTTCAGACGATCACAATGGCTACTCCTCCTCCATCCAAGCGCCAAAAGCGCGAGGAATACCGTCGCAAGATCCAGTCCGAACATGGCACCTCCGTCAAGATGCCGCAGAAGAAATTCTTCCGGCAGCGCGCGCATGCGAATCCCTTCTCGGACCACCAGCTGGACTAGTATGTGTTTGATTTTGATATTCTTTTGTGGCTGCTGCAGTTTGTTGTCTGTTCAATGTCATCTTCGGGCTCAATTGGGTGCAGATTGGGTTGGATGGACTTCTTGAATGGCACTTCGAATTGCTAGGTTCGTTTGCTAACACCTTGAAACCTTTTAGTCCCCTAAGCCCTGCACATATGGACTGGTCGTTGCACTATCCGGCGTTCGTCAATCCCAACCCCTCCGCAACGAATCTTGCCGGCGCCCGCAAGCTAGTCAAGGATGTCGAGGTTGTGGATATCGGGTGCGGGTTCGGGGGGTTGATGGTGGGACTAGCGCCGCTGTTGCCGGAGACGTTGATGGTTGGTGAGTATATTGTTTCCAGACATCTACACATTTCCGAATACAAAAATGCTAAGGGCAGAACCACAGGCATGGAGATCCGCACTCAAGTGCTTGAGTATCTCCACTCGCGCATCCAAGCTCTACGCACGCAGCAACAGAACTTGAAACAAAAAGCCAGCAACCCACAAGACACAGCAGAAGCATCGACACAATCCAAGGATACCAATGAACCCGCAGCAGCAGCAGCATCAGCATTGGAGGACAACAAGAACACTGAAAACAACGACGACGAGCCAGCCCTCACAACCATCATGCCAGGCAACTACGAGAACATCACCGCCATCCGCAGCAACACAATGAAATTCTTGCCAAACTTCTTCGGACGACACCAGCTCTCCAAGATCTTCATTTGCTTCCCAGACCCGCACTTCAAGGCGCGCAAGCACAAGGCGCGCATTATCTCCGAGTCGCTGAATGCCGAGTACGCCTACGTGCTGCGTCCGAGCGGTCTGCTGTACACCATCACCGATGTCGAGGAGTACCACCACTGGATTCTGCGCCATTTCCACTTTCAGTCCGATGACGAGGCTGAGGCACAGTCAACGGGCCAGACTGTGTCATCACATGCCCCTGGGATCAAGGATCTCTGGGAGCGAGTGTCGGATGCTGAGCTGGAGGCGGATCCGTGCGTGCGCGTGATGAAGTTCGAGACCGAGGAGTCTAAGAAGGTCTCGCGCAACAATGGGAACAAGTATGTGGCGGTTTTCCGGCGCAAGGCGGATCCGGAATGGCCTGCTTGAGCGCTGCGCAGAAAAACCAGTGCAGACGTGGGGTCTTAGGATATAAAAAGTTGCATTCGCAAGAGGTGTACAGAGGGTGTACACGGCGTCAACGTCTCAATCAAATGCATTGCCAGTATCATTCAGAGTCATTGCTACCAAACCCCGCTTGCTCATGGCCGAACCTCCAGTAAACAAAAATTCATGATGAAACACGTAGAGAAACGAGAAATGCAGAACCAAACCCCCAAAGTAACTCTAAATCAATCAATCATAACGGCAGTAGAACTCATTAAATGGGACGATGTAAGAGGGATATAGATCTCAGCACATCCCGGGTGCCTTGAGCCGGATCCCCTCACATTTCTCGCAGATGGCCAGTTGCACAGGACCGCCAATGATGCGACCCTTGGCGGTTCTTCTTGGCTCACCCTCGCGGACAAAGAAGCGACCATCTGGTCCAAATCCATCACCACACTCGTGACAGGCGAAGCAGCGGTCGTGCCATTGTCCGCCAATGGCGGTGATGACAACGTCATCCATGACATTCTGCTTGCATCCCAAGCAGCGTGGAGCAGTGCGGCGAGAATGGCACCCAAGACACCATGCAAAACCATCCTTTTCCACAAATGGAGTCTGCGAGTTGAAGGGCTGCACAGAAAGAGAATTAGCGAGATCGGGTCAGGCCACCATAATAAGAATCAAAGTCTACTCACATCTCCACATTCCGCACAGAAGAAGTGGCCAACATGCCATTCAGCACCACAGGCCACCACCACTTCACCTTCGATGGGAGTCTTGCAGCTCTTGCAGCGCGGGCTGAACAACTCGTGGAAGTCCAAGTGACAGTAAAACCGGAGCGTCCGAGCATCTTTATCAATTGAGGCATTGGCTAGTCTCTCGGTCCTACTGGCCTCGGGCTCTTGGTAGAAAGCCACGCATTCCAGCGGGGTCTGACAGTGGAAGCAGGTGAAACATTCGGGATGAAACCGCGATCCTCCCGCGGTCACAATCTTTCCAGAGATAGAAAGAGAGCAGCACTCGCAGCGTGCAGTCGGAACGCCCGACCGTGTGTACGGAGAATACCAACGGTCCTGCAGTTCTGAAACTGGCTTTCTCGGAGCTGTCTGTTGAGTCTGGCTGTTTTTCGTTGGCGATGGCTGCCGTGTGGGTTTGGTCTCAGCTTGCGGAGGTTCCGAGATTTCTGAGATAGTCGGCTCTTTAATGTCTGGAACATTGATCACTGGCACAGGCGGCGCTTCGGAAACTTCAATAACTGGTGCCGCTGGTGCCGCTGGTGCGGGTGAAGGCGAGGCTTGCTCCTGTCGCCCGAAACCCTGGCGATTGGGCTTTGGTTGATCACTGGGCTGCCATGATGGGTCGAAGCTCACGATCGGCCGCCCGAACTTGTCACTGACAGCGGAAGGCATGGGTAAGCTCTCGCTACGGTCTTTCAGTTTCTTGCTTGTAGCCGCGCGGATGTCATCACTGCGGATCTCTTTTCCGTTCTTCGTTGGGACATCATCTTTCGTTTGTGGCTGAGGCACAGGATCGTTGCTTGTGTAGCCAGCGTTTCGAGACTGGCTGGGTGGGTTTTTGTGAATTTCAAAACGGGAGATCTTTTCCATCACAGGGCTATTGTTGGAGTTTCTATCCCGCAGCCACGGGAGTGGTTTGGGAGCGCGCGGAAGAGCATTACGCGGTTTGTTTCTCAAGGCCGACGAGTCAGACTTAGAAAAGTCATGTCGAGCTTGATGCTCTTTTTCAATAGAATCGCTGGGTTCCTCGTAGATATGATCATTAGGATTCCTGAAGATACCCTTGGAGGAATCACTGCTGACGTCCCTCGGTCTGGGACCACAAACAGGATGGGGGTCTGAGGGTGTTTCATCGGGAGGCAATGCAAAGTTGACCTTAAGATTCTTCTTCGAAGACCCCGCGAGGGTTGAATGCCTGCGGGAGCCAGTAAATACTTGGTTCGTCTCAGCTAGGTCTGGGCTATTACCACCCGAAGAACTAGCCGAGGACATTGAATGTCGATTCTTCGAAAGACCAAACCTTCTCGGGGCCTTCCCACCAGTAACCTCCGCTGAATGATCTTTCACGGGGCTTTGGCTGCGTCTAGTGGCATCGGGGTTCCGGTAGGCCGCGTGCGGGCTCTTGTAAGCCACACCGGGGTGCTGGTGCAGCCATACTAGCTCTGTGGCTTCGTCTTGGGCGGCTTGATGGATACGAACATCATCCTGCAGATCCATTTCCTGCAGGGCATCTCGAAGGGATCGCGCCTCTTCCTTTTCATGCCGGCGCTGCCCATTCTCCCGATAAGATGGAGCGGGGGATGCGGGAACAGGATGCGAAAAAACCTGGGAGGGATAGGCGTTCTTTCGGATGGAGACCGATCGCGGCTCTTGGACTAACGGACGTCCTGGTGGGCCACCCCCAGGAGCATGAGATGAGGTGCGACGATGGGACATCGCGCTCCCTGAGCGAGGATGGTCCTCAACATCCTGAGTTTGATGGTGTAATGATAACGCAGACGCTGCTCTTGGAGGAAGGGTGTCATGGAGATCGGGCGTAGACGCAGCTGCTTTGCCCGGCAAGGGTCGTGATCCTGTAGGGCGGGCAGGTCGATTTGTTCGGAGATCTTTCAAGTAGCTGGCTGTGAATAAGATGCAAGGATAAGCTTTTAATTCAACCAGCAATCTCCTCGCGACAAGGACATCCAGTTGGAGTCAGTCCCATTACGAATGAGGGAAGCTCACCAATTTGGTCGTTGGACATGTAGCTCGGGCCGGGAGGGGATACCTTCCGCTGGCCATTGGTATGTGTATGCATGATGGGCTCGCTATAATCTGAGTCGAGGAATGATTTTAAGAATGGCGAGCCAGACGGATCAAGAATGGCGAAGGATTAAGAGTCATCAACGACGTCAGGATCCGCTATTGGGTTGAGCTTAGTGACACCCCGGTGCTTGGGCCGCGATCGCCAAACAAACACCGTCGCAGGGCAACCGCGATTGCCTCTTTGGGATAGGGCTTAGGGCTCATTCATGCCCTATGGCCTCAGGCCTTCAGGCAGAAACCATCAGGTCAACTAGCTTCATTCCGACATACTTCAGGAAGTATACCAACAACTTCTCTAGCAACCTGCAGTATATCTGCGGCTCTACCAGCACTGATGGAATTTACATCAACGATTGACCTTCGACAGAATAATAGCAGCAATGGCTTACTACATCCAGGGTGTCCCCACTCTCCGCACCGGCTTTTCGGCACGGTGTCTCCACACCCCAGCATTGAGCTTGGACAAGATGCATCCTGCTCATCGGAAGCAAAGTAGTGGCCGTTGCTGGCTCTGAGATGCCATCAAGTCCCGTCATTGGTCTTCCATCGCCGAAGTCTTGCACCTCACACAGGCCACAAGGTGCTCCGGACATCTTTCCTCGCCCCAATAACCCTACATGTTGTACTAAGGGACTTTTTCATGACAGAAGTCGGCCTATACCCCGATGCGCGGCCCCACTGATAGGCTGCCCGTGCGTTGGATCCTGTCGGTCTTGCTTTCTTCTGTGTGGATATTTTCTTTTCTTTATCTTCCAGCACATGCCTCGATGTGACGAGAACGGCCAACTGGTTTCGGTTTCATGATCAGACAGTGAAAAGGGGTGGTACGCCTTTTGGAGAACTTGTTCGCGCACCAGCCATGGCGGACAATGCGCCTATTGAGGTTATTCGCTCACATCAAGATGGCGACAACTCGGATCGCGAGAGCTCACGGCCAGAGCCTTCAAATCTGCAGTCGCAGTCACCTGGCACAGCAGCCGACGAGAAATACAAGAGCGATGTGCCACCGGATGGCGGCTACGGCTGGGTCTGTGTTGCCTGTGTGTTCTGGATCAATGCGCATACTTGGGGAATCAACAGTGTCAGTTTATCAGTCTCATTCTCATGTTTTTATACAAATCTCTTCTCTGCCAAGCTTCAACCCAGTTTGCTAACTGATATCCAGAGCTATGGCGTCTTCCTAAGTCACTACCTCTCGCATAATGTATTTCCCAACACCTCAGCCCTATCATATGCCTTTACAGGCGGTCTCAGCATCTCGTGCGCTCTCCTCGTGGCACCGCTCGCCACGCACCTCATTCATGTCTGTGGCACAAGGTTTGTGCTCAACGTCGGCGTCTTCTTCGAGACGCTGTCCCTGATCGGGTCATCATTCGCCACCCAGAAATGGCACATCTTCCTCAGCCAAGGCGTCTGTTTCGGATGGGGCATGGGGTTTCTCTTCGTGGGTAGCGTCGGCATCGCCCCGCAATGGTTTCACAAGCGACGCAGTGTAGCGATGGGTATCACAGCCGCCGGGTCCGGGCTCGGCGGCCTGATCTACTCGCTCGCCGTGGGTGCCATCATCCCACGTCTGGGACTAGGCTGGGCGTTTCGCATCCTGGGAATCATTTCGTGCGTCGTGAATCTGGTGTGCGGGAACCTCCTTCGTGACCGCAACAAGGCCGTCGGCAGCCGCCTCACAGCCTTCCACCTGCCGCTCCTGCGCCGCCCGGAGTTCCTGCTGTTCCTGGGCTGGGGCGTCTTCAGCATGCTGGGGTATGTGGCGCTGCTGTTTAGCGTCGCCAACTTCGCGCTGTCTGTCGGCCTCTCCTCACACCAGGGGAGTATTGTCTCCGCCCTGCTCAATCTCGGGCAGGGCCTTGGCCGCCCCTTCGTCGGCATGTTCAGCGACCGGCTCGGCCGCATCAATATCGCCACCCTGCTCACCTTTCTCTGTGGCTTGTTCTGTCTGGTTATCTGGGTCTTTGCTGACAGCATGGGCGTCGTCTGTTTCTTCGCCGTGTTGGTTGGCACTGTTGCCGGCACCTACTGGGCCACTGTTTCCCCTGTGCTCGCCGAAATAATCGGCCTCAGAGACCTCCCCTCCGGTCTCAGTATTACCTGGCTGACCCTTGTCTCACCCTGCACTGTCTCTGAGGCTATCGCTCTGGAGCTCCGATCCTCCGATTCACATGGTGGTACTTCCTACTTGCGTGTCCAGATTTTCACGGGCTTTGTCTACATCGGCGCTTCCTTGTGTCTGTGGCTCGTTCGTGGCTGGAAGGTCGGTGAGCTGGAGCGCGCTCAGCAGCGTCGTGAATCCGTGGCGGGTACCCGCCCTTTCTCCTCGAACATCGCTGGGAACGAAAAGCAGGACCAGCCTGCGACTGTCTCGTCAGCTTCGGCAACGGAGACTATGACCGACGCGCAAATATGGACGCCATTTGGCCTGGCACGTCGAATGGTGGCTCTGAAGCGGGTCTGAATACCCGCTCAAGCCAATCTATTGTAGATAGACACATAAAGTACAACGCACAGACATATACAAACTCATAAAATCGATGATTCGTCTCTTGGATGAAGTTAACGCTTTTTTTCTGTTCTTCTAAAACTACATGGCCGTATTTTTCACGTTCATGCCCCTGTAACCAAAATCCGCACTCTCCTCTTGCCAGCACCGCGGCCCTCTTCCTTGACCGAGCTGACATTAACACGGAGCTTCTGGAAGAGTTCGACGATCACACCACGTTCTTTCTCTGGGTGTCCCTTCTCCGCCACGTGCAGCGTGTATTCCTCGCTGTCAAATTCAGTGGTGCGATGGGCCGCCAGCTCGCGTCTTTCTGCGACTGAACAAGCCCCCGACTCACCAGGGAGAACAAAGTCCTCGAGCCGGACGACACCTTCGATGCCGAAACGTGGAACGAAGACAACAATGCCGTTCTCGAACACACGCATCACGTATCCTTCCTCATCAATGCCAGCGTCAACACCGCCAGCAGCCATCTTCTCTCCGCGAGCCTTAAGTGCCTGGCCTACGTAGTATTCGATACTGGCGCGGCCAGCGAACTGCGCGTTGCGGTGTCGGTAGTTGATGTTGCGACAGATGTCCTCCAGCTTGTTACGCGTGCTGACGCCCTCGATGACGGCATGGCCATCCTCGCCTTCATAGCCAATAGCAGAAGCGAGTTGTCGGTGGACGAGAAGATCCGCATATCGTCGGATGGGCGAGGTAAAATGTGTGTAGATCGGCGAGGCCAGACCGTAGTGGCGGAATTCAGACTCGGAATGGGCTCCGGCGCAGAAGTACTCGGCAGAGGTCATGCATCGCGTCGCCAAAATACGGACGAGAGTGTTAAAGAAAGGATTCTTAGGATCAACACAACGGTCCAGAGAATTTGCCAGAGCCCCCGAACTGGAAACGTCGAGTTCCATGCCTCGCTTCTTCGACAGCTGACTGCTGAGATCTTCAAAGTTTTGAGGCGGGGGAGTGGCGTGTCGACGAAGCAAGGCCGTTTGCGAGAAAGATTCGTAGATCCTTGAAGCAACAGTGATGTTGGCGAGAAGCATGAACTCCTCGACCAGGCTGTTAGTTTCAAGCATTGCCTTGGTCTTGACATCAGTCAGGGGATCGCCGACTTCATCACTGTCGGTCTCGATGCGGACTTCTGGAGATGCGAGGTTCAGGGCACCAGCATCCATACGCTTCTGGCGCAGGACCTTAGAAAAGTGTAGCAAGTGGCGCATACTCTGTGTCAGTTCATCATTCTTGGAGGAATCGTCGATACGCAGTTGCGCCTGCTCGTAACTGAATGCTTCGCGCGAGCGAATAACCGACTTGGTGAAATCCGAAGAGACGATCTCGGCATTAGGCGTCACTTCCCAAAGGACAGAGAAAGCGTAGCGTTCCACGTAAGGCTTAAGTGAACATAAGTCTGTGCCAAGAAGCGACGGCAGCATATCGATACGCTTGTCCACCAGGTAGACAGTGGTTCCACGAACACTGGCTTCAAGATTCATGGCATTGTTCGGCTTCACAAAGTGCGACACATCCGCAATGTGGACGCCAACTTCGAAGTTTCCGTTCGGCAGAAGACGCGCGTGGAGGGCGTCGTCAATATCCTGACAGCCCGGTGGGTCAATGCTGCAAATAAGCAGATCTCTGAGATCTCTGCGGCCCCTCCAGCCCTTGTGTTCTTTCGACGCAGGCACCTTCCAATCATGTCCTTCTGAGGGAAGACAGTCCAAAACGGACTTGGGGAATGGCTTGTATTGCACATCATACTCAAGCAACAGAGCCTCGGTTTCCGCTCCCTTAGTCTCCAGCTCTCCAAGAGAGCGAATGAAGTGGCCAGTAGGATACCGAGAATTCCGATCCCAAGAGTCAATAGTGACCAGGATACGCTGATCGAGCAGATCGCTGGCCTGCCTAGTCCGCACTCTGATCTTCGGTACTCGCTTGTCCATGGGAAGCAGAAACACCATTTGCTGCCGCCTGCCTGAAGCACTCTGTGAGCCGGTCGAATTGGGATCGACATGTCCCACGTATTGACGCCAACTGCGCTTGATAACACCAACCACCTTGGCAGTTGGCTGCGGCTTGCCCTCTGCGCCCTTGCCATGGGCCTTCTTGACCTCTTCTTGGAGAGCTTTGCGCTCTCTATCCGTGACGACTGCCTCGGTTTCTTCCGTGTCGGGATTGTCATTTTGAGTCACCGCTTCCTCATCCACAATCTTCGTCGAGGGGGTCTTCCATTGATCTTTCGGTAGCACCTCAACCACGACGACATCGCCTGCAATAGCACGGTTGCTGTTGTCGCGTCCCAGAATAAGAAGAGGTTTGTCAAAGGCTGCAACATTAACGGAGCCTTCCAGGTAATTGTAAGGCGAAACATTGAACACTCCCTGGTGGAGATTTCCTGCTCGCAAGCCTGTCATGAGCTTCGACATGGTGTAGTATTCCGGGTAAAACAGCTCCCCACGAGCTGCACCCTTCGCATCCCGTGCTTCCTTGGACTCGCTGATCATATCCAGTAGCCTCCCCGGATCCTCCAAACCGGCGACATAATCAGCCAGTGACAAGGCCGTGATATGTTCATCCTTTGCTTTCCGGAGGCTGTCCCTGTCATCTGTAATGACCACTATAGCAGGTACTGCTTTCTCTTTCTTCCCGTTCTTTGACGACTCTCGAAGGTGTTCCCCATACCAACTTGCTACCGTGCGCACGGCGCGATCGTTCCGATCGTTAATTGACTCGTCGGGGCCTCTCCGAACATGTGTCTCCAGGCGAAACTCATTAAAGAAAAGGTAAAAGCGTTTTTCGTCGGTTTTAATCAGGGCCAACAGACGATTGTAGAGCGGTAGCGACTGATTCTTCAACTCTTCGAGGACAGTCTGGAGGATTATCACGTCATAGAATGCCCCGGTGTGCTCGAAAAGATCCATTCCGTTCAGAAGCGCATTCGTATCGGGAACAAGATAGTGGCCTCGGGGAAACGCTTTCGTCCCGGCGGGACGGTCGGAGAGGATGAACGGCGCAACTGTGTCGCATTAGCAATGGTTCCCGACCACCTTCGCAGAGGTGGCTTACTGTTTCCATTGGCATCGGCCGGCGCAATTGACGGGCATAATGAGCACAGCTTCGAAGAGCAAGGAATGTCTTGTCGCAGATAAAGCTCTCGAACGATCTTTTGCACCTTTCCGCTTTTCGTGGACCTCACAAAGACCTTGCTAGTAACATTTGCGGCCTGTGGGTTAGAAGAAACATCCCTCCGGAGACTCTTCATTGTGACAAGATTGAATCTGCCTGACGGCACTGGGGAAGATGATGGTGCAGAAATTCGGATTCGCCGAGAAACGATCTTTTGCGGGTTAGTTATCCATGGATCGCATCGCGAAAGCTGAGTCATCAATGCTTGAGGGCGTCTCCAGGGCTGTATGGCGCCATCCAAATTGCACTTTATTCTTCACAGCCAAGTCGCCTTCGAGAGATATTTCAAGGAGTACTATAGCTCAGTCAGGATGGTCCTTGCAGTAGGTTGATTTGCTTTGACACGCGTGGTCAAGGTGCTAATTTCGTTGGAAATAGGCCGTGGGGCAGCTATGCTCGACTGCCAACATATCTCTCAACTTGACCCAATGCCAAACCCTGGTTCGGAAGGCTGTCACTGCCGGAGCTAAGGTGAGCTTCTTATGAATAGATTTCATGGAGAAATTCCCCTGCGTCTATGTACTCGGCTAAGACCTTATTAGGTGCTGTTCCTGCCCGAGGCCTCAGACTATATCGCCTCCTCGGCAGATGAGTCCTATTCTCTTGCTCACTCCCAAGAGCGGACTGACTTTGTTTCATCACTACAAAACCAAGCCAGACAAGAAAAAATCCATATCAATGTCGGCATTCATGAAGCAGCTTTGGGCAATCGACTCAAGAACTCCTTGATTTGGATCGATGACAAGGGAACTATCACCCAGAATTACCAAAAAGTCCACCTTTTTGACGTTGACATCAAGGGCGGGCCCGTCTTGAAAGAAAGCGCGTGAGTGGCTGGATTTGAAGCCCAAGAGGTTCCGTGCAATACTTAAGCTAACACTCTGGGGACTTTAAAGGAGCGTCCAGCCAGGAAAAGACATCGTGCCGCCCTTTGAGACTCCCGTCGGGCGTGTTGGTCTAAGTATTTGCTTCGATGTAAGTGCCACTACTGATATGGTTCTTTTCCTCCCCTGGTCTGTTCGGCTCATACTTGATTCTCTAGCTACGCTTTCCGGAGATCAGCCTAGCACTGAGACGCCAGAATGCCCAGATTATTACATATCCATCAGCATTCACAGTCCCGACGGGTCAGGCTCACTGGGAACCTCTGCTTCGAGCAAGAGCAATCGAGACCCAATCATACGTAATAGCAGCTGCACAGGCAGGCCCTCACAACGAGAAGAGGCGAAGCTACGGCCATTCCATCATCGTCAATCCGTGGGGGGAGATCGTGGCGAAATTGGGTGACGAATACTCGGAGCCACAAATTGCAACAGCCGACATTGATCTGGATCTCGTGTCCAAGATCAGGCGAGAAATGCCGTTACTTAGAAGAACGGACCTTTATCCCGAGGTGTAGCGGTGTGGAGGGACATTAAAGAGATGTTATCAGGGCTTGGGGAGTTGATATAGCATGTCGATATAGATCCAAATTCTCCGCAGGGACAGATGAGTTGGCATGTTCTTATCCTTACAGTCTCTATTATCAGGCCCCACGAGCATCAGGTGACTCCCAGATAGCCACCTTTTTCATGAGGCCTCCTTCCCAATTAGGCAATTGTTTGCTTTCCTCCCTTATATTCTTGGTTGCCTTTCCCCAGGCACGAGCCAGGGGCTAGTAGTCGAGTGGATAATGGAAAGCACCAGCTGGGCAGTCGGCTGGTGCCCATAGTTCCACTGAGGACGTCCCTAGTTCGAACCCAGGGGGATGAGTATGGGGGTTATCGACGCGACGGCCTCCATGCCTCCCGCCTCTTTTTTTTTTTCTTTCTTTACCTCCCCCCCAAAGTCCCTCTCTCCCTTGCTCTTTTCTTCTTCTTTTCTCAACCTCCCCAAATTCAGTACATTGCCATGATTTTTGAATTGAGATGCTTCCTGTGAATGAGGGTTTGGCTGTAAATGACATTGGATATTAGATTTTGCCTCGACACCAGCGAGGACATTCTGATGTAATAATCAATGGAATTCATAAGATTTATCTTACCACATAATCGGCATCTAGAAGAAGAAAAAAAGGATTTTTAAGGAGTATAAAGTAGTACAGCAGGAGACAAAGGAAAATGGAGACAAGGGGGAAACATGCAAAAAGAAAGCCCGTCTAGAAGAAAAAGGACCGGAACATCATATCTGCCATCGCAGAGGGTACAGGCATCAACCGAAATCGTCCCTTTCCGATCTTTCTATGTACAGTGTACAGATGAAGCCCGGAACCAATCCGTTTATTTCTTGACCTTGTCGGGGTCCTCCAGGATGCCCTCGGCTTCGAGTCTCCGTCGCGCCTCTTCCAGAGCCCATGTTTGTATCCTATCACATGAGTCAGTAACAGCCCAGGGTCATGAGGAGATCTTGGGGGAATGTGGCCTGAAAGAGGCCAGTGGTTCGAGGGTGCGCGCAGGAAAGGGAGCAAGGTTCCACATACGAGGTGTCAGGCTTGAAGACATATGCGACGCCAGCAACCAGGAAGCTGCCGATAAATCCATAGTACCAGATGTTCTCCCAGCCTTCCTTCACGTACTTGTGGCCGGGCTTGACGCCGAAAAGCCAACCGGTCGGGGGATCGTAATGATCGCCATGGTCTGCGGCGCGAAGATTGCTTCGGGTAGAGAAGGCCTGTGTGGTCTGGGGCCCACGGCGCAGGCAGCGAGCACGAAGGATATGCGACAATGGTCGGGCGGGCATGTTGAGAACGGGGCGACTGGGGAGGGCTGGAAAGGATCGGAGAAATCCTGGCGCGCAAGGGAATTGCGGGATGAATGACAAGGCCAAACAAAAATCGCCTTGTCAATAAACTGACAACCAAGTCAATTGACTCAGCACCGAGGCGTTGGAGTTGGAGTGGAGGGGTTGTATGGCGGTTGATGTCGAAGCCGTGAAAGGCCGGGAAGCTGACTAGTGGTCCTAGTCCGCTTTGGGTGATTTTCCAGGCCGCCTTTACACCTGGTTAATCAGGCATAATTAATGCCTGATCTACAAGGCTGTATTTCTCGACGCGCTCGACGCGTCCTTATCGCATCCCGCTCGAGTTGTATTCCCAACCCAACAGCGAGCTGGACTCCCCGTCGTTTCGACTTGACAGATGCAAATTTCAAAGGAATTGATTCAGTACAAACATACATGTATCTTTTCCTCGGTACGTTTCAATTTCCCAACACTTCTTGTTGATTTCTAACATAGTTTCTACGCAGCTTCCTCTGGAATGTATACTTAGCCCTTTTGGAGCCCCCGAATAAAACACAGCCTCGAGATGGCAGCAAACGACAACTTATATCCGATCTCCTCGAATTCTCGCACGAAATTGAATGCATTCCGTTATCAAGAAGCAGAAGGAGCAGAGCCAATTCCCGATAACACGACTTCGAAAGATGGGATGAAGCCAGTCCATGGGGATAAGGAAAACCAGAGTTCATGGCTGAATGGAGTGGTGGACCCAATGCAGACATCACCCGACAAAGGCGAAATTCAGCCTCCGGCAGCTCCAGAAAATGACTCGAAACCGGTCAAAGAATGCCCCCAGACTCCGGGTAACAGGATCCCTCTCGCAGACTTGATCAGCAATGCCGAGGATTCCTTCGACCCCGCCCCCGGTCCTGAAGTGACGCCTGTCGAGCATGTTATCTGGCAGCATGTGCCTGTGAGCTCGAATCCAGATACGTCGTCCCAGACACCCAATGGTCGCCGCAGGAAGCGTCGCCACAGCTCATCGTCCGCCGGCTCTCCTTCAAATGCAAATTCGAAGAAGGCCGAAAAAGAACCCCTCGATCTCCAGTCAATACAAGCATTATTCAAAACACCACAGCATGATCTGGCAGCCGAGTTGTGGAACAACTATATGGACAAAAACCATGTCGAGGGTTCCGAAGATCTCCCACCAACTCGCCTTGCCAATCTTCTTTCCTCTTCGCCCCAAACACCAGCATCGGGCCGAACAAGCCGGGATTCCTCAGGGCTTCGTCGGTCAATAAGTTGCGCAGCGGAATGGCCCTCCGCTCGAGCAAAGCGGAGACGAGTCAACAGACAGGGACCTCGAAATCGGGGCATTTTCTCCCGGGCAAATAGCAATGTCGTCGATTCTGGCAAGACCAAATCATCCAGAATTAATTTCCTACTCGAGAAGATTGAGAAAACTCTGCAGCCGGCGCCTGTCGAAACGGGCCTGCCTGGTTCCTCTCCTTTGCGCCAACGTATGGATGCAAGACGGTGCCGATCATCATCTCCCATAGCGGACAGAAAGCACGCTGGAGAAAATGAAGCAGCTGGTGGAATCATTCGTCATATGCCTAGCCTCGATGAAGTTGATGGAGAGGCACCCCTGCAGGGGTCTTCATCTGAATTCGGAGACGATGATCTAGATCAAGATCTCCTTGACTTTGCGGACACTTCTGTTGATCCATTCACAGAGCCGGCGCCTAATCGCAGCGAGTTCGATTCTTTCGGATCGTCAGGATGGTCGACTCTGGCTGTGGAGAAGCCACCCTCGCAACATTTCAAGGAGCACCCAGCAATTGATTATAAAGCTTCCTCTATGCACAAAGTTATGAGCCATGAACCAAAACGCGAAGATGAAGATGAGTTCGAAGATGACGGTCTACCGGAAAATTTGCAAGATATCCTCGCAAAATGTGATGGAAAGCACGGCCCAGTCGAAGCATCAACAACCGCTAATATAGACCCACCGGCTTTCAATAAGTCAGGCTCGGTTAATACTGCACCCAGCGCTGAATTCCCTGGCACAATACCAAACAAGACAGCCCCAAAGACGGAACCGGCATCCTCTGGCGACGAATTCGACGACGATGATTTTGATCTGGAGGCTATTGAGCAGACCATGAAGCAAACCGGTGAAAATGGTCCGGGTCACGTTTGTCACTCTTAGTGTGTTTATTATTTAGATTATATGCTAAGACAGTCATTAATAGAACCTCAAAGATCGACAAGCTATCAAGCGTCACCAAATCGTTGATACCGTGGAAAACACGTATGTGACTCCTAAAGGACGTACTCAGCCAGAGCAGGTATGCCAAACTATGCTTCCTTCAAACCCTTTCCTAGTCGCTGACGTTGGGAGCAGGTCCTGTTAGTCGAGGATGAGAAGACCAGGGGCCGCAATGTCATTATTTTGCGCGAGTCGTGGTTCGATACACCCTGCAGCAATGATTCCTACGTTTACTTGGTTGGGGACTTCGATGCAATGGGTCAATGTGTTGTGGATAACTCGCACAACATGGTAATTCTTCACCCTGATCACCTCATTTCTGCAACAGTGGTAGCGGACTCGATAGATTGCCAGCGTCGCGCGGTTCTCCAAGACCGTGTCAAGGCGTTTGGTGAGCTTGAAAAACCGCAAGCGTTCGGAGTGTTCTTTCATGAGATTTTCCAGGAGGCCCTGAAAGCCAACAAATGGGACAACAAGTCTCTGAAATCGTTAGTCGAAACTGTCATGGGGAGACATGTCGAGGAGCTCTACTCCATTCAGATGAGTATACCCGAAGCTGTCGAATATGTGATGAGCAGGATTCCTGCCGTTCAAACCTGGGCAGAGGCTTTTCTCCAGGTCAAGCCACAGGTATGTTTTCCAAGAAGCGTTCCTACTGGACAAGGAAAGAATTGCAAGTTTCTAACCAGCGTTCACAGCCTAATTCTATGGTGGAAGACCGCAATAACTCAAAGCTGAACCTGAGCATCAACAAATTGCTCGAGGTGGAGGAACACATCTGGTCCCCAATGTATGGGCTCAAGGGCAACATCGACGCTACGGTGCAGGTTGCCTGCCGCGACGAAGGAACCGAGAAGAATCTTGTTATCCCGCTGGAGCTTAAAACCGGGAAGAGAGATACAAACCAGGCACACAGGGCGCAAACCGCTCTTTACACACTTCTCCTCTCAGACCGTTACGGTAAGTCCTGATATGTGTTGATTATGGTTAGAAGGGCCAGGACTAACTGAGTCGCATCACAGATGTCGAAGTCACCTTTGGTCTCTTGTATTACCTTGAGATTTCGAAAACCTTCAGTATTCGTGGCATCAGACACGAGCTCCTCCAGATGATCCAGGCCCGGAATCGCTTGGCTGTGTACATTCGCGAGAGACTGCAGCTTCCGCCCATGCTCAAGAAGGCACGCATGTGTAATCGATGCTATGCGAAGACCCCTTGCCTCATTTACCACAAGCTGTCCGAAGACGGAGACGGCGAGACCAGCGGACTGGGCGACGATTTCGACGCCGCCGTCGGTCATTTGAATCACGGTGACCGTGACTTCTTCCGCAAATGGGATGAACTTCTCACCAAAGAAGAAGGAAATCTGGTGAAATTCCGGCGCGAGCTATGGACGCTACTAAGCAATGAACGACAGTCGCTTGGTCGATGTTTCGGGGATGTTGTGATCAAACCGGGGTCCGCACACGAGGAAAACAACGGAACCAAGATCAATCGCTATCGCTATACCTTTGTCAAGCGACAAGCGTCCCCCGACTTCTCATTTACTGAATCGCAGATCTCGCTGGGCGAACCGATTGTCGTTTCAGATGAAAGAGGTCACTTTGCGCTCGCAAATGGCTATGTGGTGCAAGTCAGCCCTTCGCATATTACCGTAGCGGTGGACCGAAGACTGCACAATGCACGAGCAAGGACCGCTGGCTTTGACGCAGCTACCAACCAGTCCTTCAAGGGCATCATGGAAGTCGAGGGAGACGGCGCTGCTGCTCTGGAAGACCCGGAGGAGCAGGTTGTTTATCGGATCGATAAAGATGAGTTCAGCAACGGCATGGCCATTGTTCGCAACAATCTCATCTGCATGATGGACAAAGACCTGTTCCAAGCGAGACAGCTCCGACGGCTCATCGTCGAGGGCCAAGCCCCTGTTTTCAAGCCATCATCATCCGCATACACGATTTCCGACCCCGACAGTCTCAACGGTGATCAAAAACAAGCCATTGATAAAGTCATGAGCGCCAAGGACTACGCCCTCGTTCTTGGAATGCCTGGAACTGGCAAGACTACCACCATTGCGCAAATCCTCCGAGCCCTGGTTGCACAGGGAAAGAGTGTCCTCCTGACATCCTACACACACACCGCTGTGGACAACATCTTGCTGAAGATTCGCGATGATAACATCCGTGTTCTGCGCATCGGAGCTCCGGCCAAAGTCCACCCAGAGGTGCAAGAGTTTGCAGACCTTGCCGCCATCCCAAAATCAACCATCGAAGAGCTGAAGGATTCTTATGAGAAGCCACAGGTGGTTGCCACAACATGTCTCGGCGTCAACCACAACATCTTCAATCAGCGCATCTTCGATTACTGTATTGTCGATGAGGCCTCACAGATCACTCTTCCAGTGTGTCTGGGTCCGATCCGCATGGCCAGAACGTTCATCCTCGTCGGGGACCATTACCAGTTGCCACCGCTGGTGCAAAACAAGGCTGCCCAGGAAGGTGGACTTGATGTGAGTTTGTTCAAGCTGCTCTCTGATGCACAGCCCGACTCGGTTGTTAGTCTGGAACACCAATACCGCATGTGTGAAGAAGTCATGCTGCTCTCAAACACATTGATTTACTCTGGGCGTCTCAAATGTGGCACGCCACAGGTCGCAGCCCGGTCCCTGGAGATCCCGGACTTGCACGTCCTCAAGCAATTCCACGCCAACCATTTCAGCCCCTCTCAAAAACAGCAAGAGATCTGCCTGGGCGCAGCACAGGGCCGCTGCTGGCTACGAGACCTGCTGGAGCCCTCGGCCAAAACACGACTGGTCAACACCGACCCGCTGGGAGCAGCCTCGCTGGAGACGGCGCAAGGCTTGCGAGTCGTGAACCATATTGAGACAATCCTGTGCACGCAGCTCGTCGAGGCATTTGTCGCGAGCGGCATCCCCGCGCGCAACATAGGGGTCATCACCTTCTACCGCAGCCAGCTGTCGCTCCTCCGCCAGCGCCTCCGTCACCACACGCCCGAGCTCGAGATGCACACAGCAGACAAGTTCCAGGGCCGCGACAAGGAAGTCGTGATCCTGAGCTGCGTGCGCAGCAACTCCGAGAACCACGTCGGTGAGCTCCTCCGCGACTGGCACCGCGTCAACGTCGCCTTCACTCGTGCGCGCACCAAGCTCCTTGTCTTGGGCAGCCGCTCCACCCTGCGCGACGGCAACGACCTGCTTCGCAAATACGTCCGCTTGGTCGAATCCAAGGACTGGGTGTATAATCTCCCCAGTGGCGCAGTCGACTCTCACATTTTTCCGTCTGTTACTGCCCCGGATGCCTCGCAGGTGCCGGCCCCGTCCCTGACTGCAAATTCGACCCCGGGCTCGGCCAAGCTGAAGACCAGCCCGAGCGCCAGGATGAAAAAGTCCCCTTCGTCGCGTGAACCGCTAAGCCCCTTGGGCTCGCGCCAGCCTTGCCCCGGTCTCCGGCAACCTGCTAAGCGAGGTGCGAAGTTGTTCAATGGCAACTCTGTTGTCGGCAACAGGCCTATTCTCCAGGACTTGGTCAATGACCTGACTGGTTAATGAGAACTTCTTCTGACTATAGGTCTGGGATGTTCAGGTGTTTCTTTTGGATTATGGGGTTTGTCCATATACCTTGATTTCGGCTTCACGGTTGAAAAGGAATCCAATTTGATATCTTTGTCTTCATAGAGCCCCGGCGTTCTGACTATACAGTGTGGCGTATACAGTGTGGTGCCTCGAATATCGCATAGCGAGGGGCGGCATTGCCTTGAATTGCATCGTTTTCGAATTAGATCCGGATCTTTTACCAGCCTGTTATCTGATAGTACCATACCAGGCATATACTAGGGTTGAATCCTCCGATCCTGTTGAAAGGTTTTAATCCACTAAGTAAATGAGTAGAATTATAAATACCAGGACTTTACTCGAATATGCAAGATGTTTTAAGCCATCTGTATACGGAGACAAGAAGAAAAAGAAAAGATGATTCATTCAACATTGAGCTCGTGACTGTGTACAAATGTGCTGGCAATAACAAGGAATATTCTCCCACCAAAGAAAGCAACAAAAGAAACAAAGAGAAAGAAAGAAATCACAAACCACCGAGTCTTCCAACTCCTTTTTTATTGTTCAAGTCCACAAAATGATAATGATATGTCCCACTCAAACGCCTGTTTTGGAACAAATTTAACTCTTGTACACGAAAAAAAGCACGAGAGAAAAAGAAAAGAAAAAGTCCAGGATGTTTTTTGCTGTGTTCAACAAAAGAAAATAGACAAAATACACAAGAGAAACAGAAAAGACAAGAAATTTGAAAGAAAAAAGATTTCGAGTAGCCAAATGCGAACCCATCACCTGGTCAAGAGGGTAACTCGATTGGCATGTTAATTGTTGACGGCTTGTTGCTTGTTCTTAGCCGCATTCAAGTAATTCCTTTTGCCAGTGCCATCGTATTCCCATCTGGCGTGGTTGTTGGGGTTGGCCACAAAATCCTTGGGAACGGTGGGATCGGCCCAAGAGAGATTCTGTTGGGCTGCCGCCGGCTGAGGAGATACCGGCTGAGGGGGTACCAGTTGAGGAGTACTGACAGGCCCAAACGGACCAGTGAACTGAGGCATCATGGTATACTGAGATACCATGGCGGGCTGAGAGGCCATGAACATCTGAGGAGTCATGGCGTACGAATGCATCGTAGCAAGTGCAGCCATGTTGGCAGACCAGAATTGGTTTGCACACTGAGGTGCCATGAAAGACTGAGAATCCATGGCAGGCGGAGGCATGCTGATAGGTTCTTGGGGCGGAAGCAGCATCTGCTGAGGTAGAAGAGGCGGCTGCTCAGGCGCAAGCATATACTGCTCAGGTGAAGGCACAGGTTGCTGGGGTAGAAGCACAGGCTGTCGAGGTAGAGGGAGAGGCTGCTCAGGTGGACTCTGGGAGGCCATGGTCGAATTTTGCCTCTTGCGAAGTTGAAGCTTTCGCTCCCGGCGTGCTTCTTTGGCTGCCTGTTCAGTAGGTCGACAGCTGCTGTTGGGCACGCACAACTGCTGAGCCTTGCCAGAGAATTTGGCTTCAGCAGCAGAGAGTGCACTTGCAGCAAGGTCGAGAGCAGCAGAGACAGTGCCCAAGTTAGAGTCCAACGCCTCAGAAGTGCCGTCAGACTGAGGTGTGGACAGGGAGTTTGCGCTATATGCCCCAGAATCTGGGGTAAGCGCCACTAGAGAAAGTCAGACCAAGTCATCTCAAAGTGAAGAAACCAACGTACTGTTGCTGAGAGCCTCATCGGCTGGATTTGCCTCATCCAGTCCTGGGTTCTCTTTCAGTTGACCAGTGGCCACGCCACTGGTCAAGATATTCTGGGCGTAGTCAGCCTGGTTGTAATTAGGCTGACTACGCCGGTCCAAGGACCATTCTATCCTGCGCGACTCTTCTGTCGTGAAGACAGACAGGCAGGAGTCCTCCCCCACACCATTCCAGTTTGAGTCGATGAACGCATCATAGTTGAAGGCGTCCACCGACTCATCAGCTTCGAAGAGAGATTGAGAAGACTGCATGGCTATGTAGAGAGAGTGAAGGAGGGAAATGACAGGTATGTATGTCAGGATGAAAGAGAGTATGGGACTTTTTAAGCCCTATGAAACGAGTGGATATACAGCAAATAAATACAAATTAGAGTAGGTGGTAAGCAGATGGGAGATGGATGGGAAGTGAGTGAGAAGGTTGGGAGAAGGAGAAGAAGAAGAAGAGAAAAGGGGAGGGAAGGGGAGTTAGTGAAGAACATGCTGAAAGACGTCAAGTTGAATCGACCTACGTCAATCGAGTAGCCCCTGCCATGATACCACGGTTTGAAGGAAGTAGATATGTGGGGTAGACGCTGTATTTTTAGTTCTCAATTACCGAGGACCCAACAAACTCCCAGCATATACAAGACCGGCCATGAGCAGCGTCCTGTTCCTGGTTTTGCACATCCTCGGATGGACCAGTAGAAGGCTTAGCTGGAAGCGCCAGTATTGTAAACCCGTCCTTGCCCTCTACAGCCTCCTGCCCTAGAGCTGACGCGGAAAGAGCAAACCATGTCAACGAGGAGCTTGACTTTGGGTGATGTCTGGGACCGAAGCCCAATTAGGGCACGGAGGTCAGCCCTGTGGTAGATAACCATAATCCGGGGTTACATCACTTTAAATACTCACAGCAAATACAGGAACAGTTGTATTGTCCATGTCGACGGTATCAGACCGTGCCACTTCAGGCTAACCAGATCAGAGGGCGGGACTTCATCAGCGTCCGGCACGCTGTAACGGCTCAAGTACGGGTCGATATGGTCATCCGCTGATACACGAGGAGACTCTAGCCGGACCATGGCGAGCCATTCTGAGAGTGATCCACAGTGCTCTTGCAGCTCACCCTCGGTCATTGCCCCAAAATCCTTTCCAAGGACTGGAGTGGAAATATGCCGATGCTCAATGCAGAGCGGCGTACAGTCGATCCACTGTGGGTGAAGCTTGGCAACTGGCTTATTGTCTGGCCCCTGAACATCAACATGCTTTCTTTTTTCTTTTTTTTTTGAGAGGAGGGGGGGGGGGGAGAAAAATAGTATACCTTGGTCCTGACTTGACTTGGTCTCCAAGTCGCAGAACAGCCATGCCATGGATCGGTTCAGAACCTTGTCAAATGCCCATACAATCCTCTCGAAGCCCTTCTTGCCATGGAGCATAGAGGGGAGCCGGAGATTCAATTCCACCACTGCCAGTATTATTAGTTTGGAAGCTTGGAACGGTTCAGAGTATTAGGTTCTGATGTTATTTTTGGAACTTACAGAATCTCTCCTTCCCATGTTTCCTACCACCACTGCGAATAGGCTTTCCGGTCAGGCCTGTCCGCTCTAAAATCTCTTTCCCCAGCTCTATGCGAAGGACCCCTGTGGCAGGAATATGTCAGCCTTTCTTTGTCACCATGATAGAATCCAAAGAGGATATTGACAAACCATCTCGAAGTGTGAAAACATTGTCTGATCCTGAGCGGCCCTCGGAAACGAGAAGAATGTTTCCTGTTGATGGCATTAGAGATTTTCCTTTGAGAGCATTTCATCCTATGGTGATGTCTTCCCATACCTGATTTAATATAGGTGTTGAAGAAATCGTGCTCGAGGAGAGCAGAAGGCGGCATCAGCACATGTGCATATCGAGGGTTCTCCAGCCAAGTCTCCAACGATGTCTTGATCTGTGAGTACACTTCTTCAGGCACAATTGCCTCGACCTGGTACCAATTAGCTACCTGCTCCTCATAACCAGGCCAGGTTCCTCTTACAGTATGCACTAGCGGGTGGTTCTGGATGACAGAGAAGGGGAACTTCTTGCTTGGGATCTGCTTGGGGTCCACAAAGGCGGGCAACGTGCTGATGGTGGTGAAGCACTTTTCTCGACGCGACGCATCGTCCTCCAAGTCGAACATGATGCACGGCTTGTTCACTGCAAGGCTTCAAATTTTCTCGATGTTCGATTAAGCTTCAATGCTTATCGATGCTTATCAGGGAATCTTCGATTCGGAGAGTGTTCAAGTTCTCGGGCTCTTCGTATCTCCCCCAGGCGGTGAGTCTGCAATAGCAACTGCGCGTGTGCTCTTTGAAGCTGTGGATGTGCGAGATGGTGGGGGTTTTTTTTTTTTTTTTTTCTTGGGAGATTTCTACTTTTTCTGGTTGATTCGGTTCCGACTATATCAGTCTAAAATAGTATAAATACTATTCAATATATATAGAAAATTTGACTAGTTAATGGAGACAATAAAAAAAAGGAATAAAAAAATTACAATCGATAGTAAACACCATAGGCCAACAACAATCAATAGTGTTAGCTGCATCGTGAAAAAATCGATTCTTCTCTACGAGACTCCTTTCTAACATCCACTCCAAATCGCTATAGAATCGTGGTAATCGGATTAGAAGACTCGATATGTTTGCCTGAGGCATCAACGGACTGTCCGCCCCAGCATGACGATCCCGCTGGCTGTTCGTCATCAGTTGGAGCTGCCAGTTCTCTCTCCACTGCCCACTTCCCCTGCAGCCTCAAATTCTGGTGGATCTGCGCTGTGGCACCAATTGCCAGAGCAGCCCGTGATGGCCCCTGCTCCGCGTCGAGATCTCCTCCCCAAGGAACACTTCGCGTTTGTCTTCGGCAACGTCAAAACCCAGAGCTACCATGACCCTGCTGCAAAGGGTCCAGGGTCACATACGTGAGTTGTTTCTGTGTCGCGGGTACCGAGAAAGGTTTATGAATTGGTTATGGTCAGGTACTAACTCTGTCTTTTCTTTCGCAATAGCATCCGGACGCTGGCATGGAATCCCACCGGCCAGCTGATCGCAACGGGGTCTGCAGACCGTACCCTCCGCATCTGGAATCCTGAGCGCCCGGCTGTCCGATACTCAACTGATCTGCGCGGCCACTCGGCGGGCATTGAGAAAGTCCTGTTCAACCCTGTCCGTGATGCCGAGCTGGCGAGCTGCTCCACCGACGGCACCGTGCGCTTCTGGGATGTCCGCTCCAAAACATGCGTGAGCCGCCTCGATGTTGGCGGCGAAGCATTTACGATGTCTTGGTCGGCTGACGGCAGCACAATGATCGTTGGTAGAAAGGTGATTGAAAATTCGGCTTCATGCATCCTTTTTGTTTTATGCCAGCCTCGGCTGACCCATTGGAATGGCATGATAAAAACAGGATGACACCCTCATTCCAGTCTATGTGCAATCACTCTCGACGCCCAGTATTCACCCCGCTCTCGCTAGCGCCTCAGCCGACCTCTCCTCGACCAAACCAGACGCAACAACCTACACCGCGCTCAGCGGGCACCAGCAACCAGTGCAGACCAACGCAACGACCTTCTCACACCACATCGCCACACCGACCTCACCAGACCTGCATCTGTTCGCAACAACAGGCGAAGGCAGCGTCAAGATCCTCTCCTACCCCTCCTTCGACCTCCTCCACACCCTCAACGCCCACACCTCATCCTGCTCCGCCGTCTCGCTCGCCCCGACGGGTCGCTACCTCGCCATCGGCGGGAGCGACGCCCTCATCTCGCTCTGGGACACCACCGACTGGATCTGCCGCCGCACGCTGTCGAGCGAGAACGGCGGCGCCATCCGTGGCGTCAGCTGGAGCTTCGACGGCCGCTTTATCTGTGGTGCCTGCGACGAGCCGGGCTGTGGCGGGAACGGCCTGGAGATTTTCCATGCTGAGTCGGGCGATAGTCTCTATACTATTCCCACGCCCGGCGGCATCAATGCTGGCGTCCCGGCTGTTGCGTGGCATCCTTCGCGGTATTGGTTGGCTTACTCCACTACCGCGGATGGGCCGAGTAGTTCGGGCGCTGGTGGGCTGAAAATTGTTGGCGCTGCTGGTGGGGGGCTTTGATGAGTTGGGAGTTTGGGCCGTTGATGATCTCGGGGGGTTCTTTTCATCTGGAAATGTAATGTCATAGATTGTTGCCATTGCTGTACTGCCATGCATGTACGATGGAGTTTTCAAGAGGTCTTGCATTCAAGGCTGGTTGTTTCTTTTCTTCTTTACTAACCCAACATACGACTATTCTGGACATATAAGAATCTACGTCTTTCCAAATGTGAACTTTTCCCATGGTTAAATCGAGGCTCTAAGGGACCTAGCGCTAGCGCATCTTTGTAGATCTCAGGTTTTACCGGCGCTGGTATCGAGTGCATTGCCAGGTTGCAAGAACGTTCTATACAGAGGAAATAGTCTATCTACAGACCACACGAGCATGATACAAGTGCATGTATGGCCGGGAAGATAACCGGTGCTTAAAGTGCAATTCATCTAAAGCGAAAGCGACTTTGAGCTGAAATAATCTAGTAATCCAGGTTTTTTTTTTTTTTTTTTTTTTTTGGCAAAGATATTCCACCAGCTTATCCTAGGACCAACTCATCCTAGGTACACTTCAAAGGGTAATTCATGATACATCTAGTGGCCCAAATCAACACTCCACTCTAAGATAAAGCACTTAACAAAAGCGACAATGACCGCCGGGCTAAGGATCGAAGAAGATATGATAGGTTTATAGCTAAGATTTTTCGTGGCACTACTTCAATAGCTCATATTTCTAATGGGATTCGTCAGCCTTTTGATGCTAGAGATAAACCTGGGTATTTACATGTGGTTAGGATGAAGTAAAACCGAATCTAATCCTATAGTAGCTAAGGATCTGTTCCGGGGAGAGAGGAGACAAAAGAAAAGAAAAGAAAAACATAAGTACAGCTACAGAGCAATGAGCAACTATAATCGCTGGCTGTTTTCAAATCGCTAGATCAACAGACCCCCAGGGAAAAGAGAATTCCCATGTTAGACATTAGATTTTGTATACTAGCTCGTGGTGGTATATGCAGAAACTAAGACCGGGTATTTCGAGTGAAGAGATCTACAGATTTTAAATCAAATAAGCGATCCTCACTCGCCTTCTCGTCCTAAACAGGTTCTTGAAAAAAAACCCCCTTTTGTGTTCTAAGCGGAGCATAGTTGTAAGGCTGTGTCTACATGGCTGTAAAGATTCTGCAGCTAGTCGTAGCAATTCTGCGCCCGAACAGCAGCCTCGAGGACCACCAGATAAAAATGCCGTGTGTCCGACTATAAGAAAGGCCAATTCCTACTGAAAGGGCAATTTTTCGAAGGCTGCTCATTCCTGCGGGAATTATTGATTGTCCAGCGAGGACCCATAGCGAGGACCAACAGGTGCAAGGCTGTAGCTCTGACTCGAGGGAACAGCTATAGATAAATGCCTTCCCTATCGTCTTTTTTTTTTTTCTTGTTCTGGTGAAACGGTTTCTCCTGTGCTCAATCACCATGTGGTCTCTACACCTTCTGTTGTTGAAGGGCTTATTCTTAGTTTTCCTTTTGATATCAGAAGTTCCAGCATCTCCTCTATCCATCGCCTCCAATACGCCTAGCCTCGTTGAGCCAACACCGATCTCTGTTACGCCATCTTTTGTGTCAAATGTCGTGGAGAATACTCATACCACCTTAATCGGCTCAAATGGTCATCAGACCTTGGTCCCGGTCATTGGTAGTGCAATATGTTGGGTAAATATCTACAATTTTAGTGCTAGCAATTGAGCGCTTATAAAGTATCAATATAGTTCTGCCCTAAGGATAGCAAAGGCGAGGAGGTACTAGGTGGGTGGGTACTCCTAGGCATTGATAGCCCTGGAGTATACCAACCCTCCTCAGTCTCTGTATTCCGCGAGCCTATTCCTGTGATCACTGTGTCATCCGACGGGAATCCAAGTTATACCTCTAAGACAACAAAGGATATAGCCACGAAAGTGAAACGAAACAGTATCCCGACTACAACTGAAACCACCTATTCGAGACAATTTGAATTAATCAGACCGTTCTTACCGGAACCCGCTAGAGATGGCCAAGTTGAGGATGGAGACGGTTACGCTATAAAAGGAAGTCAGTATATATCACTTTATTTTCTTCTGTCCTCTATTTTAGATAGGGGACAAATGTTTGGTAACTAACATTTTTATTATTCCCCAGAACACACGGGCCTAAAATTAGGTATTGTACCTTGGCCCGAACACTATCGATTGGTTGCAGGCTATATCAAGATCACCCCCAAAGGAAAAGTCAAGATAGGCCCCGACGGCTGTGAAACTGATGATAGAAATCGAGTCGTTGAAGTTCGGAAAATTGTTCAAGTGGACTATGACGCCAATGACTACCATCTCAATCGTCGAGGCAACACAATCGTGCCTAGTCCGCAACCCGGAAGAAGGGAGTGGTGGGAGGCTTCTTACCAAAACTTGCAATACTTTGGTCCAATTAAGCCCTCTTTGACAGTTGATCAAATACAAGATGAGGCACAGGAGCTTGCGAATGAGATGAACCGCAAGGGGGGTTATAATAAATGCCTTCGGAATTGCAGGGACTTTGTGGTTAGATTGTATAATAAAATTAAAGCTTGATAGCAGGTAAACTATTCAATTCTCATCAAGAGAAAAGAGGGAAAATGGAGAATTCTTGTGTTAGATGATTATTGTTATTAAACCAAGCTTATTGCCCGTATCTAGCCCTAAAGATATGAGTGCCTCAGGTTTCTGTAAGCGCCTGAGTGGTGCTGCTGGACTATTGCCACTATACTAGGTAGGTGATATTGTATGACCCTGGAGCAGGTAGCTAGATCTTATCACCTAACCTATACCCTATCGGAATAATACAATCAATAGATAGAGAGAGATATATATAAGGCAAATACGAGTAGTACAGGGGTATAAATAGGTACATGAAAAAGATTAACTAGCAACTCAGAGGGTAGAGAGGGGTAAGGGCTAGCGAGGCAGCGAATAGACAAGCTTGAATTTACACCAAATACCAAGTTATAGTATCTAGGGATCTAGGTGTCTCGGAGAAGCAGAAAGATAATAACAACAGGGTATTAGGTGGTCAAAGTCATCACCAATACAGGAGCTCACGCCGTTCTGGATCCACACAACTATGGCCGATAGTCCGTAAAGCCTTCGAAGAGGGCGTGCTTGGAATACAACTAACGATGGGAGTGTACAACAAAGGCGATATTATCTCCAGCACCTCCGACTTCGAGACCTTTTGGAAAACAGTGGCCGGCCAGTTCAAGTCAAATGAGCTGGTGATCTTCGACACGAGTAAGTAGTCGATACCCCCCACTGGCACAAGGTGAAGTGATTTGCCTGGCTAAGCAAGTATATCATGTAGACAACGAGTACCACGACATGGAGAATATCACACTAATAATGTCAGAGAAAGAAGAGACACAGTCTTTATGTGAAGTAGTCACGGGTAAATTACTTTAGGTATCATCACCCCGGGGTTTCCAACCCTCGAAGAGACGGCGCAAGAAAAAGCTCCAACTCAAATCATAAGAGAATCAAGAAAGACATCATTTGTCCATAATACCCGTTCACTGCAAAAAACCTTGACGCCAAGCCCATCCTTTTCCTTTATATTCAAACATTGTGAGTGGCTATTTGTACTGGAGAGAGCCAACTCTGTCCGGGTTCCTGAACCAATTTCGACATGGATATACATCAGGAGGTTGGACATACTCTGAGATAGATATTGGAGTGGAGGGTGGTTCGAGGGGCGCCATGTTTCTTGCAGGAGTTGCGGTCCTGAGCTGCGAGTTGCTCTCCATGGTATGCCGTGGCGATGGTGAGGTATAGTCCTCCATCCGAGGCCGAGCCAGGGCCCTCTGCATCAAAGTATTGAATGGTAGACCAGAACTACCAAGCTTCATCCCATGCGCTTGAAAGAAGGTCAAAGCGATCCGCATCCACGACGAACCCAGTCGATGTGTTGCTGAGTGGGTGAAAATCTCCCACGGGCGACTTTCAAGTCGGTCGCCAATTGCCCCAACCGTTTCCGGTCCCGTTTGCATTCAGAATCTGCGTCCACTGAGCCTCGTTCAGAGAGTCAACGTTCAAATTGCTGAAGCCCATGCTGGTCATTTCCGGGTTGGACGTTGGAAGTTCCCACGTAGAAGGTGTGGGGATTGAATTGGCTTCTGTCGTTCCCAATGGACTAGAAGAGCTGTTTGGATACAGCTGGCCAGACAGAGAGCTCATGTTCGGGGCCTGCGAGGACTCACCGGGCGACGAAGGATGGACCAAATTTGCTTTATCAAAGGCCGTATGTAAGCCCTGCCCGGGGTGCTTCAAGGACGACTTTTGTTTTTGACCAGGCGACGGGTTATCAGCACCAGACATAGAGTAGGATGTATTGGAGGACGAGTTCAGCGTGGATGGTGTAGGATGGTCGGATGGGGGATTGTTTCTGTCGCTGAGACCAAAGTCGGGTGAAAAGTCCATATCGACATTTAAGATGGTTCCCGGCCCGGCCGTTTCAGGTTTGGGATTGAAATTCTGTAGCTCGCTGTAAGAGACTGTATTTTCGGTGAACGATGCCGTTGGATCTCTGTGTCGGCTGGGTAGGGATGTGGACATGCCGCTACAGGGAGACTGATGAGCAGTGCCGGTGCTTGCGCGATCTTGTGAAGAACCGCTAGCCACATTCCCGGCAGAATGGGGTGGGCGCACGGTGTAAATAGGACCGCATTCAAAATCTTCGCCGCAGGATTGCTAGATAAGGTAACAGTCAGTTCCATCGATGTTTTTGAATCAACAAAAACTAACCATCGCCATGGCTTGTGCATAATAAGGCGAGCTACCCTTGATTATATTGCCCAAGCCTGGGATCACAGTTCCCTCCAAGTCTACCTCCAGCTGCACAAGGAAGGACTCGGTCAAGGGATTTTTGGTTTTCATTGAGTTGAGAGCAGACACCACAAATTGCAATGAAGACTGGACAGTCGAATCATCGGGGCGGGACTTGAGATACTGGACAAACACCCTTGCAGCAATGTAGAGACAGAATGACATGAATGGATTCAACTGCAAAAAGTTCAGTAGTAGCTCGCTTAACTTGCATTCGGAACCAGGACTTACCGCTGCGAGTTCCATATGGCAGATCAGCTTCATGATACTCGATATCTGATTTGCTGCCACCAGGCATCTGCGCTTGCTCTCGGTGATAATCTGACTTGGCATTTTGTTCTTTTCGGCCTTGAAGATTGCAGCCTGGTGAAGGCAGATGGTTGAAGTGTGAATACTCATGTTGGCGAAGATGACGTTGATATCAGACATTCCAGTTGGAAGTCGAAGATGATCGGGCAGCGAGAGCGCAATGTGCAGCAAAATGTTATCATGGCTCCGATGTCGCTTCCAAAATTCCCCGTTTAAATCATGGTCGTTTTCTTGCGGCTGCGGCCGATGGATATGGACGAGATTTCGGCCAAAGAGACTCGCCAAAACCACCACATACGCGTATGGAGCTAGTGTGGAGACACCCTCACCGGCGAGAATATCGGTAAGACGCAGTGTTCGCTGTGGCTTGCTCTTCAAGAACGATTCCTCGGAAGCGGGAAGATTCGTCATGATCTGGTTGCCATTAGCTATCACGTCCTGCGATCAAACAAGTCGGGCCATAGGGATGACTGACATCACACTCATCAATAACCACAGGCCATCCCGTTCCAATACTCGCGTACCGGTCGTTACAGAAGGCCATCCAAAACACTCTTCGGCGTTCTTCCCGCTCAACCCAATCTTTGGGCGGTGAGAGCGTCTGCTTGACGTCGAGACCTCGTCCATCCAACCGGTTCAAGCCCATCATAAGTGCCAGCCGTGTAGCGTTGCCGACACTTAACCACGCACGCGGAAAGCAAATCATCCGAAACTCGTATGCTCCGATGAGTATCCAAGTTTGGCAGTGCGCCACACTGACGATAGACTCTCCAAACCCTTTCATCTCATCCAGATAAACGTACTTGCGTGCGCGCTGATAGAAATGACCATGCATGGCAAAATATTTGTCACTGACCGACGCCGCATGACTCCACATCATGTACCGTAGACACACAGGCGGCCTCATATGGGGAGCGAGGTTCAGACTTGCATAGTATCGAGGCCCGTGGATAATCGGTATGTTCGGATAGACTTTCTCGAAAAATAAACGGTCCCTGAATTTCGCCATGCCATTAGCAACCACTTTATAGAACCATGATCTAAGCCACATACAAGTCATCGATCACATCCTGGGGTGGGAGAGGCTCTTCCAATCCTAGACTGATCAAGTCCCAGTGCTGATCGGCCGGGATGTTGGGGACATGGGGGGTTTCAGGGTAAAATATTTGAGCTGGATTTGACGTGTCCGGGATATGCGATACGGGAATTGCGCTGCCAATGTCACTTCCAAGCGCCGAGAGATCAGGCAAGGCGAGTGTCGGTTCTTCGGGGAAAGGTGCGGTGAACGTATTCTCCTGTCGTTCAGGTGGTGAGGTTCGCTGCACAGGATCGGAGTCGTGGCCTTTGAGGAGTGTCTCGACCTGGGCTGATACGGTGACGATTGTCAGCGATCTGATCTACGTGAAATACAATTCCAGTCATAATCGCAGGCGTACCTAATCGAGCCTCGAGCTGCTTGACATACCCGCGCTTCGGCCCGCTCTTTTTGCGCACCTCGTCGTATGCGCATTCATGACCTAGACGCGAACAAGTTCCGCAGCTCGGCCGTTTCCCATCGCACCTCAGTTTCCTCCTGCGGCAGACGACGCACGCGATGCGCTTGGGTCGAGGGACATAACTGCTGTCTCCGGCGCTTTCTGCGAATCCATTTTGTGCCACTCCTAATTCAGCTTGGGATGGAGCAGGTGTCATGGAGTACTGGGCAGAGTCGTGAGAAAACGACGGCGGGACATCTGCCATGACCGTGGTCGCAAGTGTGGACACCGCGCAAAAGCTGTGTAATTTAGCTCGGAAATGAAGCCAGCGACCTCCGAACTATAAGAAGAAAGTGGAGGAGAAATAAGAGCGGACATAAATCGTCAGCCTGTCAGCCGAAAAGACTCTGCGGTTATTATAGTGACAGCGGGGGATGAAAGAGGAATCAAACGGCGATGAAGGACGGCGGGTTTATCAGCGCGGCTGACATTCGCCCCAACTTTGCAACTTTACTTGCAACAAATGAACCACACCGGCTTGAGGATTTCTGAATTCTTCTCTTCTCTTTTCTTTAATTGACTATTTTCATGCCCGAGCACAATCAGACGATTCATTTCCATCCGCTTCCCCTGACAGTCGCGATCGGCATGGTGGGATACGCACCACAAAGCTGCCTGGAGGCTTGGCAGATCGATGCTCGAATATAGATCACTCAGAAACTCGTGGATGATAGGTGCTTCCATTTTTTAAGGCATACGGCCTGGGGTCATCTTACTATACAGTGCCCATGACTCGACATCAACAAGAAAGCAAAACAACAAAAAACAACAGTTATGGTACAATACCGCCTGCGTGCAGACGGAATAAGAGATATATGGAAAGTCCCAGAACAATGCAAGTGAATGGTAGCCTGGCTTGCCAGAGTAGATTTCTCCTCATCCTCTCTTATTTGCGTCCACGACGACGCTTGCCTTGGTTGCGCGGTCTCGGTTGGATCACAGACTTGTTGATCTTCCCCTTCTTACGAGTTCTGTAACCAGACTTGGCCTGTAGATGGGGAAAGACGTCAGCCCACTGGTCCAAGAGGAGTCAAGAGCAGAAAAATACATACCGGGAGACCCCACGGGCTCTTAGGATCAACGTTACCCTTGGACTTTCCTCGTCCACCACCATGAGGATGATCAGCCGCGTTCATGGCCAGACCTCGGACAGTGGGGCGAATGTTGAGCCAGCGTGATCGGCCTGCCTTTCCGAGCTGTCTGTATTGATGGTTGATGTTGCTAGCAGTGCCAACGGTCGCGCAACAGTCTTTGTGAAGGAGCCGAATCTCGCCACTTTGAAGGCGGACGGTGATTGACTGGGCCAGGCGCTCCTGTTCCTGCTGTTCGCGCATGGATAGAGGCTGCTCCTCGACCGGCTCTTCGGTTACAATGGCTGCCTGGCGAGAATCACGCCCTTTGGCAACCACAGTGGCATAGGTACCCGCGCTGCGGCACAACTGGCCCCCTTTGCCGGGCTCCAACCCAACGTTGAAGATCGGTGTCCCCACGGGAACCATGTGCAATGGCAGACAGTTTCCTCGCCAAACAGTTCGGGCTGCGAGCACTCCCGGATCTATGGCGTCACCCATGGCCCGCCACAGATCATTCGGGATGCCGGGCAGGTAACTCTCGATGACATCGCCGGCCCGCAATCCATCGGCAGCGAGAATATAACTCAGTTTCTTGGTAGTCTTGCAACGAGTCAGGGCAATGTGTGCAGTCCGCCCTGGATCATACTCGATGCGCTCCACCAGTTGGGGTCCGGGCAGCATGCGCAGGAAATCGACGGTCCGTATCCGGCGCTTGTGGCCACCACCGTGATGCCGGACCGTTATTTGGCCGGTGTTATTGCGACCACCTTTGCCCTGGCCACGCTTGGGAAACGTCAATCGGTGCACCGGGCGGCCTTTCCACAGATGATCATTGATCGGTCGTCGCAGATGTCGTACACCAGGGGTGCGCGGAGTATATGTGCGGAGGACAATTCCCTTGTTGCGAGTCGGCAGAGGAGGAAGTGAGTTGCTCATCTCAAACGTGTTGCGAGAGTTCTCGGATGGCGGCTCCATCTCATTCACGACCCTTGTTGCATAGCCCCGAGCCGGGACAGAGGGCAAGCATCTGAAGGGCAACTGAATGACCCTACAGGCCATTCGAGGCTGAAGCATGATTCACCAGAATAAACAAGGTAGGGGAAAGATGATGCTTCAATTGGCTGGGCTAAAGCACCTCGGGGCAGGAACAATTGCACCCCAAGAACACTCGACTCTCTCACCTTCAACGCCGCAGCTCTACGCAAAAAGTTCTTGGTACACGTGATCTGATCTTCACCGATATCCCCACCGCCCTATCGAAATGACCGGCACCATACGCGATGCCGCACGTGATCTGGTTACCCACCGGACCGACATCGTTGCGGGGCAACGGCGTTGTTGTCTCTCGCGCCTCACGTTCTGCCGCGCCTTCGCGTCTCCACCCGTTACCAATACCACACATCGTCACCTTCCCTCTCCTGCCCTCCCTTCATTTCTGGATCGTCTTTTCTTTTTTTCTACCTCAGTACGAAAAGCCTCTCTATCTTCCATTTTGCTGTTCAATTGCACAAAAAAAGAAAAAAGAATAAGCCTGCATTTTTTCCCTCCATTGCACTTCATATCCACGCGACTGGAGAGGTGTGGGGCGTCTTTCAGGCCTGTTTTCCACGCTAACACAGTAGGGCCAAACATCGCCTTGCCCTCTCGAGTTCTTCCTTTTCCCTCATCCATTCCATTTCAAGCTCCAAAGATACCCTTTTCCTTACCATCCCAACTTCATTTTACACCTCGGAAATCCTGGCACAGATTCCACAAGTGATTCTTACTCCCTTTCACTCTTCAAATTCCGCGTTTTCAACTGTTCCAGTCACGGAACTGGGTTTCTTCGCGGGTCGTGCCAACATCAACAAGCCCTTTTGATACGACCATCACCTCCAATCATCTTAGTTGGACCAAGAAGTGCCCTCTGCCTCCTGGCATTGTAGTCTCTCCAGACTGACTGCATTTTCACGCGTGGTACGTGCACCGAGTTGACTCTCTGGTATTTAGTCCCCACTGAGGTAATGTCGGACGGAATGCTGACTAGATTGGCACGGCAGGACAAGGATTATTATATTCCTGTGTCTTCCCTTTTCTCTTGACACGCCCCCCTTCCCCTTCTCTCTTTTTCCTGTTTAACACGATGCCTCCGGTAAGCAACCCTTGGGTCTGGCAAACACGCGTCTCGAGGAGAGGCTCGTCTGTCGAGGGTGCATGCCTTTATATTCCTCTAATGCCCTTATTCGATGTTGATACTAACCTCATTTTAGGCCCGTAGCCTGCGCACCCGAGGCACCATGAATGAGAACGATGAGAACGGGCCCGCACCACGGGTGACACGGGCCAAGACGGCTGCCCTGACCACCGATGTCCCTGCCAACGGGACTAAGAACGCCCTACAGACCAAGCGAACCACGTCGACCACTGGGGCTAACGGGGCTGCCCGTCGTCGTCCCGCTCTGGGGGATGTCAGCAATGTCAACAAGACCGACGGTGCTGAAATCAAGGATGGAAAGAAGGGCGCGACCGGAAAAGTTGGCTTGACCTCCAAGACAACTACGCAGACGGGAGGTGTTCAGAAGCTCAGCCGAACCAACTCATCACGGACCGCCCCTAAGATCCAGCAAACTACCAAGAAGGCTTCCGTCGAGGTCAAGGGGCCTGGCAGTGGATCTGGTGTCATCGGTGCTACGCGAGGCAAGCGGACGTCCAGCCACAAGTCGATCAAGGAAGAAGAGTTCCTGCAGGAAGAGCCTCCTCGCAAGAAGGCCGACGTGGAGAAGAAGGATGTTTCCAAATTTGCCCCCGTTCCCGAGGCGGTTGAGAGCACCAAGGACGCTATGGATGCTGCCGTGCAGGATCTCGACATCGAAGACCTCGACGACCCCTTGATGGCCGCTGAATACGTTGTGGAGATTTTCGACTACCTCAAGGACCTCGAGATGGTCACGCTACCCAACCCTCAGTACATTGAGCACCAACCGGACTTGGAATGGAAGATGCGTGGCATCTTAGTTGACTGGCTGATTGAAGTCCATACGCGTTTCCGTCTTCTCCCCGAAACTCTTTTCCTCGCCGTGAACATCATCGACCGCTTTTTGTCGGCTGAGGTGGTGGCCCTCGATCGTCTGCAGCTTGTTGGTGTCACTGCCATGTTTATCGCCTCCAAGTACGAGGAGGTTCTGTCCCCTCATGTGGCCAACTTCAGCCACGTCGCTGATGAGACCTTTTCCGACAAGGAAATCCTGGACGCAGAGCGTCATGTGCTCGCAACTCTCGAGTACAACATGAGCTTCCCTAACCCGATGAACTTCCTGCGTCGCATCTCCAAGGCCGACAACTATGACATCCAGACCCGCACCCTGGGCAAGTACCTCATGGAAATCAGTCTGCTTGACCACCGCTTCATGGAATTTCACCAAAGCCACATCTCGGCGGCCGCCATGTACCTGGCGCGTCTTATTCTGGAGCGTGGGCCCTGGGTAAGTTCCATGTTCCCCCTACGTCGGTACATATGTGCATCTTGACTAACAACAAATCCTAGGATGCCACTTTGGCTCACTACGCTGGATACACCGAGGAAGAGATTGACCCTGTTTTCCGCTTGATGATCGATTACCTTCACCGACCCGTCTGCCACGAAGCCTTCTTCAAGAAGTACGCCAGCAAGAAGTTTCTGAAGGGTGAGTATCTCAAACTTCCCCTAACAGAACTCTCCAGCTAATAGATTATCCAGCTTCCATCCTGACGCGCCAGTGGGCCAAGAAATATCACCACTTGTACATCGACAGCTCCCTCGCGGAGCCGTACACTTACATCAAGGACAGCGACCAGTGATGATACCATTTACGATGATATGCTATCCCTGTCTCGAGAACTGCCATTGCCCTTTTCACGATTTCAAGCCCGCCCTCGAGCAGGGACATTGAGTTCCATATGTTGGCATTTCATTGTCCTGGTATCGACTACCTCTTTGCATATTCTTACGATGACTTGATTGAATTTGTGCGCTTCCGCATTTGTGTTCTGTGATGGGGGGTGTCCGGCGCTTCAGCCCTGTGGAATTTTGTGTTTTCTTTCTCTTCTTTCAAGTTCGGCGTGTTTTCGTGGTTGCATGGGGTGCCTTGTCTCGAGCCTACCCTGATACCTTTACTTTCTCGCCATTCCTGTTTACAGGCGTCGGGCTCTTTATTTTTTCCCCTTTTCTTTGAGAACGGAATTTTAACTTGTGCAGCCATTGATATGACCTCTTCCATTGGGTTAAATGCTCTATTGCAGTGCCCCTTGGGACATCACGCGTTTGGTACTTGGCAAGGATGTCCATTCGCGTGGCACTGCACATTGGGAAAGCTTTTGTGTGAGAGTCATGTTGGATATTCTCTCTTCTCGGGTTCCTTTTTTTGTCGAGTTGGAAGGTTCGCGCCGGAGGTCAAGGGCCCGGTATTCCAGGTCGATGGCATGGAGATTTGGCGGAGCAGTAATGAGCGTTTCAGGTGGATCCGTTTTTTGTGTTTATCTGTTAGAATAGTACGCTGGATGCGTGTGTTTGGCGTCATTATCGGAGTGCAAGTTTGATTTGAACATTTCTTTTTCTCCTTTTTTAATATAACGGTGTACATAGGTGTTTTCTCTTCGACTTGAGCTTTTCGCTCCGAATTCCAGTGCACTCGAAGATCGGTTGGTTGCCCCTGTAGAGATGACTGGATGTTAGCCGAGGTCCGTCTATGTCTTCCGCGATGAACTTCGACTTGTCATCGTCCACGCGGCGCCTCGAATACACCGCACCCTGTCTCATTGCAGAACAGTTTATCGCATTCTGGTTTTGCTTTTGCTTTGGGTGCAATATACGCATTTACTACATTCTCAAACAGTGATTGGGATCCTATCGCTCACGCATCTTTGCTCTGTTCATATCCGCCGGGTGCCATAGATCCTGTCCTTGAAAATACCCGGGATCAATAATCCGCTTTTTCTATACTACGGCTGCTGCTGCTTCCTTTCGTTCCAATTCCACGGCCACTATTCCACTCCTTCACTTACTACCATGTCCTCCTCCCCTACATGCCCCTTCTGCAACATCGCTTCAATCAACCCCCCAATCCCCTGCCATGACCCCGAAAAATCCACACCCACAAGCCCATCAGGGTCCGAGCAGAGCCCCACGGCACATCTAATCCTCTCGACCGAGCATGTCCTCGCCTTCTTGGATATCATGCCCCTCACCCGCGGCCATGTCCTCGTTGCCCCGCGACGGCATTACGAGCTGCTGGGTGACATGGGGGTTGCTGTTGGGCAAGAGGTATGCATCTGCACCAATACACACTTGATTGTCTACAAGCAGTGTGCCTAATTAGCCTGCTATGTATGGCCTTCTGTATGGCTTTTCTTGCTGACACTCGTCCCGATCAGATGGGTAAATGGCTCCCTGTGCTCTCGCGCGTCGTGACAAGGACGGTCTTCGGGGATGATCCGGATCGGCATTGGAATGTTGTGCAGAATAATGGTATGTCTCTGCCGTCGATATGTAGCTATACATGGAACAGGAGAAATAGGAAGGAAAAAGGAAAGAAGAGGAGAGTGGGGGGGGGGGGACTTTGATTTCATGTATGAGACTGAGAGCTTGCCAATTAACCAGCAATCTATCATGCAGGTGCTCGTGCGGCGCAGCAGGTTCCGCATGTCCATTTTCATATCATTCCTCGTCCCGCCACGGACGGTGTCCACCAGCCGAGCTTTGCCATGTTCGGGCGAGGGCAGAGAGAAGAGCTTGATGATGATGAAGGGGATTTTTTGGCTCAAGCTATGAGGCGTGAGCTGGCTCGAGAAGTCGAGCGGATTCGGAGAGAGGAGGGCGTGGACCTGGGTCAGGGTTTGGCTTCCAAGTTATAGGATCCTTTCCCTCATTTTCGTCTATTTTTTTATTTGTATCATCTTGCATGTTCTTGACTCAATACCCTCATGTGAGCTTGCTCTGGTTCTATATGTCTTGTTGTCTTTTCTGTCCATGGCACTAGCTGGCAATGGAAATATATTCTAAGAAACTGACCGGATTAACCAGTCTCTGTGGTTTTTCATTGTGCCTCTTTCTCGTCTTGCTCAGATGCAGTGCCACGGTGTCTGGCGAAATACTACAGTCACCACCATCAGCGGGTTGTCTGGACAATCCATAGCGTCTGCATGAACATACCTTTCGTCGAAATGCATTCAGATCATCTGCCCTCACGCCCTGCTTGTCGTCCTTGCGCCGGGCCAGACTCACATCAGACACTTCGCCCTCCGGAAGACGGCGATATGTAATTAGTCGGCGAGACCCTACCAGAGAAAACGAGTCAGTTCTGGAGAATAGATTTTTTTTTTTTTTTCGAGGGGGTGATTCCTGTTCAGGCCCACTTACAGCTACTGAAAGGCTGCACAGACACATCCACCACCTCCAGGTTCGGGTGCATAGGGACAGGGAACTCGACTTCCTCGTCGCTAGCCGTTGGCATCCACATCGAGAGGCGGCCGCCCGGGACCAGGGTTCTGACGGCAAAGTCAAGAACATCTTTCTGCAAGGCTTCGAACCCGTACGGCCGTTTCGGGGGGATATATCCAGGCCGACTGTCGCGAAAGGGAAAAAAATGTCAGGTTGATGAACCAACAATAGCACAGAAAACAGAAACGAGCACTCAAGAACATACTAGTGAGCAGGAACCCCGTCAATAATTACCGGCTCTTTGCCTTTTCCATCACGGGCCCCCAGAACCCGAAGGCCCTCGCGGACCCCATAGGGCGGATCACAGACAATACCATCGAGGAACGGAATATTGCGCAATGGCGTATTGGTCAGGTCCGAAGTAAACGCATCCAGAAACTTGCTGGTCAACCCATACTGCTGGTAGTTCTGGACCAGGCCCATCTTGTTTACGCCCTCCATATCCCTGCCACGGAAACCACGAGGATCGATATCGGCGCCGAAAGTCAGAGCGCCGAAATGCGCCGCCGCCACCAAGAAACTGCCCGTGCCGACAAACGGATCAAAGAAGACTTTCCCGGGCGCAGCCAGCGCCATGTTGGCCGTGACCAGACTCAGCTCCGCGTCCATGGAGGTCGTGCTGATGTAGCGCCGCTTCTTCAGATCGTACGTGGGCATGATTGCCCGACTACTGTCGGCAATCCAGCGTCCGAGATAGATTCTCCGCGGCTCTGTGGATACCTCGCCTCCCCGCGCGGAAATCTCTCTGTCTGCGACGTACTCTTCCATCACGCAGAACTGCTCGTCCGGGTTCTTGAGCCGGATCGGGCCTTTGAAGGCCATGTAGGAGAACGACTTGATGATCTCCCGCTTGGTGGTTTGGCTGCGTTTCCCAGCAAAGGATTCCACTGCGAATGCAAATGGCACTGTCTGGTAGTCGTCCCAGCGATGCTGTGTTCGTCGCTTGACATCTGCGTGCAGTTCTTCATAGTTGACGCCTTGGCCCCACAGCTCGAGGATGTCTTTGCCTAAGATACTGCGCGAAATCAATGCGCGTGCTGCGGTTTCATCTTGCAGTTTTACAACACAGTAGGGCGACTGGTGGGGAGATGTTAGCAAGTCTTTAAGGATAAGGCTGGTTTATATCAGGGTATGCGGGTATAAGACACATGATGATAGAACACATGATATAAATTCACAATGTAAACTGGAACGTCCAAGAAAAGTAATTCAAGGAATGGGATGTGGTACATACAAAATCATTGTAAGAAATAATCTCGAGGTCGACGTCTGCCCGAGTCGCCAGCGCTCGAAGTTCCGGCAGTCGGAAGGACTCGTGGGCCTGAGCGAGCCGGATCAGATACTCCATCGTGAATGATCAAATATCCGTGCTCTGTTTGTCCCCTCGCTTGAGGTTATACTTGTGGTTGGTGGTTCACGTCAATCGATGCATTGCTTGGAGGTGGGGTGTTGCGGGTTGCCATTTTTTTTTTTTTTTTTTTTCATCTTTGGGTCGCCGGTAGTTAACAGCCAGCGAGGATGAGCCCTGAGATTTTTACGGGATTCGCACAACTTATGGAAACCTACAAGTTCTCGGTTTTTACACTTTCTAAACCCATGCTCTTATGTTATTTCTCATGTCGAGTGTAAAGGGAATGCAAATATATATTCTACATGTGCAACTCATCTATATTTAGAATGGACCAAGATACAACATTGAAAGATATCAATAATCGCTAGGGACTAGCCATGGACGACATTAGAGTAAATAGAAAGCCAGTTCTATACTCAAAAACGCCTCATGGGCAAGAAACCAAACGCGCAGAGAGACCACATCCCCCGTCATGAGCATGAACCCAAAGATACGCCAATCCCGCAGGAACGCAGGAACAAGACAAGCCTCAAAACTCCGCCGCTATGCGCCAACTACCTGAAACACATGTCGTGACTCATATCCTTCTGCTGGGGTGATTTCAACCTTCTCGTCAGCGGGTATCATGTGGTGTTGCAGATCCCAACCGGCCCGACGGCACAGTTCCGACACCACCACGTCGCAATCGCCTAACAGATCAATATCGAACCCTGTGTGTGACACAGGCTGTAAACCCGGGGTGTTAGCATGGGGAGACCTTGAAAAAAAGGGGGGGGGGGGGGGGTTCATCTCGAAGACTTACAGTGCGTGAGATATAGATCTGCGGGACGTTGCGGGGGAGTACCCCCGGCACTTCTGCAACGGGGGCCACCTTCAACGAGGTTCCAATTACGATGACGAGGTCTGCCAGTTCCCGGTCATGGTGAACCAGGCGTTGACCAAATTCATCGGGAAGATCCTCGCCAAAGAAAGTGATGTCAGGCTGTGAGAGCATTAGCATAAGCAGACAGACATGGCCAAGGCAACCTGCGACTCACCTTCATCACTCCGGGGGTGGGGATTTCATAATCGTCTTCATCCGAACTATCGGAATTCTTGCGATCTTTCTGTTGCCCATTTTTACTCCGCTTACGCTTCAGCCCTTGTGGTTTCAGTGCGTCATCGGCAATCTCTTGCTTGCAGACGGTGCATTCGGGGGTAACCCCATCCTTGATGTCATTAAAGATCGCGTCGCCGGGTACCTTGAACTGGCACTTCACGCAGGTGGCCGTAGCAAATGATCCATGGCACTGGACAATCTTCTCCGGTAACACGCCTGCATTGGCCTCGATATTGTCAATATTCTGCGTATAGTTGGTGAGGAGCTTCCCCTTGTCCTGAAGAAGCCGAATGAACCCATGGGTGGGCGAGTATTTGTTCTCCGTAGGAAGGATATCCTTGGCAATCGAAAAGAAGATCGTAGGGTCCTCCCGGAAGACATGTATATCAAAAACTTCCTGGGGATCACTCAACCCCAGATGTTCTAGTTTCGAATAGAGACCGGTATCTTTTGAACGAAAGTCGGGGATACCGAGACTGGTCGAAATCTATAGACGAAAGGTCTGTCAAAACCAGGCATTCAAAAACATCGCAGTAGATCGAAACTTACCCCGGCACCGGTCAGCACAATGATGTTCTTGGACTCCCGGAGCAGTCGCACGGCATCGTCGATAGTGTTGTACTGAGGGAGCTTCGGCCGCCGGGAAAACTCGCGCGAAATCGCAATTGCCAGAAGCGGATGGTACGCTTCATCTGGCGCGCCCTCAAGGAACGGCGGCGGCAGAATCCCAAACGCGGTGCAGAGCTTCTTCGCCGTGACCGTCTCGCGGGCGATAGTCTCCTCCACAAAGGCCGCCTTGCCTATCGCATGCAAGCGCTGCCGGAAGACATTCGCCTCGTCCAGGGTACAGGCACCGGGGGCTGTATTGTCGTTAACAACTCATGTCAGCCTTGGCTTGGGTCTGGGGGTGCTCTGATAGCGGGGATGTGTCCGGGGTAGGAGAGGAAGGATGGGGTCCCAAGGGAGGAAAAACCTACCAACTCCGTCACGGAGCTCTTCGTCGCGTAGCAACTGGATTGTATGCTCGCCGTTGGACAGAGTCTCCCAGCCATCGGAGTCATCGCTGTCGGGCTCAAAGTCAGACGATGCCTCCTCCAGAGGCTCCGCAGGCACCTGCTCCCCCGTATCCACGGCCTCCACTTCCACCACGGGATACTTCAACGAATTCTCCGTGGGTGCTGGGGTCAGGTCCATGCCGGGAAATGCGACACCAAGCGAAGACAACTTCTCAGCCTGAACTTCCAGGACCAAAATTCGGAATTGATGATCGGAGCCAACTTAATCCGGGCCCGATGGAGGTGGCAAGTCACGGACAACGCGCGTAGAGAGAAAAGATGCAAAAAGACAAAGAACCCAATAGGATGATCTACTTGGGGTATCAACTGAAAAAGACATGTACACGTTTCACATATCACGCTATGAATCTGCCATCTCATGATCTGAGTCATCCGACTCAGCTTCGATCTCCTCATCCTCCCAATCACCGCCTGCCTCGGCTTCGCTATCGTCGTCGACGTCCTCACCGAGCTCCTTGTTCATCTCCTGAACCAGCTCAATGGCATGATCACGGAGCCGGTCGTCTTCGTACTCAAGTAGATCGTACAGTTTCAGGCTTGTCTTGAGCCATTCGCGGCTAGCCACCAACGATGCTTGTCGCGGAGACTCGGCGTCCGCCGCAGCATTTTGTGGTACCTGTTGCTTTTCCGCCAGCAGATAAAGACACCAGCCTCCGAGGTACCAAGCCTCCACACTTTGGTCGTCCTCTAGGATCAATCGCTCGAGGACCTGTAGCGCCTCCATCTCCATAGTCACCTCCATGAGAAGTCGCGCAAGACTAATACGCAGTGGGAAGTCCGGCACTCTCAGATCTTCCGGAGGCAGGTCTTTCCACAAGCCTAAACTCCGGGTGAGTGCGGCCTGGGCATCTTCGGTTCGAAGCTGTGATATCCGGATGGATGCCAGGGTCTGCAACACTTCCGGTGCGTCGGGCTTGACCAGGAGAGCCTCTGTAATGAGCGACTCACATCGGTTCTCTGCATCTTCTTCCCAGCTGTTGGAAGAAAAAGAAAAGGACAAAAGTTAGCCACTGACTCTAGAGGTTAGACTTAGGGACCCGTCGGACTCACGAAAGATCGGTCATATAGATCTCGGCAACAGCACAAAGCGCGTTGGCCAATTTTGTTTTCTTTTCTTCGGCATCCGCAACTTCATTCGGGGCTGTTTTCCCTTCCAGAGACTGGAGACCGTGTCGGAGGGCCGAGACGCCCTTTTCAAACCACAGGACGCTATCCGTGCCTCCTTGCTCGCTCAATTGAGCGAGCCATAGGAATTTCTCCGCGCCTCCTCCTTCAGATTCCGGTATGAAACCATCTATATCCAAATTGACCGCGTAAATAAAATGTTGCCTAGCGGTATCAATGTCACCCAACTCCACGTTGATCTCTCCGAGCAGATTCACTGCTGGTAGCTGCGCAGCCGTCTTTTCAGGTGTCAAGTCCAGCGCCTGTTGTGCCAGCGCCAGCGCGGAATCGGCCTGGCCCGTTTGTAAGAGGACCGTGGCCTGTTCGAGTAATGTCGAGGGGTCTTGGGCCATAGTGCTTTTGGAGACCGAGCCACCAGGGCCGAGGACGGACTTTTCGCGGGGCTTGGATGATTTCTTCTTTTGCGGCTTGGGCTTTCCCATTGGCAGAGGGTATCGAAGGAAAAAAAAACACAATGAAAGGAATGATATGTCGAATAATGTCCAAGAAAATCAAATCGTCTATAATAGCAAGCAGGTTCTTTGCGAAGAAACAAAAAAGTGAAGCTTCGATCCAAATTTTGGCGGAGCTGTTTGACGCGTTTGCATGTGGGACAAGATCATCCACGCTGCGGTCCCATCGCTTGGGAAAGATCCAGGATTTCAGAGCTCTGCTAAGGCGATCACTCCTGATTAATCGTGGACCTGGTCTTCTTGCAATATCCCCCCATTTTTCTGTGTTTACTTTGCCATCCCATCCCTTACCCCTCCAATCCGCAGGCGGATCCGCAACAATGGGCCGCGAAGACCAGGTCGAGGAGCGCGAGGTCCTTGATTCAATCTTCCCTGATGAAATTACCGGTATGTGCCAATTGCGATGTTGAGGAAAGAATCTGAAATGTTCTTTTTTTGTTCTCTTACAGTGCCCGCTGACTATAAACCCTCCCGTACCTAGACCTATCCGACACGGCATACAAAGTATCAATAACCCTCGACAACCCCGAAAATGACAGCGAGGAAACAGAGCAACCGGTGATATATCTCGAGGTATCATACCCACCGGATTACCCCGATGTCGCGCCAGACCTCAACATCACTCCCCCGCCAAATGCGCCGAGGAATTCTCGGCTAGATGTCCAGGAAGATCGCGAACGGCTCCTCGAAACCCTGCAGCCCACGATCGAAGAGAACATGGGCATGGCGATGGTTTTCACTCTTGTCAGCGCCCTGAAGGAAAGCGCCGAGCTTCTCATGGCCGAACGGGCGAACGCCGTCCAGGCCGAAAAGGAAATGGTGGCTGCCAAGGCCGAGGAGGAAGAGAACCGCAAGTTCCAGGGCACGCCGGTGAACCGGGAGACATTTTTGGAATGGAATGCAAGATTTCAAAAGGAGATTGAGGACGAGGAGCGGCGGCAGCGTGAGGAGAAGGAAGCAGAAGACAAGAAGAAAAAGTCCGGGAAGGAAGAAAAGAAACTCACTGGCCGACAATTGTGGGAGAGAGGCCTGGCTGGCAAGGGCGATGACGAGGATGAAGAAGACTCTATGCCGGCGGTGGACAAGCTTAAAGTTGCTGCTTGAGTGGATGCATAGATATGTGAATATGACCATTACCTCACTATGAAAATATTGATTCATTGGACTGATCTATCTCTAGCTGCTTGGGATTATGGGCATCATGCTCCTAGTAGAATCATTGAGGGTTGTGGTTTCTGTAGAGAAAGTGGTTTGGTCCAGGCAATGAATGCCCTAGGACCCTCATTGTGCGGCAGCGGTCTGGGTGCCAGTGTAGAAGCCATTTCTTTCTGGCTACGTGCCATTGAATCGAGCAGTGGTGCTCGGAGAATGGCCCTGCAGGTTCATGTATCGAGCTCGAGAAGACGGCCAAGGCCTTGATGGCCTCGGTAGGTGGCTTCCAAGTGTCTTCCCTCCTATGTATGACTTGCATCGAATCCTGAAAGGTCCGAAGAAAAGTTGCGACGAGACAATCTCTGTTTGAGAGACTATTCCTTCAACTGCCGCAGACGTTCTTCTTCTGTCTTTGCCAATTCCCGCTCGGCCAGCACGATCTTCCACATACTCTCTGCCATCCTCTTATGCTTCATGTCCATCTGGCTGATGTTTCTGTTCACTTGGTTGATAGACAGCTTGATATCTGCAGTCCACGTGGCCAGCTCGTCAAAATGTGTGAGCGCATCCCAGGAATCTTCATCCTGGGCGAAAAGTAGCTCCAGCTGCAGCCGGTCCCGCCGCTCAATCCAATTCCAGCGCCTCTCCAGTTTGTTTCGCAAAAGGCCGCTGAGATTCCGGGGCTGCGGCTTCTTGATCCGCAGATATGGGATTCCGCGCGCATTCACAAGGACCGGAACCCTGCGCTTTCCACTCACGACCGGCCGAGGACGCGCTAAGATCGAGGGGGTGTCTGGCCGCGGCCGCGCAGTTTCCTCCTGGTGACGAATAGACTCTTGTTTCTGGGCCTTTCTGGGCATAGGTGGCTTGTGGACAGCTGCCTTAAGCTTGGCTGATTTAATTGCCGCTGTGATCTCCCTCTGCCTTGTCGCGTGCTCATCTTTCAGAGACTTGGTTTGCGCCAAGAGTGTCCTAATCCGACCCGCATCGTGTTCGCTTCCTCGAGATGCCGATTCGAGTAAATCTAGAGCCTTTGCGTAAAGCGACGAGAGACATCAGCGTGAGCTTGAGCTTGTGGAGCTGAGCAGGGTTCTCCCGGGGCACGTACCTCGTAGCCTGCTTTTAAGGCATGTGTCGTCTGGGATGGGCTCTGAAGACTTTTGTATTTTTGGAACTTTTGTCGAACGAGAGACTTGGTCTCCTTGAGCCACGGCGCATTACTGGCTGAAGGAGCGCATTGCCGAAGAAGTGATCGATACAGTGCCAAACCTGGGGAAAAGAGAGGGCGTCAGCTGAGTCTCGAGTCTCGAGTGTAATAAAAAATTGTGCCTTACATGCAAATCGATGAACCCCAGAAAACTTTGGAACTACCACCTTGTGCATTCCGAGATGCCGCAGGCGGTTTGACTTGAATCGCGGAAACTCCCTCAGCGCCGCAGATAGTCACGGCCTCACGTGATATCTGATCCATACAACACTATGCAGTTCAATCGGTTGGGAATTGGAAAAGAGCAACGGGTAATGAAAGATAAATCATTCACAATAGAGACGTGTAAGTGATATTTGGCGAGACTAATGCGTTTAAGGAAGATCGTGGGATGTGATTGATTTAAGCTTGTCCGAGATAACAGTAATGATTCTCGGCCAAGTCACACAAGATATTTCGTCCATCAGAGCGTACAGTTTTGTGATTTTGTTGGAGCATCTATCATCTGAAAGTTGATGTTGGAGAACTTCACTCCCCCAGGTAGGTGTCCGAGATACGAATGCCTACACCTGTTACACTAAAGGCCTAAGAGATGGCTACTCGTCAATGATGGATTGAAAATGGGCTTCAGGAGAAACCACGCCGATGCTGTCATGCAGGGACTGTACACGCTCTAAGGGATTCAGAGAAGAAGCAAATAAACCTAACCAAAGCCGACCATAATACTCCAGAATCCTCCTGAACGGTAGGGAAAAGATGCAGGTTCAGAAATTCGAGCCTTCCGCGGGCTGCGGCAGCTTCTTGTGTTGGGGCAGAGCCATGTATCTAGATGGGTGTCAGCGCAATTGACCCTCCAGATGGCTCAGTAATAGGGAGCCATACCGTCTAATCTCGATCAGAAGAATCTCCATGTTATATTCCCGCTTCCACTGGGCAAGGCACGGAAGCTTCGTTGGGTCCACCTGAATAGCAATGACTCAGCTCATGACTCTTGATATAGTGTGGTGTCTGCTGGAGGTATACCTTTCCTGACTGTTGGTCCACGCACGGAAGATTGACTCGTGAGACAAACTGGATGCTCGGGGGGTTGTCGGGATAGTCGGGTCCACAATGAATGTTAACACTATATATCCGGTTTTCGTGCACGCTCTATACCAAGCTAGTTAGTCATGCGCACAACAGTATTTCGAGGGTAAAGAGGGTAACAAACGTGGGGTGGGCCGAGGATAGTGCCATTCCAGTTGCTCATCATCATATCTTCGCCATCGGCAAGACCATAGGAGCAGGCCTCTGAAATTGAACAAAATGAATTAGCGATCTATCACCCTACTGAGGGGCTGTCAAATGGTCGAACCTGCGCCCAGTCCTTTCTCGCCCTTCTCCAGCTCCTCCAGGAGCCTGAAATTTCTCGGGACTGTTGCTGTCATGATGGATGAACACAGTCAGAAATTGAGCAAGCTGCTGGTATTAGATCAGCGCAAAGAAGAGAATAGAGAGAAAGTTGAAACGGACAGAGGAGGGGCACCTCCGGCAGTTGGGCAGACCGAGTTTGTCACGTGCGATACGGCTTATCGGGCAACCCGGAGATGCCACGGGGATTGTTGATTCCGCCTTCACTGGGGAGACCACAGTCCATGGTATCTTCAAGATATTGGTCCTTGGGCTTTGATTAAATTGATTCGACGTGAAGCTGATTGTTTGACCCGAGTCCTGCAGCTCCTTGCATTGTTGACGGGATCCCGGATATGCGGACATGCTCTAATCCCGCGATCCTGGAATTATATTGGAAATGTCCTCCCAATTTTTGCAGACGGAGCTTGCAAACCTGATCCAGGAGTCCAGGAGAAAGAATTCGGACCTGCGACATGTGTGTTTTTCCTTCCCGGGAAGACATCTTCGCGCAAGAATCACTGACCAGGAAACATGATAGGCCGCAGAGCAGTCGCTCAATGAGCTCAAGGCACTGCCTTCCACTTCCGAAGCTCAAATTGCAGCGGGTTAGTAAAATTTCTGCGAGATATGTGGACCTGGGAGATGGCTAAATCGCGACAGATCTGGTTCGCAAACCCAACTTTGTCGAGCCATTCATCATCGCGTGCCATACTCGACATGCGAAGCTTGCGGGAATTGGCGTGATTTGTTTACAAAGACTGATCGCATCTCGCTCGTTGCCTTCTCATCGTCTGAAAGATGTCCTCGATGGACTGGGGGAGACGACAAACTTGAGTGCGTGACCGCGCGTAACACCAATTCAAATTGTTACTGACCTTTGCCAGGCCTTGATATTCAGCTCAAGATTTTGCAATCTCTGCCTTCACTTTTGCAGTATTACTCCAATGACCTCAGCGGCGAACTGCTTGCGAGCACGTTGGAAATATGCGCTACTCTACAAGCAAGCAAGACCATGGCGGTCTCTAGTACTGCGGCGGCCACACTTCAGCAATTAATGGTCTCAACTTTTGACAGAGTCGCGAGCGAGGACCGTCAGTATTGAAGTCTGCTAAACTATCCTTTGAACCATGACTAACTTGGTACCGCAGAGCTTCCCGATGATGCCAAATCCCTTACTACCGTCACAGTTGATAGTCACACAGTCGAGATTGGGCATTTTGCATATGATGCTCTACAGGTAATTATCCCTCCCTATTTTATATTTCCTGTGATACTGACTTGACTATCAAGGTGTTGGATGATCTCTGTCGTCTCGTAGATGGCGAACAGTTACAGTTCCTGCGCACAAGGACCCTGTCTCCGGCCTTAGTACTGGAACTCATTGAAAGCATCATTGTCAATAGTGGTCGCCTCTTTGTAGGACACCCTGAACTCTCGCAAGTGCTGCGGGTTCGCCTTCTTCCATCGGCTGTGCGTTGTTTATCTGAAAGAAATTCTTTTGCACAAACTGTGCGAGTCGCTCGGATCCTTCTCGTACTTCTGAAACGTCACTTGTCTCTTCTGACAGCAGAATGTGAGATGGCACTTGGATTGCTCACTCATCTCCTTGAACCGGATGCAACAGCACACTGGAAACGAGTATTGTGCATGGAAGTTTTTCGTGGACTGTACGCCGAACCGGGAGTTGTGCGGCTTATCTACTCACTGTACGACGGCGAACAAGGAAGAAAGAATGTCCTCCGTGACCACATGGCATCGCTTGTTCGACTGGCCTCAGAGAAACCCTCATTGATTGGACTCAGCAATCAGTCGACGGTACCTTCACGTGCCGATCATTCCAGAACCACTACAGAGGACCAGATCACCCTTGAAACGGGAGGCGTTACCGGGGTCATTGGGACAACTGCTTCCGCAACCGAGGCCAAGGTGCCCGGAATCAGCAGCCAGTGGAGTGTGGTTCGCACGCCGTACATAGAGCTCCTCGACAAGACGGATCCACCTTTCCCTCCGGATACTTACATCTATAGCCTCATTCTAAACTGTCTCAGCAGCTTTGCGGAAGGGCTTGCAAAGTTTATACTGCCATTGACGGTGCCAGATCTGAAGTCAAAGCGCAGAAACCGACTCATGGGTCCTGACGCAGGACCTGATTCGGCCAGGTCCTCTCAAGACCTCCAGGCAACTGACTCAGGCCGCGTGCAGTCTAGCCCAGTATCGAGAAAGCCCCCTGTCCCTATCAATCCTTTGATCCTACACTCTCACATTCAATATTCTGCCATCAAGACCTGTGCCGGGATCATTGAGCACTGCTGGCCTGCTGTGCTCGCAACCTGCTCTACATTCTTGCACGCCTCTTTGGATGATGAATATTACCACAACCTTGTTCGGGCCTTTCAAAAGCTGGCACATGTAGCGGGTCTCCTGCGCTTGTCTGTTCCTCGAGATGCTTTTCTGACAACCCTTGGAAAAGCCGCTATGCCTGCGAGTACAGGCAGCTCAAAGTCGGCGACCCCTGGTACACCAACTCCGAGTGGTTCTCAGACAAACGACAGTTCGCACAAAAGAGGAAAGAGCACTGATTCTCGCACCAACTCACTGCCACTGGACTCCTCAACCTCAGCTGTCGAGGGGTCATCTCTGTCATTAAGCACGAGAAACCTCTTGTGTCTGCGAGCTTTACTCAACCTAGGAATCGCATTGGGACCTACATTAGACCAGTCGGCCTGGTCTATTCTTCTTGAAACGCTGCAGTATACCGGGCTGGTAATCAGCGTCTCTTCAAGCGCAAGGGTCAAGTCTGCCAGTGGCTCTGGAGAGACCACGGGCAATGATATTCCTACAGCTAATCTTGGCACGGAGGTCATTGCCGTCCAAACAGCATCTGCCAAGCTGTTCGAGAGCTCCAGTGATTATCCTACTGCGCCCTTCGAGGAGATGTTGCTTGCTCTGTTGAGTTTATCTGCATTCACTGAACAGGTTGAGCAGCAAGAAACCCCCAGGAGAGTCTCTGATGCACCTCGCTCGCCACAGTCCTCTCGGTCTGGCCGCTTGCATCAGGGTGCACGGCGAGTATCGCATAACATGGGGAAGTCAAGGATGCAGGACCAAGAACTGAAGTTCGTTCTAGACAAAGGAAATGAGCTAGCAAAAGCAAACCTTGAGAGGCTGTCGTCACTTGAGAAGGAAGAAGGCAAAGCATGGCAGCTGCTCACAAAAAGCCTCATTGCTGTCTCCGCAAATATGGAAACCAGCCCAAATCTCCGTCTGCAGGCTAGTGGTATCTTGAATACTCTCGTGTTCTCGACTATGAAGCAAAGAGATGACCTTGATGAAGATGCCCAGAATGAAATCCAGATGAGGAACTTGCAGACGCTCAAAGACCAGGTAGCCTCGCTTTATGCGTCGGATCTACCATTGGCAAAGACTTTGCCAGCAACCGTGATCGAAATCCACGAACAGAGCTTGGACGTGCTCCGAAGCATCTTGGAGCAATATGCCGAATCGTTCAAGGACAGCTGGATTCTCGTCTTTGATTTAATATCCGGAGTTTTTCAAGATTCCTCGTCATCCCGAAGTGAAAAACCGCCGTCCACGCCGACAGAGCGTAAGGCATTTGCTCTTCCGGCCGGTCCTCGACTTGTCCGTGCGGCCTACAAATCCCTGCAACTCGTGGCTTCCGACTTTCTTGCCTTACTCCCATCACCCTGCCTCCTTAGCCTGGTGAACTCCTTCTCCAGCTTTGCGTCACAAACCCAGGATTTCAATATCTCTCTTACGACAACCTCGTTTTTCTGGAACGTCTCCGATTTTCTTCAGGGGCAGATCGAAGAGTTCTCGATTGAGAGCCATGTCGATAGCTCCGTCAGTGAACAAGAGTTGACCCAGTTGGCGCGTGATACAAATCCCTCTGTTTCCAGGAATTCTCTCTGGCTACTGCTGCTCCTGCGAATAGTTGATATCAGCACGGACAGTCGGCAAGAGATTCGAAACAGTGCCGTTCAGACGCTTCTGCGGATTTTTGATGCCTGCGGGCAACAGCTCTCTCCGAAAGCGTGGCGTTTGTGCCTGAACCGAGTTCTTTTCCGAATGGTCGAGGAAGTTAAAAGCACGCTCGTCCAGTCCAAGGACCAGCAAATCAACACGAAGCCTAGTGATATCAAGTCATGGGTGGACACAACAGTCTTGATGATCAAGGGCACGTCGAATTTAATCACGAACTTCTTCGAAACAATTGTACGCGATGAGAGTTTTGATCAGTCTTGGGGCCGTCTTTTGATGTACTTGCAAGCTTTGGTCGACCTTCGTCTGCTGGAGTTGAGCGAAGCAACGTTTTCTAGCCTCTCGGCCATTCTTGTCCGCGTGCAGACTCCAGCGGTTCTCAGCAAAGAGGCCCTTCAATGTGTATGGCTTCTGTGGGAAAATGGCCATCCAGCAGATGATGATGCTACACTTGATTTCGATAGACCCAACCAGGACGCTGCTCTAGCCTTTCTGCAGACTTTCAAACAAATTTACCGCCTCTACAAGGACCAACTCACCACGGAACACATCGCAAAGGTTCTTCATCATCTGCGTCTTCTTGTGTGGAACTCGGTGTCCCCGCCGTATTCTCCAGACGTTGACCGACCATCAGCAGTGCAAGCACTGGTCACTGATTGCATCAAAACGCTTTGTCTAGAGAAAGAGGACTCTCAGCCGGCTCTGCTCCATTGTCTTGCCGACTTGTCAGGCTCAGCGCTTTCAAAATGGAGTCCCGGCAGTGACACGAGGAAGCCGGCATTTGTGGCATTCTCGAAAAACACTATTGATCTAGTGAGCTGGTACATCAAGGATTTCGGTGTGAAGAAAGACATCTTCACCAATGGCGCCCTCGCGACTGCTCTCGAGCGGCTCAGTGCCCTGATTACACAGAAGTACCTGTGGCAAGGGAAGGATAAGGGCCCATTTTTGTGGCAGAGGGCGACGACAGCATCCCTGAATGTCCTCCAGGTGGTAGTCCCGCACGTGGAGCAGCAGTATGCGGACGCCAACCAGGCCGAAACGGCGCGATTCTGGCAGTGCGTCGTCGACATCACGCATGGAATTGTTTCTGCGCAGGGTTTCCAAGCGCAGCAGCTTCCCAACACGCGAATCCTGGCCGACGAGACGTTCGACATCGCAGCCTTCACCCGCCTGAAGACGCTCATCCTCCCGGCGCTCGGGGCAGCAGCCATCCCGGACTCGGTACGCCGGGACTTCGCCTGTGCGCTCTTCCACTCATCATTCATCTACGCACCGCACCGCTTCGATCTCCCGCGCACCGCGATCGAAACCGCCCCGCTGCACGACTTCTATCGTGTCCGGCCGGGCCGCACCTTCGACCCGCCACCGACTCTGCGCCCAAAGATGGCCTACGTTCTCATCGACACCCTCTTCGAGCTTTCTGCCAGCCCCGCCACCAATCCATCGCCGTCTGAGGCGCCCTCCCCACACACCTTGCTCGCCTGTTCCGTCTCTCCCTACCTCCTTCTCCGCTGCGCCGTCTCGCTCAAGTCCTACATCGCCGACCAGCCGCTGCGCGGCCTGATGCCCCAGCCCTCCCCCGCGCGCAAGGCCCTCCTGCACCTCCTTCTGCACGCCGTACATCTCAAAACCGAGCCCTCGGCTATCCCAGACCCGCCGGTACTTCAGACTGTCGCCGTCGCTACCAACTCCAGTGATGGCGCTGCTGTGTTCCATTTCCGAAAACACCTCGAGTGGCTGTATCCGCTGGTCGTCCAGGCTGTCCAGGTCGCTGGCAAGGAGCGAGATGACGGGCAGGTCCTCCGCGCTCTCGGGGATATACTGCAAGAAATCGGGAAGTTCGAGTTTCGCTAGAGTGAGAGAATTTGTTTTCATGATCCCCCTCAGGTACTTCATGTCTTAAGACAAATGTATTTTTTTTTTGGGTGCTCTGCATCTTAGTTGCTTCTTCCAAATCCAGGCGTCATGCGTAGAGAGCCCTTTCATGTATCTTTCACAAATAATTTGTTCGATGGCTAGTGTGTAAGTCACAAGATCCTCGGGGTCTACCCAGGTAGGAAGCGTAGATTGGTCAAGGAGATGAGAAGCATCCCGAGGTCCCGAAAAACGACATGAAAGACACGACAAAAGACGTGGCGACAAAGTAAAAGGAAATGGAATATCAAAGGGGCAGTCTCAGCTAAACGTAAGTCTAGAATGGACATCAAAAATGCGACATATGACCGCAGATGTATAGTTGTGAATATTTCGATGAACAGATAGTAAGCGAGGACGGTAAACTACAAGTGTGATATCGTGACATGACCGTGAGAGGGAACTCAGAACCGGTTCCATAGAATGAGGGTGTAGGGCAGGAGCGAGACAGTATGTGTTCAAGCGTCAAGGAAGGAGAGAGAGGCGGGTATCATAGAAAATGCGCCAGAAGTGTAAATGGAACACAGACGCCAAAAATTCGGCTCGAGCCTTCCACATCCAAGTGTCCACTAATAATTGGTTTGCGAGGTGACCAAAATTCTAAGATCTATGCTGCCGGCGGCGGGACGGCCTGGTTGTTTTGCGGCTGCGGCTGCGGAGCCGTAATTTCTCTCCCGGGGCCCGCGGTGGCCGAGCCCGGAGGGAGAGCCTGCTGCTGTTGCTGCTGGATGATCTGTTGTTGGATCTGCTGCTGCTGCGCAATCTGCGGCGTAGCGGCGATCTCGGGAGCTTGGCGGAAGAGAGCGATTTCAGACTGCTTGAAGTAACGGCGAGCATCTGCGATAGTCAGTCGAAGTAACCGAAAAGAAGTGTATAGAACAGAAAGCGTTCCGAGCCCCACGGGTGCCAAGAACGGTTTAGCGTGGGGGTACCACCAGACGGCAACGCAAGTCGGGAGCAGATCGGAGGCCCGATGGTCGCGACTGGTTTCAATAGCCGTCGGCTATTGGTAAATTACCAGAACAAAACAATCTCTTACCTTCGTCAATCAGCACCAGGCTGAGGTAGTATCTCGTCGAGTACTTCTTGTTGACATCCCGGAATGTCGGCGTCAAGTCGAATCCCCCCAAAAAGAGACGAATGGGAATAGTTTCACCTGCGACGTGTCAGTCATGCCCAAAATCTGGTATCCACCAATTTCTCCTGTTTAAAAGACAATTGACCCGGAGGAAAGGGTCAGTTACGAACCTCTCGAAGGCGAACCGTCCATTATCTATACTCATGTCAGCAACTGCTCGCAAAATGCTCGAACTCGACCCAGTGCTATCAGAATAAGCATATACCTCGAAGCGCACCAGCGTCTCGCTCTCATTATATTGGTTGGGCGGGGACCCCGTCGTTTCCCGGCGAATGATAGACAGCTCCATATGCTTGATCTTGAGCCGCACCAGCAGGAAATAAATGCGACCGACGATCACGTCCTTGAGATGATACTTGGATTTGGAGTATTCGAACTCAATATGCAGGCAGTCCTCGATGCCGACATCCATCTTGATGGGGCTGTTGGTCTCGGGGGGCATGCGATACGAGTACACCCACAGGTCCTTCTCCCGGATGACGTCCGCCATGCGCCGTGAGACAGTGACCTGGACAAAGTACCGTAGTTTGACGTTGATGCCATTGTAAGACTCATATTGCTTCTCGACGTTCTTGAAGTTGAAAGGGAAGGTTTGTGGGTGCAGCAACTCGCCGGGCGCAGCGAGCTCCTGGACAAGAGAGAGGAATTCGTAGTGGTTGCCTCGGTCGTAGAACATTTCTGTATGGATCCAGGCCGGTCAGTGTGGGATGACCTCAAGGGAGTGAATATGGGTGATAAACGAACCAATTGTGCCAATAAATTGCACCTTGATCCCAGTGTGCTCCAGTCGCTTGCCATCCTTGGGTCTGATGGTCACGACACCCTTGACGGACTCGCCGTCCATGTACAAGGGGACCCGCTCCCGGCGGCCCTTGTCGAGCTTGACATCGACGGTTTGGCGCTCATCAAGGCCATCGAGGACAACGTCGATATCGACGGGGGTGGAGAAGAAGAGGGACGCCATGATGCAAGGAGCAGCGAGTTGGATGTGACAGTCAACGAGCTGGGGGACGACAGCTGCCCGGTTGCTTAGTCAGCTCTGCCCATCTCTACACGCTCATCAGGTCCTCTCTCTTTTTCTCTCTCCTTCATTCTCATGACAGCAAGCAGGTTCAATCTTCTATGAAACTCGCTCAACGTGGATTATCCATGGGCTAGTGGTCTCTCCTCAGCCCGTGATCCACAGGGATGGCCTCACCCTGGTTCCAATCGGATTCCGCTTCCCGACTCCCTGGCGGATGTAGTTCCCCACAAGGAGGATTCCCCGGATTCTCTGATGCCTCGATGAAGCGGTGAGGATGTGTCTAGGTTATTCCGAGGTGGAAAAATATTCATCTCAAACATCTCGCCTCGCTTTCGTATTACTGCGTGCAGACCTACCCGAGTTGGCTGCAGCCACTTGTATTGTTTCTGAAATTTCTGGTATGGAACCCAGTAAAGTCGGACTGGCAATCCCTGCCCAGGGAAAAACGTTGGGACACAATCACGGCTTCGACAGCTCCCCGTGGGATATCGGCAAGTCTTGCTCTCGGGGTCGACCTTCTCGGGCCAGGCGTGGGCCGAAACTACATACGTGCATGCATACAGGTTATGGTATTGGAATTTCATGGAGTCCACAGCAATCTTCCACGTCGAAAGTGCAGTGATACTCCAATGTAAGTGTTGTATGTGTTTGGTACATAGAAACGAGGCCAGACTGGCGGTGTCTTTTTAGCGTGGGGGTTGCTTACCGCTGTACGATACATGACATCATATGGGATGTATGAATTCGCCGATATCTCGACTTGATATAATGCCAGGAGATTGAATAGGGAGATCAAAGCAAAGAGAAGAGGAAAGCCTCAATGGCTGCACTCCAGGTAGAATCAGCAACAACATCCTTACATCCTGGAGGGGATGCACCCCGGGTATTCAAAAGTTGGGGAAGGGCTGTGTCCCCCCACTCGGCGACTGGTTTCTCTCTTTTCCCCCGACCCACCGTTATATAACTACTTAAAAAACTACTTCTCTCCTGTCGCGCGCACTTCTTTTCTTTTTGTTCTTTCTCTTCTTTTTATTTACCCGTATGGCCCTGCCCGCAGAATCCATTATACCTCGCCCCTTTTTCGCGATTGCAAGTGGGAGCATCTTAGAAAACCGCTAGATATCTCGGTCACCGCGTATCACTCCGGCGTCATACACCAATTTTCCAACTCCCGGTCCAGCCGAGTTGTTCCCTGGAACCCTTGAACTCGGGTTGTCCCTTTCTTTCCAGACCAAAAACTCTCTTTCTCTTTCTCTTCTTCTTCTCTTCCTCTCTTCGCCATGCTCTCCGCCGGGGAACGACCTCAGCCTCCGGTCACGCCCGCGATTGTAAATCCGTCTGCGGTGCCCGTCAACAAAGCGCGCATGATGCCCAACCTCGCCCCCAACGCCGGGTCGTCCTCGACGCCATCGACCATGCTGTCCGAAAAGCGCAGCAAGCCCATGCACGTCCAGCACATCTGGGTCGTCACAGGGCCGGCCGGGTGTGGGAAAAGCACCGTTGGACATGGCCTGCAGCGGGAGCTGGGGGTACCATTCCTCGAGGGTGACGATGTACGTGTTAGGTGGACCATTCGGCCTCTTCTTCTTAACAAAATAAATCAAAGTGCAAGCTAATCATTCTCTCGACAACAGTACCACTCAGCCTCCAACAAAGAAAAAATGGGCAACGGCATCCCACTCACCGACGAAGACCGCTGGGACTGGCTCATCTCGCTGCGCAAAGCCGCCACCGACATCCTCGTCCCCTCCGATGCCAACAACTTCCGCCCACCCGCCGGCGTTGTCGTCGCCTGCTCCGCGCTGAAACAGAAATACCGCGATGTCGTGCGCATCGCCGCCTATGGCTCGCCCTCGGTCCAGATCCACTTCGTCTATCTTAAGCTCGACGAGTCCGTGCTCATGCAGCGCGTTCGCCAGCGCGAGTCCCACTACATGAAGAGCGACATGGTCCGGTCTCAATTGCAGGCGCTAGAGGAGCCGCGGGACGAGTGGGATACTATTACCATCAATGTCGAGGACTCGCCGGAGGAGGTGCAGCAGCATGTTTTGGATGCTGTTACGGCGAAACTGTCCGAGTATCTTTGAAATGCCTCCCCCTCTTCCCTCCTTCCTCTTTTTTTCTTATCTATCTACTGTGTCTTTCGTCTTCCATGGTGATCCCCGTGGGAGATTGAACCGGTTTGCATGGAGGGCTTACGCTGCTATGTACCTCCGCTTGGTGTCTTTGGGTGTTGGTTTTGTTTGCAGTCTTGTTTTGTTGTATATCATGGATACTCCCCGTATGATCCACTTGCGATCTGGCGTTTGAATCGGCTCGCATAGGGCTGCTCTCTTGGGATTCTTGACCCCTCATGCCTGCTTTTCGGGTAGGCTCCTCGATACCCAGTCGGGACGAATTGGCATGACAATTGTCCTTGCCTTTGATCAATCCGATTTTTTATTTTCTTCTTCTTTCGTCGTGTCTGTAGATATATGGATTCGACTCTTGTTTATACGGAAGTGTCTACAACACCACCCACATTTTAAGACTCAAGAATCATATGTTCAAAGCCATGGATCGATCCATGGACATGCATCATTTCATTTCATTCTATCAAAGAGTGCGGAGTTGCTACATGACCCCCCATCGTCTATGTCGCATGGATTTACCTCATATTCAGAAGCATAAGCTCCGGAGCCTCAATCAACTCCCGCACCTTATTCCCCATGCGCGCCATAGTCGCGCCATCGACCACACGATGATCCGCACTCCAGCTGAAATTCACCAGGTCCGCGCGCGTAACTTGGCCCGCTTCATCAAAGACCGGCATCGTCTTAGACCGCCCGACCCCGAGAATGGCAACTTCCGTTGGGACAATCACCGGCGCAACATACGTGCCCCCAATGTTGCCGATATTCGAGACGGTAATGGTTCCACCGCTGATATCGGCGGGAGTCAGTTTGCCGCTCTTGCCCAGGGCACTGAGCCGCGAGATCTCGGCGGCAATGTCGAAGATCGAGCGGCTCGCGACATCCTTGATGTTCGGGACGATCAGGCCCTGTGGTGTGTCCATGGCAATACCGATGTTGTGCTTGGCTCGCATGACTAGTTGCGGTTTGTCCGGGTTGCTGGTGTCGACTCGGGCATTGAGGATGGGGTATTCGTTCAGTGCTAGCGACACAGCTTTGACAACGAAGGGAAGGAAGGTGATCTTTTTCGGGTCGCGCGCGTCACCGGCAAGCTTCTTGCGGATGGCGGTGATGGTTTCTACTTTCAGCTCATCTGCAAATAGAAAGTGTGGGATGTTCAAGGACCGTGTCATTGTTTTGAACATCTGTGATTGAATTGGGCTCAGGTTCACCACCGACTCGCTTTGTCGGCCGTCTGGTGTTGGAGATAGTGGTGCTGGTGCAGGAGCTGGCTCGGCGCTGGATTCCCTCGCTGCAACAAATTTCAAGACGTCTTCTTTGAGGACACGTCCATCTTTGCCGGTCCCATTGACATCAAGGATGTTGACACTATGATCTTTCAACAGCCCACGGACTGCTGGAGTTGCTAGAGACGCATATCTCGATCTGGGCGTCTCCTCCGAGACTTCAGGAGCAGGCTGCGAAGATTCGGCAGCCTGAGTTCCTGCCGCCACTTCTGAGGCAGGGCTAGGTTCAGCAAGTACTGCTTGCGGCTCATGCGGCGGGTTGTCATCTGGATATTTTGCATCGTCGACTTCGATATCGCAGAGTGCCTTGCAATTCGGTCAGCTGGAGACACGCAGGTCAAGTTGAGATTTCCTGTTACATACTCTTCCCGTGGGCACCGTATCATCCGCCTCAAAATGAAGCTTCTTGATTACACCTTCGTATCTCGACGTAATCTATAACACGTCAGCGGCCTCTGCCCACATATTGAAGCCCCAGACGAAGAACTCACATCATCAACTGCCTTGTCGGACTGGTATTGGCACAGAGGCTTCCATTCCTCAATGTGTGCGCCTTCCTCAACATACCACTGGATGATCTGGACCTCGGTGATCCCTTGAGGGTTTTCAGCAAACAATTGGCACTCAGGTATTGATGACCTATAGGAACCTTACCCTCCCCAACATCTTTCAAAACCTGGGATTTTATCCCCCACAACGACGGGCCCGCATGAAATCCGCGACATCGTACCGGTGGGGTGGGAGATCGGATGCGGAGTAGACTCTGGGGTCGACCGGGTCGCAAGACGCGGGAGATGTTTCCCCCGCTACGCCAGATGCTCATGGTCAGAAGGCTCTGTAGGAGAAGAGAAATACATCGGTTCTCCGAGAAAATGGAGCATTGTGCTCATTTAAGAAATACCCATGGAGTATCGACTTGCTCGCGGCGCCGATGGTAACCGACACATGCCACGTGATCTCCCCGCATGTCATTGCTGACGTAACCCACTTTGTATGCTGCGCAACCTTGGAGTGCCCAACTATTTATATGAGCTTGAAGAAGTTGTCCATAGATAAATTGAGATTAGATAAGTATATCAAAGCCACTGGACTCCTTTCTTTGTGTCCCGGCAAATGCTTTGTGTCGGTCTTCTCGATATTTTCGGCCTCAGGCATCATTATCATCTTTATGAATGCTTTCGTCGTTGAAGTTTTCCTGAAGTATCCTTTATGGCATGAACTTGACTCCAAGCGACACTCATGCTTCACAGACTGAGAGCAATGGAGACTACTGGTCTCGCAACTCCCATCCCTGTCATTCGCATACTCCACTTCGATGACCTACCTCAACAATACCTCGGTATCACCAAGGTCGACCCGCATACTTACACTTTCCACTCCACACTAGGATGATCCACACCACCGTCCTTGGGAATCAATTGCAGCTGTGGCAAATTGTCCGCGATTCTCGCAAGGCTGAAGAGCAGCTGAAGGATCTAACAGGGAAGTAAGCTCGAGATCCGATGGCATCATGCGTGAATTGCGAACAGACGATCGACCCATCTCCACTCGGCATCGCGAATCAGCATTCGACTGAGCCGCCAAGTGTGGGAGTTCCCCGATCGGAGATCGCCTGCTGATCGATAGAGGGGTAATCGTCCGCTAGTTTTCAGCTGTTCGTAGGCTACCGGCATTCATCTTTCTTAATCTGTCCAAGCAATTGAGATCTGTCATCCCTCCATCGTCTACCACATTCACTCTCTTTCTCACACAGCTCCAGCTCTGGAGAACCGCTAGCCACCATGGTCGCAGAACACATCACCATCCGCAACAACACCAACACGCCCATCACCCTGAAGCGCATTGAGCGTTTCCGGGCCCAGGAGCACCAGAAGCGCGACGACATTACCTCGCTAGCAAAAAATTTCACACGGGTATTAACCAACACGACCCGCAGCGATGAGCCCGCAGCCGCCATCGACTCGCATGCTAAGCCCTTCGAGAACAAGGAGGTCAACATCCGCATTGACCCCTTCGAGTCAAACAAGACGGACGTGCGCACGTTCATTGACTCCGACAAGGAGCTCTCGCGGTTGACCTTTGATGCCGAGGGCCAACGGCATCAAATCCAGACGCCTGTGCCGACCTCGGAGTCGGCGACCATGAAAGCACTGGACGACAAGCCCAAGCACCGCTTCACAGGTATCTACGTGACGCCGTCAGCGCAACTGACCATATTCTCGTCCGCAAACTTGAACGCGTGGATGCGCGAGCTGCGTGACGACACGCTGGTCTCGGCGCTCTCCATCCCCGGCACGCACAACTCGCCCACCTGCCACGTCGCGCCGCCGTCGGTGCGCTGCCAGGCGGTTAGCCCGCGCGAGCAGCTCGACAACGGCGTGCGGTTCTTTGATATCCGCGTCCAACCCCAGTACCCGCAGGATGCGGGCAAGGACGAGCTGATCCTCGTGCACAGCGTGTTCCCGATCTCGCTGACGGGCAACAAGTACTTCCGTGACCTGATGCACGATGTCAACCAGTTCCTGGACAAGAACCCGTCCGAGACGCTCATTATCTCCGTGAAGCGCGAGGGACCCGGCGATGCCACCGATGAGCAGCTGGCCCGCATTCTCTCCGACCACTACGCCCGCCCAGACAGCCGCTGGTGGGTGCAGCCCAAGATCCCCACGCTGGGCGAGGCCCGCGGCAAGGTCGTGCTCGTCCGCCGCTTTGGTCTGAACGACAATCTCAAGGGTGCACACGGTGGCCACGGCTGGGGTATCGACGCCGCCGCCTGGGCCGACAACACCCCCAACTCCACCTGTCCCAGCGGCCAACTCTGCATCCAGGACTTCTACGAGGTCCAGGAGACCACGAACATCGACAAGAAGGTCAAGTACGTCTCCGAGCACATCGATCGCGCCAGCCATGGCCGCTACCCGTTCGGCGTGCAGAAGGATGCTGAGGCTACGCGCCGCTACCCCTTCTTTATCAACTTCCTCAGCGCCAGTAACTTCTGGAAGACCGATACCTGGCCCGAGAAGATTGCCGCCAAGGTTAATCCCGCGGCTGTGGACCACATTTGCCGTCGCCACAACAACGAAGACGGCGACTGCTCCACGGGTATTCTGGTCACGGACTGGGTAGGCCAGGACGGGGACTGGGATCTCGTACGCTGCATTGTTGGCATGAATGCCAAGCTGCGCGAGCGCAAGAACTAATAGAATCGGTACATAGGTTGGAGACTCTGGGTACTACCGAGGTACTGTCACTTTTCTTACATAGCTCGATGCCCGCTTCAAGGGTAGTACATACAGATTCAAGCTATTTTAGCTGGATCTGACACAATTCACAAGTGTTTATTCTTCACAAAGTATACACCAGTCCCTAACTAAAAAGGCCGAATTCCTGAGAACCAGAAAACGGCAGCATTGTATTATACAAGTCAAGAAAAGTGGCCAAATCCACTTTAAGACAATTCGCTCTTCTCGCCCTCGGGTCCCTTCTGTTCGTCCTCGAGAACGCTCCTTCGGCTCTCCATCGTGAAGTAAAGGCTCTTTCCAGCCCCCTCCAGGGTACTGGTAACGCTGGATCCGACTCCCTGCAAAGCCGTAACGAGCTGGGCGCGGAGACCATCCATGCCACCCTCGATGCTGCCGACCCACTTGGTCTCATTGATATCAAACACCTTGCTGTCAACTCGAGCCGCCAGTAGATTGATCTTTTGGAGACCATTCTGGACGATAGGGTCGTGGTAGTCCGGGTTGGCCTTCCGGGTGGGTGCAGGGAAGCCGACTTCTTTCGGCGTGAGAATCGACAGCGCGGCCTTCATGTGTTCGGGAGAGACTGAAGGGATAGAGAGAACCGCGATAGGACCAGCAAGCAGACTAGAGAGCTCATGCTTTCCCTTCTTGCGCTTCACGGCGGCGTACGCGGTACGAGACAAATCGTGCGTCAAGGCCGGGTCATCCTTCGCCCCCGAGACCGCCGGAATCTCAGCGGAGGTCTGGGTGACGGGGTCAATGGCACTAGGAGGTTTTCCCGAGGCCAGTGAATCTTTGTTGGGCCGGAAATACTCGACAATGCGTAGGGCCACCTCGAAGATGCTGGTCTGGACGGTCTGCAGCTTGATATGGGGAGCCAAAGCTGGAGCGCTCCGACCCTCAGCGGCGATCTTATCATCCACTTTCTTCAACGCATTGGCCAATTCTCGTCGAATAGAGGCCCATTCCGTGGCCTTGAGGTTGTTGTGCTGGAACAGCACCATGAGAGGAGATGTGCGGAAGAGGGAGGTGTATTGTCGCAGGAGTTGGGACCGGCGGTTCTCGGGATTGCGGTGCGATGGCGGCTGAATGGGAGAGGTTCGTGCGATCGGGGCTGGTGAGTGTGTCATTTGCTCAATGGGAGCGGCCGGGGTGACTGCCGGGGCTGCGGTGCTTGCGCTCCTGGCGATTCGAAGTTCATGTGGGCATCTCAATGGTTGCCGTTGGAGTGACAGGCGTAACCGGGGAGGCATTTTGATTTTGAATACAGTATGCGAGGCCTCAATGAACTGAAGGTGAAGTGGAATCAAAGACAAGTTCCCCGGAGATGGCAAGCGCCAGCGGTGATATTTTTTGACACCAAAAGGGGAAAGCGCCGGTATGGGGCGGTGAATGATAATGCCGGCCCGTGCTGGAATTGCGGGACGAGGCGTTGACTCATGCCCGGCTCATATTTGGGTCGAAATATAAAGTGCCCCCGAGCCCCCTGAAGTTTGCTAGGGAGTGCAATTATTCCAATTGACCCCGCAACCCTGAAAATGGCTGCCCCAGACGAAAACAAACCCGAGACCGTCTCAATTTCCCCCCTCCTCCAGCGCCTGTCCTACCCCGCGACGACGGAAATTCGAGTAAGCGCCGATGATATTGCCTCAGCGTTTGCTCTGATCTTCGAGAATCGGCTGTCGACCGTCCAGACCGCAGCTTTGTTGACATTGCTTCACTCGACAGAGAAGGACAAGGAGGCCGATGTGATTGCCAAATGCTCCCATCGCATGCGAGAGGCGGCATGTCAGATTGAGAAAACTTCTTTGAGGAAGGTTGTCAAGGCCCGTGGAATACGGGAGGGAAACTACAATGGTGGATTGGTAAAGACGCAATCCTACCAAGGTTGATCGTTCAATGGACCTGCAATGCTAACCGGTTTTGGTCTCTAGTGCGACATTGTTGGAACGGGGGTGATTCACACTCGACCTTCAACATCTCCACGACAGCCTCGATTATCGCTTCCCCATTGCTCATGACCGCCAAGCACGGAAACCGCGCTCAGACCTCATTCTCCGGGTCAGCCGACGTTCTCAACGCAATCCAGCCGGTTCCTCCCAAAATCTCTGCTGTCAATGCGGAAAATGTGGCCCAGGTGTACGAGGAGACAAACTATGCATTCCTTTTCGCTCCCAATTTCCACCCTGCGATGATGTACGCCGATGTTGTACGCCGTGGTCTCGGTTTCCGAACAATCTTCAACCTCATGGGCCCGTTGGCCAACCCCGTGGAATGGGCATTGGAGGCGAGAGTCGTCGGCGTGGCTTACCAGAGTCTTGGACCAATGTTTGCCGAAGCCCTTCGGCAAAGCGGCGCGAAGAAAGCGCTGGTTGTCTGCGGCGAAGAAGATATGGACGAAATTAGCTGCGCCGGGAAGACAAATTGCTGGAGACTGTCAGAGTACCCCAACCCGGCCTATAAGGAGCTGCCTACGGTCCAGCAAAGCGGCTCAAGTGATGAAGAAGAGAACCCGCGCACACTGGTCAAGCTCGACATCTTTCAACTTCACCCCTCGGACTTCGGTCTACCCACCCACCCCCTCAGCGCTGTGTACGGACGAAAGATGCCCAAGGACAACGCGGCGAAGCTCATGAGCATCCTTCGGGATGAGCTGCCGCGTGATGATCCGATCGTGGAGTTCGTTCTCATGAATGTCGCCGCCCTGCTGGTCACCTCGGGTATCTGTGAAGCCGACACCAGCAACATGGGCCCCGGTGACGACGGCAATGTTATCACCGAGCGCGGCCCTGGCGGCGGCCGTTGGAAAGAGGGTGTCCGCCGGGCACGCTGGGCCATCCAGAGCGGCCAGGCTCTCCAGTGTTTGGAGCAGTTCATTACAGTCACCAACAAACTGCAATGAACTTTTGCTACCTGCCTCACTGGGTAAAGGTAGATATGGTGTTTTGAGATAGATCTTGTTTTATTTTTTTGGTGTGGATTTTTGGATTTTATCTTTCTTTCTATCTTCCTGTCAAGGTTGGTGTACAGTTTATAGTGTTCTTTGAGAAGTTCAACACTCCATGACCCTGCTGCCCTGTTTGGGGCCATATATATACTTGGAATATATATTGTCAATATACAGACTACATGTTTGAACATACGCGTTAAAAACGATATCAAAAAGAAGAGTTGTTCAGGAGAAGAAATAGAATGTGTGCCTAGAACAAATATCTTTTGTGTTGGATATCAGGCAAAATAACTGTTTTTTTTTGGGACTTCCCACCAAGTCGCTCCGGGCCTGCTCGCCCAAGCCAAGCTGGTTTGTATCACAACTCCAAAGCGCCATTCGATGCATGATTCGTCAGGAAAGAAAAAAAAAAAAAAAAAAGCGGAAAATGAACAGCAGAGCCGATGTCTCCGAGCCCGCGCAGCCCAAGAGGGACTCTCGCTCGAATCTTCATTTGGGTTCACCGAGCCTCGAATTGAACCATTCTATAGACAAAAATGTCAAAGTCAGTTCATGTAAAAGCGCAAAAAGACAAGTTTTCCAGGAAAAGAGAGGATCTGGTGCGGGAAGAAGGAAGAAAAAAGTAAATCTTACCGCTTCGTCCGCTCCTTGTACAGCACTCGGTGTCCGCAGTCCTTGCAACGGATCTGGTCGCCACGCTTCAGCGGCACGCGCGCGGAGCACTCGCCGCAGAGATAAACCACCGAGGGGTTGTCGACGGCCATGGCGCCGCCGAAGCCTGCGTCGGTGCCGAAGGCGTTCTGCGCGCCCATGGAGGGGACTTGGTAGGCTTCGCGAGACATGGTTTCTGGTACTTGGGCGGTTGATAGTGGGTTGTTGTTGAATTAGAGGTTTGGGTGTCGCAGAGGAGGCCGAGCGTTGGTTGCGAGAGGGAAAATGGACAGCGAAAATCAGAAACGTCGCACTAGAGCCGACTTGCTTTTTCTGGAGCGGCGGTTTTTTATGTGATTAGTCATGCGCATTATGTGGCTGAGTCATCATTCATGCAAGTCTGCCTGAGGTGTCGAGGTTGGATTATTCTAAGTGTAAAGGTTCAAGACTTGAATCTTTCCTGAGATTAGACGGAACTACATTGGACAATTGTCCGTGAAGGAGAGAAAGTGAAGAGTAGAAAAATGCTTTGTTTTTACTGAATTTCCCGAAGCGTGTTGGATCTTTCTAGTGATATAAAACTAGTTCATGTATACATCTTGACATGCAATCGACCCAGCACTCCGTAATAATCTAACGCAAATAAAGTTTGGTATCTTCAAAAAAAGCACTCTCCAAAAAGTTATTCCGACGCCGTGCAAATGAAACAATGATAGAACCAACCCACCCTTCCCATAGATAAACCACGTTATATCACAATAAAACATCTCAGGTGTTACCACCCACCGCCGATTTTCCCAGCAAGCTCAACAACACGCGAGGTGTCATTGGCCTGGTTTTGGTCTTTGCCGACGTCGCTTTCAACCTGGCGATAGGTGGTGTAGACGAGCTTAGAGAGCGGGATGTCCATAAATCGGGACCAACGCTGGAGGCCGTCATGGATCTTGGCCTCCTTGTCCGGTATTGAGACCGACGGAGGCTGAATGTCCTGTTCAGTTTCAGAATCAGACTCCATGGAGAAGTATGCCTCATCGACGCGGGCCAGCCATGCGCGTTGCTCATGAGGAGATGGCTTGGAGGATGTGTCTGTCGAGTCAATCGACTGGGAAGAAGCAGTGGTTTCTCTGGCGTCTTCCACCCGAATCTGTCCACCACCATTTGTACAACCACCGGGGCAGGCCATGACCTCTACATAGGCATAGTCCGATCCCGAACCACCCGATGCTGAATTGCGGGACATGGCCGGACGTCGGCTTGCAACTGAAGGCTTTGCGCCTGGAAGTCTCGACGCTTTGGCAGGCTTTAATTTCCTGACGAGATTCTGGATGTTCCGGAATCCGTAATAGCGGGCTGTTTTCAAAATGGGCTGGTCTTCCTTGGACATGAGGATATACTCGACGACATCGGCGTTGCGACCCCGGTTGGTCACGAATTCGCTGCCAGGATTCCGGGCTTGAAAGGTCATGAGCACGTGGTGTAGGTAGCCACCAGAAGTGCCTGTCGCAAGAGACTGTTCTGCCGGAGAACGCTTGAAGGAGATGAATGAATCAAGAGTCTTCTCGGGGAAAGATGGTGCGAAGGCTGAAGGCAGTGACTGCAAGGGCAATTTCGGCAGTGAGAGCCCTCGAGCTGATGCCAAAGAAAGAAGCTCGCGGGTAGTAATGACACAATCCACATCACGCACCGCTTGATGTGTTTCAGAGGGACTGCTTTGCCACGAAACATCAGTGAGCTCCTCTCGAGAAGCCTCCAGTTTCTTGTCAAAGCATGGCATTATCGCCAAGTGCCATATCCGAGAAGGCGGGACCCCGAGGGACTTGCTCAAGACGGTCTTGAAAAAGGTTCCCGCGAGAGCCTGGGGCGATTTCAACCGGGATAAGTGCGGAAGAATGAATGGATGTGTCTTTTCAGCATAGCATATCCACCCAGGACATGCCGAGGATAGTATCGGGCGCTTGGGAAGAGGGTATTCTGACTGCTCAGCCGCAGAAGCTTCGGAATCGAGCGATTCCGATACCTCGTCGGCGCTAAGGACCAAGACAGCTTCTCGCATAACATTCGTATCCACAACCCAGGTGAAACCACTGCCGTGCTTCCCACCACCTCGGAGTCCCTGTGGGCCGCTAAGGAACTGGTCGATCATGTATCCCGCTTCCCTCTCGGAGACGCCATAGGTGGCTGCCAGACTGGCTCTGACTTGAGGACTGACACTGGCGACAAATATCTTGCTCTCCTCAGCTGCCCCGCCATCCCCAATCGCGGTCCCATGATGTTCGTGTTGCAGCTGGATTTCCGGGTACGCATCCAGGGTATTGAGGACCTCTGCATGGGATTGTAGGGAGATCAGGACAGCTTCCGCTGACGTAACACATCCGGAGCAAGCGAGACAATCGGTCAACGAGATCTGTGCCGGGGGGAGATTCTCAGGCTGGACTTTGTCTTCCGTTGTCACTTCGTAGGCCTTCTATGATTAGAAATCAGTAAAGAATCTTTGATAGCGGATTTAAACAAAGGCAGTGGCAAAGCGAACCTCTTCACTCTTTGTATCTTTTTGTGGGAGGGTTTCCACGGGCTTGATGCAGGCGACACCTGGTGAAATGAAGTCATTCAAGTCGTCGGCCGACAGGATTGCGCTCATTGTGGCGGGGTGCCGGTTTGGGCGATAAGGACCCCACTCAGCGAGAAAGAAACCAGGGGTCTTTCAGAGGGTGTTACTGTGTCTTTTGGGGGAAAAAGTTCTTTCCAGGAGCAGGGATTAAATACACAAGAAGCCTGGAATGAGAATGACATGAAATGACCTGAAAATAGTTCCCAGAGACGAATCCCATCGCGCGCTTTGTCAGCCGTGGCGACCTCGACCCCCTCACCGCCTGCGTTCTGCCGTCTTCCGCATTGACGATCTGTCCACGCTGTCATTGGCTGCTGACGAACTATGTCCCCAAACCCTAACGTCCTTTTGGTCAATACCAGATTTATTCTTTGTGTCTATGAATGGCTCCCGGTCTTGGACTGTTCTCACTCGGGAAAAAATTTGATCTTAAGACGGGCGCCTTGAGCCCCCGCCACCAAGATGTCCTCGACAACTCTACCTTTGCGTCCGAAAACCCCGAGTACTCATCAAGAGGAATCTCATTCAACAAGCCCTTCACCCCCCCCCCCCCCCCCCAGTCCGGTAAATAGCCAGCAAATTGAGCTATCCGAAGGCTCTGACATAATGGTTTCTACCAGAAGGACTCAAAATGCAACAGGTCCGCCGGACCCGGAAGCCCAATAACAAGGCGATGCACTGGCCGAGACTAGTATCGTGCCTGCGGAACCAAAAAAGACCAGCAAAAGATCCCCGCCAAAGAGATTCACAGTTCCCGCTGCACCACCAAAAGGTAGCACTGTCAAGGAACCTTTCAACACGACTGCATCGCGGAAACCGGCTACTAATTACCACGTTGAGAAGGCTTCCTCTCGGGACCAGCTGAGACCAAATTTGAAAAAAGTCGCCACTGACACACGAGCCGCTATCACAAATATTATGAAGGGCACTGCATACAAAGGAACTGGACAAAGCCAGAAGATTGGCAAGCCCATGACTATCACTGCTTTGGATTCCGAGTCCTCGGATTTCCCAATTTCCAATCCACTCCAGTCAAAGTCGTGCAGAGCGACACATTCGACGCTGCGCTCGCTCTCCACAACGCCCGTGGCATTATAGTAGCCAGGACACCAATCCTGTCTGCGTCCTCAATCTGGCAAACGCATACACCCCCGGGGGAGGCTGGCTCAATAGCGCCATGGCCCAAGAGGAAGAGTTATGCTACCGAAGCACTCTGAGTGACACTATCATACCGTCTTTGTACCCCATGGGAGAACTGGATTGCATCTACTCTCCCGCCGTCGTCATTTTTCGAGAAAACCTCGAACGGAATCACACTTTCACGTGGACCGACAAACCCGACTTCATTCCGACTGTCAGTGTCATCAGCATGGCCGCAAAGTCGCACCCCAAATTGGATAATTCCGTGAAGCCATCCAAATACCAGAACCCCACTGATCGCACTGCCACAAAGGACAAGATGCGAGCGATTCTGCGTGTTGCAGCCCACAATGGCAATCGACGTCTTGTTCTCGGGGCACTAGGTTGTGGTGTCTTCAAACACCCAAACCAGGAGGTCGCCGACTGCTGGGCCGAAGTGTTTCAGGAAACAGAGTTCAAGGGCTGGTTTGAGATGATTGTTTTTGCCATTCTTGACAAGCAAGCTGGCCCTGGTGGCAAACTCTGGAGAGCCTGGTTCTGTGAGCTGTTTTTGATGCTTTTGTTTTTATTTTTATTTGCGTGTCAAGAAAGGAATTTCGTTTTATCTTTACTCATACTTATTTCATTATCCATCTTTTTCAGTAGTATCAATAGGCTCAAAATTGAGTAGAAAACACTGATACATTCCCTGGACGATCATGTTCACATAATGGACCCATTTTTCTTATATGCACCCAATAACAAGGCTATCATTGAAAGCCGAGACTAGAGAGATGATTTTCCTAAAAAAATCTTACAACTTAGCACGTCCCCCCTTCGGATACTTTGTGATGTTTCAGGGCTAATCTGGAGAGAAATCTGCCGTAGTTGAGAGTTGATGCTGCCGGTACCAGTTGTCAACTTGCTGAGTGGGAGTATCCAGGTGAATATACTCTGTGTTTTCTTGTTCGGATCGAAAATCCTCTGTCGGGAGTGTAGGGGTGTGCCCGTCTAGTTGCTTTTTGACGACGAAAAGGGGGGGCATTTTAAGGAAGCCGAGGCAATTGAAGATATGGATATTGTTATTGGGAAATATAATCGAAAGTAGAAAAGACCTCAAAAAAATTATACTGGGGCACCATCTTCGGTGTAAACAAAGAACTTTCTTGACGATTCGGGGACAGCAAGACTAACATTCAGACAAAGAATTAGTATAGACTAAAAAAAAAAAAAACATCGCAAATATCCTTTGAGAGGAGGCTGGTACAAACATCTTTTGCCTGGCTCGAATAAAAAACCTCCTCGAGCTGGAAAGTTTCCATGGATATCAGTTGATATTATTCTCTTCCTCAGAGGGCCCAAGGAATGCAACAATAAGAAACGTCAAATAATTCATAACCACTGTGTCACGCGATTCTATCAATCTTAGGAACAGATTTCAAGCATGACTGAGCTGAGACTATGCATGAAAGCGTTCATTCGAACAGGAGGGGCAATTTCAAGTCCAAATTCCCTGCGAGATTCAGCTGGAACTCTTAGGATCCCACTCTTCGATGTTCGAACTATTCTCAAACTCGTGGGCACAGCCCTTCTTTACCACGTATACCGTCCCCTTGCCTTTCTTTTTCTGGCCAAATGCCTGGCAGCCATAATGAACCCCTAAGAAATAATACGTGTTCTGCTTGGAACTAAAGACATTGAGAACGCCTTTGGACTGGCCCCACCTGGGATCATCTTCAAAAGTAAGGCTAACATATACATCCTGCCCAATCAGGGCTTGATGGCGATAGCGCTCGTTTTCTAGCAGCTCCGTCAGCATTGAAGTATTGATAAAAGCTTCTGGTAGAACTCACTGAAGCCCTGACATTCCCCTGCTGTGGCATTATACATGCCCATGGGTACGGAGAGATCGGTTCCATTACCGAGCACGTTATGGAACCAGACCAGGCAGCGGTTATCGTCTTTATTCTTTCTATAAAGCCCAACCCAGTTGGAAGTAGGCCCGGTCTTGGTGAGGTTCGCTGGAAGATCTTTGATGTGGACAGTTTCCGCATGGACCGGAGTTTGCGTTGAGATTGGGCCATGAGGCTCATAGATCGGAGTGGGCCATCCTTGCAGAGTAATGCTCGGTTGGCGTTTCTTCCATTCTTCTGGGTTGAAGGGGCACCGCGAGTCGACCCAGTACTTTTTTGGATTCTTAGGCGAGGACCAAACGGCGCAGTCAGGCTTCTTCGAATGCGGGAAGTATTGCGCGTATGACCATTTGTCACTGTCAAAGTTGGGGTGGCCATTCAACCATAAAACACTGTCGGGATAAACCCAGTCAAAAGAGACATCGAGAGAAACGTCCTTGCGGACGTTCGTGCTGAAATGGGGTTGCTTTGAATGTTCAGCTGTGTGAAGCCCCCGACGATTAGTCCTGAAATACAGACAATCTATAGGCGCGTGGTATTTCTGGTCCAAGACTCACTGTAGAGGCACTCATGCGAGGCAGGAATGTATCTTCCTATCTTGTTGGACGTGCCCACGCCTAACTCAGTCAAGTTAAACTTGACTCGGCAATTGTTGTCTTTGTCCACAACCAATTTAACCCAGTCGTAGAAGCCAGGAGGCCCACCTGTTGCAGAAGCAGCAGGCAATCCAGTAGGAGACTTGGCAGTAGACTTGGCAGGAAGCCTGGTAGGGGGCCTGGTAGGAGATCTGGTAGGAGACTTGGTTGGAGACTTGGTAGGAGGCTTGGTAGAAGATCCAATTAGAAAATTGGTAGGAAACCCGGTAGAAGAAGCAGTGGGAGATCTCGATGGAGATGAAGTTGTGTTCGGTGCGGCGTACACTGAGGTGGCCAAGACGGCCGACAACAGGAGAGAGAGCCTCATGATGCTAACAGTGACACAACAGAGATCATGGTGCGGGGCCCGGGCTTTAAATAACCGAAACGAAGATTGGGGCCGACCCATGCGAGGTTAAGATACGGGGAGTGCACCACATACACAGAATAACAGTCAGATCTATTTTGGTGCATAGATTGTACCATTAATTATAGCGTAGGGGCCAATAACATAAGCACGGATTTCGGTTATCTGGCTGAGATCGGTAATCGAGATGTACATCTTCTCGTCGGTCCAAGACCCCTGACTTTTTGGCCCCAAAAGCATTGATCCTGATGATTGGCGGGCGAGCGCTAGATGATTGTATCAAATCCGATGAAAGGCGATGGAATCTATTTGTACAAGGGATTAAATGAACACAACATCGCTATCCTATCGCCACATGGTTATTTAACTCCCAAACCTTTTCAATAAATCCCTCACTTTCTTGTTCGTGTATAGCGTCCTCTGCCAACAGTCGAGACTGCGTTCTTCTCGTCTTCTGAGTCTTCACTTTTCACGGCTTGTTTCTTTTGTCGGACTTTCGATTTGGATGTTTCTTCGGCTTCTGAATCACTTTCCTTCTTTAAAGCGCCGTGTTTTCGTTTCGTAGTAGCAGGTGTGCCATTCGTCTTTTCTTCGATATCTTTGGCCACGGCCCCGGTCTTTTTCTGGACCGCGGGGACTACTGCGCTCGTCCGACCTCCGACGGTGAGAAATGTGATCTTATCGCCATTGGGAAGAACTGCTGGCTGATTTTTCTTCCCTTTGCCCCATCGATGCTTGAACAGCCAGTGCTCGGGGAACTTCTCCGAGTCGGCAAGGACCTCGAGAGAAGTAGAGCACACATAGTGGATAGAAGAATTAAGCTCCTTGATCTGGTCATCGGACAATGTGTTGCTGTATTGTTCCGGGTGGATTTTGGCGTGGTAGAGGATTTCATCCCTGGAAAGTGTCAGCTTTGCATCCATAATAGTCGACTCAATAATTTAAAGAGATGGAATAAACATACCCCATCCAGTTCCCAATTCCACTGATATTGGCTTGGTCAAGCAAAAGTGCCTTGATCGGGACTTTCTTGCTTCTCAATTTCTCTCCCAGCCAGTCCTCGGTGACAATGTCCTTATCGGCAACTGGGTCTGGCCCATTCTCTTTGAGAGGAGTGTGGTCACGGATCTCATCAGCGGGACAATCCACCAGCCTGATACGACCCAGCCGGCGGGGATCGACGAACGCAGCCTCCGTTGAGGGATCATCGCTCGTCTCCATCAGGAACTTCCAGTACTTTGGTGGCCATTCCTTGTCTGCGGGCTTGTCTGTACGATAATAGTACGTGTCGGCACCCTTGATCTTCAGCCAGCCGGCCATCCCAAAATGCATTACGACATGCGGCGGCGAAGACATCGTGATCCAGAAGTATTTCCCTTGCTGGCCGGCGCCCACAACCTTCTTGCCCTGCATGGCTTTTTGAAATTCCGCTGCGCTGGTGCCAACTTTGCCGTAGATGATATCATCGTGCTGGGCCTGCACCTTGGACAGGGTCTTGCCTACCAAGTGTTGGCGGATGAAATGCACAATGCGTGCAACTTCCGCTAGCTCGGGCATATCGACTTGAAATCAAAGAAACTGTTGGCAATACATTGGAACGCAAATGATGCAATCAGAGAGATGTTATATGCACAATGTCTCTCTTCGACGACTCAACACGATCTTCCTCGACGCGCGACACGCTGTCACATGACCCTATTGTGATGATTACTCAGCTGGTTGGCACTAGGCCGAATCGGGGCTGATAGCATGGATGACCGCATCAGCTACTTTTGCCAGAAACCGTTGGTCAGCGTTACTCTCTCGAGTCTCGGTTTTCTTGAGCTTAAGACCGATTATATTGGCGATTTTATCTGCAGTCTCGGCCTGGTAATTTCGTCCCCGACTTGCTATTGCTCCGCACGTTGCTCAGACGATTTTCTATCCAAGCTGGAGTGGTTTTGGGTTGCCAAGTCAGATCCAGATTCTGGGGAGCCAGCGAAGGGGAAAATGTCAAGGGCCTCGTCAACGGAGGCTCCGGCGCTGACTCCTCAGTTCTGTTTTGACGAGAGACTTCTCCGAGGTGGGTTCGAAGCGCCACCACATGGGGAATCTCAAGCTCACACATTTGTTTTTGGCATAGACTTTCTGCAACTGTCGAGATCCACCATCGATGATTCAATTACTCAGAACCTGAACGCCTTGATCAGGCCCTCCCGACGGGGATTCGATCCATCGTCTACCGCCGTGCGACAAACCGACTCTGCTGGCCACAAAGCAATCGACCCAGCATCTTGTCAAGGCTTCAAAGATAATGTATTGTTTCCGTCGTGGCAGACGCGATCAAATGTCCTGAACTACTGTGCTGGCGTAGCAACTAGTCCCGACCCAGATGATCCGGACTTGATTCTGCGGGAAACCGAGTCCGCGAGGGACCGTGAACGTGTGGTGAACGAGCGGCTGGACCCATATTCTGCGCGCTTCTTTCCACGAGAAGCAAGGACAGAGTCGCTGGCCAACTTGGTTCGCAACCAGCGCACTGTCGAGGAGATTATTCGAGCACGAACCTGGGGCCTGGTGGCTGAGACGTGTAGTGGCTCTTCGGGCACGTGGGAGGAGGCCTTGAACTCGTGGCGCCGGACTCGCCAGCAATAGAAATTGCTATGATCTAGCGCATCCGGTGGTCTTGTTTCACCTGAGACCCCAGGTGGCTTGCGAAAAACCTCGAGGTATCATGGTGTCCAAAGTGTATATTACTGCATATATAGCGTTGGATGGATGAACAAAACATACACGAACAAAAAAAAAAAAACATGCATGAAAATGATCTAGTCTGCTGCTTACTTCTAGAAAGCAAGCAGCTGGTATTTCGAATATATTGATCCAGGTTTATCCAGCTCTACTCCACTTCTACTCCAGTTCACTCGACACCTGGCAATGCCCACCCAGGAACTTCGCCTAGGATACTCTCAGGTTGCTGATATATTCTCAATTTCTTAATGCCAACGGTGAGATCCCTACGAAATATTCGAATTGTTCACAGTATTAGACCAGGGTGGATCTATCTTATCGAAGGCGGTGCCAAGCATCGGACTCGGAGCAGTCGTCCCCCGCACACATCGATTCCTCCCTCGCACAACTCCCCCAGCATCGCTCACTATGCCGCAACCATTGAACTCCAAGGACCAGTCCTTGTTTCGACAGGTGGTTCGCCACTTTGAGTTGAAACAGTACAAGAAAGGTACGCTCATCTTCCCGCCCCAACCGACCGGCGCTCACTAGTGTTTCCCATACCAGGCATCAAAACGGCAGAGCAAATTCTTCGCAAAAACCCCAACCATGGTGACACGCAAGCGATGAAAGCTCTGATCACGAGCCACCTGGGCCAGTCGGAGGAGGCGTTTGCGCTGGCCAAGGAGGCCCTGCGGAACGACATGAAGTCGCATATCTGCTGGCACGTCTACGGCCTGCTGTACCGCCAGGAAAAGAACTATGAGGAAGCAATCAAGGCATACCGATTTGCCCTGCGTATCGAGCCCGAGTCGCAGCCTATCCAGCGCGACCTGGCGCTGCTCCAGATGCAGATGCGTGACTTCCAGGGTTACATCCAGAGTCGCAATGCCATGCTGCAGGCTCGACCGGGATTCCGCCAGAACTGGACGGCGCTGGCGATTGCTCACCACCTGGCGGGGGATCTGGCAGAGGCCGAGAAGGTGTTGACGACATATGAGGACACATTGAAGGGCAACCCGCCCGTTGCGGATATGGAACACTCCGAGGCCGTCCTGTACAAGAACACGATTATCGCCGAGTCAGGGAACATTCAGAAGGCACTGGATCATCTCGAGGCAGTCGGCTACCGGTGTACCGATGTGCTCGCAGTCATGGAGATGAAGGCGGATTACTTGCTGCGATTGGACCGCAAGGCCGAGGCGGAAGCGGCATACACTGCTTTATTGGAGCGCAACCCCGAGAACTCGATCTACTACAACGGCTTGATTAAAGCAAAGGGCATTTCGGAAGGCGACCACAAGGCATTGAAAACTCTTTACGATCGGTGGGTGGAGAAGTACCCGCGCAGCGACGCTGCCCGTCGCATTCCCTTGGACTTCCTCGAAGGCGACGAGTTCAAGCAGGCAGTCGATGCCTACCTGCAGCGCATGCTGAAAAAGGGCGTTCCGTCATTATTTGCGAACATCAAGTATCTCTACACCACCCCGGCCAAGCGCGATGTCGTGCAGACGTTGGTGGAAGGATATGTCTCTGGAAATGCTGGCGCGCAAACGAATGGTTCTGCGGGCGCGAAGGAGGACAAAATTGAGTTTCTATCATCTGCCTACTATTTCCTGGCCCAACACTACAACTATCGCGTCAGCCGGAACCTTCCCAAGGCCCTGGAAAATGTCGATAAGGCTATCGAGCTGGCACCGAAGGCTGTGGAATATCAATTGACGAAGGCCCGGATCTGGAAACATTACGGTAACCCGATTAAGGCGGCAGAAGAGATGGAGAAAGCTCGCTTGCTGGACGAGAAGGATCGATACATTAATTCCAAGTCCGCCAAGTATCAGCTCCGCAACAATGAAAACGACAAAGGTCTCGACCTCATGAGCAAATTCACGCGCAACGAGACTGTCGGCGGAGCATTGGGTGATCTTCACGAGATGCAGTGCGTGTGGTTCTTGGCTGAAGATGGTGAGGCGTTTCTACGACAAAAGAAGCTCGCCCTGGCACTGAAGCGCTTCCACTCGGTTTACAACATCTTCGATACCTGGCAGGAGGACCAGTTTGATTTCCACAGCTTTTCCCTCCGGAAAGGCATGGTCCGGGCCTACGTGGACATGGTGCGCTGGGAGGATCGCCTGCGCGAGCATCCCTATTACACGAGGATGGCTTTCTCGGCCATCAAGGCCTATCTACTGCTCCACGATCAACCGGGGCTTGTTTACGGGCCGGGTGGCACCAACGGCGAGGAAGCCGTGGATGAAGCCGACAAGAAAAAGGCTCAAAAGAAGGCCAAGAAGGAGCAACAGCGCCTGGAGAAGCTGGAGACAGATAAGCGCGAGGCAAGAAAGGCGGCCGCTGCCAACGCGAAGAATATCGACGGGGAGATCAAGAAGGAAGACCCAGACCCTCTCGGCCTTGACCTCGTGCAGACCAAAGATCCGCTCAAGGATGTCATGAAGTTCCTCACGCCTTTGCTGGAACTCAGCTCCCAGAACATTGAGTCGCAGAATCTCGGCTTCGAGGTCTATCTCCGGAGGAGTAAGTTTTGTGACATGCCCAACCGATCCCTGTGAATATCATCGCTAATTACAACCCCCATCCAGACAAGCACCTGCTCGCGGTCAAGTGTCTCTCGGCCGCCCATGCCATCGACCCCTCCAACCCCACTCTCCACCTCCAACTCCTGCGCTTTCGCAAAGCCCTGGACAGCCTCTCGGAGCCACTCCCGGCGCAGGTGGCTGAGGTTGTTAACGCCGAGTTCGAGAAGCTCCTCCCCAAGTCCCAGAAGCTCGACGAATGGAACGAGTCTTTCCTGTCGGCCAACAAGGGCAGCGTCGCACATGTGCAAGCCGCCCTGTCTGGCCGCCAATTCCTGAACCCGGGGTCCAAGTCACAGAGCGAGAAAGATCTGCTTGCAACCCTTGATGTGCCCGGCATCACCATCGACGAGGCAGTCGCCGCTCTGGATCTGTTGAGCAGGTGGGGCAGTGACAAGACGGTCTATGCTCAGAAGGCAAGCAAGAAATGGCCCGAGTCTTCGGTCTTCCAGCCCAATTGATTTTTCTTAGCGATGAGTGCCCCTGTCTTTTCCCTTACAGCCCTGGTCTCACTCGGTGAAGCTCATGCCGAATCGGGTGGTGGCTGTTGTGCTACGTTGGACAGGTGAAAGGAGAGGCAAGAAGGAATGCAACCGGCAAAAAGAACCAAAAAGAAAAAGAAAATAGAAAGAGAAGATGAAAGAAAAGGATCTTTTCAGGCACTATGCCTGAGACTTATACAGATGCAGAGAGGCACGTCAATTGTATCAGTATTGATGATCTGATGAGAGCTGCAAGCCTGGCATGGCTACTTGTTTCTTAAGACAAAGCCCCCCCCCCCCCCCCCCCGGGAGGATTTTACTAGCTGAAGTAGATTTTAACGGATTTTGTCATGTACATTCCTGGGGAGTAGAACCAAAAGCGCCTCTAATATACAAGCTGAAGAGAGGGAAGGTATGCAAAACAACACGGGGATCTAGATTATGACCCAAATGCAGGCCCATGCACCAAGACAGTCTCTGAAGACTTACTCGCCATCCTCTCCATCGATGTTACCCAGAATGGGCTTCCGCTTGAGAGTCTCCTCGTCATCACCGTACCCATACTTGATCCACATGCGCTGCCAGAAGGGAACGGGAGCCGGTCGCTCCTCGCCCAGGATGTACTCCTTCTGCTCAGCGATGCGCTGAGACCGGGCCTCGTCGTCCTCCGAGAGGACGGAGCGTTGCATGCGCGAGGCGATGCGACGGTCGAGCACAATGTCATCGAGCCACTCGCGCTCCTTGTCGTCCTCGTCTCGCTTGTGCACGGACTTGTGCCATTCCTTTTCTGCGTCTTCCAAAACACTTTGCTGCTCAAGGTTGCGAGGCGAGAGGTCGGCAAAGCTGCTATCGGGCGATGGGGTCGGGTCAACGCTGGCTCCGCTGGGTTCGGAGTCGGCGCTGAAGGAATCGTCACGGTAGGGTCGCGAGTTCGCGGCCAGGACGATCCCGGCGACTTCGCGGCCGACACTGTCGGCGACGCGGCGTTGTGTAAGGTAGCGGTAGATTCGGATCGGGGTGTTCAGGAATCCAAGGAGGTGCGGGAATTCAATGGGGACGGAGCTGTCGAAGGACGAGGGGAGAGAAAGAGGGAGATGAGCAGACGAGTATTCGGCGGGTGTAATGTATGAGGGAGTGGGACCGGCCGGCTTAGATGGCTTTTCCTTTTCTTCGGTTTCCTTTTTGTCCTCCGTCTTCTGCTCGGGGGTGTCTTCTGGTTTCTCAGTCGGCTCAAGGTTGCCGGCCGCATTGTCCGCGCCTGCTCCTTCTGCTCCCTCCGACGCAGCGATCGACGGGATCTCTTCCGGGGCAGCAGGGGCCGGTGGCGGAGGCGGAGGGTCCAAGGGGCCGAGCCAGCCTTCATGCAAGCCTCGAATGTATTCCTTCCAGGTATGGCGGCCGATCACCAAGTCGCCCTTGGGACCGGGCTCGTCATAAACCCCGATGTGCTGCCGCGTCTGGGCCACAACCTCCTCGACACCCATCTCTTCCACTACTGTGCTCGGCTCGCCAGACTTGCGCCTCCACTTGCGGATCTTCTCCGCCAGACTGGCGCGCACCTCACCCTCCCGTCGTCCTTCCACCACTGTATAATCCAGCGCCGCCGCCACCAGGATGGGCTTGACGTATTCCTTGAAGTGGTCGCGAGCTACCCGCAGCCCATCGCCGGGAGGCGCAGCCAGGTAGACGGTCAGCCTCCGGCGCATCTGCTCCACGGGCAGGGACTCTTTCGAGAGATGGGCCACGAGCTCCGACCATTTCTGTTGCGCGCGTCGCTTCTCACGTCGGTCATAGACCAGAGCCCCCATAAAGGAGCCTGTTATGGTGAGGAAGATCATCCAGTTTCGGGACGGCAGTCTGAATCGGAAATTGGGCATTCCTGTTTGTTGAATCCATGGTTTAGCAATGAGGGTTCTCGAACTCGAGAGCATGTCGGACTGGCATACCAAGCATTCTGAAGGCCGGGTTGGACGGCTTTGGCGCCGCCTGAGGCTGGCCAGGGCCGGCAGCCGCAGCTGAACTGGAGGAATCCGCCATTGGGAGTTATCGAGCTGCGATGGATATTCGGTGTTTCTGCCAGATTAAAAAAGTCCAGGTCGGCGCCATGTTGATCCGCCAGGGCACGTGATATCATCTACTGCGCAAACAAAAAAAAAAACTGCAATCTTTCGTGGTCTTCGACAGAAGAGTTCTTTGGTGTTATTGTATAGAAATGCTTCCTTTTTAGATTAATCGCTACACTCATCTTCTTGCCAGTGCATATCTTGTGTTATGCCCGATGGGAACCCACCCGAGCTCGTTCGTCTCTACGGACATAGGGTTATGCGCGATGACCAGGATCCGAGTGCCTGACGGGGATGACAACCCGGCATGCTCCATGCCCCTCCCCCTGTCTTTGGTCTGAGAGCCTGGAGATTGTCTTCCTCAAGGCATATGTTGCACTGACATCGGGGCCACAGCACTCTCGGGTACAATAGTGGCGTGGTTTTGGAGTTGCAATTGCAGAAATAACTTGATCGAGTATTTTGTAATTATTTGGACTTCTCAATCAGTAGATTTTTAGAGGAAAAGAAGTCGAGACAGTCTCAAATCGCCTCGTAAAAAGCCCCTCCAACTTATACTGGGGGCGGGTGGACTCTCCTGAGCCACCGCTCCTTTCGCCTTCTCCCCGCCTTCTCTCTTCTCCTTTTCTCTCTCCCCCTCCATTCCCTCGTTTATTCCCATCGAGACTCGGGGCCAAGTCTGCAAGATGGACCCCAACAACAATCGGTACAACATGAATTACGGCTACAATGACCGCAACTACAATGCGGCCAACAACCGCGCCTATCCCACCACCCCCTCCGCATTCCCGCAGCCCATCTATCAGACTCAGGGGGCTCAGGATTATGTCGATCCGTCCAACCCGGCCTACTCCCCTGGGTACTTCGTGCCCCATCCGTACTCGCCCCAGGCGCAGTATGCTCAGCAGCAACAGTATGCGCAGCAGCAGGCCTTGCAATCGCCCCAGCCTGCCTACCAAAACCGCGTGGGCTACGCCAACGACGGCACCAACGGTTTGATCCAGCAATTTTCCAACCAGGACCTCAATGCGAGTCGCGGGGGATTTTTTGGTCGGGCGAATTCCCCGGCTCAGCGGCCTCGCACGGCTGGTGGCTCGCCCGCTCAAGGACAAGCCCAGGCGGCACACTTGGCTCCTCCGGTACCGCGCAGCCCTCGCCCCCCGTCGGAGAATGAGGAGCTTCAGCGACTCCCTGACCGCTACTCGGAGAACGTGCACAAGCGAGGCAAGGCGGCAAAGGAACTCGTAACGGTTTTCTTCCACGAGAACATCGAGCGGGCTCGTGATCGCAACATGCGGTGAGTTTTCCTTTCCTTTCCCATTGTTTTTTGTCCCCCCATCTTCCCAGAGCCTTGTTTTGATGTTCTCTGACATTGATGGTCTTTCTCTTATAGATCCGTGGATCTTGATAAGACGCTGCGGGAGCCGAGTGTTTCTCTGGACAAAAAGCATCGTGATGCCGATGCGATCGCAAAAAGGGAGTCAGATTTCCTTCGATTCCTCCGGACCAAAGAGACCCCGCAAAACTTCCAGACAATCAAGATTATCGGAAAGGGTGCTTTTGGTGAGGTCAAGCTCGTGCAACGCAAGACTGATGGCAAGATCTACGCCCTCAAGTCTCTAATCAAGACGGAGATGTTCAAGAAGGACCAGCTGGCCCACGTCCGTGCCGAAAGAGATATTTTGGCGGATTCCAAGGACAACCCATGGCTGGTGAAGTTGCACGCTTCGTTCCAGGACACTGCGTACCTTTACCTGCTGATGGAGTTTTTGCCTGGTGGCGACCTGATGACCATGCTGATCAAGTATGAAATCTTCTCCGAGGACATTACGCGCTTTTACATGGCCGAGGTGGTGATGGCAATAGAGGCTGTCCACAAGCTTGGCTTCCTGCATCGGTAAGTTTGAAGACGGTCGACTGACGGGATTTGCCACGCTGCGTTTCTGCAGTGTGCGGTTGTACCCGTGTTTGATGGAGACCCATACTGACAAATCTCTCAGGGACATCAAACCTGATAATATTCTCCTTGACCGCGGTGGCCATGTCAAGCTCACTGACTTCGGTCTGTCGACCGGAGGCAAGAAGACCCACGACAACGCGTATTACCAGAACCTCCTTAAGAACTCGACGTCAAAGGACCGAAATCGCAACTCGGGGTACTTCAACGATGCCATCAACTTGACTGTGTCGAACCGTGGGCAGATCAATACGTGGAGGAAGTCTCGCCGCGCCATGGCGTACTCGACCGTCGGTACTCCTGATTACATTGCGCCTGAGATCTTCAATGGCCAAGGGTATACCTACTTGTGCGATTGGTGGTCTGTGGGTGCCATCATGTTCGAATGTCTCGTGGGCTGGCCTCCATTCTGTGCCGAGGATACTACCGACACTTACCGGAAGATTGTGAACTGGCGAGACTGCCTGTACTTCCCTGATGAGCTCATCCTCTCGCGTGAATCCGAGTCGCTGATCCGGAGGTAAGACTTGTTTGCTCCCACTGACAATCAAGCAAGAAAAGCTGACTGGATTCTTCAGTTTCCTCTGCGACCCGGAGCACCGTATCGGCAGCGATGGAGGTCAGCATGGTGGTGCGACGCAGATCAAGAACCACCCGTTCTTCCGCGGCGTGGTGTGGGAGCAGTTGCGGAACATTCGTGCGCCCTTCGAACCGCGTCTCAGCTCGAACATTGATGTGTCGTACTTCCCTATCGACGAGATCCCTCAGGAAGACACCAGCGCCATTCACCGTGCCCAGGCCCGTGCCATGCCAGATGCCCAGGAAGCCGAGATGAGCCTGCCTTTCATCGGATACACCTACAAGGCTTTCAATGCCTTCCAGGGCAGTTAAGCCTCGTTGCTCTTCTTCGAGACTCCGCCATTGGTTTCTGTATCGATACACATGGTGAAGTTTCTTTGTTTTTGGAACGCAGGCTGGGCTTGCTTCCATGGTCATGCCGGCCTCGATGATGCTCGGTTGTTTTCCTTTCCTCTCTCGCTACGAATTTGTCCAGCATATCAGCGCGATATTGTTTTCCTGATCATGACCCCGAACGCCATCTTTGGTTTCCCTTGTTGATATCTAACGTCCTGCATTTTTCTCAGGAGACGATACACCATCTATCGTCACATTCCCCGGGGAGGTTTCTGGTCGAAAAGGGCCAATTTTCATCACAGATCTCGTATCATGGCTCATTGGATGTTCTTAACGAATGTGACATAGCACCGGCATAGACTGATGACTATGGGTTGCCTTCTATGTGCGATGAATCCACGATGCTCTGGTCTATGATCATTCTACTGTGTAGATGTTCGTAGGAGTGTTAGCCCAGCACCGTAGGTGCGTATTTTACTGCGCCAGCTAAGAAAGGGAAGTAAGAATGCTATCGCCACTGAAAATAGCGGCCGGATTTCACATCTGTGGGAATGAGCCACCGCTGAAGAAATGATATAAACATGAAGCGAAGCCCGAAACGCCCAAGTCCCGATTTCCCACCCGAGCAAACTGCTTATTTTGGTGCATATCACAAGATGACAAAAGAAAAGAAACGAAACATCAAGTCCGTAGAGGCGCCAGACCGGGCACACCACTGAAGCGCTCCTCGCGCTCCGTCTTGAACATGATCTGGACCCAAAACTCCTTGCTATCCTCATCAAACCAGGTCCAATACCGGCCCTCGCGGCGGTCGATCTCGCGCGCCTGGAGCTTAAACGAACAGCTCTGGTAGGGCTCAGCCGCGACAACTAGGTACTGAAAGTTCTTGTCGGGATCCTCGACCTTCTGCTCGAACGCAGACATAAAGCGCACGCGCGGCAGCACGCCGGGGGTGATTTCCTGGTACTGCAGTTGGAAGAGGAGACCCATCTGGCGCGTGAGCGGGTCCCGCACTTTGGTGATCTTGTAGCCGGGCCGCCCAATCTTGATCGTCTGCTTCTTGACCTGCACGCCCATGGCGCCTGGAAGCGACGACGGGTCCTGGCCCTTGCCCTCGCGCTGCTCGCGCGCTGCGCGACGCGCCAGGTTCGTTTGGTGCTTGCGTCCTTGCGTATGTGCCAGGTATGATCCGTCGTTCTGGTGCACTGTCAGGCACAGTCGGCATTCGAAGCTGCCCACATGATTCTTGAAGAAGTAGGGATCCTTGTCGAGGTCGATCGTTTCCAGCGCGAGCTTGCGCAGTCGCTCGCGCCGGTCGGCGTTGGTGGCCGAGTGCGAGGCGACACCGCCGCCGCCGAATTTGGAGCCTGCGCGATTCTACTCTTAGTTAGCATCATGTAGTAAAAAAGGGCTACACCCCCTTTTCGGGTTATATTCCAAATGACGGTCACGACGTACCTGGTAATCCATGATGCTTGATGCTGGGAGAAAGGAAAAGGCGAAGTTGAAGCCGAAGCCTCAATGAGTTTCTGGAAGGTCGACGTTGGCTTATGTCAGCGTATATCAGGCCGTTTAGGCGGTCTCCAAGACGCAACTACATTTCCCTGGAATAATTGCTACAATCTAGAGAGCCATGTGTACTGCGACTGTTGGACAGCGCCGGTCGTTTGACGACAATTTGTGTACCGTCCGCTATGTTGGCGGCGTCCAGGGCACCACCGGCGACTGGCTAGGCGTCGAATGGGACGACCCAACCCGCGGCAAGCACTCGGGGGAGCATAACGGTGTCCGGTATTTCACCTGTACGCAGATACTTTCTCAAGTCTCTAATCTATGGCTGTATAACACATCACTGACACCGCTTACAGGCAGAAGTACTCAGCCAACGGCGGGATCGTTCGTGCGCCCCTCTCGGCCATCAGATCCCCCGCGGAGCTTCCTTGAGGCACTGCGCGAGAAGTACGCCTCTGAATTTGAGCAGGAACTTGCTCGAAAGGCCTCATCAGAAGGAGGCGTAAATCAGAAAACAGCCATTGAGATCAGCGGCAAAGTCGTTGAAGAGGTTGGCTTCGACAAGATCCGGAAACAGCTCGCCGAGCTCGAGGAGCTGCGCATCGTCTTGCTCGATGAACTACGCATTGTTGGCGTAAATTCATCCTATGATCAGACAGAAGACTCACTCCTTGAGTCGGCCCAACAGATCCAGGCAACTTGTCCCAAGATCATAGAGTTGGATCTCAGTCGAAACCTGCTCAGTCGGTGGCGCGATGTGTGGGAGATTTGCAACCAGCTGAAACAACTGAAGCGATTGAAACTGAAGTGAATTTTTGCTTTATATCTCATTTGATATATCTCAACCTGGATGAGGCTGACTGGGAATTGTAGTGGGAACCGATTTCAACCTTTGGAAGAGGACCTGACCTTTGAAAACATCACCGAACTCCATTTGGAAGACACGCTTCTGACCTGGGACGAAGTATGTGACTGCTACAGCCGGTCTTACGGAATTGCTTTCAACTGACATACAATAGATCGCTGCAGTGAGCTCGCGATTTCCAGCACTCACTTCCCTCACAGCATCCGCCAACCAGCTCACCGAGACCTCCCGTCCACTCCCTGACACCATCACCTCACTAACCCTTGAATATAACGAGATAAGCTCACTCTCAGCACTCCGGCATCTCGCCGCACTTCCAAAGCTCACGCATCTCTCCCTCCGCGGGAACTGCGTCACTAAACTTCACCATGATACCAACACCGCTGTCCCGGACTTCCACTTCCCAACCATTCTACGCTCGCTCGACCTCTCCCGCAACAACATCGCCGCATGGAACTTTCTCAACCATCTCTCAGCCTTGTTTCCAGGCCTGGCCTCTCTCCGCATCTCCGGAAACCCCCTATACGATCAGCCACCGCTCCCGCCATCCATCGCAGCCGCAACATCAATCATGACGTCCTCCAAGCCCATGACCGTCGACGAAGCCTTCATGCTAACCCTCTCCCGCCTTCCACCTACTCTCCGCACCCTCAACTTCAGCACCATCTCGCCGCAGGACCGCGCCAACGCCGAGATGTACTACCTCTCCCTTATTGGCAAGGAACTCTCCGCCACCTCTGCAGCAGATGAGCCACGCATATTAGCCGCACATCCGCGCTACAAGGAGCTGTGCGAACAGTACGGCGAGCCTAGTATCGCCCGAGCGGTGGTTGCAGACTCCTCCGGCGCGAGGACCATCCATCCCCGATCCGTGGCGGCACGGCTCGTCAAAATGGCGTTTTATTCCCCCGTCTCGTCATCGTCTTCAACAACTCCACCCGGAGATCACCAGCAGCATCCTCAAGAGTCTTCCAGACCCCACGTTTGCGTCAAAGATATCCCTTCTTCCTTTGATACGTACCAGGTGAAAGCCCTTGTCTCACGACTCTTCGGGCTACGGCCCTATGGGTTCAGGTTATTCTGGGAGACCAACGAGTGGGATCCCGTGGAGAAGGAGAATGTTGCAGACGCTGGAATCGACGGGGACGATGACAGCGAGGACGAAACCAGCCACCCCCAGCTCGATGTCTCGGTCTCCGCCACCGCTGACAATTCCATAGACACCAGCCGATTCGTGCGGAGGGAGGTCGAGCTGGTCGATTCGACGCGGGATATTGGGTTTTTGTTCCAGGGTGAAACGGGGGAGATGAAGATCCGGGTCGAAGTCTGAGGTACAATGCATTAAATAAACTGCCACCGAACTCGCAGTCTTGGTATTTTTTACGATCGGGTGCATATCTTCAAAGGTGTACATAGTAGCAGTCTTCATTGGCACATAAAAAGGTATCATCCGGTTTGTTCAAGCTATCAACACCTATCTTCGGCAGGGGTATGGAACTCCCACAAGAAAACATTGCAGACAAGGGGAAAGGAGGGGGAAATATGCACACAGGAGGAGTCGAGTGGCGGTCCACTCGTCCCAAGGGGAGAAAGAGAAAAGGTCCAAACGCCGTGGTGTTTTTGCTCGCTCACTGCCCAGACCCCCGAACCCCAGTAGAAACAAGAGAGCATTAATGAAACACAAGAAACAACACAAAACGCAAACATAACTCCTGAACCATGATGCTTTTGGAAGTCGAGTACGAAACAATAAGAATGGAAAACGTTCTGGAGATCCCCCGCAGTGGTGAGATCAAATCGCCCGCGCAATTTCAGCCAACAGCTGTTTTACTCGCGGGCGATCCACCATGAGCGAACGGCCATGCAGCAGACACGCTTGTAGATCTGCGTGGTACCCTTACCCTCGGCTTCTTCTTCAAGGAACTTCTGTGCGACGAACAGTTTGGTGCCGGCCTCCTTCTCGTTGGTCGATCCGACCTTGGGTAAGTTGTTGGGGAAGTCAGCCCAGCGCTGGCCCAGGTGGCGCGCGATGGCAATGGAGTAGATGATGTCGCGGTTTTCGTAAGTATCCAGCAGTTGGCGGCAGCGGGAGAGTGCGTCGTCAATCTGCTTGGCCGAGCTGGCCTCGTTATCATGCAACGTGAGAAACTCGCCGAGCGAGTCCCAGAAATCCAGCTGCCGGGACATGAATTGATCTGGAGGGTTCGGAGGGTTGGCTGCATCCATGCGCACCGCTTGCGATAGCGGGTTCTCGTCCAGGTAGTTCCAGGTGAGCAGGGCTTCGATCACGTTCAGGCGAGTCCAAGTGGCGAGTAAATTCCAGTCTTCTCCATGCTGTCCATTCTCTGCATTCGGGACCTTGCGACAGAGGATCATGCTCCTCCAGATGAGCGACGCTTCGAAGCTCTCCAGGCGTGCAACGGTTTCGCCATCCTGGAGATTCCATTCGTTGAACGCATCAATCAATGCCGAATAGTCCGCCATAAGTTGCGAGTCTGCCATGAGAACAGATAGAGCTTTCTCTGAGTACCATCGCACCTCCAAGAATTTGTCCATTGCGGGAGCATATGTGGCCAGGAAGACGGCTTGGATTTCCTCCAGGCGACCAGGCGGGAGGGTTCCGACATGATGATGTGGGGGTGGTGCGATACCCCTCAAAGCGACAAGGTCGTTCATATGAAGGTTTTTTGCTAAAAAAAAACAAAAGAGGTATTTGTTAGCGATTGTCCTAAATTCCTAGTTGCGACATGAGCCAAAACAAGGGGCAAGCAACACACCTTTGTAGGTAGGCTCAGTGCCCTGCGGTCGTGCGCCGCCTGTGTTCTGCATATTCGCGACGGTAGGGGAATTTTGAGCTCCCAAAGAAGGATCAACAGTAGCTCCGTGTTCGTGCTGATCAGTGGAGGTGCTAGGCGATTCGGAATGAAGTGAGGGCGCAAATGGTTGAGACGTCGCGGGCATGTACCCAGGGGGTGCAGAGGGATACGAGGGTGTCGAAGGAGGAGGAGGAGGGCCTTGGGGATTAACGACAAGCGACGGAGGAGGATTAGGAGCAGGTTGGATGGCTGATGGGGCGGATGCCTGAGGGCGGAACACAGGATCGTAGCCTAAACATTCACGTTTGCTCTTGACACAATTTCTGCAGACCGGATGCCCTTCGTCGCACTGAAAGAAGTTAGATCATTGTCAAAAATAAAAGAAAAAATTGAGGGAAAAGGCGCAATCGCCCACAGTTGGGTTCGGTGCGAAGCAAAATCAATGGCGGGGTTTGCGGGCACAAGCGAGGCGCTCCGCCCCGCGACCTCGGAGCACCACATACCTTGATTCTTCGCTTACGACACGTCAAGCATCCAGTTTTTGTTCGTCGCTTGACTTCTTTTTTGTGTCTGCTCGACATCATCTTGCTCGGATCCCCAGGCAACTGGTACCGCATCTGCGCATTCGGACTCATTCCCGGCTGAACGTTGGAGGGATACCCGGTCATATACTGGCCCATAGACGCCATTGGAGGCATGCTTGAGGGCAGTGGTGACCCAATGGGTGCCTGGGGCACTTGTCCTGGCTGTCCCTGAACATTGTTGTCCGAGAAGCCAGCGGGGTTGTGGTACATGTCCAGATTCTGCTGCGGCTGCTGGTAATGCTGCTGGGGCTGCGCCTGAAACTGATGCTGAGAAGGTGCTTGCTGCGCGGGAGCATGGCTTTGCGCATAGTTATACGTGCCATTGGACGGCTGATATTGGGCCGATCCATTCACCGGCCCTGGCTGCCCAGGGCCTGCAGGGTCTGCGGATCCGGTATGAAAATCGGAGTGACCGATCTGGCCCTCGTCGCCAAATGAATGCGACTCGTCCATAGTCGGGATATCAGTCCCGATGGCCGGTAGCGAGGAGTCCATGTCGGGCAAAGTCGTATCAATTGCAGGAAGCGACAGGTCTGGGGCAGCAGACGAGCCCACCGAAGGGAGCGCTGAATCAAAAGACGACAGGGTTGATTCCATCAGGGACTGGGATGTATCCATTGCCGGAATAGACGGGTCTATTGCCGGCAAAGTCGCACCGGGGGCTGGCGCAAACTCTTGGGTTCCTTCTGAGGGCCTCTCTGCGCTCGGTGGCTGACTTGTCTGCGCTTGGCTCTCATTTGTCTGCGTCGGTCCATTGCTTGACTCCGCTGGGGGCTGATTTGTTTCGCCTGCCGGTTGCTCGTGTTGTGCGGAAGGTTGACTCGTCTCCACAGCCGGCGCGTTCGATGCGGGCACGTTGGTCTCGCCAGGAGGAGCGCTCGGGTCTTTTGGCTCGCTCATTTCCGAGTCCAGAAAAGCTCCTAGGGAATGCGGTTCTCTCGTTAAAAAAAAAAAAAGTACGGTCGTGAGCCAAATCTCCCAGCCAACTTTTTGAGGACTGCGCCTGAGGCGGGGCGAGGTCGAGTATCCGGGTCAAAGGCTATCCAGTTTGTCACTGAGCAAAGACACCACACCAGGTCGGTCGAGTTGAGGAGGATAAATCATTTATTCCTTGTAACCTGTAGGCTTCAAGATGCGTTAGTCAAAGATTTTCTTCCGATCAGCACCCGACCAGCGAGCAGTGTCCACTGCAAAGCAGGTACATTGTGAACCAAAAACCAACGCTTTTCGAAGAAGGGGAGGTATATGATCAGGGCAGAGGGTGTTGAAAGAGGCGCAATCTCCCTCGTCGCACAGAGCCCTTGGGCAGTGGATGGGAGATGCAATGGCATCCAAGCTACGAACTTGGCCGTGCCTGCGACAAAGTGTCGGTCGCAACTGGATTAAATTGCAGCTCACCACCCACTGGAGGATATGACTCCCCCTCCTCCCGATCTCCCCAGTATCATGCTGATCGATCGAGGTTTGTGTGGCTGTCGCATTTCTTCATGACAGGGCCTCAAAATTGCGACCCATCTCCGCCCGCAACTCCCACCGAGGCTGAAGCTGGTTTCGCAGGAGAGCGCCGTGCCAAATCCACAGAAGCCTCTCTCGATAGCAAGAATTCTGAACGGGGTGCTGAGGAGAGACCAAGGGCCACTGGCGAGTGGAGGAGGAATGCGCATTTCGAGAATAAGGCGGTTCGCAGGACTGGAGGCATCACGGCTTCTGCAAATTGGGAGGGGGCACACTCACCAAGGATTTCTGGATAGAAGAAGCTCACAAGGGAACACCAGTTGCCCAAAGCTGAGAGGGTCTTGGGGTGGGGGAAGGCCGTCAGGACGAGGAGCGCGAAAGATGGAGCAAAGGAGCTTTCCTTTCCGGCGAAGAAACTCTCCGCTTTGGATGCCAAAAAAAAAAAAAAAATTATCGCAACGCCGACTTGATACTCCCGTCCGACACCACACTCTAACGTGATTATTTTATTTTTATTTATGTCTATATTCCATGGTTTGTTTCGATTTGATGATCTAGTGTTTAAGTGTGAAGGATTAGCTAGGCGGTGCTTTTGCATCCCATATACTCTACACAATTAGATCTATATCTCGTGAAGAATTTTGATCCCAGCTCGAAATGTTTAATCCAAATGAACTTGAAAAATCACAAAAACCTTGAGTGGGGTATTCTTGTATAATAGAAGGCATTCTAACCCTTCAAATCCCAGGTCACAAACCCGGTCCGACAGAACAGATTAGATAGAACCCCGATGGAACAAGGCCTGGGTGACTGGTATCGCCTTTGTACCAATTAAGCTTAAATTGGCTGCCGCAAACCATATCGATAGATATTGTCGACTCAGTCCCTTGGGGAGTGCTTGGGGAGCAGAACGAAGGTGTGGAGAAACACCTTTTCATCATGCCGGCGGATGTGACTATCGTCAAGATCACCGATGGCCCCAGATGTAGGTAGGCGCGGTCATTTGTGCCCAAATAGTTTTAGGGGCAAAGATCGTAGCGATGATTGACAGAGGAACCTCATCCTCCAACCCCAGATCATTTCTTCATGACCTTAGGCTTGCGCTTCTTGAAAACAACCTCGGGCGCAGGTTCATCAATCTCTGGCTTCTCGGCAACCGGAGGGGCAGGGGTTTCACCAGACTCCTCAGTTTTCGCGTCGGTTGATTGCTCTGTCTCTGGAGCCCCGGGCCCAGCAGCCTCGTCCTCTTTCTTTGCCGCGATGACAGGTTCTTGTTTCTGGTCTTCGGGTTCAGCTGCAGGCGTAGAGGTTTTGGTCTTCTTGATATCCTTAGTAGACACAAGCAAGGCATCTAGATCCGCATCATCCTGCGCACCGGGATATACTTTGGTCGTCGACCCCCAGCCCTTGCTCACAAGCGGCCCAAGCGCATGCTCGACATCCTCATCGCCACCCTCATGCTTGCGCTTGCGAACTCCGACCGACTCGGTAGATGCCTTCATGTCCTCCGCGTCCTGCGATTCAATCTTGGTCTCGGACATGGTCTGCCAGTCCCCAGCCAAGGCCATGTCGGCGCGGTATTTCTGGGGGATGGCAATACCCATCTCGGCCAGCTGCGCCATCTGTTTCTTCCTGTCCTCTATGCTGGCAGTTCGTTCGGCAGGCTTCGGGGCCGGCACCGTAGTGCGTTTCTGGGACACGACATCGCCGCCGGTCTTGTCTGCCGCGGAGGACCCGCCGGCGACGGTCTGTCGCAATCGCTCAACTTCGCTTTTGGCTCGCTGTGCTTCTTTCTGTTGGATTTCGTTGCCCTTGTGGATGTCTCGGAGGAATCGCTTGAGGCTGGATTGGTGTTTTGCGCTTGCTTCGTGCTGGCTCTTTTCGAAGGGCGTGTCGCGAATGAATATCTTGCATTGTTTGCACCAGAATCGAGGCTAGACGACGGTCAGTATAGACAAAACATTTAGACAAGATTTCATGTCCCGCAACTTACTGCTGATTTCCAATATTCGGCCATGGTGGCGTAGCTTCGAGTGCAAAGTGACCGGGTGGTTGGGTCGCTGAAGCGATAAGACGCAAGCTGCGCGATCGGCCTAGTCCCAAAGCAGCTCGCCACCACCTCGCCTTGCGAGTGCTATATTCAACCGTTCTTCTTTCAAAAATTGTTACAAAATTGAGGATGAAGAATGCTCTTAAAAATATGCAGGGGAAAAGGGGGAAATAAGCTGCAGTAAGACTAGAGATTACAAACACGAGGACTCGTCTCGAATACATTGCGACAATCTATACAGAAACCGAGGATCTATATGACAAGGCAAGGAAACACTCATATAGACAATCACCGTTACAGACCAGCCTGTTCAGGAACAGGGCTCTTGAGCTTACCACCCGCCAAAGCTAGGCGAATGTTTTCAATGGCCCATTCCTCCATAGCAGTTTGCGTCTATACAAGTCAGCTTTATGCCTCTGAGTTACAAAGGCCATTAACTCACCTCCTTGGTCCAAGTGCCCATATGAGGAACCAGGATGACATTCGTGTTGCGCACCAGTCCCGGGTGGATTTTAGGCTCTTCCTCAAACACGTCCAAGCCAGCGGAGAACACCTTGCCACTGTCCAAGGCGTCGACCAAGGCCGCTTCGTCAATGACGGCGCCGCGAGCAGTGTTCACCACGACCACGCCATTCTTCATCTTGGCGAATTCGGCCTTGCTGATAATATGGCGGGTGTTTTTCTTGAATCGGTCAGCCTCGTAAAGTTCTTTGGCGACACTGTGCGACGGAAGAATGATAAAACTATACTCACGTTCAATGGCAGGTTCAAGCTGATCACATCACTGGTCGACAAGAGCTCGTCGAAGGAAACATACTGTGCCCCAGCGGCAAGCTCCTCATTCAGCTCGCGGCGGTTGTGGTAAATGACCTTCATCCCAAAAGCCTCGGCCTTTTTCTTCAGGTTGCGTCCAATACCACCCATACCCAAAATACCGAGGACCTTTCCTTGAGGATCGTGGCCGAGAGGTGGTGCCGGCTGACCGCGCCATTTCCCTTCACGAAGAGCATGCATGCCCGTGTTGAAGTTGCGCAGTGCGCCGATAATCAGAAACATGTTCACATCAGCTGTGGCATCATCCACCGCAGTTGGGACATTGGACACCCGAATTGGAGGGTTGCGCGCGCTGCATGCATGAACATCGACCTGGTCATACCCGGCACCTGTCACGATATCACAATTGAGTTAATGCGACAACCCCCCGAAACGACTACCAGTCGGGAAATCAGGTCATACCGCAGTGCGCAAGGTATTTCAGCGAGTTGGGCAGCGCATTCACAATCTCTTCGTCCACCAGCCCAGTGATCTTGACGGAAAAGAAGGTGCGGTAAGCCGCGACAGCGCCCTCGAATTTCCCGCTTTGGCATTCTTGGAGGAACTCGGCGCGGTTGGTTGCCGTGGGCTTAACCAGTTCTCCCAGCTCACCCAGTGCATTCCAGGATTGGTGTGCGCTGTAGGACAGATCAATGGGTCAATTTTGTATCCCGCGCGGGAGGTTCAGTCACGAATTGGTGGGGTCAACGCACTGGTCGATATCCCCCAGGAGGAGAATCTTGGGCTTAGCACTTCCGGAGCTCATCGTGAACCAACGACAGGATGGGATTCTGTATGCAGTGCTGTCAGTTGAGGGAGCAAGAGGGCAGCGCTTTTTCGTTCCCACCGATAAGAAGAGTGAGGGGTCCGACGGCGATGTCCGAAGTAACCCAGAGAATCTGCGAATGGCCGGGCGCGAGTGGTGATCCCCAAAGAATTGAGTGCAGCCGGAGAGAAGATGCGGAAGAAAGAAGACGCAACAGTCCTGCCCTGAAGAGTCATAACGCCTTCGCAACGTCGGCCGAGAAACCTGAGCCCCACGCTGCGTTTATCGGGAAGCTCCCCGCATGCGTGGGATGCCATCCGGGGCGGTACTTGCGAAGAGATAGTGGAACATAATTGTGAAAAAATTGACATCTCGCGTCAGTGAATATATTCTCAATAAATTCTATCGTTCTATGGAGAGTCTACTGGCATGTCGTGCAGCCTCTACAGCCTAATGTATACTCCGAATGCCCAGAGGTGTCGGGGAGCCGAGTCCGGAAAAATACAAGAGGCTCGGGAAACCAGATATAGACCCAGATATGAATGTTTGACGTTTGAATTCAAAATTACAGGTCTCGATAGTTTCTCTGCGCTGACGGGATGCGTCTCGGCATTCTGGAAGCAAGACAAATGCTAGTATACACGGCATGGCTATAGATAGAGTCATACCATTCACATCCAAAGGATGAGTACCCATTACCCTTCAATCAAGACCCGAGTCCAGTCAAACTTCCTCCATCGCTTCCTGAACCCATCCACGCGTCGATCCCCGCCGCGGTTCCAGCGTCCCTGCCGCTTGATCACGTCCGGCGCAGCGTCGAGCATGCCCCCAATGATCTCTCGGGCAAACAAATCCCCACGAGGCCAGCGGTGCTCGTCCTCAACAATGTGTCCCAAGCCACCGTCGAGCTCGAACCAGACATGGAAATAGGGCATCTCCTTGACCAAAGTCCGACGGAACGCCGACCGCCCCAGACCCTGCTTGGACTTGGCCAGAGTATCGATGAGTTTGCGATGTTGCGACCATTCGGACTCGGCACTGAGAATCGCCTCCTTGAAGAACGCAGGTGATGTCTCCCCGAGACTGTAGGGTAAGGGCACCACTTCCATGGATGCGTGCCGCTTGCGTTGCGGCTGGGCTGCGTTCTCGTAAAAAATCACATCCCGGCCCTGGTCGTGGTACATGCGAGTTAGGCTTTTCATGAAGTTGCGAATTTCTTCCCATTCATCGTCATCGCATTCCATCAAGTTGTTCCGATGTTGGATGGGCACAATGACGGCGCCGCCTTCGCTGATTTCAGGTTCGGTAGGAAGGGTCAGGTAAACTCGCGTCGCGAGAGACACAACCGGTGCAATGGGCGGAGTGTTGGTGTCCTCGTGGTGGCAGAGGGGGCAGTTATCCAAAATCCGGTTCATTTTGTGGAAATCATTAATCGTCGCGTTTTTGATGTCGATTTCAGACCGGTGCACTCTCCGAGCAAGTTTGGAGGCGTTGTCGTCCATGTACTCCAATTCATTCTAGAGAGACATTAGAATATAACGGGGATTCAACAGGCAGGAATATCAAAAGCTCACCTCGAACTTTGAATCTCGCGCGATGCGGTCCGCCAAACGCTGGCCATCTCCGCCAAATTGGCCGCGAGTTTTGCGTTCCTCACGGACCATGTCCTCGATGCTCATGTCTTCGTTCTCTTGAACCTGGCCTTTTTCTTGTCCCCTTCTTGTCTCAACCGGCTTCACCTCATTCCTTGCACCGGCCAACATGCGATTCTCCATGACGCCGAGAACCACGACGTCGGACTCTTTCTGGTTGGACATCGCTGCCGCCGCCGCGTTGTAGCGATCCTCCAGTTCCGTCGCATCGGGGGCACCTTTCAGCTTTGCTTTCATCATCTGGGCTTTCAAACGGTTCAGTGCCGTCTGGTCCAGGTGCTGAGTGGTGTTCGACGGAGGAACCGCCTCCATTTTTTGGCCCTGGCCTCCGGCTTTGAGCTCTTCTTCCGGATCTCGGACATGTTCGAGCGAGCTTCTCCGAACATCATTTTGAAGCTTCCTCTCCTGGAACAATTCCCCGCTGGGCTTGTCTTTGCCCACGTAAGATTCGCCATACATCCTGCGACGATCTAGTTCGGTTTCTTCTTCTTGAGCATCATCAAAGGAGCGCAAGTCTCCAAAGCGTTCGGTAGCTATCTCATCCACGGGTCTGTCACTGGCCTCGGCTTCTCTGTAGACTCCTTTGAGCTTTGTCATCCTCCACTGCGAGCCGGCATCCCCAAATGTATAATCCACGTCGTGCTGAGCAGGCTCCTCTTCAATATCTTCAAGCGCCTTTCCTTCTTGGAGGTCACGCAAATGATTGTTGAGCTCTTTGTCATGAATCTTAAGTTCGAAATCGGCCTGAAGCATTTTAGGCTTGTTTAATTCTTCGAGGCGTGTAGTGTCTGGCCGCTGGACGTAATCGACTTCGAGGGCGGAGGGGCTTCCATCCAGGAATCGCGCTTCAGACGGTTTGGTTCCTCCTGGACCACAGTTTTAGGAGCCGAGGACTCGGCCTCGTCATTGCTGGCATGACGGTGCCGGCGTTTATGCGCATGATCACGCTCGTCTCCCTGATCAGCCTCGTGGCGCGAGCGCTTATGCCGGTGGCCATTGTCGTCGCGATGCCGGTGCCGTGACTCACGGCCTTTCTCACTTTCGCGGTCTCTGGATCTGGACGAATGTCGCCGATGATGGCGGTGATGTCTCGAGCGCTCTCTGCTGCGATCGCGGTCTCGATGTCGTTCCCGATCACTTTTCTCCCGTCGCTCTTTATCCTCCGCCAATGACTTTTCAAAATCTTCCAAGGTCATCGTGGTCGCCCGGGGTCGTGGATTGCAAAGGAGAGGCAGAAAAGAGGCGGAATGACGTTTCGGCGTGTCGGGTGGCCCGAGCGGTGATCTTCGGTTTTCCCCGCGACAAAAGAATTTCGGCAGAAAAAAGAAGCTTGTCTCTTTCACTGCGCTCTGTCCATTCCACCCCATCTTCTATCTCGAAATATTCAGTGGGGACCTGTCATTTTGGAGGATCCTTCTTCCATAGAACACTATCCAGTTCATCATGGCATCTCCCGCAGTGTCTGTGGTCTGCGTGGGCATGGCAGGTGAGTCGATCAATAGCCTTCTAACTATTGGCCTTGGTATACTGACTAATATTCCCATGGCGTTAAGGCTCAGGAAAGACCACCTTTATGCAAAGAATCAACTCGCATCTGCACTCAAAGAAGACCCAGCCCTATGTGCTGAACCTCGACCCCGCAGTGCGCTCCGTGCCATTTGACAGCAATATCGATATCCGGGATTCCATCAACTACAAAGAAGTAATGAGCCAGTACAATCTGGGTCCCAATGGAGGAATCTTGACCTCGTTGAACCTGTTCGCCACTAAGGTTGATCAAATCATCTCGCTCTTGGAAAAGCGCACTGCCCCGAACCCTGAGAATTCCTCTGCAAAGCCAATTGAACACATTCTAGTCGACACACCAGGCCAAATTGAAGTCTTTGTGTGGAGTGCCTCGGGCAGTATTCTTCTTGAAACCCTCGCCTCGTCATTTCCGACTGTCATTGCATACGTGATCGATACCCCGCGCGCAAGCTCTACCAGCACCTTTATGAGCAACATGCTTTACGCGTGCAGTATTCTGTACAAGACCAAGCTCCCGATGATTTTGGTCTTCAACAAGACAGATGTCAAGGATGCCGAGTTTGCCAAGGAATGGATGACTGATTTTGATGCCTTCCAGCAGGCTTTGCGGGAAGAAGAGGAATCAGGGGCATATGGAACCGAGGGCGGCGTGGGTGGCTTTGGTTCCGGGAGCGGATACATGGGCTCGCTCTTGAACAGCATGAGTCTGATGCTCGAAGAATTTTATCGGCACCTGAGCGTGGTGGGAGTGAGTTCTATGACTGGCGAAGGCATCGACGAATTCTTCGAAGCGGTCCAGTCGAAGCGGGAGGAGTTCGAGCGCGACTACAAGCCCGAACTCGAGCGCAAGAAGAAGGAGCGGGAAGAGACCCGCGCCTCTCAGCGGGAGCTGGAACTAGGCAAGCTGATGAAGGATATGAGTGTCTCTGGATCCGGTCAACGGCAGCGCAAGGAGCCTGTTCCCGAGCCCGAGACGGTCAGCGAGGCGGAGGAAGATGAAGAAGATGAGATTATCAAACGCGGGTTGGCGCATGGGGAAGACGACAGTGACGATGACTATGAAGAAACTGGCACCGGTGATGATGATGCACTGTCCCAGCGGTACAGACAAGCCCTGGGCTCTCAGAATGCGCCTTCAGATCAAGACAATAGCTTCACAAGATACTTGCGCGCCAGCAACATCAACGGGTGATTTTAAGGTGTTCAAGTCTCCCATGGGTTCTTTTGTGGATTTCTGGGGTGTTACTGGTCTTGAAGGCGCTATGTTTGTTTTACATTCAATCACATATTCGAAATTTCAATCTCGAAGACTTCCTCTCTGATCCTCGTGTTGTAGAAAGGCCAAACGAGGCAAACAAGTGACGTCACCGCGGGAACCTGCCCACCTGAGCAGAGAGTTGACTGTCTTCTCTCTTGAATTCTCCCAGAACGCTCGATTTTTCCAACGGTTTATCCCTCAGTTAATTACAGGCATGGATGTGAGTAATGTGTTCCACTAGGTACTATGAGTTATGCAGCAGGATCCCAGAGCTGAACCCCAAATTCGAAGGTCTTTCACGCATATACATACTCGACGGCCGCGTGGCTTTCGCTACAGAGCCTGTCCTTGATCATGGCTCCTAGCATGATAGTTGCCATGCTTCTCGATGAAACGCGACCTGCCTCGGGTACGTGCACCCCCGAGGTCTTCTTCAAACAGTGTGCCCCTGTGTCTGGGAAGATGCGGCATTCTCTCCAGATTGACGCAGGAAATAACTGACTCCTGCCTCTTTTGAACAGCTATTGAGGTCTATCTCGGTCGTTGTCTTGGCTTCGGCCTTCTCACTATCGCGGTCCTAACCGTTATGCTCACGGGCTCCATCCCATTGACCTCCACAATCGCGGAGCCTGTCACGGCCGAAGATGAGGATCCCAAAGCTCCATATGGCCTGCCCACCTTGATTGTGACATCTGTGTTCCACTCTGCCTCGGCCTTTTATGCATACACCTGGTATGCCACCGGCGGGCAGGGTGCCTTTGCCACCGCCGTTTTGGCACACTCGGTCCTGGCAGCCATTGGGCTGTGGTGTGTACTTTTCGCAAGTGGAAATGGCAAGATCAGTCGGAGGACTGGTGCAGATAAGCGCACGACGGGGTTTCCATTTAGTAACTCGGAGGCAGCTAAGAAGCATGCGGGCAAAAAGGGAATTTGAAAGAGCGACGATGTGGGGTCTATTGAGCAATTTCCCTGGAATATATGCAATAGAAGAGCAAAGAGAATGAAACCATAAATTGCATATTTAACCAAAAAAAAATTGTGGTAAAAAGAACAAAGATCTAGTGCAATTCACATTCAACCTGAGGCCGTCCAAGTTGATCCGAGCGCCCCACAACGCTGCTTCAACCGGCCCTGCCTTGTTCCCTCCGCACCCGCAAAAGCAGCACGCAAACTCCACCCTTTAAATGGATTCCGACCTGCAGCGGCTGCCATCGCCTCGGCCCTTGGCATCGGGCCTGCCCATCGTCGACGATACACCTAGTCTAACGGCAGAACTAGGCCCCTTCGACCCAGACTCCCAGTCCTTTACGCCTTTCCGTAATGCGATCGACAAAGTCGAATCGCAACCTCTTCAGAATGCGACTCACGCCGATAACTCTGCCTTTTTGCGGCCTCCACGGCCGGGAGAGCCAGTGGATACTCTTCTGACAGCATCGCAACCACATCAGCAATCCCAGTTGCATCGAGACCACGGGAGCCATGTCGCTTCGCACTTGCAACACCCGTCCGCAAATCACGGCTTTGATCAATCTAGGACCACGGGCAATGGCGTGGGAAAGAGCCAAATTGGAATCTCTGCCTCGGCGCACATTGAACAATCCTTGGATGACTCGGTCGCAGCGAAAATGCCGTCAGCGACATCACTGTCGCAAAACGGGCTTGCTCTGAGCGATGCGCACGACGCCCAGAGAAATGGCATGGCCATGCTTCAATCGCCAGGCCAGTCCTTTCAACATCCAGACTTGGTCGGCCTGGAACCCGGCTCGGTTGGATCTACAAATTTTGCCGGGCAACTGCAGGGCATGAAGCTAATCCCGGATCCACCTGATTTGGAGTACTGGAGGGAGAGATTGTTTCATGTTGATGAGACAATCACCTTGAGCGAGGAACAGTATGCACTACCACGCTTTTGGGGGCCTTATTCATATCTCCAGCTTGCGCAGATGGTCACCGTGCCCTTGGCTGACATGCAATGGCTTTGTTTTGCAGATTTCAAGTCTACTTTCCGCATGTCGACAACGTTTACTCCCATCGCTCTACCCAGCGATACAAGCGCAAGCCATTTGTCTCCCACTACTGGGACTGTCGATTGAAGGGCCGGCCTCCCGGGACTCCAAAATCCGACGACCCAAACAAGAAGAAGCGCAAGCGCACCGCACGAGAGCGGGATCTCTGCGACGTCAAGATCAAGATCACAGAGCACTTTTCTGGCTCTGTAGTCACTGACATGAGCAGTGGCATCGATGCCTTGCCGTCAGATTTGTTGCCTGGGGTCAACACCCTTTTTAACCATGGTGATGCGGTCCAGGACAACCAACCTTTTGGTGTGCTTACCCCGGGCCCCAATCTACCAGAGGGCCACCCAGGAGCAAATGGGGGAAATACTTCACAATTCAGCGAGTGAATGGCAACGGCGCCAATGGGAAGAATGACGGCATCGGAGGCGGTCATCGACATACATTGGAGGAAAGCGACCGAGTCAAGAAGAATAGTGTCCAGCGGCACTTTTTGAAATGGGCCAAAGAGAAAAAGAAAGCTTCGGTATGTCTGTTGCGTGCTCCCAGCTGGACTGTGTCGGGGGGAGGGGCTTGGCGCTCCCCGCAAAACCCCCGGCTACGTCACACCCCGTTTACATCGGAGGCACAGTCCAACATTGGAAACCACGTTTGTTTTGATCTGTCAACTCGACGTTTTCTCTGCTTCGCTCTTCATTGGTTAGATCTAACGTCTCTGTGCAATAGTCTCAAGTCATGTCCGACGCAAGCCAAACACAAAAGACGTATCATACCAAAGCGACGGGATTGGCTGCTACGACGGCGATCAACCATGCCGCTGAGGACAGTCTCAAACTATACGGAAGCTGTTTCTGGTGAGCTGCCTACTCTCACGGTCAATGGCTTACTTCGAGTGTTGCTAACAGGATCTGCCTGCCTACATAAAGTCCTTTTGTGCAGCGGGTATGGATTGCATTGGAACTCAAAGGCATCCCATATCAATATATTGAGGTTGACCCGTACCAAAAACCCACGTCTTTGCTGGAGGTGAATCCGCGGGGACTGGTACCAGCATTGCGGCATGGCGACTGGGGGTGCTACGAAAGCAATGTGCTGCTAGAATACGTAAGAGTATCCAGGGGTGTCCCGCTTTTTTCGTCGCTAATAAATCCATTGCAGCTGGAGGATTTGGGAACTGGGACAGCACTGTTCCCAGCAGATGCAAGGCTGCGTGCTCACTGCCGACTATGGGCAGACCATGTAAGCAGATCTTCGTAGTGGATTCACAACTTGTGGCTGATAAATTCCTCCAGATCAACCGGAATATCGTGCCGAACTTCTATCGGGTATTGCAGGAACAAGACGAGCAGAAACAGATTGCCAATGCACAGGAGCTACGGAATGCTTTCAACCTGCTGATCGCCGTGGCGCATCCCCATGGGCCCTTTTTCTTAGGACCACAGCCCTCCTTTGTGGACATTCAAGCTGCGCCGTGGGTTCTTCGGCTGAGCCGAGTGCTGAAGCCCTATCGGGGCTGGCCGGATGTCGAGGAGGGAAGCAGATGGGCCGTCTGGGTGAATGCAATCGAGAGCAATGAGCACGTGCAGGCAACCACCAGCACGGATGAGCTCTACCTCGACAGCTACGAGCGATATGCCCGTGAGTGTCTCGTACCCGTTCGATGATACTGAGTGGACGCTAATATTGTGCTCTTCAAATGACAGAGAACCGGCCGAATACGTCCCGGGTTGCGAATGCAATCAATGCGGGACGGGGTCTCCCTTGAGTGCCATGAGCATCTGATGGGTACTCTTGAGGCACCGCTTGATTCGTTTGTGAAGGTGGGATGATAGCCCCGCCAGTTGTCGTTCTCAAGAGGATAGCTTGGGCGGGGGTAAGATTTGGTCGTGAAAGGCGGCGCATTGTACCCTAGCTCGCTCGTGCGCCTCTGTTGGCGAATTTGAACCCGCCCCTTCCACTTGGATCGGGGCCGCGAGGATTTCTTGAAGGTTGCTGTAGAGCCTGTTGCTTATCGAAGTCATTTCGATCGCCCTGAGGACGGTCTCGTCTCTGTAAATGGGGAGCATTCCCTTTGGCGGGGCTTGACGGATCGTAGAGATGTTTCGCTTTGTTGGAAGCCGTGGACGAATCCCTCTTTTCCCGGAAATCTCTGCCGCCTCGGCCTTTTCCTTTGCCTCTGCCCTCGCCAGAGTGATATTGGCGTGGTGGAGTGGTACTTCCAGGCGACGACGTGCCCGAGCCGGTGGCAGACGGACTCCCAAAAGCCTCTCACGCACCTCTTCATATTTGCGCTGCTTCTCCTCCCGGTTCTTGAGTGCGGTAGCCTGTCGCTCTTCTGGTGTCGGTTCAGGGGGCTTGTTGGCCTCTTCATCCGAGTCGTCGTCTGCGCCCAGCTCCAGCTGGCCAACCCCTACTGCGGCTGCGTCCACGGCACTGGAAGATGATTGCCGTGTTGCAATCTGCGGTTTCCGGCTCAACACCGTGACGGTGGGTTTCAGGTCTTGCTTGAGCGGCACGTTGGAGCGTGTCTCGACAAAATGAAACGTCTCCGGGGACTCGCTGCAGTCGGACAGGCAGGTCAGAAAGGTTTTCTTGGGTATTCAACAGGCCGAGGTGCCAATCCAGGGACGTACGCTTCAGCCCATAGCTGGCGATTGAATTCTGCCTGTTGCGCTCTTCGCTGGGCCTTAGTAACTTTCGACGAGACCTTCTTCTCGGGCGGCGGGGTTGAGGTTGTCTGTATATGCCGCGGCAATCAGTAGGTCATTCGCAGGCGGCGAGTCGCAACCAGGAAAAATATAGTGCTTGCGGTATCACAGAAAGCTGTTCTTTGGTCCTACATACATCGACCTGGCTTTCCCAGTTGTCATCCCATGCGTCGGGGACTTCGGAGAGCTTTGCACTCATGACCCGGGTGAATAGCCGAGGGAGGAAATAGAGAATTTGAAAAGAAACGAAAAAGAGAGGAGTAGTATAAAACACCAAGAGAATTATGTAAAAGTGCGGCAAATGCCAGCTACACACGTCGTGGGCATGCAGTTCTATAGACAAAAGAAGGTGGAAGGAGAGAAAAGAAAATTCACCCGCAAAGCCCGCAAAGCCCCAGGGCCACCGCCTCACTTGATCTCCGCTCTCTACGCCTCTCCCTCTATCTCTCTTGTGCTTGCGGTCCACTTTTTGGCCCCGTCAGATCATCTTCATCTCTTTTGTTGCCGTTATGGCTGTCGGTGAGTTCCGCGCCTTCTCTTCAGCCAAGCTGGGCATCGTGGGTTGTCTCTCTGCCCCGAAGCGCTATCGATAGCTGGCCTACCCACCTCCCCGCCTTGGCTCACTAGCTCTTCGTCGATTTCCGCTTCGCATTACCACTCCTTGGTATATTGATTTTTTCTTCATTAGATCCCAAAGACCCAGACGGTGACTCCGAAATGACCTCTTCTGTCGACTCCATCCGCGGCGACATCGACGAAGCTGGGCCAGGCTCCCGTACTCCAACTGGCAACGCCCTCCCTCTTCGGCCGCCGTTGGTCCTTCAGAACTCTCTCCCCCGGATCCCAGACGCATCAGATACCCGACATCTCCACGGTTGCTGAGTTCAAGAACGGGGCTGAGCCGGATGGGAGCCAGACGGGGAAAGGTGCAGAGCGGCCTCTCGCGGCGTGGAAGAGCAAGCGTGCCCAGGAAGATTACCACCGGGCCATGGAGAATGTCATCGACAAGGACTTCAGCCTGGGTATGTCAAAAAAAAAGCCATTTGGATTGGTATTGTTGTGGTGGTGGGCTAATTGGCGTATATGCAGGTGAATTCGGAGACCCGTTTGACGAGCGCGACTTGGAGGAGAAGCTACTGTGATTGCGAGGCTATGAGCTCTTTGGGGAATCTAGAATTGAAACACCCGACTGAAGCATCCGACTAAGCATCCGATACGATTCATGAGACACGACCCTTCCCTATGCTATGGTTTGTCTTTTTCCCAGGCACCATGCCCTGAGCACCCTCTTGATAGCCAGCAGGCCACGAAAAAGAAATCTTCCCCATGGCCCAAGATGCTCGATATCACCATTCCTATCGGTGCCAGCTAGCCCACCAGCTATCATTTCAAAGTTCTGAGACGAGCGGTGCAGAAGCCTGATCTGCCTAGAGGCGCAGAGTCATCGCGGTATAGGTCCAGAGCTGCACTTGAGCCACCATTTTGCTGAGATATTTGAAATGAAGAGAAAATCATGAAATTTGGCTTGAATTTAAGAGTCTGTCTATAGATGTAGAGTGAAGCACGGGTGCCATGCGGACGTTGGCAGGGCAACGGGCGGGCCCAACGTCTCCGATCAAAGCAAACCCACGCTTCCAGACATTCGCATCCATCCTTACACTTTGTATGGTTTACTCTCAGGCGGTGTTGCCTGTTGCATAATTGATATTGCATCATTCTAAACCACTTTACAAATCTTAAAGATCTTCCCCGACTTTGTTGAGTGCAACATTCCAGAGACAGTTTGACACATTCCACGCGCGTCAACACCCGCCATGGACAATGATCCCGCCCTGCCGCAGGCCCAAGAATGGTAAGTTGGGTTCTGTTTTCTCAATCCATGCCTCCTTTGAATTTCTTGTGTCCTTGAAATCAAAGAATATCCCTCACAACCCCCTGAACTAGGGGTCGCACCCTCACCCCTCACCCTCTTTGTTGCCTTCGTTGCGCGCGCCGGGAATATCTCTATATCACCTCTCGTGACCCTTGCTACGATCTCATATCGCTAATCAAAAGTGCCTCTGCGCATGTTTTCACAACAGTGGCAACACCGATTCGGGCCCTGAAAACTCGTTCAGCTTTACGCCGATCAAGACCCTCCAGGCCTTGCCTCGTCTGTGGGACCGCAAACCCTCAACACCCTTCCGTGCGGGTCAGACCTCTCGAAAGCTGTGGAAGCGATTTCGCTCCTTGACCGGCATGGCTTCGGCCCAACATTCGACGGCTGCAGACCAAGGCCCGCCATCGAACATCAATGCCCCCGGTGCCCCAGAACATCTGCGCGGTGTGAAGCGGCTCTGTGTGGACTTTAGTGATGCGGAGGTCTCTACCGATAGTGGGCTGCAGCAGCTTGGGCGGTCTTTTCTGGAGACCAAGTGGGAGTCGGGAGCATCCCGGAAACGACGTAAGTGTCATATTCCTTTCTCTGGTGGATGATCGCAGTTGTGTAATTTAGTATCTGACCATCCTTCCCAGGTAAAATGCCTGATGTTTACGATGAAACTTTGCAAACCGGGACCTCAAGTCAGCCTGGGGACTCTGTCGATGACGTTGGTGGAAACAAAATAAGCAATGATCTCGACGTCAGCAACGAAATGGCGATTAGCGCATCACCCAGACCGCTCCATTTTCTGCAAGAACATTCGAAGACGACTATATACAACGATGGCTCAGACCTCGAAAACCAGGAGGCCACAGGCTTCGGCGCAAAAACACCAGAAGACCAAGAGTCTAGACCCGCAGACAATGGACAGCGCGTGATGATCGACGCAGGAAAGGGTGAGAAGGGTGAAATGGTGCCGGACACCATGCAAGACCTGACGCAAGAGCAAGAGGGGACACTGGTGCGATCGGCATTGCGCAGCTCGCTGGATGGAGAAGATGCAGAGCTGCTCAATGACTTCCTGTCCAAAGCAAAGGCCAAGCGCGCAGCCAAGGCGGCGCTAGTCAGTACTCAGGATGCCCAAGAGGTCGAGAAATCGTCCAGTCCAGAGGAGTCGCCAGAATCAGAATGCGCGACGCCGCGTTCGCGTCGTGCTCTGGAGGACCTGGACGCCAACTCGCCCTCGCCGGTCAAAGTGCCGGTCTCACCCGGGAAAGGTGGTCTCGCACCTGTTGCGGACGCTCAGGAAGATGTTGTCAGCAAAGATCCTCAGGATGACGAGCCAGCCCCTGCAAGCCCTGCCTGTCGCCGAAGCACTCGGGCTAAAGCTCCCCCTTCCACAAATGCCGCCCCTGGGCGCAATACGATTTCACTGCGCCGCGCCAAAGGGACAGAGTTTGTGTTTCTGCAACGGACTGAGGCTCAGGAGCTGGCTTTGGCTACGAAACGAAACACCCGACGCAACAAAGGGAACTCTATCCTTCCCAAATTCGTCCTCGAGATCCTAGCTCAACAGTCGACTGAGAAAGACCCCTCTACAGATAGCAGCGAACGCGCTGATCGGTCAGACCGCAAGGGCCCCGGCAGCCGTCGACCGGCTGGACCGCGCAAGACAGTGTCGTGGAATGAGGCGCGACTGGTCGAGTATGAGGATACACGACTGAACCCCGAAGAAGAAGAGGAGGGTGACAGCTGCAAGAGTGACGTCGGCGGAGCTTCTCGACTACGATCTAGCGCGAAACGTTCGGACAAAAAGACGGCTAGTAGTCGCCGTTCACAAGAAACACGGGATGCTGACAGTGGGGCCGGCGGCCTGACCGCCCCGGCTCCGACGCCCCCGCGTTCGCGACGAATGCGCCACTTGGGTGACTCCGGCACGATGGGCTCAGGTACCCCAGTGAAAACCGGTCGTGGCACAAGCAAGCCTCCTGCAGCCTCGGCTCCAGTGGCTGCTTCTGGGCCATCCACCCCTACCAAGAGCCGTCGGAAGCTTGTGCCCAAGTCCCCCAGTTCGTCGCTCCTCCCCGCCCCCGCATCGAAGGGTGACCAGCCCTTTGTGAGTAGCATTCCCACTCGCAGTACGAAAAGTGCCGGGGAGAGCTCCAAGCGCAAGAGCATGCTCCAGGTCAGCGCGGGGTCCACGCCCATGCCTCGACGGGTTCGAGCCAGGTCGTAAACACCTATGAACACACTGGTGTGTTCAAGAGGGGTTGGCTCTATACACTAGTTCTTCTATAGTCTTGTTTTCTCTCTCTCTCCCCCTCTCTTTCTTTGCCTCCCTCTTGATCTGCCTCTCTTTTTTCTTTCTTTTTCTTTTTGTCTGGCATGGGAGTTTTGCTGGCGTTTAAGATACCAAGAACAGCTCGTTTCTTTGACATTAGATCCTTGATTTTGCGAATGCAGTTTCCGTTGCTCCTTCTGGATTTTTCGCCTCTTTCCACCCCGCTCGCATGTTTATCTGCGGAATGACGTCCGTGCCTTTTATCTGGTCAACGTCCATAAAGTCAGATATCCATGGATATCTCTCCGTGAGGGGTAAGTAAGGCGACTGGTCTTACCCTCACGTTGCATTCGTCTGGATGAGACAAAGCCACCCCCGGTCAAACCTCCATCCCGTCCAAGCAACTTAGCCGACTTGGTCCCGCGTCAACCCTTGTCAGATCCCAGACATGACTCGTGTGGTATCCAGTGGTCCGAGCCAATCCTATAGAAGAGCTGATGATGATGATGTTATAACCATGCCAATGTATGCCTTGTTTTAAATCAGGTTTATTATCTACCAAAGATGGCTGGTCTAGTACGTTGAAACTAGAGAAGTGTGTTGTCCGTCTTGGGGTCAGTGCATAAGGTATTTTTATTTTCTATATCCATTCCCGGAGCAGAGCAGAGAAAATGCCTCGGTCAAAGCTACACGTAATGATAGAAAAAGAAGAAAAAGAAAAATACCTCACTTCGGGGCCGGCAGTCAATCATTTCGGCCCAGGACTCGGGAAGGTCCCGATCCTCGCAACTCGGGACCGGGAGAGCAAAAAGGTAACTCGTGGCCCGAACCGATCAGATCAAATCAAACCGGAAAAAAAGATTCATCAGAGGGAATTACACATACTGTCCACAAAAGGATGTAATTACATACTGTGTAAGCCTGCAGTATATCTGTATGTACAGTATACAACACTGGTTGAGCTGAAACTGAGGCATTAAACCCCAACCCCACCGAAGTGACCAAAAAGATTGAAATTCAAAGTATGTAATCTCCGTCAACCAGTGATCAATCCCAGTGGGGGAGAGAGCCAATCAGTCGAGGTCTCTAGTACGATGACCATGACCAACTACTGGATGTACATTAGTGTAGATGGACTAACTAAACATACTAACTATCCTTAGATATAAGTTAGTGTCACTAACAACATAGACGACGTACATGTCAAAAGCCCACCCGCGTCATAGCCTCTTTTAAGACGGATAATTAAAACAATCAAATCTATCCGTAAAGGGCAATAACTGGAACCATCGGCCCGCTTGACCCAAGTGTCCCCCCCCCTTCCCATGTCCCCATTTGGCGTCTCGGTGTTGACAAGCGACTCTCGCACCGGTCATCGAGTTCCCGATTCAGCTCCGAGTTCACCCGGACGGCGAGGCACTCGAATAAGTGAGAAGTAGCTAAAGTTACTAAAAAGTAACTAACGAAGTATTCAGCTCACGCTACGCCTAGCGAGGTAAGCCAACGAGAATAGATTACTATATTAAAAAAATATAAATAACAATAACAATATTTTTGTGCAGATATACCGAGTGTAGTGGCGCAGGGGTGGAGACTAAAAAAACAGCCTCGCAGCCACAAAGCCCAACCAAAACTGCGGGATGACATCGTGCGAAGTCGTGGTGCCGGAGTACTCTGCTCCTGGGCCGACGTATGATTAGTTCTCGTTGGTCTTTTATTTTGATTTTGATTTTTGTAAGATGTCGAGATCTCGGTGCAACCATGTCTATTGTCCGGTGTAACATCGCTGAAATTTTTTTATTTTTTTTTTTTTTTTTTTTTTTTTTTTTTGAAAATTTAGGATGAAGCCATACGCGGATTGGCGGAGATGGTGATCCTGGTTAAGCCCCTGTTGAGGTCTCATTCAAATTACACGGTACGGGCATTTTGCAAATTTGTGTTATTACCCTGGATATTATTATATTATTATATTAGACTAGACTAGACTAGACTATATTGATCTTCTACTACGTAAGATCATATTCTATAGCATTATGCCTCCAACTGCCGGATCAGCTCAGGGAATCCTCTCGCGAGAACCCTGGGGACTATGGAGGGGTAGATCTTGGCGTAGAAACCACCAAAATAGAACTTGACCTTCAGACATCACTACGAATATCAAGAGCAATGCTACACTTCCAAATATCTAGGACATGTGAGGATATATTCATTCATCTATCTTCGTCCCCGTTCGTTATACGTCGATCATCAACCCCGCACTTGAAGGATCGCCCTCTCGTTCTTTTACGCCGACAGGTTCTTGGCCGTCTCCTCGGGCCAGACATCGTAGCCAAAGGTGTCCTTCATGTTGACGAAGCGGAAGTGGCGGCCCTCGGCAACCTTGTTGACAGCCTCAAAGTCGGCATCCGAGAGGTCAATGCTCTTGAAGTTGGACTCGATGCGCTTGGGGTTGGAGCTCTTGGGGAGCACCACGTAGCCACGACGCAGACCCCAGGCGATCAGCACCTGGGCCAGGGTGTTGCCGCCCTTCTCGGCGATCTCGTTGAGGGTCTTGTTCTCGCTGACCCGCTCACCCGTCGTGGGCACCTGGTTCTGCGAGCCCAGCGGCGAGTAGGCCTCGGGCATGATGTTCTTGGAGAAGCAGTACTTGACGAGCTCCTCGTTGGGCAGGAACGGGTGGACCTCGATCTGGTTGAGGTGCGGCATCACCTTGGCGTACTTGGCCATCTGCTCCAACTGCGGGATGGTGAAATTGGAGACACCAATGGCCTTGGCCTTGCCGTCCTCGTAGATCTTCTCCATGGCGCGCCACGTGGGCTCGGGGTTCTCGGTGAGGTCCTTGAGGATGACGTACTATTAAGATAATAAGAAAAGAAAATTAGCACATTGTTGATTCATAACGAGGAGCTTCTCCATTCAAAGCCTTACCTTGCCATCGGGGCCGATCTTGGGCTTCTCCTGGCCATCCTTCTCGGCGGCAATGGGCCAGTGGACCAGGAACAGGTCCACGTAGTCCAGTCCGAGGCGCGTGAGCGAGTCATTCACGGACCAGAGGACATCCTCGTAGCGGTGAAGGTGGTTCCACACCTTGGTGCAGATGAAGATGTCCTCCCGCTTGACGGAGGGGTTTTCCTGGAGGAATTCCCGGAGACCCTCACCAACCTCATCCTCATTGAGGTAGTACCAGGCACAGTCCAGATGACGGTAGCCAGTACGGAGGGCAGCCAGGACAGCAGCCTTGGTCTCGCCCTTGGAACCCTCACTAGCGAAGGTACCGAAGCCAACACCGGGGATCTTGACCCCGTTGCTCAACGTAAAGATCTTTCCAGAGGACATAGTGAATCAATTGATGCGAATGAAGGGGAAACTGGGGAGAGAAGAAGAAGGAGAGAAGGAAATGGCGGAAGGAGGGGTATAAAAGGATTGACAACTGGTGCCCCGGTGGGGATGGAGGGGTTCAGGAATGGGGGAATGGGGTAATTGGGCTCAAAGTGTTTACCTAAGGGATTTACATATATATAGGGCTCTATCGGCTTTATCCAACGCACGCCGTACAGAAGGATGTCAGGATGTCAGGATGTCAGGATCTATTCAAAGAGGGTCAACCTGATGCTATACAATCCGGATACTCCCCTGTCTCGGATCATCTCAGCCCCCTTCTGCGCTCAACCGGTTCTGGATTAGCAAAATGGTCAAAATGACCGTAATTTTCAAAACTCCCCATGACATCACCGGAAACGTTTGACCCGTTTCGATCGTCATCGGCTCGCTCCAATGGCCAGTTCCATGGACGAACTGCCCATGCAGCCAATCGGCGTGCCAGGCCTTTTCCGACCCACTCGAGCACTTGCTTCGCGGCGCAGAGCCATCCGATACAAACCAATCAGATCTCCCGTCTTGAATTGAGCAAGTCCGTACTGAATACCAAAAAAATACGGCACCCGCCACTGGGACGCAGGTACTCTATACCTCGATGGTCCACTCTGGCCGGTTTTACTTTTGCCAAATAATGACGATAATTCCTAGGAATGATGATACCCGGTGAGTGGGTCTGGTAATCATTCAGGCAATGGCAAAATAATACAAGAGACCATGTTTTGGGTTGCTTGTCGATTGATCAGGATAGGGAAGGGTGGAGGTATACCTGAGGTATATATACTCTGCCGGTTCCCTCTTTGGCTTTCATTCTTCCAGACTTTGATTCCTTCTGGGTTCTAGGATCTTGTTATCTTCTTGGATTCTCCCAGTGCTTCTGATCCACTTCCATTGTCTATTGTCCATCCTCTTTTCTTTTCTCTTCTTCCATTCTACATCCATCATGCCTCGCTTCGACGACGCTGACTTCGGCGTTGAGGCCGGTCCCCGGGATCCTCGCCAGAACGATGCCCAGGGTACTCTGTCGCCTCGGGACCAGCGCGGCAGCGCTGGCCTGGCTATCCCATCGGATTCCGGCAACACTATTGAGATCCCCGCCACCCGCAGCTCTATCAGCGATGCAGCCCAGTTCATGCACAACCTGAGTCTCTCGCCATCCATGAAGGACCGTCGGGGGTCCCGCAACTCCTTCGGCACCTCTCTCCCCATCCCACGTTCGCCCCGTCTCTCGCGGCTGTCATCTGTCCAGCGGCCGGGTGCCCCCTCTGTCTCGCGTGACATCCTTGCCTCGCAGGTGCAGGACATGTCCAAGGAGAAGGTCGAGACGGCCAAGAACATGGCTTTCGCTTTCGATATCGATGGTGTGCTGGCACACGGTAACGAGCCTATCGAAGAGGCCAAAGCTGCCCTCAAGATGCTGAACGGTGACAACGAGCTGGGCATCAAAATCCCCTATATCCTGTTGACCAACGGCGGTGGAAAGACCGAAGTTGCTCGTTGCGAGCAACTCTCCGAGATCTTGGAAGCGCCGATCTCTACGGAACAATTTATCCAGTCCCACACTCCCATGCAGGCATTGGCCGAGTACTACGAGACGGTGCTCGTGTGTGGTGGCGAAGGCTACAAGGTGCGCGAGGTGGCCGAGAGCTATGGTTTCAAGAACGTCGTGCACCCCAAGGACGTGCTCGCGTGGGACCCTACCATCTCGCCCTGGCGTTGCTTTACGCCTGAGGACCGGGCTGAGGCGAAGCCGCGTGACTTCTCGAAGATGCAATTCGATGCTATCCTCGTGTTTGCCGACTCGCGTGATTACGCTACCGATATGCAACTGATTATGGATCTGCTGCTGGCCGACGACGGCAAGCTCCTGACTCGTTCTAAGGACCCTGTCGCCAACCGTATTCCTATCTACTTCTCGCAGGGTGATCTTGTCTTCCCTACCGACCACAAGGGACCTCCTCGCCTGACCCAGGGAGCCTTCCGAATTGGTATCGAAGCCCAATACAAAGCCATTACCGGCGTCGATCTCGAGCGTGTTGTGTACGGCAAGCCGGAGCGCGCCACCTACACGTACGCCGATGAAGTCCTAAAGTCCTGGATGGAAGAACTTCACAACGAGAACCGCCTCCCGCAGAATATCTACATGGTTGGTGATAACCCCCAGTCCGATATCATCGGTGGTAACATGTACGGCTGGAATACCTGCTTGGTTCGCACGGGTGTGTTCCAAGGCAAGGAAGGAGAGAATGACCCCAACAACCCGGCTAACTTTGGCGTCTTCGACAACGTGTTGGAGGCTGTCAAGGCTGCGGTTCGCAAGGAGCTGGGCCAGGAATTCAAGCTCAAGTGGAACCCCAAGGTCAACCCTGTGCTGCACGGCGAGGGTGTCTCCGCTGTCGAGTAAAACCTGAGCTCTTCCGAAAAAAAAAAAAAGGGTTTTCTCCGGTGGCGTTCTTTTCATTCTCTCTCCTTGATGTCATATCAAGTTATTTGACCGCTAGACTTATTTGTGTGTTTTTTACTTGCATCTCCTTGCCCTTGACTTTTCTCTCACGTTGGAAATTCTGGGGTTCTTTGGGGCTTTAGGGACTACTGATATCCTTTGTTCATGATATTCGAGAGAAAGCCTAGCACTGGATCTTCTTTCTCTTTCTTTGTTCTGTTTTAGACTGGATTTTTCCTTTCCTTATTATCATGTGCCCATGACGCGAACCAAATACCATACCCAATTATACGCATTTCTGTCTTCGTGATGATGTCGACTGATATAAACTTTCCACCATATGGCCTTGTAATTGTGTTCCTTTGGGTCAGGACACTGGCTTTTTTTTTGCCTCCCATCTCCCATAAAACATAGTCTTTGAATGGTTGACGACATGATGGCATCATTACTAGGTATATAGACTGCTAATCTTTGATATCTTTGATTTCTAACCCGACTAACTAGGTACACTCCTGTATAGGTAGGGACTATGCGTATAGATCTGATTATGCATATAGATATGCACCTCCCATCCTTCGAGGGAATCGGGTATCCACCAACGATACACAACTGATGTATTTGCAATTCCAGTGAATATAATACTGTACAGAAAAGAGTAATCCTAATTCTCCTAGACAACAGCTAGACAAGAACTTCCTAGATGCTCAGCAGAATCATTCTATGGGTGTGTCTTTTTTCTTCCCGAGGACAGCCATCCCGGTGTCACTTTCTCACTTGCTGTCTAGAACACTCCCAATGTCTCGGCAATGTAATTAAACAAAAGACAGAAAGAAGAAAGAAAAGGATCATGTCTGGGCTTGGGCTTTCATAGAACCTTAAGACATATTCACTTTTTCCCCCTTGGCTGTATAGACTCAGACAGCATATATCCGAGTGGCAAAAACAAGGTAAAACAAGGTAGAGTTGGTTTTGATGGAATATTTGTATGTCTCTTGTTTATTTATTTGCTTTGCGGGAAGAGAGAGAGAGAGAGAGAGCACCCCAAGTCAACTTCCGAAACTACCGAAGGGCTGCCGATGTTCTGGAAGAATCTCTACACCTATTAGAGACACAGTCCCGGTTTCACACTTCCGGCATGTTTTTGCAAAATACAAGATGCGAGACTGAGAGTCCCGAGAACACATATCATGTGACATATAGTATTGCCTTTCTGCAGACGATGATATTTGTTTGTTTATATACAAATCTATCATGTAAAGATTTCAGATCCTAGTGAGGCCATAAGCGAACGGGCTCGAAAATCCGGCGCTCTGGCTGTGACCTGCTGTTTTGGTAGCCAGGTTCCATCTCAATATATTCCAATAGATCGAGCACCAATCGGAAAGATCTCGCGTCCAGGATCATCTCACTATTACCTCTAGCCCTATAAGAAAGAAAAAATAAAAATAAAAATAAAAATAAGAAGAGTACTCCCCCTCACTGATCATGAGAGGGTAGTATATGGTATATAGATTTATATAGCAATTGCTTGTCGGCTCAGGCAAGGTCCTGGCAGGTCCATCCATGTTCGAGGTATGAAGAGATCGGCAACCAAAGTGATCAGACATGCAATGATGGGGTTTTCAAGACAGCTTTATCATACTCAGATCTCAGGCTGATCGATCAGAGCATAGGTCGGGAGGCCCACTGATGTAATGTCCTCCCCACCTATTATAGCTTATCACTGGATCTCAGCCCATAGATACAATTTATTTAAGGGACTAACCATAGCTACTGCACCCATGTGATACACAGCATCTAAGAATCCCCAAGTAAACTCGAGAGATTATTCAACCTTGACCTAGACTCAGTGACACAGCCCTTCGAGCGCGTTTTCTTAGCATTATGTGCTTTCTGTGTCACTGCCAAGTCGATTGCAGAGAGATGGACACAATGCATCAAGTCCATACATTGGCGTCATTGTGCATCCCGTCCGAACAGGCCAAGATTCTTCATGTTTGAGGATCTGCGCCATACCCAGCAGCCAAGGCCCCGGGTCCGCACCCCCAAGAAATTCAAGTGTTCGTTGCCTGGAACTAGCCAGAGACTACACTGTTAGTTTGACGTCTGGTGGGGCAGGATGTGCTGCAGAGCAAGGAGAACTGTGATCAGCATTATCAACACTGCCACCGAGTCTTGTGTCGCAATCCAGTGTGCTTGGCAAGGTACTATCGTCTTTCTTGGTTACGCGCCTGATGTTTTCTTGGCATACTGGGCGTTTGCTCCCCCATGCATTGACACTCCCTCCCGGTCGATAGTCGATGTACCGAGGCTGGCTGTACAGTATGCAGTGTTCGAGGGGCCGGGGATAACCAGGGATACGTCATCTGGATACACCATAGCTTGGAAATTCAACCGTGCAGACCAGTTCGCATGCACATCGAGAACTAAGCCTTTGCCAATGCTGTTGCATTGAGTCGCACACGGGACAGCCGGGTCATGTGGTCAGAGTGAAGGAGCATCCTGATCCGTCACTTTTTTGTTGGACTAGCCAGGAGGTATCGCAGGAATGAAGGGCTACTGGACAGTCAATAATGCCGAGGGATTCCTCTCAGACTGCCAGGTGGATCCACTGAGGGCAGCAGGCTTGGCTTTGAGGATCGACGTGGATCCGCCTTGGCTTCGAGGTAGGGGAAAAGCAATGTTGGTATGAGAGCCAACCAGAAGAAGACAAATGAGTCAAGACTCCAAGATGGATACCAGCTCCAAAGAGCTTTAGATTCAATCTGTCAATGGTGTTCCAAGGTTGGGGTAGAGAGAGACCACACACAGGGAGATGTCAGATCTCACTGGGCACGTCAGGTGATGCTGTTGCTGTTAGGTAATGGCGCATGTGTCCCCGCATGATCAGCTGCAGCAGCCAATCAACGAGAGAGAGGGGCATGGTAGTTAGGTAACAAGAACTGGGTGTCTTCGCTAGTTGACTTGTGTTTTTATAAGAATTATTTCTTTATTTCTTTATTTTCTTCATTTCGATGAGCATTAGTACGCTTATTGGCAATATTGGCAATAGTAACAATAGAGTGATAATAACTATAAGAAAAGATTAGATCGCCTGACCATGGTAGCTACCCGTGGCGTTAGGGTTTTTCTATTATGTCACAGAATGGCCGTAGAAGAGATCCTGAGCATGGGACAATTCACAATCTGACTATCCTTAATACTTTCCTTAATATTTCATTGTAAGTACTAAGTCCAGTACTGTGTAGGTATATCCATGTTGCACTGGATGACGCCATGCCTTCCGTTCGCATAAAAAAAGAACAGTTAAAAAAAAGAAAAGAAAACTCTTACAAAAAAAAAAAAAAAAAAAAAAACCCCCCAAATCAGCCCTGCAGGGGTAGCTGTGCCCGAACTACATACAGTAACTATACATAACCTACATAACCGCCACTTTGCCTCCGCCCCATGCTATCCATGGCCCTGCGCTGTGTTTCTCTGGTGGTCGTTCACTTTCTTTCGCCTGGTCTCATTTTATACAAAAGTGGCACCATCCGAATCCGGGTGGACCGAAGCCCATACACTAAAAAGCTCCGTGCAACGGGTCGCCCTTTTCCGTGACTAACAGCTACTTTTTTTTTCCTTTGCTTTTTTTTCTTCCTTTTTTCTTTCCCCGCTCCTGCATCTACTTTAGCCCTAAGCCTCATTCTTGACGGAATTCCTTATTCACCGAGATTGGGATTTTCTTTATTTCTTTCCTTTTTATTAGGAATCCGGGGAAGCTGTGTTTTTAATCTCGGTTGATTTTTTTTTTACTTTTTTTTTAGTGTGTGCCCACCTGCTCCAAGGTACTTCCCGACTAGTCACCGTGTACCCGGGGGCCCTTTATAGAGGGCCATCCCTCTCTCGCCATGGCTTCTCTCACCCCTTTTGCTCCTGCTCACTCCAAGTCGGCTATCCCTCGGTTCACCACTTGTGGTGAGCTGCACTCACGGGACTCGTCTCCTTCCTCGTGCGACTCCCCCAACGGGTCGAGGTCGAGCAGCCATCGCCGCCCATCTTTCGGCTCCATCAAAGAAGACGTTGACGGTATGCCTTTTTTTTGTCTGGTATGCGCAATGGTTGCCCAGGGCTGACGTGATCGCATCCAACAGGCATTGCGCAATCGTTTGTGGACAGCCACCACGTCCCATCGCCCAAGGAGCCCCGCAAGCTCGATCCTCCTGCCGTCGAGATGCAACAGGCCCCGGACTTTTGCTGCCCCTGTGGTGGTTTCCTGGGGTGGAAGCAGATTCGACTGGGTGGGAAGAGTCTGAGCCGCAGCTATGGTGATCTCCGGATGTTAGGGAGCATGCAAGCTCGCGGGTGGGCATGGGAGACAACGGATGAAGGACGGGAGCTGCGGCCGCCCAAGACCCCCGAGCTGGTGAAACAGGCTCCGCCGCCTGGGTCGTCGGCCATGGAGAAGCTTCCGCCGGAAGTGCTGGGTAAGAAGCCCTTGACACAATTTTTTTTCTTTGTTAGAGTTCCTGTCCTGACCCGTCTGCAGATCAAATCATCTCCAATCTGGCCCTGGATGTACCGCCTAACGGCTATACGCCTCGGAATGTCGACCTGGTCTCGTGTCTCCTGGCCTCCCGCACGTTGCACGCGGCGACCTTGAGCGTGTTGTACAGGAACATGACCTTCCCGCACTCCATTATCTTTTCCAAGGCACTCAATCATATCTCGCAGTACCCGGCGCTCGGCACCCTGGTGCGTCGCCTCGACTTTTCGCATTTCACATCCGTCGGCCTAGGTCGTACCAAGCAGATGAATGCCGAAATCCAGAACCTGACCTCGCGGACACTGCTGCAATGCCTGGATATGTTGCCCAACCTCAAGGAATGCTTGCTACAGGAGCACCTGGAGGGTGACATTAGTGTGGATATTGTGCGGAAGCTATTCATGGGCTTGCCGAACCTGCGCGCCGTGGATTTCTGCGGCTGCTCCACCCAATCCTTTTCCCAGGTCTTCCAGGAGGCTCTGACAACTGATCCCGCCCTGCCTTTGAGTCTGCCGAATTTGAAGCGGCTCTCACTCCACGAATGCAGCACTCTTCCCGCCGGCATGTTTGATTACCTCCTGCCGCGACTGACCAACTTGACACACCTCGACCTGACCCACACCCAGGTCAACGACTCCGCCCTCGCTCTAATCCCGGAGACGGCCCGTATCACCCATCTGGGTTTGTCTCGGTGCACACGTCTCCGCAGCTCAGCCTTGGTGGAATTTCTCACAACTCACCCCGCCGTCCGGGAGTCTCTGGTGTATTTGAACCTTTTGACGGACCCCACGCGTTTTCGCCTGCTGGAAGAGGAAGATGTGACGGCACTGCTTCCTCATCTTCCGAGCACTCTTCGCTCCCTTAACTTGGGTGGTGCAAAGGTGACCTCCGAGCATGCACCGCTGCTGGTCCCTCTGACCAAGCACCTGGAAGAGTTGGGCTTGAGCTCCGCCGATCTTTCGGTCAAGGACGTGAATCTGTTCTTTGCGCAGCCTCGAGATGGCGTTCAGCGTGCCCCCAGCACTCTCTGCTACCTTGACCTGGCCAAGGTGCCGCAGCTGACCATTGGGGCGATCTTTCACACTGGCTCCTGTTCCTTGCTGACGGAGCAGAGCTATCCGCTGCAGGTGATCGAGTTCAGCGACAAGATCATCACCCCGTTGCGGGAGCGGGCCAAGACCCAGCGTGTATCCGTTAGCTGGACGGTGCGCGATCTTGGCCGGCGTGGCTGGTACGTTCGCGATCCTGCCTCTATGCCTCACGAGCCCCTTGACGATGGCTCTCGCTCCTGGAAGATGGGCGCCCGGTGGTGGGGAATGCGCAAGATTCCCATGGCCGTCGGCGATGTCGGCGGCATCTACGGACACTACATGTTCAAAAAATGATCTGCTGATCGGTTTTGCGCGCTTTTTTCTTGCATTGCACTTTGTGAAAAGCGATCCAACCAGTACCGTTTTGTGTATACCCTTGATATCCTTGTTTTTATGTGTGTTTCTTCTGGCGGTGGTGTTCTTTTTTCATTTGACGGTCATGAATGATGATATCCGGTCTATGCATGGCGGCGCGCAACATGGTTTACGAATTTCGGCATTTGGGCTCCTAACTTCGGGTTCGTGCTCTCGGTCCGCGTCTTGTCTTTGGTTCTTGCATAGCATTCGGGATCTCTTCAGCGTTTTTGATTCGTTGCATCTGGCGTCTGTGTATTGGCCATCTGCTCTTTCTTATCACTCTGCTCATATCATATCAAACTCAGCTTCACATTATACTCTGCTCCTGGTCGTCGATATTTCAATTTCATAGTAGAATAAATTCAAGCAAGCTATTCGAGTTTCGTGCCGTGTTAGAGTACTCGCTTCCAGATGACTTGATCGAGTTCACGTGACATGCAGCAGAAGAGCCGCAGCTTTTGGTCACTTTCACTTCACCCGCCGATCCTCGCATCGCTAGAAGGCCTTGGACCCTCTCCTCCGCCTCGTACTTGGGGATTTTGTTCTCCCGATGGGTGGATCCATTGTCGTTGTTCAGGACAGTGAAAGCTGTCGAGACCCGCGACGATGGCCCCTCCCAGCGGAGCCGCCTCATACAAGAAGAAAGACGGCACCCTGACCCTGGCCGACGATGAACAGTCGATCTCATGGATCCCTGCGGCCGGTGCCTCGGGCACGCTCACGCTCGCCGTGGCCAGCATAACCAGTAGGTTATTCCTGTCTTTTTTGGCAGGTCGCGTGCAATCCTTCCGCAGAGCTAATCTGTCTCGCGCCGACCTAAAGACCTCCAGCAGACCCCAGCGACGAACCCGAAAGTGATGCTGAAGATTTTTGCCCAAGCGCCCAACGCTCCTCTCAATGGCCCTTCCGAAGCATACGTTTTTCTGTTCACGGCGGGCGCAAATGCCCGCCCGCAGGCCGATGCCATCAAAGAGAAGCTCAGTGCCCGGCTCAATATGGGGAAGCCGGCGACGCCCTCGCAGACACCGGCCCCGGGGGAGGGAGGAGGAGGGATATCGGCGGCTATGGCTATCGCGAATGCCGTCTCGTCTGCAGGGACGACGAATAATCCCTGGGATGACGATAACCGGCTCCGAACCGACAGCGAATTGCAGCAATCGCTGCTGAAATCGGATCCGGTCTTGAAGCGGATGCTCATGGATTCGATCCAAACCAAGCCCGACGCCCTGACCACGCCGCAGTTCATGTCGCAGTTTTGGTCGACGCGGCTCCACCTGTTGCGAGCGCACGCCATTGAGCAGGCGCAAACCCGCGGATCTTATAATGTCCTATCATCGTTGAAACCACGTGTTGAGGATAACGTGCAACGACTCAATATCAGCAAGGAGCAGATTCAACTCATCTTCACGCAGCATCCATTGGTTAAGCGTGTGTACGACGAGAATGTGCCAAAGCTCAGCGAGCAGCAGTTCTGGTCGCGGTTCTTTCAGAGCCGCCTGTTTAAAAAACTACGGGGCGAGCGCATCTCTGAAGCGGATGCTTCCGATGGAGTGCTCGATAAATACCTTAGATCTGACGAGGCTGTCGACGCCGACCGACAGGCCAACGTTCCCAACTTCTTGGATCTGGCTGGAAACGAAGTTCATCACAGCCAGCGCCGTGGAAACCGGCCGGATCTCGACATGCGGCCGTCCGGTGTGGACAAAGTGCCCATCATCCGGACATTGAACAACTTGAGTGAGAAGATCATGGCGAACGTGGCCCCGGCCGATGGCGACGTGAGTGCCCCAATCGGTCTGGACGAGGAGGCATGGAAAAAGCTGCAGCTGCAGGATCTCCGCGGGGATGAGGAGCAAAGCCGCATCACTCTGAACATCCGTGACCAAAGCCGGTTCTTCTCGCATGGCCAAGAGGGAGACGCGAGCCGGCAGCTCGCCCAGCAAGACCCGGACCAGGTTCTGCAGACGCTGCGCGCCGATCTCGCGCAAAGTCTTCCATTGAAAGACACTCCACAGCTGCGGAAACTCGTGGACCCGGGCCCTGAAGAGGATGAGGAGATGGAGGATGCACCTGCTAGTCGGCGCCCCGTCGGCTCGTCCGCTGCACTACACGACGCCTTCGCCCAGATCCTGAACGCAGTGCGCGAGCGACGCGCGCAGATGAATGAGGGCGCCGTGTCTGAGACCCACGGGCTCTCAACGGGGCTGTATGACCGATTGACGCTGACGCACGCGACGACAACCGAGTTCTTGCACCAATTCTGGCAGGCGTTTCTGTCGGGCAACCCGGACCGTGCCACTGAGGTTGGATCATTAGCCGAGTCGCTGCAGCGGGCCATGGATCGGATCCAGGCCGTTGCCAATGATGCCGAGGCCGAGCGCCAGGTCGAAGTGGATCGACTGAAAAAGCAAGCGCGGGAAATGTACGAGGGCACCGGGCGTCGGCTGCGCATGAACCTGGATGCGGTCGAGGGTGGACAGAAGGTCGTGAATCAGCTGCTTGGTCCGACCCTGCACGCATTAAAAGTCGCTTTGGACCGGTACAGCGCGGCACTGGCAGCGGAGAAACAAGCACTGCCACTTGCATAGGGCTGTTGGGACGGATAAAAAAAGACCCCATGATTGGCGTTTACCGGCATTGGCGTGTATACTAGAATCAAGTGAACTAAACATTTGGAAGTACCATTTTTTTGCATATATCAAGTAGATGGAAGTAGAGAAGAACGTCAATCAAACAGTTAAAAAGTAAGGAGACTCGGCATGCCGAGGTTCCCCAGACTCGGATCCACCCATCTGGCCCAGGTGGCCCCTCGCTCACTGCCGCAGTCCAGCCACATAACACCACGTCAGTCCTACAGTCAGAGGGAGGCCCACACCAAAAACAGCGGAAGGGATAATCCCCAGTGAATACATACATTCTCAGAAAGAGAGAGAGAGAGAGAGAGAGAGAGAGAGCAAAATAAAAGAGACCACAATGCTCACATCCGGCCTCACCAACGCCCCCCTCACCAAGCTCCTCCTCATTTACACTATCATGTCGTCGATCGCGCTGTCAATCCTCGACATCAAACACCTCGCCGCCATCCATGTGTCGCCGCATTTCTGGCCCTATGTCCAGCTCTGGCGCGCGCTGGTCTGGCAGCTCGCCGGCTTTGCCAATTCCACTGAGGCGCTGTTCGCCGCTATGTTGGTGTATCACTTGCGGGTGGTAGAGCGCGCGTGGGGGAAGCGGAAAATGGCAGTGCGTATATTCCTCCACCCCCACCACCTTTCCAGAACCCTCTTTCTCTATCAATATGGATGATTCTATTCAATATTTGGGTTGAACCTGGAGGTTGATGCTGATGCTAATGTTATGCTTTGTTCGAAACAGACCTTCCTCCTCTCCACCCTCCCCTATACAACCCTCCTCCCCCCGCTCCTCCTCGCGCTGTTCGTTCGACCGCTCTCGCTGAATACCCTCAACTACCTACCGTCCGGCCCGACGGCCGCGGTCTTTGCGCTGCTGGCGCAGTACCACGCCACGATCCCGCACGTCTTCCGGTACCGCGTTGGAACCAGCAGCAGCAACAGCAGCAATAGCAATGTTGAAAACGACACCAATGTTACCCCCATCGACAACAACAGTAACACCGAATCTCCACCCTCCAATAATAACACCCCAAAACCCCCAATCCCAACCCCAACCCCAACCCCAACCCCAACTCCCAGTCTAACCCTCCTCCTCTCCGACAAATCAACCACCTACCTCGTCGCCGCTCAACTCGCCCTCTCCCAATTCCCAGCAATGCTCCTCCCCGCCGCCGTCGGCTGGGTCGTCGGCGTTGCCTGGCGCGCCGAGCTGCTTCCGGGCTTGTCGCCGGCGACTACGGGGTTCCGTGTTCCGGTGTGGGTGGTTGGCGAGCGTGAGCTTCATAGGGGCGCTGTCGGTGGTAGTGGTAGTAGCGGGCGTGGTGGTGGTAGTGATGTGGGAGCTGAGCGTGAGCGGTATGATGATCTCCGGCGGAGATTGGAGGGGGAGGTTGCGTCTGCTTCGGGGTTGGAGGGGCAAGGTCAACAGGGTCAACAGGGTCAAGGACAGAGGCAGCGGGGTGGGAATGCCAATGGGAATGCGGATGGAAGTGGTTTGGTGGAGAGGTTGAGAAGGGCTTGGTGAGATGTTGGTTTCTTGTTGTTCTGTCTGTGGCTCTTTGCCATCATTTGGGTGGGATCTATAGATATAGATCACTTCGGCTGGCACGCATAGCCAAGGTATTATCTGCCCATTGGGTTCGAACCAACAGTTAGAAGTGATAATTCTACATCATTCAATTCTCAGCAATGAAAATGCAATGCTCAATCAGAGACAAAAACAGGCCTGCACTAGCAGACAGAATCCATGAATAACCCATATAACGCCCGAGTCTGATGTCTATATCCTTGAATAACCAAATACCTCCAAGTATCGCGTATCCAATATCTACCGTCCATTGCGACTCCGTCTCATGTTCTCCTTACACTCGTTGCAGTACCACTTGACTATACAGTTGTCAGCATCGGATCCGAAGATTGAAGACGCCACACTGGACACATCAACTTACCATTCTTGCCAGGCGGTTTCGTCAGCCCCACGCACGACAGATGGAACCACTCGCGCGGACAAGCATCATTATCGCATGCGACCATCTCGCCGAAGCTGATCTCGTTGCAGTAGCAGTACCGCGGCTCGCCCTCCTCGTCTTCGTCGTCACCCTCGTGCAGAGATTCTTCGTCGGAGGGTATGGCAGGCTGTGCGGGGACAGCACCCTTCTTGTGAGAGCGCTTGGCGGGCGCAGGGTCGGTGCTTCGCGTGGGACGGGAACGTGGCTGGGTGTTCTCGGCCAAGGTGGAGAGCACGGGGGTCGAAGTCTTAGAGGTGCGGCCCTTGGATGTTTCGGCATCGACCGAGTCGGCGGGTCGCGCGTCCAGATCCTCGCGTTTGGAGCCCGCTGCGGCCGATGCTCGCGAAGGAAGCTCGCCTTCGAAATCGCCGCGGTGTACATCGGCGTGGCCGAGTTCGTTTTTGACGGGACCGTCCCGGGGAGTGGATTTGGGTTCTGAGGGTTTGACTGGGTAGGCAAAAAGGTCAGAATTGATGTGAGCGACGGGGAAAGTCGACATACTGGTTGTGGGTTGACCAATGCGGTTGGAGGCCGAGGATGATGGCCGCTGCCGAGAGTTGTTGTTCTGTGCAGAGTTTGGCTGGGTGCGAGATGACTGCGGCCGAGAGGAATTGGGCCCCGGACTGGCAGCACTCCGTGGAGGGTTGAAAGATCCAACCAGGGGCGACGGCGCCATAACGGGCGATGTAGCGTTGGAATTGGCGTTGGTCCTAAAACAATGTCAATGGGATACATCTTCATAGTACGGCAAAGCGAGACATACTTCTTGCGCGCCGCGGCGGCGCCGGAATTGGGAGCGCGGGACCGTTTCTTCTCCACGGCATCCTTGGATGCGACCCGCTGGCTCCCCGCGCCGCTGGTAGTTCGTTCCATTGGTGTAGCCGCGTCCACCGCCAGCGGGCGCTCGACCTTGCGACGTTTGGCTGCGGCGCTTTGATCAGCTGCAGCGTGGTCACCACCACGAGACTTGCTCGCATTGGTCTTGCGGGCACCCGAGCCTCGCCCTTCTTCATAGTCTGCGTCGACATGCGTCCGACGTTGTTTCCGAGCCAAGACAGCCTCACGCCGCGCCTCACTGCGACTGGCAGCTTCGGCTTCGTGGAGCGCATGCGCCAGATCCTGCCTGTGCGACACGGCTTCCCGACGCGGCCGCTCGTTGGTCGCCGCCTTGGCCGTGCTCTTGTTCGAGTAGGCCCAGTGAGTCAGACTACCCAGACGGGCCTCCTCACTGATCTCGCCCGCGATGTATGGAAACACAGTATCCAGCCGGAGAACTTGCCGATCCAGCTCCTCGTTCGCGTTGGAAATCACATGGTTCTTCTCGTCTGCTGTCATCATCAGATCGGAAAGATTCTGTCGCACGCGGTCGAAAAGAAGCCGACGGCTTTTACTCTCGGGCAATTCGAGGGGCTGGGAGAGCTCCTGCAGTAGAAGACAAAGAAAACATTAGTAACCATTCACCAACGCACGAAATTCATTGCAAGTCATCTAAAAGCGACATACCTTGGGCAAAACATCCTCGCGCACAACACCCCCAGCAATGGGCGCCGGGTGAGGTGGGTGAGGGACAGGTCCCGACTCAGAGGCGTACTGAAGAAGCTGCAGCAAATTTTCTTCAAGAGCCCAAGCCTTCGCGTCGACCTCCTTCAGCAAAGAATTATGGCGCCGAAACTCGCGCGGCAGCGCCGTGACAGAGTCGGTGAAATGCGTGAGAGCCGGGTAGAACCCGTGCGGGATAGGGGGCGACGCAGGAATCACAGCCGTCGAGTCTCGACCGAACGCGAACGAGGACCGGCCGATGGTCTTGGAGGTGCGAGACGGGTTCGTCCGCGTCTGCCGGGATGATTGGCGAATTCCCGTGCCCTGGGGCTGGAGGACGGACGAGACGGCGGACATTGTTGGAAAGAAAAAAAAGGTAGGTAGGTAAGTGGAGGTAATAACCCAAGTCAGATTGCACCCGTTAGGAGAGGGTCGGGGGATGTGATGGGGGTGAAATGGAAAGCGTTGAGGGAATCAATGAGATGTAGCGACGGTCTGCCACCACGTACAACACGCAACCCCTCATGGAGCAACCAGAAGACGTTGTGGTAGGAAAAGCAGCCGCCGGGAAGTTCGCGTGCGGAGAAGCGGATCGGATCAGGTGAGTTGACGCCTGTGGAAAGAGGCATGAATTGCTGAGTCACGACTCGTGTGACGTCATCTAGGAACGGCTCACCTGGCAATACACAAACAGACTTGGCTCGAGAGTATACAAGGTTCTATCTACTAGGTAGTAGTAGAATACTGTAGGTAACAAAAAGAATCTAAGAACAATGCAATGCATACATATTCGATTGAACCCCTTGACCAGCGTCAATAAACAAATCTCTGTATTTTACACAGCACGGTGTCTAGTATAGACGCGGCCCTTGTTGCAAGGATCATGGAGCCCAAGATCCCGTCGTATACAATAAGGTCAATAACACAAAACAAAAGAAATCATACAGCAGAAACAAATGTGGTACAAAGAAATTTGGACGCTAGCTCCCAGGAGAACCAATGAACAAATGAAACCGACTTCTGCCGCGAGACTTCCCTTTGCACCTGCATTCAAATCAGAGCCCATATGGACGGGCAATGAATTTACTCGCCCTTGAGGCGCTCCTGGTGGACAGAGAAAGCGTCTTCCAGGAACTCCTGCTCCTCCTTGAGGTGGACGGCCTTGAGACCGCTGGCGACCGAGGCGCTGGGGGCACGACCGGCGTACATGACGTGGCGGCGGTTGTGGTGCTCGGTCGAGTTCAGCAGAGTCTCGATACGGGGCTGGGTGTACGACCAGGCACCGGCGTTCAGAGGCTCCTCCTGGCACCACACGATGTTCTTGGCGTTGGGGTAGCTGTCCAGGTTCTCCTTGAGCTGAGCCCACGGGAAGGGGTGCAGCTGCTCCACGCGAGTGATAGCGGTGTTGCGCAGGCCATTAGCCTCACGGTGCTTGATGAGGGCGGCGTACACCTGGCCAGAGCACAGAATGACACGCTCAATCTTCTCGGGCGCCTCGATGGCAGTGCCGTGAGCAGGGTCAGGAATGATCCACTGGAAGTGCGAGTCATTGGTGAAGTCCTCAAGGTCCGAGCGAGCAATCGGGTGACGCAGCAGGGACTTGGAGAAGAAAATGATCAACGCTGCAAATCATCAGTTAACATGAAGCATTCAATATATGTGGAGGTGATACATACGCTTGCGGAACTGGCGCTGCATCTGGCGACGGAGGATGTGGAACAGGTTGGCAGGAGTGGTCATGCAGGCAATCTGCACGTTGCAGTCCTGGTGCTGGCGATCCAGCTTGTCGGCCGACGGGTAGATGCGAGGCTCCTCGTTGCAAAGCTGCAGCCAGCGCTCCATACGACCGGAAGAGTGCTCAGGACCCTGGCCATCGTAACCGTGAGGCAGCGAGACGACCAGACCAGAACGCTGGAACCACTTGGATTCACCAGAGGCAATGAATTGATCAATGATACACTGAGCGTTGTTGGCAAAGTCACCGAACTGCGCCTCCCACATCACCAGGGCGTTGGGCGAGGTCAGGGAGTAACCATATTCGAAGCCGAGACTATGATAAGATTAGTGTCCATGGTTCTTCGGAGTAAAAGAACAAAAACCATAAACTTACGCGCCGAACTCGCTAAGGGACGAGTTGGAGATGACGAAGCTGCCCTGCTTCTCGCTGATGTGCTGCAGAGGAGTGTAGGTAGCCTCGTTCTCCTGGTCGTGCAGGACGGCGTGACGCTGGGAGAAAGTACCACGCTCGACATCCTGCCCGGAGACACGGACATGGTAGCCCTCGTCGACGAGCGAACCGAAGGCCAGAGCCTCAGCAGTAGCCCAGTCGACGTTCTTTCCCTCATCGACAGTCTTCTTGCGATTGTTCAAGATACGCTTGAGGTTGCGGTGGATGGTGAAGCCCTCAGGAGCATCGCTGACCTTGTCGGCAATGTGTTTCAGCGAGGTGGAGCCCACGGCGGTCGGCAGATGAGGAAGCACCTCGTTGGCCAGCTCCTTGGGGGTCTTGAAGTTGTTCCAGGCGGAAGTCAGCCACTCCTTGCTAGTCGGCTGGTAGTCCTTGCTGCGGTCGAAGCTGTCGTTCAGCATGCCCCAGACCCACTTCTTATGCTCGTCAATGTCCTCCGTGGTGAAGGTGCCCTCTTCAATCAGCTTGGCGATGTACGTGTCCAGCTGAGCCTTCTGGGCGGCAATGCGCTTGTACATCAAGGGCTGGGTGAACGAGGGCTGGTCAGTTTCATTGTGACCCTGCTTACGGTAGCAGACGATGTCAATGACAACATCGCGCTTGAACTCGGCACGCCAGTCAGCGGCGACCTGGCAAACGTAGTTGACCGCCTCCACATCGTCACCGTTCACGTGGAACACGGGAGCATCAATCGACTTGGCAATGTCCGAGCAGTACGGGGTGGAACGGGCAAAGCGAGGGTCGGTGGTGAAACCAATCTGGTTGTTCACGACAATGTGGATAGTACCACCGGTCGAGTAGGCCGGAAGGGAGTGGAAGCCCATGGTCTCATAGACAACACCCTGGGCAGCGAAGGCAGCGTCACCGTGGAGCAGGACACCCATCGCCGTGTTGAAGTGAGACTCATCGTTGTTGTAGTGCTGGATAGCACGGGCCTTACCCAGCACGACCGGGTCCTCAGCCTCAAGATGAGACGGGTTTGCCACCAGAGACAGCTGCACGCGCTTACCCGAGGGGGTAGGGCGCTCAAAGTTCATACCCAGGTGGTACTTAACATCACCCGAGCCCTCATCGGACGGCTCGGTCGAGCCAGCGAACTCACTGAAGATCGACTCATTGGGTTTCCGAACGACATTGGACAGAACGTTGAGACGACCACGGTGGGGCATACCGATGACGATGTCCTTGATGCCGTAGTCCACACTACGATCAATAAGGGCCTTCATACCAGGCACAAGACTTTCACAACCCTCCAGACCGAAACGCTTGTCGTTGGGGAACTTGGTCGCCAGGAAGGACTCGAAGCTGGAACTCCAGATGAGACGGTCGAGGATGCGGCGCTTGTCGTCCACCGAGTACTTGTAGGGCTCAGGGATCTCGAAGCGGTCCCGGATCCACTCGCAGGGCTTGCGGTCAGGGATGTGGATGTACTCCACGCCGTACGAGCCACAGTAGATCTTCTCGCAGGCGGCAATGATCTCGCGCAAGGTCATCTTCTTGCGGCTGTCGGTCACGAAGCGCGGCAAGATACCGGGTCCGAGAGCGAATTCCTCGTCCAAGTCACGCTCGGTGAACCCGTAGTGGTCCAATTCGAGCTCCTTAGGCTTGTCGTAGCCGAACGCCTCGGCCTCACCACGGATGCCGAGAGGGTCGATCTTGGCCTTGTGGTGACCACGGGCCTGGTAGGCGCGCACCAGCAGCTGAACCTTCAGGTGGTTGGTAACGTCGGTGCCAGCGGTGAGGCCTGCACCGGGCATGTCCTGCGGGACACCACCGGTAGGGGTCGGGACGAGGGTAGGTGGCGGCGTGAAAGCCTGAGAGATGGGCATGTTGCCATCCTCCATGTTCTTAAAGTAGGTCTGCCACGAGATGTGGACGCTCGAGGGGTCCTTCTTCCATGCGAGGTACATCTCATCGATGTAGTTGGCAGTGTTGCCCTGGAGGAACGAATCGTTGGGGTCCTGTCCGCCGGGTAAAGAAAAAATCGCGCCGTCGCGTTAGTCGAATGCCCGTTTTTTCTTTTCATGCGGCACCATGAAAACCGGATCGCAAGCGATCATCAAGATTGTTTGTAGCTTACCACTCCCAGGTTCGTACCCTCCGAAGGGGCCGCATAGTGCCTGGCGCCGTTGAATACACGGTCGACGACGGCAAGAGGTCGGCGAGCAGTCATGCTGAAGCCGGAGTGCTTTGAGGCGCTCCGAGCACTCGAAGCCAAGTGAAAGCTTCTCCGACATGTTGAGCAGGTCGCACCGCGCAGCATGCCGCTGTTGGTGGCCTTCAAGGCGGTATTCCTAAACATTGCGGGATTTTTCCGGCGATCAAGGAAGGATCCGATGCAACCGAATCTGTAAAATGGAAAACGGGGAAAGGCTCAAGAGGCCAATTCAGGCGTTCACACGAGTCAGACCAGCTATGCGCCTGGGGGGTCAGCCGATCACTGCCAGGCTGTTTGGCGTCTGCCGAGAGTACCGAGACACGGAGCAAGGGAAAAACGTACAAATCAAATCGAGACAGGTGTCGACTAGTATTGCCGTAGCACCTGTTTGGAAGCGGAACTCATCAGAGAGCAGAAACTCTCTAGATGTTGAAAAGGAGAATAATTAAAGAAAAGGGGAGGAGAAAAAAGTCAGGAGAAGAACTCGCAGGAAGAACAGGGCAAAAGTGAGCTGGGCAACCCGAGAATGACGGTACTGGCGGAATGAGGCTGGTGCGCTGAGTCATCCCAAGTCCACAGCCGACAGCGCCCGGCCCCGCCACACACGCGCCACAACCGGTTAACCCTTTCGGCTGTGCGGGAGAAATCGGCCCAATCGGACTGCCGTGGATTACTATGCGCAAAAAACAGCCAGCTGGTCAATTCCAGAGCAGATAGATGGGATGGTTACAATGACGACCAGAAGTATGATATCTGGTAGATAAGAGCCTATATTCCACATTACTTCCTTTACCGGTTATGGTTTTACTTAGATAGCCGATAAGTACAACAGAACAGAGTGAAATTACTTCTAGGAGTCGAAACATTTTGGTACTATATGGAAACTCTATGTACAGAAAAATCGCTCACAGTACACACAAGATCAAGACACGCCGTAGAAGAAAGCGAAATGGAAAAGATAGAGCAGACACAAATGCGAAAAGAGATTAAGTCCCCGACAGATATTCGTAAAATCGTCAGAAGTAGATAGAGGCATATGCAAAACAGCGAAGGGAACAATTGTATCTGGCCGACAGAAAGGTGCAAATTACAAGACATTATTATGGAGTCGTGCCGGTACGTCGTCTTCCCCGTCGGTGTATGGTGTCGGAGCGCCGATGCCACTCGTCGGGAGATCGGCAGGGCGTCCCGAAGGACTGGTATCCTTCAGTGGGGAGGCAACATGAGGATGGATGTCATCCGGGTGATACCCAACACCAGCCAGTCCCTCATCGGCGCTGAACGGTCTTATATCAGAGACAGTTGGACTGGCCTCGGAAGCGCCTGTGAAACTGCCGCGGTGGGAGGAAGAAAGTGTATGCGGTGGCGGGCTACCGGTACTGCTGCGCAAGCTGCCGTTACTACCGCCCCATGCGCCGCGGCGCAATTTCATCAGTGCGCTCAAGGACATTTCGTCATCCAGATTGCGCATGTCGACCAGCTGAGCCAGCCCTGGACTGGAAAGAGACGGGTTAGAATGAGCGGCATTGTGCGCCTTGAGGGAGATGACCGAGTTGCGATTGCTCCATTCGCTTCGTTCCGTGATCGGGGTCAGGCTGGGCTCTTGGAACTTGCCCCGGCTACTGAAGCTGCGGGAGACGCCCTCAACACCACGCGGGCCAAAGTATCCACCATTGGTGAGCTCAGAAGCGCCGTTGCCGTTTGCCTGCGCATAGAACCCAAACTCTTGACCATAAAACCCGTCGTCGTCGTTTTCGAGGGCTTCGGCATTGGCCGCCGCGACGATCGGATCATCGTAATAGGCATCTTCATTGTCGTCATATATGAGGTCTTCAAAGGCATCTTCGACACCCATCATCTCAGGCGCTTGGCTCAGGAGATTGTCATCTGACACCAGCCCGGGTTGCGAGTCTCCCGTCTGCGAGTGTTGTGTTGCGCTGTCTTGTCCTAGAGATCTGTCGCTAGTGCTGAAAGTGCGATCAAACCGTCCCTGGTTCGCTGCTTCATTCGCTGCAAACGTGAGGGCATTGTGCAAAACCTCAAGGTTTTGCTCCGTTAGAACACCCGCATGAGCCCGGGCAGGTCCCATGTTTGGGATTCGCTCGCCAAGGGGACCACGTTTGACCGAGCCGGCAACCCGGTATTCACTAGCAACGCTGGGCATGTGCTTCAAACCCTGGTTGCCATCGTCTTCCAGCAAGCTGTCTTTTCCTGGTGAAGAATCGCCAACATCGTGAGAGGGCATAGACGCGGCCTGCGTGCCTGCGGGCTTTCGGTCATAGAGATGGCTGGTCTCGTCATCGAAGATGGATTCGTCGAACGTCTCTTCTTGGTCGTTAAAAGTAAGATCGCCGAATTCCCCGTCGTCAAAATATAGGTCATCGTCGACATCGTCGAGGCCCTGTGGCTGTTGCTTGGGAATCGGTGGTATCGGCTCTGGTGCAGTCATCTGCGCAGCGACAGGCGACTGCGACTGATGCGATTTTTGAGTTGAGTGAACCGACAACTGTGTGGCCTCATAATGATAGGAGGGCGGCAGGTCCAAAGCCTTCGTTGGAGGGGCATAGCCAGCGCCCATCACACTGGCATCCCCCGAGACATCTGGTGGTGCAGCAGGGGTGATCGGGCTCGCAACCACAGGCGATAGCCCTGGGACAGCCCATGACTTGATCTCGCCATTAATATCACGAGGAACTGAGAGTGCAGTAAAATCGTCGTCATCGTCAGCATCAACATTGACGCCGGGAATTTTCTCCTCCAGGCCGTCGAGGTCATCTATGATTTCGTGGTCGAATTCATCGTCAAAGTCGTCAAAGTACCCATCTTCCAGCTTGCGTGCGGCTTCTTTCTCCTTATGCTTTTCTTCGAGCAGTTTTTCTTGCACGGAGGATTCCACGCCGTTCATATCAAAACTGAATCGAGAGGCATTACTTTTGAAGCGCTTCGGTAAACCCGAGGGCTGAGGAGGCACATGTGGGATGGTATCTTGATCTTGCGCTTCCGTAGGCGGGCTCGTTTTCGGGGGACTCGGCAGAGGCTTTGCTGCTGGAGGTGGTCCTAGAGGAGCTTCCAGCTCAACAGGCTCAGGGCTCTGTTCCGGGACCCGAGAAGGCAGCTTTCTCGCGAACACAGGCACCGACTGTCCAGACCCAGACTGGGGCGGGTTCGTCAGTAACGGCGATTGGAGATAGCCCTTATTTTCAACCTGCAGCACATTTTGATCATCAAAATGCTCCTTGAACACGGGCGAATGGTCACTGTTTCTTTTATTCTGATCGGCCCAACGGCTCGTCGGGTTTTGAGCTGAATTTTGCGACGGAGATGAGTCCTGTCCATCGGGCGGAGCACCCGGTGGACCAGACACATTTCGGCGAGGCCGTGGCGCTGAAAAGTCATGGACAATATTCCCCCGAATTCTAGGGTCGTAATCGTCGGGGATGGCAGGGACCAGGTTCTGTGCACCGATATTGGCATTATCAGTCCGAGAACCAGTCATCTGGGAGGATCGTCTGCGGGCGAGCAGAGATATCGGGTTCAGAAGATGAAGCATGGCCTTGCCCGGCCGATGATGAGCGTGCTCGGTTGAGACATCGCGATTTTCCGTCCGTCGAGGAGCCGTCGCATCGACCTTGACAAACTCCCTCTGTGGCATGGTATTTTTGTCCGCCGGCGAGTCTTCCGGTGAAGTTCGGAATCGAAAGTGACCTGCAGTCGGCGAGCGCTTCTGGTTCTCGGTGGACGGAGTCTGCAGGTTCCGTAACCCCTTGCCAAAGGACCGTCGGAAAGGCGAACTTGGCTTTGAATCTGGCTCTCCATCTCCCTGATCAGACCGCAAAGCGGTGATCGACAGTTGTGAATTATTCGACTGCGATGTAAAGGCCGGTTCTCCATCGTGCTCTCCAGGACTCGAATGTGGACGATTGTCTTTCTCCACCGATGGGGAGGGAACGGCGAGGCTGACTGAAGAGGAGAGTGGTACAGTGAACGAGTTGATGTTCATCTTGGAGACATCGTTCTCCAGCGGCGACTCACTCGAGGGCGGGGCATCGTGCAAGGGGCTATCGTCGAAGGTCGAAGCGAGGGTCGGGGTGTCGGGGATTGCAGGAAGTTGAGGAGGACTGGTGCCAGGGCTTCCATTTACCCCCTTCCAGGATGTAGATGGTGCGGATAAGGGAGCCGGCGCCGCTGAACGGCGATGATCTCGGCGCCAGTAGGAAAAGACGGTGGACGGGGGCATGGTGGCAGCTGGTGTGAGCCCCCTTCACAGCACCCGTATGAGTAGGAGTGGTTTTCAGACAACGTGAAGGTCCATTGCGATCGATCTTAAGTGCTGAGGGGCCACAAAGTCGACGGGGAGGCCATGCTATGTCTCACATACCAGAGACAACAGACCCGTGGGGCTTGCAGGAACCGCTCGGTTCTAGCTCCTGGCTTGGAGAAAAAGGCTGATGCCTAGGGGCAATTAAGAATAATATATATGATATTCCTGCACGGAGGGGAGATAAGCAGGTGAGTCAAAGCGAACTAAAGAAGTGAACAGGAAAGAAAAAAAAAAAGGATGCACCATCCCCGGGAGACGTAATCCGCAGCTGCGCTGCGCCAATCGAAGCTTGGTGCCGTGCACGGCAGATGGCCGAGATTTCAACATTCCGGGGCAAGGTTGGATATGTTGGGTATAGAAATAAATAGAGATCAGTTGAATAAGATATTAAAATCAGGAAAATAAAATAAAATAAAGCAAGACAGGCATACAAGAAAAGTCCCGAATTCAATCAGTCGTTTCTATAGATCATACAAGGAATTGCGCTATTCTACATGGATATCCTTCAAAAATGACACGCTCAAGCTAACAATGCTAATGTGAAGACCAAAAAGGGAAGGCAAAGAAAGGAAAGGGAAAATCATAACAATAAGAAAAAGAACAGATGGTTGGAATAGAGTCCTAGCGGATGCTCTGTCTCCAGCGGTCGATCACGTCCCGTTGGCCCTGTTGAATAGGTTGTCTTGCTGTGTTCAAACAACTATTGGGCATGGCATATGCCATGCCACCCATGGCCATCATCGGGTTGTTATAGGGAGGAGCAGTCGGGTACACCCCTCCGTAGCCATAGGGTTGTGGCATCGGGTATCCCATTTGGCCCATGGGCGGGAATTGCTGCATTGACATTCGATTCCCATAGGGTGGAGTCATGGCAGGGTGTTGTAGCACATCATCGTGCGAGGCTTTTCGAGCCAGACGGGTCGAAGGTCCTTGCGATAGGGCCGCCATGCTTCTGCGCACCCGCGGATTCTTTGGGTTTCCGCACCGAGTATTGCCCTCCTTCTGAAGCCGATTGCGTCGTTGAGCGAGAGTCTCATTTTCATTGACCTCTTCGTTGCCTTTGGGGGCAATACCAGCCCGGCTATCGAATTCAGCCATAAGGTCATGGGCGAAATCGCTTTCTGCCGGGTCCTGTCCCCTGAGACGTTTCAGGCGCTCGGCCAGGGTTTCAATCTCATCGCCGCTCTCAGCCACTGGCTCAGGCACATGAGTTGGAGGCATAGTCGTGGGACGCTTCTGTGGCTGAGGAAGTGGCTCGCCCCGGAGTCTGGCCCGGCGTGCGCTCAATGGCTCATTTTCTTCCTGTTGTCGTTTCTCCATCAGTCCCAGTGGCCGGTCCTCATCGTCTGCATTGGTCTTGTCAGGGTACAGCATGGCCAGAGGGATATCATCATCATCATCCACCGCATCGCGGCCTTCCCAGGCCAGTGTAACAGGCCGTTGCCGCCGTTTCTCGCTCTGCTTTTGAGCCATTGCATCCAATTCCAGCAAGGTAGCATGCGTTGCCTGTGCCTGAGATGGCATAGGGAGTGCGGTGCGACGCCGCTGCTTAAGCTCTTGCTTTCGCAACTGCAATTCCGCCAAGAGCGTATTCGGGGGTCCCACGTAATCTGGTTCCTCATTCTCCTCTTCCTCGGAAGTTTCATCGCTTTCGGAACCGCTGTCGCTGTGTCGCTCATGGTGATCATCGTCAACTGGGCTGGGATCGTCTTCAGCTTGCCGCAATACATGACTTGAACGGACCGAATCTCCGCTGCTATCCACACTATCGGTGCGATCGTGGCCTATCTTGCCTGGCTTGTGTCCCGCAGGATTCTTGGAAAGAACTCTGCGCTTCGACTTAGTATACACGTACGAACCAACGTGCCCGGCGTAGGGGTGATCAGTAAAAGCCGAAACAGGCGCAGTAGCCGAAGCATCCAGGATACTCTCAAGGGTTTCAACGGCTGAATCGTGCTTAATTTCGACATCGAGTGACGCGGTAGGCTGATCAAAGAAAACACTTGCGCGAAGTTGTGGTGGCATCGTAGACTGACGCTTGTCATTCTGGCTACTGCCGGGCTGTTCTTGATCCGATGTAGCAGGCCATGCCGCGGAGTTTCTCTTTTCGGCCAGACTCGGATCCAGGATCTGCGTGCGGCGCTTGTCTCGACCTGTGTTCGCTTTGCGCGACAGTTTGGGTGGCAGGTTCAACATACGCGGGACCGGAGCGGGATAATACACCATGCTCTCACCCGTCTGGGGCTCCTTGTATGATTCTGGCTTGCTGGCCAGAGGCGGTCGACTTAGAGAGACCTGGCGCCCGGAATCAGCCCGCTCCAGAGGCGTGAAGTGGACGCCATCAAAGTTGGTGAACAGCGTCTGGGCTTGCTGGTACGTATCGGTCGACGCGGCCGTGGAGGGCCGGTCGATCGCCGCGATCACATGCGGATCATAGGTATCAAAATAAATCTCATTGTTTTGGGTAGGGACCGGTGGCGGTGGAGGGGGAGAACGGGCATCGTGTCGGAGAATCGATCCAGAACGTGACCATGTTCATCGGGCTCCGAGAGCTGGGCGAGACGAGATCCCGACACAGAACGCTGACGTGTGCCAGACAGAATCGAGCCATGCGCAGATGAGATCGTGCCCGTCGGCGAGAACGCACCATTTCGGACATGAAACGAATTGGAAGCTGAGCTGCACGAGCGCCTCTTCTGTTCCTGGTTCATTCGCCGAATCTCGCTTCCAATGTCTGCCGAGCTGGAGCTCAGGCGCTCCGCACTCTGCTCCAACCTCTCTACATTTCCAGTATAGGCACCTTGGATCGACTGCAGGTCTGGAATGGGGTGGCTGAGGGGGACGGGGACGTCACTCGAGGCACTGCGCAGGGGTGGTTGCGGGGATTCATGTCGCGCGACCGCGGTATTGAGTAGAGGAATGCGGCGGAGACTGTTCGCACGATCGTCGGCGGAAGGATCGACATCGTAGTCATCGTCCTCCACCACGTCGTAACTGGAGGCCGTCATGGAGCGAATCATCGAGCCCCCCAAGCCAGGAGATTCGGTCGTTTTGGCCGACTCTATGTCGCCTCCGAGATGGTCGGGATCCAGGGGCAGCCGCTGAAAGGCATGACCATGGGCGGGGGACGGGTTGCGAGAGGTGTCGGAGTGGGAGGAATCGGAGGCCACTTCATCGACCTGAGCGACGGCGTTGTACGCCATAATATATGCGTGGTCACCGGCTATCCATTCAGACCGGGTCGGATTGGCAAGTTCTTAGACAAAGGGGGTGACTCGGGGACAGGGGTCGGGAAATGACACAAAGAGGGTGCGATCAGAAAGCGAACCAGGGACGCGAGATGGAAGAGTGAAGAGATGAGGAATCGGGCTGGGGGGTGTCGCATGTGTGCTACGTCTCCGGGCTAATTTTGGGGCAAAAAAAATTGGAGGAATGTCTGGCTTTTATTTTTGGGGGGTTCGAAAACAAGGCAGCTAGCGTCTTGATTCTTCAAATAATCTGTACTAGGCTGAGTTACTACTGTACCATAACTACTACTCTATTTACTCTCATCCTCTTACCTACAGTAGTATCTCCCTAAGTATCTAGTAAGTCTAGTAAGTCTAGTATATCTAGTGTATTGTTGCGCTCTGAATTTAATCGATTGTCAACCCTCGTTCCTCAGGCTCCACTTGTTCTAGGCCTTCCCCAGCTTCTCTCTTATTTTCGATAGATATTCACCCTATCCTTAGCGAGTCCTCCCCTCCATCTGCATTATCCTCGAACCAGAGGGCTTCTATATCTAGTAAAGTCTCCCCCTCATTTCGACCGTAGTAAATCGGGGGAAACTCGTCATCATACCTTGATCAACCTTGGAAGAGTGACAATTCTACGCCAATGACGCAATGTCGCGTTGGTCAATTGCGTGAAATGAGCAAGCCAAGACCACGTCTACGTAGACGAGGGATTTGTACCAACCATATCTTCTTCGGATATTGCTCTCACGAGGCAAATGATATGGCAGGCGGTCTTGTGTTGTCTTGTAATCCCGTCATTAGCTGGTTTTAGCATGGTACGAGTAGACAGGATCGAATTAGCAACATAAGTCACATATCTATCCATTTCCAAGGGTAGCAGTCAAGTATATACTTGAATTCCACCAGAAACCCTAAAACTCGTACATCACCCGAAAAAATTGCTTCTTGGATGTTTCTTTCACTGGTAACCTCTCGAATCCTTTTATTTTCAGACGATTCAAATCATACCATCCAAGCATCGGTTGTAAATCCAAAGTGACAGGAAAGTCCATTTCTGGTTCGCGCAGGCACGTGATCGCGCGCCGTGAAGAGACGCGCCGCACCGACCACACTCCCCAGCATCGACGACTCGAGCAGAGATCGCGATTTCTCCAATGTGTCAACATGTCATACTATGATATTGACTCCATATTGACTGATGCCCAGGTAAACTTGAACCCGATGATGGCCGACCGCTAGACCTGGGAAAATCACCAGCTAACACCGTCGATCCAGAAACTGCCCTGTACATTCGAGCTCGAAGTACCTGGACTGGGCATCTTGGAGGGCAATCCTGGCGAGGATGTATGATGTGTACCAGAGTCATTTGACTAATGCGCTGACCACTCCTAGATCAAACCCGGAACCCGGATCGATCTGCCATTATGGCTGGGTGAAATGCTCTCAATTGGGTAAGACCCATCCCCACGCTGCTCATGGCTAGATGGCATCTTGGTCTTTTGGTCTCCCTCTAATACCGCGTGGGGTATCCTAGAGCACGACTGGGAACATCCCGTCTGGTCACCCTCGACATGCCCGATGCCTTGTCGGAGCGGGTCATGAATGCGCTCAAAGCAGAACCCCGCACCGTTGACCTGCGCGCGCTGGCCGCGCACTTCTACAGTCTGAGTGAACGGGTTCTCGAATTGTTTGAAGAGGAAGAAATGGTGGATGTCCTCAGCGAGGTATGTTATTGATGTCCTGGCTTGCTCTATCCAATTGACTTACGAAACACGGTCGCAACTGGAGACCTTCAAGCGACGAGCAGCAGAAATTGCGGACCAGGCGCATAATCCGCGTGGTGCTGTGGGCGAGGGCGTTGAGTTCCTTCGGGGACTGGACGAAACCGAACGGCAATGTATGTGGACTACTTGACCCTGCATATCTGTCAATTGTGGCGACTAATAACTGCGAACAGTATTCCGCGCCGCTCATGACCGAGCGAAAGAAATGCGGATCTGGTCGGGCGAGGCGAAAAGAAAATAAAGGGCTGAGCTGAGAAAAGGTCAACTAAATACTAATTATTCTATGATTTGATTCCTTTTGAACACCCAATATGGATTACTCCAACGGGGAAAGGGTTCCAAGGGTGTGTGACGTGGACTTGATAGAGGACATGCGATGTGTAACAATCTCTATGTGCTAAGATAACCATGTGGGGACAGTTCATCCATGGATCCGGATTGTGTGGTTTGTGTAGATTATATAACATATAACATATAAACTATGAATTACAGAAATTAGAGAGGTTAGAGAGATTCAGGAGGTGATCCATAATATGAGAAGATCCATCACATCACAGCTGGGCCCTCTCCCAGCGCAAGGGAACTTGAGACGGTTTGACTCCACGGGGAACATCCGATTGGCGTGGATTGAATGTCAGGAACACACTGGAACCCGATCGTCAGTGCGAAGGAGCCTATCGAATTTAGTGTCCACGCTGGGAGCAAAAATTTGAGGTTTAGGGGAGAGACAGTGAGACAGAGACAGAGACATCCCTTTCATTCTTCCCTTCCATTCCACGTCGGTGCGACAACTCGAAGTGGATCTATACTCTCTTTGATTTTATTTTGCATGCCTTTTCTCTTTTTTTGTCTCTAGTCTCGCTAGTCTCGCTAGTCTCTCTTTTCTTCTTGACTCTGAGATTGACTCGTCACACCCGTCGTCCCCGCGGTTCTCTTGCTTCTCTCTGCCTCTTCGCGACACTAGTGACTGCCACCCCCCCCCCACAGCATCTGATTGTTCCCCTTTCATGATCCCTCGCGTCGTACAGCGCACTCCACAAGATCGTCTCCGATACATTGTTCGAGCCAACCGCCAATTGGAAGTGTCGCAGACCCATTGATTTTATTTTCCGATGCTGCGGAATCGCATTAGCGCAAGTTGCGGCCGCGAACGCTGACTTTCCCGGCCCTAACCCGGTGATTTTCATCGCGTCAAGTATGCGCATGAACAGAGATGGATGCAGCCATGATGGATAGGAAAACTCAAAAACGAAGCTCGGGCCCGTCGCAGCCGGCTGCGCACTCTCGAAGCCCCGTATATCATACCGCCACTGCTCCCTCTCGCAGTGTGTCCTCCAAACGCCATCCCAGCCGTGAGTTCGATCCTCCCCTCCCTTTGAGTTGAAACTCTCAAGCTGTTCGGTCAGGCTGACTTCTCACACATGCTTTCCAGACTCTTCAGACCGTCCGCAACACCCGTCCCTTTCCCGTGTCAAGGGCCGAGCCAATATGTATACGCCACCACGGACCACCGCCGAACTTTCATGGCTGAGGGACCAGTCCCCGAGCAAGGATGCCACAAAGACTCCTCCTCGAGCATGCAGTATGCATTCCTCCAGGTGCTAGCCAAGCAACCCGCAATCAAACGAATACCCAGATGCTGATATTTGGCGTGTGAATAGAAACCCCGGATCAAGGCACCCCTACACAGGTGAACCCTGCCTCGGCTCTTCTACAAGATTTGTTGAAGGAACAGCGTGCACACCGGAGCTCCCGAGGCCCCGTGCCAGAAAGTTGGGACGATAATGGCCCACGGACACCGGATGCTCCTCGGGTGCAGGAAGAGACAGCTTCGGAAAAAGCGCGCAAGGTCAACGATGTCTTCTCAGCTGGACTGAGACAACCCAAGGAAATGGCAATGCGAGAAATGGATCAGGTACGCTTGACGGATACAACAAAGAAACAAGCCCCCAAACTTATCTGGCTGGCAGTACGTTTCCAAAATCAATAAGCTCAACTTCGACTTGAAGCTCGAGATCTTCCACCGCACACAGCAGATGAGTGCGCTCGAGAAAAAGCTGGTGCGCATGCAAGAAATGGAGGAAGAACTTGAACGAATGCACCGACTAGAAGATGAAGTCGACGAACTGCGGGCTGCGGAGAGGAAGAACCAGGGTCTTCAGGAATCCAACACTCAGCTCCACCGGGAGCTTGACAAGCGAGATCAAGCAGTCACCGAGGCTGTGGAGCTGATTTGCCAACTCGAGGGCAAAATCGAGCAGTTGGAAACTGGTGGACGCACGTCGCAAATGTCCATAAAACCCGAGACCGTCGATGGCTCGAATGTCGCGACCCCGAAAGCCCTTTCTGCTATCGATATTCCAGAAAGAACCTCGTCTAAGCGCGATCAGAGTCTCAAGGCCCAGTCTGCTCGCCAGCGATCTTCTGAACTGCGGCGACTGGCGAAGGGGCCGTCGTTTTTGCGGGCCAACAATCACAGCACCGCAACTTTACGAAGCCTCTACTCCCCGGAGATGAATCAGTCGCGCACGGCATTGACTGAGCTGACCAAGTCCGAGAGCTTCAACACAATGAGTGAGGTTTTGGAACCTGAGTCACCTAGACTGAGTGTCCTCAGCGAGTGCAGCGAGCTGCATCCGTACGAGAACAGTACCAGATGGAACTCATTCGACAAATTGGAGATACCAGTCCGGAAAGCACCGTCTACTACGGGTAGTTTGGACAGCTACGTGCCTCCGGCTGAACAAGAGGAGAGCAAGGGAGATCAAATTGATAAGTGGATGCAGCCACGACCAGATATGTCCGAGACGGTCATCATGAGACGACGGAATCGAGCACACTCAGATGCCTCGCAGACCGGCGCCCCGGATCTCATTCACGATTTGTATTCGGGCAAGCCCCGTGGGCGGCCGCGGCTTGATGCTTCCCTCTTCGGGGGCGCAAGGCTCCCTCCCACGCCCGATACGATGAGCACGGCGCATGTCGCAGCAACGAATGGCTCCAACGGGAGCATTGCAGCCCGAAGAAGCCCACCACCGGATCAAGATCCGTGGTTCCCGGGTCGACGGCTGGACCGTCGTCGCTCCGCCGACGAGCTCACTACTCGGCGCAGCTTCAATGGCAGTGAAATCACCGACAGCATGCAGACCAACTGCAGTGACACACCGCGTCTTGGAACGACGACCGCCGAGTCCCCTACTATCTACCCTTTTAACACCGTCGCCTCCAAAGCCAGTGAACTTCTGGGGCCTGGAAGTCCCAACAACCCTGTCATCGACTCTTTCGATGTCTTCCATGATGCACAGGAGGAAGTGGACTCTTCGAGTGTCAATCGGAGCCACAGCCCCCGAAAGGCCATGACTCCCGAGCCGCGGTCAATGGGCTACGACTCATCCCCGCCGCTCACGCCCCAGGACTGGCTGGCAGCTGCAAAGCAAGGACCCCGGTCTCGCAAAGAACGAGCTCCTACGACGCAGAAGGAGGAGTTGCCCATGGCAGAGCCGCCGCGTGTCCTCAGCCAAGCTGCATTCCACGATGATCGTAGCATCGACTCATACCCTACCGCTGAGGCCGAAGTCCCAGGGATCCCGACCCTGGATATGGCCGATCTCGACCTACTGGAGCAGCCCCCGGTTGGACCTATAGCGACATCTAAGCTTGAACCAGAGCCCGAGCCCGAGCCCGAACCCCGTCGACGTCTTAGCTTCCGGCCACCTTTCTTCGGCCGCTCAAGCAACGCCTCCCGCCGTCTCCAGTCCTCGCCCATGATATCCGAATTCCCGGACGATGACGAGGACGGTGCCCCGTCTCCCATTATCCCCAAGACCAGAAACATAGGCGGGGCCTCGCGGCGTCCCACATCCCAGATCATCGCCGATTCCCCCGACCTGTACTCGTCCAGTCTCCCACCCGCTTGCGACGGCTTTGGCGGCAATTTTGGGACCGGCTTGCCTCCGTCTTTCAGGACATCGGTCATGGCCGCGCACTCTGGCTCCACCACTATCTCTGCGCGCCCGTCGACCTCCCACAGCGCGGACCACAAACGCCGCAGCTCCCTTGGGATCTTCAGCTGGGTCAAGGGAGTCAGTGGGAAGCTTTCGGACTCTCCTGGCGCCACCACTGCCAAAGAGCCGCGGACCTCGTCACGTCTCGCTTTCGAGGATGGCTTTGGTATTGCCCGAGCCTCTACACCCGAGTCCATGGATGTCCCCGTTGTTCGTCCCCATTCGGAGATGACAGTCCGCAATGAGGACCATGCTCGCGTACCCCGGTATATGGGACGACGAGCTCGCAGGGCTTGATCTCCTCTCCCCACCCCCCCCCCTTATTTTTCTTTCGTTGTTCTTTTCGACTCATTCCTGCGCCCCCCCTCTTCCGTTCTCACTCCATGTATTATATCATACCCACGGGCCTGCCGTGTTTCACCAGCGGAGATGGTAGTATTGCTAGTATACCCCGTGTTCTTCTTTTTCTTTTTATTGGCTGTTAAACGTTCAGCCTTGCAACGGTTATATATATATATATATATACACATGTGTCCCTCGAAATCCTGGATGAATGATGTTTCACATTGCAATCTTGATTCGTTTTCTCTTGCTGTTGTTTCTGGGCCATGCAATTGCACCTGAACGTCAAAGAGATGGCGAATATTTGATTGCAATTGTTTTCAGGTGGTTTTCCTGCTGGCTCAGGGAGCTTCTGATTTTTTTTTCTTTTTGATTTTCCCTGGATTTTTTTTTGGATCTACTGGGTGGTTGGCACTTGTTTTCTTGTTTGAAGCGACGAGGGAGGTAATCTGAATTAAGTAGTTTCATCTATATTGTTTTCTTTTCATTTTTAAACCCTTCCATAGCCTCGAGTCCATTCTCAAACACCAAACTAGATTGAAAAATAAAAGAAAGGGAAAGAATCGCTTTTTCAGACAAATTACCCCACGCTCCAAATTCCCTTTTCGCCTTGAAAAAAGAACATAGAACAGATATATTATCGTACATAAGTTGCAAAACAATCCATATTTGCCATCGAAGTAAATAGGCCATTTTGCTTCCCCCTTGGGCTTGACCACGGGCACCATCTTGAGTATTGGGGAGTGTTGGAGGCCGCGGAGGTGGTAACGGCCCAGTGGCAGGTTTCATCCTCCCGAGGGCAGAGTCAGAAGTCGGTGTTATTGCGGCGAGGGGATAGGGGCATCGATGAGTCCCACCTTTTCTAGTCCTGGAGCCCTGCGACTGAGATCGAGTGGGTGATGGGGTGGTGGTATGGTATTGATTCACGGGCCGCTGGATTCAAGCCAGGGAGTTTGTAGCAAGAATGTGTCTCGTGAAATAGTCTTGAGCACACCCAAACCCTTAATACCAATCATGACCCTTTTCGCCCTGCTTCTTCTGCTTGGGATTCATGGAAATGATGCGCTGGCCCGGGAGCGCATCCGCAGTGAAGGCAGCCTCAAAGATACTGGCGATGGCGCGCTTCTCATAGTGTTGAAACGAGTCGTAGTCGTCGCGCTGGCCGTTGACAGCGCCCCATTCGATGGTGTTGGGCGTGGTACCATCGCCGAGGTCTGTCCAGCGGGTAACGACAATAGCCTGCCTGAACTGAAGATTGCGCGGGTCGCTGCGGTCCTCGGTAAGCTTGACCTCGATCAGGTATTCGGAGGGACATTCGGGACAGCGGCGCATCGGGCGACAGAAGCCACAGAGCGTGGTCAGCGCGTTGGGGTCATGTTGGCGCCCGGCCCAGCGGTCTTTGACCTTGTGCTCCACGGCTTGGAGCCCGCCGTTGTCGCGGGCCTTGGGGATGTGGTTCAGTGCACACTTGCACGCGGGCATCAGCTCGCCGTCGCGCCAGTGTGCGCAGGCCGAGAAGAACGGCCAGTAGTCCTCCCGCGAGTGGAGAAGCAGCCGCTGGGACGATGGCGGGAGACCTGCCGGCGCAAAGGTCTGGCTTGTTACCCGCATCAGTAGCCGGCCGTCGTGGACGAGGTATCGCGAGCTGTGCGACCAGTCGTCGCGTTGCCAGCGCCGTGCCAGCGAGTCCACCGAGATCCCATAGTGAGGACCGAAGCGATGGGCGCGCATCGCGAGCTGGACAAATGAGAAGGGGAGCGTGCGGCCGTGGGTGATGCGGTGGCGCGGCGGAGGGTTGAGCATGTTCTGCGCATTGGGGCAGTTGAAGAGCGGGTTGATGACATGCGACGGTTTGAGTCGTTCAGTTCCTTCCTGAGTGCGTCGGTGGTACCGCCCGCACGGGAAACACAGGAGATGCCGGGGTAGATCGCGGTCGATCCCCGCGAGGAAGTCCATTTTATAGTCATAGTTCGCCGGGTGATCCAGCACCATAAAGTAATTGAATCCCAACCGTCGATAGAGGGTGATGCTGGCAAGCGATAAGCTAGCTGCATCAGCCGGGCTCAGGAACCATGCAATATAGGCCCACAGCCGCCGCGGCAGCTTGGCAATATCGCCCTCTCCAGGCTCACGGTTCTCATTGTCTTCTTCCACCGGCCCGGAGTTGTCCATTGGGTCCAGGAGACCCAAAGAATGGATCATAGTCGTATAGTCGCGGCGCTCACCCAATTGAGTATCAACCTGCGAGTGCATTTGCTTGTATTTGAGCCGGTGGGCTTGCAATGGAGCGGGATCTGGCAGTGGCTTGTTGAGATCAGGACCTGGGGGCAGCGGCACCTCAGTGGTGGACCGGCTGCCCTTCCGGAGGACCTGCCGGGATTTCTTAGGGCGCAAGGCATTGCTGAACTTGGACTTGAAGCCCTGCTTCTGGCCGGGGCTTTCTGCCGACATGGTGAGTTGGTCGGAAGATAATCCTGGCAGAAGATCCAGCTGGTCGCAAGGTGACATGCTTACAGTACGTGACACGGCCCAGGACCCGCGGCGATCCGGGTGAGCCACACTGTGGCTGAAGCTTGGCTTTGCTGCCTTTTCTTTCGAATATAGAAAATAACATAGTAGATGTAGACACTGAACACACGTTTATTCGCTTGCTACAGTACACGGGAACTAGATGGTGCCACATGGCGGGATATACAGACGCCACAACGCTTTACTTTACGAGAAGCGCTTCTCCACCTGCTTCCAGTTGATAACGTCCCAGATGGCCTTGAAGTATTCGGCCTTGCGGTTCTGGTATTGGAGGCTAAATGGGTGTTAGTATATGTCATGACAAGAATACAATTGAGGGTCCTTACTAGTAGGCGTGCTCCCAGGCGTCAATGCCGAGAAGAGGGACGTATTGGCCGACGACAGGGTCCTGGTTCTGCATAGGGTATTAGCAGCTGCAACTGACCACTATTTTACAGTGACTCATGACTTACGGCGTAGGTGCGGATGCCAATCTGGCCGGTCTGCTTGTCCTTGACCAGCCAAGCCCATCCGCTGCCCTGGATGCCGGCCAGAGCGGCGTTCATCTTGTTCTTGAACTCGTCGAGGCTGCCGTAGGTGGTGTTGATGGCCTGCGACAGGGCTCCAGACGGGGGCTCACCACCACCGGCACTCGAGGGGGCCAAGTTCTCCCAGAAGAGGGAGTGGTTTAGATGACCACCACCGTTGAAGTTGATGGCGGGCTTGAGGGCAATCTGGGCCGAGATGTCACCCTTGTGCTGCGCCTCCTGGAGCTGCTCAACAGCGTTGTTGTAGTTGGTGACATAGGTGTTGTGGTGGTTCTTGTGGTGCAGCTCCATGATCTTGCCAGAGATCGAGGGTTCCAGTGCGCCATAGTCGTCTTATTGGCATTGTTAGTTGTGTTCACGCATCTTGGGCCCAAAATTCATTCAGAGACCACAAGAAGAGCCAGAAAGGCCGGACTTACAAGACAGGTCGGGGAGAGTGGCCTTGCCGCGGGCAAAAGTCAAGCCCGCAGCGCCGGCCTTGGAAGTAGCCGAAGCTCCCGAGCGGAGAGCAACACGGGCCGAAGTGCAGAGGAGAGAAGCCATTGTGAATGTTCGAGAATTATGTAGTATAAGTGGTGACAGTAAGAGGTAGTGTCAATGACCAGGCTGAGAGGGAGAAAGAGAAGAAAAGGGAGGAGAAGAGCGATGAAGTAACCGACCTAACGTCATCTTGTTTTCGCCCGGGTGCGGGTTCTTCCGCCCCGACACGTGAAATCGAGCTTGCGAGCTGCGGAAAAGTTGCTTATTGCACAACTGGCGCTTTTTGGCATCGGGCCTACGTGGATGACGAGACACCATGGAGTCTCCTTCGTCCTCGTCCTTTGCTGGCCAGAAGCGCAAAGTTGTCGACATGAGCTCCGACGAAGATGCCCGTCCAAGCGCCGGCTTTCGGGGTTTCGCACGAGCTTCCTCCCGGTCCGAATCGCCCCCGTCGATGGGTGGGCTAGGAAGCGCAGCCCACAACCCGTGGAATAACATGGCCAACCCCGCGACGGCACCCCCTCGAGGTGGTACGCCTTCCCGAGGGGGCAAGGGAGGAAATTCATTTGCATCGCGCATGATGGCAAAGATGGGCTACGTCGAAGGACAAGGTCTAGGATCTACTGGCCAGGGTATTGTTAATCCGATTGAGGCGCAGGCACGGCCGCAGGGTGCGGGCTTGGGAGCAGTGCGCGAGAAGACCAAGCAGGCTCGCGAGGAAGAACGACGAGATGCCGCGCGACGAGGCGAAACCCTGGAAGACAGCTCAGACGAGGAGCGGCGACGGCGACGAAAGAAGAAGGAGGAGCGCAAAACGGAGAGTCGCAGCGGGACCGGTACACCTATTGCGCGCACCAAGCCTCAATTCCGGACGGCACGAGAGATGGAAACGGATATGGAAGGCCTCGAGGTACCCAACGTGCTCAAATCTCTTATCGATGCTACGGGGAAGGAGCAGCGTGTCCTTACTTCGACAGCTGGGTTGATGACTCCGCAAGAGTTTGTTAGCCAAGAGGATGGAGAGGCCCTCAAGATTGCCCGGCGGGCTCGGCATGACCTGGAGGCTTTTGCGGACGAATGGAAGGGTTTGGCCGAAAGGAAAAGTTATATCGAGCTCGAAGAAGCTCAGGTGGTGGACGAGCTAGATGCATATCAGTCCCGGGTCGATCATCTTACGGGATTGATTGCTGCCGTGGAAGAGTTGGACATTTTCGAACACGATGAGAACATTGCGGCCAAATTTGACGAAATGACCGGCAAACTAGAAGCTATGGAATCCAAGTACCGTGATTTTATGGATGAGTACCGGCTGGCGGAGACAGCAGTTGCCGCTATACATCCGCTGTTTCGCCAGGCTATGGAGGAGTGGGAACCTCTCCAGGATCCCATGTTCCTTGTGCCTCAGCTTCGTCGCCTCCAGCCTCTTCTCTCTCGCAGGACCGAGGGCGAGGAGTCCCGGCAGCGGCAGTCCACGACACCCTACGAAACGATGATCTACACGCTATGGCTCCCACGGATACGCTCGGCGCTCCTTAATGATTGGGACGTCTACGACCCGTCTTCCGCCACATCGCTGATCGTGGCATGGAAAGCGCTTGTCCCACCGTTTGTCTACGCCAACGTTATCGACCAACTGGTGGTCACGAAGCTCAGTGGAGCTCTCAAGAACTGGAAGCCTCGGAGCAGCCGAAGACACCCCAGTGAGCAAGACGGGCGATTCCCATGGTGGCTTTTCACATGGCTGCAATACTTGGACGAACGGCATACCAACCCCAAGCAACCCACTGGTCTCATGTCCGATGCGAAAAGAAAGTTCCGTGTGGTGCTAGATTCGTGGAGTTTGCGTCGGGGACTGATCAACGGGATCGAACTCTGGCGGGACGCGCTAGGGTCCGAGTTTGATGTGTGCCTGCGCAACCATCTACTTCCGCGTCTGGCACGTCACTTCCGCGAGGACTTTTCCGTGAACCCTCAGGACCAAGACCTGACTGCCTTTGAAGATGTCCTTCGCTGGAAAGACTTCTTCCAGCCCAACGTGATGGGCTTGCTCTTGGTTTCTGAGTTCTTCCCTAAGTGGCACGAAATTCTACACATTTGGTTGACCAATGACCCCAACTACGAAGAGGTCGGCGCATGGTTCTCGTGGTGGCGGACCCAGGTCCCGGCCGAGCTGAACGAGCTCACCATTGTCGACGACGAATGGAAGAAGGGCCTACAGACTATGGACCTTGCCTCCCAGCTGGGAGAGCGTGCTGCTGCCGAACTGCCCCCGCCTACTTCGGCGCGGCCCGCACTTCCAACGCGCGCAGAGGCCGTGGCCGGTGCGGCCGCTGCATCCACCGCACCTCAGACGAAAGCGCCGATTGTGGAGGAGGTCGCTTTCAAGGATATTCTGGAGGGCTGGTGTGTGGAGCAGGGACTCATTCTGCTGCCCCTGCGCGAAGCTCACCCGCACAATGGCCAGCCGCTGTTCCGTATCACCGCCAGCGCAACCGGCAGGGGTGGCGTGGTGGCCTTTATTCAGGGAGATGTAGTTTGGGTACAAAACAAAAAGGCCAAGGACATATGGGAGCCGATGGGCCTGGAGGATCAACTAGTCGAACGGGCAGAACGGTGACGGGCCGAACACGAGCTGTCCCAATGTGACTGATTATTATGATTATTATGATTTCCATTACTTAACAGCGATGAATAATGCGTTTCTATTCTCCGATGATCCTTCCCATGTCTCTTGGGGCGGAGGGGCGTTCTCTGGTCTTGGCACCGCGACATGCCCCACGACCTCCTTTTGCGTCCCTTGGAATCGTCAAGATGGGTGAGTCCCGGATGCTTTGGCAGATGCTCGCGCTGACTCGCTTTGAAGTGATCCATCTCTCAATATACCCCAATCCTCTTCGGGGGAGACAAGAGAAAAAGAAAGCACAGCACGCACAAGGCAGACACTCGGCCCCCAACATACCCACCTACGATCGCCATCACTTGTGGGAGACTGGCGTATCAAAATCCCCAGGTCCCGTGGCGAGGTCCACTCGCAACTGATGAGCCGTCGTCCTTCTCCTTCTGTTTTTCCCCGGGACTAGCGATTGCCCCCGCAACTCGCGCTCTTTTCCAATCATTTCTTTTACGACGGCACAGCCAGCCGTGGACCCTGGGCACTGGCCCAGTCCTACGTATTTTCACGCTAAGATGGTGCCATTGGATCCTGGCCAGACGTTGTTTCAACGCCATGAGTGGATATGATCCAGCGGGCGTGGGTCAGCCTTGCACTCATTCGACATTAAGGGGCAGAGGATACACAGCACAGAGCCTCAATAATGGATCCAAGTTATATTTAGCTCGGCACGACTGGGGGGGTTTCTCCCGTGTCTATTTAAGCGCTCGCCCGTCCCCTGAGTTTCTGACTGAGTTGATATTCCTTCCATACTTTCCATCTCCATACTCTACCCATCATCCACTGCATATCAAGTCAAAAACCCTAGGTTCTCAACCCAAACCAAACAAACCTACACATCCACAATGCAGCTCAAGACTCTCGTCGCCGTCCTCTTCGCCTCCGTGGCTGCCGCCGCCCCGGCCATCGACGCCGAGAACTTCACCGTCCCCAGCGGCATTGCCAGTGAGCTCCGTGACTCCCTCCCCAGCTCCGTCCTGAAGGAGATCGCCACCGACCCCGCTGCTGCCACCCGCATTGCCAGCGAGTACCTGGCCAACCCGGCCTCCATCTCCAGCCTGCCCTCTGACGTCCAGAGCTGGGGCAGCTCCGCCCTCGGCGCCGCCGAGTCCACCGTGAAGCCCCTGGTCACCCCCGCCCCCAGCGCTGCCTCCGGCAAGGGCGCCTCGGGCACCCAGGCCGCCTCGCCCTCGGGCTCCAAGGGCGCCGGCTCTGACTCGGGCTCTGACTCGGGCTCCGGCTCCGGCGGTTCGGGCTCTGGCAAGGGTGGCTCGGGCTCCGGCTCCAACGACAACGCCTCTTCCGCCTCTTCCACTGGTGGCGCCCCTGCCGCCACTGGCCCCCTGGCCATGGGTGTTGCCGGTGCCGCCGGTCTCCTGGGTGTTGCTTTCGCCCTGTAAGAATGTCCCTTTCTGGGTCGTTTAAAAGCTGGGGGAGATGTTTTTCGGGATATTCAATGAATGATATTCCGAGAAAATGTCTCGCTCATTTCCTTTGTTTATTTCCTTGTGTTTATCCTGGAGTTGGTCAACTCCCATGTATTTAAGAAGCTAGATTCCCACGCTACAAATCTAATAACGATAATTAATTGTGATGCGCTGCACCAGAACTGTATTTGGGATGTAGGATGATCGAGTATTGGCATGAACTAAGCCAGTTTTCTAGTAATGTAGTCGAATGAGTGGTGCATCTAAACAAATACTCAACCTACGTGTATATGCCTAGGCTTATTCCAACCACAATATAATACGAATTCTTTAAGATAGGAGTAAGGCAAAGAAAATAGAAGATATAAGATAAAAGATGAACAATGAAAGACAAAATATAAACTTGTCGCCAAGTTAAGAAGACTTGGAATCAGCGTAGGCCTGCAGGAATATTGCCAGCAGAATCCTAGCAACGAGCTTCATATTCGGCGAAAATGATGAATATCTCATGGCGGTCTTGAGATATATGTAGACGACTATCTTGCATCTGTCACCAATCCCTTTGCTAGGAGGAAGACAATACCGGCCTGTTCGATTCAAGGGTCCATTCAGGTCAGGCACTTCCTTGATCCATGCAACCATCTGAGCAGCCTCTTGCATGCCGATTTGCGCCCTTCTATCACGCCTTCTTGCTACCTTCACTTCGATCAAAGCTTGCACCTTTCCTGCCACATTGCTATCTTCAAGATATCCGTCTATGCGCTACATACCATGTCAGGTATATTGATTTTGCCCGTCTAGATATTCACTATATGGGCGCCTCATACATAACTAACTGACCAACTAATAATAGCTTCTTCCTTCCTAGACGCTATCCCGATGTCTTCCCCTTGTTAAAATAGGGCAGAAGGGAATCACTCAGAGAACCCTTTCAAAAGACCCCCCCCCCCAAAACCCCCTAGCAAAGAATTATTACGATTACCATGATTACTATTCTTGTCTATTTAGAGGGATTAAACGAACTCAACAATGAACAATTTTTACTTCTACTCGCTGGGTGGCACGTTTAAACTGCTCGGCGGTTACATGGTTCCTCTGGTGAAATAAAAACAAGACCTGGCGTATAAATAACTTTCATCTTTCATCCTCTCACCCTACATGACTCCCCCAAAATTATCTGTTGCTGTTAAACATTCCGAAGCCCGAATGGATGTGGGTTACTGTCGCCGTGATGTCTTGGGCATTGCCCACGACCTCGTCAGCCAAGCTCCTGGCAACCGCATCGAACCAAGTCGTCTCAAGGCCGCTGGTATCCGCACGGCTCCCTTGACCCTCGAGCCCGGATCAGGGCACCTGCCTCAGTTTTTTGCCCCATACAACCAAGAACTGCCAGCCCCAGAGAAGCCGTCGCTGTCAATGTTTGATGAGGTCATTATTGATGATGGATTGCATACACCGATCGAAAATGCGAGGGGTATCCTTAAGGTCTTTGATGATTACGACCATCAGTTCTACTACTATTCCCTCGACGCCTTCAAAGACGGGGATTCCCGACTCTTTTGGCAATTTGAGGTAAGTACCTTCACCATCCCCTCCACCTATATTGGGTCTAACCGGGTTGCACAGTCACGAATGGCCCAAGCTTGGGAAACTTGACGAAGTCCTGGAATACTGTTAGCGTGCACGTCTTCTGAATGCGAAACTTCGCGAGCATGACGTGGCTCCGGTAAGCTTGATTGCCGCTACAAATAACCAAAAATGAGTCGCTAATGTCTGCTCTCCCAGGTTCTGCTGTATTATTTCATGGCTCCTCGACATGCACGAGTGTTCGAGGGTCACTTTGATGGCACCTCTGTGATCATCCGATACACCAAGTTCTTTGTCTTTACCTCCTTGGATGAGAAGGCGCTGAGATTGTTCATGGCGTACTGGTTGGGTGGCGCCTGTGCAGACACCAAGATCAAGCAATGCCATTAGGACTGGCGGGCGAGTGTTGCATTCGATATCGGCGTTTGGATGGGTTTGGGTGGGATTGGAAATGATTATAGGGTCTTTGAAATTCATGTTATGATGATTTACGATTCTTATTGCAATTGTTTTTGGTTTCTGGGTTATGAGCCCGAGGGATATTCGTGGTTAATTCTCCTCAAGCACCTATAGGTTCATGGTATCCCTACCTCCGGGGGTACTTCAACACTATATCTGCTGGCACAGGTATTGCTCAGCAACATATAAAGGACCGAGTTTACATAGATTATCTCATAGTAAATAGTAGAAACAGCAGACCAACCACTCACAGCCCACGCAATGGTCAGCGCCACAACCCACGAATGACAACGTGCGGAAATGGAGTTTGCAGCAAGAAAAAAAAAAGGTAAGCCAAAAAAAAAGAATAATCAAAACCGAAATACAAAGCCAGCGATTTGCTCAGAGCTCTGGCTGACTTTTATCCGCAATGTGATTGGTTCTCCACCCCTGCTTGACGAATGCATCTCCAGTTTTCCCGCCGTGTCTGCACCAACCGATAGACACTTTCCCCCTGCTTTGTGTGCTGGGAAGTGGGAGAGAGCTGAGACCGGTGAGAGACGGGGTGTTGACAGAGAAGGGTTAAAAGGATGAGACCGATGGAGTGGTTTTTCTTCTTTTCTTCTTTTCTTGTCTTCTGTGGTATACTTCGGTTGGTCCCAAAACGGATCCATAGGAGTATATTCTTTTGGTGCCGGGACACTTATCCTATTTGAATTTACTAGTTGGTTTTTCTGGAGATCTTCTCCTTTTCTTCCTCTTTTAATTCAAACCCCTGGGACTTTTGCGGTCTGCATTTTCCGTCTGTCTTGCCATCGCTGGCGAACTTGTCCTGACGTCAGCCGCGTTGCTTGCCACACCGCGCGCTCGCCCTTGGAGTATTTTCATCAGACCCTTCATTTGCAACAGCAGGGTTTCTCTGGCTGGGACAAATTAGAGATAACCATTGGTGGCGTGGGTTGAGACCAGATCAGCACCATGGCCCTTCTCTTCCTCAAGCAGAAGCTGTTCCCCATCCAGGAATCAAAAACACATTCGGGTAAGTTGATAGACAACAACAAGAATACAGGAAACACAAAAACAAGGACAACCGAACATGTTCTGACTTTATCCCACCAGGCAAACCTCTGCTCGCCCGCATCGAGGATGACGATACAATCCGCGGCGACTCCAATCCCGACATCGAGTCGCAGAGCGGCCGGTCGTATGATACTTTCGGGCGCTGTGCAAGCCCGGATAACTCCAGCAGCAGTGGCAGTAGCACACGGGCGCGCATCAACCCTCGCGTGGTCTCAGATGCCATCCTCGGCCTCTCGGACGGCCTGACGGTTCCCTTTGCACTGAGCGCGGGTCTGTCCGCACTGGGGAACACCAAGGTCGTGGTGCTGGGCGGGCTGGCCGAGCTGGCTGCGGGAGCCATCTCAATGGGACTGGGCGGGTACGTGGGCGCGAAGAGCGAAGCGTAAGTGATGTTCCCCATATACCCAGTATGTCTGCATGTATGGATGTCAACTAACATCCTTTCCAGCGAGTCCTATGAAACCACCGTCCGCGAAACCCAGCACCTCATCGAGACCGGCCCGCACGAAACCCAGCTAATCGTGCACGATACCTTTTCCCCTTACGGGCTCTCCGACGCTGCCATCGCCGACATCACGCGCGACCTGCACGCTTCGCAGGACCGGCTGCGCGAGTTTTTGCTGGCCTTCCACCACCGCGAGACCGCACCAGACTGCAACCAGGCCTGGATCTCGGCGCTGACGCTGGCGCTGGGCTACTTCGTCGGCGGGTTCATCCCGCTGATCCCGTACTTTATTGCCACGAGCGTGCGTGTGGCGCTGTACTGGAGTATTGGGGTCATGGCGCTGACGCTGCTGGCTTTTGGCTATGTGAAGACTTGTATTGTGCGTGGCTGGACTGGCCATGAGAATGTCGTTGCCGGTGTCCGCGGTGGTGTCCAGATGTGTTGTGTTGGTGGTGTCGCTGCTGGGGCGGCGATTGCTTTGGTGCAGTTGATTGACACTGGTGGTGCTCATTGATTTTGAGGTGTCGCTGGAAGAAGAAGGATTGATTGCATCCAAACGGCGTTTGGGCTGTTTCTCCCAGGGACTTGTCAAGTCCCAAGTTACAGGCATTTGAGCGACATCATAAAAAGTACAGCCATACATGACCTCGACATAATGAAATGACATAATATTTATTCATAACATAAAAAGAAAGAAATATATAGGACGAGAGGATTAAAAAAAAAAGAGATCACCCCTGCAACGCCATCCCCACCAACGTCCTCCCCCGATCCGACATCTGAATCCTCAACGCCTCCTCCCTCCCACGCTCCGACATTTTCGCCCAAGACTTGCGCAAGATATCCACCATCTTCGCCTCATCCCCCAATTCCCCCTCGAACCGATCCAGCTGATCATCCAGAAAAACCAAACAAGCCACATCCTCCAGCGTCTGCGTATCGGGATCCCCGCTCTTCAGCTCGGCCTTGCGCACCAGCGCCGACACCCGCGCCGCCTCCTCGGTGCTATACCCGCTCTCGACACAGATCTGCTCTGCCAGCGCGGCTTGCCGTCGCTGCAGCTCCGCGCGCCATGAGTGGTACCCGATCTTCGTGGTTGGGTACGAGCTGCGCGGGATCTCCCAGCGTCGCAGGTGCTGGGCGCGGATGGCGAGTTGGAGAGTTTCGGGGGCGTCTGGGGAGAGCCGGGCCAGGTAGCTGCTCATTTTCTGGGCGTAGTGGAGCTCATAGGGGGTTGGGGTGTTGGTTGTGGAGGAGGTTGTTTGGCGCGGGTCGGCGGCGTGGGCGGCGTCGATGCGCTGGAGGGCTGTTTCGAAGGGGGTCATGGTTTGAGTCAATGGCTGAGTGGTTTCTAGTTTGCTTGGTTGTTTTATTGGGTGGGGGGTTCTGTTTTGCTCGCTTTGAAGCAGGTGGTTGCTGGGGATCATTTGCAGTATCAAAAAGTGGGAGCGTCGATATGATAAGAGTGGGGTAGTAACCCGGTGCTTTTGATTGGCGTGTAGATGTTCTTTAATTCTGTATATTGTAGATGTCTTTGTGGATATGTCTTGTATTCTCATGTCTCTACTCTGGGCATAGCACATCATATGCATATATTAAGCATCGCAGTCGTCACTTCATAAACATCAAACGTAATCTCAATCACAAGTCTTCTCGAACTCAACACCAACATTCGACTCCACATCCGTCGTCCTAGCACTCTGCAGGTCCTGGTCAGAGTTGAACGACTGGTTCATACTATAGCCCTTGGTGAGCAGACTCGAAATCAGCCCGAGCCCAGCAGCACCACACATCACCACCCAGACAATCGACAGCGCATCGGCATACAGACCGGCAATGAGACAGCGCGGCGCGCTCTCAGCCGGAAGACTCTTGGTATAATGTACCAAGCTAGACGCATCCTGGGCAAAGGCGTCGGCCGAGCGTCCCAGCTCGGGGTGGCTGTGGAACTCGGTCTTGATGCGGTTCTGAAACGCCACGCCGGCGATCACGGGGCTGTATCCCAGGGTGCCTTTGTAGTACAGCGGTAAGTAATAAATACCTGAGCACAGAATGATTCCATGCAAGAAACAACCAAGGTAGCTGACGGAGGTGGTGAGGTCGGCGATCAGCACCTCGGTGAGCACTATGATGTCGCCGCCGCCGACACCTTAAATCGACCGGCCCACTAGCATCAGGGAGAAGCCCTGATGCCACGGCGGCGAGGATCGAGCCTAGCGTAAAGGCTGCGACGGCGGTTAGCAGGGACATCTTGCGGCCGAAGATGTCTGAGGCCAGCGAGAAGACGGGCTGGACGATGCATGATGCGACTAGGAACGAGGTGCCTGCCCAGAAGGCTTCTGTGGCTGTTCCGTCGAGATCATTTGAAATAGTCTGTAGATCATGCCGGGATATTGTTGGAGATAGAGTCATAAATGAAGAGAGAATAGAATCACAATGCAACGCAGTTCATACCGGGAGAACAACCGACAACGGGGTTGCATCGAGAGCAGCCACAAAGTTCAGCAGCCCAACGACACCAAAGATGGATTTGAGCTGCCAGTTGGGGCGAAATTCATCCTGCGGTGAATGAGACTGTAGGAAGGGACCCTAAATAGGCAATCGATTCAGTGTGTTCTTTCATTCTTTCGTTCTTGCTTCATTGAATGGGGTGTATTACATTTCTGGGTGGTGAAGCAGATATATCCTTGGGGGATATATGGAATCCCTGGCATCCTGCTTCGTTTCTCTCTCTCTCTCTCTCTTTTTGTTACTAACGAACACGTCAAAGAAACCTTGTAAGACACTGAACTACTAAAAGAGCCAACTTACCATCACCCCCATGCGTCACTTACGGTGCAGCCGACGAGCAGCCTTCCTCTCTCTTAGCCCCCGGTGCTCCCAGCGGCCCGAGCTGCCCAATGTCAATAAGAGAAAGAGCAGATACCAGACTTGAAAGATAGTACCTAGACTTAGGATCATCTGCTTTGTTTAGAAATGTCTTATTTATAGATTGGCACAAGCAGCAGGACTTGGTCTACTTAGGAACCGCAAAGACCAGACTAACCCACTACACTTCTTTACACATACAAGTCTTTCGTCATCTATTCAATTCACTACCTGATCCTAGTCCCGCTCTCAAGGCCATAAACCCTCGGCCCCGTCAAGCATAAGCCTCCATCCCAGACATGAAAAGAGGTCTCAACATCATAACGTGTCATCGGGTTCCTTGAGAAAGACGAGGATCAGTGCAGACAGAAAATATCACCAGAACGTGATCAGAAGATCAGAAGATATCGAAGAAAAAGGGGACATCGAAACAAGAACAAGAGCCCCCCAAACAGCCTGAGACACCGGTCGCAGAAGAAAAAAAAAAAAAAAAAGAAAAACCAACATTATAGCAATGGAAATCTCGAAAAGGGAAAAAAGACATGCACAAGAACTGTTGGGAAAAAAGAAAATAACAAGCAGTAAAATCAGATCGTATCCATTGTCGAGAATACTTGTTTCCCGCCCCGCCATAAAACGCCGTCCGATTGATGAAGCCGGGTATATCCAGCACCGTGATGCAACATGTACCGAGAAGAAAAGAGACCCTCGAGGCAAAAGAAATCAGGACATCGAGTGCCATCACTTCAGAGCCATGTCGAGAGTAAAAGAGAAAAAAAAAGAATATTGGGGGTTTTGACAAGGTCAAAAGAGAAAAAAAAAAAAAAGGAAACGAAACCAGCTTTTTTTAGGTCAGGATAAGGGCGAGCATCTCATCTGGCCCCAATCCCAAACATGCCTACCCCGTAGCTGCCGCCTCGTTCGGACATAGGGGTCGACACTTTGGCGACGTGGTCCTGGTTCGATGCAAGTTAGCGCCCCCACATTCAATGCCAATCACCAAGTTTGATGTCTGTTTCATACCTTCTTCCGTTTCTTCTTCCCAGTGCCCTCGCCACTCGAATAGAAGCCGGTGTCATCGTCGTCATCTGCGTATCCTTCGCCATAGCCAACAAAGCTGTTGTCGTCGTAGTGTCTCTTGCGACCCCGACTAGGCCGTGCTCGTTCATCTTCTTGCACTGATACCGATGGTACAGTCGGCTGGCCAGAGGAGCGGGCACCTGTGGCGGGAGCAGTCTTCTTGCCGGTATCGCTTGGTCCTTGGTGCTTGGTCGGTTTTTCGTGTCCCAGCACGTCCTCCCAGAAATCGTTGTTCGGGACTATCCCAGGTTCCATCTGCATTGCCCGAGTCTGGAGACCCAGCAACGCAGAATCCATATCTGCGACTTTAATGGTCTTCCCAAACACCTTCTGGTTCTGCCATTCTTCCTCGGGCCACAGGGTCATATGCCGCAAACTACCAGGAGCCCCGGGTTCTTGCTTCACTGGCTTATTCCGCCCCGCAAGTCCCAGCCCCTTCAACTTTCCTTCGTAAGACTTCCTCAGCCGGTTGATCTTCTCGCCTGTCACGGGGTCTATCCGTGCTACCGAATGCGCAGCCGGACCGAGACCATAGAGGGAGATGAGATCGAACGACGGATCTGGACCAGTCGCAACAGGCGCTGTCAAGGAACGAAAAGCACTGTGTTAACAAGATCGCTTCCCAGAATATGCAAAAAAGACGGTTGCAGTCACGCAACCGTCGCAGCAGAAACCATCCATTGCGGGGAGTTCTTACAGCTTTTGCAGAGATGGAAGGCCGATGTGAAGTCGTTCTCAAGAGAATCTAAGCCAAGGTTGCTGGGCTCAAACTGGCGAGTAGTAGGCTGCCTGTCCACATCCATGGCGTCTGCATCGGTCGTGTCCTGACCGGCCCCGGCGGCAAAATCGCGGACTCCGATGTCTGGATTCGTGGGTTGGGACTGTCGGTCGTGATCGGTGTGCCTGTGATCTGCTCTTTGCTGGTCGGACATTGCGCCGACGTTCCCTCTCGAGTCCTGTTTTCCTGCACTGAAGGATTGTTTGGTGGGATCCAACTCCTCCACTGACGTCGCATTCATATTGTGACCGCTGACGCTACTGGCAGGAGTAGGAAATGAATTGGTCGCACTCATGTTCGGTTGCTGGGAGAGCTGGGTAGACATGGGTGTGGAGGAAGGAGGGGAGGATGGGTTCGGAGGTTGAGCCGTCGCCTGATTCGGTGATGTCTGCGAAGAGGTGAAATTGGAGACATGGCTTGGATCGCTGACCGACATCAACGGAGGAGACGTCGGGGTCTGAGGGATGTGATCCGAGGCAATGAGGAGCGGGTGGCTCTTTTTCAGAGACCCGGCAGCGGGGGATGGGGGCGAAGGAGGTCCGGCTCGAAAGGAGGTGGAAGGACTGCGATCCGACATGAGAACTCCAAGATGTAATCAAGGTAGGCAGATACGGGCAGAGCCAGTGTGGCTCGGAGTCCGAATCTCGAAGCTTGGATAGGCGCTGGGCCGGGAGAGGAGGTTCCCGGTCGACGGTCGCTCAGGCAGGCGAGCAGGTCGTTCCACGGCCAGCCTAAACCATATGCATTCCAAAGAGTCGAGAGCAATCCACACAGAGTAGTAACGACGGGGGGTGGGCTGATGGATGTGGTGGAGGGAACGGTGGAGATGTCCGATGGTCAAAGATCGCTGAGATGGATGACGGCGAAAAGGGCAGGACACGTGACCGGGTGCATGACATCCAGTGACAAAGGAATGTCGAGATGACGACTCAACCTTGGAATTGTCTTCGAATTACACAAGGAATAAAAGAGATAAATGTTTGTATTCCGGTATCTTGCCAATTTTGAATCTCGCCTCCGACCTTAAAAGTGGGATCAAAGTAAATTGGTGCACCCGCATTCGTCATTCGAGTGACCCAGGCCAATTGATTAAAACCACGGAGTTGGCAACTCTTTGGTATCGATGTTCTTAGGAGTGGATTTTTTTTTAGCAGTTAATTATATATGAACATTAGAGTGCACTGCAACTACCGTCGCATACGCCAATGCCTATAGTTTGGTTGGCCCCCTAACTGGGCCTCTAATCACCAACGCGACAGGAACAAGCATTGACAGCTGGGACTACCCTGGAAGACCATGGGCACTGTTGTATGGGCATGCGGCTTAAGTAGATTCGTGATTCATCTTGGGTGACGTACAGATCAGACTTGATCTTTAAAAGAACTGGTTTGGTCCAGTTTCTAATAAAACCATTGGGGGGAAAGAGGCGCCAGAGGTGGTATATGCCAAATGAGAAGGATCTGTCAATCCAAGACAAGAATAAGCATGAAAAGGTAGAAAAAGCACAAAGTGTTCGCCTAATCGCCAGACTCGCGCAACTCATAGCGCCGGTTCTCTCTGTCCTGCTTTCGCCAAGCCCTAGAAAGACCTAAGATCGGATCCCCGGATATCCTCACTATGAGGAAGCCAGGAATATAAGAAAACCCAATGTTTGGAAACCACAAAATTTCTGATAGCCTAAACCCTGCCCTCCAAAAGATGTAAATCACTCCACGCCCGGTGTTCATGACTGATAAAAGGCATTGGACTCGTGCACCAACTGGGCGGACACATCCGGGATATCGTGTTCAAGGGATGCCATCAGCTCAATCTGCTCCTGTTGACTGAGTGTGCGTTCACGCCAGGGAGGCACTGGGAAGGGCTCGTTGAAGTATTGAGAGTATTGATCTCCAAGGGTAGTCGTCCATTGCATAGGATCGACGGTGGCGTCGATGTAGGCCAGATGGCTCGCCGTCGTCGAGGCAAGTGAGAAATGCGGATCCCAACCCTGTAGGCCAGGAACCACCGAGGGCATCGTATTATACGGGGTATCGGGATTGATTGAGTCAGGGTAGAGTGCGGCCGGCGCACAATAACCCTGTGAATCGTATTGGGGCGCCGTAGCGGGAGCGGCAGATGATTGCGGAATATCGAACATAGGGCCGGCCGCGGGAATTTGTGTTGGCTCCACCGATTCGGGAGCTACTGCGGGAGGAGTGGGTTCTTGTGAAAAGGGGACGCTAGGATCGACCGAATGTCCTCGCGAGAACGTGCCGGTTGAGGCGCTGTCTCCTACTGAAAAATTGCCGGCTCGCTGGTTCTGAGAATAGAAGGAGGTGTTTGTTGCGCTCGACGGACTGGAAATCACTGGCGGGGTCATGAAATCTTGCGAGGAGGTTGGCGTCGGGTGATTCGAAGGCGACTGCACAACGAACGATTCCTCGGTACTGTACGCCTTAAGACAAGCCGCAACAAGGCGTTTGTAGAGGAGCAAGGCAGACTCAACACCCGGCCATCGTTCGGCCGCAAAGACAATTACTTCAAGAGCCAGGTCCAGGTGGCTCTGGACCTCCTCAATAGGGTGTTCTTTTCGGATTTCGGGATAGGAGAGGGTCCATAACACCGTGTTCAAAACCATGAAAACCGACTGAGTAAATATCCAGGTTAGATCAACGGACCCGGTGACCATTTGTTCCCGATGCATGGCGACATTGAAAACGGATGCTTCGTAACACATCTTGGCGGCATAAACAGACGGCTCGGGTATTTGAGGCGATGGCCGGTACATGAGAATGATGATTGTATTTCGCCTGCCCTGGAACCTATTGTGCAAATCGAGTCAGCCGTGAAGATGATCGAGACAGGGTTAGGACCATACCATTTCACATTCAGCCCGCTGCCATCGTCATTCTTGGGACAAGTTGCCACCCAATGATCGAGTTTGGCCAACATCTGGGAAAACCAAGGATCCTGGTCATGGACCGGGGTCTCGCGCCGATTCAAGTACAGTGTTCGCCTAGCTTCCAACTGGAGCAGACGCATCTTGAAGAAGTGCACCGCAATGCATTTGGGCAGAACCGGCTTTGCCCCTGGAATGATTCCCTTGGCCGTAATGTAACGGTCATCCACCAGCTCAAAGAACTTCACGCTGATATTGTCATGGGTGACGCTATAACAGCTGGAACGGCCCAAGCTGTGGGAAAGTCCGAATTCCATAGATGAAACAATCCAAAATAATCTTCGGCGCATATCGACCTCCAATGGATTCAAGGGCTCCCCGTGCGGAGATTTGGTGACAGTGGCTTCTTCTGTAAGTCCCAAATCTTGGCAGAGCTTGAAGGCCATCCCAACGACCCAGTATGCCGCCGTACGGGTAGGGGTTAGCATTGAATATTGAGCGATTAGCACTAGGCATTGCAAGGCCCTCAGGTCCATTCGTTTCAATGTAGGCTCCAAGAAGGGCAGGGCAGCTAGGTAATAGCTATCCGCCAGGCCCGCATAGTCCGTGCTGAGTTTTTGCATGCTAATGGCGATGACCATTCGCAGTTGGAAGTTCTGGCAGGGGTCGCTGGAGCCACTAAATACTTCTTCCACTTCTTGTCGGAACGTGGGCTCATGCAAAGTCGGAAGTAATGCTTGTGCTATAACCCCACCAAGTCAGCCACGCGAGCAATCCACGACATCGATGAGCAGTTCTGCACAGAACAGTTCACGTACATTTGGCCACGAAAAGATCAATCAACTTATAAGTCAAGTTCTGCGGGGGTAGATTGGGCTGTGGGATGGAGCTGATCATGGGATAGATCTTGGAGGTCGGCTTCGAGTCTTCCTGTGCAAACGCCGCCTTGATCTCCTGGGCGGTCAAGTCGGGGACGACATCTTTGATGCTCTTGGAGTCGGTGTTTTGCTTGGCCATTTCCATGACCAGACGCGTCATGGCAATACCGCTCGAAGCCCCGAGATATCGAGGCTCATCGTTCTCCTTGAATCGAATGCGCCCCGCACCCCGCACCATTAACTCGGCGTCGGCGGCATGTTGAATATCCTTCTCGGCTCCCGCAAGCTCCCTTTCCAGGGCCCGAGCTTTCTCTCGGAGCGACACAATATACGTCCGCGGGATAGTGGCGTCTCGAGTTGAGTCGTAGTATACGCATTTGGCGTTGCTTCGTTCGCACGGCGCGCATCGAGGGATCCCGGGGTCACATCTTGACTTTCGCTACAGACGGAAGCGAGTCAGTTGGAGAAAATCCAGTGAGGGGTCAGGAACACAGGAAGATCCCAAGAAAGGAAAGTTTTTTTGGGGGAGATCGAGGGAGATCGGATGCTGCATCATACCTGTCGACACCTCGTGCAGGCGGTTAGGGTATGCGCGATGCGCCCGTCGGGAGTTTCGAGGCTCTGTGATTCCGGCGATTGGGGGCCTCGTGGGGGATGTGGGTTGGAGCTCTGGGTCATTATGTCCAAAAGCCCGCAGCAAAATCAGGGGGGAAAAGAGAACCGGGTCGATCTCATGAGTGCACGATTATCACCAGACATTCGACGGCACTCAGGGTATTGTTGTGGGCACAGTCGACATGGTCTTGGATTCCCAGAAATGGCCGATCGCAAGGCCGACAGGTTTCCCAAAGTCGGAGCAAGGGGGGAATTGGTGGAGCAGTTCCCATCAAAATGCCATGATTTATGAGGATATGGCGCGTAGAGAAAAAGAAAAGAAAAAAAAAGAAGGATGGAGGGGCAACCTCGGCCCAAGTTCTGGAGAGACGAGTGGAACGAAGGATGGTTCTGGAGTTGGGGCGAGGGAATGTGATTTGAAGTCCCCAATGTGAGGCGCAAAAAGGTCGATGACATGAACGACGATCAAGAGGGGAAGAGAGACGTTCGTGATGGGCCGTGCGGTTCCACAGTTGGACTCGCATTCTCTTCCCTTCACAAATGTGGGCTGCGGGGGCCGTTGGATCTCAAACTGCATTAATCATGTGAGTGGTTTCCATCTGCTTGGAATTGCGAAAAAAAAACAAAGAACAACACGTCAACGGTGGTCCAAGTCTCTCTCTCTCTCCCTTGAAATCCTGCTCACCTCATCCCAAGACAACCGTGGAGGAATGAGCCATGCCTACGACGGCCACGACTTTCCTGGAATCCCCACTGCTCAAAGTGAGTCGTCCTGTTGCAGCGTGCTCGAGATGTCGTCGAGCCAAAATCAAGTGTGACGGGAAGCTCCCCGCCTGTTCGGCTTGTGAAAGAGTCGGCAAGGCGAGCACTTGTTCGGGCGCCAGCGATGAGTTCGCCAAGGGAAAAGAAAGAAGCTATGTTGCATCCCTGGAGGGCTATTGCGAGAAGCTCGAGCAAAATATTGCTCAGCTTCGAGATCGTCAAAATTCGCTATCGGCGGAGGGGAAGGGGGTCGCGCGGGAGATGTCGATCACCTCGATCTCATCGGACGGCCCGTTGGGACCGGCACATCGTAAGGAAGTCTCGGATATCGATGATCTTGTGGGGGATTTTGGTTTCCTGTGAGTCGACCCTCCCTGGGCAATACGACAACCTCAATTGACGGTGGATGGAAGGTCGGTCAATGCCACCTCGCGAGACTTCCATGGCATCACCTCCAACACCTCCTTCGCCAATCTACTGCTCTCCGTTGCGGCGGTGGAATCCCCGTCGTTGACTTCTCCTGCTCTACCTGCCCGGCATGAGGCCACTCCATTATTGCAGTACTATTTCGACAACGTCTTCGTACAGCTGCCATTTTTCATCGAAACGAGCTTCTGGACCTCGGTAGATGCGGTCTACCAGTCGGAAGGCCGCTTCGCGAAACCCTTTGACCATTGGATGTTGCGCATGGTTCTCGCTATTGCTTCGGCGTCTATTTCGTATCAGCATAATGACAAAAGTCACCAACGCGCATGGGCTTTCGTCTCGGAGGCCTTAACCCACGCCGAAGAGGTTCTTCGCCCGGGATGCATCTCTGGAATCCAGGCCATCCTGTTTCTTGCTCAGTATTCTCTGGTGGACCCCGGCCACTTCCGCGGGTGGTACCTGGTGGGAATGGCCGTGAGAGTCGCCGTGGATTTGGGCCTTCATCAAGACCCTCCGGCAGAGGTTCTGCCCAACGCCGATCGACTCGACATTCGCCGGCGAGTGTTCCACTGCATCTATTGCCTAGATAGGTTTGTACTTCCTGCTTTCTATGCTTTGTCCCAACCATGTTCTGTGGCTGACCATCCACAGAGGAATGAGCTCGTCTTTACAAAGAACATTTTCATTCTCCGAGGCTTCCGTGAATGTCGCGCTGCCCTCGGCCAGCACATCGATGGGGCCCTCGGTCGCTGAACAAAGCCATATTTTCCTCCGAAGTCCGGGTCCCGCTCTGCACATCGTGAAGATCCGACAGATTCTGTCCGCCGGCTATCAGGAAATGTACTACAGCAGCCACGAGCCATCCCCACAGCCCCTGGTCTGGATCTGGACACTCTGCTGGCAAGCCCGCGAATGGTTCCACCAATGCCCCAAGAACGCCCCGAGCCACTTCTCACTCCTGTACCGGCTGGAATTGCTGTACACCATGATCATCCTCCTCTCACCTTCTCATCGATATCCGACGCTCTGCGACTATAACAAGGCCCTGCTCTTCGACCGCTGCATGGACTTTATCAGCCAAATCCACCAGGTGCTGGGGAACCCCAGCTCCCTGCCCTTTCTGAATTTCCTGGACATACAGCGCGTCCAGCAGGTGAGCCGGCGGTTTCTCAAGGTACTATCCGAGAACCATGACCTACTGCTGAGCTCTGCTGTTCCCGCTCCCCCTGCCGTCCCCGCAGGGACGCCGAACCCGCCGATTCTGGCCGATGAGGACCGAATTAATTGTCGTCCTCGCGCCACTCGCTGTCTCATGTATATTGCCGACTTGTTCCAGTATTGTGCCCGGAAGTGGAATTTGCATGGACTCGTAGAAGATTTCGAGAATGAGTCTGCTTCTGTGGGGAGGATGCTCAGGGATAGCTCCCGGGTTATATGTCCAACCAGGGGGTCTTCACACAGGCGTCGTCTGCTGGATTGCCGCTGGCCGGCAATGGGTACTCGGGATACCCTTTGGGACAGTGATTGGCCCATTTTTCTTTTTCTGTTTTCCCACGGCGCGATGATTGCGAAGGTGTTTAGTTTTATGGGGTGCAAGGATTTGGATTTCGTCAATACCCTAGTAAGGTCATCATGTTGAGCATGGTGTGTAAATGATAGATGGAAGTTGTGAATCAAGAACGATGAAGCCTTTGATAATTTCCTAGGTAATTTAGGGTGGAACCTGCCATGTTCGACAATTCGACTAGTTCCTGACCGTTCGATCTAATGCAGCCCTGCAGATGATCCAGCAGAGAAAGAAATCCCCGATAGGCCCATAATTATCCCGAGGGATACCCCTGACTATCCCCGTTGCATCGATGCTTGAGGCTAATGTTGATCTCCTAACTACTATAGCCCCTCTCGTCCCTAGAAGAACGGACCCAGTAGCAATAATAAGAAGGTATCGATAGTAAAACACGTTTTGGGCCTCTTGATAAGATAACAAACAGATATTTTCTTTTTACACCCTTCATCTGGGTCCCCATAGACGCCGTATTTATACGGGTCTTGGGGCAATGCACTAGCAAATACACGATCGAAAGCCACACACACTCAACCGATGATAGAAGGGAAATGACGATTCTTTGGAAAGAACTCCAGCTCCGATCTGGCCAGGGCAGCGTGTCCACAATATTTGTGATTGGGAGAGACATCTCTTTCACTCGTCAGATCGGCGAGAAACCCAAGCTCGAGAACAAAAGGGGAGATGATGATAGTCCTCTTAGCTGCGAGTTTGATCAGCTTAGCGTGGACGGGGAATTTCCGAATATCTTGAACGACGTTCGATGTATATCGCTGGATATTCCTCATAATAGTTTTTGGGTATCTACTCAATAAGTACTTCGGCGTTCAAGACAGCAGGGGGAAAAATCTATGGCTTAGATCGCACGCAATCCAGTATCCTTCGGAAACGGGTGTAAACAAAGAGAACAAAGGAAACAACTGCCCACGACGCAAGTAGCGCCCAAAATTTGCGCGGCTTGTCCCGACAGGAGAAGCTAGCCACTGTAAGCTGGGCTGCTTAGGGTCCACTTGTTTCTTGACCACGATCGACCCGCTTCAGTGTAAAAGACCCTTTTCCGAAGAGTTCCGTCTCTTATGAAAGAAAGTGGAGAGCCATAGAAAACTTAGATGTTGAGAAAGGGCCACCAGCCCTGTCAGCCAGCTCTGTTATACGTCCACGGACTCTTAGTCTTGTGGATTCTGTGAACAACCGTGGATTCTTTTTGTTGGATCGCGTTCACGATTTTCCCGGAAACCTTAAAACACATGAACCCTTTCGGCAATTGGGGGATTGAGGAATTTTTATGCTGGATGGAAATACATATACCCTCGCGTGTACTGTTCGGCTGGTAATTTTACTCGATGGGTCCGCTTCAGGTGCCGCTTTTATGTTCCAATCCAAGGCCACTTGCCCCTATGAAATTTAGAGAGCATAAATCAACTAAAAAAAAATATGAAATATAAGAAAAGGGCCGACCAAAACTAGAATAATTCGAGGGCGCTACTATATACTTCAAGACGTTCCAAACCAATGTTGAGGGCTTGCCAGGGCGTAAAGGGAGATGGTAGCAAGGCTGCGGGAAGACGAGTCATGCACACTTGGATCTTGACTTCGATCAAGGTGGGAATCAATTGTGAATGAGGAAACTAGTTCTGGTCGACTTGTGTGCCCATCAGACTATTGTTTCCAGGACCGTTATCTTCGGTTTCTTCCTTGCCCTAATATTCATCTGGACGGATCTATATAGTCGACGGTCGCGATTCTATCCAAGCCCGACCTACACACTATACACCATGAAAAACAACAAGATACGACAGTTACTGTCGGAGATCCTCTCCGTCGTCTGGGCCGTTAGCTTTGCCTTCATGGCCTGGAAAGCAGTATGCATAGCCACCGGGGCTACATATCCCATTCTGGTGGTCACGTCGGAATCCATGGCCCCGGCATTCCACCGGGGAGATCTCATTCTGCTCTGGAACCGCGTGGAAAAGATCCACACCGGTGATATCCCTGTGGTGTGGTTCTCGGGCAACCTATTACCAATGGTCCATCGCGCGATCAAGGTGACTTACGAGGAACAAAGCGATGGGTTGGCCCGGTAAGTCGGTGGTTTGGGCAATCTAGGGAGAGGATGAAGACGGAGCTAATGTGGTTGCAGACAGCTTATCCTGACCAAGGGCGACAACAATCCCCTCGACGATGTCATGATGTCTCCTCCCGGGTGATCATCGGTCTACCGGGAAGAGATCCTTGGTCTGGTGTGCGGCTATGTGCCGGGGATTGGCTGGGCTAGTTTGATGGGAGAAGTAATCCGTGGATAATATATACCGGTGTTTCTCTGATGCTTGCAATGGGAATGCTCGGGTAGGCTGGGAGATAAAAATATGGCAGGAACTGTATTGATTCTTCTGCAGCCCTTACACATTCATTGTATTGTGGATATTCTATAGCTCAATGTATATATCTGAAGCGACCACTAATTTGCGGATATCCAAAGCCCGACTTCAATCTCTGAGGGAAACGGAAAGAACCAACAGTATAAAGTCAAATATACATAAGGTAGCCCGCTACAAAATGGGACATGATTGTGGACAAGCTAACTAACATCTCAAGCTTCATGCTCGAAAAGCGGCGAAGAGGTGGGCCCCAAAACGGCAGTCACTCTTTTTTTTACCCTCTTTATAATAATCACTCCACAATGAAGGCTTCTTTCGCTGCCGTCCTGGCCGCTCTGGCCCCTGCTGCCCTTGCGCTGCCCACCCCGACTTCCAGCGCGTTGCCGTCAGTTATTCCCTCGGGCCTGACTTCCATCCCCGAGATCACCAAGACCCACAAGATCGGTGACCTTGCCAAGGAGCTGAACATCAAGGACCTCCCGACCATTACCAACAAGGGTGATATGGCCAAGGCTCTGAAGCAGGCCGCGCCTGCTGCCGCTAGCACGGCCCCGGCTGTGAGCAGCGGTCATGTCGTCCAGGACCTCGGGTAAGCCATCCAAGATTATGAATGGACGTTCATAGACGTATGCGAGTTGGTTGCTGACCATCTGCCAGTCCTCACGTTGGAACCATCCTCACCATCCTGGGCCCCGACGCCCAGGTGCTCCTCATCGAACTGAGCCCCGAGGTGGACGCCCTGGTCTCCGGCCTGGGTCTGGGTGTCCTGGGTGCTCCTCTTGGTGGCATTGTTGCCTCTGCCAGCGGCCTTGGCGACCTTCTCGTTGGCCTGGCCCCCTACGTCGACGGCCTCGTCACCGTTGTCGGCCAGGATGTCGGTGCTCTGCTCATTGGTCTGTCCCCCGAGGTCGCGGGTCTGGTCTCTGGTCTCGGTCTGTCGAACCTCGGCGTTCCTCTGGGAACTGTTGTCGGCACTCTTGGCACCAGCCTGAAGAAGCGCGGCGAGATCGTCCACGACCTCGCGCCTGAGGTCCAGAACATCCTGATCACCACCGGCGGCAATGTCAAGCAGCTCCTGATCAAGATCAGCCCCGAGGTGGCTGCTCTCGTCAACGGCCTCGGTCTCTTTGGTGCCGCCGAACCCCTGGGCTCTGTTGTCCATACTGCTTCCGAGGTCGGTGACCTCGTCAAGGACGTCTCGGGCCCCGCCCACGACCTCCTGATCGTCACCGAGAAGGACGGCCAGAAGATTCTTCTCCAGCTCTCGCCCGAGGTTGCTGCCACCGTTGCCGGCCTGGGTCTGCCTACTGTCGGCACCCCTCTGGGCTCTGCCGTTGCCACTCTTGGCCACAACCTGTAAATGGTACATGTTGCCAAGGACACTCCCAAAGGTGGTTGACCTCATGAGATTAGCTCCTTGCTTTGCTTGTCTCTCAGAGTATCCTTCTTGATATGCGGCGATGGATAGCGATTTAGGACTTTTTGGTTATCTTGCAATCTTCCGGTGCACATATTTCTTTGGATAGAAGAGGGTTTTTTTGTGTCCAACTATTGAGGATGAACATAGTTATCTTGGAGCATACGCCCTCTGTTCTCCGATTTAATGACATTTCAAATGTGTTAAGAAGTTTTGAAGAACTTTCGTGCTTTGGTGATTCCACTTTCTGACTCGTAATTCTTGGAGGGCAAAGTTTCAAAGAGTCAAATGATTTCTCAGTGTTTCGAATAGTCAATCGCATTGTCCATGCTTATCCTGGGGCTGGCCATCCTGATCAAATGAAAGATAACGAAGGAATGCCTCTGGAGTGAGATCTAGCCCTAACCCGCCCCCATCCGGCTATCGACAAGTTCAACGGGATTTCCATTCATAGAACGGGGCAACTAGCCCTGTAAGATGAGGATCAGGGGGCCAATCACAAAGATCAGCTTATCTGCGAGATAAGCATGTCATTCAGGACCGGATTACACCATGCTTTAAGGTGTTTCGTGTCTTTGGGATGTCCTCTCTGTCTCAATTGATATCTCAATGATTCCGAGCCACGGAATTGTACGAATTCAAATAATAAATAAAAGGTCTTCTATGGAGTCAATGTAAGCCCGGGCTTTTCCCGGAGATCAAAGCTTGGAAAAAGCCATTCGCCTATCAAGAAAAGTTGCGCCATCAGGATTCTCCAACGGGTCCACATGGAATCGCCCCAAGCCAATAATGGTGTTTATATTCAGAATTATGGAGCCCGTTTATCTTTTGGCTACCGCCACCTCCTTGTGCCTTTTTGCCTCTTATCTCTGGGCTTTCTGTGTCAAGGCACACAGTGTCTTCTTTTTTTTTTTTTTTTTTTTTTCCCCTCTGCTCTTTTATCTCTTTCCTATATATGCATATATGGGATCTCATCCCCCCCCCCCCCATATGTAACTTATTAAAAGACTGGCTGTCATTGCCTCCCCCAGATCTAACTCAGCTTTCCCCTTAACTGTCTTGTAAACCCCCCCCTTTTTGGCTCCATTTTTTTTTCTCTCTCTCTTTGCCTCGCCCCACAACAAAAAAAAAAAAAAAAAAAAAAAGAACGAGAGCAAGAGAAAGAGAATATGCCCTGATGTCGAGCGACCTGTCCGGCGGCAAATTCGGACACCCTGACCGTTCGCCCACCACCCAGCTCATAGTCCGCACGACGGCGACGTGCCTGGTCAGCATCTCCTGGTACAATGCGCTGGAGTTGATAGTGGTGTGTTTCTCGACGTTCAAGCGCTATGGTGGGTGCTATTTCTGGTGTCTGCTCGTGGCGAGCATCAGCATCATCCCATTTTCGCTTGGTTATTTCATGGTGCTCTATAATGTCCTGGAGCACAACCTCTTCCCCATATCCATGGAGCTCGTCGCCTGGATCGGCATGGTAACGGGCCAGTCGCTCGTGCTGTGGTCGCGATTGCACCTGGTCGTGCAAAACCACACCGTGCTCCGCGCCACGCTGGTCATGATCATTGTCAACACGATCATCTTCCACGTCCCCGCCGCTGTCCTCGAGCTCGGCTCCCACTCCAATAAATCCGCCCTATTCACCCCCGGCTTCAACATCTTCGAACGCATCCAGCTCATCGCCTTCTCCATACAAGAGATCGTGCTCTCCCTCATCTATTCGTGGGAAGCCGTGCGCATGCTGAACCTCCGTCCACGCGGCCACTACAAGAGCACCCTGATCCAGCTGCTGATCGTCAACCTGGCCATGATCTGCATGGACGCCGCCATCATCGGCGTCCAGTACTCGGGCTACTTCGATATCCACGTCACCCTCAAAGCCATGGCCTATAGCGTCAAGCTCAAGCTCGAGTACGCCATCCTCGGCAAGCTGGTCCATTTCACAGAGGTCAATTGCGGGAGTTCAACACCGACCGACTTGTCTGATTTTGTGGATCTTTCTTTTCATCCTGCTCAGCCGCCGGATAGCGAGAGCCAGGCCCGCATCGCCTGCGACACTCTCGATGATTCCGTCCATCATCGTGTGCGAGCGTTTCCAAAGCGCTCGTCTTCTGATCCGCAAACATCAACTACCTCCGCAGCAGCCAGTGCGAAAAACGTGGACCTGCCATGAAAGAGGGGGAATATTTGTATATAGTTACGACCGTCACGTCCTTGTATATGACCAATATCTTAATGAAGTACTTACCTGTACACATGTTGATGTTGCCACGGCTATCTCTTGCATCTGCGACCGAACGAGTAGTTGAGAGCCCCGAGAGCAGGAGACGTGCTTTGAAGGTGAAGACGCACTGTACGTTAAAATACCAACCGGAGCTCTTGCCGACAGCAGCTTGAAGACGATCATAGGATGAGGAATGGCTTTCAAGAACAACGCGCGGTGCTGGGGTAAAGACAGGGTCTGCGATGAAACACATAGAAGCGATACCGAAGACTAGATGGTACTAGATGGCCTGACAGAACCACCGCGTGCAATCATTGCACGAAGCGTCTTGGTATACATGCATCTTTGGAAATTTGGAAACAAGACTGTCCGACATCGCAGGGTTAGTGTGGCCCTGAACTATCCATAGATGGATATCTCTTCCAGTTGACCCACTCTGCCTAGCCAGGGCACCACTGAGTTTGTCCATGTCCCACTTTCCATCCTTTGCAGAATCCACATGCTGGATATGCAAGTGCAGCAAGGATCGTGGACATGCAAGGATGCTCAACGCCACTAGACCGATGCCAGAACTCTTTCAGGCAATACCTTTCCAGGCTAGTCTGTCTATTATGTGCCTGCCTAGAATTAAGACACTCAATGAGCTCGAGGGATTCGACAGGGGCATCCTGAATCTTCGAGGTACCAGCTGTGAACTGGGCTTACATCTGCGAATCAAGATGTGCCCCTGAGCATGAAGACAGACGGCGATGTCTTGGAAATTGCAGAGTACGATCTCTGCCTGGGCATAGAATGACGCACCACCCTGGCCATCCGTCACCAGCGGAGCAGAGTCTTCATCCGGAGACAGTATCCTGTCCAAGGATTTCTTCGGACAATCTCCTTCCACGCGACGCTGGATCACGTGCTCAACTCCCAAGGAAATTAGGAGCTAATGGGACCATTGTGTCATTGCAGATATTTGTCAAAGATCACATGCAAGTCAGCAATATCGAACGTAAAAAAGGGGGGGGGGGTGAAAGATACACTATTATGAATTGAGTCGTACGGCATCGCCGAAGGGGATCTCCACGAATCTCCGAAATGCGGAGCTAGAGTCCACCGCCGCAGAGCCACAGAAGGGCTTCACATTTTTCTCGATTCAAGGTGGCTGTGTAAAAGCCACAGGAGCTATTGTTGCGTGTTGATCGTCGGTTTCTCGCCAAACCATTCAGAATAGCTCGAGTAGGGGGGCGACACCAAAAACGTCTCCACCGGACTATTGATCACCGTACCATAAAACTGATGTTGCGTGGTTGCCCATTTCTGATTTCACCTCACGACGCAAGAGTTGGATTCCGAACCCATCGGCGTGGTTGACGTCAGGCTGATGTGGAGGACGATCTCGGGGTTTCATAAGACACCATGATAGAATCTGAGGACCCACTGGCAGCCCTGAACCGTGGATGATGGCGAATGCGCGTGTGCCAAGAACAAGATCTGGCAAGCTTGCAGATCAGCAAGCTCGATGTGGGTAGCTGTAATATCGCAGCCTTACCGGATTTTCCCCCGAAGAAGTGCTTATGACAAGCCATTGTGCTTGGCTATGGCATGGAGTAGATTGAGACAAGTTGATTCGACTATTAGGAGCTGGACATCAGAAAGAAAAGATGAAGAAAAGGGGGAAGAAGCAGGAGGAGAGTTCCGAGTGCGTTGGCTCTGCGCGACCCCGACGCCAGTGTGACGTCAATACAGGCGATCCTGCCTTGGGGGCGTCCGAGGGTACCTGCTGGGTACCTACTCCAGTGCGGGTCCAGTCATAGCTCCACCGGGTTCTTCCTGTGTACCCAGCAACCTCGATCGAGAGTTGATCGTTGCAGTAACGATCTCTGCGCTCGGCTTGCTTTTTCCTCTTTTTTTTCCTTTTATATTCTCATCCCTTTCCTCTTCCTTTCTCCAGCTTTTCCCATACTTGCCTTCATTCCAGTGATACCCCCTTGTTTTACCACCTAGTACCCTAGGTAATTGCTAATTCTCCGTGCGTTTGGTGATTTCTCCCCTTGAGAGATTCTGGGGCTAACCCTGCGATAGTCCATACATCATAATATCTCTTGGCTTTCTCTATTTCCCCTATCTTTCTGGTCTACACATTGTTACACCATGGCCAACGTCAACCGTCCTACCGACTCCAAACAGAAGGAGAAGGTATGTGGAATTGCGCTCGGAGCCGGACGCAACGGCGACTGACCCATTGGCTCTTCCAGGATATCAACCAGAAGCTGCAATGGTTTGGCATGTACCATGGTAAGATAATCGGCACTCGGTCGACCGCATCGTCTTTTCGCTGACTCCCTATTTCCCACAGCCTTCAAGAACAGCAGACTCCCATCGGTGAGTTTCGATCGTTGCGATCCATGCACACGTTGCGCAAACTAAACCCATATTCCTCCTACAGAACAAGCAGTGTGATGTCGCCTTGAACAGTGCCTTGAAATCCCAGACACTCTCTTCCCCTCCCAAGGAGCTCTCAGACGAGGGCAAGGCCCTCGTCGGGGACCTGCGCCATGTCATCGAGCAGGCCAAGAAGCTTCTCTTGACCAAGAACGAAGGTGAACTCCTCCAGGACTTCATCTGGCAGGCCCAACAGATCACCACTGGTGACGCGAAAAAGCCTGATGTACCGGTCGGCAAGGAGGATGGAAAGCAGGATGGGAACAAGGCCCTGGAGGGTCTGAAGACCCTGGGCACCCTTCTAATCACCAACGGGGAATTCCGAAAGATTTGTCAGTCTTTTCATGTGTTTTTGAAAACGATCCCTTCTAACCCTAATTCAGTGAGCGATGCTACCATCCTGGTCCGGGATATCGGCGCAGATGCTTCCCAGAAGGCCGCCAACCAGGTTCGCCCGTCGGAAGAGCAGCTTGCGCAGATCGACCAAGCCGCCGAAGAAAATGTGTGGCACGAAAAGCCCAAAGTCTCCAAGGAAGACTTGAAATCGCGGATCAAGAAGAAAAGTGTAAGTCTTCCACCTTTCCTATGATGATTGCACGCGTACTAATGCCAGTTCAGGACAAATCTAGCAATGCCTCCGCTTCCATCGCGGAGAATGCCTCCCAGACTCCCTCGGAGAAGAGCCGGACCCGCGCGCTCGCCGACAAGACCAAGGATTATCTGGCTGAGAAGGTGCCCAAGGAGCGCCGTGACCAGACGATCTGGCGCCTGAAAAAGATGGTCATCGAGATCCAGGGCCACGCCGACTGTAAGCATCTTCATCTGAAACCCATGTCTGCTTTAACGATGAGTGGCTCATTGTGTCTACAGACCAGCAAGCCATTGAGACCTTGCTGTCCTTGGCCGAAAAATACGCCGGTCACGCCAAGACCACCACTCAGCAGGGCGGCGGTGCCGTTTCCGATTTCCGGGCTACCGACAGTGTCAAGTCCGTGGAGACCGACCTACGCGTATGTTATCCCGCTGGAACCCTCAATCTGGTGTGAGATGCTGATGGTCGTTTATAGACTCTCATCGAGCGCTTTGCCAACAGCACTTCTCTGGATGACTTCTTCGAGTCGCTCAACGCCATTTACCATGATGCGGAGAAAGATCCCGAATTGCGAGGATGGTTCAAGAACATTGACGCCTTGATCAGGTACGTTGAACACATGCTACTGAATATAAGTAATTGCACTCTTAACAACCCACAGGAAATCCCTCCGTGAGCAAGGATTCATCATGGAAGAAGAGTGCAACCGCCAGTGGGTTGAGCTGTACGACAAGGGCCAGTACCTGCTCCGCGATCGCTACAAGGGCCACACCGACCGAATCGTGAATGAGATCAAGTTCCTGGCCGACCAGTTCGACAAGGACCCGCAGAACAAGGCTCTTGCCGAGTCGGTCCAGAAGCTTTTCAAGGATCTGGGCCGCGATGCTGGCGGCAAGGTTGTCTTCAAGAAACACCTGCTCAAGGACCTCCGTGACGTGATTATCCCCGGCATCTTCGAGAACGTCCGCTACATTCCTATCCCGCGTATCGAAGTTTCCGACCCCATGGTCGATGTCGTGGTCGAGAACCTGGTCATCGAGGGCGACAACTTGTTGCCTAATGTGGTGGAATTCGGTAGCGACAATTACTTCCGCTGGGGCCGCAAGAAGATCAGCAGCAAGCGTGACAACAAGATCATGATCTCGATGTCTGGCATTCAGGCCGACCTCCGTGATGTCAGCTACTACATCAAGAAGAAGCAGGGCTTCCCCTCCATCACCGACACCGGTGTTATGGATATTATCCTTGGCGGCGAGGGCTTCGGCTTCAAGATTGCGGCCTCGACCGCCAGCAAGGGCGACAAGCAGCATTTCGTTAAGCTGGACAAGGTGTCGGTGAGCATCAAGCAGATGGACATCAAGCTGAAGAAGTCCAAGCACAAGGTTCTCTTCGCGACTTTCAAGCCGTTGCTCAACCGTGTGGTCCGTCCGGCTCTGCAGAAGGTGGTCGAGGGGCAAATCCGCGAGGCCTTCAAGAACGGTGACGCTTTCGCTCACGACATTCACACTGAGGCTAAGCGGGCCCAGGAGGCGGCCCGCGAGGAGCCGGAGAACGCGCCCAGCATCTTCTCGCGCTACGCTGACGCTGTCCGCGCCCGCTCCCAAGCCCAGGCCAAGAAGGCCGAGGGCGCCGTCAAGCGAGACACCAAGGTCCAGACTGTGATGACGCTCCAGGACTCGATATTCCCGGACGTCAAGCTGCCTGGCGGTGTCTCCACCAAGGCCACCGAGTACGCCGAGCTGGCTACCAAGGGCGAGCGTTGGGAGTCACCCATCTTCAGCATTGGTGATGCTACCGAGTCGTCCGACATCCCATCCCAGGGCCCGGTTACCCGCAAGACGCACTCTATGGGCGATGCCAACGGCGCTACCGGCGTCGCCGAAGCTTCCGGCGTCTCGGGTGCCACAACTGCCGCCCAGACCAACGGCACCTCCAAGGTCGCCGGATATCCATCGCGTGGCTTCTCCGACGAAGTCGACCAGGCCTTTGTCAATGACAAGACCCAGAACCTTGGCGATGGCATCAAGAGCGGCACCAACGGCACCACTGCCTAAGTTTTGTGTCGTTCATGTCTTTTCTGAATCGTCATGCCTCTCGTTGAATTGATGGTTTTTTTTTCTTGGCAACCCCTTAATTCTGCCATGCCTCCCTTTTTTATATTCTTTTCTTTTGTTTTGTGCTTCGGTGATTCCTTGCGATGATTTCCCCCCTTGTGCAATTGCGTGTACGAGTATTGATTTTATGTCTGTCGGTAGCCTAATACATAATGCCACCGCTGCTTTTGCGTTGACTGGTGCTTTGAGGGGATTATTTGCTAGTAGAGCCTGCAATTCGAAGCCCTAGTCCATCAGACCTGAGTTTGTCTAAGCCTCTGGACCTCGTTTGTCTCGGGCAACTTGAGGTATAGCAGAGTGGAATCTATATTTCATAGGCTTACTCTCTGGCTTTTATTTTATTTCAAATGATATATTATTTGCTTAATATACAGCTTCCAATTTTTACTTTTTTATACTCTTCTTTCCCCTATTTTCTTTCTTTACTACTTTTTATCTATTCCATCTAGAAAGTATATTTATCTTTGATTTTACTATTTTCTTTTAGAGAGGTAGAGAACGTTGTATAGAGAGAATGTTTGCCCAAGCTAATTGCTAGATGAACGTCACGAAGGCATTAAGAAACTCGAAAAAAAAAAAGAGATATATCACAGCTCCAGTCATATTCTTATATCATAAATCATCTAAAACGGATATAGCAAACGCCCTCCCGCTATATACAAGGCAGGAAGATAAAGACTGATCTTCTGCGAAGTTGGATCCAACAATTTTGATCTTGAGCTTTAGCGTTTTCTTTTTTTTGGGGGTGGGGGCCCTTCTTTTCTTTTCCAGATTCCGCAGCATTTACATCTGCTCAAAGTACTTCTCCCAGCCCAGCTCGCGCAGCTTTGCCCCCTTCTTCTCCATGTTTTCCGCGCGCGCATCCTCGGCGTACGCCTCCACCTTGCACTGGATGGCCGGGTCGAAGGATCCCAGGACCCGCGCAGCGAGGAGGGCGGCGTTGATGCTGTTGTTGATTCCGACGGTGGCGACGGGGACACCTGTGCACATTGGGGTTAGATAGGCCCCTATGAAGAAGAAATATGAGGGAGCCTGAGGAGGGGGGGTTCCGCTTACCACGCGGCATCTGCACAATGCTGTACAGACTGTCGACGCCGTCCAGCGAGCTGCCCTTGACGGGGACTCCGATGACGGGGAGAGCGGTGTGGGCGGCAGCCATACCAGGCAAATGGGCGGCACCACCAGCCGCGGCGATGATGACCTTGATGCCGCGGGATGCCGCCTGCGCCGAGTACTCGGCCATGTAGTCCGGGGTGCGGTGGGCCGAGGTGATCTCGACGGCAGGCTCCACGCCGAAGTAGTCGCGGAGCAACTTGAGACCCGGCACCAGCGTCTTCAGGTCACTGTCGGAGCCCATGATAACGGCCACCGAGGGCGCGGGCTTCGAAGGTCCCGACTTCTGGGGTTGCGTTTTGACGTCGCTCCGCTGGGCGCGGATGTCATCAACCACGTCGATGAGCGGTTGGATCATCGTCTCCGCCTCGTGCATCGTCGGACCGGTAACGGTCACATGGCCCATTTTGCGTCCTGGCTTGGAGGCTCCCTTGCTGTACAGATGGATACTGGCGTTGGGTATAGAGAGCGCGTGCTCTGCAACCTTCAGGTGGGAGTCGGGTGTTGCACCGCCAATGATATTCAGCATAATGGATGGCTGGCGGATTTCAAGACTCTTGGCCGGAATAGGGAGGTCCAGAATGGCCCGGATATGGCTGTCAAACTGGGACAGCGCGCACCCTTCGATCGTGTAGTGGCCGGAGTTGTGGATGCGACTGGCAATCTCGCAAAGCATGACGCTGTTGTCTTCAAGGAGGAACATCTCCACGCCGAAGGCGCCCTTGCCTTCGAAAGCGGCAACAGCCTTACGTGCAAGTGCTTGCGCCTTTTGGTTGATGGCGTCGGGCACGTTTCGGGCCGGTGCGTACACAAGCTTGCATATTGAGTCCTCCTGCACCGTCTCGACGGTTGGGTATGACAGCACATCGTCCTTAGTCTTGATAACCATGACAGCCAGCTCCATCTTGAAGTAGGCCCATTTCTCCGCATACAGTGGCCGGTCTTTCAGAGCCTCCAGAGCACCAGGAATATCGGCCTTGGAGTTGACACGGTAGTTCCCTAGGAATGTTATCAGTAAAATTCCCACAAACCCTCCATCGCACCTTGCACTCACCCCGCCCGTCATATGCCATCGTCTTAGACTTCAACATCATCGGGAAGCCCAACTGCTCGCCGATCTCCGCCAATTCCTCCGGTGTGTTCTTCACCAATTCCCGGTGGTCGGCCATGGGAATTCCATATTTGCGCAGGTGTTCCTTCTGGTTGAATTTGTTCTGGATCGTCCGAATCGCCTGCCAACTCGGCTCCACCTGCACTTCGGACGCAACCTCCTCGAGCGCATAGGTGTCGACGTGCTCAATTTCGGCAGTCAAGACATCGCAGGTCTTGGCCAGCTGGCGCACCGCCTCGGGCTCCTTGAAGGAGCCGGTCACATGGCCGTCGTGGAAACTGATCTGCTTGGCCGGGGCATTCTCCGCGTCCAGGACATTGGCCTGGACGTTCAATCGGTTGGCGGACTCAACGAGCATGCGGCCCAGCTGACCACCGCCGAGAATTCCCACCTTTGGTGAGTTCCACATGTTTGAAAGAGGCAAAAAGAAATCGTGGGAAGAGAATGCAGAAGACCGATCATGCCCCTCCTCGATGTAAAATTCACGTATCACGTGATCCTATCGATAAGCCGCCCGGGCCACTCGCAGCTCCGTCTTCTTCTCCAGCTTGCGTCAGAGGACAATGTCGCTGGGTGAGTCGCCCCTCCTGTGCTAGATGATAAGTGTATGCGATAATTTTTACTGACTCCAGTATTACAGATGAGGACCTCTTAGGCACGGCCGCCAATGGCGGCTCGATAGATCTGTATGTGCACCGCAAAGGTCACGACGCCCTTACGGGCTGGAGCCCACGAAGCTGATACGCTGTTCTAGAGAGAAATGGGCTAGCATGGTTGCGCCCTTGCTGGAGCGACTGGACTACGTGAGTCTATTCCTTGTGGCCTTTTGATCGACGTCTCTAACCAGCCGTTTCAGATTGTCTACAATGCATTCCCCATGCCGCAGGTGCCTTCCGAGTCGCATGACCAGCAATCGTTTCCAAGTCTGCCCTCTCAGCAATCAGAGACGAATACCATCCCTCCTGAAAGTAGCAACAAGGAGAACTCCTCCCCCAACCAGACACAAACAGCCCCGACTGGTTCTCCCCCATCGAGCGAGCGTGTGCCAGATTCGCAGCCCCAAGCATCTGCCGACAAGAGGAGCGATACGCTGCCGCCGCCACTTGCACTCCTCCTGAACTCAATCCGCTCCTCGATTAACTCGTTGTTCACAGAGAAACCGCCCCACACGATCCAGAGACTCGCGGAGCTTGTACTCCGCCCGACCGCACACTATAGGACCTTGCCGGCCTATTTGCGTGCCGTTGATCGAGTTGTTTCTGTGACAAGTGGTGCAGACATCTTTCCTTTCCAAACACCCTCGGGTCCCGAAACCTCGTTGAATGGGCCGCTACACTCCAATCCCGGTGGGACTTACCTGGGCCCGGACTATTCTCATGGCCTCGGAAGCGACGAGTCCCTGGGCGGTGCACTTCTTACTCCAATCCCCTGGTTGACCAATGTTTCGTTTGAAGCCGAGGACTCCGCTGCATTGGAAGAAGGTATGTTTCTTGTTTGTTTTATAGATATATGCTTTGTCTTTGTTACCCAGAGGAATTGGTTACTGAATGGCTGACTTGGGTATTTCATGTAGCTTCCGAAGAAATTCTATCTGCACAGCCACAGGATGTTGACGTTGGCACTACGGCTAGTGCCACGATGATGACAGTCGAAACCGAACACCCCGCGGCGGCTACCGCCTCCCCACCAGCAGAATCCTCTGAAGAATTTCCTCACGCCCGTGGCCCGCCGGTTGTTGGCGTAGCGGACATGGGCCTGCAAGACGGAAAGGGCGTCGAGATGCCGCTTGAACAAGATGGCCAGCAGCCTTCGCAGAGCGATAATGCCTCCGACACCAAGTCATCTGCACCTGGCGCTGCGATGACGGGAGAACCGGCAACAAAGGAGGGCTCAGCCACTACTGACCAGGACGGCGACATTGTTCTGGAGGACACCAAGGCCAAGGAAACCGCAGAATCAAAGACTGCAGTTGAGAGTTCGGATGGAGCCAGTGATTCAGTTCAGCCATCGGCAACAGAGAAAAAGGAATAGGTGATATTTTCGGTATTTTCTTCGACTTTTTTTTGTCCTTTTTCTTTCTTGGGATCTCGAATGTATTTTTGTATTTGCTGTTTTGCAGCTTCTAGCTTAGCATTATGAGTGACGATTTACAATATTACTTGGGCAGAGGAAGGGTTCTTCATAGCCTGGATGGAGATCATGACACGTCCCTTTTGGTGTTTAAATGGTATCCATTTTGAGCTAAGCGAGAGAAGAAGACCGACTCAAAGATACTGCGAGAGGAAGTAGACATAATCTATCATCTTCATTATTGAGAAATGTAAACCAAGTATAGACAGAGGTATCAAGCATGAAACAAAAAACCCAACCCGAGACATTCAAACCCAAGTCCAATTAGAAAAGTTCATAACCCACAAAATATAGGTCTGATAAGAAAGAAAGATTCCACAACCCACTCCAGGGCTGTGAAATACCTAGACTATCCTCATCACACAGGCGATTCCACCGTCTGGAGCGGGACATAGCCCTCGTCCTCTTGGACGGCCGGCTTGAACCCCCTCCCAGTCGCCAAAGACCAAACCGCAGACACCGACTGACCGAGCCAGCGGCGAAGGGAACGCGGGCGATTGGAAGCGAGTATGGTAGCAGGGGTCCACCAGCGTGACTTGCGGGCATGGGCGCGACGATGAGCTGCGCCAGTGGCAGAAATCAAATCCAAGTCCAGCTCCTTCTCGAGGCGGTCGATCTCCATCCACGACGGACGGTGCCAGAACTTCAACAAAAGACTGCTGACGACGACGGAGACGCTGGATGCGGCCATGGCGGCGCCGGCGGCCATTGGAGGGAGCACGAACCCAGTGAAGGGGAGGAAGATACCCATGGCGAAGGGGAGGCCGATGATGTTGTACAGACACGCCCACATCAGGTTCAGCTTGATGCGCGTGAACACTGAGCGCGAGAGCGCCAGGCTGGCTGGGACGGAGAGCAGGTCATCTGGACGCATCAGAACAATATCGGCTGCTTCTATTGCCACGTCGGTGCCGGATGCTAGCGCAATCCCGACAAGGGCCGTGGCTAGGGCGGGGGAGTCGTTGATTCCGTCACCAACCATGGCGACACGCTCGCCTGTGGACTGAAGAGAGGAGATGATTGCTCGCTTGTTGGTTGGCGAGACCGATGCATGTACCGAGGCAACGGGGATGCCTACAGCCGTGGCAATAGAAATCGCTGTCGAGGATGTGTCGCCTGTCACTAGTGAGGTGGAGATGCCCATGCGATGCAGGGCTGCTACCGCTGCCACTGATGTGTCCTTGATGGTATCTCGAAGCGATATTGTCCCCGCATAGTGGCTGTCAATGGCAACGTGAATCCGTGTGATCCCAGAGACCGCCTTGCCGGGCTTGGGAGCACCCGTCTCCGAGCCTGGTTCATTCGTGGCGGATTCGGGGTCCGCCGAGGCAGGCACAGGGACGTTTCTAGACCGCAGAAAGTTGGCATTGCCCAAAATAACCTGGTAACGAGTCCGTTCTACGCTGGATGTAGGTTCGACAACGGCCGAGATACCTTGACCCACACAGGCATCAAAGTCACCCAGGCTACCCGGGAGTCCATCTTCCCCAGGGTGTCCTGCTTCAGCCTTGGCTTCGGAGAGGATCGCTCGGCCGATCGGGTGCTCGCTATTCATCTCCGCCAGGCCAACAAGAAGCCACCAGAGTTGGCGGCGCCACTCGTTGGCAGTCCACTGGGGCTCAATGCGGGTCTGCGCCACACTCATTCGTCCAGAAGTCAATGTACCTGTCTTGTCGAAGACAACATGGTTGACCCTGGTGGCCGCTTCCAGTACGGCACCCCCTTTGACGAGGATCCCATGCTCAGCGCCCACTCCAGTGCCAACCATGACAGCCGTCGGCGTGCTGAGACCTAAAGCGCAAGGACATGCAAAGACAATGACCGAAATACACAGCTTCAGGCAAACCATGACCCGGCCACCACTGTCGTCACCCTGGAAGATCTTGGGCGGGTTGGATAGCACATGGCTCAGGAACATCCAGCCAAAAAAGGTGATCAATCCAAGACCGATAATCGTGGGGACAAAGTAGCCGGCTACAATGTCAGCCATGCGTTGGATAGGGGCCCGACTTGTTTGTGCGTCCTGGACGAGTTTCACGATTTGGCTCAGCTGCGTATCTTTGCCCGCTCGGATTACTTTGAAGTCCACTGAGCTCGTGCCATTGACCGTCCCGGCGATGACATGACTGCCCTTCTTTTTGTGGATTGGTAGCGGCTCTCCAGTGATCATGCTCTCGTCGACAAAACTCTCGCCCCGCATGACCACACCGTCCGCAGAGACCTTGTCTCCGGGGCGAAGGATGACAATGTCGCCGACCTGAATCAGTTCAGTGGGAATGAATTTCTGGTTGACCGTTGTGTCCTCGGGCAATGTTGGACCAGCGCCAGGGTTCTCTGAGGCACTCTTTGAGATCCATCCCTCGACCAGCTTCTCGGCAGCAATGGGGTCTTCGTAAATTGTGGTCATCGATGGAGCCAAAGACATGAGGCGAGATAAAGCAGCGGACGTTTGTCCCTTGGCCCGATTCTCTAACCACCGGCCGAGAGTAATGAAAGTGATAAGCATCGTACTAGTATCGAACACGGTACTCGGGCGTTTGTGCTGCATGCTACACATGGCCATGGCCATAGTAAAACAGCTGTAGAAAAAGGCAGCCGAGGTACCAAGCATGACGAGAACATCCATGGTCGGAGAGCGATGCTTGAGAGATTTATAACTGGTGTAGTAGAATCGTTTTCCGATGCCAAATTGCACAGGAATAGTAAGAAAAAGACATGCCAGATCTCCGAGATAGAGGCCCGGAAGCAGTTCAAAGCCGCCAAAGTCGAGACTAGGCAGGTACATCGGCAACACCATGTTGATGACGAACACGGGAATCGCAAAGGATACCGATGTCGTGAATGCGCGCTTCCATTCCTGGATTTCTTTCGTCTTGGACAGCGATTCTAGTTGTGCATTGGTGTCGTTTGAATCAGCTAGCACCGCATTGTACCCAGCGGCCTCGATCGTTTCCACCACAGATCGGATTCCGATCACCGATGCATCGAAGGAGATGGCAACACGGAAAGATATTAAATTAATGGATGCCGAACAGATCCCCGGTTGGCGTAATAAGTCCTCCTCCAGCGCAGATGCATCGGCGGCATTTTGGAGGCCGTGGAGGTTCAGGTGGATTTGCTGAGTCTTCCTTGAGAGAGGCGCCTGCGCCTCGAATGACACAACCGACGCATCGAATCCAGTATCCTCGACGAGCGCAATGAGTTTCTCTCTTGTGAGAATGGCAGGGTCATGTACAATCACGGCACGCTCGGCGAGAAGACTAATGTTGAACTGAATCAACCCCTCGACATGGTCAAAGGCATTCTGGACGCTGGAAGTACAAGCGCCACAGGTCATTCCTCCTATGGCGATGGTCGTTACCCAGTGCTCTGGATTTTCTCCCGCCATTTCGGCGACCGATAATGAGGCGTCATGGCCCGGCGATGTCGCGGTATCCAACACCCGCGCTCCAAATCCGCGATCCTCGATAATCTCCGCGATCTGCTCTGGCGTGATTTTCTCCACATCATGCTCCACTAATGCACGCTCCGAAAGTAGAGACACATTCACTGAACTCACTCCTGGGATGTCCTTGAGTCCGCTTTCAACCGCAGAGGTGCACGCGCCACAGGTCATGCCCTCAACCGCTAAGTTGGTCACTGACACTCGCGTGTCGTTTACACCACTGTTCCCGGGACTTTTTGTCTGCTCGTCAGTCGACAAAACCTTCGCATCGAAACCGCAGTCCTCGATCATTTGGGCAATTTTCTCCGGGGGTAGCACAGAGGGATCATGCTGCACTGCGGCCCGGCCCATGATCAAACTGACAGAGACGTCGCCAGCACCGTCCACCTCTTTAAACGCACCCTCGACAGCCGAAGTGCATGCCCCGCAGGTCATCCCCTCGACTCTGAGGGTTGTGGTAGCCATGGCGGGCAGTCGGCTCGTTGGGGGGTCGGTTTCGTCGCGCGCGCTGCGAGGGTTGGGGGACATCTCGACTGGCGGGAAATGCGCACGGCGAACAGGGCGAATAAAAGGGTTCTGCTACCGCATAGGGAATTTCTGGGCAAAGTTGATCTGTTCAGGCGTGATGGCGAGAGAGGATAGCGTGCTGGGCGGATGCTGTCGGATCGTCGACGGAGGGACCGATCATTCCCCGATCGAGTGAGCAAAGAAGCGCTATCGGAATGCTAATGCCAGATCGTCACAAAGCAGAGAGGGGAAGACAGGATTTGAACAAAATCGAAAAACAGGAACTCCAGAAACCAGAAAGGGAGAAAAAATGGGAAGGGAGAAGTGGAAGTGGGCGGGATTACGGTTGGAGTGGAGTATCCGCCACGCTTGAGGAATGCATCCCCAGCCTTCGCTGGAATTTGGCGCTGACCGGCTGATAAGACGGGCGGGCTTAGAATTGATTGAGACACAGAGTGAACGCCTGAATGACTTTTCTACCAGGAAGATCCTGGCTCTGAAACCGACTCAGCGTGTACAAGGCAGACGGAGCGTTTCAGATGTAGAGATTCTAGGACCTGGTAGCCTGGTAGCCTGGTAGGTAGAGCTTTGGCTATATGATAGATCAGGACACACATCGCGAGTATAGGAACTCTTATGATACGGCATTAAATCAGGACATGATTAGCCAAATCTTAAAAAGATATTATAATCATACCCATCACATTGTCATCTCCACGCGAATCGTCATTTTTTATACTTCGTCTCTTGGGCTGTTTGCACACCATGCAAACTGCGATAAGCTCCCATCTCTCAGCTTCAGACCCATCAATCTGACCTCTCGTCATCTTCCTGAGCCCATTGCGACCCACCATGGACCAGACTCATGCCAAAGCCCTAGAGGCTCTGCAGCCATTCATCCATCTCGCCAACTCAACGAGTGCCACGTCCCCGCGCTTCATCGCCAACCTCATCACAAATGCCACCTCCAACCCCCAGACCTATGTCTTCGCCGAGCTGCTGGAGTCACCAACCATCCAATCGCTGCGGTCTCCCGACACCCCGGCCGAGTTCCAGGGCTATCTGACGTTACTCGAGATCTTTGCATGGGGGACGTGGCAGGAGTATCAAGGTGTGTTTGACAGGGACAACGTCCTAATGGCGTCGCGGGGTATCCTGGGACACACGCACGCGGACTGAGAGACACCGAAGGCTGACCGAGTCCACTAATAGCAACTCCGAATCTCCCCAAACTGAGCGCCGAACAGGCCCTCAAACTCCGTCTCCTCTCGCTCCTCTCCCTCTCCGCAACAACCAAGCCCCTCACCTACTCCGCTCTAACCACCGCCCTCTCACTCCCCTCAACCGCCGACCTCGAATCCCTCGTCACCACCGCCATCTACGCCTCGCTAATCACAGCGCGTCTCTCCCCCGCCACAAACCCACCCACCGTCAATGTGACGGCCGTCGCCCCGCTGCGCGACGTGCAGCCGCAGTCCCTGCCCAAGATGATCTCGCTGCTGACCGAATGGGAGACCCGCTGCGGCGAAGTCGTCGCCGATCTTGAAGCCGAGATCGCGAGAATCAAGACGGATGCCGCTAAACACCATGCCAAGGAACAATCCCATCAGATCCTGCTCGAGGAGGCGGTTCAGCGCCAGGCCGCGTCGCCTCTGGAAGATGCCGGGGTTACAGCTGGGCCCAGGAGTCGCGGAGGGAAACCGGGGCTGAATGCAGGGCGACGGGGTGCGGGGTCGGGAGGGAATAAGCGGGAAGCGGACGACTTTGACGAGGACGATGGGTTCTTTGAGGCTGGGGATGGTGGTGCCGAGTTGGGATCGCGCATGGATATCGACGAGGGCGCCGGGTCGCGGGCGGGGAGTAGCAGCAGGCATTCCAAGCGGGTCTTGGGGCGGATGTCCTGAGCTCACTCCCGCGGTTGCAGGTGACAGACGCCTATCATGACCACGTTGCTCAAAATTCAACAAGCGGTTTCTATTTATCGAAATACCATGCATGATCAAGAAAGCAAGATTGCATTCGTAAAGCCCTAACGGCAACGCTCATTTAGAACATAGATACAGGACAAGTAAAGAAAAACAAATCAAAAGGGGTATTGGGAGAATTGAAAGTAAACACACAGCAAGGAAAAGAGAAGCAACACTATATTCAAGACAAGGAGAGAACAGCATTGACGGCCCGAATGGGGACGGGTGGAGCGAGCAGACCAGGAAACCCTCCAGGCAAGCAAAGCTCCGAAAATTATAGACAGTGCCGATGCCTTTCTCGGGGAAAGAGGCCTCTCCGAAATTATGTTTCGCAGAAGCAGAGCAAAGCCTCGGGATCCGGACGCCAGGGTGAAGAACGCTTTCGACGAGTCATATAAATGCAGACATAGCGACGACGGCCACAAGGCGTGGTGTGCTCGTATCGAAATTGACAGTTCGCAAATGGGTTCCAAGGACCAGATATCATCCTTCAAGGAACAATCGGAGTCGGATGCCACGTCGAGCTCACAACATGGTGCCCGGGACGAAAATAAACAAGATACTCAATGCCGCGGCCGTCAAGAAAGCAATCAGCGCAGTGACAAGGGCACGTTTGTTCAAGAGCTTGCGCACGTAAGGCTCGCGGATCGGTGCCCAGTTCATAAAGGTGTATTCGCTGTAGCCCACGAAAGCCATGGCGGGATCAATTTTGTACTGGTATGAGACGATGAAGTAGGCTGCGACGGCAAACGGAAGAATGACCTGTAGCTTCATTAGTTTCGAGGACCCGGGAAACCCCGTAAAAAAAGAGACCAAAAACATACCCAGCAGCGAATATGGCGAGGCTTGTTCCGCAAAACCACGTAGAACGCGCCCCAGAACCCTCCACCGAAACTGATTAGAGCAAAGGCGAGACGCGCCAGGGTGCTCAGGGGAACGATATTCCCCAGAGCCTTAGCCTGCAAGAATCCCGGGAATGCATCGCGTTCCATAGCCTGGAACACGTAGTCCTTGGCGGGATCAAAGACCTCGGGGTCATCCCGACCATCATCTTCGACCAGATTAATAATTGTCGAGACCATGGCCTCGGGTAGAATAATCTCGCGCTCGGATCCGGGAAGCAAATAGGTGTACAAGATCTTCTCGGCGCTGGCGCGAATATCATTGCGTGCCACGGTGTGTCCAGGGGAATGGTGGTCACCATTCCGGGTACCCGAGCTGGCGCGCGGTTGTTGATCATGGGAGGGCGTCCGGTCAGCTGATTGTGATCCGAGACTGTTCTGCGGCGAGTGCGATGAAGTATGACCATCAGAGCGTAGGAAAGCCGACAGCCGTTGGTCGGCATCCCTCTCTTTTTCGTTTCCTGAAAATTCATTCCGCAGATGCGAAGGCCCAGCCTCCCCCAAGGGGATCTCCCCTAGATTCTCCAAATTTTCTAGCATTGCAGATGACCGTTTGCTGTCGGCTCTCTCCATTTCGGGTGTCGCAACCAGGACGGAGCGGCGGAGTTCGCGAACATAGTGTCGGCACAGGGACATGTGTTGTGAGACATCGAGCCTACATCAGAATTGTTAGAGGGCGGACATAGTAACAAGAAAGGGAATGCCCACCAAAAGTCCAGATAATCCACGGAGCGCTGCTGGTCACGCATGTAAATGTAGAATGAGAAGAGGTCGACGGGGGCGAGGGTGCGGCGACTGAGGACTTCAAAGAGCGTCGGGAGGCGATTACGCTGCTCCACGTCGGAGAAAGAGTCGGACGCCATTTTGGCACAGTGTTGAGAGTTGTCACCGGTGAAATTTCCAGCACCGAAAGTTCAGGATCAACGAGGGGCGCGAAAGGGGCAATGAGCGTTGAGCGTGTCGGGTCGCGTCGACTTGGGGAATGTAAACATGCGAGAGCCGAGCAGTGGGATGGAAAACCGAGAAGAACGGGAAGGACAAATAGAAAATCAAAGAGAAAAAATACAAAAATACAAAGAAAGACCTTGAGCACAGGAGCGGTTGGAAAGACTTGAGCCCGTCGCGAGATGCAGTAGGGAGATAACCGAATGGGAGAACAACCAACCCCCTGAAGAACCACGAAGGCAGACAGCGAAATCAACAGGCTGCTTAACTAAAAAGTCGAGTATCCTCGACACGCAGAAAAAAAAAGAGAGTGGAGGGTGTGAACTCGAAGTCAACAGAAAATGAGGCAGGGGTCAAGCACAATCCAGCCTCCCTGAAACAACGCAACAATGTTGGGCCGAGATGAAGCTCCACCTGTCAACGTGCGTGAAGTACATCGCGCATAACTACATCGTGGTCTTCTATATGTGAAAATTACTCGCTATTGCAAGACTGGAATTTCTCGAATTGCTGTCGCTATGGCATCAAGTCATACATAAACCAGGCCCTTCCTGGCCATGCTCCGTAACCTTTCCACACAGGGTATTGGTGAATCCACACGCCACAACGCCATTCCATGAAAAAAAAAACCCCCAAAATGAACTCCTACAAATAGCCATCCGGAAAGAAACATCCTAAAGAAACACTCGAAAAGAAAGGGCACACCCTGGATCAATGCCCGTCCGCAAAATGCTAGAGAAGGGAATGATTAGCATCCATTCATGAGACAGCTGAAAAGAAAAGAACAAAAAACACACCGACCACTCGGGGATGTTCCGGATCTGCTGCCACATGAACTTCTCGAGCTTGTTGGCACTTTTGGCATACGGTGTGCTCTCATTGTTGTAGCGACGGCAATTGTCAAAGATCAACATGGCGTCCTTGATGAAGTCCTGTGGAGTCGGATACATGTCCTTCTCGTGCTTCTCCTCCATGGTCGACAGATCCATAGGCTCGAGGATCACTTCGTAATAGTCCGGAACCTCGTCGCGGTTCACCGGCTGGGTAAAGGGCCAGGCAGCGCTGTGGTTCTGCATGTCGTTCAGCAGATGCAGCAGCTGGTTGTAGTTGGGCCCATGACGAGGCTGGCGAGCCAATTCATCCATATCCGGCGACCAGCCTGACGCCTTGATCGCCGGAATACTGAGGGGGTCAATTGGGAATACACCACTCTTCCATTCCTTGGGTGGGGGGTGGATGATGTGCGACCGACTGAAGGCCCGGATCTTCGCCTGCACGGCCTCCTTCTGCTTGAGAAGCATGCGACCCGACTCGAGATACCGGATCTTGGGAACCATTGTGCACTGCATGAGCGTACCACCCTCGTAGTCCTTGATGTATCCCATCCAGATCGATCGGTCGAGGTTAATCTCCTTGGTGAAACCTTGCTTCTTGAAGTACCCAATGGCATAGTTATCCGCATATGTCAGGAAGTGCATGATAGGAGAAGTGGCTTTCACATAGTCCTATTGCAAGGAGTGTTAGACGAGATATCTCCGCTGGCCCAGTTCTAAGGTCATACCTTCAGGTGGGACATCAGATGAGCGCCGTAGCCCTTAACCTGCTGATCAGAGGAGATAGCACAGAAGACTATCTCTGCAAACTTGCGACTGTTGAACGGTCGGTAGGTGATCCCTCTGTTGCTTTGGTCAGTGTTTTATTTTGTTCCTGGAGCCCATCCCACCGTGGATGGCACATACCCGACAACCTCCAATGGGTGCTTGACTATGGCTATTGAGAGATGTGAACGGTCATAGACGAGTCGAGCAATGTAGTCCTTGGGCATCTTGGGGAGCTGCTTCTGGAAGATGCACTTCAGGCCCGTGAGGACAATGAAGCTGTCATGCGATCCATCATTGTTAACCACTCGGAACTCAATATCTCCTCGGCGCTCTTCGAGAACTGCAGGCTGAGGGTCGTAGTCAGCCAACGCATCCATGGTGCGTGGAATTGGAATCGCGAGAGTGGGGATACCTTCTCAGGAAAAGGGACGATGCGCAACGGCGGTTTGCTCAAGGGGCCATCTTCCTGCAAGTAACATGTCAGATAAAAGTGAGATTCATACTTCAGCTCAAACACCAACCTCTTTCTCCATGGACTCATTGCGCGGTTTCTTGTTAGCCACCTCCCCCGGGGCCGGGGAAGCTTCCTCTGGCGAGACCTTCCTCTTGGAACCTGGATGATAGTGTGAGCCATGATTCTGAAGTCCCATATAACACGTAGCAGGGCTAAAATAGACTCACTCTTGGGGGAAGAACCAGCCATAATTGCATGGATGAGCAAGAAGCTGTCGCACTTCGCGGTCTCGATGATCCCGAGATCGCTCCGGGGTCGGATCAATAATATTCCGACCGGCCAGATCAACAACCGCGGAGCTCTACGAGTTACAACTCTCTCCACCCTCAATTGGTTCTATTCACAATCATCACTCATGTCTCTGATCGAAGTCTGGGAGGCAGCCTCTGCAAGCCCTTTCCAAGCCATCATTCCTAAGGAAGGGCAATTCAACGCCTCCTTCTGCCTGCTTCTCATTGGTACGGACACCGATGTGACTTGGAAGGCCTCCTACTGACTGGTATTGATAGCACTGGTTATTACGGGACTCTTTGGTCTCAGTAAGTACATTTCTTTTTACGACGCTGCCTTTTCTTCATGGCACACTTTTCTAACCCAGTCCTGTGGTGCAACAGAACCATCTTTCCAGAATACCTTGATCCTCGGGCTTCCAGCCTCACTAGCATTCGGGTGAGTAACCATTTGGCATATGTGTACTTTCCTGCTTAAGCTTTAGCAATTTCTGATGGGACTCTTCTCCTGGTAGATTTGGGGCTGTGTTCACACTGTGCGCCGTCGGGGTTTACGTCTAATATCGCCGTCCCAAATCTCACCCTCGATGTACCACAAGCTGGAGGTGCAAAGGGACCTGTACTGCTAGAACAGCCAAAGTTATCACCCATTTCCAGTCTCGCTCTTTTCTGCTCTGTGCCATAACCGTGTCCCTCCCAAGAAGTTCGACTATGGAGCCCTTGTTCGCGGGCGTCTCCAATAACGCCCACCATCTTTACACACTGCTTTCCTGTATTGGGTTTGCATCCAAAGCAACTGTCCAGATTACCCCCGATGGATTGCGCTTCTCGGTAGAAGAAAGCCGTGTTATTCAGGGACTGGCGTTTCTCGACAAATCTCTCTTCACCAGCTATACATTCAACCCGACGACAGGCCCCGAGTCCAATGGCCACAATGATCAAGAGCAAGATCCTGATGGTATCTCAGAGAATTTGAACTATCCACATTTCGTGGTCTCGCTCTCAGCCCTGCTAGAAACATTGAAGATCTTTGGCATCAACGAATTACCCGAGCCTGGCCGCGACCGAGACACCAGCATACCACAAACCAATCCTGTATCATCGAGTGCGTTCAATGCCCCGGCCTTGCTCATGGACCGTTCCTGTACTCTGCAATATGCTCAGCATGGCGCTCCGCTCAGCATCACTATCACCGAGGCTGGCGTGAAAACAACCTGCGAGTTGGTCACCTACGAGCCCGAGGAAGACGAAACCGACATCCCACTACAGCGTGACGCTATTATCATGAAGATCATCATGCGGTCCGCCTGGCTGCACAATGCCATCGCCGAGCTCGACTCGGCCACGCCCACCATCCTAAAACTGTCTGCCTGTGCAAAGCACGAGCCATATTTCGCTCTCTCCGGCGCCGGCGGCCCCTTCAGCGAGTCCACCGTCGAGTTTTCAATTGATCAACACAACGAGATTATCGGTGGTGGCCCCGGTCCAGGAAGCATGCCGTCACAGACACACCATAAGGTCTTGGCGGATGACGGCTCGTCTCGGGCTCGCGCTACCAGAACCAAACTGGCACCCACCGTCACGGAAACTTTCCTGGTATCTCCGCCCTCTGCGATGGGTGAGCGGATTAGACAGAGCTATCGGTTTGCTTTGGTTCGAAAAGCTGCCCGTGCCATGGCTGTTGCCAATAAAGTGAGCATTCGTGGTGACCGACAGGGGGTTCTGAGTCTTCAGTTTATGATTGAGCTGGATGATCAGAATACCGCTGTAGGCAGACCGGTAGGCGCTGGTGTCAAGAATCCTGTGGGCAAGGTATGCTTTGTGGACTTTCGGTTTGTGCCACTGCTGGACGAGGAAGAGGCCGAGATGGATATGCAAGATGATGGCCAATAATCGAGTCAAGGCCAGGTATCAAAATTCATGGATCGTTGTGAAGTTAGCCTAAGCAAATTATGATAAGGGAACCACCGCAGTTAGGTCAGTAGATGTGCTCAATAGTGATATTCTTGATAGCTATAGCTATAGGAAAAACAATTGACAACAGCCATTCTTCAAGCTGCTCTTCAGGGCGTTCTCATCGACAAGAAAATAGTATGGAAAACAACACTAACGCCTGGATATGCTGGCAAAACCATCATGCCTAAAATGAGAATTTGATGTCACATGCCCATAGAGATAGTCCACAACTCCGGCTTATTCGAGAAGAAATCATCAAAATGTCGACACAAAATGCTTTTTGGCGGAGATTACATGACCTACACTCCATCAGTATAAGGACAGCCAACGAAGCAAGCCATAAAAATACATACCTCGGCAATGGACTGCCGCTCAATGATCGACTTTTGTTTCTCGTTCCGTGAGACCCGATAGTAGTAGTCGCTGAAGTCTCCGCATTGCATATGGCGCAAGAACTCCTCGTCGTGGGTAATGACAATCAGCTGAAAATTTGCTTGCTGCTGGCGAGCCCGAATGATGTCGTGCAGGGACTCGGCGAGAGACCGGATATTGTCACGGTCCAGGTTGGTGGTGGGCTCGTCGAGTGCGATGAGTCCGCAATTGACACCAAAGCACTCGGCCAGAGCAAGGCGGATGATGATACTCGCTAGGACCTTCTGGCCGGCACTGCAGCGGCCTCGCATGTCCATCTCGGCGCCCTGTTTGACCATACAGACGCGGTAATTGTAAGACCGATTGCCCTTTGCGTTCTCGTTGTCGGAGCGAATCAGGATCATGTCGACGTCGGTTCCACGGTAGGTCTTCTGCCACAGCTCGCTGATTATGGCGTTGATTTCTTCCATCTTTAGGCCGTGATAGCGCATGATTGCCTTGTCAAGCGCGCCGCCGTATCTCGCAAGATCGTCGACGGCAGCCTTTGTGGTCTCCACTTTGATATGGGATTCCTTGTATTTGTATGTCGCATCTTTGTAGTCTGTGTTCCAGTCCGCCAGAAGCTGCATTAGCTGGTCATCCTTGGACTTCATCTCACCCATCTTGCTAGCCTGCTTCGCAGCAAGGGCGTTGTGTTCACGAGTCCAGCGCTCGGATTCTTGCTTGAACCGGCTGCGATCGACCTCGGCGTTCTGCTCCTCCAGTTGGTTGACTTCTTCTATGACCGTGTCGAGAGAGCGCGTGGCTTGGCGATACGTCAGATTGTCAGAGTATTGTCGTTTTGTATTCTCACTGTCTTTGAGCTGATTCGAGATTTTGTTGATTTCCCGCGTGATCTCGCCCTGGTCAGCCTCGAGCTTGCTGATCTCTTCTTCAATCGCTTGAAGCTCCCGTTTGCTGCGTTCAAGCTGGCTAGGGCCCCCACGTTCATTGTATGAGTTGATGTCGTCGTTCGCAAGATCGAGTTGATTGATGTTCTCCGACAAGCGACTAATCTCGTGTTGCAGGTCTCGTTCACACACATCTGCTCGCTGACTGATATCATCATACCGAACTTGAGCCTGGAGCAATTCAGGGGTAAGGCTTTCGATGTCCCGGTCCGCCTTTTCAATTGCCTCCCGCTGTTGCATGTTGAGCTTCTTGTACTCCTCCACTCGGACGAACAGGTCGGCCTTTTTCTCTAATTGAAATTTGGCACTGTCTAGATTGCTCCTGACGTCTCGCAATTGCAGTTCCAGCTTGTTAATCTCCGTCTGCGTCTGGTCTTTCTCGTTCGTGATCTTCGTGAGAACTTTCTTCAATTCCCGGGCCTTCTCACTGTTTGCGGTGATTTCTTCCTGGATGTCGTCCAGAGTACGGCCCATCGAAGTGCTTTGTTGCTTGGCAGAGAGCTCGGAAATTTGAGAGCCAATGGTTTTAAGCTCGGAGTCATATCGTGCAATTGTGGTGACCGTTTTAGAAAGAGCCTCGACATCTCGTTTGCACTCCGTCTTCTCGCTGACTGTTCGGTCGTGGAGTTCTAGTTTCTCAAGAAGTTGATCTCGCTCAGATTCCCCTTCTTGCTCTTCCTGCTCTAGTTCAGGGATGTCTGTCTCAGAGAGACGCACCCACGCGTCGTAAAACCCATTAGCCCCGCGGGCCGTTTCGAGGTCCTCTTCAAGTTGTTTTAAAGTCTCGTCTTCGGCATCAAGACCGGCCTTCTTCACCAGATTCTCCAGTTTCTGGGTAAAGCCCTGCAGTTCCGTATCATTCTTGAAAGGCCGTTGGCATGTCCGGCACAACTTTGCTCGTTTCGCAGCCTCGAGACACTTGTTGAGATACTCCCCCATCCCAGCGTATTGATCGGCGTCTTTGCGAGCGAGATCATATTGAGCTTGTCGTTCCTTGACAATTTCAGGGTACTCGAAAGGCTCCGCATCGATTGCTTCGTGGATCTCTTTCACACAATCATCAATTTCTTTTTTCCGCTGCTTCAGGTTCTTCTTGGCATTCTTGAGCTTGAACTCGACATGTTCCAGTTCTCGATTTACGCCATCGCGTTCTTTCTCAGCGTCAGCCACTTGCTTAGATTCATTGTCGAGAGCGTGTTGGAAGTCCCGTTCGACTGTCTGGGGTTGCCAGTCTGAGCTGACGACTTTCACGAGACGATCTCCATGGGCACCCTTCATTGTTTGCACGCTGCGCTCCCGATCTTTTGCTTCCTTTTTAAGATGGTCCAAGCGAGCCAGATCCCCTGCCTTCTTTGTGCACTCAATCAGCTCGGCGTTCAGCCTCGAATTCTCGTCTTCCAGCCTACGAATCTCCGTATTGGTATCCTGGATCTCTTCGCCCCAGGAAGCAACCTTCGCACGCTCTTTTGCGTGCTCCAGACTGGAGGTAATGTCTTCAATTTTTGATTCCAGGGTAGCGTGAACACCCTCATCGACGTCGATTTCATTAAGCCTCCCTTGGTAGGTTGCTGCTTCTTTGTCGTTGGCTGCAATCTGTCGCTTTGCAGCGTTTTTGCTTTCTTGCAGGGCAGATTTCCGTTGCCCGATTTCATTCAGGGTGTCCTGGACCTCACGTAGTTCCCTCTGGGCTTCGCGCTTGACACGGTCCAGTGATTGATTCTGCTCTCGAAGAAGACGGCGGATTTTTTGCATAAAGGGATTGATGTCGGCTTGATCCATGTTTTCATCGACGCCGCGAATGTTGTTGCCGCGAGCAATCTCGTTAATCAGGTTCTGGCGTCGTTGGACCTGCCGTTCAAAATTGGCTTTGTCGTTCTCGTATTTCCCGTTTTCAGCCTGCTTCAGGCCCAAGCGGTGGCGAGTCTGCTCTATACGCTCTCTGATTTCCATGTAATTCTCCTTCTGGGCCTCTTCCTGCTGCTGGTACTGGAGCTGCTTGGTTTCGAACTGCTCCAGGGTCGACTGGAGCCATTCATCAGAGTCGTCGAGCTCAATCAGGTGCCTTTTCAGATTGTCGATGGTGGCCTGGATGCTTTTGGCTTCAATCCGCTTGCCCTCGAGAGCGCCAAGGACCTGCGCATAGCTTTCAGACTCCCTCCAGGCTTTATCGGCCAGGTCGGCGACCCGGCGCATTTCTTTGGACATCTTCTGGGTCTCCTCACGCAATGTCTCGATTTCGTCTTGGAGCTTGACGGACCGTTTCTCTGCACGATCTGCCTTATCTTTGTCTTCTTTAGCATGTTGCTCCATGATCTTGAATTTGGCAAGTTCTTCGTTCTGCTTTTTCCGCAACGCTTTGATGTTGTCGATAGCCTTGGTGTACTTCATGGCCTCGAAGATCTCGTCGAACCTTTTCTTCAACACGGATGGCTCGCTCATGGGCCACAGACTTTCATCCTGGTGACAGAAGATTACCGAATCCAACACGGCTTTTGACACGCCCAAGTATTGTGGCATGATCTGGTCCAGTTCGGCCACCCTTGACGAGATGGCGGTACGTTCCCCATTTTTGACCATCAACAACTGCCCTTCTAGTGTCTTCTGCTGCCGCGTCGTTTTCTTGACAGTAAGCTGAAGACTGCGTGTTGCCACCATCTTCGCGCCGGATGTGCCCTTGAAGGACAGCTTCACCTGGGCCAACACCTCTTTTTCGCCACATAATTTCGGATCGTGAATAAATGCACCGCCTTTGCTGTTAGGGGGAAGATCGCCCGTCGTGGCATATTTCAGACACTCGATAATGGTCTTTGGTCATGTCAGCTCCCGCGAGTCCTTTCCATTCGATGTTCCCCGGGAAGTCGTGCGGTACCGTTTTCCCAGACCCGTTGTATCCAACAATCAAAGTGAGAGGGGTGTGGAACTGGATGGTCTCACTGCGCGTGTTATCGAAGGAGCGGACTCTGATACAAAATCGCCGTGGTTAGCACCGGTGTCATAGTCGCATAGCACACAAAGTCGCTTAAACATACCCCAGAATTGAGAGTTTGTCAATTTTCGCTGTCGTAGACAGCTGATAATCAGAAACTATCGTTGGTCAAGGCGAAGGCAACTATTGCACTTACACCTTGACGATAAATTAGCATCACGATAGAAAACCGGAGAATGGATCAGCGGCTCACATTTTGAAAGACGGCGCCGGCGGGTGATTCAGCCGTTCTGATCGTCCACCCGAAAAGAAGACCGAAGAGTATCCACGTCATCCAAATTCTGAGAAGTAGAGAGAGTGCGGCGATGTGAACAGTCAATTCTTCCCGTCGCGTCAAGGCGACACGAAGTCACGTGGCTGAGCTGGACCCCCCACAAGATCGACGGGCATCTATCAACCAGCGGCGGCCGGTTCTTATTTCCCGTCTTCTTCTCTCTTCACCGAATTCTAGGCTTGTCCCCGAGAGATGGGGTGAAATTGGGGGCCCATCCAATTTCCAACCAATTCGACTCAGGCCCAGAATTGGATGATGATCCTTTTCGCTTTGCAGTTCTCGTTCTACTTGGGTCGATATCGGTCGTCTGTTGCGCAAATCGCTGGGGGAATGCGCGCCCCCTCCCATCCGTGCAGCACACTGACACCCTGAATGTGCGCCACGATTCGGTATATATCACGGTGCCGACAACGGTGTCAACAATTAGCTCGCCCCATCTATAATTGATTGTTGTGCGTCCAGCTCCCGATATGACTCTCGGCCGCCAGCAAGCGTACAGCGGCATGCCGGTAGCGGCATTACAGGGGCGAACTGGCTCGAACGAGGGGAACCAGGCCTACTTGGTGGAACGACAGAACATGGTTGGATCATACACGGGACACTACGGGACGCAGAGTGCTGGAGGATATCACAATGTGCCAGAAGACGAAGGCTGGACGCAGCGAGTTATCGACGAAATGAAGGATCTGCTTCTACTGTTGGATGCCCAGGGGCGCATCAACTATGCGTCGCCATCGTCGAAGCAAATCACCGGCCGCATCGCCAAACAACTCGAAGGCAGTCTTTTGACACAATATATCCACGAAGACGACAAGACGGTCTTTCTACGAGACATGGACGACGCTGTCGCCACGAACCAACCCTTTCGGGCCCATCTGCGCTTCCAGAAGACGAACAGCACATACTGTCTTCTGGAGGCTTATGGCCATCCGCACATAGCAGCCCAGAATAGTCGCCAGGGAGAAAATGCCTCTGACCAGGACCGCTGCACCGGGTTCTTTCTCATGTGCCGACCGTATCCCAGCAAGATCTCACAGCTTCTCGACTCTTTCCTTGAGCACAAGATCGAGAATGCACGCTTGGTTCAACAAATTGCCAAGCTAAAGCAGGAGGAAGACGAAGAGGCCAACGCAACCCGCACATCCTATAATCGACTCGATGTGGACAAGGGAGCTACGCTAGCCGAGAATCAAGATCTCTTGGACCCCTCTCGGGCAGTGTCGAGTGAGCAGGACTCGACCGAGACCGCCGGTGCGAACTCGGATGAGTCCGATACCAATCCATCCGTGGATTATTTCTCAGAAAAGAGGTACCATATCGATGCTTTGTCGCACATTGACGGTATCGAGGTTATGACCGGTCTCCGCTATGGAGACGGCGAGCGATCACAAGGCCTGAGCACGGGCGTGCGCCGAGGCCGTCTCGTCCAGTGTGACATTGACGTTACCACGACTGCCGATCAAGCCCGCAACGCTCAAGAAGGTGACCGACGCAAGAGACTCAAGAGCCAGCACGTCTGCGGTGACTGCGGCACAGCCGACTCGCCGGAATGGAGAAAGGGGCCCGGCGGTCCAAAGACGCTATGCAATGCCTGTGGCTGTAGGTTTCTCATATCGCATCCCAATTTGTCTGAGTGGTGAAGGAAGGCTAACGCATTCATCGCTTCTAGTACGCTGGTCCAAAAAGGAGAAACGACGCCAGGAATCAGCCTAATTCTCTCTGTTTTCTTTTTCCTTGTCAATGCCTTCCATCCAATGAAGCGGATTGTTCTATCTTCTGTTCTCTGGATTTTGCAATTTGATCGCCAGGATACCCGCTTGACTCTTTGAAATGCGTGGTCATGGTATGTGTGATCGGCTATGCATGGCGCTTGGTTTTCCCGGGTGGCAATCTGTCTTCCACGATTTGATACTACAGCCACGCCATGTCCGTCTCCAGGACGTAGTTAATGAGATGATGACCAACTAATTGTTATTTGGTCTGTTTTTATTTCTTCCTCATTTCTCTGTATATAGTTCTTGTCTTCGACTATCTGGCAAACAAATCTCCACAGATGCTGCTTCACCATCTATCATTTGTTGCTTCAAATTTCTTTATTTTTATGGACTTAATAATGTCTGTTGGAGTCGAGTAGTAACAAAAACACCATGAATGATTGGTATATACTTGAGATGCATTTTGAACGAGGCGAAGCCAGACAGAAAGAAACGCAAGAAGCGCCTCGAGATTAACCCGTCTGAGCAGCCATTTTCGACTCCAATAGATGAATGAAGCAAGAAGGAGAGGAAAGAAAGAGGGCTATGATATATGAAACAGCAAGGATGGTATCAGGAGGTTCGAGAGATCACAGACGCAAGAAACACAACACATTCCAAAAGCCCTTTCTCTCCCTCCCCGGAAATCTTAAATCCTTGAATCCCATTCAAGTTTTAGCAGCCTTCTTGGGAGGTGGCGGGAAGTATATCGGCGTCGCCGTCTGGACTTCTGCGATTTCCTGCTGCGACGAGGACTGGGTTGTCGACGTGTTGGATGTGTTAGAGTTATCCCGCAGCGGAAGATCCGACGAGGTGCTGCCGCTCCCAAGACGGTTAAATGCCAGAGTGCGCGGAGTGTAGGGCGAGATGCCTCCTCCAGCGGCGACGGGTGGGATTCCCGGGGTGCGCGGGATCATGGGAGGCGGGCGGGGCATGGTATTGGGGGTCATGGGGATCATGCCGGAGGAGGTGATTCCCGGAGAAAGAATGCCCGGGGACTTGAGGATTTCTTCTTCGAATTCCTTCTCGACGCGCTTTTCTTCTCGCCGCTCGAGGATTTCGTCGCGTTCCTCTTTGGTGATGAAGCAGGAGTGGACGCTGACGCCGAACTCGATGGCATAGAGCACGCTGTAGAATCGGCGTTAGTTGGTGGTTATGGACACAACAAGATGAAGAAAAAGCGGGGAAGGCTGGGCAATCGACATACATGATGATAACAGTGATGGCAAAGAGCGCCTTCGCTTGCATGCAGTACGGGATATTCGATGGGCGCTTGGCGACACTGCAGTTCTTTGTGATATACCATGGCGCGCCTGGCTGTGGACGCTTTGGGTCGGAGTTATCGCTGCCTGCTTGGTAGCAGGCTGACACAATATAAAGAACGATCAGGGAGCCGTGAATGATCGCTGCGAGTGGGGGATAGAAGAGGTGCATGGAGTGGACTGGCAATTTGGTGATTAAAAAAAAGGTGCTTAGAACCCCGAGCACGAGGTTATACTGCGTGATGCTGTGATTTAGGTTAGCTCAACAGGTGATACATGAACCGTCTGGATGCCGAAGACGAGGACGTACAATGCTGACCACACCATGGGAGGTGTATATGGTTCATAGTTGGCTATCGCATACAGCTCCGTGTTCGGGGCGCTGTTGAACCCGTTGTCTGCACCATCTTGCCATAGTAAAGTCCGGTAAAGATTATGCGAAGCGATTCCCGTCAATGTCAGAATGACGATGGTGAACGGGAGCTCGGCGACCATCAACCAGAGGGCAAGTTTATGCTGCCGGTATTTTTTGGGGAAGAAGAACATCTTGGCGACGATGGCGGAGGGCGATTTCAGCTGAGAAATAGCTGTTTCAGCAGGCAATGTGCCCCTCGGAGTGAGTTTGTTTTTGATAGTGGACGGTGAGCGCTTCGGCCAGACCGGCTGGCGGGCATTCAGCCTTTTCGCATGTACCCAAACGAGAGGTTCTCGAGTTTTGACACAGAGAATGACAGTCGCAAGTCAGAAAAGCAAGGGTCTGGGCGATCCAGCGGGTGGGCGTTAGATATGAGCTCGAGGTCTCTCTCCCCCCCGGGCCAACCGAAGCGGTGCCATGGTGCTCAAAATGCAGAGAACAGAGAGGGGCGCGAATCAGCACGGGCGACCCGTGCAGGAAAGCCAGAAGTGCGTCTCGGAGGTGCATCTGGCCAATGCTTGGTGGCAGCAAAGCGCCAATGCAAGCAGCAAGCCAGGGTCATAACACCAATGAGACGCCACGAGAGTCGAGGACTGGTCGGCCGTCACACACTAGACCGTGTGATGGATGCGATCTGCATGGAACCCTCCGCATCACCTCAGCACCGGCCTTGGTCTCTCTGCTCTCTGCACTTTTGCATAAGCGCTCGGGTGGAGTTTCGGTGCTTTTGTGCAAGCGTCTCCAGTGTGTTCATTCGAGTCGGAGAGCAAAATAGCCGGTGAGCGGCCTTCTACTTCCACACTCAGGGAGTCAAGTATCTCATGGATAGCATGTATTATCCATGGATGTATCGAGTCAATTGTGGTAAACAATCGAAGCAAATTCCTTGAAACCCGAAAGAGACACCGTGAAGTCATGTGGTCGGATGACAACACCATGAACCATCGTCATGTCCCTGTAGACCCCAAATCCACCTGAATCGAGAAATTCAACGGTTCTTGGCCCATTGAGCGCCTATTTGGTCTGATGAAGGCGTTGCGATCGCTGTGTGCGCCTCGCCGACCTCGTCTGGGATTCCACCCTCGACTGATCACTCCACCATCACACCGACCCATTTCAGGAACAAAGAGCCAAATGAGCGCGCAAAGAGAAGACTCGATTCCCCACGAGCTGCGCACGGCCGCTGAGCCCCGGCAGAACCGGTTGTATCCGGTGCGGCTGTCGCATGTCGAGCAGGTCAACCCCTCCGTGCGGCTGCTGCAGTTGGCGATTCCGGAGAATAACGTATGCCAATACTTTCCTCCCCGGTTTTCTTTTTTGTTCTTTCTGTTTTGGCCTTCCAAGGGCTTCCCTGTCTCGGACTGAATTCTCCTTGGTCTTCCTGTATAGCATCTAAGGAGAGACTGCACTACAGGCAATCGCTGTTCCAGGCTGACATGAGTGCTTTTGTTTAACCCGGAGTACTTCGCGTTTGAAGTATAGAAAATGTATAGACACAACATATGGCTAATTCTTCGAACTACAGAGTGATCAACAGTCATTCGCCTTTCTGCCGGGACAATGGCTTGATGTGCATATACCCTCCATCGCCCACGCGGGGGGGTTCACCATCACTTCCACGCCAGCAGATGCGCAAGTACTGCCGGCGCTCGAGGCCGCAGCAGAGTCTGCCCCGGGCGAGGAGACGTCGCCATCAATTGAATCCCAAGGGCGACCACCCTACGTGGAATTGGCCGTCCAAGATTCCCCAGGCAACCCATCCGCCGCATGGTTCTGGAGGCCACAGCAAGAGATCTTAGGCCAGGAACTAAACATCCGAGTAGGTGGAAGCTTTATCTGGCCGCCTACAGGACTCAACCTGGCCGATATCCAGAATGTAGTCTTCATTGCCGGCGGGGTGGGCATCAAGTAAGTGCTGATCCTATACAAAAAGAAGAAGAAAGTTCCTTCTATCAGCAAAGAAAGAACAGACAACTAACCCAACCCCAGCCCTCTCATCTCCATCCTCTCTCATCTCAACATTCAACCCACTCACCCCCTCAACATCCATTTCCTATACTCCAGCCGCCTCCCCCAGGCCATGACAAGATAACCTCGCTCGAGACAACCCTCGACCAGATCCTGTTTCTTCCCCGACTCCGCCAGATCATCCGCTCCCAGCTGCACTCGCACCGTCTCCGGATTGCCTTGGATCTCTTCCTGACCAACACGGACGCCTCGTCGCGTCTCATCTCGACCGAGTCTCCCGCAGACTTGACGATCCACCCGAAGAGAATTACGGCGCATGATCTGCGCTCTGCGGTCGTGGGCGGGGACGGACAGGCAGATCCGCGGGGCACGGTGTGCTATGTATGCGGACCACCGAGTATGACGGATGAAATGGTCGAGTTGCTTAATGAGATTCTGGGAGAGGCGGCTGAGCAGCGGATCTTTTTTGAGAAGTGGTGGTGATACGGGAGAATAAATATAAAGTAGAAAAATGAAAAGAAGACAAGAACTGCGTCCACACTTCTCAAGACCTCATTCTTGCTCCTTCGGGGTTTCAAGACCATAAATTAATCAAGAAAACACATAGAAAGAGCAATAAAAATAGATGATAAGAGAAAAAGAGAAAAAGAAAAAGAAAAAGAATAGAAAAGAAGGAGGAATTTCAAGATAAAAGAAACAAGAGACATATGATCAAAAATAAGATAGGAGACACAATAGACGCACTTAGAGGTTTACTATCCAAGAACGGCAGCAGGGGTCGAAGCCAACGAGAAGGCCAGAATCGACGTAAAAAGGACGAGCGGAGTGACTTGAAAATGTATACTTCAAACAAAATGAAAAGAAAGAAGTTTTTTTGGCCTTTATATATTCACACACGAGATATAGTATAGAGGGCCAATGGTGCAAGAGACAGGAACAAAAATGCAGAAAAAACAAAACAAAAACAAAAGCCCGGAAGCTGACCATCGACAACAGGGGAAATTACCACGAAGGAACTTCCATGATCACAAAGTAGGAGAGGGAAAATGGTAGAATATTTCGGTAGGAAACAAAACCCCCAAACACCAACCATAGTGCAGGCAAGGAGGGGGAGAGGACAAAAACTATATGTACAGGAAATAAAAGAAATAAGATAAGTCACCGGCAACAGCGGAAACGACAGGTTGATGAGCTGAACAGAGATGCACTCGTCGCTGAGAACAAAAATGAATAAAGTGATAGAGGAAAAGAGAGAAGGGATGAAGAGAGAAAGGACACAGGCGAAGGAGTTATTCTGAGAGGTTCGTTTCGTCCGGGCCCTTGACGGTGCCGCCGTCCACGATCATCATCTCGTCGAGCTTGGCTTCGGTTTCGCCCCATTCAAGACGTTTGTAAGTCGTGACACGGCCTGAGAACATGTCGAAGTCGAAGAAGCGTACTCGTCGCACGTAATTGTTATAGCCGCCATAGCCACCCAGGCCGACTCCGCCACCATAACACATCCAGAGAGAAGGTTGACTCTTTGAATCGTGCTCGAGCATGCAGTAGTCATTGGCATGGTCACTACACAGAGGTTAGCTGGAACTGGACACATAATGGGTGCATTGAAAACAGGGGCTGGTTGGGTTGGGGGTCACATACTGTCCGCAGCTAACAAATACGACACCCTCTTCCTCGAGCGCGTCTTTGAATCCCGAGTTGAATGCCGGTGCAGTCGGGACCTCGGGCCACTGACCCTTCCAGTAATTTTCAGAGGTTCGGTATTCGGGCAATGGAATGTGGATGAATGCCAAGTTCATGTGGATGTGGGAGTATTCCCGGTGCTTTCTTTTCAAGCTCTGCGCGGTATTCTTGAACCATCGAGTCTGACTGGGCTTAATCCAGTCGTAGCCCCGGAACTGACGTTCGTCGGGGGAGTAGGAGTGTGTGTCAAGGAAGTAGAAGGTCAGGGCAGAGTGGGTGCTTTTGCCTCGGTCAAGGACCTCGACAATATAGTTTCCGACACCATCGATATCTTCGGGGCCGGCGGCGGAGAGAGAGTAAGGTAAATCCTCATAGATGGCCATCTGTTGCGACCGACTGAGATCACCTTCGTCGTCATGGTTGCCAAAGATGGCTGCATACGGGATCTTGCGCTCGACCAGCAGCTTCACGGCCTTGAACAGAGCGGTCTGTGCATCGGCTGCGGTGTCGCCATTGACCTGGTCACCACTTAAGACCACAAAGTCTGGCTGTTCTTCGTCGAGGAGCCGTTCTACAAATTCCAGCGTGCGGGGATCGGCCTCACACTTGTGGCCGGGCACGATCTCCGCAGGAACGGGGTCACGGCAGTCGCCCAAACCCGTACTCAGATGAAGATCTGCCAGCTGCATCACCTTGAACTTTCCATTCTCGTTGATTCTGGGGACAGGCTTCTTGGGCTTGGTCGGGTGGCCTCGTCGAATACTGAGGCGAGTCTCCAGTCGCTCCGTCCAACTGTCCAACAACAAGGGGGTATCTTTGACCTCCCAACCGAAGCGAGGGTCGACGACATCGGCCCCAAATAGGACATCGACATAGGTCACGGCTTTCTCCGAGTCACTGACGTGGCGAGTGGACGAGCGCTTGATCCAAAGCGCGCCCGGTCGCGGCTCCCATGCCTCGACCTCGGTTTTGCCAGTGTATTCGGATGTCGGGGTCAGGCGGCTGATTTTCAAGTCGACCACAACTTTATCGTCCGCACCCAGTTCCTCCTCTTTCTTGCGCTGGAATTGAAGAAAGGCGCTTGATGTCCAGCCCTTACGAAGGTAAAGATCTTTGGGAACACGATTCCAGCCTGAATCTAGGCTACATTTCGAGAAAGGATTGAGGGCGGAACACTTGGTGATCGTTACATCGGTGATCACGTAGCCGTCATAATGCATCGGGAGGTGTTCGTGGATGGAGGTGGGAAGGACACGGAACCGGTTATCGAGAAACACCACCAGAATCAAGACGATGGTGGTGAACAACCCGAGCTGTATGCCCGCACGGACCTGGAGAACACTCAAACGTTAGTCTACCAAGAGCCTCAGGAATTCAGGAGGGTAATCATACAAGCCGGCGAGCCATGATGAGGTTGGTATCACCCAGGCAAGGACTTGGAGCGCCACGAAGCGCACAGTTGCATGGTGCCCAACAAGGGTAAAAAAGAAAAGCAAAGAAAAGGGCTGCGATCACTACAGAGAAGACCGTTGAATTCAGGCCAACTCTCGCCCTTGGAGAGGATACAGGGCTAAAAGGTTTGTTTTGGAGCGATCGACTCGACGCTTGGGCCTGAAAGGCGGTAACCCTTTCTCCTGAAGGGCCCCACAGCGTGAGTTCATCTTTCTCTTCTCTTTGTGTCTCTTGTTCTTTCTAGATATCCCATTTGCCAATATATTTGCATTAGTCTATCAATCACCCCAAGTTCTATATGCACTCTTCTAAGCCTTGGCCGCCTCTTGGACCGACACCTTGCCGCTGAGGATGTCTTGGGTGGTGGACAGGATGGTGGACCAGTTCTCAAAGGTGTTGAAGGGCATGCCTCGGCGCTCACAGAAGGTCACCAGATCTATAGGGGCATCAGTCAGTTTCCAAAGCACCTCAGGCCGGGTCCCAACAGGTCGGTTCTTACCTTTGCCCTTCTTGGCAAACAAGAGGTCGGTTTCCGCGGCAGCCGACAGATCCGAGACACCGTCGCCGGCATACAGCATGATCGGACGCTCGCTCTCGGGCAGGTTCGCATAGGGCTTAATCTCCAGGGACTTGTCGTGGCCGAAGTGACTAGAAGGGGTTGTCAATCTTGCCCGCGGGAAGAAAGGACGTCGACGGGAGATGTCGCGAATTCCTCACCTGTCATCGTGATAGATGATCTGCCATCCACTTTCACTGTTGATGTTCTTGCCGTCTCGGCTAATCACGTCGTTGGAGACAATGTGAAGATGGTTGCCCGGCTTGTGGCCCAGGAACTTCTCGAGCAGGGCGCTAATGATCGGTCGCATGCCGGACGACAGGATGACGATGGGCACGTTGTTGTCCCGGGCCCAGTAGTAGAACTCCTCGAAGTACGGGTCCAGCTTCATGTTCTGCAGCAGCTTCTCGATACACTCGTTGTACGGGGTCTTGATGCTGCCGAGCATTTCACGGAAGGCATCCCTGGACCAGATCGTTAGACGGTCCTTGCCAGCAGATTGGGTATATGCGCGCTCACCGAAAGCCCAGAGTCTCGTCAAGAACCTTCTCGTTCAACTGGCGGCGTCGGTCGCCGCCGAAACCAAGATTATCGATCTGCAAGGATGTGTCAGTGGGTGGCAGGTACAATCAGAGTCTGCCGATATACCATGAAGTCATTGCCTGCGCTGGTCAGCGTTGGATCGTCCTGCGCCCGTGGGGACGCACTTACTGTCGTCGACCGTGATTGTCCCATCGAAGTCGGTGAAGAAGATCAGCTTCGGCTTCGTCTCCATGTACGGCAGCACCGTGGACCCCATTGTAGCGGTATAGAAAAGGTAGATACGAGCCTCTCAAGTTGACAGGAATGTGTCAAAAAAGATCCCCCGAGGGGCAGCGAGAGAGGGGCGACTCGGTGGAGCAGCGCCGGAGTGGGTTTAGTCGGAGCAGGGGCATTTCCTCTTTGGGAGTTGGGGTTTTCTGGATTTTTCTTTTTCTTTTTTTGACATTCAATATCAATCGACCTCGTCAATGCGCAACATTCATCCCCCAGATGGCTCGTCTCTTGCAATCGCTGCGGCGAGTCCTGGGTTTAAATTCATATCCATCCACCCACGCACGATCCATCGACACTAACTTCTCCATTCTCCGAGGTAAACTCAACCTCTTTGGACCAGCGCCAACGCCACGCTGATGCGATGATGCAGAGGGAGATCGGGTCGTGCTGCACACAAAGCAGCCTCAATTGACAAGACCCCTGCGCAAGGGCGACAAAACACCCGTCCGTCGGGGATACGTGGAACACGATCGCATCATCGGGAGCAGGGTCTGGGATGCGATCCAAACACACAAAGGTAGGGGGGAAATACCAGATTCTTCAGCTCCAGTGCACTGACGTCTCCTTCGGGTTCTATATAGGCCCTGATGTTCGGGTCAGCTTGCCGACGCTGGACGAATACGTCGCTTTGACCCCTCGCCAGGTCACGCCGGTATGCGCGTTCACTCTGGATATTGCGGACCCGACAAGGAATCGAGCACTCACGCTGTCTCGGTAGATCTATTCGCATGACGGCAATTTGATTGTCTCCCTCCTCGATATTCACGTCACTCCTCCTGCCGCAGGCGAAACACAACCTCCGTTGGAAATCCTCGAGTCCGGAACCGGCCATGGATCCTTGACTTTGCACCTCGCGCGCGCCATCCACGCCGCCAACACCACACCACCTCCTCGGCCACCCAAATCCCAGATCCAATACCTCGAAGGCCGGCCCAGGAGACCAGGCGAAGAAAATACCGAAAATAGCGCGGGGAACAATGAGCCCGCACCGGACGCCGATCCGGCGCAACACGACTGGGACGCATGGCGGGCGCAGCGCAACGCCATCATCCACACGGTAGACGTCTCACCGAACTACTCAGCCCTGGCTGAGAAAAACGTGCGAAGCTTCCGGCGCGGGCTCTACGCCGGCAGTGTCGATTTCTACGTGGGCCCCGTCGAGCACTGGATCGCGCAACAGACGAAGCAGCGAACCAAGACCGGCGTGCTCTCTTCCCTGACTGGGAAAACCACCGTGGACCCCTTCGTGTCGCACGTACTCCTCGACATGCCATCAGCGGAGCTCCGCATCCCCCATGTTGCGCCGCTTCTGAAGCGAGACGGCTTCCTGGTCGTCTTCGCGCCGAGTGTCACGCAGATCGGCGATTGTCTGCAGCTGATCCGCCGGCAGCGACTGCCCTTTGTGCAGGAAAAGGTGGTCGAGCTCGGCGCGGGACTGACTAGCGGCCGACTGTGGGATGTCCGGTTTGCACTCAAGAAGTCCGGCGCGGATCCGTCGTCTTGGGGCGCCTCAACGGACGCGGATGACGCTGCTTCTGGTGCCGAGGCGGATGAGGAATCGTCTGGTGCTGTCGACAGTCCTCCCGAGATCTCCTCCCCAGAGGAGACTCCCAAGGAAGAGGATGCGGTAATGGTCTGCCGACCTAAAGTTGGCGTGCGCACCCTAGGTGGAGGCTTCGTGGGGATCTGGCGGCGCATCGACTATCTTCCTCGCCTTTGAGCGGCTGTCCGTATCTTGCATATTTATTTTCTCTGTACTATACCACCTGTACTCTAATCTACCTAGCATGACGAGGTAATACTCGCTGTACAATAGAAATCACCGCAATCTTATTCTACCAATGACCATACTATACAGAACCTGCCTTGATACCTTCCAAGGTTAGTACGGCAAGTTGTACCTACTTCGAGAACAGGACTACAAGGAATCCTAGAGAGAGAGAAAAAAAGAGGAACAAAGCCACGCTCTATTCTCATCATAAGACGCATGGCAAACACGAGTACATGGAACAGGAAACACCCTTCGCCTGGAGACAAAAAAAGACAAGAGGCAGAGAGAGAGAAAGAGAGGCAAAAGACAAGAAGCAAACTTCACGGGCCACCTGTTCCACCCGAACACCAACCCACCCCGATCCTAAGCGTCATGAAGGCCGTCTCAGATCCCGTTAGAGAGATTAGGTGAGATGAAACCGAGATATGCCAGGAAACCAACCCCCCACCCCCCAAACTCATAGAGACAACACAGGGGTGGAAAAAGTGAAGACTGCCACGCGCCGTTGACTAGTTCCAAGAAGCGTCCAGAAGAGAGCAAAGAAGTCGACTGAACGAATGCCCCGACAGCAAAACAGAGGACGTTGAAAAAAGGTTAAGCAACGGAAGGGAGAAAAGAGACGGAAAATTGGAAGAGATAAAAAAAAAGAGAGAGAAACTCATAAACACGGAAGAAGTAAAAAAGAACAAGAGGAAAGTAGAAGAAAAAAAAAAGAAAAAAAGATAAGATCATAAAGATCATAAAGGAAAAAGCTGAGAAAACACCACTAAGACAGCAGGCTCAAAAGACCCGCCACCTCCCAAAGATTCCGAAATGACAGGTACAGAAGCCAAAGAGCAGAGAAAAAGACGAGAAAACCAGCAACACAAACACCCATCTCAGAAGATTCGAAATGCTCCATTCAGTGCCGTTGCGGCCCAAAATCCGCCTCCACAACCTTACCCTTTTTCCCCTTAACGGTAAACTCCGCGAACAATGCGACATGATCACTAGGAAAATGGAAATTGGGGAACCCAGGCACCCGGCTGAGATAGTTCTTGTCTACCTCGCCAAGTAACGCCGACACATGGAGAGTGTTCGAGGTGTACCAGACATAGTCCAGGATGTCCTTGAAGTCGGGGGTGTAGTTGGTGAAACTCAGCTCCCCAATTGACGAGTAGGCCGACTTCAACTTGAACGGGTGCGTCATCCCGACCCGGCTGAGATTGCCATACAGGCGTTTCTCAAGATCCGGGTGCTCCTCAGTCAATCGCCCGTTGGCAATCAGATTGTACGCAGCAGACCCCGGGGAGGAGTTGAAGTCACCACACATCAGGAGTGGGATCTGGTCACCACTAGCATACTCCATGGACGGCGCAGGCTCCGCAGGGGGTGCGCTCTCCGAGCCACTCTCTGCCTCCGAGAAACGGAAGGCGGCCTTGTCGGTGCAAGCCGGCCATTTGGCGTAGTTCTCGGAAAGCTTCGTGATTTCCTCCATCAAGATGGCTGTCTGGATCAGCTTGACATCCTTGAAGGCCGGGTCCCAGTAAAGATGAGCGTTCACAACAATGAACCGTGCCCCGGTTTGGCGGTTCTCCAAAAAGATCACCACGGCGATGTGGTCCTTCTGCCACAGCCGGTTGTAAATATCATCCTGGCCCTTGGCGTCGGGTCGCCGCACAGCAGTTTGACCAAAGTTGATCAATTGCTTGTCCAGCAAGATGTACTTGCTTCCTTTGAAGAAAGTGGCACAGCCATCCACGGTCCTGGCGTCTTCCTCCTGCATGCCCATCGCACGTCCTCGCGGCCAATAAACACCCTTGTAATCATTGTAGGCAAGCTGTTCTCGGAAGTAGTTGTTGTAGCTGCCCTGATCCACCTCCTGCAGGCAGACAATATCCGAGCTGTGGGATCGCAATTCGCTCAGAATAAGATCTCGACGAAATTCCCAGGACAAGATTCGAGAGGGGGCGTAGCCATAATGCGATTGTGTGGCGGACGAATCGCACAGCGTGTTGTAGGACAAGACGGTGATTTTCTCGGTGGGGGTGTTGGTCGAACTCGCAGTCTCATCCAGGATGACCCAATCGCGATCTGGGGGAGGAAGGTGGACTTTTGATTGAAAGGAGAAACATTAGCCTCGCCAGACACGAAGTAATTCTAGAGGTCAGTTAGGTATAACTCACCTGGCATCTTCTCCTTCAAATATTTGATGAGAGCCTTGGTCCCATCCTTCATGATTTGGGACTTGAGAACTTCATCGAGCGGGTTGCCCTCAATGCCCAAAGTGTCCAACCGATAAAGGTAGCCCATTTCATAAGGGAACGTGCGGATATTGTTGTCGAAGAGGAAGAGCTTCTTCAGATTTGACAGCATGCCGATTTCTTCCGGGAGCTCCGTCAAATCGTTACCGGAGAGGTCAAGATGGTTCAATTTCCGCAGGTGACCGATTGCTGTGGGCAGCGCCTTGAGCTTGTTGTGGTTGAGGTACAACTTCTCCAGGAAGTTATAGTTGAAGAGTGAAGGAGACATCGCCCGCAATCCTTGGCCACCAAAGTCAAGCGCATTCCAGCCTTGTCTGGACGCCGGTTTCGCTGTGGCCGTCCCATTGCGCGCATCCAAACCATTTTCCTGCGGCTCGACCTGGCTGGGCATGATCTGGATCCCCTTGGACTGCTGCGCCATAACCCGAGCGTAGTAGTGGGGCGAATTGGACTGCCGGGACTCAGCTGCCAGTTGAAGTTGTTGCTGCCAATGTTCGTTCATCGATTCGTCCAGGTCTTCATCCACGGTGGCGGGAGCTCCATTCTGTAGGTGAGTTGGGGTAAAGTGGGGAGTTGTGGTGGCCAGGGCCCCGCCGGAGAAATTGTGTTGGTGGGCAATGGTGTGAGTCGCCTGGGTGTGGTGCGAATGATGGTGAGGTTGTTGAGCATGATGCGGATGGTGGTTCTGCGACTGGAACTTGGGAATCTGCATGCCAAACCGCTGGTGGGTTTGACCGCCATTCATCATGACATGCTGTCCCTGGTGGCTTTGGCCATACATGGTGAAATGGTTGAGGGCAGCGGCTTGGTTTAAGGGAGGAGATCGGGAGGGAGAGGGGGTGTCGGGGTTGAACTTTAGTCGTCCCGTCGGGGAATTGGTTCCGTTTCGAATGAGGTGTCGTTGGTGGGAGTGCTGCTGCGGTTGTGTTTGGAAGTAGAACTGCCCGGCCCCAGGCTGCTGGAACCTGTAGGTACCATCTGCCATTTAACGTGGCAGACGAGACCGTGGCTTGTTTCCCTGATGGAAAACCTCGGGGCGGGCGAGCGGCGCTAGACTGAGAGCGGAAGAAGTGAGGAGAGTTGAGGATGGGGTACGGTCTCTTCTTCTCTTCCACATAGAGACCTTAGGCAAAACCAATCTGTCTATCTGAGCACGATTGAAATCGGTGGCCACAGACGACCTTGTGGTTGAGTGGCACAGCCTGGGGTCCCGTTGGGATCGAGCAGTGCGAAGGGTGGAGGGCAGGCAAAAGAGTCACAGGGATCGGGGAGGATGGAATTTGAGCTGATCTGGAGTATTTGAGGAAGCCAGAAGTCTCTTTAACTTAAGAATTAAGGCAGAGAAGGGGCCTATCGCACAGTTGTCTCTTGATCGAGCGATAGGTTGGAGATGACTGGTGCTAGGCGGTTTGCATCGAAGGCGGGAGGTCACCTGACCTGGATGGGGTTTGCCAAGAAATTGGCCGAATCCAGTTTCTTCGTTTCGTCAACAGTCAGACGTTCCATTCCACAGTTGGTGAATGAATACCGGGATTACTACACGTCCAAGGCAACAGTCGGGGGCAAAATTCACTTGAGAAGTAACAAACCTCAAATGAGGACTCAACGTCATGGAATAGCTTTCTGATCAGATAGACATCAGACGTCATTTTTCTTGTCAGTTCTTTTCTATCGCTTCTATGCGACCAAGGTGGATTTGGGAATATCTTTCACTTACTATGCTGGCTCACTGGGCTGGGATCAATGGGTCGGAGAGTGTTAGCTGCCTAGACATAGACCAGCGAATCACATAGCCACTGGGTTGTCTAATAACCTTAAGAATCAGGTCATGTCTTAATGGTCAATGACCTCCATGGACACTGTGGATAGCATTGCGTAAATAGACCCTTTTTTTCTTTAAAAAAGATCGAAAAAGAGAAAGAAAATCTAATATAATGTCTCTTACTGATAATGGATATAGACAACTTTGAAAACATCTGGTTTTCCTCTAAGAAGGGCTTGTAGAGTTTCATTGTCAAAATAAACCAATAATGAAAATAAATCTAGTTTTTCTATTTTTTAGAGAAAATAAAATCCATTCACGCTGGTAGTAAGATACCTCGGTATAAATGAAGATCCACGAGTCTATAGGCACTCCATGTCGGTATCATACCAAGGCCCTAGGAGAAGAAGTAGAAGCAAGCCCAGGTTGAGCCCTGTGTTCTTTTAGTAAAGACGCTTTTTATTATTCCAGCCGTTTGCTGCTCTATATTTTATAGCCCTATAGTCAGCCTATTTTCTCCTGTGTGTGATCATAATTAAGTAAATCCTCAATTTCTTGCGCCAGCAGATCAGACAAGAGCTATATCATTTCCCAGTCTAAAGTAGTCTGCTCAATAGGCAACGATGTATCCTAGGTTTGCTGGAAGTTCTAAATCTCATAAAATTTGCAGGATCAATGGAAGGAAGTCTCTCATCTGAGAGATAAAAATCACATAGAACACATACCATATTCAGTCAGATACAAAAACTATTGAATTACTATCTATCATCCACTTTTTTTTAGGGGGGGTTCAATATTTTCAAGTAGGTATATAATATCCTCTATTGCCTAGTCGCAGTAAGGGGAAAAGTATAGATATAATATATAGGGGGGAGAGAGGTAGAGAGAAAGAGAGAAAAAAGCTATTTACATATTTTAGTAAATATCCTAGGCACTAATCTAGGTTAAAGGTGCGGCTATAAAAGGCTTATTTTGTTCACTTCTTCTTCTTCTTCTTCTTCTTCTTCTTCTTCTTCTTTCTTTCTTTCTCTCTCTCTCTTTCTTTCTTTCTTTCTTTCTTTCTTTCCTCGCAGCCAAAAGCCCCTCTGAGCCGAGGGGTCAATAAGTCCTCTGCTACTGGCTCTCTGTATTGAGTAGACCTGAAAACTATTCCAAGATGAATAGTAATATCTGTCTTTTTTCTATTCGCCCTTTCCCTTTTGAACTTTGGAGCTACCATGACTTTTTTCACTGCACTTCCCTCTCTTCTTCCCTCCCTCCATCCATCACTGTCTCCATCTCTTTTCCGTCTACCAGAGCGCATTTTACTTACCCTGTTTTGAGCAAGTCCAGCCATGCCACCTTTGCCCATGACTCGTTCCCAGCATGAGCTCTTCAACGCTGCAGTCCAGGAAATCAGCGCCACCGTAAATCGTGCCATTCTGTCGGCCCAAATAGGTACGACAAGCTCATTTTCTTGCCAATGATCTGGGCTACTGTCAAATTGAAGATCAGCTTCTCTACTTGTTCGGACAGCACTTCGGATTTGAGACCAAGAGAGTTGCCCTGCCCCCGTACTCTCAGATAAAGGCACATCAGACTACAGTGAACGAAATCCTTGCCACTATGCGCTCCACAACCTCAATATCACTGCTCATGCTTTTACTATGGGGGGCATTCGACCATAAACCAAAGAATGCCAAGAATTGAAATACAGTAACTCTCATTCGTTTATCATCACAGCACCTAGCTAATATTGTTGATTAGTGAGGCAGACAATCATCCCGTCTCCTACCACTGGCACTAGCATCCTTCAGAGTCCAGAGGACGTCGAGCTACAACATCGGTTCATAGAGAAAAAAAGGAGGAAATAGGGATCTAGAAAGGATTGAAAAATGCCGATTGTAGTAAATAGTTATCTGTATGTTAAATATAGATGAGACCTCTTAAATAAGATGAAAATGAGTTAAAAAGGCCTTAAAATCCAATTGTTGTTATTCTCGACTATATTCTCCAAAGCTGTCTAAACGAAGCGAGGGTTAGCGGCTTGTGTGATATCAAATAATAAGTCGTATGGCTCATTCCATCCCAGAAACAATAGTTCTTGTATTTGCTCTTTGTATTTCCCATTTTAGACTAATTCGATCTTAGCTCGCATGACGGGCCAAACAACTGATATCCTTGAGCTTGGTGACTTTCTCTCTCACACTCTCTTTTCCTTAATTTTTTTTTCTAATATAGTTATTCTCAGGTTGAGTATCTCGCAGTCCATTCTGTCTATAGGACGATAAATCTACTATATTCAATAGCGTCAATCAGCACGGAAATATATTCCGAATCCACTAACCCCTCTTGTTGGACACCTTTGCATAGATTATTCTCAAAGATCAGTCCCCACTTATCCACAATAGTTTATCTCAATAGTCCAAAGATCTACATAGTCGACTGCCAATCCACACGAGAACTCTGCCTTGCTTGCCCTGTTAGGAGACGCAGGGCTATGGAATTATATTTTTCAATCGAGATCTTGCTCCAGTGGCTGTAGAATAAGAAAGAACAACTTGCTCACTGATATGTCAAGGTTAATCTGGCGGAACTCGTCCGCATCGCCGTCCAGGTGACTAGGTCCAAGTCTTATCTGCAAATACAAAAATTTCCGGAAGGGAACTTCAACAAGATCTCTCTCATCGCTATGGATGATGCCAAATAGGTTGTTGCAAAACTTCCTAACCCAAATACTAGGCGCCGACACTTTACCACGTCCGTAGGGTTCCTTCTACGGACCGGGCCAGTATCAACCCATGGTCACATCCAAGCAACAAACGTTGCAGGATTATATCAAAGTCGCGCGATTTCTGTCACCAAAAGATAACGAACTATCTAAGCCGGTCCTCTGGCATCCCGATTTGCATAGAGACAGCATCTTTGTCAACCCAGACCGGCCAACAGAGATTCTTGGTATCATTGACGGGCAGGCCGTGAACCTAGCACCTCTCTTTCTTCAAGCGCGCCATCCCGCTCCAGTCGAGTTCGAAGGTCCTATCCCCGAGTGCCTCCAATCAATCAACCTGCCAGAGAATTTCAACGAGCTGAGTCCGCCGGAACAGCTCGAGGCAAAGAAACCTCGAGCGGCGCAGTCGCTTTACAAACTCTACGATATCCAATTAATCCGGCAATGTCCTGACGTTGCGAATGCACTGCAGTTCAAAGAGTCGCTCGCTGATCAAATCACAGGTCTGGCGGGCTCTCTCTTTAACGATGGAGAGCCAATCGTCCAGGGCATGCTCATGAAGCTTCAGGAGGAATGGTCGAGTTACGCTGGATCTTCTATCCTTTTGTCCGCTCTCTTTTACGGCAGAGGACAGGGAACAGCAAAGAGAAAACGAGGCAAAATGGGCCTGCGGGGTTGAACTCATGGAGGCGTTTCTCGACCAGGTCGGGGCATATCGAAGATGGGATGGCTGGGTCGCACACAAGGACTACGATCATTTCAAAGAACGATTGGAACGATGTCGGGAACAATTTGTGAATGAGCACTCCGCGACAGACGAAGAGAAACGCCAGTGGAGGGCCGTCTGGCCGTTCATGGAGACATAGCAGCATTCATTCGTCTGATCTCAGACAAAGAATCTTGGATCTATCACTTCTGCTTTTTCTTCTGGACCAGTTGAGCTGAGTTCTCGAGATCCAGTAATCTTCACATTCAAGCCAAAATGAGCTTGATATTGCACCCCACCCGAGACATACACAGCACCAATGACAGTAGAACACGCAACCCCCACACTGCCTTGCGACCGCAGGATTATTCCCCTCGTGGGAGACTCGAGTCAGCTGGTATGTATGGGAGACGATCATGGAAGAGGTGGAAATGTGGATACAATTGAAAATGGGATATTGAAAATGAAAAAAAAAAAAGTCTAGTCAATCCCCTTGGCAATAATATTGAATCCAAAAAGAAATAGAAAAAAGAAAAAGAAAGACCAACGTACGATGTCGATCTGCTGGCTGCAGGTACAACTCAGGGGGCCGCTTTCGATGGCGGCTTTAAGCCATGAAACCCGCAGAATACCCCTCATGTATAGTACAGTACATATGTACATAGTACTATATAGTACATAGTATGGCCAGGCAAAAACTCGCAAGGGCCATCAGACACGGGCCAAGCTGCATTGCAACCATGCAGAGATCTTCGGGTATTGTTACGACCGTTGATACATGACCTTACTCCATGTACAGGGACTGGATGCATCTCAATGCCGACCGAGCTTGATCTCTATACTATATTAAACAATATGACGGCAAAAGGACGGCCGAAAATGGCCGCCATGGACGCCATTTTTGGCCGCCCATTTGCCAACCCTTCTTCCACCCACCATGCCTGCCTACATCCACGCACCCCCACCCCACCCTCTGCCAGCCTCAGTGCTCCGCAGCAGCCTGGTCCAAACACACCCTGGTCGGTTTGCCAGCTTTGACCCTCAACGTGGCCTTCACCTCATCTTCTTCCCCACCCTCAAACGAAACCCACCCTAGTACACGAGGATGCCGAAAATGGCTCTTTCAGGATTCTTGCTACTTAAAATTGTGGTTCCTCCCCCTCTGGTTCTCGGTTTAACGCCTCTAAACATCAGCGGCGAGATCCCTCTCGACTCCTGTTCTATACTGCCCTTTTCATTTTGAGACATAGGCCTAACTTCGAGGATCCTGCGATTTACTCTTCTTTTTCTCATCCATAACTACCATCGTCATGGACCGCCACTCTCGCAGCAAAGCCAACTACCAGTCATCGAACGACAGCACCTACTCCGAGGGAGAAAGCTCCGAAGGCATTCAATCCGACACTGATCTAACGGAGCCTGAGGTTGACGACGCTCAGCCATATGATGCTGGCGATGCGGCCCTACTCTTTGCAGATAACCAGCACCCACCGGAGTACTACATTCAGCAACTTAGGAACTTTGACGAGACAGTCTACACACAGGAAGACTATGGCAAAGGCACTAAAGCCCTTCTCGATCGGGTTGAGGAGAAATGGTCCCAGTAAGTTCTCGTCTCTCAACCCCCAGCTCATCTTCATTTGGTGAATCCTGATCTAATGCTTACGCCACTTAGGTTCTGCTCTTTCCTTCGGAAGGACCCGCAGGAGGAATACCAACGCCTATCGATCCCAATCCTGTATAACTTCCTAGATTGGGTTCTCAACTTACGGCGAGGTAAAAATGGAAGAAAGGTTCCAGGTATCAAGTGCAAGAGCTCTCTGGACACGTTCTGGAAGGTGTTTCGGCTAGTCTACGAGAAGACCACTTCGGACAAGATCGGAAAGCAGATGAACCGTCAGATGCGTCGGGTACGAATGACCCCTCTTAGCCATGCCTGGTTAGCCTAACCTTTCACCCACGACTAACGTCGAAATCTAGGTTATCCGGCAATTAGCCAAGAAGCATAAGCTATCTTCTAAAGGGCGCGACAAGACTTCTTTGGACGTTGAGGACCTTACAAAGGTCGTAGAGACCACTATCAGCACGACCAAGAAGAAATTTGGCCATGGTCGCCATCGTATTGAGCTTGGGCTTTTCTTGCAACTCGCTGGCCTCACAACAAACCGTCCTCAAGCGATCTTAGACCTGAGATACCGTCATATCCGGGTCAGTCTACTCCGCGATCCTCACGGGGGTCCTCACCGGATCGTGATCGAATTTACCTTCGAATTCACCAAGGAATGGTTGGGTGCTAAGGATATGTAAGTCTTTCGAGTCTATTCTACCATGCTTGTCTGACGTGTCACGCAGGAATACTTACATTCTCCCCGAAATCATCTTTGACCCGTCATTGGTCCTTAGCCCACATGTATTTCTCTTGGGTCTGGTCTTCGCTGACCATGCATTTGACCGCGTCGACGGCGAGGAGGTGCTTGTATCTGCAAACCAGCTCCCTCGACTGCGAATCCGTGATGAATGCAATGAACTACGGCTCCAACTTGACCCAAAGCTGGACGATGTGCCAATATTCCGAATGTCAGAACGTAGTTTGCATGGAATTGGCATATCCCCAGACCAGCCTCTCCCCTACTCAACTTTGGAGCCATGGGTCAAGAAGATCGGTGCAATCACTGGGTTTCAACAGGTAACTCGTCCTTACAGCTTACGCTATGGGGCTGGAACAGCCTTGGACAGCAGTGGTGCGTTATCCTATCATTTTCCGAGCGACCAGGAAACTAACCATCTCTCAGGCTCTGTCAGCGATCCACTTCGCAATCTCATTATGCATCACGCCGACACCCGCACATTCCTAAAGTACTACCTTAGCCGGAGAATTTCCAAAAATCTTCCTGCAATTATTCGCGGTCTTAACCCAGAAGACGATATAATGCGCGCCGCTTGCCGGATGAGCCGAACCATTGATCCGAACCGTCCGCAGGAGCTAACAAGCCAGCAATCGTCATCTGTCAACCAACTGCCCGAGATCCTTGAGCTAATACGCCGACGCAATGAGCTTAGTCAGTTTCTGGGGCGTCCTCTTTCCCGGCACAAGGGGACGGCAAAGTACATGGCGTACAAGAAACTAAACCAAGAAATAGCTGGGGCGAGACAAAGGGCACGGAACTCGTTGCTCTCGCAGATACAATTGAAATACGACCGAGAGCAGCCAATGTTAGATATTCAGCAGCAGTTATCCGGGGTCAAGCTTGCTGAAACTGCGAATAAACTGTTGGAATGCCCCGACCAGATGCCTATTCTACAAAAGCGACTCGTCGAGAGCCTTTTCACCCTGCCGCGATCCACACTAGAAGAAGAGATGGATCGACGGACCGAAGCAGTCGATGCAGTGTCTGCTTATTGTCAGTTTCAGGAAGGCGACACGTGCCGTTTGCCACGGAGCAAGCAGCTAGAGGACATTTTCGCTGAGATGGAGGTTCTTGACAACCGACTAGTGGAAAGCGACGCTAAAGAGAGCAGTCCTCAACCAGTAACGCCTCTTGAAGACGCCCTTCAATCTGTCATGAAGGATCATCGGCCTCGATTTTGCTTTATTTGTCTGGGCCAACCGGACTTGGATATCAAAAAGCGCATTCAGAGATTTTCATCGCATGGGGATGTCACTAAACACATCAAGCGAAAACATCTTCAAAATCTTGCGTCAAGCACAGTCCTTGCGTGCAACGTTTGTGATAAAGAGTTTGCCGAAGTCATGCACTTTCAGCGTCATGCCGATGATTCACATTCAACTGTGACGGGACCTCTGTGGCGCATGGCTGTCCACTAGCAACCCCCCCCCCCCCCCAACCTTTTTTTGTGATTGTGTACGTTTGTGTATAGGACTTCCAGAGAATCGAATTTAAGTACAGTACCTTTAGTCACGTCCGAGCAAGAGTGTAAAACAGGACGCCACTGCGATGGATTACATATTGCTGTAAGCGCGTGAAAAAGTTTTCATCACATGATGATATTTCGAAGACACGAACGCATCTGCAAAATCTCAGACCAAGCACGGAGCTTGGTTGCAGTGCTTGTAACAAACAGTTTACCGAGGTCATGCACTTTCAGCGCCATGCCAATGATTTCCACTCGACTGTGACGGAGCCACTGTGGTGTTCAATCGTTAGATGATAACTCATTCTGGCATTCCTGAGAAGGGTTGACAGTTCTGATCCTGAAAATATAAATCGCCTCATTAGTTTTTTTTTGCTCGGATTGTTTGTATATCGCAATGTGAACAAGAATTTGGTGGAATCTCGTAGAAGCCTATAGCGTTTATCTATCAATCAGTTTGGTAGACAGCTTTAGCTCTTGTTCTCAGCCTGCACATATCCCCTATGCACTTGTCACCGTCAACTGAAAATAATTCTTCAATTTGGAAGATCAGTAGATGGTAAGACCTAAATTTACTGGTGCCAGGTTGGTATAGGTTCACCATATATCCATCGATAGCTTGATTTGAAACTGGACAAAGCATCATGCTATGTATGCTTGAGCTCCTGTGAGACTGTTTACTTGAAATGTCTGGCTTATATTGTATCTTACTGTGTGATAAATGTCGTCATTCCATTCTACAGTTTCGATTGTGCCACCTCATCTGTGGATATGAATGAGTGATATTCATATATGGCTTCAGAATAGCGGCTGGTATGACTAAAGAGTCATATGATGGAGAAATTGACCTTCCAATGTAGATTCATAGAAGAAGTATAACATGTTACCACCGGTGCTTATTGTAAATTCTCGCCCCGGGAAGATTGCTGTGACATCTGAATTTGGCACTCAGTCATCTTAACTTGATACAACTGCAGCATGAGCGAGAGCGAAGATTTGAGAAAATCAATCTGTTCCACCATTTTCATTATATCCCGTTTTACTAGATTCCATGTAAGCTTTCTTATCAGTCTGTACCTGTAGGGCCGTGCATATCCAGACAGAGCTGTCTCCATTTCTGACATGAGAAGTGCATTATCAAAGAGTATTGACGTGCCCGCTCCCTGTAATTCCTCACTGAATGACATAGCATCGATGACACCAGCAGCCGATTGTAACAGTTCAGAATATTGTCCTAACTTTCGCGAAAGAAGCCGTGCTTCTTTACACTCGCCATTCATATCATGGAAAATATTTGTGAGTTTCAAGGAAAACTCAGCGGCTAACACGCAGAAACCTGTGATACTAGTTGCAGCGGATAGCGGATCCAGCCTTCGGAATTTGCTAGCCTTGGTATTATCGCGAGAACATGGCTCGTTTGGGCTACCGCTCTGAATTTGACTCGGCTGTAGTGAGCCAGTCATATTGGCAGGTCCTAGGATTTGAGGACTTCTGAATTGTCGCATTGTATCAGAAGGGGTGATATACGGATGCAATTGATCATTCCGGTCCACTTCTATTCTCTCCGCCTGGGACAGTTTGTCAAGGTTCATCGAGGTCAGATATTCATCGATGTCATCAGCTAAACTTTGCTGGATACTATGCTTTGCGCTAGTTCCTTGGAATGCAAGTGTTTCCTCTTGACTTTTGGCTTGTTGTTCAAGTGAATGAAATGTAGACGGCCGTAAGCTTCCTCTTTGTGTTGGATCAATTGGCATAGCAGGTGTCGTGTTGTTTGAATCATCTGGCAGCGTATGAACCCTTCCAGGAGGCTGTATATCCGGTCTCTTCTGTAGTCGTTCATAAACAATATTTGTTATATGATCGACTTGGTGAAGAATTTGATATCCACCCATCAAAGGAGGAACTATAGGGGAATACCGCAGTGGGGCGAGATGTGTATGTGTGTGTGAAGTGCTGTAAGGGCCGTCATTAAGGAGATTATGCGATGGTGATACGGACATAGGCAGTAACTGTGAGCGACTGCTAATCATTGCGCTTCACGGGAGGTCAGTAGATGACTTGCAACGGTTATATCTGTACTTACTGTATGCTTGTCGATATGGCTAGTTGGACAATTTGAATCTGATTTCCAAGACCCTTCCTGAATATTTGGAGGTCAGCGGCAGCTCGGAGTGCCCATTGGACCTTTCTTGGAGCACTGCGGATTGAGCCTCGGCTGGAATTTTTGCCCAACGACTTCTCATATTGCTTAATGCTCTTTTTGAACGTCTCGACAAGTCTTTGCATATTTGTCGAATAATGAAAAACTTTTCGCTGAAATGACTCAGGAACGATAGAAAGATCGAGACTTTGAATCTCCTCTATGAGAGAAAGAAAAGCTTCACATTCCTCTTCAGCGTGCTGGTATTCTGATCTGGGACCGTCCTCTCCGAGGGAAGACAGAATCTTGTAGGTAAATTTTGTGAGAAGAACGATATCGCCTGAACTAACACCGAAACTCATATTGATTGTAAGGATCAAAGTTGTCGCTATTTTCTCGCTGAATGATACTGTAATGGTCGGATTGAGTTGATGGATGCTGTGCAAATAACTAAAGAAGCCGCTTGAAAAAGGGAAAAGAGAACTGACCAAGCCCTCGGAGCCCCGCCCCCGCATCCACTGGTTGGGCCTCCACATCGTTGCCCAAAATCCACTATGATTCCATGGAATTCCACCGAAATTTTGTACACATTGCGTAACTTTGACAGATATACAATACTTTTGCAAATTGTATGTTACGGTGACCTCTATCTAATGTGGCGTGCCCAATAATTGATACGCTAAGGCCTTGGTGATGGGTCCAGGAAAGAGTAACTCACTGTGTATCGGTCAAGCCGATTTCAAGAACGACTATAGGCTTGATATAGGTGTGCGAATGCAGTGGATATTAGTGACATGTAAAGAACATGGGATGCAATTGTGCCTCTACAGATGATTCGAAAGCTTAATCCGATCTCCTGTGCATGGGCGATGCAAAGCCGGGGTATCTTAGGATACTTCAAACGCAATGAGGTATAATACACCGTAAACGTAAGCAAATTACTAGCTCTGCTTGATCTAATAGCAACTAATACATTGAAATTAACACTTGAAAATGAAAAAGCAGTTACAGTAATGCGCCGCGATATGGGATTTTGAGCAGCATCGGATGTGGTAAATTCATGGTTCAGTAGGGAGAAGTATGGTTTCCGATGTTAAAACGAGTGGCCTGAGCCTATAAATGCTCAGAATATCCTCAGTGAGTGCATAAGATAGCTCTCAGTGAGGGCGAGACTGGTGGCTGTAGTTCCGACCCCACAACCTCAGTGAGGAGGGCCGTGCAACCTCTCCATTATTGCTGGACGGTTAAAATCGCATGTCTTCGTAATATTCTTGCGAAAGGGTCGGATTACAACGTAATCCATCCAAGTAAATAGCGTTGGATCGGCTATGTAGCAATAATGAATAGGAAAACCGGATCACTAATAAGGAGACGGCTCCTTCCACGGACTGGAGAATTTGGTGGTAGGACCAGGGACTCTGACGACCCCGAGAAGCATTTTATAAGACAGGAGAAGGCTCAAGTCTAGTGGAGTTACATGTTCGCTGTAAGAAGGCCGCCGATGATTTCAGGCCGATGACTAGAGACCAAGACGGTAACTAGAACGAGGAGGTCTAGGGAACGGTGTTATATGCCCCAGAACTGAAGAATAGGAAAATGAGACCATTGATTTAGAGTTGAAGACACTGGCCCGCAGTCAGAGGACACAGGGCCAGTGTCGCACAAGGTCTTGAGACTGCGGTCTCAGGACCTGGCGGGCCACCGAACCACCAACTGGCGTCCTCTGCGATTCCAAGGCCTGTTCGGCTATAAGTTTCCCTACCCAAGACATAAAATAACTTGAGACAGGAATAATTCTACAAGATTAAGGCAAGATCCTGGTTTTCCTCATCCGCTTTGAGCATCTTGGCCACCTCGGCCACATTCGCTGGCGTTACCTCAAGCTCCTGCCAGAGGCTCATCAGAACAGTGTTCGAGCCATCGTGCATTGCGGCTCGGACACATTGCGCGGCGCTGACCAGACGCAGCTTTTTGTCATAGAACCGCGCATGTTGGTTATCTTTGCGAGCATATTTATTCGCTATCCGCTGTGCTTCTGACGTATCGTTCGGGTCGACCTGGACCTTGTCCGTGACATGCCATCCCCCATTCTCGTAAGCTTTGAAAGTGATCGTGACCGTATTCGGGGGAGGACGTCGACGCGGATGGAGTGCTTCTGGCAGAGGCGGGGCAGTGAATTCGCCTATACTCTGACCTGAGGCAACCGCCTCGTCCAGATCACCTTCAGTTTCGCGCGGTTTCTTTCTATTATTCTCTCCTTCGTTGTCCGACGGTCCCCTGGGTTCGGGGTGGGCCGCTGCCTCGTTCTGTGCAATGATTTCTGCCGGGCTTTGCTGATTGGACTGCCCCCCTTCAGTTGTTTCTACGGTATCCTGATCCATACCCATGATGTCAAACTGAGTGATGGCCTTCGCCGCCCTTGCACTTTGTGCCATTCGACCCCGTTGAATGACTTGATCGGAATGTAAACTCGCTGCCGCTGGTCGGTCAATCGAACCAGTTCTTTCCGTCACAGACTCAGATTGGGCCAGCGTCTGTTCGTCGGGTTCGGAAATCTGCTTGTCTGGTGAGGCAGATTGCTCTGGAACTTGCTCAAAGTTCGCTGCCCTTGCTCGTATCTCCGCTCCCTGTTCAAGTTCTCGAAGCGCTTTCTGTACCGCGTTTTCCGCAGCATCTCCTTCGTCATCACTTCGCTGCAAGATTTCTTGGTTTGATGGGGCGAGGTTCGGTGATTGCTCGGGTCGCTGCAAATTGATAGCGTCGGAGTCATGTTTCGAGGTTTCCTCTGGAACACAGGCATTGGGAGATGACTCCTGTTCGAGCGACTCCTGCTCGTATTCTACAGTCATCTGTGAAGACCGAGCTGAATCTTGGTGTTGAGACGGATTGCCTGGCGGCAATGGCAGTGCGGTTTCAGACACGTCCTGTGCATGCTGATTCAGATTTTCAGACTCGCTCAAGTAAGAGGTTGCATAGTCAGAATCCCCTACGACGCTCATGCTTTTCGTTTCGGTAAGTTGTTTCGGAGACTGCTCCTCTTGTTCTTGCTCCTCCTGCTCTTGCTCCTCCTGCTCTTGCTCCTCCTGCTCTTGCTCCTCCTGCTCTTGCTCCTCCTGCTCTTGCTCCTCCTGCTCTTGCTCCTCCTGCTCTTGCTCCTCCTGCTCTTGCTCCCCTTGCTCCCCTTGGCCCTCATGATCGGCATCGGGCAAGATCTCTGAGTCAGGTTCGGAGCTACATCTGGGGTCGTAGGCGAGAGCATCTCGCATTGCATACTCATTCTCTCCGATGGTACCAGTGTCGCCAAGAGATCTAATCGAAGCCATATCTTCAGCCTCGGAAGAGGCCTGCGCGGAGTCACGCATGATTGTATCGTAGTCGGCATTGCTGGAAGCAACCGGACTGTCTGTTTCAAGAGGAAGGGAATGTCCAGCAACTCTGTCTCGCCTTTTTCTGCGGCGTCGGTCCCTTTGTTCGCGCCTTTGACGTCGTCGCTCTCGACGTTGGTCTTGTGCAGAGGTCTTTGTATGCCCATCCACCGGAACGAACAGAGGGGACTGCGGATTGTCTGTGTTATCGAGTTGTTCTCTGCCGTCAGTAGAAGGGTTGCCAAAAAAGGCGAAATATACACATTGTCTGACATAAAACGAAGATACTACGTCGGAAGTCGATGGACTCTTTGCATGTACACGGTCCAGAAATAGTAGTGATCGATCTAATAGATGCATATCTTGACGTGGTGGCCCACAGCGAGAGCGAAGCCTGGAAACCCCACGTAGGACAACATTGGACGCTGGGTGGGTGCCGTAAGCGACAGCGGAAGCGAAACATTCTACCACTCGGTCGATGAGAGATTCAAATGTATCCGCATCATACCGATAGCTGCCCGGTTTACGTGCCTTAAGGAGTGCCTCACGTGCAATCTGCCGATCAGGAGCACATTTCAATAAGTCTGTCACGGAGGTCGAATCGAACCCCAGTCTCTGTGACAAAACGGCCATGTCATGGAGTACGATCTCGTCCGCTTCGCCGCAACTGCTTTTTGCAACGACTTTTTTGCTCGTGGGTTTTCTTGCTAGCTGCGGGTAATGGCGCATGACAAACAACCACAGTTGTCGATAAGCCAACTCGAAAAGATCCGATGTTGAGCCGGCTTGGCTCCGGAATGCCGCTTCCGATGTTTGCACTGGGCATGTCTCTCGGCGGCCGTCAAACTTGAAAGCGTGCTTCATGGCCACTCTTACCGTCGGGCATCCTTTGCTGAGTTCAACTAGCTGCTTTATGCCGTTTGCGCAGGCTTCCAAGTAATTCACGTCGCGAAAAAAAGTAAAGAGAGATGGAATGATACCGTCACAGGCGTCGTGGGTACTCATCCTCTCCCAGATAGCGGTTCTCTCGGGTTCTGTCAAGAGCGAGAAGGCTTCACCACTAAGAATCATACCTTTGATAGCTCTAGCATCTGCAGCACTGGCTGCTGGGGCCTTTAACTGAAGCGCCTCCACGGTGTCGATATCGATTTTCGCCATCTTTTCTCGATCATCGTCCACTAGAGTTGACCAAAATCTCTTCACGTGCTGTAAATAGTGGACAATTTCCTACACAATTAGCAAAAAAGAATTCAGAGTTTGCAGAAGGTTGACCGACTTCATCGCATTTCAGTGCCAGTACACGATTGAGAGAACCAATGCTCATACTGCCCCAGAGTCCAGGAATTGGTAAAAGTGCATCGAAAGCGGTACATATGTCAATATTATCAGGCGACATCAACTGCCGTAGTCGCTTGGCTTTGTTGTCCGATAGGCGTGCCCACCATCGTTTCTGAAAAGGTGCATTATGCTCATTTTGATACTGTCGAAGTTTGCGATATATCTCGCCATCACTTGGCGGTTTCTCGTTCGCATACTCGTCGATAAGGGTGTTTCGTAGATCAAGGCTTATATCTGTCGGATGTCAGTCGAAGACACCAACGGGAACATTCGTGCACAGGGAAAGTATCCAAGTGCAGTGCGGGCTCACCATCAAGATAAAGGTCAACGGTCCACCATCTTTCGCTGGGAGCAAGAGTTTTTTCGGCGGCCTTGAGACGATGCTGACCGTGAAGACAGTGAACTTGGCCAGAGGGGAAGCAGAGAACCGGGTTTTTCTCGGGAGGCTTAGTCAGTAGATCATCAGCTGTGATCCGAGCCACTCGTCGTGCACGCTTTAAGTGTCGACGGCTCACAACAGCCGTTACGTGGTTTTGTATATCAAATCGATGGCAGCCATCCTCGCGAAATATATCACATAACCTCTCAATATTTTTAGGATTGAGTTGTTGTGTGACAGAGGGATGACGTGATATCTGATCCAGACTGATTTTAGCGGTCCCCTGGTACTTTAGACGCCGCTCAGTGCTCAGTTGTAGCTCTGCGTCTGTGAACATGGATTGCTCCATCATCGAAAAATTTATGGGCATTGACTTGGAAACCTGAATGTCAAACTGCGAAGTTCCCATATTACTTTTTTTTTAAATAAATGCCGATGTAGTCTCGTAGACTAAATTTTGTCACGGCTCACTGTGGATACTCCAGTCTCACTGTGGACAGCAGTTCCCCCGCTGGGCAAACCAGCAGTCCTCCTACAAGTGCTGCAAGAAGGGTCACTATTAAATAAGACTGCGGTACTATAAACCTCTCCATTTCTTCTCTTCTAAGAGTCTTTTGGAGAAATCTCACCGACCCTTACCATGGACAGTCGAGAGGACAAACGGGCCACTCAATTTGATATGCTACAGGCGCAGGCGCATTTTCCTCTTTCGATCAAGGGACCTGCAAGCAATGCTGAGCAAACCTCCCTTTCTCAGGGACCATTAAAGCGTCAACAGAGCCCTGCGCCAGAACGAGGTCGTGCTCGTAAGGTCCTTAAGGGCCATCCAAAGCCCTTGAAGCTCCCTATGATAGTGGAATCGGGTGGATTGAGTCCAAGTGTGCAGAATTGCGACCCATGGGATATCTACAAGGTTATTTTCACATGTGACCTTGCTGGTCAAGTCACTATTAGTGAGAATCGCCACCAAGGCTCCAAAGTAGTAGCCATACGGACCGCTGCAAACGCAAACGGGGAGGACCTTCTGGAAAAGTATAGTTGTCTCCATCACATCAACATAATCTCGGCTAGTGAGTGTTTCAAGAACGATGGACTCTTTCATTTTGTCGTCGACGACCTACCGGTCACTTTGGAGCATATAGTGGCCAGCGATGCTTACCCTACCGAGGTTCAGCTAGCTTCTATTCTCAAGCAAGTACGTTTTCGAAACATGCTTTCCAAAAAAGACACGGTATTCACGCGGCAATAGGTTCTGGACGGTCTATCTTATCTACTTAAGAAGGGCTATCAGCATCCGTCTCTTAGGTGCTCCTCAATGTTAATGGGCCTAGACGGGGTCGTGAAAATTGGTGAGCTGCCCAGATCCAACACTGTACTGCAAGTTGTATTAAATGCCATTATAGCCAGTTTAGAGTCGACTGTATCTTTCACGCCGGACCAGAATCAGTTCTCATCTGTGAATCGTCTGGGTTTCTTGGCAATGGAACTGATGCAGAAATACGAGAAAGAAAACGTTGGCATAGACGATACGACGCGATGGCCTGTTGAATCGAAAGCATTTGACTTCCTATCATCGACAACGTCAGCAAGATCTGTGGCGGAGTTGAGTGGGGTAAGTAATGAAGTCCCTCTCTCGGTAAATAGACTGCTCACAAATCTTAGCATCCGCTCATTGCAATGTCCTCCTCTTCTAGCTGCTTAGTTGGCTTAGCTCGACTCGCTATTGTGTCTGCATGCACTTTTTATTCCTATAAAGGATAGAGTGTAATATATATATTCTACAGGACTTTCCTAGGTGAATAGCATTTAGGACCGCACGATTGGGAGCCATCATCTATTGTTTCCAACAGCAGACACGTTACAGGAAGTTGATAGCACTCTAACAATATGACATTATATAACATCGAGCAACGGAATGAAAGGAAAATTGAAAGACAAACATATTAAGTTTGGTACTGTAATTGCTAGAAAAATAGCGCCGCCTTCTCCTTCGACACAGCTTCCATGTCCACGCACACCCAGGGATCTGAAGTGGTTTGCAAGAATAGACTGTTTTCATCAACACTACATCTTTCATCTTCATCCGGAATAAGCCACTTAGATGAGCCCCCTGCTTTCTCGTCATGGAAGGTAATTGCTAAGGCCGATTCGTCGCCGAGCATCAGAGACTTGGTCACGCTCTCCAGCGATCCGAAAAATGTGAGATATCCAGGACGGGCAGATCGTATGTAGGTAATCAATGCGTTTAGTTGGGTGGCTGTGAAATTCTCGTCTCGTCTGTTCCAATCCTGTTAGCTTTGGTAACCTAGGCCGCGAGTTCAATACTCACATTCTTACAGCGAGTTCCTCGCTGCAAGTGATCAGAACACCGAGGCCTACACCGCTTGCAAGGCTCCACCATCGCTTTCCCCAGCGGAGAACTTCCGTTATGGAATTACCGCTTTGGTCACGATAATCACTGAAATCTTCCCCGACAATCTCAGCGGCAGCTCCCAATATAATGTTCCTTGCCACTGTTTCAATTTTGTCTCCCTTACTTCGACTCGGGTTGTCTTCATCCTGACGATCTCTGAGGTCTCGGCAGATCTCAAGATAAATGGCATAAATGGAAGCCTGTGCTATGCGGAGCTCCAGGCTTTGGGTAGCAAGGCTTCCGCTCTGAAGAAGCTCGAAGTACCGTGCTGCGCTTTCAGGAGTTTTCTGTAGAGTAGGCAGGCCCAGGGCATTATACCTAGCTGATGACTTTCCGTTCCATGTTTTCACCTGTGCCTGTAAATTCCGTCGACAATCTCCTGCAATGAGATAGTCTGCCACGGCTTGAACATCGCGTGCATCCTTATCATTGAGACACTTGTTCTTGTGATTGCAGGCTTTCAGCAGATGTAGAATAGTTGCATTAGTGTTCCCTCCTCGTGACTGAGGCTCCTTTCTCCTCTTTCTCCTCCCTGCAGAACTTGATTTCTTTGCATGTCTTTTCCGACCAGGAATCAACGATGGGGCAGCATTCATATGTGGTGTGCTACAATCAGATACAGGTGTTGCATAGGCTTCAACAACCGATTGAGAAGAAGTTGACTGATCACATATACCTGTTCCATCCGTGCATGATATCTCAGTTTGAGCTGACTGATCAATGTACTTCACGGCTGGTAGCGGTTGAATGGTGTCCGAAGTACTGTTTTCTCCAGGCATAAACTCTGAAAAGAAAGAGTTGCCGATAGTACCATGATCAATAACAAGCTCGGGCATATTGAACCAGTACACCGTTGCTTCATGAATGACAGCATTCAGGATGTTGCTGTCATCTATAATGCTGTTCATTATGACGGAGTTTCTGATTGTAACTTTATCAAGGTTCACGTTAACTCTTGAAGAATCGGTGGCAATGTTAATGGCGGTGGCGCACGTGAAATGAAGGTTTTGGACCACTGGATTATTCATGACCGTATTGACTATCATGCAGTTGGTGATAACTGCGTTTGTAATTCTGGCTTTCTTTACATTAGTGCAAGCAATGGTATGATCGTCAATAGTACTGTCTGCATCTCGGGCAGGCACACTGGGTACATTTTGTACTCCTGTGAGGCTAGAGTCTGTGTGGGCAACGCCTTGCGAATCGGCTGGTTGCTGTGTCACCGCTGGATCGTATGGATCAAAGAGAAAATCGAAAGATGAATGTGGTAAATTGGGGTCCGGAAAGTCAAGAGCTGTTATATTGTGTTTCCATACTTAGCCTTCCAGGTGATGAGAGTGGCGGGACAGCAATATTTCCGGTCGTGGGAAACCGGACTTATTGCTTCAGGTCTAAATTACTTACCGCCATCCTCATCAATGTCGTTACCCATGTACGAAGTAGATTCTTGCACGATATGCATTTGTGGGTAAGAGAGCTAAGTCAAATGAAGGACACGATTAGATTGACCCGGTTGACGAATCGCCTGTATAGATACGGAACGAGAGAGATTGAGGTAAATTAAAGGAATGGCTGGCGCAAGATCACTCGTGAGCTGGGCCGGGAAGAAATTGTTTGGGAACGGAGAATTTACGGGGGCGGGAGCGGGGTTTAAATAGACTGACTGCTCAGGGCCGTTCCCTGAGTAGAATTGACTAGAATGTTGAAAGGCACAATCTAAACAAAGAAATTATGTCCAATGATGTCATTTCCCCTGAGTAAACACTGAGCAAAGTACGCAGTGCCGAAATAATTGCGACTGCATCAACTACTGGCCGCAGGAATTGTGGAAAGGATCAGACTGCAAAAGCATGCACGTACAGCAAAACCCAACCCAGATCGCCAAAGGTTTGGAGCACCCAAAGCGACGATACCTGAAACAGAACGGCATTGCACCTGAAACAGAACGGTATTGCACCTGAAACAATATCGCACCCCAGAAACGCCGTACCCAAAAAGGTGTCGCACCCAGAAAAGGTGCTAAGCCCAAAAAGGTGCCGTACCCAAAAAGGTGCTGAGTCCAGAAAAGGTGCTAAGCCCAAAAAGGTGTCGCACCCAGAAAAGGTGCTGAGTCCAGAAAAGGTACCCCACGAATTCTCTCCAACATATTGCTTGCTCACAACAGGCGCAAGCCCAGAGTATCCTTACGCCTCTCCGACACAGCTGAATTGCTACGGCTGATATTCGAGCTCAATCATTTTCAACCTTTGCTGTATATGTCCTCTTACAATTCGTCGCAATTCGTCGCGCAGATTTGCTGTCGTAGAAGCTTAAGAATATTCACGTTAGTACTTGTCAATCTGGATTTCGTAACTTCATACCGATTAGCAACGCTTGTCCACCATCATCCCGTATGTTGGGTAGTCTTTCTATTTTCTCCCCAGAGACCTCCTCGGGGATGATACGAGCGTGATCAGGGGTGCCTTGATAAAGAAAGGCACGCTCATGTTTACCAAACGGCACTCTGCCGCCCACTAGTAGCCCGTTCTCGACATAAACGGATATAGCGAGAATCTTAGCTTAAGTCAGATCCAATTCTTAGCAATGAGGAGGGGATGAGACAAACGGACATAACCATCATCGAGGACGTCGTCTGTCAACATATCATTTAAAAGTTCCTGCATTGAAATGGCAACACCTATACCGTTAGTCCTGGGTATTTTCTGCTAGTACAGCCAAAAACTCACGGAGAGACTCCACTTGCCACACCAGGTGCACCCTACGAACATGCGATGTGCATGTGTTATAGCCGTGTATCAATTTCTTCACGTAGGGAATAACAGCAGCAATTCCTGGCCCACTCGCCACACATAGAACACTCTCATAATTGTCCACAGACTCTGTGATCCCATGTGGACCGCTGTAAAGAGCCATGCACTGTAACCCGCCCAGGCCCATCAAATGTGCCCGGTGGGCTAGGGACTTTGTCAGACCCTGACGAGGCTCTACCACAAGTTCCAAAATATTTTGTTTTCCTCGAGACCACGATGTGACCGTAAAGGGATGTGTTTGCGCCCATGACCACATGCTCACTGAAGGAAGCCATAGGTTGATATATTGACCAGCCATGACGGTAACTGGCCGCGGTAGGTAAAGACAAATCTTGATTGGGGTCAATTTCGGCGTGCTATCATCCTTTTCTGTCTCGGTCCTGTTTTTATGGCTGATTATTTTCGCTCGAGGACATCCGTTACCGGAGAAGAGGCCATTCCTGAAAAGTAACACAGCCAGGCTGGAGCAGGATGTACAACCGAGGACACCCAGTGCAATGTAGATGTAAAGACGAGGAAGAATTGCTTTGTCGGGAATATGTCTGAAGATCCCATAAACTCCAACCAGTGCAAGTGCCTGATGGGATCGAAGGAAGCATTCATATGATATTCTCCGAAAGGGGCGGAAGGACAGAAGGGCTAACATGCCGAGGCATCCTGTACCCTAGAAAGACGTATTTATTCCGTTAGTGAGGAATGAGGCAACTCAAAATTGCTGACTTACGATTGTGACAAAGAGGGCCCGCGGGTTCTTTCCCAGGTTTTCGGGTCCGTGGATCCTCAACATGGCGGCAATATGAAACGATATCAAGGCTAACGCCGCCCACCCAGCAGCTCTGTGAACGCGTCGACAAGTCTTCAATGAAACTCCCAGAAGATCAGCTAAGCTGCTTAGGTGCAAGGAAGCTATGAGGATCACTGCATTGATCAGCGAAAGTGTTCCCGCTCGGTTGCCAGCGATTCCCAGTGATGGGGCTCTGAAAAAGATAAGAAACAGATTGAGCGTTGCATAGCTCAAGTGAACAAGGACACCAGCTCGTGACCAAGGTCCTAGAAATGAATGACGACCAAGAACATATGGGTACGCAAGATGCTTGGCAATGAAGGCATTGATGGCATTGCTCCATGGCCGTATACAAACCAAAGCTCTTGTTACTCCAAGACTTATGAGGACACAGCCTGCGGCAAGGGCATAGACAGTAAGGATCTCCATGCTGGGATGGTAGCATGCAATAGGAATATATGTCAACTGGAAATGATAAATGATACCAGACGTTGGGTATTTAAAGTCAGGATAATGGCTCACTGAGGGTAAAATATCAAAACATGGCAACATGTGAAGCTCGGTGTGGCCGAGCGACCACGTTTGGTAATACTGTTCAAACGCGTTACCTTGAATGGGAAGAGCACAATCCCATAAATGTTGCCTGCGGATTCTAGTACTATATCTCTTTCACTTAAGTGACGGTCACTGAGGAACGACTCGCTGCCGTTCTACTCACTGAGGCACTCCCATGATGGCAAAAGAGCCAATGCCTTCTAGGCAACCGGACTCGCCCTCAGCGGCCAGGGACAATGTACTTAAAGGCTAGATCCCACAAACGATAGGAAAATATCCAAGTAATCAGGCTTAATCGTGATACATCATGTCCAAGAAATCCGCATGGGTCAAAAAGCGCCAGTCCGAGAGTGCTCGAGCAAGAGCGCAACAGCGCACCAGACGTAAACGGAGCCTATTCAAAAAGGCGAAGGAATTCGTCCTCGAGTGTGAATCCGATGTTTTCGTCGCTGTTAGAGTCCGAGCGAGTGGACAAATGTATATTTTTGACTCATCTACGGAATGGTCCAAATGTCTAGCCCAACTGGTACAGTACAGTGCAACTGCATCTCGGTCGGTCGGTCAATTTACATAAATAGGATTCGATATATCCCCGCCCGATCCGTGAGGACATGGAAGATGTGATACGCCAACTTGACGGGTCTTTACCGGTGCATGAACACGGGCTTGTTTACGAAAGAGCAAATCCATAATATACGCATGATATTAAACTGAGCGAGATAAGTTAGCTTTCACCCTGGAATGCGATAACGCCTATGGAGTACGTAATAGATGAGGGCTCTTACAACCTCTCAGGTTTTGGGATGGAGGCTTTGCCACTGTAGGAAACATTCTGAGTGCTGCGTATTCCCATGTACCCAAAATCGACTGAGTAGTGTTCATTGCTGGGGCATTGCTGGGGAAATAGTTTCGCCTGGAAGCGGGACCTACTGGTATAAGCTTCGACGTTGGGTACTATAAGGTCTCCGAGATTCAGCACACGTTTTGATTACTGAACCTAGCAATCAGAAATGGAACGGCCTCAACGATAAAAATAGGAAGCATGTGACCGCTTCGAGTGTCCGAAACGATCATGTGATGTGCCCCGCCTTAATGACGAAATGGCGGAGTCTCCCTGTATGGCAGGTCATGTGCAATACCAGTACTGCCGGCCCCCCCGGAGACCTTCCTCAAAAACATTGAAAAAAGATTTCCTCCTTTGCTCAGGGAGCGCTCCCTGAGCAGTCTGAGTGCCGGGCCCACCCTCGCGTCGGATACCCCACCATAATTGGCCCAGTTGATCCTAGTCACATGGTCAGATGTTGACTCATCATGATCTGTTTTCAGTCTCTCCCAGGTGTTGATCAAAGCACAACGTTTGACTCTTCCTTCATTTCTGGCCCAAGAAACGGGGATAATAACCGGAAATTGCCTTACCTATTGTTAAGGCATACTCTTTTTCATTCGCATAACCACTCGAAACTGATTCGCAAGAATCGTTTACCTAGATGTTGGAGCGAAGTCAAATATTCCCTACGCTCAGGGAAGGTGAGCAGAGGGTGAGCGACCCTGAGTTGCTCCCTGAGCCACTTCGTTCTGCTCTGTCGTCCGCCCTGATGCCTTTGCATCTTCTCCAGTGTCCTCGCTCACCCCCGAACAATTCCAGTACTCAACGTCGGATCCCTTATGCTCGTTAAGTGCATTTGCATTGGAAATGCTTCGTATTAGTTTTACCCTGAATGTGAGTTAGCCGCTTGACTTGATCGCCAATTATTCTCACATTGTCCACCAGAACACCAACGATGGAGAAAATACTGCTGTCAACGATATACCACCACCCCTGTTAGACGACGATGTGTGTCACTTTCCCCTTATGTCGACTACTATATATCTAAGGTTTAGCTTTCACGCGCACTCTACCATTCTTGCAAGTTCCAATCAATCCTTTCACGCGACGAGATTTCCAGCCTTTACGAGCGAGTCCGAATGGCTTCGCATTGCCTCGTCGATTATGATATTCAAGACGGCTCTCCAGTGCGATCGCCCGCAGCGGAGTTTTCAGCATCTGGTGATACTGACTCGCATGCGCCAGGCTTCATTGGTAATGCTTTAACTACCCGCTTAGTTGACGTTGCTAATTTCGCTCGCTATTCTAGATCCCACTCTGATACAGCTGGACATCGGAACACGACATCAAATCATCCCCGAGTCGACTCGATCAGAGTCCCAGAAACCGTCAAGCACAAGAGATCTATTGGATAAATCCCTACATCATACGGAAGCGCGTGGTTCTTGCGCTTCGGAAAAATACGGCAAATGTGAACTTCCAGAGACTTCATATTGTCCTGATGCGGCCGATGATTCTTCTCGGAATGAGTTTGACTTGTTCATTCGAGAAATCGGAGGAATGGAAGCATCGGAATTTTCACCGGATTCAGGTCCAGAATTCCCCCTAACGACCTCGGATCCTCCATGTGGCTTCCGACAGGAGAAAGTGGCGGCCAGTGGCCTGAACGCATGGGCACTGATAAAGACGATCTCCCGGTCATCACACCGGCAACTCGGACTTCTGTATGCGACCCCGTCGAAAGGGAGAGTGACGGTATGTCGCCTCGGTTCTCAACCCACGAAAGCGTCAATCAAGTTCGCTGGAATCAGACAGGTAAAACGGATGCAGAAGAAGACGCACACCGAAACAGCCCAAATAACGTAGCTTGTGATAATCCGCCGCTCGTCCGCGAGACTTCTGCGGGCGCTTCGAGTCCAGATTTATGTCCTTCTTACCCTACCCCTCATTCAAACCCGCGAAATACGCCAATACTAGCCGGCGGAAGAGTGAAACGGTCGGAAAAAGTGACATTAGAGGGAAATTGCTCCGCGGATCGAATTGCCAACCATTCCCAAAGTGGACGATCATTATCGAATCGACCAGCGGAAGAGGTTCCTCTCGATGATGCCGAGCATTTTGACCCCCAGGATTCATTCTCCAACGACAGCAATTTTTGGAATTCGGAGATTGAATCTTCTATAGGTGAAGCGCACGATTTTTTGCAGGACACCTTGTCCGATGTTGCAAGAAGTGGCACTCAGAACACCGTGAACCCCGAGTTGAATCCAAAAGATCCGATATCAGCATTTGCTTCCTTTCCTGTCGACAGCAATGACCAGCATGGACTGTCTAATCATGAGCTCGCGGATAGTTCCATAGAGTCTCTAGGGTGCGAGAGCCGTGATATGCTACGTCACAAACGGAAGCTTCCCCCAGCCCTTGAACCTCAGTCAGCTTTGGCCCACAGGAACCTCAGGCCTCGTTTTGAGAAGGATTGTAGTGAGAAACAGGCGTTGCATTCTAGGGAAAACCCAAGGATTGCTGGTCACACTTCTTTCAATAGAGCATTGGCGCCATCGGGGGCTACTATTCATTTGAAATCTGGACCGTCACTTCCTTCAAGGTCGGACAAAGATGATTGGAATGGTCGGTTTTCTCACCATCCTCTCCTGTCCGACCTTTCGTCAGACGAGAAGGATGAAATGGAAAGAAAATGCAATCGCATTCTGCGCCCCGATCTACCTGGATTTATGGAAAAGCACTCAAAATCATGGAAGTCGAGCGGATTCTGGTATTCCCCATCGCTTGATGTGCCCAACTATCCCAATATATCCTCCAGCACAAAAGGTCCTGTTATTTGGAGGTATGTGGAGGCGATTGAGGCCGGAGAAGAAGCATATTATCTCAAAGCCCGCTTTGCAGATGTCATTCTCTATTTGGAGTACGTTGAGGAATTTAATCGACAAAAAAAAGCTGGACATCCTGACCAGACTGCGAAAACCCGAGCCACAAGTGTAATTTGTGGTACAGATTCTCTTCCCAAGGCAATAGCGAACAAGACTCGAAAGTCTTTTCATGAACACAAACTAGTTGGTGAGCGCTGGTGGTGGTCTGGATGCTATCTGGGCCATGGATTCATTCTCCTGTGCAGCGAAGAAACAGGGAAGAAAGTGTTGAGTTTCTCTGATTACCCTGATCGCGTTGCTTGCGCTAACGAATCTGCAGACGAAACAAATACTTTAAGCTGGATCCTTTTATTTTGTATATCCTATACAACTGCAGGAGCACCCTAGCCTGTTGCAGCAAGTTCGACAAAATAGTGGGTACACTGTTGACGGACGGCAAATTCCCTGTACAGGTCAGCAAGAAGGAAGTCCAGCAGTGGATCAAAGACTTCAATGCTATCCACCAGGAGAGCATACCTACCGTTCACTGGCAGGACTGGAGCACCGATGCGGTGGCGAGTAAGGCCTCAGATTTTCTCTCTGCTCGTTTAAGCAACCGATCTTGACGACCTTGGGCTGGACGACCTTTCAGTACTAAAGCGGATACTGAGGAAGCTCTCGCGAAACCTTAACAAATGGGCGACCAATCCTGAAAATCGCCTGCTAACTTTCTGACCTCATGGCAAACTCCACGTAATGAATGCCCTTTCCCCGCGGCGTTAGTTTGGTGTAGACTGGTGTAATGCAGATGGTTATTATTAGGTCATGGTGCTTTATATAGACAATGGTATGGGCCACTTATCAATTTGGACTTTTGAAACAGTTCTTTACTAATGTTAAACCTTGGATGATTCTCAAGTAACGTGCTTCCAATCGTGTAGACCGTGCAGTGATTATTTCCATCGTACGGCTTTGTTCCTGGCCTGCATCAGTCTCATATGATGCGTCTTCGAAGGGAAGCACGCAGTTCTGTCTGAGCGCCCAGTGAGGCATGAGTTCATTGGAGGAAGTTCCCTGCGATATATCATATACTGCAGTGGTCTCCTGTTGGTGGTATTGATTCGTCCCAATCGTCCTCAATCGTCCCCAAATCGTCCCGGCCGGAAACCATGGTAGATATACCCAATATACAACCAGGTTGTTATTCTATCTCACACCAAGGAATATTTCGCCATCGGCAGAGCGAGAATGCGACAATACGATTGTCATCATGCATGCCATCTGTGCAATACAATTACAGATAAACTACGCAAAAGCAAAGAAATTTTTTTCATTTTGGTACTGCCACTTAATTATTTCGACGTCAGCTTGAGGAACAACAAAAGCTCCGAGAAGCGACAGAGCGCCGTGAGGAGGAAGAAAGACAAGCGAGAGAGAGAGAAAAGGGCGAGAAGAAGCAGAGCGACGCCAGGGAGAGGCAGAACAGCGACTGCATCGCATGCTCAACCAAGCTTTACTAGCCTATTCCCTCCCACCAACTCTTAAGTGGGTCTGTGGTGTCCACACCTGTTAAGCCGTTTAGACCTTGGCCTATGGAATTCTTTGCTTTTTGTTCCTGCCATGTCCAGCTCAACCATTTTTCATTTATATCCTTCAGATGCAATTTTAATTACAAGGATAAAGTCGTCGGCGGTGCTAAAGAAAAAACCTAACAAGGCGCAGCTTACGAGATCTGATCTTGATTCAGTGTGATTGAACGTTATCTTCATACATCGGACTAGTACGTGTCATTTTTGGCCTTGCTCTGTGTTGGCCTCTCCCAGCGAAAACAATATTGCCCTTTCTCCATCGCAGTGCGTCTGAACCGCGGGCCCGTTGTCCAAATTGGCTCTCCATCCGAAGTTTTGCCCAGTTCGAAAGGTACATCGTAGTCGGGCGCGGTTGGTAGGTCCGGCCATGTAAGCCGGTTGGGTGCATTGAGATATCGTTCCATGTCTCCGTCTGATTTTCGCATGGCTACCCATTCATTCAAAAAGCACCGGAACGTCGAGACATCAGAGTCCAGCTCGCGATTGCAAGTCCACTCCGAGATATTCTGCACCATGTCCATGTTTCGATCCCAGTGAGGAATACTCGTGAAATGTGTATCGTTCGTGATGAGCTCGTATAGTGTGAATACAACACCAGTTACATCATCTCGACCATCCAGCAAGCGTTTCTTTCCGCTTGCAGCCCAATCAAAGTCAAAGAGAAGGATCTTGTGCGTGTCGGGATCGATAAGCAGGTTTCGGGGCGCAATATCTTGATGCATGACTCCCAGTTCCAGATTTAGGAAATCCACAAGTCTGGTAAGCTGTTGCATCCACTCAAATCGGAAAGGCACCTTTGGATTTGCGAGAGTTTCACCTGAGATGTACTTCGTTGTGAATCCAATCACCCGAGACTCCACATCTTCGAGAACAACGCGATCAAACGGTACTATATTGGGATGTGGCGGCAGACTTTTGAGAAGGTTGAGTTCATCCCAGGCCATCTGTAGTCTCAGAGGTTTTTCCAAAGGGTTGAATTTGAAGGCAACCTTGTGAGGAATTCCGAATTCGTCTTCGTATGATGAGAGATCAACACCAGGTCCAAGCCGATCGAGCTCCTGAAGTTTGGAGTGCTGGATTGTACGGCAGTCGGCGAGCGATTCAAGAATCGAGAAGGGAAGATATGCAACAAATAGAGTATCATCCTCTTCCGGATCGGTCGAGACTCCAGCAAGGAGCCCATCGTTGTCGACTGTGATTGCGCGAACTTTCGGCGACAGGTAATCAGCGAATTGCGCCAAAATTGGGACCTCAACGTCCTCGTCTGGTGGGAACAGCTTGGCGGTGCCTTTCACTTTAACCATCCGCAGTCGATCCCAATCCCAGACGTTGCAGTGAGTTTCAGTGATGGGGTTTTCTCTCGGGCCGAAGTAACCCTGGCCCTCGGAAAAGAATCTGTCTTGAGGTTTTATCATAGCAAAATGATTACTGAAAAATAAAACAAAGCGAGCTGTACAGTCTTGCTTCGGGAATGTGAGCCAGCGACTAATCTTGTCGTTGACTGAAGGTGAAGGCGAATATATCTGAAAGTTGAGATCACGTGGGAATGGTGGAAACAGGCAGAAGGGAAACCCCATTTCCCTCATGTGCATCTTCGAGGGATCACCCATCCAATAACAGTTGCTTACCTTCTAATTTCCCTATACGCCAGTGTTCCTTCCAGTCCTTTAAGCGCTTAGACTGCAGCACGTATTGGTCCAAAGAGTGGAGTGTACGAGGTGCAAGCGTGATTCGATCACTTGGTGGCACCCGGGCGGGTCACAAGTCACTAACTAGAATCGATTCCTGCGCGCGAGATGATGCTTGAAATAGCACCAGCGATATCACAATCCAATAACATTTCTTTATTGCCCATATTCCCTACGCGCCTATAGGCCTCAGACAACCTAAGCGCCTAAAACGTAAGACGTATTGGTCCAAAGAGCGGAGTGTACGAGGTGCAAGCGTGATTCAAACACTTGGTGGCACCACACAATCACACTTTACTACTGTAACCAGAACGATTCCCGCGCGCGAGATGATGCTTTATATGCCGCAGGTTCAGAGATGGACTCGAACTAGACTCGGAGTGCAATATGAATTTGCATGGGTGATGATTGGCATGCCCGAAAGACAACTATAAGTAGTATAGCTGTATCCAAGACTTCTTCAACTCAAACATACTCCTTCTCTAGACATTCCTGGATGATTCTCATCAGTATCAAGCTTTCTACCCTTCTACCGCCTTTCCAGCTTCCCTACTATATCTTTGGCTAAGGCTCCACGACCAATATGGCCTCGCAAATTGCACCCAATCAAATGGGACTTGATGTCCGCGCTCGGCTAGTCAACAGCCCCCAAAACCCAGCTAGTTGCACTTGCGGTTGGTATGTCTACTACTCGAGTGTCTGTCACCATGTGTATCAGGAGGTGCCGTTCCGATGCGGCTCTACCGCTACACCGTCTGGTAAAAGTGGCTTCTGCAAGTCCCCGACACCGAAAAACATCGTCCAGGCGGTGCAGATCAACGCCAGATGCAGACTTTGCTGATTTCCAGTGTTCAAGTAGGTAACACTCTATGTCAAGTTTGAGACAGCATACTAAAAACGTGACCTTAGCCATTATTTCTCGGCTGGAAACACAAATTGATGGAGTTTTGGGGGCGGGGGGGGAGAGGTTGATTTACCGCGGCGTTGCCGGTAGCGGAGGAATAAGGGGAGAGTTGGGAGGTCAGAGTGCAGGATCGTTCGTCCTTCGTATCGTGGGGATCAGCCCTGGAGGTGACCGAGTGCGTGTATAAGACATTCTCACCATTGCTTCGCGCAATCAAGCTTTTCTTTCTGTACACACTTTCTTGCGCCTCCCTCCTAGTGGATCTCCTGGCGTATCTGGTTCGAAGACAGGTGCTCCTTCTTTACTGCGCAATGTGGGTAGTGGGCAATAGAGATATGATGTAAGGGTGCGAATGATAAAGGAAGGTAGCAATCGGACGGTGTCCTAGACGACTGCTGTCCAAATGTGATGCTCCATCGTCGAACTAAAGACGATCTCCGACATCCGATAACGTCGGGAGATTTGGTGCGTTTGCTTAAAGCACAGTTGGACGAAAACATTGACCGCTGCATACCGCTCGGGGAGTGTGGGGCATACGGAGCGCCGTTCAAACTTACCTGCGTCGTATATGGCTATACTGTCATCGGAAAGGGAACCACGTCGGGGCTGTGGAAAGAAGTCTCCCGCGAAGCGCAGGTATACCAAATTCTGCGGAAGGTTCAAGGGTCTGCTGTGCCTGTTTTCCTGGGTACCATCGACCTGGCAAAAATCTATTTTCTTCATAGAGCTGGAGAGATTCGTCATATGCTCGTGATGGGCTGGGCAGGAGAAAGTACAACATCGATGGAACTGGCACCTCGGCTCCGCTAAGAAATTCGCAGATCACACAAAGAAATCAAAGCCTTGGGAATCATTCATGAAGATCTGAGGCGTGACAATATTCTATGGAATGAAGAACTTGGCCGGGCATTGATCATCGACTTTCATAGCTCCACCTTGAAAATTCGACCAACTTTGCAGCGATCACGAGCGGTTAAACGACAACTACGCCGACCGGAGCCAGAAGATCGAAAACGTCTTCGTGTGACATGAGGCAGTGTGCTTAATATGTTGGATTAGCAATTCAATCATACGTGATATTAAAGCCTGGAGCCTTTCCGGCCACATCCGCGCAAATCAACCAGGACTTTAACTTGTTATCAATCCTTGATGCGCTCTTTACCTTAAAACCTACCATTGCCTTAAGTTATACACTTATACGGGTTGACCATGATGAACTGATCATCCAGTTCTCTCGGACTTGACTTTTGTGTAATGGAATGATTGATATGAAAGACTTGATTGAACTATGAATCAGGTACAATATAACGGACTCGTGTATTAACCGAAAATATTTCCATAAGTGACCACTCGGCAGCCTTGAGGAACGACACTCTGGGTATGCTGCTAGACATACATTCCATCAACAGGCCTCCCTCTGCCAAACTCCTTTGAAAATTTTTTATTAGATTCGGCGGCTAACTCCAAGTATTTGTAGTTCACCTGGTTGACGTCCGCTTCAGCGAGAGCATGCGCGATAGCGGCGATGTTTTTGATCTGAGTCATTATAGTCAGCAAGTGGAATTTGCTTAGTAACGTTCCAAACCCACCTCTCGTCCATTCAGATCCAATGACTCTAATCGTCGGAGGTCGTCTTCTTCAACAACGGCGGGTCCTTGCATCGTACATGCCCTGGACAGAAAAGTTGACCAGAGATCTCTGCGAAACTCTCTCGTCAAATCTTCATACTCAATGGTCAAATGGGTCCGGCTGAGAATTGCATCATCAAACTGGACACCCCGATTTGAAGTCAAGAAAAGAATTCCTTGATAATATTCCAGCTTCCGGAGGAAAACAGTCACGAGGCGATTGTGGGTATCGTGGTAAGATGTACGCTGCTCCATGAATGCATCTGCCTCATCCAAGAGAAGTATGGCATTAAAGTGTTTGGCGATCTTGAACACTGTTTCAAGTTGTTGCTCAAGCGCATTGGAATCGCCGTGGTCGACGACAAGTTCGCCTGCAGATATCTGAAGAAGTTAGTAAGGCCACAATCAGCGTGGCGGATGGTTCCTTACCGAATAGAGTGGGAGCTTGAAATACTCCGAGGTTGCCTCAACTGTAAATGTCTTTCCAACGCCGGGTGGGCCACTAGCAAGGGTTAGGCAGCGGATCTTTGATATAGTACAGAAATTTTGCCCACATACTTTAGAAGGATGTTGAGTCCTTGGCCTTTTCCATCAATTACGTCGTCGAACGGTACCGTCGGTATCAGACCTAGGCGGGTTTTCGCCAATGGCAAGAGGAGGGTCTTGGCCTCTGAAGGGATCTTCAGGCAGTTAAACGACTCAAGTGACCAGTCCACGTCCCGAAGAGCACTGACTGCACACTCCACTGAAAGCTCATTAGTTGGGCGCCAAACTGCTGCAATAATGTGTCACATACAAAACATTTTCTCCTTGAAACTGAAACAACAAACCGTTGGGCAAGCGACCAAGAAATCAGCCTCCCTCAGTTTTTGTGCATCCATACCGTCTCCTTGCATTTTCTCCTTCTCTCGCTCACGATCTTCAGCCAACATTGCACCTATGTCAAGGACGGCAATGCCATCCTTGTCTTTTGCCCCCATATTGCGGAGTGACGGTCGGGAGTAGTTTGGCTGCATTTCATGGAAAAATGCGGCGTCCACCGCTACTCGACTGTTGATGTTGACTTTGAAAATCTTCCCCTTGTTCATAAAGAATGCGTTCCCTGTACAGTGCTGAATGTGCGAGCCAGCCAGATTCCGAAACTTTTGGCCTCTTTCGACCAAGTCTTTCTGGACTTGTTCGTGACTTGGATGGTGGCAGAGAGGAAAGGCCTCGAGGCTCTCGATCGGCTTTGACCCTCGGAACTTTGCCACACGCAGAAAGATACCGGCCTCGCCGAACTTGACTCCGTCATAATCAAGGAACCGGCACTCGAGATTGAACCACATCTCATTATTCTGGGTCACCTCTTCCCCCCGCGTCGAATATGACACATCGCGGCTCCTTTGTGCCAAAGCATGTGGTGAAAACGTGGGAACCCGGTCTGAAAAGCGCCCATAGAAGGTCATAAGTAATATGACCGTGCTGTAGAATTGACGAGAGACGCTGCGAAGTAGCTGAATATGCTTGCTCGAGGTGGTCGATGAGCAAGAGAAGGTGTTGATGAGTGAATTCACAGTCTGATGTGTTCATATTTTCAGCATAATTGTTGAACTCTGGCAGGAAATGGAAAAGGATATTTTGCTCGATCTAGACCTAGGTCAGCGATCTTCTTGGAGAATAATCTCTCTCAATTACCGATGGCTTGTCCTCCATTAGGCTAATGGCTTTGATATCGTGCAGCACCACGCGCAGGATGTCGCGCAAGCCTTCCGACTTGACGTCTATGTACGGCGTCACTTCCTCGGCATTTCGTTCTAATTTATATCATTAGCATGTTCTCGGTCCGCTAAGCAAGACGTTACATACCCAAACGTTTGCGGACAACGAATGCATATTCAGCATAGTTGTCTGGATCACCGCTGGCCTCCGCCGATTCAGTGATCTCGTATTTACATGCTTCTTTGTCCCAGCTATATCCATGTCAGATAATCTCTGAAGAGAAACCGGAAGGGGAGGCAGTGGCTCATACGTTTCCAAAACTGTTTTGTATTGGGCTTTGGATGCCCATTTCTCAAATCTCTCGAAATGATCCGGCGTTGTACAGATGGGAGTTTCGAGTTCAAGCGTATCTGCCACCTGGACCTTCTCTGCCTGCTCATTGTCGGGAAAGTAAGACTGAGATGGCTCGGCTGCCTGAGAGAGTTCGACCGATGCACGTTCCAGTAACTGCTTCAGTCGAACCACGTCGGGACCTGGTGGGCACTGGTCCTGGGTGACAGGAGTGTTTGGAGGTTCACGGTTGGTAAGATCAGACAGCACCTTTTTAAGCACATGGAAGAGATGTTTCAGATTCTCCGTGGTAGCATGGGGCATAGCCAACCCCATCACTGGGCTTTCCGGTGGCGTCAAGCCTTGGGGACAGAGGGAGGAAGACGTCTTTGCAATCTCCTGCGAGGATGCCATATTGTGTGGTTAGACAAATGAGGAATGTTGGTGCAGTATTGGGAGCTGGTATGAGGTAGACCAAGATTGGAATGCCAATGATGAATGGAAAGGTGGATGAAGGCCAGAGGAAATTGCTTCTTATATGTTCGTTACTCTGGTTATTCTTGATTACGCCTTTGCGTTTCTATCCTGCATGATTATTGAGCTATACGAATCTAGTGTGTGAAGTATGTGGTGATAACGTCTTTCATTCTCATAGATCGGCGGGTTCGCAACGAGACAAGCCTAATATTCCACTGAAGCTCGACAAATTTTCGACAAATTTTCGACGAAATTTCGTCGAAATTTCGTCAAAATTCCATGGACTCAATGTATTAGTTAAAGAACAATATACCAACATATGTGAAGCTCAGGAAGTCACAATGCAAAAAATCTTCCTGTCAAGATTATCCACATTATTTTATCTTGCTTGATTTTCGACTCATTGGAGGTTCGTCCTTTGTTATGCCCCTTCGGTTTCATAATTGGCACCTGGTGAGGTCACCTGATGGGTAAACTTGTGCCCGATTTCTTTTGGGTGCGAATCACGTGGAGATATCCCTGTGCCCCTCTCAAGCACATCCTTTCCTGATCAAAAATATATGATCTCTCCGCGCAGTCTTCCCTTGTCGTCACTCCGGCCCGGCCACTAAGTTATTAGTGATGACTTCGAGTCCTTCCATCGAACCTATCGGCGAGGTATGGTTTTTTTTACCTGCTCATCATGAAACAGAATCAGGGTCCAAAGGAGTCCTAACATATAAAAGCACATTCCCTTCTTCCCGTTCTCACACTTCGACGAACAAGCATACAAGAATACCAGCATTTGCACGACTTTTTCGCCAGGCCCGCTGTTGAACCCGTTCCAATTATGGATAAGTCAGCCAAGAAGATACGCACAGAGAGTACTACGGATGATGCGATTCTAGAGGAGTGCAAAAAGAGGTGCGCCATTACCTACTCTTCCGTGGAAAAGGAGGCTAAATTTTATTAGGTGCAATATGACATATCCGAACGTATAAGTTGGACGACTCCATCCAAAGGTGTCCAAACTACACCCCCATTGAGGACAGTTGCGGTTGTTGTGGACGTCGTTCGTAACCGGGGCGCAATACGCATATTTGAAAAAGAAAGTGGCGAATATGTCGATGGCGTAGGAACAGAGGAGGAAGGATATCGCATTATTGTTCCCTGGCGAGAGAGCTGGCGATTTAGAGCGTCAGGATTTGTGGAGGTTGGGTATATAACAGCGAAGGATGAGAATTAGCTTGGTGGTTTCTCCCATGTCACCACTGGACGATGTAAGATTAACTGGTCAGTCAACTCATTGCTGACTGGAATTGTGACAAATGATGTCGTATTCACGCCGTATGTGTCAGTCAGCCATATCGCGCCTGATATTTGACCGGATTTTATGATCTCTTGAATGTCTTTCAAGTCGAGCTCATAGACGTCTCCAGTCAAAGAGACTAATTGTAGTCAGCTGATGAACAAGTTGAATATTTCAAACGCTCACTACCTGTCTCTTGCTGCCCATAATTCTGGAACATCGATGGATTAAGACCTTCCCCAGGTGTAGATGCCCCTTCTTGAATTAGTATGACAATTTGGTGTGGATTTTGGACATCATACTGGAGGTCTGCTGTGAGCTCTCTTGTTCCCTTTCTTGATCTGTCGCAGAACCAAATGACTCTGGGTGGAGGGCGGAACTGAAATGCAGATGTGCGAGTCGATGAAGCACAGGGTTGTCGAGGCTAGCGTGTTCTGAAATCTCATACGGCAGATCAAGCCGTACGCTCTCCTTTGCTACTGCAATCGCGGAGAGTCCCAGGCCAACTGCACAGAGAATGACCATCGGCCGACCGTTCTCCTCCAAGACTTTTCGAAGGAAGTCGAGGTAGATCGATTGCCGCTTTGCCCCTATAGCGTCGTCTGGCGGGTAGCCTTCCCTGAGTAGACGGACAGCTTCTTTGATTCGCTTGGCTTCTGTATCTTTCACGCCATTCCGACGCTGGACTGCTCTCGAAGCATGGATCAATTTATCCAAGGCACTCTTGGTAGAGAGAGGCACCATGGTTTAGAAGCTTCCCTAAACCGAATATTGTAGTGGATTCCCAGACCGAGAATTCAGGAGCAGGGTGTCGTCGCAGAGTTCAGATTATGAAGGAAAGGAAGCAAATTAGTGTCTAAGATGATTCAAAGAAAGGTCGAAAAGAAGTCGAAAGGGACTCAAAAACTTAAGGGGCTGGCAGAAGTCTGGGGGCTATGCTAATCCAAGTGTGATTTATTGTGGATAACAAATACAGATTAATTGGTTCTTATTGGTGGAAACCCTATGTAGCCCCTGTCAATGTTACATCTAGGAGGCACATGCAGCTCAATCAGCTGCAGGACACGTCAAGAAAAAGACGAGATCTAGCGCGGGGGTTGCGAATTCACTGTGCTGCGCTTGTGTTTGAGCCAGCTGCATGTTCGCATGACGTGCGCTGTGGCACGTTTTCGACTTTGTTCAAAGCGCCGAATACGAGACATGCATTTTTCCACCATCCACCTGCAATAGATCAGATTGAGCGATCTACCGGCAGCCATACAAAGTAAGAGCATAAGCAGCAGTATGCGGGAAACACCTCTGTACAGAACAAATTTAAATAAACACAGACCGCGAACTAGATCCGAAAATGTACTAAGAAAAGACTTCCAGGGCATATACCAAAGAAAATCAGTGGGTCATCGATGGAAGACCCGCTCTTGGTTCCTCTCAACCCACAGGGCGAGGCTGGGGCTATCAATGCATCAGGTGGACAATTGAAAGGGCCCGTACCCCATCGACTGGCCCAATCTTCTTTTCTCTTCTCCAGGATTATTGGGTCATAGATGGTTGACGTCAGGATACAAGGATGCATCGGGATGGAGATGCACCCAAATGCTTTGTATGGAACTAGCGCGCAGGCGTTCCTCAATGATAAAAGGATAGCAATGCCCCCCACTAGGAAGCCTTGTTCCCTTGAGTCCGCATCAATTTCGAATCCCTTCACAAAGCTTTCCATAACATTGTTGGTAATTTCCTTTAACACGCTACACGCTATTGCTGACCAAAACCAAGTCGCCTGCCATGTGTCAAACGTTGGTTACGACCACTATATATGCCTGCGGACATACGGAAGTTAGACGAGTACCGGCTCCCTGTCCTCAGAATCATCCCCAACCTTGGCGGGAAGTGCCCATGGGAAGCTCCCATAACCGTCGAGATAAATGTGCGACTTGCCGAGGGGCTTCCAACGGCGCCTAAACCGAGGTAAGTGTATTCGTGCTGATGCTATAGATTTCGTTATTGACTATTATTATAGCCTGGGTTTTTCTCGAAATGTGAGCGGTGCTCTTTTCCCATTACGCCAGGGAGGCACCACCGTCATCAATTTTGGAAGGCAAGGAGAAGAGTAGTATTCGGATCATTTTCATATTGTGGGCCTTGTCATGCTATTAGTCCTTTAACTTATACATTCGCTTAGCTACAAATATGCCTGATAACCAGCAAAACGTAAATCCGCATCTTTATCCAAACCGTAGCAGTCAGCTAGGCCCTGCAATTGCTCTTCTGAGAGAATACCATCGAGGACACAACCTAGAGATCTCGTTAGCCACCAAGAAAGTAGACATCATATAACGGTTAACCCTTACCAAACTTATTCTCACGGCACTCCCTCCATTTTCTGATCCGACCTCTCAACGACTCCGTTGATCCCGGACCATGTTGGATACCATGAGCACAGCGAGCACCGTTCGTATCAATAGAATTAAGGTGTTCTAGCATCTCTGAGGTGCGGCTATAGTCCCCGAGCCAGGCTTTTCGAATGATCGTATCAAGTATTTGATGATCGGTTCGTATTTTGGGCAAAACCAATGTACCATGACTGTTAACAGACAGCTCAGGCTTGGCTCCATGCTCCACCTGAAAAATAAGCGACCCCATTGCAAACATATCCGTCGCCTCAGATAAAGTCGGCGAGTTACCGTTGATTGGAAGTGGAAGATCCGGGAAAACGGGATTTGGCTGACCAAGAGGGCTGGCGGCGCTAAAATCGCAAAGAATAGCACGATCATGTTCATCAAAGAGGACATTATCGATCCGCACATCTGCATGGGCTATGCTAAAACTGTGGATATGGCAAAGTGCGTCGGTAAGATCGCGGTACCAGCGAATCCGATGAAGCTGAGCGGGAATTTTATCCTCAGACAACGAGTGATATCTGCGGAGATAAATTCCCTCGGGTTGATCAGCATCGATGGCTTCTATAATATGAGGGTGTGGCCGTCGTTGAAACAATCGTAGTACAATTCGTTCGTTTTGTAACAAATTGGACTGAAAGAGGGTGTCTGAGGCGTAGTGCCATCGATCGTTGCCATGGGCACTACTCCCAGGTTGTTCGAAAACCCAAGAAGTCTTGAGAACTATCTGGTCATCAACTTCGTAGACCTGAGCAGAAGCCCCAACTCCGATTAATTTCAAGTCACGTTGAGGGTGCAGCCGCATGGTGTATGTGTCGCAGTTCGATGCAGCACCGACCATACCATTAGCCTCAAGATCGTTAGGCTTTTCAGATTTAGACGGATGATATCCTAAAAATGGCGGGAAGATGCGAGACAAGAGGCCAAATGCGTGGTAACCGAGACAACCGAAATATCGCAACGCAGCTAGTGCTGCTGAGAAAAATCGGTAGAGATACGACAACATTCTGGAGGTGACATGAAAGAGTCTGACCCAGCAAATTGGAATTCAAGAGCTCCTTAAATGTATCGTGTCACGTGATACAACAGGTCTCACATCTCAGGGGGTTTGAAGCAAGGGTGGGTCACGTGCAATGATACAAATTCTAATGGACATTGGTCAATTCCTTACGCCGTTGCAAAATATGGAGCACTATCCTTAGAAGCCTCAGCCATGATTACAAAAAAGGAACTAGTCAAGCCACGTGAATGAATCGTGGTAAGTGGACAAATTTTGGATGATTCAAGCTCTGACGCAGCAGGAGCACGTCGCCAATGCCCTGGCCGAAGTCTTCAACCTAAGGTGTCCTTCATCGGTTCGCTCGTTTCTCAGCTCGCAAAGATGAACCTCGACGACGTCGTGACGACATGAACGAGATCAGCCTCCTTCGCTCCCCCCCTCTCTCTCTTCCGCCCGCCCGAAACGCTGGTCATCTCCCTCCCCATCACGGCATCGTCCACCTCGCGGAACTGCCCTAGCAGGCCGGTTCTCACCATGAACCGGGCCACTGGCTCAGCGGCGTCGCGATGGGTCAACAATTCGTCGCACCCAAGCGACATCGAGACGTCCTTTTCGAAGAGATCGAACCGAAGGTCATGCCGTTCATCCTCCCACCGGTCGCACTCCATCAGAACATGCTCGATCGTCTCCCGACCAAGACCGCAGGCACATTGGGAAGTTTCGCGGGCGTTGATCTTGGCAAGGTAGGCGGCAAGGCCAGTCTTACCGGTCCTTAATTGCATCATGATCGAAGCCGTTGCTTTGCGTTGGCCAGACTAATAGTCAAGCACCTGTTTGGTGGGTTTTTCATAGATCTTTTTGGCAACTCCCACTCCCTCTTTGCATCAGCTCGGATTCATCGCTTCTCCGCCGCGGCGAGCCAGATTGATTGGTTATATTTGGTGTCGTATCCTTCTTTAAGGGAACCCCTCTGTGTGGTAGTGGCGGCTTCTTTGGCGACCTAGTCGACGGTTTCGTTCCCCTAGATGTCGGAATGGGCGGGGATCTAGCGGAACTCCACGTCCACTCCCTGATCGGCCAGTGTCTGAAGCTTTCGGAGGGTCCCCAGCAGAAACACTTGGCCGGATAGCATCTTTGGCTTCAGGAGACCCTTCAATGCGGCTTGGCTGTCGGAGAAGACCACCACTCGGCGGCCGTTGAGTCTGGCCGCAGCAGTGATGCGGCAGTGTGGCGGCGGTGTGGCTGCTTCGCAACCTTCGCATGATTGGCTTTGTGTGGCTTCTTCACTGTTTATTTAGGTCGCAGCGACCACGCTGCTGTCGTTCTGCCGCTGCCCCGCTGCCCTGCTGCTCGTCTGTCGCACTGCTGATTTTGCCTCACACCAATTCCACCGCCATCTCGGTCCCTCAATTCCGCCGCATACTCCGTCGAATTCCCTTCTGTCCCTATCTGGCTCATTAAGAAACAGCTCTCTTGGCCAGGGTCCACTGTCGCTGCCGCACTAATCTATCTCTGGTATCCGCTCCCGTCGGTATAAATGATCAATGGCGTAGGTATCCCCATATAAATTGTTTCGTGTGTTTGTTCAGCGGTTTCGCGGTCCTCGATGGTCACCTTCGGGGGCACACAGCATGGTTCCCGGACGAATGCCTGCCGGCTCTCCCAATTGCCTGTCACAGCTTCCGGAGGAGCCGTCAAGCATCCGCCCTTCCGCCAGGCCTGTTCCTCCATTGGTGACAACCCGCTCCACCATCGTTGTTCCACCGTTCTTTGTTCGATCATGAGGGGTGGGACGGCGGTTCGTAGTGGCAAGGCCGTCTCCTTGGCGATTCGGCTCATTTGGATACCGATTGGGGGGAGATGCAGAAAGGGAGAGATTATAGTCACGCCAACACAGGTTGATGCAGAGATGATTCTGCTGGTATAAAAGCCGAATCAAAGTCACCGACAGCCTCCACCAATTGCGACCGAAAAAAATCCAAAGTGTTGGTCAATAATCAACAAGGTGCTGAAAGCATGTCATCAGAAGATTTGCAAAGTAAACAAGCTTGTAAACTTTGGATGTAGGTATAGTGGAATGTCGAAGGAGGAAATTTGATTGATCCTGAATTTCTAAGGTTGCGAACTGATACAGTGCTTCCGGAAACCGGTGTCACCACCTATCTTCTTTAGTTGTTTCTCAAACCCCCAATGCCAAGAAACGCTAAACTACATTTAGAATACTCATAGATACCAGAGGGTTCTAGACGTTGTACTGTTGCTTACCGGATTATTGTATTTGCCGATGCCGTGTTTATTACCCGTCATGGCTAGACAGCTGCTACCCAAGTGCCCCACGTCGACCATCCCAACCACGGTTTCTTCATTCATACCCGAAGCGAAACGAACCATGGCTCCCAATCTAGCCAAATCTACACTCGTGCTTATTCATGATATGATAAACAGTGGCGAACTAACCGCCTCCCAGATGGCTGAAGCTGCTGGTTGCAGCAAGCGCGTAATCACGAGGATCCGGTCTAATCTACGACTATTTGGGAGCATAAAAGCTCCTCCCACTAAAGTTGGACGGCCACAAAGCATTACGCTAATTATGCTAGAGGCTCTCTGCGATCGCTTACTTGAAAAGCCTGATTTATATCTTTCTGAAATAGAGCTTTTCCTTCTTGATGAATTCGACGAATATATCCCGAAATCTACGATCAGCGATGCCCTGCGTCGCAAAGGGTGGTCCAAGAAGACAGCTCGATACAAGGCAAAGGAGCGAAATGCAGATTTACGTGATGATTACTGTTATCTCATCTCGGAATTTGCCTCGTATCACCTTGTGTACGTGGATGAATCAGGATATGATAAGCGGATTGGATTCAGAAGAACTGGTTGGTCCCCCGTTGGTACGACATCTATCCAAGTGTCGAAATTCCATCGCGATCAGCGTTATCAGATTCTCCCTGCATATACATAGGATGGAATCCTACTCTCGCGGATTTTTCAAGGGTCGACAGATGTCTCGTTTTTTGAGGATTTTGTTGAGGAGCTTTTGCAACACAATCAGTTCTCACCATGGATAACGTATCCTTTCATCGCTCTGAGAGGATTAAGCAAATGTGCCTGGGTAAAGGCGTCAAGCTTGTATATTTACTACCGTACTCCCCCGACCTGAACTCGATTGAAGAATTTTTTGCTGAGCTGAAAGCATTTATCCGACGGCACTGGCAGTCTTACATAGATAATCCGAATCAAGGTTTTGACAACTTCCTTGACTGGTGTGTTGACAAGGTCGGATCAAGGGAAGAAAGCGCCAGAGGTCACTTCAGAAACGCAAACCTTGATATCGAAGTTATACTGTACCGAGCTCCAGTTGTCAATGTGCATTGACCAGATATCGAGGGCTCAATCGGCTCTGACTGGGAAAGCTTTATCAGCATTCGCAACCAGTGAAGAATGAGAGTAGCAGACTTCTATTTCCAATTGCCAATGTGCAAGACGGTGGATAGCCTTACGGCCGCAAGGACTGAGATCGAAGATTGGACCTACCGAATCTCAGGTTGTCAAGGATTCGTATTGCCAACACAAATCCTTGAGCACTTCGGTGATGCCACCGAAATAATCTCTTACGGTATTATCGAGCAATATGTTCCAAGAGATAAAGGTTCTTGAAAGAGATGGATATAAACGCTGCTCGCTTGAGCTATGGTGACAACCCGTCTGTAGTATCGATCAAGACTCCGAGACATAATTTGTATCACAACCTTTGGACACCACATCGGAAACAACTCCGCTCATGGAACATTGGGAGTCGTTGCTGGTGCTGTAGCTGGGGCGGCCCTTGCAAATATGGCATCGAGCGCAGTCAAAGTCCACCATGGTTATGGAGGCTCTGCTCGTGATCGTCGCCGAGATAGGCTGGAGGGACGATTGGATAGGCTGACTTGATCGTGAACCTGCCGAGAGACACGCTGATATCATTCGCTCTCCTGCTGTCATTGATGTGGCAGGAACTTGTCCTTTTCAAAGCCACCTTTTAAGCTTTGTAAGACTAACTGGGCTCCACCTGGCGGGTAAACCGACAGCTCGGTTCACCACAGAGGCAGTTCTTCTTCAGCTTCTTCCAGTATGAATCCGAGTAATCGACAGTGATCTCACTTCCAGCTGGGACACCGCGAGAGACAACAAGTATACGCTCGACCCCACACCAGTAGAACTTCTGGAACTGACTGTTCGGCTGACAGGAGTGGTTTATAAAGCGGGTGAAATTGCCCGTGTGGCCTTGGAAGATTTGATATGGCCGTTCTGGCGTCCCGCCCATCATCACGTCCAAGCCGTCAATTCCGTTCGTGATGAGACCAACGAACTCGGCGATAGCAGTGCCTCTTTCAAATTCCTTGATGACGTTAGTGTTCGTTTCTTGCACAAAGGAGAAAAAGTGATTCGCAACATACACAACGCGCGATGACTCCGTTGTTCTTACCACTACCTGTGGAATACAATTGGATAGGAGGCGGATAGCGAATGCCGCCGAATAAGACAAGGAAACATGTGCAATGGTTGGAGATCACATCGTCGCTCTGCTTTTCCTTGCATATTTGACAGACCTCTGGATCTACTCCCGGAATGCGCCGTGGATCGGTAGTACCGAACACATTCTGGTCAATGACGCAGTCGTCCATAAATCGGTAGTTAAAACCGTCTGGCAGAAGTAGATGAGCATAGGTGGTGCTGAGTGGCCATGCTGGTCCAGTATCGACAGTGACCCATTCATGAGGATGACCGGAGTAACGACAGGGTCCGCTCTGGCTAACGACGCGTAAGATGTCTCGCCATCCAGGGTGAAGGGTATCTGCCGCCACTTCAAGACTGGAAGCGATAGAACGGAGCCGGGTGGTCAGCCCATTGTCAAACCCGATCCTGTATTTGCAGAAGCGATAGACCCCAGTGCCAGCAAATATCAGACTGGCCCAGCCACCAGAGTCCTTTATTTCCTTGTAGCCACGCCAGATTGCCCTTGTAAACGGTCAACGATAAGTCCAGGCCGTAAAACTTTAGATGATCTGAGCTGAAAGAGAGACCTACATCCTGTTTCGGAGCTCCTTTTCCTGCCACCCTAGTGTGCTGCAGGCTTCTTTCAATGCTGTCATTCGAGCTTCAGCGTTCGTGAAGCTAGGATGTTCCAGGCGAATTGATGCAATGCGCGCTTCATAACATTCGACCCAATAGGCCTGTACGACCATTTCGAGGGCCCGTGACGATCGATTCTGGTCATAGTATTTCTTGCAGAGGCCGTTGATTGCTCGGAAGACCTACGTGTGGTTAGCAACTTTGTCATCTCGTTAAATAAGTCTCCTACGTACTTCTTGACTCACGCCAGTGCGCAGACTGAATTCTGGACTCCGATCCTGCCACAAGTCAGCGCCGGTGGACTCGAGGCGTGGTCGTGCAGCGAAATTACTGGAAATGTAACACTGAGGGTGACAGGAGAGTGCACTTGTCGCCAGATTCCTGAGATCAACTTATCGATAGAAGAAGGCTGCAAAGTGGGGGTGGCCGAGTCATTCGCCCGCCGCTTGCGCTGAGGAAAACGTGTATCACTTTGAAGCTGACGTATTGATGGTTCGATTCGCACATTGGCAGGTCGTAAACAGCTCTCAGCGTCTGCGTCGTTGTCAGAATCAATGTCTTCTGTCACCGCTGATATGGACGGTTTCTTTGGTCGAAGACCACCAACAGCCTTGTGCCTTGGGCTGGATTTGTCCACGGGTATGGATTGGGGCGTCTCTGGGCCACCAGCATGCCCGGGCTGTGGATTGCAGCTCGACTAACAGAACATGTCAACATTTGAGCTCTGGTGTTTATGGCGTAGCAAGAGAGTAAGTACTCACCGGTACAGGAGATTCGAGGGAGGCAACCTGTTTTGGTGTGATAGTCAAGGCACGATTGTTGTCCACGCTCAACCATCCCTGGAAAAAGTTAACATAGCTCAAAACGTAAGTTTCAAACAGGTGAATCTTCCACATCTTCATACCAAGGATAGTGATTTATCATTCGCCGTGCTAACATTGGACCTGATACTATCCGAAGTACATATTACAGCGTCAATACGCAAGCAGAGTTCCTCACTGTGTGGGCTGAGAGACGTTAACGTAGAGGCAAGGCGAGTAGTAACATCTGTGTCGTCGAACAGCTCTGAAAGCCGCTTCACAACAGGGTGATGCACGATGGGATGCATTGTGGGCGTCGGTTGTTGTAAGTGGTAAATCCCGGACAATGTCGATCACTTCTGCCTGGGCAGAATATGCTGACTCAGCTGCGACCATCCGAGGAATGACGTCATGGATGGCTTCCCTTCTTTTTTCCTCGACTCGACCATGACGATTCCAGTATCAGAAAGAGACATACATGACGCTGTGTAAAGAAAAGAATGCCTCGGGACGGTCAATCGCAAATACTACTCTGCCCGGACTAGTGTGTAGACTTTTATCCCCCAAATGTAATGTCTTGACAGGACGATGAAGTCGCGAAAACCAAAGCAAACAATACTATAGGAAGCAAGAGACTCGGATCGACTCAGTTGGGCCCACGAGACTGAAATTCCATATTACGCCACCATGGCTTGGTCCACAAACGTTGTTATTTTGAATCTCTATTTATGACCAATTTCTTTTTCCGTACCGGTCGGTCTTCTTTCTTCTTCCACTTTCCTCCCAACCTTCATCCTCGAGTATTCGATCGTCCTGTCTAGACGGCTCGCCGCCATGTCGTCAACCGCTGATACCCCTGAGACGTCCTCTCCGCCGTTGGCTAGGGAGAAGTCCGCAGCATCTTACACTTACGACAACCTCACCGGCTGGAAAGGCGTGCGTATACTTCGCATTGGAAGGGGCATGTACCACGATGTTCGAAGACGACTTCCGTACTACTGGAGCGATATCCGCGAGGCGTGGACGTATAGAACTGTCGCCAGCATTATCCGAATGTACTTTGTGAAGTAAGTCATTGCCCTCCAGTTCGAGTCGAAGCTAATCTGAATCCCATAGTATCCTTCCTGCCATAGCCTATACGCTGGATATGCATCGCAGAACCGGGCAGTTCTACGGCATAAATGAAGCACTTTTCTCATCTGCCTTGGCCGCAATGGTGTTCAGTCTTCTTTCGGTGCAACCTCTTACTATTGTCGGTATTACGGGGCTGATCTCTCTGTTCAATTACACTATATACGACATCATAAACATCTATGAACCATCCATTTACCCCCAGTTTATGTGCTGGGTGGGAATCTGGGGCGCTATCTTCCACTGGGTTGTCTCACTGTGCAACCTCTGTGACTACATGCGCTATGTGACAGATTTCTCGAGTGAATCGTTTGGCTTTTATGTCGGGACTATCTATATCAGTTAGTGAATTTGCGAGACGTGATATTATGATCTGAAGAACCGGCTAACCAGCTTGAACTTAGGCAAGGGCGTGGAAGAATTGATCAGCGAATTCAAGAACAGAGGACACACCGCCGGCTTCATGAGTTGCACTATCGCCATTCTCTACTTCCTGACCATCTACGGCCTGGAGACCATTGGTTCCAGCACCGCTTGGAGACCCGCTTTCCGTGGGTTGCTAGCAGATTACGCATATCCGGTACGTCTTGTTATCAAATATGCCAACTACAAGAGGGCTTGCTCACACTCTGTATAGCTCGCGACCATATTCTGGGTAGGATTCTCGCATTTCCCGGGCCCTCTTCAGACAGCGGAAATCTCTCGGGTCCCAGTCAGCAGAGCGTTTTACCCAACACAGCCGCGAGGCTGGCTTGTCCAATTCTGGGAACTGGATACGAAATGGGTCTTCGTGGCCCTCCCGTTTGGGTTCCTAGTCATGCTGCTCTTTTACTATGACCACGTATGTGATTTGATCAGTAAACAAGTTACCGATGGCTAGACTTCTAATCTCTCATCAGAACGTCAGCAGTCTGACCGCACAAGCGCGGCAATTCCCATTGAAAAAGCCTGCTGGCTTCCATTGGGACTTTTTCCTTCTCGGATGCACCACTTTCATCTCCGGTATCGTCGGAATCCCTTTTCCCAATGGATTAGTTCCGCAGGTATGAATACCCATCTTAAGTCATAGAGGTGCTTACTGTGAATTTTAACCACTTGATTCAGGCACCCGTACACACAGATTCTCTAACAGTCTACGAGACCGACCTCCGCATCATACCAACCGAGGAAGGAGAGGGAGCTGAGATCCGCCGTCCAATCGTAAAAGCGACTGCAGTAGTGGAACAACGAGTATCACATTTTGTTATGGGACTCGCCATCATCGGCACGATGACCGGGCCCCTCCTCATTGTCCTTCACACCATGCCATCGGCAGTGTTCGCTGGCGTCTTCTTCATCGTGGGATGGGGCTCCATTGGGAGCAACGGGATTATGCAAAAGGTGATCTACTTGATTCTGGAAGATCGTTTCGTGCAGCGTGATGAGCCTCTTCTCAGGGTGTCCAACCGCAAGATTTTGCTATGGATCGCCTGCCAGCTCATCACAATCGCGACATGCGTTGCTATCTCTGAGACAATTGCTGCTATCGGTATGTCGTTGCTCCATCTTCCTGTTCGGCAATAATTTGTGCAGAACTAACTCCGTCTTCTTGCAGGATTCCCTGTACTGATAATTGCCCTCATTCCATTCCGTGTTTCGATCATCCCCAAATGGTTCACGCGGGATGAGATTGGTGTCATGGATGATATGACAGCCAACAACAAAACCGTGCTTGCCAGTCTGGGTGGGCCACCTCGCTTTCCTGGCGAGACTCGCTCTCAGGACGAATATGGGCTTCGCCGCCGGTATTCTGAGCGGAAGGAGGGAGTTTCTCGACAAAGGGCTGGTAGTATCCATCGTTGATGTTGTACCAATCCTCCAGAATTGCGAGCGGAAGACCTGGGAACGGAGATTTGACTACTGTATCCAGGAGCCTCGGGAGGATGCGGGCCTAGAGACTGTGACGGAGATAGCGAGGCAGGCGTTCGAGGAAATGCTTCGATCAATGCTAGTCTTCCGGCCGAAGGAGAGAGCTACAGCACAGCATGTATTACACTCAAAATGGATAAAATAATGGGGACAACCAGCTCTGGATGAGAGCTGGAACACATTAGGGGCTGTGACAAAAGGAGAAAAAAGGATTCAATAGCACGCAGCACTAAATAATATGGCTATGCCTGAATAAATCACGAATATGCTTCACTACCATCCTTCGTTCCATATTGCTTCACCCAATGGCCAATGTCGCTAACGAACCGCCGGGCAGCTCCTGCTTTCACACCATGTTTCACAAAGAAATCTGGATCTTGATCTTCGTGAATCTGCTTGAGGTTGTGACAGTTATTCAGGGCCACATCACAGGCTTTCTGAATATTGTTCCTAAAGGTCTCACTGCTCACCCGTGATTGATGCCAGAGAGTATATTTCTCCACAGCTATATCAAGAAGCCCAGGAACATCAATCGAACCAGGTTGCCTAGGAGCTGAGTCGGTAGGTTCAGCACTGGTAGTCATAGGGGTTGACACGTGGGATGGCTGAGCCGGGAGGACATGGTGGATCGGAGGGCATATCGACATAGTTGTAGAGTTGTCTGAGCTTTTCTTCCGTCTTTCCAACTGCTGACTCTCCTCAGCATAGAGCTGTTCACGAAGACTCTCTGGAACATCATCGTGGGTCTCTATTATCCCCCCTTGCTGCACATATTTGACGAGGGTCTTCATGTGGTTTGATCGTAATTCATAGTGCTTTTTACCGTCGGGGTCCTGCCAGCAGTGTTGTCCTTCGTGGCGGCATGGAGGTTCTGGGCACCGCATGATTCGATACACATCCCGCCAAACTGATTGTTGACCGGAAGCTTGCTCGGCGTCGATCTCAACGTCTCGTTCAGAGAGCATACCCTTAGTGGCTGATGAATTTCCTCTTTTGTCGCTGCTGAGTAGGAGTCGGCCATGGTCATCTATATAGTTAACAGATATCTGGATGCGGAGCCTCTTGCCAAGACGGTGCAGATTGGCCCACAATAGGAGCTGCTTCTCTACCATCATCCAGTCGATATCAGTGCCCTCAAAGCGCTTAGCAAGATCCGATTGGGAACGGTCATTTACATATACCACCAGGTTGGTATCGTCTAGTCTTACCCGTCGGTCGCGGGCAATCTTCCTCCGCAGATCATTTTCTGCCGTTTCCTTTATCTGCTCCCAGTACGAACTAGGTGACAGGGTCAAATCTTGTTCTGTATCTTTCGCCACAACCCGGTTATTTAGTTTTACCCTCCATTCGATCTGGTAGTGAATTGATGGTTGTTCATCGTCTGTTCCTCCGTCTCCCCGTTCATCCACTTGAAGAAATCCCAGTTGATCAGACTGTGTTTGCCTCAAGCGACGAACGTTCGCTAAATATTCGCACTGGGTCGGGCGACGAGAAAATTATGGATGGAGTGTAGTCACGGCCAGGGCTAGGAGCATACGAGGGAGTTCGATCCTACTGATAAGGCAGCTGGAGTTAGAAGGCATCGTCATTATCATATGAAACGTAAGTCATCACCTCAACACAGCAGATGCCACTGAGGAGCCTAGTCATTGCAACATCGCATATTAGCTTGAAAGGAGAGTCCTGCAACATGTCAGGTAAAAGAATCCTAGTCTGACAGGCTGGGTATAATGATCGGCAGGACCATGAGTATCCTGTAAACCTTGAGGCGTAGTTTATTGTGTGGATCAATCCGTGCTTCCTGGTTCTGAGTCAGTGCTTGGGTTGCCACTTGTATGGTCCTGTAGTGTGGGAGGACGATGGCAGGTAGCCAGCCACAGGACAACCACTTGCTCTAGTTACATTTGCATCGTTTGCATATCCACAGAAAGTTCTAGCAGCCCATACAACAACAAGACAGATGTAATGTAACTTATTTTTATAACGTTTTGTATTAAAAATGAAGTCTGTGTATTGATATTCCATCTAGTTTCTTAATACAGACTAGTGTTTCTTGGCATTAGGGTTCGAGAAATGATCGAAGAGTGTAGGTCGTGACACCGATTTCCGGAAGCACTGTACCTAGCATTTCTTATGATCCTTTTACTGAGAGCCGCTGTTTGCTGAGCACCTTGCTCCAACGCCCCTGTATTGAACCTTGTTTTCTTCCGGGGAATTTTTGACTGAAACGCTTTGTCAATTCCGACCAAGAAAGGCTTTCTTCTTCCCTGAGCTGCACCAGTAGACGATCCTGTTCTATAGACCACGACAATCTGTTCCTTGATGAATGTATACGTTTCGTATTAACACCTCCGGCAATCGATTTATTTGTCGTAATTCCACCCTGTCTCGGCATGCACCTCGCCGCTGACTCATCAATTGTGCTCGAGGGCGTATGCAGACTATGAGACAGGGCACCCTCGAATAGCCAGGACAGGAACTGGACTCGGTCCTCGACTGAAAGGGCAGAGAATTGAGCACGAAGTGAAGGGAAGGACCTGCGGCCGACGTCCCGTTGAGTGAACCGACCAGCCCCTTTTTTTCGCGCGATTATCCACGACAACTGAAACTTTGTTGATTTTCGACGGTCGCCAGCCAGGTTTCAGTCCGTTTGGCGGATTCTCTTGTACACGGTCGAAATGCGTATCTTCGTGCGGAGAGTGCGTGTATTCAACCGGAGATCCGCCTGTCGAAGTTGCGTTGCCAGGAATAACTTCTCTTGCTGGGGTCTGCCCAGCATCTCGGGGATGATGATCATATAGGATTGTCGGATCGATTGTGGCATCGCAAGAATCCCCTGTAGGGATAGGTTGTGAGTGTTGGTCCATAGTGGAAGCGAGCTCGAGGTCGCTGGATGAGAAGCGGGAAAATTGGTGCCCAGGATCATGGACTATATCATCGAAAGGCATAGGAAGATCAACATCGAGAAAATTTGGCACGCAATCCGAGAAAACGGAATCCGGGAAGCCCGACGAAATCCCTGGCTCTGGATCGGCAGAGGATGGCAGCGCGAACACCTCCCGCTCGGACCGAGTGGATTGAGAGTCCAGTTTTGGGCTGCTATTAAGACAAACCTCCGTCGGTGGACGCGCAGGAAGGGGATGCTGTTCGGGGCCAGGAGCATTGATGTTCTGGTTTTGTGAAACAGGGCTTTTCTGATGAGGGGAAGACGATGTCGCAGAGATGGAGACAGGGCTTGGGTAGCGGCAGAGATCGAGACGTTTCCGCCCTAGATGTGCTTTATCTTGCGAAGGGATCCAAGGCCGAAAGGGCTCCAGGCGGAAATGGGCGCTGGACATGTTGCTTGTAGCAGCGCCTTGCAAATCCTTCGGGGCAATGATCGGAAAGAGGAAATAGTAAATTGGGGTGATTCGGAGGGGAGGAATAAAACAGCAGGCAGGAAGGTAAGGGAAGGAGGGGGTAGAGCTTGGGAGGGAATGAATTTTGAGTGTCGAATGGCCATTTGAAGCAGGTTGGAGATCTCCTTTATACCTAGAGATCGTGCTGCAAAGCCGACAAAATCCAACTCCCGTGCGGAACCCAAGATGGCGCAGTTACGACGCCCATAAGGCGTGACATCAATGCATTCCGTTTGCTTGCCAAGCTCGATAGCACCAAGCCACGCGGCCTTTGCCCAAGAGAGTCGCCTGCCTGTGCTTCATTCATTCGTTAGCTCGAAGCTCGACATATGTGCGGGGTTTTCGCCATTGGTTCATGGCCCCGAGCTATATTATCGTGCACTCTCCAGCTGAGTACGGTGGGTCCGGAGAGGCCGACAATGACACGAGAATAAGGTGGCATGGGTGATTCTGCGTCACGAGGACGGGCAATGTAACGTTGGATGGTCCATCTGCAAGTGCGGGAAAACGAAATGTGGTCGAAGCGAGAGACGCTCGGCGAGAAGGATTCAGAAACGAAAGACCGTCTGTAGAGTCTGTATATCACTGTTCGATATACAATCAATCACAGCATCCTGATAGGAAGCGTCATGGCAAATATGATCTCACGGCGGCGACAGCCTACGGCTCGATCATCTTCGAGATTCAAGTCCTGGAGGACTGGATCGCAACGCCGCCGACGCTGGCTGAGAACGAGCTGAGCGGCGGGTCGAGCGGCATCTCGGGGAGAATCCGACAAGATTGCCACAGGCGAAAGGGGCAGTGCACACGGTAGCGCGCCAGGGCCGCAGCTGCGGGTGGGGGCGAGAAGGACAGGAGGGAGGGAAGGAGAGAGAAAGTGCGTCGACGAAGTCGAGGAGGAGAGGATGTGTGTTTTATAGATGGCGGCCGCAGGCCCGGGCGGTCAAGGCGGCCCGTGCGGCGCTAGGCCGAACCGGGAAACTCAGTGAGGGCGCTATGCCCAGACGGGGAGGGATCCTGCGGCAAGGAGCAGGCGGTCGGGGCGGGCGGGACGACGGGGCAATGGGAGCCGTTTCCAGCGCCCCGCTTGCCGTCTTGTAGTTTACTTAGTATACTTATACTTATGTAGTATCCTAAGTATTGGAGTATCCCAAGTATACTATACCTTGAGTATATACGATATAGTTACTAGAATCCTGATTCCTAAGCAGGACAGGAAATCCCCCCGTGTGGAGTGCGGCAGCAGGGAACCCTGGAAGGATTTGGGGACAAAAATTGGGCTGTCGCTAGCCATGCACGTCTTGCCCCTCGAAAGAGGGGCAGTCGATCATACATGAAAGGATATCCAGAACAGCTCAATACTTCTACTTCTACGTATGTACTTCTACTCTGAATTCACGAAGATTCTAATACTCCGGAAATGGATCCAACTTGGCTCCACCCAACTCATGATGTCAATACTCGTAAAAAAAGGCCACCTGCCCCAGTCGGGTAGGCAATCGGAGGGCCCGACAGCCCGTGTTCTGGGACCGCAGGATTGACATCCAGGACTTTCGTCGCGTGCACGAAACAGGAGTTTCATGAGAAGTTTTCCCAGTTGCTGGTTGCTATTGCGATTGTACATTATTACGTTGACTCTGTATTATTACTGTTTCATATATTCCATAGAAGATATTCTATTCGAGTATATATTCTATTATAATATATAATATATAATATAATATAATGTATTCGCTCGAGTGGATACTGCAAATGCCATCCAGGGGTCGATGTCGGACTAGGCCGTGGGCTCTCTGCCTTATTTTCCGTCCCCTCAACTCTTCTCTCTCTTCATCTTTCTCTCTGTCTCTTCTCTTCTCTTCCCCCTTTCTCTTCTTGCATGTTGTATTCATTCTTCACTGGTCATCCAAAGCTATTGAATAGCTTTGGTACCCCAACTCCACAGGGCCGAGTCTCCAACCCGAAAATTTTCTTCAGTTGCGCCCGACTTGGACACTAAGCATTATTTTCCGCAGCGCTTTGTTCGCTCGATTTTTTTTTTATTATATTTTTTTATTAACTTTTTTTTTCTAAACTACTTGGTTTCATTTCTCGGAATTCCTCCTTCTCCTTCCCGGAAATCATTCAGCATGCCTTGCTGCTCATAAGGCTCTCCAACTATACGAGAATGCAACCGACTCGAGAACCACACTAACCAGTCACCGGGGACACTTGATTTGAGGAAGCAATTGGGAAGAGAGAAAGGAAACGCAAAAGAAAAAGGAAAAGGAAAAGAAAAAGAAAAATGGATATGATGACAATAGGCACGGCCGCATTCACGGCCGCCACAGCATCCGGGTCGGACCTGCACTCCAACCTCAGCTCGGCCTTTGCGGGGACATCGTCGTCGTCGCTGGGCTCGCTCACGGACTACTCCAACTACCCCCTGGCTCGACAGGGTGACCGCACCTATCTCCGCGACCCGGAAAACCTCTACCCTCTCCCCTGCGACCTACCCGAGATCCACCGCCAGAGCCTGCGCACGTTGATGCTGCTGCGCGTCCTCGGCGGCCCGTTTTGCAACCCCCACCTAGCCAATCGCCCGCCGAAACGCGTGCTGGAGATCGCCTGCGGGTCCGGGCTGTGGTCTGGGCTCTGTCACGACCATTTTGCCCGGCGCGGAAATCCGAATGTCGGCTTTGTCGGCATCGACATCGTGTCCATTGCGCCGGATCTGCGCCGCCAGGGCATGAGCTGGCAGTTCAAGCGCCATGACCTGCGCCGACCGCGGCTGCCCTTCCCGGACGACTATTTTGATTTTGTCTTTATCAAAGATGCTGGCATGTGCCCCGCCAGCCCCGCGCAGCAGGCCTCGGGCCTGAGCGAGCCCCTGCGCGTGCTGAAATCTGGTGGCATCTTGGAGGTGTGGGATTCCGACTGGGTCTTTCGCTCGCTGCTGCCCAACCCCGCCCCGGCCCGCAGATCCACCTCGAAAGAGCAGGAGATCGCCGATGCCACGGCTACCTACACCTTTTCCTCCGCCACGCCCTTCACAAGGGTCCAGAACAAATTCCTGGTCGACTACAACTCCTGGGTCGAGAAGTCGTTCGACCGACGCAGACTCACGGCGTTACCGTGCGCCACCATCGGCCTCTCGTTCAATTCCGAAGTGGACCTGCTGGAAGAAGTCGAAAGTCGCCGCGTCGCGATTCCCCTCGGGGACGTGCGCTGGGAACGAGAAGGTCACAGCAAGGACTCCAATGGTCGTCCCCGCAAAGCATTAACTGCCGAGCAAATCTCCATCCGGCGCACGGCTCTTCTCACCGTGATCCAAATGATCGAAGGACTTGAGCCGATGCTCATGGAAGCTAGCGGGAAGGGTCGGGACGAGTGGGACCGATGGTGGGCAGCCATGACCAACGACCTCTTCCTCAAAGGCGGACTCGCCGGGGGCGAGTGTCTTGAAGTGAGTGCATGGTGGGGACGAAAGCGATGATTTTTCCTCCTCCCCCTTTTCCATGCTTTGGCTTGATTTGGTGTTTGTGGGCGAAAGGCAACGCAGTGAACCATTGTGCACTTTTTCGTATTGGTGATACCCCCTCCAATTCTATTTTTCTTGTTCTTTCTGGGTTTTCTTAACATGCATATCGGGGCATTTTGGGTGGGCATTCGAGGCTTCGAGGCCGGGTGGTCTCAGACATTCTCATAGCGCTGTTTCAGCGTTCGGTACCGCTTCAGGTAGTACCTATATTTTTTTTTCAAACCCCATCTTGTCAGTGCCTCACCTGCGCAATTATGTTGTGTGTGGGGAGGAAATTGTGCTCGCATGATGCCATGATGTATGATAAACAAATGTGATATGGGCAGTGTCATGGAGACACTGTCCCTGCAATGGGAAAAGAACATGAGAATGATTCGAACAATTCCACTTTGCTCGAGTTGGCCTGGGGTTTGGGGGCAACAGGTTTCGGGAAAAGGTGCGACATCGAGGATAAGCGATGCGCGGGTGAGTCAATCTTACAAGGCTTCGACTTCTAAAACCCGATTTAAATTAGCATGGATGTGTACTATCACGATCTGAAAGAGAGGCATAACCAACCTTTCTTCACAAATTCTGCCCTGGCTATCCCTTTCCGGATCTGCTCGTCGTCACGCAGATGAGCCTGTTTGGCAAACGCGCGATGGAGCCGGTCTCTGAAATATTGGTATCCAAGGGGGTACTCGCGCCCTAAAAAGAGGAGTTCTGCATGGCGCGAAATCAGCGTCGGGCGAGCGGGGAGGTAGGAATGGAGTGAGTGGGCGCAGGGCGCGATCGTACCTTTGTAGACCTGGACGACTTGTCGACGCAGCTCAGGGTTTACCATGGTCACTCCATGCAATGAAATCTGATTTGGTGGGACTCTTGGAGGGGATATCTTCGAGGTCAAGGGGATGATGGTTGGGTTTGTGAAGTTGGAGAAAGCCGTGGGTACGTACGCGGGAGTCGGTGAATTTGCGGGTGTGCGGAGAACCGATCCTCAGCACAAGAACTCGTGATGTGAATATCTTCAAGCACTCAAGAATTTCGAACTATTTTCATATTCCATTTTGAGGTTTGATAGGATAGCAGGGCTTAGTTCTAGAGAGATTCTGATTGCCATGATTGATAGTATCGTATATTACTAGAGCGCCTGCACCTAGTGTGGAGTGTAGCGTATCGAAGACAACTGATTTACTTTACATCGCCCTGTAAGCAAACGCAGATAGATTATAGTATTTGCGATCACAAGAATATCGCGCCGCACATCCACCCGAACCTCGCTGATGCCGACCCGCGGGGTTCTACCCGAGCCGGGTCCAAGCTTCGGAATGCAACTGACCATCCGCCACCAATTGCACTTTCTCCTCTCCTCCACACAACATGATCCCCCGACCCGCACTGCAACAGCAGCTGGCTGCCCCGATTTACTCATCCTCGATTATATCGCGTCGCCTGCTCTCCACAACCTCCCCCGCACAAGATGCCCGCAGCGCAACGACTCCGCAGAACCCCCCGGCGAAACCTCACGCGATCGACCCGCGATGGCTGACCATGATGAAAAGGCGAGTTGGGCGATGTATGATGTTTGGGCTGAAACCGGCGCAGATCGACGAGGCTGGCAAGGTCCTGCAGCAACTGGCGCGCGACTGGCGGGAGCTCGTTGCGGGCAGCGAGGGATTCTTGACGGATGAGAAGAGACGGAGTCTGTTTCGACATAATGTGGTGTGGGGTGAAATGGTGAGATCCAATGCGCTTGATACCGAGCTTTGTAGATTGGGGATTGCTGACAGCTGGATTGTGATGGTTCATAGGACGTTATGGTAAGATCATATGCCCCTGGAGGATCCTCGGATGTATATAAGCCTATTGAATGGTTTTAATATACTAACTTACAATATAATATGTTAGGGTATGCATTTCTTTTCTTCTGTGCTCAGTCAAGTATCCTAATACTCGGTCGTCTAGGCCATGTCAACAATGTCACCTACGTGCGATACGCCGAGTCCGCACGAGTGAATTGGACACGCAACATCGGCACCCACATCGACCCAGCACACAAGAAAGAATGGCTCAATCTGGTCAATTCCACCGGGATCGGGCTCATCCTGCGAAGCATCAAGATCGACTATAAATTTGTAGGATGATCCCTGGATATCTACCTCGTGAAATTCTCTTGCTAAATATGTATGCCTGCTCACTTTTCTCCAGCCCATGACCTCTCCAGACAAAATCACCGTCTACCAGAAGCTGGTCCACGACCCCTCCTCGTCTCTGTCCTCGCAGTCTGCATTCCAGCTCCAGGTGATGATCGTATCAGAAGCGCGCCAACGGCCCGCTGCTCGTTGCCACGAGGATATCGTCACTTATGATTACAAGAAACTCCGCAAGACCCCGGAGCTTCCGCCGTTTGTCCTCGAGCAATTCAAGCTAATCTGGGAGCTCCAAGAGAAGGCCAAGGTGGAATGGCAGCAGCGGATTTCGGATCTTGAGAATCAGGTTCGGACTTTGGAGCTGGAAAGCTGGGACCGGCCAGATGCGGTTGAAGATACAGGCTCAGCATCGCAGTGATCTGAATCAAGAGATGTATCGAGATGTATATAAGCAAAGGTTGGTCTTGGTTGAACAATAGTTGGTCCTGTACAAGATATCCCACCCCAGTCTTCATCCAAATACATAGCAACTCTGAAATCCCAAGTTGATAGAAACAAAAACCGGAGTCCAGACTGTGCGTTATTGAACTTGACTTAACAGGGACATAGCCTCCAAAGTAAGTATCCAAAAGTGAGCATGTCTATACCTTTATCGATAATAGCCGAGAGTAAATGAATCCTCGACATGGCTGACCCAGTCACGGTATTCATAGAGAAATAGTTCTCCCCCGCTGGACTAGACATCCTGAGGGGTTCCCGCGACATTAGAAGCATCGACAGTAGCGCACTCGGGTTGTCCTCGCTCGAGCTCTGGAAGGCTTTTTCATGATCTCAACTGTCTCACACACCATCTGCCGCAGCGATATATCAATGCCATTGCCATGACTCCACTGAATGCCAGCGAACAAATGTTCAGAACGTGCCACGGGACCTCCAAAGAGGGAGCCATGGTGTGGGAGCTCAAAATCTTGATTATTTGACGTTGTGGTGGGATATGTAAGAGGAAAGAAGGGAAGACTAATTGTATTCGGTTATTGTGAGGAGCTTTACTGTCGAGTCCATGAATGTTCTTGGTTCTATAGTTTACAAGCCGCTAACCTCCGCTTCGCTCAGGAGATTTTGAAGAGATAGTAGAGAATAAGAATTAGATTGAAATAGCTTATTAACTACAGTGTATCCTATTTATGAAATATATAAATAGCTAGTTTATTCCTACTACTATTATTTGATTGATATTTTTTTTTCTCTTAAATTAATTAATTCATTCTCTTATTTTCTATCGCTATTTTCTATCTATTTTCCAATCCTTTTTCTAATATTTTGTTTAATCTATTTTTATAATTCTCTCTTTTCTCTCTCTCTTTCACTTATAGGCGTATTAAAGGTTGGGGGGTGCGAAGTTGAATCCTCCCCTCTTCAACGACCCACTTCACATTTCACATCTTCTTATATTAATAAATCCATAGATCTATTAGACACTTTGACTATAGAAGTGCTCAATCATTTTGGAATATAAGAGTAAACACGCTGGTTATGTTATTTGATTGCTAGCTAAAAAGAGAGTTGCGAGTAAGCCGATGGTCCACGCTAGGCAGCCCCCATCAGCAAGGCTCTGCAAGACAAGATTTCAGCCTCATTGAGGTCCACTTCTCTCCTGCCTTGTCTGATGTGAATTGCGCTCAACTGGTGATTTCCGTTCTGTTTTGTTCCTCTATTTTGTGAGTTGAACCATGGGTCGCCTCAACCAGGATGATCTCCCCGGAGCATCGTCGCACTCGCTCTATTCGCTCGATTCCGACGATCTGCCGCCGCCCTACACCGATGAACCCAGCCTCGATGCCGCACCAGCGATCCAGCATCCCGCGCCTAGTTTCCTCCCCCTCCGTCTCGTCGACTCAGCCTATATCCTCCCCGGCACAACAGACATAAAGCCCCATGACACGCGCGCCGTCACCCTCGCGCCGATCCTCTCTCGCAACAGCGATGAGCTCTTCCGTGCCATCCGCAGTCAGATGAAGCTGCCTCTGCGGCCGCTACTCGGCGTGCGTGGCACGCACACCGAATCGAGCCACGATAGGAAAGAAAAAAGGAACCAGACTGTCACCGACTTTGAGTTCCAGCTCGATCTTGCGGAGACCATGCTGACCGGCTGGGAGGGCGACCCGTTGTGCCAGAACTGGATGGAAATTGCAGTGATTCGGGATGGAGATGATAAGCCTGCATTCCGCGGTGGCATTCTCCGCTCGCGCACGTACAAGGCCCCTGCATCGCGCAGTGTAGCCAGCCATGCCGAGGACAGCGAGGCTGCCCTCCTCGGGTCAGATACCGCGGTTGATACCGGTGACCAGAGGGATTCTCCTGCTCTGGCACGCGTCAAAGCTGATCTGCAGATGTGGTGCGAGCGATTCTGTCTCGACCCGTCGCCTGTGAAATCGTATTGCTCCCCTCCTTCTTTCCATTCAGATGGCACCTTGCTAATCCTGGAATGCATGCAGCTTCACCCTCCACCGTCATCTCCAAGGCTTCGACTATAGAATCATGCATAATGTTCTGGCCTCACACATTCAGTCGCTCAACTACCGCGGCTCAGTCAACTTCTGGTTCTCGAAAGCCCACAGTTCTGTCACCATCTACTCCCCCCACTGGATCAATCGGATGCGCACCAACAAATTCATCTGGTGGGTTTTTGTCATCCTGCAGCTCTGGATCGTTACTTGGCCCATCATCTGGCTGCTTGAGAAGCGATATGAGGTCGCCCACACACAGTGGAATGCGTCACTCAAACCGGAAGTCGACTCGGGCCTGGTGAAGTGCTACGCTCAAGGTCGTGACGAATCTGCTCTGGCGGAGTACTGGACTCCGGCTGTGAAGCAAGCGGCGTGGAGTCGGCGGCGTGGAGAAGCTGGTCTTTTGACTCGCCTGGACGCTGATCGACTGCAAGGAATGACCACAGAACAGTTGCTCCATCTTCGCGCTGAGACGTCGGATGCAGAGCGGAATCGACAGGACCGCGTCAACCGAGGCGAAGCTGGTTTTGTTGATAATGTCGTGGGGCTGGTTCGAGGGATCGGAGAAGTTAGACAGGACTGGAGGTTGACGATGGGATGGGGAGGAGACTGTTAATCTGCTGATATGAGCAGATTGCTCACGATGTATAAAGTCCAACTTAGTCCCGATGACTTTGACGACTCCAGATGATCTAGCCGCTGCTCACTCAGTCCTTTTGAGGTGGAAATGCAGCCCGCTCCCTGTCTCTTGGTAGATGGGCACGTTACGAACCTCGGTTTCTCTATTTCATGGACAGGCCAGCACGAGTGAAACAGCGTCCAGCTGGCTCCAGTCCAGCATCGCAACCCAGCGGGCCTACATACATAATAGGTAGAAGATCCTGGACCCCGGTAAGATGCACAAGTATACGTCCATGGTTGTCTATTGTTGGAGATGCTGCTCTCGATAGTTCTTATACATCATAAACAACTGAACATCATTTGATACCTTTATTGCCCAACTTTTCCTCTGTTTAAGAGGCTTTATTATCTATTTAAGATCTCAGGTTACTATATACTACGACAGCTAAATATTCTGATCTTCTAAATCCTACCTAGTCCCTCAGGAAACCCTCGTCCATACAGTCCCGTTCCCCAATAACATTCCATGACCCTTCCACAAATCGAATTCTTGTTCTGCTCCTCTGGCCCCTTGGTGTGAACTTCAATAGCCACCCCGGTACCCTGCAACTGAGACACATAGGGAGCTCCCAGCGTAGCGGGCGTCAAAACACCACCCCCAACCCGATGAGCCCAAGTATCCTGCCGACGAAGAGCCACTCTCGCCGCCTCCCCAAGCACAACAGCAGCAAAAACATACCGATCCCCATCATAGCGCAAGCGTACCAACGCCTTCGGCCTCGCAGCGGTATCAGCTTCAGCGACAGCATGATACTCGAACTAATTGCCATGGATCTTATTCAGACCCGCTCCCTCGCCCGGCTGGTACCACAGCTTCGAAAGAAGCCAGCGAACAGGACGCAGCAGAAGCAGTGGCACCAGCATGGCGAGTCCCAGATGCCACAGGACAGCAGGTACGGGGCCCCATATCCGCAGCCACGCATGGAAATCGAAGTTGTGGCCGTAGGATGCGGCAGTGGGTCCTAGCAGCCCCCAGCTCCGGTGCAAAATTGCTCGGTCAACTGGGCCTTGTGGTTGGTATCCCATCCAGCCTAGCTCTTTGATTCGCAGGAGGCCCAGTGTCTTGGTCCAGATTCTGCTCTGTTGCGGTGGGACTGAGGGCATGGGTTGTTTGGGTGAGAGTTCGAAGGGCGCGTGAATGTGGTATAGCTTTCGCAGACTGTACAGGTTGAGTGTTTGGAGGAGTGAGGCGAGGGTTCCGCCACTGATCCCCGCCTTGGAGACTGTGGATGCAGATGTCTACGCGCCTGATGGGTGAATGGTGTTGTTGACGGAGGTGGTTGGCGGCATCCCAGGTCGAATGGTCGGAAGGCACACAGTCAAAGCCGCAGCAGGGGATCATCTAGGAATTTGTCAGTCAGTCATGGAGGTTCTTGTTTGAAAATGAACAGAAGGGAATAGTGAGGTTTGCACACGCACAATACTGCCGATTTTCTTTGCGATTTCATCGTACTGGCGGATCATGTCTGCCACCCATGGGGTTTCTCCCGTGCTGTGTTTTATAGATTAGTTGACATTTTCCTCTGGAATTGCTGCTGGATATACTCTACCAATCCAGGTAATGAGTGCCATTGAGAGCACAAGCACGACAGGTAGCAGAGCCATAGACCAAGAATGGGCCTACAGTTGAAATGACAAGCCACGTTTTCTTAGCCAGGCGGTCCAGCTCATCGTCATTCAAGTTCACAGTGAGCACATCTAGAAAGCCCATGGTGTTAGTGTATTGCAAAGGAAAAAGTAAATGTATTGAAGAGGTCTGTGACAAACCAGGTACTTTTCTGGATGGATTCTCCAATGCGAGCTGCTGAACAAGCTGCGTGAGTTTCTTGCTGTTTCTTCCAGCAACCGCCCATTTCAGGTCGAGTGGCAGCGATTTGGAGATATACTGCGCGGTGAGCTTTCCCGTATAGCCAGAGGCGCCCAGTAAGACCAGTTCATATTCGTGTTCATGAGATTGGGATTCTAATTTGAATCAATGATTGCAAACTATCCGGGGGACTTCTTCTTTCTAATTCACTTTGTATAGTTATTGTAATCAGTTTTTAAGCGGTTCTCCGTGAGACTAATCGGCATATCTGATCATCCCGACGGACAGAACTTCCTCCGATAGGGAAGTAAAGTAGGTTTCTTGGTTCAACCGAATTCTGTCGATCTACATGTGAATATCAATCATTTCTCCGGGTGTCTGTCGAGCGCGTGAAATCAACAGGGTCACTAGACAACCAACTATGCCTTATATTGAGATGTGTAAGTTATAAACATTTCATCAAATACCCACAATAAGGTATCCAGCCCTAATATTGGGCCTAATATTTGGACATGCCTCCGCTCGGCTTTTGGGCCTGATCCGAGGCACGATCAAACTCGACTAATAACCAAACTTCGCGTCCAACTATTGGCCTTGAAATACTTAGCTGCTGACAATATTCGGTCTAAAATGATTCTACTCTATTCTCCTTGGACTATGTAGTTTGGACTATTCTTGCCAGAACATAATCTGCCATCTCTGCCAAAACCGTTTCCGGGACAGGCAGTGATCTACTTGATTGACCCACCCGGTTTATTCCTTCACAGGCAATCACTGCGAGTCACCAATCAGAGCCCACACTGGCATTGATGCGCTATTCTCGTGTGGGGGGAAGAAGTATAAGGAAACCTCCGAGAGAAGCATGGACCTCGGTAGGTTATCTCATGAAGATCGACATGACAAAATGGGTTCTGTAGTCTTATATGTTGTAGTTGACCTTGTCTTAAACTATGATACCATTCATTGGGGCAACTATACAAAACACGCCACCATGAGCACTCAACCGAATTCCAAGGACTCGATGAAATCCACTTGGCGCCGCTGGGACCGCAGCCAATGGACCATCTCGCACAAAATCCTTGAACATGCCAACGTCTACCATGTCGACTTGGACAGGGAAGTGCCAGTCCACTCTAAACAAGACAAGGTACCATACGTCTCCGACTGGTCACTCCATCGCTGGATCATCATCCATGCCGCCATCCCGCTTCTGCTCCACCAGCTCTATACATACGTCACCGGACACAACTTCGGCCCTATAATCGCTTTCTTTTATTATTACTATGTCTCACGAGTCTTCACAAGTCGCGAGCTACGAAATCTCCGTGAACTCGGCCACAAATATGGATTTCTGGACGGCGATAAACACGAGCGAGATGGTGTGCCCGATGTCGGCGTGTCAAAAGCCCTAACTTCGGTGATGCTGGCAGGACTGCTGCGACCACTGATGACGGTCTATCTGACCTACAACGCAAAAGAAGCCCCCGCATCCTTAGACTGGCGATGGCTTCCGCTGGAAGTCAGTCTGTACGGAATCATCCTCGATTTCTGGTTCTATTGGTACCACCGGATCATGCACGATGTCAACGGGCTCTGGAAATACCACCGCACCCACCACCTGACGAAACACCCGAACCCGCTGCTCACGATCTACGCCGACTCGGAGCAGGAGTTCTTTGATATCGCGGGCATTCCGCTGATGACCTACTTTGCGATGAAATTCATGGGTCTGCCCATGGGGTTCTACGAGTGGCATATCTGCCAGATGTATGTGCTGTTCGCTGAGCTGGCCGGGCACAGTGGGCTCCGGCTTCATGCGTCACCTCCGAATCCTTTGACCTGGCTGATGAGGATGTTTGATGCGGAGTTGGTGATTGAAGACCATGATCTTCATCATCGCAAGGGGTGGCGGAAGAGCCATAACTATGGGAAACAAACTCGCGTGTGGGATCGTGTATTCGGTACATGCAGCGACCGGATTGAGAGCGCGGATGCCAATGTCGATTATGACAATCCGGTTGGCATGCCTATTTTTTAGAATATGGTCTTTATGGGCTCTGGTTCGGGTGGAGGGGTTGGAAGAAGAAAGGAAAGAGCTAGAATTACTGATGATTTATGCCCAATTTACTGAGATTCAATATACAACCTTGGAAGATAACCTTGGAAGTAGAATCTTGGAATGACCTCATCTCTATAGCTTAGTACTGGGTCAAGGTAGGAGCCGCTCAGCAACTTCCAGATTGAAGGACTTGAAGTCTTGCATTACACCATCCAAATACTCATCAATGGAGAGATCCTTTCTCTTCAACCCCCCCTCAAACAAACGCCATGGATGGTGATGACCGACCTGAGCCTATGGCTCCGTGCCTCCAACTAGGCACATTCGCAAAGCTGCCAACAGAACTTCGCTTTCTCATATGGGAGTATCTTTTCAGCGAAATCCACAAAATTCCCGGTGCCTTATCCATTCTTTACTGCAGTCGCCATCTCTACAAAGAGGTTTCAAGTCTCCTTTACCATGGGATCACGCACATCATCAAAATATACGGTGTTTACAACAGCCGAAGATGGCTGACGGTCCACTTGATGTCACGAAGGCTGGCCCTCGTGTGGGATCTGAAGGACGTCGAAACTGCCCGAAGACACCTTCACAACTTCCCTCACGCGAGAACCCCCCGCAAACAAATTGTGGTCAACAATTTTCCATCGCAAGACGACCCTGGTCAGATTGTGCAGTTGTGGCAGAGGATTAACCAATTCATCGACATCATCAAAAAGTTGCCCTTTGTGCCACACTTAAGAGTGATGTTAGAGAAATCATGGTACCGCGAAGGAAAGCCGATCGAGAGCATCAAGTACCCTACCGGTTGTCGTCCCGACCAAGACATCGTGGTCATGTCTTTTTTGCGCCTCTCGGATTGGTGCTTTTCTGTGTCGCCTCAATATGGTACTATGATCACCAACGAACCGGACTTGTCAGACGCTTCCCTCCTCCACAAGACCATAAAGCAAGTCGACTCGAACAAATGCTATCGCATCAAATCCAAGTCCGGGAACTTCCACGGTGACGAATGGCTGGCCGACACCCGGCTTTTCCTTGACCGAAAGCTGGACGTGATCCCCGGCCCCTCGGCTCCGTTTCTTCGCTTGGAGCGATTCCAGCACTGGTATGTGGATGGCAACAGCTGGACATCAGCATATGAGAGAGAAACAACTGATCACGGATCTTCGCACCAATTACCAGCTGGTTCTGAAGCATGACCCTGGCCTTCGTGCAACTTTTTACAGATATAATTTGTTACTGCTCTTCCATCATCAGCTGTATCAATAGTTTGATGACCCATGGGCAGTGCAGGCTGCGCTGGAGAACAGGTTTATCCGACTCTATGCAACGTGGAATTCCCAAATCTGGCCTCAAGCGTGGCCACATGGACTCCATAACCTCGAGGCTATTCACTCCACGTTGGATTGGAATCGTCAGCAGTCGATTTACTCGGCGTATGCGAGACGCACCCCATTCCGGGATACTTTAACCTGGTGGATTCATGAGGCACCTAAGGTCCTTGATCAGAGCAGGACTGAAGATTACTCATGTGGGGTGTGCATGGTATGGAATCTTCCATGTCCCTGGTGCAAACGATATGACACGGATCGACGATGTCGATTTTGCCAGGAGAATCTCCCCGAGGAAAAGTTGAGGTTTTGCATTGCAAATTTGCCTGTATCCCTCATTGTTGGGACGGCGAATGGCGCGAGGGTTTGATCTGAGGGTATACATGTATATTATTAGGAGGTTTGGAAATCAACACGGGCCTTACATCCCAGTCTCGTATTATTTTTTGCTCGTTAATCCATTTATTCTCCGGCCGTGACAACGTTTCTGACAATTTAAATTTGGTTCGCCAATAGTCCCGGGCAATCACGAAACATGGATGCTATCATTTTCCCCGCCCCCGGGGCCATTATTACTCTTGGCTCTGCGCCCGCGGGAGTTCTTGAACGTTGATCATGAGTGGGCAAAGTGTCACTTCACTGGTCCCTTTTCACTAGTCTACATACAAAGTTCCCAATTCGATTAGAGCATAAGCCGTAAGCTGAATCTGCACATTTTGATCCCAGTCTTCGTCCCCTCGGAATATCCTTAAACAGGGGAGGGGTCCTTCCTATCTATCCGCTTGGAATTATTGGATTCTTCGCTTCGTCTTAGATGCAGAGTCGAGTTTAGTGTGGTTTGAGATGGTCTGGATCTTACAGAGTAGACCATACGCCGCACAGATACTATCATTGCCCAAGGATTGCCTTATCTCGCCAAGAATAAGTTCTCAATTGGATTCCTTCCTTCTCGTTTGCCTTTCTTTCTGCTCAGGCTTATCGGGGCGTCATCTTAGCATCTTAGCATCTTCGCAGGGTGGATTGATCTTGCACTCTGCCATGTTCCTATAGAATGTGGTCGCTTCACAAAGTGGAAGATCCATTTATTCTATTGATGCTTCTAGAAGCCATCGTTAATGGGCTTTAGTTTATATTCCCTTTTGAATCCTGCAAGACCAGGTTTGAGCGGCTAATCTGTATATGCGGTATTTTGACTCCAAGGTCGGAACCCCCGATCCTTCGTGTCATCGATCGTATCGTAGGTTTTTTTTCCCGCGAAGGAGAAAATCCTGCACGCGCCCCGTCATCACATAGCAGTTGAATTGACAAGACTCTCTCTCTCTTTAGTGCTTTATGTGCAAAGCTTTTTATAAGTACTGAAGCTCCAGCCTTGTTCTGCCATTCTTTTGTACTAGATTCAAATTCGGTAGTGCTACACCTAGCCCTGACGGGCTTTGAAGAACCAAATGGCTCCATACAGCAATCTTTTCCTCGTCCTTGGACCCCTTCTGGTTTCTATCTTTCTTCTCTCTTGTCAAGCCCAGGCTGCGGCCATACAAGCCAGAGCTAAAGAGCCAAAATTCTTGACCAAGTCTACGGCAGGTGAGTTTGTTCCTCTGCTGTTGTTGTCGCATCATCTGGCCCGCTAATCATTTCTCTGTTTCTCTCTCTCTCTATAGACCTAGAAAAAAAATATAAAGACCTGAAACATGGACCTAAGCTGAAAAACGGCCCCTCTTTTGTGAAAACCAACGATATTCTTTGGTTCGACAACCATTTTGCTAGATGGGACCAGTTGTTCAAGCATTATCCGTACGACGATGATAGGGATTACCTTCCCCCCGAGGAGAATCCATTTGGGGGTATTCATCCAAGGCTCAAGGCTGCTCCATTGCCAGGATTCGATGCGAAGACAAATCCCTTCTCCTATATTGCCTCTGAGGTATGTACAGGACCCCCGAGGCCCTTCCACAACCTTCGATTTCAAATTTAACACAGAAACAGTCGCCCATCAAAGGAGGAAAAGGCCAGAAAACGCTATACTGGGACATGATTTGGGCGAACAGCAAGGAAGAAATCGTCGCCGTTAGCTTGCTGGAGTCCGATTCGGACTATACCCAAGAACAAGTCGACTCGCTGATTCCGAGCAGAAAGGGCAACCCTATCTCCTTCTATGCAATTGATAATGACAAGGGATATGAGACCTGCAACGTCAAATACACTGTCGACTATGAAGATGGAAGAGACTACATCAACGGCGATCTCCAGTACCGCCGAGTCCGTCTCCGGCGTGGCGACCAGTCCCGAATAATCCATTTCTACCACTACACCGAATGGATCTTCTCAACGAGTATCTCAACTGAGGAGCTCCAGCAACTGATCGATATTGTCAACGAAAGGAGCAAGAGTGTCCCAGACACCCCCATAGTCGTGAACTGTCTCTATGGGCTGGGCCGGACGGGGACGTTCATCGAGGCTCGCGAGATCTCCAATGGTGCCCAAGAGGCGAAAGACAACGGCAAAAATTGGTTTAGCAAATACGCTTCTGGCAGGACCGATCCTATCGTCGATTACACGAATCGCCTGCGCCAGATACGAGATGATATGATTGACAGCTCGAAGCAATTTGTTTTCCTGCATCAGCCTTGGGCGGATGCCATTTACAAAAAGCTATACGGTTAGAAGAGGCGGACAAGTGATGGTGTGATGTATGATATGTATATAAAAGTTGTTTGATTTTCGGGTGAAGGCCTCTACCGACTTATGAGCATCGAAACGAAGAACGAGAAAAAAAAAGTGATAATGAATCCGACTCAATGGCTTAATGTTTCAATGAATCGAACCCTGTTCCTTTCGAAGGATATTCTTATTTCTATCATGGTTCATGAATTCAACTTAACTCTCTGCTTGATCTAAGTATGTTTTCCAATTTCTAAATGGCGATGACAATACCTCTTGAAACATGCTCAAGCCTATTCTCTAGGGCACAATGAGTACATAATTCTGTTTTCTGTCAAATATTGATGCTTGGTACCCACATATTAAGTTGCAAAAAGCTGGTAGTGATGTCGTCGGGTCTTTCTATCGTCTCATCTATATATACTCCGAGCTCAAAGTAGTCGAATCCCGTGTCCATAAACAGCCCCGAGAGTACAGCTAAATTTTGTATTTAACCTTAACTTTAGACGAATAAAACCTACATATATACTGAACATTATTTTACTATCGTGTGACAAATATGGCTGCAAAACACACCTTCGGAGATCATGCCGACCCGGTCAACCAATATCCAGAACAAGTAGGAATAGCGAAGAGATCGACCGGTCTCATTCGCGCTAAGATCCCGGAAAGGCACAGAGGGGGTGCGCAAAGGAACAGCAAGGAGAAAATCGGTGCGCTGTACCAATTATATATAAACCCCGGGAAATCTTATCAAGTCTCTGGAGCAAGATCGACCTGGAGTACATTCACCGCATGCATACAAAAAAAAGGTGGGCAAAAAAAGGTTAAGCCATGGCCAAGACCAGCCGCCACGCCGATCATTACGTGGAATGGGGCTGATCTGCGAACGAAACCCTGAAAGTGCCAAGCCAGGGTGGTCGCCTGGTACCAATTGTACAGGAGGGGTTGACAAGGTGATCGAACAAGAGAGGTTGATGATAATCATAGTTGTAGGGTGACATCCATGGATAACGGGCATTTGGCATATCCCAGTCCCCAGGAACTTGAGACGAATTGCTTGGACCACGCTCGCTTGATCCACATCGACTCGTAGTGGATCACACACACGGCCAAATTTGGAGTCCATCAGACCACACGACAGCCGAGCATGTGAAGCCCTGGGCGAAAATAACAACCATTAGCATAAGTAGCAGCCATCGTCTCTCACCACAACTTTCTGGAGATTGCGTGTTCGTCTCGGCTGCATCAGATCAAGGCAGAATTCTTCCAATAACGTTGAGATCTGGAAGTTTACTCGTGTCGCTATGCACCCACCAGGCCGCAAGGAATGACCCCGCAGCAGACGGCTCAGGGAACGGTCGATCGTCAGAAAATCCAGCGAGTCGGTCTGCACGCATAACAGGATGGAGAGACTTGGGGAATAGGGTTCAAGCTCTGCTCCATATCCCACTTCGAGCTTATCATCAGCCCTGTTTTCTCCCCATTTAGGCCAAGTGGAAGGATCAGCGGGAACCCAAACGGTGTCCCGGGGAGGAATGTTGGATGCGAGTGATGCTTGGGGGTTGCTGTTTGGGGATAAGACGATGTGTAGCTATCCGCATTACATGCGCTGGCTACTTCGTAAGGTCGTAACTATCGATTACTTGTTAACACTGTTTTGTGCCTGAGGCAAACGGGCTGACATGGCGAGGTGGTCATGACGGTAATCAGCATTTTGCTTGGAGTATTCCTGGATTGACTCGAAAAGATCCAAGGCAGTTCAAGTCAATCGAAGGAAGATGAAGAAAAGAAGTAGCTGAGAGAAGAAAGAGAGGCTCATGTAACTAGACCGAGCAACCCAAGTACTCAGTACCAGCCCATACGCGGGCAGGCCGTATTGCAGCCAGGTACTGGCTACGGCACCAGTCCCGATGATCTTCACTGGGTTACCATACCAATACGGCCCGGTGGTTTCTTTCTGGTTTCACCGTTCACTTTTCCTCTTCTCTCTCTCCTTCACGCACTACGGCATTCCTGCCTCTTTTTTTCTCCCCCCTCCCCCTCTCATCATCGTTGATTTATCCAGGATTTGTCTGTGTCTACTCCTTGTGACTCCCCTCCCCTCTCCTATTTCGCCCGTTTTCGCTCTCTCCAGCCTGGTCCCAGTCCTTGGCTTCGTCCCGCCAAGCTGACTTGGACTTGGGGTTCGGGACTCGTCCATGCCACGCTCATCCGCTGCGGCTAGGAAGAATCAGAGCAATCGAAACGACAATGGCCTCGTCGGTCCCGGCAAGAAAGTGACCAAGCAGAAGTCCAGTGGTCATCTGAACGGCACCCCCAGCAACGGCTCTGCTCCCGGTTCGGGCGCGTCCGCTCACTTCGACTTGTCCTCTGTACGTTCGACCAGCGACACCGCCGTCACTTCTCCGGTTGTCCCGAGCAAGACAGGGGCTGGATCGAAGGCCGATGACAATGTGCATGGCGTGGTGAATGGACACGGCAAAGGTGCGGACATGGCGTGTGAACAGGCCAACGGTGCTCTGCCGCAAAATGGCGGCATCGCCGGCCAATCCTCACACAATGGATCCTCGAAACGCTCTGGCTCCAACGCTTCAATCAATCCGCTCCAGCTCGCCTCCACGATCCTCAAGTCGTGCCCCATGTACGACACGATCGCCATCTTGATTTTTCTGCTACAGCTTCCGCCAATGGTCCTTACCCTTGTCCAGTTCTTGTTTGCCTCCTTGACCTTCATGCCCCCCAGTGGCGCCGCGGCCGGCTCTCTTTCGTCAAATTTTGATATTTTTCAAGGTCCGGCCGGGACGCCATCACTGGGGACGATGATCGCGATGGATGCGTTTTGTCTGCTTTTCTGGGGTCTCTTAATGTGGACCTGGGCACAAAACTTTGCGATCGACCTGGCACACGTTCAAGTCGCCATTACACTGGGCGGTGGAGGTTCCGGGAAGAACGGCGGGGTCAACACTCTCTGTGTCGGAATTGTTCTGCTTCTTCATCTCGTTCGCAGCAAAGGCATCCAGGATTTTGTGATGGGTCATCTCGTTTCCGCCAAACTCATCAGTCCGGATATCCTCTCTCAATACTCGTATCTCCTCCCCGTCGAGTTCCGCCGCGGCGATGCGCAAACGTCGCCAAGCTGGCTCCGGAGTCTTCTCGCTGTTCATATTCTGGCACAGGCGGGAACTGCGATGGCAAGGCGGTCGATGGCTAAGAATCGGTTACCTGCGCCCCCGCGGCCCGGCAAACGTGGAGACACGGAGGCGTCTGCGGGTTCGCAGGCCCAAGCCGATTCAGCTCTTGAATCCGCTGCCAGTGTTTCGTCATCTCTCGTGGGGCCGGATGGTCAATTGATTGCAAGCAAGGAGGGCAAGGATCGATTTACGTCCGCCAAGAAACGCAGAAGACAAGCCAACCAAGTTCGAAGTCGTCAGCCATTTTGGGCCGCCCTCGCCAGCACAAAAGTAACGGTCATGCGCGAATACGAACATTCACGGGCAATATCCAAGACAACACGCGGTCCTACGATGACAGAGGAGGACCTTCAAGGCGTTGCTCTTGAGGACGGACTGGTATGGATTACGGAAGTGGATAGCTCTTCGATCAAGTTTGCCGCGGGTGATTTCTCGGATGATCCTGCTGTGTCGGGCTCTTGTGAAACCAGTCGTTTAGGAGATGTGGAACCGTTCTATGTTTGTGTCAATGGGGCTCTGTGGGCTACTGCTACGATTGGCAGAGTCTCGGATACTCCGAAGGACTCTGGGGTCGTCCAGTGGCGGGGTGAGATCTCCGGGCTTGCCCCCAATTGTGCTTACACCTGCTCGTTTGTACGCAGCGATACCGACGAGGAAATCTGTGTCATGAGTATCAAGACGCCTGCAACGGCTGACACAGAACAAGGTAAGTCTTTGTTTAGCCTTGTTATTGTGATTCTTGCTCGTCGATCTCACCAATTGAGTAGTCATTTCCGCGGTATCGGCTCCTCCGCAGCCTTTTTATCGACCCTCTTCTCCCGGGACGACGCTCAAGAACTCTATTGTCAATGCAGAGGCCAAGTTAAACGAAAAACGCTCTCGATTAAAAAAGACAAAGAACGACCACAAACTCGTCATCTCGAAGATTAAGAGGGAGTTGGACAATTACAATAATCGCCTCCACAGTGGAACAGACGAGAATCGGCAGAAGCAGCGTTCGCTCCAGCTGGAGCGCAATATTCGACAGACGGAGGAAGCCACCGCGGCGCTGGAAGGTCAGCTGGACAATATGGAAAATGTTCCGGAGGAGGAGGTCGAACAGTGGTCGGCTCACAAGGCCGACTTCGAGCGCGAGTTGGAGATCTTCAACTCGGCCAAAGAGGAGGTTGCAGCCGCCCGGTCCGCTGCGGCTCAGCAAGTGCAATCGCTCGAGTCAGACCTTAATCTGGTGGTTCAGAAGCGGGAGCGCCTCCAAAGTCGCCGCACCCGAGTGAATGAGCAGTACGAGCGCATCATCTCGGCCAACGCCCAGGGCTTGAATGAACGGGAGCGCCGCGCCGCTGAGCAGTTTGCCAGGGAGCAGGATCATGCCAAGATGGAGGCCAACTTCCACGAGCAGTTCGCAAGCATCAGCCAATCTGTGCAGGATTTCCAATTGCGCACCAGTCAGCTCTGGCAGCAGGCTTCGGCGATTGAACAATCTATCCAGCAACAACAGCAACAGATGCTTCTGGATTCTGGGCCCCTCACCCCCGAGGGCAACTTGCCCGGCACCAATCCTCTTGCAGAAACCAGTGGATCGTCTCTGAACCCACCGATGACGACTGCTCCCAGTGGTCGGTCCCTCTTGGGGCTCGCCTTTCCTCCGGTGCGATCCAGTCCTCTCCAGAATACCAGCTCTGCTGTCCACACCTCGTCGCATCCAACCAGCCCGATCCAGGACACTTTCTTGCCCCTGTATCCGACCTCTCCGCCCGCCAACACGGGCTCGTACTTCGGGGCTGACAACAACCGGGACCGTTCGTTTTCCAACCGTTCGACCCGCAGCAGCCAATATGGATCCGAGCTCCTGGAGACAAACCGCCTGCCTCCTCTTCAGCTTGATCTGTCCGAACTGCTCACTGATCACAAACACCGCTCCGGGTCAGACGCGAATGGTTCTCTGAACCAGGGTGGCCGTCCGGTTCTGAGCCCGTTCCAGCGAGCAGCAAGCCGAGGCAGTGGGGCTGGCAGTGGCAGTGGTGGCACCAGGAGTGGAAGCGGTAGTCCCAAGTCGACTCGTGAATAAAGGGGAGGTGATGCTTTGTTTCTTCTTGCCCGCCGATCTTCTTCATCCAGAGAGGATACTTGGCTCTCGGCTCTCGATTTGTCCTGAGTTCTTCCAAGAAGTGGCATGAAATGTATGTGTTCGTGCTTTTCGTACCGTCTATGTGGATAGATGTCCGCCTTGTGTTTCTTATCTCCGGTCAATGGTTTCTTTCTCGTCGGTCTTTGCTGCAGTCATCTAGTTTCCGGTCTGGCCCTGTGCTTCTAGGATTCTGGAGACCGCAGAGGACATGTATCTCGCGATGAGACATTGCAAATTGGATAGCTCGGTCTGAAGTGAGTTGAATGGCAGAACTATTCTTAAAAAATGAAAAATGTTCCATAGTCCCTGGTTTTTGTAGTTGTTCGTTGGTTACTCGTAGATGGTAGATACAAACCGTCTTCCACCCTCAGAAACTAGTCAATGGGGTGTTTTGTCATGTATTTTTGTCTACCCAAAGGAGTATATATATATATATACAGCAAAGAAAAGCCAACGCCAATCGAGCCCGGTCCGGAATCTATGTACAAAACGCTTCATTTCACAGCCAACACTATTCAAGTCACCGGCAATCAATTATATCGTGCTCCCCATCTTCCAGAACCGGGTATTCGCGTAGGTCAAACACATCCGATCAGGCGAATTCTCACTCGAGTCAACACACTCAGAGGTATGGTTTGAGAGCGTCACATCCGAGTCCTGGACCGCGCGGATGACCGTCCCCAGCACAATCGAGTGATCGTGCACATCGATCTTCTGCGGGTGGAGGGTACACTCCAGAACGAAGGGAAAGTCTGCTCCATCGATAAAACCCGGTTGATCGCGAGCCGACGCAGACGAATCAAGGGATTGATTGCGTCGTTGAAGAATAGGAAGCGGTCTTTGAGACTCCCCGGCCTGAGACTCTGCACCCGCCTCCGCAGCCAAAGCCGCAAACTCGAACTCGCCGTGCCCGCTCAGCATCGCCGCTAGCGCCGTGTTGCCCTTGGAGAAGTCGCGGGCTAGCGTGGCGGTCGCGGGCCCCGGCGCGAGTAAGTGCACGAGGAATCGGCCCGAGGCGAGCAGCGCGTTCAGGGTCTCCGAGGGCCGACGAACGTTGAATGAGATCACCGGGTGTGGGGTCAGCGTGACGGTGTTGAAGGAGGAGACAGTCATGCCCCGGAAGGCGGTTGTGTCTGGGGGGCCTGCTGGGTCGGTGGCGGTTATGATGGCTACTGGGTAGGGGACTCGGCGCATGAGCAGGCGGACGTGGTCAGAGATCGTGGGAGATAATGGGCCAGTGGGCTGTGGGCGGGTTGTTGTGGTGTGCTGCGGATTGGGGTCTCCGGCTGTCGTTTGAGGGCTTGGGGTCTGTTGTCTTGCTTTTGGAGGGGCTGTAGCATTGCTGTTGTGGCGTCGGGAGTATAGTAATTGGTGTTGATAGTATCGCGCAGGTGAACCGGATCGGAGAGGACAGAGAGATCGTATAGAGCTAGATACGGCTGTATCCAGGCACAATGGCACTGGAAAACATTGTCAGTTTGCACTGTTTCAATGTGCCAATCATCAAGTAACCTGCCACACTCACCTCCGAGTCCTCTTCGGGCCTGCGCGACTCGTGAAAGTGCAAGCTGCATTCCGCCGGGCGGGACCAGACGGAGCCTTTGGCTCGACAAGACGCTCAGAGAATCATTCAAGTGAGCACAGCAATATCGTAGGCAACCAATTCCTGCTTATTCATACAGAGAGCACCAATGGTTGAGGAAACAGTAGTTCAGACGAAACGGAGGACATATGAAGCTTCCGAAAATATTCTGCTTACGTAAACGCGAGAAATTCTGGCCGATTTGTATAGCGGCGCCTTCTGCTCTCCGCAACCACTCCGACCGCATTGCGCGCCAACCTACTTGCCGGGGACATTGTTTTGTATTCCTCACTCCCAATCTGGTGGTCTCATCTATCCAGACAAATCTCCTCAGCGCGGATCAACAAAACACCCCCCCTCTCTCCCATCTAACCTTGGAACCAACCATGGCCCTGCACAACCCCCTCCGTCGCACAGCGGCCACAATAACCAATTCGACGACGACGAGCATGCTCCTCTCCTCAACCCCGCAGACGACGGGCCCCTCCACAGCAGCAGCAACATTCATCTGCTCGCAATGCCGCCACGCCACGCTCCTGCGGCGCCCGAAGCGGCCCTACACCTTCACGCAGCTGATCACGCTCTCGGACGGTAGCACCTTCACGCACCGCACGACCTCGCCGGCCCCCGTGTACCGCACCACGCGCGACACGCGCAACTCGCTGCAGTGGAACCCGTCCAGCAACAAGCTGCGCGGCCTCGAGGACGACGAGGCCGGGCGCCTGGCGGCGTTCCGTGCGCGTTTCGGCCGCAGCTGGGATGCTGCTGCCGCTCCTCCTTCTGCTATTGCTGCTGACCCTAAGGATCCGGTGGCCCAGAAGGCTGCGGAGGAGGCGGCCAAGGCTCAGGAGCAGGCGGCGCAGGAGGAAGAGGATAATTTGTTGGATTTGATTAGCTCGTTTGGGCAGGAGGAGGCTAGTTCGGGGAAAAAGAAGAAGGATTGATTTGGGTTGCTGGATTTGAACTTGGAATTTTGTATTGGATCTTGTTCGAGAGCTTAGAGGAGGTTACTCTCGATTGAGGATGGGAGTTGGGCCCTTCTTTGCATGTTTATTTTTGTACAATATACACCTGCGCCTGTATGCATTGAATTCCCAGCCATATACACATATCTTTCACTTAGATTTCGTTGGGGATGAAACATACCTGTCACTTGATATTAGGACTGCTTCTGCTTTGTAGTCCCACGGCTGTGAAATAAATCTTAAGGAGGGGGGGAGAAAGCCCCAAGAAATTCTTTGGTTCAAGCTATTGTAATGGGCATTGAAATATAAGGCCACCAATCATTAAGGTAATTAACATTTTATATAGGAAAAGAATTATACACAAGGCTCTGGGTATACATATGCATCAGTCCTCTTAAAACACGGGGGGGGGGGGGATTGCGTATGGAAGATGCGGTTTCTTTACTTACTGGCAGCTTTTGGGTACGGCAGCTGCGATTTCTCACTAAATAATTGGGACTATTAGATTGTGCTAATAATACCCTAACCATATTAAATAAGGTTAAATTAATCCCTTCAATAAGACCATTAGGCTCTTTTTGGAATATTCCGGAACAGGAACTAACAGTAGACTCTCTCTCTGGCCTTGATCTCTTCATCGTCGATAGCATCCCAGACACATCCCGCCAAATGAAGTAATAACATATCTACTGTCAACACAAAATCCCTTTCGCCTTCGCCAGGTTCATCCAAAAAGAGAGTGTGGAATGGTATGGTTAGGCCACCCCCTTCAATTGCAGAACCGGACTCATCTCTTCCTCTCTTGAAGAGAACTCTCTGGGCAACCTGAGGTGGTGGAAGGTTATTGGTATTGTTGACGTGGCGGCCGCTTGCTGTGACATGGTCACGGAGGGATGGATCGAATGCCGGGATCCAGGATTTGATGTCGATGCAGCCAGATCGTTTGATGTCGACCGTGATCCCCATTCCCACTTCGCCTCTCGATTCATTGATCCACCAAGCGATATCCTGTTCTAGCTTCGCAGTTGTTTCTGCAAAGCCAACTTCCAAGGCTACCGTAGGGAATTTTCTCGCTTGGCGCCTTGGCTTCCATGACCGGTCGGCCTGCTTGTCTCGGTCCGGGGTACTGACTCGAGTGGCTCCGCAGAACGCAATTCGTCGAATGACTTGCATGTCATTGGCAATTATTGTGATCATCTTTTCGAAACTGGCAGCTGCCTCCTCGTGCGGCTGACCGGGCATCTTGATGATAAGTATTTGATGTGGTCGCGAGTAATCACAGTATCTTGGTAAGTCCTCGTCTTTGTCAATTTTCTTTGGCGGGAAGTCTTTGATGACAACGAAGCGATCCTTGACGGAATACGGAGGAAGGAGGCTCTCAATAACGCACTGCCGGTCGTAACGATAGACGGGCGTATCAGGGGGAAGGTGCTCGAGAAATGGATTTGCACCTTCCTCCGACACAACGCCCTCGCTTTGGTAGTCATATGGCATTGTCAGAGAGAGGCGGGATCTCGTTTTAGCTTGATATGAGTTAACTAGGAGGATTGTTGGGTCGAGATCGGATAGAGCAGGGAGATATTTGTCTGGCTTGTTCCTGAATGTAGATGTATTGATGAGGTCATGCGGACACCAAAAGCTCAAAATCCGGCAACAAATCACTAGTATGTCACTGGATGAGGACGAAAATTTCGGGCCATTCGTTGACTGAGGAGGATTGGGTACAACACTCCACTGATTGATCAGTGGAGTTGTTGGGCCTTTTGTCTATGTGGTTAGTGGCGAGTAGTGGCGCCCTGATTTCACACCCAGTCCTAGACTAAAATATAGAAATATCAAATATTCGCGATATAAGAACCAAAGATCCATCGCTAGATAAGGCTAGGGACTTACATACTTTTAGTGGTAGATATTAATGAAGAAATCGACACCCTAAAAAAGTAACTAATCTAACATTATGATAGGAATCTTAGTTTATTTACTATTTTATAGCTATAAAACCCCCCTAGATCTCTATATCTATAATATATCTATAATCTTTCTATAGAACTAATTATTAGATTATCATTAGAGACAAGGTTTTTATTGTCTTCTATAGTCCAAAATAAACAAATAAACAACTACACATAAGGAGAGACGGTGAACGGGAGGCCAGAAATGGCTGCTTTTGGCGCCGTTTTTGGCCGGCCGATCTGGTTTACTGCCACCAGTGCCTCGCGTTGGCTGGATCCTGGGGGACTGGCGCAGTGCTGGTGGGGTGCTTAGGAGTGTGGAGAAAACGCGCTAAATTGGGTTCGCGAAGATGGTGCGCGCGAGAGAGGATCGAAGAACTAGGAACAAATACCAAAACTAATATGGGGCACGTGCTGCAGGCAGAAACACACCGCGCTTACCGCCCAGGGAGTTGACACACCCCAGCACTGCGCCCGCCCCCCAGAATCCAGCCTTCCGTAACCCCCAATAACTGGCCAATCGTAGGCCCCCAATCAGATTTGTCAGCGGTATTATAGCCGTGCGCTCCGAGTCCCTGTTTTGCTATCTGTCGGGTTTGCCGTTTGTCGGTATAAGGGTCGCTTCAAGAGTCGCATACTCATCATGAGCTTAGCATTGAAGGGCTCGGTTCGAGAGATTTGGTTCGATAGATCTGTGCCAGTTCGAGGGATCTATGCCGGTTCGAGAGGTAGGGTCTGTCGCGGTTCGCAGGGCCTTGATTCCCCAGGTAGGTAATCACATGGACCAGGCAGAAACAGATGGTCAATTTAATGTCTGTTCGGTATAAGGGTCTGTTCGGTACAAGGACGTAGCCCAGATATGTCTCTCTTTGCGCCGCATTGAGTGATGCGGTTTCCGGAGTCATTCTTGACATAAATGCACATCAGGGTCTTCACAGCACCCCCCGAACCAGCGTTTTCGTCCCAGCAGTGTGTCAACAACGTGCAAAGACCGCTCCTACTATGTATAAATCTGTCTGCCTTTAAGTCCGCACAGTGACTTAAAGGACCATCAATTCCATACATCCTTCTGAACTGACCCGCCAAAAACCCCTTTGTTCCCTGCTGCTGCCGTAACCGCGACATATAATACTCTGGCTTATCGCAGCTGTCATCAAGGAAGAAGGTCGCAGGAAAGAGTGTTTGTGGCCTGCCACGGATATGGACAAGCCAACTTTGTACTTGAGCATCTGTACACGGTCTACCCCAGCCTGGGACTCTCTCCTGGCATGCGACTAGAGTGCGTGCACTTCCGCTCGTGGCCACATGGCAAAATGTGACGCCCTTAAGCCCTAATAGGCTGATCGCCGCAAAACACCCTTCTGCCGATGCCCTTTTATCCCTAGAAGGGATGAGTTCTGTCAAGAACGGGGGATTATCGTAACTGGTCTCCTGGATAAGCCGCCAGGAACCACTTGAGCCCGAGCGCTGAATCGCAATCATCAGGTAGAGTTCTTCACTTCCGGGGGCGGAGACAGAGACCAATCCCCCGGTTGCATTGTCGGGGTCCCAGGGGGGCACGGCATATACTGGCCAGAGTAGTAAAAGTATTGCCATCAAAGAGATCATTGTGATGATGTCTCTATTCGCCCAGAGATGCCTAGGTACACGGCCCTCTTGGGGAAACTATTAGAAATGGTAAGCTGTTGCTCTGACAGACATCAATTTAGACAGGAAACATACAGTATGGTGAGGTCGGATATGATGAGAAAAGTGGTCAGTTCAGCTGCGTATCTAGGTAAGGCGTATCCTTATATATATGCAGTACTCTCGGTGAGGAAAGAAAATTTGAATGGACAACCCTTTCGAGTACTCTGTAGCATGGGCAGTATATATTTAGGATTATTGTTCGACTCCTAAACAGGCTAGGTTGATGTTGAGGTGCCCAGGTGGGGACCGGGGCGAAAACAGCTCTCAAAGTTAGAATTATATACACTCCCTGGACTGCAGGTTACGTTACCCACTTAGCGCTCCTACAGGACCTTGGAAGAATAGTATCTTCACTTCCCTCCGCCTTAGGTGAGGGCTATGATTGGCCGATTCTTTGATACAGAAAGAGCAGTGGGTTGATAGTACCAGTTTTATGTGGGAGCCCCAAGTGGATAACGCAATATACAGGGTATTCAGAATAAGCAATACAGCCACACTCACACGGCCTTGTAAGCCCTTTTATACTATTTTGACACCTTGACATACAAGGTGATCGAGGGAAAAGTTTCCTATCCCTACTTTATCTATAATAAGAGGATGAAGACAATATCCGTTCAATCTTTATGGTCAAACCCGGCCTTTTTAACATTTGGAGAGAGGACGAACAAAAAAAAGAAAAGAAAAGAAAAGAAAAAAATAGGAACATACCTGTGGGCCCGGACGAGTACCCATGGGTAATTACAAGAGAGATCTGACGGAAAATTCCGTGGAGGGAAGCCCTCTATGCGTTGTCGACTTCTCGTAGTGAAGAATGTAGAGACTCCAACCCCTGGAAGGTCTCCCACTCGATCCCATCGTGGCCTGAATAATGCTCTTGCTGCATTGAATGAGTCTGGGATGAGCGACGTACCAGTTCCCTTGCCTCTCCTGGATCGTAGGCCTGAGCTTCTCAGAGAGGCTGCCCAGGTCATCACCACGGACTGCAGAAATTTCCAAGAGAGCCTTCCATCCACTCAGGGCTTTCTTCCAGATCCTCTTAAGAGACGAAAATTCTTGGAAGATACCAATTTTCTGTTCAAACGAGATCCCGATCCAAGTTATCCGTAACCGCCAAGGCCGGCGTGGCTTGAATGCCTACGCTATATCAAGCATCACGTTGTCGGTCTCCAAAAATTAATCTCCATAATATTGCTATTCTTACAAACGACATAGTCTCTTTACAATGGTTTAGTTCTAACTACCTTCCATGCTCCAAACTGAGTGGAATCCGGATAGCAATGGACTCTTTTCTCCGAATTAACCTTAAGAGTATTTCCCCTCGGAACGGTAGGGGATGCGTGAGCGGAAAGCTATATCAGTCTCGCAAAAGGCCTACATAAGCCCAAGAAAAGTCCAGCAATTCTGTTATGCACAAGTAACAGGCAGCGAGGCACATTCTCAACAGCAGACCGACCTGTCTTCTAAGGTGGTGCAAAGAAGAAACTATCAGGGAGTAGTGCTCTGCGCCTTGCTTGGGGGAGTATTTCGTGGGCCCGCGAAGAACGTGGGGCGTATATCCAAAGGACTTGTAGCATAGTTTGGACAAAGTAAAGCCTCATGTTAGGAGCAATCGCCAATCCTTCTGCAGCGTGTGTGATAGCCAGAAGGAGGGGTTACCACTGTCTCGGGCATCCCAGAGTTCTTCAAGGAGTTGAAGGGCCATTAAATTTGCGGGAAGGCGATTCAAAGAATAGATGGCTCGCAGTCGGTCACGCACTTCATCGCGCAGGAAGTGATTCGACTCGGTCAATTCGGACCCGGCTGCGAGAAGAGGGAGAGATTGAAAATTAAGGGAGTACGAGGATGCAGGAATTAGTAGCAGATGGTGGACTGTCTCTTCGGCGTACTGTAGGATCAAAGTCTCTTGTGCTTCAGTCACATCCGGATCCGTAGGACAACCTCTCTGTGCATGTGCACGAGATCGATAGAGGAAAACGAGCCCGTGGTTGCGGAATGCTTCATACAAGTGACCCAGGTCGGGATTTGGGGGACTCGTCATCCAGGCACGAAGCTGAGCCTCCAACATGGCTTCTTGCGTCGGGTTGCGGTTCTGTGGCATATCATGTATCTGTCGGCAATATCGTCCGACATTCGCTATGATAAGGAGTAGTCGGCTACATGTTCCGTACATTGGATGGTGCCAGTCTCCCATCCTGTGCACCGCGAGGGACATGTTCAATAAGTTTAGACACTGTGGTTCACATGGATCTACTAAGAATGAACTGCACATGTCCCAGTAAAGATATATTCCCAGACAGAGTCGAACCACAGGGTCGTTACTTGTCGACATAGATATATCTCGGAGCATACTGTTGATCAAGGCGCGGGCACCAAATAAATGTTGCTTTCCATACTCCTTCGGGTCGGAATCAGCAACATGCGTCAGCGCCAGCAGTATAATGGTCAGGAAGTGTGTGTAAGGAGCGCGCTGGACCTGATTTATCTCTCTTCGAAGGCAAGCTATGGCTTTGCCACGTTCCTCAAGGGCCAGAATGGGACTCTTGGCCGGGAAGAACTGCTCATGGCTGGCACTGACTGACTGGATAGCATGGAGAAGTGCGGGCGATTGGGCAACGTGTTCCAGTATAGGGAAAGAGAACGGATTATCTTCGGGATCTATAACGGACGCTTGACTGACTTTCTCCAGCCAATACTGTAGTAGTCTTGGATGGACATGCGTTTTAGGCTGCAGTGACAGCCACGGTGTTTCGACTTGCCACCGTGTTAGCCGTGGAGCTGACGAACAGACAAGGCCTTGACGCTGACACCGCTTGCACATCGGATAGGCCTCGTCACATTTGACCCGTTTTGCCTTGCATTCTCGACAGCCCAATTTGCTTTTGTTTTGCGGTCGGCGTGGTAGAGACATGTGCTCTTGCTGCGTGCTCGGGTTTAAAGAAGACTTGACCATCACTTGTTTGAAGAGTAAGCGGGGGAAGTACATGGCTGGCCTGATAGACTGTTGGCTTTGTGGATTGTTCGTTGCATTCAACAGGGACCTGGGCGATGAGAAATCTGGTAGAATCTGACGGATCACCAGGGATTGCCACATCGCAAGTGGATTACTAATGATCCGCGAAATAACCAGGACACTAAAGCTGCATCATGGCGGAACTTCTACAAGAGAGTATGATATTCGATTCCCTTCAAAACCCATTTAGACCGGGCAGGGCTTGGTGAAAGAGATTGTTCGGATCTAGTCGCGCCTTCAACTGCCGCAGTCTTAAAGCCTTCTCCTCACCGAAGAATCGGTCTATGTCCACTTGGTCAGGGGGCCAAAATGCAGGGAACCCTCCTGGCAAGGATAGACCGTTCTGATCAAGCGCTTCCTCCACTTCTATGACCCATCTGGCTGCACTTGCAAGCTCCTGTTCATCAGCACGGCCTGGCCTGGTGGCCCCATGGAGGCCGAGAATGACATGTTGGTATCGATTCGGAAAGGCCGCCCCGACAGTATCGGCAACACGGTGTCGAACACCCCTACCGTGGTTATTGTGAAATATAACAGCGGACAGCGGGTGTGGTGGAGGGTGTCGTGCGAGGATGGTGCCAACGTTCTGATGTATCCGATTAACGTTTCGACTGCGGAAGAAGGTTCCTGACGATGAATCACCCAAGCCGTAGGCGGCTGGGAGAGCTGGATACAGGTCAGTTAGCTGGAGTTCATGTTATGATGGAAGCCTAAGAACTTACTCTCTGTGACCGTGTTCCCCAGAACCCTGCCGGCCTGCGTCGTCTGCTCAAGGAAGCTTCTCGCAGGCCCAAGGTCTTCGCTGGGCGAAGTCCAACACCAAAACAGAACTAAACAGGGCTCGGCTACCGTTGTCGGAGCCATTTCAGGATTTACAGCGATGGCATCTCCGCTGAACTCATCGGGAAAATTACCATCTAAGAGCCTCTCGATCCTGTCCATGACAGTTGCGGCCTCGGCCAGGGGAAAGGCTAGGAAGCCAGCGTATAGTTTAGGCACTGGGTATACCTTCACGCGAAGCTCTGTGACGATGCCGAATGTGCCAGCCCCAGTGCCACGTAGCGCCCACAGTAATTCTGAATCTTCGTCGGTGTCAACCACGCGGCCCCCGGCCAAGACCACTCGAGCCCCAAGTATCTGATCAACCCCAAAACCGTATGTTCCAACATAGAAGCCATACCCTCCGCCACATGCCCAAGAGACATAGCCCACGGACTTTGCCTGTCCGGTAGGGGTGAATAGGCCGTGAGAATTGAGGGTTTCCTGCAGGTGGCCGGCAATCACTCCGCCACCAACGCGTGCGTGGGCTCGGTCCGACCCGATGCTGACCGTGTCCACGTCGCGCATGTCGATGAGAATACCCTTGTGGACTACAGAGCGGCCGAAGAAGTCGTGACCGCCTGAGCGAACAGCAAAGGGGATCTTTTTTTCGGTGCAAAATTGAACCAAGCCTGAGACCTCTTCTTCTGTCCGTGGCCGAGCGCAGACCAGTGGTTCCTTTTTCAGCGCACGGTTGTATAGTTCGAGACAGTCTTGATAGTGCCTGCCTTCAATATAAACCGAGAGGCTCGGCATGAGCTGCCGCAAGCGATCTTCGACAGATGACTGACTGTTTGGCATATTTAATGAGGAGCGCTTTTTGTCAACGGTCAGGGGCAGAAGACTGGTTTTGCGGTATGGCCAGGAGGTAGATTAGGGGTCAATGTGTTGTATCAAGGTATGATTTCAGCATTGGCAACCTCGGCTCGATAATGACGACAATAGCATAGCATTAGTTATCTGACTGCATATTCGGTTAACTAGTGGCTGTGTCCATGGGAACCTGGGAACTTCTCCACTATATGTTTCCGTTTCTGGACAGATCGCGAGGGACTGTCCCACCCATCTGATTAGCGTCCTCATTTGACGTGTTTATCCCACCCGAGGTTGATACTGATGACGACAAGCCCCACCTCGAGGGTTAACGAGACGTCGCGTACTCTTTGATGTAGGCAGCTCAAACTCTACTTGACGCCTCCGCATCTCAGCCGTCTTGAGAGGCCTGACCTACATCCTGGCTCGAAGAACTAACAGTATTACTGAAACAAACGGCACTTCGGCAGCTAGAATACACACCTCTCCATAGTCCGATCGCTGGGTAGGAAAGAATGTCTGTGCTGGGGGAAACAGGCTGTGCTTAAACCAGAATCGCAGCCAGCCAATTCTAAACCCGCTGCTCCGTCCCCGGGAGGTATAGTCCAATGTAATATCCATCTCATGACTTAGATACGCGTCTTCTTATGCTGACAGCCGGAAGAGGAAGAGCAAAAATAATCAACTGTGGGAACATCGGCAAATTATCCATAAGCAAGAGGCAGCAGCGTTTGCGCTGTGGTCCGCACATACATACTGAGCTACGTAGCATGCCCAATTTGGAAATAAAACTCCCAATCTGGAACGAATTCAAAAGAACCGTCCACAGGCTTGTTTTTCCCTGACGCCTGCTTGCAAATGCCGTGTCTGGAAAGCGCAGTACGTCATCTTCCTACGTATCGTACTTGTCTAGTATAAAGAACTAATGCTTAGTGCATGTTTTCTCGAACAGGACAGAGGGGCAAGACTGGTAGTAGATGGTAATACATGTCTCAGAGCATCTTTTTTAGATACTCCAATACATGATCGGGTAGGGCTCTATAGCTTTCCAATCTTCCTCCTATGACAAGGTCCTCTAAACTTGCTTTCCTGTAGTCCTTAACTTCCCATAAATCATCGGGAAGCATCTTCATCATTTCTCCCGTTCCCCAGATTTTGCGGCAATATGCCGGGACAGCGAGATTACTCTCCCTGCTGATACAATCCTCAATCGTTCGATTGACTTCCTCTAAGCTTCGTGTCGCAATAGAGGGGCCTCTGCCATTCTTCTTTTTCATGATCGCAGCAATTTCCATACCTGTTGGTGCAAGCTCTGACAAGGTGATGGTCCGGTTCTGTATAGTGCGTATAGGTCTGGTGGTAAATATATCGACGTACGCAGCCGCTACGTAGTCCTTGGTGCTACAAGGAATTAGTTTAATCAGACCAAAGTGAATAAATAGATGAGAAGGAGTTTCTCTGGGTGAAATGTTACGCACCACATAGTGACCTTTTCGCTAGCAGAGTTGCCGGTGTAGACCAATATGTTATTCTGCAAATCAACCCCCACCGCCCTATATTTGTGAAAGTCAGTTATGGATAAACATCCCGAGTGGTCGGTTGACGACTGACGGTGTACTTAAGGTGAATTCAGCGAAATTTCCTGGGTGGATGACGGTGGTTGGAATCCCAGCATCCTTGGAAGCCTTTTCGACTTTCGCTTTTGCCTTCATACAGGGCATGCGCATTCCCTGCTCACAATATCGCAGACAGAAATCCGAAGGGGAGAAAAGCCGGACATTAGTCCTAGGGATGGCTTTCACAAAGCCATACTGTCTGTCGGTACCCTCGTCTCCAACAAGAGAACTGAGAAATCCATTAGCATAGATTCGAAAAGGTACAGATGCGCAGTAGTTCTGACTGACATCACAATGTCTATATCTTGCAAGGCACCAACCAAAGCGTCTTCATCAAGAACGTCGACTTCAATCTTTCTCACATGTTCGGGGAGATTGGAAGTATCCGAGCTAGGGCGATGCAAAACAGTAATTGGAGCTCCCGAGGAAATTAGAGCAGCGACAACTCGAGAGCCAACGAATCCACGGTGACCATAGACAGCGATACGGTTGAAGGTCATGATTTGAAAGACAAGAGACGTCTGGAAGAGAATGTTCAATCGGTGTAGGAAGCTGTTGGGATAGCGTTGGTTTGAAAACTTATATCAAGATAAAAAATTTCGAGCTCTGAAAATATGATCTTATATAACTCCCAACAAAAAAAGCTGTGGGTTCCAAAGAAATCAGCGCAAATTACCTTCCCCACTTTGTAAAAAGAGTAGCCACGGATATAGGTCCACTTACACCGAAGCGCTGACCCCGGCCGCACCTCATAGATCCAACAAGACTAACAGGTTCGCAATTTGGCCCAAGGAGGAAGGTAGCTTACCCCTAAGGGGAATAGATTGGCCATATGCCCATATAAGGCCAATTCCGTGGTGGAGTCATTGTACGTAATGATCGTCGCTTCACAAGGGCACAGGAAGACATATATAGCTTGTCTACGTTATAAAAGTTTCCTATTTGGGCCATTTCGCGAGGTTGTGGGGTCCGACTGGAGCGGGAGGGAGAAGTTGCGGACAAGGTCGCATGATCTGCATCTCTGCCGGAAATCTTTGGACGATGAGGCAAACATATCGGATCCTTGGTGCAAGCACGCGCCGCTTACATGATGACTCCAACTAACTTACTGGCAACTTCACTTGTATGTATTATTTAACTTCTAAGAGACATCAAATATCCCGTTGGCTGGTCGTTGGGGGAAGGGGAGAGAGGAGGCGAATGGGGGCGGGGATAATGTTTCAAAATAGCATCCAAATGATTGGGTTATGCTGATCGGGAAAATTTTTAGGTCTGCATATCCACCGGATCGGACGCCTTGTCCCGACGCGAATATTGGGAGCAAGTAGTTCATAGTCGTCATTCCTCTGCTATGATAAGTATCCTAACAATCGGAAGCTGAGGAACAGGTCTACTTCCGGCATTCTATAGCACGTGCATCATCGGCCTGAAGGAAAAGAAGAAAGTATCGACGAAGTTCAACACGCAGCAGCCTAACACGGAGCTCGATTTTGTCTCACGAGCTGCGGCGTCTTTAGGCTCCGCAACGCCGATGCACAACTTTGTTTCCTTCTCTATGTTGGGAATGGCACAATTCTCGGAATTACCGGTTAGAACTGTGGTTACTCCCAGCGCAACATATATAAACGTCTGCGCATGGCTTATGAACTGTTTATTCCCGCCGATATTTCTCTATCATAACATCTGACTTTACTTTCCCATCACGGTTTCATGAAAATGACGACCCTTCTTCCCATCAAAGGCGCCGAGAATCTTCCATCCAGATGGTCCCTGACCGAAGACCTCGGCGGTTATGACATGCCAATCCGCCTCGAAGGCGAAATCGGCGATGCTATGGTGCGAGGCACCATTCCGGACTCTATCGATGGAACCTTCTACCGCGTTGGCTCGGACCACTTCACCCCGACTCTTCCCGGGCACAGTCCACTCCTAGGCCACGGTGTTGTCAGCGCATTTCGCATCCACAAGGGCCAGGTGGATTTCAAGATTCGATATGTCCAGAATGACCGTTATAAACTGGAGAGGAACATGAAGAAGAAGACAAAGAGCTATTGGAGGGAAGAAGACTATGCTCTGGGTCACGCGTCTGGAGGTGTTCTTTACCTCCCAGTAAACTTCGATTAAGCTTACATTCGGGGCCGGAAGTAGGTTTTTGGCGGGCCCCACCAGCCACCACAACTAGTCAAACCCTAATAACTAGTAGGCTTAACTTTATTCAGGGCGGGCCTTCTCGGCACGAGGGTTGCGCTTAATCAGCGGAAGTAACTCACTAACCAAATAACTACCATCTGGTTTGACGGGTGCCCGTTCAGGTTAGTCTGACGAGTCTTAGAAATGGTTCTGCATATCTTTGTTTCTTTTGGTTTTGGGGGGTGGGGGCAATGCGTGGCTTCACTTTGGCGCGATTCTTCGCAGCTAGAATGGTTGTCCAATAGAACCGGCCTTTGGACCCCACTTGACTTTCCTCTTCTGTCGAGAATGCGAGCTTGAACCGACACAGTGGAGAAAGTTCAGCCAGCTTTCGGCCCCGATGTACATGAAGTGAGGGATAAATTGATACTGGAATACACCTACAGATGAGGGGCTTCTGCCTTCACGCGCAGCCTTTGCAATTACTAGGAACCAGACCTCCGATTACTCTCAAAATGGATGCCTTGACCTTGGGTGCGACCGACCTGTCGCGGTTTGAAGCATTCTCTATCGTCTCCGTCGGCTATAAAGCGGTCCACGGCCATACAATCACCGTGGATGTGCTCTATCCCAAGAGCTTGAACGATCCATCTCAAGAACACGTACTCTCCGTTCCTCGACCAGTTCTACTTCGCTATCATGGTGGCGGCCTTATCGCTGGATACAGTCTCTTTCCTCCATTTTTTAGCCCGTGGTATCTCGAACTAGCGCAGGAACACTCGGCCATCATTGTTTCTCCAAATTACCGACTGTTGCCGGAGTCTTCTGTACTGGAAGTGCTTGAGGATGTGGAAGACCACTGGCAATGGATGCATCGGTCGCTTCCCATCTTGCTACAGCAAGAAACAAAGGGCACAGTGAAGCCCGATCTGAGTCGGATAATGGCTATCGGCGACAGTGCCGGGGGGTATCTCAGTTTGCAAATGGCTTTAAGTCACCCAGACGAGATTCGAGCGGTCAATGCCGTCTATCCCATAGTCAACCCGAAAGCACCCTACTTCAGCAGTTGCCAGGAACGGCCTGTGTTCAACCTCCCGGCTTATCCACCGGATACGCTGAGATGGCATCTAGACAGCATTAAGAGACAGGAGGCACTCACGCAGAAGCCTATGATTGTGTCCGCCGCCGCCGACGCCGATCGATTCCGGCTAATGTTTGCGGCATGCCAATATGGCCAGCTAGGCCAGCTTTTCCCAGCAGCTTCCATTACTCCCTATCTGCTTGAAAGGCTCGATGCTGGAGCACGCTTTCCACGCGGTGGAGTCTTGATACTCCATGGGCTGGATGACACGGTGGCTCCTGTTGAGGAGAGCTACCTGTTACGGAGGAAACTTGCCCAGGTTGACCCCAGCCTCAACTTTCGACTGGTCGTGCGGGATGGGGAGCATGGATTTGACCACCTGGCCAAGTTACATGATGCTTGGTTGTGGGATGCGATTCAGGACATTGTTAGATCCTGGTTAGACTGAATATTTTCTTCGCTGCTGAACTGCAGACATCATTGCAATGTAGGTGAACCAGCCATATAAGTGAATCTTACTCCTTCAACGCTTGACCCGTATTTTCTGACTGTTGTAATTAAGAATCCAGGATAAGTACCGGTTCCAACTTGTCTAAAGTGTACGTGACTTAAAATCAAGTAGAAATAGAAGGGGTGAGATCAACATGGCCCTATGTGTAGATCTCTGCCTCCGGACCTTTAGCACAGTAGCAGTACGTGTGACCAGGCGGGATTGTACAACATAAGGTTTACAGAGAGGTAGATCAGTTACCTCTACACTACCTCACGATTGAAGGAGTAGACAGTATAGTTTGGATACATATCATCTCGCCTGTTAGAAGATTTCCTCTCTTCCTAGATTCTCCTTTCTGAGCTCACTTTTGAAAAATTTCTCTGTTTTGGCCTTTTTCCTCGACATCCTGAAACCGGTCGGGATGGAGATCGGCGAGGCTTCGCCTGAGGACCATAGATGGGCTCTCGTGTTTAGACATTTGCCGTATCCGCTATTTTTCTGATGCGTCGGCTGTAGTACAAGGTTTGAAATGCTCGGTGCGGACAACCTAGAGTAGCAGCGGACAGATCGGGGTGAAATAAGATTCTCAGGTCATGGTTTTCCAGACAACCGCTTCTACAAAGTTAATTGTCAATATTTGACTAGTACATACGACCATAGGGTGTGGAAAGCAGGGCTTCCCGTCCGCTCAGCCGTACTTAAACCACACGCCGGTCAGTTAGTAGTTGGGTGGGTGACCACCAGCGAACCCTGGCTGTTGTATGTCGGGGATCCCCCAATCTTTTTGGTTCGGTTGAAAAATCGCCCTGCACGTCCCTGCACCGCTGATGTGGCCCTTTGGCTAAACCTTCCGTGCCTCGCGACCCTTCCTTCTCCCCTTCTCATCTGCCGTTTGGCTGCTCCTTCGAGGCGCAAAGGAGACCTCAATTGCCAAGAGGAAATGGGTGAGCACCGCTTTAGCGTCGCGCGACCCCGGGTGAGAAAGATGAGAGTGGAATAGATGCAGGCAAGCTAAAATCGCTGACAATTTGAAAGCATACGGCTTTTGGGATATACAGGAAGAGTTAGGGATGAAGAATTCCAACGGTTGAAGGACCGTGGCATATTGGATGTACAGGACCGACCAAGTTGGGATAGGCTTGCGGCCAAGCTCTTCGGTGTCCTATGGGAGGGGATTTCAGCATCGATGAAAGATATCACCGCTCGATCCCCTGAATCAGGTCTTGGTGAGAACAAATCCCTTACTCCTGAGGCTTCGACTGATCGGGTCTCATAGGACGAACTCTACAATATTCACAATGCTTCCGCATAGGAGCACAATCCTCAAGTGGAGTGGTACAACCAGACATAAGGACAAACGAAGAGCCATCACACATCATGAAGTTGCTACCATTGGCTGGAACATCCGGCCCCATCCAACTATTCCAAGTTTGGCGAATCTCTTTGTTGCCAAAGAGATCACCCTAATTTGGAAAGTCCTATGTTTTGATACTCCATAAGGTCTAGGTCATGTAAACATCGTGCATTGCATGATCTTTGGGATCGGATGCTGCGGTCTTTCCTGCACAGAGACACCAAACCGATGGTAGATCGTAGACAATTCAGGTATACTCTCGATCCCTTTCAGCCTCCTTAGTTGCCAAACAATAACAATATCTTGATGCAGTGTTTGCTTCCTCATGGAACAGATCTTAATCCATTGTGCCAGGAGGACAGGGGTCTCGTGCAGGATTCGTGCGTTTAGCTAAGAACAAGGCCAATGATAGCAGTCACATGCACCCTTAGCACTAACTCGCGGGTCTGTGAAAAAGGCACATCGCAGCAGGTGCCGCTCTGGTCCTGGTTTATTTGTAAAGCTAGACTTTGAGGTTCTAGAACCTTGAGTCCTGCAGCCAAAGTTGGCTTCACGTAATACCTGTACCGCCCCTTGTAGACGAAGAGATTAATTAGCGCTTGTGGGAAAATTGATACCTACGGGAAATAAGTTCAGAAGCTTTGGGGCTACAATCTATCTAATGTCAGATTGGGAGGATTGTCATGAACTTGTGTTCTTGCAGGTCACCATTTTGGAATATCAAGGCATTGGCTAGCTACCAAAGCTACACGAGTTAATAGGCACTTTGTAATATAGTCCCGAACGACGATACTTAGCACGAGAGAGACCCGTAATGTTATTCAATCGATAAAAAAAAATTTAACAATACCCTCGCCTAATACAATAGGGACCATCACACTAACGCGGATACTATATACTTATCCACAAAGACAAACCCGAAGCTAGGCGGCTGTGCTCCGAGTGGACAGAATTGATTTATGTACCTTAGCACCTCGTGGATCCATAGATCTACTCGTCAATTACCTTCGATAGGCCTCACAGGGTCCTGAGGTTTTGATCAATTTCTTATTTTCCCCCCTTCGCTGTTTGATTTCTACCAGTGTTGTCATGTACAGAGATAAAGTAGATCTAAGACTATACTACCTAAAGGATCAACATTGCTCTACTCCTATTGAATATACAGATGGGCTCTGATTCCACAGAGCCTAGAGACAATCAGTTGATGCTGCATGGCACTGGTTGATTGGTCTCGAGGATAAACACCATACTCGGGTTACTGCGCATGATCAACTCTTGGTGACGGACAGAGGACCCAGGGGAAGGATGCAAGAATGTCAATTTGTGATATTGGCTACGACACGCAACAGTGGTATTTGAGCTGCTTTTCTCAAGACAAGAATAATAAGAGGAGAAAAAGTCCAACGGCTTGCTGACTATGATCATCAAGTCGCGCCATGACATCAAACGAGGATCTCCGAGGGGAAAGAAAGGAGTGCCATAGAGAATACAGGCTGAGACAGGCTGACACGATTCATAACTTCGGGGTTTGTACATGGGGACCCGAGGTTTGGGCAAAGACTCAGATTACACTTCCTCGTCGGCAACCACCGGCGCAATTTCACTGCCCGATGCCGTGGATTCTGCCCCGGCAGATACCTCGCCGGCCACGGGAGGAGGCACATAATACGGGAAACCTTCCTCACCAGCATCCAGACGTAACAGGAATGTTTCCCAGAGTTCAATCAGCTGTTATCCGTTAGTGAGCTGCATAAGCCTTACGCAATGGAAGTACGAGAGAGACCTACCTCCTTCTGAGCCTCGACCGCGCTTTCCAGGAATGTTTCCACACCAGACTTAAAGTCTTCCACCTTCTCCCTCTCAAACCTCTGCAGTTCATTCCGCATCAGGCGGCCCATATCATCAAACAGAAGTCGGGTTTGGTGGACTTTGCGCTCGGCATCGGCGACATCGGCGCTGACTTGGTTGAGTCGGTCTTGCTGAGTCTTGCCCTGGCGCAGTAGCTTGTCTTGCGTGTTCTTGCGCTTCTGGAGATCTGACTCTGCGGCATGCCAGCTGTGGAATGCCTTTTGCCGCTGGGAGAACGCTGTTTTCACGCTGCCAATCAAGCGAATATATTCATCGATCGTGATTCCGAGCGTCAAAACATCCTGCTGGGCCTGTCGTTCATAGAGCTCCCGAACGCGCAGCTGAAGTTCCGACAGTCCGTCCAAAGGCGAAGAGAGTGCCGGAGAGAGCTCGACGGCGGAGAGGGCATGTAGTGAGCTTGAGAAGTCACCCGCTGCTTCGGCAAGCCCCTTTCGTTGCGCAACCACGGTGTCTATGGACTTCATCAAGGCCCTCAGCTGGTTCTCCAGTGCGTCCATATAAACCTTGCGGTCATGGAACCACTATTCAGAAGTGAGTAGGCCTAGCCATTTGCATCTAGGATATGGGTGTCCCTTACGTCGTCGTGCTCCACAAATTTGGTTCCTCCGCCTACCGAAATGCCAAAAGAGCTCAGCATGCCCTTGTTCTGGCCCAAATCTGGCTCTCGATTCTCTTTGTTCTTGACGTCAACATTGAAAGCTTCACTCTCCAGGAAGATTTTCAAGTCCGCGTCATGTTGAAGAATAGGGTGACTGGCAATCTTGTTTAACATGCGCTCCAGAGCAGCTCTCCTTGACTCGACGAAATTGGTATCAAATCGGCCAACAGCTTGCTTCTCGGGCGGGGGCGCGACCACCACTCCGGGGTTGTTGTTGTGCAGGGAATTGTAAATCCATAGGAAATCGCGGTAACGGCGGGTGACGGCAAATTCGGGTTGGCGATATGCTTTTGATGTCGTCTAGATAATTGCAGTCGCTGTCAGTATTTTCGAAACTCTCGGACGGCGGTAATTCTCCCATCTCAAAGCCAACGGTACCTTTGTCCGAACTTGGTAGACAATGTGACTACTTGTTAAATCCCCCACTTTGTGTGGATCTCCCACGCTGATCTCGAATGTCGGTTTTGCAGCCTGTTCCACACTAACACTGGGCTGCGACTGTCGCTTGGGTCCTTCTGTGTCCATCGGCGGTTGCACGGGCGGGGGACCGCGAAATCCCGTGGCATCGTCTTCCACATTGACCGAGTCTGCCACGCCCGCTGCGCTGGAAGCTTGAGAAGGAGACGAGAGTGGTCGCGCACTGCGTCCGGCGAATGGTTCTTTCTGCGGCGGTGCCGGGGCCTCCTCTGTGGAAGTCCCAGCCTCGAGCGGTGCTTCGCCCAATGGGCCCAGTGGGTCAACGGTGTCGTCAACGGCTTCCAAACGTGTCGCCTGCGCACTAATCTTGCGCCCCCTCGGGCACCTCGTCCCCCTGGCGTACGAACTGCAAGGCCGCTGCTTGACTGTGCGGATTGTGCGGGGGCTACCAGCTCAACGCTGTGGTTAGCGAGGGGTTGGGAGAGAGAGAGGGAGCAGAGACAACACACCACTGTCCTCGGTGTCGGGCTTTGGCGTCACATGGGTCGTAGTGGACTGGGATGGCTCATCTGCATTATCGATTAGAACGCAATCCAAAGAGCCGTGGTATCATTACTGCCTACCGCCCCACGGGGAGTCGCCCGCGTCGAGATCCATTGGTAGCGGTCGTGTGCGGCCGGGATAAAAGTGGACAAATTATAAAGAACAGGGAGTTAAAGGCTAAACTTCAATTGGGGGAATCAAAGCTCTGAAGCAAGGCGAGAGAGGTTCGGAGCATTGGAGAAGGAGCTGTGGCAGTTGAGGTGGAGGATGATCCGCGCGGGCCTTGGTCACTCACGGGATCCCCAACCCACCCGCCCGTAAGGTCTTTCTCATACAATTTCATCTGATTTCCCATCGACTTCGACATAACTCCAGCCACTTTCTGACATCTACGTAAGCTTCCGAGACTGAAGAAGCAATCCAGGCTTGTCACAACAATGATCTAGGGGGAAATAACGATAGGGACTGGCATATTAGCTAAATATATTCTTTTCTGTGATTTATCTTCATCCAACTACTTCGCTATTTCAATTCAATTCTTTCTCTTCCTTTTCAAGAAGACTTCCAACCCTTTTCATACTCAGACAGTGCCCATTTCACCATCGATTCAGACGCAAGAACCTCCTGAGCAGAAGGGCGACTTTCAGGCCTGAAAGAAAGCATCGACTTGAGCATCGAGAAAAGGGCATCTCGCTCGGCTGGCTCACAGCATGTCTTTCGCTTGTCGAGGTTGCTGCACACTATCTTCGAAACGGTCTTCCCATGCTCGATACGATCCTCGGTTTATTGGCTTCCCATCCTCGCTGAACTTATTTCGCCATGCCCCCCATTTGTTCCACCACTCCGGGGGCAGAATGCCAAGTGTATCAACCTGCTCGCAGGTGATATCGTCTTCGTCTCTAGAAATCCTTCAAACAGTGGTCTTTGCCCGGTAATATTCCATATCGAGCAAGCGAGTGACCAAATATCCGAGGGAAAGGAAAGCGGTTTGGCTGATTCGAAACGGGTCTCCGGGGCCCGGTTCACCAGAGGAATGTGAGACTCGAATTTCTTTTGCTTTGCTGGCGAGAAGGCCTCGCCAGAGTCGGAGAGGTGAGTCTTAGCTTCGGAAACCTCAAGTTTCTCACTTGCATCTCCGAGCCAGATTGACCTTTCGTGGCCCACGCCCACGACTATGCTTGCCACTGCCAAACTCCTTGGTCCTCAGTACCAAAGATGCGCATTAAAATCAAATCTCCAGCTCCGACGGCATAGCTTAAGCGCCAGATAAGCATCCAGCGTCACATCGTATCTATTGAAGCTCTCGAACTCTTGGCTAATCTATCTACCCATGATGTTGGTTTTATTTGATCCATGGAATGCCCAGCTTGTGCATTTCCACGGCCAGCTGGAACAGGTAATCCAGACTCTCGCACTGAGTCTTTGCTTTGGCGACATTGTCTCCCCAGACATAACTGTGGTAGAGACCAGCACATTAGTATTTTACCCGAAGCAATATCGCAGCCGCGAGACAACACTTACATTCCATGGCGCCTGACGAGCACCGCGTACGTATCCGGGTCCTTGTTCATCGCCGCCTCCAGACCACTCGTCAAGTCCTCCTCGAACGCGGTATTCTCGATGATAGGGATACTCAGGGTATCAAAGAACCCCAGCATGCCTTTGCCCTTGCCGCGAGGGATGCCCTTGATCTGCTCGATGTTGTTGATCTCGAAGCACCCTTCAGGGCCCTTCTCCCGCTCCACCAGCAGGGTCACCAGAACGGCCCACTGCGAGTGGGTGTGGATGCAACAGCCAGCACCATGCTCAAAGGCCGTGAGGAACAGAGGCGTGCAAGCCGAGGGATTCAGCTTGAGAGGTTTGCGGATATAGTTACGCGCCTCTGCGGGGTACTTGGCCGTGGGCCATTGAATGACGAAGATGTTGTGCGACTGAATCAATTCTTTCTGGACTCCAGAGGGCGCAATGAAGATATGATCACCATGGCGGATCGATGTCTGTATAAGATTAGCCGTTGCGAGTCTTTGATGTCGACACCAGATGTGCTTACCCCACCGCCCGTACCGGTAACCCAGCCCCAGTTGTAGAATTTGCGACAGAGATCCGGAATGAGATTGGCGGGGTGTTCTGGGTCGGATGATTGCACCAGATGGTCATTGTTAGTGAGGGACCCGACGGCCTCGACAGCCTTTCCTGCGACAGTGGTCATGGTGGAATGACTAGCAAACACCGATAGAGAAATCCAAGAGGAGAGGCGATCTAGAAATCGAGATCAACCTGGGATGGGTGGAATGGGCGAGGGTTTTGTCACCGCGACAAATCCTTGGGCGGGGGAGAATCGGATCTGCAAGCATATCCACATAGCACGCAAGTGAACAGGCGGATTCAAACCACGCTGGCGGCAGCATCATTATAAATTGAGGTCAGACGAGGATAAAATAGATATTTCAAAGTAATTGAAACACATCTGCATAGAAACTAAAAAAAAGAAACAGAAAAACCACCGCGTATACAAAAAGAGGGAGAAAGGCAGCGTCGAAGACGATCGAAAGCCGCGGCCAAGCTAGTCCCAATTGGGAGTGCTGTGAAGAGGCCACCTGGACCTTCCCCCGGTGCTCCATCCTATATTTACCTCCGCGCCCACTTTTTTTCTTTTCTTCCTTCTTTCTGCTTTGCTTTGGTTTGTGTCTCTTCGGTGCTGTGTGCTCCACCCCTTTCATTTCTTTGTTTCACTATGCGCTTTAACGCCGCGTTCGCCTCGGCTCTGGTCTCCTCGGCCTCTCTCATGGGCTATGCCCATGCCGAGGAGTCGGAAGCTGCTGATCCCACCGTTGCGGTCGCTGAGAAGCCTACGTTCACGGTAAGTTGCACCAATGGAGGCTTTCCTCGTTTCTCCCCTCTAATTGTGTACTCATGCCCTTGTTAGCCGACCAACCTCAAAGCTCCCTTCCTAGAGCAATTCACCCAAGGTTGGGAATCCCGGTGGAAGCGTTCGAACGCGAAGAAAGACGACCCCAAGTCGGACGAAGACTGGGCCTATGTTGGCGAATGGGAGGTCGAGGAACCTTTCATGTTCCAGGGTATCAAAGGCGACGAGGGTCTGGTCGTGAAGAACGCGGCCGCCCACCACGCCATCTCTGCCAAGTTCCCCAAGAAGATTGACAACAAAGGGAAAACCCTCGTGGTGCAGTATGAAGTCAAGCCGCAGAGTAAGTCGAGGTCATTGTTGGGTAGAGGCCGACGCGCTAACATGGACTTCCCACGCCCTAGACTCTTTGGTGTGCGGTGGTGCCTACCTGAAGCTTCTTCAGGAGAACAAGAAGCTCCACCAGGAGGAATTCTCCAACGGTACCCCGTACGTTATCATGTTCGGTCCCGACAAGTGCGGTACCACCAACAAGGTATGAGTGTTTCAACATCTTTATCTCAGGCCAGCGGCTCACCCTTCTTTAGGTCCACTTCATCTTCCGTCACAAGAACCCCAAGAGTGGCGAATACGAGGAGAAGCACCTGGACAGCCCTCCCGTCGCCAACACCTCCAAGGTCACCTCCCTGTACACTCTCATCATCAAGCCCGACCAGACCTTTGAGATCCTGGTCAACGGCGAATCCAAGAAGTCGGGTAGCCTCCTGGAGGACTTCAGTCCCCCGGTGAACCCCCCGAAGGAGATCGATGACCCCAAGGACAAGAAGCCTTCCACCTGGGTCGACGAGCCCAAGATCCCTGATCCCGAGGCGACCAAACCCGAAGACTGGGATGAGGAGGCTCCGTTCGAGATCGAGGACGAGGAAGCCACCCAGCCCGAGGACTGGTTGGTGGATGAGCCCGACAGCATCCCCGACCCCGAGGCTGAGAAGCCCGAGGACTGGGATGATGAGGAGGACGGTGACTGGATTGCCCCCACGGTTCCCAACCCCAAGTGCGCCGAGGTCGCTGGCTGTGGCGTGTGGAATCGCCCACATAAGAAAAACCCCGACTACAAGGGCAAGTGGTCTGCGCCTCTGATCGACAATCCGGCCTACAAGGGCCCCTGGGCGCCGCGCAAAATCGCCAACCCTGGCTTCTACGAGGACAAGACCCCGGCCAACCTGGAGCCCATGGGTGCGGTATGTTATTCTATGTTCCAAGTCTCTCCCTTGGACGGCTCGCTGATAGTTTTTTTCTTCTTTTCCTTTTGCAGATCGGTTTTGAAATCTGGACCATGCAGAGCGACATCCTGTTCGACAATATCTACATTGGTCACTCTGTCGAGGATGCGGCCAAGCTTCGCCAGGAAACCTTCGATGTCAAGTTCCCCATCGAGACGGAAGAGGAGAAAATCAACCAGCCCCCGGCCGAGATGCCAGACGAGGGCACCACCGTTAACTTCAAGGACGACCCCGTCACTTTTGTCCGCCAGAAGGTGCACTACTTTATCGAGCTGGTTCAGGAGGACCCCGTCAACGCCGTCAAGACCTTGCCCGAGGTGGCTGGTGGCCTCGGTGCACTCTTGGTGACGATGATTCTCATCGTCGTGAGTGCCATTGGCGCCAGCAGCCCCGCTCCCGCCCCGGCGAAGAAGGGCAAGCAGGCCGCCGGTGCTGCCAAGGAGAAGGCAGGCGAGGCTGTCAGCTCATCCGCCGACACCGGCAAGAGCGGTGCCACCAAGCGCACCACTCGCTCCTCTGCCGAGTAAAGGCCATGGGACCGGACACAAAAGATTACCCCGTAAAGCCAGCGAATGAGATTGCATCTAGTTATTTGGAGATGTGTAGTAGTCTGAGCAGTGAATGGAGGCGTGTGTACTTCGATTTTGGGCTGGTAGTAGGGCCTATAGCTTCGTACCTCGTAGGGGTAGAACGTAGGGTAAGAGAGGCCGTAGAAGTGCTTGCCAGTGCGGAACTGCCTTCCTGCAGTCGGCGATGAGACCAGGGCCTGTGATTGGTCCACACCACCGAGCACAGCTTATCGGAGTATGGGGATCGGCTGAGCTAAGCCAAGCGGTTGACCTCGGGCCTGGGGTATGCGAGTCCCTTTATGTACTCCGTATTCCCGGCACGCTTCTCTCTTCTTCTTTTCTTTCGATTACGACTGTCCTCTTTTGTGACACCTTTTCCTTCTGTTTTCATTTCCCTTCGCATTTCACTATGGCCGCTCGTCGGTCTTTAGCCCGCTCGCTCCCCGCTCTCCGCGCCGCTCCCCGCACGCCTGTGGTTGCCAAAGCTGCCACCGAGCCTCGATCTCTCACCACCGCTACGCCAGCTGCACGCTTTTCGGATCGACGACAAATGCCTTCCTCTTCCTCCCTCTCGGCCATACGCCGGTTGCATGCTACTGCGCAGCAGTTCAACCCCGCAACCACCTCGGCCGCCTCGACCGCCACCGAATACCCGACGGATCATCAGCCGATTGCGAAGCCCCTCGACACTACCAATTTTCTCGATAATGAATTTGTGTCTTCCAAGGCTACAACTTGGATTGATCTCCACGATCCGGCCACCAACAATCTAGTCACTCGGGTGCCCCAAAGCACGGATGAGGAGCTGCAGGCCGCTGTCCAGTCGGCCGAGAAGGCCTTCCCCGCCTGGCGAGCTACGAGTATCATCGCCAAACAGCAGATCCTCTTCAAGTTTGTGGGACTGATTCGCGCCAATTGGGACCGGCTGGCTGCCTCCATTACACTGGAACAGGGCAAGACGTTCGCCGACGCTCGGGGCGACGTTCTCCGTGGCCTGCAGGTGGCCGAGACTGCATGTGGCATCACCACCCAGATGACGGGTGAGGTCCTGGAGGTAGCCAAGGACATGGAGACAAGAAGTTACCGTGAGCCGCTGGGTGTGGTAGCGGCCATCTGTCCCTTTAGTAAGCCTAAGCTGTGTGTACTTCCAAGCTGCTTCCTTGGGTGCTGATGATAAAGCTAGACTTTCCCGCCATGATCCCACTGTGGTGCATCCCTATTGCTACAGTTACCGGCAACTGCCTGGTCATTAAGCCGTCGGAGCGGGACCCTGGCGCCGCGATGATCCTCGCGGAACTGGCCAAGGAGGCTGGATTCCCCCCGGGCGTCATTAACGTTGTGCACGGCTCCGCTCGGACTGTGGACTTCATCCTTGATGAGCCCGCCATCAAGGCAATTAGCTTCGTCGGTAGCAACCGTGCGGGCGAGTATATCTACACTCGTGGATCCGCCAATGGCAAGCGCGTCCAGGCCAACCTAGGTGCGAAGAACCATGCAGCCGTGTTGCCGGACTGTAACAAGAACCAATCGCTGAACGCTATTGTTGGTGCGGCCTTTGGTGCCGCTGGCCAGCGTTGTATGGCTCTGAGCACGGTCGTGATGGTTGGTGAGACCAAGGAATGGCTGCCCGAGATTGCGGAACGGGCCAAGGCCCTGAACGTGAACGGCGGCTTCGAAGAGGGAACAGACCTTGGACCGGTCATTAGCCCTGAGAGCAAGAAGCGCATCGAGGATCTGATTGCCAGTGCCGAAGAGGAGGGTGCGACCATTCTTCTCGATGGTCGGGGCTACAAACCCGAGAAGTACCCCAACGGCAACTTTGTAAGTTTCTCCCACAGGCTTTTCCAACCTATCGAAAAGCCTGAATCTGCAGCAAGAGCACCCCGTACTGATTGTATCTCCAGATCGGCCCGACGGTCATCACCAACGTCACCCCCGACATGAAGTGCTACCGGGAAGAAATCTTCGGTCCTGTCCTGGTTTGTCTGAACGTCGAGACCCTGGACGATGCCATCAACCTGATCAATGCCAACGAGTACGGCAACGGCGCCGCTATTTTCACTCGCTCTGGTTCGACCGCCTCACGCTTCCAGAAGGATATCGAGGCCGGCCAGCTGGGCATTAATGTGCCTATCCCCGTGCCGTTGCCCATGTTCTCGTTCACCGGTAACAAGAAGAGTATTGCCGGTGGTGGTGCCAACACCTTCTATGGCAAGCCCGGTCTGCAGTTCTATACCCAGCAGAAGACCGTGACCAGTCTCTGGAAGAGCGAGGATGCGGTGAGCACCAAGGCCAATGTGGTGATGCCCAGTCACTCCTAGTGTCACTGCTGTTTGATTTTTTGCACTTTCCTAATTGATCATGATCATGTTTATGTCCCATTTGTATTGCCTTAGCAAAAGCTTTTTTGTTTATTTATTTACGGAAATTCCTGCAATGAAGGTACTTCGAACCGTCAATGTCTAACACCGAAGTATAAGAATGTCAATAAGGCTAAACGCTGAATTGATCTACAGTGTATTGAGGTATGGGATAACCCCAGAGGGAATTAGCTTATCCGCAATCCGCGATGAAAAAGCCGCCTCTGATCTCGCCGGGAATCTTCCACCGGCTTACTAGGTCCTCCGCTGCTGGAAGGTGTAAACCAGGCGAGCCAGCTCAACCTGACCATCTTTCGTGACAGCCACACGGCGAGTGTATCGGCGCTCACCCTCAACCAGCTCGAAGCCCCAGATCTGAGAAATGGCAAGCATTAGCTGACTGGCCGTAGAAAGGCAGTTGACATACAAAGGAAAGAACCAAGAACAAAAAACCTACCTGCTCAGCAGTCCACCCAGACTCCTCATTGCGTACAAAGCTCTGCATCCATAAGCCATCACCGTCACCAAACTCAGCGCCCTCGTCATCAACAATGAACCCATCGCTGGCCGAACCATCCACCAAGACCTCGCCGCGCAAGAACTTCTGCACCTTGGCATCGGCCTCTGACTCGCCGACCTTGGTGTGGACGTCGACGGACGGGCGCACCTTGCCGTCGTCGGCTTTGGCGCCGCGGAACATCCGCGAGCGGCCCTGCAGCTTGCCGAAGATGTTGTCGACGTGCTCGCGCTCCTCCCAGTCCAGCTTGCGTGCTTCCTTGCTGCCGGTGATGCCGCCGGTGATGACCTGGTCGATGTCGATGTGGTACACAAGCGGGCTCTCTGTATCGGTGTACTGGTGCACATGCAGTGTCACCGTGGCGTAGGGGAGGGCTTTGCGTAGGAACCAGCTCATGCCTTGCTTTGGGGAATTGTTAGTGCTGGGTTCTTCGGTATTGGATTCCCTCTTTTCACAGTGTAGTCTCTCTGAGAAGCATCCTATGTAGCCTCGACTTTGGGAAAGGGAAAGGAAAGTCCATACCAGAGCCAGGATGGAGTCTGTCGGGTTGGACAGCGTTGAGTCCTGTTACACACGTCAGCCCGCAATGACTTTTTTTTTTAATTTTATATCTTAATTTTTCATGTCAACAATCCCAGAGAGTCTAAACTTACCATAACCCACTCGCCATTGAGATTCTTGATGGTGATATCAGCGGGGGCGGCCATGATTGCGGTGTTGATGGGGGGAAACCGGGGAAGAATCGGAATGCGGGGTGATGAGGGGCGATATCAATTGTGTATACAAGGTGGTATAGTAGGGAGATATCCGGGTACTTGAGGACAGAGAGAACAGGGTTGGAGTGTGGAGAAACCAGGGGTAATGAGAGGAATGGAGACGCAGACCAAGTCAATATATAACCCTCCGCGGTTCTTCACTGCAGTCGAGATGACCGCATTGCACGTGCGTCTCTTCCGAGGCTGACACGTGGATGACTCAGCAGATCCGTGGGTTGGTGCTATGTCAGCATTACTGCCTGAGGTGTTGAGGTACCCTTTCAGGGTTTCGTGTTGACGCTCTGACGTGAAGCTCCGACAGCTCCCATCGCCATGGCCTTCAACAAGAAATATGCTGGTCTGCCAGACCTGGTAAGAGAGACTTCAGCCTTCGGGTGCATTCTTGAAAACCACCGCATTCCGCTGACTATCCCCAGGATCCCGCCCCGGATATTTACGAAACCCCCGATTTGACCGACGAAGCATCCACAGTGCCAGTGAGTGGAGCGATTCTTTCTATGGAACTCGAGACACGCAATCCCCTCATGTTAATAACTGAGCCTGTTTAGACGGCCACCGTCCGCACGGATTCCGACCATGACGACGCCGGCTCCAGCTCAGACATCGATCGTGAAGGCGTCAATGCCGATCAGGCGCGCCTGCACTTCATGGGCGCCGCCGTGGATGCCCGGGACGCCAATTTCTCCGACACTATTTCCACGAAACGACAGGCGTATCGGAGCAAGAGCAAAAGCCGTCGCCGCCGGCGGAGACGCGAGGACGGGACCGAAGAAGTGGGCGACTTGACTGATAGCGAGGACGAATCGTTCGAGAGAAGGCTGGCACGATTGCGAAGGGAGGTCGAGGATTTGAAGGTGGAAATGGCTCAACAGCCGACGTCTGACGAGGACAAGGGCGAGGGGAGTGGGCCGTCACAGGAGGCGTCCGCTAAAAAATCAGGGGAAGAAAATGCGTTGGGTGATGGCGTGGCAGAGCTGAGCCGGGCTCTGGATAACCTGCATGCTTCGTCGCGGGGTGACGTCGGCTCATCGCACTCGGCTGCTATGGCATTGTCGCAAAAACTCGGGTCTGATGCCCGCCCCGCGGCGCCTGCTGCGGACTCGACTAAACCACAATCCCCGGCCGGTGGTTCAGCACCCACTGCCGCCGTGGCTGCTGCGCCGGCAGTGACAGCGGCATCTCCCGCAGGCCTCTTGTCGCATGCGACAGCATTCGACGGCCGTCTGGCCCTCCTCGAGGCCTCCATGGGCATTTCAAGCTCCTCGAACCCGTTCATCGGCGATGGGATCAGTGACCCGTCCCTGCAGCCGGTCCTGCCCTCACTGGATCAACTCACCTCCCGCCTCTCCGCGCTCACGGGCCTGCTCGTGGGCAAAAACCCCGCCTCCGCCCCAGGTGGTGGCCCCGGTGTCGTCCCAGGCCTGACGACCCCGCACCTCGAAGCACTCTCGACGCGGGTCCGCAAGCTGACCACCGACGCCGAGGCCCTCGCATCGGCGCGCAGACGCGCTGTGGACGCCGCCAAAGCCGCCCAGACCGCGCGCATCACCGCCACAAGCTCCGAGCCCGACGCTGTGCCGCCCGCACCGGACACCGTCCCCGCCGACGACGAGCAAGCCGCCAAAATCCAGGCTCTGTACGCCACCCTCCCGACAATCCAGTCTCTGCACCCGCTGCTCCCCAGCGTTCTGGAACGCCTGCGCTCCCTCCGCGCGGCTCACGATGGCGCATCCAACGCCGCCGAATCCATCGATGCACTCGAGAAACGCCACGCTGAGATGGCCTCGGAGATTCAGCAGTGGCGCGAGGGTTTGACCGTCGTCGAGGACAAGATGCGCCAGGGCGAGGAAGCTCTGCGCTCCAATGTCGAGACTGTCGAGCCTTGGGTGCGTGATCTGGAGGCCCGGCTAGCTCGTCTCGGAGGACCACCTGGCGGACTGTAGCGTTAGCATCTTTGGTGATTTCTTCTTTATCGCATGATTTCTCTCATGATAAATAATACCCAGCGTGTGTATTCGGGGATGGTTGGCAGTGTGATTTGGTGTCCCTACCGATGTTCTTCTCTCCATATCAGCGTAGGGGAGTCTGTATCTACGGTTGAAGGTTGAACCAGTCCCGGAATTCAGTGTCTCAGTAGAGCCTTGAGTAATAGGAACTTAGAAGTACATTGTCTGTCTGCATTGACAGATTCTAAGAAACATCTATGAATATATCTCATATCCCCTTCACTCGCCGCAGCACCTTAATCTTCGGCCTCATCCGCACCTCAACCCACCACCCACGCAGCAAAACCTCGCGCACATATTCTCGCACTGCGTCAAACGTCTCCACTGCACGTCCACCACCTAGCATCTGTAAGACTTTACGCTCGACAACCCCAGTCGCAGGCGAGCCGGGCCTCAGAACGGACAGGCCGGCAAAACCATCGACTACGAGCACGGTCTCCCACTCCGAGCCTGGGAGTGCGTGTCGCAGACGAACTTCGTCGTTATCCCGGTAATTAGGATCCAAGGCAGCCTCGACGAGAACATAGTCGAAGCGGTCCCAGAAAGCGGGTGAAGACTTGACATGCTCGTCCTCGGTTTTGTCGTACGTCCATCCCGGTGCTTGGTCTTGCAGAAAACGGGTGATGCCTGTTTGACAAGCGAGGTTGCCGAGGTAAACGGAGACGTTGGTGGATGGAGGAAGGATGTTTGGGGAAGGGGAGTGGAAGTGATGGTTTTGCAGGGCAAATAGGGCCTGTGCGCCTGGATAGTTCGCCGCGGAGGCTGGAAGAAGAACCAAATTCGAGAGCAGGAACGCGGCGAGAGTAGATATTGCCAGGAGGTGAGATGCAGAGCGGGCGAAGAGGGAACGTGCACGGCGAGTCCACAGGTACGCGGCACCCAGGGCAGCGGCGGCAGTGAGGGGCGGCACACCATAGACGATAAACCGCCATTCCTTGTGAGGCTGGAAGCTGTACAGCGCGACGAAGGACAGAGACGGCACAAGCAGCGACGCCACAGGCTGCCGGGTAGCAGGCTGCCGGAGTGCAACGGGAATGGCGAGGAGGTAAATCAGTGGGTTGAGGAGAAGGCGCGGCAGCGCATTCACAAAATAAAAGAACCACGGCTCGGTGCCCCAGGCTGAGGACTGGCCAGAAACGACATTAAAGCGGAACGCCTCCAACTCGGGCCAAAGCGGGAACCGCTGCCAGAACTGGGAGTCGATCACGACGGTAGCTAGCACGGCGGTTCCGAGGCCAAGCAGGCCTGCAGACACGGCATCCGGGGAGAGCCGGATGCGGCGTGTCGCCAGCAGGAAGATCGTCTGCGTTGCCACGAGCAGCGCCAGCTCAGAGCGGAAGATCACTCCGGCGACAGTGAGCAGGAACAGCGCGCGACGGGCACGGCTGCGGTCTCGTGCGCTAGGAATAGGTTCTGGCAGAAGATACCGCATGGAGAGTGTCGTCAGCCCAAAGGCGAACATGTTCGACAGAGGTCGCGACGCGTAGTACAGGAGGTGGAACTGGCTACCCTGTAGGAGAATATACCAGACTGCCACCGGCTGGCCGAAGCTGCGCCGGAGGCCGTGGGCGTAGACGGCCAAGGCGAAGGCATTGAAAAGGCCCAGGATTGCGCGAGCTAATACTGTATAAGCTTGTGTATAGCGAAGTAATATTTTCCAACAAGAGGATTATTGATATACCTAAGATCTGCCCATTGATCCCTTCGTTCAACCATGCCACCGGCTGCGACAGCTTGGCGAGGACAGCGGCACCAATGGCCGTCCGGGGCACGGCCCCAGGAAAGGCGAAATGGTCATAACTGGCGCGCTGTAGCTCGAGGCTGCGAGGCAGACCATGGGCCAAGATATCTCGCACCGCTTGGATATGGAAGGACTCCTCGACCTTGGTGTATGGGGCGGCGAGGAGATGGAGAAGGATCAAGGCGGGGAAGAGGAGAGCGAGGACCGTTGATGCTGCTGATCAAATGAGCATGTTTGCCTTTTAATTATTGTGGTCGGAGAGGAGTGGGGAGGGAAGATAAAACTGACCATGTCTCATGGTGGCATCACAGGGGGAAGGTGTTTGGTCCGGGAGATCTGGCGCTTCCCGCACCTCTCTCACCTTATCAACATTCCCTCTCCTTCACATCTTTCCTAGCTCGCCTTCGCTCGCAACGATGTTCCTCTTCGGTCTCGGGAAGCTAGTCTACGGTGCGTGCCTGTATTTGCCTTGTGGTTCTCTGCAGAAATAGCTAATTCCTCTCTAGTTGTCATCCTCCTGGTGAACGCCATCGCTGTGCTCTCGGAGGACCGCTTCCTTGCGCGCAGTACGTTCCTCCCCTCGCAGGTTCCTGGACTGATCTCGAATGCCCCTCAAAGCCCAAAGAAAAGAATATCAATTCTAACTCCTGTAAACAGTTGGATGGGGCCGCACACAAGCTGAGCCGGGATTCGGCGCGACATACGATAGCACGAGCGTCAAGGCCAAGTCGGTCAACTTGATTGCCAGCGTGCGGACCGTGATGCGAAGTATGTATTTCCTGGACCAGATCCTTGCGTAACACCCCGACCAGAGAGGGCTGCCGAAGTCCCTCATCCTAAAAGCACCAAGCCAAACAAAAAGGTTTATTCTCGGTCACCGAGCTAACTGGTTGCCTGTCTCTACAGTACCCCTTATTGTCATCAACACGGTCATCATCATCTACGAGATCATTCTCGGCTAAGCCTCTACTCAAAACACACCCTCGCGTTTTTCTTTTTTCCTCCGAGTCGACTAGGATATTTGGCCGTGGTACCTCTGCGGAAACGATTCATGACGCACCTGTTCCGTCCCCTTTCGTCCTCATGTCATGTCTTGAAATGGACTTGAATTTATCCGGCGTAATGGCATTTTCTGTTGGGAGGACATCGTGCGAGTCCAAGCTGTTTTCACCACATCCTACCATCCTACGACTACACACGACACGATGTACACGAGCAAGCAGCATAACCTAAAGGGACTGGGGAAAGCAATTGAGCTGCGATGGTCTATCTGGCTATTAGCTCGCTGATATGGATCGCTTGGGCTACTCGGGCTAAGGTATGAATGCGTGGGTAGGACATACTGCAATCCATTTGATCGCATTATGCTCCTGTGTTATCTGGTCTTTTGGGGTTGCTTCGGGCTCTTCTCTGTACATATATATATACCCCCTTAGACACATCCACTCAAAATATGGGCCAGTTTCAAAAGCAGAATGGTTTTACAATTACCCCGGAAGAACAAACTAGAGAATTTTGTGCCATATATGGTCCCGTCGGGTTTCCATTTGGATATGACTAAATCGGCTACCGTATCCAGGCCGGCATGCAAGATAAGAATAACCGGCTATGTACGGCAACATAGAAATGAAGCAAAAGAATCGGAGCAACGAGCCAAGGACATGTGTGGAAATCCTTAGCAGCCTCCCCCAAGCACAGGGAAAGAGTTCAACCCGAGAGATAGAGATGTAAAAAAGAAATGCAAGGAAATAAGGATTCGCTCAGAAAACACAAGGGAAAAAAAACGCCTGGTAAACCCCGGTTGCCACGCTCGTCCGCAGAAAGAACAACCCCCCAAAACGCCGCCTTTGACGCCTGATCACTAGTGCAGGATCCCAGCAGCGAAAAATAAAAAGCAATATCATCAAGAAAGAAATTGGAGGAGAGGAAGCCAGGATCCGAGATCCGACAGAGTCTCTAAACAAGGACATGGTTGAGGAAATCTCCAGGATTGGAGATGTCACAAGAAGATGGAAGATGGCGCAGATCATAAGAACATGATAGTACATCCACGGAAGGAAAAGCTATGTGCAAAAGCAAGCCACGCTCATATGTGCATGATGGTAGAGGGGGTATCTCCGTGAAACTCGACTGGAAGCTGGTAGCCGAAAGGAAGGTAAAGATGAAAACAAAAACAAAATCTGTGGGCAGAACAGGCTCATGACTTCTTGAAACTGAGCGATCTCCACCGGTGAGTGTGTCCCGTCTTGCCGTTGTGATTGTAATGATTGTGATTGTGGTTTTGACGGTGGTCTTTGGTCACAGGCTCAGGTGCCCGTGAGGCCATCTTGGGATTGGAGAGCACCGGGTTGTCCTTGGGAGGCACCGGTGGCCGAATCAGCTCCGACTCCTTGGGCGGCACTTCAGGCATCGGCGATGCTGCCAACTCCGATGCTGACATCCGGGGCTCTTTGTCCTTGGTTAGACGCTGGCTCAGGCTGCGACTGCTTCTTTTGAAAATGTTGAAGTGAGATGACTTCTTTGGCGATCCATTCTCGGGGCCAATATCAAGTCCGTCGGCTTTGCTGAGCTCGATAGCCATCTTCATGTCCTCCGCTTCCCGCCGGTGCTGCTCGCGGTGCTGCTCCCGTTGCTGCAAGTCAAGTTCTTTGCGGCGAATCTTGTCGTGCTTATCCTTCTCTTTCTCCGCAGCACGCCGCTCTTTCTCTTCTCGAGCCTTGTCCTTCCGAGACTGAACGTCGCTCTTCCGCGGGCTCAGCTGTGGGGTCGGCTCATCGGGAATAGGTGGCAGAGGCGGTGCGGCGGCCGGTGGTGAAGAGTTATCAGGCTCCTGTGTTTCGGGGTGGGTGGACATCTGGGGAGCAGTCGGTGTTCGGTGGATAGGGGCAAGTCGATTGGGATCATCAGACGGTACCTGGGATGCGCTGTGCACATGGGCTAGGTGCGGAGACAATGGGACTCCGTTAGACTTTCCTGTCTCCCCCACATCAGAGTGTGCAGTGGCGGACGCCTGGTCTTCTTGTGCTTGTTCTTTCATGACTGCTTCGAGTGTTGTCTCCTGATAGAACAGGACATAGGCACACGCCAGACCTGGCTTGTCCCCAAAGAAATTGCGGACATAGTTCTTATCCACGGGCTCCACCAGCTCGTCGTCAAATAACAGCCACCCCCGGTCTTCCGTCTTGATGATGGCGACGTAGTGGCCATGATATGGGCCTCCGCCGATATGAACCACCACCGCATACAATTCATAAAGCCGATCTGGGTCTTCGGCATCATCTGTAGTGTTGAACAAGCGAAGGTGATAAGGGTAGACCACACGGTGGAACAGCTTCTGCAGTCGTTGTAGGTCTTCAGTGTACTTGAAGCGTTTGAGATGCAAGGCCAGTACGCGGGGTAGGCGTTTGATCTTCATACGCTTCTCAGCCTCTTGGAGGCCACCGCAGTTATCGCAGTGAAATTTGTTTCGCTCGCAAAGCATCTCCTCTGCGGAGAATTTGCGGAGACAAGATGTCACAGAAGAATGCTGCTCGAGGTCGACCGAGAGATCCAGAAACACCTCGTCTCGCTGGGAGACCTTCTCGCAAGTCAAACACTTAGTCTCTGACGTCAAAGTTCCCTCGAACAGCTCATGCACCCATCGCGTGGTGTTGGGGGATTTGGAGCCTGTGCTCGACGTGAGCATGCCCAGCGAGTCTGCACTCTCCGTCGGAGGCAGGGTCTTTTCCGTAAAAGTTTGCTTCGTCGCCTCCGTCTCGACATTCGACACGACTTCATTGAGCAGCATATTCAAAAACTCGTGTGCATCCTGATGCATGGCGGTTCGAAACATTTCGTGCTCGCGTCGCAACACATCCAGGAACTGCTGCGGTCGAACAACCCCGATTCGCGACTGGCTACCCACCACCGACTCGAAAATATCCTTCAGGGAAGTAAACAGCGATTCCGACATGCCATAACTGGTCGCGTTGTTCTTCGTCTCGAGAATCGGTAACGTCTGTAGGGCCACTTTCTTCTTGTATTCTGGCGAATCCTTGTCTTCTGGTTTCTGAGGTTGTGCGGGAGGGACGCCGGCTTGTCGCGACGAGGGCGAGGTGGCAGCAGCCTTCTGCTTGGCTGCTTGGGCCTCGGCCTCCAGATGCGCATTCGGGTTCTGGTACCGCAGGTTGTTGGCGAGCGCGGCCTCGAGGCTCTCGACCGGAGTCCGCTGAGGGTAGTTGATCACGGCTTCACGAAAGGGAACGGAATAATAGAGACATTGTAAGATCGAGTTGCAGTAGCAGGTATTTCCATACTGTGAGATGCAGGCTCGGTCAGCACACCGTCCTCCCTCGCCCCGTACCGGGCACCGCCGACTCACGTTTTCCATGCCAAAAAACTTATCACTACCATCGCCCCGGATCGGGCCCATATCCCGTAACCTCTTCTCCAGTGGTGTCGGTTGGGGGGCCTGGAGATCTTTTTTGACGGGCGCCGGGGTCGTCGACGGGTTCTGGTTGGTTGACACCTGCACGAGAAAAGAGAGAGAAGGGTCAGTGTCGGTCCTAGACAGAATGGTCTCACGAAAGGACCGAGGGTACATCTGCTGTGTGACGGCAAGAAGGGATCACGGCTCGAGGGGATAAAAAAAGCCACGGGCGCTTACTTGTTGGCCCCGAGGGCTCTTCTGGAAGAGCCCCTTCATGATCGCTGGGTCTGAACGGTCGCACTTCGCAGCATTGAGTCAGGCGAAGAATCGAAGAGAGTTATCGGTCGGGGGACATGAGAGGGGAAGAAGGGAAGATTTGACAGATCGGAGTCGAATCAGGAACAGAGAGCGTCCGGGGAAGGCACTAGTTCGCGTTGAAACGGTCGGATCACATAAGGTTCGTGGGGCCCATGGGTGTGGGAAAGAGAGGCAAGGGGAAAAGTCAAGAACAAAGGAACAAAAGGAATATGAGTCTACCAGTAGACCAGGAAGGGAGGAGCAAAGTGGTTGACAAAGAGAGAGAGAGAGAAAGAGAAGAAGTGAGGGAGAGAGAGAGAGGGAGAGTAAGAGAATGGGGCGCAATCCGAGGAATAATAAAATAACAAACTGAGAATAATAGCCGACTGATCGCAATTCGCTAATAATTGCAATAATTATAATTATAATTATACCAATACCAATACCACCTCTCCCTAGGCTTCTACGAGATGATCCCAGATATCCCAGATACTAAACATCCAGCGCAGATGCAGCGAAACGTCCAGAAAAACGAGCCTCCGCATATCGTCGCCTGCCCCATCGGGTCTTAGCCGCGCTCGAGCCACGTGGAGACGGCCCAATCGCCGATTTTGTGACGTGGTGATAGTATAGAGATATAGATATTATGTAGATATAATAGAGATATTACACTGGAGAAGAGATATGAGAGACTCTATACAATATACCTACATTAATCCCAGGTTCTAGCACAGGTACATCGTGTACACAGTCCCTACCTAGGGACTGGAGGTACCCCGGAGCAGCCTTTTACCCGCGGGTGTCCCGGACACTAATCGGCCTCATTGGTTGGTCCATCCCTCCCAGTCTCCTCCCTTCACCATGGAAGAGCATCACTCCCCATCTTCGCTGGCCCATGAACTTTGAAAGTCCCGCTGTTTCCCGCAGTCATTGGCTGCCGTCCGCCGCTGCTCACGGGCCATGTGTCCGCCCCTCGCATGGCGTGGGACACCGGCCAATAAGTGTCTTCGTGGTGGAGAGAAGAATGGTGGCGGTGGAGTCCCAGCCTCAAGTCCTTGCTTGGGGTGAAAAGGACATCCAGATTCCCCTCAAAGAGAATAATGCCAATGCAAGGGAGACCCGGGTTCATCCTCCCGGCTCATGGGTGACCCGAGTTCCGAACCACATTTTGTGACCTCCTTGCGCGTTGAGTCCGAGAAACCTTGGAGAGTATGAACGACAATAATCACGATAAAAAAAAAGTAGCCTGGAGACATATCTACGTCTCATACCCAAAGGCTTGGGAGCGACGTCAGTCGAGTCTCGTCCATGCGGTGCCTTCCGAGACACTCCATCCGAGTGGGGGCGTCCATCGTGGGGCCCCTTGAAGTTCTGTAAAATGCCTCACCATCTGAATGACAGGAATGTCTGGAGATGCAGTAGGCGCAGTGATCGGGCATTTCATGTAACTCCTAATACCGTGTAGGATGACTGCTACTTTAAACACCCATGACCTACCGAAGCCATACCTGCACGTCGTCAATGCAAGTCCCGGTAGATCACCCGGCAGAGTGCAAGTGCTTGCCGAGAACAAGACAAAGTACCCAATCCCAACTTGAAGACTCAAGCCACTGAAGAGAAGCCTCAAATGATCCACTGGGAGGAACGGACCGTGACCATTGAAAGGGTCCGGTTTTGTGCGTCATTTGTCAATTCTCCTGTAGGGTCCTGCGATTTGCATCCATCTTGGGTGTTTCATGAGTAAATGGCGGCTATGACAGCATCCATAGCTACATGGGAGAGCGTAAGAGAAAGCACTTGAAGCTCAAAAGGTGACGAAGCAGCAAAGAAAACAACGATTAACCCGGTCCGGAAAAACTCCCCCGAAGCAGCAAGAAGGCCCGACGACACGCGCACTCAATTCCTTGCTCAGTCTGCTTCGTTCGTTTCGTTTATGACGTCCCTCGCTGCTTTGCGCTCTGCACGACGAGCGTTCCCCGGGTCCATTGTGGGCTATCGATTGAGTCGATCGAGTGCACGCCCGAGCCCTCGCGCGACCTCGAATCAAAATCCTCGTGCCCCCACCATCCCCCACCACTCATATCCCCGCCGCACTCACTTTTCCTCGTTCCATCATTCCGATCTGCACGCCATGCCCAAGGAAAAGAATTCCTTTAACCTCAAAACCCCCAAGGGGACCAAGGATTGGTCCGGGTCCGACGCCCTCCTCCGAGACCGCATCTTCACCACCATCGCCGATGTCTTCAAGCGTCACGGCGGCACGGCGCTGGACACCCCCGTCTTTGAGCTGCGCGAGATCCTGGCCGGCAAATATGGCGAGGACTCGAAACTCATCTACGACCTCCAGGACCAGGGCGGCGAGATTTGCTCGCTGCGCTACGACTTGACGGTTCCCTTTGCGCGCTGGCTCGCCATGAACTCGGACGTCCGAAGCATCAAGCGTTATCACATCGCCAAGGTCTATCGCCGAGACCAGCCCGCCGTCAGCAAAGGCCGCATGCGCGAATTTTACCAGTGCGACTTCGATATCGCCGGTGCCTTCGACCCTATGGTCCCCGACGCCGAGATTTTGCGCATCGTCAGCGAAGTGTTTGAGGAGCTGGGGTGGAACGGCCGGTACACCATCAAGCTGAACCACCGCAAGATCCTGGACGGAGTCTTCGCGGTCTCCGGCGTGCCCGAGGAGAAGATCCGACCCATCTCGAGCGCAGTTGACAAACTGGATAAGATGCCGTGGGCGGACGTGCGTCGAGAAATGGTGGACGAGAAGGGCCTGGACGGCGCTGTAGCAGACCGTATCGAGACCTATGTCATGCACAAGGGCGGGCGTGAGCTGCTCGACTCGTTGCTGAAGGACGAGACCTTGACCGCCAACGAATCCGCCAAGGCTGGTTTGGAGGACATGGCTCGCATGATGGATTATTTGGAGGCTTTCGACGTGCTGGACAAGATCTCGTTTGACATGTCACTGGCACGTGGACTGGACTACTACACGGGTGTGATCTACGAAGTCGTTACCGAAGGCTCGGCACCCACGGCGCAGACGGCTGCCCCGGAGGCCCAGAAACTGCAAAAGTCCGGCAAAAAGGACAAGTCCAAGAACCTTGAGGACGAGGACCGATCCAATGACCCCACGCTCGGTGTGGGCAGTATCGCCGCCGGCGGCCGCTACGATAACCTGGTCGGCATGTTCCTACCCAAGGCGCAGATCCCCTGTGTCGGCATCTCATTCGGTGTCGACCGTATCTTCTCCATCACCAAGGCTCGTCTCGAGCGGGAGCAAAGCTCTGAATCCCTGCGCAGCAGCGAGGTGGACGCCTATGTCATGGCATTCGGTGGCAAGGGCTTCAACGGCATGCTGAAAGAGCGCATGGAAGTATGCCAGAAGTTGTGGAGTGCTGGTGTCAAGGTAAGCCCCATTAATTCTCATCCTTTCCCCCTTCCTCCTTTTGTGTAAGCAGCGCTCTTGCTGACTTTTTCTTCTTTTTTTCAGGCTGAATTCTCCTATAAGCTGAAGCCTAAACTCCCTCAGCAATTCAAAGCCGCCGAACAAGGCGGCATCCCCTTCGGCATCATCCTCGGCGAGGAAGAGCTGGCCGCTGGCAAAGTCCGCATCAAGGAGATGGGTCTGCCCGACGGCCACCCCGAGAAGGAGGGCGTCGAAGTCCCGCTGGCCTCGCTCGTCTCGGAGCTGCAGTCCCGTCTTGCCCGCAAACAGGCCGGCGCCGTGTCGAGTCTGGCGGAGCAGTTCCAGGACGTGCAGGTTGCTCCAAAGACCGAGGATGCAGGTGTTTGAGCGTATTCTATTCTGTTATGTTTTTCCCTTTTGTTTCATTTTTTTTTCTTTTTGGTCGGAAAATACATAGATTTCTGTTTTGCATGCAGCGGACGGGTCAATCAAAATAAGGGAAATATGTCTCCTTCTTTCACTCTATGAGTCTGGAGAAGACGAAAAGCGAGAAACTAGGGGAAAAGGAAAGAAAGCAAAAATATCTGGGCTAGAGACAGTGGATTCGCCAATTCCCCCTATCCCTTATATCTTCATATCTGGGAACTGTCCTTTTCTTCATAATAGTAGAATCATAACCTCCATTATCAAATTCCTCTAGAAAGATGATGGATTATAGACTTATCAAAAGTGCGCTGTTAAGATATCCGAGGAAACTAGAGGTACAGTATAGACACAAGCAGCCCCGAACAGAACGCCAATCAGCAAAAAGAAAAGAACCCAAGCTAAGCCTCAGCATTCTTCATCAGGAACGACTTCACAAACGGCAAGCGGTCAATAGCATCGAGACCCAAGCTGCGAGCCCAGGTAACAGGACCTTGACCAGGGACAGAGTACATCTTATGCAGGAGATCGCAAGCGCCGCCGATCTTCGCATTGGGCAGGTAGCGCTCAGACGAGTAGCGCTCAAGGGTGAGAAGGTCGCCGACGTCCATGCCATGGGAGACCGCATAGGAGATGGTGCGGGCGAGGGCGGCGACATCGGCGAGGCCGAGGTTGAGGCCCTGACCGGCGAGCGGGTGGATGACATGGGCGGCGTCGCCGACGAGGGCAACGCGCGGCGAGACGTACTGAGCGGCGTGGCGGAAGCGGAGGGGGAACGAGGCGACGGTGCCTGGTTGCAGGGCTGTGGCGGAGGGAGGGATGTGTGAAGGGACCGGAGTGTGCTGGAGACGCCAGGCTAGCTCTGCTTCGTGCGGGGTGGTGGTGTCTTGCTGCTCGGTGCTGGAGGTGGGGAGAGGAGTGGGCGGGGAACCATCCATGCGCATCATGTAGGAGAGGTCGGTCATGGAGAGCCGGAAGGCGGCGTTTACCATGGCGAGGAAGGCTGCGGGAGAGAGTGACTTCAGGTACGCGGCGTGCTCGGGTGTCGTCGACCAGACCAGCGTGGCGTGGTTGTTTGGCAGCGGGAGCAGCGCAATCGGCCCGCCCAGTGTCGGCAGGAAGCGCTGGTACGCTGTGCGCAGATGGGCCGGGAAGGGGGTCGTGTCTGGGTCCGCAAGCGCAAGTGTCGCGACAACCCCGTGTCGGTTGTAGTCCCAGCCGTGGGTGGAGATGTCAGCGAAAGACCGCACGGGGCTGTTAATCCCGTCGGCACCCACCAGCAGTCTGGCCGCAATGCGGGAAGGCGCTTGCGCCGTCCCAGCAGGACCAGTTGGTTTGACCGAGAGAACAGGCCAGGCCGACAGGTCAGCGCCGTCAGGCTGGAGATCAGACCCGTTCTCGATGGAGGCGACTGTGGTGTTAGAAAAGAGCGACAGGTTCTCGTCACCCGACACAGCGATGCGCTTCAGCAAGGCGCGCACGAGATTTGCGTTCTCGGTCATGGTCGCAACAGTCCGCAAGTCCTCGAACGGCGATGTCTCCGCTGACCAGTCAAAGGATATTCGGGACCCGGTCTCGCCGTCCCATACCTGCATTTCCTGGTAGTCCTGCACACGGCCCGCATCTAGATGCCCCCAGGCGCCAATGCTGCGCAAGAACGACACCGACGAGGGGGTGAGGCTGCTGACGCGGTTCGAGAATTGGTTCGGCTCGAGATCCCAGGCTTGGGCTTTGCGGAGATCTTGAGTCTCAACAAGTGCGACCTTGAGCTTCGAGGTAGCGGGCGATGCACCTGTAGCAAAACAACTATATTAGCTATGGCTCCCCAAAAATTCCACGCATGGTACCATGTCCCCGCATGACATACGAAGTGCTGCCAATAGCCCTAGGCCGGCGGGCCCGCCTCCGACGCAGACAACGTCGTAGATGTCAGGAGATCCCAGCTGGGTCCCTAAACGTCGTCGGCCGGCCCCAATGCCATGCCGGCATGACGGACAGATGTATGGCCGCAGGGCGGCTCGAGAAAATGGACGCATTGTGTTTTGAAGTGGAATTGAAGAAGAAGCCGGGTGATTGCGAAGGACGGATATATACGTGCAAACAATGCAAACATCCACCGAGTACGAATGCCTCTATTCAGACATGCCCAGGACTAAGTAGAACCCTGAACATTCAAAATATCTCGTAGTTTTGGGAGTTGAGTAAACAAAGGAGGGCACCATCACCCGGGTTTACAACATATGACGCATAGCATTGCGGGTATGAAAGGCGGACAAAGTTAACTAAGGCAATCGGTCATCAACTGCTATACCAACTCCAACAGAAAAAGCCTATCGTGCGCCTGCAGCCACCGAGTCAGACTCGCGGCCAACGTCCGACTCGCCCTCCATCTCGGCGACAAATCGCTCCCATGTGGAGAGAACGCCCTGGTAGAATTCGATATGAGACTCAGCGAGAGAACCGAGAGAGTCGCGGAACTCGACGGCCTTGATACGTTCGAAGTCCGCTACCTCGCGTACGACTTCCTCGTCAAACATCTCCGAAGTGATTTTGGCTGATTCGACCTCTCGTGTGAGTTCGTCGATGCGGAGCTCGAGCTTCCGGACACGCTCGCGGCGCGATTGCTCATGGTCGACACCGCGCATGTCTTCCATTTTCGAGCGGATGAAGGAGGCCGGGGAGGAGGTGAGTGGATTAGAGGCATAATAAGCGGCAGGGTTCGCGGCGAGAGTGTCACGCTCGGCTACGGCCTTATTGCGGTAGTCGACCAGGGCCTCGAAATCGAGCTGCTTTTGTTCACGGGTCTTGAGGAGCGTCTTCAGTGACAGAATATACGCCTCCATGTCCCGCAGTGAACCCAGGTAGTTTTGGTCCGTGTGATCTTTCAAATCGCGCACGCCTCGTGCGGTCTCCTCCACCGACGCCGCGAACACTTGTAATGGCATCTCGACGGCCGGTTCCAACGGAACGAGCTTACGAAACTGTGTCGCGAGCTCCGTGTAGTCCGTCTCGAGATCTGATTCGCGCCGCGCAACCCGTGCCACAGTCTTCTCCACATGCGACAGATCTTCATCCAGTTTATCTGCCTTCTCTCGCACTTCGATAAACCGGCGGTCTGGCTTGTGCACTTTAGTAAACGCATTGACAAATGTATCGGTAAAATTATCGAAGATCCCCGATGCCCCCGCCGCTTCCGAAGTGGTACTTGTCGACCCGCGCGATGAGTGCAGTCGCATATGTGCGTTCCAGTCGGCCGACTCCAAGAAGATAGTGAGCAACGGCGCGCGCCGAAGCACCGGGTGCAGCGACAGCCGCTTCAGAAACCGATGCAGCGACCATGCTCGTCGTGTTGTAAACTCCGGCCCGAACCGGTCTCCCCGCACGTATTCCATCTTGTGCTTGTCTGGCAGCGGCGGCACCGCGCATGCTGGGTATTCGCGGTAGAGAGTCTTGTATAGGAAATAGAAGTCGGTGAATCGCCGCCGCACATTAAAATCGGGCTTCTGAAATGACTTGAAATCGGTCTAGTGCACCACTGTGTCAGTCATGGCCAGGTTGGATCACATTTCGAGGACGAGGGATGGTGCCCAGGCAGCAATAGCACCCCGACTGGTCTCTGCCAACATCAAAAACAGGAGAGCACTGACATGCGTAGTAACCAGATACGAGACATATGCATCTTTCGTTCCATCGTTCTCCTTGAGGGGTGAGTCGACCCGGCACTCGAGGACCCCGTCCCCGATACCTGCCAGGTCGACGGCGTCGGCCAGCGAGCCGGCCTGGGGCTCTTCGTTGGCGGAGCTCATCCTTCGCTTGCCATTGGCATCATGATCAAATCCATGTGGTTCCTCTGCATCAGTGTCAGAGGTTGTGGGCCGAGAGACGTCGCTGTCAGGATCATGCTTCCAGGAGACGCTGTCGAAGTCGTCGTGTTGATCCATGGCGGGGGCAGTGTCGGTCAGCCGTGCTCATCCGGCAGTTGTTAAACCCAATAGCTAAGAGAAATTATGCGCAGGTAATACACTGAGGAACCAGAGGGGAGGACACCAAAAAAAGAGGTGGTGGGGAGGGGAGAGCGGAATCCAGATGATCGTCGGTTCCCCAGGGCGGAGTCCCCGAGGCGGCAACGTCGTCATCGCTTTCTTGGTCTGCCCTTGCGATGATTCTCAACAGGGACAGTTTTGACCTTACACGCGGAGACTCTGATTTTTGATCTCAAGTAGTAAGCACAGAATGCCTTGATTTTTCTATTCAAGGGCAGATTAGATATACATAGACCCAAAACCCCCTCTGGTAGCCTATCCCGTCTATCCCATGAATGCACAAATGCTCCTAAATAGCAATACGATAATAAAGTCCCACAACAAATGCCCTGGAACTGCCAGGATACAACTACTTTTCGGAGAGTAGACGGGTGTTCTGAGAGATATCGTGCTCCCCATCTTTCTCTCGAGTATTGGCTGCGCCATCCCCGTACGAGTCGTCATCATCGCTAAACATCTCCTCGTCACTTTCACCGGCGAACGCATTGTACAGCTCGCCACCGCGACGCTGGGACCGACCAGGGGCCCCGGTCATGGGATGCATCTCATCTTCATCCTCGATCATCTCAAACTCATAGTCATCTTGAGGGTTGGTGCGACGGTGCTTGTGTCGTTGCAGCTGGAAGTAAATACCCAAACCGATGAAAAAGACAATAATCATTGCCAAAGACGCGTAGATCCAGACCTGGGTGCGTTTCGAAGCGCCAAAACTGGGGAGATAAGAGGATATATAGTTGGAGGCGGCTGCGCTGGAGCTCGGGGAGGCGGCTGGGGTCGATTGATCCGCAGCAGGCTTCGTAGGCGTTGGCTGCCCAGGCTTCTCATTGACAGGCCGGTCATGGTGCTCATCTGGATTGGGGTGGCTTGTCTTAGTTGGTCCTGTCGCCACGGTGGTCGTAGCCACAGGGGCATCCTCGTAGGGGTGGTCATCATCGTGTAAGTCGGGCAACGGGTGAAGCGGCTGCTTAGATCCATCGATGGCCTCACCCCAGAGGTTGATCCGCCAATCAATGAAAGTACCTTGGTCATTATTGACCTCGGTATCTTTCACAATCACCGTCCATTCGCCTACAGGCGTTTCACCCCTGAATTGAGTTAGGGAGCAGAACACAAGGGTGAAGGCGACGTAAAGATACATACCAATGAGCAACCGACATGAACGTCCAGTCGACATATCCAGCATTCGCATTGTCTTCATCGCGGGTAACACTCAGATGACTGGTGGTTCCACCCGGACTGCGCATCTCGACACTAAGATCTCCGCGGCGAGTATGATTGACATTCATGGTGACCGTCACATGCTCCAGGCGAGCGAAGTTCGCCTTCTTGATTTGCTCGGCAGTCACGTTGATGCGACTGAGAAGCCCCTTGTCGCCCTGTGGGATTTCGCGGTGCACCCGAAGCCAAGGAGAATCATACCACGCCTGCGGTTTCACAAACTCCCATGACCGGGCGCGTGCGACCAACGAATAGGTGTCAACCTTCCCGAAACCCCAGTCGTGACTGAACTTTCGACCAGAAGAAGTGACTTGCCAACTTCCGTCATCCTCATTCACAGGGACCGCGGTTTCCACCATCAAATACTGAAGATCGCGCCAGGTCAGCTCTGGTCGCACGCTGAGCGCAAGTGCAACGGCGCCTGCAGCAAGTGGACCGGCCGCAGAAGTACCTCCGTGCATGGAATAGCACTTGTCGGAACCCACGTCGGTGGTGTGGATCGCATCACCAGATCCGCTGCTGTAAGCAACAACTAGCTGAGCGGAGCACGATTCCGAGTAACTAGGGTGGTTTCCCTCACGGTCAATAGCTCCAACCGTAATACTGTAGATGCTGTTGGTGTATCCATCGAAGTTGCAGTTGTCACCGGACATGGCGCCGTTGCCTGCCGCGAAAACAAAGATAGATCCCTTCCCCCCACGTCCCTTCTGCACACCGTTGACCATTGCTCGCTTGATCAAAACACCCGGTGCGTCCATGGTGGCGCCGTCATCGGGAGGGCCCCACGAGCAGGAGTAGATATCATTTTTCTGATAACCAAAGTTGATGGCCTCTGCTTCATGGACATCATCAATCGCCTTAGACAAGATGCGAATCCCGGCCACCTTGCTGTCAAACGCGACTCCGACACCGCAGACATTGTTCTTTGCTGCCGCAATCTCGCCTGCGCATCGAGTGCCATGCCTGTCATCCGAAAGTTCGGGACGGGGCTCGGGATCGTCGTCATTGAAGTCATAAGAGCCTTCCGCGAAGTAGTTGGACTTCAAATCTTTGCTGTCCATGTCCAATCCATCATCAATGACCGCAGTTATGATCCCCTTGCCGGTCACACCCTCCAGCCAAATCCCAGTCACGTTGAGGTCATGTTCCGGTCGCTCAACATTGTGCAGATGCCATTGTTCCTCGAATATCGGGTCGCTAATCCCCAGCGTTTTCATGACGTGCGCGCGGGCCTGTTCTGCCGCCTTATCATTGCGAGGGTTGCTCCGCGCTACGGCGGCGACCGGGGGCGGAGGAATGCGCTTCTTAAGCCGTTGCCTTGGAGCAAGCTTTTGCGACCACAGAATCCCATCCAGCGGATTCCTACTGGACCTTGATGTAATCTTATTGCCCGACCGCCGGCGCAGCTGTCTCTTGGCTCGCCAATCGTCCAACAGGGTATCCAAATGAGAGTTCTCGTCCCGCGGTAACGAGAAAGTGTGGTGATCGGTCAATTCTCCAATTTGGCCCTCATGGCGTGCACCCAAGACCTGTGCGACCTGAGAGGGAGGGATGGCAGGATCGAGGTGGAGGGCGAAGTAGTCGCGGGTATCGTGGGAGCGAGGACGGAGACTAGCAGAGACTGCGCCCACAAGACTCAGAACGATGGTAATGCCGCCCGCAATGCGCATGATGGACGATTCGGCGGATTAAGATGATGAGGGCCTCGTTCTCACGAGGAAACTGGGGTGGTCTGAAAGGCGACTGCCATGAACGGAACCGGCCCTTTGAATAGCAGATCGATCAAGGATGGATCAAATAAAACTGGAACCCAGAAGAACAAGTGTTGGGAATATTGCAAGATTAAAAGAAAGGGAGGTGGGCTTTTGCGGAGGAAGAGTCACCAGCCTCGAGGTCAGGGAGCAAAATAAGGAGGATCGTCGGTGTCCTTTGCACAGACACGCGAGCTTATTGAGGCACCTATTGACCCCCGAAACTGACCAGCAGAGAGGAGCCGAGGATTTTCGTGTCTCCCTTTGATCCCTCAAGACCACGTTGTGTCTCTGCTCTTTTCTCTCAGCCGTGAACGGGCGCTGAGGGAGGAGCTTACGTAGACGCAGGAGATCGCATTGGGGCCACATCGCCACTGGTTACGCGGTGTCCTTTGGGTACGGGTATGGGATTTCCACGGTTCCTTAGCAAGTGTTCGTTATTTCTTTTACAATTTCGAAGCATTCGACTACCTATATGCTTGGTTATATTGTATCTAGATCACCACTAGTCCAGGGCGAAATCATTCACAAGTTTCATGGAAGTAGATCCGATCGGGGCCACCCGCATTCTTCAAGTGTATCCTTGCATCGAAGTACAGATTGAATTAATCTATCAAGGTGGTTGATTCAAAAGAATAAGACCTCTGCAGTTCCCTGTATTGCCAAGGGTGTTGTATGTCTTCGAGTCTACTTGGATGCCTCTATACTCTACAATGGCGATGAACTATTTTTTTTCCCATAATTCCCCAGAAATAAAGCAACATAAATCTGCCTATAACATTCACCTAGTCATCTAATCATATACTAATAGCACTCTACTGCAACTGCCAGATCCAGCAAGGCAGTGATCGGGCCCCCGTGCGAAGGCTGGGGACACCAGCCACCGGGATATTCGCATGTATACAGCTTGTCTTTCCTCGATTCCCCTCCAATTTCTCTTTCTCTTTCTCTCTTCTTCGCTCCATCTACTTGCATTGTAATAATCTCTTTTCTCTCAATAATTCTTCCCCAAAACAATCCAGGGAATACGTGCGACACACCCCCCTGTCACCGCCGAACGACAATCCCCCGCCCTAAAGTACCTGGTCATTGGGGCGTCTGCAGTCGTGGATCAGCTCGGGCGATGCTGTGATCCTGCATTTAGGCATCAGGTTTGAGTCGCATCCAGGCCAGAGCGACGACTGCCCCCATAAGAAGACCCGAGACCAACGTATGTTTATTTCTATTCTGCTCCACTTTTTTGGGGGCTTCAATTGACAAGAGCAGTTTCAGCTGAGCACTTGCGTCACCGCAGTCGGTAACCCTTCTCTGCTCGCCTCGCTCCAGTCACCATTGGGCCGAAGAGAATCCAGAGCAAGTATAATGGCTGCGACAACCAAACGTGGACCATCCGAGATGGCGAATGGCCACGGTAATGCTACCCAGCCGTCGGGACAGACAGGGCGTTCTTTCTCAGCCCGAGCTCGCGATTTGCCTCCAGGCAACTTGAACTATACCGCTCGCAAGCCAGTTGCTCAAACCCCTCCGGGGCTTTCAGAAGAGTCCATACCACGAGGACCTCCGACTGGTGTATATCCCCCAGACCAGAACATGGCTATGCAGGAAAATGAGGAACCAACACCCTCACTCGAGGCACCGGCTAATCCGGACCAGACATTGCCCCCCACACGGTCGAGCACCAAGCATTCAACTCCCGAGTCGCGGCGAGACTGGGCGTCAGATCGATCACCTCTCCAGAAGCTCGAGGTGACGTTGGATGGCATTACCAAAGAGGAAAAACGCGCGCGAGTCCAGGAAGCAGAAATGCTACTCCGAGAACGGCTCGCACGCCAAAAGGCCGAACGAGAAAAAGCTGAGTTGAAAGCAACTGCTCGATCAGAGCCAGAGCAAAGCATGCAGACCGGGCATCGACCCGCTTCTGGCACAGCAAGAAGAAATGAGCAGGAACATCGCGTCCGCGGAGGTGCCACAAGAGGTGGTTCTGTCATGCCTCCCCAGCAACAGCCCAGAGGTGCCGCAGGTGCCGCAGTGCGTCACAGCAGAGCTGTTTCAACGAATCCTCAATATCCAGCCGTGCGTCGCCCCGAGGACCCGCAGTATGCACGCGCAGAAGCTGCCGTGCCACCATCAGCAAAGATGGACAATGTTGCCAGAAAATCGGTTATGATGAGTGGATCAGCAGCAGAACAGAGCCCCGTGGGGAACAATATCACACATGGTCGGGCAACATCTCAGTCAGGGCCGCCAAGGCCAGCACAGACAACTACTGCGTCAAATGCGGAGAGGATAGACAAGACCTCGCCCGCACCTCGAGCCGCCCAGGGTAGTGCTGAGTCCCAGTCCAAGCCGAAACGGCAGACCGTGTCTTTTAATGTGCCCCCGCCTACGCCCCCACCCATCTTTGATTGGAGAAATGCACCTATTGCACGACTCGAGGCGTCAGATTTCGACTTCCAGCACCTTGATATCAATCGCAGCAAAGCGTGGTGGGAAGGTGGTGGCACCACAAATCGCAGAAAGAGCAGGGCTCTCCCGAAAAACTACCAGAAGCCGGCCCAGAAACTCACAGGTAAGCATGCCCACCCTGATCTGATCACCAGAATCTTCGTGAAGTCATTTGATTAACACCCACCCAGGAGTCACCGAACACAAAAACTTCCAACCCCCGCTGTTCCTGAGATGCGGGCCCTTGCTACGATACACGGGTATCAAGCGAGTTCAGATCGATGGGGCTCACGGCCCTGTGGAAAAGGAGGTGTGGCGAGGGTCTATCCTGATTGTCACCAAAGATTCTCGCTCCTCTTATGACAATCCGCCCACATTGAGGCTTTTCTCTCAGCCAATGGATATCCTGCCGCCTCCACCTGCAGAAATCAGTGGCGAGGCTGGTATTCAATTGGCCCCCGAATATGTCGATCCAACAGCCGGTCTCATGAAAGTTGGTCGAGATGGGCGACCCCTTTACGTCAAACCCGTTGAGCATCTCGAAGAGGAAGTTGACTTGTCCTTTGTGGAGAACGACGACGGTATCTACGAGCTTTCGCCCAGTCTTGTCGATTACAGCAGTGAAGGGCCTAAACAACCCATCCCTTCCAACCGAATCCACTCCGTCGACGGTGAAACAGCGGAACTACACCGAGATATTCCCGGTGTTCGTCTGTATGTTGACGGCCCAAGAGATGTGACGTTCTGGAGGTTTAATCTCGAGATCGAACTGAGCGCAGAGCAGCAGCGAATTGCATACCGAATCAACCAAGGGCCCGCTCTAGGATTTTGGGTGCCGGCTATCGGCCAGTCCATGAACATCATGTTTCACAGCGGCAATGGCTTCAGTCCCTCTGTTGATTCTGACCGCGTTTGTGGTCCCGATCCGCTCTGGCGCGATGTCCTGAATGAGCATCAGACTCGACCATTCCATGTGATGATCGGGGAGGTGATCAGATATTCAATGACACCGTCATCACCGACTCAACCTTTTTCCAGGAATGGATGAAGATCAAGAACACTTCAGAGAGATACGGGGCACCCTTGACTCCTGAGTTCCGTGCTGAGCTGGAAGAGTTCTACCTTCGGCGCTATGCTCAGTGGTTCTCTCAGGGCCTCTTCTCGCTCGCCAACTCTCAGATCCCCATGGTCAATGTTTGGAATGATCATGAAATATTCGAGGGCTACGGCTCTTATCACGATGACTTCATGCAGAGCCTTGTGATCTCCGGCCTCGGGAAGATTGCGTTCAAGTATTATTTGCTGTTCCAACATCACAGTGTGCCTGATGAAACGGAGATGGACGAGCCCAGCTGGCTGCTGGGTGCTCATCCTGGCCCATATATCGAGCAAAGAAGCCGAAATCTTTTCATGTCTCTGGGTCACGGGGTGGCGTTCTTGGGCCTGGATTGCCGTACTGAACGAAAGGTGAGTGACGCCTACAAAAGTGGGGTTATCAAACTTGTACTAATAAGAGTTTGCAGAGCGACGAGGTACTCAGCGAAGAAACATGCGATTTAGTGTGGGATAGATGTCACCGAGAGATCATGAGGGGCGAGACAAAGCATTTGATTGTGCTTTCGAGTGTTCCAATCGCTTACCCTCGAATGGTATGTAATATGTCTAGAGTCTGTTTCTTTTGACCCCCGCTGATTCTAACTTCAAGCAGGCAATGGTCAAGAACTTCTTGAATAGTCGCAAATCACTCGGCAAGTCTGGGATGTTGGGTGGACTGGTCAACCGGTCTGGCGGCAATGTCGAGGTATTTGATGATCATTGGGCGGGCAAGCACTTAAAGTCTGAACGGACATGGTTGGTCGAGGATCTTCAGGACCTGGCGGCGGAGAAGTCTGTGCGAGTCACAATATTGAGGTAAGGCAAATCATCTTGCATTCCCAATGTTGGCCGAAAGGACCCGACATGAGCCAACACGATGCATTTACTAGTGGTGATGTTCATATGGCGGCCATTGGACAATTCTATTCGAACCCGAAATTGAATATCGCCAAGGATCGCGACTATCGATATATGCCAAACGTCATCTCCTCTGCCATCGCCGACCTCCCGGAGACAGAGTTGATCTCGGACATGCTCAACAAGCGGAACACGGTGCATCACATTGACTCGAACACTAACGAGGATGTCATTCCCATCTTCACCCAAGACGTGGACGGCAAGCCTCGAAACAACAAGCGGCTCCTCCCCCGACGGAACTGGTGCTCGATCCGAGAGTATCACCCCGGGTTCACGCCACCCGGCACGCCAGATTCGGCTACAGGACCCCCACCTGAACCACGCCCTGGTATGCTTCAACGGACCCTATCGCTGGGCCGCGGGGACAAGAGGCCGAACAGTAGTCGACCTGGCGGAGGGCTTCTCCGCCGACTCTCGACCCGCGGGGCACCCCCCACGAGAACTATGAGCTTCAACCAGGGAGAGAACGGTGTTGCCCCGAACCGACGATCAAGTATCGACGGACCCTTCCCGCCGCCCGAGAATGGGGACAGCTATTTCCGGGGGGCAGCAGCGCCGCCTCCACGGCCCGGCCCGTTCCACCGACGACCGACCAATCTCAGCGAGAAGACGGGCAAGCGATCAACGAAACAAGGCGACGACGGCGCAGGCGCCTACGTCGACCTGAAAAACGGGCTGGCCATCACCCTGAATCTGGAAATCAACCCACAGGAGCCATCAGGTGCCACGCTGCCCTACAAGCTGCTGGTACCCGTGCTGCGCTACCAGGGGGGTGATGACGACCCACCACCCACGCAGGTGGTCAAGGGCTGGCGGAAGTGGCTGAATATGCCGCGCCGAAAGAAGAGCACTGAGGGCGAGGATGATGCTAGTGATGACGATGATGACGAACTAGACGATGACCACGAGGACTATGACTTGATCAATAATACCCGCGCCAATGCAGCCCCGCCGATCCAGTATGAGGGATATCCGGGGAGTGAAGAGGAGGGTTCTGATGGCGAAGTGCCGCAGCGGCTGCCGCGTGAGGCCCTGGCTGGAGAGTCTCCGCCAGAGTCCGAGGAACCGGGCCGGCAGCGGAAGAAGTGGTTTGGAGTGATCTAATGTACAGTAGCAGCTTAGAGACTTGATTTTCATGGGAATATACGAGTTGGGTTTTTATCATGTTTAAGTCTAAAACTATGAAGAAAACCTGCTATAAGCTGCATGCTAAACAAAAATATCCAGACATCTCTTATGTCTACAGGTCTGTTAAGTACTACTGATCATGGTCATCTACCCGCTACTGGGGTACGGCATGTAGAGAAAAGTCTTATTATCTATATTTGACATATAGATAGCCATGTTACTGCTACCATCAGTATTCTTAATCCTTTCCCTAGTCCATTTTCAATGTTGCCAATCCCTTTTCTAACCCTTTATAGGTCCCTATTTCCCCCTTTCTTCTCTATATTTATCCTGATTGATTGAACCAAGGTCACTTGAGCATTCAAAATCAACTGGAAAATTATGTCGCTGCGGTCACATTCTTATATTATAAATATAGTTATTTCATACAGGGCTCAACCTCGGATCTACTTTATTATTGCTCACTGAGTAGAACTGAGCATCCGTATCTCTGAGCAGTTTGCTTAGTAGGCTACCCACTCATTGGTGCTAATTTCCTGCTTGAGGTTTAGATAGAATATAGAATAACAGACCTCCATACACCTCTGGCTTGGCTGCTACGTTAATCCACCTCCATTTCTGAAAGTCAATAAATTGGGGTCGATTGTGATGCCAGATATACATAGGGTGCCCGAGGTAAGGCTCCACATTTGTAGAGCCCAGGAACCCAGCAACCAGCCGTGTGGTATGGCTCTACTTAACATCATGGATGTAAATGATACATAAATACATATAGAGCAATATCACAATATCACAATATATCGGCCACTACCGAGCCGGGTGATCTGATGAATTACGTCAGCCTGGTCGAGACCAAGTCACGTGCACCCTGCTTAGCAACCGAGGGCCTCGACGCTGCCAACTGAATAATGCAAGTCGAAGAACCACGTACGCTGCAAATTACGGCATTTTCACAGAAGACTAGAGAAGCCAGCTGATTGCTCGGCTCACATTGCTAAGACCGTCGCATCCAGTCTCGGGTCGTATCGGTTATCAATCAAGCTCATCACCTAATCACCACGTCCCCACTGCCCCTCCGACAGATATTGCACCCGTTATAATACATCCCCTCCTCATCTTCTTTTCCCAAACAATAGAAGAAAAGCCTTCAAGCTGTTTTCCTCAACCTTACGTCGCTTTCCCACCGTCCTCCGATCTATCGGATTGACTGCCACAGCGGCCTCCACCCTCCACCAGCAATCTCCCCCTCGGCCTCGGCCTTCTCCCAACCTTTGTCGACGCCGTTGCGCGTCAATTGCACACCTCCCGCCAGAATGGTGCACTCTCAAGTCGTCAGTAAGTAATACACCTATCATATCCTAGCTAGTGGTCAGGATCACCCCGAACAAGATCTAACTGGTTATTCCGTTTTATAGTCATCGGGTCGGGCCCCGGTGCCCACACTGCCGCCATCTACCTCTCGCGCGCCGAACTTAAGCCTGTTCTGTACGAGGGTATGCTTGCCAATGGCACCGCGGCCGGTGGCCAGCTGACGACGACCACCGATGTCGAGAACTTCCCGGGGTTCCCTGACGGTGTGGGCGGCTCCGAGCTGATGGACAACATGCGCAAGCAGTCTGAGCGATTCGGCACGGAGATCATCACGGAAACGATCTCGAAGCTGGACCTATCTCAGCGGCCTTTCAAAATGTGGACCGAGTGGAACGACGGTCCGGACAGTGAGCCCGCACACACGGCCGACGCTGTCATCATTGCTACGGGTGCCAATGCCCGTCGCTTGGACCTGCCCGGCGAGGAGACGTACTGGCAGAACGGAATCAGCGCTTGCGCCGTTTGCGATGGTGCTGTGCCCATCTTCCGGAACAAGCCGCTGTACGTGATCGGTGGTGGAGACTCTGCCGCCGAGGAGGCCATGTTCCTGGCCAAGTACGGCAGCAGCGTCACCGTGCTTGTCCGCCGCGACAAGCTCCGTGCCAGCAAGGCCATGGCCAACCGCCTACTCGCCCACCCCAAGTGCACTGTCCGCTTTAACACTGTTGCCACCGAGGTCCTTGGCGAGCAAAAGCCTAATGGCCTCATGACCCACCTCCGCGTCAAGGACACCAACTCCGGCAACGAGGAAGTCGTCGACGCCAACGGTCTGTTCTACGCCGTCGGTCACGACCCTGCCAACGCCCTGGTCAAGGGCCAGGTCGACCTCGACGAGGACGGCTACATCATCACCAAGCCCGGTACTAGCTACACCAGCGTGCCCGGTGTATTTGCCTGCGGTGACGTGCAGGACAAGCGGTACCGTCAGGCCATCACCAGTGCCGGTATGTTCTTTCTTTCTGTTTTGCTGCTTATTCCCACAAACCAAAATTGATCTAACATTTTTTTTTTCACAGGATCTGGCTGTATCGCCGCTCTCGAAGCCGAGAAGTTCGTTTCCGAAGCCGAAACCCCCGAAGACCAGCAGCCCGCTGCCTCCGTGGAGCGCTCCACCATTCAACCCGCCGCGCAGGAAGTCAATGGCGGAGTCACCAAAGACCCTAAGGGTGCTACCGCCGAGTACAAGACCAACCCGCTGCTTTAATACCCTAAATCCGTCTTCTTTCTCTTCTCTTCTTATGATTGATCAGTGATCATCGCTTGGTGTATCAATGAGGATGCTTGTGCTTTTTTAGACTCTGTCTTGGTTTCTGCGTTGTCTAATGTCAATTCCCCGTGCATATTTTATACATTGTGATGGACGATGGGCTTTATTTCCCTGCCTCCCTTTTTCTTTTTGCCTCTGCTTCTTATCCTTTTTATATTTCCTATTTGGGCGTCAAGACGGCCTTTTATATCTACCTCGCTGTTTTTGCTGATGGATTGGATTGTGGCCCATAGAGATAGAAATAGAAGCGATTTCCCATGCAAGTTTTCTTCGCCCTTGGCATCCAAAGCTCAAGCGAGGTGCTCTGGGTCATCTCTCGCTTCATATTCACATTATGTCGAAATAAATACTGTGGCTAAGTTTGAAGAACCCCCGATGGATATCATTGCATTTCGACGTATCAGAAAAAGAAAAAGAAGAAACAAACTCGCTGCATAATACAAAGCAGAGTAGAAAAAAAAGCCCCGCCAGTCAACTCCCTCCCCCATAAAAGCCTCCGTCTCCACACCGGAAATCCAGCGCATCCAGGAACAAATGCGCCCGAGAAAAGCAAACCCTCATTGTGGCAAGACCGAGCCCTCGGGAACATCCCACTGCTCAAAGGGATTGGCAGCACACCAGCGATCCTTAACCTCGAACGTCCTGTGCTCCCAGTCGGCAGCAGCCAGTTTCCACGCCTCCAAGGCAGTAGCATTGTCACGACGCCGGACCTCGATTTGGTCGAGATACGGCTGCTTCTCGGCAGGCGGGGCATTGCGCCACATCTGGCCGAGCGCGTGGCGGATCTCGTCGCGGGCGGCTTTGGCCGTTTCGGTTCCCGTGGCGGCGCGGCGCGCGTCGTCGCACTGCGTGCGGCATTTGGTCCAGTAGTCCTTCTGGTACAGGAGGAACGGATTGAGGGCGGCTTTGGCAGGGCGGGGTGGTGAAGGGCCGAGCTCAGCGTAGATGGCGGTCCAGAGTGCTTGGTCGTAGGTGTCGCGACGGGATTTTGCCGTCGATGTCGGCGGCATGGGTGCGTTGTTGGTGGTGGTGGTGGTGGCTGGTGTAGTGGAGAACAGAGGCTTAGGCTTTCTGTTGCTGGTGGCCGGGGTGATGAGGGTAGTGATGTTCTGGTTCGGGGTTGATACTGCCCTGGTAGAGATATCCTTTCTCTTCTGCCCGGCTGTGATCGTGTCGTTAGGTGTTTCGGCTTGACTGCCGTTTGGTTTCTCTGGTACCAGGGGTTCCGGAATTTCAATCGGTCCAGTGACAGACTCGATTACCTCTGAAGCGGCACGAAGTCCGGACAGGTAGGCTCCATGGACGGTGGCCGGGTGGGTGCCGCAGGTGGCTTCTCCTGCAAAGTGCAAGTTGCCGATAGATCGAGCCATGAGATCGTAGTCTTCGGGAAGCGTGGCGGCGGCCACATAGGAATAGCTACCGCGCGTGAACCGGTCTGAGCCCCATCTGCTGATGATAGTCTCAAGTGGGTCAGGGACAAGGGCGTGTTTGAAGACATTTCGCAACTGGCCGGTGACCTCTGAAACGATCTCAGCGTCTGGCATGGTCTCTGCTTGGTGAGCTGCGTCACCAGCCATAAGGGCGATCAGAACCGGGAGTCCAGTCGTCTTGATGCAGTTCCAGAACAAATAAAACCGGCCACGGTTTGCCGCGTAGTCTTCTTGGACCATGCTGTTACGCGTTGTCGGCTCCCGAAGGAGGCCGAACATATCCCGTTCAGTATCCCAGAAGGGCTCCTCGAAAACCAGGATCACCTTGTTCATAATCCCAAATCCCAGCCGATCGATGGCTCCACGCTTCCACTCAGGAAGAGGGGGATCAAATTGAATCGTTTGGTGCTTCAAGGTACCGAGAGATCCCGTGAACACAATGTGGTCCGCCATGAATTTCTCGCCATCCTCGCAGTGGACCGTCGCCTTGCGACTGCTGGCCTCAGACGATTCGTAGGAAATGGTCGACACAATCTTGTTAGTACGGACATCCAGCTTTGTGGGCAGCATGTACAGTCCATATGGTAGCTGCTGATAACCACCGATGACTTGCGAGTGCTCTCCCTCGAACTCATTCCCCAGATCCTGGTCCCATCCGGAAAGGCTGAGCTTATCAATATTGGTCGCGTTTGCATACTCCAGGTTTGCGAAATGCCAGTTGATCAACCGCATATCTCTCGGAGTGAGAGGGAGCATGCGCTGGTATTGCTTCACTCCCTCATCCATCACAGCGCCCAGGGTTTGCTTGGGGGAAGCATTGGCGACGTGGTTCAAGTCGATGGTGTCGTCAGCCGAATATCCCGGATTCAGGGGCCATCCTGTGGCTTGGCTGGCCAAAGCTGCTGGGTGCTGTTTCGAGGGTCCCGCAAGGTCGGCTGCCATATCGCTGACGGGCTGAATCTCTGCGGTCTTGTGCCCTACTCCCCGACGAACTCGCTTAGTGGGGACTAAACGATCAATAGTTCCTGCCGCTCGCGCGTCTTCGTACTGTCGTACAGTGAGACCATCATTCACTGTCGACTCGCGCCCCTCATCAATCATTTCACGATCGCCTCCAGCAGTGGGAGTAATGACAGCATTGTGGCGGTAAAACCCGGAGCGGTCAAGAACATCGTTGTAGAGCTTCTCGTCCATCGCATCTCGAACCTCATTCACCGGGGATCCGTCAGTGTCGTAGATGGTCGAAATGTCACGTAGCAGGTGGTAATGAAGCGCGAGCTGGCCGCGAACAATCTGATCCAGGGGATTGCCATGGTCAAAGCCCACAATAATCTGTGCTCCCATCTCCGCTTTGGGGACAAGTCCCGAGGGCAGGTCTTCTGACTCGAGGCTCTGCAAAGGGTGTGAATAAACTCGCCCACCGATCCGTCGGCGTCCTTCCACCACGACTACACGCGGAGAGGTTTCTGCGTCTCGATAATGACGAAAAAGGCCCTCCAACTGCCGCGCACAACCAAGACCTGCCACACCAGCTCCAACAACGACAATGACTGGACCCTCCTTCCTTCTACCGCGCTTGGGGACTACCAGAGGCATGGGCACCTCGATGCAGCCGAAATTGATATATCCGTGCCGCGCAAGCCAGTCATAGGCAAAAGATGCGAGGTTCATCCATCGGTAGTCCTTGGTACAGCCCAGAGCCTCTTCTCTGCTGACGCTTACCATTGGATTTCGCGTCCAGAGCCGCAAGATTCCATTTCGGATGTTCAGGTATAGCGTGACGTGCATATGGCAGAGGTGGTCTTGCAGCGCCTCTTGCTCCTTTCGATGGAGCGCGTAAGGATTCAGTCGGGATGCATATGCCGCCTCAACACATTGCTGACCATAGACAGCAGGAGACAATTTGGATGGGATGGAAGACCGAGGCCGGCATTTCGATAAATCGACCTTGCCGCTTTGCAGGACATTCACTCCCACGGTAAATGATGGTGTCGAGAGAGAATGTGCAGGAGTGGTAGGAGGTGATGTGGACTCCCTGTTCTCAGATGAAGATTTCAATGAGGTCGAGATCGAGGTTAAGGTCGTCGACTCGTTCGGAGTACTGCTGCTTCCACTTTCAAGCAAGCCATTGATCCCTCGCCCACCATTGATTATCGATGTATGTGGCACAGCATCGGGGGCCTCGAACAATTGCTGTGACTGAAAGGGAATCGATGTCGAGGCTTGGCCCAGGTCACTGTTGGAGGTGCGAGGTCTTTTCACAGGTGGCTCTAGTGGCTCAACTGATCGAGGTAGCACATGTTCTTGTCCTAAAGTTGTTCCCCCATTAATAAAAAGTTGGTTGGTGTATGGGCCTTGGCCCGGAGGAATGCCAGCCAAAGTCTGAATTCCCACAGATGCCGCAGCCTCCATGTTGGCACGAGTATTTGCAGTTTTTTGTTTCTTTGTTTTCACGCGACTGTGGGAAGCTTGGTCAAAGAGAAAGAATAGACTCAATTCTTCCAGCCACAAGATATTCTTGGATCCAGGTCGATGCCCCGAGTCTCGGAAGATTGTGTGAATATCAGATGTTCAGACCTCGATCCGGGGTGTAGCCGGTGCCGCTATCTGAGATGAGCCAGCTAGACATGCACCGGCAGAAATGAATGAATGGATGAACTGTCTGAATCAGGATTAGGAACTGTATACAGTGATCATGGCAGAGAGCCGGGGAGGGTGCAGAATGATAGTTCCGTCGAGGAGCGAAAGTGGAGGTTCACATACATCAAGTCCACGACCCCTTCCCACAATCTCCCTAGCGAAGAAGACCTGATCTAGGGCTGGCCATCAAATTGCTGGGTGAAGTCAATGTGAGCCCTGTGACATTCGATCTGAATAGACGAAGGTGAGTTGGAGAAGTAGAAAACCCGAGGACCTCGAGTCGTCGGAGTGGGGCGTATTTCTCAGTCCGCCTCATCGACTGCCGAGCAACTCGACTTCCGCAGACTCTATTGATGGGATTTACACAATGAATGGCATCCATGGGTTTATTGTTTTGTTGAATAGCTTCCATTCATTTCATTCTACAATGAAGAGGCTGACCATCGCAGTCCAGCTCAAAGACCAGTCCGGGACCGGTGCAGCCCATACGCTTCTTCTCCATCGGCTGGAAACACATCCGAGTCATTATCCGTGAACTCATCATGGTATGACCTTCGGTTGTTCTTCCCCCGACCGCGGTCACTATCGCTGTCGTCCAATGCCAGATCAACATTATCATCCAAGTCATTGAACCCAAGACCCGCCTCCTCGTCCTGCGCAAGCGAAAAGGCCGCCGCATTGACATCTGGATCCTCCGAGAACCCGCCATGCAGGCGGCCCGCAGCATGATCATCCTGGAGAGATTGCCGGATTTCAGCGCGTTCTTTAGCCTCAAGTTCTTTGGCGCGGGCCAAAGTCCTATCAACGAGAAACCATCAGAAGTCAGCAACAGGACCAAAGAAGGGAGAGCAATGTATTCCACGAACCTTTGATATATATACCATCCGGTAAAGATCCCAATGCCGACCGTAATGATGATGCTGCAGATATTCACGGCTTTGGAGGCCGCACTCATCTCCTCGCCCTTCTCGGAGAGAAGACGCACTCGGCTGCCGATAAACGCAGGAACCAGTAACTTGGGAGAGATGATGGCCGTCGCGAGCCCGTACATCAGAGGCTGCACCGTGGGGAATGTAGACACAGCACCGTTGCAGATGGAGTAGGGCAGCGGACACAGGCGAATCATGCATAGAAGCTTAAGCCCATCATATTTCAGAGTCAAGGCCAGCGCGGCGAATCGCTTATCGCGCTCCATCAGACGGTTCACGAAGCTGGACAGAATCGTCCGCGAGACAATAAACGAACATGTCGATCCCAGCACGGTTGCCGTGGCGTAGATCAACCATCTATAAGAAAATCACGGATTAGCAATTTGCCCTACTATCCATGTACTTGGTGAAATGCCTGCTTACCCCTTCCACACTCCAAAGATGAATCCACACATAGTTCCCAGCGTCGACCATCCCACGAGAGGGGGGAATGAGACGAGAAAGATACAGATCCATAGGATCAAGGCGACCAAACCCGATTTCTCCCATTTCTCTGCGACCGGGCCCAACCATACAAAGATCTTCCCGGTAAGGATCATAAACGCGAGACCTAACGCACCCAACGCCAAGGACGCGATGACGGCGCCAATCTTCTGAAGTAGACTCAGCTTCTCCCACACGCCATTTATGCGGCGCGACAGTGCAGCTCCTCGATCGACCATCTGGTTACGAAGGGTGGCCGCCTGTCCGCCAGCCCAGCGGACGGAGTTCCGACCTCCGGGTCGACTCCAGAGCGGATGAACATCGCTGTCGGGAGACGGAGATAATGGTTGAGGTGATGTTGACAGAGCCAATGCCCGTGCCGTAGATTGGTAGTCTGCGGGCATTGGCGGGAGGCGATTAATGATTCTTTGGGACGGGAAGGGTCGGGTCCGGGGGAGTTTCAGGAGCGACGATCGTGGAGTCAAGATGCGGGAATAGGGCAATCCCAGACCGTAGAAGAACAAGGGGTCTAAGGGAGACCATCAATGAGGGCGTGAAAAGGCCATGGGGGCTTGGACACGAGGCATCAGAGGAATTCCGAGAGAACTTGGTCAAGCGCCGGGGGTGTTCACTCTGCACAGTCAGCGGGTCGGAGCTAAATCCTGTTGGGCCCGATCCGATGTACTCGATGTATTTTGAATAGCCTTGGATATCCTTGGATATTGATCGAGTATTGAGATAATTACCTAGAAATGTACTTGAAGGTAGCTGTTCTTACAATTACTCATTCATTTATCTCTGTTGGGCCATGTCAATCTATGCCAACTGGCCACCAAGTATAGATTCCCCCAGAACTATGTTATTCTCACCATAAATTAATAACCAAAGAATGCAATTCAGTGTCAACTCCAATCGCCATCGCCCGTAATACTTCTTTTGTTATTTTGTGGTACATCTCAAGATCGGACTTGGGAACTCGTTTCGATAGGCCATACATAGTCCATAAGAGGGAAACTGGGACAGCAAACAAAGAAGATGCCAAGCACAGAATACGAAAGTATACTGATGTATTTGTTGAATGAATATAGCAGGGCTTCTTTTCGTGCACGGAGATCACTGTCAAGACTGTCAAGGCACCCGAATCCTGCAGAATCCCCGGTCCACGGCTCCATAGATCGGGGGTATAGGGCGCAGATGTTATCATAACCAAAATGAATTCTATTCTATTCTATTCTTCTGATTGGGTGTTAAAAAAAGGAAAATGAAAAGAAAACGGAGAAAAAGCAAAGGAAAGAAAGGAAAAGAAAAATATATATTTACAGCGCTTCGCATCAGATAGACTCGCAGATCCACCGTCCATGTTGATCCCCGTCTCCGCCCTCCCCCTCCTTTGTTTGCGTCTCACATCGCCCGTCCACTCCAATCCCCCCTTGGCTCCTTCTCAGTCAACAGTCGATCAGTGGGTCGATGTCGAAATACGATATGATCCTCTCGACTTCTCTGGCCTCTTATCTCCTTGCACCCCTCAGGTAAGCGTGAACACGCCCCCTTGTCAACCTCATCTTGGGGCCCAACTCCAAACTGATCATCTCAAGATAATGGATCGGGGACTTTGATCACTCATCGCGTCCACTTCATTTAAGCATAACTTTGGTCACCGTCTGATTCTAGTACATTCCTACTGCCGACGCTTCTCTCGCTCCCCTCCACAGCCAACTCCCTTTCCCACCGCGCGGATTACATCTCCGCATGACACCATGGTCTCTGAAGAGCTTCTCGAGAAATGTCTGCATATTCTCCAGGATCAGGCCCTGGATGAGGAAGAGCAGGTCGAGAAGGTAGAGGATTTTTTGCGCGCAAACTCCTCTCTATCGGGCTCGTCTTTGGAGAACGCCGTGTTGGACATCCTCTGGCGACATCGTAACCGCAACCTTCCAGATTCGTCGCCTCTCCCAACCCGGCACACTGTGATCCGTCGCTCATCACCTGCACCATGGCAAATGGCCCGTTCGTCGACTCCTCTCTCGCCCCATTCGAATCTGGGCACGAGTCCCGGGAGTACGTCGTGGATGCAGAGCTCGCGCGGGGCATTCTCCCGACCTCCGCTTTCCTCCACCGTCTCCCCGTTCACCTCCCCCCGCCCATCGCCCCGGCTCGCTTTCGCACAGCCCATTCCTCACTCACCGAGTCTAAATGCATATGAATTCTCAGATCAAAGCCACGTGTCTGATTATTATGGGGACCTGGGAGGCGATAACAATGTCGACTGGCTGGTGGCGGACGATGCCAACAGCACTACCTCATCCAGTGGTCTGGTTGGGCCCGCCGCTCTGAGTGCTACGGCAACTGAATTTGTTCCCGACATGAGCCCACATGACATATTGCGCACTGTGCTGGGTGACAAACGCTCGAATGATGATATCGAGGCAGCTCTGGAAGCGAATAGCTACGACCTCGGTGCCACCATCGCTGCCCTCTCGCAGGATCAGGAGGCGGATATCTTCTCAAAACAGTCCGACGATGGTCGTGTTGTTGTTGGCAAATCCATGGCGATGGAGCAAGTCCGTCCAGTCACACCGTCGGGCCAAAATCGCAGCCCGGTGGTGTGTAAATATTGGCTGTCCACCGGGCAATGCCTGCGTGCAGACTGTCGCTTCAGCCATGACTTGACGAGCCATGTGTGCAAGTAAGTTGTTTGAATTTTCCAATCTTAAAATCGACCTTGGTTTTCTAATAGGTGTCAAAAGGTATTGGGTTATGGGCAACTGCCTGGCCGGCGACGGCTGTCCTTTTTCGCATGACCCGTCCGCACTCATTTCCAACATTAGTGTCACAGACAGCCGGCCGACTTCGCCTCCGACCGGCTCTGCATTTCAATTAGACAGTGCCGCTGATGCTTTTCCGCCGTTGCAATCATCCGCTGGCGGAGTTGGAGACCAGTGGGCAAATCAATATATGGGCCGGTATCCTGCCCACCTGGGTGGTTTTCAAGGAAACAAAAACGCCCCTCCAGGACTCCATCCCGGAATGGGTAAACGAAACGGCAGCGGGACGCCCCTTGGGCGTCCTCATTCCCGTCCGACCAGCCGCCACCAGAATCGAGAATTGAACCCTACTGCGCTCTCTGTAGATGATCCAGATGCTTTTCCTACCCTTGCCGCCGTGAGTGCGAGAAATGCCGGGAAGAAGCATCACGGGAAACGCGGTGGCCACAATAACAAGGAGGCGAATTCGAGCAGGGAAAACATTCCTTCGTCCCTGGCAGATGTAGTTCGGATGACTCCATCACCTGCTCCTGGAAAGGGCAAATCCACATCCAAGAACAAGGAGAACAAGAGCCGCGAGAACAGCGCGGCAGCCATGTCGATCCCGGGCCCGCAAAATATCCCTTGGCTTGAGACTGGTGCGCGGGCAAACCAACAATACATCAAATACCGCACCGAGGCAATTCGGCATGGAACTGTGCGGAACAAGTTTTTGCAGAGGTAAGTCTTCTGATAGCCCCCGTGCCCCAGTACCTGGCTTACGCTATCCAACAGTGCTGCTCAAGCATGGAACCGCAACGACGCCCGGGCTGCCAAAGCGTTATCGCTGCGAGGTCAGGCCGAGAATGATGCAATGCGCAGGTGTCATCGAGAAGCTGCACGCCAGCTGTACGAAGAGCGCAATCAACATCTGCACCAGGCAGGCCTTGACAACTCCTCCGAGGAACTCTACGTCGATCTCCACGGTCTCCACCCCGAAGAAGCCATCGAATATCTGGAGAAGATCCTTCTCAAGCATGCGCGGGAGGGTCTTCGGGTCGTCTACGCTATTACCGGCACTGGCCATCATTCGAAGAACGGCAAGGATAAGATCGGAAAGGCCGTCAAAGCTTGGCTCAACGAATGGCGGTACCTGTTCCGGGAATTCAGCGTGCCCGGCGAGCGAGGTGGCTACGTTGGCGGGATCCTTGGAATTGATCCCACCAGCTATGACAAATCACTTGCCCACAGCATAGCAAATGAGATTTCGGGGGCTGACGCTGACGGAGAGCCTCCTGCCCTGGCGATGGGCAAGATCCAACTGCTCAAGCGCGAGGATCTCGAGACCAAGGATCGATGACCCGGTGTGATATAGTTCACTCGAGGCTCTGAACGTCGATGGGACTCGATCACCACCCGTACCACTTATACAATGAAGACATCTAGATTTCTCACCAACTTTCAAGCCCAATTAGACACAGATTTCAAGATATGCTAGGTAATGCTAGGTAACCTATGTCCTATCGACTATCGACCCTAACCAAGAAGTAGACACAGTGAGATCGATAAATTAATGAAGCATATACACGGACATGATGTACCAGTCATCTACTCCGGCTCCTGGTGCTGCCACTGCTCCCGCAATGCAGCAACATCCACCCCACAAGCCTCCGCCTTTTTCACAATAGCCCTCGCCTTCTGCGCCACAGGCACATCAATCATCTTCCCATCCAGTGTCCACGCGCCGCGCCCCGCAGCCGCAGCCTTCTCATCAGCAATCACCACGCGCATCGCCCACAGCGTCTCCTCCGCCTGCGGTCCGAAGATGGCATCCGCCGTCTTGGCCTGCGACGGATGAATACACTGCTTCCCATTGAACCCCAGCCGGCGCCCATCGCGACACTCCTCCTCCAGCGCCGCGGGCGGCGACCCGTCTGCCTTGTCGGACTTGTACGCCGTGCAGACGAGGTCGATTGTCGACGGCAGGTTCGCCGCGCGCGCGGCCGTGGCGATCGCCGAGCGCGCAAATAGGAACTCGGTCAGCGAGGGCGTGCGCGTGATGCTGAGGTCTAGCGCGAAGTCTTCGGCTGCGAAAACCAGTCCCTGGAGGAGGGGCGAAGCCTTGCAGATCTCGGTTAGGTTGGTGAGCGACTTGGCGGTCTCGATGAGTGCGATCAGGGATATTGGGGGGCGGGTGCTGGGCCCTGAGGAGGATTGTTGTTGTTGCTGGGCTAGGGTGTGGTTCACCACGTCCGTGACGAATGTCACGTCGGACGCGGAATTGACTTTGGGAATGGCGATTGTTGTCAGGTTGGGAGATTGGAGCTTTGGAAACGGGGTAGAAGAGAGAAAATGTCAGTCCCACAGTTCATTCCGTGATTCTCGGGATCTATTTAATTCGCATGGCCACACTCACTACTTCGGTTAGATCGCCTAGTGCCAGCCCACTGTCCACTGAGTTAATTCGCACTGCCCGTTCCCGGATCCCCGATGGCGCGGGCTGGTCGATAGCTCTCCGCACGAGGGGAGCGCGCCTCCGCCTTCATGTGCGGAGTGACGCTGTCTTCCAGGTCATAGGCGACGCAATCGGCGGTCAGCGAGCGCGACTTGTCTAGGAAGCGCTGGGAGGACCCGGGAACTTATGAGACTCTAGTGTTAGCTCCGGACAATTGATCAAGCAGCTCGGAAGATCGCGATGCGGGGAAAATGCGAGGATATTCAGGAAGCTCACCGTAGAGAAAGGAACGGCGGAGGGTGTTGCGGGCAGCCATGGTTGGTTGTGGTGTATTGATATCAACATGCACAAGATCATGTCTTGCCCTTTGGAGTGGATTGGAATGGAAAGGGACTGGTTTTATCTCCGGGTTTGAAGATGCCGATTTAGTCGGCTATTGCTGATGGGAGCTTGGCATCCCCACTTGCCCCGGTGCCCTACCCACCTGGTCTATACATGGATACTTGTATAGTTGGGCCTTTGTGATATCCTGGATAATCTGAGCCATTGATAATATACAAATATATCGTAGCTTAGTATTTGAAATAGATGCCATCATTTCGATGTGTTTGATTGGGAATTGAGACTATTTATACTCTCTCCATGTATGTTTGCGGTTTGTTGGTCACCTTTGTTCTGGTCATCCAGTATCTTAAAGCAGGTAAAATCTATCACGAAGCACTCAGTAGTCTTCGCTCACATTAATACTATGAATATCTGCCTTCGTCACCAGGCCCGCAATGCAATTATTCTGCCACTCCCCACCGCCTAAACCGCGTTTCTGGACACATGGCGATCAGCGCCTGTCAACAACCGATTCTCTGCTACACTGGACCAGCTGGATCCCGTTGGTTGTGGGCATTTTTCAAAGCTCTAGATCCATTGGCTGTCTGGTCTGATCATCATGGAGAGAGATCATCAAGGAGACCTCAACTGGCGCCTCAGTGCCCACCCGATCACCCTACTTGTCTTCTTAGGCATCCGCATTGGTTAGTGCTGCCCTCGGCGCAATGGCGCCGAAATATACACCATAGGCTAATTCCATATCCAGGGGCTCTTCTGATGTACTTGTTTGGTGTCCTATTCATTGATGACTTGTATGATCCCTTCCAATGCTAGGCCGCTGGCTATTGGCTTCCTTGAACTAACAGATCCAATCAGTATTCTCGTCTTCATCCTGACACTCCTCCTCCTCTCTGCCGACTTTTATTACTTGAAGAATATTGCTGGTCGCCGACTAGTAGGTCTGCGATGGTGGAACGAAGTCAACACGGGCAGCGGCGACTCGCAATGGGTCTTCGAGTCGTCTGACCCCAATGTTCGCACCATCAGTGCCACCGATAAGCGGTTCTTCTGGCTCAGCATGTACCTGACTCCGGCTCTGTGGGTGGGCCTTGCGATCCTGGCCATTGTGCGGTTGGTCGGCGTGATCTGGCTCAGTCTCGTTGGTGAGTTATATCGTTTCCCAGGCCTTGTGGTAGCTTGGGAGTTCCCCTATCTCTTTGTGTCTGCCCATGACTAACATGTTATATTAGCTATTGCCCTTATCTTGACCATCACCAACACTGTGGCATTCTCTCGCTGTGATAAATTCAGCCAGGCCTCAACCTATGCCAACACCGCGCTGGGTGGTGGGATTGTGAACAATCTTGCAGGTGGCCTGCTGGGCAGGTTTTTCAGATAATTGGAATGAAACTATGGGCTTGCAATTGCAGCGTGTGTCTTGGACCCTGGCCATGTTGTCTCAGGTGCTGTGAAATGTGTATCTCTACAGTTGTTCAATTAGTTAACATCAATGCTTTCATGCTGTTTCCTTGCAGCAAGTTAATTGTTTTTTCCAGTGCTGCAACCACTAGAACAGCTTAGCTAAAGTTCTCTTGGGTGGTACCGTGCCTTCTGGAAGGATAAAGGGCAGATTCCTGGTCCCTATCTACCCAGACACCCAAGCTGGCATATAGTATGTTTACTACTATGGCAACACACCTACCAAACCCTACTTTACATTACACAGCTGTGCTTTCTCTATGTCTCGGAAGACTCGATGTGTAATTTGTATCACCAATAGCTTAGGGCATGGCATTGCAGTCAGGAAAGACCCAAGGCATAGAGGCTTGATTTCTCTATATCAACAACAAAAAAAAAAAAGTTATAGGCAAGCGATCTACTATTCCTTTTCAACTGTTCAAGCGTTTACCCTTCAATTCAAATTCGCGTCATGGCCTACAATATCCCGACTGCGTTGCGTTGCGTTGCCTAAAAAGGATTCATCCAGCTCACTTCTCTCCACCACCCTCTTCCTCTCCCACCCCACCATCCACCGTTCCCCTTCAATTTTCTATCTTCTTCGACAAACTTCCGCTCCGGCTTTATCTTCTGCCGGTATCCTCATCTTCTATCGTCGTCCTCACCGCCCAATTCACGAGCTGGTAAGTGACCTTCTGCCATCCCGTCCAACTTGCCTTGAAGCTTCACAACAATTTTGAAAAAAAAACCTCTACTGCTGTCCCCATCCACCCCACCATTTTGAATTCGTTTCTCCCATTCCTTTTTTATCCACTGGCTGTTTCATCAACATGGAGCATGAGGAATGGGCCCCGGCTTTTCCTGGGGCCTGAGGGCTTACCATTAAGCTCCCTCGTATGCTCAAACCGTTTGAATTTCTTCATGGTTATACACATAACTTTGTTAACGGAATGTCCTTGACTTGCTTTGTTTCTACATGAGACTAACTCCTGCAGCAATAATTTCACTGAAAGCAACGAGGTCGACAGGATCTTCGTCGTCATGGCGTCCGGCGAATTCGACGTGGAGGCCAGCACCGCTCCTGCTTTCTGGCAGTCCAGTGTCACTCCTGTTTCCGGCCACTCGGAAGAAAGTGAGTATAAGATGGGCTACCATCCTGCCAGTCCTCCGCCTTGTCCATGACTAGAAAGCTCTGACAATTGACCATTGACACAGATGAAAACTCCAATCCCCGTGCGTCCAGTGACCACGACCAGTTTTTTTCGGTCTCTGATTCTCGTGGAGATGATTTTTCTTGCCGCAAGTAAGTCTTGACAAAACCACACCCAAATATATTTCTTCGCTGACTGGGAGATCCAAGCTGTGGCGAGTCGGGTCATTTTGCTCGCAACTGCCTCAACCCTCCCAAGTCTCAGGCTTGCTTCAACTGCGGCGAAGAGGGGTAACTCCAATTTCCTGTCCTCCTCAAATCGGCTCAATCTCGATCATACTCATGTCAGGTGAATACAGACACGCCAAGGCCGACTGCCCTCTGCCTCGCAAGGATATGGAATGCTACGTCTGTGGTCAAGAAGGGTCAGTTGTCATATATCATCATCGGAACTCCCCAAGTCATGCTAATATATACTTCATACAGCCATACCAAGGCCGAATGCCCCCTGTCTGCCAGAGACCGGGCTTGCTACAACTGTGGAGAAGAAGGGTGAGTTGATGACCAGCAACAATCAAATATATGATACCATGCTAATGTGGAATTGGTTCGGAATCCAGCCACAACAAGGCTGAATGCACCAAGCCGCGGGTTTTCAAGGGAACTTGTCGGTTGTGTAACAAGGAAGGTCACCCTGCTGCTGCGTGTCCTCAACGCCAGCCGGATGTGTGCAAGAACTGCAAGGCTGAAGGTCAGTGTTTCCTAGTTTTTATTTTGGCGTGCCGGGTCGGAGCCTGGGGCTAACATGGATGCACAACAGGCCACAAGACCATCGACTGCAAGGAAAACCGCAAGTTCGACTTGAGCGATATTGCGGTCATGACCCCCGAGGACGCCTGGGCTATGATGAAGAAGGCCAGTGACGAGCGAGACTTGGACGATTTCCGTGATGTAATGCTTGGATATGCACCTGTTCGTTTCCTTCCAGTCCCACTAACTGAGCTCCCAGGGCTTCAAAATCTACAGCAAGGCTAAACCCGAGGCGACTTTCGTGGACATCGAAAAGAGAATGCGGGCAGAGAACTTCAACATCTATCTCATTGGCCTGGTGAGTGGCCTATAACCTATCTTTACTGGGCAACCAAGACACACTTGATACTGATTCTTATCTATAGGAGAGGGAAGTCGAGAGGTCTATGACCTTGATCGATCTTCAGGGAAAGCTTGACCGCACCTACATGGTGGGTTTCTTTTACGAGCCTACACCCAACCGCCTCAACCTAGGCCCTCGCTGGCCCCGAGATGCGGAAGACAACCTCAACCGTCTGGACGATGCAGGTCTGCCCTATGACCGTATGATCCCCAAGTGCATGAACTGTGGCGGTGAGTCTCTTCCCTCGAGAAATGTGTTGGAGTGACAAGCTGCTAAATATGCGTTTCTAGACCTGGGTCATATTTCTCGCCACTGCCAGCAAGAGCGTGCCGAGGTGATCGATCGTTTCGAAATCAAATGCAGCAACTGCGGCCTCATTGGTCATCGTATCCGGGATTGCAAGGAGAAGCGTCGCAGCAAGCGGGGATGCCGCAACTGCGGGTATGTGTCCATTTTTCTACATTGCCTTGGCCTGGCCACTGACTGCGTTTAGTTCCGAGGATCATATTGCAGCGGACTGCACCGAGTCTCGCTCTGCGGAGAACGTGGAGTGCCGCAAGTGCAACCAAAGTACGCTGGTTTCGTGAACGCCCTTCTCTCGGTTGATATGTGTGCTGACGGTTTCCAGTGGGTCACTTCGCCAAGGACTGCCCTCAGAGTGGTAGCGGCAGCCCTCGCGCCTGCCGTAACTGCGGGTAAAAATAAGGGTCATTGAGAATGTTGAGCACTTCCATGTTAACACGACTGTAGGCAGGAGGGCCATATCGCCCGCGATTGTGATCAGTCACGCGATGCTTCTTCCATGACCTGCCGCAACTGTGACCGACGTATGTGATCATCCCTTCCACCCTTCTCGAGAATGTAGCTTGAGATAGAAACTAACCATCGTCATCTCCAGCCGGCCATATGGCTCGTGAGTGTCCTGAACCCAAGAACTGGTCCAAGGTCCAATGCAACCGGTGTGGCCAGAGTGAGTTGATTTCTCCCCTCTCCAATCAGCTAGCCTACTCATAGTTATATAGTGGGTCACACCGTTCGTCGTTGCCCTCAAGCCGGTGAGTCTTCAGCTGCCGCATTTCCCGGGGACAACATCCAAGCCCATGACACCCAGAACTACCAGGCCGATGACCACTGGGGTTCTTCCCAGGGAAACCAGCCCCAGGCTCCTCCGGGCTTTGGAGAACAGAGCGGCGCGGCCACCGGTGCTGCGGAAGGTTGGGAGGACAAGTTGAATGAGCAGCTCCGTGACCAACTTTGGTGAAAGACGTTCGACCGAGACACTGAAAATAACCCCCAAAAAGGGGATGTTGATGAGTACCAGCGGTGGTGGAAAAAAAGGATCGAGCAGACACTGAAACAAAAACCCGAAAAAAAGGGGGAGATGTGTTGACGATGACAATGAGAGACGTTTGCAGTGGTGAGGTGAGGATCATCATGCTGTCTCGATTTGGGTGCAATGTCTGTCGGGCGTTGGTTGTCGTTGGAGTTACCCTTATGGGAAACCCGAACGATAAACGATGACTGATACTATGCGCCTACCCTCTTGTGTTTTCCCCTATGCGACGGGCATCTTCGACTCGGGGAACGTTTGTCTTGATTGCTGGGCGTGTTTGACCAACTCGGACCCGGGGAAGTGCAGTGACTACTGGTCACTCGGACATCGCTTTCCCGGTTGTGTCCTCTGAGATGGACGATGGCCTGGACTGACCGAGATGAATACCAGCCTGGGTGAATGGCCTGTAATTTGCCCCTTCAAAAAAAAAAGGTTCTAATTTCACGATTTCAATTGACATGAGTCCCATGCAACGCACATACCATCATAGATCCAGTGAGATTGAATAATGATAATTCCCCGACCTCCAGTATGCTCACCGACCCCCGGGGTTCGAACGCCCCGGTGGACCGAGGGGAGAGACGCTAGGATGGAGAGAAAAATATGGGGCAAAATATGGTTTTATTATTGTGTTGCTCCAGGCGAAAAAGGAAAACAGACACGGCATAGTATAGTTGTTGTTGAGTAACCTCATACAGTGACTTTTTCCACCCCTGGAACCTCATAGTCTGACACGGCGACAACGGGCCGCGTGGCGTTGCGTGCCTTGTTCCCGGCCCGAATCCCTTCATCGGCTCTGCCGATCGAGCAGCAAATGCCGCAAATCTAAATTTGTCTCCAGGGCAGAAAAAGCAAAGAAAAGCAGGTTTTGACTACTCGGGAAAGGATTGACTTTGCGGGGAGGGACTATTTCATTTCTAGAAAAGCCGAGAGATGCTGTACATATTCTTTCTATGCGAACAGATGCAGCCCCAAACAGACCATTTTGAGTCCTTTTTCTTTTTCTTTTTCTTTTTCTTCTCTTTTTCTGTTTTAGATGTATGGCTCTCGGACCCCTTGGATATCATCTTCTAGAAACTTCCTAGGCTTGTGCCCTGGCCCCAGGAATGTGTACCTTATTAGAATGCCAGGGGTGAGAGTGACAGGTGTAATACTGAGCTGGAGCCGTGACACGCCCTGCTGAATCCGGAGGCTCCGGGAGGGCGGGGGTGTCCTGGACTGTGCTATAGCACATGTCCATACATAGTGGAATAGCATAATGAGGTGCGCGATAGCGAGTTCACTTATGGGTATCTTCTAGCGTCGAATAGGGTTTAAGACTGGTAGAAAGATGGGTTATCTGCAACGGTGACGTAGCCTGGAGGTCTTCCTGATATCAGACCCTCCCAAAACCAAGGCTCCGAAAAGCAAGAATGAAACCTCATTGCATCGATGGATGGTATCATGCCATGCAATGCATACAACCAATAGGATCGATAAACATACACTTGGCTATGCCGAGGCCGAGATCATGTCATGTCTCTCGGCTTGGCCAGGCTTGAGTCGGGATCCACCGGCGAAACGGCCCTCGATCGAGAGGGGGGACATTGGCGCGGCGCCGGTTCCTGGGAGTGGTTGACTTGTCACGGTAATCATTCAGGATCATTGCCACCAGGGCGCTCCCTTTGATTGACATAACCTAATAGATAATAAATATTCATAATCAGGAATAAACAAATATAAATATAGATGATCGAGAATATTCTCGCATGGCCTGTGCAGGTTTCCGAATCAGGCATCCCGAGCGACAATGGAGATCCCCAGCATTCGGTCCCGACCGAGACCCGGAGAATTCTCGATACAACGCAGGAAGAGAGAAAGAGAAAAAGAGAACAGATCACGTTCCTGTCAAAGTCAGCTGGGAAGGATTGCGTATCCACAGCACACACCTCGCTTGTTTCGCAGGATTTGCAGTCCATCCTGAGATGATGTCATAGCTGGCCGGGTCCAGCGTATCACCCGTTACCCAGGCAGGCAACGGGGGCCGCCAATCAAGGATTCTGGCCCTGTCGGGCACAAAAAAAAAAACAACGGGCCAAGAAATCCCGGGAGAAAGCTTTTATTCTCTTGGGCACAGGCGTCAGGGAGGGTCGAGAGAAGCCGACCCTGTGGTTTGTCGCTATGGCCGTCGATGGGCCGATCCCCCATCAGACGGCGTGCTTGGCGACCCGGGGTGCCGACTGAAGGATATCTGGACATTACCATGGTAGAATGGTCGTGTAGAATCGTAGATGAATTTCTGTGGTGCTGTAGAAATCAGAATCAATTCAGACAAATCCAGGCTCATTCAGAGAGATTCTTGAGGCCCTCCACAGCGGAGACACAAGAAAAATGGAGCAGGAATCCGGGGGGAGGGGGGAAACCTGGAGACTCCATGTTCTGTGCGCACTCCATCGCACCCACCCCATTCCCACTTTTTTTTTCTGTCCATGCGAGCCCACGCGAGTTTCATCGGGCATCATCGATGTGTCATCGACTTCTTCCTATCACCGCAAGCAGAAAATGTATCTCCATAGAATTTGTCGCAAGGGAGAGAAAAAAAAGCATCCATGGGAGAAGGGGCAACTGTTATTTTACCGTACGAGCCCAATACCGAACGGGAGCCGAAATCCTGCTTTTCTCTTACATCCAACACGAGAGGCCGATTTGTCCATCGCTTCACCCCGGTGGACCCGATCCGAGAACACGGCCAACAAGATGCCGATGATCCTAAGAAAGCGGAGCCCTTTCCCCAGCTCCTGGAGAGGAATCCCGTGCCTCTCTTCCTCCCGATCCGGTCATTGCGTCTCTCTTGAACGGGGCATCGCCAATGTGACCTTGTTGGTCTATGTTCTAGCGCAACCCGTGTTCCATCCTTTCTCTCGGTCCTGACGCTGGCTCCGATTCCTGCTCATGCCGGTGGATCCTCTCTTTTTGGCCCCGTCCGTGGATGGCCTGGGAGTTTATAAACCCCCAGCAGTTTCCCCGGACTGCGTGACTTTTCTTGCGATAATTGTCTTTCTCTATTCAGTCCACTTTTCTTCCTCCTTCCCCATTCCATTCTCAGGTTCTAGAGAACTGTCGTACCGTTCTTGGTTTTTTTTTTTTTTTTTTCCTAGATCGGTCCAGGACTGGACCTGCTCACATCGCATACAGCTCTTATCTTGCTAGTTTTGTGAGGCTCAATCTCAACTCGCCATCATGCAACCCTACTTTGGGCTTCGGGGCACGGGCCTGAATATCATGATCAGTGTTATTGCTGGTCTTGATTTCTTGTAAGTGGATTCAAAACTATATATGAAGTTTCTCGCGTGCAAGACTGACTCATGCTCTGTGGTACAGACTCTTTGGTTATGACCAGTATGTCATTTTATGGGATGGGATGAGACGAGGAACTAGAATACTAACATAATAACAGAGGTGTCATGGGTGGTCTGTTGACCTTGAACTCATTCGTCACCACATTCCCGGAAATTGATACCACCAAGGCCGCAAAGGCACACATCAGCGCGGCCGAAGCGAGCTATCGCTCCACTGTTCAAGGTACGACCACCGTTTTATGTTGGATCTCAACGCTGGACCCGCCCATGCTGACTGAAATAGGAATCACCACCGCTTCGTATAACCTGGGCTGTTTCTTCGGTGCCCTGTTCTGTATCTGGGTTGGAAACTACCTGGGTCGTCGCAAGACCATCTTCACCGGTTCCATCATCATGGTCATTGGCGCAACGCTGCAGTCTTGTGCCTACTCTCTGCCGCACTTGATTGTCGGCCGGATTGTGACTGGTATCGGCAATGGTATGAACACTTCGACCGTGCCCGTGTGGCAGTCTGAATGTTCCAAGTCGCACCACCGCGGCAAGCTCGTCATGCTGGAGGGTTCTTTGATTGCTGGTGGCATCACTATCAGTTACTGGATCGACCTGGGCTTCTCCTTCCTCGACCCTAGCTCGGTCGCGTGGCGCTTCCCCATTGCTTTCCAGAACCTCTTCGCGCTGATCATCATGCTCACGGTGCTGCCTCTGCCGGAATCGCCGCGGTGGCTCATCCTCAAGGGCCGCGAGGAGAAGGCGATGGAAGTGCTGTCGGTCATCTTGGACTTGCCCGAGAGCGATGCCTACGTCCACTCGGAGTTCGCCGCTATCAAGGATGCCGTGCTGGCTGCCAACAGTGTCAGCTTCCGCGACCTGTTCACCATGGACGAGAACCGCCACTTCCACCGCGTCGTCCTCGCCTACGTCAACCAGATGTTCCAGCAGATCTCGGGTATCAACCTCATCACGTACTATGCGGCCACCATCTACGAGAGTTCTATTGGTATGGACGGTCTGATGTCCCGCATCATGGCTGCCTGCAACGGAACCGAGTACTTCCTGGCATCGTTGATTCCCATCTTCATCATTGAGAAGGTTGGCCGTCGGACCCTGATGTTGATTGGTGCCGCCGGTATGTCTATTTCCATGGCGGTTCTGGCCATCACCACCAGCTTCGAGCACCAGAGCAAGCCCGGTGTCGCGGCCGCCGTGTTCTTGTTTGTCTTCAACACGTTCTTCGCCTGGGGCTGGCTCGGCATGACCTGGCTGTACCCGGCTGAGATTGTAAGATTTCCTTTCTACCCTCGAAACAAGAGAGAATCCACAGTGCTGACAATCACCAGGTTCCCCTGCGTATCCGTGCTCCCGCCAACGCTCTCTCGACTTCGGCCAACTGGATCTTCAACTTCTTGGTTGTCATGATCACCCCTGTTGCTTTTGACTCGATCAAATACAAGACCTACATCATCTTCGCGGTCATGTATGTATCACCTTCCTTGAAAGGTTCATTGCAATTAACTAACCACCTATTTTCTGAGCAGCAACGCGGCGATCTTCCCCATCGTCTACTTCTTCTACCCCGAGACCGCCTACCGCTCCCTGGAAGAGATGGACACCATCTTCCACAAGACGAACAACGTCTTCAGCCTCGTCTCTGTCGCGCGCAACGAACCCCACCGCTACGGCAAGCACGGTGAGCTCCTCATCAACTACCAGGACACCGAGGAGCACCACCGCCGCGCCAGCTACATCTCCGAGAAGCACGGCAAAACCGCCCGCGACAGCTCGGACTTGGAGACCGGCCAGGGCGCTCACGTCGAGCACCCCAAGGGCAGTGTTTCTGGCAACAGCAGCTAAAAACGGTTGCTGCTTCAAGAACTGCCACCAACACTCTTGTTTTTCTTGTTTTTCTTCTTTTCTTATGATCCGGCAGTCTCGATGGCTTGTGCTGGAGTCTATGGCTTGACGAATATCTTGCATTCTGTTTTTGTGTGTCTTGCTGGTTCTGCTGGTGTGGAACCCCTGGGTTTTCGGTTTTTTAATGCTGCTTCGTCCTGTGGATGGTTGCGCAACCCAGGTGTGCTGATACAGCCTTTTACGCTTCGATGCTTCTATGGCTTTGATGTTGTTGCTTCTCTTTTTTTTCTCTTCTTCTTCCCTTGTTTTATACCCATCCCTTCTCACATGATGATCGTCAAGTCCGGTGGCAGATGATACGCTCCGAGAGCAATGGAGATGCTGTTGCTGAGATGCATGTCGAGTTGATTTACGAACACGAACTTGATAGAATAAACCATTCCTATATATTGTCCATAACCTATTAGGATGTCATCGTGTCCGGTTCATCCATGAATCATGAACTAGCCAATAGCGGACGGACAATACTAACGGCAAACCCTAGCTAGTATACTCAATTCTCTCTCACTTTCTCTGCACAAAAGAGATGTAATTTGCAACAACTATTCACAACCCAAAAGCCAAAGCACCCACAACTCCCGCCAACACAACCCCGACCAAAGCCACAACACCATGCGCCGGGACCTCAGCCGCCGAACTCGTTCCGTCGCCGAATAGTTCCCCAGCCTGGTTCGTTGTCGGCAGTGTAGTGGGGACAGACCCGTCGACGCCAGTGTTGTCGGCGGTGCCCAAGGTGATGGGGTCTGTGGAGCTGATTAGGGAGGTGGCGGCGTAGGGGGCGGAGAAGGTGTAGGAGCGCGAGCGCGACGAGAGGTAGGATGCTGCGTCAGCGCGGTCGGTTTCGTAGACGGACCAGATTGTGCTGGTTGTTGTGCGGGTGGAGGTTATGGTGCGGATGGTGTAGGTGGTTGAGGTGGAGGTGGTCCAGTAATAGAAGTAGTAGGACCTGTAGATGTCAGTTTCTTTTCTTCCTCTTCCTCCTCCTCTTCTTCTTCTGTGTATTCTGCAACTCACCAGTAAATAGTAGTATAATAATACTCATAACTCCGATACCTCGTCGTCGTAGTCTCAGTCTCAGTCGCAGCCTCCGTCCCGGTAACCGTCCCCGTCTCCGCAGAATCATACTCCCCAATACAACCCGACTTCAAGCAACAAACCTTCCTTCCCCTCCAAACCCGACACTCCTTCCCAGCACGACAATAAAACCCATCCGAACAGCACTCCCCACCCTTGGGTGCGCAGTTCCCGCTCCCGCAGCAGTTCCAGCCCTCGCGACACGTCCCCGACGAACAGCACACCTCGGCCCCTTCGGCGCAGTACCCGCTTCCACAGCAGCGGCCTGTGCTGGGACAGCAGCGTGTCGAGTCGTATGCGCATGCGCTGTACCCTGTTGAGCAGGTGTAGGCGCGGTCGACCAGACCGAAGAGACCGCGGGCGTTGAGGGCGGCGTTGGAGGTCAGTTTTATACTAGTGTTGGATTGGAGTTGGGGCTCGTCTTCTTCCATTTCTCCTTCTTTTCCTTCTGGGGTGAGAGGGTTGCTGGTGGCCAGGGTGGGGAGGAAAAGAAGAAGGGGCGATAGTAGATAGAACCGCATTTTGGATGTGATGAAACAGCCAAATCGAGAGACAGTCAAGTGAAAATCTAGCACGTTCTGCTTGACTCGATTCTGGTTCTTAGCTTATCGGTCTCGCGCCGACCCCGCCGGAGCGAAGTCATGTCTTAAATAGCGTCAGGCTTCGAGTTGCGGCTCCAGCTCAGAAGAGGGGTGAGATAAAAAGCGAGAGATATGGCAGACTGTCTCTGTCGTATTGGAAGCGACGGGCTCTGTTGTGGCGGTTGAACTGGCTGGCAAATACGAGGTCGAGGTGCTTGGCGCGGACGAGCGGCCTTTGAGTTGCAAGATATCGCGACGGGCTTTAAAGCCTTAGATGTATTGGATCGGTGAGATGGTTCTGTGGATACCAAGATTAAACAGGCTCACGCTGCATCTTGATTATGTGGTGCGAAAGAATGAGGGAGAAAGAATCCCGTGGTTGAAGTGTATGTCTTGGGACTTAGGGCTAGCAGCTTCCCCGTGATATATCGCCTGCGAAGTGCAGTTGTGGCGTTTTGCTGACCCCCGACACGGCTTGTCGGTGTTTTAGCCTCGGGAATTAATTACAACGAGAGATATTGCTGACATTAGCATTGATGGGGCATCATGAGGCCATGTCAGTAGAATCGTGCTATTGATATGTATTGTTTCGGCTGGGTACAACTGCTCACTGATCAATGTTCATTCTGTTCTGCTACCTTGGCATAAAAAACAAATCAGAACAAAGACCTTGATTTAATTATATTTCTCAATCTATTTATTTTGGTAAATCACTGACCAGCCAAGGGTACGTAACCCTGGAGAATATGGAGTCCACGAGACTCCGACACCGGCGATTGATAAAAGAGTAAACAAAGTAGTGCATAAGTGGACTATACTCAGGCAGTTCTTTATATAGGCAAACCGGAATAAAGATCAGTACCATCCTATCTCGGCTCCTCCATTCCGATCGGGTCTCGCGTGGGAGCACGCGGTCTGACAGCGATCTCTGCAAGGGGTAGATAACGCGAATACCCGTGTCGAGGACATACAGTATGCATGCAGCTCCCTACCTCTTGAATCTTGAGTCTCCACGGCCAAGCGCGTTCAGGCGAAAGGTTATCCTCGGTCAAGAGAAACCCTGTTGAGCTCCGCCGAGCATCGGAAGGATTTTTCCCGGTGACTCTGATTGCAACTCAACACCCAACATCTTTTTCTCTTGGCTTTCTCTCTCTCTCTCTCTTGCTTTTCATTTTATAAGGTAGAGTGAAAATAAAGTGAGTCATGCGTATGGCAAGGCATTGGTATATCAGCAAGTGAAAGTGTCATTTCCTTGAATTTTTTCCCGCCAAGACTCTCCCCTCTTCGCGTTATCAGATCAACCCGGTCCGCCTTTTTTTTTTTTTTTTTTTTTTTTTTTTCCCTCCGACTGCAGACCGCGGGGTGGTTGTTGAAGGTGTGTTTTCTCGGTGTTCTTTCTTGCTGCTAAAGCTCTGGCAAACGTGCATCATGATACACATACTGACCGAGACACAGCGTCCCTTGGTGTGAGTCTCTGGACTGCCAGTCCGTTGGTTGACAGCGCTCGTGTCTGTTAGACCATTAGTCGAGATTCCTTGAATTGTGCTCTAGAAAGTCCCTAGAGAGCATGTCCACTGAATCTTCTCACTCCGCCCCCGGCGCAGACAAAGGTCCCGTCACCGGAGATGTCTATGAGCAGCAACAGGCGTCGTCCGACGCGCCAACATCGGACGAGGAGTCGGGCGAGTCCAGTGTGGCCAACATTGAACGAATTTACCGGTGAGTTACCTCACGCCTTCAACAAGAAATTCCACTTGACTAATTCCCACGCCTTCAGAAAACTGGACCGGCGCATTATCCCAGCCTTCTGGGTGCTGTACTTCCTATGCTCGGCGATCCGGTCCAACGTTGGCCTGGCGCAGACGATGAACGAAGACTCAGGCCACGACCTGGGCTCCGTGCTGCACCTGGACCCGCATCAGATCTCGACGGGTCTGGCGCTGTTCTATGTGTGTTATGTCGTGTTTGACCTGCCATCCAACCTGATCATGACGCGGCTGAGCCCCCACGTGTGGATGAGTCGCATTGTGATCAGTGTGGGATTGATTGGGAGCTGTATGGCAGCGATGGAAGCCGCCTGGAGCTTCTAGTATGCTTCCCCGTACTCCCGATTTAGATCATTAGGCGTCACTCTTCTCTAACAACTGTATCTAGTCTCCTCCGTCTTTTGCTTGGCATCGTCACAGCCGGCATGTGGCCCGGAATGACCTACTACCTCACGCTCTTCTACCCGCCCTCGCGTATAGGCAAGCGCATCGGCCAGTATTTCACGGCGGCACAAGTTTCTGCCGCCGTGGTGGGACTGGTGTCAGCCGGGTTCCAGGAAATGGACGGCGCGCGCGGGTTCGTCGGCTTCCAGTGGATGTTCCTCGTGTACGGAGTCATTACCATTGCCCTCGGCTTCGCCCTGTTGTGGTGGCTTCCGGACAGGCCCACTCAACCCGGCGAGCCCATCCCCGAGCGCCACTGGCTTTTGCGCTGGTTGCCGCGCAGTGCACCGGCGCTGACGGGCCGCGATGCCATGGTGCACTACCACGACATGAAACGCGTGTACCATTCGCCGCCCTGGACGCTCCGTGATCTGCTGCATGTGTTCATGGACTGGCGGCTGTGGCCGCTGCTCATCATGTACTTTGGCGTTGTGGGGGTTGGCATCGGCGTGCAGCTGTACGCCAACTTGATCATCCAGGCGATCAACCCGAACCTGAGTGGCGTTGAGCTGAGTCTACTGACTGCACCGATCTGGGTTGTAAGTTCTGACAAGCATTTCCCAGATATACTTTCTGGCTGAAACATACTAATAGACTCACTCCAGATGGACCTCATCGCCATCCTACTTGTGACTCCACTCTCCGACCGCTTCCACCGCCACCGCGCCATCTTCTTCTCAATCCCAACCTGCCTCCAGATCCTCGGCCTGCTACTCACCAGCTACGCCGGCACAGACGAGAACCCATGGCCCCGCTACGGCGGCCTCCTAATCGTAGGCTTCGGGCTCGGCCCCACGGTGCCCATCACGATGACTTGGACGACAGAGATCTTCCAGCCGCGCCACGGCGAGGTCGGCGTGGCCGCCGCCTCGGCCGTGGTCTCCGGTCTGGGCAACCTCGGCAGCATCCTGACGACGTATGCGCTGTATTCCGGGTGGAAGAGCGACTACCTGGCGCCGGGTCGCCAGAAGTACCGCAAGAGTAACCTGGTCATGGTGGGCATTTTGGCTGCGAGTATCCTGTCGGCGGCGCTGATGGAGGTGATGTTGCGCTTTGTTGATGGCTGGTATTCGCGCGATGAGGAGGTCGGGGATGACGCGGTGGATGGTGCCGCCAGGCGCGAGGTGCGCCAGCGTGGGTTCCAGGGAATGGGTGCTGGGGTGAAGCGGTGGTTGAGACGCGCGAAGACGGGTCGTATGTGAAAAGAAAAAGAAAAAGAAAAAGAAAAGTCTTTGGGTTTGTTTTATATATACCTGGATATAGATCGGTGGCTGTGATAGACCTCGCTGTCCCGTCTATTGGATTGCTTACATCTAATTGCTCATGATTCTTTTAAATTGTTTCTATGGGATATATCATATTCATAATTTCGTCGCTGACCCAGCCCTCGCCGCGCCGATAATCACTTCGGCCACTGTCTGCGGCATCGCCAGCATAGGCGAATGCCCCGCGGCGCAGACACGAGTCTGCACGATGTCCCCGACAGCATCAACCATCTTCTGCTGCGCTTTGAGCGGGATGGCTCTGTCGCCCTCGCAGAGGAGGTAGGTGGCCGGCACATCGCGGTACGCCTCGTAAGTAAGCGGCGTAAAAAAAGTAGGTTTCGCATGGTACTGGATAGCAGCAGCAGCACGGACAGCAGACTCGGGGTCGAGGTCGGCATAGAATTTCGAGACGGGATCAGTCATGATAGCTTTGTTGCCCTATATACAAGCAAGTCAGAGAGGTACCAAACACGAACAACCCCACCCCCAGGAATGGCCACTAAATGACGGGGGTTAAAAAAAAAAAAAAAAAAAAAAAAAAAACAAACTCACCTCAAACACAATCACATTCCCCACACCCCCAAGGAAAGAATCCACCGTCTGTCCCGCGCGCAACATAAACCCCGAAACATACACCAGCGCAACAACGCCGCCTGGCTTTCCCTGTGCAGCGAGATCGCGCCGCGCCAGTCCCCTCACACTCTCGGACCCGGCCACCCCGCTGTACGAGTGCAGCGCCAGCACCACCTCCTTGCCCTGGGCGACGAGGTCGGCCAGCAGCGTGTCTCGGATATACGCCGCGTCGTCGGCGACTGTCGTTGAGGTCGGCCCGCCTGATGATAGCAGGGTCAGCGTGTGCGCTGGGTAGCCTTGTGCTCGCAGTAGAGCGGCCACGGGCTCGTAGGTGCTGGCTTGGTGCCAGGCGCCTGGGATGAGGATGATAGTGGGGTTTTCGGGCTGGGTCATTTCTCTTGTGTTGATGTGGAGATGGGAATAAGCCGGGCGCAGGAAGAATTGATGTAAAGCAAGGAAGCGAGAATAGGGTTTGGAAAGGGTATGTGATCCTCGTGTGACTTGGGTCCATCACTTTGAAGATCATTCCTCTACTCTGCCTCGGATGAGGGGGGGACCCGCGCCGATCTGATGCGCACGCATCAGGTAGACAGACTTTGGGGCCAAGAATCGATGGGGTCAGCCAACCTGGGATATTCGCAGGGCGCGCGGAGATTCCCGTTCAATTTGCGGTGATCGCAGGGGCTTGCAGATGGCCCCCAAAACCCTAACTGGCAGAGCATCAGGGTTCAGTCTGACATCTTTTTGACGCCAGAATGCTGGTGCTTGATTCCTTTTCAATTGACTCTTCCCCCCCCTTTTTTTTTCTCGGAGTGATTTCATTTCTGTTTTATTTCCCTTACTTCGGACATCATACCTCTAGAATGTGAAAACTAAACTACTCCGCCCTCCCTACGTCCAATTCTCGACAGGATGCCGTTGCGAGGACAGCAGCCGCGCATGTTGGCGGTGTCGATTGTGCTGATAACGATTGCGACGTTGTCGGCCGTGCTGCGACTTCTGTCACGCCGGGTCGTGCATGTGGGCCTCTGGTGGGACGATTGGTGCAGTCTGGTGGCTTTGGTAGGACTCTACTTGGAGAGTATACTTGGTCGGGACGAATCCATATCTGACGGTGTGATCAGGCTTTATCGTATGCGCTGAATATTGTCCAGTTTGTGAGTAAGTGTCAACCATCATATACATGTGGGAGGTTGGAGTATGAGTTTATAGTCATAACGAACAGGCATCCACTGTGGACTGGGCCAGCACACCCTCGACGTCCCGGACCCGAAAGGTGCCATGGGCTGTTTTCTAAAGGTAAGTTCTATATTCCACTTAGTTGCCCTCCCCCCCCCCCCCCACGATACAATTTGTTCTTACACAAAATAACCATCCAGGGCTTATACATCATCGAACCCTTCTACATCGTCTGCATGACCAGCATCAAAACAACCATGGTCCTCCTCTACTGGCGCCTTTTCAACACCAGCACCTCCATGCGCTGGGCACTCTTCTTAGCTGTGGGCATGCTGGTCGTCTGGACCATTTGCGCACTGTTCATCGGCCTCTTCCAGTGCACCCCCGTCGCGCGATACTGGGATAAGGAATTGCCGGGTCACTGTCTCAACGGATTGCTCTATTTCCGGGCTATTGCGGGCACGAATCTCGTCACGGATATCTACATCTTGGTTCTGCCGCTGCCGATTGTTTGGAGGCTGCATCGGCCGATGCGGGAGAAGTTGGCGTTGATGCTGATTTTTGCTCTGGGGACGTTGTAAGTACTTCTGCTTCTGCTTCTCACTAACGGTGGCTAACTGTTTCACAAGCGTCTCCCTCGTCAGTATCGTCCGCATCGTCCTCCTCACCTCCCCGGACGACCCCGATCCACTATGTAAGTCTAAATAAACATCTCGACATAATCCCTTTCTTCCTTCCTCCCTAAACCAGACTAAAATAACCATGTCTTACAGACGACTCAACCCCCGGCACAATCTGGACAGCCGTCGAAACCAGCATCGGCGTCGTAAGCGTCAACCTCCCCGCCACAGCGCCCCTCCTACGGCGCTACATCCTACGCCGTCCCATCCCGGCACCAACAACATCCGCAACAGCGAAAACCGCCGGTTTCCACACCTACGCCGCGACCAACAACAACAGCAGCAGCAGCAGTAAACCCTCGTATCCACCACCAAACAGGCAAAGAAGCGCCGGCAATGATCCTGCCGCCACGGTGCCCGGGCGGCAGGACTCGCTGGCGAGTCTGCGGCCGTTTGGTGGCGATGGGTCCGGGGTGAGTACAAGCTCGCAGCAGCATATCTTGGCGCCAGGTGAGGTTGAGCATGGGGGTATTGAGTTGGGGGATTGGATGAGTTCTTCGGGGCAATCATATCCTGCTGAGTCTGGACGGAGGTGTGACTAGGTGTTTTAGGTCTTTTGATATTCATTATATTGCATTATAGGTGTTGATGAAGTCGATATGTTGAGTTACGGTTGATGCGCTACGTGTTATGAACAGAATGGGCAAGTCTTGAACGATGGTTGATGCCATCAGTAGTTCTATGCTATTGTACGTCACACATAACCCACGTATTGGGAGTCAAGAGAAACAAACAAGAGTCGGCGAGTGCAACGAGGGAGGGGGGAAAGGAACGCAAAGGCGGACACTGGCGCCGGGAGAAGGCAAGGATGGAGATGGCGGGAACACGAGAAACACAAAAACAAAAGCAAGAGCAATAATAAGAAATTCTATGGGCTCCCTCACGCAGTCAGGCCGCTCTGGTCCGACTCCCCGTTGATGCCGGAGGGTATCGGAGCGCTAAGACCAAATGATTCCTCTGTGTTTTTTTTTTTTTTTTTTTTTTTCATCCGCCGATTTAGAGACCACCGCACATGGTCTCGACGATGATACCGGTGATCTGGTAAGGATCGGCGTTGGACGCTGGGCGACGGTCCTCGAAGTAGCCCTTGCCATCCTTGGCGACCTGACGAGGGATACGGATACTGCCACCACGGTCGGCAACACCGTACGAGAACTTGTCGATGCTGCCAGTCTCATGGCGACCGGTGAGACGCTCTTCGTTGCCCTCACCGTAGACGGCAATGTGCTCAACGTGACGAGCTTCGAGCTTCTTCATGGCGGCCTCAATCGTCTTCATGCCACCTTCGGCACGAGTTGAGGCAGTGGAAACGTTGGTGTGCAGACCGGCGCCGTTCCACTCACCCTTGATGGGCTTGGGCTCGAACGAGATGCGAACACCGAACTCTTCGGCGACACGGTGGAGGAGGAAGCGGGACATCCAGAGGTGGTCACCCACTAATAAACCAGTCAGTCTCGATTCGTCTCTTGATCATAAATAATCATGTCACAACTTACTGTCGATACCCGGGCAAGGGCCGACCTGGTACTCCCACTGAGAGGGCATGACTTCGGCGTTGATACCGGAGATGTTGATGCCAGCGTACAGACAAGCGCGGTAGTGGGCCTCGACGATATCACGGCAGTAAACCTTACCGGTACCAACACCACAGTAGTAAGGGCCCTGGGCACCGGGGAAACCACCACGGGGCCAGCCATACGGCCAGCCATCAGTGCCGAGGAGGGTGTATTCCTGCTCCAGACCGAACCAGAACTCCTCCTTGGCGTTGGTCTCCATCAGACGGTTGGCGTCATGGCGGAAGTTGTACTTGTTGGGGCTGCCATCGGAGTCCCAGGTCTCGCAGAGAACAAGGATGTTGTCACCCTGGCGGAAGGGGTCGGGGAAGATCGCGACGGGGCGCAGGTAGACGTCCGAGTTGTCACCGGGGGCTTGCGCGGTCGAGGAGCCATCGAAGTTCCATTCGGGGAGCTCGTCCACGCTCTTGATGGGCTTGGACAGGGTCTGCGAACATCCCAAGATGGGTTAGCCAAGCTCGGAACATTCATGAAACCGGTCCACAAAAAGCCCCTCCTCACGTGATGCGGATGGTTGCAGGTGTCTCGTGTCAGAATCCCCGGGCACAGGGCTTATCAAGTCCCAGGGGGGGGGGTTCGAGATAAGAGCCACACAGAACACACAACCGTTGAACCAACCCATCCAGGAGAGACCAAAAGTGACCATGGGAGAAGCAGGGCACTGAAATGACTCAAAACGTACCTTGGTCTTGGATCGGGTGCCACCGACAGCGTCGATCCAGATGTACTCGGCCTGAATGCGACCACGCTGGTCAAGGGACATGTACTTCATGAGCTGTCGACCGCCATGTCAAGTCAGTATGTGTATTTCCTCTCTGGCTCAGCGGCCATTGTGGAAATCCAATGCATCGAAGATCAAACGCACATTCTCCGTGTTGGAGACGACAGTTGAATCAGAAGCCTGTCGAGGAAGATAAGAGTCAGTATGAGATCGAGAGTTGAGTAGATCATCACTTTTCACAGGGAATGACAACGTACCATAATGAATGATTATGGGAGTGTGACTGATTAGACAGGAGTCTGACTTGCAAGTAAAAGTGGACTTTTGGAGTCGTGGAAGATCCCGAGGGATAACAGAAACAATACAATCTCAAGAGAGAGAAGAAAGCAAAGACTGAAAAACACGAAATGGATGAAAATCCAAAGAGCGAGAGAGGAGGGTTTTGAAGATGGGAAGATGGTGGGGGGGGGAAAGAGAGGGATGATAAAGATTTAAATTTAGTGAGTCTTTTTTTGGCGGTATTACCGGTATGGTAATTTACTGGTACTGCCTGATACACCCTGCACCCGGCACACTGTGTACTTGGTACTTTCTACTTCGTGTCTCTCCATTCATTCCGAAACCGGGTCGTTGGGGAAACAAAAGAATTGAGGACTATTATTTTATATACTTGTTCTGATTTGCTATATTTATGCCGCTCATTCTGGTATGGCGGCATACCTAATTTCCTGATTTTCAAGACTCGAACTCTGCGGTTTTCCATAGCCGAGGAGACCGCCTGGGAGCCGCCACTCGACCCGTGTCATCATCGTCGCATCATAGCCGTCGACAAGCCGTTTCTCGCCGAGATTCTCATTGATTCCCCGCAAAGATGCCTGTCATTCTCTTGACCAAAACTACTGTATACTTCTTTCTCATTTTCCCAGAGGTTAGTACGTACTGTATAATGTACTGTACTAGATCCATGTCAGGCGATTGTGTATCTTCCATGGTAATCATATCCATACGAAATTCCCGCCACTTCGCTCTTTGATAACCCGGGTGAGACCCAATCAGCATACAGGCCTTGTAATGGGGCCCAGGAATATGAGCAATCGCTTTGTTCCCGTTGGGCCGATAACACACGGGGCCTCACTGCCAAAGAGCCCTGTGTGCCTGCTTTATCGTGTCCGCGCTAGTCGACGGCTATAGACTCGTTTTTCCCCAGCCTGTCCCAACCCCGCGTGTTGAGTGGCGGTTTACTTTTTACTTTGGCGGGTGACTCTCCCAAAGAAGTTGCGTGATATCCAGTTTCCTCGAATTGGTCACAATGCTGACTTTCTCTATGATATCTAAGATATAGATTGCTAATTCCACTTAGCAACCAGTCCTAGAACCCCTCTACCTGCAAGGGCCAAGGATCTACCAAGGTGCATGTGACAAAACCGAATCCATAAGAAAAGACGCATGGGAAAAGAAGTGGGTATTTTCTGCGGACTTTTTGTTGAAGTTCTCGCGCGCTTGGAGGCTACACATTTCTGATCGAGCACCCATGTGGTTGCGAAGTAGATCTATGAATCGCCATCCGCGCTATTCGCGCCCTTCGTTATCAGTACTAGCCGCACCACTAAGCACGCCACCGCGTGGCTATACAGTGTCCAGATTACTGTTGGTCATGCAAGGACCCTGCTATATGGATAGAAATAGAAACATGATTATCCAGACTATGTTCCTGCAGCGAGTCTAAGAATATGCTGTCAAAACTATGTGAGATAGTAAAGCCCGCCCTTCGTCCGATACTTGTTATACTTGAAATATGTCTTATCTACTCTTGAAATAAGAAAAGACCTTTATACTGGTAGGTCATAGTTGCTCCATCGAATTTCCATATCTAGAGCCTGGATTTATTTTCGTCTTACAGGCAGTGTGAGCAAGCAATGACAGACCTCCTGGTATCTTATCCTAAATCTACTGGACTATACTAAGGTGCCGATGCCTCCACAAATTTCAAGAAATCGACATGTCAATTATGTTCAAGAATGTCATTGCACATTCAACATTCAATATCTTTCAAATCCAAAAGTGGTAGCAGTGAGACTTACTACTATCCCTTATTAAATTCAATCTGGCTGATATCTGAACAGTTTATATCTATGTAAAATACGCATCCATCCTCAGGATAACTGATGTATATATACTCTATATTCTATTCTAAAATTATACATGGACATACAGGAATACATACAGTACAGAGCCGGTTGACCGGTATAGATACACGGCCAGGACGATCCCCATATCAACCAGCCACTCCGATCGATTCGGAAGTGGAGCGTGGCAAAACGTTCTGGAAACCGCCAATCACGCCGCCAGCCAAGGCATCGCCCCGACACCGGCCATGGATTGCGCGAGAAATTTAGTGTATTTTTGTATTGTGGTGTATGTAATTTATTGAGTCACGGGTCGCTCAAGGTTTTTTTTTTTTCTTTGTTCTTTCAATTTTCCGTTTGCTTTATGTCAGGATCCCGCGTTAAGCAGTTCTTTTTCTCCTTTCTTTTTCTTTAGAAATAACCAAGAGAGGCGAGACAAGGATTCTGAGATATTCCCTAGAAAGAAACTATTTCTAGAGACCATATAGACCGTACCATAAAAGTGGCGACAGATCCCCCGTATTTTTCCTCTCGATAGTCGGGCGTTTCAGGGCGAGATCAGTGGCTGAGGGTGATTCCCGATCTTCAGCCCTGTCTAAGAATAATCCTTGCATGCTCCGAGGAACGCGGGAGAATTTGGACTCCAGCGTGGCAGAGATGCCTGGAGTAATAATAGCCTTGAACAGTTCAAATACATATATCATGTTCTACTTGAAGGACAAGAATAGTACAGAGTGAGACAATGATTCAGAAGTCAGGTCTGTTTTCTCCTTACACCTTCCGATTGTAGGTATCTACAACACTGTAAATAGATCTAAGCCCCTTCTGTATACTGTATATACATACCTCAGTCGACTGTACACTGCAGGTGTAGTGCTTCAATATGCTCCCATCACAACAGTCGCAATGGTAATACTCGTTATTTCGCGCTCCAGAAGGCCCCAGCATCGATCGACAGTCCACCCATTTCTTATCAGCTTGTGCTTATTGGCCCATCGTGCCGGTGACAAACCACGCTGACTATCAAATATCTCGAATTTACATAGCATTTACATAGGGCCGGGAGGGATTATATTGCAGGTGGTGAATAGTAGAACTCACCTGGAATGGTCAGCAGATCATCAGAGGCCAGACCGCGACAGACAAAGAAAACATGCATATTATAGCATGTATGTATGAGGCCTTTTTTTTTGTTACAGCTTCAAAATGCCTCACCGGAATGTGGGAAAAAGAAGACATAAAAAAAAAGAGGGGCAGATTCCTTTTTTTTTCTCTCTGTTTTCTGCCCCCTTTTAGACCTTGATAAACTTGATAAACTCGATAGCTTGATAACGGGCAAAATCCTGCCAGCATCTTAGTGAGCTTAGTGCTGAGTAGCTAACATAAAAGCCGCAGGCAATCTTAATGGATTTGTGATAAATAGGTGTGGGGATGAGGCCAACTCGTTCGCTTGATAGTAAGTGCCTCATTATTATTACATTATTGCGAATCCGCCTTACTGGCTCGGTAAATAACTCGAGGGATTTTTTTTTTTTTTTTCTTTTCTTTTTATTGTTCTTCCTTTTTTCGAAAGACATGTATGTGCCTCGCCCTGGATCGAGGTATTGCAATATATGCCTCATACAACTGAAATCTCTGGCACTGATCCGCTGGATTGCATACGTGGTTTGGTATACCGCGTCTACAAAGGGCATGGCTGGACACATCACTGATCCCCACACTAACAAGGCTTATCTGATCGCCTGCTCTATAGCCTCGTTAGCCGGGAGGGTTATCTATTATGTACTGGCCAATCTACTGTTCAGTGTCTGGATATATGTCTGGTCTATATTTAATCTTGTAGAAGTTGAGACGCACCGTCTTCGCTGGAGCCGCCCTCATCGAATTCATTACTAGAAAGTATCTCCGCAAGAGATATATCGAAATTGCATCGGCCAGGGGAGGAACACTACCTGAATCGGGTCGCAGGGGAATGTAGCCTACTGAGTCGGCGCTGCGTATACGGAGACTTCTGAAGGAACATGCCGTTGCTGGTATTGGTTTAGCGCACGTAGAACCGCAACCATCACCAGGCATAGCAGGGTAACAGGATACTGGGACCAATACGTAGTCGCATCTCGCAGCGTTGATCGCGCCAGTTATGAGATAGGCAGCGGAGAACCTGTTGGTATGCCTGCCATTAAGCATCCCCCATGACATTGGCATAACCGCAGGTCTCAATTTCACCCACTGCCAGTCTGCTGTCGCAGCAAGCGAAGGACCCACTCGACCACGACACCCAAGTCCTGCGACACCTCCAGGACCCGAGCGATCTTCTTCTGGGAGTCCTGCACGCTCGGGCTAGAGTTATCCATCCTCTGCATCTCCGTGTCGCCGCTGTCCCCAGTGTCATCGCCAAACAGCCCTGTAGTTCTCGCCACCGAGATGCGACCATTCAATCCAATCTCAAAGCATATCGAGATCTCTCTGGGCTCAGACATCGAATTATCAGATGAGGTGCCTTCGGATTTGTGATCTGGGGGCGTGATAAATAGCATCAGAGCAGGTGGCTGTCCGAGTTGACTGCGCAATGTCACGTCCACTTTCACGTCATCCGTGGTATTTTCGATAATACTGGGCTCGAATGTTTCATTCAGGAAAATATCCAGTTGGTCTTCGTTGGGGTTATCGTTGCTCAAAATAACTAGGCCGTCTTGGTCACCAAAACCGCCGGAAGCCTGACTGGGCGAAGCAAGAGAGCTCGCGGGGGTTGCTTGAGCAGGCTTCTGTTTGTTATCTTCAGCCTTCGCTGGAGGTAGGAAGATCTTCCGGATTAAACTGGCCAAAAGAGCATATTGGCGGAGGATCTAAGTAGAGTCAGTACTCAATAACAATAATAAACAACAAATCGTGTGCAATACATACTGGAAGAATATCTGCGAGCTGTCGAGGGTGTGAGATTGGGAGATCGCGGATTGTGCGGCCAGTGACAGACTCGAACGCTTGAAAGTCGTAGTGGTGATGCTTCGTATATGGCTCGCCTTTCGGGTCAAACGCATGCACTGACATCCGGCGCTTCCTCCGACCAAGTTGGGGCGATGCCTCTGGGGACAGCAATGGCGATGATTCCGACACCAGCAACCCCTCGTATGTGACCATTTTGAATTCCTGCGGCAACTGCATGCCTATATGCCGATAAATCTCCGAGGCTGCGAGAATGGGAACGTCTAGGGCAGGCTCAAGCTTGGCAACGAAGCGACGATTAGGAGAGGATGACTCTAACATGCTCGAGTCGAGAGCCATAGGATCAGGGTGGTTACCATGGCTCAGCCGCATGGTCTGGGGAGGATCAAGCCAATTCACGGATCCCGATGCACTTGTTGAGGGCGATGACTCGTTGTTATCCGCGGCGAAGGCTTCATTGCCTACCCATTCTTTGGAAATGCGGAGCGAGGGGTATCCCTCTTCACATTCGAGCATAACGCTCCACACTCGATGCTGGTCATCCACCTCTTCTGCAACTTGTGATTGTGCCTGATCAATCATCATAGCATCGGGGGAAGGTTGTTCTTGCTTTGCATCTAGGATCTTGGCTTGCTCAATCCAATACTCTAGGCCAAGTCCGATCCGCGTACCCTTGTGCATACTGGGTCGACCGATGACACCCGTGCAAAGGTGTTCATAAACACCGCCGTGCTTTCCATTCTTCCCTTCTTCCGTCCAAATGCGCTGGAAATTCTCCTCTAGACCTTCCAGCGCTTCAAAGCAATTGACTTCTTGGCTGAGCTTATCAAGCTTTGCAAGCCACTGCAGGTTTTCGTAAAAGCCTTGAAGAGATCTCCATTTGCCATGCTCGGCATCCTGCGGGAACTGGGCCAGGTTGCGCTTCAAGACCGCCGTTGCTTCTTCCCGACGCTCGCCCTCTGTAAATTCAGGAGTCGCATATCGTAGGCTGACATCCTTGACAACATCATGCCCGGCGTGGAATTCGATCTCCAGATCAACAAAATTCCCCGCAATGTTGATGTTGTCTTCCTGCCAGATCGATTCGAACCCTTCGAGTCGGCTGAGTCGTTCGATTCCCTCCCGGGACACGCCTCTGCCAGCAACCCGTGCGCGAAGACACTGGACCACTTCCTGGATGCGGTGTTTTTGCTCCTCGTCGCTATCCCGCGCAACGCCCAGCTTGAGGCCCTGCATGCCCAAGTTCTGGATGTCGTTTTCGTTCATGCCCGCACCGACAAGCCCGTCGTGGACCGCAGGAGAAGGGCTAATCCCAGTATAGCCGCCCAGAGCGAGCAATGCCGAAGGCGAGCTGAAATTGACCGGGTCGTCGACACCACTTGTTGCAGCGAGTGGTGTGGCATATTGGTGCGAGGTGTTGGCCTGGGGTACATGGCCATGCCCTGATGCAGAAGGTGTTCTCGTGGATGGTGATTTATGAGCAAAAGACCGAGAGAGAGGCGCCGAGGACGGGTGCGGAGAGGAGGTGAGATGGGTGGGTGTGGTGCCAGGTTTGGCCGAAGGAGTCGCCATTTTTTAAGCACGAAGTGGGCTCAATGTAGCGATGAAAAAATTGAATTAAAAAGACAGTTGTAGCAAATTCGCTTTTCGAAGGGGGTATCATGGGGAAAAAAATCGCGGGGAAATATGGAATTACAACGGGGTATCGAATGCGCAACTCGGAGATCACCATGCGCGCTAATGCTGGGTTCAAGAGGCAGTCATCAATGGAATATGCAGATCAGAAACCATGGCACATCTGGGGCCTCCTCGTTCTCCTCGCAATGGCAATTGACATGCGCAGATGGTTGCCAGCAACAGAAGTGGCTTCGTCCAGAAAGATCACAGAGATCACGTGGATTTGTGCAGTTTGTCTGCGCATCGTCATAGCCCGCCTCCCACACCGCCTGCCTTGTGTCGCTTGCAATGATCGAATTCTTGGGCGCAAAGCTCATGGAGTTCTTCACTTAATTGCAGGTTTTGCTTTCATTGAATCGGCCCCGAAATCTTGAAGCTCTACAATGTTTGCAACACGAGCCATTAGCCGGCAGGCCCTGGGCTTCTCAAGGTGGACCCAAGTCCGTGGCGTGTCGACATTGGAAGGAAGCCCGTACATAGTACGTTGATCAACCCCGGAGAAGACCTTGGAAGACAAATACTAATACTGAGATAGTACGTGTTTCCTAGTAATGGCCCTAGGAGCGGAAACCACATTTTGTCATTACTACCTTCCGAGCCAGTCAACCCAGACCTATCCATCGGCGTGTCGAGCAAGCTGCCGCCAACAACGGACTCGTTCACGGAGAACCCCAAATTCCTCAACATCTTGCAGGAGGTCTGTTCTGAACATGCGCATGAAGACCCGGATGCACAATCTCAAGCGCAGGTTATGGTATCTACGTCCGGGGCAAACCTTAGTTCTGGCGGTGTCCTCTTGACCGGGCAACGAGGTAGGAGACGACGCGCAGAGAGCGGAGATTCCAGTGGTGGAGCGAGTGGTCAAGGTGGAGCAGGATCTGGTGGTCGAGGCGGTTGGATTCATATCTCGGACTCGAGACGGCCTCCTGAGTATGGGAGGATTGCATGGTAATGCGTTTTAACTTGTCCCTGACAGGCAGAGGTATCGCTGACAATTGCCACAGGCCGGAGGATATTTTTGGTAGCCTCGAGGTTGATGGGAGTGGTCAGTTTACGGGTGGTGATGGCAACTATCAGTCAAGTGGTATGGATCTTGCAGACATCTTTGTGCCAATTGGAACAGAACTAACTTGCAGCAGGTACTTATCGGATTGTGACCCGAGATGGAATGTATGCTCTCTTATCAACCGAGAATCTGAAAATGGATTGCTGCTAACCTGATGATATAGTTTGGGACTGAGTCCGTTCCTTCGTGAAAAGCTGGTTCAAAAGCTTCGAGGTTTGGAGAAGAACTGATCTTCTCAGGCGAAGCCCTAGGAATCACTCGAATATTGAGAGGGCCTTATCAATCTTCATCAATCTAGGATGTAAAGGAGTTATTAAATATTAACGCCACTATACTCTTGTTCAGTTGTTTCGGAGGCTTACTCTTAAGAATATACTGGAAAATATGGTAGAATTCTGATGTGATTAGACAGACATCAATTGAGTCTAGACATTAGAAAGAAATCTAAAATTTTGGGGAATATAACCCAGGCCCCGAATTTTAGCACAAACCCATAAGCACCAACCAAAACACCAGACCAGATATCCAATACCCAATGATATAAAACCGAAAAGCAGTAACTCCAAGATATCACAAAATTGAAAACACAAACACGCAGAATCAACACAAAAATCAACACAATACAGCCTCGAGGGCATCGACATCGCCGCCGGCGGTGCGCACGGCCTTCAATGCGGCCTCACTCAATTTGCGGCGGCGGTCGCGGGCCTCCTGCTCGCGACGAGCTTTTGTCTTGGAGCTGCCGGAGGGGGCAACACCAGTCAAGATTCTCTTGCTGTCATCGGCAGTGAAGTTCACAAACGATACATTGACAGACTTATTGGAGCCACGAGGACTTCCCGATGACTTGGCCGGTTTGGGGCCAGTCGATCCCGGAGCCGAGAGTTTGCGGCTATGGGTGCGGCGGTGGTTGGCCTTGGAGGCAACTCCATTCCGGGCGTCCCTCGGAGAAGTGCCGGCCTTGGGGGAGAGAGATGGGGAGCGGGAAGAGTGTTGGACTTGGGGGGTAGCGAACGGAGCCATGAACTTTTGCGAGTTCGCGGGGAGCATGTTGGATGAGGAGAAGGAGGAGTCCGCCGACATGTCAAAGGAGGGGTCAAACTGGATCATCAGTCCGCCTTGCATCACGTCATTTTGGGTTCCGACGTTGGACATGGAGCGCTGTGGTGTGGGCGATGTGACAATCGATTGGTAGGGGGTCTGTGGTTGGGCGACCCGAGAAGGCATAGGCGACCACCATGCCTGCGCATCGTGGCCTTGGAGATCGGGAGTGAAGGAGAGAGATGAGGTGCCCAGAGCGTCGGATTGCCATGAGGAAATGGATTGAGGGTTCGAGGAATGAGAGGAAGAGAAGATGTCATCTGCGGAGGGAGGGCTGGAATTCGTCAAGTTTGAGGAGCTCGGGTGGCTCAAATATGGTTGCTGATGTTGGGCGATTGTGCCGGTAGATGGTGACGGCATCGACATGGCAGGGGACTGGTGGAAGAGCCTCGCATCATACTGGGGAGGCATCTCAGCCGAGTCTCGGTGCTGGTGCATGGTGTGGTTGGCGGTCATGTTCTCTTGCTGGACGAGAACATCCGATGGGGGTGGTGACAATGGGAGGCGGTCTTCTGAGCCGTGCAGATTGAAGTGTTGAATCCGCTGGGCCCAAGCCTCGGGATATGCCATTTTTCCTTTCTGGAGGTTGGCAGAGCGCTTGAAGGTGGGAGAGAAGCTTTGCTTGCGCAAGAACGCAAGACGCTCATTCGGATCGCGATGGCGAATAGATTTTGGGGTGACAATGGCGCTTTTAGTCGCCTTCCGTCGGGGAGTAGCCGGGGAGTGGACGGGGAGGTAGAAGACACTCCGTTTGGCGCACGAGAAGAGCATTCAAAGTTATTCAGACCGAGGTCTGAGATGACAGAAGGATGAACAGTGTCATGGAAAGCAAGCTGGTTGGTAGAAGCTTCGTCTTCCTGCCAGGGTTGCGGTGATTGACGGGGTTTCGAGGTGGAGACAATGGGTGAAAGATCGCCACAGTCACTCGACAAGGCATCAAGCGGGAAAAGCTGGTCCAAGTCGCCGGAGAACGACGGGTCTTTGTTGCCATCGGGCCCAGAGGAGTCCATGTTGACGTATTGGTTGAAGATGTCATTGAACGAATGATCAAATGGCTGAGCGAACATCTTTGTAGGAGGTACTTCCGTTTGCGGCGACAATGAATGAACGGGTCAAAGGATCTGAGCAAAATGCCCAAGAAAGACCAATGTGATTGGTGACCACAGAGGATCGGGTTACAGATAGGGCTCGGTGGAGACCGGGGAGATCGTCGGTGCAAAAGATGCAAAGAAAGGAAACAAGTTTGACGGTTTGTCAATCAACGAAAACACTGCAGAGGATGCAAAGAAAGCAAAGCAAACAAACAGATCCAGAGGTCTATTTGAATTGCCTCCGAGGTCTCCAGCCCCGGGAATTTCTTGTACATTCCTGATGCTCTAAAGATGGAGCGAGGAATGCGCGGGGAGATCCCCGGTTGGCTCTGGCACTGATCCACCCATTCTTCGAAGGAACGACTGAAGACTCGTCAGAGCGGATCGGCCAATTGAACGGCCAAGAAAAAGAAGTCGATGACTGATCTGCGGGTATGGGTCCATCTCCATCGATATCCCGTTCCGGATAGCCACCGGGGAGAATGCAACCCTCCCTGACTCCGCTAGAAACGGCGGCCCATGAATCAGGTGAGCAGGTATAGCGGGTCTCAAAGGCACCTCAGGCATTTCAAATCAAGACGCTGCGTGGGAGATCGACATATCTCCGGCGAACAAACGGCTCTAGGGCCGTTGGATATGGGTCGGAACGCCTGCCGAGCCATCAAAGATTAGCCAAGGAACCAGGACAGGGATCTCGAGGCGTCGTCGTCGATGTAACATGAGCCTGGACGGTAGCTCTTGCAGCAATTTGACTGAGTCACTTCTTCCTTCTCATTTGCCTCATCTGGATCTTGTCCAATGCATGGCCCCTGCGCATTCCTCTGGAATGTGGAATGGCATGCTGGGGGCTGGGTGGTATGTCACCCTCCTCGAACAATGCACCGAAAAGTCTTTGGGATTCCAGAAGGACAGATCTGCCTGAGAAACTCCCAAACCGAGTACGGCGTGAAATAGACAAAACTGGGACCTGCAGAAGATCGTCGGTCAACGATTTTTGGTGTCCTGGATCTGACCCTTTGTTCTATATTTGGATTGCATCTCTCACGCCCAGGGTGGTCAAGAGTGGTCAAAGCCAAGTCCCCATCGACTGTATCACAATGCATGCCTGTCACCATGCGTGGAGGGATCCAGTCTGTTGCTCCTACTGGGTGAGTCCGAGGATCCTTGAGTCGAACCCTAGTTAGGATGAAGGGTGTTTAACCAATTGTGCCCAAGTAAGAATGATCAACTACTATTAGTAGCGACTTGATCGCACCCCCGTTCTTTGTTCGTATCGGGGACAGGCTGAAGCGCTGGTGCTGACCCTGGCACCCCTGACACAGCCACTGATATAGTCTAAGCTAGTGTAGAAATGCCATTCAGCCTTTTCCGAGTTCAAGAATCTGTGAAACTGGCTTGTCTGTACCTGGTTCATAAGCAGTTCATAAGAAACTACCTGGGCAAATCCCTGGTCTGGTCCAAGCCTCAAGATTGCCGAGGTTCGGAGAGAGGGCAGTGCCGAATTCCCAATTTAGAGCCCCGAGGAAGGCCAGAGGGACCCTTGCTTTGGGATACAAAGTAGGCATCTGAAGGCCTTTCGGCTGTGGGAATAACAAGGAATCCTGCCCAAGTTCCTTCTGTGCTGGCAGGGCTGAAATGAGCGTAAACACTCAGTCGGGTGTCGGGAGAAAATCGGCTGAGTCAGGATGACGGAAACTCGGTGAAGACCTCCATGACTCTCCCATTCAGCCAGTTCTATTGAGTCTTTATTCTGGATTGTTCTTGTTTTCTTTCTATTCTTCCTCTTTTCTATTGCTGTCCCAGCCTCCCCTTCTGACTTGTATAGTGCCTCAATAAGACTCGGCTTTCGCATTGTGCTCTCTCGGCTGTGACTCAACCCGGATTTTGCCCCTCCCCATCTCCCCGCGAAACGTGGGACTTCTTTTCTTCTCTTCCATTCTTCCTCACGTCTCTCATCTCTCACCACGACTTTGACATTTTCAGAGTCGCACTGCCCTGCGACATCTTGCGCTCTAAACATCGGGCGCTCCCTCACATTCCAGTTCCGTTTTCATCGCGTCGCGAGAACACCCAAGCCACCTCTCTTGCGACCGACCGGCACCTACATGCATCACGAAAAGGCCGGCAAACTCCGTATGATTTGTGACCAAGACCACTTTTCTTCCAACTCCTACATCAACCACACCCGATCGCAACTGTGCGCGCACCACATCGGAAAGAAGGGACGCCTCTCAACCTAAACCCACACATTCAAATTCACGCTCACAACATGTCTTCACTCTATCTTCTTGCTGGAAGCATTCCTGTCAAGTTCCCTTAAGTGATCCCAGATATGCGTCTCGGCCTCACCATGGACTTTTCTCCGTGTCTTGGAGGCCTTCATTTCATCTCGACTTACATCAACTAAACTCACTTCACATCGTTTCTCTTGAAATTTGTGAACCTAGCCCAGCAGTCTTTGGTGACTAGGTTCAACACCCCAAGGATTCTTTCGGTATCTTGCAGCCACTCAGTGTCCGAAACAGTGTTCACTGGCAACGTGGACCAACCAATCTTCAAAATGGACCCCAACGATGGTCCCCATGTGTCGTGGGAGTCTCTTTCATCAACCTTTTCCCATCTTGAGGTTTCTTTCTCGCAGGACAGTTGCTATGGCTCGGACGAAGTCTCAGTCGAGTCGGCTAGCTCGACCGCAGCGCAGTCGGGTGTTTCGAATTGTGTGACCAAGCACACAGATCCATCTCTGCACCCGTTCTTGAAATCGATCTTGAAGAAGCCGTGCACAAACGTTGAACATGACACGGCATCCGAGTCTGGCTATGGATCGGACGAAATCGAATCGGATTATGATGCCCTCTCTGACGAAGAAGAGGACGAGGACGAGGACGAAGACGAAGACGGTGATATGTCCGACTTCTCGGTCTGGGACGAGACATCACGAGATGTGCCTGAGACCCATGAAGATCATACCGAGTCCTTCGATGACTCCTTTATTTGTTTTGGTCCCGCGGTCCGATTCGATAACAGTGTGCACTACATCGACACCTCTGAGCTCGACGAAGACGAGAGTTCCGCTCCCCAAATGACCTGCCATGAAATGATGATGCGCGCCCGATTGTTTGGTGGCGCCAACAATATTTCGAACCAGCTAGACGAGACAGACAACGACTCCGACGAAGATGAAACCCGCCCCCAGGAATTTGTTCGGACTACCACGAACCAACCCGAAGACTTTGCGCGCGATGCGATTGACCTGGACCAGCGTCTTTTCGTCGCATACATGAATGGAATGCACGGGGTTGCCGACGACAAGTACAAACCATACCTTCGCACACAAGTGGATCACATTCGACTGGGCCACAAAGAAACCATGGATCCTAATGAAATGCCTTCCTTGTACCTCGACTTGGTCCTCAATCATGTCATCGGCCTCTTCCGCAACCTGGTCGCCGCAGACGAATTGAACGAGTTGATTGCACTGCGCGAGGAAGAACAGACCATCGAGCAGAAATCTGCGACCCTGGATTTGTCTCTTCACCAAGCGCTGCTGAACAAGATCGAGCAAGTCCTCCTGAGCAGACTGACTCATGGCCATGTCGATGTCCTCCCGGATGAGCTGTGCTTCTTTGCTGGTGGGATTGTGCACGCTTTGGGAACCCAGGACTTGCCCGCCCAAGCCTAAGGGCTATTCTTGCACATGGTATAATGTTATGATTTTATGATTATGAGAAAATGTTCTAGCTTTCGGATTCGCCACAGTTTAATGGCGACCGGGGGAAAAAAAGAAGGGGTTTCAAGCAAAAGCGTTCGGCTTCAACGGGCCTCAAGTGAACATGTATCTTCTTGCAAGTAGCACTTGATATTGCAATGGGTTAAGCATTCAGCAACCAGACTGAGAGCCATATACAAATGACCGTAGAGTATTCTACCCTGTAGTCTCCCAAGCACGACATGTCTTGGACTCTGCATAAAAAGAAAGAAGGGGATTTCGAGTCCATGTCTTCCCCCTATACTTTCCCTGAAGAATAGACTGTCTAGTTTCGGGACATTTATCAATAATATCCAAGACACGCACACGCACTATAGAGTAGACTAAGAGAGACTCGAATGCAAAATGATATTCTCAATTGAAACCAAATCGAGAACCTGACAGCTACCGGACTGTTTCAGAATCCCCCCTTCCCCTTCCCTTCTCCTAGTTTTCCTCTCTCTCTCTCTCTCTTTCCGTTACCCCTGACACCTATACATAAAGTACATACGTATACTCGGGCAGAAGATCAGAATCCTGAAACGGGACCAAAAAATTGGGTACTTTGTCAACTATGGGGTGCAGGAGCTCGCACTAGCGGGCGTTGGGCCGACGAGGAATTAATTGGCAGGTGTATCCTCCTGCATATAGTAGGGATTTGCTATAATAGACGTGGGAATGATAGACGAAGGGAAAACTGGAAGAAGAGCAGTGGAGAGAAGAGAGGAGAGAAGGCTGCTTCTAGGCTTAAGCGATGATCCTCGAGAAAAGTGTTTAATTAAGAGCGGCTAGGAGAAAGCGGAGACTTTTTACCCACAGCGGTCCGTTCGGGTGCTCAAAAAAAAGGGGCCGGGCAGCTGTCATGGCGAAGCCAAATATTGAGACAGGATGGGAGAATGGGAGAACGGGACAAACGGGTAAACAAACGAGGGAATTAAAACAATAAAATAAAATAATGGAATAGGGAGGGATTGAAGAAGGAAGGGCAAAAAGAAAAGTGGAGTATAAGGAGTGTCGAGGCGAGGAAAATATTCCTTCTAGAGTCGTGCAGGATGCAGCGCATTGTCGATCATGGGGCTGGTGCTGGTGTCGGGATAAACATGGGAAGATGGAGTCAACGGCTGCAAGAGTCTGTAAATATCGTGTGACTATCATTATTCGAGTTTAGCTGTATTTTTTTTTCTACTTCTTTTTTATTGTATAGATGTATGTATGTTCCTGCATAGAAGTGACAGGTCATCTCCATAGAAATGCATATGCGGTCGAGGCCGTTGTGATCGACAGGGAACAACGGCTCAGCGAGCACAGACAGGGACGGGATTTGCTTGGATGTCTCGAGCCTGGACTTGGGTTGATGCGGTGAAAGGATTAGTTTAGAGTAGACTAAAGAATGCAAGTATAGTCCATGCATCTACACCTCCTGTACTTGGTCCTGTTCATAGATCCATGGATGTACCCAACATAGTTATGTATGTCGACAAGATAGCTTCTCAATTCATTCGAGTATGCGGGTCTCGGCTTTTGGCGTCTCCGTAGCAGAGGAGTGGAGGGGGAGACATTTCTACAAGAGAAAGGAAAGAAAAAGGAAAAAGAAAGACAGTAATAATAGCGGTACAAGAATACCAAGGCTATCTAGCTCTGACCCTCGAAGTGCATGGTCCGACACTAGGCCGGCGGATTAGTCGACAACAAACCAGGTTTATGGCGATCATCCCCGCTAAAACACTCGGTGCAATGGTGCGACAAGACCGCAGTCGAGCCGAGAAGCAGGGGGGAGGGGTTAGGGTCAGAAGCTTAATGGAAATAGTTTCTTTAGGTCAAAGAAAGAAAGAAAGAAAGAAAGAAAGAAAATGCTGATCTTCAGTAAGCGAGTCGTTTTGAATCATCGTGCAGGTGCAGGATATACTTGTGGATCGGACCAATGTGGAGAGACCCCGATCAATAAATTATGCCCGGTGATATGGGGATATGATATATCGTAATCACACCAGCAACCATCGCAACATGTTGCTGTTGCCATGATTTGTGGTTCTACGAGGCTGTTTTCCGACTGAGTGTCGAGGATGCGTGTACATGCTGATAAGTTTATCCAGTTGAGAGTTAACATACCCGCTGACCGATTAAGATAAGGCAACCTTGAATCCTATTGGTACAACACATATGTGCGTAAGTGCATAGTGTGTATACTGTATAGTATGCATGGATGTACCCGGCCTCCTACCCCCTAGGTGAGATTGATGTGAGAGTCAGACTTATCAGACTTACGTAGTGTACTGTACCATGCGATGTCTGGTAATGACTTCATCTGAATCTTGCCACATGGAAGAATGGTCGCGCGATCAGCTGAACCTGGGAGACTAACCATGGAGTACCGTGGGAAATTGTAATCAGGGCCGTGAACCCGAGATCCTTTTCCGAAATCTCCATTCACCCCGAGGGTCCCAGCAAAAAAAAAAAAAAAAAAAAAAAAAAAAGAAAGACAAAATATTGTGGGATGTCCACCAAGTGGGATTCGGCGACACCGATGATTGGAGGTTCCAGAGTTGGATGCGGATAGGTTCAGATCGACGAACACCATCCGATCTTGACCCAGGGATGATTCGTCACATGGGGGATATGGTCAACGCTCATTTGCTTCGGGGAGGAATAAGGCTCCAGTTGGGGCTAGTGGGATACCGTGGTAACAAGTGACCAAGTGCGATGGGAGGGTCAGCCGTATGGGGGTGTCTGGGTATAGTGTTAGAATGTATGTAAGACCACCTCCAATTTGGACCGGGGAGATCACCCCGAGATGTCCAGTATTATTTTTATTCTTTTTTTGGGGGCCACGCCCCCTCAGGAATACGCCACTGCACGGGCGTGGGTTAGACGCGCATCCTGGTCGAAGAGCATCGCTGCCCCTGGAGCTGGAGGGGAAAAGAGAGGCTAATCCATGGAACGGAAGGGTGTGCTGAGGAACGAGGTTCAGCCAATGTAGTTGAGCCATTCAGCCGTCCATCAGAGCAGTCCCAGGGCTAGCAGAGCACTACTGGATGAGGTGCCCCGTGGATGTGGACCTTTCGTCCACTTGCTGTCTTTAAGGGGGGTTGCCCCAGACTTGGGCGTAAGTGGAAGACGTGGAAATCCGATGGAAATTCCAAAAAGAAAAAAAGAAAAAGAAAAAGGCCTCGCAAGATTGAAATAATGACTCGGGAACCAAATCAATAATACACCCAGGAGGGAAAAGTGTCAAAGACCGGGGGGGCGGATGGAGCCCACTCAGTCAGGCCATTGGAAGTGGTTGCCTAGTGGGGCCTGATGAGCGCACTTGCGTCGATCGTGAATATTTTTTTTTAAAAAAAAAGGAAAAAAAGGGGAAAAAAAAAAAAAAAAAGAGAGATTTCCCTGGATGGTTCTTGGATTTGATCCAAGTCTTTTTCTTTTTTCTCGTTTTCTCTTTATGTTCTTTCTATGTTCCAAGTAATCCAAGTATACTTTCAGTCAGGCACGAGATAACCAGATGTCTCAGCTCGTGTGCGCCCCAATGGAAGGAAGGGGCGGAAAGGTAATCCACCTGTATCTGTACACTACACTATACAGTAGATGTGCTTCTCCATAATTTACTCTTCGGTAGTCGACCCCGATCCAACGTGTCCCCACCTGCATATCCATGAAGAATAATTCTCCTGATTCTCTTCTCCTATTATTTTCCCACTTCACTCTTCCCCTGATCCCTACGTCTCAGGGAAATGACTTAGCTTCAAAACGGGTATGTTCGAAATCCTGCTAATTCTCCAAGTCTCAAGACTCCCAGGAGAAACGTCAGCCTTCGCATGCAGTACCACCTCCCTCTCAACTTTGCAATGTCAGCTTCCACAGCAGAAAATATCCGTGTCAGGCTGACCATCTCCGGAACGTGCAGGATGATTTAGAATTTTGATTTCTACCCGTCTTCCCGCTCCATCGAGGACGGGCACAACTAAATATTCCTCGGGGAGATCGTCCACCATGCAGCCCAGAGTATCCGATTTCCTCGAAGCCGGGGCGCCGTCCCGTTCGCGCAGTACCAGTCTCTCTAGTGACTCGCAACTCCCTCGAGTCAACCTCATGTCCCCGCCATCTGTCACGCCGCCGCCGGGGTTTATCTCGTCGACCGCCGCCTCGGAGATTATCACCGCCGATCAGGAGTTTAACGCCGCTGATTTTGTCGCCGAGGATGAAGAAACTGGTGGCGGTGCCAGCGCGCTGGTCACACCAGCTGCGCTGTCGCTATTGAATGGATTCCTTGACAATCTGTTGTTCAACATTTTGGGAGCTTCCAAGTCCACTCAGTTAACATGTATTCGTCCGGCTGTTGCGGACGTGCTGAAGCCACGGCTCGCCCGAGAAGTCGTCTCGGCCGCCGACGAGGAGCTGAGCGAGTATATGGGAGGCGCCGAGGACGAGCAGACCGACTTCCGGGGCGGCCAAGAGCCCGGCGGCGACTTTGATCTGGTTCGCTCGTGGAAATTGACTCGCCTGCGGTGCATGGTTTACACGCGCCTCGGTGACATGGAAGAAGACGACGAAGACGAGTTTATTGCGCTCGAGGGTTTGGGGGAAAGCGATGGCGCACCCCGCAGATTCTCTAGCCATGTCGACAACATCACTCCCGCCGCCGCCATCTTTCTCACCTCCATCATCGAATATATCGGCGAGCGAGCGCTCGTCATTGCCGGCGAGACTGCCCGGTCTCGGTTATCCGCGACTTTGAACGACGGCGATGGACTCGAAGAACTGGAAGAACAGCGCAGGCGAATCGAGCGACTGGTGGTAGAAGATCTCGATATGGAGAAGCTCGCTCTGAACGCAACCCTCGGTCGCTTGTGGCGCACATGGAGGAAGCGCAGACGCGGAGCCACCCTCAGTCGGTCCTTGTCTCGCGAGTCTTTTCGGCGGCGGGGATTTTCCCACAACCGTGCGAGCAGCAGGAAAAGCAGCATTACCACGATTGAGGAGCCCGTAACTCCTCAGGAGCCTCTTCCCATCGAGGTTCCAGCTCCGATTGATCCCACCACGGTCCCTCTGCCTATGACCGACTACGATGTTCAGGAGATTGAGATCCCCGGTTTCTCATCGGAGCTTGAGGGCGAAGTCCAAACAATGGAGGCCATCGTCGCCCACAAGGTGCGGCCACGCAGCTTGATGGTCTTCTCTTCCCCATCGATCGCGCCCAAGTCGACCGGGTCGAACAACAGCTCCCCGGTAAGCGCGTCAGTGGTTGACGAGGCGGTTTCGATTCGCCATGTTCGTTCGAGATCGCTGCCAAATTCCGCGTGTAGTCCAACAGAGGTAGCGCCCACCGAACCATCGCTGGAGCAGCCCTCTCCCACTGCGGAAGAGAAGAAGCAGCTGGAGACGATGTACGAGGACGACGAATCGGCCGAGTATGTGGACGCCGCCGAGACCGCACCCGGCATCGCTATCACCACTGCGCACGAGGAGCTGAACCCGCCTGTGGCCGAAACCCCTGAGAAAGCGAGAATGTCGGTGGTGCACGAAGTGGAAGAGGAAGCAGGTCCGGCAGTTAACGAGGCGGTCGCATCTCTGCGGTCTGCAGAACTTGAAAAGGACGCTGCGACCTATTACTCCAGCAGTGCCACTGTCTCGATTTCATCCATGAGTGATGTGCCAGACCACGACCCCGAAGTGATCGAGGGACAAGGGATGTGTGAGAAACCTACATTGACCTCGGCGCTCCAGCGACCCCGAAGAACCGTCAGCAGGGATATTGTCCAAGAAGATGCAAAGCCGATCACTGCAGAGACTAGTGAGTCCGAAATGCAGTCCGATGTGGAGATGCAGCCACCAACGCAAGGGATGGAGCCCACGCCGGCGCCATCCGCCGCCACCATCGAGGCTATCAATTCTTCCGAGGATCATGATGCCATTGATAGCGACCGGAATACATCTGCCATGTCGTCTACTCCTCCCATCCCGCCTACAAATGACGAGGCCATTTCCGGGACGCTTTCTGAACCCGTCTTTCTCCCCGAACCCCCCGACCGGATTCTACTTCAGGCGATAGTGAGCACTCGCAACGATCCCGAACTCGCCGCAGACCGAGTCCGTTAGTAGTCCCGTTCAGCAACCGCGGCTCTACTGGTACCGAACGAGCAGCCGTTCAGCGCATGCCCACCCGCCCATCGACCTCGGCGTGTTCTTCCATTCAGAGCAAACCCCGTCGCTCCGAGAGCTTCAGCAGCGCGCGCGACAAGCGTCCCGTGACTGCAGGCTCCACCACCTCCCAGGTGTCGAACAAATTGAAGGGACTCATGGGTCGGCCTCAAGGCGATTCTCCTTCGCTGCGTCTTCGGAGCTCGTCCGAAACGAGTCGTGCTTCAGGCGGTAGCGGGGACTCTCTTGAAAACGAGATCAGGGACTTGGACAAGTTGATCAACAGCGACGAGACTATCCATTACACTCTGACGCCAAAGAGTGTGAGGGAAATGACCGTAGGTTTTGCTTAGAATTCTTCGCGCATTTAGCAAAGCAGCAGAAACTAACGTTTCAAAATAGTTCCCTGATTTGCCTCGTCCCATCCCTCGCACCGAGACGACCGACACCTCGGACCTGGCTGATTTCCTGAAGAACACTGGCCCTGTCGACGAGCCGCCTCGACCTCGCACCTCTATCTCCTCGAGGGCAACCGGCGATCTGGGCTTAATCTCCCGTACCAAATCGACCGAGTCCTCCAGGCATATTCCCCTCACCCCCCGTGCTAGTATGCCAAAACTCAAGGCGGGGCAGGCCCGGGATGCCCGGCCGACTGGCGAGTCGACTCGGGAATTTGCAGAATTCATCAAGGCGACTGGGCCTACCAGTGCACCGTTCCAGCTCAAGAACTCTACTTCTACGGAGACTGCTCGGCCTGTTCGGCCTCCCTCGAGCCTTTCAACTACCTCGTCGCGTTTGAACCGGGCCCGCTTACAGGCTCGTCCCGCTGAGACTAAAGGTTCAGAAACATCTGACTTGATTGATTTCATTCGAGAAGGGCCTTCGCAGCCCGGGACCCACCGTATCCCTCGTACAGTTGCTCCTTTCCGAAACACGATCGACTCGGATGATCTTCAGTTCGAGTTGGCCCAGAGTGACAAGGGACCTACCGCGGGTAGCTCACTGGCGAGCTCCGGCCCTAACAAGTCTCTGACTTCCCTTGGCTCGCGAACTGCACTCCTGAATGGCCAATCTAAGGCTAATGGACTTGCCAGTGCGCAAGACGGCTCCGAACTTACTCGGAAGCAACGCCGAGTGCGGGACCCCTATGCCATTGATGACGATGACGACGAGCTATTGGCAGAGCTCATGGACGAGAAACCCAAGCGAGAGGAGGAAAGCCTGATGGATTTCCTGCGGAGTGCTCCGCCTCCCGACTTTGAGCAAACTGCCAAACCCCTGGCCGTGAACATTCCTCCCTCGACGAGTTCCAGCGGACCGTTAAGCCCGGCGGGCATGAAGGCCCGTTTCCTGCACAAGGGGCCTACCTCCAAGGTCTCCTTCAGTTCGCTGCGCTCGCAGACTTCGCCCGCAAACACGTCCCAGCCCCCGCCACCACCACCCCAATCCAATTACTCCTACAAGGTCGGTGTGGAACGGAATGCCGGTACTATGCCGGTCTCCTTTAACCGCCAAACCGAGACCAGTGCACTGGCCGACTTCCTTCGGAACACCGGGCCTCCGGAGCCCGTTTCGCGCGCATCCACCTCATCAGGCCCGATGAGCTCCAGGATGAAAGAGGGATCTTTGTCCCGCTTCTTCGTACGTCGAAAGAAGGTTGAGGCCTAAATAAGGCATTTTCCTTCACAAGATTCTCGACCGATGACATGCTTCGTTGAGCGTTTCCATGCCCATTTCCAGCCACATTTTAACGACCTCTTATATCATGTCCATCGTTCTATCGTTTTGAACTTTTTCTTTGATTTTGTGATTTTTACTTATTGAATTTCTTTCTCTCATCATTTGTATAGATTTCTTCTCATGCCCTTGGCATTTTTTTACTTTTTTTACTATTTTTTTGCGGCTACGACCTGGCGGCTTCTTCTTTGTCTTTTTTTTTTCCCTATACCTGCATTTTCTTCTCTTCTCTTTATTTATATTTTCTCTTCTTCATGCCAGCGCAATATTCGGTGGGACTGAATGATTACTATGGACCATTTGATTTGTGTTTTCAACTTGACTGGTACGTCTTGGGATTGCTTTTTGTTTCGCGAGATACCATGTTTGAAGTACTTGTGCCTGTATACAAAAGCCGTAACGCTCCGAAATTATAACCCGTTTTGAGATCATTCGAGTATAATTTTTTCGTACTGGAATTATCTGCAAGACAATAAGAACAAGAACATGAGTTGAGACCAGTAAATTGTAGTCCTCATCCTCCCGTTCCCATATAGTTGTGCTGCCCGGAACATCGTTGATCCAATCCCCCTTACAAGGTGGCATCACCAGCTCACACCCTGTTTACTATCGGCCCCCGATCCAATTCCCCTCCTCTCCCCTCCCCAAAAAACCATGGGTTCCTCTCTTTTCAATATGAGGTCTCTTATCGGCCTCTTGTTTTTGGTTGTCCAGCTGGCCTCTGCACTGAAATTCGAACTCCCTGCCTCGTCGGGCCACGGCAAGAACGAGCGATGCATCCGCAACTTCGTCGGCAAGGACCAGCTGGTTGTGGTCACTGCCATTGTTGGTGGTGAGAAGGGAGATGGCCAGAAGGTTAACATTCATGTAAGTGGTATTCCGGGGAATCAAATTTGAGAGGCGGAGAAAATGCACGAGGAAGCGAAGCCAGTTCGCGTCCGCAATCAATTTCCACAGTGGTAGTAGCCCAATTAAATACACGCAATGGCTAACTTCTTCCGCTTTGCTTTCTCCAGATCAAAGATGCCATGGGCAATGACCACGGCCGTCCCAGGGACGTCGTGGGTGAGATCCGCCAGGCGTTCACTTCGCCCGCCGACACCGCGTTCGATGTGTGTTTCGAGAACCAGCTCTCCGGTCACAGTAAGTTTGCGTCCCGGGAAGGACCACCAGGTCATACACACACATATACTTGGAAATTACGGTTACTCACCTCCATTCCTCTTCTCCAGATGCCGTTGCAAACCCCTTCCGCGCAGTCGAGCTCGATGTCGATATCGGTGCCGATGCCCGTGACTGGTCCAGCATCCAGGTCCAGGAGAAGCTCAAGCCTGTGGAGACGGACCTCCGCCGCATTGAGGAGATGGTTGCTGACGTTGTCTCGGAGATGGAGTACCTCCGCTCCCGTGAGCAGCGGCTGCGCGATACCAATGAGAGCACCAATGAGCGGGTTAAGTGGTTTGCGTTTGGGACCATGGGCATGCTTGTTGGACTGGGTGCTTGGCAGGTGGTGTACCTGAGGGCTTACTTCCGGTACGTTGATTGGTCTTGCCTCGTTGCTTGTTGTTCCCTGCGGTTGGGATGCTTCATGTTTGTTTGGTTCAATGCTGACTTTTGCTTTTGTGTCATTACAGATCGAAGCACCTCATCTAGAATTTTCGTCTCGAGACAAGAATGCTTTCTTGACGTCGATTTCCTCTTTTCCTGTCTGGGTTTCTACTGCACCGTATGGTGGGGGAGTTGCTTGAATCCATGTACTCTTAATGTCGTATGGCATTGATCTCACAGTCATGATCTCAATGATATAAAATGTACACCATGCTACCTGCAGCCTGGTCTAATACTATCTCCCCGCCAAGCTTGGAAGTCTCCGAGGTCAGCTTCAGTAGGTCATGAGTTTCTATCCTTCCCTTTAAGGCAGCTGCCTGCCCTCTTAGGTCGCTCTCTCTCTCTCACCTCTTTCATGCTCTCCCCTCACCCACACCTTGATCCTCATTCATCATCCCTCCTTTTAGCGGGCAGAGAATTTCATGGATTCGGCTCAAACCAAGAAACGTCCGGCTCTCGAAGAGGCCGGCGGGGTCTCGAAAAGGCCCCTGACTAATCCGAACCCGAACCCCCCACCTGGACAAGCAATGGTAGAGTCTCTTTCGCATCTCCCTCTCCCTTTCTTTGCATGAAAGGTTTAACTAAGACACTTATATTATAGAGTCCTACCCAAATTGCCTACCATAGCACAGTCGAGGAAAAAGAAAATCCTCTTGACGCCTGCGTGGATAAAATGATCCGGGAGGCGTCGTCTCTACAATACGATGCGACGCAGGGAATAGCCGCCAACGAACGCGGTTTTGGGTTCCTTGAGGAAGTGCGCGATATGCGTGCGAAGATGGCATCACTCGAATCTCGTCTCCAGAAAGTCGAAATCCATCGCCAGAGCCATCTCGATCTCCGACAAAGAACTATTTCTACATGGGTACGAGATGCGCTCAAGAAAACCTCAGAACACCGGAGAGAGGATCTCCGCCGACTCAATAAAGGGACTATCCACGGCGGTGATATACGAACCGATACTATGGTAGTTACGGAGCGTTACAAGACCAGCAGTACGGAATGGCGATCTTTCTCTACCCTCTATGGCCTTACCCCGGACGATGTGGAGAATCTCGACTACTCAAAATGTTGTGGGTCTCTCCAGGCCTTGAATAGAGCAGCCTCGATCCTATTCGACAAGAATTCGACAATTCTCCCTACTGAGGAGATGAGGAAGACACGTGAGGATCTTGTGGCTCTGTTGCGAGAGGGGAAATATGAAGAGGCTGAGGAGATAAGCAGCACTCTTTGTGAGGACGAGTCGTCTGTGGCTGAAAATGAGTAGTCTTACCAACAAGCTAGATATTGCTATCCTATTAATTATTCTTCAGACAATAGATTGTCGAGTTATTAGTTTGCTTTCTGATTTATGATATTCTGTTATACTATTTGTAGGTCATGAGTTCCTGTATTTCTGTCGAGGATTCGTCTGCTGCTTCATGGTAGTCAAGCAATACACTGAGCCTATTTTCATGTCCAATTGCTCGAATTCACAATTCAATTGCAATTAACCCACCGCCTCGTAAACAGAAGAAGCTGTGTAATCATCGGCTGTTCGGTGGACATGCAAAATGCAAACATTACAAACACGCATTACTCCGGATGATGTCAAGCCGACATTGCGTCTTATCAACACAACCCATTCGTTCGCCTTCACCCCTCCCCGGCGACTAAATCGCATTTCAAACCATTGTCAGAGACGGCCCATTAAAACCCATCAAAATGACAGCCCCACGACTCGCCTATCGTATGCTGTATACCACCACCTCCTCGCCATGCACCTTCGGCACCCGCGCCTCGGTCCTGAGCCGGCCCTTCAGCTCAACCACTCTGCGCCTAAACAAAAGTGCCAGTGATCATGCCTCCTCCACGGCGCCAGAGCACCGCCAGAACCAGGCCGGCAAGCCGCCAAACCAATTCGTGACCAACTCCACCTCCACCATGACCAAGGACTACCCGAATGTCGGCGAAAAGCCCTCGCCGCCGGAGATGTTGAACTCGGTTGATCCTAACTACCGCCCTGCGGATCCGTACCCAGGCAAGGTTGAGCACTTTACAGGTGGCCGTCAGGAGCAGGGCGCGCAGAAGCCTGAGCTTGGGGTTGGCGAGATGGAAGGTATTACTTTTAAGGTTGAGCCGTTGAAGCGGGTTGGGGAGGACGTTACGACGACGAGGGCTCGGTTATTATGTTCGTTCTTTGTCTTTTTTTTTTTAATCCTCATCATCGTCTCTCACGACCACGCTAATTTCATTCTTAGATCAAAGCCGGAAGCGCGGAATCCTCGAGTCCGACCTGCTTCTGTCGACGTTTGCCGACATCTACTTAGGACAGATGACGCACCCGCAACTGCAGGAATATGACCGCTTCCTCGACGAAAACGACTGGGACATCTACTACTGGGCGACCCAGGACCCCCCGGCTTCGGTCGAGGAGACATCCGCCACGCCCCAGGACACGGTGACCGAGACCTGGAAGCAGACAGGCGCAAAGAGCGGCGAGTGGGCGCAGACCGTTGGCGCGTTCAAGGCTGCGTACCGTCCCGTTCCGTCGCGCTGGGCGGACTCGGAGGTTCTGCGCCTGCTGAGGGAGCATGTCCGCGATAAGAGCGCCACGGGCTTTGAGTCTGCCAAGAACAAGAAGACGGGTGGTGGCCTGGGTCGCATGCCTAATGTCCAGGTTTTTGACTCGTGATGCGGGAATGTCCATGCGGGTAACCGCCCGCGTTGGGGGAAACTTTGTACTATATGTTCCATGGATGATCTTGGGAATGTGTATATTTGTCGAGAATGGTTGAAAATGGTGTGACATAACCAATTGTAGAGTTTGGTTGGCATACTATGGTCAATATCATATACCTCGTAACAACCCGGATCAGAATGGTATCATTGCGAAAACGGGAGGTGCACCATGGTATAAGTTGACCAAGTACCGTTTCTCCAGATTAGCATGGACCCGATTCTGGTTTGCAAACAGACACATTATTCATGGGTGAGCTCATAAATACTGGCAGAAAGTCGAGACGTTGATCCGGCCGTATAGATACCACGTGACCTTCGCTTGTTAGGGCTGGTGGACCACACAAGCGGCACCCAAGCAGTTTAGGGCTTGGGCGGGCACGTCTCCTTCCTCTGCGATTTTATCCCCCCCCAAGAAGAGTCTACGACTTACTCCGCCCATCCTCTCTCTCCTTCCATCGTCTCACTCCCCATAATGGCTGAGCAGCTGGTTCTTCGCGGCACCCTCGAGGGCCACAATGGCTGGGTTACCTCCCTGGCGACCTCTCTGGAGAAGTAAGAAGCGGCCATTTTCCCCGATCCGGTTCGGACTGCATTTTTTTTTCTGGGTGGCCCAGGTTCTGACTGTTGGATTGTTTTGATGAATTTAGCCCCAACATGCTGCTGTCGGGCTCTCGCGACAAGACCCTGATCATCTGGAACCTCACCCGCGACGAGCAGGCCTACGGCTACCCCAAGCGCAGCCTGGAGGGTCACTCGCACATTGTCTCTGACTGTGTACGCTTGTTCCCCATATCCCCCCCAAAAATAATTCGCAAAACAAAAAATTGGACGCCGTTGAATGAGATGATGGAATGAAGGAATTTAAGGATTGATTGGCTGACTGTCGAGTTGCGCGCCCTATAGGTGATCTCCTCCGACGGTGCCTACGCTCTGTCCTCCTCGTGGGACAAGTCCCTGCGCCTCTGGGAGCTGTCCAGCGGCAACACCACCCGCACCTTCGTCGGCCACAACAACGATGTCCTCTCCGTCTCGTTCTCCGCCGACAACCGCCAGATCGTTTCCGGCTCCCGTGACCGCACCATCAAGCTGTGGAACACCCTGGGTGACTGCAAGTACACCATCACCGACAAGGGCCACACCGAGTGGGTGTCGTGCGTGCGCTTCAGCCCCAACCCCCAGAACCCCGTCATTGTCTCCGCTGGTTGGGACAAGCTCGTCAAGGTACGCTCGAATTCGATTCCCCTCCGAAGAAGAAAAAAATACCCACACTGCCCCGCATGATGTTTGCATATTCTACGTATTTGCTACTTCAGAGCCCTTTGAGGCGATGAGACAATTTTTCACCAATGCCTGATGGACATATCAACACTTGAGTGTGTTGAATGAGAAGAATATCTTTTTATTCTTTGAATCGTACCCCAGAAATTTGTGGACGATGCTGACAGAATTCGGGATATAGGTTTGGGAGCTCGCTTCCTGCCGCCTCCAGACCGACCACATCGGTCACACCGGCTACATCAACACCGTCACCATCTCGCCCGACGGCTCCCTCTGCGCCTCCGGTGGCAAGGACGGTACCACCATGCTCTGGGACCTGAACGAGTCCAAGCACCTTTACTCCCTCCACGCCGGTGACGAGATCCACGCCCTCGTCTTCTCCCCCAACCGCTACTGGCTCTGCGCTGCCACCAGCAGCAGCATCACCATCTTCGACCTCGAGAAGAAGAGCAAGGTGGACGAGCTCAAGCCCGAGTACGTCGAGAAGGGCAAGAAGAGCCGCGACCCCGAGTGTATCAGCTTGGCCTGGTCCGCCGACGGCCAGACCCTGTTCGCCGGTTACACCGACAACAAGATCCGTGCCTGGGGTGTCATGTCGCGCGCATAGATATGAGTCTCTTGGAGTATTGAAGAAAAAAGCGAGTCGGGGGAAACGGGGAAAAGAGAAGGAGAGAGACGTCTTGAGGCCCCTCCTTTTTTTCTTTCGAATTTTACCGATCAGGGAAATAAAAAAGTTCAAAAAAAAAGCCTCGCAGGTTTTCAAGACTTCTTTTTTTTTGAGGCGGAGGTTGGATTGTATGAGCCCACGAGCTATGAAGCTCCTCCCTCCGGAGGGGGTGTTTTCTGACATGCCTAGCTTGATTTGTGCTAAGAACCTCTGATTTTCGTTAACTCGAATGTCTGGGTTTTTGTTGATGGCATGAGATGTTCTAATACCACAAAGGCATCAAAACTGTTTTCTTATTTCCCTTGATTCCTGCCGATCTGTATATCATGGATGCCATAGGCCACACTTGTAGATACTTGCGGTGCTGTTGAGATCAATGCGAGGTTCAGCGGAGCTCTGTTCTCACACGTTCCGGTAGATATACTCGCTCTTTTAATTGCCTACTGTTTGTCTTTCGGCTCTCCCAGTCCACTCTCGTACTTCCTATCACTCCTAACCTCCATACAATAGACTGAAACTAGCCAAAAGATCCCCAGAAAAGATGGGTAGAAAATATATGAGCAGGGGTTCTATAGAGTCGTACTGTACACATCAAGATTCCGTCCGCAGGTTCCGGAGAGAGAGGATTGCCATTATATCTTCGGGAGTCTTTTCAGAGCTGCATCGGCCAGGGCAACCCCTTCATCAAACCCCATCCCCTTGGCGAGTGATTTGGCCTCAATATAGCGTTGCCGAGCCACACCCGGCTTGTCCTGGAGCTCTGCCAGCTCGCCGAGGTTGTAGGTGGCCGCCACACAGCTGAGGTCGCACTCCTCGTCGCGTACCGGCGGCTGAATGCGCGCCGCAACATCGATCGCCTTCTGCGCCCATTGTCGGGCAGCGTCGACAGTCTGCTCCCGGGACACCGGCTGCTGGGGCTGGGCGCGAGACGCCGGGCGTTGCGCCTGGCCGGCCATGGCGCTGGCGACGTCGTTGAGCAGCACGACCTGCTTACAGGTGGGCGACTCGCCTTCCGCCACCCGGATCATGTCCAAGGCCCGCAGGTACAGGGGCATTGCCAGCTCGTGCCGCTCGCGGGCAGTATAAGTGGACGCCAGTTCTGCGAGAGCTGTAGCGATTTCGGTCAGGTTCAGCCAGGACTCGCCTTCTGATCCATCGCCGCTGCTGGTGCTGCTGCCACCACCAACAGGGAGACCTAGCTTCTGGCGGCGGTGCATTTCCTTCAGACACAGCTCGACAGCGGCAACCTGCGCGGCTTCGGCCTTTTTGTCCTCCTGTATATACTCGCTCGAGTACAGCTCTGCCAGCTTCATCTGCATGCCCACAACCTTCTTCAGCGCCTTATCCCGCTGGCGCGCCTCGAACTCCTCCAGGGCCTTCAGCTCTTTCTTCGTGTCCTGAAGTGCGTCCTGGTTGATCTGGACATTTTCCGGGGCAACCTTTGCCTGCGCCGGAACCTTGGTTTGCTGCAACTTTCCAGCGGCAGCAGTCTCCATTTTCCTCCCCTCATCAACCCAGCTCAGGGCCTCGTTCTTTGACCGCTCCAGCACCTCGATCGCAGGCTTCATCAGCCCGGCCTTTTCCAGCATCAACGCCACCTGTAACTTGATTCCCAGCACTTCATCTGAGAACGGGTGCATACCCATCTCCACGGCAATTCGCAGTGCCTCCTTGTACGCCTGCAGCGCCTTGGGCGGGTTGAGATCGATCTCGGTGTAGTAGACTGCCGTGCGGAGTGAGTCGGCGACCGGCGGCGGGAACTTGTGGTACTGAGGCCCCACGCGTGTCAATTCCACGTAGGAGATGTAGGCAAAAACTGCGGTGGCGCCAGCGGCCGAGAGGATCGCGAGCGGGAGGAGGACCGGGTTCTTGCGCCAGATCCCTTTGGAAGCGTCGCGGAAGCTGAGACGCACGCGCTGGGCGAAGGAGAGATGTCGCGCGCGCGATATGGATAAGCTGTTAATGGGGGGTTTGGCATTGCGGTATCTGGGGTGCAAGGTTGGTCGTGTGTGGTTGCTGCATATTGATCGGGTCAAGGACTGTCGCTGTGGTTGGAAAAGATTCGGGACATAGGCGCTGGTGCGCCGTGACGCTGTGCGGAACATTGAGAAATGTGATTGTCGTTATGTGATTTTCGGCAATTCAACTAGGAGTATAAGTTGAGATCCGCTCTCAATTCGATGGTTTCGTCGGGATGCGATGTGCAGTTCAACATGGATGAGGAACCACCCGTTTTTCTGCTGGTCCAAGCTCCGCCCCGGATGACGTCGATCCACCTTCTTGCCTGCGTCCCCAGATGTCTATTGATCTTTCAACTCTCGATAATATGAGACATTTTCGGACTGGATAGCATTGATACACCCCCAGCCATGTGTGGTCGCTACGCTCTGGGAGTGGTATGTTCCAAGTCCCTCGCAATACTGCCCCCAACTAACCATCGACAACACAGCGCTTGGCGTACATTCAACAGCGCCTCCAAGACAGAGGCATGCAAGTGGATGAAGTACCAGAAGACGACGAAGTTAGAGAGACCTACAACTTTGCACCAGGAAACTTCGGCGCTGTCTACCGCGCAGATGTCCCGGAGCAGGGACGTTCTCGTCGTTCCGAGGCACAAGACTGCACAGAACAGACTCCGGCGCAGATAGATGAATACGAAACGCAACCCGCTGCAACAAAGTACAAAATTCAAAGCATGAAATGGGGCCTCATCCCCTTCTGGACGAAAGGACAGCCCGACTATGGGTCTCTAATGCGCACGATCAATTGCCGGGAGGACTCGCTGATCGAGGACCGCGGCATGTGGACGACCATGAAGCGGCGCAAGCGCTGCATCGTGCTCTGCCAGGGATTTTACGAATGGCTCAAAAAGGGGCCCGGTGGAAAAGAAAAGATCCCGCATTTTGTGAAACGTAAAGATGGCGACTTGATGTGTTTTGCTGGACTATGGGACTGTGTTTCCTACGAGGGTGAGTAATTTGCCTTGTTTTCCTGCAGTTTGTTATCAGCCTACTTGATCGAGAGACCTGACTTTGATGGGGTGAGATTGTGCTCTGTCAAGGCTCCGACGAGAAGCTCTATACCTACACCATCATCACGACCTCCTCGAATCCTTACCTGAAGTTTCTGCATGACCGCATGCCAGTGATCCTGGAACCAGGGAGTAAGGCGATGAGCACATGGCTCGATCCGAGTCGGACGACATGGTCAAAGGACTTGCAATCCATCCTCAAGCCGTACGAGGGCGAGCTGGAGTGCTACGCAGTCCCAAAGGAAGTCGGGAAAGTCGGCAACAACTCCCCGGACTTTATTGTTCCCGTCAGCAGCAAGGAGAATAAGAGCAACATTGCAAACTTCTTCGCCAATGCCAAGAAGAAAGAAGACAAATCTGAGGCCTCCACTGAGACTACTACAATGTCTCCCAAGAAAGAATCTGCGTCACAGGAGACGGAGGACATCAAAGGGGATCATGAAGACCATGCGCCGGTGCCGGTGCCGGGTGTCAAGAGAGTACATACACCGGACGCTTCGAGTACCCCCGAGGTCAAGAAACCGAAGCTAGACTCGGCCTCAAAAACTCGTTCTCCACAGAAGTCGACAAAGATGCGGAGTGCCACGCATAATTCACCGATGAAGAAGAAGCCCAGTGGGACCAAGCCCACAGATGGAACACAGCGCATCACGAACTTTTTCAAATAGCATAATGATCAATGACTTATTCGGTCACTAGCCCCGCGGATGCAATGCTCGTTGTCAGCGCAAATCGACGAAGAAGCCAACTGCAGTCTACTCCCATACTATCCAACTCTACTCGGGCTGTAAACTGCAAGGTTGGGTTGACTACTCGGCTCTCATGAACGACCGGGATAATGCGGGCAAAGATAACAGAAGTCTAAACCCAGAGACTAATCCATATTTCACGAGATATGATTGCGACGGTAATCGATAAGTTCGAGATCTGACCAGGCTGGGGGTTTGCCCTTGGTTGGAATTATTTTCTCTTGTGAGCTGGTTATGCCTGTCGATGTTAGAGAGATGGATCTGACGAGGCGTTTGTCTCCTACCCAGCTTCGCGCCATTTTCTCCCACTCTACAGGTCGTCCTTGGACACTAAAAGGTGTTCCCTCAGGCTGGATCACCTGGTAGGGCTTCATGGTAGTTTGAGGTGGATTCTTCTGCAGGTGGTGATTGTACTCTGGCTCGACGGGGATCGTCAGTCGATGCGAGATTTGAGAGCCCACGGTAGTGGCAGATTGATCCGAGCCTAGAGGTAGTCAAATGATCTTCTCTATATCCATCTTGCAGAGGTTTACAATGACCATGAAGTCCAGCGAGAAGCTGTAGTATTGTTTTCGGGGTTGCACATATACATGAAGCCTTTAAAAGGGAACTGATTTTCAGCGAGAAAATCACATATAGCAAAGAAGTATATATCAGATGTGAAGGACTTACCTGGGTATGTCTGGTCTGAGTATCTTTGCTATCCACGCCATAGTCTACTTTTATTGCATTGGTAGCTTGTTTAATCTCCTCAGGGGTAGCTGGGTCCAAGGGGTGCAACGACATTTGGAAAAGCTTTCGTTGGGAATTCAATGAGATTTTGATTGATGGACAGCTTCATGGTAGTCAATTCGAGCAGTCTATATAATTTCAACACTGGGCCGAGTCCAGGGGGTCCCATGTGCTACAGTACGCGGCCCTTCTCCCCATATGTGCAGCCGTAGTGCCATAGTAGCCAGGACGCTCTGCTCTGTGACTCAGTGAATTATTTATGTCACTCTTATCACCCCGGTTGCACTAATCTCGTGCGGTGAGATTAAAACCAATGGTTTGGCTTACTTTTAGCCCTCCCAAAATGGGTGGAGAGTTACGCCATGGCTTCCTGCGTCTATAGCCTCATTTATGGCTTCCAGTCTCCATTCTCCCCTCGGTCTGACACCAACCATAGCAAAAGCCAAGGAAACTGATCTTCCGGCTTATTGCTTCAAATCTTAAAAAGAGAGGGCAATGGACCGAAATCTCCAAACAACTCCCAGGCAGAACGAACAAAGTAGGTCAAATTGAGCTTAGCCTACAATTGAAGAGAAGCTAATTTCAAGGGATAGGACTGTCGAAAAAGATGATTCCACTTGTCAGATCCCGCGTTGCAAAAGGGTAGTTGGACCAAGGAGGAAGATCAGCTCCTCCTCGCCACTCACCAACGATTAGGGCCCGCGTGGGAAAAGATCGGTGTGTGACCTACTTGAATTCTAGGCTGTGTCTTGAAAACACTCTCTGACTGGCCTTGGTACTTCTTATCGAGGGCCGCAAAGACGATCAATGCCCCAAAAGACACGACATCCTGAATCCCCATGTCAAGGACCGCCTCGAGGATTGATCATGAGCTTGGTTATAAAGAGCTGATATTGCTGTTGGTCTTCCAGGCCAACCTCCCCTGGCCTGTCAAAATAGATGAAGAAGACTATCTAAAGTTTTATCCCCATCGTCTCATTTCTCTTCCAACAAGCTTGCTTCCTCTCCCAACTTGTTCTAGTCTTCTCACGGAGGCCATTTGCAATGAGCCTCTGGGTGAGCCGGAAAACCTTGGAGGTTCCCTCGCCGATTTATCTCCGACCCTCGCAGAAAGCCTGGCAGTGTCCCCGTTACCTACAGTCGGGAATGTTTCTCTTGCATCACAAAGTCATGACCAAACCTGTCCGTTATTCACCGGCGATTCAGTTTCTCATCATCATGAATGTGGATATTTCCATGAAAATGCCTCAACAATATTGGGACTCGCTCACCAGACACCCAACACTGGCCATGATACCTCAATTTTCGAAAGAAACTCCTTCTCAACTACACTATCTTCTGGAAAGAGCCTTGATTATTATGAATCTTTGCTGGCACTGTCACTTCTTACCGACGAAGATCAAGAAAACATATCTGGGATCTTCAAGAAATACGGTATTCAACCCGAGTCGCAGAATTCCACCTCAAGCATAAAGCAAAGAAAGCGAGTTGAGATTGAAGAGGCAGATATTGACCAAGTGCTTCCATTCGCTGAAGATCTGCCTTCGATATCAAATGATACACCGTCCACCAGAAATGCCCCTGGGCGTACGAACCAAGTCCAGCATCATTACCATTGTCGTCCCCATCCCCACTACCATTATTATCATTAGCCCCTTACGGCACTATGGCCACAATGCTGTGTCGTCGGTGAGGTTACTCTTCCATGAAGAAGCTTAATAACAAATATTGTATGCGAATGTCAAATCCGCACGTCATGAATATCACTTTATCTTATAAATTGTACAGCTACAGAATGGATGCAGAGCAGAGAATATACCGTGTTGTATGCTAGTACACGGAATTTAAGTAGAGCGATCAGACATGGGTTTAAGCCTACGACACTATATCCGCTCGTAAGAGAGTGGGTCGCGAGAACCACAAATATAGAGTGACTCGGCCCACATTTGATTGGCCTAGCGGGAGGTGTCCCCATAATTCTCGGGAAGAGCCGAGTATAGTTGTCTTTTGTCTTCAATGAATCTGAATTTGTACCGAGGATAAGGGCATCAGCTGAAATGAACCCCTGCCAAACTTTTGAGTGAGATTCGAAACGAGATAGGTATCTTGTTGTCAATTCGGATCTTTGGTTTTCGAGAACCTCTCATAGATAACAGGGCTTAGTTATTAGACCATATGCTCCAGAGTAAGCGCTGGAGAGTATAAACAATGTAAGACAAGAGCATTTCTTCACTTGAATTTTCGATACGCGAAAGAAAGAAAATTCCTTATCGCTAGGAAAAGACTTGAAGAAAGAAGGGCCAACACTGGCTAGCCAGAGCAGTGGGTGTGAGTTATTAGGGTGTTGAGGAAGTAGCTCTGAGAGTGCTTTAGGTCGGTTAGGGCAGCCTAGAGAGTGGCTTAAGACAGCGGGGAGATTAAATTAGGCTAACATCTAGGAGCCAATTGCCTTTAGAGGCGTCAGTGTTCCCATCGCCTTTTCTAAAGGTAAAATAAGTCTATTTGAATTATGCTACATCATCAAACTCATATTTAGTGATATTTACTGCCTATCATTCACTATCCTATCCCTAGTTAAGCGTAACCCTCTGCTGTATGCTGCCTACTATATAGCTGCCTATACTCAATATGTTCCTCTAGTGAATGATATCGATTCTTGACCTAGCACTATAAATTCTTTTCTTCTATTTTCAATCTTCCTTCTTTCCTACATCCTATCGACAATTTTTTTTTTGGTATGCTCTTTCTTTAGATCTCTTACACATGCCTTCAGCCTATTCAACTGCTAGCTTGTTTCTTAAATTCTACCCTGCTACATTCTCTGATTTGCACGCTTACTCCCATATATTTTCTCTCTCTCGTTCTCACTGCCACGTTTGTTACCTCTGATTTACCGTCTACGCCATTTTCTATCTTGCCCCAACCTCAACTCTAAATTTGTTAATCCAACCTCACTTGCCCGTTCGCCTGCTCTCACTTCCTACTGGATTTGCTTTTTGATATTGACTTTTACAAGATTCTGATTTTTTGATTCTTTTTTTCAAATCGACGTCTCGACTTTGTGCTCCCCCGTCCCGCCGTGATTCGAAATCGCGGCTGGTTTCTACGTTTTCCCTCACCCCGGCGACCTCTCGACTGCGCTTGTTTCCTCACCCTCATAATCTTCTTTTCCGCCATCCTCACCTTTTTCTTTATCTTACTCCCCAGGTTGGTCGTTTGTTTCCTCATCCTGAGTTTTATGGTCTGTTGCTAACTTACTTCACAGACCCGTAAAGGACGAAAATCCAAAAAAAATTCCCCTAGATCTGACGGCCCCTGACTCTATATTTACGCTTTCCCACTCTTGCAACTCCAGGAACTTGACATTCTTGGACGTTTCCTGTATTCCTCGACGACGCCAACATTCAGTTCCATTTAACACCCGTACCGGATTCCTCCATTCTTAGTTTGGCCCATTGTCCCCGAACGAGAACCTCCATCTTTTCCAATCTCATTTTTCACGCCATTTAGCTACGTCCTAAAACTTTCGACAAGATGGCTTCGAATCCTCGTGGTCAACACGGCGACTTGCCGTTTAGAAGTGGTAGAGGAGACCGTGGTGGTGGTGACCGCGGTCGAGGAGATCGTGGCGGTGGCCGTGGAGGAGGATATGGCGGAGATCGAGGACGCGGCCAAGGCCAAGGCCAGGGAAAAGGACAAGGACGAGGGCAAGGTCAAGGCCAAGACCAGCCTGCTAGGTAAGCTGTTCTTGATTTGGGTTGCAAGAAACAAATCTAACATTTCTGATTATAGAAAACAAGAGCCTGTCCCGGAAACCAACAAGAGTGCACACGAGTATGAGGATAGCTGGATCAAAAAGACGCAAGCCATTGCTCCTCCGAAGGATGCTCTCGCCAGACGACCAGGATATGGAATCCAAGGTCGGCTGATCACGCTGCGGGCCAACTTCTTCGAGCTGGACTTCCGGCCTGGCATCATCTTCCACTCCTACAACGTCGTTGTCACTCCCGCCAATCCCATTCGGGCGCAAATGAAAGATCTCTTCAGTCAGATTCTGGACATTCCCGAATTGGCTAGTGTTACCTATGCCACAGATTTCGCCAACGAGATTGTTACCCTCGCCGACCTGCCTGTGGTCCAGGGACGCCGTTTCGAAGTAGGTTTTGAGAATCAACCAAACCCAAAAATCTTCACCGTTACGCTGTCAAAAAATGGGACCATCAACCCCGAGCTGTTGCTCACGCAGCTTCGGAATGATGAACGGAGAGACACAGTTCCCAGCGAGGAAGGCACTGTCCGAGCACTCAACATCCTCCTCAGCGATTATCCTGCTCGTAATACCAGCGTGGAAGTTGTTGGAAAGGCCAGACACAAGGTCTTCCGGATGAACCCTCAAACAAAACAGTCTTGGGACCTCGGGGCGGGCATCGAGGCAGTGCGTGGTTACTACTCGAGTGTGCGACTGGCAGCTGGGCGAATCTTGCTCAACCTGAACATTAACCACGGGTCCTTCTACTCTGAGGGACCCTTGATGGGCTTGGTTGAAAACTTTCAAAACACTTTCGGCAGAGATCGGGTTCTTTTTAACCGCTACGTCAAAGGCCTGAGAGTCGAAACGTCGCACTTGGGACCTCGGACGAGCAGAGTTGGGAAATCTCTCAAACGAATCAAAACAATTGCAGGACTTGCATCTCCCCTCGATGGTCGTCGAACTGAACATCCGCCTCAAGTACCCAATCTGGGATCGAGTGCGGACCACGTCTGTTTTTGGCAAGACACAACGAACCAGTACATCAGCGTGACCGACTATTTCAAAAAAGGTATCTGTTGCCCCGTATATTCTGAATATCAGCTTGACGGTGGACTAACTTTGATTAAATCCAGAATACAATATTATTCTCAGAGCTCACGACCGACCCGTGATGAATGTGGGCACTCGTGACAAACCGATCTATCTTCCCATCGATGTCTGCACTATCATTCGAGGCCAGTCTTTTGGTGGAGAGATGTCCACTGCTCAGCGACAGGGCATGATCAAATTCAGTTGCCGGAGACCGCCTGAGAACTATCAGTCTATCATGAACGAAGGACTGCAAATCATGGGTGTCAACAACGGGGGCACCGATGGCATGGGATTGCGAACAAAGAAAAGCGAAATGATCGCCGTGCCCGGCCGCATTCTCTCTACTCCCGTCTTGAAATACACAGACAAGAAAGTCACTCCTCGCGGTGGCTCATGGAACCTCATCCAGACCCGGTTCAGCGCTGGCGTTTCGTTTGAAAAATGGACCTGTATTCAGATTTATACTCATAAGCCCCAAGACATGACTAGGTACATGGCCGACTTTCACAAAAAGATGCGCGATCATGGTCTCCGGTTGCCGCCGTGTGAGCTTCCAGGCAAAATGATCCGACGAGACGATAATATCAGAACCAAAGTTGATGCGGTATTCCAGGAGCTTGCCCCTAATTACCAGCTGGCGGTAGTTGTCCTTCACACTCAGGATGCTCGCGTCTTCAACTATGTCAAATGGGCTGGAGATGTTAAATGGGGCTTGATGACGCATTGCATGTCCCTTGATAAATTGTTCAAGGCCAATGACCAGTATTACAGCAACAATGCCATGAAGGTCAATCTCAAGCTCGGGGGCATGAATCAGTTGCTTGAAGGTGCTCACTCGCGCTTCCTCGGTGCCGGCAAGACCATGGTCGTCGGTCTCGATGTGACCCATCCCTCCAGCACCGACCCCGAGACCTGCCCCAGTATTGCCGCCATTGTTGCCACTGTGAATGGACAGCTTGGGCAATGGCCTGGTCAAGCCCGCATCCAGACCCGCCGCGTCGAGAACGTCGAGAACCTCCGGGAAATGATTGTAGGCCGGCTGAAAGTGTGGCAAGAGCACAACAAAGGCAGCCTGCCCCAGAACATCCTCATCTACCGAGACGGTGTGAGCGAGGGCCAGTTCCCGATGGTCAAGAACGAAGAACTGCCAGCAGTGCGCGAAGCCGTGAAAGACATGTACCGCCAGAACATACCCAACATCAGCATTGTCGTCGTCGGTAAACGTCACAACGTCCGCTTCTATGCTACCCAGAAGGCGGATGAGGACCGGACTGCGAACTTGATCAATGGCACGGTGGTTGACCGTGGCGTCACCCGCCCCATCTACTGGGACTTCTACCTGCAGGCTCAGGCTCCTCTCCAGGGCACCGCCAGACCCGCTCACTACGTCGTTATCCACGATGAGATCTTCACAAACCCCCAGGCTAACACCGCCGGAAAGCCCGCCGATATCTTGCAGGAAGTCACCCACAACATTTCTTACATGATGGGCCGCTGCACTCGGTCGATCAGCTACGCCACTCCTGCCTTCCTGGCCGACAGATTCTGTGACCGCGCTCGCAAGTGGGTCCAAGCCTATTACTGGGAGATGTTGGCGAAGGAAGAGGCCCAGGGTGGCCCTCACAGAGCTGAAATCCCTCCTCCTTCAGAGCGGGTCGTGGGCGTGAATCCCCGCAAATTGAACCGGATGGTCTATATCTAGATGGTGAACGAGCAAAGCTCCCATGATCCCTGATCTATGGTCTGCCTTTTTTTTTGGGACCCTTTTTTCTGACATTTTGTTGATTTCTTTCTTTGGTATCTGACTTTTGTAGTTCGTTTTGATGTTTTCATTTTGGTTCCCTTTTTCAATTATTGGTTTTGGGACGTTGGTGACTGGAGAGATGATTAGAAAAAAATCATGAAAACACCAAAAAAAAGGGGGCGAGGGCTATATGGTACGAGAGAAAACTGCGAAACACCAAAAAAAGGGGAGTTGAGATATGATACAAGACAGATAAAATACAAAACAATAAAAAAAAAAAGACCGTTCAGGTCGCCCATCTGTGTTTTGTTCCTGTCGAATAGTATAGTTGGGAAGCAACTTGGCTCTCCAGTATAGAGGATTCGTAGCTATTTGAATGGCCTATCCAATATGGAGTTGAGTAGAGAAAACAGACATGATATTTTTGGGGAATATTGGCGAGAAAATTCAGCATAATATACATGGAGTGGACATTATGGGTCTTCAACCCGACGATGGGCCAATGTAATGTCCTGGCCCAAGGGGATTTGGTTCACAGACCCAAATGAGAGACGAAAGATCTGAAAGGTTTTTGTGCTGTGGTCGCAATGCCTGCCCTTGAAGACAGGAATTAGGGTTTTCATCGTTCCAGAGATGGCAAGCTGAGAGAGAACGGAACGGGGAATCATCGCATAACCGGAGAATTTTGGACTGCTCTCTCGATTAACTCAGAAAAAAAAGATATCGAGTCCTGTTGGTTTGTCCCGTATCCAGTGCTCATTCGAGAAGAATCAATTTCGTAGATCGTTGCAGAGGTTTGATCGATCTCAAGAGCAGTCACCGATGCGAGGTCGGAGTCCATGACTCGGGCTGCCAACCGTCTCCCGGGTTACTGGCTTTGGCCCAGGGATTTTCTTCTTTCTTGGTCTGTTTGCTTGCCGAAGTTGAATCCGCTTGCGATGACGTCCCGGACGAAGATGCTGACGAAGCTTGCGCCTGCGCTGGACTAGCGGCCTCGGCTGTCGTCGGATTCAATGTGGCATCACCAATTTGGGTGCCTGGTTCCGGCTGTTGTGCCTGCGGTTTATCAAGGAAGGACGGCTTGCTAGCCCAACGTTCATCGGCAAGTCGGGCGAGTTCCTTGATTTGGGCTTGGCGGATGAGATCTTGTTGCTGCTCTTGGATGCTCGGTGGGTTCTCTCGGACGTATCGAAGCCACTGGTGCCATTGTGCTGTAAACAAGGGCAAGTCAGCCAAAAAGAGTTGATCTCGAAAATTGGGAATGTTTTTGGGGGCTCCCAGACTGTAGCGCATCCGGCCTCATTAAATAGACCCGAGCGCGCAGCCTGCCCACTGGCGAAAGAAAACTCACGTGTAACCTTGACGTCGCCGTAGTGGGTTTTCGGGTCGAACTTGACGATGCGTCGGAATCGGCCAGCGTTCAGCACATCCTTAAACTCCCAAAATGTGTTGCCGGCGAGGTCTTGGCCTGGAATGATGACACGGGGGTTAGCGTTGCGACGAAGGGGAGCGCATACGATTTCAGACTGACCGACAAGAAAGGTTTTTCGCCAGGGAAGCCGGAAGCTTTTCCACTTGAACCACAAGCTGTTCACCATGGTGAAGATTGGAGATGTCGAGGGCAGCGCTTGCGAAGGCGAAAGGCAAAAAAAAGTGGCCCCAGGAACGTCATCGGCAAATAAACAGCCCGGGGCATTCCATTCCTCTCCCACCTCTCTCTTTGCCGCTTTCTTGCACTTTTCCCATTTTATTTTGCACCGCTGAGGCGTAAGCCATCAGGGCTTTCCTTTCTAGTTTTTCTTTTCCTTACTTGTTTCTTTTGTTTTCTCCGAGTGCTTATTCCGTATCCCTCTGGTACCCAAACCCCCACAGTTGGGGCTGATTAGGCAGACTCGGGCAAAGGGATACCCCCAGAACCGCGACATCTACATCTCAGTATACTCTTCATGACCGATTGGTGATTTGCAATCAACCATGGCTTCGGTGACTTCATTGGATAAGGACCTGCGCAGCATGCGCTTGTCCCGCTATACTCCGCAGGCAGCCGCGGAGGTGCGCGACTGGATCGAGGAGGTGCTACGTGAGAAATTGCCATCCGAAGATTTACTCGAAGGGCTGAAAAATGGCGTGGCTTTGTGCAGGTGAGTGCCGTTTGCGACTGATGGAAACTGGTGCATCGGCTTACCCAGCTTGCAAGGCTGGTCAATCTCGCCGTGTCCCCCGGTGTGAAATTTAAGCAGTCGTCAATGCCATTCGTCCAGATGGAGAATATCTCACACTTCCTACGCGCGTGCCAAATGGCGCCCCTCAATCTCCCGCCGCACGACGTCTTCCTGACCGTCGACCTCTACGAATCCAAGGACCCGGCGCAAGTCCTCCAGTGCCTCGCGGCGTTCAGCCGCCGGGCCAATGCCCTCGAACCCAGCAAGTTCCCGCGCACTGTCGGTCCCCAGAGCAAGCGAAATGTGGTCAGCCCACATGTGACGGGATCAAGCTCCGGATCACAGACAGGGAGAGCTCGCGCCACTAGCAATGCCAACGATACGAACCCGCCTCTCCCCGCTCGTTCAGGAAGCCCCACCAAGCCCTCGGGCTCGTATAGCTCCTGGAGCAAAAAGACAGATGAGCGTGCAACGGCGCCGGCCTGGAACATCCACCAATACGGCTACATGGGTGGAGCGAGCCAGGGCAATCAAGGTATTGCGTTCGGTGCTCGGCGGCAGATCACGACGGCTGGTCCGTTTGTCCCGAGTCTTGCGGAGAAAGAGAAGCGCAGACGTGAGGAGGAAGAAAAAATTCGCCAGCAAATCGCCGACAACGAAGAGATGGAACGGGCACGCCAGCGGGAGATAGATGAACAGGAAGCTAAAGCCAAGGCCGAGGAAGAGCGCCGATGGGAAGAAGAGACCGCGCGCATGAGAGAGAAGGAACGTCGTGAGATGGAAGAAGAAAAGAGACAATGGGACGAGGAAAAACGCCTATGGGAAGAAGAAGAACAGCGGCGCGCGGCGGAAGAAAAGGATGCCGAAGAGCGTCTCGAGAAGGAGCGGCAACGCCGACGAGAAGTCAACGATTCCCGTCTCAACGGTCAGTTCCTGAGCCAATACCAAGCCAGTCAAACCAGTCGCGTCCCGAGTGCTGGATCTGTTGAAAGCACGCCGGAAAGCCGACGTATCCAAGAACTTGAACGGGAGCTGGAGCTCGCCAAAGAGCGCGAGCGCCAGTACCAGACCGAGCGCCAACCTGTGCCGCCCCAGGAAAGTGACGAGCCTGAGGTTCTTAACCGCAGTCGTCCTCGTCCAGTGCCACCCAAGCCGAGCTACAACCTCAGCTCTCTAGAACAGGAACGCCGGCTTCTCCGCACCGAATGGCAGAATAACCAGGAGATGCCGCCAGCCTTGGAAGAGCCCGATTATGCTCAGGACCAGGCGCCGCCCCCGCCTCGGCCGCTTCCAGAGCCGGTGCCATCGTCAGCACAACCAGCACCTCCCAACCGGGAGCTACCCACACTTTCCCGACCACTTCCCGACCCAGTCGCATACACCGCCAACCGGAAACAAGAAAACCGGGTTGATCAGTTCCTCGGGTCCAACCCAGCCCCCGCCGCCCCGGCACCGGCTACTCACCGGCCGCAAGACTACAGCTCAACGGCTGAGATCGACGCCGAGAACAACCGTCGCGTCGCCTCGCAGCAGAATACGCGTGCCGGCGGATGGGCATCCAAGTCCCTCCTGGAACGCGAGATGGAACGTGAACGTGAGCGCCAGCGCGAGTGGGAGGACAACCAGAAACAAACCCAGGCTGCTGCCGAGCGTGGGCAGCATGACAAGACCCTCGGCTCGGGACCAGGGCAGTCCTGGGATGTCCACCAGTACGGCTACATGGGCGGCGACAATCAAAACCGCGGTGGACCAGGCTTGGGTATTGGAGGCGCCAGGCGCCAAATTATCGGGCCTCGTCCACCGCCATAATCTCGGTTGGTATAGACTGCAGACTGGTGCCTATTCAACTAGGATATCTCTTTTCTTTTCTTTTCTTTTCTCCTTTTCTGTTACCAGGCCTTTTTGTTCATCATTTTGTCTAGTATTGTTCAGCCGGAGGATTATCTTGTTTTCTTTGCGTTGGCGATCCGGCGGATCATTTCTTCCATACGTTCGATGACTCGACCCTTTTTCTATTTGGAATCCCATGCAGACAATACGATGTGTTTGTAGATAGATTTCTTGCTTAGTTAGGTAGTTGTATACGAAACCATTCATGATGTTCAATCATACGATGTGTATATTCTTTTTGCTGGTATACCTGCTGCCTACGTGGGAGGTCCAAAGCGCCGCGCAGAGCCGCATCTAAATTAAACCCTCGTTGAAGCTCCGACAGTTCTACAGCGCTGCGAACCTCACCAAACAACAGCACACTTGGTCGACAATGGCGTCTCTATTTGATTTCTAGCCCCATTTCAAAAGAATTACCACACCACCTACCTCATAATCTGATTTGTTTCTCTCAATCCAACCCCCTCCTCTTCAAAACATGGCGACCAACCGCTACAGAATGCGAGCATACGGCCGAAACCAATACTGCGAGAGGCAGGTCATGGACCGACTTGCAGCAAACTACGACACCGACAAGCACTACCATCGCGAGCCCTTCGCACACACAGGCGAATGGTTCATGACCGACGCGCGAGTCGAGCGCTGGCGCGACACTAACGGCCCCGCCATCCTCTGGCTAACCGGCAGTGCAGGCTACGGCAAATCCATTCTTACGCAGACACTAGCGGAGCAAAGCAACCAAATTTGGTGGCGTAATGCTGCGAAGACCACTCCGCACACGACCGTGTGCTACTACTACTTCCGCGCGGGCTATCCGCGGCGCGAGATGGCTGCCCCGGCGCTGTGTGCACTGCTGCACCAGCTGTTCGCCACGACGCCGGCGCCGAATTTGGTTGGGCGTGCGATCGAATCTCGTACCGCTCGGTCTTCGGGGAGCGACGAGCTGGGGTTTGAAGAGATGGGGCAGGTCTTTGAGAGCTGTATGCGCGACTCCAGGACGGGGGAGTTGGTTGTGTTGCTGGATGCACTTGATGAATGTGATCACACTGAGCGGAGGACTCTACTCGCGTATTTTGGGTCTCTTTTCGCTGCTTTGGCGAGACCCCCGGCCCGCGAGTCTCAGTGCACGCTGAAGTTGTTTCTGACGAGTCGCCCGTTACATGGCGAGCTTCGGCGGGACTTTGACATGCTCCGGGGGCAGGTAGGTGTAGGTGCGATGGAGGTGATTGATGCTGATGAGATGCTTGCCCTGATCCGACCTGAGATGAATCCCACCATCGAGTCCGCTGTCAAGACGTTCCCCGAGGAGCAGCGTCTGCGAATATGGAGGGTCATCAGGGAAAATGAGTCTAGAAGCTGGCTGTGGCTGCGGATGGTGGTAGGGATGGTCCTGAAGGCTCACGCTGGCAAAGCAGAGGAAGATGAGCAGTCCATGTATCCGAGCGTGGACGCCTTGCTGGAAGACCTGCCGAGAGACGTCGAGACTTTGTATTCCAGGGCACTGGACATCGCAAGTCTCAACTATGGCGAAAGTCTGGTCGAACAGCTCTTACATATCATTCTGGCTGCAAGACGGCCTCTTGGGATAAAGGAGGTGCTGGTGGCCCTGGCATGTGCCAGTATGGATCCCATCAAGGCTGTTTCAGCCTCGGAGAAATACACCTACGACGAATTGGCCAAGCAACAACCAGAGTTGGCCAGTTTGATCAAGGAGCTCGACAAGGTCGTGTTCCGGGTGTACGTTGGAACCGTGGATTTCGTCCACTCATCGGCACGAGACTTCCTGGTCATGAAAAATGAAAGTCTAAAACCATTTTCAGATTCACCATCCCCGCAAGAGCCATGGAAAGGCCGATTAAACATAGCAGAGGCACACGCCATGGCCACACGCGCATGTCTGTCGTTTCTTCTGACCACGTATACTCCCCGGACCACAACAGAGCACCAGGACAACAATCGGCAGATGAAACAAAAAGAAAAGGAGTCTCCATTCTTGCGGTATTCGGCCGAGCACTGGTCCCGCCACTTCCGGTCGCAGACCGAATCTGCCATCAAGGCGACTATCACGCCGGCCTGGGCGCTGTGCAACGGTAATGGGCCCGAAAAGAACAACTGGCTGCGGCTCTATGGCAGGAAAGGGCTCTGGGTAAGTCCGGGGCTGGGCGTGGCGGTCTACCTGGGCATCACCCCGGTGGTCCGAGCGGTGCTGGAGGAGTTTCCAGAAAGGACAGCCAACGTGGACACTCACGGCGAAAATGACATGATCGGTAACGGGTCCACCCGGCGGCACTGTCGCTGCATGCTATATCAGGCGATCAAAAATAGAGACAGTGCAGTGGCGCGGATGCTCTTCGACAAGGGCTGGAAGTTGCGCCCGAACTGTGAATGCAACAGGTCGCTGTCGACGAGTGCCGAGATGGGCCACGCCGACCTGGTGCAGATCATCCTCGATCAAGGCACGGCAGTGAAAGGGCCCAGCGAGTCCGAATATAGTCCCCTGATACAAGCCTGCAGGAGAGGCCACCAAGACATTGTGCGCATCCTCCTGGCCCGCGGCGCAAATGTCAACTTCGCACCCGAGCCAGGCATCCATACGTGCTACAGCCCGCTGGAGGTCGCGACCACTGGAGGCCACCTGGAGATTGTGCGAATGCTGCTGGACCACGGGGTGTGGTTTCGACTGTATGGGATCCGCGCTCTCTGGGATGCATGTCGCCTAGGCCATCTGGAGATTGCCCGTCTTTTGCTGGAAAAGGGCCTAACGCCCAATGTGAGATGGAATGCCGGGTCTGGCAGTGGGCTCAATATGGCGGTGCAGGGTGGACACACAGAGATCGTCAGCTTGATGCTGGATCACGGTGCCAAGGTTTTCAAGAATGATATCGAAATAGCTGTTCGAAACGGCTTCGAGGAGATTGCGTACATGCTCCTGGATCCGTTTATCGCCCTGTTATTGTGTTAAAGCTTTTTCAAGGCTAGACAAAACCATGGAAATGCACCAATAGAATGAAATAAGACGCTAGGTATCAATCATGAGATGAAGAAAAACAAACAAGCAGACAAAAAAAAATTAGATCATGAACATCGTGATACGCGATTTGCAGACTCAAACCACCGGACTGGCTGGGGGAAGCAGCTGCTCAACCAGAAAAATCAACCTCTCCCCACTTTCTAGTAACCAGCACCACTCAATAGGCTCTCTATTGCGACTGGTCTGATTGCGGCGAATCTCCTCCTGTGCCTTCTCAGCCCGACGGAGAATTCCAGTTTGGACAGCCTCTTTCAACGAGGGTGTTGCAACAAGCATGTCGCTGTCCGCCAACAGGATGATTAACGACTCGAGCAGGATCGAAATCTTCGCATTGTCGACGACGTTGGCGGTGGCCGCCGCAAATGGAAGAAAGCATTGCTCCAGCTTGGCTTGGTTTAAATATTCCTCGTCTGTATCGGGGGCAGAGCTTTCGCGCATCCGAAACAGGAGGAACTCGCAGAGGGTCGTTTGGGAGGGAGCGTTGAAGTGCGGGAGCACTGATGGGCTGACAAAGGCCTGGAAGATCGGTAGGGACAGACGGCGGATGTTTTCAACGAAGAGGTGGTACAGCTCATCCAGAGACATGAAGTCTTTGGGAAGTCGCTCAGAGACATTAGATAGGATGCTGAGGAGCCACTGCCGCAAAGTGAGGGAGTTGATGCCACCCAGGACAGACACGCTGCCGCCGGGGTGTGGAGAGGACCTATGCTCTGCATCCAGAGTCTCTGCCGTAGAATTTGCTGCAGTGGATGGGTCTGGCGCAGTCCTCGTGCCTCTTCTAGTGCGCTTCGATCGTCGCGTTTTGGGTCCTGCCGTCGAAGGTGATCCGGAACGAGAGCGACCCTTATTCGCATCATGGGCAGTATTGGTTTCTTCATCCGTCCCATCCTGAGAGAGGTAGTCGCCATATTCATCCCGATCAATGTTGACCTCAACCTCCCTCTTCTTGACATTCTGCGCGTCACGATCGCCCTTGGGCAGCCTCAGTTCTTTGCTGAACACCTCCCGGAACTCCCCGACAGCCGCAGAGCCTCCGTCCGCGAAGATAGACCTGAGGATCCTGCGATTGCGCCCGAATCCTCCTGTGGAGAGGTATCGGAAGATCAAGCTTTGCCGGAAGATCCCTAGGCCGTCTTTTTTTATGGCCTGCGCTCCCTTTCCTTGCCCTTTCTCCGACGCGTGGTCTGTGGGATCTGGTTCCGGGGAAGGCTCTGGATTCTGCGCCTTCTTTATTGAGTATTCCCGACACCGCTCATCCCAATCATCTTTCAGCACACCGCACATAAAATGCAGCCAAATCTGCCATCGCTCCCACCGTTCCGGGTACAGCACTGAGCAATTAAACGCCCAGCCCACCACATGCCAAAAGTCTTCTGCGCGAGACCATAACGAAGCAGATTGGCTCAGGTCCAGGTTCAGGGGCTTGGTTTCATCATTCCGCAGCTCGCTAGACACGGGACTCTCCGCTCGGCGCCGGCCCCCATGTCGCGAGGTCTCGAAATGTGTGAAAGAGAAGGCAAGGCCCAACTTGGCGCCTTTGGGGCCAATCAGGGTATTTGTGAGTCTCAGCAGCCGTAGAGCGACATTGGCTGCCTCTTTTTCTTCCGCAGACCGCGCACGTGTCGTAGTAGATGGATGAACGAGAAAAGTGGCAGCGAGAGCGAGGTGCTGCGGCAATGGTACTACTGCATTGTTCGAGGCAATGGTGCCCGAGGCCAGCGCATTCAACAGGAGATTGAGCGCTTGAGTGTCTAAATCGCGAAGCATGGAAGGATGGTTAGTGTCACAAGTTGCTATACTTGTGGTGGGGTTCTTGACCGAGGCCAGATACAGACGTACAGAGTTTCTCTTCAAAGAAAATACCCGAGTGTTGAACCAACTCAAAGGGCAGGGCTTCAGGGGTACGGTACAGCGTCTCGTCCGGGGACCCCATGGCCAGACAGTTGCGAAAAGAAAGTCCGCGTCGTGAAAGACGCGCCCTTATCGATAAGGCTTATGTAATAGCAATTCGCCCATGAACGGACAACTAAGACCCTGTAAACAGAGGAAACAATATGGATTTAACGCTCATTATAGACATTTTAAGCAAGCAAGATGATACAATGAGCTGTGTCAATTGGAACATTACCCCTCTGGCAGTCCAGATTAGTGTGGGGTTCATTAGACTCAGCAACCGTGTTTTAGTACGCTCAGGGCCACCTTGGAGGGCGATCTCAAATAAAGTGTTTTGACCAAAAGGACCTTATTTTGGGCTCATCTCACAACTACCCCTGATTTTACATAAATGTGTGTGTTGGGTATTACAGGCTGCTTCTGCCGCGTCATGGCCTCGCGGGCCGATGATGCAATGAGTCCCCGCATAGACCAAGCCAAGCCGATGACTTGCAGCGCCCGATAGCCGAGTTTAGTTCGATTTGCCGTCCCACGACTGCTGGGAAAATACTAGAGACGAGCACAGAATGCAGAATAAAATATGCATGATTTGAGCACTGGGAAATCTAGACCAGGATAGAGACACGGAAGGGACCGGATTTTGCGCATTTGCGGCGTCTTCATATTCGCCCAAAGACAAAAAAAGGAAAAAGAAAAAGAGATGTGTCACAGCCACCAACTGAGTACAATCCCGTCGATCATTTTCGCAATGCAAGAGCTTCTTTATGGTAGAAGAAAAGACAATGAGAGGGTTAAGGGTGAGCGAGGAGAAACTAGAAGGGCCGAAAGACGCCAAAGGACAGAAAGCTGGAGACAAAACAACAGAGAAGAATGAAGAAGTCACTATGACTCCTCGGGTATATCGGAAAAGAGACCTATTCGCAACCGATGCGACTGTAGACAATGTCAGCCACAACGTCCCGCCATCCCAATTATAAAAGAGAAAGGGGGTAAGGAAGACATACGAAAGGCAGTTTCGGAATGACCACAGCCAGAGTGGCCAGAAAATTGATAGTGAAATAGGTCATGTCGTAGTGGGTGTAGTGGGTGCTGAGGAGGAAGAGCACAATTGGCACGCAGAGCAGGAACTTCTTGGTCGGCGTATACTGGTCCCCATTGTCGATCTGCTCCCACATATTCAAATTGTCGTAGGCCCCAGCATTGAACTCGAATGGAATGCCCCGCACCCAGTGGAACATGAGGAATGAGCCGAACATGTAGCCGATGTTGGTGAGAGTCCACGAGGTCTCCTGTGAGATACCTGGAATGATGTCGCAGAAGATCTTGAGCGCGGCAATCAATACAAAGTGGATGGTCCAGGCACCTATATTGGAATCAAGGTCAACAGTCAGCAAATTGTGTCCTGATGTGACTGTGGTCCGGTGTTCGGTCTGGATCAGTCTGGGGGCACTCACCCTTAGCATTCACCCAGTTGGCATTGAGGTTGGGCAACGCTGCCTGGTCGCTGGTGTGTTCAATGGATTCTGGGGGTTCCTGGTAGATGAGACTGCTCGAGCGTCGTCGTCGGCCTTGTTTTTGGGTCATGTTGGGTGATAGCCGCTGCGGCCCCGTGTCCACCTCCGGAGGGAAGGAGATGGCACGAGGGACCAACAGGGAAGACACCTTGGTGGTATTTTCAGAAGCCAGCTTGATGGGTGGAAGGGAGATGGGGGAGAGAGAGAGAGGTGCCCGGGAAAAGGAGCGTGGGGATGAGGTGGCACGGAGATGTTGAAGGAAGATTTGCCGGTCGGCGCGGCCTTAGGTCACGGGGTTTGGAGGAAGAACCCAGCAACTTCTTGATGTTTGGACCTTTTTCATGTCTTTGTGAGGTGAGTTTTTAGTGACTATGCCTCAATTTAAATAACATCTGATCTGGTCTTTCTTTTATATAAGAAAAATTCAATTAGCACGAGCCATTGCATAAGGACACGTGCAAGAGTCACACTAGGTATGAGTATGGAATCTATACCACAAGATCAGATTGTCTATTGTAAATAAGACAATTTCTATCGATCTGAATTCTATATATGGGGTTTTTTAAAATAGGATTTTCTACTCATTAGCCATGAATCTCTTAGAGGAACACCAACATATCGCGATGTATACACTGAATTACGCGAATGGTTCGTCTGCCCGGCCGTAAAATTTCGCCCAAGTAATCAGGATATTGCGACAGCCGCAATTCTAACCATCTACCCTTCTCCAGTCATGGCTGATTCCTCAGGAGAAGAGGCCGACTCACGAACGGCTTCGGTTGGTGGGCAACGCTCTCAGCCCAATGGATTCCACGACAGCAGTTCTCGTCCCACGAAGCGACAGCGGAGAAACAAACCCCAGACAGACGATACAAGCGATTTTGTTCCTCGAGGAGCTTCGTTTAGCGCCAATGCCTTGCAAATTGATCCTGATAGCACTTCCAGTTCTGGATCTAGCTCGGACTCTGATACACAAGAACCCGTGAACCCGCATGCAGGAAGTACCGCGCCAGCAGTCAACTGGAATCAGGGTAGGAAAAATGCGGTGCGCACCACGCTCCGCCGGCAGCCTGCCCCGCCAAATGATGGTACCTCAACAGCACAATTTAATGCTGTGAATGACAAATTCTGGCGCAGTCGCAGTGCGTCTGTATCGTCCGGGAGCAATGGGGTGACAAACGGCCGGGCTAATATTGAGGAAGGGTTAGAAAATAAGGTCGACGAGGGGAGCGACTCGGAGGTATTGTCGCTTGACTCAGCGGCTGATGATTCTATCATGCTCAACATCGGCAATAAGATTGGCCAAGAAAGCGCGGATAGTCACTTGCCAGAATCTCTACCTGTCCACCACCCTCAAGCCAATGGCAACATGACCAAGCCACTTCCAGAGACTGGGTCAGCTCAGCTCGAGCCATCCTCCAAGGAGGAGGCATTTCAGCTCTTTTCTCGCAAATATCCGATTGCACCCAGCACTTTGGTGGACTTGGACCAGGAGGACCTAGAACTCCAGGGGATCTTCGTTTTCTTCGACCGTAACATCAACGACGTCGACCTGAGCCTCCCAGTAACCTGCCTCGAGTGCCGGGGTAAGGGCCATCTGGATGCCGTGTGTTCCACCAAAGAGGTATGTTTATATATATATATATATATATTTCTTTCTCCCTGCACGATCCTCGCTTCTGACTTTATTCCAGTGTGAACATTGCGGGGCGTGGAGTCAGCACATGAGTAGGAACTGTCCAACATGGCGCAGATGCCAAAGATGTCGGGATCGTGGCCATCATGAGTGGAAATGCGCGTCGCCCTTGAAAAGCTCAGCACAGGAAGTCCCCTGCGACCACTGTGGATCCTCTGATCACCTCGAGTTGCAATGTGAATACAGGTGGAAGCTTCCTCTGCCAGATCTCTCTGGCAAGAAGATCGTCGTTTCAATTTCCTGCGCCAACTGCACCAGTCCCAGCCATCTGATCGGAGACTGCCCGAATCTTTCCCGTCCTTACAACACCTCTTTCTTTACCCTCAAGGGCATTGACCCCGCGAATATTGTTAATCTGAACACCCTGAGCAACTCCGACGAACTGCCTCCCCCAGATAGGCCCCCACGCGGCCCCGGGAATAGGGGCCCGCGCGGCGGTGGAGGCCGAGGTCGTGGCGGTTCCCGGATTCCATCACCAGACGACACACTGTCCAATCTTGCCGAAGGAGCGCCTGGCGTTACAGCTCGTGGTGGTAAAGGTCGCGGCAACATTCGCTTCGGGGGTGGAGGCGGTTCCAACCCCAAACAGGGCGGACGGGGTCAGTTTCAGTCTCGACCGCCGCATAACAACCGCGGTCGTCCGCAATACCCAGGAAACAACACCCGGCAGCGTTCACTGTCTCCGCCACGCCCACCCCAAGGCCCTCCATTCCGAGGTGGCAAGGGTGGGCGTGGGCGTGGCGGTTCTCGTGGTGGTCCTCGCGGCAAGGGTCGACGAGGACAATAGTGGTCAGGGCCCGATGCTGCCAACCATGATGACGAAACTTATGTACTTGTACACAGCACACGGATGCGATTTGACTTGAAGACCAAAAACGGCTCAGCGACCCCGAAACCGGGCCGCAGTGGCTCTGCACATATTCTCTGGTTCTGGGCATCTTGAAAGGTTTTTGGGGGTTTCAAGGGCGCAATGCTTATACTAGGAACAGGAACGGGGGGGTAGTGTTTTCAAAGCGATGATATGATTGATATATGTGAAACAAGAAAGCAGATACCAAGTTATCTTCAACCCAGGTGCTCATCGCTGCAATGGCCAGGAAATCCCTGTTCCAAGATATCGACCAGATCATCTAGCTGTCTAATACACAGATCTGTATGTGCATGTTCTTTCAGGTGGACGTTGCGTTCGTTCAAGAGCAACACCGTAGCCGCGCCAGCCATGTGTCCGGCCGTCATATCATCGATGCTATCCCCGACCTATTGGAAATGAGCTTCGACTATATCTTGAGAGGTATATGTCATAATGTGGGGTTCAGCAGGGGATTCCATGAACTTACCATAATAACATTCTCTGCGCGATTCACCAAACCCCATTCTTGCGCAATGTGTAGAATGCCCGCGGGATCGGGCTTGGGGAGTAGCTTGGGCGTGTCACGAGTAATAATAGGGAGGAAGACATGACTTGGGAGGTGGTTTTGGATGAGATACTGTACTGGGGCCCTGGAAGATGAGGTCCATGTAAGTTGAACGCAGAGAAACAAGAGGAAAAGTCCTGGATAGAAGGAAGATGAGCTTGCCTACTCGAAATTCCGCGTACAAAGTGCCCGTCTCAGTCCCCTTGATTCCAAATAATCCATTAATCGTACCAGGCCCGGCTGCGGCTGCTGCTCTAGCATGGCTCGCTGCTCCACGGTCTGCACCTTGGTGACGGCGGCTGCACGCTCCTCGGGCGTGGGGAGGTCCCGGATGTGGTGGAGGATGTCGATGGACTTGTCAATCCCCAAAGCCGCTCTATAATAAGAGAGTCAGAAGAATGAGAAGGGCTCAGTGATGGATTTTGTGGCTTGTGGATTCTCATCCATCTTTCCGGTTTCTCCGTGCATGGGTTTGTGCTCACCTCATTTCGGTGTACATGTGGTGTTGCGGTAGGCTTGGTTAATGTCAGCATGGCTCTTCTTATCCTTGTACGCACTCCAATATCATTCTAAATTTTTCTCTTGTATCAGTGTGGTCGTCCTGCGTGGGCTGATCCTTGAGCCGAACCCCACGTTGACGCTCTCAACACCCACCCCCCGCATGCCATTGCAGAGCAACGATACAGCGCAAGCAGATATGTGCCGGGCTCGGGTGTTTGAGTGGTGGAGTCAAAATAGATAAGTCGAAATAAGAAAAAAGCCATACCATAAAGTCCCGTCCACATCAAAGACCACCCCCTTCAGCGGCGGCGCATCTGACGTCTGTTTCGGGTTGAGCGGTGCGAACCTCCGTGGGCGGCGCTGATCGCAGTCTGTTCTCAGTGCAGACATGATGGGGGACCCACGATGAAGTCTTGTGAATGAAGACATGCACTGGGTGGGTGTGGAGGTGGGAGAAGACGTTGGCCGAGAGCCGAGGACTATCTCCGTCTAATCTATGCCTCTCCTCATCTATATACTTCCCCAGCTCGTCGATGAACCAAAATACAAGCATAGTTCCAAGGTTGTATATTCCTAAATATAAAGAACGCTGGTTCTCTTGTCTGGTCCGATGCTTCGCTCCTTCCCTGGACAGACAGCTCAAATATCCTCGTCTTCCATGTCTGCGATATCTCCCATGCACCATTCTCTACAAAACACTCTTCACACGCCTTCGTTCTTTTCACGATGGTCCTCGAGCCATTTCCACACCGTTCCCACGATACCTTCATCATAACTCTCTCTCAAACCCTCACCCTGATCAGCGCCCTCTTCTACCTCCACCTCCTGTATGCGACCTCCTACCTAGTCCGACCATTCTGGAACTCGCGCCGAGAATTCCCACCTCTTCGCGAGAAGATCGATCGAATCGAAAAACGCATCCTGGAGATTTTTCTGCGCATCATCCCACCCACGGGCTCTCGCGCCGCGCTCCATATTCCCGAAGATGCATTGGCCCAGCGCATGGTCCAGGCCACAGACAGAGCAACAACCCCTCGAATCCCGCCATGCCCGCAGGCACAGTGTCTGTTAGACACAAACCTCATTGCTCCGCTCAGCCTGCCGCAGTGCTACCCGGAGTCATCGACGGAGCGGCGCACAGGACCGCATGGGCACAGGTTTCGGCTGGATCTGGCGTCGTCGACGCGCACCTCGCGACGCATCTCGGCCAGCTCTGCAGTGCTTTATAGTGCCGTCAACAGAATTGCGTCGGATGGTCGATCTAAAATTTCCGTCTTTGCTGGGGCTGCGCTCCATCCTCCGGATGAGATCGTCAAGCCGCAAGTTCAACCTCAAGAGCATTCCCAACACCCACAGACTATGCTTCTCGGCCCTTCTCGGCCCTCGCCATTCTTTACTCCCTCGGATACACCGCTGCTGCCCGTTCATCAGTCGTCTGTCCCAGTCCCAGTCCCAGTTCCTGAACCCATTCCGGCTCAGGTCCAGGCACAGACACAGGCCCCTGAATCTCCTACCCGTCTGAGTCAACAGTCCTCCGTTCCCTCGGCAGACCGCCGCAGTGACCCTGGTCCGACGGCACGCTACTCTGACTCGTTGCACGAGTTCGATGATTCGACTACTGTGCAGCTATGCCGCTCGCCCAAGTACCGGTCCGTTGAGAGCTATCCCGGCAGGTTTCCTGTGAGTGATACCTTGGAGTATAGCTCGCTTGCTACGGCGTCATTTGCGTTCAAGGGTCGGGGGACTACGACTGTTCGGCCGTTCTCGGATTACTAGGATAGCATCATTTAAGCTTTTGGTGGTTAAAGAGGAAGGTGGAGAAGCGTGGTGGGTATACTTGATACTACTCGTGTCTTGTTGATGGGCAGATTTTCTGTTGGGAGATCAGAGTTTATATTCTCTCTTTTGCGTCTTTCACTTTTGTTGAGTTGCATTGCCCCGGTGTTGGGGTTGATATTGAGGTGGTATTCATTACTAGGTGGTTTGTTCTCTCCTTAATACACAGGGTCGAGGTTTCATTGATTAAAAATTGGTAATAACCAAGATCTAACCTAATGTTGTAGAAAAAGGCTTGCCCTCATACCAGTATCCCAGTAGCCCTATCATCCATCATGGCTTATACACCGAACTTTGCCTAGGTAGTGTGCAGGCCAAATGACATCAAATATGCAAGCGGACTCAATCTACAACGGCATATCTCTAAAGTTCCCCTAGAACCACGGAGATAAAATTTGTTGCAAGTGCCAATATAGGGATTTTCGTCATTAAAAAAAAGAACTCGATTAATTAAGAAGCAAAAATACATTTACACTCTTATGAGAGAAGACAATAGGCCCACAAGAACCTTCATGTGACTCACAGAGACACAAGAAACATAGGGATGTTCCTAGTCTCTCAGCGCGATCATGGCGTCGGAGTCGGAGTCGCCGACACACCCTGGGTCTTAGTCTTCGTCTCTGCCGTGTACCCAGAGCATTCGAACGATTGGCCCTGAACTTTCACGATATCGGCTAAAAGAAAAGAGAGAATAGTTAGGATAAAGAAAATAGAGCCCAAAAAAAAGGATGGTAGAGTTAACGAACAGATAACAAGACTGCCCCATCTACCGCAGTTCAAAGTCGTGTCATCCACAGAGCAAGCATTGGCATCAACGCTATAAAAAGCACCGCCACTAGATATAATCAAATCAGCTAAGTAGCCCTCTTAAGAAGAGTCCGAGATAATGTAATTCTTCCCACTCACTCTTTCTGGGCCGCGATTTGGCCGTCGCTATTCGTCACGACACATTGGTTCAGATCAAGTTCTCCCACGGTGTACACATCCCCATCGTTCTGGGGGGAGGGCATTTGGATTTCAGAATAAGGGTGGGGTCTTCCACATCTTGAGTGTAAAGAATCTCCTTGTCCCAGGCACAATCACTGACGCCATTTGCGACGGCACCCGCAAGGAGAGTCAGTGCAGGCAGAAGGAGTTGGTTGAACTTCATGATGGCGAGGGTCAGAGAGAGAGAGAGAGAGAGAGAGAGAGAGAGAGGGGCTCTATTGTGAGGGTAACAAAGAAAAGTATGTGTATCTATAAGAAAAAAAAAAAAAAAAAAAAAAAAGACGGAAGGAATCAAAGTCGCTTCCTTCTCGAATCTTATATAGAGTCAATCAGTGTCAGTTCGGCCTTGTTTTCGGGCCTAAGTTCGGGCTTAATGTCCTCGAGAGTCATTTTCACTGACTCTGTAGATTAGGGCCGTCTAATTGGATCGCCATATGGGATTTCTATTATGGTCTAGGGTTGGCGCCATCGAGTCATGCAGTTTTTATGTAGGAAAGGGGCCAAAAAGAAAAGCGAGTCCAACCCTTCCAACGCTTTAATGATGATGGACTCAAAGCTGAGAATGAAGTGGATCACACGCATTATAGACCCCACCAAGAAGAAGTAGAGTCGGATTGTATGTGGAAGGGGGGTTCTTGATTCTGACCAGGCCCATGCGGGCGGTTAAGATAGCGAGTCATTGCGGGTTCTACAAATCGGCCTGCATACGGAGTCTGGTCTTCAGGGCCCCCACAATTGAGTTTCTGCCATACTACTAACCATATTCGTTTTTTCCCCATACGTTCGCTGTCTTGAAGTCTCGAGAACAAAATGGGTCCGGGGGTGGGGGCCGCGCTATCTTGCTGGGGGAAACTAGGGCTGGGAAGAAGTTCACCGATTTGGCGGGGACAGGCCAAGAAAGAAAAGAAGATACATCCTTCCCACCGGCCCATTTTTCATGGATTATCAACAGAAAAAAGAACGAGATCAAGATGTGCACACATACACAATGCCTCGATTCCCCGGGAAAAGGGGAGAGAAGGGAGGAAGAGAGAAGAACGAAATTGAGATCCAAGATACGGTCATCGCGGTCGTAAAGGGGCATGGACGCCATAAGAAGCAGCACACAGAGAAAAAGAGAAGAGACAAGAAGAAAAAGCCTCGCTAGATACAAGAATTACAACCCAAAGAAGAAAGGGGGTATCACAATGCGGGCTCAATAGTCGTCATCATAGTCGACTTGCATCGGACTGCCTCGGTAGCGGGTTCGCTTGATGTTGCTGGGACTGTAAGAGCCCGCGGAGGCTAAGGGACGGGGTCCCGTGGGTTTGCGGGATGGGGACGAGCGGATGGCAGAGCTCTGCTGGTCGAGGTGTTAGTATTTTCACTTGAGAAACAACAAAGGACAAAGGTGGGGGAGACTAAATACATACCCGTAATGCAGCACGCTCGCTGCCATAGGCCCGGTCCTCATCTTCGGCAATCTTCGCTGGCCGTTCTGGCACCAGCGGCCCGTCATCCTTGACCTTGGGAGGTCGAGGCGGGCCGGGGTACCGATCTGAACGGGAGCTGGTTTCAGAGTAGCCTGCATCGGAAATGGGGGACAGTCGGCTGCCGCCGCTGAAGCGGTTCTGGTTGGGGTTGACCGCAGGCAGACTGGGGTTGGAACCCCACTGGTCGGAGGTGGGTGACACAGGAGACCCGTAGGTCTGAGCCTGGGATTCCAGCTGGTTCTGATGGCGACCCGTAGGGCCCTGTCGGGGTTGAGGATGCTGCAAGTCGAGACTACCTCGATGGGCCCGGTATTTGGGAGGCTCGGAGACCTGAGAAGGCACCAGGGGCGACGGTGGCCGGTTCTCGTTCTGAAGGGTGTCGTCTAATGTGTAGGTGGATCGGATGCGATCGTCGCCCTGGGGGTCGTAGTAGTCGCCCGTTTTGTATGCATCCTGGGCGAGATCGGATCCCGAGCGAGACATCTCGGAGTATGGACGCTCCTTGCGAGAGGGCTGGATGCTGTTGCGGATGTTATCGCCCATCGAAGAGGCAGTGGTCTTGGACCACCGAGAGATCTTGGGAAAGATGGAGGAGCTGCTCGATTTGTGCTTGCGGGCCTTATCGGATGCCTTGGGTGTTGTTTCAGTGCTTCGGGCTCCTGTAGCCACCGGCTTGCGAGGGGGGTTGACAGCGGCACAGAGCCAGCCCTCGCGTGCCGAGCCGGCTCTTGAACAGGCAGATGAGAGGTCATGTAGTCATCGCCCTCGTCCATCTCAAGGTCTTCCTCGTCAGCCTCGTGAACGGTACTGACGCGCTGGTCCGATTCCCTTCGGGATCCATTCGCCGGTCGAGATGGGCTGGAGTGGTAAAGAGAGCGACCTTCCAAAGCAGCGCCATTTTGGCCGTTGGTTTCATAGCCGTTCGGGTCAACACTTCCCATCCTTGCTCCAGTGCGAGGGCTGATGGGATCTTGTCCTGATCGCAGCAACTCGACCTCCTCAAGCAACTGCTCCAACATTCCTTCAATCTTGGTAAGGTCGTTGCCAGACTTGAGACTCAAGCCCTTGAGGGCGCGCTTGAAGATGTTTTGCCGCTTGGTCTGGGCGTCATCATCATCCTCCGCGCTTAGCTGTCGAGTTCGAGAAGTGCTAGGAGGCAGAGGCCGGGGTCCACCGAGAGCCTTATAGGTTCGGTCATGCTGTTTGTCGCTAGACTCCATGAGAAGGCCGTCCTGCTGCGCGATGAACTTCTTCATCTCTTCGAAAGAGTTGCGCATCTCTGCCGCACTTCGAACCAAGGTCACCAGGATTTCGGTATCCCTGGCATTTCGCTGGGCATCGCGAACAGTGAGCTAGAAAATAATGTCAGCAATCGCACAAATGCTTGAGATAAATAGAGGAACAACTCACATGATCCATGAGAGCCACGATGTCCTGCGACTGGATCCTCTCAATGCCTTTCCCGGTAGCACTATCATAAAGCGGCGACCCGACACCGTGAGAATATCCACTGAAGTGTCTCTGGTGACCCGGCGCAAATGGGTCGTCTGCCTCGGTGGGGCTATCAAACCCGCCCATACCGGCAGCATCCGGCCCAAGACCTCGAGAACCCTGCTTCGGGTTGCCGATGCTTGGAGACATGGGGTTGGCAGCCGACACATAGCCTTCATCCTTGGCTCCAAGCGGCGTACCAAACAATTCCCTCGTGCGGCTGTCAATCGGCTGATCATAATATTCGTCACCGCCGAAAATGTTCCTGGCAGTCTGGTAATATTCTGCATCGAGCCCTTGCTGCTGTTCAGCACTCAGACCCTTGACTCCACTGGCTTGAACGCTAGCCGGGTCATAATAGGGAGCCTGGTCAGTCACTGGGGACTGGGGATCGTACGCCCAATGGTCCCTAGTACCCTGAGGGACGCCACCACCGGGGCCCTGGATTATAGACGGATTGGTGTTGATTTCAGACTCGGATTCTTGGCTGTAGTCTGCATCGGCGAGAGGACTCTCCATCTGGCGGGGAGCGGCGCCATACATGCCCGCTTCCTCCAGGTCCTCAATGGACTGGGTGACACTTTGCGGGGGCGATGTGGCTCCCATCCGTCGGGGGAAAGAGGTTTCATCCAGAGTAGCAGCATCCTGGCGCTGTTTCAGGGGGCTTCCCCGGTAACCTTCGCTCATGGGCTTCTCGGGGCTTTGACTGCCCGCGCGTGGCGCCAAGTCAGTCTGGGAGCGGTTGGCAGAACGGTTCGACTGAGACTCAAGCACAGAAGGGTCCATCAAGGAGGCCACAGCCGACTCGACAGCCATGGGATGAACAAACTCAGGGTTGGCAGCGACACCGCCAGTCACATGTTGTCCCTCTTTGATCTTGTCCATGTAATCAACCTTGGTGTCCTCGTCAGGTCCATAGATATCACTTTCCCTCTCAATATGACGCGACTGTTCGTAACCAAGTTCAGGCCCTTCTTCATCATGGTCCTTGAAGATCTCACTTTGACTCTGTGGGCTGGTACCGTCATTTCGCGTGGATCGTGCGAGGTTCGTACTGGGGGCAGAAGACAGGGAGTCGATCGAGAGCCGAGGTTCTATGTCTCGCTTCCCATGGGCAACATGCGCCTCCTGTGGAATGGACCGATGAGCATGCATCTCAGTTTGGTCACTGGCAACGCTCTGGATCGGACTCAGTGCTCGGCCAGCATTGACATCCAACCATTCGCCCTCCGTGGGCAGGTCTCTGGGGTGGGCAGCATCCAGCAAGTTGGCAGCGGCAGCGGCAGCAATAGCCCAGTCACCACCGCCGTCAGTTCCTGGAGATCGGCTCTTGCCGCGTAGGTCACGGTCTGAGCCACTGTGCGCCGAAATATTATGATGTGACTGGTTGCCGTGGCGCATGCCGAGCTCGTTCCGCGAGCCCAATGGCGACCGCGTGGGTGTGCGAGACGTTGGTGATGCAGTGATTTGCCTCGTTGATCCACGAGAGACTTCCGCTTGCGACTTTTTCTTGCGGGGAGTAGATGTCTCGGTGCGCTGGGAGAGTAGCGAGTCTCGGGTCAACTCCGAATCAATCTCGCTCCGCATGGGCATGGGAGCCACGTTGTGCTTCTGGAAAACGAGCTCGGTCTCGTTGACGCTCTCGCTGCTATTCCTCCGTCGACCCTCTTTCTTGTCGATGCTGGATCTAGAGTCATGGTGCTTCAGAGCAGCCGCAGTGAGGGCTGAGCCTACACGCCCAGCTGCTTGAGCATCGCGGAGACCCTTGCTCTTCTGCCGGCGAATCTTGTCTTGTTCGGTGAGCTCGGGTCGGTTAGCCCATCGTACGGCGGCCGCCTCAGAAGACTCGCTGCTTTTGCTGGATTTGCGTTCTTTGTTGCGAGGAACTGATTCGCCCGAAAGAACAATGCCTTCATCTTTGCTGTCCTTGTTGAGAACGACCTTGGGCTTCCTGACATCCGGCGCACTGGCATGTTTTGATAAACGTCGACCCAGTTCATCTCGGGAGCTGGCAGACGAGTACGACGTGGTCATATCTCGGTCGAACTTGGATGTGTTGGTCATGACCTTTTGATCCTTCTTCAGCTCCTTGAGTTCAGGCAGGATCAACCGTCGAATCGCATCTTCCACCGTCTCCAACAGTTTTGGGTTATTGATGGAGGTCTTGGACGCCCCCGAACGGATCGAGTATTGGTCAGACTTGCGATTTGAAGAGACTGCCGACGCACTCAGAAGGCTGGATTCCGGACTAGTGATTTCGTCTTCTCGGTGGGCCTGCCGCCGCCGTCGAGATGGCTTGGGCTCGGCTTCCAAGTAATCTTTGCCGGCCTTGCTCCGGCTTTTACCGCTGGAGGCCTCTTGGGGCGATCCCGTCAGCTTCTCAGCCACTCGGTGGGCGATCCGCTCGGTGCTCAAACTGCGACTCCGTTGACGCGAGGGGGTCTTGAGTAACCCCTTGTCCTCGCGGCTTTCACCACGCTCGAGGCTCTGGCTGCGCTTCCGCCGAGGACCGGCCGACGAGGTATCGACCATACTGTCCGGCGGCATGGATGAAATATCCGAGCTCGGCTGCATGTACCGCGTATCGCGCGAGACGCTGGACATCTCGCTCACTTGGTCTCGGTTCAAGAACTCGATTTCTAACGGTGGGCGACGTGATGATTGCGGACCCTCGTCAACAGCAGAATTGGCAGAGCTGGTGCTTTGGTCATCGGCCGGACCGGCGTCAGCGAGCTGCTTCTGCTTGGAAGATGGCGAGGTGAGGGAAATGCGGCGGGTATAAGATGGTTTGCGGCCGCTACCCGACTCGGTGATCTGGATGTGGTCCTTGTGGTCCTTGAGTTTCCTCGCCGCCGACGGAGTGACCCGAACTCGCACACTCGGCCTAGAGACAACACCGCCAGACCCCTTGCCACCCTCAAAGTACTCGATGAGCAACGAGGTCTGGGAGTCGCGGTGAGAGCGAGACAGTTTGTCGTCCCGGTCCCGATGTCGGGTGGAGACGGTGATGGGGCTGCCGTCGTCCGGGATCGAGTACGACGTCTTGTCTGTGCGGCGAGAAAGGTCAGTTGCCAGATCTGTGCCCGTTGCGCTGTCGCCCGTGGTATCGACGATGGATTCTGTGGGGGCGGGAAGGGCTGGTCTGCGGGTGTCGACCCCCATGGTGGAGACAGTTCCGTCAGCCCGATAATCGCATGCTCTGTTCACAATCGAGCAAGAGGATGGATCAGGACTGTCTGGAGGGGGGTGGGTTGGTCACTGGTGCTCCGTGCTCATGGACACGATAGTGGGGAGGGGAGAGGAAATTGGAGATAAGAGCAATTCCCCGTAGATGGGGGGAGATTAAGCGTACCAGCACAACCACCTGACGATGGAAGAATGAGGATAGAAAGAATAGAGAGAAGGAGAGGTAGAGAGAAATGGGAGGAAAGGGAAAAGGAGATGGGGAAAAAGCAAAAGTGAGTTGTTGCTCTCCGGTCGAGCTCTCTCTCTGCTGATCCCTCACATGAAAATGGGGATCTGATTGGGCTGAATGGAATGGGGCAAAAGGGAGGAGAAAAAGAGATCAAAAAGAAAGACGCGAGGGGCCGATAGAAAAGCCTGGAGATATTCCCAGGCCCAGCCTCAGTAAAAAAAAAAAAAAGAGAGAAAGAAAGAAAAAAAAAGATGGCTGGTAAACAAACGCGGATCCTCTCGGGCGGGTTCCTTGGAACTCCTAACTTACTTCTTACTTTACTTCGACTTCTACTTGTATTTCTCACTATTTACTATAAATGTTCTTGATAATCGACATTAAATTATAGGAAATATTAAATAGTACCACCTATAGTACTCCAGTAATACATTGCTAAGATGGACTTGAATTATACCGGATCACAGACGTCTCTCTCGTCACACAGAACGAACACTCTCCACCTGCGGCCCTCCGGACCCGCTCACCACTAGTGGACTGAGTCGGGTAAGATGAACTGGTTCAAGCAGTAAAGACGGTCGCCCAGACGACAAAGTGCGGATGGGAGGGTGGATTGATTGGCCCCAACACCTGCCAACGCACCACATCCCTGCTGTATCCCACGTACTGTATGGATATACTTGGGTAAAGACCGGGGTAATCCGACATTCTTCACCGCGATCATTGTATGATGGCTCTCTCTTTCTTCAATAATATTATTGTTTGCTTCTGAGCTTGGATCTAAATCTTGATGGAGTCGATTCGATTCAAGACCATGGAAAATTACGTTCTGCGCGTAATGCTTAAGAAAGCTGCACGTCAATCCAATTGCCAACGGGGCTACGCGCTGAACGGACATGCTTAGGCAGGTATTTTCTGCATCTCGGGCAGCCATGGTCACAGATCCCAACGGGGACGACCTACGTATACTATACTTTCACCTACAAACGGTCATAAGATTGTCCAAACTACATCAATCAAAAGAAATAAAAAATATATAAAAAAAAGTTTGGCGGTCATTAACTCCACGTGGTCCATGCCCTCACCCACATGGCATGGATGCTGCGATCGCATTCTGCAAAGCTATTTACCCTAAATCGGCCTCATGCTACAGAATATACCCGTAAATTATTAAGACTGGAAAAATCAAATAGATATATCCACAATGCTAAACTCCGTCTCTGAATTAAAAAAAAAAAATGCAGTCGCTTTTGTCTTTTCTTTTTCTCCTTCCAATTCTATTCTTGCACTCTTAACCCTAATCCCCGTGCTTGCGCTTGAACTTGAGGCCCTTGTTGTTCGGCTGGCTGCCATAGGTGCGGCGCCCTTGTTGCTCCTGCTTCTTGTCACGGCTGAGACTAGAGCCCAGCTGGATATCAATGCGTGGGGGAGCAGAAAATCCGAACCCCTTGGCAACCTTGACAAGGTCCAATTTTTGTACATCAAAGACAGACCGGAGGGAGTGCGAGGCATAGGCTTGGAGGTAGGCCCGGTAACCATCTTTTGCAGACTAAATAGACCAGACACGTTAGCATTGGGAGGACCATCGGATAATAGCAACCAGCCATAGGGAGATAACACACCTTGTTCAAGTAGTAGTTTTGTCCAATGAGCTTCTCCAGCTGCGACTGCACATTCACAATCTTCGATGCCGGGAATTCAAACTCAACCACAGGCACACGTGCCTCTTTCAGGTGCTTCAGGAATCCGACTTCGGAGGGCTGCAAGAACATCAGACTGCGACCCTTGCCATCGGCTCCACGCGCCGTACGGCCGACACGGTGGATATAGTCTCGGGGGTCATCCGGAGGGTCGAACTGGATGATCCAGTCCACGGCAGGAATCTGCAACAATCGTTAGAATGGATCAACAAGGACAATTATTGAAAAAGGACAAACATACATCCAAGCCTCGGGCGGCCACGTCAGTACAGATCAAGGTACCTTGCTGAGCGTTGCAGAACTCGAAGAACGTATTGGTCCGCTTCTGCTGTTTTTGCTTCCCGTGCAGCTCCAACACAGGAAGGTCGATGTAGTTCAAGAGCTCCGCATGGTACTTGACGCAGTTGCAGCTGGAGAAGAAGACAATGATCTTCTTTTTCAAGTTGCGCTTGAGGAACGAGAACAAAAGCAAGAAGCGCTTGTCGGCTTCACAGAGCACGTAGCCTTGCTCCAATCCTTCCACCGTGCTGTGCTCCTTTCGGTGGTCGACATTAACATACAGTGGGCCGGGCCGCAGGGATATCCGTGCCAAATCCTCGACCTTGGTAGTCTGGGTGGCGGAGAAAAGCATGGTCTGCCGCTCCTCGGAGGGCAGGATTTTGACGATCTGACGCATCTCGTCCTCGAATCCGACTTCGAGAATTCGGTCTGCCTCATCGATGACCAGTGTCTTCAAGTTCTTGAAAATGAACCCCGGGGTGTTCTGCAAATGATCCAGCAACCGCCCGGGTGTCGCGATCAGGAGGTTAACACCCTTGGCAAGTTTTTCCGCCTCGGCGCGGCGGTTGGCACCTCCAATAACGATTCCAAACGTCTGCGAATGATGCGCCATGAGCTCCCGGGCAACTCCAAAGATCTGCAGTGCCAATTCGCGGGTGGGGGAGACAACGAGGACACCAGTACCTGCGCAGAGAGGAAAGTTAATAGTTGTTCCTCTTCGTAAATAGCGGGCAGAAAACTCACCATTTCTCGGCTTGAACCGCAATGCGCTCAGCATTTCCACTGCGGGAATCAGGAACGACAAAGTTTTCCCAGAGCCGGTCTTTGCAGCACCCAGGACATCCCGACCCGCAAGCAGAGGAGGAATAGCGCGCTGCTGGATCTCAGTCATGGTCTTAAATCCCATGCCCTCAATTGCCTTCATGGTCTTGTCCGAGAGATTGAGCTGGGTGAATTTTTGCAGCTCGCCCTCCGTCTGCGGCAGGCGCACATCGTCCATGGTGGGAAGATCGGCGGCATTTTCCTTCTCTGTCTCCTCTGGCTCTTCAGATTCATTCTCGCTGTCGGCCTCTTCATCTTCCTTCTCCTCGGCGTCGTCGGCGCTTTCCTCGTCGGCACTAGGCGAATGGCTCACTTTGCGTTTCTTGGGGATTTTTTCAGTTGTATTCTTGGTAGTCGAGGAAGAATTCTTCTTCTTGGTGGTCACCGAGGGGCTTGATTTGGTTTCCACTGGCTTAGGAGCCTCCTCGTTCTCCGCAGATCGTGCGCCGTGCTTTCTCTTGCGCTTCTTCGAGATGGACTTTGCGGTGTCCACGGGGCCGGGCATCGTGGTGTTTGATGAAACTGTAAGGGGTTTCAACCTGAGTCACTGGATGAAGTGATTGCAACGAGGTTTATCGAGGTGTGTATCAACCGCGTGTTTTGTGATGCAACAATCCAATGATTATCTCTGCGGGAAAATCATTCTGGGACTTTTTTTCGGCGGTGAAAAAACCCGGCAAAACTCCACATCACGTGCTGATAGGCTGATATGTCTCTGCCCAACTATTAAGGCACTAAATTTTTGACAGCTGCAGAAATCAAGAAGAGGTGATGTATATTACTCTGTTTAGATTCTTCGAAGGTCCTTCCTTATTTTATTTTATTTTATTTTATTTTTCTTTTTTAGTGTATCTTGAAGCTCTAGTGAGTGCAATATTCTTACTGCTATCCCAGTAAGTGATATTTTGCGTCTTTTGAATCTATAATGGCACCTTGTCAGACTAATATAACAAAAAACATGACAAAAATGGTTTGAAAAATGTATTGAAAAGATATAGAAACTATAAATTAGAAACTGCCTAATTACTTAATGGCAAGAGAGAAATAGATAAGCCAAAGAAATTATTGATACCCATTCAATTCTATTAAGGATTCAAGTACAATAGTACAAGAGACGACTGAGCTTTTGATTATCTTAAGAAATATCAGCCAGTCTGCAAATCTTCTAGGCAGCATTCAAGATAATTCAGCCAGGTCCAAGCCAGTAGTCTTTATTGGAAAGATGCCACTGTACAGATAAACCAAGTAGAGCCTAATGTGGCAATGTCTTATGCTCAATTTAATCTGAGCTTAGACGAAAAGCTTTTCCCTGCCATTCCCAGAAAATAGTTGTATCAAGAAACTGCCTAAGAATGCTAGATTTGTATAAACTCAAGGCGTCAGGAGTTTGGGGAAACCCTTACTAGATTAGGTACAAGTTCGGGGGGTAAATCTTAATTCAAAGTGATCTATATACCCAAAATATCGCCAGCTATATCTACTGGGTAAAGATTTATTTTTTTCTGTAGGTGGTGAGAGGTCAAGTAAAGTCGAATCTTTGCCATCGCATCGATGTCATTAGAGTGCGAGTAGAAAATAAGAAACCCAAATACAAATTCAAATTACGGCTGGTTGTATACTCACCCCGGGTTATGGTATGTACTCCAAGTAATCTAATCGCCACTGAGATGGACAGAGGTTTCATCCATGGATGCAACTGGGTATACCTCACCTACATAGAGTATCGGTGGCGACCAGACAGAGCTAAAAATAGTACCGGGCCTCCCATGGCTACGTACGGTGACAGCCAGCGACCCTTGGTACTCGATGTATGCGAGGCAAATGCGGTCTTTCATCTTCCAGGGTGATATAGCACGCGGCACAGGGCCACCAGGTCGACGTCATGACACACGCTCAAGCGCTATGATCTGCACATTGATCAACACGGAGAATGACGATCAGGGGATGGTACAGGAACATCAAAAATTGACGACAGTAAGTATATATGCAAAAAAAAAAAAATCTTTTTTCAGAAAATTCAGAAAATTAGCCGCGAACAACAAAAGGTGAAAGTGCATGATCAAAGAACAACATCTTAGCATTCAAATAGCAACAAAGTCATGTCTGAGACATGGCTTGTGTAGCAGACACTTCGAGAGCACGGGCTCAAGCTAACGAGGCTGTGCAATTACGCCAGCGCTAAAGAATCTGATTCCTTTACTTTGATATCCCCTGTATACTACTAGATACCACTATTACTATATATACTTGGATATCTGCAGCCATTAATTAGTGGAAATAATTTGTCAATTTTAGATTGCCAAACACAAAATGATCTTCCCAGCCCGCGCGGGAGCCTAATTAAAATTCCACTCTGTGATCGAGGACTCGTGATGACCTCAGATCCATGCTTCGACAGGTAGATATCCATGGAGAATTCAAGTAAAAATGCTTCGTTCATCCCCCCTGGTAAATATGAAGGCCTGGAGTTTGATTAAATATCTGGGCGCCAATGACCCCCAACTCCTGGGCAGGTCTTGGATTAGTACTAGGCAGACAAGATACACGGTCGCGAGCAGAAAAATCAAGGCCCCGGGAGCGGTATGGCTGACGGGTCGGTGAAGATGGTCCACCGCAACAGACACCCAGTCAAAGACAATGCTCGAGTGGTATTCCCTCCACCTTTTCCACGGCTTATGGTTCACGAGCCAAGAGCAAATCTCCAGGACGCCAAAAGACCCGCCCGAACCCGCCACGATCCATCCACCGCTTCCGGGGCCCAGAACCACGGGGCCGCGTGTGCGACTCATTTTCAATTTTGGTCTTTGGAGGAACCTGTGTGTGGTGACTTCCAGATAATCAGAGCACATGGATATATCAATACTCCCCTCTTGTCTTGTAAGGTAAATATAGATCGTTCATCAAGGCGTTGGAGATGGGAAGTGTGGCCTCCCCTAAGGAGGTCTGCAAAAGGAACACCAGAAAACGAACTTAAACCCAAATACCATCCGCTGATTGGTTAAGAGCCAGCCGCCTGGATCCTCATACGGTCATTTACCGTAATTTACGACATACCACAGGGCCCCCATTCCCCTTGGCCCGCATTGTGTCCCTGAGACAAGAGGCAAAATCGCCAACCTCCCCTTCCCCCCCATCTCACCCTCGTTCTCTCGTTGTCCCTCTTTTCTTTATCTCTTCTGTCCCCGAGAGAGACAGAGAATCGCTTCCTGTGATCCCCCAGGAAGTGCCACCTCCTAGGTCTTGGATACTTCCTTTTCCTCGACCTCCACTTCCTCCCTTTCCGGCTATACTGGGTATCGCCGCTTCACTCGCTCGTCGACTCTGGCTTTGGTCCAGACAGTTTACTTCTTCGCCTTTCATTCGGATTTCGGTCCATCGACTTTCGTTCATCTTCCTTCCCGACCTCCCGATCCCCCTTCGTTCACACCCAGTCTCACCAGTTGATCCCGCACCGCGATTTCCCCATGTCGCTGTGAAAGCGCATCGATAATTATCAAATCTCGAATCTTTGCGACGTCAGAACATTTGTCGTGGCCGCTTTTGGGGCTGCTTGGAATCAATCTAGTTCCACATCATCACCTCGGCCGTCTGGAGATTTCCGCATCCGGCGGTGGGCAACGTGGTACTCTGAAGTATCGTGACACAACTACTATCCTTACTTTCTTCTTTCCCCTTGACCCCGACTTTTTTCGACATTCCCACACTTGATTAGAATTCATCATGAGGTTAATACCGCTTCTCGCCTGTCTCGTCGCCTTTCTGGCGCCGATGGTGTCTGCCGTCAAGCTCCTCGAGTCGAACGCGCTAAACGTCTGCATGCAAAGTAGCAACTTCACTGCGAAATACTTCAGCGTCAAATTTTACCCCGGCAACAGCTCTCTCGAAGTTGGGTTCAATGGCGTGTCATACATTAATGGCAAGGTCATCGCGGACGTCACCATCCTTGCGTATGGCAAGCAAGCGTACCAGCAGACGATCAACCCCTGCTTATACAAGGGCTGGGGAATGTGTCCGATGTCTCCGGGTCCGATGGATATTGGACCGGTTCCGCTCGACTTGGACAAGAACACCATTCAGTCGATTCCAGGTGAGTCGTGTGTGAAATGGGGAATCGCGAATGAAGAAATACTGACTTGGAAACAGGCATCGCCTACACAATCCCTGATCTCGACGCGAAAGTGAGAATTGTCATTACAAAGGCCGACACGAAGGAAAAGATTGCTTGTGTCGAAGCTCAGCTTTCCAATGGCAAAACAGTCTACCAGGTCGGGGTCGCGTGGGTCACTGCACTCATCTCTGGTCTAGGCCTAACCGCATCCGCAATTACCTCGGGGCTTGGCCATTCTAACACTGCGGCCCACGTTGCGGCGAACGCGCTCTCCCTGTTTGGATTCATGCAGTCCCAGGCTATGATCGGAATGACTTCGGTTCATATGCCTCCAATTGTTCAATCCTGGACGCAAAACTTCCAATGGAGTATGGGTATTATTCGTGTCGGCTTTCTCCAAACAATCGCCACCTGGTATCAGCGTGCGACGGGTGGAACTCCCTCGACGATGTTGTCTCAGCTCGATGACACCTCGGTAGAGGTTCTTAAGCGCAAGCGAGACCTGATTGCCCCCGCGGTCAACTTGATCAAAAGAGCCGCTGAGCCTCTCATGAAACGGCAAGACAACGATGGCAAGTCCAACCAAAAACTTTTCGTCGTTCGCGGTATCGAGCGTGTCGGATTCCGTGCGGCCATTGAGGAGACAAACATCTTTTTGACTGGCCTTATCTTCTTCCTCGTCTTTGTCTGCTTTGTGATCATGATCGTAGCCGCCTTCAAGGGTATCTGCGAATTGCTCGTTAAGCACGGCAAGATGAAGAGTGACAAGTTCCAAGACTTCCGCAACGGATGGAGGGTTGTCACTCGAGGAATTTTGTTCCGACTGACCCTGATCGGTTTCCCCCAAATGTGTGTCCTCTGTCTCTGGGAGCTCACTCAGCGTGATTCCCCTGCCGAGATCCTTTTGGCTATTGTCATGTTCCTCTCTCTGCTTCTCGCACTCGGCTGGGCGGCGCAAAAGGTGATCCGACTGGCCAAGCGTTCTGTCACCATGCACAAGAACCCGGCATATATTCTCTACTCCGATCCTTCGTGTCTGAACAAGTGGGGATTTCTCTATGTGCAATACCGGGCCACGGCATACTATTTCGTCGTTCCGGTCCTGGCCTATGTCCTCATCAAGGGCATGTTCATTGGTCTGGCCCAGCCCGCTCCGGTTGTTCAGACCGTGGCCTTGGTGATTCTTGATGCAGCCATGCTGGTTGCTGTATGTGTTCTCCGTCCGTGGATGGACAAGAAGACCAACATCTACAACATTTCCATCGCTGTGATCAACTTCATCAACACTATTTTCCTGCTGGTCTTCTCGGATGTTTTCAACCCACCCGGAATGATGGTCGCCATCATGGGTTTCTTGTTCTTTGTCTACAATGCCGCCTTTGCTCTTGTTCTTCTGATTCTCGTCTTGATCGCCTCCATCTATGCTGTCGTGTCGAAGAACCCGGACACCCGGTACCAGCCGATGCGAGACGACCGCGGCTCCTTCATCAAGTCGCAAACTCAGCTGACGACCGAGTTGGATGCTTTGGGTGCTACGGCGCGTGGTGATGACAAGGCTGGCGCAGGTCACTACAACAACAACAACCCGTTCGATGATGACTCTGCTTCTATCTCCAGTGGTAACGGCGCCACCGTCGGCCAACCGCACCATTTGGACACGGGCAATGCCAACAGCCATTCTGCCCGCAACCAGCCCCCGCCATCACCGGTTGACCCATCCGTGCCGCTGTTCCCCACTGGCGCCTCGGGTCACCGGGGTCCTCCGCCGGGTTACGACCACTTCGGTCGGTCTCCCTCGCCAGCGGCCCGAAGCTACGACAATGCTCCAGTGGGGCAATCCGCTTTGGCTACCAACTACCGCGCACAAAACAATGCCAGTCCATGGCAACGGGGAGCTGGTTATGACCACTGAAAAAGGGAAGAGAAAAAGAGGCCCTTGTGCCTTGTTTTGCCGTTTTATCTACTTCTATCCTGACATGAAGCTATGTGATTTTTTAGCGCGGGGTAGCGATGGTCTATGAATGTTTTCTCATCCACCATCCCCCCTGGTTCGGTCTATTTGTTTTCCTTCTTTTCTCTCCTGCCTCCCCAAGTCAACTGCTGTCGACTATTGCCGAGCCTACTTCTCTTCTGACTCCACTATAATGAGTGGACCCCTTTCAAGTTCCAATCTTATGCTCCTCCGTCCCATCTTTTTTTTCTTTTTGTTTTTCTCTCTTTTCTCTTTTCTTTCTCTATTCCTTTCTTCCCCTTCGTTCTGAAGCTACCTTTTTCGTGCTTCGACGTGTATTTTCTTTCTCTTGCTACCACGCGGCGTTCCTGATGCATTTGGGATAACGGGGAATTGGCCTGGGGTTTTTGTGGGCTCGCTGGGGCTCTTTGTGGTCCAGCGCAAATATACATTTCCATTTCTTCTGTTTTTGTTTTTCTTGCCTTGCCTTGCTCTCTTTGTGTCTTCTTTTGTTTCTTTTTGCGTTGCTCCTCGGGCGTTTGCGTTTCTATGTACGTGCATGTACTCTGGAACCTAGTCCTAGTGTCTAAACATGATGAATCTGTTTCATTTGGCTGTTGAAAGAGATAGATTATCTTGATATGCTCTACCGAGGTAAGCATGTAAGCATTTAGGGTATCAACCTTGGAATGTGTAGGCATATCTATCTACTTCAGGTACGGATGGAGCGCGAGGATTGTTTTTTTTTATCATTCCCATAAAAACCCACATTTATATGATCTGGTAGATACCCGGTGCGCCAGTTGATCCCAGCATAAGAAGCCAGGAAGCATTCTCGGAGACATGACATGAAAAAAGAAAGAAAGAAAACGCTATTATACAACAGACAAAGAACAAGTGATGATCTTGGCCCCCATGGTTTTAGTTGCGCAACTCCTCTCTGGACCCCCCTTCCGACAGAAATGATCAGGCGTGGCAAGATAGTACCGGCGGGGACTGTCTATGACCCTATCATGAGAAGATATGGGTGGATAGGCGAGGCGTTCACTGCAATCCGGTGTAAAAAGAGAGGATGAGAGGGGCTGTTCAAAGGAGAAGTGGGGGAGGGAGAGAGTTTGTGTGACGGAGAGAGAAGAGAAGGGGAGCAATGAAAATCACCACCGGTCTCCCCTCCCCGGCGGCGGGCCATACCCTTCGGACGCGCGCGGGCCCGTCGGGACAGGAGAGTTCGACGCGCCGGGCGGAGCACCGGGGCCGGGGCCGGGACTCGGGCTGATACCAGGCTGGCCGGGCATCGGCGGGGGAGGGAAGGCACCGGCGCCCGGCGGGGGCACGGGGAAGTTTGGCGGGAGGCCGCCAGGCGGAGGGGGAAGGCTGCGCCGCCTGGGGGCATGTTGGGGAGGGGCGGGGGGAAACCTCCCGTGGGCGGGGTTCCGGAGGCATTGGGGAAGGGCGGCATGAATGGGAGACCGCGGCCGCCTGGGGCTGTTGAAAAACAAGGTATCTATGTTAGCAGGCTGCTATATATTGGGAGAGAAGTGATGTGAAAAAGGCAGGGAGAGCGTACGAGGCGGCAGTCCTGGTGCGCCTGGAGCACCTGGCGGCGGAATTCCGAAGGGAGGAGGCGGCACTTGACCGGGTCGGCCTGCATGAGGTTAGTAGAAGACCAGTATGAATTTCTGTTATGGATCATACCGGGAAAGCCAAACGGCGGCGGAAACGCTCCTGGCGGCACCATAGCAGGATTGGGCAAAGGCTGGCCCTCCGCGGCGTAGGACGAGGTAATCGAATCAATGACCGACTGTGCCTTTTCCTGGCCGATTTCTGCACATGGGTTGGAAGGTTAGCCACGCCCGACACAACTCCTTTGTATCCACCCTTCTTTTCTCAGAGGGTTCCAAGTACATACGTTGATAATACTCCACAACGTTCCTCAAATGGTTCCGGCCAGCATTATGCGCCTTGCGCACGCTCATCGAGTCATGCGTAAGGTAGACATCGCAGTAGTCGCCTGCAAACCCAAAGAAAAGTCAGCGATCCAGCCACAGAAGAATGTTGTTCGTCATCGTCATCGAGGTATAGAGCTCAAAAGTGCCATATCAATCGTGTCGCACCGCGTTCGGAACGAGTTCGATCCCAACACTGCTTGATCGCTTGGTGGGGAGGCAGTCCACACCAGTCTGGGGTGTCAGTCTGGGGAGACCTACAAAAGAGTACATAGAAGGTCAGCCTGCAGATCAAGGGTATTATAGGACCAGGGGGAACTTATATTTCGGCATCTTGCTAGCTGCTTCAGCAAATACTTTTGCTGTCGCGCGAAAAAGGAAAATTCCGGTTCAGGAGACGAGTTGCTCAGAAGACGCTTTCTTGGGACTTTAGTTTCCGTGGATGATGTTATCTCGGCTAGGCACTCGGGGCAATGCGCTTGGTAGCCTGGCAGAGCATTGAATGGATACGCAGAGTCCGACTGGTCGCTGAGCTGCCATGGCGCAGGTTGGGGCGGTGTTGGGTGGCAGAATATGGCTACTGTGGACGACAAGAGCCACTCTCGACAACTTGGTGTCTGCTTGAAACTTGGATTGGCCAGCTTTTCACATTAAAGTAGTTAAATATGTTTATTGTGGGGAGGTAAGAAACTGAAGTACTCTCTTTTTCTATTTTCAATGGTAAGAATATCAGCGAAATGGAGAAATATAGACCCGAAATAAATTATTCAAGTATATCGGCAGACCGCTTCCCCATATCAGTGAATGGACATGCAATCGCCAATTCAACCACCAGAAAGTGGTCGATCTCTCGCTAACATCCCCTCTTCTTGATTACAAAATTCAAATTACCCGAAAGCTTGACCACACCCCTAGACCACCCTGTTTATACTCTTGCTTACTCTACTCCCTGACGGCCACTCGCACCTTCTTGCTTCCTTCGGCAGGAAAAGGCACGAGCAGGTCAATAACCGCATCCACATCGCGCTCTCGAGTAGTGTCATACAAAGCCAGCGTGGGGCCAATCTGTTTACCTGAGCCATCGTCAAGGTCATACTTGCGGAAGATTCCCGCCAGCACAATATACAGCTCCGCATAGGCAAGGTTAAACCTGTGTTGAATTGATCAGCTGGAGTGGTTTGAAAAGAAGGAGATTGCCGGGAACTCACCCCAAACACATCCGAGTTCCTCAAGAAGACGTCAACAGGCAACGGTCGATCCGAGGGGTCTCCAGAAAGCGCTCGAGTTCGAATTTGTACGGGTCAGGGAAAATGGCCGCATTCATATTCACTGGGAGCGCGGTCATCGTGGCGGGTGTGTTTGGAGGGATCACCCACTCCTTACCAGCAGCCTTGTCGTGGTACACCATGGTGTTGTCCGGAGCCACGCGGGTCATACAAGCCAGCCCCCGGGTGAACTTGAAGACATTCGGCGATGACCGCATTCAGAGAGGGGAGCTTCTCAATGGTCGCCAGTGAAGGCACGCTGTTCGGGTCAGGAAGTGCGGCGGCGAGCTCGGCTTTGAGTTTCTTGAGCTTGTCTGGGTTGGCTAGGAGCTCATAAGTGATAGCGCTGAGTGTACAAGCTGCAGCAATGGTTGATTTCTTATCATGGGTTTTTGCTGGGCTCCCCACACCCGAGCTTTATGCAGTCGGCGTAACGGAAGAGATTGAATGCCCAACTACAACTCACCTCTGCTGTCTTGTCCCGCGAGAATCCGCGAGAATTACCATTTGGGCTTCTTGTCGCAGCCGATACGTGGTCTTCTCTTCCGGCGGCAGATCACTGTTCAAGATCCCATGGAACATCATGGCATCGGCCCCGTCGGCGTTTTCTTTGCTCGCCCAAATTTCCTCGATCTGTTTTATTCATTGCTAAAACAAGACGAAATCAGCTAGGGGACAACAAGCAGAAGGCGAACTGCCACATCGCAGGAAACTCACCTGATGCATACTCCACAGGGACTTTAGACCAAGATTAGACCAGGATACAACAATCCCATAATCGACAGCGGCAGCATGTTCATCAGGGTCCACGCCAGACCGAACATGGCATCGACAGCCGCAAACCGGTCACCGTTGAAGTTTTCTCGGTGCACATAGGTCGTGCGGGACGGTTGCGGCGGTTGATTTCGGGACTGTTGTTTTTGGCTTTGTTTTTGTTGTTTTTTTTAAATCATTATCGTTTCATTGCGGTTCTTGAGATGCGGATGCGGCTTACGCAGAATTGATCGCTCCAGCCATTTGTACTTGTCTCGGCGCTGGGAGTTGCCGGTGAAAAGGACGTCGGCGAAGTCGGGGTCGTTGACATGAATCTCATGCGGGTTGATGCGGACAATTTGACCTGGGGGGAATCAGTTTCTGCTCGTTGGGGGTATTGAGAGAAGGGTAAACAAACCATATTCCTGGTGCAGCTTGTCCAGTTTTTTGAAGAACTGGCCTGTGTGATAAATATCGTAGTAGGCCTGATACAGGGTGGTTAGGGCTGGGGTTGTTAGCAGATGGATGCAAGTTTGCCCATGAGGAGAGGAGAATGTGAGTACCAGCTAGTTTAGGGCCAGAATATTTGGTCAATGGGCTCAAATAGACTATCTCAATAATTAGTTCAGCATTGAATGGAGGAGTTGTTGCATGCTCGCCTCGATAGACTCCCAATCCCATTAGGTAGACCAAGTAACCCAGGGCAAAGAGAGAAATCGGGCCCAGATTGAGCCACTGTAACATAGGAGTAAGCAAAAATAGCATGGTGATAGATATACTAAAGAAGAAATCCTGTTGTAGTTGGTAGTTACAGTCGTTTAGAACGCATCCTACAGTACATACTTGCGCTATCTTAAATTCTCTGGGCATTCTAAAAAGACTCCGCTCATATACAACAAAGCATGGGGATTGCAAGAACTGCTTCAAGCCTTGTGTTACTTTGTGCTACTCTGGAAGACCTTTGATAAGCCCTCGAGATTCTGATCTGCACTTGTTTGGTTCTCTTATACAGTAGTTCGTGTGTAGAAAGTAGAATCTCAAACTCAAAAGTGCATTGGTGTCGCTGGATTCGGGAGGCCCGAGTTACATGATTTCTTCCGACACTCCCAAGGTATGAATGAAGATATACCCAATGATGGAAATAAAGCGCGAGACCATCGGTAATATGTAATATCGCTGGCTAAAGGCGTGGCTAAAATTCAAATCCAATCTATGTATATTGATCACTAGAGCAAGATCAATTCCAAGAGATGGTGTCCCGACGATTTTCCACATGAGGGTCTGACAACCTCATGCACTCCATGGACTTTATATCCAGGGCCCTATTATGATAGGTGGGCTTGGCTGGAGTTACGGCACTTAGCATATCTTGACAGTATTAGTCCATGTGATTGGGCCAACATATTTATACCGCATCCCCATATCCACTATCTCTACTTTGAGAGGACGCAGAATCCAGTTCTTGTATCTCTAATTTTGCCATATGGGCAAAAGATTCCATGAAAATTATTGCACTAAGATGGGTGGGTAGCGATTTAGGTAGAAAAATTTTCTAAATTTCTCCATTGCGAAGGATGCGGTTCATATAACTCTATAGACCCTGTCAATTCTGCGTCTAGTTATAGTACACGCAAAAATAGCTCGCCATTATGTTATCCTTCACGATAGATGTCTTGCCTGGGTGGTCCTGACTTGATTGGCAGACACCCTGGAAGTGATCAAAATCTAGATACTATGAAAGAGTAGTGAGAGGATCAAGTTTGAAGTGAATGCTGACGGTAGAAATAAAATCTTTGGACCGGAATCAGCAAGGACAAGAAAGTAGGACCGACCTTTGAAGATTTCGAGGATTGAATCTCCTCAATGACGCGGTTTCATTATGAATGACCCTCACCGTCGCACAGCAGCGAGTCCACAATCAACGAAACGTCGGGCAGCAGTCAGCTAAGCATTCCAAGCAGAGCCACGAACCAGGGCCAGGAAGTCTTGGTGGTCTCTGTGTAACTGAGGGATTTTATATAGAATAGAATAGAATAAGTATTACGTCTCCATGCCTAAATAACCTCGGAAGGGATTTAATTTCCTGGCTCTATATTCAGTCTCGTTAGCAATCCGTCTAGTCTGTGCTGCAGCCCCTCCGACAAAATAGAAATCCCATGAGCTTAGTCTCTCTCACCCCAATAACCTCCACCTCCCCGACATCCCGTTGAAGTTTACACGCTGCCAGCCCAAATCCCTGTTCCAGATCACGCCATAATCCCGAATCTTTCTACCGAGGGGTCCCGGATGGCGAGCTCAAGCCTGGGACAGTCAGAACCAAGTCATACTCAGCATGTACTACTTGCATCATCCGGCATCCCCTGACCCGGCTCCTATCCGGTCTCGACCACCTAAATCACGATAATCATGTGTCATGTTGCGCGCTATTATTTAATCCCGTTGGAGGCGTGGCGGTCAAAATGGATCTGGCAGTGTCTCCACTACAAAGTACGTACAGTAATGTAGTTTGCCTCGGGGAGGAGAAGGGGGAGGGGAAATGAATGGTCGGAGAACCTGCCGTTAGGGTTCACTGTATCGGAGATGACGTTCGGTTACATCCCGCATGACCGAGGTCTCGGCTTCTTCACCAATGTACATACCCAGTAAGGGCACGGACTAAATTACAGCAGAGACAGTGTGACTGCTACATCAAAGCATGTCCCGCCTGAGAATGACTGAATGATGCGAGGCGCAGTCATTCGCACCTGGGAACAACGGTGTCTTCTCCACGCGAAATCCAAGTCAAATCCCATGATTTCATGGAATAGTTCCTCGGCGCGAGGTTCCCGAGGATCAGTCCCAGGGGGTGCGTGATTAAGATCCATAGGTTTGAACAACCAGGTGAGGGATCATCAGTCAGTGATCAGAGGTCAAGGGATCAAATTCCGTGCAGAGAGACAGAGACAGAGACAGAGAGCATGCTTGGCCTGTCGGAGTCTGGGGAAGAGGAAAATCTGGGGAAAAGCCGCACAGACAGTGTCAAAAAAGATGTGATTTACCAAGTCGCCGCTCGGATCTCTCGGCCATTCAGCATGGTTTTTTTTTTGTCTCATTTTTCTCCTCTCGGCTGATCTGTTCTTGGGTCTTTCGTAATTTGCATTTGTTGCATCTGGGGGGCGTACCATTCGTTTTCCGGGGCCAAAATTAGCAAAAAAAGGGGGGACTCACATTTGATGTTGCCTTGGAAGATGCGCCGAGAAAATAGAAACAATAGAAAAAAAGCAAAGGAGTTCTTGGGAGTGGCGCGGTTGAAGATTCTTTCTGGGCATCATCTGGGCATGGCTCGGCAGGGCAATACGATTTGCTCTCTGCCACACATTATTCAAGGGGGTATGCGTGAATTATTTGCAGATGATCTTCCCTCTCTTTTTTTTTTTTTTTTTCAGGTACCGGGGCCACGCTAACAAAGTAGTGTCAAGCCCTAGCCCGGACTAAGTGGGAAGAATTATCCCGCAAATTTGCGTGCGATGGGGTCATCGTGCGTGGATCAGCCCCTTGAAATTGTACGGTAAGAAATGGACATGGGAACCTTGGAAGCGTTAGGGCGATTTGAGGGATTGCGCCAGGCTGAATGGAAATTATGTCACGGTATGGTGCAATTCGTAGACTGTAGTAGACTGTAGTAGACTGAGTGTATAGTGAGGATGTAGTATATGAGTTAGGGCCTATAGGGCACCTGACGTGATCACTATGTAAATGAGCAATCTTGGCGGTGAATGGTAAGTATTACACAGTCAAGTGCGTGATTCTGGGCCTTGGATTGAGTGGTTTTCGAGTTTTCATTACCCCCACAAAACCCACTCGCTGCCCAGGTTGTGCTGTTGCTGCCTGTGATTGGTGGCTGCGCCGGTTTCTCTTACGTGTTGCCACCGACGGTGCGTGGTCAGATGATCGGGGAGCGTTAAAGCGGCGAGGGAGGATGGGTGGAGTAGCAACAGCATATCCTCAGGGTCTCCCACAAAATCCCCACGCTGGCACACCCAATTCTGCTGTGTCAGCATCCTCTGCTGACTGTGTAGGGTATCTCCACCGTGCTGCCTGAAAGCAATGACGAAATTCTTTTTTTTTTTAATAAAATCCCTACAGCAACCAGCCCCACCCGCAGCGTGTGACCCATGGATGTCGTGTCTGGCCTCGGATACACCGTGATGACTCGACTATATATAATGCCCGCCCCGCGATGCCCGGCTCCATAATTGCTACGCAAAGTTTTTACATTTGGCCTCACATGGACAGGATATCATAGCCTGCACAGCTTAGACTGTCTATTCTGTTTCTCGTCTACCCTCTTCTTTGCAATTCGCATTTTACTTGGTTGCACCGTGTTCACCTCGAATTTCCCTTCACCATGCCTGCTTCCAATTACCGCGTCATTGAACCGCACCCGTCGGTGCCGCACACCAGCCGCCCTGCCGTCTACACCGGCCGCGGCGGCTGCGGGAATGTCATTAGCCTGAAAAACACCAAGACCACTCCCTCGCGCACCGCCACGGGTCCCGCCTCGCTGACCCGCCTCGACTCGCGGACTCCGTCGACCTTTGTGTCCGGCCGCGGCGGCGCTGGCAACGTCCACCGCAGCAGTGAACGCGCCATCTTCAGCTTCGACGAGGAACTCGAGCGCGACCTACGCCGCGCTGCCCCCGTCTACCATGTCGGCCGCGGCGGTGCTGGCAATACCATCTTCGGCGACGACGCCAGCTCCAGTCTCAGTCGCAAGTACTCCGCTGGGAGCACCACGACCAACAGCAGTGCCGGCTCGGTGGCGGACCGCGCGCGTGACAAGGCCCGCCGTGGTCTCGAAAAGGGCTGGGGCAAGCTCAAGGGCGCCGCCTAAATGGGATTGACCCATTGATGAACACAATCTTCACGACCTGACGACAACCACAAAAGTTCCTCTCCACTTCTCTCTCGACTTCGTTTCTTTTTCTTCTCTCCTACACCTTAAGGGAAAGCAGATGTTAACCCTGTTGATCCCCGATGGTCTACTCGATACCCCCTTCGCGCGAGACCAACACACTGGCATCGCCGAGTCTTTCTTGACACCCTTCCTACCGGAGGCTTTTCCTTTGTGATTTTGTGTTCTCTATGTGCATTGAGAACTCACTCCAATCATGGGACCTCGGCGTTTTTCCTCTCAACAATGGCCCGACTACTTTCTAGTAGTCGGGACCATGGAACATGTGCATTCGCCACAGGTTGCCAGATTCGCGAATTGGGGTGATTTTATTTCTCGTCTCTTCTTTTCTTCTCTTGTCGACCCTTTTCATGTGCCCGTGGATTGCGCCATCGGAGACTTATAAGTCTCGTCGAATCATCTCTCGGAGTCCTGTACCATTTTTTTTATTTCCCTTTTTTGAGTCTTGATTTGACTACATATTCCCCCCATATCGCGATACTGCCCCGAGCTACTACTTTCTAGCCATGGGCCAAACAATGGAAACGTGCTCAGGTCTCATCCTGGCTGTTCTACTGTACCATTTATCTTTCCTACTATGAAAGCTTGTAAATTATAATTGTATTGTGGATATGTAAGACGTACTCTTGTTCCAGGGTTGTGTGGATGGCGACATTCGGAATCCGGTTGAGTCGCACTGGAGTTTTACAACGTCGTAGCCGATGGGAGCCGGTGGCAACCGCTGGTTATTTGTTGGTTGCAAACGGTTTCTTTGTTCTTTTTCAAAGAACTATATTTGTAAGAGTATATGGGTTCTATCACACTCGAACTATGCCTCCATTATTGTTAGAAGCTCTGCCGACTACATAAGATGCTAGGTAAGGGGGTCAAGGAAAAATAAAACTCCGATCTCCGTTTTTACAACGGATCCACTTCTCCATAACTCTGATCGTGGCGCAAGGGTTGTGTCTATTTTGTGTGGATTTTATAGTTATAGAGTGCAAGGCAGCATAGAGGCAGTCGAGTCAGAAATGGTTGTCTCGAGGATTATATCGTTGATCGACTCGGTTGATTTACCTGCAAACATAGTAGAAATGTTGCTTAAGTTGGTTCAAATCAAGCACAGTTATGACAAGGCGTTTCTATAAATCCCGAGTGAAACTTGAAAATCTAAATCACAAGAATGTATACTATCTGCTCCGCACATTCAACATAAAAAGACATTGTATTTTCACAAATAGGCGAGCTGGGATGCAAAGACCAAGCGTAGTGAATCATGTAAATAGACATGGTTCGGGGGGAGGAGAGGACAAAAAGAAGAAAGGGGGGTATCAAAAGTCGCGGGTGTGACTGCGACTCGGAATGATCGGTGATCGGCGTATTTGGTCATGCAGGCCCGATGGCTCCATGATCAATTCCAATGGACAAGATGTTTTCTCTCCGTCGATGTGCTGGATTTGCAGGGTGAATATGCCAATATGCCATCCTTTTCAAAGAGGCCCATCGCTGCACCCACATAAGCGGCAGTGCTTTGAGGCGAGTCCGGCGATACACCCGGAAAGAGCCAGCATGATGGCAGATGATCGTCTAGGCGAACCGCTTGAAGATAATCTCAGGGTCCTCGTGCCATTCGTCCGCACTCACCCACATCTAAAATGAGATCAATAAGCAATGGCGTTCCTGACTGATGCGGATCTCACATACCTTTCTGAACGTGCTCAGGCCAGCAAGAATGCTGCCGCCGATCCACGTAGTGTATTTGCGCTCCGCCGGCGCCGAAATACGAATCTTCATGTCCTCGACGGCGAGTCTCTTGATCTCGCGCATCAGCCGGTCGGGGAAGTTCTTGCACAGTGTCGATCCGCCTGAAAGCACGACGTTGAGGTAGAGTGACTTGCGCAGATCGAGATCTGTGCGTGTGATGGCGTCCTGGACGATCTGGTGCACGCCGGGGTACTCGAGGCCGATGAGTTCGGGGTCGAACAGGATTTCGGGTGCGCGGTAGCGTTCTTGGCCGATCTATAAATCAAAAGAGACAACAGGTCAGCCTGCATCCTCTAGATTCTGCAATATATGCAGATGGGCAACTGAGCCGCGCGTGGTCACCACTCACCTTGATCTTGTGGCCGTCCGGGAGGGAATAATCGACTCCCTTCGAGTCGGACTTGTGGTAGCTGTTCATCCAGTCCTTCTCCTCCCGCTTCGGGTCCAGCGACACATAGCAGACCTTCTCCTTGATCATACGCACAACCTCCTTCTCGGCACTGGTATGCAGCACATGGCCGGACTTCCGCAGCAGTAATTGCAGCTGTTCCGTGACATCGCGACCGGCGACATCGATCCTTCGAATGCTGTTGGGGATGGCAAAACCCTCGTACACCGGGACCGCGTGGGAGACCCCGTCCCCAGAATCGAGAACTACGCCCGTGGTGCGTCCAGACGCGTAAAGTGACAGCACGGCCTGGATGGACATGTACAGAGCAGGCACATTGAACGCCTCGAACATGAGCTGGGCGGCGATGTCGCGGTTGGCGCGCGGGTTCAGCGGCGGCTCGGTGAGCAGCACCGGGTGCTCCTCGGGAAGGGTCTTGACCTCGCTCTCGTAGACATGGTGCCAAATCGACTCCATATCTTCCCAATTCGTAACAATACCATGCTCTAACGGATATCGGATCTTCAGCAGTCCACGTAGTTCCTGTGCGCGCTGCCCGATGAACGTATCCCCTTCCAAACCGCCAGCCATGACCCGGGGGTGTTTGGGACGCCCGACGAACGACGGGAAATACGACGAGGGAACCTCCTCTCCCGCAAACCCTGCCCGGATGGTCCCACTGCCATTGTCGATGACAATCGGGACGTTGTGGAGGGTAGCCTCAGCCATTGCGGGGGGTGTTGGGTGTGAACGGGGGTTGAGGTCGGAGATCGGAGAGGAAAGGCGCGAGTATGTGAGACGGCCTCTCGGCCTAGAATTGGCGACTCAAAAGATCAGGGGAGAGGTCGGTGTTCAGGAATCATGCAGGGTCAATGGTCGCTGTCAGGAGAGAGTTTTGCGGTTTCGCGTCGGGAGTTGTCAACAAGGAGCTTGGGCCAGTGAAGATGCACCATTTTAGGTGGTCCGAGTGCAATTCAACTCCATTTACTTGTTTATTTTACTTTTATATGCAAGATATGTCTATATAATAACCAGAATAGTGTTTTTATTTTCTAAAACAAAGAAAATCTCGAGGCAGTATCCTCCAGTAATTCCTGATTTTTCAGTCAAAAGATGATAGATGTATGTGGAACAGTACAATGACTACAGAAATGTGCAAGAGATGGTTGAATCAAAACAGATCAAGAGAACAATATTTTATATCGTTGTGCTCTGCTGGTGTCAAGACCAATGCTACACAAGCCATAGAGGCAACACTCATACTAAGCCCGATGATCTGGGTCTAGCAACCTCCAGTCTGGCCTGGTATTAAAAGAAATTTCTTATAATAGAAGATCAATTCCACCCAAACGCCAAGGCTATGCACAGAGACCAAGATATACAGATAATACCCAAGAAGCAACCCTCATTCCCAAGTTGCTGATCATCAAGTCATGCTATCACCGCAAAAAGCAAAGGTCCCCTGGCCCAATGTCCAGACATTGCCAATCTGCAAGTCTTATATAGCCCATTCAGTCCAGGAATCCCAGTTGATCCTTGAGGGCAGCAGATGTGTAGGCTGCCTCCTGAGAAGATGGACCTGCCGACCGGTACTTCTTGGACTCTGCTCGGGCAATTGCCTTGGCCACATTCCTAGCTAGCGATTAGAACAAAACGCACGTAAGCTGCGGCGGAAAGTCACTTACTGGACAGAACTACGGATCACATAGTTCTGCTTGTCCAGAACAGTTGCCAGCTCCTCCTGGTGATTGTCGGCAAGATCGGGATTGGGGACAACGACGAGTCGCACACCTAATCGCAAGGCTTCCAGGATAGTCCCAGTGCCTAGGAAAGAGTAAGTCACCGCCAAGATAGGCCTCACATACCCTAGGTGCACTAAACACCATATCGGGGGCGCAAAAAAAAGAAAGAAAGAAAGAAAAGAGACTCACCGGCATGACTGACAACTAGCCCAGTCCCTCGTTCATGGTCGGCCCTTGTTCTGTACATTTCTTTGGTCAACCCCGCTGTGTTGAAATCGAAGCCCTCGACTATGATGCCATGTCGCTCGCTGGGATTGTTGGCCAGGAAGGTTTCAAAAACTGAGCGTCCATCCCTTCCATATTGAATAAGCAGATGGGTATAGCCAAATTGGCTCAGTGTGGCCAGAAAGTGCAGATCAAGGACTTGCTGAAGGAGTCCATGGAAGGAGGCTGTCGCTCCCACAGTCACGAAGCATAGCTTGGTTGTAGGAGATTTGGCTGAAGAATTCATGACACAGGCTGTGGATGATTCATATATGGATCAGTACCACATCAACGAAGGGGCGTATTGAAAGTGAAGCAAATAGCCTCCGTAGAGCTGTATATGGCGATATCACGTGGGTCTATATCACGTGGACATGATGATACGCGCAGACCCTAAATTGGTATAGCGCCAGGCGGTGAGGCAGCGAACTTCGCGCAAAGTGGAAAACATCTATTTGCTCTAGTTGTCTCCCCAGCACATCCGCAACAATGGCCTCGGCAGCACGGTCATTGACTCGGTCAGCCCAATTTCTGGGCCGAAGGGGCCCAGGGCCTCTCTCTGTCCGGTGGTTCTCTGTCTCCCGATTCAATTCTATTCAAGAAGACCCGGAGGTTCCTCCTCCCCCTCCGGAACTTCGGCCAGAAGACTTCCCTCCTATGGCCGAGTATTCACCAGACCTACTCACTCAGGAGCAGCGGTCCATGTATGACATGCTGTCTCCGGAGGAGCGGGCTCAGTTTGACGCGGACAATCGGCAGCAGGTTGCCGCCTTCAACGATCCTCAGAAGCGAGCGGCGGCATTTGCTGAGCTTGAGAAGAAAGTCAGCGAAGTTGACAGGAATGCCCCCATATACACCGAGGAGAAACGTGGTATCCCTCGCGGCTTCTGGGCCGAAGACGAAGAGGATGAATTGGCTCATGCGTCGGATGGGCCGACAAACAAGAATGACGACGAAATCACCTCGGCCGCGCATGCCGAACTCGAGCTACACCGTGAGCTGCGCGAGTATGCTAGGATTACGGCGTGGGATATGCCGATGTTGAGCAGTATGATTAAACCAGCCCCTGAATGAAAGTCTCGGGACTCTGGCTGACACTTGGAATTTCCCGAACAGAGCTGGCCAAACCCTTCACGCTGCCCTCTGAAACTCATATTCTGCGCTTCCGCTACACCACATACATGGGAGAGCAGCACCCGGCCGAGCCCAAGGTCGTCGTGGAGCTCGCCTCCCAAGACCTGACCCCCAAGCATCTCACCGAGGCCCAGCGCCAGACCTTCCTCAAGTTGGTCGGCCTGCGCTACAACCCGCAAACCGATATCGTCCGGATGTCCTGCGAAAAGTTCAACTCGAGCGCCCAGAACAAGCGCTACCTGGCCGATCTCGTCAATTCGCTGATCAAGGAAGCCAAGGAAGGGGACTCGTTCGCTGATATCCCGCTCGACCTCCGCCACCACAAGCCCAAGATCCGGCAAAAGTTCCCAGAGTCCTGGAACATGACCGAAGAGCGTCGTCAGCAGCTGGCCGCTCGCCGCGCCGAGCGCGTGAGTGCTGAAAATGCCGAGCGTGTTCTCGTGAACGGCAATGAAGTCGTCTCCAACGCCTTCCAGGCCCTGCCAGAATTCAACCCTGCCCTCAAGGCCAAGGCTACCGATGAGCGGGAGCGTGTTGCTGTCAAGGTTGGCGGCCGGTCAGGGAAGAAGTCGTCTCGCCGATAAAGGCTGCCCCGTTGGCTATGTATATGCCTTTTTCTTTTTCTTCTTCTTTACAATGCGGGTGTGTTGGAAAAAGCTGCTTTTCAGACATTTGTGAGGGCGCGGGCGCATATTTCAGGAGGTCTCATCGGCTCCAACTTCTCAATGTACTATAGTCATCTTTTATCTTTTTATCTTTTTTCTCCCCATTCGATTTCCTTCGCAACTTGTGGGCATATTGTTTTCATAGTGTCTGTTCCCACTCAGTAGTTGTCGAATCTGCTCAACATCTACAATCCTTACGAAGGAAACCCGAGTAAATTTTGAACTGTATTTCATTTTTATGTCCGCAGCCAGTAAGTCGGTCGGGTCCATCCTGCCGGCCGCTGAATCCACTATTTCCAAGTCCGAATATGACAGACATCCTATCCTCAGGGATCCAAGGGAACCTCCGAAGACGGGACCAGTCCATCTCGCTCCAGGAAATGCACGAAAAGACACAAAGTGAAACACACAAGATGAGAACAAGATCGCGCACACATTTTTTTTCACCCCAGGATCAGATCCCATGAATTAGATCAACCGGGTCACCACCAAACCGTATCAGAACACAGTGAGCAGAAAGAAAAGACAAGGGGAAGAAGTACACATAACATGTCCACACCAGTCGTCACTCATCAACCATTCCTCGTTGAGTTGTCGGCACATCGGGCCCAGGAGAGGAAAAGAAAGGGGGAAAAATCGTCGAGCTGTGGGATACCCAGATACTTGCACAGGTATATCATAGTGCCGATAATTTTATCTGGATAGTATGGATCACCGCAAGGAAATCAAGTCGATGACCAAAGAGAAAAGCTCGAGTCGAGAAGAAGAAAAGAAACACGAGGTCGTCGTATCATCCATATCATATCACGTCGTCAACAGAAGGAGAACTCGAAGAGTGGAAAAAAGACCACAGAGAAGAAACCCCTGGAAATGGAAAGTGTCGATGTGCACCCATCTACTTGCGGGCATCCTTCTTATTGTTGCGAGGGTCCGGCAGCCGGGCACCACCCTGAGGCAAGGGAGGACGCAGGACAGGGCCGCCGATAGGACCGTAGTTGAGCAGAGGCTCTTGGGGGTCCAGAGACTCACTGCCCGACAGAAGCTCACTCATGGGAGACACAGTGGACTGAATCCCGCTGGAAGGAGTGGCATGCATACCCGAGGAAGGCGCCTTATTGGCACGAGGGGTCTGGTCCATGCGACCAATTGGGCGGTTGAAGAAAGGGCGAGAGGCCTCCTGCTTGGGAGGACGCTCCCACAGCCGGCGAGACTTGGTGCGGAACGGGAACTCCATAGGAGGGAGGGTATCCCACGCCTCTTGGTTGTTCATCGACTGAAGTCGCTGGGTCGTGAGGTTACGGTTAGCCATACCCTTGTCCATGAGGCTCTTGCTAGTGCCAGGCAGAGCAGCGGAGGTGGACTGAGTCGAGGGGTTTGTGATGTCTGCCTCGACGTTGGTGAGCAGGTCACGCTTGTTCTGAGACAAACCCTCAGCGGGGGTCCGCTTGGTCTTAGCGAGAAGAGCAAAGTTGAAGCCAGGCGGGAATTCAGTCGGGAAGTCAGCCGTGGGATCAAGAGGGTCCACCTCGTCGGCGAGCAGCTTGTCAAACTTGTGCAGAACAGCTTCGAGGTCGAAGGAATCATCGCTGTTGCCAGAGGGGGTGCCCGAGGTCACGGACTGGGCAGTAGCAGCACGCTCTTTGCCCTTCTGCAAGTACGAAGCTGCATGAGTACTCACATTAGGCTGGTCACCACGGTCCTGGGGCACAGCAGTCCCGACGGGGGTCGGAACTCCATCAACAGGAATAGACCGGACATTCTGGACAGGCTGGTACTTGTCATTGCCAGTATGGGCGTGAGTGGAACCGTTGTCAGAAACCGGAGTCTGGTACTCGATCGCCTTGTAGGGGCCGTCATGGGTGATGACCGGCTGGCTGGGAGGAAGAGGATGGCCATGGCCACTCCACAGGAGGCTCGGCACGTTGTACTTCTCACGGTACCAGCGAGGAATGTCACGAAGACCAAGCTTTTCAAGCATAGCAGGGTCAGTGGGCATCTCGTGCTTGTAGAGGCAACCTGGAGATGAGTATTGTCAGTGAGGGAGGATCATGTGTGTGAATGTGTGTGAACAGAAGTCAAGTGAGAGATACTGACCCTGCTGCTGGTAGTCACACTCGCCGTGGCGAATCCAGTAGGAGCAGTACTCCTTCTTGGCGTTGTAGGCCTGCTGGATGAGAGTCAACGGTGCTCAAGAAATAAGAGATGGACCACCCAGGACTCAAGTCTTACCTGCTTGTTGTTGCCGTTGAAGGCAGGAACCTGGGCTGACATCTTGTTGACAGTGCGCTCGGCAGGGTAGAAGAAATCAGGAGCTCGGTACAGAATGTTCTCAACAGCAAGACGAAGAGGAGAGGAGATGGAGTTCTCGTGGATGATGTTGACAAGAAGATTTTGGAGCTCAGTGAGATTTTCTTGTTTGGCCAAGGCGCGAGGGGCAGTGGGAGGAAGAGGGACTCCCTCCACAACCCAAGGACCCGCGCGCGGGGCCGCCAGGCCACAGCTGGTCATGCCCTGAGTGTCATTGGGAGTGAGGTTACGTGGGACACCCCGGACAGAGACATGAGGTGGCAGCTCATCAACAGCCACAAGGGGAGTCAGGGTGCCGCTGGGGCGGGTGCAGAAGAACTTGGGGAGGTTTGGAGCACTCATTTTTCAGTGATTCTCCACGAATGATGTTGGAATAGGGGGGTTTTCAGGAATGAATGGGCTATGAGAGTGTTCAGAGGAGCTCAGACGCGACAGAAGTAAAGAAAGAAAGTACAAGATGAAAAAGATAAAGGAAAGACGGAGTGTGGTAGAGGGAAAAGAAGAGTAGACGAGAAAGGGAAGAGGCAGGAGAAGCAAGAAAGAGATTGCACTAAAGTTGTTTTGCCTGTGGATAGCGAAGCTCTATTGTATGGATTGTTTGTTAGGCCTCAAAGGCATCTACCGATACAATGAATATATCCAGGGGCTGGGGGATTCGACAATAAGCCAATATTGTTCAAGATACAAGAAGGCCACCAGTAAATAGTAAACACTAGGTACTTACTCTATAATGCAGGACAATAGCGTGGGCTGACAGTATAGTCAACAGAAATGAGCTTCCCCACAGATTGTCTCCGCAAAATAAGACCCGCCCCGCTTTGTGTTAGATCTCAATTTAATAGAAAGACAGAAGGGACCATTGATTAATGCGTCCACGTTCTATTAAGCCCGCCTACGTTGGTTAGACAGCGGTTGTGGACGGGCACTATCAGTACGACATTGCCTGGCGGCTGGCTGCAGCAAACGCCCTGGTTGGGTTGAGAATTCCCCTTTCTATAACTTCTCCACTGCTTCTCTGGTAGGGTACAGTGCTTATCCTAATGCTGTGTAGCCATGATCATCCTTTATTCTAGTATCATGTTTTTAGTCCTTAAACAGAGGATTTGTATATAACAAAAATAAATTCTGCTGGTTATATATCCTATACTAAGCTCTAATAAGCTTTTTTGTGGCTTAGTTTATTATTATATATACCTAGCCAGCACTACTTTACTTCTTGTCCTTTGGTTTCTGTATTAGAAAGCCGTCTAGGATGGTCTGTTATTTTTTCACCTAGGTTTTATTTTACAAGAATTACTTATTAAGAAAATTTGTCCGCATATTCAGAATATAAATTTCATCAAGAGTATATCAAGTATAGATCAAGCTTTACGTAGAAATAGCAAAGCTATAAAATAAAGAATTGGGTTAACATATCTTTAAAAAACAAGATAAATAAATAAACAGCCAAAGCCAAAACTAAAGATCAAGGCTTCACACATGCCGACAATAAAGAAAAATAGCATATAACCAACGATGACAAGGAGATCATCAACAACCTTAGAATGTAAGGTTATGGTGGATGGTAGTCAGGTGTCGGGTTAGATGCCAAGGCAACACATCACGTGATACTACTTGACCTAAGTCTTTAAAGGGACCATACACCATGTACCTGGAACAATCCGTTGCAGGGAAGACCACCCCTACAACCTTGGAATCAAAATAACCAATAATGAATGTGACCGTCAGATAAACTCAGGCATATGATTGATGGTTTTTGAATTCCCAGTGCTTGTTTACATTCTGCAGTATTAAATCTATAGCTGGACCAAAGCTTCAGCAGATCAAAGGTTAGGGCCATTGGTTGAATATCCCAAAAGTCCAATAAGAGTGTGGCTTTCCCATATGACAAGGATGATACCCCTCACAATACTGAGTCCAGCATATAATGAGAGAAGCCGGTGTATATAGTAGGGCAAGACATCTAATCATTAATAGGGTTAATTGCAATGCGTATTAATCTCTACAAATTTCTACTTATAGTACCACCAAGGTAGCAAGTTATTTCTTATACTATAAGCCAATAATAGCTGCCACTCCGGGTATCGGGTATCACCACAGCTCATATCCTCTATATGCAAGAGACAAAGGGTAGGGGAAAGGACATAGGAGAAGTCGGGAAAAAAAAAAAAAAAAAAGTACAAAGAAAAGTCAGAGACGAATGCAGCCTTATGCAAGTATTCCCCCCGATTATGCACCCGAAAAACATACCCCAACCCAACCGCTGCGTGACAATCAGAATATAATATTCGTCACTTCATCAACATCATATACCCTTGGCGTGACCTCTATGTGAAGCGCCCCCGCTTGCCCCCTCCAAACATGTCTCTTCCGCTGTTTAACCCCGATAGATCGAAAAAGTCCGGAAAAGTAGATTTTCTCTTGGACCCCAACCCAACCGGTGACTCTCGTGTTGACGAGCGTGGGCTTGGTCGGGAGAGGTTGTTGGGACGATGCTGCGGGCGGGAATTGCGGTGCATGACGGAGACACTAACTGGGGCACCATCCTGGGTGGGCGGAGTCGAGTTATCCGAAGACTGCATATCCATGTCGTGCTCTTGACATTGAGGGAATGTCGGCCCAGACGTAAAGGTGAAAACAGTAGGCCCACCAACAGAGGGGGGCTCGTGAGACTGTGCTGCAGGGATAACTGGTTCGGGTCGGGATGTTGGCGCCGGAGCCGAAGTGGGGGGCTGTCGAGCGGTAGATTCTGGCGCGGGATGCTCTTTGCGTGCAGTGGCTGGCGTGGCGCTTCTGTCCCGCTTGTCCGATTCCACTCGGTCATCGTCGTCGCTGCCTTGCGTAGTTCCATCACACCGTTCGGTTGCCCATTGTCGGACCTGCCACCCCTCCCCATCACACAGACCAAGGTTTTCGCGGTCGAGGAAGTGGAGCAAATCCTCTACTGCTTCCTGGTAGCCGGCTTGCTTGGCCTGTGCCTGTTCACAAACGGCATTTTTGTAGAGGTTGGTCACGGATAAAGCAGCCGACTTGAATGATTGAAGGAGTTGCTCGGGGGGTTGCGATCGGGGTGTCGAGCTTGGTAGGGAGGTGTTCAAGGATCTCATAGAATCCATGGCGAGAAATGTACCCAAATATTCCCCCGGGAGATCGTGTATAGAAGGACGACCTCGATGATCACGGCTTGCTTGCTCAGAGGTGGGCCGTGCTTCGGAGGCGATGTTGAGGCGCTTGACCACGTAAAAGACTAAAGCAAGGAGTTAGTAAAAATCGAGAGAAGAAAAACAAAAGGCCATAGAGATATGCTACTATACCCTTGACTGTTCGTGCAACAGAAAAGGTCGTGCTGTAGAAAAGGAAAGCAAATAGCAGAATCGAAGGGCCGCTGATGCTGCAGATGATCTTCTTTTGCGTCGACTGACCGGGTAACGTGACCCCACATCGGGAAAACTCAGCCTCCGAAGTGCCGGGTCGCGTGCTGAGTCATGAATAGAATAAGCACGTCCCACCAATCAGCGCGCGTTCACCGCGGTATCCCATTTGCCATTCTTCTCCGGCGCGCCTGGAGGCGTTTCGCTCCTTCAATAGTTGCATTCATTGAATTGAATCGGACGCTATTCATTTGGCTCCTCCCTAATCCTATTGTCTTTATTACCCTCCCCCAGCTCGATTCTTTTTTTTTTTTAAACTTCAACTTTCTTTCTTCATCGCTACTTGGTTTAGCTTCGCTAGCTTTCCTCCCGTATCTCTCGAGACGTGTTCGACCTTTTGCTCAACGTCTGCGCCCAGTGCGCGAAAGAGGAAGGATGGCTCCCGCCCCAACTTCTGATCCGCCGTCTCAGGCAGATACGCCCATGACCGACGCAAATGATGACCCTGTTACCACGGTGCCTGTTGATAGCGCAGACGCGCAGATGACGGTAGGTGATGCTCGTTCTCCCGATCCTGCTTCGCGCAGCACCTGTCGCATCGATGCCTACGCGCAATTGCATGTGATATTTATTCTTTGCGAAGAGCCTATGCTAACTATTAATTTGAATACAGAGTTATCAAGACACACCGGATTACACGGTAATGACATTCTTTCTTCATTTGGCTAAGGTTTCTATGGCCCGGCGACTAATGCTTTCCACCACAGGATTCGGATACGAACCCCAACACTACGGCGAGCAGCGTTGCGGGCGACGCGGCTACGCCAGATGGTCGGAGACGGAGATCGGAGGCCGTTCAATTGAGAAAAAGTATTTTGGGCAAGAAGCACGGCCGTTTGGATGAGTCGAAGGTATGAAAAGGGATGTTTCGAGGTTATGTTCAATGTCTGACAACTGCTTTTTTGAATAGGAAAATGATTCAATTCGCCGATTTCGTTATCTTCTGGGGCTGACCGATCTTTTCCGTCACTTCATCGAGACGAACCCCAACCCGCGAATCAAAGAAATCATGGCCGAGATTGACCGACAGAACGCGGAGAAAGAGGCGAAAGCACGAAAGGGATCTTCGCGCTCTGGAGGTGCAGGCGGTGACCGGCGCCGCAGGACGGAGCAGGAGGAAGATGCTGAACTTCTGAGAGATGAGAAGCATGGCGGCGGAACGACCACAGTCTTCCGAGAGTCCCCGGCTTTCATTCACGGTGAACTGCGTGATTATCAGATTGCTGGCTTGAACTGGCTTGTGTCCCTTCATGAGAACGGTATCTCTGGTATCCTGGCCGATGAAATGGGTCTTGGGAAAACCCTCCAGACCATTTCGTTCCTGGGATATTTGCGCTACGTTTGCGAAATCACCGGACCTCATCTGATCGCCGTGCCGAAATCAACCCTCGACAACTGGAAGCGGGAATTCGCGAAGTGGACTCCTGATATCGATGTCCTTGTGTTGCAGGGCAACAAGGAAGAACGGCAACAGTTGGTCAATGAGCGCTTGGCTGATGAGAACTTCGATGTTTGCATTACCAGCTACGAAATGATCCTCCGTGAAAAGTCGCACTTAAAAAAGTTCGCTTGGGAATACATCATCATCGACGAGGCCCACCGAATCAAGAACGAGGAGTCTTCTTTGTCGCAAATCATCCGTCTTTTCAACTCCCGTAATCGGCTGCTAATTACCGGAACCCCGCTGCAGAACAACCTTCATGAGCTGTGGGCTCTGCTCAACTTTCTGCTCCCGGACGTCTTCGGCGACTCGGAGGCTTTTGACCAGTGGTTTTCGAGTCAGGAGTCCGACCAGGACACTGTGGTGCAGCAACTTCACCGTGTCTTACGTCCCTTCCTGCTTCGCCGCGTCAAGAGCGATGTCGAAAAGAGTCTTTTGCCCAAGAAGGAACTCAACCTTTACGTGCCCATGTCTGAGATGCAAGTGAAGTGGTACCAAAAGATTCTGGAGAAGGATATCGATGCAGTCAACGGTGCTGCAGGGAAGCGCGAGTCCAAGACGCGCCTGTTGAACATTGTCATGCAGTTGCGGAAATGTTGCAACCACCCCTATCTCTTCGAGGGAGCTGAACCCGGTCCTCCGTACACGACCGACGAACACCTTGTCTTCAACTCGGGGAAGATGTCCTTCCTGGATAAGATCCTGAAGCGTATGAAAGCAGACGGCAGTCGGGTGCTTATCTTCTCCCAGATGAGCCGTGTTCTGGATATTCTGGAGGATTACTGTGTGTTCCGTGAATACGAATACTGCCGTATCGACGGCACCACCGCTCATGAGGACCGTATTGCTGCAATCGATGAATACAACAAGCCGGACTCCGAGAAATTCGTTTTCCTTCTCACGACGAGAGCAGGCGGTCTGGGAATTAACCTGACCTCGGCTGATGTCGTGGTACTCTTTGATAGCGACTGGAACCCACAGGCTGACCTCCAAGCCATGGATCGTGCGCACCGGATTGGGCAGACCAAGCAGGTGAAGGTTTTCCGTTTCGTCACAGAGAACGCGATTGAAGAAAAAGTCCTTGAGCGCGCCGCTCAGAAACTGCGCCTTGATCAACTTGTCATTCAACAAGGCCGTGCTCAGCAACAATCCAACAAAGCTGCCTCAAAGGATGAGCTGCTCGGTATGATTCAACATGGCGCCGCTAATGTTTTCAACACCCAAGGTGCTAGTGGAGGCGCCACCGCGTCAAAGGACATTTCCGAGGACGACATCGACTCCATCTTGCGAAGAGGCGAAGAGCGAACTGCTGAATTGAACAAGAAGTACGAAAAGCTTGGTATCGACGATCTGCAGAAATTCAGCTCCGAGAGCGCATACGAGTGGAATGGGAAGGACTTCACCGAGAAAAAGAAAGATATTGGCATCAGCTGGATTAACCCGGCCAAGCGTGAACGCAAGGAACAGTTTTACTCCATTGACAAGTACTACCGCCAGGCCCTGGCCACCGGAGGTCGGACGGCCGACTCCAAGCCCAAGGTTCCACGTGCGCCCAAACAAATTACCGTTCACGACTGGCAATTCTTCCCGCCTGGGTTGCAGGAGCTCCAAGAAAAGGAGACCGCTAATTTCCACAAAGAGATCGGTTACAAGGCCCCGCTGCCCGAGGGCCCAGAGGAGGAGCTCAGCGAACGAGAGGCCGAGCGGGATCTCGAGCAGCAAGAGATTGACAATTCTCAGCCGCTGACCGAGGAAGAGCAAGCCGAAAAGGCCCGCATGTCGGAGGAGGGCTTCTCCAACTGGAACCGTCGTGATTTCCAGCAGTTTGTTAACGGGTCAGCCAAGTTTGGGCGAACGGACTATGTGGGCATTTCCACCGAAGTGGACAGCAAGGAACCGGAGGAAATCGAGGAATATGCGGATGTTTTCTGGCGGCGATACACGGAGATCCAGGATTACCCCAAGTACCTGCGGGTGATCGACCAAGGCGAGGAGAAACTGCGCAAGATGAACCACCAGCGCAGGATGCTCCGCAAAAAGTTGGAGATGTACCGAGTGCCTCTCCAGCAGCTTAAGATCAACTACACTGTGTCCACCACCAACAAGAAGGTCTACACTGAGGAGGAGGACCGATTCCTGCTGGTCATGCTGGACAAGTATGGCGTTGAGGGAGACGGCCTGTACGAAAAAATCCGGGACGAGGTCCGTGAATCACCGCTTTTCCGCTTCGACTGGTTCTTCCTGAGCCGCACTCCGGTTGAGATCGGTCGTCGATGCACTACTCTGTTGAACACCGTGGCCAAGGAGTTCGAGCCCAACGGCGAGGGCAAGGGCCGTGGTCGGGACCGCGAAGAGGATGAGGAGAACGACGCTTCGCCTCCTGCGAAGAAGAAGGCCAAGAATGGCGCTGTGGTGAGTGCCGTTGCATGACTTATGATTGATCCTTTCTGACCTTTTATGTACAGCAAAACAAGCAGGCCAAGACTAAGGCCGGCAGCAAGACTGCATCGACTGCGACATCGCGCGCGGCGAGTGTGTCGAACGCACCCAAGTCCAAAAGTCGAAAGAGGTGATTTTGCTGTATGTCGATCAGGTGGTTCGTGAAGAATTGTTTTTAGGGGGACAAGTGTCGTCGGCGTTGGCAGATGATCTGAATTTATGTGTTTCTTTTTTTCTCCTTTTCTTTTTTCTTTCTCTGTGTCTCCATAGAGTATTGGAAAAGGCTTGGTGTTGCTACTCCCACCTGACGTGCCCATCGCACCTGAGGCTTGTCATCTGCGACTTCACCCACACTTGATTTAAAGCCATGCCCACTCGCAATATTCTGTAATTTGTAAATTATCTATTCACCCAAACAGCCATGTCTATCCTCAAATCGCTCAAATCTAAAATCTCTCGCGAGTCGCCCAGGGCGACCAAAGTCCCCATCACCCCCAACCCTCAGTACCAGAGGTCCGGCACCAAGTCGTACGTGCACACAATGCGCAAGTATCGCTTCCGCCCAACTAAGCCCGGCCCATATTTCCTCGGCGAGGGCACACGAGAGACTGGTCGGCCTTGTGCCGCGAAGGCCATCGGGGGCCATGCGTACATGCGGCAGGTCGTGCACAAGAGGAACGCCGACAACAACCGGGTCGGAGAGGTCGATGCGGAAGATGTGCAGAATGACTCGATGTATCTGGCGCAGGTGGGAATTGGCACGCCGGCGCAGACGCTGCGGCTGGATTTTGATACGGGGTCGGCGGATCTTTGGGTAAGACTTTCTTTCTTTCTTTGGCTTAACAGAAAAAGGGACGTTTATACTCCCATTATGATGAGCTGCATTTGATGTATCGTACGCTAAGCTCTTCTTTGAACAGGTCTGGTCGACCAGGATGCCATCGGTGACCTTGTCGCAGCATAGGAACCACACCGTCTTCGATCCATCCAAGTCGAGTTCGTTCCGGGGAAAAAACGACTCGGCGTGGCGCATCTCCTACGGGGATAGATCATCTGCGTCTGGCACTGTCGGCAACGACAACATCGACGTTGGAGGTCTCATAGTCAAGGGCCAGGCTGTCGAGCTGGCGGAGACGCTATCAGCGCAGTTCACGCGCGGCGCCGGGGATGGGCTGCTGGGACTAGCCTTCAGCAACATCAACACGGTGAAGCCACAGGCAGTGCGCACGCCCATCGAGAACATGATCTCGCAGTCCGACATCCCCAAATCGGCGGCGCTGTTCACCGCGAAGCTCGGGTCGTGGCGCGACGCCGACGAGCCCGACCACGGCGAGTCTTTCTACACGTTTGGATTTATCGACGCGGACACAGTGGCCGCATCTGGCGAGAAGATGTATTACACGCCCGTTGATAACAGTCTCGGGTTCTGGATGTTTGAGTCGTCCTCGGCTTCGCTGAATGGCAAGACCATCTCGCGGACTGGGAATAGGGCTATTGCTGATACGGGCACCACCTTGGCTCTGGTCGATGATCATATGTGTCGGATTCTCTACGATGCTATTTATGGCGCTTACTATGACGATGATAGTCAGGGATACTTGTATCCGGCGGACACGCCGCTAAATCGGTTGCCTGTTGTGTCCTTTGCCGTGGGCGACAAGCAGTTTGTCGTGCAGAAGGAGGACTTGGGGTTTGCGCAGGCGAAGCCGGGGTATGTGTATGGGGGGATTCAGAGTCGGGGCTCGATGACGATGGATATTCTTGGGGGAACTTTCCTTAAGGCTGTTTACGCTGTGAGTCTTACTCTGAGGATCGGTTGTGGCGCTGGCTGATTTGTCTGCTGTACAGGTTTTTGATGTCGGCAATCTCAGGTTTGGAGCTGTGCAGAGGAAGGAACTGCATCAGAATCTTTCCTTGCCTCCTCAGCTATGAGAGACTCAGGAGGCCGATGTACTACTATAGTCCTGTGTGGATTTGGTCCTTCAGAATGTAAATGTGCTATATCGTCAATTCATTCATTCCGTCACCAACTGCCTATAGATACAACAGACGTTTTGTCTCTTGTTCAAACACAATTCCAAGTGATGTGATTATAGGTCCATCCATCTAATCACCGGCTTGATAACCTGGCACACAGAGAAGAAAATCAATATCATTTACCAGGATACTCAACTAGCGGGCACCTACCTTGCCAGTATGCAAGTCCTTCAATGCCTGGTCCATTGAATCGGCATCATATGCCTTGGAGAACTTATCGATGGGGAATTTCCCTTGTTTGTACAGATTGATCAGGTATGGCAGAAGCTGGCAGTTCGTCAGAAAAGAAAAGAAACGAAAACCATAACCCCCCAAGCAAAACCACACAACTCACCAAGGCCGGATTTGAGTTTCCCTCAATGACACCCAGAATACGCTTGCAGGAGACCAAAATGTCCCTTGGGTTGATATTGAGACTCGAGCCAACAGGGGCAATGCCCACGATGGCCAAGGTACCCTCGTGCCCCAAGGCTTGAACCGATGCTTCGAGCAGGGGTATGACACCTGTCGTGTCCAGGATATGATCCACACCCTCGGAGAACAGGCCACGCAACCCCTTCACGAGATCGGGCTGCTGCTTCGTGTTCAACGTGTGCGATGCCCCCAAGGAGGCTGCCAGCTCGAGCTTCGCGTCCACGATATCGACTGCGACAATGGTCTCGACGCCTTGGGCCCGAGCCGTTAGCATCGCTGCCAGCCCCACGGCACCCATACCCAGCACCACAAAGCGGGTCTTCGGCTTCGTCTTGAGGACGTTGAGAACTGTCCCAGCTCCAGTGAGGTATCCACACCCTAGTGGCGCGAGGTGCTCTAGATCGGCGACGGTGATCCCAGACTCTGAGGGGCACTTGACGATCGACGTTTCAGCCACCACGGCCAACTTGCTCAGCGACGACTGGCCAAAGAACTGGGCCCGTACAGCGCGCTGATCGCCTCCAGACAGCGAGATGGGCGAGTCGGCGGCGGAGAGCCCGCGCGCGCCGCCAAAGTTGATCTCGGTGAAATTGCGACAGAAGCCGGTCCGGCCTTCGTGACACGCTGTACAGGCGTCTCTATAACAGGAAGTAAAGCTCAGGAAGACTATGTCACCTTCGCGCAGCGTCTTATCTTGGACGCGGGTTCCGATCCGGCGCACGATGCCGGCGCCTTCGTGGCCAAGCACGACGGGGAAGTCGCCGAGGGAGATGACACCTTGCTGGACGGCAAGATCCTATTTTTCAAGAAAGATTATTCTCAATAATCATTGTTGCATCCACACACCCAGCAGATTGAGGCGGGTCTTGTTTTACCATGCTGAGAACCAACGCCAGGGGAACTTACCGTGTGGCATAGGCCTGTATACTTCATTTCAACCAACACTTCGTTCTCGCGGACTTCATCGAGAACGACATCCTGGAGCTCAAATGGCGTCCCTGGTTTCTCAACCACGAATGCCTTGGTGGGGATCTGTTTCTCGGGGATCATGATGGCGGGGACTCGAGGGATGCGGGATAATATGCTATGCTGTAAGTCCTTTAAGGCACGCTAATCGCCCAAACACCAGCAGTAACCTTAGAAACTGTGGAAACGAAACTGCCAATATATAGGGAATCGAAGTTCAAGCCTGACGTTCAGCCACGATGACCTCTTTAAGCGGGTCTTCCTGAGAGCCGATCTGCTGCAGATTCCCCGCAACGGCAACTTTTTGGGTGACGAATCTCGGTCTTCAACACTCGGAATGCCTATAGACGTACATTCCGCCTGGCTTTTCTCCCCGCATTGTCAAGTGTTTGGATCAGATGTGGCTTTGTACCGATTAGAGTGGGAATCAGATTCGCGATGTAGTTCAGAGGGTGATTGGAATGTAGTGAAATCATCAAGTTCAAGCGGCTGGCCATTCGAGCCTTAACTTGTCGGAAGTGAAAAATAGAGACGAGCGAGAAACAGACAAACGCCGCTCTTATGTAGATCTAATTGTACAAAGAGGTATCCTGAATAAGTGCCAAATTATTATACAGTGCCGAGGTCCATGTTTTACTTCATTCGGGGTTTGCTCTTTTCCTTCTGCTTCTCCTTCTTCGCCGGCTTGGAGACCGCAAATGGAGTTCGCAAGAATGTTTCCATCAGTAGCGCAGCAGCTACACTCACATTCAGGCTGTCGATGCGGGCAGGGTCCGATTGAACACCTAAGACGGGACTGTGTCGAGCTCCCGGGATGCCCACGATCGAATCTGCCTGGGATTTGATGTGCGGGCTCAATCCGGACCCCTCGCTACCCATCATGAGCACGCTGGGTGATTGGTTCACAGCAAAGCCATGGCCACTGCCATCCTTGTCCACCGAGGGACGGTCGAGATAGGTGCAGCCGGGGCTTGGCGCGTCAGCCGCATAGAACCGCCACCCGTTGCTCTTGGACCGTTGGATAAAGTCGACCTCATTCTTGACGTGGAGGAGTGCCATGTTCTCTGCCGCGCCGGCAGAGGCCTTGATGGTCACTGGAGACAACGGGGCCGAGTTGCGGCCAGCGAAAACAATCGCATCGATTCCAAGATAGTAGGCGGACCGGATGATAGCGCCCATATTGCCTGGGTCGACAACTCCATCCAAGAGCAAAGTGACGGGGTACCGATGCGTTTGGTGCTCCTGGTACGGCAGCGGCGTTGGGTGAAGAATCGGGATTTGGTCATTCGCGCCATTCACGGCGAGTTCTTCCCGTGTCTGTGGTGCCAGCTCCACTCGGAAATGACTCTCGGTCACGGATGGTACAGAACAAAGGCCGCGCACAGGCAGTTTGGGCAGTGGCGATGCCTCCAGAATACAGCCATTGTGTGGCCGGCCTGCACTCATCTTATCCAACAATCGATCCCAGCCCGCAAATGCCATTTTGACCCCGATGTCTTTGGACAATGCCAGTTTCCGGAGTGACACCTTGGCCGGACTGAGCTCTTCATCTGCGCCTTGGTAGAGGTAGAGCTTGTACAGTTGGCGTCGGCTACACCGCAAGGCTGCCTCGATGGCACCAGTACCATATATAAATTCTGATGCTGGGGACGTGTATGGAATCGATGTGGGAACTTTGACATTCTCTTTGACTCGCTCGGGCATGCTGTCTGTTGCTCGATGAAATTTGGTCGCATTTTTGTCGCGGGCTTTACGGCGTCCGGGTTCTTGCGATGCGCTGGCTTCATCGGAGGAGGCTGCAGGTCGTTTTCCAGACAATCTTGACCGTCCGTCGTCTCGGTCGTCATGAGGCTTTTGCAGAGGACGGATGTTGCCAGTGCGGATGAATTCATCTTCATCGAACTCGGCTAAACTCGGGTTGGGCCTCTGCTTAAACCTTTGCTGGGACTTTGGCTGAAGCCTTGGCTCAGACTTTTGCCCAAAAGTTTGCCCAGGCCGTTGCCTGGTATTTGGCCGGTTGCCTTGTCCTGTCAAACGATGCTGACTTTCCTCTAGCAGCGGCCTTCGACGATCCCCGGTGTCAGCCTGCGATCTGCGAATGCCACGGCCAATGGCCGAGTTCAGGGATGCATGTCGAGCAGATACCCAAGTAGGGGAGGACTTGGTGAGCCATGAAAACTGGCCATGTAAAGCCGTCCTTGGAATCCAACCCATATTAGAAGTGTGGCCTCATCACCGAAGACGCCGTGGTCGCTGCAAAAAAAGTTGGCGCGTCGAACCACGCTGATAAGATAGGAACAATATATTTCCGGAGTCCCGCACGCGCTCCGCGTTTTGTATACCTTCGCCGACCCTCGTTGTTATATCTTCACCTCACTGGTCCTTCACTTTCTTCTTTGACTCTCAAATACCATCTCTTCTTCCCTGAGCCTTTATGGATCTGGGATTTTGTTTTTGGAACCTCTTTTCTTTTACCTTCTGCTGGCCTAACTTCACAGGCTTTGCAGTCTTCGCATCAAGCGCCCGTTTCGCCGACTGCCCCGCTCGACTCTGCCGTGGTGGGAACCGCATTAGCGGTCTCCTCCCCTTCAAACCCTCTCTTGCCCTTTAAATGACTGTGGGGCAGAACTATCATGTCTCACGGTCCTGAGAATGACTCCCCACACTCCGATGATCCCGATGTCATGGTTGCCCCGTTGTTGAAGCAATTCGAAGGCTCTACCTCCAATACAATCCCCACGAGCATAAGCAATGTGCCTGATGCACCTCAGCATGAGGCAATCGATTTGGATGGAGCTCTTGCCAATCAACTGGAATCTTTCTCAATCATTGTCCCTACGGTTGACAACCAAGAGGACTATGATTATCTGCCTGGGCATTCTGTGGCTCACCGGGTCTTACGTGTGGATTCGGAAGCTTCTAAGGACCCTTTGTATTCAGTGAGGCTTCAGAGTGGAGAACGTACCACTGTAAGTGACACCCGTTCGCTTTGGATATCTTTTTCCCTACTAATCACCTGGGTATATTTGCAGATGACACTCGCTCAGTTAATGGACATGTCAAATGGACCACAGGCACTGGAACAGTTTGATTCTGAGGCAGAGTCAAGCAATGCAGAATCAAGCGAAGATGAGATTGAGGTGATCAGATACTCTCGCTTCTTGGGGGATGGGCCTGCATCGGATGACTCGAACATGGAATCCTCAAGCGCACCAAGATCACGCTTGCGACGCCGGACCACAAAGACTGGCCGATACAAAGAAGCCTACCGCATCCAAGACAGCGACAGTGACCAGGCCAGTGATGACCAACAGAGCTCGAGTGATGAACTCAACGGCCCACAGACATACACACGGTCTCAGATGCGGCGAAGCATCAGAAGATCCACCCGCACATCTTTCCTCGAGGGAGATGATGCATTGTCCAGAGGCGCCCGTGTGTCAAGCCGTCGGAAAAAAGTCAAGCGGTCCAACCTGCAGGAGCGGCTGGAAGATGATGAATTCTCCGAGGCTGAGAGTGTTACTCCGAGGCAGCAGAAGTTTACTGGGGCCAAAGAGATCTTCTATGAGCTGTCCCATGATGATGAGTTCAGACAACAACATTTTGCCTGCTGTTCTACCTGCACTTTCTACGAAGATGATCCGGTCAAGGGACCCTTGGTTTTCTGCCAAGGGTGTACTTCCTCTTATCATCAATCTTGTCTTGGTCCTCGAAGCAGCCGAGAACATATTGTAACCAAGGTTGGTGAGAAACAGTTCATTCTCCAATGCCGTCGGTGTTTGGGAGTTGCCCATGAAAGACACAGCACCAGCCCAAATCTGGGCCACTGTGCTGTGTGCCGAGAGGGAGGCCCGATGTCTGAGCCTCTACGAGAGCGTCTCACCACTCGGGAAGAACAACAACTGCGGACAGCCAACGGCGGCACGGATCCAATCACCCCGATCGACATGGGTCTTGTGAACAACATCAACAATGTTCTTTTCAGATGCACCAGTTGTCAACGTGCTTTCCACGTGGAACATCTTCCGGCAAGCCAAGACCAGGATCTTTCGGATGTCTTTGCTCAGTATAGCCTTCACTGGCAGTGTCCTGATTGCTCTCGATCTAATGGAGATATCGAGGAGTTGGTTGCATGGCGACCTATCAATTCCGAGGTCAAAGCCGCCGGGCGGTTTGCTGAGTTCATCCCTGAGGTTGACAAGGAATATTTGATCAAGTGGAAGAAGATGTCTTATTTTCGCACCACTTGGATGCCTGGGGATTGGGTGTGGGGAGTCAGCAATCCGGCTATGCGCAGAGCGTTCTTCAACTCACCAAAAGCCCGCAAACCGATCATGGAAGCGGCAGACGCGATTCCTGAAGACAATCTCCGAGTGGACATCTTATTTGATGTGGAATACTCAGAAGATGCCAATCTTCCAGGCGATGAAACTAACCCGGACACGGTCTTGCGCGCATATGTCAAGTACAAAGGCTTGAATTACGAAGACGCTGTGTGGGAATCACCCCCTGATCGGAGCCAGACTGCTCGATGGGACGACTTCAAGACTGCATTTGATGACTGGGTGTTCCGAGACACAATCCACCTTCCAAATCGAACCACACTCAAGAATCACCTCGCAACGGTTCGCGCACAAGACTTCGAAACACGTTTGCTTTTGAAAACCCAGCCTGAACTAGTGACCGGTGGCGACCTCATGGATTACCAAATGGAAGGACTGAACTGGCTGTACTACAAGTTCCTGAAGCAGGAAAATGCCATTCTTGCCGACGACATGGGTCTTGGAAAGACCATTCAGGTCATTGGACTTTTTGCGACGCTAATCAGACGACACTTATGTTGGCCGTTTTTGGTCGTGGCACCGAACTCCACCGTTCCGAATTGGCGGCGTGAGATAAAGATGTGGGCCCCAGGAATCCGGGTCGTCACGTACTATGGCTCTGCGTTCGCTCGTCAGATGGCCAAAGACTATGAGATGTTCCTCGAAGGTAGCAATGATCTCAGGTGCCACGTGGTGATCGCGTCCTACGAGAGCATGGTTGACGAAGAAGCGAAGAAAGCGTTGTCCAAAACCCACTGGGCAGGGTTGGTCGTGGATGAAGGACAACGTCTCAAGAACGATAAATCCCAACTTTATGAGCGCCTCTCCCTCATAAAGTTTGGGTTCAAAGTTCTCTTGACTGGCACTCCTCTTCAAAATAACATTCGGGAGCTGTTCAACCTGATTCAATTCCTTGATCCGAACGAAAATGCCGAGGACCTGGAAAAGCATCATGGAGCTCTCACCTCAGAAAACATTCGATCTCTTCACGAAATGATCCGGCCATTTTTCCTGCGTCGGACCAAGGCTGAGGTGCTGCCGTTCTTGCCGCCGATGGTCCAGATCATTGTGCCTCTTTCAATGTCGGTTGTGCAAAAGAAACTCTACAAGTCGATTCTGGGGAAGAATCCCCAACTCATCAAGGCGATCTGCAAGAAACAAAATGGACAGTTGAGGAAGTCAGAGCGACACAACCTGAACAACATTTTGGTCCAACTCCGGAAGTGTCTTTGCCATCCCTTCGTGTACAACAAGGATATTGAAGAACAGACGTTTGACCCGGCCATGGCTCACAAACACTTGGTGGAGGCATCAGGAAAACTTCGGTTACTTAACCTGATGCTGCCGAAACTTCGGGAGCGTGGGCACCGCGTTTTGATTTTCAGTCAGTTCCTGGAGAACTTGGACATCGTCGAGGATTTCCTTGAAGGCGTTGGCCTTCACTACCGTCGTTTGGATGGGCGGCTGTCGTCTCGGCAGAAACAACAACAAATTGATGAATTCAATGAGCCAAATTCGCCCTTCTTTGCTTTTCTGCTGTCTACCCGTTCTGGCGGGGTTGGCATCAACCTGGCCAGTGCAGATACCGTTATCATTATGGATCCGGACTTCAACCCCAAGCAAGACATGCAGGCATTGTCTCGGGCTCATAGAATCGGGCAGAAGAACACTGTCCTTGTGTTCCATTTGGTGACGCGAGCTACCGTGGAGGAGAAGATCATGCAAAAAGGCAAAAGAAAATTGGCCCTTGACCATGTGCTTATTGAACGCATGGAGGCTGACGAAGACGAAGACGATCTGGAATCCATTCTGAGGCATGGGGCCCAGGCCTTGTTCGATGAAGACGACTCAGCGGACATTCATTATGATTCGGAGGCCCTTGATAAACTCTTAGACCGCAGTCAAGCCGAAAAAGCCAACGAAATGGCACACGATGTGGCAGGTTCGTCTGTGGATCAGCCCCAGTTCAATTTTGCTCGTGTGTGGCAGAGCGCGCGCGGCACCTTGGAAGAGGTGACCGAGACTGAGGACAAACCCCTGGACGTGACTGCTTGGGAGGCGATCTTGCGTGAACGAGAACGTGATGCCACCGAGGAAGCACAGCGAAAAGCCGAGGGCCTTGGTCGTGGCAAGCGGAAGCGGGCTACTGTTGACTACCGCAACAGGGAAGAGGCCAATGAACGTGAACTCGAAGAAGCCATCCAGCCTTCACCGGTCAAAATTCGGAAGCCCAATGACAGCGATGGCGAATTCCAGCAAGAAGACGAGGGGGAGGAAACCGAGTCTGTGAACGATGCCGCAGAAGATGCGATGGACATTGATACTGCTGGAGCAGCGGTGGCTCCAATGACTGAACCGAAAAGTGAGTTTTCTGCCTCTGATTAGTTTTTCCGAATAGCCTTCTGGTTTTGTTGCGTTGTTTTCGTGTCTTTAGCGACATATCCGAATTCCGCACTAACCGTCATTCATTGAACAGACCGTCCCTTCAAGCGCGTCGACTCGCCCCCTCCGTTGCCACCTGCTCTGGATGGCGTTTCGGAGCCCGGTCCTTCTTGCATGGCATGTCAACAGTACCATGTGTCAGGCCGGTGTCCCCTGAGGCTCGCCGGCGTCGAGCACTGTCCGCTCTGTGGCCTGGCGCACTTTGGAAGAAACCGTACCTGTCCGCATCTTACTTCCGAGCTGCAAGTGCGGCGCATGCTGGTTGCGCTTTCTTCCAGCAATGAGTCTCGTGAGCTGGTCGCTTTGGCGAAGAAGTACTTGCGCGGCGTTCTCGGTAGCATGGGACAACAGCAACGCCGGAAGGATGCGAAAGATGCTGCCAAGCAGGAGGCTCAAATCTCTCCGGTTTCTCATTCCCATCCTATGCCAGCCCCTGCACCGCCGGGCCCCAGCACTACTGCTCAGCCTTCTGCACCTAGCCCGCCGGTCATTGATCTGACTTCCGATCCAAAACCTGCGTCCCATCATCCTCTGCCTTCGTTCCATCACCCCCCGCATTGGTCACCTGCGTCATCTTATCAGAACTTCCCCCTCGCTTGAACCAAGGGTTTTAAGCATGAATTTCCGTTACTGTGTCGGCAAACATAGTTTTTGAAGGTTCATTCAAGCATCGAATCATAGAGAAAGGAGGCGTTTTTTCAGGAAGGATATTTCATTGGTTTTGTGCTTTGCATGGTTGAGGGAGGCATTGCATCACACCGGCGTTTCGACAGTTTCATGGCGTTCCTGATACCCCTTTTCTACATGAAATTCAGCTAGTGGATCAGAATATATCGACTTCGATATTTCCGAAAAGCCTAGTTCCTGGCGACGTAAGTTGTAATCGTGGCCGTAGTTCTCTCATTCATCATATCCCAGTCTCTGAATTTTCGAAAAATTGAGATCATTTTGTTTCGAGAGATGACTTGAAGGAGCGAGGTGAAATTCCTGTTCAATTCGATCCCAGAATGCCCTAAATATACGCCATGCGAGGTGCCTTCATACCCATAGTAATACATATTCTTCGGAAAGCCGGGACTGTACAATTCCAAACCCACAACCTGCTCTGTTCAACATCAACGATATTGTGTCGGTGTATGGCCAAGAGGCAATCAGTTGAAAGCTCGCCAAAGCCCCATGCCAACAAAGGTCGCCGAGATTGAGACGATTCCGAGCTGGCGCGAGCCCATTTTGTACTTGGACGGGCTCCGCATGATGGCCGTCTGTTGTTTCCGAAGGTTGCTCATGCCGCTGTAGTAGCTGTAGACACCGAGACCGATGAATGCGGCAGATCCTGATTGGAGAGGTATTAGCGATGTGCGCAGATGTCCATCGCAGATACATAATCATACCGGTGATTCGGCACGACATGCAGTCGTCGTACTTGTCCTCCGCCAGCGCCTGCTTCGCATCGGGCTGGACATCCCAGGCGCGCTCTTCAGTTCTGGGCGCCATTGGCAAGAGAATACCGCACACGGCGTAGAAAGAAATCGACTCGAGATAGACCAAAAAAAGCAAATGCCCAACAGTCGCGCGTTTGTTGTAGGCTGAGGCGGGCATCGACGGCAGAACGTTGGCATCATTGGGGACTCCGGCACCGTCGACCTTCGCGGATCCACGGAGCTGTCTACATTGCCATCATGGGCGAGATCGACGCCGTCTACATATATGACGAGCACAAGTATGCTATACCTGATTTATGATGTTTTTTTTTTCAATGTGCGCCTCTGACTCTTCTCCAGCGCCCCCCTCGTCGAACATGTATACCGATCCCGCCCGCCCTCCGCGGCCGCCATCCTGCCCCTCTACCTCGCCCACGCCACCCCGCGCCCATCCTTGCTTTATATTCCCAGTGCTTCACCTCCGGTGACCGTGTTCTCTACTGTCGAATCAAACCTGTTATTCCTGGCTCTGTCTGAAGTCGATACCGAGCCACTGCTGGTGCTGGAGTTCCTCCATCGCGTGGTCGATGTGCTCGAGGACTTTCTCGGCTCCCCATTGCTCTCGAGCAAGATCCAGGCCAATTACGATGTGGTCGCGCAACTTCTCCACGAGATGTGCGATGCGGGTGTGGTGTCTAACACGGAGCCGAATGCATTACAAGAGGTCGTAGAGGTATCTGGGTGGATGGGGAAGCTACTTGGAGGAATCGGCGTGCCGGGGTGAGTCGCGATGGTTTCTTGGCCATGAGTCTGAAAGCTGACAGGATTAATTGTGGGGATTCAGGTCATCGACTCCGACTATAGGGCCTGGTAATCCCCTCAAACAATCATTAGCGGCGAGCGCGTCCCAGGGCCCCGCTATTCCCTGGCGACGGTCCGGGGTCAGACACACATCGAATGAACTATATGTCGATCTTGTTGAATCTCTCTCCGTGACTATGGCACCATCTGGTCGACTACTTTCTGCATTGGTATCCGGAACAATCGCCTTTACCGCAAAGATATCGGGCGTTCCCGATTTGTTGCTTTCTCTATCAGCACCGGGCGGCCAGCAGTCACTTGCCCGCAAAATCGAATTACCCGTATTTCATCCCTGTGTTCGGTTAGCCCGGTGGCGAGAACGGCCAGGTGAGCTTAGCTTTGTGCCGCCGGACGGACGGTTTATTCTGGCTGGATACGAAGTAGACCTCCTCCCGATAGACCCTGGTCGGGATGAGCCACCAAGCCATATGGAGAAGCTGTTTCTCCCAGCCATTGTGGACATTCGCAAGTCACTAGGACCGTCGGGCTCTGATTTTGAGGTCCGACTGACCCTCAATACAAACTTCCCCGGCCACAGTCCATCCGCGCGGCCAGGAGCTGCGCCGAACGGATCCGGCAAGTCGACGCCATCGTTCCTCGGCGGAAGCGGGCAGCCTTCCGGGCCTATACTCGAAGAAGTTGTCGTGAGCGTGCCCATTTCGAAATCCGTCCGGCACATCACGGATATGCAAGCTAGCCGCGGAGACGCCCAGTTCTCAGCCAGCCGCGGCCTCCTCGAGTGGCGGGTCCCGACCAGCCGCGATGCCGGCACGATCTCGGGCACTGCGACGTTGCGTTGCACCGTTGCCGGGTATCCTGACGAAGATCTCGACGACAGCCCCGAAGATGCCGACGAGGATGCGAACGCCAACCTCCTGCTGGGCTACTACGAGGAGCCAACCTCATACAACGACCCCTCCGCAAGCACCACCAAAACGCGCTCCGACCCATCCAAGCGCAAGAAGAAGAAAAAGAAGACTTCCAAGAAATCGTCCCGCTCTGCCGCTGCCGCTGCTCTCGAAAACAACGGCGAAGGCCCTCCTGCCTCCGTTGCCTCCGAAGGCCCCGTCGCAGCCACCAAGACCACTCCATCCCCCGAACACTCCAAGCCCCAAACCCCGACTTTTTCCCAGCCCCAGGCTTCTTCTTTCTCTTCCTCTCAACTCCCCTCCTTCTTCGCACCGTCCTCTACATCCCGCCCCACCCCACGCCGAAGCAAGGCCCAACTTAACGCAAGCCTCATGCCCAACTCTGCCTCGGTCTCATTCTCCGTGCAAGGCTGGCTCCCCTCGGGGATCAAGGTCGACAGTCTCAACATCGACACACGCCGCAGTCGCGGTCTTGGCGAGAATGTCAAGCCCTACAAGGGGGTGAAGTATTTGTGTGTGAGTAAGCGTGGCATAGAGCGGCGTTGTTGAGGGTTTGTCTTATTTTGAAAAGATTTGGGGAGTGGGGAATGAGGTCACGATGCATGCATGTGGATTGGTAGGTTCGAAATGGTTGGACCTTTTTTTTTGTGATTAGCCGGCCTGTGCTTTGGCCTTTCATATTGATGGCACGAATGACGATCTTCCTTGGAGTTACCCGTAGGAGCCTGGGAATATTCCGAGGCATGGACACGAGCCCTATACATGACCTAGACATAACCTTTTTCGGTTCTTATAAAATCCCCGTAATTACTCAGTATATTTAAAAGAATGAACAGCACGCTTCAATCGTGACATGGTATAGCAAGCTAAATATGAGTCAACAATCACTCACAAAACAATATCTCACGTCTCCCAGCAGACGCGCAGACTAGACTAGTAGCACCTTCACCCAACCCATTGCCCTACTAGCCAAATCCTTAAAATTAACTTCCCCCAACCGCCCTCCCAAAATCCAAGCTAAGCAGATCCCTGCTTCTTCCCAGCCAGTCACAACCAGCACCAAGAGGACGATCATCAATCCCAGTAGTCTCCAGGGAACTTAAACACCCCCGCAAGTTTCCCCCCACAGTTACATACCCCCTGCACACACCCACCCTATCCAGGGATATAACATACACCTATACCCTCCGGAGCGAAACATGTGAAGCCGAAGAAAAGGAAAAGCCGGGGGAAAATATCACAGACAAGTGATCTCATAGCTTGGAGGATCGGCGCTCGAGAATCTGCAGGACGAAGTAGGCAACTAGTAGAGAGAAACGCCCAGTTAGATTCGTAGGCACATTCATTGCAGAGACAGGTTTTATAGGACCACAAGGACACAAAAGAATGATAGTGGTAGACACAACAAAAAGAAGAGGACAAGCAAAGAGCTATATTCGATTGATGGTCCAAATTAAGTCCTTTTGAGTTGTGGGTAGACGCAGGGGGGTATCCAGTTGGAAGAATGTAGAAGGGGAAAGGGGGAATATCGAGGCAAGGATGAAACTGAAAGACAGTGAGGGCCATTCCGCCCAACATTCACAAGGGTAGACAGTCATTAAACAAAAAGTATGTGCGTCGGTCATCTTCTTCAGCTGTGTCGGGGAAGGCGGGGGAGGGGGGGCAGCAGAAGGGAAGTAGCCCTGGTGGAGCTGTTCAAGTCTCCGGTCTCATTTATCCTCTTGGTCTCCTTGGTCTACTGGAGACGGAGGTAAGAAGATTGCAGGGCGAAGGAGAGAGGGACAGTATAAAACAGCCAGGGAAAGGGTTTTAAGTGCAAGCGTAAGATCGGGGAAAAAAAAAGGAGATAAATCAAAGAACCGGAGGTAGGAAAGAAAGACAACAAATAAGAAATTCACTCACCAGCAGCGACAACAGCAGCTCTACCAGCACCAGCCTTGGTGCTTCCCCCACCGAGGGTCAGGATGAAGCGTAGCCAGCCGAGTCGCAGCTTGCGGCCATCGCGGTCAAAGTCGGGCACGAGTGCGCTGGCAGCCTTGAACTTGCTCAGCTTGCCTGCGTAGGGCGGGTAGCGGATGCTGAGGATGGACTCGAGCCAGCTAGGGCTGGCGGTAATAGGACGGCGGTGCACCCACACGTCGAAACTGGCGCGGCCGCGGTACGCCCCATAGCCACTCTCGCCAACGCCGCCGAAGGGCAGAGTCGGGATGTGCAGCGCGGCGTCGTTGCAGGAGACACCACCAGAGCGGGTGTTGGCCAGAACTAGAACCGAGGTTAGGAAATGACCCAAAATGACGGTCTACAAGAATGCAAAAAAAGGAGAAGGAATCTTACTCTTCTCAATATCGGTCTTCGAGCCGAATGGGTAGAGACCTAGCGGGGTGCTCTGCACACCGTTGGCCAAGCTGATGGCCTCATCGAGGTTTTCCACGGGCAGGATCGGGATGAAGGGACCGAAACTCTCCTGGGTACACAGCGAGTCATCCACCGATTCCACCTGGACCAGCGTCGGCTCGATGAACCGCTCTTTCTCGTCCATGGTGCCGCCCATCAGAATCTTGCCCTTGGTGTTGTCAATCATGGACTTCAGGCGTTGGTAGTGACCGTCATTGATGATGCGCGAATAGTCCGGCGAGTCCTTGGCTCCCTTAGGGAAGAATTCCTTGTAGGCCTTCTTGAATTCTTCCACGACCTGGGGCACGAGCTGTCGGTCGACCAGGAGATAGTTCTGAGATGTACAGACTTGGCCGGCGTTCATGGTCTTGCCCCAAAGCATGCGACGGGCCACCAATCGTGGGTTGGCGTTCTTGGTCACGATAGCTGGGTTCATCCCGCCCAGCTCCAGCACCACAGGGGTCAAATGCGGCGCGGCCGCCTTGGCGATAATGCGGCCGACATTGGCACCGCCCGTGAAGAAGATCTTGTCCCATCGCTCTGCCAGCAGGGCCTGGGTCTCGGGCACGGCACCTTGAATAACCGTGTAGCAGGAGGGGTCCAGCCCGATCTCGATGACTTTTTGGATAACAGCCGCACAGCGGGGCGCGTTCTCACTGGGTTTAATCACCACCGTGTTGCCAGCCGCAATGGCACCAATGACCGGACCGAGGGTGAGCTGGAAGGGGAAGTTGAAGGCTCTGAACGAGACAAGTCAGTTCCGGTTTTATTTGTGCTCGACAGCCATCTGCAACATACCCAATGACCAAGACGCAGCCCAGCGGGTCCTTCCGGATCTTGGGGTTCATAAATTTGAACGACAAGTCAATATCGGGGGCCTTCTCATCCTTAACCCATTTGTGCAGGTTGCGTGTGGTGAAGACGATGTCGTTGAGAATCCAACCGCTCTCGGCGACCTCAGTCTCGAACTGAGGTTTGTTAAGGTCCTGGGTGCATGCTTCGACAAGCTCGTGCTCGTGGTCCTTGATTCTGATCGAGTGTCAGTGGTGTGTTTATGAAGTCGAGGAATTTTAAACCCACGCCCAGTAGAGCTTGCGCAGCTGCACGAGACGAAACTCGACGTCGCGTGTCTTGTGCTCCAGAAACGACTTGCGCGCGGCGGACACGCGCGCCTGGATCTGGTCTTGCGGAGTGAATTCTAGGTCGAGGCCCATGATGTCCAAGATGGGTTTGTGAAGAAACAAAACAAAGACAAATGCAAAAGGCAAAGAGAGGAGAGACTTTAAAGAGGGACGAGACTACGTCATTTAAGGGTGAGGAAATGGGCCGAGGCGCTGAGCTCCCTCCGCATCCACATGCGCTCGGACATTCTTCACGTTTCTCGCCTGTGGGAATACCTTCGATGATTATTGTGATTACATGACTGGATTATCAGACAATATCATCGTCTCAGTCCCCTTTGAATGCTCGATTTCTCATCGCGGCTGCTATAGACCACCCCCTATGACCTGAAGGGGATCTCTGCTCCCTCCGTTTTTACCGCGGCATCACACCTCGATCCCCAGTCTCCACCGCCGATCGGCGCTCGCAAAGTCTGCTCGTTCAGGAGAACACAATCGGTGCCTAATGATCGAGTCTTGCTAGCGCTCATGACTCTCGTTGGATCGGTCCGACGGCCGATCATCCATCCGATCGATCTGTTTATCCATCACGGAGCAGTTAACTAAACTGCGATGGTTGATGCAACCCGTTGACAGAGAATATCATGCAATTTCCAGAATGCAAATGCAGTCGCCTCTCTTCGCCCTCGGCTGGGACAAGAGAAACCGACGGGAATCCGATCCGCCAGATCGAAAACTGGACAATATACAAAAGAAAAAGAAAAGAAAAAGAAATCAAAAGTCAACGCCTCAATTAAAATCCCACAAGATCCAACAATCAGGGACCAGTCATCAACCACAACCAACAATAAATCCAACGCTATTTTCTATTTGAACTGGTCCTCGGTCACACCCTTGCCCATCGCTGCAGTACTGCTGACACCTCCTGACACCATCTTCAGCAGATTATCCACGTAGTTGGCACCACTCCATTTCTGGTGAGTGACCACATCGACTCCCTGCGCCATCTCGGGCTCCTGAACCAGCTCGCCGTAGGCGCGCATGCCGCTCTGGGCATAGGCCTTGGCGAACTGGTGCGAGATCAGCGCCGTGGTGTGCAGACCGGCCAGCGTGATGAACTGCCAGCAGTAGCCGAGGGCGCCGAGCCGCTTGATGTAGGTTTCTTGCTCGTCGCGCGGCATGGCCTTCTTCCAGTTGAACGAGGGGGAGAGGTTGTATGCGAGTCTGCGGCAGTGGTTAGTTATCATGCGAAGAAAAGAGAAGGAGATGGGAAATGGGAAATGGGGAAGCTCTCACTTCTGCTCCGGCCACACCGCGTGCACGCCGTCGGCAAACTCCTTGGCCTGCTTGTAGTCCGGCATCTTACTCTCCATCCAGATCAGATCCGCGAAGGGAGCATAGGCTACTGCGCGGTTGACGGCGCATTGCGTGCCGCCCTGGTAGCGGTAGTAGCCCTCGCGGGTGCGCGGTGCGTCCCAGTCCCAGTGGATATCAACACCAGTGATGCCCTTGGCGATGGCGCGGGCCTCGGTATTGCTCTTGCCCTTGACGGCGCTCAGGTACTGGTCCACCAGGCCCTTCTTGTTGACGTGCACGCCGGAGTTAATGGCATCAATAACGGCATCGTTGAAGAGCTTGAGCCCGGCCTGCGCAGTCCATTGGTCCTCGATGGCCTGCAGCTCTGCGCCAGACTTGCCGGCCTGCTCAGCGGCGACCATCAGGTCGTTCAGCGGCTGGAGGCTGGGGTTGGTGGCGCCGACAATGAAGGCGTGGTCGCGGTGGTCGATGGTCGAGGTGATGAGGGTGGCTGCCTCGGAGTCGGTACGAGCAATGGCCAGGAGATCAGTGCCTATCATTACAGTCAATTGCGTTGATCGCAAATGTTGGAACAGCAACAAGACAATAGCATACCCATGATATCGGCCTGGGCGCGGATGGCGACCAGCCGGTTGATGTGTTCATTGATAGGGACCAGCACTTTGCCGGCCATGTGGCCACACTTCTTTGTGCCGGGGGCCTGGTCCTCGATGTGAATGCCGGCGGCGCCGCGCTCAACAAACAGCTTGGTCAGCTTCATGACGGCCGTCAGACCGCCGTGCCCGGTATCGGCATCGGCGATGATGGGCCGGAGGTAATCGACGTTGGCTACATGTGCCCGCTGGTCCTTGGGGGTGGTGACGCGCTCTTCGCGCTGTTTGCGGTCATGGAAAAGCTGGGCCATAAACAGCTGGTTAACCTTGCGGGGGACGGTGTCCTATACACATGTTCGTCAGTAAACCATGGAGAGCCCGGTATTCGTTTGACCTACCATGGGGTAATCCGCCAGATCGGGTGAGGGCTCATCTGTCGACGAGGCAGTCGACGAGCTCTGCCAGCCAGAGACATAAATCGTGTCGAGGAATTTGCACATTTGGGTGATCATCGTAGGCTCGAGACAGCCATAGGTGAAACTCGGCTGCTTGTTCTGTAGATACGGGAAAAGTAGGTGATCAGCATTCAATTCCTTTTGCATAGATCAATTATGTCAAAATGCGCATCGCATTTGCAAGAGAAACGCACCTTGAAGTTGCCCTCCAGGATACCCCAGAGCTTCTTAGCCTGCACATTGGACGGATAGTCGATCGTAAGATTCCCACGCTTGGCTACAATCTGCTCAGCCGTAAAGGGCCGCTTGGTGAACCGCCACCGCGAGTCGCGCCACCAGTTCTGGACGGCCTGGACGTCTTGGGCGTACTGGCGATCCTCGTCTTCGAACTGACCCATGATGGATTTTTTCCTTTTCCTTTTCTTTTTCTTTCTTTCTTTTTTTTTTTTTCTTTTTCTTTCTTTTTTTTCTGTGTTCTGTGTCTCTTTTCAAGAGGGGGTGGTATACAATGCGATGATGTCAATCGGTGAAGTGTATATATTCAATCGCAGCACGTCGTAGGTTGAGTCACGTCAATTTCAAGGATCAGCCCTAAATGCAAGATATAAGAGAAAAGGGAAGAGAGAGAGAGAGAGAGAGAGAGAAGAGAAGGTGAGGCTAAAAAGAAACCGTCAGAAAATCAAATCACAAGCCAGAATCAAGCCGTACTTATCTGCGTCACCGTCGGTAAACGCTCGGCTCACCGGGACCATCGCTGTGTCATTGAATGCCTAGGTAAACGGGGGGCTCGGGAGAGAGGATCCAGACTTGGTGATCCTCGGTCTAAAGGATATGCTATTAGCATAAAGAATTCAGTTTCATTCATATATTTTAACTATTCAGATACAAGATATCGTTTTCCTACTCTCTCTCTCTCTGCTATCTTCGTGTTTCATATATATACATATTTCGTTTTCTCGTCAATCAGTTCTCATCGGGAAGAAATCGGGATGACGTCGAGGCATGTGCGTCCATACCGTGCCATCCGCAATACACCCTCAGTACACCATGTCTTCACGTGAATATTCGAGCTTCACGACAGCCCCAGCTAAGAGGGAGTCCAATCTCCGGCATCGGATCGAATCCAGGGCTGAAAATCATAAGAAAACAATATCTAACTAAATCAAGTCATTCTAGTCGGGGGCGAAACAAGGATTGGCACGGTTTGCATAGTTGCCGTTCTGTCATGCCCCGGTATTCGGTGCGTCTCCACATGAAGTACACAGCAGAACACTCGAATAGAGCATACAATTCTTTTTATGTTAATATATTCTATATATTTAAGGTCTCTATGTAAATAGAGAAAGAAAGATTCAAAACAGAGATTGAGTGAAATGTCATTAATGGTATATTGCACTACGGTATATCTCTACTACAGTAACCACCGCAATACTTTATTTCCAAGTCTATCGCCACTTTCTTTCTACCTTCTCTACTGCCTTACAATCCCACGAATTCAGATCGGGATACACAGTCCTATCCAATCACTTATTCCCCTGAAACATGCCCTAGTGGAAAATGACTCAAGCCACCGGCGCATTGGACCTCGGCACATCGCCCTGAAGACCTGACTCATCCGGGCTTTCGCTGGAAGTGCTCTTATCCATGTAGGAAGCACTGCAGATCTTTCGATAAGACCAAAGAGCTGAAATCGAGAGTATACTTTCTGTTCCTTGTGCTGCATAGGTCTAGACCAGGGATGATTCATGAAGAATGTCCCTGATGGAAGTATTGCTTGTAGGTCTAAAGAGTCTTGAATAATCTTAAACACTTAGAATAAAGAAATTTAAAAAGACTAGTGTTCACAAAACATGTATTAACAAAACAGAGCTATTGGTTGCATAGTATCGAGACTCGAGACTATATCAAGACTATAGTTCTAACTAACCCCCCCCCCCCCTCACATATACAACCACGAGAACAGCCTCGGGAAGAACAGGGTGCCTCAGCTATCCTCACCCGTAACATTGTCGACATGATCGCCCATCCCTGGAGAGAGAAACCATGGCAAATGGCGTGTCTCGATGCCACTCGGGATCCCTGATGCTCGTCTCGGACGTTGGCCGGGAGGTGCTTAGCTGGGCCGAGGACTGCGCGGCCGGGTCATTTTCGCCGGCTCGGACGGGGTCGATCTCACTCTACCCGCCATGACACTAACTCAATAATCACGTCCACTTGGATAGATCGCTTGCGATCTGGATGAATGCTCGAGGAAATTTTTTTCTCTCTTGAGGATCCATGGATTTCTAATTCCAAGCAGAACCTTATGGTAGCAACGGACACGGCAATTGGGACTAACCTCCAGTCTTTTGGGTCTTCCAAGGTTCGTATATAAGAGCAAACAAGAAAAGAAAAACATCAAAGCAAAACCAAATTCAAACGAGCTGCACTTCCGAACACGAACCCTCACTTCTTCATACTCATTTCTAGAATGCAGATTTTTGTTCCAATTTTCATCCACGCGTTCCCAGTACTAACCAACTTGCCTTCCTTTGAGAATCGACGACCGAAATATAAGAATCAATTCAAACATCCCGTCAATATCCCCATCAATACTTATCCTGCGCCATGACCGCCTTGTGGTACGTCTCGTACGGCGTGATGGCTCCCAGAGAGCGTCTCATGTGGGCATTGAGGATCTCCAGCCCATAAACGTAACTGGCGTTAACCCATCCGAAACTACACCCATAATCAGCATTACAGTACAATGACACACCCGACACAGACAGGAATCAAACTTACCCTTCCCGGGGAGCGCCCTTGAAATCCGTGCCCTGGTTCCCGTACTCGGCATCCACCCGGTGCGGGTCGATAGGGCGAGTCACATCGTACTTCTCGACAACCACGCCATTGAAGTCGACAAAGGCCTTGGTGATCATGTACAACCACTTATAAGCCAGTCGCTCGGCCTCGTCCTGGTACCCGTACCGCAGGAGGCCCGTCCACGCGAGCATCTGCTGCGGCGCCCAGCCATACGGGTAATCCCACTGCCGGTTCGGGCGCTCCAAGCCCACGGCGCCGCGGGACTCCTCTGTCCCCGAAACCAAGCCCCCAAAGGCTTCGAACCGGGGAAGGGCCTTCTGCACCATCTCTGCCGCCTGCGCGGGCGAGGTCAGGCCGGCCCACATGGCCCAGAACGTCGTCGCGGTCTCGTAGCCCGTGCGCTCGTGCTTGACGGTGTCGTAGTCAAAGTACATGCCCTTCTCCGGGTCCCACAGCAGCTGATCCATGCGCTGCTTGCGCCTGCGTGCTCGACGATCCCATGCAGCCGATGTTTCAAACTCGACATCCTGGGTCGAGGCAGTGCGGAACTCTACCGGGATATCCAGCTTGTCCTTGAAGTGAATGCGAATAATCCGGGCGATGTCGACCTCGTACTTGTACAGCAGCGAGTTGAGATCCACCGTGGCCAGGTTGGCGCATACTCGCTCCAGACGGTAACTGGTGTCGTGACCCGACTCACGCACGGCTCGATCATGCAGGAAATACTCGTCGAGCTCGGGCTCCTTCACTTTGCCCCAATTGTACGCCCTGACGAACTCTTCGAAAGTCATCCCGTTCTTTTCCGCATACGGGGTGAGAATATGCTTGAAGTGCGTCGGCTCCGTCTCTGGCGGCACCCCAAAGCCTTCGGGGCGATACCGCGAGAGGCCGCTGGCCGGATCCAAACGAGGCTCAGCAGCCCAGACGCTGTGGTATTCCTTTATGGCAGACAGAACGGCGTTTCGAATGAATTCCTTCGAATCGGGTTCGTTCTTGATTCTCTCATACACCCGGAGAGCCATGTCGGTGAGGAATGGGGGCTGTGATCGGGTCAGGTAGTAGGACCGATTCGCGTTCAGGATCTTGCCGTAGTGTTTGATGCAGAAGCAGAAGTTGACGACCATGCCCTTGGCAAGATCGACACGATCGCTGACGAGCAGTCCCAAGGACGCCATGTAGCTATCCCATCCGTACAGCTCATTGAATCGACCTCCCGGCACCACAAACGGCACGCCAACCAGGTCATTCTGCATGGTAGACTCATTGTACTTCTTCTGCATGGCCAATGCCAGCAGCCCCGGTTTGTCATTGAGTTTCGTCACATATTCCGGGGTGATATTGGCCTCGAGCATTTCCACGTCCAACCGCAGCTCGGGGTGATCCTTGGCAATTCGCGTGTAGTATTCAAACTGCAACGGCGCGCCCGGTGGAATATAGATTCGGGGTCGCGGGTCTGCCGTCCAGTCCTTAGGGTCTCGGCCAGCCACTTCGATGTTGGAGCCATCGATCCGCCTTGTGAGCGCCTTCCAGAAAGTGTTTTTGATCAGGCGAGAGAGCCGTGCCACTGGATTCTCGCTCAGACGCACTTCATCCAGAATGATGTGCTTGCGACCGTAGTCTTTGGCGACGGTGAGCTCCTGCAGGAGATTGGAAAGCATATACGTGCCCCGCACGTCCACCCGGTGGAAGCCAGAGGATGAGGCGGTTCCGACCGAGAGCACCTTCGGCCCGACGTCTTCAATCGTGATTTGCATATTCTTATCCGTGTCCTCCTGCTTGAGGAGAGCCTCGAGGGTTTCGTCGACCTCGATGAGGAACTTGCGGGGCTGGCCGGACGCCTCGTCTGGTCATGGAGGGTCAGTCATCGCAGCAAAACCCACCAAATTTGCAAGGGCATACCATGGCTGCCTCGTCGAGATGGAATAGTCCCAAAGAACTCTTGGATATCTTCACGGGTATAGTCGTTCAGGCTCTATAGATCAAACAGCAACAAGGAAAAAAATCAGCCCTGGGTTATCTCAGCGGGGTACCGCAGCAGCTGTGGCTGCTTACCGCTGAAAATGCGCGCCTGCGATCACCAATCCGCCCAATCGTCTCGTCATTGCCGTAGTAGACGTCTGGATGGGAGAAGGGGTCAATGGAGCCATGGCGACGGTGGCCATTTGACGAGCTCATGGTCTCGGCAGAGAGATTGAGCCCAAATCCGATTGTGCGTCACGCAGAGCGGGTACACCAACCCGGGCGAATGTCACTTATAAGCACAACCCGTGACTCGGACAGGATCTGCGTCGGTATATACCCTGGCTGGGATGTAGGAGAGGTATGGAGGGAGGCGTAGAAGTTCTGATGGCGAGGTGATTCTGTTCAACGATTTGAGGCAAGGAGCGGTGTGTTGGATGAGACAGTCTCAGGACCAACGATGTCAACGCGATGTGTGTAGTTTCTGAGATCTCGATGGAACAGAAGAATGTGTGCGATGTTGAGGATCCAGAACAATGACGGCATGCGATGATGTCGCCGCTCCACTTGGCCGATAAGCAGATAACATGCCAGAAGCGCCCCTCATCGTGATCTTGTTTTGGTGGGTGGCCCCAGCGCCCTGTACGTGGCCCTGACATCTTTGTCAACTCGACCGCCTTGACTATATGCCTGAAGAGCATTCAATTTCTGTCCTTGACCCTGTACCCTTTGCTATCTAGCCAAGGACCTCCCCCTGTATAAATCGAATTTCTTGCCCTTGAGCTACCCCAGTTGTGGGGGCCGATGTGGCGTAGAGCTCCGCTAGAAGAGGACCCCGAGGCCTTAGAAATGTCCAAGCATGTAATGATTCAGGATACAAAAAAGGGGTTTGTAGCAAATGCCCATAGTTTATTTACAAGTCCCTCCCAAAGAGCCCAGCGTCCACCGGTTGCTTAGATCTTGGCCGCAATGGCGGCGCCACCGTCCACGGCAATAGTCGAACCATTCACATACGCACCAGCCCGGCTGCTCAGGAACAAGCAAGCCCCAGCCACGTCCTGCGGGGTTCCAATGCGTCCCATAGGCACGCCAGCCTTGATAGCCTCCCCGAAAGACTTGAGCGTAGCGGCCATCATCTTGCTCTCGAATGGACCACAGGCCAAGGTGTTTGAACTGCGGAAGCCGCATTAGCCCGTCTGCCAACACACAATCAACATATCTCCAAATATACTCACGTAATGTTTCGCTTGCCTAGGTGGTTTGCCAGTACCCGGCTGAGGTGGTGCAGACCAGCCTTGCTGGAGCTGTATGCAAAGGTCTCAAGCGAGGGGACCCGCAGTCCATCGACGCTGCCGATGTTGATGATGCGACTGGGGTCGTCCGGGGCAGCCGCCTTCTCCAGGAGCGGTGTAACAAGCTGGGTCAGGTCGAAGACCCGGTGCAGGTTGAGGGTGAGGACACGGGTAAAGGCCGCGGTGGGATACTCGTCATAGGGAGCGCCCCAGTTTGAGCCGGAGTTGTTGACCAGGACGTGGAGTTCTGCAATACAATAAAACCGTAGTTAGCTCAGGCTGATCCCCCAGTTTTCTTCCTTCACTCGGCTTGCATGAAGAGACTGACTGCTTTCCCGCTTCCCCAGTTCCTCCGCCAACCTCTTCACGTCGTCATACTTGTAGAAGTCGGCCGGGATGGCATGCGCCGTGCCCTTGCCGAGCGCATTGAGCTCGCTGACTGCCTGCTCGCATGCCTTTGCATCGCGCGACGAGATATAGACAGTAGCGCCATTCACCACATAGCCCTCGGAGATCATGCGGCCGATTCCCTTGGCTCCGCCGGTGACCAGAACCACTTTGCCCTAGAAACTGGTTAGCGCTGCTCGCTCCTTCGGGTGCAAGACGACTAACCTTGACATTGAAAAGACTTTCCGAATCCATGATGACAATGCGATACAGATGAGAATGTCAAATTCCAACAAAATGATCTTATTTAAACTCGTCTCCACCGTAGCTCCCCCCGTTGCACTGCATACCCGACAGGCCGAGACTCGCAACAGCCGAGGCTCATACGGAACATTGTTGTTCCGGTAAACTGGCACTATCCCTGTTTGGGCCATAACTTAGGGCAGCGTCGTCAGGGTTTCGCGGGGCGACCTTCATTGCGCTGATGTTTGCTTGTTGCTATATAACCCCCCTGGCATTTTGAGACTTGTGTTAGAAGCTGATTTTCTTTTTCTTTTATTTTATCATGGAAGAGCTTCTGGCCAAACATCGCAAGGAGCAGAAGGATCTCCAAGGGCGGATTACCCAGAAGAAAAAGTCCGCCACCAAGAAAACCCGCAAAGGCGTTAATGATGAATGCGAGCAAATGCAGCGAGAGCTCACAGAGCGACACCAGACAGAGATTTCCCAGCTAAATGGGGAACCACTCGAGCCTGTGGAAGGTCTCGAAGATCTCAGCCTAGAAGATGGACCCTCTGCCAACGGAGAAGCGAAAGAAGAAAAAGCAGCACCGACAGAACCAGCACCCTCGAGCAGCTCTGGCCCGGATGCATCACCCGAACCCCGTTCCAAGAAACCGAATCGTCAAAAGGCCCGTCTCGCCCGCCGAGCCGCCGAACAAGCGGCCGCATCAGCCGCCGCCGCCGACGAGGCCGCGAACCAAACCGACTACAGAGGAAATGAGAAAGAAGTGATGGACGCGGTGTTCAAGCGCTTGGGATTGAAGGAAGTGGAGGTTACTCCCGACGGCCACTGTCTGTATTCTGCAATTGCGAAACAGCTGGACGGTTCCGGGCTCGGCTTGCGGCCGGACCCAAGCCGAATCGTCCTCCAGCCGGCGACACAATCTCGTATCGACACCATTGCGTCACCGCAGCATGATGGCTACCGCGCCATCCGGGCTGTGACAGCGGATTTCATCGTGGAACACAAGGATGACTTTGAGCCGTTTATGGAGGAGCCGCTGGACGTCTATGCCCGCAAGATCAAACTGACGGCTGAATGGGGTGGCCAGTTGGAGCTGCAGGCTATTGCGCGGGCATATGGCGTCGATATCAATGTCGTGCAGAGTGATGGTCGGATGGAGAAAATCGAGTCGGGCGACGACAGCCTCGACGAGGAGGAAAAGCAGCGCCGCATTATTTGGCTGGCGTACTATCGACACTCCTACGGACTCGGCGAGCACTACAACGCACTTCTCAAGCAGTCCTAAAGAAACACATCTATACAAGACAGAACTTTTGCCTTGCCATTCCTATCTGAATCCCTGGATTGGCATCGCCGGTCTTTTTATCACGACCCGACCATACAATCACCCAACCTCTACCTTTGTTTGTTTTCTTCCTGCCTGGCTTTTCTTTTCCTGAGCCTGCCGATCTAGTTACGTCGACGCCAAATCGAGACTCTGTCATGGATCACTCCCTTTTCACCCTGGCCCACCTCGTGCGTCCGCTCTGGCTGCCAATACGCCACCCGTTCCAGTCCGGATTGACTCGGCGCCCTCAAGGGGTCGTGCTTGACGACACCTTTGTTATCGTACGCGATATCCTCGCCCGGATGACTCAGGTGCTCCATGTACGCCTCCGACGAGGACGGAAAAGGCGGCCCCGGACTCTGCGGGTCCTTGTGGCGGGGGAATTCGAGACAGATCAAGTTGCCCGTCGGCGAAGGAGCCAGAAGCTGGGTGTGCCGGAGTGCCCATTGAGGTCGAAGCGACGGACTCAGAGCACAGAAGAACTGCATGGAGGGTCAGATGAGAATGGAGAGATGTGGGGGATTTGTAAATAGACAAAATATGAAAAGCATTGAACGCAGAGATCAGAGAGGTCGGCGTGCAAGGATAAGAGGAAACGCAGCTATACCGTATAATCGTAGACCACGTCAAACCCGTTCAACGGCACCCCGATCTGCTGCAACCAGGCGTCGCTGAAGAAGTCTCCTTGCACAAAGGTGACTTGTCCCCGACCGACGGTCTGGTCTCGGACCCGATACCAGCCGCTATTCTCAGCCTCTTCCTTCTTGCACGCCTCCACGGCCGTGGCACTATACTCGAGGCCGTACGCATCGTAGCCAAAGCTAGCCAGCAGGAGCACATCGACTCCTCTGCCGCAGCCGGGGACCAGGGCCTTTCGTCTGTACGACTTGCCCTGGGCATCCTCGGCGATGGGCCCGCCGATCGTGCCACGGCGCTGGACCAGCGTGTCTTCGAGAGCCGGGTTGGGGAATCCTTTGTCCCAAGGCAGATTGTCGCCCTTGTTCCAGAGTGCATCCCAGCCGTCGACATAGCGGTCTCCTTGGTACTGTGCCAGCACGGCCTGGATGTCCTTGGGCTCGAGGTTGGTTGGGCCTGTCATCTTGGGGTAGTCGATGTGGGGGGAGTTTAATTCAACACAATCTCAATCTTTCTGAAGAGGTGAAGAAAAGAGAATCACAGCAACCACACCGTCTTTCTCGACGATTGCCCTCGAAGCTTATTAATCACCTCCTTGCAGCGCACTTTAGCATCATCGAAGCTTCGTGAGGTGGGATGCGATGGATCGCCGTGTTTCTGGGGATTTCTCTCCAGATTCCTCTCATTCGCAATCCTGGCATCTGAAACACCCCCCTTTGTTGACTTCGGAATGCTGCCAAGCTGACATCCACAGGTTCAGGAGCCGAGCCTCGGGTGGACAAAGTGCCCCATTCAATTTAAGGCCAAAGCCAAGATGAGTCTATCGAGACGCCATTGAATTCATGTTCAATTGTGTCCGAGGCGCGACAACGCGGGATCTCCCGCACTCACTTTTGCCGACGGAAGACCGGCACGATGGCGCTAAATGATGACTGGCCATGAAGCACCTCAGCGGCCCACGACGCCCTGGTGAAGTCGGGGCATTTTTGGTCCCGTTGATCCCCTCTCGCCTTTTTTAGGCGAAGGCGAATCCACATCGGCTCGGTCGTCGTCGGTGCTTGTCGGTGGTTCGCATACTGAACCGAAAAAAACAGTCCCAAGTGGAACCTGTGAATCTTGACGCTTTTTTCACAAGTGCCTCATGGCCTAAAATCTTGTTGCAAATCAGAATCCGTGCCTTATCGAGTGTACTGTTCCCAGGGGGTCTGCGCCGATCTCGAAAGGTGCTTGCTTCCTGGCGTCGATCACAGAATTCACGCCTGCCGATTTTAACTTGGTTTCTTTCGTCTTTTTTCTTCTCTTTACCAAGCAGCTTTGGATTTCGCATGTATCGCTTACATCTGTACTCTTGATATCCATCCAACCGCATTGTGACATTGACGCGCAATTGCTGGCATATTCGTCCCAGTTGATCGCAGGACTCTGCGCTTCATATTGTTATTGCTCTGCAGAGCCTGGCATCTATCATTTCATGCCGATCCGCGGCTGAGTATTCTTGGGCGCAGTTGTTCACCTCAACTTGGGTTGTGAAAAGCTCACCCAAAATGCGCGACAACTCTGAGAAAGAGAACGCTGTCGCATCGGCACTAGCATCGGCAGCGCCCGGCGACAGTCATTCCGCGAACCCAGTCCAGGAAGAAGTGGATATCGACGATGCCTCTCAATCGCAGTCACGCAGCTCGAATGTTCCGGCGGGGTTTGACGAGAAACATTCCCCGGAAGAAGGTTTGCCGCCGCTACGACGCCAGTCAACGGACCTCGGCGCTCCTGTGGAGGTGCCGCGACTCCAGCGGAGAGGGTTGTTTGGGCAGTTGACATTGCTGGCGGAGATCGAAAATTCCAAGACCTATTCCCGGAGAAAGAAGTGGTTTATCACCTTCATCGTCGCCGTGGCTGGGGCAACAGCGCCAATGGGGAGCTCGATTTTCTTCCGTGAGTTCTTTGATCTGTATTGCTATCTGCTGGTACTCATCTAACGAATGTGCCACCAGCTTCCCTCTCCCAGGTAGCCCGGGAATTGGACACGACCCCGACCATCACTAACCTGTCTATCGCCTTGTACATGCTTAGCATGTCCCTCTTCCCACTATGGTGGTCGTCGTTCAGCGAGCGACTCGGACGACGAACAATATATTTGGTTTCATTTGTCCTCTTTGTGATCTTCAACTGCCTTTGTGCCATTTCCAGTTCCATCGCCATGTTGATCGTGATGCGCATGCTAAGTGGTGGTGCTTCTGCTTCAGTGCAAGCCGTCGGCGCTGGAACCATTGCTGACCTCTGGGAAACTCGAGAACGAGGACGAGCCATGAGCATCTTTTATCTGGGTCCACTATGCGGGCCGCTATTGGCACCTATTATCGGCGGTGTCCTGGCCCAACGTTGGGGCTGGCGGAGTACGTTATGGTTCCTCGCAGCATACGGTGCGGTCACTGTCATATTTATTCTTTTCGCTCTTCCGGAGACGTTGGCAGTACAGAAACCTGCGGCTCCAGAGGTCGCAGATGACGAGGACGCCCCCGTGGATCGTTCGCTCAGTCGGGTATCGTCCCGCCAGGTTGTTCGATCGACCACGAAGTGGCTCAAGTTGCTGAAGATGATCTTCATTGATCCGTTGAAGATTGTGCTTTACTTGCGATTCATTCCGGTATTGCTGAGCGTATATTATGCGAGTATCGCCTTCGGTTCACTGTATGTTTTGAACGTCAGCGTGGAGCATACCTTTGGAAAGCCACCGTATGGCTTCTCCACGATCATCGTTGGCTTGCTTTACATTCCCAACTCGTTGGGCTACTTGGTAGCCAGTGTCTTTGGCGGGCGGTGGTCGGACAAGATCATGCAACGGGAGGCAAAGAAAGCGAACCGATACGATGAGAACGGCAAGCTGGTCTATCGCCCAGAGGATCGCATGCGCGAAAATGCCTGGCTCGGTGCTTTTCTCTATCCCGCTGCCCTCATCTGGTACGGGTGGACAGCCGAAAAGGGGGTGTTCTGGCTTGTACCGGTATGTTCAATGTTCAATGCCTTGAGAGATCGAGGCCCATGTAGCTGACGATGGAATAGATGATTGCGAACTTCTTCTTTGGTATTGGCTCCATGCTCATTTTCAGCCTGGTCACCACCATGTTGACGGAATTCATGCCGAAAAAGTCTTCAGAGGGCGTGGCGCTGAACAACTTCATGCGGAACATTTTCTCTTGCGTGGGCTCTCTCGTCACAGCACCAATCATTAATGCCATTGGGAATGGATGGCTTTTCACTATTTTGGGCCTGGTCAGCTTCGCAAGCTGCTCTGTTCTTCTCGCGATGCGAGTCTTTGGTCCTCGCTGGCGCAAAAAGATGGATGACCAGATGCGGTGATTGGCTCTTGGTTTGCATTACTAGCTTGCATTTTATACCCGGCGTTCATTACATTTGGCTCTTTTGCTTCCGTCTTACGCTCGCTTCCGTTGCTATGCACGTCGGGCTTGGGAAGTATATTCATGGTTGAGTGTCCGCGTTCATTACAATCACCTTGACCTGGGTTTCTTTTGGTCATGTTTGTTTGCATTGTTTTTACAGTGGCTAGAGGAGCCTCCTTGTTGAGGATGATACGATGATACCCATTATGAAGTACATATCTATCATTAGGACCCATGAAAAGCATTAATGACGAGTCTATTCTGTGCATCTAGTATCAGCCCTTGGATGCCGAGGATCCCACCGCAAGCAATCCGGGTTGCCTCCCAAGGTTCTCGAGTTTGTTGTCATAGCCTTCTATCTGGACATCGATTGACTGAACATCAAATCCGGTGATTCGTGCATCGGAGTCGACTGGATGGCGCGTCCCGACGCTGCAGCATTCTCTGGCCTGCGCGGCATTCTCTGCGGAACGGATGCAGGATAAAGAACGAGGCAGCCAATCACCCGAAACATCCTTGGATTGCGCGGACACCTAGTGGGGTTTTATTCCCTGGATTATACATAGTCTGTGCTTCTATAGTATCTCTTTAGGAACTTGGTGGGGATTAGCGGGAGTTCGGCGGGGATTATGTGGGAAAACTATAGATGTGGGGAGGGTATCTGTTGGATGTATTCATGTATTCACAAGCTATTGTAGAGATACTAAGTTCTGAAATGTTTTTATTTTACACCTCGACAAAGCCATATCAGTCATGAGGCATGATTTATCTCTGTGTTTCTAGTACCCGGCCCTGCACAAAAAGGAGGATGCATCCATCCTATCAATTGTCATTGACTCGCAGGGCAATGCACCGAGTGTCTTGCATGTTTACTTATCGCCGGTCACCTACTTACAATTCACCCATCTCCAACACATGAACTCATCACAGATTGTCTATACATGATGAATGATATCAGAGTATAGTGTCAGTCTATACGTGGTTGCTGGTATCTGGTTGTCCGCCAATGATACAACAGTCTCTCCGACCAGGGTTAGCCCGAGAATCGCTCTTCGCGATTCGTCAGTAGACACGGGTGTATGTGGTCATGGATGCTCGGCCCGGTGCATGAAGAAGTTGGGTAGTCAGATGGGGCCCCATTTTTGGCAACATCACGGCGAAGTATCGGGAAGAACAGCACGGGCTACTCCGTGCCATACGCCATACCATAGCAAAATAGCAACCCTTCTCGGGAACTGGGTGGCCATGCATGTGCAGCTCTTCTCGGACTCGGGACAGATAATTGAGGGTGAGATCGGCCTTGCGATTGTGTGTCACAATTGGAATGAATCATCATGGTCTGCCCGAGAAAAGGCCACCTCCATCAGATTAGCCTAACTGTGCCCCCGCTCAATTGTTTTCTTTGGGCGGGAGATGCAGGGAACTCTTGTAATGTCAGTGAGAGGGACGCGTGGTGTGTTCGGAGTGGAAGACGATGCGGCGTCACCTGATCTTCCCTCGTTTCTCGACTGAACACAACCTTGGAACACTTTCTTTCCTGCAATCATCACGATGCGCCGTGACACACAGGTTTGATCGCCATTCCAACCGATTCCCTTACAGAGTGTACAGTTGGGCTGTTCGGAGGGAAAGGATCGCCCTGCTGAATTGTCGGTGTCTGAGTGGAGCGATGAGTCTTTCTCCATCCGCCTCATTTCGTGTTGTCTAACGGGGCGAAGGAAGAAAAGGAAAAAAAAAAAAAAACAAAACAAAAACAGATCCGCCAATTGCCCAAACCCTCTTGGGTAATGGTCCTTTCTGACAGTGCAAGCATCCCATTTTACCGCCGTTACCGGGGACGTTGGGCACACATCGACTGCATCACTTTGGTCGATGCCCTCGCACAGAAAACAACTGCAGGCGTTCTCTCGGCGTGGATCACTCGAACCCCCCGTTCGACCCACTTTTGGGTTGTTGTTTTTTTCTCTCGCTTTCTACAAGTCGAATCTGTACGGTACACGATACCACCAAGTTTAATTTTAAGAGGAACAAAAAAAAAATAATACACAGAATCAATTGACCGGTGGCTCCACTCACCAGACCCATCTTCTCCATGCTGGTGCAGCACAGCTTTTCCTATCTGGACCAATTTGGGCTCCCAATTCCCAATTCTCGTTCTCCATTGCTGCTTGCGCCTGCAGGTGGAGATCGTGCTGCTCTCACCCGGCCCTAATCAAGGACCGGGCCCTTCACTGTCCGCCATGCCGGCCACCGCATGGAGACCGAAAGCGACGTGGCCCAATGGCACGCAATGGCATCGGGCAAGGTCACTGATGACGTTCAGAGAGAGCCCAATACCGCGCCCTGCAGTTCGCTGTTGTTCTCTACTGACCGGATAGCGGACGAACTATTATACGCTGCCTCACGATGCCCATCCAATCCCGACTTCCCCATGGTAACCATATTGAAAAGAAACAAGCATATGCTTCTTTCCCATTTGGTTTTCTAATACATGAAGGAACCCTGCTCTGAACCTGTCCACTCTCGTCCGTTTTCGTTCCCTTTCTCTTTTCCTCTACCCTCTTACTCTTCCCCCATCCTTTTCCCCCCCATTTCCTTTTCCCTTGCTGCACCAGACAGCTTGCCCTTGCATCGAGCCCGACGTCAAGCTTGTCATTCTCTCATTGTTCCGTCCTCGCCTCACGTCTCACGCGCTCTCGCCCAGTCAGCAATCGCCCGCATTCCTCCCCACCCCGCCTTGGTATATGATACGTCATTGATATATCGAGGATATGCCGGGCAAAGGAAAGAAAAAGAAGAATAAGAACAACAATCCTGCCAACCGTCCTCCCCTCGGTTCTGCTGCCACCCCGAACCCAGAGGCCCCCGACATCAGCGAGCCAGCCCTAGAGCCGGCGGCCGGAGGTGCCGAAGATGAAGCAACAGTCGTTCCAGTACGCACAGCTCCCTCAGTTTAAATATCAGAGCTTCGAGCGTCAATATCAGACATTCGATCGAAATACTTTGCAATTTTCTTATTATCCCACCTATACTGTCGACCCTCTGACCGCGGGCAAGGACCAGGTCAACAATGAGCCCAGTGCCTACGAACCGGAAAAGGGCCCTGCCCCCGATGAGCCCGTAGCAGAGCCTAGTAGCTCCCCGGATGAGAGCTCGGCTACTCCAGATCCTGCAGGTATGTGCAATCCATTGATTGATAAATGGTTCAGATATCATGAAAAGAAAGGTGGTGGATGGAATATTGCAGATACTCATTAGGAATATAGAATCCTCCGAGGCAACGACGCCGCCAGCAGAGAGTGAATCTAACGATGCGGCTCCCGCAGACGCAAAGGAGGAACTCAAGGATGCCCCTGAAGGCGAAGAGTCTGCACTAAGCGCTGAACCCGCCGCAGATCCCGCCACAGAGGACGAGGAGAAGCCTAATGAAGCCCCTGAAGAGCCAGCCGCAGAGGCCACCAAACCTGTTGAGCCCGAAATGGGCGATGAGAATTCTCCGCCGGCAGAGGCGGACGATGCACCGAAGAAAGACGACGGAAGCGGCAACAATGGTTGGCCACTATTGTGATTGGATACGTTTATCATCACTGACAATCTTCATAGACGACGACTTTCCCGAGTGTGATCCCGAAGCGGAGCTCGACAAGGTAGAGGCTGAGAAAGAGGCAGCTGCTAAAGAAGCGGCTGAAGACGCCGAAGCCGAGAAAGGTGAAGACGCAGCACAGGCCGAGGAAGCACCTACGCCATCAGATGGCGACAAATACGACGCCCCAGCAGACGATGCCCCAGCCGAAGGCAAAGAAGAAGAACCAGCAGCAGGAGCGAATCCACCGGCCGGTGATGAGGAAACAGCTCTCAGCAACCTAGACGATGTCCCTCAAGTTGAAGCCCCGCAACACGACCCACCGGCAGCAGAGCCGGCAGATGATTCTCAGCCTCCGGACGATTCTGCCGAGCCTGGGAAGGACACTGCTGGTAATTCACCCGAAGCAGAAACCAAGGCAGAAGAGCCACCAGCCCCAGCCGAGGCAGAGCAACCGTCAACCGAAGAGGCAGCCCCCCGGAAGAACAGGAACAGGCCCCCGAAGAAAAGCCAGCAGAGGAAAAGGTAGAGGAGCAGCCGAAAAAGAAGGGCAAGAAGGGTAAGAAAGAGAAGGCCAAAAAGGATAAGAAGGGAAAGGCTGCAAAGTCTGAGCCCGAACCTGAGCCCGAACCTACACCTGAGCCAGCTGCCGCGGAGCCTGAGCCGGCGGCAGAACCTGAGCCCGAACCAGAGCAGCCTGCTTCGATTGAGGCTGCTGATGCTCCGTCCCCCGATGAGGCACCAGAGAAACCGACAGAACCGGAAGGACAGGCTGCTGAGCCAGAGGCTAAACCCGAAGAGGCCGCAGCAGATCCTGCTGAGGATGCTCCGCCTACAGAAGAAGAGCGTGCCAGGGAACCAGAGGCCACGCCAGCCGACGACAAATCCGCCCCTGAGGCTGCTGAAGAAAAGACCGATGCTGCTGCGGCTGATCCCGTTGACGAAGCCCCGAAAGAAGTGCCTACAGAGGAAACACCTGTAGCAGAGGAGGCACTAACGCCAGCGGAAGAGCCGGAGCCGGAGCCAGAACCCAAGTCCGAACCTGAACCGCAGCCAGATGCAGCCGAAAATGTACCGACTGAAGCGGAGAAACCCACGGCAGAAGAGACTTCGGAAGATCCAGCTGCAGAAAAGGCACCCGAGGAGCCAGAGGTGGCGGATGCAACCCCCACAGAGGAGCTGGCTCCTGTAGAGGAAGCACCCACTGCAGTGACAGAACCCATCGAGGAGAAGCCGGTTGAGGTGGCACCGAAAGAGGAGCCAGAGGCGCCGCCAGCAACCGACGTACCCGAAAGCGAGCTGGCCGCTGCTGATGAACCCGCCAACGATGGTCCCGCTGGTGCAGAACCTGCCGAGGAGCCTGCTGTAAAGGAGCCACCGACTGAGGACGCTTCAGAAGAGCCTGCTCAGGAGAACCCGGTTGTCGAAGAGCCCACTGTCGTGGAAACTGCTCCAAGCCCTCCAGCTGAAGAACCTGCTGCTGCTGTCGAGGAACCCGCGGCCGATGCGCCAGCTCCTGAAGAACCTGCAGCAGAGGAGCCTCCTGCCGACAAAGAGCCCCCTGCAGAAGAAAAACCAGCGGCAGCCCCGGAAGAACAACCATCAACTGCAAGCACCCCAGACGCTCCAACCGAAGAAGCAACTCAAGAGCCTACTCCTGAGTCGGAAGCAACTGAGCCAGTCGCGCACGCACCTGTGGAGCCACCTGCGGAAGAAGAAGCAGAGGCCCCTGCTAGCGCCTCTGCTGAAGAAGCACCTTCTGAGTCTCAGCCTGTGGAGGCACCCGCTCAAGTTAGCCCTGAAGAAGCTCCAGCTGCAGCCGAGGAGGCTCCAAAGGAGGCCCCACAAGAGGATGCACCTGCCCCTGAAATTCCGCCTGAAGACGTGGCTCCTGCTGAAGCTGCATCCGAAGAGGCACCAGCAGATGCGCCTGCCCCCGAGGAGCCAGCATCAGAAGCCGACGCAGCCCAAGAAGCCCCCGCCGAAGAGCAACCAGCGGAGGATCCAGCTCCTGCTGAGGCTCCTGCTGAGGCAACTCCGGCTGTTGAAGAACCTGCACCCGAGGAGACGCCTGCATCAGCAGATCCCGCGCCAGAGGAAGTCATTGCTGGTGCAGAAGTACCCCGCGAGGAGCCCGCCGAAGAACCCACCGAGGCATCAACCGAAAGGCGTAACTCGCGGCGCCGCAAGCGGCGGTCCACCTACGTGGAGCGCGAGCGCCGCCACTCCAAGACCTCATCTGAAGGGCGCCGGGATCAGCTTCGGCGCCAGAAGAGCGAACGTGGCCTATTCACCAACCGATGGGCCAAGGCTCTGGAAGAGGCCCGGAGGCAGCACGACGAAAAGGTTCGAGCCGACACGCACAGCCAGAGAAAGCAACGCGCACTAGTCGTCGAGCGAGAGCGCAGCGGCGTCCCACCATCCGAGAAGCCGAGACGCTCTGAGCGCGCCGCTGCAAAGGAGCGGGACGCAGACTTCATTGAAACTAAGCCTCGTCGCCGTTCGTCTGATGATCACTCGGCAGAAAGCCAAGCGCGAGAGCAGGCCCGTTCCTCCAAACCTCCGGCGTCCTCGAAGGGGGCCCCGGTCCCGGCACCCAAACCCCGTGCGTTCCTGCGATACATGACTAACGGCCAGTCGGATACCAACGGGCCTCTTCTGCGCGTGAACACCACCAAAGCCGCCGCCCCGGCACCCGAGAAGCCGCGGCGCGCCTCAACAAGTCATAGTCACGGCAGCGGCCGTCACGAGCGTCCGTCGAGCGAAGAGAAACGCTCCAGTGGCCGGTCCAGTGGATCTCATTCTCGGCACGACGACGACAACTCCCGGCACGAGGCTTCCAAATCGCGGAGACGCGCCCCCGACGAGTCGGGACACAGCAAGCCGCGGGAGCGAGAGAGAAAGCCTGAGAGCTCCCGTCGCCAGCACCAGCACCCAAGCGGCCGCGAGCAGAGGACTCATCATCGCCGGCACCGGCGTGAGGAGTCCCCGCCTCCGCCGCCGCGGGAGGATTCGAAGCTGAAGGGAATTTGGAGAGCCATTACTGCTTATTAAATCTTATGTGAGAATAGAAGGAGTTAGGGAGATATAGGGGAGAGAGATAGAGAGAGAGAGAGAGAGAGAGACACTGTGTGTGTGTGATATTCGATTCTATTTCAACCTTGTCTTTTCACTATTTATTTTGGAGGATGGTGCGTTTGGGAATTGCATGAGGAGCGAGGAGCGGTGCATTACAGGTGTCTCTTTGTCTATTTGTGCTCAGCGCACCCTGACGACCCTCTTCGGTCGGAGCATTTTCCTTTTATACAGACTGGTGATCGAGTATTGTTCAATATATGATATATGATATGTGCACTTCTGCTGTCTTTGAATAGATACTGAATCTATCATACTCTCATAGCCAAGAGGAATTGAGCAAGACCATGCAGAATAGAGAATACCTCGTGGCAATAGACAGATCTGATATGTACAACACCATAGACATCATTAAAGCATATGCCAGTTGCGCTCCCAAAAAAGGGAGCCAATGCAAATAAATGCAAAATGTAGACGCTAAATATCACAGTCAGAGGCAAGTTTGTAATAGCAATCGAGGAAAGGATGCGACACATCTCTGCACTAAGCCATGATTTCAAGCCTCAGCCTTCGCAGGAATGACTCTCGAGCACCAGCCACACCAGGCCCGATGAAGTCCGCCTTCTTCGCGGACCAAATAGCGGCCCGTCTCACGCTCGTCCTCATACTCAACCACACAAGCGCCAACGGTGACACGCTTTTTCGCCTTGTGTTTGACTACGCCCCCGAGCCCGATGACTTCCTGCCGGAAATAGCCCGGTTCCTCGTCATCATGGCTGTCAGTTGATAAGAAGTCCGGATGATGGGAGTTATGATGATGGTGATGTTGGTGGAGATGCGACGGATGGCCGGGAGGGCTATGGGCCGGGCTACTGGTCTCACTGGGCCCTTCGTCGGCCTCGCAGTCAACTTCGAGCTCGATCTCCTGTGCGGCTAGACACGCTTCGCCGCGGCCGCATTTGACGCCCTGGCAGCCCTCGCCGATACCCGTGCCGAGACCGCCGCCAAGATAGGTGCTGTAGCGGGTCCGCCACGCCCAGACGCGTCGGTAGGTGGTGTCGCTGCTGCGCAGGGTCTGGCCGCATGGGGTGCACAGCCAGACGGTATCTTCGCAGGTGCAGGCACTGCGGGCGAACGCGGCCGCAGTATCCGCGTGCCAGCGGTCTTCTAGAGGGTCGGTCGGGTCGATGGCGCGATAACTAAGATGGCAGGCGAGGGGCGAGGTGCCGCAGGTGCGGCAGAGCCGGCGAATTCGGTTCTTGAGAGTCGCTGCAGAGGGGGGTTTGACGGTGCAGTTCTGTGAAATGGTGGCGGTTAGCCTCGGAGGCTGGTAGTTTAAGAATTAGAAGCCTTACTCTACAAACGACCCGGGCGCAACGCCGACACTCGCCCACCATATCGCGTGCGCATTTGCCCACTTTCCCCCGCGTCATGCGCCCAGTGTCTGCACTGCCCCGGCTGAGCAGCTGTAAGACCGACTTCACGCTGCTAGGGAGTACAGCGTCGCCGTCCAGCATCTCAGCCAGCGTTTCCACGTATTCATTCTCGCAACGGAGGGTCTCTCGCACGAGCTGCTGGCGGAACGGCGCGAGATTTACATGGAACTGGCGGCAGGTCCGCGACAGAGCGTGGAGAGTATTAAGATCGACAGCGCGGGCGATTTCCTTCACGATTCTAGATAATTCACGCGAGAAATTAGAAAATGGATTGAAAACAATAATGATTTTTTGAGGGAAATGATCGCTGCAAAACATACGGATAGCAACTCAAGGCCGCCGAGAAGGCGTTCCGGTTGGGGTTCACGTCCGGGAATATCTCTGGATGCGAGGCACACGCCTCGTCCTCCGACGATGTCGGCGAGGGCAAGAGTTCGGGCGGGTCCGCAGCGGGGACGGGAGCCAGTATCAGCGGGAATGGCTTCTCCGTAGGTCCATGATGCTCCAAGGCATCTTGGTCGAGGTCGACAAACACCACCATGCTGCTGCTGCCATCAGAGGCGGAGATGGGATGAATCAGCTCATCAGATAAGATGGACAAGCCCGGCGCTTCTTATAGGATGGGGTCAAGGGGCCAGAGAGGGTCCTTAAATCCAGGAGTCCCGAGGTGGGATGATGTGAAATGAGGGATTTCAGCTCCGTCTTCGGCGGTGAGTTACGTGATGAAATTCCCCTGTTTTCCAGTCCTTTGTTTGAGGTACATTGGTTACTGAGGGAGTTCTATAGTAGACTGAAGTACCTCTCTTGTGTAGAAAAAATCGAAGATGTGATTTTGAGTGATTAGACTATTACTGATGTATTCTATAGTAGACAAAAGTTGCTAACAATTAGCAGTGTTCCAAACAAACCAGAGCTCAAGACGAGTTGTCAGCTTTGACCCGAATAACCACCTTCCCAAGACCACCCCTTCCACTGTAAACAATGTCGCATGCATTTCGCACCGACGATGTATCTTGAAGATCAACAGTCGTACCCACGATGGTCCTCAGCCTGCCCTCTTCAACATGCCGCCGCAAGTCGTCTAGATCTTTGCCACTGGATTCCAGAAACATATATGAGTACTCCGTGTTGTACCGTCGTGCTCTGAGCTTGCGAATCTGATCGGACAGATTTAGTCCCATTCGGAAGGGCATAGGGATCTTAGGGCGATGAGGCAGGTCCATCAACGATGACGACTGGAGCTGGTCACCGGATGGTAGCGTTGAGACGGACACGATGCGGCTAGATCCTGGTCGCATCAAGCAGAGACACTGCATAGAAAGGCCGACTGTGTCGAAGAGGAAATCCACCGAGCCCTGCTCAATAACTTCTCTTGGGTCGGATTTTGTGTAATCGATAACTTGATGGATGTCAGTGATTTGAGTAGAGAAGGTATAGGAATCAGTACTTACTCTGATCCACGGTGTTTTCGCCCAAAAGCTCACTGACTTTGGGGATTTTCGTAGTCGAGACCGTAGTGATAACCTTGCCAGCATGAAACACATGTTTCGCAAGTTGGCACGCAAACAAACCCGTCCCACTCACTGAAAACCGTTAGCAAAATCTATCAAAAATGTGGAGATTTGGGGATTCGAACATCCAGCGGGCACAAAGACTGTTTTCCCAGCAAGATCGCCCCGATACTTGCGGAGCGCTTGGAGTGCCGTCATTGCTGCTAATGGAATGGATGCAGCCTCTTCGAAAGACAACGAGGGCGGCTTGAGTCCAATGTATTCCTCGGCGCATGTAACGAACTCGCTACATGATCCTAATATCACTTAGTAACTCAAGACGGGACGCCACTGATCATCACTCATGCCATACCTCGAGAAACCTCTGGCAGCCGAATGTAGACCGCGTCTCCAACTTTAAACTTGGTGACGTCCTGTCCAACTTCTGTGATCGTACCAGCACAATCATAACCGATTTTAAATGGAAAGCTAAATTTCAAGGTTAGTATTTCTAGTATCTACAGGAGAGGGAGGTTTACTTACCTGTCTTTCAGTGCCAGCTTGAGAGCTCCATCGGCTCGTTTAACGTCGATTGGATTGATGCTCGCCGCATAAACCTTGACAAGCACATCTTTGGGACTATGTAGTTCAGGCTTGGGCAAGTCTGAGACCTGATACTCGGATGGTTTCGAGTAGGACGAGATATTAAGGGACCGCATTGTCGAGATTCTTTCAAGTAAAATTAAGATGATGACTGTGGGATTCTGCAAGGGGAACACAGCTCAAATAGTCTAAAAGGTTCAAAACGGACCGAGGCTCAACGATGGAATAGTGGATTACTCAATGCAATGATGTATCCACCGTGGAGCAACAATCTGTCCGGTGCAGAGATGTGGTGATGTCATGTGATATGAGAAAAACTTAAACAAACATGAACATGCGGAACAACAATCGCCCGAGTATAGATAGAAAAACTGGATACATAATCTATGAAGATTCTAGTTCTAGAATTATCCAAGACTATGTATGTGGGGTTGGAATGGTCAAGATCATTCTGTCTTCTACTTCGGCAGTGGCGTCTTTTTTGAGATGACAAATCTATCCCATCAATGAAGGGACTATATTTCTGTATGGTTTTTATTACTAGAAGATAGATAATTGACTAGATCCCATGAATGAACTAGTTTCTTAGCTCTGGTTTCCTCAGAAGTCTCAAGGTCTGTACACTTTAGTATATCTAGCGGAGAGCCACCCAAGCCTGGGCAAGTCCTGCAGCCGCTGTAATGAACCCATTCTCCTTCAAGCCACCCCGAAAATACCAAGCCGAGCTCGCCCAAGCAATAGCGGTGATCAAGATAGCCATTGCACGATTCAGTGGTTCTTCCAGGGCCGTTGGATTCTGTGCCCAGTGAAGATTAAGCAATCCTATAATCCAAAATCATGGTATTAGAAAAGAAATCAAAGATTTTCACTTCCATTTAAAATGAGAAAGGGAGAAAAACCTGTCAGGATTAGATAGGCACTGCCTTGATACCACCCAACCGTGCTACAAGTGAATGCGATGCCTGGCAGTGCTTTAAACTGGCGAAGTCGTTGGAATTGACGTCCAGAAAGCTACCCAAGTTAGATAATACCCCTGTTTTTCACCGAGTCATGTTTTGCAGAACTTGACAGGGACTAACCGCATGCCCAACAGCCAGTAGGAATGAGCCATATCCCGTAAGTTGGAGAAGAGTAGGGCTTGGCATCTTGTCACTTTAAAATGGCAGCTGAATATTCAAAATTATCAAGTTGAGTAAAAGAAGAGAGATCATTCGAAAATGGACCAGCGGCTTGAATATCATTAATCGTTTTAAATGTTCTACGATGTGTCGCCATGCGATGATCACCTGGGTATGCACGACCTAACCTCGGCTCAGGAGTATGAGGAATGACTAAGGAGTGGTGTCGGAGCAATAAACTGTCCGTCTCGGCAATGCTTAAGTGAAGAAAGTAATGATATCAATATGACATATCGACTAGAACGCAAAGCAACGTCCACTATGAACTGGTCGGTAGTCATCTATCCATATAAGCTCCTGGGGCTTGCAGATTAACATTCAACTGCTTACCTGGATCCTACGAGATATCGACCAACTCAACCATGCCATATCTTAAACTTCGAGATGGAGCAGAGCTCTTCTACAAAGACTGGGGAAACCCCAACGGACAAATCGTCACCTTCTCGCACGGCTGGCCCCTAAGCAGCGACAACTGGGAGAACCAAATGGTTTTCCTGGCCGAACAAGGCTACCGTGTGATCGCCCATGACCGACGCGGCCACGGACGCTCGACGCAGACATGGCAGGGAAACAACATGGAGAAGTTTGTCGACGATTTGGAGGAGTTGTTCGAGCATCTCAAAGTCAAAGACGCCATGATGGTCGGGCATTCGCATGGCGGAGGCGAAGTCACCCGCTACCTAGGCAAACACGGCACGCATCGTTTCAAGAAGGCAGTTCTCGTTGGCGCCGTGCCCCCTCTCATGCTCAAGACCACGGCCAATGCAGAGGGAACTGAGAAGTCGGTCTTCGACACGTTCAGACAGGCTATGCACAACGACCGGGCACAGTTCTTCTTGGATGTTCCCAGCGGACCGTTCTTTGGGTTCAATCGGCCTGGTGCCAAGAAGAGTGAGGGCCAGATTCGGAGTTGGTGGCAGCAGGGAATGAATACCGGCTTCAAGGCGGCATATGACAGTATCAAGGACTTTTCGGAGACTGATTTCACTGCGGATCTGAAGAGCATTAATATTCCTGTTCTGGTTCTCCATGGCGATGATGACCAGGTTGTTCCTATTGAGGCTGCTGGGCTCAAGTCTGCGAAGCTTTTGTCTCAAGGGAAACTCAAGGTCTACCCGGGAGGTTCTCACGCCATCCACAACATCAACATTGACGAAGTGAACAAGGACCTGCTCGAGTTTCTGCGGTCCTGAGTGCTATGCAGCAATGCTGAGCTGTGTTTTGTGAGTAAAATAGCAAACTGATCGACCGTGGAGTAAAAAGAGAGTAAAGCTCAGGACTATTTAACATTGAGAATTGCCTCGGCAAACACACCAAATGCCATTTCGGCCTGAAGTTTCTGGCCGGAACAGCTTTCACCCAGCGCTTCCCTAGATGCGAGGATCGATGAAGTACACAGTGTAGATAGCCAATTCATACTGCTATAAAGATATCTTGACTCTAGCAAAGTACGCCATCCGGCTCTTATTCACACTATTTATCCCACTTACCCACCCAGTCTCTTACAGTATCTCCAATCGGCGGGGTTACCCGTAAGTTACTCCAATTCTACAGTCTCTCCCCTCTTTAGTCCGAATTCTTTCCTTTCGCCCCTCGCTACTCTTCTTCTATGTATTTATCTTTTCTCTGTTCTTTTTCTAGCTGGGTTATTTAATGTATAGGTGACTCGGACCTTGAAGACTTCACGCCATGCCCCTCAACGCCAAAGCCGTCTACGCCAAGCCCGAAGCCGACTACGTCCCCTTCGCCAGTCGCCGGAGCACCGTCCACAGCACGAATGGCATCGTGTCCTGCACGCAGCCGCTGGCTGCAGCTGCGGGCCACCGCATTCTGAGTCAGGGGGAAATGCCGCGGTAGGTGGCTTCAATATACAATCTCCTATATCCATGATGATAGAGCCGAGTCGACTGACTGGAATGTTGGTCTAGGATGCGGCCGTCGCAGTGGGTAAGTGTCCAACAAGACATGAAGAGAAATCCGCAAAGAAGGCAAGCAACATGAATCATAAACTGACATCATCTTTTCTTGTCAGCCGCCGGCCTCAACATGACCGAGCCCGGCTCGACCGGTATCGGAGGCGACATGTTCTGCCTCTTCTACAACGCGCAGACCAAAAAGGTGCATGCGCTAAACGGCTCCGGCCGCTACCCGGGCCAGGCCTCGCTCGAGCAAATACGCAAGGACCTGAACCTTGCCCCCGGCGCCGCAGGTGACATGCCGATGCTCAATGCGCTGGCGACCACCACGCCCGGTGCTGCCGCTGGCTGGGTGGACACGATTGAGAAGTTTGGGAGCGGCAAGCTGTCGCTGGAGCAGATCTTGCAGCCGGCTATTGAGATGGGCGAGGAGGGGTTTCCTGTGTCGGAGCTATCGTCGCATCTGGTCAGTTCTCTTTCTTCCTAAAACCCCCACTCTGCCAATTGATGAAGTTCAAACTAACTAGTTATAGTGGCAAGTAAGCGAGAAAGACATCCGGTCTGCATCGCCCAATTTCCGGGAAATGCTCAAGGCCGACGCATCAGCACCCGATGGTGTCCGCAGTCCGCTGCCGGGCGAGATCATGAAGAACCCGACCCTGGCACAGACATTCCGCGCGCTGGCAGCAGACGGGAAAAAGGGATTCTACGAGGGCCGCATCGCGCAAGAGATCGTCAAGGTAGTGCAAGACCTAGGCGGATACCTCACGCTCGAGGACCTCGCAAACCACGCAGCAACCGGTACGCAAGAAGTCGACGCAATCTCACTCAAGTTCACGGGGCAAGACATCGTGAACAAGCAAACTCCCGGCACAGACGGCGAGAAGCCCAACCAGGGCGTGGAGATCTGGGAACATCCACCGAACGGACAGGGCATCGTGGCGCTGATTGCGCTGGGGATCCTCGAGGAGCTGGAGCGCGCAGGCAAGATCCCGCAGTTCAGCGCCGCGCAGCACAACTCAGCAGAGTACCTACACGCAGTGATCGAGAGCCTGCAGATTGCCTTCGCCGACGCCGCGTGGTGGGTGACAGACCCGGACGTCGAGCAAGTGCCGTCGCAGGGCCTGCTGGCGCGCGAGTATCTCGCCGAACGCGCGAAACTGTTCTCTGTAGACCGTGCCTCAGAGCCCCTTGAGCACGGCAGTCCCGCACACAACCACTGCGACACGGTGTACTTCGCCGTGACCGACGCCGCAGGCAACGGCATCTCGTTCATCAACAGCAACTACGCCGGGTTCGGGACGGCCATCATCCCCGCGGGCTGCGGCTTCACGCTACAGAACCGCGCGTGCAATTTCTCGCTGATGCCGGGCCATCCTAACGCGCTTGCCCCCCATAAACGGCCCTACCACACCATCATCCCGGCGCTGATCACCAACGTCGCGGACGGCTCGCTGCACTCCGTGTATGGGGTGATGGGCGGGTTCATGCAGCCGCAGGGCCATGTGCAGGTGCTGCTGAACATGCTCGCCTTCGGGTTCCATCCGCAGGCTGCGCTGGATGCGCCGCGCATCTGTATCGCGGCGCCGAGTCATGGCAGCACGGACCGGACGGTGTTTGTCGAGGAGGGGATCAGTGAGGAGGCTGTCGAGGGGCTGCGTCGGCTCGGGCATAAGATTGTTGTGTTGACGGGCTGGGCGCGGGCTATGTTTGGGCGTGGCCAGATTATCCGGCTGCATTATGATGAGGGGAAGTTGGTACATAGTGGTGGTAGTGATTTGAGAGGCGATGGAGCTGCGTTCCCTCTGCTGTAGATGGAGTTACATAGTTACCAGAGCACTAGTCATCAGTCATATAGTCAATATTGCATCTGTATAGTGCTAAGAAGATATCTATACTATAGGCACTATAGTATAGCCCTCCTCTTATCTCTTTCTACTATACCACACACATGACATTCCAAAGACAATTGACAATAAACATCCGAACGTCCTTCCTCAGTAGATCGTCTATACCAGACACAGAAGGAACAGTAAAGCCATCGCAACGGTCGGGGGCCAAAGCCCCAACGCCAACCCAAAAAGCGATAGACGCGAACGTGCCCAAAGGATTGGAGCAAGGATTTTACCTCGAATAGAGTCATCATCCTTAAAATGGGGGGGCCAGGAAAGAGGGGCAACAAAAAGATAGATGGGCGGTTTGGCCCCGGGGGGAGGGGCCTGAGGGGGCCAAGATTCAAGACATGTGTGCCTTAGTGGCGGGGTGGAATGTTGACTGTACTTACCAAGTATAGTTAACATTTAATATAGTAGTGGGGGTGGAGAGGGGAAAGATACAGAGAATGATAGTGATAGGTATAAGAATATGGATTGGATAGTCGACATAAGCTTGGAAATATTCCGCGGAGATCAAGAAGAATACCCAAATTCAAGAAATGTTCGAGAAAATAGTATATGTGCTTAGCATAGATACATAGTAGGGATGTGAGGGACATCCCTGTCGCAGTCGTGCTTTCATGCACGCCATCGGAAGAATAAGGTCCAGTAGGGTTATCTACAGGATTCTGCACATCATCGCATAGACAAATACTTAACCTTGGATATGAAGACGACAAACTTCAATAGTGTCAAGAATTCAAGAGGGAGGACTGCCGATAAGAGATCACAAGGTGTCGCAGCGAATGCTATACTATAGTAAGAAAATAATATTCTAATATTCTAATAATTATAAAAAAAAAAAATAATAATCCATACTGACCAGAGTAAGAATAAACGAAATGAAAATTAATTCAAAATCACCACCGCGTGACTCTCTCCCCTGATCGACACCAACCATCTCCTGACAAGGGAATTAAGACGCAACTTTATTGGAAACAGAACCAGAGAGAATGAAAGTGGAGCCCAGCCGCTAAACAGACAAGAAGTCGAGAACCTGCGGAAAAGAATCTACCCAAACACCTCAGACCGACAGTTTGGGACTCCACCGGCCACTCAGCAGGAGCGGAAAAATAAAGGAAGAGAGGGGGAGAATCCACCTAAACTAACCAGACAATTGTGCTAAACTAACAGCACTAACAACCACTAACAACACTAAGGGGAAAACGGGTAAATCACCCCCCCCCTGCCTGCGTATATATGTAGCCAAAGTATATATCCACCAGAATTCTAAATTCTAAATTGGCATCATGACTTCCACGCGGAGAGATCATCGTGCGAAAGCGAGAGGGAAAAAACAAGAGAGAGGACGAGAGATGTGGAGCGATACCTTTCCGTCGGGTACACAACTATACTCGATGCGGGTATCTTGCGAACGGTTAGGGTGGAGAGAGGGCGAGAAGAGGGGAGACGGAGTTCCCGTTTTCCCGTCTGAATCTTTGCTGAGGGAAAAGAGAACGGCCGGTAGTGGCCGAGGCAGGATTCAGTCTGGTTTATGAGTTGATGAGTTTTTGAGGTGTGGACTGTATATCAATAGATCAAAATTGTAAAATCGTTCATACTACTACGTATACTGTAGCTAACGTATACTGCATGAACATCAATGCTGATCAGATGTCACTAACTTTAAGCGATTTGGAATTACGAGGCGAACCATGGAACGGCGATCGACCGGAACCACAGATAACTGACACTTCAACAAGTTTGGAGTCATTATTATATACATCGGTTTAGATTTCGGATTATATTCACAGGAACTCAGAGGGGTATAGCAGACATTGCAGACACATTGTAGTCAAATCATCCATCATATCGTCGAGACAAAGAAAAGACGTCGAAATATAAAAGAAATGAGAACAAGAAAAAAAAAATACCACAATAAAAACAAGAAGATAATAAATACACAGCAAATTAGAAAGACAAGAACAAAAAGACAAAATCTATAACCATCGGAGATCCCCGTCGAGGATGAAAAACAAAGCAATCCTTCGAAGGTGTTCGGGGTGGACAGCAGGGCCCACCCACTGTTTTCGGTAGGTGGATCCTCTCCGCTGTAGTCCGAGCGGCGCTGCCGAGCGAGGACTGGAGTGTCGCCATAGCGAAGGGCGGAGCCATCCGAGGCGGTTCGAGCATTCGCTCGAGTCCAGTTGCTCGAGGGGTGGGTAGTGTTTACCCCCCCCCTCTTAACCATTGATAGGATGATTGGCTGTCCCAGGCTCATCTAGAGCGGGAGCAGCACAGGGTGGTGTAGAGTGTATACCAGAGTAAACAAAAGAGTCATCGAGGCCCAAGAGTTCATGATGCACCATGTTCAACACGGAGTCATTCAATTCAAGCCGAGTAGCGTAGTCTCTTCACATGGCCCAGGTCACGGGCTGGAAGTGGCCCATGTGCTGGAGGTGCTCCTCGTAAGGTAGGCAGTCGGCACCAGACCATGTGGGAGAAGGGTAGTGGCACTGCACGGGCGGCTGGATCAGGTTCTCACCCAAGGAGATGGGCACCATGTGCGAAGGCATGGCCGCATCGGAGCCGTCCCAGCGTAGAGGCGAGTGCATCTGGAGAGGCGAAGCCACCTCGGGCTTCATGATGCCCTTGGGATACTGCTCAATCACTGAGACCGAGCCAGAAGAGATGGACGAGCTAGAGTGAGGAGGCAGAGAGTAGGCGGCGTCCGAGAGAGGCGAGGGGCAGGTCTCAGCGGGCGAAGAGTAGAACGGGCTGTCGTCGGCCGACTCGGGGACGTGGTTCTGGAAGGATGGGCGCGGCTGCAGCGGCATCTCAACGCCACTCCACATCAGAGAGCAATCGTTGGCCAGGTCGGGGTGAACGCCCGGGGCCACAAGTGAGCCAATGGACATGGAGTGTGGCTGCGACGTGGCGGCCAGGAGCCCGCTGTTGTCCATGGACACACAGTGCGGGATGGAAGCGGACTCGGTTACCATGGGGGCCTGGGTAGGCGGCGTCCATTGGGAGTCGGTTTGTGCCTCAAGCTCGCTGCAATCCAGGTCAGTGGTCTGCGCATGCCAAACCAGCTTCTCAAGGAAAATACTCACTGTCGTTCCATGTGCCGGGCAAGCAGGTCAGGTCGGTGGAAGGCCTTCTTGCATCCCTGCTGGCTGCATCGGTATAAAGCCTCCGGGTTGTGGTTCAATTCGTGTCGTCGGCGGTGCTCGGCGCGGGTGAAGACCTGGGTTGGCGCGTCGAGTCAGCTCCCAGCTCTTGAATTTGGGGATATCGCTTTGGATTGAAGAAAATGCTTACCTTGTTGCAGCCAGGGAACTCGCATGCATGGACACGCTTGCCCTTCTTGGCTTTGCTGATGCGGTGGGTGGTAGGAGTGTAGGTGACGGGCATGGTGACCTCGGACTGAGGGTTGCGGCGCATGTTCTTCTTGCCCACCATGGTGTGTTGAGGTTCAGGAGAAGGAGAGATGGAAGAAACAGAGGGCGAGTTCAAGACAGAGACGATGTTGGAAGACAGAGGGTTGGACAAGCTAGAGCGTGAGGGACCCCGGGGCATCCTGCGATAGAAGGATGAGTGGGGGAAGAAGAAGAGAGAGGAAGGCAGAGAGGGGGGAAGAGGAAGAGGAAGAGGAAGATATATAGGAAAGAGATGGAGAAGGAAGAAAAGGCTTGGCTTGACTGAAGAGAATCTGAATCTGCAAGAAGGAAGAAGGTAAAGAAGAGCGGATGAGGGTGGACTGATATAGAGGAACGACATGCACCAGCAAGGCTGTTCCTCACACTGGAGATCTACCAGACGGATTATTAGACTTTGGTAAATTAATTCCAAAGCGCAATTTCCAAAAAAAAAAATATTATATTCGAAATATTGAAATATTATTTTATTATTTTATTATTTTATTTATTATTTATTATTTATTTTTGGAATTTGTGAGATCGCACGGGGAATGATCGCTCGGGATGATCAGACAGGGCTAAGCCAGGCTAATCCGCACTAACAGTCCTAAAATTACACGTGCGGCTGAGGCTTTTTTTTTTCAAATTATTTAAATATTATTTTATTCCAACGGTTGGAAGCCAACGCCGATCCCTCCACTGGCCGCATTGGGTATATTGGAATCCTTTTCGCTACCGCCGCGTTGGAATTGGCTTTCAGAGATAATGATGGTCGAAGGATTCCTTCAGGGGATTCCTTCAGATTCCTGTTTGAATTCCATTCTGTCTGTCTTGCTCTTTCCCCCCTCTGCTTCTCTTATATCAATGAAATACTCAATCGAAGAAGTCAAGACCATAAACCCTATCTCGAGTCTAGAGTAGATATTCCAAATTCTCCGTGGAGCCCAAGCTCCAACGGAACGCAACGGGGGTCACTGATAGACTTTACAGTGGAACCCCCCCCCCCCCCCCTCCGTCATGGTTCTTCCGTTTCGAGTAACTCGCTGCATCCTTGAGCTAAACCAAATATAGTATAGTGAGAGTAGGTCGATGCGATTGGATACCATCACCCTGGGTTGAAGTCCTTTTCTTCTTCAGGCATTCCGTGCCTGAGAGAGAGAGATTGTGTGTGTCAGCACTTGCTTGATGCCTCAGGGTCCTATTTGTGTGTCCTTTTTTTTTTCGAGGGTTGCACCACATCCCGATGTCTCACAAGCATAAATGGATTACAATGGCTGATTGTATACTGACGGCAGAGTATCGGGAGATCATAGTGGGGACTGTTCTGTTAGTCCGGAGAGACAGACAGGCTCCGGATATAATTATCAGAAAAATAATCATGATCATAAATTAAAAATTAATAATAATAATGAAATAATGAAATCAAATCAAATCAAATAAAAAATCACCGAGTCAGCCTGGTGGGGTCATGGCTGGCCTTAGCGGGAGAGGGGGGACATGGCGACTCCCCCCGACTGCAGTTGACCTGCGCTAGCGTCGTTTCACCATGTCGATCGCTTACTCCATGAGGACAATGAACAACTCTCTTGCCTACTCCGACTCCGGATCCGAGGGGGCGATGATCAACGTCACTGTTCGAGGTCTGGGGGGATACATACCAGAAGATAATTATAGAATATAGAATGCATACACGCAAGAGAACGGCAGGTACAGCCATGAGATTCTCCCTTCTCTCTCCTCTGCTATGATAGTCACACATCCTACAACCTCGGAATTGAGGGAACGCGAGGGAAATTCACCAGATTGCGCCCGGCTGCAGCCACAACCACGTTCATAGATATAGATTTACCTGAGAACTATGTCGAAAAAAAAAAAAAAAAAAAAAAAAAAAACCTGGCGTGATACAGGAACGGTATCCTGGACCAAGTTGAAACACACGCACAGTGAATCATCGATATCATCATCCATCTTCTAAGGGTATTCTGGAAAGACGCATTCTGCAGGTATTTGCGCCCACGCGAATGAGAGGTGATGCGTGGACAGGGATGATCATCCCCCTTGTTGACTGGCGTTTTGCCTTGTGGAGTGGCCCCTCGACGGTATTTCCGACCTGACCAATGATCTTCCACCAAATCTCTGAGTCAGCGCATGAACTAGCCCTAGGACTGTGGGGAGGGGGGAGCTGATCCCCATGTAACTATGTACAGCATGTGGCATGGCCCATCTCCTACTCCAACGGGGATAGTCAGTGCAGCTAGTGATAGTAGGTAGTATAGATGGTGATTATAGGCATAGTAATGAAATTAGTAGAAATTCAATACTACCAATATAATATAATCATAGCCATCTACCACAAATCATCCCGGTACAGGCGTTTATCCGCGATCACCTCATCTCGCAACTCGCTAAGTGTTTAGATCCCCCTCGTTCCCTGGTTGTTCATGTCCGCTAGTGCTCCCCCGTCTCGCGTGGCGAGAGATCCACCAGACGATCGACTAAATCGCCATCTATCCTGAATTGGGATAGCTTAGAATTTATTTATTAATTTTCTAATTAATTAATTTTCTTTTTATTATTGTTCCCATCGCGCTGGTTCACGCTACTTCCTTCGTCTCTGCAAGCCCCTCCTCACGTGGTGGACGGGTTTGGGATCCTCCTTTTTTTGGAGTCTCGGCAGGTGGAGGCTTTTGCCTACAGTCCCGGGATATCTGTCAAACTCTCTCTCTCTCTCTGTCGGCAATCGCTAAAATAAAAATAAGATGAGGGGTATACCGTAAGAAACAAAACGAGATTCTTTGGTCCATCCCTCCCCCCTCCCTTTTCTCCCTTTTTCTTTTTGTTTCTTGGTTATCACTGAGAATGCAATTGTATAGACTTTCAAGTTGCGACATCCTATATCTGTCCAGTCAAGGAAATTTATTGGGGACTATCCACCCGCTGTATATACGCGATGCTTCCCGTGGCCATGGTTCTTGATATCCCGTGTTTTTTTTTTTTCCTTTTTCTTTTTTTATGTCGGGGCCCGCTCTCGCTCACACTCTTTTTCATTATTCTCGCTTTCGGTCTCTGTTTGCTGTGTCCAGACTATCTTTTCCTGAGTCTATCTCTCGGCTATGGTCGGTGGGATCGGCCTATGGGAGAGACCAATATGATCCCGTAGGATCCACTCTCGCGACATGTATCTGAAAAAAAAAACCAGGATGACGCGATCGTATATTTTAGTGAAGAATGAAAATAAAAAAGAAAATAATAATAATAATAATAATATCCTAGATCACCTGCAGAACAGAAGTGAAGGACCGTTTTTTTGGCAAGTCGCAGCCCCTCGCAGCCCTGAACCCCCGATGACCGACCATCTTTTTTTAGTCTCGGTGGCAGGGGAGTCATAGCCATGGTTGGTTGGAGGGGTGCAATAAGAGTGCACTGGCTTATCTGCCATAATCACGACTCAGCCTCTGGTTTTTTTTTGTCAATCTTGGAAAATATATCGGTCGGAACGGTGTTGTCGCCGACATACCGATATACTAAACATTCATAATAATAATAATAACAACACTACAATGTCAAATATACCAGAACATAGCAAAAGCCACATATTTGAATACACAGGCGCAATACCCTAAGATCAACGTATGTTGCCGAGGATTGGCGAACTCACGGCCAATTACGGTACAACCGGGCAAATAATCGTGACACGATCGACACGGGGCGTTCCAGAACCTGAATATCCCCAGAAAATCATCGGTGACAAATCCTGATTTTCTAGATATCATGACTTCTCAAAGTTTAGTGATATACTTTTCCACCCCTACATTTGTGGTATGTGTGTTATGCGGGATTTCTCTCTCGCTCTCCACTAGACTACAACGAGGCTCTTCGGTGTCCTGACTCTCTCTTTCTGATGGATTCGCCGTGTCCGACTCCGTGCCCGCCCCCGGATGGTTGATCGGTGAACGGGGCACTCCCTTAGTTTGTTTGGCTTGTTTATTGACGGCAGAACTAGCGGTGGACAATAGAATAGATCCGCTGTTTTTGTCTTTTCTTTATGGCCTGTTAGGAGAAGAATTTATCCACCTTGATAGACACAGATAGGATTTCATGACACGAGGCTGACTAGACAATGCTGCGGTTGTTCTGCATAACCCTTTCCCTTCTCTTTCTCCACTTGCTACATACAGGGCTAATGCCAATAGCTGACACACTGTTATGCGAGTAATGCTGTACACAAAACTATCCCAGATTCCAACTCTCAACACTTAGTTCTTGTGCTACATACTATATCCCGAGACTGTTCCAACACACTGGATATTCCGTCGCAAATATCGCGCAATGTGGCCCTGTGCTCTCAAAGTTGGGTAGCCTTGAAATAGCGAGGATGGTTGACCCCGACCGTCGGGACTGGCACGGGAATACACTGGAAGCAGTAGGAAGTGCGGTGTACTATGAAAAAAAAATATTATTATATCACTATCTCTTAGAAAGTCGAGGCGTTGCAAATTTGCGCCCGTTCCCAGCCTCCCGGGTGAGACTATTGAAGAAAAACCTGCAAACTACCCAGAGTGGAAAGAGTGTAGTCAAGGACCAACTGTTAGGTCATACCTAATTGAGGCACGATTGACAGGAAACAGCCAGAGAGGGCAAGAGAAAACCGTTTGGCCCTGGAAGGGGGAATGGGCAGCGAAATTCCCCGTGAAGCATCCTTCTTTCCCAGCAGAGTTAGGGCTGCGAGGTGTGGGGGGTCCACTCCGTGTGCACTGTCTAAGCGGATATATATGGGGTTTTACTATTTTTTTTTTTGTATATTATCATTTATTATAATTACATTATAATTATGTTTGATTTTTTGATTATCTTCCCGTCTAAGCTTCTGTCGCCGACCTTGGATCACTTGGAGAAAGGTGTAAGCTCCGCTTGATTTATTTTTTAATTTTATAAATTTATATTATTTTTTTTCTGTTCCCGTGGCCTGTTCACGATGGGTCCTGCTTTTACGCGAAGACCAAGCAGATTGGCTAAACAGAGTTGATCGACAACTGTGATCGGCGGTGTCGATGCTTTTCGGTCCAACTTGACCTTGGGACGATCTCTCTGTCCGAGGGATTCCGAGCTTGGGTCCACTTAAATTGGGTGTCTGCGGCAATTCCGCGCTCTCTCTTCCTGAAAACAGAAATCAAGGATAGCCCCGAGAACTGCAAAAAAAAAAAAAGGTTGGTCCGTTATTTTGCTCTGCAGAAGAATGAGGCGCAGAATCTGGTTCTGCCTAGTGATAAGAATTTTCTTTTTCAACTAAATTTGGTAGTTAGGTTGTCTGAGTCAGGCGTGAGAATGAGAGAACTTTATGGTCAGAGCTGAAAACTGCTTATCTCGATATAGTAGGGGACTCGGGAGTACCTACAGTATAGAAGTGTACACCTACTATAGCCCCCTGCTACATACGCGATATGTACAAGTACAGTATACCACCTACACTAGGTATAATAGAAACAATCCACTAAAGCAACGGCAATCCTGAACCATGCGGTCCGGGGTAAACCGCTGCACTCCGCTCATCCGCACAGATCAATAGATGGCAACACAAAAGTATAATAATGCCCATCGTACAGAGATAGAGTACGCGTACACACGCCAGGATGGGCACCAAGCAACAACACCACGACCCAGGAGCCCTAATGCAGCAACGTTTCCAACAGAGCGAATCCTTTTGCAAGCCAAGCTCTCCAACGGCTATTACTTCCGGCAAGTCCGCTGCATTCCTGATTCCTGCTTGCCCCTAACCCCTATTTCCCTAAATTCCTATAGTGTACATACACGCCTAGTAGACTACTAGCAGAGACTAGACTCGAACAGGTTGCCTAGTTGCCTGACCGCATCAGAGGTGGCTGCAGGTCCTCGACCCAAGAGGGTTAGGGAGGTGTGTTTCAGATGTCGATCAGGCCATGTGGTCGGGCGTTGTGCAAGGGCAGGCAGGATCACCCCGAGTGTGGAATACATCGCGATCACCTCGATGGCGACGCACTCGTGGTTGGTCGGATCTTGGCTTGATTGGGTTTGTTTATGGTTGTACAGTATATACGATGGGTACAGCATATTGATAGCTCACAGAAATATCTGTGCCATTGCGATGTTACTCTATATATATATATACACCCTGTATGTTACTCTATACTACGTTACTTCCTCCTTCTCCGTAGTATTCTTTTGCTTCTCTGTTTTACCCCTGACCGGAATCTTTTCTCAGAGCTGAAGAGTATGACGTGCAGTAATACCCCCGGGGTTATCGGTCTCAGCCAGGGTTGCATTGTTCAGCCTCCCTACGTTGGAGGCTGAGAGTATGCACTTACCTCCTATAGGTAAGTTAGTAGTGAGAGCTGAGCATAGGGGAGTAATAACTACGGGATCTCGGAGTAGCAACATAAGTCCGAGTCCGAGTCTAGTGCCGGTTCCCCCTAATCTGCTTGGTAATGACTATTTTGCATTAATTTCCGCGACTCGCAACGGGGTATGTGAAGGATCAGTATCCTAGTAGACCATGTGGTTGCAAATAATCATAAAATAAAATAAAATAAAACTACTTTATTGAAAAAAAAAAAATAAAATAAAATAAAATAAAATAAATAAAGGCAATTGTTTAATTAGCCTGGTTTATCATGCAATCCAGGGGCTGAGGGCCCAGTAGCATCCTTTTTCCCACAAGAAGGGAAAGCAAACTACTGCAAGTCCTGCAGGGCCACACTAGACTCTTCCGGGCAAATGTACAACCGCATTCTCCTCACTAGTTGAACTAGTTGCGTTTCAGGTTTGTTGGTTACACGTGGATCTCCTAAAGTCGCGTGGCTGAACTGTCGGTCTGCCGATCGGATGCTATTTTTATCGCGATCGACTTTCGCAGGCTGGTTTGGCTAGTGTTTCTTGTTCGTGCGTGATGGCTGCCTCTTTCACTCTCTTTCCCTCTCTTTCCTATGCATACTAGGAAATATCCCATGCAAGGCTAAGACTGTACAAGACTAGTTCTTACTCTTTTTTTAATCGAGTTATACGCCTATCCCCATGCATATTCTTAGGCCACACGAAGCTGCATCTGCATCTTAGCCCGTGCATTGCGTTTCAAACTTTCAGCTACTGTAGGTTGTTGCATCATTCTCACATCTGGGTTGAATACTATTTTCGGCTTCAAGGGCGGAAGGGCGGAAGGGCGGACAGACGGTGAACGGAAAATCCGTGGGCGAGAGTCCTCGAGGACTGACCCGCGGACACCCGCGGACTCGCCCGCGGATATTCCGCCAGAACCACCTATGTAAAAAGAAAAGAAAAAAAAAAAAAAAAAAAAAAGGTAGGACTTCATTTCCCTCTCTCTCCGCTGCACCAGAAAAAGTCAAGATGATCCACGAACATCCCCAAGGTCCATCCCCACCAGTACCAGATCAGAAGAGTTCTGTAACTACTGGATATGCAACTATGGTACGAGGGGATGGAGTATAGAGAATCCTCGAGGAACTAGAATACTACTCTAGCAGACCTGCACACGTGGACTTGAACTCACCAGGATTTCTTTTCCCACGGTTCACCTACCCCAGTAGATCCCCATCTCAACCACCATTGCCCCCCTCCCCTTTTTTTTTTGGTTGGCGCAACGTGCGTGATCTCGCCAAACGCGACCGCGATCATAATCTCGCCCCGATTGAGCCTATACGAGAGCTGGAGAGACAGAGAGAGACAACCAATCACGTTGGCCGGGCGTATAAGCGGATCTTGCTCCATCAACCACATGGCCACTCTCTCTAGACAGGGAAGAGGCCTCCACAACGTTCCCCCGAGTCCGAACCCGGTTGCGATCAATGACCTGTTTGCCGTGCGGATCAGGAGGATTCACGGGATTTGCGGGAGGATCAGATTGCGAATCTTGCTCCAGCAGGCACCTTGGCAGACATCTGCTCCCTCACTAAACTATTGAACCATTGAACCATTGAACTGTTGAACTATTGAAGCGGATCCAGCTTTTCTTCGGGATGGGCCTGGTATATCCATCCTTCTGTGATGGTCTCGACGATATCGACTCGGTATTTCTAGGTACAGTGAAGGGATCTACATCTATGTACAATATTCCTACTCGGGGATTCGCACCTATACACATCAGCTAGGGCAACCCCGGGGTTCTGCACTCTCTATACTGTTGGCAGGGCGCAAACCCAACAGCGCCAACAGCGCCACCACCCTCGCCAACATCTATACTAACTAACTCCGGGCATCATCGCCAATCATGGGGTGATTTCACCCTCCCTTTCTAGACGCCGGTCTGCCATGGCACCCTGAATCACCGACATCCAAGTCCCTGTAGATGTCCTTGTGGATGATAGATATCACATCGGATCGCATGCCACGGGTCATGGACAGTGAAAGCGCTGTTGGATCGACCATCAGATGCCATTCGCCGCATGAAATCCCTGGATAGTACATACATAAGAGCCGAATGAAGTGCGAGCCGATCGCTGTTTCAGATACGCTGTCAAATAGGGGATTTAATTTGACTCTGTCTGATCGTCCAGCATGCATGTAGTACATACTACATACTACATTATACGAAAGGTACAGTCGTAGTCGTACAGTCCATCCCCATGGACTTGCGCCTTAGCTCGGGGCAATCGCCATGGCACATATCCCGGGCGCTTGCAATAATCCCTCTTGCCGGTATATACTCCTATCACACCATGAGATGATATTATCTCCGACTTCCTTCTTTCTATTCTTCCAGGACGAGTCAGAATCAAGCTCCCCCTGGCCATGTGCTCGACTCCGTCCTTGTTGACCCTGATGTGGATTTGCAGGAGTGCAGGAATCCCCGGTTGACTCGCAAACCCCCCACCCCTTCTTTTAACCTATGTAGTTTTTTTTTTTTTTTTTTTTTTTCTTTTCTTTTCTCTCTCTTCCTTTCCCCCTTGATAGGTAGAATGAAATCCTTCCAGTTTTGTGTCCACCGGTTCAATCTGTGACGACGCTAGCACGAACCAGTCAGGCCGATCACTTTTCCCCTTTCTGTTTCCCCTGTAATCTGCATTTCTCCAACAATCCTCCTGTACATCCCCCTGATCGCGTATCTCTCGGTCTAGACACGCACCCCCCCCATCCTCTCAACCATGTGGACGTGGGTCCCTGTCTCGTTTTTTAACCGTCTTACCGCCGTTGGGATTCCGATTCGGTAAGTCAGGGTTGGTTCTTGTTCCCTGGATGGCGTTATCACGAGGCCATTCCTCCCCGGGAGGTCCTTGGGGGGGGTTTCAGGGGTTGGGCACCCCCGTTTTTTTTTTTTTTTTTCTGATGTCATTGATCCTTGGACTTGGTGGTGGACTTGGTGTTGGAGTTGGAGTTGGTCGGGGTGCGGGTGATGCGGATGCCGTTGGGGGGAGGGTTTCTTGTTTCTGGTTGTTGCTCTGCTAGACCCTGCTCGATAGGTATGTTTGGGAGTCTTGCCGGGCCTGGCTGTGGCGGTCTACGTGGATCTAAACTGGTAGATATTGAGAGAATGACTCTCTAAGTGACCAGAAGTTGTGAGCTAGGTCAAGCAGATATACCAACGCAAGACCTGTCTCACCTGATGGGATACATAGATACACTCAATTCTTATACACAAACTGCTGTTGTCCAGTGCTATACTGCACGGATTGTTGATCTCAGCTACTAGAAATAAAAGAAATATACCCTTTCACTAAAGCATTAACACTAGCGCTGTAGATTGCAATGTCCTCAAATCCAACACCACCCTATCGACACCCACTGCGCACACCCCATGAATAGGCACATCCAGTTCAACTCACACCTCTCGGCACTTTCGTGAGCAAAGCAGTTCCCAATATCCGCCACAAAAGCAGCAACCTGAATCATGGACAGTGAGCGCATTACTCGCCATGTTCCTACAGGGTGTCGAATCTCGTACTCTGTGCCCGATGCAAGCCTCGAGGACGCCCGGCGCCCATTCCGATCATGTGCAGGTGTGTGCAAGCCTATTGCCATTATACTGGGTGTTTTACGCTGCGAGGGATTCAGCTAGGCTCAAATAGTGCTGGGCTTACTTGACTAGTGAGTTTATGCATACTGGGTATACTTCGGATACGCTGGTTTTGAAGGTGAGGTTTGTGGCCTGGCAGTCTGGTTTTGATATTTTCATTGCTGCTGCGTCCTCACTGTACTATACGTGCAATTCTTCAAGACAGCTAGCTGGACTGGATGCTTTGCGTTTGTCTGGTATGTTAATCCCTATAATTGTATCCTTCCTATTATGGGACATTGCCGGCATAATAGTTTGATATCTCTCTTCCTGTGGGAAGGACCAGGTAAAATTGGATCACGCTGGTTGTAGGCTCTACACAGTTTCAAATGTATTGAATGGACACTGGCAAACGCTGTTCTGTGTCCTGACTCCTTATAGACTGGACGAGTCGAGGGTAGACTGAGTATCGTTCAAGCGTCGACAACCCACGTTTTTCTGCGTTCCCGAGCCAACAAGTTTATATTTGAGACGGCTGTGGATAAATCCAGCTTAGAGAATCGCCATTCTTTGGTGTTAATAGTGAACAAGATATAGTCTCAGTCCGAGCTGACCGAGAAGCCGTGCATCGAACAAGTCATAGATCAAGGGTCAATGCAAAACGGAATACGAAGACAAAAGCCACTAGCAGGTGCATAGCATGCTCGCCTTAGCCCAAACTGATGCAGTTGTCTATACTTACAGAACCCAATCGAGGGCGAAAACAGTGCGCATATGACAAGCACCCTCCTGACCAAGTAGTGGCCGGGGAGAATAAGAAACAAATTTGAAGTAAAAAATCACACAAGAAGGAATGGCCCGCCCATAAACAGATGAGCACTCAGAATGAAGCCGAGATAAAACGCCTTTTTCGGATACAAGATCTCCCCAGAACCCCCGTCACCAAGACTTCACAATAATTCAACAAATACCACCACAGGAATCTGGAATGGATCCAGTGGTGGATATCTCCTGGACACATACATCCCAGAGCATGCTTGAATACATGCATCCGGCGCTGGTCACAGGAGATAAAGAAGGAAATCACCAAATACGAACACTGACTCGAATCGAGTCTGATATCATAATCCCGCTAAATGAACCGAGCAAAATAGGATGCAAGAAGAGCTCTCGTCAAGCACGAAAGCAAAAGGATGTTGGTTTCGATAGATATCGAGGAAAAGAGGTATTAGAACAAGACAATGATGAAACATGCCTCGGTCTAGCGATCAGGGTTGGTGACCTGCAGGACGCGACGGGAGAAGTCATGGTCATCGTCAATGCTACCATTGCTCTGACGCCGTTGTGCCATGTAGTTGCCATCAAACCGGGAGTCGGACATGGACGGCATGCCGGATTCATTGCCGTAGCCGCCGATCTGGCTCTGGGCCTTTTGCTTCTTGGATCGGTAGAAGAAAATGCCCGCGCCCACGAGTGCAGCAAATCCAACCACTCCGACCACCGCTCCGGCAGCCACTGCGGCCGTGTTGTGGCTACTCTTGGCCTTCGCATCCTCGTCCTCATCCTTGTTCTCACTGACGGGGGTCACCACCGTCGTCCCACCAACGGTCTGGGTCGATTCCGCGGGCGCGGGGTCGTCGGTCTTGGTGGACGGTTTGCCCGAGCTCTTGGGCGACGAGGAGCCGGATGAGACGTCCGGGTTCAGGCCTGTCTTGTAGACCGAGTAGAAGCCATCACCGCCGCCTAAAGATGGTAGTTGTTGTTAGTATCAATCAAAACGCTAACCCTAACACGGACAGAAATCCGGGGGGCTCCACATACACTTATCCGAAGGCCATCCATCACACGCCTTATTGCACTTGTCCTTGGAAACCTTTGCTGAATCTGGCGGCAGTTCGTCTCCACACAGGCAATCTGAGCCTCCGGTCAAGCCAAAGACCGCGGCATTTGTTTTGGTGCAGGCGTCGAAGCACCACCCGGAACTCTGATATGTGTATGTCGTTTTATTGGTGAGCCCATCATCACTGTCAAAGCATCCGACCAGCGACATGGACGCTCGTGCGACGAGGATATTTTCGGAGGATTCGGCTGCTGCTGAAGCGGCGAAGAGAAGGCTGGACACCGCGATCGCGGCTCGCATGGTGAATCGCATGTGTTGGTCGAAAGACACGAGTGAATTGAGAAAATTAATGGATCAAGAAAGAAACACCGTCTCTGGACACAGTCGCAGCGGTGATCAACGAAGAACCAGGAACGACCTGCGTTGCCCGTGGAAACCTCGGTTCAAATGTATATCGATGAAGCTGGTGACTTTGAGCCTCAGACCTTCCACATCCGCGATGAGTGTTTCTTCAAATTGCTGAGATGTTGGATGTCCTCTTGAGAATATCGGACAAAAAAAAAACGAAAGTTGTGTTGGGTCGGGCAGGAGCAATCGTAGAAAGGAAAGGAAAGCGTGGGCTATGCCGGTAAGGAACTGGACGACGTCCCCCTTGAACAAACGATCTACAGAGGAAGCTGACTCCTCTGTCAGATGGTTTTCAAGAGCCAGTTGAATTGGAAAACTGGGTGTGACCAGACTCCTGACCTGCTGTATGTATAGGTCGGTATGTATCTCGGTCGAGATCCCACAGACAAAAAGAGAGACAGATTCGAGACGTAAACCTCGAACAAATGAGCGTAAAAATGTTGGCAACAGAATGAGTGAGTGTTCGTTCAAGAGAACGTCTAGGGGAGTGAGTGACAAAGAAAAGAAGTGTTGGATTATGGACCCCTTCTCAGGGACTTGTCAAGGGGGGGGCGTGTATGGGGTACTTCCAATACGGGGAGCACTAGCGGTGCAGACTAAGTACCAGGTACCTGATGATCTACGCTGTTTGTTCCTTACGCCCGCCACGCTCCTCCAGTCAGCGTTCCTGATGGCAATGACATAATCAGGGGCGATGTTGATCGATTTCCTGATTGGGCGAGACACGGCTTAGGATGGAGACTTGCTCTAAACATCTTAGGCATGGCTTGAGCAGGATCGACGTGTACAGACGTACACGTCCTTTCGTTGTGCAAGGATTTCCTTGTGCCCAACGGCCCTCGAATTCGACACTTTGGTATTATTGCACCTGGTGAGCTGTAGGTCAAGTACACCTGTGCTCCAAGGTTAAGTGTCGAAACCTCATATCTATAAAGATACAATCATTTGTCCGTTCTGAAAATGTCAGGGGCGCTTAGCGCACGGGACCAGGAGCGCTAGAGCCACCCTGAAGGCTCTTAAATTTGGTCTGAAACCTTGGACCTTGAATCTTCTATGTCGAGTAGTTGCCTCGCCATTGCAAGATCCAAAACATCTCCTAGAATGCCTTCTTTTCTGCGTTATTCAATATTTCCGTGGACATTGCGTGGTCACTGCACTCCTTTCCAGTGACGGTGGGTTGTACGAATCCTGTAAGAAATCCTGCATCCTGCCAGCCACCAATACAAAGCTGGTCTATACCACAATCGACACGGAGGCTTTGTATGTATGTATGGTCTTGGGCTTGGAAATATGAAACACCGAATTTTACTTTTGTTAGTTGGTAGACCTTAATTCACTACATAGACACTAAGGATAAAGTAGAATTGTATTCTTCTAGTGTCACTATTCGATTGTATACGAGTCTCGAGATGGACGTGTCTTTACTCAAGCCAAACTCATTAAAATACAGTCCGAATCTTCTGGTAATTCAGTCTGCTGATGTGGGCTACTGGAGCTGGGCACCTATCACATTGTATTTCCCGGTCAGATATTTCATCCAGATATGTATATACATATATCAACTGTACCTTGCAGGATCACACCCTTGCAACACCTAGAAATATAGGAGTATCAGGATTCCCACCAAGAGTACGGAGACCAGACATCTTCTTCATAATAAGGCTGACCATGACTCTGTAATGTTCTATCCATAATTATTTATTGAGTTGCATAAGTCTTGGTCGGTTACCATATTCGATATCACATGCTGAGAGCCATTCGATTAACATGATTCAAATTTAATCATGGGCATCCTCGGTATTCATCAGGATGTGTCTAGACTATCCAAGGGATCTTGACTCACCACGAGATAATTATGGATGGTGGCGCTCGCTAGTGCAGTGCCCCTGACATGGGCAGAGGTAGAACTGCAATCGAACACCGAAGACCAACTGAGAATTGGGCAGACCTCTTGAATTCCTAGAGGATACGTATCCACTAGATTCGAGGGATAGCATTGTTACATCGAGCATAATCATAATATCAGATCTTTCAATGCGTCTACGGGTCATGATGACGGCTCGATGAAACGTTCTGAGCTTCTCGGGTATTGGGTGGATGGGCTGCCTCAGAACTTAGGCGCCAATATCTGTCCTATATAATAGCTATGGACGCTTATCTTGTGTGTTTTGGTTATATTCAAGTCGAAGAAAACTTAGCTTGACATAGCTGGATTTCAGGACAGTGCCCTAGACTTGCTATTTCATGATATAGCATGATTGACACGACAACCTTGATCTCATCAAGCTCATACCATACATAGTCAATGGCATTGATACTTAGCTGGCTTTGTTTCGAGGTGCCTTGTGTGGGAGAAAGCTCAGCGTATAGAAGATCCATTGCAAAATGAAAAGCAAAGTAGGAAATTGAGCCATTTGGATAGTAAGCTCCTCCAATTCCTTTTGTTGATCCTTGTCTTCGGTCGCTTCAATTCTCTGGCTGATTGTTACTGACTGTGATGGTGATATACCATGAGACTGGACTCTTTCCGCTGTTGATGGCCCCTCAGTCTTTCCTTGTCTCTCGCCTGAAGGTGCTAAATGCTGAGAAGAAGGGTTGACAGCACCCCGACTATCCGTTGCGGATGATTGACCAACATGCCCATCAGTGAACACGGGAACATCGCTAGAAGAGGGTGCCGTGGATACAATCCTCTCTTGAGGACGGGAGTCTATCATTCCCTGGGGCTGGCATGCCTGTAGAGTTGACTGAATCGGTTGGTTTCCAGATAATCTTCCTTCAGGATTCTCCGCTGCCCCATGTGCGCTGGGATCCGGAGAGGGCTGGGCATTCTGGAATACCGCCGGCAGGGCACTAGGCATCTGCATGGGGACTCCTTCCAGATTCAGGCGCTCCATACTCAGCGGCAAGCCCTGCGCGATCTGATCGAGCCGCCGATTGAGCCGCACCGACCGGTCCAGTTGAACCAACGTCAACGAAGTGCCTTGGTCCTTCTTGGCCTCGGGAGGGAATTTCAGCAGCTGTTTCATGCTTCCCATGAGTCGGTCCGACTTGCGGTGCAGCTTCCCTTGGATCTCGACCCGGATGAAAAACGGCTTCATGTCATGCTCGAAAGTGAATCCCGTCCGGATCACGTTGTTGTGAACCGGTTGACGCTGGCATTCATCCTCATCCAGCACCCATTTGAGCGTGCGATAGGCGGGATTATCTCTCTTGGGCTGCGATGTGCGGTTGATCCCGAGGTTCGAACTGCTTTTCCCATCATAGCTGTAGGGATGGTCGTTGCTTGGTAGCGCCTGGCCAGTGAAAGTCCACCGGCTCGTCTGCGTGATTTCCCTTTCCTGGTCATATCCGATTCCACCACCGCTGCCACCGAGCACATTGATCTCGGGTGTGAAATGCCAGGCTCTTTTCGTGACCACCGTCGTTGGCTCGCCCGCCAGCTGTTTGGGCCCATAGTGATCGGTAACTTGGAGAATGCTGCGATCGCGACTGTCGATTCCCGCCCGCACAGATATATCGGGATCAATGTATTTTCGCGGCACTTCATCCGGTGAGGTATTTGGGGCTGCACGCGTCGTCTCAAGATCTCGTCGGAATGACCTCCTTCTCGGTCGCCGGTACCCCCCACTGGAATCTCTGTCCGCCTCCTCCAGAGTGATCAACACCACTGCGCTGGTCAACTGGCAGTCTTTGGACTGGTGAAAAGCGAGGTCCATGTACAGGATCCCCGCGGGCTGTTTGTCAAGTCCCAGGACCCCCCATTGAGACTGAGAGAGTCGGAACCGGCAGTCAATGTGGACCTGACCCAGTTCGCGGGAGCACAGACTTGCATTCGAAAGGTGGTCAAGCGCGCTGAACTTGTGGCCGTACTTACGGGCAAACCGGGCGGGAGATCGGCGGGGCGGTTGAGTTTCCATGATCAAGTTGACGCACAACAAACTGCGAGAGAGTGTACCAAAGCACAACCCGAAGGGCCGGAGGGAAGTGCTATTGACGGCAAAGTCACACTCTCCCGTGGAGATCGACCGAGGACTCAGCGCAATGATGAGTTAGCTTCCTCCAGTATAGCGCGGCCCACTACCTGCACTACTGCACGAGGGCGGCAGCAATACGAACTTGGAGAATTGATTCTTGATCATCTCCCGCTCGTGTCAGTATTCCATGAACGGGCTCACCTTGAATATTCATGCACTAGCAAATCCATCATGGCTTACTATGACGACCCTCGTTATGTTCGTCGCGATGCCGACCGGAGCCTCACGGTGCCAGGTCGTCGACAGCCGATTGACTGGACCGCCGAAGGACCTTCAGAGCTGTCGCCAGTACGAATCGACCGCCGGAACCCAGATCACTCGTCGGCTGGCATCTCCATTCAAAGACGCAGCCATTCCCCCGTGGGCCGGTCATCAGCTCGCCGACCAGCTCGTCGACACCGATCCCCCTCATCCTCGACGGACTACTCATCGCCGGAGAGGATAGTGAGGCAGGAAAATGTCCAGGCAATTTTCAGTCCAGATTTCGACCAGAAAGACGTCACGCTGCACTTTACGATGGACATTGCCGAGGATATCGAAGGGGCATTGGAGGAACTGGCGCGATTGAAGCGACTCGGCCACTTCAAGGAAGCCCAGGAGTATGTCGCGACCCATTTGGACCATCACCTCAATTTGCCACTTGTCGCCATCGAGTATGCCGATCTGCTGCGCCAGCAGGGGGCTCATCGGCAATTGCATGATTTACGGAACCGTCGACATTTGCTGCCGCCATTGAAGTCGAAATTCATTTTCGGCACCGACATGAAGCCGCCGAACCTCTATCGCACGCACTTCGAATTGATCGAGCAGTCCTCTGAGCTTGCTCTTCAGGGATTGCCCAGAAAACAGGTGCTACTAATTAAGAACGAGAATATTCTTAGATATCTCAATAAGCGAGTACCTTCCTGGTTCATCTCAGCATATGTCCGGCCGAATGAAGACGTCTCGCTAGATTCGACCGAGGTATGGAATCCTTCCACGGACGAACAGTGCGAGTTGGGGCGGCCCTGCTGACTTCGCATGTTGTGCCAATAGCTTCAAATCTTGCGAAACCAACTCTTGCTATTTTCAGATATCCAAGCTCAAGGTCTGGCAGCAATTCCAAAGCTGGCATTCTACCAATGGAAGGATCTTCACGATAATCTCTTATGGGAGGGCCGGATTTGGGAGCTGTGCGATTTGATCTCTGCCATGTTTCAGATATTCGATCCCAACGAGGTATCGGACCATTTGTTAGATATGCACGAGAAACCCAATCGGGAGGACGAAGATCCTGTCGACAGAATCTTGCAGGGCTTGTCCATGGACGAGTATGACGAGCCAACGGAATTGGCCTTGTTAACCCTGTCGGTGGAGCTGGTCTATGCGGTCCACTACTGGAGTGGCTCACGCGGTGGAGACCTTGCTATTGTTGCCACACGGTGCTTGCAGTATGCCAGCACGCATGCTGCTCTCATACAAGAGCATAGCCCGTGGCTGGTCAAGACACGGCCTTACTTGCAATGGGTCCTGGCCAAAGAACGATTCGACCGCATCTGGAATACCGCTGGCTCTGTTAAGGAACAGGAACGGCCACGCTCGACGCACACCACAGGCACAACACTCTATAAATGGAGCTTGCCGCGGTATATCCCGAAAGAAACCGAGAATCCAGGCTGGCCCTCACCGGATGCAAAATTCCCTCCAAATCAGACACTCCAGGGAGTTCTGGAAGCGGCGCGCGAGCTCGGCGATTACAAAACCGAAGCAGCCTGTCTGACGGAGCTCATCTGTCGTGTGGAGGATCCGCGAGAGCTGCTGGGTCAACTGGGCCACCTTCAGCAGGCCATCCAAGGAGACCGCTTCGGATATCTTAATACTTGTATCTCAAGATATCTCCTGGCAAAAGATGAAGCATCCATCCGAACATTAATCGCGGATCTCGAGCAAACAGCCAGCCAGCTGTGTACGACCCCTGAGGACGATGCTTGTCCGGCCATCCGCTTCGACGAACTCAGGGTGAAAAGCGCTCTTTATCGATCTCTGCCGGGCCACAGCCCGGAAGCCGATAGATACAAGAACCTGGCGGACACCCTTTCCATCGACCTCCCCGCCCCGTTCCGCCCCTTGGACACGCGGAGTGACTTCCTTGATTATGACGACGATGATGATTGGACTCGGCCTGAATTCACAGAGACTGAGCCTCGAGTCGTTATAACTGAGCCAGGGCGGCGGCGGACCTCCTACAGGGCCCGAGATACCGACGCGCTGCCCAACACGAATACTCCCAAAGTGAACCTGGTCCGGTCTGGCGCGCAGGGTGCTCGTTTCAGGGAAAGAGAGCGATCGGTCCACGAGGACCCGGACGAAGAGCGGTTCGAGAGGATCCCCAAGGAAAAACAGGAAGTCAGGGGCCGCACGTCCAGAGATGATGAGGCTAAGCCGAAGACAAAGAGCTCGGAAGAGGTGGGCAAAGACGTGGTTGCTGACAGGTACCTTAACCCGATCATTCAGGAAGTAACCCAGGAGGACACGGAAAAAAGTCGACCCCAGAACAGCGGCAAGAAGAACCTAACAAGTGTGGAAGTCGATGAGGACTCGAGTGAGGATGAAGATGTGGGTGCACGGGACTCGGAATAGACGCCGGGCTAGAGACGGTTTATGTTTGTGGTGATTGCGGTGATTATGAATGATGACAGGCGTTGTTTCTAGATTTCTTTCAATATTTAAACAGCAAATCTTCAATTTACTGGGCCATCAAAAGCTATACAGCGTAATTGGCTTAACTTAATCTGGCTGATGCCATGGTCTCTTGACTCGCTTAACTCATTAAATTCACTATGTGCGACAGGGAGCCAATTAGACTGAAACCAAGGTCTAGATATAAGGGAATAATGATCTATGGAATACACTAATGATATCCATGGATGTCATCACGCAGTAAGCATGGCGTAAGAGTATACTATATAATAGCGACGTATTCTTAAGACTCCTCTACTACCCCTTTCTTTCTTTTTCACGTTTTAATTCCCCCCACAGAAAGATTTTAACTTTCATCAGCACTAGAATTCGAGATGGCTGCTGATGGAAAATTCTCGCTTCCCACAACCATTTTCTCTTCGATGATCGGGCTAATCCTTGGGCTAGTCATCTATATTTTACTAAATATTGCCAATAACATTCTCATAAAGCACTTCAAAGAAATAATGGCTCGCATATCAATAGAGGTGCCGAGCGTGAAGCCCATACGCCTGATACTCCGCTTGGTCCGCTGGCCAACTCGACCCGGATTCCGACGATCACGACTGTCGAAACTATGCCTGGACAGGCTATTGATCTGGGGCAAGATAGATCACATGATAGATAGAAGACCTTTTTTTTTATAAAAAAAAACCCCTGGAAATAAAACAAAAGTTAGATCATAAGGCTTTAATGTCTCATTTTTACTCTCTACCGTGATCCCTAAAGCCGGAGCGAAGTAGGGGTGAGTAGCTTGTGCATAGTAAGAATAAACAGCCTACGCAACCGAGATTCGATACGTCATCCTCTTTTTGTTTTTAGTATACTGAGATTGTGTCCCGGCATGCCTACAGGCGGCAGCCATTCTCCCGCGCTTTGATTGTCATGATCATTTGTCCAAGTGGTGCGAGGGGGGGGAACAGATCCAGGCAAAGTTTCCAAGACTATGATTGCCTGGCCAGGTTTGATATTCGACCTCATGGCTTGGGGATGTGTATCGTCTTGCTGACCATTAAACATCCATGCAAGACAAACAGAAGCACAACCGGGTGGAATTCCAAGATTGTCCCCTCGGCGATAACTCCCAAGGGAATGTTCTCGTGCGTCCAACTTTGGGAGACCCAGTAGGCCATGAGAGAGGCAATGGCCAGGGTGGTCGGGATGGGCGTGCCTTCAAAGTATTTCGATTTCCCGCTCTTGTCCTTGGGCAGAACGGCAACGGTGACATTGAACCGGGCGAGGCGCGTCAGGCCGCAGAGGACAAAGAACGCCAGGAGGAGATGGTCGAGCGAGGTCCGAATACCGAGTGCAAATGCAGCGGCGGCGGGAGCGAGGCCGAAAGAGATCTATGGGGAAACGCGCATCCAAGGGTCAGCATGGGGACCGGATATTCGATCAAAGTCTCACGCACCAAGTCCGCGAGTGAGTCAAGCTCTTGCCCCATCAGCGACGACTTCTTGCGCCACCGAGCAATCTTCCCATCCATAAAATCGAAGAACAGGCCGAATGGCATGAACGCGAGAGCCGCCCACAAGGATCCATAGTCAGACGGGTCTCCGAGGCAGTAGCGCATGGACGAGAAAACCGACATCACTGTTCATGGTTAGCGAGCGCGCCGGAAAACCACTAGAGAACAAGACCTTGCCTCCACAAAAACCTGAGGATCCCAACAAAATATTAGCCAGCTGGTTCTACCGAAGATGCGATTCCGTGGAGATGCCATACCGTTGAGTTCAGTCACCAGATCTGCAAGATGCAGAGCCCTAGAGATCGAGTTTACATGAGTTTCAACGATCAAACAGAGCAGACAGGACCACCAAGACTGACTTTACCATGCTGAAATGACCCTGCTCTGACGAAAGTAACATTTTCTGCTTTTCCTGACCTGTTCCCAATGAGCAACCAAGGCCCAGAGCGCCTGAATTGGCCGCGAACTGACCTCCGTCACCTGAATGTGGGACACCGCTGGATGACTCGCTGGATGCCATGGTCGATGCCCTGCGAGACATGCTCAAATGGATATCAGATATACACAGGATATCCAAAAGATGGAAGAAATGCTGCACTAAGAGCTTCGGGAGGAGCAACTGGGAGAGAGGAAATAACAAAGGCCAATCTTGCGTCGAGTGTTGACAGACGCACATTCAAGCGGTCAACGTCATTCCGAACTGGGGGCGGTGCAACTGCGCCACATCACTAGCCACGGCGTGATTGTGCACTTCTATGTAATAGATCCAGATCACGTGCCCGTCCTCTAACATTCTAGTAGGCGAGCGTGAAGTATTTACTGACAGCCAAACGTCCCTATCAACACTATGGATAGACCATCGAGAGGAATAGTAGCAATTTCTTTTGTGACTGGATATATTCTACAGCCCCCCGCAGCCAGAGAAGCAGCAATTGTGGCATGCACAAATCGGAAAGAAGATATTCCTGCAAAAGCTCCCAGATCCCCCAAACGCCGTAAGAAGACAGTAGAATCAAAAACGACCACGGGGACCGCCACGAGGTCCTCCACGACCACCGCGCGAGAATCCACCGCCGCCACGACCACCACCTCGGGGTGCTCCACGACCCCGGGGGGCTCCTCCGCGGGGAGCACCACGACCACCGCGCGAGAATCCACCGCCACGACCACCCCGAGCACCGCCGCCGCGGGGGGCACCTCCAGCACGCTTCGGCTTCGCAGCTCCTGGCGGGGGCTTGGGCTTGGGGAGGAACCTGCATCACACAAGTCAGTACCAATGCGAAGACCATGGGCATAGCAAAATAGAGTGAAACTTACTTCTCCAGCGGAAGGAGCTTGTCACCTCCAATGAACACCTTGTCGCCGGGCTTGAACGACGTTGCGACAATGCCTTCCTGAGGCTTGATGGTGAAGTACACCTGGTTGATGGGACCGAGGACCTCGTCGACCTTGCCGATAGGAGTCTATAGAAAGTCAATTAGCTTATGATCAACAAATGACCCGGAAGATCCTGCGGCGAATGATCGATATTGGCGTACCTTGTTCTCCAGGTAGATCGGGGCGTTGAAGTAGGGGATCTTCGGGTTGATCGATTCGCAAACCATTTCGCCCTCGCACGAGTGCATCACCGTTCCCATCTCTATAAAATCATCAGCAACCTATTGGTCCATGGATTTCGTGTGAAAATACCGAGAACTTGCGCGGGCGGTCCGAACGACGGCTGGAAGCCTCCGCGACCTGAGCAGGAAAAATTTCGTTAGCTTCTCCGATCGATCGCGCAACCTCCCCCGGAGGAAATTGCTCACCACCACGGCTACCAAAGCCGCCCCGGTTGGCACCGGTGGCGAAACCACGGCCACGGAAAGACATCTTGAGATCTGGTTGGGGTTGCTGGACGGGGACGGAGAAGTTTTCGAGTGGAAACTTGAAAGGGTAAAGTGTCGCTAGCCAGGGCAGTTCGCCATCACATGACTCACCGCCCGTCCCTCATTTGCCCTCGATAAGCAGATCCAGCGCACGATTTGTTTTTCTCTGGTTCGTCTTCTTTCCGAGTGACTGTGCCGAGGGCTCTTACCATGGCTTCCGAAGGCTCCAAGGATATACCTGTGCGGCCCGCCGCCGAAGCTCAGAGTGGCCAGGCTGTTGAAGCCGCCGCTGCCCCGCCAAACGATGCGAAAGCGAAATCGAAGCAGGCCCCGAGCGCCCCCGTCCTCCCGGACTTTATGATCGAACGAAACAATCTCTTCGATGAGCTGTGGCAACAGCACCTTGAAGAGACAAAGTCTCGTCCTCACCCGGAAATCAATGTGACCCTCGATATCGGCGACGGTAACCCCTCCTCGGTCCCCGCCAAAGCCTTCGAGACGACCCCGGGGTCATTCCTGAGGGATGTACCCAAGGATGTGAGCGCCAATGTGGTCATTGCCAAGGTGGATGGAGAACTTTGGGATTTGAACCGTCCCCTGGAAGGCGATTGCAAGGTGTCTCTGGTTCCCTTCACCAGCCCCGAAGGTCGGGAGGTGTTCTGGCATTCCAGTGCCCACTGTCTTGGCGAGGCATGCGAATGCGAATATGGATGCCTTCTTTCCCACGGTCCGCCCACCCCGCAGGGATTTTTCTATGACATGGCCATGCCTGATGCGTATGTTGATTTCGGCACCTCTTGGTATCACCACCGGGCTATGCTAACACACCCGGGAATTTTAGACGTGTGGTCCGAGAGACCGACTGGCCATCGCTTGACAGTAAAGCGTCGCGTATATTCAAGGAAAAGCAGAGCTTCGACCGATTGGAGGTATCAAAGGAGAACCTCCGCAAGATGTTCGCGTACAGCAAATACAAGCTACACTACATCGACAAGCTCGTGACCGGGGAGAAGAGTACGGTCTACCGTTGTGGCACGTTGGTAGATCTCTGTAGGGGCCCACACATTCAGAACACCGGCAAAATCAAGACTTTCAAGATCATGCAGGTAGGTAACGAATCACCGGGACTTCTACCACACTGTAACTCACCTTTTACTTTTAGAATTCGTCGGCCTATTTCCTGGGTGATCAGTCTAACGACTCTCTTCAGCGGATCCGCGGTGTCGCTTTCCCGGACAAGAAGCAGATGTCGGAGCACCTCAAGTTCTTGGAAGAGGCGGAGAAGCGAAACCACCTGAGGATTGGTAAGGAACAGGAGCTGTTCTTCTTTGACGAAGCTTCTCCTGGCTGCCCTTTCCTCCTTCCCAATGGAACAAAGATCTTCAACGCACTACAGGCTCTTTTGCGGGGCGAATACCGCAGGAGAGGCTACCAAGAGGTCCAGACCCCCAACATGTATGATGTGGGCATCTGGAAGACATCCGGTCACTGGGCTCATTACTCGGACGATATGTTCAAGTTGGATGTTGAGAAGAGGGAGTGGGCTTTGAAGCCCATGAACTGCCCCGGACACTTTGTTCTGTTCGGCCACCGTGACCGTAGCTACCGTGAACTTCCCTTGAGAATTGCCGACTTCGGTGTTCTGCACCGGAATGAGGCGTCTGGCGCACTGAGTGGTCTCACTCGTGTTCGCAAATTCCAGCAGGACGACACGCATATTTTCTGTACTCAGGACCAGGTATGTAGCATGGTCTGGCTTGTTTCGTGCATTTACTCATCAATTGTTTTCAGATTCTGTCCGAGATTGAGGGTCTTTTCGACTTCCTCCAGTGTATCTACGGCCTCTTTGGCTTCACCTTCAAGCTGAAGCTCTCCACTCGTCCCGAGAAGTACCTGGGTGACCTGGAGACCTGGAACTACGCCGAGGAGCAGCTCAAGAAGGCCATGACCAAGTTCAAGGGCAATGACTGGGTTATTGATGAGGGCGACGGTGCCTTTTATGGACCCAAGATTGACATCACCATTGCTGATGCCCTCAAGCGCGAGTTCCAGTGCGCGACCATCCAACTGGATTACCAAGCCCCGATTAACTTCAAGCTGGAGTACGTGACCAACGAATCGTCCCAGGCGGCTCCTGGGCAACCGAAGGAGGGCGAGGCCAAATCTAATGAGCCCACTACTGGCCGTGCACGGCCAGTCGTGATTCACCGTGCCATCATCGGCAGTTTCGAACGGTTCCTGGGTATTTTGATCGAACACTTTGGCGGCAAGTGGCCGTTTTGGATTAGCCCTCGCCAGATCTTGATTGTACCGGTCATGCCCGCCGTGAACGACTACGTCGAGGAGCTGCAGGAGATCCTGCGGGGCGATAAGTTGAACGTCGACATCGACATCAGCGGCAATACGATGCAGAAGAAGATTCGCACGGGCCAGTTAGCCCAGTACAATTTCATCTTCGGTAAGTCTCTGTTCTTGTTTCCCTTGAATGTGAGTCGATTTGCTCATGCTCTCCTATAGTTGTTGGTGCCCAAGAGAAGGAGTCGCGCTCCGTCAACATCCGTAACCGCGACGACCCGGCGACACAGAACAAGGGAGTTATGGTGCCTCTTGAGGAGGCACGGGTCAAACTCAAGGCTCTTCGCAAGGAACGGCGAATTGTGAGCTCGCTGTAGGAGACACGAGCCAAGAAAAGCAAAATAGCATGATGCCATGGATGTAGAATCGGAGCTATGAAAAGTGAAATGAAGAATTCGCCTGATGATGTGACTACCTAAGGTCCCCTGCCATGCCTTCACCATGACAGTTTCAGCATTCATCTCAGTAGATTGCAGGATGTGTGATTTCCCTGGGACTGTCATGGCCCACTTAGTTAAGACATGGATCTACTGGTAGGGCTGGACGGTGAGGAATTCCAGAATCAAGTACTCACTAGAATTATATTTAGAATGAGAGAACCACATCGTAAGCATAGAATAGAGAAAATCGCATACAAAAAATATGTCAAAGAAAGCAGATCGATCATGTCGAACAAAGACTCGTTTCAGGGCGACTCCACCCCCGAGCGTTTCAGGTGCCTCATTTTCGAGTCTCTTTGATCCCTCCACTCTCTTTCTCTCTGAGTTTTTCTTTCATTTGCCATTATTCAAGACCTCGATCATCTGGCATTTGATATCTGGCATTTGATATCTGGCATTTGGCATCTGCCTCTCCTTCCACGCCTCCTTTCTCTCCTGCGAGTTCACGGCCTGTCGGATCACCCGCGGGGACTGCGGGGCTCTTCGAATCCCATCACACTGACAGCAACACCCTCCCCCTTCCCCCTTTTTTCTGTTTCCTGTGATCTGACGACGCTACGACTTGTTTGCGGAGAAGTTCTCCCCGGCCACTTGCGATCCCCTCTTGTGTGAGCCTCAACGTCTCGCCGCTTCTCGACTGCCCCTCATTGCCATTCCCTCGATCGACTCGCACCCCCCCCCCCCTCTTTTGCATCGCCATGGCGGAGTTACAAGGTCGCAAGGTTTTTAAGGTTTTTAACCAAGACTTTATCGTGAATGAACAGTACAATGTGACCAAGGAGCTGGGTCAGGGCGCATACGGCATTGTTTGGTAGGATCCCCTTCTATCTTCGGGAATCTATCTTCGACGTCCAAGGAAGAGGCGTGTGCTGACGGCATCGTGAAGCGCTGCGAACAACATCCAAACTGGCGAGGGCGTCGCCGTGAAGAAGGTCACCAATGTGTTCAGCAAAAAGATCCTCGCCAAGCGAGCCCTGAGAGAGATCAAGCTGCTTCAACATTTCCGCGGTCACCGCAACGTACGTTGTTCCAGTGTCTAGCGGGTGGTGTATTCAATTCTGATCTAGAGGCTCTAGATTACGTGCCTGTATGACATGGACATCCCCCGACCGGAAAACTTCAACGAGACCTATCTTTATGAGGGTATGCACTGGCTTGACTCTCCCCACCTTACCCCCACCAGACAGACAAGAATGGGGTTCACTGACTTGTGCTATAGAGCTGATGGAATGTGATCTGGCTGCTATCATCCGGTCCGGTCAGCCATTGACCGATGCCCACTTCCAGTCCTTCATCTACCAGATCCTCTGCGGCCTCAAGTACATCCACTCGGCCAACGTGCTGCATCGGGACCTGAAGCCCGGCAACCTGTTGGTGAATGCGGACTGCGAGCTCAAGATCTGTGATTTTGGACTGGCCCGTGGGTTCTCAATCGACCCGGAAGAGAACGCTGGGTACATGACCGAGTACGTTGCGACAAGATGGTACCGGGCGCCTGAGATCATGTTGAGCTTCCAGAGCTATACCAAGGCCAGTAAGTCTAGCAATATTTCTTTCTATCATGTCTCATCCAGGTTTGATTGGCATCGCTAACCACATCATATCGTGTTCTAGTTGATGTGTGGTCCGTGGGTTGCATTCTGGCCGAGCTCCTGGGTGGACGGCCGTTCTTCAAGGGTCGCGACTACGTGGACCAGTTGAACCAGATTCTGCACTACCTGGGTACACCGAACGAGGAGACGCTCGCCCGGATCGGGTCGCCGCGCGCGCAGGAGTACGTACGCAACCTGCCGTTCATGCCCAAGGTGCCCTTCCAGCGGCTGTTCCCCAACGCCAACCCTGATGCGCTGGATCTGCTGGACCGCATGCTGGCGTTCGACCCGACGTCGCGGATCTCAGTCGAGGAGGCCCTCGAGCATCCTTACCTGCAAATCTGGCACGACGCCTCCGACGAGCCCACCTGCCCGTCGACGTTCGATTTCCACTTCGAGATCGTCGAAGACGTCCAGGAGATGCGCCGCATGATCCTCGACGAGGTCATCCGCTTCCGCGCCGTCGTTCGCCAGCAGTCCCAGGCTCACGCTGCCCAGCAACAGCAGATGGCTCAGCAGACCAACGTCCCCATCCCCGATAACCAACAATCTGCCTGGCGCACCGAGGAACCCAAGCCCCAGGAGGCTGCGGCCGCCATCGCCCACCACAATGACCTGGAGTCCTCACTGCAGCGCGGCATGGATGTGCATCATTGAGTGAATTGTTATTGCGGTCGATCCCTTGCCAATTGCAGCCCTTGGTTTTTTCCCTGCATGTCGATCTAATGAATTAGCCAAGAGATACCTCCCAAAGACTGGACGATTGCATGATATCTTTTTTTCTATTTTCTTCCTCTTCCTTTTCTATTTCTGTGTTTGTTCGACTCGCTTCCTTTTGGACCTGTGTGTTCCCTGCTTGAATCGTTCTTCTCGTGCCATGTCTTGCGTTTTCTGCTTCCTCTTTTCTTCTTCTTATACACTGGTTTCTTCCCAACCTTTTTTGCGTTTTTTTTGGTTTTTTTTGGTTTTTTTTTGAAAGTATCTATCCATGCGATGTACTCTCACATAGATCTTGGTCTATCTAGGAAGAGAGGTTCCTGGTGCTTGGTTCCTGGGTAGGTGGATGTAGACAGATGCAACTGGAAATGAGAAGGGAAAAAAGCAAAAGCAAAGTGAAACAATGGAAATGGAAATGGAAATGGAAATTGAAAGGCAATAAATGAACTTGCTCGGTATGTACGTATCGCTCAAAAATGCCAGAAAAATAAAGGAAAACTCCCTGGATGCACAGCAGTCCTGCCAAAATCAATGCATATAAAAGACAAGGGAAAAAAAGAATCAGAAAATAGAAAAAAAAAAGATCAATAGTAATATCCGCGCCACCAAACTGTCATACAAGAAGCAACCACCAAATCCAGCATCTTGATCCCCTCGTCCTCGATAATCAATTTCCCCAACTTGGCACTCTTCCCGCGCATCCCACCACCAGCAGGCTCCCGTGCCAGCGACAGATCAAGCCGGTCCTCATCCGAGTCCGGCCCACCGCTGCTGGTACTAGTGCTGCGGTGGTGGTGATGGGGCGGAAATTGGTTCTGGCGGGCAAAGCGCTGGGCACGGAGGGAGGATCGGCGGAGGATGGCAGCCGGGTGGAGATTGGATCTGGGGTCGGAAGGGGGAGGCGGCAGGGCGGCGCTGTCTCCCGAGCGGGCGCGCGGACGACTATAGGTGTTTGGGTTGAGGAGTTGGGAGAGGGAGTTCCGTTTGGATGCTGTGGACGGGACGCCCCCATCTAGAGGTGCTGGATCCGGGTAGGAATTGGGGATTTCGGAGGAGGTAGGGTCTCGGGCGGCAGCTGGGTTCTGGCTCAGATGGAACGGCGACATATGGTGCGGGTGCGGTCGATGTGCGGCGTGGTGGGCGTGGGAGTGTAGGTTGGCGGCTTGGAAGGGAGTGTTGAATCGGATCTCGGCGACGGTGACGGCTGGAGACGCGTCGCTCTCGCTGGTGGCTGGGACATGGCCGCCGGGCCCGGGGATCATGTGCTTGCACTTCAGGCTGCGGCCGTTGACGCTGCTGGAGAACGTACAGGTGCCATTCCACGGAGATTTGAACATATAATACCCACTTTTCAGCTTCGAGGATGCCCCCTCCGGCCCGTGGCCATTGCCGTAGTCATTCGAGGTGCGGTCGCCCGGCGAGACGAAGTCATCAAATGGCCTGGACACGCAGACCTGCCGGTGGAATTTGCGCGGCCCGGCTGCCGGTGCGCGCGGAGGCTCAGCTTCCAGGGACGTTGGCACGGCAGACATCGCTGGGATCTTAATTCCTGGAGGAAGATTGGCTGCTAAGCTGGCAAGTGAGAGTGGCTCATTGGTTCCGGTAAATCGATTATATCCGGGCGTGGAGATCTCGATATCAATGGCATTGCAATCCATCCGTGGCGTTGAGATCGTTGCCACGTTCCACTGCGTGCCAGAGGTGGGATCGCGCCGGATGAGCGTGAGGTGGAAGCCTTTGTTTTCATGGGCGCCGGGATATGCCCTTCGCGGCCGCGTGGGTGACTGCCCTGGGCTTCTCGTCGGCGATTGAGGGCGGTCATTTGTTGAAATAGGCCGCAATTGTGGTCGATTAAAGTCCAGGCTATGACGACCAGACGACAATTCCCTGCTCTTCTCTTTCCAAGCCTCGAGGCCTCGGTTTTGGAGGTTCCCGGTAAAGGCACTCCATTGGTTCGATGCCCCAGGCTCGTCGTTGCCCGTTGGTGAATTAGACCATGACACTTCATTCGGCGGGAGAGGAGGTAGAGGTCGTCGCGGAATGGCGGTCTTGGTCACCACCGGCTCCACGGGAGGCGCGCCTGGCAGCTCGGAGTCACGAGGTGGAGGCACACTGGCAACGGGGGTCCCCGCGAAAGAAACATTCTCTGCGGAGACCTCGGGCATTGGGACTGGCCGCCGCGACACGGCTGGAGGCGCAACGTTCTCGGGCTGCACCACTGCGGGGGCAGGGTCAGGCTCAGGCTCAGGACCAGGACCTGAGTCGCCGGTCGCTCCAACCGGCTTCCGACGAACGTAATTCAGTCGGGCGAAATCGTGCTGCGCAGGATCCTCCGGACCCGCGGCATCCTGTGCTTCTTTTCGGACGTGAGCCGAATCTTCTCGCTCGAGTTCCACCTCCTGTAGGAGTGCATTGTCGTCCGGGGTTGCAACATGGAGATAGTACAGAGACGCATTGATGGCCTCGGCCGAGACGCTGGCTTTTGTGGGTGGTTTGAGGGGGGGGAGAGAAAGATGTCTAGAAACCGGAGCGAACCAGGCGCAGTCAGTTACAGCTTATCGCAAGGCAAGAATGTCCGCGCCACCTGGACGCAGAAGCCCGGGATTGAGTGAGAACGAGAGAAAATAACATAATCCAGAATCGCCACACACCTTTACTGCCTGGAACCCTCACAATATACAGCGCTAGCGAATCCAGCTTCTCGTGGGTGGGATTGCGTGGGTAGGCGGGGGGATTCGATGCGATAGCGGTGATCGACGAGAGCGAACGAGCCTCGATAGGACCTTGGGGCGCAGCGGTAGACATGGCGGGCAGGACCGCGATCTGCCCCGGAGATTCAAGGGAGATAATATGTTGAGAAGAAGAAGATTGAAGCGGGAAGCCAAGAAAGGGCAAATAAACAATGACGGGTGGCTCGGCAGTGGGCCTGGGTACCGGAGCCTGACGGGAATTGGGTTGCTCTCACTGACGCCGAGACAGACGCAAGGGCGACAGCCTCATCCCAAGGCTCTAAAAGAAAAAGAGAGAAAAAATGAAGTTGCCTACGGGTGGCGCAGTACGTGGCCGGCTTGCGCAGTGTGGCCGCTTTACGTAGAAACAGGATCTACACGCGCGTATCCGTTTATTCGACAGTTGGTATCTCCAGAATAACTACAGGACCAAGATATAGAACCGAGGAAATGAAAATATGAAAAAAAGGAGGGTAATGCTGTGCGGGAATAAAGAAGGGAGGCACCAAAACTCCAAGTCCTCAACGCCATCCATATAGACCTCAAACGACCGTCTCGGACCGTTCGCCCTCTGCAATGACCGGCACACCCAACCCGCGATCCGGGCTTTGTAGTACCAGTTGCTCGTGGCGTCGTGCCCGCAGGAAGTCGCTGACAGCGCGGATCAGGATAAACCATCCGACGATCATGAGAACATATGAAATCCACTCGCTAGTACCGATGGCCGAAATCCCGCCGCCGCCGCCTGTGCTTGAGCCGTCCCCGACGTTATTAGGATCAAAATTGTGGCTGTTAGGATCAGGCGGCGGAGTGTAGTTCTCTGCACCCCCATCGGAGCCCGTAGGGTCGCTACCACCCTTCATATAGAAGCCGTATTGGACTAAGGTGAGACCGAGGCCCGCTCGGCTGCCGTTCTTCGCAGCGTGGGTAGTGTGCAGGAGGTAGGTGAGTAGGAATCCGACCAGCTGGAACGACATCGAGATCATGGCGTTCCACACAAACGAGAAGAAGGACCCGACAGGCAGCCCGTCAATATAAACTTCATCTGACGAAATGCCAGGCGCCAGGATAGTAGTCTCCCAATACGGTGGCGTCGCATCAGCAGCGGCTTCTTCGTAGGACTAACAGCACAAACAAACATCAGTCATCTGCAGAAAGCCGGTGGTGCCATAAGTCATGAACTTACCGGAGGAAGGTCCTCGTTCTTCTCGCCGCGCGAGGGCTTAGCCGCGAGATTGGCGAAGACTCCATCGTTGGATGCAGGGGTCGCCCGACTCCCCCCGGATGGCGTCGTCGTAAAACTCGGCAGTATTGTCGGCCGCCTGGGGGTGCCGGGGCCTTGACTTTGACTATAGTTTTCGATCCGGGAGTCCGATGACGATGCAGTGGCGGTCTGGCCATTGTCGGCGGCAGTCCGGAAATCCGGGTCAGCTCGCATCAAGCGCTGCCTGTCATCAGGCTCATTATCGTCGTCGGATTCATCTCCATCCCCAAAGGCGTCGGCTAGGGTCTGGTCTTCATTGCGGCGCGAGTCGCCGTGCAGTAACCGCCGGGACGATGGCGACGATGAACGGGAATGGAAAGAGGGAGGCGGAGAGGAGGATGAGTGGTTTGGTTGTGCAGGATTCAACGGATAGGAATGCGATTCGTCGTCTTCATCTTGGGCATTCACCTAGATATCTCGATGTCAGCGTTATCCCGGTCTTAAGATGGGCTCCATCCGAGTCACACGGGATCAGTGGAGGGGGGGCGCCCGTACCCGTTGATAGCGCTGCGAGCTCATGACGAGCTGAGCTAGCGACGGTGAAGGAAAAGAACAAGAATAGACAAAGGAAACAGGAAATTTAGGCTAGAATGCAAAGAATGATAACCCAAGGAGATCGGGAGGGAGAGTGTAGGGATGGAAGAAGCCGGGCCAGCCAGAGGCAACAAGGAATGGGGTCTTGACGCCTGATGTCTCAGGCAGAAACCCGGGTCTTTTTGCCTGCGAACTTCCGATGAAACTCACCTTTTTTTTTATATCGCCAGTCCACCATGTCCAAGCCACCGGTGAGTGCGGCATACTTCATTCAAACTAGGATAGACCGTCTAACAATACCAGTCCCTCAACCCTCGAGGCCTCCAGTCTCGCCTCACCCACCTCATCAACCACTGGCCATCCGACCCCGTCCGCCCGGCCTCAGTCTCCGTCCAATCTTACCTCCAATCCCGTCTCCCACAGTCCTCCTCCAATGCCCAGACACCCTCTTCCCAACCCGTCCCCGAGATCTCCGAATCCTCGCTAACAGCGCTGTCATCACTGCTGGACAACCGCTTTGCGCGCCGGTATCCGTTGTTGCCGCAGCTGCGACGGCCAGCAAGTAACCCAGACCACTACGACAATGTGATTCGCGAGTTCGAAGAGGCGCCGAACCGGGATTGGCTTGGGCGGCTAAAGAAGCGGCTGGGCGGGTTGCTTCGGTTGACGTGATGATTCTTGGGGATGTAGATCTATCCATGATCTAATGGCTTTAATTCCACCGGGGGCATTTGCTTTTTTTGAGGACCGGTTATTGCATGGTTTTACTTGTACTGATATATACCTTTCTTCTTTCTTACTGCTGTATGATTACTACTCGAGTGTATTAGAAGCGGAAAAGAAAACATATCTCGAGATTACTCGGCGAAGACATCAATAACTTGCATGAGAAATCTGACCTTTACAGCCGAACTCCACCAAATTGTATATACAGGAGAACACCCAAAGAAAAGCCCAAATGCACGCTTCAACAGGACGGAACTGTAAACCAAATTTTCGAATGCGATTCTTCGCATTACAGCATAGGCTTCAGGTCATCGGCGACCTTGAAAGGCGCCTCGGTCTTGGCCTTGACCTCCTCGACGGTGACACCGTCAGCAACCTCAATCAAGGTCAAGCCATCCGTGAAATCGACATCAAACACACAGAGGTCGGTGATGATGCGGCTGACGCAAGCCGGGCCGGTCAGGGGGAACTCGCACTGCTTGACGATCTTGGGGTTGCCCTTCTTGTCGGTGTGTTCCATAGTGACGACGACCTTGGTGGCGGACGGGTTTGAGACAAGGTCCATGGCACCGCCAAAGCCCTTGATCTTGCCGGGGAGCATCCCTGAGAGAAAACGTGTTAATGATATTGTTTTTGGAACCCAAAAAAAGAAACAACGGGAGAAACATACAGTTAGCCAAATCACCCTTGGCACTGACCTGCATGGCGCCCAGGATGGTCAGGTCGATACGGCCGGAGCGAATCATGCCAAATGACTCATCACTACCGAAGCACGCGGCGCCAGGATTGAGCGTGACGGTCTCCTTGCCCGCGTTGATGAGATCCGGGTCCTCATTACCCTTCTTGGGGTAGGGGCCCAGGCCGAGGATGCCGTTCTCAGACTGCAAAGTCACCTCGACAGAGGGATCGACGAAGTTGGGCGCGAGCATGGGCATGCCAATACCGAGGTTGGCATACATGCCGTTCTTGAACTCCTTGGCAGCGCGGCGGACGATGCGCTCACGCTTGCTGGCCGTGTCACCCTTGCCCAGAGCAGAGGTGTCAGCACCCTCCTCCTTGGCAAAAGTGTACTTCTCGATCTTCTTGTCGGCGGTGCTCTGGATGACGCGCTTGACATAAATGCCAGGCAGGTGAATAGCGGCGGGATCAATCTCGCCGGGCTCGACGATATGCTCAGCCTCCACGATGGTCATCTTGGCGTTGCGGCCCATGGCACCGTTGAAGTTGGCCGCGGCATACCGGAACTGGCAGTTGCCCAGCTTGTCGGCCTTCCAGGCCTTGACGAAGGCGTAGTCGCCCTTGATCGCCTCCTCCATCACGTAGCTCTTGCCGTCAAACACCTTCGTGTCGCGCGGCTGGCTGTATAGCGCCACCGTGCCATCACTGTTGTGTCGCAGCGGCAGGTCACCCGTCTGCACCACCGTGCCAAATGCTGCTGGCGTGTAGAAAGCGGGGACGCCTGCGCCACCCGACCGGCAGCGCTCTGCCAGTGTGCCCTGCGGCGTCAACTCAAGCTCGATCTCGCCCGTCAAGTACATGCGCTCGAAGGTCTTGTTCTCGCCCACGTAGCTGGCAATCATCTTCTTGATCTGTTTCGACTGCAGGAGTAGGCCCAGCCCGGATCCGTCCACGCCGGCGTTATTGCTTGCTACTGTCAGACCTGTGATCGACGGGTTATCCCGCACTGCGTTGATCAGCGTGTCCGGCACGCCCGAGAGCCCGAATCCACCGGCCAGCAGGGTGCTGTTCGACTTCATGTCCTTGACGGCCACCTCCGCGGACGGGAACACCTTGTTGATTTCACTTCGGCGGACGCTGCTGGAGAATGCACGAGCAAGGAAGCGTTGGTGCTGCCGAGTTGAAACAGTGTTAGAAATTGGGGTTTCCTTCGCTCTAATTCAGGATGGTAGATCGTTTTGCTCACCTTGGCTGGGTCCGCAGAGAACTGTCGCGCAACGCGCAAGCATGTTGCCACTTGAGACGGCATGGTTGCTGAAGAGGGAGTGGCACGAAGGAATTAAAAAGATTCGAGGAGGGCAGCAGACAGCACCAGCACAAGTATAAGCTAAAAAAAAATCCCAGAGGAAATGGCCGGCAGTCACCACCTCTTATAGCCCCGGGCGGCAACAAGGGCGGAACCAGTCCCGAAGGATGGATTTCCCCGGGAAATGCCCCGCAGCTTGGTCCCCCGGCTATGTGTATTTCCGGTGGGCACTACGCTGCTTCACACCGGACTCGAGCTGGACAGAAAATTGAAGATCAAATATCGAGCAAGAGCCAAAAATTTGTTCTTGGAGGCTCTCTCCCCTTGAGGAATTTGAAGGACATCAGGGACTGGGACTGGGGGTAGGTACTTGCAGTCTCTCTCCAGCAGCCGATCCCAGAGCCGATCCGATTCCGATCCGCGGGCCGCTGGGGCTGACTCAGCTCGTGAGGACATCGCCAGTTCACCAGGACTATATAGACTTGATGGATAATGGCGCCTAGGGGATGAGTCTTGGTTGCTGTGAAGGCATCAAATTGATGGATGAATTATCGCTGGGGCGAGCTATTTGCTATTGGGGTTGATATTGCTTTTGACCTAGTAGCAGCACTCCATAACGCCAGATTTCAACAATCGTCTTACATCTAGTTCTTTATGATACTGATGGTGTTCGAATATGCATTAACATCATATCTACTCTTTATCTGACTCGTCATCTACGGACCCTTCCTCGTCGTCAGAGTCGTCGATATCCGACCCCTCGATATTGGACTCCTCATCATCGAAATCCCCGTAATCGGACTCATAGACACTGGATTCCTCGTTCCAGGGCATAAAGAGTCCTTCATATGAATCCTTATCATCGAACTCCCAATCCAACTCTTCATCCTCTTCATCCTCGTCCACCCGCCACCGAACGCCACAGTCAGACATTGATTCCAATCCCCCAGTTGTATTTCACCGGGTTGAAAACAACTCGCTTGACGAGCGGACTCATTTTGTCGAGGTTAGTGGTTTGGAGCAAGGCATTTTGCTCAGGGGATGCCTTGACGACTGAACTGAAGAGCTTCTACTGGATTTGAGAAGAGTGAGCAAGTCGAGGATGGGACAGTCGCAACTTCTTAAGTTGCTCAATGGTCGTGGACACAGTGATGTCCTCCAGGAAATCAATGACTAGGATGATGATCTCCTCCGGCGAATGGGCTAGCAGATTATCCATGGTGAAGGCTGGATGAGATGGGGTAGAGTGAATAAGAGGATGGAGATGGTGAAGAAGAAGAAAAGGAATAGGGGCAGAAAGCAGAAAGCAGAAAATAGGGGGAGGGAGATGTAGCAGTAGACAGAATATCTAAGAGAAGAAAGAAGGCAAACGTAGGTATCCATAGATGTTCCCAGGGCTAGCTGTCAAGGCTGTCTTTGACCATCTCTCACTAGTCTATCCAGGGATCAACAATAATTCTTCCACAATATACCACTAAATACACAGAGTTGAACCTCTAATATGATGTATTTGTCTTCATTCGAACAGTGCAAATCCAACATGATCTTTCACATGGTATCTTGCTATGTGCATGCTGGATTAAAAAAAAAAAAAAAAAAAGGGAAAGACACAAACATGACGCTCAACTCATGCAGATATATCAGACATGATATGTGTAGTGCGGGGGGAATGACAATAGGGGGAAACATGGAGAAAATAATGCAATCATACATCACGGCATGCCTCTCACTCTCAATTCTCTAGAACAGGGCGACCAGCATCTTCACTCTTGCGCTTCAAGGGGTTTGCCAGGGCAGAATCGACCGTCGAATCTACCAGTATGAGTCGTCAGCGGAATGTGAGTGCCAGTTTGGGTGTGCCTCTTGGTTGCTCAGAGAGTCAAGGCTGTCAAGGCTGTCGTCAAGATAAATATCTATCGTACCTGGGGCGCCACTGGCTTCGTGGTATGGGGGGGGGTCCACGTCCATGTCTTCGGAGGGTTTCATGGCATGGACACCCTGCATGGCAATCGGGGTTTCGGTGACTTGGAACCCGGACATGGGATCGATAATATCACGGCAAACCGGGTTGGCCAGTCGGTCTTTCAGCTGGTCGTGGACATAGACAAGGAAATAGGGCGTGGGTGGGTTGCGGGTTCCGTCTTCCTTGAAAATCTCATCCACGTTTTGCACCTCGGTCACGTACTCGTCGTTGTACTTGCGCCACAGATCCTTGCGAAAATCATAGATGTAGATGTAGTAGTGGCCAAAGGAGACAGATCCATGGTGCACGAACACGGCGTAGAGTCGGTAGGGGAGGTTTCGGTAGTCGGCAAACTGGCTGGAGATCATGGTCTGGGTGTTCTTGATCTCTTGCTCGACGGCTGTCACGGTCAAATTAGGCTGTGTATGCAGCAACATTCATGAAGGTTTCTTACAGTGGAGCTCGCTCGTCGCAATCTCCGAAAGCTGATCAAGGTCCTCAAACAATTGCGAGTCGAAGTCCATGGCATCATACCCAGGACCACCCTCAATGTCCGCAAGGTCTTGGAGTGCATCCTGGGTGGTTCTGAACAAAGTCGACATATCAACTCCGTCATTATCCTATGGAAAGATCAGCCCACATGAATACAACATGGATCATTCGACAGCTGATTCCCATACATCTTTGCGAAGCAGTTCGAGGCGGCGATCTTCCAGTGATTTGAGGGATTTCTTCCATTCCCAGCATTGTCGCCGTCGGTCCACAATCTCCGGCTTCGAAGTGTCCATGTATCGATCCATGTAGATCGTCTCGAGCAGCTCTAGATGATCCGTCGATTTGAAAGAGCTCTTCTTCACCGCATCGAACTGGACGCGCTGCACCTGGACCTGAAGAACTGGAGGAAGTTGGCTAATGGAACCATACTGCTCCGCGGTGGAGTTCCCAACGCTGATCCTCTGGACATCAAATGCCCCATCGATGGCAGAGTAGATGTCTCGCGACCCGCTGGCGACGTCAACCTTGATATCGCACCACCACTCTTCTTTCGATCGTGTCCCTCCCTCGGTGGAGATATAAGACCGAGTACGGCCGTAGAACAAGCTGGAAAAATAAACCCAAATTAGCATGCGGAAATCAAACTCTGGATTGGTGATAAATACTCTTTGATCTGATCGAGCTGTTCACCGTCCTGGGAGAATCCTCGAGGCTTGATGGCGCATTGGCTCTGAAACAAAACATTGTTGATAACTTCGGTCACATCCTGCTGAGCACCGATCTCTACTTCTTCGATCAATTGTTTCTGTCTGTCGATTTTTGTGGACGGACGAGGAGGCACTGGAGGCGGCCGACTGGGCAGTTCAGGCCTTGGGGGGATACTATCGTTGGTGTTTATTTTCGGGTCCGGCTTGGACTCAGACTCGGCTGCGTCTTCCGGCGGCGGGATGTTTTCCTTGCTTTCAGTTGGTGCCGAGTTGTCATTCCTATTGCCCTCAGACACCAATGTGGCTTCACTGTCCACATCGCTGGCCATGGGATCTTTACCAGGGCCTGAATCGCCGATATCGGCAGCCAGAGACTGGGTTGGCTGATCCTCGAGGATGGGCTGCGGCGGCCCGAGGGGTCCCAAAATAGGTGCCCCACCGATGTCACCAAGACTTTGTGATCGACCAGCCGAGATGGTCGATCTGCGGCGGATGGCTGTCTCATTCTCTGGACTTATTAGGGTTAACCGAGCGAGTTCTTGACCAGGTGTGACCGCAGATTGGGGCGAAGTGATCATGTCTTGAAATAGAACACGCAGCTCTCCAAGGACTTTGATATGTTAGCTTCAAAGAAATATGAGTCAGATTCCGATAATGAAACTCACATCGTTGGGACCGCTCGACCTCTTTCTTCACCACCTTGCGCGATCCCACTTGTTTCTTTTCTAACGTCTCTTGGTCATCCAAATCCAGCTGGAAATTCTCATAGTCCAAGACCATTGATCGGAAAGGCTGCACGGAAAAGTAGAACTGGAGAAGACTGTTGAGATAGCACGTATTCCCGATATTCTGCAGGCCAACGGGCCAATCTGCCAGATTCTGTTCTGGCTCAGTCGTGATTCCTGCCATGTTCCTGAGCATTGGGCTGTTCATCTCCTTCGCGATGATGTTCAAAGCACGATTGTAGTCTTCGGTCTTCTCTGGATTGTCATCGACACAGATTGTGTATGCCGCCATGATTGCCTCTTCGTCCGCAGTTCGGTCCGGGATCTGAAGTAAGCGATAGGCATCACCAATGTCCATCTCACTAGCGACTGTTTCCCCGGTGTTGATGAAATGATTTAATCCAACTGAGTTTCTCGCGTCGGCGATGAGTTTGACCGCACGGGTTGCCAGATCCTTGCTTGAGGGACTATCGTTGATCTGGGTAGCCGGCCGAGCACTTGGGTCAACAAGCTGTGGACTAATTTCAGGCTCAAAGCGCATACCTTTGCTGTGTACATCGTGGTGATAAAGTCGTCTGGGGTTTGATCGTCCACACCCAGGAAGACTTGGGCTTGCTCAACAGTCGATACACCTGTTACCTGGTCTCAGCAACAATTCAAGCCATAAGCGCAATTACTACTGCATTGACTCACGTTCTTCCGAGGCAAATATGATGCGCTCACTTCGTCTACTGTGGCCTATCCGCCACAACTGTTGGCGTGCCTCCGTTTCCTGGTTGGTGGAGCTCAAGAACGCATAGAACTTGCCGATGATGCTGTCATCGGTGAGATTGGGGTCATCGTGCCAAAGCCCGAAATATTTGTAGGCTTCGACCACATCATCGTCCGTATATTTTCCTTCGGAGTAGGCCACCTGAACAGCTTGATCGATTATATCCCAGTCTTGGCCACCCCGGAGTGTGCCTATTGACTTGAGACATTTCAAGTAAAATGGTGCCCTTGCAGGGTCCACCGACACTTGTTGATTGTACGCTTCCACAATTGTCGCGGAAGACATATTTTCCACTACCCCGAGGTCTTCGTAAAACCTTTTCCATGGCAAGCGAACATTAGAGTGAAAACTGGCAGACGGGGGTGAGGGATGAACTAACGGAGCAGATGGCATTTCGAACTCTTGTGCGCGAGGGGATTTCGGGTCTAAGGCTCCAATTAGCCATCTCATCAAGGACAAGTCATCGAGGTATACGAACATTCCGATGCATCCAAGGCAAACAAGATATCGTTCAACGCCAGAGAAGGAAGCGGGGCGACCCGAGAGACTCTCTTTTCCGATGCGGGCTGACTGTGTATCAAAGCAAGCAGTTCATGGACAACATCATCAAGGAAAATGATGCTGGTGTCTTGGTAGGGCTTCTCGGTGGTGGAATTCACTTGTGGGGGTCGCCAGACGCCCTCGTTCTGGGATGTTGGAGTTAGCAAAATCTGTGATAGGAATACAGAAGTGTAACAAACCTCGAAGTAAGTAAAATCTAGAAACTCCAGTAGCTCTTTACAAGGGGCTCCCTCGACACCGAAAGAGACCATGAACCTCTTGTTGGTCGAAGGAATGCTCCTGCCGGGTTGGCTATCATGTAGAGCATTGCTGATGTACATACGCAAGTTGTCCATAACGTTGATTGGCAGAGGAGGAGCCATTCCTTCCAGTCGTTCCGGATGAGTCGCAAATGCCTCATCAGCTCGCTTACGCAACGAGTCCGGGTCAGTTAAAAGATGCACAAATTGAGGACTGAGGACTGGCGACAGGACTCGGAGGGACACCATGGCCGCGCAAGAAAGGTGGGAGCATCGATAGTGGAACGTCTCTGCAACCTGCCCTTTCCCCGTCATCTCCACAGTGGAAGCACCTCCCTTCTGTCTCCCTGACTTATAGACCAGGTGATGGATGTGACTCGAGGGGTTTGGACGGGACGGATAATTGACCACCACCTGGAGGTGACAACGGCACTTTGAGCACATGGCCGACACTTTGGACGATGCCCCGGGCCGCTTCCGAAGGGCCTCCGGGGCTATGTTGGTTTGGTTTGCCTTGGTGACATAGTTGTGCCGACATGCTGCTGGTGATATAAAGTCGAATGAGCCGTTGTGGTGTTCTGAGTACACTGGAGGGACTTGGGAGAGCAAGTTGCGACCTGTGCCTGGAACTTGCGCGGGGTCATACAGATAGACATCCTCAACCAAACGAGGTGTAGTCTTGCCTAGAGAATCCAGCACATCAATATGTTAGTATATTAGAGGACCAAGAGGGGTTCCACTAGATTAATTACCAGCTTTCTGTGGAAGCGCCATGAATTCAGCTGTTCTGACCTCACAGACCAGGAATGATTTCGGTGCTGTCCTTTTTTTGTCTTTGGTGAGCCTAGAGCTTTCCTGGGTATTGAATACCCATAGGGTCACACAAAGGATCAAACTGCCTCAGCGCATCCAAGCGGGAGGAGCTCCAAGGTGATGGAATCACAGCGGAGAAACAGCGGGGAGTCCACCGCGCTTGGCACCAGGCGACAAGCTTGGGATGGAGGATCTGCAACTGCACAAAATGGAGATATAGCAAGAGAGCAAACAAAACAATGAAGGTGTTTAGAATGAATTCAAGGCTAGAAAATCGAATGAAAAGAGAAATTTTGCTAGCATAGTCCGTGTTCCAGAAGAAGTAGAATCCCATAGCTCTCTCATGTTCAGTGATGGGCGGTGGCGAAGGCGGTGTGTTCAAGCAGAACCCACCAAAATCCGACCTCGACAACATCCCCGTCCGCAAGCCCATCCCTACCATTCCACACCATGGCGCACCACGCTGAAGATCACAGCTACCACCCCAAGGATGCTATTTCGGCAGCATTGAAGGCCACTACCCTCACTGGTGGGGCTGGTCTTTTTGCATCAGCTGTGCAGAACACGCTCGTCAAGCGGAATGTCGGACCACTGGGCGTGTTCATGCGCAGCGGGGGAACCATCGGTATCTTCGGTATGGACATTGTTGGAATCTATCACTCAAAGAGGGACGATGCTGATTAAATATTGCCAGCGGCCATGGGTGGTACCTATGAATTCGTCAAGACCGCTTCGGCCAACCTACGAGAGCAGGAGGATCACTGGAACGTTGCTCTGGGTGGCTTCTTCTCTGGTACCATTCTTGGTCTCCGAGGTCAGTCTCAAGATTGAGTGAGGATTGGGTGTGCTGGGTGCATGAAAACTAACCCGGGTGTATAGTCCGCACATTCCCCGCCTTGCTGGGTTACGGGGTTGCGCTGTCGACTGCCATGACTGCCTTTGAGTACACGGGTGGATCACTCTTTGGATACAAGAAAGACACGTCGGTGGATGAGTTTGAGCGTCGACAGCAGCTGCGGAAGGCGTACCAGAGCCCCGCCGAGCAGACCCTGGCTGAATTGGGTGAAGGCCGCGGTATGTGTGATGGATTAAAATTGCCTGTCTGAGACTGTCATATTTCCATTATACTAACTTTGATTTTACTAGGGCTCTTCGGCCAGAACTATGAAGAACGCCGCCGGGAGCGCATCAAGGAAGCTTATGGTGTCGAGGTTCCTACATCGCCTGTGCCTGCATCATAAACTTACATTTCTTTGTTTTCCCCTTGCCCCCTTCGCAGTCACTATTTTGTGTAAATTACCCCCCCCTCGATATCACGTTGCCTATCTAGCATACCGGACACATCAATCCGATGAGGTTTTCTTCTGTCTAAAAGTGACTTTGTAGTGTCATTGATGAGGTCTTGGTCAATATTCCCAAGAAATCTAGTAGGGTTTGTGCTGTTCGCCAGTAAGTGATTGTCACAGCAGAAGCAATATCCGACCGGAGTATCCAATGAAGAACATGGAAGTATTTTGGATGTATATCAAGGGTGCTCAACGTCCAATGATAGCGCGGATATATCCAATGTCCATGGGGCAACAGAACTGTGCCCAAGGTCACCTTTTGCTGAAAATTCACATAGAAAGTCTCCCTAGGGACACCATATCCGCATACTAGAAATAATATCCACGGTTACTTCCAACCATCGACTCAACCAAGCATGTCACTGAGGGGTTGGCACAACCAGGGAATTCTCGGAATTGTGTCCAAGTCCAGGTGGCAGAAGGACCAAAAACGAGAGAAACCCCTCACATGAATCATTTGTTTCTCCGATCCGGAGATTTTTGTGTAAGGTGTAATCTCTAAAATGTAAGGGAAGCAGCATGGAAGTATAGAACATCTATCGAATGCCCCCTTTTTCAGGCTGAGCCACAAATCGCGTGGATCACCGCCACACCCTGAACAGGCAACCAGATTGAAATCCTCTTTTTCTCTTAAATTAAATCGATATAGAAAGAGAAAGAGAAATATCGAACTCGACATGAAATCAAAATCACAATCAAAATAAGTGGCATGCATACGGCCCGCACTTCCGAGTCCTCTACGTCAACCATCTTAACTTTTGCATAGTTCCCGGCGCTCCCGGTTCTCGTCATCACTCGCAGTCGACCCTCTCTCTCTCTCCCCCCCCCTTCTCTTTCTCTTTCGTAGACGTCATCTCTACATTTTGGGGCTTTGGCTTCAATTTCGGCCCCCTTTTCATTGCTGGTCCCCCGCTATTTCTCTCCTTTTTCTCTTCCTCTCATATTCTCGGGGACCGTCTCCTTTTTATTTCCATAGTCTGTGGGGCAAGGCTGATCCTCCATTCGACCCTTCTTCAACCCGGTTTCGACGAGTCCAACCTCCCCGCAAATCAGGTCCAGATCCATTTCCCCCCGTTCGCCTGGTAACCATCTCTTGCGCCACTTCGGCTTATCATTACCCTTTTTCCCTTGTTCCTTCTCCCCTACTCCCAATTTATTTCGCGATTCTTCTTTTTCTCTCCGAAACGGGTCGCTGCAGGGCCCATCCCACACCCACGTTCTCGCTATGATGGCTATGGCCGCGCGGCCACAGACACCCGTGCAGGATGCATACATGATGCCACACCCCAATGACCCCGGGGTGTTGAGTCGCGGTTATGGACCCCGCTCCTCGTCCCGACCCAGCTCCTACGCAGGAAGCCCCTCGGCTCTCCACTACAGCCACGGCGCCCTCGACCAGCCTCAGGTTGCCCAGAACCCCCGATTCAAAGAGGACTTTGACACGGCCAGTCACCGCAGCTCGGTGGTCCTCGATGGCCCCGCCGTGCAGCGGTCAACCTCGCAAATGTCCCGAGTCCGATCGCCCACCCCATCCCGCTCGGGGACCCTGCGGAAGAAAGCCTCCTTGAGTAAAAAGGGGAGCCTGCGACGTAATGGGAGTCGCCGAAGTCTTCGCGCCGGCAGTGTGAGAAGTCTCAGCTTGGGCGACCGCGAGAAATACAATCCCGACGGAACCGAAGACGTCAATAGCGCTTTCGCGGTCCCGATCCCCACCAACGGCAACCCGACCGAGGTGCTCGCTTTTCGGTTTCAAGGTATGTTGTTCCCGTTTCTTCCCCCTCCCCTCCCCTCTGTCGATCCTTCACTAACATTTGCCCAGCCTGGAGGAAGGTTCTGAAGGACCTGATCGTTTTCTTCAAGGAAGTTCAGAAATCCTATGAAACCCGGTCGAAGCTATTCCTATCGGCGTCCAATGTCGTCAACAACCAATCGATTCCACCGGGTTTCCTCCAATCTGGCGGTCTGGCCGATGCGACGGAGATTCTCCGAGACTTCCACCGACAAGGGTATACGGAAGCCAACAAGGCGGTCGAGGTGGAGATTGAAGTCATCAGCCAATTGACGGGACTTCGGAGCGATCTGCAAAAGAAGACCAAGGAAATCAAGAGTCTCTCGGGAGATTTTAAGAACTCGGTCGAGAAGGAGATCGATGGTACCCGCAAGTCAGTCCGCAACTTGCACGAAGCCCTGGGCCTGGTCGACACCGATCCCTCTGCGACGTCGGGCAAAGGTGATCCGTTCATCATGCGCCTCAACGTCGAACGGCAGGTTGAGAAGCAGATCGAAGAGGAGAACTACTTGCATCGGGTTTGTTACCCCGATTTCCCCACCTTGATCGCCACGCTAACGACACATGGACAGGCATTCTTGAACTTGGAGAACTCGGGCCGTGAATTAGAGTCGATCGTAGTAAGCGAAATCCAGAAAGCCTACAACGCCTACGCCAGCATTCTCCGGCGCGAGGCCGACGAGGCCTATGACACCATCGAGAAACTCCGGGTGGGTCCCATTTCCATGCCCCAGGACCACGAGTGGAACTCGTTTGTAGCCAACACCGACGAATTGGTCGACCCCCGGATCCCACTCCGGAATGTGGAGAACATCACCTACCCCGGCAAAGATCACCCGGCTGCTGCCGAAGTGAGAGCTGGAATGCTGGAGCGCAAGAGCAAGTATCTGAAGAGCTATACTCCTGGCTGGTAAGTTACCCGTTTGTTCGGGTGGTGACTTTTATCTGACAGAATTCTAGGTACGTTTTGTCGCCGACACATCTGCATGAATTCAAGTCAGCCGACCGCGTGGCATGGCAAACTCCTGTCATGTCGTTGTACCTGCCCGAGCAGAAGCTCGGCTCGCACTCGCAGCCGGACTCGAGCTCCCACAAGTTTATGCTCAAGGGGCGTCAGACCGGGGCCATGCATCGGGGTCACTCATGGGTGTTCCGCGCCGAGTCACACGACACCATGATGTCGTGGTATGAGGATATCGAAAGCCTGATCAATAAGACGGGCGAGGCGCGCAATGCCTTTGTCCGGCGGCACGTCCGCAGCGTGAGTGGCATGTCCACGAACAGTGAAGTCATGGAGGACGACGAGGCCGACCGCACTCCGTACTCCGCTGAATCGGTCGTCTTGGCTCAAGATCGGCCCACGTCGGCCACTCGTCAACCCGGCGGCGCTTTCCCCAGCGATGTTCAGATTGATCGGCACCTCCAGGCACCCTTGTCCCCATCCAGCGGTGATAGCTCCGTCGGCAGAGATATGCTGGTCGCTGCGGGTTCTATCCCAGATGGAGATAGTGCTCTGGATGATTCGCGGTTGGTCAACACAGATCACCGCCCCTCCCAGACGGGCCAGGAAGATCCATCTCGGTCCCGCGTGAGTCGACACGACAGCTACTACGGTGACTGGATCGGACCTACCGCCATTGTTACCAAGCAGCAGAGCCAGCCAGAACCGGTGAATCGTACCGAGGATCGAGAGATTCGATCCGATGGAGATCATGCCTCCATGCTGGGCGTCGGCGTGGTGGATCGCCGTGACCATTCGGCTCCTCCGGGCCAGGTGGCTCGTCGCGAAAGTGTATCAACCGTACCCACCAACACAAATGGCACAGAGTATACGAACAACACCATGGCTACCTCTGTGGAGGATAACCCGAAATCCACCATCCCCGAGGTTGTCGGTTCGGGCGAACCCGATGGTCTACCGGCTGGTGGCATCGTGGAGAAATCCGGCAATGCCAAAACCGGACCTGATCTGACACGGCCCAAGACCGACAGTATTGTTGCCCTTGACATGAAGATCCCCGGCCGCTTCCCACCCACCAATGTGGCCGCATGACCGAGTCCCTCTGCCCTTTGATTCGTTTTGTGTTTATACATGTAACACTTGTTTGCCTGCTACAATCCGTCCTAGCTTGCTTTTAGGCGTTTTGGTCCTCTCGTTCTGGTCTGCGCCTCTCAGGCATTTTTTTTTTCTTTTTCTCGGCAAGAATCATGCCGCAGGCGTTCATTTCAGATGTGGCGCAACAAGTTTGTTTTTTTTTTGCTTTATTCTTTGATTCCCAGGGGTGTTGACCACCTGCTCTTTCGTTTCTATGTGATTGTTCCGATCTCTTTTTTTATTTGTTTCTTCTTTTTATTTCTCTTTATTTTTTTTTTTTTTGTTTTACTTGATTTTTCTCCCAAGATTCCCTTCTAGAGGTGTGATCTGAAATGCCAATGCACTCTAACAATCCTTTTTTTCCCTTCAAGATGTATAGGGGGCGTGGCATTTGATCGAGTAACTGAAATACACTCCTGCAGGGGTGTACAGGGCAATTCGGTACCAAGTACCCATAGACATCTAGGATATCCTGATAGTGAAGTATTAACGGAGGTCACGCCAAAGACTACAGAATGCCCGGGGCGGTGGGGGCCCCTTGAATCCCGTGAGCTGTCAAGGCGATGTCCAAAACCCTCATGTTTCTTGCTTCTCTCCGCCTTTCCATCTCTTCTTTCTTTTCTCCTGACACTTTTTCTCATACGCGTCTTACCTCCACGCGCTCTCTCTCGATCATGGGTGGGTGCCCATTGTCTCACCGTTTTGATTTGATTGTTATTATTTGATGATTTCTGGTTTCCTGTTCTCCCCGTTGCGTATCCTGTAATACTGTGATTTTACTCCCCCCTGGGTACATTCTCAGCATTCCAACCATCCAATCATCGTGTCTCGCGCTCCTCAACCTTTGATCCTTTCTCTCTCCCCTCCTTTTCTCTTCTTTTCTTTCTTCCATCGTTTCTTCTTTGCTGACTCCCCCTAGCCGACGTTTATCGACCATACCAAGTATGTTTTTTTCTCTCCTTAGTTCATCTGTTTATTTCTTATTCCTTCTTTTTTTTATCCTACTTTCTCCCTGTTTCGTTGTTTCTTTCTTTGTTTAAATGCGAGATCTGGGGATGAGGGGGGATGCGATTATCCATCGCATCCCGAATGGTCAGTGCGTGGGGCGGAAACCAGCACTTGTTCCATCAGATATCCTCGAGCCATCTGTGACCTTGAAGCCTGAGACACCCCCTACCCGATCGCGTGTTTTTTCAATTTGCGACCACACCTAGTGTGTGCGCAGTGAAAGCCCCCCTCTCCCCGTCCCCCGGGGTCCTCGACCTGAGACAAGCTGGGCGCATGGTCACCTGACCCGGGCCGAGGACCCCGATCGCCCCTCGAACTGCGATCATCCGCGCCTTGTCCCTTTTCCCCCAGTTCTCCGGCCCCATTCGACCACCTGCTTCTTTTCTTTTCTTTTCTATTTTTGGCCGATCCTCTTTCATGTCTGGATACTCTGACTCTGACCGCATGCAGCGTGAGAGGTCCCGATCGCCCCGTCGTCGCTCTTCTCGCAGTCCCCGACGTAGCCGTCGCTCGTACTCGCCGCGCAGTCGCTCTCGCAGTCGTGACGATTATCGTCGCAGTGAGCGCCGTTCACGAACTCCGCTGAGTGCTTCTGGTGCTGCTGGACCGTCGGACTCGTCTTACGGTGGACGCAGTGGTTATCCGGGTAGATCGTTTGAGGATCGTTCCGCCGCCAAAGAGAACATGATGCAATCGGTTCGCGACTCGTCCCAGCAAGACCGCCGGGTCTATGTGGGCAACCTTTCCTATGATGTCAAGTGGCATCACCTCAAGGACTTTATGAGACAGGGTGAGCAGGGTCGCGCCGTGGGGGTCGTTTCGTGAGATGCTGGAAGGATTGAAGGCTGACCGGCGGGGTTTCTTTTTTCACCGTTTGCGCCGTACAGCTGGAGAAGTTCTCTTCGCCGATGTGTTGCTTCTTCCAAATGGAATGTCGAAGGTGGGCGCCAATGCGTAGAGAGGCTGGTTCCTTTTTTTTCACTTCCCCGATTTCTCGTGGTTTTCTTGGTTACCTTGCTTGGACTGTTGGGTTGACGGGCTGGGCCTGGCTGTCCGGATATTGTAGGGATGCGGGTAAGTTGATGGATCGTTTCGAATCAAAATATGATAACAAGCTAATGCGCGACAGGATTGTGGAATACGCGACCAGGGAGCAAGCACAAAACGCCGTCAACACGCTTAGCAACCAAAACCTGATGGGGCGTCTTGTCTACGTCCGCGAGGTAGGACTCGATTGGTCTTCTGTGCTTGGATCGACACTGATTGTTGCATTAGGACCGCGAAGCCGAACCCCGTTTCGTCGGCGGTCCCCCGCGTGGTGAATTCGGTGGCCGCGGAGGTTTCGGCGGTGGCTTCGGTGGTGCCGGTGGCCCCGGCGGCGCCGGCGGCGGTGGTCGACAACTTTATGTGGCCAACGTTTGTTCTCCTTCTGTCCCTGATGTGCCCCTGGGTTGGGCCCCCCGTTAACCGGATGATGTAGCTCCCGTTCAACGTTGGCTGGCAAGATCTGAAGGATTTGTTCCGCCAGGCAGGTAAGTGTAGAAGAGGGAATCTTCTCGAGTAGTGATCTTGTGTGAGCGTTTGGTGAATTGACCCACCCTCTTTTCTTTTTTTGTAGCCCACCAGGGTGCCGTCATCCGCGCCGATGTGCACACTGACCCCACCGGCCGCCCCAAGGGCTCTGGTATCGTCGCGTTTGAGTCTCCGGACGACGCGCGCAACGCCATCGCGCAGTTTAACGGATACGACTGGCAGGGTCGCACGCTGGAGGTTCGCGAGGATCGCTTTGCCGGTCCCGGTCCTGGCTTCGGCGGCCGCGGAGGCTACGGCGGATTTGGCGGTCGTGGTGGATTTGCTGGCCGTGGCGGCTTCGCCGGTCGCGGTGGCTTTGGTGGTGGTTTCCGTGGTGGCTTTGGCGGTCCTCCCGGTGGATTTGCGGGCGGATTCGACAACGCTGCTCCCGCGGGCCCGCCGAACCCCTTCACCGACTTTGCCACCTCTGGAGGCGACAAGAGCGCGGTTATCTACGTGCGCAACGTAAGTGCTAACGTGAACTACTGTCCGTGGCCGTCTATGCTAACCCAAAGACAGTTGCCCTGGTCGACTTGCAACGAAGACTTGATCGATCTGTTCTCGACCATCGGCAAGGTCGAGCGGGCTGAGATCCAGTACGAGCCGAACGGCCGCTCCCGTGGCACGGGCGTGGTCGAGTTCGACACGCCGGACACGGCCGAGACCTCGATTGGTGAGTTTTCATACCGCAAAATTGAAAATAAAGGAATAGCCAGCCTGCTAACCATCCGCAGCCAAATTCACCGGGTACCAGTACGGTGGCCGCCCCCTGGGCATCACCTTTGTCAAGTACCTGAACGCGGGTCCCGGTCCTGGGGACATGATGGAGGGCGCCGAGCCGACGGCCGGCCTTACGCAGGACCAGATCATGTAAACGACGAGGAATTGTATGCAAGGGTCGTTGTCTGGCTGTGTTTCTTTGCTGCGTTTCTCTCCGATGATTCCCTTATTCCCACCATGTTTCTGTTCCGAGTTTGTCTTTTTTTGTCAAAGGGGATCTGGTGGCCTGATCAGAGACCGATGTTACAATTGAGTGCTGCGTTTGTACTGGGAATTCGTAGTCATTTCAGATGAAGTATCTACGTGGACAGGGTAGATGAATGAGTTGCCTGAACTGCAGCCTGTCGATCATTTTCATTAAGCAGTCGGCCAATAGGATCTGCATCTCCACATATCTTGTCGAGGCTTGAGTGTTGATAGCAGTTAAGGGCTATGAGGCTCTGCTGGTCCTGTGTAGAAATAGCGCTGAATTTGATAACCTATTTCTGAAAACAATTGATCGTCTTGCTTTCTCGGTCTATTCCCACATTTTGATTCCATATATATCGTGTTAGACTAATTAATTGCTTCCATGTTAAAACTGAAGTATCTATAGTTTCTTCTTCCAGGTATACTTTCAGCGGAGTGGAGCCCAAGTACAACTTGGCGGCACTTCATTTCCACCTGACCGCCTAACAACTTCCTCTCCTCACTCTTACTTACCATCCCCTCGCCCTCCATGGCTCACCTCGCCCATCTCCGTCCGCTCTCCCGACGGGCCATAGCCCATCTGGGGTCAAGCGCAAACATCATTCACCGCAATGCTTTCCTCGCCGGACCCAGCGCCCTCCTATCCTCAGCATCATCAGCACCCACATCACCCTCCTCACCATTACCAGCAATAAGAGCAACAACAACAAAAACCCCCTCAAATAATTTCCGCGCCTACCACTCAACCCTCCACCCCCACCCCCAACCAACCCACGAATACACAAACTCGCAAACCGCAATCCTATCCGCCGCCCTCGCCCACATCCCCACGCACGGTTTCAGCGCCGCCGCCCTGACCCTCGGCGCGCGCGACGCGGGCTTCCTCGACGTCTCGGTGCAACTGCTGCCGCGCGCCGAGTTCGATCTGGTCCTGTTCTGGCTTGCTAGTCGGCGCGGCCTGCTGCGAGCTAAGGTCGAGGAGGGTGGACTGTTTGCGCGGATTGCGGCGGAGCGGGGACCCGAAGGTAAGGGGTTGGGGTTGTCTGTTGAAGAAAAGGTGAAGGTGTTGGTTTTGGAGAGATTGGGGTTGAATGTGGATGTTAAAGATCAGTGGCAAGATGTGAGTTCCCCCCCCCTTTTTTTTTCTTATATATACATGCATACACTTGCATGAGTGTGTATGGATATGGATATGAGTGTGTATGGGTATACTAATTCTCAATTCTTTATAGGCCCTCGCTCAAATGTCCCTCCTCGGAAATATCCCTCTCTCCCTCGCCGAACTGCACGCCCTCGCAGACGACATCCTGTCTCTGGCCGGCGACGCCTCCGTCGACACGGCCTGGTACTCGCGCCGTCTCGCTGTTGCCGCCATCTACGCCAGCGCCGAGGTCGTCATGACCCGCGACCACACCCCGGACCTTGCGGAGACGGCTGCTTTTGTGGAGCGGCGCTTCGAAGACCGCGATGCTCTCACACAGAAGTTGACGGGTCTTGGGCAGTTTGTTGGCTTCTGGGGGAATACTGCTGTTGGGTTGGGGAGGAGTTGGGGGTTGAAGATTTAGATTTGAGATCTGAAGAGGACTGAAGATCTCTCTCTCTCTCTCTCTATTTGTGCTATGCAGTTGGAATCTGTTGTATTTCTAGTTGGTTCATTCTCTTCAAAGCCAGTGTACTCTACAATTCAGAGGATATTTCCGAACATCTACGATCTCACTCCTTCCCCGTCTAGGTAGATGCATGACATATTGAAACTCGACTTAAAGTTAACCAGAACCTCCATGCTAATCCATCAATGCTATAAACCCCCTATATCCATTCACATCAGACGCTGAATGTCATGAAATCGCCCAAAATGACCTTGGCATAAAAAAAGAAGAGTAAAGAAGAAACAACAACAAAAAAAAAAGAGAAAGAAAGAAAGAGAAAAGAGAAAAAGGGGGAAAGAGAGAAGAAGAACAGACAAATGCACGAATCCGGTCTCCATGCTCAATGCAATGATACATTTTGCACTGCCTCCTCGACACTCACCGGTGCATCATGTTCGGCCGCATGCTCCGATGGCACAGTCGGTGAGGTGGGAGAGGCCGGCGAGAAAGGATCCTCGAGGACAGGACTTTCCGGGGAATGGGGAGGCGGCTGCGATATAGCAGGCACGGCACTCTCAGGCGCTGCATCAGACTCTTTCGGAGCGCTGGCGTTGCTGGCTCCACTCTCGACAGAGTCTGTCGGCGTCGGCGCATGCAAGGTCTGGGCGCGCCCGCCGCGTCGGGCTTTGGGTGGAAGCGGTTTCTGGGCGGGACGGGATGGCCCGCTTGATCCTGGGGCTGGGGCGCGGTGGTGGCTAGAGGAGGGTGTGGTGTGGGTGGATCGGCGCGGGGGCGGGACGGCTGGAGGTGGGTTGGAGGCGGAGCGGCGGGCATGTGCTGGGACAGAAGGGGCCAGGCTGGATGAGGCGGAGTTGCGGCGGTCAGCGGATGAAGAGGTCGTGGGCGTGGATGTGGTTGGTGTAGTGAGAGTTGTGGTAGGGCTGGCTTCCACGCCTTCAGGGATGATGTTGCGGTCACTGCTTGCACCCGTAGAGTGATCATCGTCGTCGACGGCCAGTTGGCGGCCTCGCCAGCGGCGGGATTTGGGCGGCTCTGGTTTGATTTTGGGGGGTCGAGTGGTGGAGGTCTCGCCGTCCGGATCGGCAGCTGTGCGGCCGTCGGCGCGGCTCGGCGTGATGATGCCGGGCTTCTCGTGCTGTGCAGCGACGGCCTGCACGCTGAGTGAAGACGATGAGGCCGGCTCTAGGTTCATACCAATTCGCTGGGCGAGGCTAAGTTTCCGTTGGCGGCCCGGGGCCTCGGAAGAGCCACGCGAGTCTATTCGCGTGGGCGACGCCGTATCGGGCGAGCTGGGGATGGTACTTGTGCGCGACAGCGTGCGGCTGGCTTCGAAATCACCAATGTCCGTGGGCGACTCGTGTTGAACATTTTGATCCAGGACGGTATCGATTGTAGTAACTTCTTGCGCAGGTTCCTGTGCACTCGCCGTCGCGGGTACTTCCACATTGCGCAACCATTCCACCGTTGCACAACGGCCGACGAGCCGCCGAGTAGTTTCGTCGACTTCTTCGAAATGCATGATCTTCTCCTGCTCTGCCTCGCTCCCGTACGAGATCTCACCTCGGACGAGGATGCTCAGCACCTTTCGGAGCTCATCACGCTTATAGTGCGGTGGGTGGCGCAGCTGTGTATGCGCCAGGAGGGGGTATAGAACGCGCAGATAGGTATGTCGCAGCGCAGACGCCTCCTCGGGCAGGTCGAGCAAATTCCGGATCAGGATATCGACCAGCACGTGGAGGTCATTAGTGAAGAAGTACTCATAGGTGCTGGGTGTTGTGAAGATCAGGTAGAGAAGTTTCAGAGTTAAAAGCTGCAGAGATGTCTCTGCTTCCCGGTTGATCAGAAGAATGATGTTCTCGCCAAACGTCTTGTACAAGCTGCCGTACATCGACAAGACCTTGATCACCTTATTTGTCAGCCGACTGGACGACTGCTCATCCACTGGATCATGGGCTGAGATCATGAATTGCTCGTTCAGGACCAGCTGCGATAGTCGAGTTAGTCTTTGCTCCTTCTGCAAGACATACCCAAAATAACACTCACCAACACCCGAATGACAGGGTAGTGATATGGATCGCTGACGTCGTAAGACAGTCCCTCGATGAGATCGAAGAGACACCGAATAAAATTATCGTCCACGAGAACTGTGCACGGAAGCCACATTCATCAGCCATCTGCCTCACAAGTCGGGGGGGTTCCAGTCGCAGCACACGCGCAGTGGAGAACGCACCCAAGTCCTCAATCTTCATTCTCTGGATCCTCGACATCTCATACAACAAATCCATCAGCAGTCGGTGGAGACCAGCCCCGCCGTCCATGTCTTCCCTTCGTAGTGCTTGAATCAACTCGAGGAGACGCGCAAACGCACCCTCCTCGTTTAGCATCCGGAGGGCCACCTCATTCTGGCGGCCGTCAAAGAGCAGAAAGGACGCGATTAGGTGGAGGGTATTCGAATCGTCTTCCTGGGTAATCAGAAGAAGCGCCGGTAAGCGCATTGTCGATTCAGACGAAGCAGGAGACGAGCATTACCTGCAGGAGACCGTAAATGATCTGGCGGCGAACATAATCGGTATGGGCGGCGAAGATGGGCGACGCGAAGAGCTTGTATGAACAGCGCGAGATGTCGTATTCGGATCGGAGGCAATCATCTACAGAGCCAACGCCCAATAATATCAGCTGTCCGCCCGCACAGGCACATTTGGTCACCGACTAGAAGCTGAATCACCTTTGTGTTGGGTCGTGAGAGTCAGATAGTCTCGCAGGGCGTCGTCGATAAGGTCCTCGGAGTCGCAGGGCTTGGAGACGATCGCTTGGAGTTCTAGCACATTGGGTCAACCAGCTGTCGCCAGACTGCAGCAAACCACTTACCATTCCAGAACTGCTCAGGCTCCGAGACCTCATCCATTTCCCACCTCAGTCCGTGGCGGGCGGGCGCTCATGCCGTGGGAGTTGGAGATGCGGAAATGACTGGCGGGGAATCTGGGCAGAGAGCCCCCACACACCAAATTCTTGGGCACGAGATGCTATGCACGTTCCCCAGATGTCAGTATATATCCTATGTCCTCCCAGTCTTCTATTAACTCTTAGTCTACTTGTCTTTCTCTTGAGAAAAGGTCGAACAAGAAAACAGGCTATTTCTCAACACCTATAATCTACAAAAAAACTATATACGTGGTATCAATGTACAAAAAAAAACATCCCAAAAACAATCACGAGCGCAAGAATGGATGCGCTTCAGTATTCCTACAGAAAAGAGTCAGTAATGCACACAAAATACGTTGGAAGGGCCACTCACAGGACATATTTATCCAGATTCACAACGTCAGGGTCGCTGAAAAGCAGGTAGAAATACTTCAGCGTCTCAGCCAGCCAGAAGGACTCCATCAGGTCCTTTTGCGCCGGCTTCTGGGCCATGACATCGCTGATGGCCGCATGAGCCACCTCGGTTTGGGTGTGCTTGACGATTGCCTCGAACATGTTCCAACCCTTGCGCCGCCAGGCATCATCGCCGGTAAGGCGGTACATGATGAACACAGACTCGATTGCCTCCGGTCGGAGCAAATAGGTCGGGGACAAGATATCCACCATGCCGAGCGGGACACTGGGGGATTGGGGATCGCCCCGAGGGATGTGCGAAGGTGTATGGCGCGCCACCTCGGCCTGATAGCGATCTTCATTCCAGTCGCAGGATGTACTGCTCTCACACGGTAGTAGATGGAATCTTTCGGGCATAATACCGGTTTGGGTCGATTCATACGCCCACACACAGCCGTCAGTTAGCTGTGCAGCGATCTCCAAGTCACCATCGATACCAAATGCTTTGGCTCCGAGAGCAAACATGCCTCCAGCATAACACGAGAGATGATTGCCCTCATAATCCAAATCTGTAGACTGCAGGCTGCTCTTCCTCGCAGGGGTCAAGGGAGTGGTCGAGGCCAGGAATCGGATGTTGCGTCCATCCTTCAGTGTGGGCCGGAAGAGAAGATTCTTCCGCACAGCGTTCATCGCCTTCTTATACATTTTCCGATATTGGTCGTTTGCGCCACCCAGCAACAGGAATTCCTTGGGCAAATACTCGTAGGCCGAATCGGAAGACCCACCCAGGCTATACTTGTTATCGCGTGCCGAGAATGGAACCTCCATTCCGCCATTGCATTCTGATTCCATCGGGTCCCGCTTTGCCTTGATGCCGGTGCCGGAAGCGCCTTGGTTGGGAACGTTGAGGGGAACGCCGTTGGGAGCAAAACCACTGGGAGGCACGCCATTGCCCGCAGCACCGTTTCCAGGGACACTATTTCCAGTAGCACCATTGGCTGGAGCGTTGCTACCAAAGGCATCTTTGACCAAAGCACCGTTACCGCCGTTGCCGGAAGCGCCCTGGTTGGGAACGTTGAGAGGAACGCCGTTCGGAGCAAAACCGCCGGGAGGAGCGCCGTTGCCCGCAGCACCGTTTCCAGGGACCCCATTCCCAGGGGCACCATTAGCCGGAGCGCCGATAGCAGGTACACCATTAGCAGGCACACCGTTAGCAGGCACACCATTGGCCTGAGCACCATTGGCAGGCACCCCATTCGGAGGAGCACCGTTAACGCCGTTGGCAGGAGCGGCGTCGTCAGGAGAGCCGGCGCCCGAGGTACCTTTACCAGAACCATGGCCGCCAGCGCCATAGATGCTAGTTTCGCTGTTGACAGAGACGATCTCACGCTGGGGCTTGTACCTGGAGCAGCCCTGCGCATTGACACGGAACGGCCACAGACCAGGGATGGTGGTTGAATCCTGCAGTTTCTCCAGTTCATTGGTAACCCGCGCAATGGCGTCGTAATACTTGTCGTCTTTGGTCAATTGGGCCAGTCGGGTGAACTCCAATGAGAGAGAACCTATCTCGGCGAGCGTAGCCCGCGATGACGCCCGATGGCGCTTGCTGACAAACTCCCTGGAAACCAGCGATTAGTGAGGAGCTATCTGGACCCATACAAGAAGCGAATCACTTACGGAGCCCAGCGGTAATAGAGAGCTGGCATGCGGTTGGGCGTGTCAAAGGCGCCAATGAGAATCTGGGCAAGCTCCTGGGCCTTCTCCAAAAGGATTGGGTGTCGCTGCTCCGAGATATCGTAGGCGCCCAGGAGGCCTCCCAGGTAGCGGATAGTAGTTTCGAACACCGGGATGTTCTGTCTGATCGAGGTGGTGAAATCGATCTTTCGGATCGCATCGACGGCCTCGGTGAACTCGTCCTTCATGTCCATGATCCACATAGTATCAAGAGAATCAACCAGCGTCGCGCCCCAGCCGTTGAAGGGATCCTCGAATCCTTGAGATAAAGGCTTGACTTCGTCGTGTCCCATAGCAGTCTTCTTGTATCCCTGCCACGCGTGCTGGAACGCCGACTTGACTGCGCTGAGCTGTTGCATCCGCGACTGCTTGTCAGCCGTCGACTCATCCTTGAACTGAGCCTGCAGTGTTGGGAGGGTCTGGGACTGGCCGGTGGGCAATTTGATCGCCTGGCCTTCGGGAACGGGGAACTGCTCTGGGAGACTCCTCCAATGCACTATCGGGGAGTCCGGATCAGGGCGATTCACGGCCATCCTGCCCGCACCTCCATTGTCGATCTCCTCGTTGGTCGCATCACTAGGGGATTTGTTCGTGTTTGGTGTCTCGGGCGTCGTCTTGCCGTCTTCTCCCACCTTCTCGGGGGCCTTGTCGAGGTCTTTTGAATCCGTGCCTGTCGAGTCTGATCCCTTGAAATCCGTACCCATGAAATCCGTGCCCTTCGAATCCGTGCCCTTCGAATCGGCGCCTTTCAGGTCTGTGCCCTTCGAATCCGTACCCTTCAAATCTGCGCCCTTGGAGTCTGCGCCCCATGGGCGGCCATCTTTCGTATCACCCTTGCCAGGAAGGTTCAAGTCGGGGTTCCACGGCTTGCCCTCCTTGGTGCCATCCTTACTGGGCATCTTGCCAGAATCTTGATTGCCGATCTTAGTGTCCTTGGCGTCATCTTTGCCGGGCAGCTTCGAGTCACTTCCCCAGGGCTTATTTTCCTTGGTGTGGTCCTTGCTCGACGCCTTATCATTTGCTCCAGACGCTTTACTCTCATCCGCCATGGGATCCTCCCTTCCTCCGTCCTTCGCTCCGTCCTTCGGGCCACCATTGACCCCGCCGTTGGGCTTGTCGAGTGGCCGGGGAGGCGAGTCCGGTAAACGTCTGCCATTGTCCTCGGCGGGCGGATTATTGTCAGAGTTGGGAGCATTCGGTTGCACGGGACGCGTCAGGTCTGGCTGGCTGGCGCTTTCGGGCTTCGCAACCTCCGTCTCGTTCCAGTCACGCGACCGGCTAAAATGGATGAGGATCAGGAGGAACGCCGCCACGAAAATCAACAGCGCTCGGTAGCGACGAGCGCGAAACATTGTGGCCACCCCGGCTGAGGGGGAAGTTTTCGATGGCATCAAAACGGCGAGTGCACCAATTCAAAACATGAAGGGGAAATTAAAAATAAAAAGAAAAGAAGAGGTTGAAGGTTAAGGAGAGTTCAGATGCGGAGAGATCGACATGTGCCTACGCCCATCGAGGGTCAGGGGCTTTTTTTTTTTTTTTTTTTTCCGCAGCTTTCTTTCTGAGTTGGCCCTTTTACGGTATTACAAGTTTTTTGAATAGCTGATCCTCGTTATTTCTGCTGTAAAACGCCTTGTCCATACAATGGTGGGGGCGCCCCCTAAATGTACTTGGGGGCCAAAGGCTTGCAACAAACATTGGCCCCAAGACGCCCGTTCTCGGCCTAATGTACCTTTTGTATGGAATTCCCATATCAAAGGTACGTATCGCAAAGTCAAGTATATTTAAGCCAAGCAAAGAGATACTCTAAATATAAGCTGGTTTTTTTTATATGAGGAAAGTATTCACGTATTTTACAATATGTCTCAAGGTCCCTTTACTAACGACAGTTGGTCACCAAGGGATTCGAAATCCCTGTTGTTGATCTTAATAACATTATTTTGACCCTGAGGCCCTGATGCAGAGGTCCTTATACCGACTAACTAATGAAAGTCCCTCTATATCTCTAAAATCTTTCAATATGGCTGAGATATACCAAGCTTGCTGGATCTAACTCTTCAATAGGTACACCATACAAAGATACTCAAGACGTTACATATGCCAAGCGGGCATATGGGGTATTGATAGGGGCACCTCAGGATTTCCGCTATTGGCACCTCATTTTCTTATATACCTATTGTGACTTGTGTAATCGTTTTCGACTTTACCTCTAATGATATGATATTTTTATCTTATAACTATTTTCACTGATTAAAGCCCTTATTTAACTAGTAATAATATATTGTTTTTATTATTCTTATTATTCTTATTATTTAATATTTATTTTTGAAATATTTTTTACCCCTTCTATACTTGTAGAAATATCGTAATCTCTTCGCTGCGAGAAAACAATCATATAACCTACATGACCTTAGAAGTCTGCTAGTGGTCTATCTCGGTTCAGCTCGCGCAGCAGACTAAATATTGATATTTTATAAGCCCCTATTAAGATATATATATAATCATTGTGTCTTATGAAAAGAGAGAGTATAAAATATAGATATAGTATAGCTAGTATCATAATAAATCTTATAAATATGGTTAAAAGTGTAATCAAAAAATACTATTTGGAAAGATAATTTGCGTATGTCAGAAAATGAGGTGCCAGTAGCGAAAAAGTTGAGGTGCCTCTATCAATACCCGGGCATATGCAAGGCTACCTAGGGAGCACCAACACCAGGTGTAGAGTAACTCAAGGGCACGGCTACCTAGTAAGGATCCACTAATATCAGACAAGTACAAATCGGATGGCGTCTTAACAGTCATATGTACAGGGATTGCTCCCTTCAAGATGCTAGAACGATGTTAGATTCCCACCGCCGTCCGTCGACCATCTGTGTTGGCCTTTTGGAATTGCTGGATCAAACCGAGCACTCCTGCTCCGCCGGCAATAGCATCCAAATTCTCACCCTCATCGCCGTCTGTATCATTGCCATCCCTGCCAAGGGAGTTCATGCGCCATGAATCACCCAGGTTGCTTTCGCTGGTCCCTACGCCGCCACTGGAAGTCCCCGCAGGGGCTGCTGGCCGTGTCGCCGAGTCGTGGGCCCCCTGCGAGCGTGGCTCCTCGTCGTCAATGGGATCATTGTGCGGATGCTGGGAACGCGAGAGTCGAGAGCGTTGGTAGGGGGCGAAACGCGCCGCAGGACGGAACCCAGATGTCGACGGCTGGTGATGCGGGTCGAGAAGCATCGACGGAGCAGGGGAGCGGTGATCACCCGCAGTTGGCCTAAGGCGGGACGCACCCACTATTGAAATGGGGCCGAATGGTCCTCCGGCTGTGGCTCCTGGCCTTGTGGAAAGATAGTCGGCTCGATCGGGCTGAGCGCCCAGCTCCATTGCGGAGGGGGAGCCGAGAGTGGGTAAGGTCGGAGGTGGATGGAATGGCCGCCGACCAGAGGGCTGATGGTTGGCACCGTAATGATCCAAAAAGCCATAGTACGAAGCCAGCATCTTGCCGTCCTTGGTCGAGAAGTAATCCGCGCGCAGGTCCTGCCCGCCAGGGTCTCGCCGGCCGGGCCCACCTTGCGACATGACATTTGTGCCTTTCTTGAAGTCGAAGACGGCGAAGGAACAGAGGTAACCCACCCCATCAACGTGGACGGTGAACTCCCGGAAGAAATCGATCAGCCGGTCGCTGCACTTGGGCAAACTGAACCATAGCACGAAAGGCGTGAAAATCATGCTCAGGATTTCTTCCAAGAAAATCACGATCTTCATTTGGTATAGGATCGCGAAATCTTTGCGCACATCATCACTATGCAGCCGCCCTTTCCAACCGGCGGGAAAGTAATGAGTGAAATCAATCAGCTCTAGCAAGGCAAATTCAGGGTCAAAAACATCGGTCTCTTCAGGTGCCAGTCCTCGCGCGAAAGCCCAAACAGTTCCAAAGACACCGAGATAGAACAAGACCGTTCTATCGTGGGTGATCTCAAACCCAAGAAAAAGCTCAGGATCCACCACCGAAGCGAGCGCCAGTACTGAGGCAAGTGCACCAGAGATAAAGGCAACAAAGCGTGCAGCCTGGATAGTTTTGTCTTTGGGGAATTGATCGACGTAGCGACTTGCAAAGGGGTAGGACATATTGATCCGGCGCTCAAACAAATGCCAAAGCTCGTTGAATTCGCGAAACTTCCACTCGGCCAGGGGAGTGTATTGGCGCGATCCTATTTGAGCCGGGTTCTTCTTGAACTCGTTGAAGTAGCGGAAAAAGTAATGCATCAAAAAGTAGACGACGATAAACGGTGCAACGAAAATATTCATGACGCCTGCAAAGATGAAGCGCCGACGCAGGCCGTCACTTAACGCTCTTCGATGGGTATCTTTGAGGAATAGGGTCCGCAGCTGGCCTTGTTCATTGAAAACATAGTCCATGATGCACAGGTTGAGGTTCCATTCCAGAGTGCGAGAAAATAGTTGTCGATTCTTGAGGAACGGGACTGGCAACGTGAGGTCCAAAATATCTTTGTTGACCAAGGCAATCATGTAGTTTTCCTTGCGCATCAACCGGTTGGCAATGTCATGGGCATCCATTCGTTGCTTTGACTGACTTCCCAAAAATCTTCGGTGCTTAGCAGAGACCGCGGCCGCAGTGGCCGGGTTGGAGTCTCTAAGCGCCATCAGCCGGCTCACCACTTCCTGCCATGAGATGGTTTGAACCTCCGCATCGGAGACCCCGAGCAGATAGTAGTAAAAGTCATGCATGTGTTTCAGTCTGCGAATATCCAGAAGGTACTGGAAGAGTTTTCCAATCCAGAAGAAACTGAAAAGCCACAATAGGAAGGTGGACGACCCGGACATCTTTGTAGTACACTTGGGTACAAGGATTTCGTTCAGGGTCTTACTCCCTCGAACATTTTGGTAGACGATGCAGTTGGTCAAGAATGTTGAAAACCCTACAACGAATGCAAAAGTCCTATCATCCGGTCAGCAGTCGAAAGTATCAGCATTCCGAGGGTACATACAAAAGATTCAGCGTCCGGCTCAGCAAAATTGACCAAATGCCGTTTCCCAAGAAGTATGTATAAACGTCTTTTAGAAAGTTGTCCAAGTCCTCGACATTTGCCCACCGCCACATTGCCTTTTTCTTGGGGTCGATATGGGCAAGACTCGGGTGCTGCCCCGCCAACCATCTTCTCATAGGATGACGATTTTCCTGATCCGAGAATCGGAGCTCTCGGTGCCTTTCCCAGTTGGGTCGGTCTTGTCGTAGTGATGGCGGGGGACTGGGCGTTCTCAGTCGATTTGAAGAATCATGATGGGGGGGGAGGAGGAAGGCGTGATTTGAGATCCTCGTCCGGACCCTCCACCAGCAGCGACGGAGGAACATCCTCATCGTGATCGTCAAGTTCATCGCCTGGCGAGGAGGAATGTGCCATCCACCGAGAGCGGGATGGTTTGCGACGGCGTGAGCGCGATGGAGAGGCGTGGGGGACGCCAAGTGCCGTGCGCGATGGCCCTTGATCCAAAAGCGCCGTGCTCGGGCTGACGATCTCACTATCCCTCGCATCGGCCAAGGCTTCCTCGAGTTCGCGATCACTGAAATGATCCTGTTGATTGTCCGCCATTCCGGCGCGCTCTTCGACATCGGAGGTATCAGAACCGGCGTCATGCTGGCGGATGGCTTCGTAGACTGACGGCGAGTCGTTCGGGGGGAGGAAACGTGATAGGACGTTGGAGGACATCATCTTGGGGTCGGACTAAAGGGTCTGGGTTCACTCTATCAGGTGTTCACCGCAGCGGTTAACAAGCCGGGGCGGTAGTCTGGATTAATAGACGGCCATCTAGAGTGCTGGAGAAACCAGAGGGTCCCGCCGTCACAGTCGCAAGAAGTCGCATCAGACACTCTCAGGATAAGTGAGGATTAGAGTCAACCGAATTTCTGCCCTCTGTTTTTTTTAAAGGTTCCAAGCAGAAAAGAGTGTATGCTGATCAGACGCATCTGACCCCGTCCTCATGATAGCCCGTGGAGCTCTGATAGTGAATGATCCACGGATGATATCGATGACATAATATCATGCCTGAGGCATACAATGAGTCATCACACGGGTCAGGTGCCACGGTGCGGGGTGCGAACGCCTCCACCAGTTGCAAAGGACAACGATGTGTGCGACTTCTAGAAGTGTTCGACTCCAGTTCTTCCCGATGATTCGGCTCGGTCCACTAGTTGAATAGAGACCTGCCAGCCTCAATGCCCCTCATAATCTCACAATTGGAAATAAATAAAATAAATAATCATAATCATAATATAATCATCAATAAATCTCCGCGCTACGGGCGGCTCCACGCCCGGGGGGGTTCTCCCAGCAATTCCTGGGAGAATAGCGGTCAAACCCCATTTGATGGAAATGAAGGATTCGTGGAAAGGTACCTGGTACACGTACTCTGTGCAACATACCCATGCTAGAGAGAGTATTCGGTACAAGCATCTATGGATCCGCCACGTTTGTACTTTTTTCTTGTGTGTGTACCGTTGAATTGCAGCAAATGATGGGCATCTGGATGAGCAGGGGGAGCACACAAGTCTACGGGGCTAAATCCCTCTCCCGGGCACAATGAGGGTCCTGATCGACACGGTGCTAAATTGATCATGCACTGGGACATGGGTATCCGCTCATGATTCAGGATTATTTGCCCCATTGTAAGTAATTTTAAAACAAAGTGCCACGCAATTTCAGAGAGAGAGAAAGAAAGAGCTTTTGCTGTGTATACAAGCCCTTTTCCAAGACTGCTTTCTGCTCTCTCAGGCTCTTCCCGGACCCATCAAGTCAGACAGGACACTAGTGAGGACTAAGGGAAGGGCTATCAACCCTACTGTGGCAAGTATCATTGTGCCTTGTTTAGTGCAATCGTCTGCAGAGCAATATTGCGATTGGTATGCTTGATATGCTTGATATGCTCGGTATGCTCGGAAGACCAAGTCTATGACTGGTATCTCCGTGAGGAAGGATGGAGAACCCGGTTGATCCTCAAACTCCCCTGTCATCAATAGAGAGAGAGAAAGACAGAGAGACTCTTGTCAGAATGGTAAAATGGGTCGATGATCGGGCTGATTTCTCCCGCGCTATACACGGGCCCCGATCGTTGAGCATCACCGTTGTGCATCGTCATTTCCATCGTCCAGGAAATTTAAAAAACAACAGAATAAGCTAAAGCCTGGAATTGGAAGGCAATTAAGACTGAAATTGAAATTGAAATTGAAAAAAGGGAAAAGACCAGAGTGAAAGAAAACAGCGAGAATCCATGTAGAAGTAAGAAGTTGGGATTCCCATTGCTCCCGCTATCCACTTCGCTCCCCCTCTCTCTCTCCCCCTCTCTCATCCTTCTCTTGACCTCTTACTTCTATCCATTGAATTCATCCTGACTTCCTCTTGATATTACATTCCCTTCTTCTTCTTCTTCTCTCTGCCATTCCCTCCCCTTCCCCTCTCTCTTTGTTTCCGCCTCCTTCCCCCCCCCCCCCTCCTCCCATCCGCCCCATACCCGAAAGCGGTCCTGGGATCTGCAAAACACATCGACGCACACACAAATACCCCGAGTCGAGCAGAATCAACCCCCATTTTAAAAGGGACTGATGAAGGTAAGTGTGCGCATTTCTTCTCTCTGCCTTCTCTCCTCCCCCTCCTTCGACCCCCCCCTCAAAATAATAATGATATCACGCCCTTCACAACTTCCATTTCCCCGGGTCCCTTACTCGGACTGACCTTATCCCAACGACTTAGTCGCGATCGACTGGCTGGAAGAGTCAATCACTCACCGCATTCGCTAGAACCATCTGCATCTTTTAGACAAACGACGGTGACCCGCGCCTCCTTTGTCTCTTGTCTCTTGTCTCTTGTCTCTTCCATCGCTTCCCCTCCTCTCCCGTCCTCTCGACCGAATGTGCGACTTCAGCACCCTCCTTCTTCCCGGACTCCATGTGGTCTCTTAACCACTTCCTGCACGAGAGCGAACCCCCAATTGTTTAGCCGTACAGATATACGTCGGGTGCCAGCGGGCACACGGTGCTTTCACCGACTGTCTCGAGGCAGGTTGCGTTGGGTATATTTAGGAGCGGGCGATTCCTCTCCCCTTGTTTCCCGGCTCTACTGTCGTCTCACACGTAGTCGCTTCTCTGCCGTGAGATCCACGACTGGACAAAATGGAGCCAGATAATCCCAACGGGTTCAAGCGGAGCTCGATGCATCAAGCATTATATAGCCGCCCAGTGGAACGGCGACCGAGCAAGAAGTCCTCATCGAGAGATCGCCATGGCATGGTTTATCCAGACAGCTTTCGAGACGCCAGTATTCGGACCGTGACGCCGGAGTCGCACTCTCCCCGCAACCACTCCCCCTTGTCCGAGACAGAGTATTTGACCGGCAATGGTGCGTCTTCACCACGAACCACTGTACGATCGCGAGGAATCGAGCACGAACGCCGCCAGGAATTTGCCACTCGCTCCGTGGGGCGCGACGATGATGCCGCGGGGGAGAAAAAAGCCACCGGGCGCGATCGCGGACGGCAACGCTTGAGGAGCAGCGAAACGAAACGACATCCAGCACGGTCATCAAGACTCGAGCACGAATTGGATCACTCAATACTGCCAGCTCATCCCATCCGAAGAAGCCCGAAGATTCGTCAAGCTCCATCGGTTTCCCGTCAATACAGTCGCCCCGCCAGCGACTAAGCACGACTCCTGGCTCCGGAGTGGCCCTCAATCAAGCCGCATTCGCCTCTCCTCTTTCAAACACCGACACCGCAAAGATCTTGCAATTAATGAAAACCACATGTGGCAGAATGCACGGGATCCTTTCTTTTCGGGCAGCTTCAAGCAGCTCTTGGACATCGGGATACTGCGCTATCAACGTCGCCACTGGAAGCTTGATCTATCAAGCCAAAGGTGAACCAGCGTTGGCGAAAACATTAATCCCCGACTTACGCGGCTGTCGGGTCCGGACGTTGTTCGACACCGAGCTGCAGACTACCTACCTGAGCGTATACACCTTTACCTCCGGACTCGGTATTCAACTGCGACCCCATGTCAACGAGACATTCGATTCATGGCTTGCTGCTCTACTTTGCTGGCAACCTATTCGACCCAAGGGCGTCCAGAATAAAATGACCAAACCTCAGTCGGTTGTGATTGGTGATCGACGGATTCCTGAGCGACGACGAAACTCAGAGACAGCCACACACAAGGATGCGACCATCATCAAAGTCGGCAAGATGTTGTTATGGGACAAACCGTCTGCGTCTGGTGCACGTCCGGTGTCTTCACGCCGGGTGTCTACGTATCGCCAATCAAGGGCTTTATCTTCTTCGTGGCAGAAGGTGAGCTGCACACTACAGGAGAATGGAGTTTTCAAACTCTTCACCGAGGCCGACTTGTCTTTCGTGGCGTCTGTTCAGTTGTCTCAATTATCCCGTTGCGCCATCCAACAGTTGGACTCATCGGTACTTGACGACGAGTTTTGTATCGCTATATACCCGCAGTATGCAGCTCACCCTGTGTCTGATTCGAAGACCCGACCGATCTATCTCGCCTTGGAGACTCGTGTTCTTTTCGAGGTGTGGTTTGTCCTTTTGCGTGCATTCACAATTCCAGAGCTTTACGGTCCCGAAAGCCCCGGCGACCACAATCCAAGAAAGACACAAGACGCGGAGCCCGTCGAGTCACCCTCAACCAAAAATATGTTTCGAATTGAGAGAATACTCAATTTGAAGGTCACGGAGGCGAAGCTGTTTCGTCCAAAAGAAGAAGAGAGTCCTCGAAGTCGGAAGCAGTCCAAATCCCATTCCCCATCTGTGCCAGCATCCAAGGTCAGTGATTATTACACCGAGGTACTACTGGATGGAGAGATTCGCGCCAAGACGGCAGTCAAATATCGCACCATGAATCCGTTCTGGCGAGAGGATTTCATCTTTAATGATTTGCCGCCCGTGCTGTCTCAGGCCTCTATTCTGGTCAAATCACTCAACCCAACGCAGAAAGATTGGACGCTCATCGCCCACGGATCATACCCGTCCAATCAAGAGGTGAACGCAGTGAACATGTTGAATGAGATTGAGGTCTCCGCAAACGATGCCATCTTTGGGCGGGTGGATCTGCGACTTGAGGAATTGGAACCTGGGGTGGATACCGAAAAATGGTGGCCTATTTTGGACGACCAAGATCAGGTAGTGGGTGAGATGTTCATGAAGGCCCGCATGGAAGAAACGGTCGTCTTGATGTCCGATGAATATGCACCCATGTCAGAGCTCCTCCATTGCTTCGCCAACGGCCTTACAGTCAACATGGCTCAAGTGATGTCGTCCGAGTTGACCCAGCTGTCCGAGATGCTTCTGAACATTTATCAGGTCTCTGGGCAAACGGTGGAATGGATCTCTGCATTAGTCGAGGACGAAATTGATGGGCTTCACAAAGAGTCTACAGCAAATCGGCTGAGATATACGACGAGAATCCATTCCAATGACTCCCGCGAGTCCGCCCAGGACCGCGAGGTTCTTGTGAGAGATATGGGAAGAACAGCCACGGTGGAAGCGAACCTTCTGTTCCGCGGGAATTCCCTTCTGACTAAAGCACTGGACTTGCACATGCGTCGACTGGGTAAAGAGTATTTGGAAGAGACTATCGGGGAACGACTACGCGATATCGACGAGAGTGATCCAGAGTGCGAGGTTGACCCGGCCCGAGTACCACGCACTGAGGATCTTGACCGCAACTGGCGCAACCTCATAGCGCTCACCACGAGCGTCTGGAAATCCATCGCGGCTTCTTCGTCCCGGTGTCCTCCCGAGCTCAGGCTCATTTTTCGGCACGTCAGGGCTTGCGCCGAGGATCGTTATGGTGACTTCTTACGTACTGTGACCTACAGCAGTGTCTCGGGCTTCCTGTTTCTGCGATTCTTTTGTCCGGCCATATTGAACCCAAAGCTTTTTGGCCTCTTGAAAGGTAGGAAGTGATCATGGATTCTCCAACTCGGCTCAAGTGCTAATTATGCCCCCCACCCCCCAGATCACCCGCGACCTCGCGCCCAGCGCACTCTGACCCTCATTGCCAAAGCTTTGCAAGGCCTCGCCAATATGACGACCTTTGGCAACAAAGAGCCCTGGATGGAGCCCATGAACAAATTTTTGGTTGGCAATCGCTCAGACTTCAAACAGTTCGTTGACTCGGTCTGTGCGATCCCTGCGGATAGGCCAGCTCCCATCGCCACGCCTTCCTACATTACCCCCATCCAGATCTTGGGCCGGCTGCCAACTACCTCCCGCGAGGGATTCCCTAGCCTTCCCTTCCTGATCGACCATGCCCGAAGCTTCGCCAACATGATCAACGTCTGGCTCGAAGTAGTTCCGGATCGGCTATCCGAATTAGAAGAAGTGGATTCGAACCTCTCCAAATTCCACGAGCTGGCTCTCCGTCTGCAGGCTCGCACCGAGCACTGTATGGGCCAAGCCGAACTCGCGGAGCGGCCAAGTGGAAACCTTGAGGTCAAATGGGAAGAGCTTGTGGATTCGATGGAGCGCACTGTGACCTTTTACGACGAAGGCCCAAGCAAACCTGGCACTCCAGCACCAGATTCGGCTGTGGCTGGGCCGGTATCCATCTCAAGCAGTCAACGTGGCTCAGTTGGTTTCTTCGCTTCGCGCCCTGCCATGCCCCGGCGATCTACAGACTATGCCCACGATGCCGAAGAAGACACGCCACCCAGCTCTTCATCGGCCACCTGGGATCACAGTCGCATGCCCTTCGCCATCCCCCGGTGGTCTGATGCGCGAGACAGCACCGGCAGCTCCAAGAATTCCTCGACGTACTCGCTCGAGTATTCCGAGACCTCCAAGGCTCGCAGATCCAGCGTCACAAAAGAGACTTCGAGCAAGTATCGCTTCTTCGACTTTGTGCCTGCGCCCGGACGGCGCAAGCACAAAGAGCGGGAACACGCCCAGCACCACTCGCATGAGGACCTGAATAACGACCTCTGATCCAATTTTCCTGTGAACGTTTTCTTTCTCCGTGTCTGATGAATACCGACCATGCCTATTGTGAGCCTCTTAAACTATCTCCGCCTTTCGTCCCGTTCTATCGATCCAGGCGCTCATGTCTTTCACGCCCCTCCTCCTTCTTTGGCTTATTTGTATCTTCCCTCCCCATCTTTGATCCAATGTTCTCGTTCAAGCATGTGTCACGGTGTTGATACCCTTCCCTCTCTTTCAAGTTTTACTTCATGGCTTCACCATCACATACACTCCAACAACTCATGTCTCGGAAGAATTATATAAAAGAAAAAGGAACAAAACCCCTCGTCCAGCAGAGCAGAACCCGGTCCAAAACCAAGCAAGGACCTTTTTCGAAGGGCCCTGCGGTTTCTGTTGAATCCTCCCCCTTTTCTTTCTGTTATACTGGCCGTCGGAAGCAATTTGAAGCTTTTGTTTAAACCCCCTCTTTGTCTTTATGCTTTGGATTGATTCCCTTGGGAGAGAGGGTGGCCGTCGTATATATACTCTTCTTCTGTTGTTCCTTGGATAGATGGAATGGATAGGTGTTGTCGTTTTTGCATCTCGTCAAGTGCTCCGTTCTAATATAAGACGAATAGGAGAAAGGTGGTCTAGATGGAACGCACAGAGACATACATGACATGCACAGATGTAATATTCGAACAGAGAACCCTTCTAATGTACATTTTCTAAACAGACAGAAAAACAGCCGACCACCACAGTAGTTGTATCCATAGAATTCATCAGTTTCCCCCCGCTGTATCCACCAACACCGTTAGACCACACACGCCAGGAAACAAGCTAGAAAAGATCAGAGGCAACTCAATGTAGTCAGAGAAAGAGAAAGAGAAAGAGGAAAGAAAGCAACAAGGTATCGAGGAACATGGCGAGGAAAGAAAAACAAAATTTTTGAGACTACATCCACAAGCAGACCTTGCCGCTTGCCGTGCCGCCAGCAACCCAGTTTTTGCTGCGGTGGAACATAGCCACTGCGGGGACGGCGGTGATGCCGTCGCCGCCGAGCTGAGCCAGCTGGTCCCCGGAACCACTGTAGACGTCAACAAAGCGGTTCATGTTGCCGACGCAAAAACGTTGGATATGCGACTGGGGGTTGAGTTGCCATTGGGGGCGGAGACTATAACAAAATTTATATGGTTAGAGAGGAGGGGGGTTGGCCAAATTGAATGAACAGGGGTTCAAGGAAACAAACATGGTGACCCAACGGCCGGTCTGGCAGTTGTGTCGGACGACAGTGTCAGGAACAAACTCCTTGTCCGAAAGCGTGTGGCCCTGGTCCCAGGATGAGATGCCCTTGGCGCCGAGGTCGTAGATCTTGAGGGTGTCATCGTAAGAGGAAGTGGCAATCTGCCCGGCGGCATTAAAAGCAGCGTGCGAGACAGAAAGACGGCTTTCATGTTCGGCAACAGCGACAGGTTCATCGGGAGACAGCTTGCGCAAATCCCACACCCGCAGGAAGCGATCGAGACTGGCGGTTGCCAGATAGTGCGGTTGGGACGGGCACAGCGTGAATCCGCCAATCTTCTTCGGCGACAGTTGCCATCTGGAGACTGTGCTCTCAGACGGAGAGCTGCGCATGTCGTAGCGACCAAACTCCCCCTCGAGAGTGGTCCAGTACAGCGTATTTGGGTCATCCGGGGCCATGTCAAGGCTAGACAGGGCTTCGTCGAGAGCTTTGGATTTTGGGGCATATTTTTCAACAGACGTGGTTTTCTCCAAGTCCATCTCCCGGATTGAACTGTCGTAACTGGCAGTGTACAAATGTGTTGGCTTAAAGGGATGAACCATCATCGAGGAAATGGTGCGCGTGTGCGGTTTCAAGGTGGTTAAGACAGGATCTGGATCATCATCGGAGTCCGCGTCACTCGGGATCGGCTTTTCTTGCGACGCATCCAAAACCCCAAGGTGACCCATCTTGTCACCAGCAAAGATCACTGGCTTGGATTCTGATGGGTGGAAAGCCATAGTGTAGACTCTCTCGGGTGTGATTTTAATGCCTGCGAGACCATGGATGGTTAATTGGTGTAGTCACGATCAAGAGTAGCAGGAATCGTACGTTGGGGATCCCAGGCCTCCCATAGTTTCAGGTTATTCATTTCTTCCCGCAGCGCCTTGAGGTCCTTGTCGGTAGTTTTCTGGATATCCTCGTCCCCAAAGGTCCGCTCATATGGTTTCGCGACACCCTTAGTGATGACATCCACGCCGATAAGGCTGTCACCACTAAGCTTCTGCCCCGCGACGAACATGTCGCCCTGGCTGAGTGAGTCTGACCTGCGAATTCTCTTCGCACGTTCAGCTTCTCTGACGGCCTCGGCATCCTCCTCGGCCTTGCGCTTTACAACCTCGCTGTCAGCCGTAAAGCCCCTCAACCGTGATGACTTGCGCACGGGTAGAGCGGACTCCTCCTCCTTCTTGGGTCGCTTTGGGGTATGCTTCTTTGGCTTGGTACCATTGTTGCCCGGTAGTTTGGGGGTTTTAAAGAGGCCTGAAGACTGAGACTCCAAGGCGAGCTGCTTGAGTAGAGCATCACGCTCAGCGATGTTAGCGAGACGCTTCTGCTCAAACTCTGAAAGTCCTGATGTATTCTCAGTAGCCATGGTGACAGCACGTCAGGGGACCAGCTAAAGACAAAAGGGGGTGTTCGTGCTGCATGCAAAGATGCAGAGTTGCGTGGCTATCCACATCGCGCCAAAACGCGTGAGCGGTGCGCGACACCACGTGATTTGGTGGTTTTCTTTTCTTTTATCTGCCCGTCGGTCCAACGCCAGCGTGCCTCGTCGCAAAAACACATCCCCAATCCTATGGCAATGCACGTCTCGCGGAGGTTGATTGTGTCCACAGTGGCACAATCACCAGCTCCCTTCCTCTACCATACTCGAACCCTGCGGCCGTCGCATCTGTCTCGAAATTTATTCAATTCCCGACTTCAGCGTCTCTATACAACCGGGAACGCCACCCCTGAGAATGATGCTGTCCAGTCTAGCGACACACCCTTAGTAGGGGATGAGCAAAGTCCACATGTTTCTGAAGGATCTGTGCCCCCAGATCCAGCAACCCAGCCCAAGCCCCGGAAAAGCTTTCTACGGAAACGTGCGGCATCAGTTTCATCCCGAAAGGCCCGATCTTTACAGCAGCTACAGCGAAAGGTGAGAACCATAACTGAAGAAGAGAGGAGGGTGTTTGGGGGACTGCTGGAGCAGCTTGAGACCACGAATAGTGGAGAGCTAGCCAGCCCGGGGGCATTGCAGCCAGAAACGTCGAGCCAGGAAAGGCAGGAAAGGCAAGAAGAGATATCCAAGATGTTGGCAATGTTTGATTCTTACCTCGAGGAGCGGAACCCCACAAAACACCACAACGCCACCAAGCCCAAGGGAGAAGACCAGGAGCAGGAACAGGCTCCACTCTCCAGTCAGCCAGAGGAGTGGGAGACTCATGTTCCGTCACGGGGCCTGAAACTGAGGGACTTGGGCTATTCGGAACCGGCGACCTCTAATGGAATCGATATCGAAATCTCATTGCAAGAGGCTGTCGACATGGTGGTACAGCGCGAGGCGCGGAACATCGAGGCCGCCCTGTTCGCCGCCATCGACGACGGCAAAGGCGACATGGGCATCTGGGATGTATGCAAGGGCCGGATCTTTTCCATGCTGCACCACCTGGGCGACGCATTGATGACGGCTGCACCCCAACCGACCGACCCGGCGTCAGTGCCGAATCTGCCGCTCAAAATCCCAGAAGTGGTGCCCGTGTCCCCCGTCGTGGCGACGCTGTATCCCCAAACCCTTCTGATCGCCTTCCGCCTCCTCAACGCGCACTTCCCAGACTCGCCGCTGATCAGCCAATTCCGCTCCACCATCAAAGCCCACGGCCGCACGTCCTCGCTCCTCGGCGCCTCCACCGACCTGTATAACGAGATGCTGCATTTCTACTGGCGCGAATGCAGCGACCTCCCCCGCCGTCATCTCACTTCTCCGTGAAATGGAGACCGCCGGCCTCGACCCCAATCGCCGCACTCGCGACGTGCTGGTGAGTATCGTCCGCCAGCGCTACGACGAGGCAGATCTCCGTCGCCAGGGCAGACCGAACAAGGAGTCCTGGTGGGAGTTGCCGCCCAACCAAAGCGCATTTCGCGAGCTGGTCGGCTCCCAGGGCTGGATGCGTCGGCTCGATGCCTTCGTCTTGGGCCGGGACCGTCCTTGGAAAGCTGATCATCCCGGCAAACGTCGATGAGTTGTGCAGTTGTTCTTGGGATTGACTCCTCCAGTTCATGCACAAATCTCTGTCGATCATGTACAAATAGTCTATAGATGCAATCAACGCCTCGCAAATGGCCGTGTTAATAATAGCTGTCCCTATTCCAGTTCGAGTGTTAAGAGGTTGTGGAAGCAGGCCCTGGTATTATCACCATGGGTCGAGATGACAGTTAGCCCATCGAGTATGCTACAGAGTCACGGGACTCTCTGAGTAACTTGCTCGGTTCCAAGCCCTAACGTCTGTCTGGATTCCAACTGCGTTGCGCTTTGCTTTTTTCCTAGAACTCCTATGCAAAAAGAGAAACATTATGTACACGATTAATGTGCCGAGTTCGCGAAGTAAAGACCAGGCCAACCAGAATGGTAGATAGAGAAAGAAAAGAAAGGAACCAAAAGAAAAAATAACCACTACGGCCCAGACTGGATACCCCAGAACCGTTCCGCTTGAAAAGTATAAGAATTGTCCTTTTTCCAAAGGTCATCAAAAGCAGTAAAGAGAACAAGATCCCCCCGCGATCCGCAAAACTCTTCCGCAGACTTGCAATAGCAGCCTGCTGGTTCTCCGGCGACGGCACAGCAGCGCCATTAGCATTACCGCCGTGCGGCCAGCCCGACTCCGTGATGATAGTGTGCTTGCCACCAGCGGCCTCGGAGACAGCGAGGGCTTTGTGCAGGGCAAAGGAGCCGGCATGGTCGGGCTGCTGCGAGGCATCGAAGAAGGCGTGGCAGTTTGCAGCGCAGTAATCCGACGCATGGCACAGCTCGGGGTGTTTGAGGAGCACAGAGAAAGCGTCGACCGTCACGACGGGGCCTTCGTAGCCCTGGTCACGGAGGATAGAGCGGGCCTTGTTGACAGCGGCGGTGACCCTGGCCGGGTCGGTCTTGCCGCCGTTGATGAGCTCGTTGCCGATGGCGATGGTGTGGAAGATGGACCAGTCCTTTTTGCCGTCGGGCCCTGTGGCTGCTGCCTCGCTGATAGGTTTTAGGCTGTCTGGGAACCCGGACAGGTCGTACAGTCCAGCGAAGACTTGCATGTGGTGGCGTCTTGCTGCTGCTGTTACTGTCCTCGTTTGGTCGCAGTCTGTGCCGTAGATCCGGATGAAGGAGTACTGTGGGAGCTTGTCAAGGTCTTTGTCTACCTCTGCTTGCGTCTTGCAGCTCTTGTCGGCGTTGTAGGGCGAGTAGGAGATGCCGAATTTGCGGGGCAGGGCTGGGTGTCCATCTGAATGCCCATGTGGGTGGACAGGCGGTTTTGGATGGGCATCTGGATGCGGGTGCGGAGGAGCATGCGGAGGAGGCGGCGGAGGAGGAGGAGGATGTGCAGGAGGATGCGGCTTCCTTTGCTCCTCGTTCGCGGGCCCAACACGGTCAGTCACTCCGGCATCAGGCCGGGGTGCACCTTGAGCCGAGGAGGAGCTCGAAGCATCCGAGTCAGAGGATGATATCGAAGGCTGCGGCACACTCAAAGTCGGCTAATGATCGCAAACCGATAAAAAAAGAAATCAATAACCGTTCAAAAAAAAAAAAAAAAAAAAAGGAAGAAGCTGCTCCGCTCTATAGACAGATCACAAACTACTAACATCATGGCACTTGACGATGTGCGTCGTTGTAGTAGGGCTGTGACTGGTTTCCGTACTGATCGGGGCACCTTGTTCATTCACCCAGACCACGACCTCGGCGACAGAGACCGTTTGGAGCTCTCTGACGCATTGCTTCTCATCTGTGCAAGGACTAGGATTAGCAGGGGTTTTTTTTCTTGTATCAGATATCACGTTCGGGCCTTTCCTACCCTGAGACTCGGCCCAAACACCACAGGTCAGTGATAGGGCCAGGAGCGCCTGACACAGGCGCTTCATTATATGAAAGACCCCACTATAGGAGGGATACTGTGACAGGGCTCAAGACACACCAACAAGCTAGATATCAGTGCGAGAGATCATCACAGAAGGAGTGACCTAAAAGTCATCCCTTTTGTCCACAGAAAGTATCGCGATGTGCCGATCCGGCAGGTTATATTCAGCAAGAAAAGAAAAAAGAAACCTCCGGGATCCAGGGGGAATGGAATGAAATTCTGGCGAAAGCATAGTATGTGAGCAACCCCAATGTAAACACTCAAGGGAAGGAGACCCAAGCATAGCGAGCCGATATGGGGTGGCAAGTGGAATGGGGGGATATCAAGGCCCTACCTACGGGGTTCGCATTTCACTTGCATCTTTCTCCGCTTAGCTGGAGAATCACATAAAACAGACAAGGCTCATCTGACTTGCTTAGAAAGGCAAGAGATCTTGCTGTCAGGGACCATCCAATGGGTCAGATTGGTCGTCGGAACGGAACGAGGAATGTGGTTGAGAGTCGGTGGAAGGGCCGTGGAATGCCAGTCCCATTCCTGGCAGGTCGCTCAGCGACGGGTGCTCTGTGCGCTCCTTCAAATATGTGAGAGTCAGGGAATTGTATGCCAAACGTTGAAGGGGTCCAAATCGGAGTGTTGGAAAGGGGCCAACCAAAAGGGTGTAGTAGAAGAGGCCCATGGTGAAATCGTGGTCATTCGATCCTAGGAATGAGAACTGGCCTCACAAGTGCTTCAGTAGACCAGGCTGAACATGGCTGCGTGCTTTGATCATGCGTATTATGGGGTAGAACAGGGGCATATTGGGAAAAGCAAAAGAAATTAAAAACACAGCCTAGCAAGGACCAAGCAGTAAAGAATAGTATTAAACAATCTAAGATCATGCACAACTGAGTGTCGAGCCACCCAAGAAAGGAAGAACAGTGCTGTACAAGACATGCAATAAGAATAGGGGATGCATATGAACAAGGTTAACAGTACACGGAAAGAAAGGGGACATTAGGACATAGGGTGGTGGAAGAGCAAGTCGGTGAAGGCCAAGGTCGTAGGAGCGTGAGCGATGGTCAGATGCGAGACGAAGGAAACAAAAGGAAATCATCTCCTCTTGCTCATGACTTTGGTAATTGCGTGCCGAATAGTCGTTCCCGCTTTCTCAATCTCCTTCTTGGTGAGTCCGACAGTAACGCACACCTTGAGTGAGGGCGGGACGACCTGCTTGGGCTCGAAGTTGTCTTCGAGAGTTTTCAGGCGTGTGATGAGGACGCCATTGGCCAGACACTGCAGAGAAGTTAGAAAAGGAGCACCGAATAGCAAAATATTTTGATTGCGTACCTCGTCCACGACATCCTGGAGCAGGAACTGCTGGTCAGAAGGAGAAAGTTTCTTGGTAGCAACAACCTCCGGTTTGATGACGAGAATAAGGATCGGGTTCTCAGGTGCGCTGGTGCAGTAGACCCAATCGCTTCGGGGATCCAGCTGAGCCCGCATCGCCTTGGTGTATTCCCGAAGTTGGGAGACTGTCTCGGGATTGGTCTGGAGAATGTTGATTGTGGCACTGGCCGTAGTCGATAGCAAAGCAGGAAGAGCCGCAGAAAAAGTGTACGCCGAAGCGGAGATCCGCTGGTGGTGCACAATCTCCTCCGACCCAGCGCAGAAGCCTCCGCCAGCAACAAGGGGACCAGCCAGGGACCCCACAATCATGTCAACCTCGGCAGCATCGACATTTTGGTGCTCCGTGATACCACGGCCGGTCCGTCCCAGGACACCAAACGACCAGGTTTCGTCCAGGATCAACCGGAATTTGTACTTGAGCCTCAACTCGATCTATAGAAGTCAGCAAACAGAAGTAGACCTGCAAGCAATGCGGCCTTAGGTGACGTACGATTTTTGGGAGGTCGACCATGTCACCGTGAGACTCAAAGAGACCCTCCGTGATGATGAATCGTCGAGTCAAAGGCTTCCTTGCCTGTTCCTTGGTAACCTTGGCGAGCACCCGCTCCAGATCCTCCATGTCATTGTGCTCGTACCAGCGAACAATGCTGCGCGAGATCTGAATGCCCTTCCGAATGGCGAAGCTGACCCCCTTATCCGCCACGATGATGTCCCCGCGTTTGGAGAAAGCCGGAATCACACTAGAAATGGTCGAGAAGGCCTGGGAGTAAATGATACAGGCAGCGGTGCCCAAGAACGAAGCCACATCCGCTTCAGTCTTCAAATGAACATCCTGGGTACCGTAAAAACCGCGGGGACCGCAGGGCCCAACACCGTAATTCCGGAGAGTCTGAATCGCCTTCTCCTTGAGCGCCTCGTTGGTGTTGAAATTGTAGAAGTTGTACGAGCCGAGATTGGTGACCGTGCGGCCATTGGCCAGCTTAGACTTGGGACCGACAGGTCTGCGTACATCGCACCAACGTGTGTCAGCGATGGGTCGTTAAGAAATTAAGGACAGCCAGATGAGAGGGTAAGAAAGGGAAGGCGTGATTTACCCAACAATCACTGTTCGCTTGTCGACTTCCATCTCCTCCAGGGTGGTCGGGCTGCCAACGAGAGGCTCCGGAGTCCATTCATCCACCAGGTCATCGATTTCGTCGTCTGAGAGCGGCACAACGCCAGGCTTCGTCGAATACTTCGGGGCCAGTAGATATCGCACAGCGAAGAGAAACAAGAAGAGCTCAACCGCAGATCGAATAGGGTCATCTTGGTAGCTGGATTTCACATAACGAAGGAAGATTGCGGACCCGGGAACGCGGTGGAAGAGGTTGGCGAGTTCGTGGAGATACTCGGAAACGAGACGCTGGGTCTCCTGGAGGTCCATGGTTAGGTGTTCAGGGAGATGTTTGCGAGTGCAGAAACATCGGCTTGGACCAAAGCGAGGGAGCTAAAGTCAAGGGCCGAAGTATTACCAATTGAAGACGGAGGAAGAGCATTCGGGGAGCGACGGACCAGGGAGATCCCGCACGTGACCAGGACAGGGGACGTTATGTTCTACAAACAGCGACGGGATTTTCACCATGGAGCGATAACAATCTTACAAAAATCTCAAGTCTATCATAAAGGCAATTCGATTTGTCGAGGTAAACAAGCAACGAAAACATGAAACGAAGGTAAAAATTGTTGCGGGGACATGGGCCCCAAAGGGTACAACGGTCATTTCGCACAAACACTGAAGCCATTCATTAAAATCAACATGTGCGCCGGGAGTGTCAAAGGATGCAGCAAATCAAATCTTCAATGAAGCACAAAATTTTGTACAAGCCATCCCCATATACGCTCAAAACAGCTTGGGATTCCAATTCCAGTTTCCTGGTGAGGGAGATGGGACTGAGCTCGACGTAAAGCCATCGCCAGGAAGTCCGCTGCCAGTATACCATGCCACAGTATCGTTGAGGTTGCTGTCGAGCGGCTGGATCAGACCTAACTTGCTCGTATCGCCTTGGGCGAGACCCAGCGGGGAACTCCAGAGACCTCCAAAGATACTCTTGAGGAAGTTTTGGTGGCGGACAATGACTGGTGCGGCAATAATCACAACGAATAGCACAAGCATCACGAAATACAGAATGGCGAAGCGGATGACTCGTCTCTTCCGGAGCTTGGATTGTTTGAGCGAGTAGATCGGAGGGCGAATTTGGCGACTACAGCGAGAAACAGTCAGCAACAAGAATCAAAGCGTGGGGATGTTAGCGCTTACCTAGGCCGCAGCCAGAAAAGAATCACGGAGTGGAACTTATCCACGTAAGGGATGGCAAGGGCTGGGAGCATGGAGAACAGGAGCAAGTGACCGAGAACGAAATCACCCGCGAAGTAACCCAACTCAGTAATCTTGCAGAGGAATTCACGTCCAGGCTGCGACATGGAATGCCAGCCCATGTTGTACCATTTCCCAGTCCACCAAGCAATGTTGGACTGGTCATGCTTGAACTCCCTGGTCAGGGCGAGAGAGATAATCAACTTGTACACGAACCGCTGAATAGCCATGACCGCAATCATGCCGGAAATAGTTCTGGGCCAGCTGAAGGATTCAAGGAAGAACATGACTTCAAAGAAGGCGATGAGAGCAATGACTGCGACGGCATGTGCAATGGCGGCGAGGACTGATCCAAACTTCTTGCAGCACATGCTCAAGAGGGGTCCCATGCAACACGCCATACCAAAGAATACACCGGCAACACCCGCATTGACAGCAACGGGAGCAAATGCGACAAGGGCCAAACGGGCGACCGAGTTGGTGGCCTGTTTGTAATTGTCGGAGAACATTGTCCTAGAATTGATGTAGAAATACGGGACAACCGTCACAGCGCAAATAACCAGGGGAGCAACGATCTCGCTGAAAAAGATGTTCGTAATACGTGCCCTCGGGACGTCACCAGAGCCCTTCTCGGACGGAACACCAAGAAGCTTGCGCTTGTAACCGGTGATACGCGTGCGGGACAACCGACAGAACCCAATCCAAGATGAGGCATGAGATCTAGAGTTGCCACGGGAAAGCCACCGGAGGTAGTCGCGGTAGTCGATGAAGAAGTCGTGCCAGGCAAACTGGTGAGGATTGAAGAGGAATGGCGAGATGCAGAGAGCCAACAGAGAGACCCAGAACCAGATCAGTGCCGGAGTCCACACGGTCGACGTGGAGAACAACAGCATGAGGAGAAGTCGAGCACCAGCGTAGATCGAAGGACCAGCGAATCGGGAATACAGAACACCAAATGGAATACGAGCCGTTGCGAAACCACGGCCCGTGCCAATGTACCGAGCACCACCAAACGACAAGTTCTGATGAACGGCGTTGGCGTAAATCTGACACACGAACACCTCGAACATGAAGGAGAACGATCCAAAGTGCTTCGCCAGACGGGTAGCCATACGCCACACTCCTCGCTCGGTCAATTCCTGGACACCGAGAGGGACGAAAGAGATGAAGAACACGATAAAGATGGAAATGACGCAACGGTTGACCCAATCAATCACGGGAACGAGATTGGCGCAAAGAGTTGGTCGGAGCGGGTCCTTGATAGGCACATCGGGGTTGTACTGGCAAGTGATGGTCTCATGCTTCAGGGCTCCGAGGTTGATAAGCACAATCATGAACATTTGCACCGAAAGCATGATGAACATGTTGTTAAGATGGAAGCCGGGGTGCGCATAGTAGAAGGACAGGAACCGGTCCAAAGGCAGCTGCGTGCCCAGGTAGTAGTACTCCCGAGAAAGCATCTGTTCACCCATACCCGTGCCGATCTTGGTGGTGAAGTTCAAGATGGAACCGAAACCGAGATCACGACCCTTACCACATTGGAAATACTCGCAATGCTTGATTCGACCTCCTCGAAGCATGGCATTCATACCAGCGTAAATATCCTCGTTCAGGTGCAGACCTTTCTGGGCTTTGGAGACACCTCCACGGGTGGTCATGTAGGTGGCGTTCAGGAAATCAGGGTGACCGTAGTGGAGTTTACCGCCGATTTGAGCGAGGGTACGGGCGAAGAGAGTTCCGAACGTTTGTTCCTTGGAGGCAGCCACGTCACCCAGAACACCAACACTCTCAGAGAAAATGTATTCACGAGCTCCGAGAATGGCGACAGGGTGTGAATCAGGGGAGGGAAGGCCAGGAGTGTAGGGGGAAACATTGTCCGTAGTCAGCTCCTCGAACTCGGCCAAAACACTGCGAATCTTGAGGCACTCTTCAAGGTAGTTGTCCTGGTTGGCATCAATCAATTGGATGTACTCGCCGCGGTAGAAAATGATGGAGTGGTTCTGGTTGTCTGACTTTCCGTCTCCGAGGATCGGGTTGCCAGAGAGCTGGATGCGGAACTTGGGCTTGCGCATGTTGTTCTCGAGCAATTCACAGTGGCCATCGATCAGGGCGGAGTACAACCGAGGCTCCTCGCCCTCATTCACAGGAGGTTCCTCGTCCAGGTAGGCGATTTGCAGGTCTGGGTAGGCACGGAGGAGGAACTCGGTGTTCTCACGTTCGTCCTTGTTGAATTTCGCATAGCGCTGCATGGAAACACAGATTCGGAACTTGCGACGGGCCATGCGCTCGAGCTCACGTTCCAGCTTCTCCGAGTTTCCGCCAAACATTTGCACCACCTCCGGGTTCTCGACTCGGTAGAGGAGCTTGATGGCGCGGCTGTAGTTCATGAAGCCGGACACGGTTCTGTAAAGAGTTTGCGATCGGAGGGAAGCCCAGATTCTGGTTCGCAGGGTATACTCTGGTGCAGCTGACTTGAAACCAATGCAGTAGAAGGGCAAATCGTCGATCTTGCTCTTTGCGACATCTTTCTCGGTCTTCTCGTAATCACCATTGAACTGCGATGTCTCGTCCGCAAGGATCTTGGTGTCCTTGACGAAACAATCCCATTCATGAGGGTGGAGCTGTTTCAAGTATTCCAGGAGGGTAACACGGGAGTACGGTTCATCCTCGCGAATGATCTCACGGAGTGACAACAAGATCTTCTCGCTGTAGTGAGGAATGAGCACGCTGAAAGTTGGCATGTTGTCGACCGGAAGAGGTTCGGGCATGGGGGTCGAGAGGGACTGCGCGAAGAAAGAAATCCGACGCTCAGCCTCACTACCAGCAGGGAAAAATTCAGTCTTGAAGGACTGGTCCTCCTGCGAGACGAAGAAGGTGGGGGCCCGCAGAGTACGTTTGCCCTCTTGCTCGGAAGGTACCTGATGATAGAGCAACTTCTGCACATGGTCGATGGCGAGCAAATGCTCTCGGTACATCGAGATGATAATGGCGTTCCACACCTGTGAGATAAGAACCTTCGGCTTATACTTGATCTCCATGTCTGTGGTGGCAAGAACCTTTGAGTAGATGCGCTTTGGGAGACGAGAGAAAATGTTTCTCCACGGGGACCAAATCGAGACACCGAGATAGAAGGATCGCGCCACCGAGAAAATGGTGTTGCAGATAATGTACCACAGGTAACTGTCCAGGAAGAAAAGCGTCAGGTCCATAAAGAACATCAGTCCCAGGAGGATTTGGGGCTGCGTGTGGCAGAGTTGGTTCTTGATGTACATGACACCGGCACATTGGTGGATGCTCATGGGCGACAAAATCCGGATCGGATCCTTGAATGACAGGGTCAAGAAGAAGTAGGACTCTGCCAATTTGGCGCCGAAGACACAGACCCACAACCCGTAAGACATCCACATGTCGTTACCTTGGAGGCGGGGGAAGCTTGCAGTAAATGTCTGGCTGGCGACGTATTGTCGACCATGCTTCTTCATGTAGTTGCCAAACAGACCGCCGAGCGGTTGGATGGCGAAGAAGGCGAATGTGAGGAGGGCCAAAACGAAGTGGACGATGCCGACTGCGAGGCCGACTGCGTGCTGCGTCTTCTTGTCCGGGATTTTGTCAAGGAACTTCAGAACGAACACACCGGGGACAAGATTGATAAGAAAGACACCGAGAAGGAAAAAGAAGCGCTTCCGGAGATGCTGCGCGCCAGCCCACCTCCGGGGAACATACAGCCATTCGCAAATGGTGGCAAAGATCTGAATAAAGGCCACCAACGCACCACCAAGGCCGACGGCTGCGAGGTATTTGTCAGACGAAGGCCGGTTGTCCAACTGTTGCGAGTAGTTGTGGGTGTAGAGCGTCGGAGCATTGTAAGCTGTGAAGAACCAGAAAGACCCCAGGTGGATGACCCAGATGCGGTTGAAGTTCGTAACCATGTGGAACCAAGAACGAGTTTCCTTGTATGTCTTGAAGAACGCCTTGTTCCAAACCACGTCTTTTAGTTTCGTCCATCTCTCTGTCGGAGGGACATCGACCAGACGAGTCTTGTCCTCGAAGTGGATGCGCTCGATGCCCTCTGGGTACCAGAACAGTTGGTTCATGTCATCATAACCGATGATCTCGTTGTGATCACGCTCGCGACGAACGTATTTGCCGTCCATGACCTCATATCCCTGGTCACGACAAAATTGATAGAGAGGAGTGATGATCTCGTTGAGGTAGGTGAGCTCCTCCACCGGCTCAACTCGGTTCTGGCACTCGGGCGACGAGTAATAGTCATCGGCACACTTGAAAATGAAACAAATACACTCGGGCAAGAAGCGAACTTGGTTGGCCTCACCCCAAATCATCAGGTAGAGAGCGAGTTGGCGAACACGGTCATGCTGTGACATCCGGTTCATGCGCGACTTCCACCGGTACTCGGCCGCTTCCAAACTGTTGTCTCCTTCCAGGGCCTCGAGGGTCTCCTCCTCGTTCTCGGGGTTCTTCTTCGCAGCCTTCTGAGCAGCCTTGCGCGCTTTCCTGGTTTTACGGTCCGCCTTGCCAAGTTTCATGTTGGCGAAACCGACCGCATCGTCCAGGTCCAAATGCGCGGCGAAGTACCAGCGTCGGTAGTTGGCGTTCTCACCACCAATATAATCGGCGTGGAGTGACAGCAAGGCTTGGTTGGGCGTCATGCGAGATGCGCGGGAATCCAACAGCGTCATCAAGTGGTCGTACATGTTACGCATGCTGTCACGCTGGAACCCGAACTTGTTGACCAGATCAAGGAAGATGTCCTCCACCTCTTCCTTCGAGAGCGGAATCTGCGCATCGGAGGTCCAGGCAGGGTACGGCTCCCGCGATCGCTGGCCAGCCGGCAGAGCGTTGCCATAGTCCATACCATAGACGGGCGTCGAGGCGCCGGATGATCGGTTGGCACCGTAGGAGATCTGAGACGACGGCGGGCGGTAGCCATAGCCTCGGCCATACTGGCTGTCGGCATAACTGTTGTAGCGTTCATCTCCTCGCCCGTAGTAGTCCATGTCGGCGGCGCGGGCAGTCTCGGACCTCATGGTGAAGTCACTGAAAGTCTCCGAGTCTTCCTCTGAGTCGTGTCGCCGACCTTGCCCTCCGTAGCCCATCTGGCCCTGGTCGTAGTACTGGTCCCCATAGTAGTCGTCGTGGTGACCAGCCTCGTAGTATCCCCCATCGGCGTATCCGTGGCCAGCATCCGCGCCGTAGTAACCCCTGTCACCGTTTAGTCTCTCATGCCGGTCCGCAGTGATTCGGCACTTTGACCTACCCTCGATCGTAGTACCCATCCCCATAGTCATTGTGGTCATAATAGCCCTGGGCATGGTCATCCTGGTAGTAGGAGTCCCCATGGCCCGGGTGACCGTAGCCATCATCATAATGGCCTCCCGGATAACCCGACATGGTGAATGTGTCGTAATCGAATCGCTAGTGATGGCACTGATAGAAATCATACATCAGATGATGAATTCGGATGGGACATTATTTCAACCCCTTGAGGGATGGCGGTGCTGTCCACTGGCAATCTTACCTCAATCACGACCCATACAACGAAATACTCTTCACAAAGTCGGACCTGGGATTATTGCAACATGGAAACAGGGCAGTCGGAATGAACGCGCGAGTGGTACTCGATGGGATTCTTGGTTTGCACGATAAAAAAGAGGGCGTGGGAGAGTAAAAAGTGTCGAGTGTCAAACCCGATGATAACGAGTGAAAAGAGAGAATTGGGTCCCCGTCGCAAGTCTGAGGGGAAACTCTCACGGCAAGCGCCAAATTCAAAAAGAAAGATCGAGCGTGCCTCTCCTCCAAACCTTCTTCCCTCGGGAAAAACGAAAGGCAAGAAAAGAAGGGGAAGAATTGGTGATGGATACAAAACAGAAACAAAGAGGCAAAGAGCGAAGGGAAGGGGGTGGTTGGGAGGAAGGAGAAGGGAAAATGCTGTTATTTTGGGAATTCGGGGGGTTTGTCGGATCTAATTTACAAGCACCATACAGGAGTACAGGGTACCTCGCTCGAGTGTGGCTGGAACACTGCTGGGGGAGGTAGCTGTTACCTGGACTTTACACACTTTCAGGGGGTTCTGGGCTTGTCCAGCCTACTCTCTCACGCTCTTGTACTGTATGTGTGTGAGTTCACAATACCGTCCAACGGTATCCAACGGTATTGTATGTGTATACATCAATTTGCATTGGAGCCCTGTTACCAGCCAATCATGATGCCACTGGAACAGCTGGAATCCAAGGGAATTTCGAACGGCCCCTGAGACCTGCCCCACTGTATCCATTCAGCATGTAATTCAGGTAACAAATAATGTGGCATTTCATTTTTTCTTTCTTTTTTCTTTTTTTCTGCCCTGATTGTGCCTTGTTATTGTTACCAGGTATGCAGGGATAACCCGTTGCACCCGCTGTGTTTTTCATTCCTCGTTACTGTGGCTATTGCGGTATTCATCTCTCTCTCTCTCTCTCTCTCTCTCTCTCTCTCTCTCTGTGTAAGTACGCTAGAAATCAGGCCATGATTCTATGGAATATGGAATATGGAATAGATCCAATCGAGCTCAGAATGTGATTTAGAGTACCCTTGGTTCCCTATGGGGCCGAAGTGACCAGAACCACTGTATATAGGGTTCTTTTGGCTTTCACCGTCTGCTCATTTGCAATCACCTTGTTCTTTCCTAGGCTTTGGAGTGATCGTCCGTTTGACTTGCTCTGTGAGCAGAGATTTTCCCTGGCCAGGTCAATTTGCCACCGCAATGACTTGTACCTGCTATACAATACCGAAGAGTGAGATATACAGTATTATATCAAACTTTTTTTCTATTGATAATCAATTAGAGCACAGCGTGGCTATCTAGTGATCTAGTGTTCGATGAGACGTGTTCGCTATATTTCTCTTATTCCGAAGCTATCATCCATGCAATCCTACTTTATCAATCAATTCTAATCACATTTGATATGTCCTTCCAGGATATTTAGTATTTCACATTCAACAATCTCACCGTTTATCTTTTCCCGACCGAGTCAGTCCTGGTGTCTTGTACACGCTGTACATATCCGAGTAAAATGGTATCAGTATCTCCACCTTTAGAACCAGCCTCTCATGATGTTCCACAGTTCAAGTACCACACCAAGTGGAGCCCCGATTGCTTTTTTTTTCATTTTTTTTCCCACACACTCCGGCATCCATACGCAACGGGATGCGACTACCCCGGGAGGTACAACATATACAGTGCTTAAAGATTATTTGCTTTTAAGTATATCGATACAATATCGTGCAAACGATACATCCACTGCATAAAATCTATTGTAGGTTTTTTCTTTTTCTTTTTCTCACTCAATATTGAGGTGACTACTATACCAAAAATAATCTGTCTCTACTAAGATACTAACCAGCGATCACTAGTCCGCTGGCCCTAGTGTATCAAGTTTATTGTATTCGCCCCGCCACTCTTTTCATTTCAATACTGAATACTCCGTTGGTCAACTGTGGCTGGGGACTCGATGAGGTTCGATTATCCTTCTAGCCTGCCAGGATACGGCTGGGGGAGTGCCTATGTATAGAATGTCTCACTTTTTCTTTTTCTACGTACTATACCGGCCTCGGTTTACAATATCCACCTTTGGACCACTTTGCCACCGAGGAACACAGCTGATCCTCTCTCTCTCTCTTACCTAGGGAAAGGTACTTTCGCGGAATGATTTTAGTCATCAGGGGCATCTGCACTGCCTACTTGTATCATACTCCTCAAGGCCAACCACTTTTTTTTTTTTTTTTGACGTCGCAGCGGAAGGGGCCAGGGGAGGGATTTCGGGCACCAGCTCACATTCTCCATTATTCCATTCAGTCTTCCTCCACATCCAACCCACTACTATAGGCAACAATGTCTTTCTAGCCAGCCTCTCTCTCTCCAACATCTGCCATCAAAATTGTGGTTGGAAAGTGGTCTACTATATCCATCCCTAATGAGCCATGGATTGAGTGTCTCTCACTCACCCCTGGTTACTAATTTAATGGCCAATCTCTTGATATGCAAGAGGCAAGGGAATGCAGATCGGCAGTGACATAGCGGAGGAATGGGGGGAGCGATCTGCGTCTAGTTGCCAGCCTTCGCTGCCATCTGGGACTCGTCGACTCAGGAACCTCCCAGGAACCAGCGACGCTGTCCAATCCACTGGGCTCGGGCAAGCTCACCCCATTTGATCGTCAAATCCCTGGAAGGCCTCCATTCCATGCAATCCAAATACTATTCAATTCCCCAGCCCCAGCGGGCCGTCCTGCATGCAGACTAGACAATGTGTTCCTGTGTCGACCTCGACAAGAGATCTCTGCCGGTCGATGCACTATCCTCGCGTCAGACTAGCCTCTGGGGGGTTCAGATGTCTTCGCGGAGATCCAAAGGCACCGTGTTCGGTTGAAAGACTGAGAATTGCGCCCACGTCATGATAGCTACGTAACGCGCCACCCTTGAGTGTCATTTTGCCAGCCACGGCGTAAGAGGTCTGAGGTTTAGGGTCTCGGGATTTCAGTCCTGTTGCCCCAAACAATTGTCCTGGACGGAAACGGCTAATAGCCGTGCGAGAGGCAATTGTGCCTGTATCGCCGGCAAGGTTTCTCGTTGGATCGTTCCTCTTTTCCATGTGGGGCTCGATTGCGTGTCGCCGATATCGTCGGAATGCTGCTGCGTCACGGGCCGTAGATGTAAGCACCGTGGATGCGAGCAACAAGAACCTGCACGATTAAGATTGGGTTTCAATGCGGCTACATTGGATCTATCTGTCGAGTACTGGTGACTGAGTAGCGTGGTAACGTAGCCGGTGTGCTGTTGAGGACAAACACCATGGCGTGGGAGTCTCTTCATCCAAATAGGTAATTGAGTAGGGGTTGTATTCTGTTCTATATCTCTCTGACGGGTAAAAATATTTTGTATCCGGTCTCGTGCGTTTTGATCGGTGCAATAAATTCCATGCTAGGCGTTATTCGCGTCGAAGTGTCGGTGACCCTAGGTGACTATATATATATTCTATGGGCAATACCCATCTTACTGGCCATCCCATATATATAGTCCTGATTGGGTATACATAAAGCTATGATTTCGGATATCCGGTGGCATAATTCTATAATATGCCACCCATCATGTATTCAATTCAATTCAATGCCCTGTGCTAAATGTCGACGTAAATACAAATACACATGTCGTCGATGTATATTTCTCCCGAGCCATCTACATTTTACTAGAAATTCTACCCCAAAGCCCCCTTATCTTGCCACCGGGGTTCATAGATAGAAAAAGAACTAACTCAATACCTAAATACCTGCACTAAACAATAAAGAGTCTATTCTCAATCATTTACGCATCTAGGACAACCTACTGTATACGCATACATAGGCATCTCATCCAATTCAGACTTGGAAAGGCCCTTTGTCTGTTGGAGCTGTAATAGCAGCTGTATTATATACAACGCCCGGGTGGTCTAGTGGTATGATTCGCGCTTAGGGCAGCCAAAACCTAAGCACTCCTGCGCGAGGTCCCGCGTTCGATCCGCGGCTCGGGCCGTTCACTTTTTGCTTTACCTATTCAAGATTTCTTTCTGTTGGCCGAGTTACTTCTGCTACAAGGAAGAAGGAAGGCGTTTATTTTTCTTCCCGGGCCAAGCTAGGATGGATGGTCAGCTAGCTATATAGTATATAGGATGATGCTCCCACTTAGATTGTATGTCACTGGCTGGTTGGTTGTATTTATAAGAAACACCATAGCGACTCGACACTAGCATCCATTATTGCACACTATTTATATCGTCCAGGAACTCATCGTTCCATCGCATCATTTTCACCCACCCTAGCTCGATCAATTTATTTCTGCATTATATACTGCCCAGGTGTGGTGGGAATAGTCTCGGAACCTACTGACCGCCGTTGCCGTGCCAACCCGGCAACAGCTCAGCGGTCAGGGAAATATCAACACTAGACCATGATGACCGCTAGATCGATGCCCTAACTCATCACTGCTTGTTCTATCTGCCTCCACCCCTACTCACATCATCCTCCGTATTTGAAATACACCATTCGATCGCTTCCCACGAGACAACCAGGCCCGGCCGTAGCCGCAGCAAGATGGCGAGGCTCAACACCATACCGCAAAGCTCTGATACGCCTCACCGCACGCCAGGTCTATATGGGAGACCTGGCCATGCATCGCCCGCGTTTGCCGATAGCCCTATTTCTAGAGAAAGAACAACCCGCAAATCCTATTCAACAACAAAGGGCCGAACTGCCATGAGCCCACATGAAACGAAAAAAGCGAAGCCAAGCGCCATATTCAATATATTCTCCGATGCCGACGATGACGGCGACGATAAAGACGAGAGCGCACACAATTCTTCCAGCCCACATCAAAAACCAAGGAAATCGAGGACCCTGAACAACACACAGGTCAACTCCTTGCTTCTTCCGCATCCCACGACTTCTCGCTACAGACCAATGCATAAATTGGAAACTGCCGACTATGACAAAGAGAATGACCGTTCAGAGGACGAATATCCGGTCTCAACTTCCCCATCATTCCAGGAACCGATCCGATCCCAGGCATCGCAAAGAAACATGCAACGAACCCCAACAAGAAGCAGAACGGATCATCGATCTTCTATTGATCCCTTGCCCGCGCGCGATGAGACAGACAACAGCTCTGACAACAATAGCTTTCATTCACTGGATAATTCACTAGATGATTTCATTGTCAGCGATAACGAAGAGCTCAGCTACGATGAGACATCTGACTCTGAGACAGACGACCAAGTAGCGCCACCACCCTCACCTCCTACACAATCACCCAGAAAGAGACTCCTGAGAGGGAGGAGGCCAAACACAGAAGCGGATGAAATAAAGGATTCGGCGACCCCTTCATCGCCCAAAGAGCATATTCCCCTGGAACCCTCACTTCCAGAATTGATCAAAACACGCGCCACTAAGCTTGACACAAAACCCAGACGACTGTTCCAACACAACTCCATTGCCAAAGGATATGACCAGATTCCCCTGGATGAAGACAATGAGCCTCTTCCTCCATTGGAAACAGAGCTTCCCAAGTATGAACGACTCTTTGCTTCGCTGGCTGAAACGATCCGTGTGCTGATTATGTATCACTAGATCGGTGCCTGAACATGAGCCCTCATTATCTCCACTGGAAACAGAATTGCTCAAGTATGAACGAATATTGGATTCGCTGTTTGAAACGATGGTTGCGCTGACCCTATATCGCTAGATCGGCGCCTGAATATGGGCCTACATTATCTCAGCTGGAAACAGTGCCCCCCAAGTATGAACGACTCTCTGCTTTGCTGTCTGAAATAGACTCCGTGCGCTGACTATATATTACTAGATCGGAGCGTGAACAGGGGTCCTCGCTATTTCCATTGGAAATAGAGTCACCTAAGTATGCACAACTATTCGCTCTGCTGTTGACAATGACTCGCGCGCTGACTCTATATCGCCAGATCGGAGCCTGAACATGGGCCCTCATCATTGCAGCTGACACCTCCTCGCCAGCATCCAGAGGCACTCTTCTCCAGTCCATCGCCAAACCGACTTCGATCCCCAACTAAAGAGAAGAACCGCATACCCCCAACACCACATCGGGAGAACGTTGACGCCTTTTGGAGTCAGGAAGTCACCAACGATTGGATTGACCAGCATTCCCCTCGCAAAGACAAATCCTCCGGAGGTTCAGTTTTTGAACTGCTCCGAGAGTTTGAAGATTCAGACTACGAACCCGAAGAAGAGACCAATACCCCCCCAGTCATTGAGGACGACTCGGACATCATGTCAAGAGACAAAAAGCCAACGACCCCCAAGACCCCCAGCAAGACCGCTCTCAAGAAGGCCGAGATAGAGCAGAGGCGTGCTCTCCGAGCTCAGCGGGCATCATTCGACCAGAAGAAGGCATCGTTTGCAGAAAACTTTCTCCAAGTCCTGGATGATGCAGTGGCCGACGGCGAGGTCACCCGGCTTGCAACCAAGACCGGCGGGGTCCAAATCACCTGGAACAAAACCCTCAAAACCACCGCCGGCCGGGCCCAGTGGCGCGGAGACAAAGTGCTGACCCCCGAGGGCCTCACTACCCACCACTATGCCTCGATCGAGCTGGCCGAGCGTATCATCGACAGCGAGGACCGGCTTCTCAACACGCTGGCGCACGAGTACTGCCATCTGGCCAACTTCATGATCTCCAATGTCCACGGCCACCCGCATGGCTCCAGCTTCAAGCGCTGGGGCTATCGATGCTCTGACATGCTGAAGGACCATCCTGTCTACGGTGGCCGCATCGTTGTGACTACCAAACACAACTATGCCATCAATTTCAAGTACGTGTGGGCTTGCCAAGGGTGCACTGTCACATACGGCCGTCACTCGAAGAGCATCAAGCCGGAGAGTGCCCGTTGTGGTGTCTGCCGCGGTGAGCTGCAGCAGATCAAGCCCAAGCCTCGGAATGTGTCGCCCAAGAAGAATAAGCTTCCCCCGCCTGTGCGGAAGGGAGTCGTCGATGATGTGGCCAATGAACTTGGTGCGGTTACGCTGTAACCGATTGGATTCAGCAGAAGATGGTTGTTAATACTGGAGATACTGGAGACCTGGGATACAGGGTGACGGCATATAGTGCTCTCCTTTTTTTTTTTTTTTTTTCTTTTTTTTGTGAATAAAATGCCGTGTCTTGTTCCCTCGATGGCACTCGAACATAGACCTGCATTATGCTTCGAAGTTGTATTTTATTTCACTACCCAGTACCTGAAAAGGTGTAGACTATCTATTTGCTCATCTTCCCGTCCTAAGAGGGCATACCCGTTGGTTGTATCATACTCTCCCATTTCCCACCATTGAACCCATTGCCAGTGTATCTATCCCCCACTAAGCAAACAGCCCCCAGTCACGGATCTCCAACTTCTCGCGCAAAGCAGCAAGCGTCTCCTCGGCAGCCGCCTCCTCACCGGACAACTCATTCGGATCCCCACTCTTATTGAACTCCTCATGCGGCACATTCAAAAACACCAACAGATCCGTCTCCTGCGGCTCGAGCCGCACAAGCAGATAATGGCAAGTCAGCTTCGACGTCTGCGGTATGCCCACGGAATCCCCATTCAGCGCGGCGCTCGCCACAATCGAGTCCGGCACCGACGCCGTCGATCCATCCACGGCGGCGGGGACCCGGCCGCCGCCGGGCCGTTGGCGGACGGGCGTCGTGAAGGAGACAACGCCTTTGTATGCGTTGATTGGCATAGAAGTAGAAGTTGATGAGGATGAGGATGAGGTTGAAGAGGCTGGCTGGGTCGACAGACGCGCCATTGATACCCGCTGCGGCGGCGTGATCACCTGCAACGTGTCGCCCTCGTCGCAGAGGTCGTGCAGGTGGTACAGCGCGGCGGCTTGGTCAACTGTTTCTGGTGTTGCGCTGGCTGCGCTCCCGCTGCCGGCACTGGGCGTTTGTTGTTGGTGCGTGGGGTTGGTGAAGGTGCTCAGGGCTTCTTCTTGGGGTACGCGCTGGTTGACCTCGATAATTAGGTTGGAGAGCGTGCGTGGCGAGAGGAAGAGTTCCTGGTGGTCTGGGATCTCGCGCAGGGTGCTGAAGAGATATATCAGTGTGTGTTTTTCTCATTCTTCTTCTTCTTCTTCTTCTTCTCCGAATCTGTTGATTGATCTTCATTGGTATATATGCAAGTGCTATACCGAGTGACCTTGGCCAAGATATGACTTGGAATAGAAACTCGGCACGGCGTACATTACCAACAGACCACAGGGTAAATGATAGCCGTTGAGTATAAACACTAGGAAATACAACCTGATACTCACCTGGCGTCAATCCAGCCCTGCGGCACAACTCCCCGAATTGCCCCACCGAAGAAATCCTGCTCGGTGAACTGCGCCATGGCCGAGTCGATTTCGGAGCACCACTGAACACAGAAAGTAGAGGAGTTCCTGTAACAGCTTTCCTGGAGACTGCCGCGGAAAAACGCGAGCGAGAACGGGTCGATGCCAAGTCTGCGAAGCACAGCGGCCCGACTTGATTTTTTTGAGATTTCTTCTCCTCGCTTAGGTTCTGTTCGGTCCTCTTTTTGATAGTCTGGGGGAAAAGGAAGGGTTAACAGATTGCACAGAAAAGACGAGGATAAAGAGAAGGAGAGAGCGAAAGAAAGAGAGCTGGATGTTCTTAAGGACCAAGTGCTCGAGGCAGCAGAGCGGGCGGTTGTCTTCCGCCCAATGACGTTTGCCCGCGTCTGACTCGACTTCAACTACACGGAGTGACGGATATTTGTGCGATATATAGCCTTTGAGCAGAATGAGCAGCTTAATATTCAGCTACTTGAATATACGCGTGTATACAGATATACAGTTGACGCTGAAGTACGTGGTGATTCCATAATTCAATTCGAAACCGGGGTATCATGAGAAATCAATACCGCTAAACGATGCAGAGCAAGAGAGCAAGATATGGTATGGCCAATTCACATAGCAACCCTTCAGTCAAACAGCTCCTCAATGTATGCATCCAGTTCGATCATCCGGAAGTGACCTCCCCATTTGGCCCGGAATTCCTTCTTTCGATACGCATAGCTGGTCACCTGGGAGAAGCTCACCAGCTCCACGATCCAGCCACGCTGCAGCGCACGCTCGACCATACGCATAAACCCACCCGAGTATTCGGCTGCGGCGGCATCGCCCGTCGCCAGCACAATCGTCGCCGGTTCGTCCGTGTCCAGCAGGCTCTCCAGGATCTTCAGGTGCAGAATTTCGTCCACGCCCTGCTCGACCCATCGCTCCCCCGAGGCTTGAACCGTTTCAGGTCCACCAAGTCCTCCATTCCGGGTCTTGGGTGGGCGAGGAGTCGCGTGCTTGAGCTTGTGTACGCGGTCCAGGATGTTCGCTTCATAGCCGAGGGTCTCGGCTTCGTCGATCGAGGGCAGTCGGTCCGAGCCTACCAATACTCTCTTGGTAGCCGGACGACCCCGTTCCATGATCAGAGAAAAATTGGAGTAAGATATATGGAGGCGGCGGATCCGAGTTGTGATGGGGATGTTTCGTGAGACTTTCACCGAATCGTGGAATCCCACCATAATCTAACAAAATCGTGAGTTGGGGATGCAAAAACGTATGTAGAAGACGGAATCCACAACTTACATTGGACATGTCCACGAACACATGAATAGGTCGTGAATTAACGCTGCTCTTGGGAGAGACCCCAGCACGCCCAACTTGAGACACAAGTTTGGCATATTCGGGAAAGTCCGTAAGGAGCTTGGTCATCAACCCGACCCGTCGCTCGGACGCCGACTTGTAGACGGTGGGTCGAACACGAGTTGTCCCGGAAGCCTTGAAGCTTTTGATGGTATCTGAATTCAAGGCTGAATCCAACTCATCGTATGAAGACGGCGGGGTTTCATAATGACTGAGTTTCGCATCAGACGTGCCCAGTTGCGACGGGACAAATGCCAGCGCCCCAGACTTCTTGGAAATTGGAGGATCAAAAATGACGGTGTTTGAATCAGAATCCGGCTCGGCACTGCTTTCCGATGAGAGTGCTTCCTTGCTGTGTTGAATTTGGGTGTTTTTCCCACCCGCCCGGGACTTGGGCTTGGCCCTGGGCGTGTCTTCTGAACCATCCCTGCCGGGAATTGGTTTCGTCGGAGTTCGAGGGGAGTTAAATTCCACGGTGCTATCCTTGCTGGTAGCCTGGTGATCCGAGGCTCGCTTAAGGATCGTGATAGCTTCGGGTTGGGCGTATGGGCGTGAAGAGCGACCGGTAATAGTGTCTGTGGAGAGCCGAGGCTTTGAGGTATCGGAAATGGGGATGGGTTTGGGAGGAGTGTGGGAAGACAGTTCGGTCGGGGAGTGGACAGTAGACGCTCCACCCTGGGATGACCGTTTGAGAATGGCGACAGCGGGAGGAGGTCCGGCAGTCGGCTGAGAAACACTTGGTCTATGCTGCATGGCAGTTTCAGTCGCAGGAGCTGGGACTCGTTCCAGAAGATCCCACAGCGAACTGAAGTCTCCAAGACGGGGATAGCTCCGTTGGGAGTTCACATCCCTGGTCCGACTCCCTACACTGTCTCCGACATCTTCCCCCAACTGTCCCTCGGGGCATGGCGTGGGGACCGTGGATTTGGAGGGGCGAACACCGAGGGGAGGAGACGCGCCACTATAGGTGGGTGACCGGAGAAGGTCAAGCACCGGGGTGAAGTCCCAATTTGAGCTCGACTCGGCCGATTCGGTCGCAAGCATTGAAGATCAAGAGAAATAAACGAATTGAGATGATTAGGTGCAGGTATGAGAGAAGGAGAAAAAGAGACGAGATGAGGGATGGGAATTTAAAATAGACAAATCAGCTTGAATATCATAGGGAAAATCGCCTTGGAGATGCATCGAGATGAGTGATTTGCATCAACATCGTGAGTCAGAGAAGACTAATTTGATGACTTGAAGCCCAAGGCGTCCAAGTCGATGCGGGATGAGGGTGGCGGTGAAGTACTTCTGCCAATTTACACCGCCTGCCCTGATTGCCTATTACCTCGGCAAGACACTAATCCTGTTTAGGAGATGACTCAGCCAGTAGCCACACCCGTAGACCTTGTCATCGCAACGTCATCTGCGCCGCAGTCCTCATCAACGTCATTTCTCTGCAGGCGCTTGATTCGCGGTTCGCCGAGCCGTGGATGTAGATGGCACCATCTGGGGTCAACCTTGATTGTAGTCAAGTAACCGGGTTCAGCATGCAAAAAATGGACGACGTCATGTTTCATTTCAAAGAAAGTTAAGGACCTCATCAACCTATATAACCCCCCCTCTTGTCTTGAGCAAACACCGTTCTTCCATCATCTACAACTAGCAACCCTCTACCGTTTCAAACCCAGAATTTCAAACCACCTTCACAAAATCCATCATTTTTCAATCAGCCAACATGTCTGACACCGCTCGCAAGGATTTCACTACCAGTACGTGTTTTTTTCTCTCCCTCTCAATGATCAAGCCGGGTTGCTAACCTCAACTTCTTCCCACAGAGGCCAAGGAGGAGATCACTCCTGACTCCACCAAGTCCACCCAGGACAAGGTCAAGGAGGCTGTCACTGACACCTCGGACCGTGTCACTCGCGGATTCCAGACCGATGATAGCAAGGGTGGCGCTCAGGAGGCTTTCGACAAGACTCAGCGTGCCTACGACAACCACGCCCACGGCGGTGCCAGCAACTCCATGTAAGCTCCCGTCCTCTCTCGAGCCCCAGGAAAGACACAAGACTAACAATATATGTAGTGGCGACAAGGTCAAGGATGCTCTCGGCTTCGGTGGCAACAACTAGGTTTGCGCTCCATAATATGGACGGCCTTCCGGCGTGATTTCGGGAGTTGGATATTTATCATGATTCGTTCATGAGTCTACAATACCATTAGTCGCTTATTTTGTGCTTTAAGATACGAAACTACTATGGAATGGAACCGTGCATGACAAATGATTCTGTTGACCCCTTTCGTAGAAACCACAGGCACCAGGCAATGTAGGAAGACATTCAGGTGGCTAGCTCTTGCCAGCTTTTTATCGCCGCTCAACAAGGCTTTCAAACATCGAGTCCCGTTGCCTGGTCAGCTGTCCTAGCTCGCGTTCGAGCTCCTTGTACCGTGCCCGCGCTCCAGAAACATCATTGGGAAGGTCATGGAATGCCCTTACGCGACCTTCCAGCGACTTAACCATCTTCTGCAGCCGGAGAACACTCTCTTCTTCCACCATAAGCTCTTCGATTGTCGGTCCCCTTGGATGGTTCCTCTCGAGCGATGCGATGCGATCCTGATACTCTCGAGCCTTGGTCGCGAGCATTTTCGAGCCACGCGTCCATTCCGACGTCAACCCCTGCACTTCTGACGGTATCTCATAAGATTTATCCGTTTTTAGGCCCTCCAGTTCTGTCTGCAGCTGTGCCAGCTCTCGCTGGAGGTATCGATGCAGGGTCTCGATCTTCTTCATTTGCTCTTGTGCCTCAAACTCATCCGCCGTGAGCTCCACAATCGACTGGCTCAAATCACCTGGGTCCGGATTCAGCGTGTTACCGAGGGCTGCGGCGGAGTCGGCCAGGTCATCTAGATCGCGTCTTCCTTTGTCATCGAGGCACAATTCCACTTCGTCTAGAATCTCATTTTTTTGTTGTTCGTGCGGGTTTTTGCTCTCGGACTCGTTTAGTGTTTTGAATGCCTGCACGACTTCTTCGCGCGCACGGTGTTGAAGGGTGGCTTCTTCATCGGCCGCATCATTGGCTGCGGCCAGGGCTAGCAAGACTCTGAGCGTATCTTCGTTGCGTTCGAATTGGGGTATTGGTTTGGGCGCATATTGACGGCTCAGCCAGGTGTTCACGTACGCCCAGTCTTTGGCTTGAATGGCAGCTTGGCGAGCCTTTGCAGGAGAGACAAGCGGGCTATCCATTGAGTCTATAGGGGAGGTGTACACAGGTCAGGAAGACTGCGCAGAGGCAATAGTCAAGGCTGTGTTGACGGTGAATTGGCTGATAAGATATGCGGAAGGCGGTCCATAATCTGCCGAACGTGCGGGTGTCCTCTTTCTCCTCCACCGCCTCTGCCATTGTTCGACAACCATGACCAGCCATCTCTCTCCTGGGGCCAGCAATGGCTCGTCCCCGGTCTCGTCTTCACCGCAACCTCAGCGCTCAACCGCTCTGTCGAATCGCCTGACAACCGTGCTGTCTGCGTCATACGCGGATTCGGACATCCGAGACGCCCTCGAAACCTTGAGTGTGAGAGGCACTCACAACACCCCAGAAACACGGCGGCAGCTGCGACTCGATTTGCAGAAAGAAGTGATTGATTGCAATGCTGAGATTGTCAGGGACTTTGGGAAAGTGGCAGAGGTGAGACTCGCATATGTGGAGAATCGCGGCGGACTAGACTAACGTGATTCTGGATCGTCATAATAGCAATTGACTCGGATTGGGACGGTGATATCTAACTTGAACCAAACATGTGATGAGATGCGCAAGCACATCAACCTGGCCAAGCAGGACACAACGCCCGTGCTCGAAGAGGCCTCTACTCTGATGACCCAGAAGAAGGATACGGAAACCAAACAGCAGCTTTTGAACGCCTTTTCGAACCATTTTCTTGTCCCGGAGGAAGATTTGCTGGCTTTGACTTCCGCCGAGGAGCCCGTCAATGAGCGATTCTTTGATGTACTTGCCCGGGTCAAACAAGTTCACCATGATTGCGAGGTCCTACTGGGAGGCGAGAACGAGCGATTGGGTCTAGAAGTGATGGAACTGAGCACTCGCAATCTTAACTCTGCCTACCAAAAGCTCTACCGGTGGATTCAAAAGGAATTCCAGTCCTTGAATTTGGAGGACCCCCGGATCAGCAGCTCGATCCGTCGCGCTCTGCGGGTGCTGGCGGAGCGACCGAGTCTGTTCCATAGCTGTCTAGACTTTTTCGCAGAAGCCCGCGACTACATTTTGTCGGATGCATTCCACTACGCACTGACAGACGCTATGGCCGGCGCCAATGGGGCCGGTGCCGGACACCGTGGCGTCAAACCAATTGAATTTTCGGCGCACGATCCGTTGCGGTACGTGGGTGACATGCTCGCCTGGGTCCACTCGACAACAGTATCGGAGCGGGAAGCACTAGAGGCGCTGTTTGTTGCCGACGGCGAGGAGCTTGCGCGGGGCATCAAGGCCGGGTTGAGCAGCGAGCCCTGGGCCCGTATCGACGAAGGGGAGGAGCTCATGTTCGACGGCCATAAGGCACTCAGTGATTTGGTCAATCGCGATCTCACCGGGGTGTCTCGGGCGCTACGGCAGCGAATCGAGCTCGTCATTCAAGGTCATGATGATCCCGTCACCTCCTACAAAGTGGTGAATCTTTTGTCTTTCTACCGCACGACATTTTCCAAGTTGCTTGGTCCGAAGTCTCATCTGGTCGATCTGATGCAGAACTTGGAAAAGTTCACGCTCGGCCACTTCGAGACTCTGATGCGGGATCAGATCAGTACCCTCTCCAGTGATCATCTTTCCTTGTCCCCACCCGAGGACCTGTCAGCTCCGCAATTTTTGTTGGATGCACTTGAAGGGTTGACTTTGCTCATGAAGACACACGAGGCTTCTGTCGGACCAGAAGACGACCTGTCTTCAGACGCGGACAGCGAGAACGGGTTCACCCCTGTTCTGCGTGCTGCGTTTGATCCTTTCTTGACATTGGCTCGTTCCTCATCCGACGAAATCCAAGAAAGGACTGCGCAGACTATCTATCGCACCAACATTCTCCTCGTGGCTCGCGCCACTATCTCGCCGTTTGCATTTGCCAGTGCCACACATGCCGCTCCTCTTTCCACTGCCCTCTCTACTCTCCGCGTGGACCTTCTCGAGATTCAGCGCCAGTTTCTTCTCGAGACTTCGGGACTACAAACATTGCTCAAGGCTCTAGAGCCTTTCTCCAAGACAGCCAAAGAATCCGAACCGACCGACGCCCAAACCGAGAAGCCAGAGTCGCAGACTGCGCACCTCGCCGACCTTACCGCACTCCCGGCCTTTCAACCCGATGCGCTCATATTGTCGAGCCAGCAGCTCGACGACTTCTTGCCGTCGGCGCTCATGGACGCCACCGATCATTTCAAGCGCGTCCAGAGTGCTTCTCTCGTGCAGAGTGTCATCGAAGACGCAGTCGAGGCTTTCTGCCGTGACTTTGAGTTCGTGGAAGGCATGATTATTGCTACGGACGAGGCACGGGGCACGATGGATGTGGGTTTGAGCACTGGCGCGAGTGTGGTGAGTGGCCGCAGTGGCCGGTCTGGGGCTAAGACAGACGCCAGCGAGAAGGAGGGCGAAGAGAATGAGGACAAGGACGAGCCATTGAGCTTGCGATCGTTATTCCCTCGGACTACAGGCGAGATCCGGGTGTTGTTGAGTTGAGTGTTCTAGGATTGATGCCCAATCTTTCCGAAGCAGTGTTCCTTAGGAGAGAGGGAGTCGGTGTCATGAAAACAGAGGTCGGATTTGTATATCGGTGAAACGGGATAGCACCTTCCAGGATTGGACTAGCATGTAACATATCAGTCAAGAACATGAAATGTATATTCGCATAGTTAGGATTGGCGCATTAACCTGCAACCTAGGTGTCATCTTCTATGGCAGCTATATAAACTACACTCGTTTTTCGATCACCGTATGAAGAAGAAGAAGAAGAAGAAGAAGAAGAAGCGGTATGCTACCAGGGCAAATCTTAAAAATACAGGAGCTTGTAGACAGAGGAAAAGCCGTTAGTCTATATAGGTCGTTCTATAGGGCAGCGAGGTAAGCGCTGGCAGAATCCTAGCCAACATTATTTCACTGTGACCCACTCACTTCTTCCTCTTCTTCTATCCATCCTGTACTTTGGGCTCAGTGTGTAGACATCGTTTTCGGAAAATGATGAATATGCTTTGATAAAATGTACCACCGTTCCTCAAGGCTCGGGCGGAATATTATGTTCACAACGCATACCCTCTGGGTACTTTCTGAGTCCATCTTATACTTCGTCCCGAGGTCTTGTTTTCTATGAAGGTGATCTAAGGCCATCTTTTCGTCTTCCCCACTCCAGTTCACTACCTACTTCTATTATTCACTTTTTATATTGTGCTCGATATGATAGTCTTGGTAATAGGGACATAACCTGGAAAAGATAAAAAGCTCTACTATTTAGATATAGCTATATAACTCATGTTATTGAGCCTTCTCGTACATACGACCACAGGGCATGGAGACAGGGCTTCCTGTCCGTTTAGCCGTACTTAAGCCATATATTGTATAAGGCTAATTCTTAAAGCGCCCTTAATACTGCTGCTGTGCTGAAATAGCGATATAATAGGTCCTAGAATAAGTGTAGATAATATAAATAAGAAGTTTAAGGACTAGGGTGATAAAGATAAAAACGGGGTAAAAGTTATTAATCTCTTTAAAGATAAAAAGAGGTAATTCTTTCTCTATTTACAAAGATAAATTTTATATACTAGGGCTGTTTAATTACTCTATTAATTTTCTATCGATTCTATAAATAATAATTACTAAACTAAAGATCTAAAAAGCTCTCGAAAAGTATATATATATCTTATTGCGTAGATTTATATTAAAGTACTAAAAAAAAAAATCGAGGGATAATACTATTTTTGATTATTCATTTATATTAGTAATATCTTAAAATATAAAGAAATAGCTTTAAACTAGATTTTATTAGTATAGAGTTATACTATATAGCTTAACTAATACACCTATTACCTTCTAGAATTATATCTATACTATATTACGGGGATTACTTAATATTACCTATATTATATATTTACTATATCTAGTAAATACTTAAAAGAATAAGGGAAGTAGGATTTTACGTAAAACCTTTAAAATATATATTTTATTAGGAAAGAGTAGAAGTTCTTAGATTTATTATAGATTAAAACAGAAGTATTTTAATTAAAATAATAACGAATTCCATGAAAAATTCAAATTACTAAAATATAGGGTTATTTTTAAAGAAATTCGCGTTTATTAGTTCGTTATAGAATAGACTTTATCTAGTTAATATTAAAGAGAATCATTAATTTCCGTTAACTATATACTAGATATTGACCTATTTTCTTTATATATTTAGTATAAATTTATAATAATTAATATTAGGGTAGAACTCCCCTTGGCGGAGGTGCCGCGCATCAGCAGGTCAAGCTTATCCATCCCACCCCAGCAGGGGAAATGGTGGATGCGAATCTCTTCGTTCTGAAAAGCGCCAAAGCCCCTAGGGTGCATGACGGGGAGCTCAAGGGGAAAACTTTCGAGATTCTCTATGACAAAATGGTTCAAATGAGCATGGCATTTGGCAATGGTGTCGGAGAACCGAAAGTGGGTGCGTTTCTGGGAGAAAGCTCGGATATCAACGACATTATACATTTGAGGGCGCGGGAAGAAGATACAAAAATGCCAAGTTCTTTATACTAGGAGAGCGGAAGGGAATATGATGGAAATGGAGATTACACGCTTTCCTGGTCGGGTCTGGTCCCAGCCACTACTTCGTACTTCTCTGCCTTACACTCGATTTAGCAATGAAACGTTTAGATTGATTGACTCCTTCTCAGGCTCTTTCAAATACAACGTAACAGCCCAATCATCACATACATTAATACCGCACTGAAATCAAGGCCTATAGATAACATGGACCATAAGGTTACCAGTACTCAAATTGTCTTCAGTGGGATGTCCTTGCCCAGGGAACCGCAGTTGAAGAAGCTCGATATCCTCACTCGATAGTACGCCCACAATGCCCCCTTCTCCTGCTAAGCCTTAAGAAGAATTTGTATATCCTTCGCATTCAATAATATCTTGTAAGATACTTCGCTCAGATTCCGCTATACTATATGCTGTAGGCTCTTGAAAATGCTCCCTTCGTCCAAATAGACATAGTCTTTGATGTAGTAACCGTACCATATAGTGTGACCCCGGAGGTAGTTATCGTAGCTTTCTTGCTCGAGATAAGTAGAATTTAGTGATTCCTCTTAAATATCCATAAAATACTCGAGAATCCAACTTACCGATACAATACGGAGCCTCAAATCGCGCTTCCCTAAATTTATATCTTCGTCACTGCAGTCCGGGGCCTTTCTAGGCCTGTGCTGAGCCCTGTTCAAAGAATATAGTATGGCGTTCCTCCTGGTTACGCGATTTCTCGTCGCAGAAACCTTGCTGTGAAGCATCGGGCTACTATCTTCTTTCAGCTCATGGACTGTTGCTGGTTGTGGTGGGGATTTCATGATATTTCTTTCCTTGGAGCACAGGTCACTTGAAGTCGTTTTGCAAGACGTAACGGGAATTGTAGGTTGAAAAGGTAGAATGTCTTCTGAAAGGGTCCCTTTCCTCGGCCCCCAGAAATCGCAATGCACCTTTGGAAAGGCGAACAGGGGGCTTTGGGCACTATTGCAGCTGATGCTGCCCATTGACAGATTTGATAGGCGCCCATAGCGTAGACAACCAATCACCATACTTGATTGATGCATGATTATCACCCCGAAGCGCCCTAAATAAGCAGGGGCAAACGGCGCTTTCTCAAGTGCTCTCACTCACGTTCATTTCGTTTTGGATAATTTAAGCCACTGTATGGTGTGGAAACCATCCACATCCTTCAATTTGTTTGACCCAGAATACCCTGCACGGAGCGACGTATATATGCCGTGATCTGGATAGAACATCGATTCACAAGGTCGGTACCAAGTCCAAAGATAGCAAGTGCGAGGGTGATTGTGCTTTTCACATTTAACTCAATTCTATTACAGAAACTCGGGAGACTAGTAGAACGCTGTTGGTGGACCTCGTTAGGCGATCTCCATACTTGTCCGCCGAGTTCGGTACAGCTGTGGGAAATGACAAAAGTTCCATGCAGATACCGTGTCAAAGGCTCGTCCACGTACCCTGCTGATTGGCTCATCATATCCCAAGAGTAACATCGCGTGGTTTTATGACAAGCATTCTACTCCACGCTAGCCAACCGGTGTTGGGGGCCATATCGTTCATCAGCCATGTGGAGAAACCCATTAGGCTATGTCTAAAAACTGAAACTTATATTTAGAAGCCAACTTAAAATAGCTATCAAGAATATTTTCCCCCGGTATTGCCATAGGGGTCACTCGGTAGCGCTTCGTCTATAAGCGCCACCGTGGGGTCAAAGGGGCTGGTTGCTGCATACTGCATATGAGCACAGCAACATGCAGCAAGACGGCATAGAGCCCCATATTTGCGGTGGTCCTTGTCCAAAACATAGGCGCTTGGTAATGAATGAGGCGACCAAATTTAGGTGATCTGCATTAGATCCAGGTTGATAAATTGTGCCGCTTTCTCTCTTCACCAGAGAATCGTCACCATTTTAACATCCATCGTCAATATGAGCTTTTCTCCACCCAGATTCACATTCTCTAAATCTTCATCCTCTGCAAACATCAGAACTTCATCATCTTCTCGTGGCGGTGATGGAGACTCAAATGCTCCCGGGCAAGTGTCACCGAGTGCGCCACGCTCGTTGCCGACAACCTCGCCGCCACCAATCTTCACATTTCAGGGTCTTAATCTGGAAAGTCCATCGGATGGCGCCAGCTACTCCAGTAGATCCAGAAGAGAAAGATCATCTCTAACTCCAACTCGCTCTCTCTCGACCTATGCCGACCAGCATAATGCTTCCCCAAGCCCCAGACCAATTCGCGCCACAAGCTCGCAAGGCAGTCGAGCTCAAACCAAAACAAGATCCCCACCATCCAGGCTGTTTAGTAACCACAATACCAGGGAGCCCATAGCCAGATCAGAGGTTTCGGAAATCGACACAGAGCAAGTAAAGATTCCCGGTGCATTTCCTGGAAGCCGTTATAGCTCGGAAAACCGTACCCCGGCATCCGCAAAAAGTCCAAGCACTATTCGCAGGGAGCTGCTGCCTTCGGCTCCCATTTATAACGGTCGCTTGCAAGATGGACTGAAGGATGTGAAGAGCATGCTCGCCTGTCTTGCCGATATGATGCGCGTTTCTGAACTAGCACAAGACCAATACTCTAGCTTGAACAACCATCTGCGACAGACAGAGAAAGCGAGCAAATTTAATTGTCCAGAGACACGAACTGTGGGAATAATTGGAGATTCTGGAGTTGGTCAGTCTCTCGATACCCATTACATATCTCTCCTCCTTTTCTGATATCCAGGACAGGCAAGAGCTCTTTGATCAATTGCCTTCTCGACCAAAATGGTCTTTCTCGCTCGGTATTATAAGTTCTTTGACTTCCGTTATGAGTGTGTATTGTTAACAAATTTCAACAGAGTAGCAATGGAGCTGCTTGCACCTGCGTGGTGACTGAGTTTCGAGCAATAGACGACAACCACTCCGGACCGTTCACCATCCAGGCAGAGTTCATGACCACACAAGAAATGAGAGAACTTATCGAAGAGCTCCTTGTTAGCTTCCGTCAGTTTTACGTCGCTTCTGCATACCGCGAGCTTGAAGGCCCAGACCAACAGAACTGTCGGTCTTCCGCTGACCGGGCCTGGGAAACATTTCAGAGCTTATTCAAGGGCCAGCCAAGCCTTACCATTGAATTTCTATCCGACGACACTACCAACGCTTACCCAAGGATTCTTGAGCAGCTAGAGCGCTGGGCTTATATTGGATTAGCTCGCCGACCAGGTGGGCCCGATGCCCTGGAGCATTCTGTCATCGCAGGAGATCTCAAGGAGTGCGCAGATTGTCTTGATTTCCTCGCAGCGGATTCTAAAGAAGACAACGCACCTGCTCTTTGGCCATTCGTCAAATTGATTCGGTCCGTGCGAAACTATAAACCAGAAAGATAGCTCTTGCTGATGCTTATCAGGGTGTATCTCGATTCGCCGATCCTAAAAACCGGCCTGGTGCTGGCTGACATGCCTGGTATGTATTGAAATTAAGGCATTTGCCTTGCTACTAGCAAATCGTTGCTTATTTATCTATTACCTATTTGTTCAGGGCTCAGAGATCTGAACTTTGCCAGAGTCAGGGCCACGGAAAGGTACCTGAAGCATCACTGTGATGAGGTGTTTATTGCCGCAAATATTTCTCGAGCATGGTCAGATGAGTCTGTTCATGATATCATACGAAGATGCGGGCATAACCAGCCGCGGCGAATCATTTGCACAAGATCAGATGTATTTTCACACCGTCTTTGCGGAGCTCTCGATTCTAATATTTATTTACAGGAGATATCAGCTAAGGAGACTGCTCGTGAAGAAAACTCAATTCGTCTACATATAGAACGGATGGAAAGTGAGCTCAAGAAAGTGAGAAACGACCTAGAAGAAGCCGAAGACAACCGGCGCGATGCCGATGAGGGTAATCGCGCGGGATTTGCTCTCAGAGAATCTCAGCTTCGGTTGGTCCCTAACTTGTCGCCATATATAAGTCCAATACTGACTGGAGAGTAGCGACCAAGAAAGAGAGATGGAATTTCAGTAGGTGTCCTTCACCTCAAATCTAGGATTGATACTGACCAATCGACCAGACTTGATCGATTCCTGATAAAGAAACGAAACAATCTAATATCGCAAGCGCTCACAAGAAAGTATGAAGGCATAAGGGTATTTTGCGTGAGCAACACCCTATATGCTAAGCATCGCGAGGGCCGACACCCCCAAGCCGAGGCCTATGTGGACCTGGCTGGAATTCGTGAGCTGCGTCGCTACTGCCAGCTGGTTCCGGCAGAGGCTCAGATGCGCGCGGCTCGCGCATTTCTAGAACGTGAAGTGCCAGCATTACTTGGATCTTTGCGCCAATGGGTGTTGTCTGGCGCCGACCAAGTGACTGCAGAAAAGGCTGCCACGCTCCGAAGCTGTCTCGAGAATGCGGAGCGAGTTCTTCATCGGGTATGATTAGACCTTCAAATTCCCAAAGCTCACGAATCTACACCCCCAAATAGAAAGATCTTCTGATAATGAGTAGGATTTTATTTCATCTGAAGCATACATGGCACGGATACAACAGGAGTTGAACAACCTGTACAATAGAACCGTCCATCAGGCCGTCGGTAAGTTGCAATGCACACTTTGCTCGGTGAATCACAAATGACTAGGGGGTTCTAGGCCGTTCTCACTATCAGTGGAGAGACGCAAGTGTTGGGATCAGCGAAGAATGGGTCGCTGTAAGTGTAGGTCTGAGCCACCCCAGTGTCTTCAGCGGATCTCATCCGATTTCTAGTGGCACTCGTCCACGTACAAAGCATTTTGTGCGAATTTTGGATCTCACTCGACACCAAGAATACGAGAACATCGCAACTGGAACGATGAGGTGCTTCGACCAATACGCGACTCTCTAAGCTTCCACTGGGAAGCGATACTGAACTGGCTCACATCGCAAATTCAGTCCATTTCCGAGTGTATTGCCAGTGCATTTCAGGAAATATGCAGCGAGATTCAGGGTGAGTGTATCTTCGCTGATAGAAGACCATGGAATCTTTAGCTAACCAATTCTTTCCCTCCAGCTCATATACAGCTTGCGCCTCACGCCCTCCAAAACATGGTTCGCAGCATGAACTTTCGACAGCAGTGTATTCAGGACCATGTCCAAAACTCCCTTTGGAGCCTTTTCAATAAGACAGAGTATAAACTGCCCTCGAATCGTTAGTCTGAAAGATTCAATGACTCACCATATCCATAGACTTCTCCAAAGAGATATGCTCCATGGCCACCCTAGTTCGTTCATATCGGGTCTCATGCACTCGGCCTACATTTCATGTCAAAATGAATTCGGTATGTCAACCCCACCTGACAAAGGCAATCTAGCCTCTCGCTTTCAGCAGCGATTCTGATTATTATCTATAGGCAACGGCAGTGATAGAAGGCGCAAAACCATCATACGCAACCATCTACAGGATTCACGCTTCTTTCCAAAGCATGCTCACGTTACGCGTGTGGAATACAACAAGGTTTTGTCTGAGTGCTTTGATACCTTACAGGGTAGGGTCAATCAAGAAATCGAAAGTCTTATAAGAGATTTTCATTCCGTTGTGGCCGACGAGGGACAGATACACGAGGCGCAGCAGGCTCCTGAATTAGCGTGGGCGCTGGGTGAGAGGGTTGAGAGGACTGAGGGCGCTTTAAACAAAACCTATCGTGTATTGAAGGAGCTAAGGAACTAGAAAGATTGAATATGAAGAGAGTAGCGGCAAATATATCATTTTCGGTCACAGCTTTCAGAATCCCTGTCATGAGGGCCGATTCCAGAGCATTCTGGGTGTTTGCATATCGCTTTGGGACGATATTTGGGGTGTTTGCATATGGGGATTCAGCTCCCATATGTATGGGGACGATCTGGGAGCAATCTTGGGCCAATATAAAGAGGTATCGGCTCAGCCCCAGAACCCCGCTCCATGTATCATATCAGATTAGATCGGCGGCAAACAGGTCCCGATACGATCCCTTCATGTATTTAATCCCCGTTCTTTTGGTTCTTGGGAACCAAGTTTTAGTCTTGAATCCATACTGAATTACCTCCTCCTTACTACCAACCCTCTTCGGATTCCATTCTCCTGCCTAGCTGACGGATTCGTCTTCCGACAATAGACCGCCTTAACACCCGTCTACTTGACGAACTGCCATCGTGCTTTCCGCTCTTCAATATATAAATATTATAGCGAGAATATAAAGCTCTAGATTATTTAAAAAAAATATCTATATAAAATAAAAGAAATAGTTTAATAATTTTTGGAAGACGAGGGTGCCAAGTCACTTGCGCTAGAAAGTAAATAGTGGATATCTGGATCGTGAATTGCAATTCTTTGCCGTTAATCAGATTCCGGCCCCCATTAATGTGCTTACTTGCTTACTTGCTGACATCCATCGATGCAGTGTCAGCACGATTACCAATCGGATTCCATCCATCCAGGGATCGATCTACGGGTATATGCCCTATCATAGCTCTAGGGCTCGATATGGACATTAAACTTGATTCAATAATGATAATATGCTGATCCTATTTCTCTCTTACTCTGAATTCAGGTAGCTCGGTAAATAAATGAAGCAACCTACGTGAACCCTTCGCTGCTTACAGTGCAGCATGACCTCGCCTTGATTACCCATCTGAATATGTTACCTCCCACACCCCAACTCACTATTTATTCACCCTATCGCCCGTTCCATGCCACATTCCTCTCAATAAAAATCCGACGGAATCCAGCATGGCACCCACAATCGTCCTAATCACCGGAGCCAACCGGGGCATTGGCAAGGGTCTCCTAGAGCTCTACCTGGCCAAGCCCAACCACACCGTGATCGCTGCAAACCGCACACCCGACGATCCAACATCCAAGGTGTTAGCAGAGCTCCCCAAGGCTGAGGGCACAATCCTGCTCGTCACCAAGATCGACGCTACTTCTGCCACTGATCCGACTCGCGCTGTGAAGGATCTGGCTTCCCGTGGCATCAACCATATCGACATTCTGATCGCCAACGCGGGCATCGCTCTTCTCTGGCCCAAGGTTTCCGAAGTGAAAGTCGAGGATATCCAGACGCATGTTGACACAAACGTATACGGCCTGATCCATCTGTACCAGGCGTTCAGGCCTCTGCTCAGAAAGGCGAGGGGTCCCAAGTGGGTAACGATCGGGTCGTGCGCTGCGTTCTTAACGGTGAGTGATGACAATTGATATTTTTGTGTGTGTGTGTGTGTGTGTGTGTGTGTGTCTGGATAGGTGGCTGACGTTTTTGTTTAGTGAGTCAAATGTCCGTTTAAGAGAACTCAGATCATGGCAACTGATTCCCAACTGCTGTAGGAATTTCATCCCCATGCAAAACGCAGCCTACGCGCCCACCAAGGTCGTGCAGCACTGGTATACCAAGGCAATTGCCGTCGAAGAGCCCTGGCTCACTGCGTTTCCCATTGACCCGGGGTAGGTGCTATCACGGATCTAAAATCCCTGTAGTTGTCACGGCGACATGTGGCAGAGCTGACATTTTGATTGTAGCTGGGTGCAGACAGACTTAGGCAACCGAGGCGCAGATGCGTTTGGGTATGAGAAGGCCGCAGTGACCATCGAGGATAGTGTGAACGGGCTGGTCAAGGTGATCGATGCCTCCACTTTGGAGACGCACAGCGGAAAGCTGTTCAAGCATGATGGCGCCGAAGAGCCTTGGTGACGGTGTGATTTTTTCGTCTCCATGATAATAGGACTGGAGAAAGCAGGACGCTGGGTGACACAAATAAAAATACAGCGTTAGGAACACAATCGCATCGGCCCATTTCTACTTGAACAGTCATTCCTCAAACAGTTGCAACGCCTTATGCACCACTTTCCAATACTCCCCTGTAAATATTCATCGTCCATCCATGAAAGGTACTACCTTCCCAGTATAACGACATTTCTGCGCCTTGGCATCCATATCAGCCCCATGCTGGATCAACAGAAGGACCCCGGGCTCAAAAGCTCTATCAACGGCCATATGCAGCGGCGTCCACCCAGCCTCGTCATAAACATTGATGTCAAGATCACGCTCAGACTTAGCCCAATGCTCAAGCAGCAGCTGGAGCACTCCCAGGCGACGGTGCAATACCGCCCAGTGAAGTGCCGAGCGGCCCTCCCGATCAGACACAGCGATCCGCGCACCATGACTCAGAAGCAGCCGAACGATGGGCTCGTGGTCTTCAATAGTGGCGTGCGTCAGGGGCGTGCGCCCGTCGCTGTCGGTCTGGTTGGGGTCCATATTCGCGCGCAGCAGCACCCGAACGATCCGCTCGTGGCCCTTTTGTGCGGCGATGTGAAGGGTGCTGATCCATCCTTTGTCGCTTTGGGCTGATGTGATCAGCTCTAGCACAGTATCCTGTGGCGGGGGTTCCAGATTATTTAGCGAGGGATGTAGATCAAGAGCCGGGGCAAGCACTTGGGCGTCGCTGGACCGAGATGGCGCCTTATTCCGCTCTGCTGAGCTGCGGGTTGCTCCGCTCAGTGATGGCACGCTGGCACGGTCGGTGACCCCCGTGCTTGGTGTTGTAAAGGGGAGTTGCCATAATGAACTATCTGACGCAGGCAGTGAGAGATGATGCTCAGTGCTGGACAACATGCGGTCGATTGCATCGACGTCGATCCAATCTACATCCGACCCCGTGTTGTAACTCGGGACTTGGCTCTGAGTTATGGTGACATTGTCGGAGAACACGCCTGCAATGGAGTCATGATTGCTTGCCAGCTGCTCCGATGCACCTGGCGGGTCAGTGCGGGCGCTATCTGCTCGCCGTTTCTTTTCTGTGAATGTAATGTCAGACTCGCGCAGGGGGACACAAGAGAAGGGGTAACTCACCTCGGAATTTGCGCTGCGCGAGCCGGTTCTGGAGGCGACGGCGCTCCACCGAGTCCGTGGGGAGGCGGACATTCCAATCCATGAGTTGCGAAAAGAGTCGCGGATTAAAGGAATGTTGGATTGGCGATATTCGGTGGGGGCATTGGAAGGCAAACAGTCGCCCCACTAGGGGCCGACCCATAGGTTCTACCGAAGCATGGGGACAGAAGAAGTTGATTATAGTAATTTGTTGATATGCCTATTCTTTTTGGCATCTACAACGTGTAATAGCCTATTTCGGCTAGACCTAGGCAGCCTTGTACGTAGATTCTGTCTTAGGAGAATAGCTCATGCGATTAGAGAGTTATTATGCTCACTGAAGTCCACAAAAATAGAGGGAAACTTTGACGTAAGATTAGATTTTAGTTTTATTACATGATTCCATTCAGTTAGAATAGTAGGAACAGTGGGAACAGTGGGAACAGAAGGTGGGAGACACGACATTTTGAGGTACACTGGTCGATTCGCGGGGCTCGGTAGACCTCTACAAAATGTACAAATGAGTCTTCTGAATAAGAATTTGCGCCTTTAGGTACAAAGTATTCAGGTAGGTGAATTGCCACTTAAATTCGCCTGGAGGCGGGCTAAATAGGGCGGCGTTAGGTGACCTCTACAATACTCTCACTGTTGTATGTTTTTCTTTTCTTTTTTCTTTATGTTTTATTGTGTTATCTATTTACCTGTGGTTATGTCACCAGAAGAATTCCTTCCTATGGCAATCCCTAAGGATGTGTTGGAAATGTCGGACTAATATAGGGTTGAGCCTGATAGCTCGAAAAGTCGATAAGCTTAGGTTAGAGGAAATATATATTGCTAAACTGCCCTAAACTGTCAATCTAGAGGGGCAAAGCTATTACAGTAAACCGAAGCTCCACTTCCATCCTGCGATCCGTCAATATAACCATCCAGAGACCAAAGGTTGAGACTTCGGAGATATGATCTCGCAACATCTATTCCATCTTTCACCTTGGTCGTCTCAGTTCTGGGGGTTTATTGGAGAGTACAAGGAGACGGCCGTGCCCTTGGATCCCCGAATCTTCCAAATCACCACAGAATGAGATGATTTGAACTCCTTCAATTTCACCTATATACCATACATGCCAAATCCCATAAATCATCTATCGTATCTTCCAGGCCTCTGGGTGCCCTCGCTTAAAATTAAGTAGAATTGAATGACAAGCCCCTAATTAAAAAACTGGCCCCTGCCATGGCTAACTGCCCCCCTTCTTGGCCAAGGGGCTATAGAGGGGCTATAGCGTCTATGATTGGAGTTATAAAAAGCAGCGTAGAGTTTTGCGCTCTCCCCTACAAAGAGACTTTTTTTTCAAGTTTGTGTAATTCTTGTTGGTTTCACAGCGGACCTTCACAATGAACCTTCTCAAGCATCTTGCCCTTCTTGGAGGGGTTGCAGTCCACGCAGCTACAACCGCCTCGCCTAAACCATCTTCTACATCTTCTGCGGCCATCCAGGCTCCTACCTTTTCTCCGGAGCAGGTCCAGAGCCTCAAGGCCACAATCAAGCCTAATGAAGACGACAGAACAGAGTGCATCATTAAAATCGATTTGCCTCCCTTCAACTGCCAGGGCAGTAAGACGGGCAAGGCGTTCGAATATGGTTCCCCTTGGCCCCATGCTTGCTGGCATCAATGTAAGTTCCCAACGATTGATCTATGGATATTTTCTTTCTTTCTTTTCACTATCTCCAGTCCTCGCTGACAAACCGGCTCGCTCCAATAGACAATGAAACAAGCCCAGATATAGACCTGCAGCGTTGGTCTATCTGTGATGATGGTACCACCGCAACTTTCAGATACAAGAGTGAGCAGCTCTTGATCCTGACCCCCGAGGGCAAGGCTGTGCGGTTTGGTTTTGATACTGGGGACGACAGCGACTATTCTGTGGTTGGGGAGCAGGTTAAGGGAGACCCGTCGCTCGATTTGCACCCTTACTTTTCTAATTAGGTGTAATTTTGTGTTCTATTATAGCTGTTGTTTGCTATGCGCAAAAGAACTTGGTTGTTGATCTTAGATGGTTGTATGGAATATTTGTGGGGTTGACCCTAGATATCAGCGATGAGAAGTATATTTTATGAGGTTCTAATGGATGGTAATGGCAAAGAAAATGCCTAAAAATAGACGTAGACAACATGTTAAATTAGGAAATGTATATAGAGTGATCCATAAATAAGGTAGCTCCTTGATGCTATTATCTTATGATTGATTTTGCGCGGTCTGGAGGCTTCTCACTTATATTCTCACCTCGCTATTGCGTGGCCGCACATAAGCAACACATTCAGTTAACAGGTAGGCAGGAGATTGCAGTAAATCCTGGATACTGTATACTATATTTCTATATCTAATTCTTTCTTTTTGTATCTATATCATCGCCCTAGTTAGAAAATCTATGTTTTAAATATGCGACTTTTTTTTCTGCTAAACGTTTAATGGTTTCTTGTCTAGGTCCTCGTGTGCTACTCTCACAGTAGTTATGCTTAGGCGGACTTGAGGGGGAGAGGGGTACCAAAAGAATTGTCCTTTATCTTATTATCTTCTTCTTCTTTGTTCGACTTGAGCAATGGTAGGTTGTGTATACGCTAGGGTTTTTGATTTAGATCGGTGGGCCCTCTATAGCACAGGTTCCCGTGGTCGGGACGGGTCTATCCGAAGTCTCCAGTGGTTTTCTGTAGTGTAATCCAGCAATTTAAGGTCGCTAGCACGTTACTTGCCAAAAGAGTAAATCTCAGTGCTGATTTGTCCATAGGAGGATCGATAGGGGAGAAAATGGCAACTTGTTAAAGATAACAATGCGAGCTCAGGGCCACCACCAAAGTACGCGCTGGTCGAAATGTATGCAATTATAATATAACTTAGGAAGAAGAGACTATCAAGAAATAGACGTGTACTTCCTACACATTTTCTGCAAACTACCAAATATCTATTACAAGAGGAAAGAAATACAGTAATGAAACCCGTTTCATCTAGAAAGCAACTACATAGACGGGCCAAAATGGCGCGGTTTCCTGCATGCGCCAAGCAATAAACCCTGACGCCCACATCTGACCACCTGCCCTTTCAGACATAGTCCTTATCAGACCTTTTTGCGAGGTTGTTGCGAGGCCCAAGTCTCATAGGGGAAAACTGTACGTCGATCTCAAGTGTCTAGATCAGATCAGATTGCATTCATCTATCTCGCATCATACGATAGGAACAATCATGCACGTTGGGCCCGAGCCATCGAGGCAATCTCTTCATCGGGCTTACTGAAGTCCTCGAAGCCGAATCGCTTGTACAGTGGGGCTCCCTCTTTGCTTGCATCCACGTAGGCGGCCACGCCATCGTGGTCGGCCAGATCGCAGCCCCATTTGACGATCATCGAGCCAGCCCCACGCCGTTGGTAGTTCGGATGTGTTCCGACGGTATCCAGATCTTTGTGTTTGCGAGTCAGTTCAGAAACTTTGAATAGCCATGGCATCTGACGAGAAAAAAAAGAAATGATTGGCAGAGAAGAGGACCATACAGTAATGTTTCTGATCACCCATCACACGTTTCCTCTCCCCATCCAGCCCCTTAATCAGATTTTCGCAATCCTGGAACGGCGAGTCGATATGCCATAGTGGAAAGCGGCGACCGCGCTCTTCGGGCGTGGAGAGGTCCCATTTGCCAAAGGCCACGAGGCGTGGGCGGCCCTGCGCGTCCTTTGCGTCTTCGTCGACTACGCGCACGTATTTCTGGAGGGGCTTGGTTTGCATGTCGAGGGTGTGGCAGTCGCGGAACCACTGGCGCATCCCTGGTGTGTCGGGGAATAGTTTCCCGATCACGGGCTGGGTGAAGGCGTCGAACCAGACGTCCACGATGGCGGGGATGTCTTCTTGAGTTGCTGGTGATAAGACCAGGGAATTGGATACTGAACCCATGTTGGATATAGTGGAAATGTGTGTGTGGGTGAGTGTGTCTATCAGTTTTGTTTCGAGGGATTGCAATGGATTAATGTAGGTTTTTTTTTTTTTTTTTTTTCCCTTTGTCAATCAACGAGGGGCCAATCTGGGGCGAGACTACACATGTATAACTGTGTATCACTATGTATGGCAGGATCTATGTGCTTGGACATAAGCATTTGGTTCGCGAGGTAGCAATGAGGTATATCCATCAGCCAAGAATTGGACCGCGTTCGATGTTCCATTGTCAGCGTGGAACGCCATGAATTTAATGCTACGGTTCATTATGGAGACCTATTGCCCGATCGGGTTATACTTCTGTCTGTTCTACAAGGACCCTTGGGCACATTCGAAGGAGCAAAAGCACCAATTGTGGAAACCAGCAGGGAGTATCTCGTATCCCCGGTGGGTGGGTCAGCACAAGTTACAATCAAACCTCGTGGCATTGCCGAGGCAAGAAGAAAAGAGGACAGTTGAACATGAGCATCCCTACCCCTTGCAGTAGACCAAATATAGTCAGCAAAAAAAGCAAAAAAGCAGAAAAGCAAACAGCGCCTTTGAGAATCACTAGAGTCCACATGAATCGTGTGAAGTTGATTGAAGGCCGAGGTGCCGGACCCAAGCTTATTGGAGGGGAGACGGAGTCTCATTCGACTAGTATCATGCATCCCATGTTGGAAAATGTGAGCTGGTGAGGGGGCTACCAAGGGGGAAAGGGGAGGGGCGGGTTAAACAAGCCCTGGACTGGGTAGCCTTAACGAGTCTTGGGAAGCCTGACATGGTAGCGAGACAGCCCTGGAATGCGAACGATCGCCGTTTTTGGCTATAAGTTGCCTTTGATCCTTTTCGTCCTTTATGATACTCAGAACCTTGTGATCCTTCGCACTGCAAAAATAAATGCCGCAGATCAGGCCGTTCTGGTTGGTTATTTGTTCAGGCTACGGTCAACGAAGACACGACGAAGGACATACTTTAGCCCCGGTGGATCTGCTCTGGTCGGATGGCACGGTATATCCCAAGCAGGTTAGAGCGTTGGGAAGAGCCAGTAGAAGAAAGGAGATCAAAGGAGGAAATAGCTATTATCTTCAATAATTATAGATCGAAAAAAAATAAAAAAAATTTCAATGGACAGTTTCTCTATAGCTCGTAATCCACCAGATTGTGTCCATAACACCAACCATCTATCTATACAGCTTCTCTACAAATTAGCTCAGTTGATCGGGCGATCGCTGGCCATCCAAGGATCGCTGGCCTTCGGGCCACGGGTGGGTCTCTGGGATGATATGCGCCCCGCTCGACTGGCTGTCGACCTCCCAGTCTTGAGTGACGAGGATCTGGTCGCGGATCGGAGTCCGGTCCCTGCGATCTCGGGACTTGGACCGGGTTTGCGACCGCGAGCTCATCTTGTAGTTCCACGTGGTCGGGTCCTCGACGCCCTGGATTTTGAGGCCGTTCGATCGCATCCACGACAGGAAGGGTTTGAGTTGACCCCAGCAGGCGGTCACGATGCTCAGACACTGGATGATGGTCTCGAAAATGGTGAGCTCGCACATTCTGTAGGTCGGGTCGTTGGTGTGTGTGGCTCGTTTGATGAATGCGATCTCGACGATGCTGGCAATCACCACCCTATACGAGAGACCAATGAGTTCGAGGTCGAGGTCGAGTGCTGTGCGACCAGAAACTAGTAGACACTTACAAGAGACGCGGTACAAAGATACCGGCAAAGATCAGGCGTCGCTCGAGGGATGTCTGGATGCTGGATGCCAGCATCAATGCTTGTCCGAAGATCAACAAGTCGGTGACGATGTTCGAGATGCAAATGAAGTAGCGCCATGCCAGCTGGAGACGTCAATGATCATCTTCTTCTGAGTCGGAGGACACAAAGCACTCACCACGTTGAAGCACTGGCCGTTCCAGAAATCCCACGCTCGTGCCGGGGAGCATTGAAACGCAGAGCCAAAGATGGCAACGGTCGCCCAGAGATAAACAATGGCCTCGACGCCTCGAGCGAGCCATTTGTCCTTAGAGGCAGGTGTGAGACTTCGGATAAACACCGCCAGCGAGAGTTTCGAGAACATCAGGCTCAAGATATATAGAAAAGACCCCGCATAGAGGCTCTGTGGCAATTGTCAGCCATACAACCCTCCCAGAATCACCAGGGTATCAATCGGACCTTCATCACTTGGTCGAATTCGGCGTTGGAGACATGCCTGAAATGCTTCCCATAGCCGGATCCGACCGCCAGAGAAATGACAATACTCTGCCCGATGCCGAAGACCTATTTCCACACAGATCTCGTTAGTAACTTCCCAAACACAAGGAGAAACCAGAGCATGCATAGCCCACCAGAGACGAAATGATCAGAAGATCATCAATTGTGAGTTTGCGGAACAATCGATACTTCGTTCCAAGCCGAGCCGAAACACTGAAAATGATGGTAACCAAAAGAACCCAATTGGTGACATTGACTGCCGGGTCTTTGGTGTCGCCTTTAAATCGAGTACCCATCCTGAATAGAAAGGAATGTAAAGGGGCGAGGGACTACAGAAGAGAGAAAGAAACAGAAATACATCCAAGATACATGCAAACATGCAGAGGTTGGAAGTGGCTGTTTCATTATATCGCCAGGTTTATTAGCACCTGCGGGGGCCAAGCCAACTAATTCCTAATTCCTAAAAAAAAAAAAAAAAAAAAAAAAACCCATACCCATGCAAATCACTCAACTCGGGGGCCTCAATAGCTCAGTTTGCTCCAGGATTCCGATCTCCCACGGTTGTTTCAAGCTTATTGCCCTGCTATGTGGCCAGAGTTGGAGGACACGGGATTAGGCCTCCCCCATATCCGAGCATAATGGGGCTACTAGTTTCTCTCATATTTCATTTTCATTTTATTTTCATAGTTATTTAAGTTTTGTTTGTACCAATTGTACGACTGGTTGATTCCATGTCGCATCAGCTGTTGGGTCCAGCCCCTAGTTACCAAAGTACATCCAGTTCACAGGATTTCGTGGGTTAGCTGAACCCTAGTTGATGAGCCTCGAAAACCGAGTGGCCCAGCGATATCAGCCCCACAATAGATCGGACGGCCGTTCTTATTGGCAACTGTAACAAGCCTGACCTTGACCCTCCCGCAGAAGATCGACATCCCCCGTCGCGTGTGGGTCCCCCTGGACGCCCGGGTAGTTCGCCTTAAGGGTTGAAATAACAACAGGGTACAGATGCATTAGTGTCATTCGCGTGTTTGAAATTCTGGATGTAACATGCGATTTCAACTTAGATCCACCTGCCCGCATTCCAAATCTCTTCTTTTTTTTCTTTTGCCTTTTTCGTTTCGTTTCTTTTTCTGTTTTTTAACGGGCAATCCCTCTCGGCATTGCTCAGTCCCCCCCCCCCTTGGTTCCATCTTTGTCTTTCTATCTCTCTTCTCTCTTTCTCTGCCACCCCTTCCGCTCGTTCATTCAAGATGGTGACTTATGAAATGAAAAGCCACACGTCCGTCACCAGTAGGGGCGAGACAGAGAGTGGCCTGGCTATCCAGGAACGCGATAATGCGCAGCTCCAGCGCGTGGGCAAGAAGCCTGTCCTGAAGGTATGCAGAATTATCATCGAGGCAAACGAAGGTATCTTCAGACAACTCACGTATTGGTTTGATAGCGAAACTTTGGTATTCTTTCCATCCTCGGGTTTAGTTGCACGATTTTGGGTACTTGGGAGGGATTGCTTGGGTGAGTCTCTTGGAATTCTACTTCAATTCTATACAGTCACGTTCGAGTCACTAACATACCGGCCCTTAGTACCTTCACTTCCCCTCTCTCCAAGTTTGTGCACCCTATACCTCCTCCTGTTTTATATACAATTCTAACCCGATGCCAGTGGTGGTCCTGGCGGTGCGGTATATGCCTTCATTTTTGGATGGGTGGGTACTGTCGCCAACTTCATTGTCTTGGCCGAATTGGCCTCCATGTAGGTATCCTTGGTCTTGGAGTATCGACGCTGCAGCTAAATCTATCAATCCAGGGCGCCTACTTCGGGAGGTCAATACCACTGGGCTGCCATGCTTTCCCCGGTCAAATACCAGAAGTTCATCGGCTATATGACTGGTAAGCTTCTCTGTCATGCTCGTCTATGAAAAGTAAAAACAAAATTTAATTGAGCTTTGGCTTACATTTGACTATTACAGGGTGGCTTGCTGCTCTTGGTTGGCAGGCATCTTTCGCCTCATGTGCCTTTTTGACCGGAACCATGACTCAAGGCGTGGCGATCCTCGGCCACAAACTGTATAATTCGCAGCCGTGGCATGGCACCTTGATTGTTTGGGCCTCGCTGAGTTGCGCACTGCTCGTGAACCTGCTCAGCGGGAAACTCTTGCCCCGGATCGAGGTGGTAATTCTGGTCGTGCACATCCTGGGCTTCTTTGGCATTGTCATCCCCTTGACGTACATGTCCGACCACAAGACCAAGGAGGAGGTCTTCTTGGATTTCTTGAACTCGGGCAACTTTGCTACCCAGGGATTGTCCTGGTTTGTTGGCATGACCAGCTGTGCTTTTGCTTTTGGTGGAGGTGATGCTGCTGTGCATGTAGGTTCTTTCGTGCCGAGGTTGCTCTCTATACGCGTGCTAACAATCAGAAAAGATGGCGGAAGAAGTCTCCAATGCCTCGCGAGTCATCCCGCAGGCGATGATGCTGGCCGTCGGTATCAACGGCTGTCTCGGGTTCGGCATGTTAATCGCCGTGCTCTTCTGCGTGGGCGATCTCGAAAAGGCCCTGAAGTCGCCGACGGGGTACCCCTTTATGGACATCTTCTACCAAGCGACCGGCTCACTGTCCGGGTCGCTGACAATGTGCTCGATCGTGTTGCTCATCTACTGCTGCGCGCTGATGGGTCTGCTGGCCGCAGCATCTCGACAGCTGTGGTCATTCTCGCGAGACCGGGGCGTGCCAGGCTGGCGGTGGTGGAGCCAGGTGTCGCCGGTGCAGCAGCTGCCCATGTACTCGGTGACGGTGACGGTGGTCATTGCCGCGCTGCTGGCCCTCATTAACATCGGGTCCAAGGTGGCTCTGGAGGATCTCTTGTCCATGGCCGTGTCGAGTTTGTACACGTCGTATCTGATGGTGACGGTTCTGCTGTTTGTCCGCCGGGTCAAGGGTGATATCTCGATCTATAATGACAATGACGATGACGTTGTCAATGTGCCTGGCGCCAAGCTTGTCTGGGGCCCCTTCCACTGCCCTGGCATCTGGGGCATTCTGGCGAATGCCTACGCCATTATCTACATCTCTATTGTGGTCTTTTTCAGTTGGTGGCCCACCAAGATGAACCCCACTATCGAGGAGATGAACTGGAGTGTGCTCGGTGTTTGGGCCTGCATTCTTATTGGCGTTGTATACTACTTTGTGCGGGCCCGCCATGTCTATACTGGGCCTATTGTGGAACTCTCTATGTAAAATGAAAGAAGAAAGAAGAGAGTTACCGCGTGAGGTGGGTTGGAGATGGACAGGGGATTGGTCCATCTTCTGTTATATTTACAGCTATAATGCAGAGGGATCTTGTACCAAAAATGTTTCTATTTCAGATTGTACAGGGCGCGATCATGCACAAATTCAACAGGAGGATACTTCAAAATTTTCAAAATATAAATTTTTTTGACCTGGTGATGTAAAACAGCAGATGAAGTTATTGTTCGCCAGCCTAAGGCCGCATCCAAGAGAAATGCGGAAGGTTAGTCGAGTCAGGTGACACAGCCCCACATCCGTAACATCCTTCCAACCTTGGAAGGAATAATGATGGCCTCGGCACAACATCGGAATGACAAGTGGACCGTCCACCTTTTTTCCCTGATGGCCTCCCTCACCATCGGACTGCCCAGAATCCACGCCAGCCAAGGAAACAAGTGCGTCCCACCAACCAACGACTTCATCAAGGGCACCTGGCACGTAACACACTCCAGCCTCCCACTGTGGAAAGGCAAACGCAACGTCAACATCAGCTACGAGACCCTCCCCGCCGACTCAGCGGAGGTAATCAAGATCGACGACCTGGTGCGGTACCAAGCCATCGGCTCCAACAAAATCAAATCTGTCCATGGCATCGACACCCCAACACCCGGTGACCCCGGCGCCTGGGACTGGCGCGGCAAGGGCTGGCTGAGAATCGCAAGCTCGCACTGGGAATGTCTGGGCTTCGGCCATGTCGATGACAACAACAACCAGTGGATGGTGACGTATTTTGCCAAGACTCTTTTCACGCCTGCGGGGATCGATATTTATTCTCGGGACCGGGAGGGCTTGCCTCGGGGTACGGTTGATGAGATTCTCCGTACGCTCAAGGAGTTCGGTGTCCACGAGATTACTGAGCTTGCCAATGGCATCTTTCAGATTCCGCATGGCGAGTGAATGATTTGATTTTCTGGGAGGGCTCTTGCGGTGTTGGCTGTCTCCCTCGGACTTTCCCATCTAAAAATGCGGCTTTTCTTTACAGTCTGGACACCCTACCTGCGCAATGGCGATAGGATATTCTCCGGTGCGTAGGCTGGATGTAATCTGGAAACCCATGTACATGTTGGGAAATCGGAGAAGCCACGTAAACACACATGCGAACTGTTTGGTCAAATGTGACTCTGACCGTGCCAGACCGGTCTATCTTGGAAAGTGTTGGTGATTGAAAGCGTGGCATTTGAGGACCATCATAAATGACACGAGCCATAATAGCTGTTGGAACAGCGCCTCATATCGTCCAGACTCTTCAGTATTACGCCAAGAACCCCGACAACTGTCAAGTGGCTGCAATTGTGGTAGAGCCTCTACTCCATGTATTTGGTATTGATTTTTCTAAAGTCAGGAATAAAGACAAGGTTCTTGCCAAGGTTATTCATATGCTTGCTATACTGTCCCCGTTTGATATATTCCTAGTGCTATTTATTCTGTCTACTTTCTTCTTTTTTTTTTTATAAAAAAGTACAAAGACATATGGTCCGCCCCTCAAGTCGATGATGTTCCTCCGATATTTTGCAAACCAGATTGGCTTCCCCCCGACCACAATGGAGAGAAATATACTGGAGAACTGGAAAACGACGAACACGCGTATTGGAACCAGGTGCACCAAGACTGGGCCGTGTTCCCAAGGTCCGTGAACGAGAATGAGTGTGCTGGGCTTGTGATGCATTTTGACCTTATGCTGGGTTCTATTAAAGAGCGCCCACCGCCAGAGATTATGGTGATCAAGCATGATGTACTCAAGATTGGGAGGGCTTTAATCCTACTCATACGGCCGACTGCGTTTATCGGGTTCTATCCTGAGCCCGTTTTTGAACTACCGTTGGATGCTGTTCTGTTGAGTCTTGAAAACGTCATGTTCCATGAGTTCACCCATACGGCCAAGGCACGTCGTGGTATGTCGAATCATGAACAACGAAATCTGCTTTCAAAAAGACACCCATTAATAACCGAGCCCTAGTGATCTACCTCCAAGTCGCTGAAGAGTGCACCTTTGACTCAGAGAAAGGGGAGATACAAGCCCCAAACCGACCTGCCCCAGGATGGTCTGATCCAGCGCCCGCTCGATCACCAAAATCGAGCGAGTTAAGCAACCTGAAATTCTCCAATCCGGCGAATTTACCCAGCCAGATGAATTCAAGGCGAAATTGATGAACCCTCAAACTAAACTTTCAAATCCTCCAGCGCTACGAGGCAAGCCCTTGATACCATCTAATCCAAAGCGGCTACGGGGGATGTCTTTTCTAAAGTCCTAAATCCAAGTTGTTTCCTAAATTTCTGTTGCCGACCTGATGAATGACTTTTGTTTGTTGCTGTCCTCTGAGTTATTATTCTCCTTGATGGTGCATCTTGCTGAGATACGTTTTCCGTAGCGAAGGAACATTTTTAAATAGAGATAGAAAACAATCTATTATTAGGGATTGTGGATGCTCAAGTCCACTATATGTAGTAGCACACTTGTAAGGCTGCACCCTTCTAAGGCTATGCAGCGCTTTTATTCAACAACTCAAACGTTGAGGAATTTTAAAAAGAAATATTGAAATGGATATAAATTAGTAGTCGAGGGACCAACCTGAAGTCATGTACACAGCCAGCATTTGGTTTATGACTTATTGTAGGCTGGCAAGGCACGCACCCTTTGAGATATCTGCTGAGGGCAGTATTACTTATGAAGTAGCCACAACTGCCGAAATCGGCGGATCAAATGCGATGAACAGGTGCCGTGTAGCTATTATACTCGACGGCACCTAGATTGCAACCCGACCGAATTCATCGTGCAAGAGCGAAGATCAAATACTCCTCTCTCGGCGATCACAGATGGGGAATCAAATTCCTCGAACACACCGACAACAGCTCAAAGATCCCAGGAGACAACAATATCGGACACCCATATTCCCGAATCAACATATGAGATCTTTCAGCGAGTATTTGACGTCGATCAACCCTCAACCTCGTTTGACATACACTCCAACGTCGCATCCCACGATATCTTGACCGAAGAAACAGCCAGCCTTTTGAGATTTTATCAAAATGGAATTGGAGTATGGATGGACATATTCGACAGTCCCCATACGTACCAGAATGAGGTAGTGCGCTATTCTCTCTCGTCTCCGCTTCTCATGCATGCAGTTTGCGCGCTCGCACCCAAGCAAATGAGTCTGATCCAAAACAAATTTCTCTGGGAGCCTGCATCCTCTCGCTTCTATGGTGAAAGCCTCAGTTTGCTCATCAAGGAGCTTACCGAGCAAAGCACCAACCGCGATTTTTTACTAGCTGCTTCGATTCTACCTGGCAGCTACGAGTTGCTCGCGCAACCCGGCATTGATTATCAAAGGCATTTGAACGGTGCCCATACTCTCATCTTATGTTGCAATATTGGAGAACAAGGGTCCTTTTTCGTACAAGCCAGCTTTTGGATCTATGCGCGTCAGGATGTTGCTTTAGCGCTTGCGAATGAGCGCCCAACACTAACGCCAGCAGCAAAGTGGCCGGCACCTTGCGAGAATTCAACCCTTATTGAAGATTATGTTGGGAACAAGATTGTTTGGCTGCTCGAGAGGGTAATCGAGGCGAAGTTCACCCTTACAAATGACGACTGGACCGTCAATGAACTTGGAAGCTTCGAAAGCCTCGTATCAGAAACTGATTTGTACTGAACTCGTTTTCCTTCTAACGTCCGAGATTTTAACATGAAAACGCGACCTTCGAGGATGAAGGGCTGACCAAAGTTTGGTTTTGTGTTCCTTCAGCATGTAAGTTCCAAAAAAAAGAAGCTCAGTTAAATCGCGAGGAGCTAACAAAGGCAGCGGCTGCTTGTCTTTACTGCCATATGGCTAAGATCTTAGCTTCTGAATGCCTGTTGGAGAAGCCACACACAATATCGCCACCAGAAGGACAGACTGATGAGTTTCTGAGATCAATTAATCACCATGTTCGTGCAATCGCGTCAATCTGTCTCTCTTCTGATCTTGCAGATGGTACACTGGTTGTGGCAGTGAACCTATCTTCTATGGTATGTGACCTACATCGCAAAATCACCTTATACGCTGACTGACCCCTCATATCGGCAAAATACATCCCTTCATTAGCGCTAAAGACCAGGTTGTGGGGTATTCTTGACCACATCGAGACTCGTTTAGGTTTCTATACAAGGGACAGGCAAGCGCAGCTTCAACGTGAGCTGAGGAGATAGAGTGTTCAATCAGTACTAGCAGCTTGCAGTGGGTCGGTGGATCTTGCGATCTTTTGAAGTCGCTTCGCTATCCCAAATAGGAATGTGAAGCGGCCTTGGCTAAGCGTCACATCGTCAACGGGTGTTATGCTAGACTATGTGATCCCCAATTTTGTCTTGAGATAATTGGACAGAAGTTTGGCGAAGATGCTCTTAACTTTCCCAAAGCGGAAAGCGAAGCGCACTCTCCTAATACAGCATACTACGCCCACTTGGAGATCTGCTTCGTTGTCAAAAGCTGGCCGGCGATGTAGAAGTAAAATCAGGAATATCTTTGAAAATTACTTGATGAAAGTATGACGTGATAGAAACGTGTTCGGCAAGCCTTGAGGCTGCAGGGGATGGATGAAAAGGTAGGCTTCAATCAACAGTTTCCATATCTTAAGACTCCTTTGAGTTATTCCAAACTAACTGCACACAAAACGGCTACCTGGCTTATCTTGGCTGCTATAATTGTCTGGCTAGGCGTCCCATTTGCAATCTACCTGCATGATCCTAAACGCTTACGACGCTATCCGACTCAGAACTTCCTGTCCGGGCTGACTAGCCTGGCATATGTCTACGAGCGACGAAGCTCCTTTCGAACCAGACAGCCTCATATCCAACACAAAAGACATCCCATTCTGCGTACTGGTCCGAGTGCGATGTCATTCGGCAGCGTGGGCGCAATCAAAGATATCTACGGACACGACTCGCCTTGTCTCAAAAGACGACGTGTACAAGTTGATCACCGGGGACCATCCTCATATTCTCAATGTCGTCGACAAAGATAAACACACTCGCAAGCGCCGGATGCTATCAAATGCATTCGCGACTCGAAACCTGGAGCAATGAGAATACAAAATCACGGACAAAGTGGAGAAAGTGGTCGTCCAGTTTGATCAAGGCTGCACCGACCCTCTCTCTGATGGCTGCAGTGTCAGCTCAGATGAATTGACCGTGAACTTTCGATTTTGGTTCAACCTCTTCACTCTCGATGCCATTGCCGACATTGCGTTAAGTGAACGCTTGGGCTTGCTTGAATCAGGGTCCGACCTGTTCAAAAGCGCTAGGGGCAACAGCGTGCAGATCTTCAGCTTAATTGACAGTCTGCATTGTGGGGGTCGGACAGTCTCTCGATTTGTCGGAGCGATTGACTGGTTTTATTTTTTGAAGGCCCTGGCTCCTCTATTCTCTCCAAATTTCCGCGCTCATGCAGATGACTTTAGAAATATAGTCAGCATGTTGACGGACAAGCGGATGGAAAGGCACCGTAACAGCGACAAACTCAGCGACTTCCTGGGTTGTCTTATCGAGGACAAGGCAGGAAAGAACAGGGGATTGGACCGCGGGGAGATCGAGGCTGAGGCTAGCATTCTCTGTAAGAAATCTACGTTCAACCGCCAAAACTTGCAAAAGGTCAAACTAATGGAACCTTATACACAGTGGATGTTGGATCTGATACTACCGCGATTGCTTTAAACAATGTCCTCTACTATCTAATCAAGCACCCAGATACACTCGAAAAGCTCCGAGAAGAAGTGGCTGGAGTACTGACCGGAGAACAATTCGCCCCTTATGCGAAAGTGAAAGCCTTCCGTATCTGAGAGCATGCCTCGACGAGTCGTTGCGACTGTTTCCGCCCCTTCCTCGTGGCCTCGAGCGAAAGACACCACCACAGGGCATGGAGATCTTGGGCGAGCGCATAGCAGGCGGCGTCACCGTTTTCGTCCCGTCATACGTCGCTCACCGTGATCCGACTCTGTTTTCTGAGCCAGAGTCATACATGTCCGTAAGATGGCTGGACGAGTCCGAAGCAATGAAAGATATGAGGGCCGCTTTTATACCATTTACGACCGGGCGCGAGCATGTACTGGACGGAATATCACGATGACGGAGCAGCAGATCTTGATTGCCACTTTAGTCCACCGTTATGACTTCGCGCTTCCATCTCATGACTGGAAATTGGATTGGGAGGAAGAATTTAACTTGTGGCCGTCCCAGATGCCTCTGAAAATTTGGAGGCGTGATGTTAGCAGGCCACTGCAGGAATGAGGGTCTATATCGACCAAGAATCAGCTGACGAGGCGATCAATCTTACACGGGCCATAACAGACGAATACTTGTTGTAAGATCACTTTTCGTTAAGGCAGAGAATATGCTTACATACATGTAGCCAGGGGCCATCCTGAAGACCCCAAGGATTCATCCTACAAGGGCTGGTCGATACAGTACCCACCGGGAATATCGGAAGGCCAGGGGCCATATGAGATCGGCATAGGGCTGCGTGCTACGGAGTAGTGTAGGGCGCACTGCTAGGTACACTGGGTTTGGGTGTGGACCATTTTAACGGATTATTGTCAACACTGTTCACAGACAATTTATTCCAGAATAATGTGGGTATTCAGAGCCACACAAGTCACACGTACGCCGATCTTACGCTTTATGAATGGTAGGGTTGAGCATAATACAGGGAAAGGAAAAAAAAAAAAGAAAAAGAAAAAAATCTATTTTATCTACAGTATGTACCTTAGTTTGCCTACGAGAGCTTTTTGTAAGGTTACTAAAAGTAATGGGCTGTGATCGGGTATAATACAACTCTCTTGTAACACTAGTCATACAGTACTGTAGTTTGCCCTGCATAGGAAGTTACTTTCCAACGTGTCGACATTGTATTGATTTAATCAAATACAATAGCAGTTTTCACGCATTCTTTCACACGCACAGCATCCAATGCCTGACCAAAATGCTCCAAGTCGCATATCCTATCCACAATAGCTCCCACATCTACCTTTCGGCTTTCTAGATACTTCGCACTTTGGGGCATACACCATATCTAGGAGTGGAACCTGCAAATCATAAGCGCTCTCGTCGCTGGGTCACAGCATACATTTGCCGAGTGTATTCATTTTGTCCATGAAGACTTTCGACGGGGATACTTTAATCAAGGTGTCTTTTGCGTATACCCCATAGTAAAGCAACCTTCCCCCTCGGGTGCAAAAAGTCCATCGCCATTTCGGGTATTGCATGAAAACCAGTCGCCTCGATGACAATATCAAATCCGTGAGAAAACTGGGCGCAGAGCACTCGCCGCTGTTTCTCGGTCAAGTTCCACGCATTGATCCGCTACATTGGGTTCCTTGCCCCGATCCATCTTGCACCCTTTGTCGAATGCCAATACCACATGTTGGTACCTATTATTAGCCTTGGGCGATTGCGAAAGACCCATTCCAGTTGGCCCGGACCCGATTAGCGAAACAGTGAATCCAACAGTTGGTTAATTCGGGCGATCTTGTGTCCTGTACAGGAAGCAGCTTCGAGAAGAGTCGTCTCTTCCTAGGATAACTTTCCAAAACGAAATAATATTTTAGTATGAAGTATGAAGACCCCCCGTCAACTTTCAAAAGAATCACCCGTCAGTCCCAAGGCCCACTCTATGGCCCCAACTCCGCCCCTTTGCATAAATTTTGGGGGCTGCAAAATTTACAATACAAGGACTTGTCCTGCCAAAGGTAATAAAATTATCCACATATACAATTTGTAGCTCAGCGTTATCGACCACACGAAGTGGGAGCTTTAGATTTTCTTAATGTTTCCAAAAGCCTCCAGAGTCATCAAGCTTGTGTGCCCAATGAAGTTTAGTGTGAGGAAAATAGAAAGGAAATTGACCAAAGTTACCTATATACGTGCTGGTCCATGGACAGTCTTTGCTCCGAAAGCTCGTTGAGCCACAACCCTGCAACCATTCATATGGGCTCCACAATTGTTGTTCTCGGGGTCTATCAACGTTGCCCTTTTCTGCCTATTTGGTGCTAGTTCTATAGAAACCAACTAGAAGCCGGGTTGCGTAATCTGCTATTCAAGAGCACACGAGCTCTTTCCGTATCCTGAGTTCCATTTGATCCAGGGGCTGGCCTCCAGTTTTGCATTTTTGACATTCCGATCTGCTCAACAAAATCTTTGGCTTTACTTTCCCCATGATCATAAGGTGGTCGCTCACAAAATTGCGGTCATTCGCTGGTTCATGTTGCTCTATCTACCTTGGAAGATAAATCATCTCTGCACGTAGTAACCAACTAATTGCCATCCCCATATTGGCAAGCTATTGATGGCCTGAAGCATAGTGATGTTGTCCCGGCTAGTATATCGTGGGCGATTAGCTTCGTGATTTTTAAAAATAGCCAACTACATATATCTTCGTTGAGCTCTAGCGATATGATTGATTCACCTAATTCTTGTCCTCGAGCCAGGTCACTGCGGCAATTGAGATTAATCATATTCCTTCTTTGTATCATTGTGTGTTCATTGTTATTGTGGATTTCAATTGGTGAATCCCACAACCTTGGAAGGATTTGGTGCCAGAGTCAAGGGCGCCAACACCAACGGATATGTTGATCATATTCCTTCATTTTTTTTTCACTTGAAAAGAAACTGGTAATTCCTGCAAGGATTGACTGTAATGGAACCAACACCAACCATTGTGATCATATTATTGCTTCGGATTTCCTTAGATTGGAAATAAACTGGTGAATCCTGCAAGAATTCAATACTATGTAATTGGGCCATACCACCGGCTTCTAGTTCTAACGTTATATGGCATGAGTTGAGACAATATCCCAAGTGGAACTCGGGTGAGAAAATGGCTTTTTCCCCTGGTTTTGTTCCCCCCCCCCACCGGGAACTATGAACTATGACTAGTATAGCAATTAGCAATACTGGAGCAGGATTCTTCTCAAAAGGCCATGGGCAAGACGGGTCGATGTGGGAGGTCGCCTCAGAGAGTCGGAGGCACTTAAAAGGTAGAGCAATACACATAGCAAACAACATTGCACAGATTATACAAGATAAGATGCTCATAATGACATACATGATCATTTTATGACCCGATCTATCAGGCATGTATACAGACAAAAAGAATCTATAAACAAGAATTTATAAACCCACTTCATAAAGTTGCCTCACACGCAAGGACACCAGGACGTAGCACCGTGCCTGGCGCATGCTTTGAAGACCTGCTTCCAGTCTATCCGCAAATGGTTTGTATCGAGCAGACTTGAGATGAGGTCTTCTCGAGGGTGGCCACAGACATCCTTATGCCAATTCTTGCCGTTCAGACCAAACAAGTACTCATAAACATCCCCAACGGTTGACTTGCCCATGAGCTTGGCGGCGTCAAGGAATCCACCTATCAGTTTCTTACCGGCGTCCTTGATACCATCAGACGCTATCTTCACCATGTCAGTTTCTGTCGTCGTCTTATCCTTGGCCTTCATGCCAGGTCCCTGGAGTGCGGGTCCAGCACCAGCCGCAGCCAGCGTGTATCTCGAGTATAACTCGGTGGCAAGAAAAGTGGGAGAGTCATATCCACCTTCCTTGTCCGTCATGCAGCTCTCGATCGCGAGGACCCAAATCATATCAGGAAGATCGTTCAGGTCCGTGTCTTTGAATTCCTCTGTCGTTGCGTCGGAGCATGCCATGGTGCGGTTCCACCCTCCGCGGAAGCCCATTTGAAACTTCCAAGGCTGCTCGCCAACTCCGGTATTCTTGACATCGATTGATGTGTTGGTGTAAGCCACCATATTCAGGTCAACACCGGATGATTCAAGAAGTTCCTCGATTTGGGGCTCGGCCCATTTCCTCAATGGAAAGTTCTTTTCCTTTTGTTTCTTGCTTGGAAACACGTAGTGAACGCGGTATTTGCGGCTGGGATCATAGTCGGGCCTGGTATGACCAAGCTTTGGGAGGGGTCGCGGCAGGACGCCCTCGACGGGCCATTTAACGCGTTGATTCTTTCCTTTGATGGCTTGTCGGTAGAGCTTGTAGTCGTTATATTCGTCAGAGGGACGTTTAAGACCCTTGATCTCCGTGCCAATTTCAAAGTTATCCGGCGTCGCGAGTGTATCCCATTCCTGCAGCACCTCCAATGTCTCAGTGGCGGCCAAGACTGTGAGGTAGGCCAGGACGACCGAGAAAAGGGACCAGGCGTGGACCATCATGGTGCAGGGGGAGGGAAATGAGGATCCCTGTTGTCTGAAATGGAGAGGCAAAGAGAGAAGAGAAAACTGAACCCGAGAAGGACACCGGGAGTGTGGGCTCCTATTTCAATTGCCAAAGAGACGTTTAGTCCGCTCTTGACTTGATATGATCCCTTCAGAATTTTCTCGGGCGCAGTCAGCATCAGTCCTTCGTTTCCCTCAGGGCCGCCCGTCGTCACAGCTTGGTCCACCTGTATGATCCTTTAGTGTAGGTCCGGCCTCCAGGGCAAAGTCGGACCCACACATTCCTGTTGGGAATGATTTTCTCATTTCTCACTCATCCAAGTCTCACCTATCCAGGTTATACTGTAATTGTACGATGATTCAGTACTACGTAAGAACTACTTAATTAGATTTAAGGGGCTGCGAAACGCGGGACGAAAAGAAAAGAAAAAGAAGAGAAAACAAAGAAAATAGAGTCCAACCATCACTTGATTATTAGTGCGAGAATTCCTTTTTTTTAATTTCATTTCATTTTTTTTCGTTACCCACTACGCTGTCAAATCTATCTTTACCCACCCCCCAAAAAAAGCTGCTATCCACACCAACAAAGGAGATTTTGGATCAATTCAACAACTTGACTCGCTATAAACTCCACCCACACTGTGAATCGTGCAGGATTATCCAACCCAAGTTTTCAAGGCAAATAAGTCCAACCCGTCTCAAGGGTCTATATATTCTATGACTACAATGCCTATCGTTTGTTACCTGCGACAACACCTTTAATATCAACCCACGTACGTGTAAGCTATATCCAAAAGGGAAAGCGGACGGGCCAAGGCACTGGAGATCAATATAGGGCTATCTGCTGCTGAAAGATCGTCTGGTTGCCCGAACCATCTTGACCTCCTAAGTGGGAACTCGTTTTTCTGTGTCCCCCACCCACTATTTGTGTCGATCTATATACATAACTTCCATATCCAGCAATTTATAGATAGGGCCAAAAAGGGAAGGAGGGTGGGAGGATAATTTGATGGAAAAGTGTTATTTCTATAAGACTTTGCTTCTAAATTCTATCTCCAATATTCTCTATTCACCTGAAGCGGTAACTTAGGTAGATTTCCATCATCCATGGATGTTCTGTTGTGATTAACCACCAACTCCTAACTCTAGCCCCGGCCCCTTTGGTACATAATAAGTGCTGTGTACTGTTGGTGGAATAAGTGGATTTTTTTTAGAAGAATATTTAAATATTAGAGCAACTCATAGTTCTTTCCAGATGGGGATATAGCCGGGCGCGATACGCCTAGGGATTAACTTAACCGTAGCCACAAACGCACTAGCCCTATATTACTTATGTGCTAAAAATCCTGAAAATATATGAACATAAATCAGATGATGATTGGGCAAACCAATATCCTTATGAAGCGCCTTGGAGCCGTGAAATCCAGGGATTTCAGTGGCGGGTAACTGCATCTAGCTACAGGTAGCCGTAGAGTTTAAGCGCATCCACAATCGCCGGCTTTTGTTAGGACCTCACCTTATTTCACCTTAAAATCTTCGTCCAAAGCTGGTGCACTTGACTTAACTTTGACTGATTTTATCATTTGTCTTAAACTCAAGATTAACGGAAACCATCAATTCTAGTATACCCAAGCTTGGAAATAACCAAACAGACACAGTTATTCCGGTTGCAAAATTTCCTACAATGGCAGCTGAGAGAGCCTAACACCTCTGCGTCAAGTTCTTCGTCAAATAAAACTTATAGCAGATCGAGTACAATACCACAATAAGAGGAACAAAGCACATCCCCTAACTCGGAAGGAACGGCTCCAGAACAGAGCTGCGTCATTATCCTGTATCCGCTGGAGCGTGTGAGCAATATCCCAGTTCCGATCTTATACGGCGCGTTCGAAAAATGAGACTTGTTTATGATCATCACAGAGTATATCGCCGTAGCTATGGCTAGGTTATCTGACGATCAGAAATCTGTTGTCGGGCAGAAATGGAGCAGCACGAGACCTTCAGATTTCAGGCTATCGTCGACTGGGAATAAGCTGGGTTCTTTCTTTTTCTTCTCTTCTCTTCTCTTCTCTTTTCTTTTCTTTACTTAAGGCACCCTCTTCTTCAATAAGCGGGATTTATCTATGGTCGTTGATGGTGAACATGATAGGTATGCGGGATCGTTGCGGTTTATGAAAGAACAAAGCTATTCATTACTGGATGATTAGCCAGGATTGGGGACGTGGAAAAGAAAGAGACTGCTCAACAATTGTGCGAGCCTTTACAAGTACCCGAGAAACTATAATTAAGTATTCAAGATATACAAAGCAAAAACAACACTTGCTACTTATGTAGCCATCTAACCGGTTTCACACTACATAGGCTAAATGACTCATAAAATATACAACACAGCCTCTGGTTCAATGCTCTACAAAGTTAGGTTTCGAATACCACTAATGCCAAGGCAATTTGATAAATACGACCAGTTCTAAGATTGAGAATAATATATTAGTGAACGCTTGTAGGATCATTTTGATTCTCTGGTTTCTTTAAATAGGATAGTTATCTAGATAATCTACAAATACGCAGACCGACCTATCTGAGTCCGTGCTCCGTAGATCCTAGCCAGAGGTTTACGCGCACATATGTAGACGGGGCCAATCTAATTGCCATTGTTTACGACATTCTAATGAGCTGAACTCATTTCCGGAGATCTGCATAGATATATATACGAAGTATACTAAAAAAAAACTGTCAGCCGCAGACTCGACACTGTCCACATCGCTCCTACTAATATTCCAGGAGCAGGAGACGTGTCCACCAAAAACTATTTAGAGCGCCGTGCCTCCATCTCTGGAGGAGGAAGAACAGTTCAAATCCTCCTTGGAAAAGAAAAGAAAAGAAAAAACCACACCTTCGGTCCATTTAAAATGAAGCTTTACCTCGCCGCTGCTATTTTCCTTGCTACTGGACCCCTTGCCGCCGGGAGCACAGGTATGTGTGGACCCTCAATATCTGACTTGTTTACTTCCCTTGGATTCTAATTTCTTCGTCTATAGAAATGCTCGCGTCCTGCTTCAAGAGTGGGGCGACCAGCAGTAATGGGTACTACTGGACTTCCTGTAAACCAAATGGGGGCGGACGCTATGGGACCATCACCTCAGAAAAGACGGGAAGTTGGTGCTATATCAAAGCGTACGACCACGCAACTAGCCCGATGGAGTGCGGCACCAAGCCTGATGATAACCATGGCCCACCTGTTTGTCTGGAAAAGCAGGACGACGAGAAACTTGGCGGATGTGGTGTGAGTGGAAGCTAGAGCAGATGAAAAATATTTTTACCAAAGAGGAAGGGGGAAGCATGTGTCTTAGTTCTCAGCTTGATCAAATAGTTTGGAAACTATCACTGAAATAAACCATGCCCTTTTGATCGGCAAAAGAGAGGTCATAGATTAGCCTGAGATGTACAAAAGCGTACGCATAGAGATATCCTCGAAGGCACATTCAGGTCGCGATTCAAAATGGCAGGTGTTAGGGCTGGTGAATTTGAACAAATTTACGGTGTTCCCCTTGCACCCAATGCTTTCCATGTCCAGCTCAATGTAGCATGCTGTACGGTCCTCGTTGACTTTCACACGTGGCTGTAAATCAAGACACATCAATTGCAGGAGGAGGAGAAACAAAAGGCGAGGAACGAGGCGAGGCTGTCGGGGTCGCAGTAGGGGTGGCAGTCGCATATGCCACCAGAACGACCACAGAAGGCAGGCTTTGAAGGTGCATCTTATCCTCATCAAAGGTTTCAAACAGAATGATAAAACTGAACTTTCAATGAGTAAAGCAATTCATGCAAAAGCCCAGCCTGAGGAAATAAGTCTCTCTTTTATTGTTCTCGGGACTACAGAAACATACCTTGTCGATATAGGATCTAATTTCGCCCCCAGAGAGCAGGTCTAATTAAGGAATTGATCTACCAGTAAGTCCGCGAGGCTGAACTTCTTGGCAAAGAGAGAAAAGGGTCTTGGGTGTTTACGCAGAAGTAAAGATAGATGCATCTTCCCTTGTGCCCTGCAAGTATTGATTTATTCCTTGCATTTGTATATAGAGATACCAGGGTAAGGACTAAGGTACGGATTTGTGAACCCCACAAATGATACTTAGGGGCAAAAAGCAAAATTTGGGTACTTAACCTGATTTTCTATTGGTAAGGATAAGGGATATATATATTGAAAATAATTAGCTTTGCACACCAACTTAGCCTAAGCTGCTTTCTGTTCTAAAGAAGGAGTTCCTTAGGGCCCAGAGAGAGAGAGGGAGAGAGAGAGAGAGGCATAATAAAGCTTGGATAACAGGGCTCTTTCCAAGTTGACAGCCGCAAGGCCGTTTGAAGAGAGACCAAGTATATATACATTCGCCATTTTACCTACATTTATTTTGTTGAATTTCATGCCCGAGTGCCAAACTTTCATCCCATTGTACCAGAATATTCCCTCTGTATATTCGACTCTTCACACCCCTGCAAGATCTTCCGCTCCCGCCCCTGCTGATTCCTTGGATTCCACCGGAATGTCTCTAGCAGGGCTATGTACAAACGAGAGAATCACAATGCTCTCATTCCTTAGCACGATATTCCTTCACGTCTACTTCCGCCTCGTATATCTGTTCTGCTTCATCACGGTTTTCCTACATTACATTATATGCTTGATGTAATTAAATAGTCCAAGGGTCAACAAGTCCAACCCTACCTGATGGGGAAAATCGTGGAAAACCAGATCGGACAGGGACCGCGTTCCTTATGGCTAGTAACTGCAGCCTTTGTGGGTCCCGGTCATTTCGGCCCCAAGTCTCGTATATATGTGCACAGACTCTCTTCCTCATTCCTACCGCTATGGTGAAAAGAGTAATGGAGATGCCCACTCGTGATATACTGTGTGTATTAAGGTACCAAGCACACACTTCTTCTAGGCACTGTTATCAAAAGAATGCAAGGTTTCTCCCAGAACTTGCAACCTCAATTCATGAATATAGATAGATACTCAGGTACACAACTCACCTCCCCCCAACTCCCCCTAATTTCCAAAAGAGAGAGAGAGAAAGAGAAAGAGAGAACTAAGCACTGCAGCCTCCATTATTGTGCTTCGTCTTCTGAGGCTCCCAGGCAAAGCCCCCACTCTCATAGGCCAGACACGAGAATCCATCCAGAGAACCGTCGTATTTACTGTTGAAATCGTTGCAGCTGATGCGGTGGTCCATATCTCTGCTCAACCAGCACCAAGGCTCCCCCTCGGTCCAGGTGCCGACGGTATGATTCAGACGGCCGGCTTTGGCTTCCTCGTCGGTCTCGACGGCGTGCTCGTGTTTCTCGATCCTGATGCATTTCGCCCAGGCCAGACTAGTAGGGTTTGCGACGCCGCAGCCCGGGGACTTGGTAGAGTCGCGCTCGACGAGTGCGTTCTCTGTGTCTCGCTGCTTGAGGGGAGCGGGTTGGACATCTAGATTGGAATCGAAGGTTAGAACGAGTACTCCGTATTCGATACATAACCTTCCAAGGGACCTTGCAAGGTTGGAAGGTGGATGGAAGAGACTCACCGGGAATACTGGCGGCAGTCGAAACTACCGCAGTAGCGAGAAGAATCAACAAGTTCGCGGAAAACTGCATCTTGATTGCTAGATTGATTGATAGATGCGGTTGATTTTGGACAGTTGAAGATGGAGCGGCGGCGAGGGCCCCCTTTTTATATATGCTCGGAGTGAAATTCGACCTCGGGGGATGCTACTATAATTATAATCTGACCCTTAAATCCCATATGACCCTACGGGAGGATCTGCAAATGGTGTTTCATAACGCCTGCGGCCCCACGCCGGCCCCATTCCAAGACCTTCCCCCGACATGTCCATCTTAGGGGTCCAGTCTTGGGTAGCGGGCGAGAATAGGGGCACTCTTTCACATTCCAGCCAATTGATGAAAATAGATGTCTTCGTAGGAAAGAGAGCGATGGACCCTGTTCTCTAATATACCGCCGACCATGCAAGCCAAGCCATGCTCCGACGTGAAATACATAGAAATATAGCCCCCAGTTCAACCCCATGCCGGTCACCAAACGCCGTGTCCAAGCCGCGAGGCATCCACGGGGCGAATCAGAAACACCCAAAAAGAAAGAGAAAGAGAATACAAGAAGAGGACAACAGAAGCATAAAAAGATAAAACAAAAGATAAAAGAAAGTCATGGCCAACCATTCAATTCCATTTCTCTTATCACATCGTAAAAAAAAAAAAAGACGCAAAAGTAGGTGAGAATAAAACAAGTTTTATCCACCTCGCTCGCCAAACTCTCGCGCCCATTCCTCGTATTTTCGTAGCCCATCCGCAGAAACACTGGGCCGGATAGAGTACAGACTGGCCTCGAAATCTTGGAACCTGATGGGACGGATGTGTTCCATCGGGGTGTGAAGAAGGGCTTCGCCCAAATTGCGGAGAGGACCCATGGCGGCGTCTTTGGCGAGGGCTGTGATATCGGAGCCAGAGAAGCCTGGATAGAAAAAGGTCAGAGGTAAGTCCTTTTACTTTGACAATAAAAATCCCAAAGAGGATCTGGGACAGATACATACTCTCCGTGACATGAACCAGAACCTGGATATCGGCATCGCTCAGCTCATGGTGCTGGTGACTTAATAGCTTGCGCAGCTGCTGCTCGCGCACATGATGCTCTGGCAGTGGGATGTACTGACGACGGACAAAGCGGCGACGCGCTGCCTCATCGATGTCCCACGGCATGTTAGTGGCCGCCAGCACCAGCACGCGGCTGGCATCGCCTTCCTTCTTATCTCGACTGGACTGTTCGCGGCCCGCAGCAGCACGCTGGAGGTCGGACCACTGAATGAGAAACTCGGTTTTAGAACGACGCGAGGCTTCATGCTCGGAGCCAGACGAGCGCGCAGACAACAGCGAGTCAATCTCATCCACGAAAATGATAGACGGCGCCAGCACCTTGGCGAGCCCAAACAGCGCACGTACGAGCTTCTCGCTTTCGCCGTGCCATTTAGATGTCAGGGTCGATGACGAGACAGAGAAGAAGGTCGAATTTGACTCGGTGGCGACGGCTCGTGCGAGCATGGTCTTGCCCGTGCCCGGAGGGCCAAATAGAAGCATTCCGCGGGCTGGCTCGCGTAGACCCGAGAAGAGGTCAGGCCGGAGGAATGGGTACACCACTGCTTCCTTGAGGGCCTTTTTGGCTCCATCCAAACCAGCAATGTCGTCCCAGTGCACCTCGTCGCCGCGGACAACGATGTCGTTCAAAATCTGTCGCGCTGACTGGAGGTCCACGCCCTTGGGCAGCTTGTTTGTGATCTTTACAATGTCATAATCGTCATCTTCATCCTCGTCTTCTGCGTCGCCTTCTGTCGACCGTTGCTCCCACGATTCCTGATCGCTGGATGGGGGCGTCTCTCGGCGTTTCGCTGGAGGCGGTTTCCGCCGGGTTGCACTGTCACCGTTTTGTGTTGAGATCGCCATCCGATCGACACCGCGATGGAGTTCATCTCCACTACCAAGCGATGGCGAGACATGAGGTTTAGTGGTTCGCGGCGTGGACGTTGTCGGGGACTGATGACTCGATTGATTCGTCTCGCGATCAAGCCGAGGCGTGATCGGCCGAGAATTGGTTTCAGACCGAGTAGCCTGTGTCGCGCGGGCAGGCGGCGGAGGCGCAGACCGTAGACCGACAGGCTTGGGTTTGATGGATGGTTTGGGAACAGACACGGCAGGATAAGTGAAATCGACCGGATCCGGCATGGGCACTGAGGTGACGGATGGGGGTTTGCGGGGTTCAGAGTGAGCCTGTGGCCGACGCGACGCCGGCTGAACCGGCAGCCGGGGCGAAGAGCGATCCGGCGGCGAGAGATGAGGCTCCCGCCAGTTTGCAGCGGGGATGCGGTCCACGGCCAGGTCCGATGGCGCTCGTCTTCTACTGGACGAGGGCTCGTCACCAGAGCTGGACCTCGGGTCTGGATCGCGACGGAAGCTCGGGTCGTTGGCAGCACTCTGGCGCGACGACGCCAGCGCCGCATCACTCACGGTCTTCCCGTTCGACGGGGCGCGATAGATACTGCCCCAGGCCAGGCCGGCCGCTTTGGAGGCGGCCGGCCGCATCTCCTTGCGCTTGGGATGGGCCTTGGTCTTCTTGCCATTTTTCTTGCCGTCGGTGTTGCGCAGCGTCGTCAACAGCGGTTTGCGTCGCTCGGGACTGGAGCCGCGGGATTTCGTCTTGGTCGAGGAATTCGAGTTCACGCGCAAGGCCGGCGACCCGGCCGGCGAGGGAGCCGCGGGCGCAGGGTCATCGTACAGTGATAATGGTTCTGAATTTTGTCTCACGTTCGGTGGTGCCCCGGGGCGGCCGGGGATGGCGGCCGGTTTGGAGAGGTCGGTGTAGCCCACTGCGGGGATGGTCCCATCGCCGATCCAGCCGGGGGTGTTGGACGAGGACGGCGCCGGCGCACTGGCGGTGAACTTGCCCTTGACAAGCGTCGCCGGTCCCTCTTTGCTACCGTTGGCTTCCGGAGACTCTTTTCTGCTCTCCCGCAGAGCTTCAAGTAAGTCGACTCGCTCGCGGCATTGGATTTCTAGGTTGCGAATGGAATCCTGCAGAACTTTTTCGGTTTCGGATTTGGGAGTATAGGTCGATGGTACGCGGCGAGCATTGTGGTGGTAGATGGTTTCGAGGGCGGATCGCCAGGATCGCAATGCTTCCTCTTCGTTATTCTGCTGGGGCATGAGCAATTTGGGAATGACAGCCATCTTTCCACCGCCCACGCTACATACCTGGCCTTCAAAGTAGACCGCAGTCGAGCACAAGAGATAGCACTCATCGTATGTCTTCTGCATAGAAGACGCAGGCCGTGGGCGCATCATTGGGAATAAGCAGACCCTCACACCCCATATCAAGGCTGAGAGTCGATTGGGGGGGAAGTGGAAGGATGATCTCCCGCTGAGGGGAATTTTTTCGCGTGACGTCGTCGGTTCGGCAGTTACTGCATGCGTCCACTCCACAACGTCTCTAAATTGGCTCTCTTCTATAAGGGTACATGCAAGACATCGATAAGTCGTCAGAGACAAAGGAAAAGAAAATGAGAAAATAAGAGAAAAAAATATATATAATGCAGAGAACCCAGCCCTCTCAGAAACCAGAATCCCGAGGTTCCAACGCCAGAAACGATATAGGACACATCGGATGAGAGCATCGAGAAAAGAAAAAGAAAAGAAAAGAAAATCCCTTCCGCCAAGCCGGATCCACTATACACTGCTCAAATCGCCTTTGATCAAAGCCCAAAACATGCAAGGTCGAGGGTCATATCAAGTGGCGGGCTCTGCCCGCATGGCCCAAGTCAGAAACCCCAGAAAAGACATAGAATAGTCCCATATTGCCTCTAAAGATCGGGGGAAGATTTGCGTCCCAAAAACACGGTATATCGAACTAGTGCAAACAAGAGGTGGAGTGGAGGAATGGATCAGGGGCGATTAGTGTTCAGATTGGCCCTTGAAATACGCCTTGGCCATTTCGTATGATGTCCTGAGAGAGGTCAGTTACAATGTCGTTGAAAGAAAATCGCTAAAATAAAGATAAATAAATAGATAAACTGACCAGCAGATCGCCGTGCTCGGCATGGTGGAAATGATACGGGGCCGCATCCCGCGCAGGAAACCAGACCAGCCGAATTGGCGCTTGATGATGGCGGCAGCGTTGAACAGACCGCGTGCGGAGCGAACTTCTTCACTCTCCGCGAGACCACGGGTTTGGAGGAGCGTCTTCACAACATCCAGTGGAGTGGTGATACCGGCGGCGAAGGCACCGGCGAGACCACCAGCGATACAATGAGTGAACGGGTCGTAGTTCTGCTTGGGGTTCATGACCTTGGAAATCGACTCGTAGGCAACAAACTGAGTGGCGGTGAAGGGAACAGTCATGCAAAGCGTCGTGGGGTAGGACACGTAGAAGGCCTGGAGACCTTCAGTCCGGTAGAGGGTTTTGGCGCATTGGAGGAGGCCCTTGTGAACGGAGCCGTGAACCTGCATTCGTTGCTTGATGACTGGGGAGGGTCAGCGAACTCAATTCGAGTTCAAGTGTAGAAGCACGTACCATCGAAGGGGTTCATCAGCGCGTCGCTGGCAATCGTGGCCGAAGCGCCACTCAAAGCTTTATGAGACACGGTCAGCTATGCACCACAGCGATTTCATCCCCAAATTCCCAGCGGACCTACCGGCAGCGACCGGGTGGTGCCCATCGTCGACGTTACCACCCGCAACCTCCTTTACCAGTTCGTATGTGCCAAAGTACACCGCATGTGCCGGGCCTAGTCTGATCAGCCTCCGAAGCCCCCCGAGAGTATTCTGAAACATCGCATACCTGCTCCGACAATCACACTCGAAACACCCTTCCATAGTGTCCGCCAGCCCTCGATCCGGTAGATTGTAGAAACGGCATTGGTCAAGCCCGTGTAGAGCCCGCCGGTCGAAGGATGCAGGATTTGCATGCGAGTCTAAAGTGCCGCAAACAAGCTTGTCAGTTTTGAATCTTTTGTCTTAGCGAACCATCGAAATCAAGAGCATACCTTCAGCAAATCCACCGGGTACATCACCGAGTGTTCCTGTGAAATCCGTTCATCAGCGACAGCTCCCCCGCGAGATTTCCCCGACCATGACGCCGACATACCGCTATCCCTGCGAAAGCACCGGCTAACATGTTGTGGCCGAGGCCATAGTTGGAAGGAAGAGCTTCATAGCTAGAAGAAAGAGTACCGAGTCAGCATGTGCCCAAAAGCATGGTCATTTCTTCGGCGGAGCGAGAAGAACGCTGGAGGGAAAGTCGAGAATCGCCTCCCGAGTTCAACACCCCCCATCCCGTTCTGCTCGAAGACCCATGTGCAGCCCCTTGAGGAGCAGCGATGCATCTCTTCCCAGTCTTCCCGAATCCCCCACAGAACCAAAGGCAACAAAGCACAACAGAATCCGCCTGCGGAGATGCCACCTACTCAAATTCCTGCTCCGGGATCTGATCGGAAGCCGCCATGAAGCTCGGCTAGCTCAAGGCACAGCCGGGGGGGGAGAGATGCAATTGGAAGAAATCGGCGTGCGAGGTCGAAACCGAGACGCAATAGCTTGGGAAGAGGCCGCGGGCGAGGTATCGGAGGCTAGAGAGGTGTGTTTGGTTGGCGAGGGTGCGAACGGGAAGAGGCCGAGAACCGGAGACTCCGTGGAGAGGCAAAACAAAATAAGAATGACCAAAGTTGCCTGCAGCTATAGAGGCAATTGAAGTGCCAATCAATGCGGCAAATGGGGCAATTGCTTGGATTATTATCTGCGCGACAAGAACAGAGAAGGATTCGGGGGAGTTGGCAAAAAAAAGAGATCCCAAAAATTGGAGTTTGCAGGAAGCGGCGCTAACAATCGAACTAACGGACTTGCCAGGATTGACCCCCAAAACTCTCGAAAGTACGAGCCTCCGCGCATTCTTTTTATTTTCTAAATGTTCAACAGACTACGTAGATATCAACATATTTTAAAATATCTACAAATATTCGATTTTGAAAGAATTTCATATCTAGTATCCAACTCTCCCAGACGCAACAGCCTCTCAAAAACCCCCGATGACGGCGCTTACTTAAGGTCGAACCTTATAGCAATACGATGTACCCCACCGGTACACTGCCACGGGAAAGGGGGCGGCCAGGTACCTCTAGGTACATGGCTCCTACCTGAAGGGCTTTATCAATCTGATAAGGGCGCCACTGGATGGGGGATGGTTTCACACACGGGGCAAAAGTAATCTAGGACTAAACGAGGCTCAACACCTTTTGAGATCATGAACGGATGACAAAAATGAATACATACAAAGTTCTTCGACACCCAGTATCAATGTTGGGGGTCAACGGCATCGGCAAGCGAATAAAAGTGGACCGGACCCAGATGTCAGTTAGTTCACCGGGGCAAGGCGAAGGCTCCTAGTTTCTAGTTTTTTTTTCTGTTTCCCCTCAGTTGGATTATGGAGACGGGAAATCCGTCGATGGGGGCGATCTGGGGAAATCCATATGCATGTCATGGGAATTTCTTACTCTTTGAACGCGCATAAATAAGAAATTAGCATAAAAGGATAATACTGACACCGCTTCTGCATTGATATATAATGTTACAAATTCTTTCTCTTTTCTGGGGTGTACTTCGACCCCCGGAGAAGACCGACGTTCGGACACTCGATCAATGGCGCCCGAGCAGCCGAGGTCCGGGTGGATATCGAGGGTCCAAACTAACCTCCTTCTCTGGTCAGGTGTACGTAAAAAAGAAAAAGGAAAAAGGTGGAAATTATTCCCGTATTCTGGGTTATGAATATCATCAGGCAGTATTAGAGATATTAAGAATAAGAACAGCCTCGCTTGGACCTAGGTGGAGGTAGAATCCCTTGGCAAAAAACTTATTTCTGAGTATCTCGCTAGGACACGTTGCGTTGATAAATCACACTAAGCAAGCCAAACTAGCCGGAAACAGAGTCGAATGCAACTTAACTTTCCACTCTACTTATGTACTTTCCCATGAGGACATGATAGAAAACCGATAAATACCTAGCTGGTATAAAGTTAAACTTGAAAGGGACAACGAATCCGGGGAAGAAAGTCGAAGGGACGAAAAGACAAGAATAGAACAGGAGAAAAGAAGAAGAAAAGAAAAGAAACACAATTAGCCTGGCTGTCCCCGACACCCCTAACACAAATGGTCCATGCATCAACACCGCTGCGCCGTGGCCACGGAAGAGAAAATAGAGACAAGATGCATGCAGGTCATCTCAATGGCAATAAGGCAAATGAAACAAATAAAGACAAATCCCGGTTGGGACGAGTCGGGATATGAGAGGAAGACTAAGGACGAGGGAGGATGAATGTAGGGATGGCAGGATGTTGCAAAGAAATAAAAGGTTCATTCACGTCGTCAAGATCTCGTGTCTACATGCGAAGGGAGGAAGAGTTATCGAGGAGAGGCGAGGAGAGGCGAGGAGAAGACGGAATAGGACAGAGAGGAGGTTAGGAAAAGAGAGGTGTCGTCTACCACTCCACGTTGAACGACCACTCGCCTGTAAACAACCATGTCAGTATTCTGTCACCCAGCAACCCACACACACCTTCTCCCCTTCTAGGATCCATTATATCCCACTTACCATTCTTTAGGTTCTCGGCGGTATCGTTCAACAGGATCACGCGACGCTTTTTGCAATAAGCCGTCTTGTCCAGAATGTCGACCTTGAGTTGAGCCAGCTCGGGAATGGGCTTCTCGAACATCTGACTCAGGTTCTCGACAGCCATTTCCAGATCCTTTTGGTTATCCTCGAAAATCTCGGTCAGGTTGTTGCGCGCAAGGTAGAAAGCGAAGGCATAGGTCCACTTCAGAGTTTGGCGACACTGTTGCAGCGCATGCGACGCCGTGTCCAGGAACTGCACCTCGATCCACGACAGCCCCGACTGCGACTGGAGACTGGTCATCTTCTTCTCGGTCTTGAGGTACAAGTCCTTGTCCAGCTTTGCAGATTGCTCGTGATTGGAATAGCGGTTATAGTAGTGCAAGTAGCGGTCCAGCGATGCACGCGACTTGGCCTGCGCGCTGCGGGCGTCCGACCCCGACTTCTCCTCGAACCGGTTGCAGTTGTACCAGCTGGTGCCGTGCTCGGCCCAAAGTCCCATGCACATCCAGCAGAATTCGTGCTTGCACTTGCGGCAGGTCATGTGGTTACAGCCTCCGTTCTTCTCGATGGTCGACTGGCACCGCGGGCATTCCTTGGTATTGGCCGAGATCCAGTTCGAGGTCTCTGAGTCGTCCTCACACTTCTTGATCCACATCTTGACAAGCGTGCAGGGCGCAGGCTGATGGTCGGGTAAAGAGCAGCCGTGACAAAATTCGTGGGAGCAGGCGCACTGCACTGTTGGCACGATGCGACGGAGATCACGCTTCTTAACACTGCAGTCGACCACATGTTCGCAATTCGGTGCAGGACACCACCGAAGGTTTTCTTTATCATCCACATACGTTCGGGTAAGCAGCATGTGATATCTATCGCAAGCATCACAAGTCAGTACGCAATGTCTCCAAGGATGCTTCTTGCTTCTGGTATCCACAAGATCCCCGACGAAGGTTGGAAGCACTCACCGATCCCTAATTTCACCTGATAGAAGCAATTCCACTGACTGAGAATCTACAATATGCTGGCAGTTGTTACCGGGACAGCGGATGCGAGCCGACTCGCCTTCTTCCTTGATCTTCTGCTCGAGGTAGTGCCGATAGCAATCGACACAGAAGCGGTGATCACAGCGCATAGCATACGACTCGACGTCATCGCCCTCATCGAAACAGATCCCACAGAGAAAGCCCGGTATCATCTCCGTAGTTGCACGCCCTTCCGTGACCGGCCCCACGCCCGCGCGGTCCAGGGTTCTCTCCGGATAGTCGATGTACATCTCGATGATTTTCTCTTTGTTCCACTGGCCGAATCGCAACAGAACCGCAGCCAACTCGGGGGACAGACCGACCACGGCGGAGACCTCGGCGATTTGGTCCTGGCGCTCGCGCTCAACCTCTGCGGGGTTCAGGACCTTGTACTCGACTTCGTGGGGGTTGCGCTGCTGGCGAAATAAATCGTTGTCATCATCGAACCCGGTGTCCAAATCCCCGAAACCTGGTAGTCCGCATCAGCATGCACCGAAAAGAACGGAAAGAAAAAAAGAAATCCAAAGGGGGGGCGGAGGAGGGCACATACCCCCATCACCCAAGCTATCATCATCACTAGCCTGGGTATCCAGGAAATCATCTGGACTCGAGACATCACTCATCATCTCACCATCGGAATCCATACTGATGGCAGTTGAAGCAGGCGTAGCGAAATCGCGCTTGATCAAGCTGGCGGAACTAGTAGAGCCGCGCCTTTCCGTGCTGGTGCTGGTGCTGGTGCTGGTGCTGGTGCTGGTGCTGGTGCTGGTGCCCTTGCTCTTGTTCTTGCTCGTGCTCGTGCTCTTGGTGGTTGCGGTCGTCGTGGAACTTCTGGGCTTGGACGAGCGCAGCGGGCGAGACGACGCAGGGGTGGCGTCGTCGGGCCGGCTGGGGGCAGTCTTGGTGGCGGCTTGGGGCAGAGGCTGGTCGGGATGCGCAATCGCCGCCTCGGCCGCCTTTCTCTTCCGCGTGAGGGGAGACGTTGTGAAAGGGGGGTGCGGCACGATAATGCCGGCGGGGGAGGGAGAGAGAGACTGGAGGAGGAAAGAAGAGAAATGGAAAATGAAGAAAAATAATAATAAAAAAAGGAAAGAAAAATAAAATATAAATGGGTGGGGGGGAAAGGAAAGGGATGCGAAGTTGAAGCCTGTTCCTTTGGTCGAAAAAGAGAGAGGGGCGATGAAGAAACAGTGAGAGAGTGGGGAGGACCAGGCTGAAAAGTGACGCGGGAAACAAGGCAAAGATGAGAAACGTTCGCGGGAGATCTCCCAGTTCTTTGAGCGGGATTGAGCTCTAAATGTGTGGGGAGATCGCGGCGCTCGAGTCTTGACTCTGTCAGCTTTTTTTTGGTATTTCTTGCATCATTCTTTTCTCTTTTTCTGAGTGATTTTAACAAATTGATATCTTTTCGTAGACTATGCGAATGCGATCAGGTGATGTCAGCGGTTTACACAGCCCTTGATGCCTACTCTGAGTCAGGCCTGATTCATGCCTGGTTATTTTGGACCTTGATACGCGGGATGAATAGTAAGGCTGTCTGAGTCACAAGAAATGAATTCTTGTGTGGAGGCTCGGCCACAAAATGCCGATCGGTCCACGGTGGCTTATACTTAAGAGACGTTGCCAAGTCCGGTATCTACAGAGCCGATGTACATTGGCGTGGAGATCAACTCTTGGGTTTAGAGATTGATGATCTCATATAAAGCATGATGTTAATTTAGACGATCATACACATAAACACAAAGGATTTTCGTCAACTCGAAGTTAAGGTGTGATTGCCAGTGTAGCTCAGTGGCCCAGCGGGCGCTGCCTACTACTACATAGTGGATCAGGACAAGCCCTAACGAGGGCCGATGCAGATGGTATATTCATAAAAAATAGAAATAGAAAAAGGGAGAAAAAAAAAGATTCATCTACTCATCATCACTCTCATCATCCTCACTGCTCTCCTCCTCGGCGTTGGCCAACCAGTCAACAAACTGCTGCGTCTGCGTACGGACCGAGCGCATCTCGTCCGAACCGCTCGACCGCTCATCGTGCCACCACTGGTCATAGGCCTCCTCATCCACCAGCTCAATCTCATACAGCTCCTTGGCCGCAAACAGGAGGACCGTGTCGCCCTTGAGGCGGTGGACCAGATCCTGTTGCAGGACAAGCAGCAGATCGACCTGGTCGGGCTTGTCGTCCTTGTTGCGGTCGAACAGGGTGCGGTCGATGACGTCCCGGTACTTGGAGAAGACCTCGTGCACGGCATCGCCGGCACCCTTGCCGCCCTCCATAAGTTGCTGGATGTGTTTCATAAATGCGGACACCACGGCGCGCCGCACTTGGTTGTCCGATGCGTTGGCGGCCATGCGTAGACTGACCAGTTCCAGCTGCACGACGTCGACAGTGACACCGTCCCGTAGACTGTCGTATACACTGGTTGAGGCGTCTTGTTGGAAGTGGTCTTCCTCCTCGTCGCCGGAGACGCTGCTGCCGCCGGACCGCGGCCATGATCCGTCTGATACGTCAGAGGACAAGGTCGAGATTGATGCGGAGGACAGGGAGAGATTCGGCATGCGGTATACTTGATAACACTCGTTAGATTTTGTCTTGGTTTGTCATGTGTGGCCGCAGCCCAAATCAGGAACAACATACCCAGCCCCGAGGAGGCATCACTCGCATCATCCTCATCCTCGTCGTCCTCGTCACCGGGCACAAACTCGTAGCCCTCACCGCCCTCGCCAACCACTGCAGAGTCACTGGGGGCCGCAGTTCCATCTCGTCGTGATTTCGTAATCCGCATACCACCCTCTACCGTCACGCCGTCTGCAAGCTTGACACCGTACGAAAGGAGCGCACCAGACGCAATGCGACAGTCCTTACCTACCACCACTCCGTCGGCGATGATGGCACCTCGAACATCGGATCCATCGCCAATCACAACATCGTCCCAGATATACGCACCCTCGAGCTTAACATTGCGACCAATCTTGCAGTTGCGGCCCAGGACGGTGCTGTGGACCGTCGTGCGGTCCCCGATACTGATGCCCTGCCCGATGACCGTGCGGCGACCGATAACGCAAGACCGGGCCAAGGTCACACCAGGTTCTTGGTACAGACTGCCCTTGCGAAGATCATACTGATGCCCCGGGAGCAGGTTCGTGTCCGGACACAAGGGGTATGTCCAGCGCGAGATGATGTCTTTGCTAACGGCGTCGTAAGCCTTGAGGCTGCGCACGCGCGCAGCGTAGTTGTCCTTGATGATGTGGGTGTGCAGTGTCTTGCCGTTCAGCTCGTAGTCTTTGAGGACGCCAAACAAGAAGTGTTTCCGGGGAGTTTGGTAGTCGAAACTATCGGACCACAGACTCAGCACGTCCGGGGTGCAGATGTCGATGCTGCAGTCGATCAGATCCTGGCGGATATCCAGCTCGGCGTGCGACAGAATGATCTCCGAATCGATGTTCAGCCGCGCCGGGTGCTCTTCGACGTGGTGGTCGATTTCCTCGTAGTGGATACAGCGGTCCTTGGTCGGGTCAATGACAAACACCGGAGAAATGGACGAGGACTTGGTGCGGTGGTTGCGGCCCGCCTCGCGTAAAACCATGGTCATGATCGCATTCTTGTCGGCCTCGCGCCGGGCTCGGTGTTTGGCTAAGGCGCTTTCGATGGGCAGGTTGCTGATGACGTCGCCGCTCACGAGGATGAAATCCCCGGTGATCAGATGCTTGCCATCGAGGTCGCGCATCACATCTCCAACCGATGTCGAGGTAGATTTGAGGAAATTCAACTGCTTAAAGGGCGAGGACGGCGCTCTCCATTTCGACGCACTAGATTTGCCCAGTCAGCTAACTGCTGTCCATTCAAGATCCTCGCAAGCTGCCAGTCGGGAGACAACGCACTTGATGTATTTTTCCAGTTGATCCGAATGAGCTCCGCCGTACAGAAAGATCTCTTCGACGCCCGCGTTGGCCAGAAACTCGAGGGTGTATTCAATCAGAGGGGTATTGGCGAGTGGCAGGAGACACTATTAGTTGAGCCGGTATTAGTTCCGGATATCTCCATATAAAGCACCAGCAAAGGCAGTGTATTCGCTTGGGCGAGGTTGGACATACTCGTGGCTTATCGAGGGTGAACGGTTCGAATCTCGTTTCAAAGGTATCCGCAAGGACCTGCACGCAAAAAACGATCAGCTACTTATGACAACTGCAAGAATAACGGTATCAAGCCCTATGATCTGCTGATCACACGGACAAGGGAGAAGACATACAACAGCCTGCAGCGTCTCCTCCACCTCCTCGGCCGCATTGCCCTTAGGCTTCGCGGCGGCTTTTTGTTTGACGCCCATTGCTGGACGTATCACAAGTGTCAGCAAATAGAAGCTTTCTTGAAATTAATAGCACAGAAAGAATCACTGCGAGAAGTGAGGGGAGTAATTCGCGATGTAAGTAAGAAAAGAAAGCCGTCGATGAAGGGACAGCGGGCGAGTCCTACCTCGACAAAAGAAGTCCACACTCACCAGAACAGAAAGAAAAAAAAATGCAAGCCCACTAGCACTCACTGGAGTCCTATCCCAAGCCAAAATGCAACAGACAATTCCGAGAAAAAGGTATGCGCAAGCTATCAAAGAAAAAAAGGGCACAAAAAACCCCGCCAAGCCTCGGAGTCACCAAGAGAGTGGCAGTTTGCACGGTTTGTATACAGCAGCCACATCTCATCAACCACATGACCTGTTCATGACATAACCATAGATACCTCGTAAACCACGTGACCTAGAGTTTTCAAGTTGTGGCGTACACCAGCCACACCCTTTTCACAGCCGCAAAGAGTCCAGAATTCCCCGCAAGGCCTGGGCCCTGGTAGACTTGAGAGGGGCGCAGGTGCAGTTCTTTGGAGTGGAGGGGGGTCTAGACTGGTCTCTGCAGTGTCTACAGCTTGTCGGGTTCGTCCGAATGTTATTGGGCGGGAGGGTCGGCATGGCAGACTGTGCCGGGGAAAGGAGATGCCGAGAGTGCGCGGATGCCGAGAATATTCTACTTACAGTTAGGAGATATTTATATTACTGGGTTATGATCGCCCACCACATACAGTAGCCGTATGTACTGTACATATTTAAATGCCATAAATACAGCTCAAACGACTACGAGGTTGCAGTCATGATGAGCACAGTCGAATTCTGCTCGTCTATCCGGTCTATCCAGGGGAACACGGTGGGCCCGAAGACAATAGGGTCCACCGCCGGAGTGCAAAAATAGAATATGTGCGCGTGTGTGTAAATGTGTAAATATTTACCTGACGAAACAATCTCCTTCCCCGGATGGTAATGTGTATCCAATCCAGGGTGGATATAGCTGACGCATGTAATCCGTACAAAGTCGCCACCCTCCCTTTCGAGTAAAACAAGCTCGCAAACTCCCATGGCCTTGAAAAATATAGGGACCGCGACCCGCCGCGATTAAAGACGACCTCGAGATCGAGCAATATATGAATGGAAACCTCATTATAGACAGTGGGAATCATCAAGAAAAAAAATAGACAAAGAAAATGCGGAGAGGTGGCCGCGGGAAAAAAGAAAAGTAAAAAAGGTTAGTGGAGGGATATGTGGAGATTCAGATTTTACCCAGGCCGTCCTGCTTGCACAGCCATCATGGGTTGCGGCTGGGGGTACATGCGCTGTCGTTTGGCCATGTTGGGATTCTCGGCGGCACCGGACATGTCTGACATCTGTCGTCGATGCGGTGGGCGCACAGGCGTCCCGGCGGCAGGAACGGCGACTGGCGTTGCTGCTGGGTACTGAACGCCATTCTGATCGACAGTGTATGCGGCGGGAGCGGCGGCAACGTATTGCCCTTGGACTGGGGGCATAGTCGGTTGGACCGCTTGCATGTTTTGAAACTGCCCGGGCGATTGCCAGTTACTCATGGACCCCGCGGGGGATTGGCCCGGAGAGCTGTCTTCTTTGATCGACTGAGTTGCCGACGTCTGAGCGGCCATGGTCACAGCGGCACCCGCCGGCGGCGCCTCCATGCCTTGGGACATGGCCTTGAGATGTACCAGGTGCTTCTCAAGCATGTCGAGAAGGCTCTTGCGGGTGAAGGGTTTGGGAAGAACATCGTCCATTCCTGGGTCATGTTAATAAGTGTTTGCAGTCAACAGGATTTTTTTATTTTACCATGCTGGAAATAGAGTTGAATGTCATCACTGCGGATGTTGGAGGTCATGGCAATAATCGGGGTTCGGTCGAACTGGCGGATGAGATGACACGCCGATACACCATCCAAATTGGGCATAATGATGTCCATCAGAATCAGATCGTACTTGGAACCACCCTGGATTTTGTTCACGGCTTCCAGACCATCGAACTATAGCGAGAATGTCAGCCACAATTTCCCCTTGAGACCTAGCAATGCAGGTAACATACCGCCGTGTCAATCACACAGGAGAAAGAGTAAAGGAATTTGCCACCAATCTGCCGACACGTCGCATCGTCCTCAACCAGGAGAATCTGAGGGCTGCGCATCCACCCGGGGTCAACATTCGTGCTCTTTTTCCGGTTGTCTGGGTACTGCCGTCGAGCGTCGGAGGATTCGATCTCGGGCTTGGCCGGCATGGGATAGGGCACATTATTGACGTGCTCGCTGTACATGGGATCGATGCCATTCGTGGCACCTACCGGGTAAACCACGGGCTCAAGCTCGCCACCCATTTTCGGGTATACGAGCGCTGGGGTGGGGGCTGCCGTGGTGGGGGGACGAACGGCCCCATTCCGCGCAGCCGCATCCATCGTCGGGGTCGAAACCACGGTGGGTGGAGGCGCCGCCTTTTGAGGGTCGTTCATCGAGTCCATGCCAGGGAGGTTGAATTGGATCTCAGCGTTCATGTCGTTCAAAAGCTTGGAGGCTTGCTGGAGAGGTGACGAGGGCTCGTCATCCACGGCCCCGACCTGCGACGGACTCATCGTAGAGCCGCCCTGACTTTGGAAGGTGACGGCCTTGCTATCCCGTCGCTGGCGCGCATCCACCGAGAGCAAGTAGGTCATGACCTGGTGGATTACGTTCTCATGGTTCAAGACCGTTTTTTGCACCCGCATCACCTCCTGCAACATGAGTTGATGGTCCACCGTCAGCTGCGCATATCGGTCGGACAGATGCTGAATCTGCTGCTGCTGAGCCACGATCTGCTGGTTCAACAAGTCGATCTGCTGGGTGGGGACCAAGTCGTCGTTGTTCTGGGCTTGTTTGCGCGGGGCCGGCGCCTTTCGCCGAATGTTGTCGAGCGATTCCTTGTTATTCATCCGAAACTCAGGATGCTTAAATTCCCATGCCTGTATTGATTTGCGCCATGAGTCTTCTGGTTCATTTCCTGGTCTGAGGAGGGAGACTCGGAGGGGGTCCTACATTCTGCCCGTATGGCGACTGGCCATTTTCCTCGTTGTTCTGCCGGACCTTGTGGAAGTCGTACTTGTTGAGCTGACGGACGAAACTGGCAAAGTTGCTGTGCTTGAAGTGTTTGGGGAGGATGGTTTTGGTGAATTTCTCGCACTGGATTTCAAGTCAGCCAACCTTGAGACAGCGACGCGACCGAGAGGCCGCAAAACATCACGAGGGCATGTACCTCTAGGACCACAAAACTATCCCCATCGTCACCCCAGCGAACAATCGAGGCATAGGAGGGATCCTCCAGCATCCTAGAACGACATTAGTACCTTGGCTGAGTCGACAGAGAGAGAGGTCGAGAGGTCGAGAGAGAGATCGAAGACAAAGACTCACTTGTACAGCTTGCGTACCTAGACATTATGTTAGCATCCTCAAGCATCGGGCATCGTGAAGAAACTCACAAAGTCGCTGGAGTTGCCCGGGGGGTTCGAGGTCTGGCCCTCCATGCTGGGCTAGACGGGTCGCGACCGAGCCCTGGCGCAGATTGCAAAAGCAGCGGGAGAGAAGGAACAGTAGAACCGTAGAATAGTTGAACAGTATAGGAGATGAAGGGGAAAAGAGAAGAGAAGAAGAGAAGAGATATATAAGAATGAAAGAGTCGAGGATTTCTCTTTTTTTTTTTTTTTCTTTCCAGGAGGGTGGGAGTTGGGGAAAAAAGAATTCTGAATAATACCCAAGTACCAAAGTTACGAAGTACCGGTACACCCTACAGTACGTATGTACAAGATCTCTTGCAGAGGCAAATTCCAGCCCTTGAGCAGTCTACTTTGGTATTATGCCCTTGTCTTTGTATGGAGTATCTCGTATCTTATTAGGGGCTCACCCATTTTGATATAGATACTCTTGAACGTGCTGAAAAAAAAAATAAATAAATAAAATGAAAATGACAATGAAAATGAAGAATAACAAATATAGAAAAGAAAGAAAGAAAAGAATCTGTACACTGTACACAACCAGTACTCGTCAGGCTTGACGTGCAGATGGACATGGGGATGTCAGTGCGCAGAGGGGGGGTCCCCCCTCGTCCAAGCAAGTGAGACACCGGCATCACCAACTCATGCCAAGCCTGGTTTTTTAGGCCTCAACCACATGGCCTCAGTCAACAATCTATGAATGTATGAAAAGTTCTGGATATTTCATGGTTTATGAATCCCATCCATTTAGTTCTGTGGCTCTGCTCCATTCGGTCCGACGATGGTGGATGATGTCTTGACCACTTCTCGTGAGACAATCTCGGAGATTCCCCTTTGATCTCGGCTAATAAAGAGTGAATATATCCATCCATGGATATATTAATAATGGAATAAATGACTTATTATAGACTCCTTTTTATCCAAGGGATGGTGGCACTCGGGGTGAATAAGATCAGTTCTCAATTACTGCGAATCAGCCCCTCTGCAATTTGCCAAGGTCAAAGCGATGATGTTTGCACCAATCCACTAGACTTGATCTCGCGGTGACAGGGCTGGGATCCGAGGATTGTACAATATCGAATTTGAGAGAGCGCTTAGCCATCACACTTATGAAGCGCAGTTGCACAGGTTCTACCTAATTCCTTAGATACTCGGTGATCAGTCAAGGAGTGATTAGATTATCCCAAGTCAGGGCTAACCATGTATATTTATAGTTATATTTGTATATATATATATATATATATAAAACTATGGAATTGTTGAATTGTTCAACAGAAGCGTGCCAGTCCAAATGATGATCACCCAACGGTTGCCGGAACTAGCAATGACGAAATCCTCCGGAGCTCTCCAAACCCATCCCTCTCTTCTTTTCTCTCTCTCTCCCTCCCCCAATCCATCCCCATCTCCCATTCTTGTATTTAGGTCCTCAATTAGCCTGATTCATTTGCCTTCACAATGTTCGCCGCTCGCCGTTTTGCAACCGCTCTTCCCCGCGTCAGGCCCCAGGCCGCTCTCTTCCACAGCACCGCGCCCGCCTTCGTCCAGAAAGGCGACGCCATTCCCAACCTGGATGTGCTTGTCGAGGACTCTCCGGGCAACAAGGTCAATCTGGCCAAGGAGATCAAGGGCAAGGGCGTGATTATCGGCACCCCGGCTGCATTCAGTGCGTGTACCCTCAACAGTTAGCTACCATGACGCGCCTTCAAAATGTGGATTGTTGACTTGCTCCCCTCACCGCGCTTTTGCAGGCCCCGCGTGCTCCAGCACCCATGTCCCCGGCTTCATCAACCACCCCAAGCTCAAGGAGGCCGGTCAGGTGTTTGTGATCTCGGTCAATGACCCCTTCGTGTATGTCTGGCGAAACTGCAAGTGGCGATGAACCGCTGTTGATTGGATTTTTTTTTCTATAACAGGACCAAGGCCTGGGGTGTTTCTCTGGACCCGACGGGCAAGAGCGGTGTATGTCGTCCTCTCTTTTTCTTTTCGAGTCTTCCAAGGGTGTCTGCATTGCTGACCAAACTCGTTTCTTAGGTCCGCTTCCTGGGTGACCCGACTGGCAAGTTCACTGAGGCTCTGGACCTCAGCTTTGACAGCACCTCGATCTTCGGCAACCACCGCAGCAAGCGCTACGCCCTGCTTGTGGAGGATGGCAAGGTCAAGGACGCTTTCGTCGAGCCCGACAACGCTGGTCTCAATGGTACGGACCTCCCTCTTTTTTATATCGTACACACTGGACCATAATACTGACACGAGAATAGTTTCGACCGCCGAGAAGGTGCTCGGTTAAAGCCGTATATAGGCAGACAATTCCCCCGGAAGCCTTGCACATAGCAGAACCCAAAGGTCTGTAGGAATAGTTCAATAAAAAGAAATCTATTTAAGCATTCTGCCGTGCTGTCAACGCACGGCATGAGACAACTTGAATGTACAGAGATCCCCGCCCTTAATCCAATCCGGTCAACGCCCGAAATTCATGTTCCCCCCAGCCCAACACATGGAATCAATGGAGTAAGCGACTTGGATCGATCCTATTCGTCGTGCTCCACAGTTGCGAAGTAGGATATACCATTTGTATCGTTCTCCCTCTTTTTTTTCGTTCTTTTTCTTCTTCTGGGCGAAGACAAGAGGAACTCCCCGGTTATAGCACACCACCCGGGTCCAGCACAGCACTCTTAATGCTGCAGCCCCTGCCACTGCTCGGGGGTGTAGCACTTGGGCGTCCAGGCATGGATAGCAGCAATTTCAGCCTTGAGCACGGAGTTGACAAGCCGGTGTCGCGCGAGCATAGTCTTGCTCTCGAACTGGGGGGAGACAATCACAGCCTGGAAAGCTTGACCGCAGCCACCTATACCACAAAACAAAAAAAAAAAGACAGTTGGTTAGTATGATTGCCGAGGTCCAGTGGAAGAAGAAGCCGCATTGGGATTGGCTGGTCATTGCATACCCGACAAATCCTCAATCTCGACATGCTGCGCCTGCAGCTGGTCAATCAGCTTGGCGCGCAGCGAGTCGGCCGTGATGCCCGAGGTGTCGGCCATGGCGGCGTCGATGGCGGCGGACGAGCGCGCGGTGAGGGAGAACGATGCCCGCTGGGATGGGAGTGGGCGGAGAAGGTAGCGGCAGCTTCTGCTCAGGACAGTCAAGGGGGAGGCGCGGAAGAACATGAAGCAGGGTAAGAAACAAGAGGAAGAGGCAAGAGAAGCACAGCGAATATCCTAGGTAATTCCTGTGGAGATCGAAGTAGGAACCTTGGAAGATGTTGGCGCATTACAAATTGATCGGCTGTGGCTGGGGCGCACGTGTGTGGCGCCCTCCATCGTCATGGTTGATTTGCTGCACCAACGCTTTTCCCCGATCCTTCAGTCGAGAAGTCTGGGGTATAAAAGAGAAAAGTGTTTGTTTTTCTGGTTCTTGCTCGATGAATTGTCTGCGCTCTGTACGCCACTACACAATGTCTTCAATCTCTGCGCCTGTGTCCTGCTCGCCCTTCACCAAGGCTGTGGTGAGTTCTATGCGAAAGCTGTATGTCCCTCCTCCACCCCGATTGAATAGCTCCCCGCACTCCACGGAGCTGGTGAATAACCCGCTGGCAATTGCAGATACCCCGAATCCTTGGCAGATAAGAGCTTCGACAATACCGGCTGTAAGCAATTGAGTGTCAATCAGCGTCGCAAACGTGCTAAGGAAACCTTCTAGTGCTTCTTGAAGCTCCGTTCGACCCATCTCGAAGACAGAAAAACTCGGTGCTCTTGACCATCGACCTGACGACAGCCGTCGCAGATGAGGCCATCCGGCGGCGCGACTCAGTGGTCGTGGCATACCGTAAGTGTATTATTGCCAGAACAACAGCCAGCGCACGAGAACTCATAAACCATTCCTCCTGCGCAGACCCGATTATCTTCCGCGGCCTCAAGGCCATCACCCTAGACGACACCCAGCAGCGCTCGCTCCTACGGCTCGCACAGCACGGCATCAGCGTGTACTCGCCGCACACGGCCGTCGACACGGTCCCGGGCGGCATGGCCGACTGGCTCTGCGACGTGGTAACAGGATCCTTCAAGTCGACCTCAGCCACCCCGCAACGACCCATCCCAGAGAGCGCCTCAAAGCTATATTCCGAGCCAACATACCCGCACCCAGAAACCGCAGCAACAACAACAACAACCTCCACATCCACATCCACATCCACTCCGACAACCCCGCACACCCGCAGCACAATCCACCCCTCCCCACTATCCTCCATCCCAGCAGGCCTCGAAACCGCCGGCGCCGGCCGCTTAGTAACCTTCAGCGAGCCGCAACCCCTCCCAACTCTAATCGACCACATCGCCCAAGGCGTCGGCCTACCAGGCGGGATCCCCATCGCGATTCCCCAGTCCGCGTCTTCAATCAACGACCTGCGCATCCGCACTGTCAGCATGTGCCCGGGCTCCGGCGCCGGCGTCCTCCTGCGTGCCCCCGGCCCGCTCCCGGACCTCCTCTTCACCGGCGAGATGAGTCACCACGAAGCTCTGGCTGCTACCGAGCGCGGCTCTGTGGTCATCTCGCTGGCGCACTCGAATTCCGAGCGCGGGTATCTGCGTGCTGTGATGCGTGCTCGTCTCGCTGAGGATGTTGAGGACTGCTGGCGGAGGGATCGCGAGGATGCGCTTGGGGCGCTGCGCGATTCTGCGAAGCAGGGTGGGGCTGCGATTGCGTCTGCGTCTGCGTCGGGCGAGTTGGATGTTTACTCGGATGGGGAGGTTGAAGTTGCGGTTAGTAAGGCTGATCGGGATCCTTATGGGATTATGGTTTGGCGTGGTTGAGTACTTCCAGTCTCTATTAAATAGAGATTTTCGTCATGGTGTGGTCTCTAGAAAATAAAAAGTAAAAAGAATTAATAGATGTGGTCTTGGAAATGGCCACAGTCCAGCTATTCTACAAAATGGAAGATTCCCTTCACAACAAGAAATAACACCTACTTATAATATAAGAGTATATGTGATCCGAAAAATGATTAGAAAAGGGATCAAAAAATAGAGATTAAAAAAGTATTAGTGAGCCATTCTCTTTAAATTAGAGAAAACTTAGTTACAAAGGCTTTAATATCTAATCTAGATTCTCTATTACATACGTCTCCTTGAGCACCCTAAGCGAAGCGAGGGTCAGCGGCTTATTCCATGTATAAATACAACATGGCTAACAGATTTAGTCCATTCAGCTGCAGATACATCGGCAACTATGCTAGATCACCTATCTAGACACATGATGAAATATAAAAAAAACAGAGACAATGAAAAGAAAAGGGAATCTCAAAAAAACCAAGTCTGAAATGAAAAAGGATATCCTAGTGACAGAAAGAAACAAAAGAGAAACAGGTCCTGGATGTGAGAAAGGGAGAGTAACACAGGAAAGTAAGCTCGAGGTCAGGGGGGAAAGGGAGGGAAGACAATGAAAGAGACGAGTAGAGCACATCGTGTCCTTGAGATAAGGTTGACGTTAGGTAGCTATAGGGAGAAAACTGGACCGAGCCCCGAAGGATGGAATGACACAAGGGAAAAAGGAGAGAAAAAAAAAAAGCATCAATGGTGAGTGAGTTTAAACGAGAAAAAGAAAGTGAAAAAAAGAAAGAAAAAAAGACAGGTGGTATCCGGCAATTCCGTTCATGGTCCCAGCAAAGTCAATGTGTATCAGGATGGTTTCCACCAGAGTCAGCTACAGATCAATCAAGCTACCCCCCGGCTGCGACTGTTGTTGACCCCCCCATGGGCTGTTCGGGTGTTGCTGGTGTTGCTGGTGTTGTTGCTGGACAAATCCTGTCCGCTGCGGCATACCGGTGAACTGCTGGCCGAGGAACGGGTTATTGCCCGTTTGCGTAGCATGCAGTCGATCCAGACCTTGGCCAGCCGAGTTGACAAAGGTGCCCGGTGCCGTGTGTTGTGCGGGAATGCGAAGGTCTCCAACGTTACCGAAGGTGTCTTGACCCTCGCCAGTGGAAAGAAGGGCGTTCAGACGAGCATGGTGAGGATCATGGGGTTGGGGCGGGGTACTCTTGGGCGGCTGAGGAGCCTGAAAGTTGGCAATCGGGTTAGGCTGAGCGGGTTGGTTGAATGTTTGGTTCTGCTGGTTGAATTGACTCGTGTTGGTCTGCTGAAATTGATTTGTGGCACGGTCTTCGGCCAGAGCGTTGAGAGTTGGTGGTCCTGTGGGCTTTTGCTGGGTGAATTGGGTCTGGGTGCGCGCAGCAAAGGGGTTATTCGATCCCGTCTGCATGGGTTTGAGTGCGTCAGCCGGCTGCTGCGGCTGACTCGCTGCCCACGGGTTATTGCTTCCGGCCGTAGGGTAGTTCTCCTGGGGCTGTTGCTGTTGCTGTTGTGGCTGTTGCGAAAAGACATCTGTTCCATAGGGGTTCTTGTGGTTGAATGCGGTCTGCTGCGGTTGAAGGGCTGCTTGGGGCTGCAAGAAGTTGTTCTGGGGCTGCCCGTAAGGGTTCTGGTCGAAGACAGAGGGCTGTGCCTGGTAGCCATTGGTGTAGGGGTTGTTCATGCCAGTGGGCTGGTTCTGGAAGCCGGTGGGTTGCGCATATTGGTTATTGAGGAAGCCGGTCGTCATGGGCTGCTGGACGTTGATCGGGTTACCGAACCAGTCCACGGCGCCCTGTTGCTGATAGCCCTGGTTGAAGCCAGTCGGCTGGACCTGAGTCGGAGTGTCATCGAAGAGCGACTGCGCATTGCTTTCCTCCAATTCCCGCTTCCGGAGATCCTCTTCTTCCCGGCTCAACTTGATTGCCTTGGCGAGATCCTCGTCTTCCTCGCCTGCCATGGCTTCCTTGGCGCGGCGCTTGCGCTCCTCCTCGGCCTCGGCCCTACTGGCCTCGATGGCTAAGCGGTACTCGGTATCGTCTTCGTCGTCGCCCTGGCGCCTGCGTCGTTCCCTGCGCGGCGGCTCGGCCCCGAAACCTCCGTAGCCGTCATCGAGTCCGCTGACGCGTGTCTTCCAGAGTTTGCGGTCCGATCGTTCGCTGCGCAATCGATCTTCGTCCAGTACCAGCGCAGTCAATTCCTTTGCGGCCACTCGAACTAGAAAGAAAACCAACCATCAGCCATGCGACGGGGGTGCATCCGGACAAAAGCTACTCACCGTTTTGACCGACATCTCGCGCTTCCTCGTCAATATATTGGAATTCACGCAGAGTCTTGATAATATAAACATTCTTCCGTGCCCATGTCACCACCAACTCCGACCCTTCATGGAGACAGTAATCCAGCACCTTCAGCGACTTGAGCACATGGCGCCAGTTCTTTCCCTTATCGTTGAGTCGTTTGTCGAGCATGTCCATGATCTCGTAGAACTCGTTCGGGCTGTGAGAACAAGAAGCATTAGAAAACCGTATCGCAACATTGGTTATGGAACAATCCTACCTCCCGAAAGTCATGGCCGCAATCTCGGACATGTCGGTGCCCGTCGGGCCCCAAGGATCATTACTTGTGGCTGCGAAGAGTTATGTATTAGCATCATGGTGCTCGCTTCACTCTGTGGGTTTGGAGGGGGATATAGAACAAGTCGCTGCCGCTGCCGCCCTTCGCCGCTCCGATAAGGAGACAAGCCAGTGGCAACGGGGAGAGGACACGCAGGCGCGGGGGATGGCGACAGTCGCTGAGAAACCCCACGAGACAGTAAGAACCACAACATACCATTTCGAACCTTGACCTGCACTGAGGAGTATCCCTTTGTGACGTTCTTGACACTCCGGACGACTTTGGACATGGTGCCGAAGGAGTTGCGACGGTCGCAGAAGGCAAGGGAGGATAAGATCTAGCAAGGCGCAATCGCAGTGTGGGATACGGGTCGCTCGAGTCGAAGGGAGATGTTGTCGCAGTCACGGAGTTTCTGTGTTGCCAAGCACACACAGCCCACTCTCTCTATTTCTCCGGATGGCGGCCCAAGAGACGGTCAGTCGCAGTCACTGGCGCAATTCTCCCCTTTTTTTTGGCGATGAATCAGATGGATCGGCAGACCGGTAGAAAGAGAGGAAGAAATAGAATTGAATTCGAGATCTGACGAGGTCAAAGTCACAGAGGAGCAGCCGGGCAGAGAAGAAGGAATGGAGAGAAGAGAGAGGGAGAGGGGACTGTGGCTGGAACGGGAGGCAGCCTTGGCAGTGACGAAGCAGCGGAGCCAACTTCTCGATCAACGTTCTTTGCCCGAGTTGGAAACCCTTCGACTACATTTATGAGGCAAATTATTAGATGGTCTCTCTGGTTTTTAGGCCCATAAATGGGAGTTATTGTTAATTTTTTTTTTTTTTGTCGACCTCCCGGTATAACCTGACTATCTGGCAATTTGACCCCGTCGCAAGCGTCCAACGTTGGCGCCTCAGAGCTTCGGATTGAGCTCAATTGGCCCAACACCCAGACCCTGGAGTCGCTCATTTGCATCATGACACTTCCAAGTAGAAGAAAAAAATCCCACACGTTCTGTCACCGCCACATGTGGCGAGGCCGCGTCAGAACAGCGCCAAATAGGCAGCCGTCAATTGGGAGTGTAACCCAGCTCGCGGAACCGACCTTGGCGAGAGAGTTAGAGAATTCAAGAGCCTTGGAGAGTCTTGCGCCTTGAATCAGCAGGGCGCTCGCTGCTTCCAATTCCTTTGCAACTCGATCCTGCCAGATAAAGGCGTTACGTCATTCTATTTTAAAGGTGCCGGTTCTTGGCATCAAGCAGATCTGATTAGGTCAAAGCTGGACTATTCCACGGATTTATTGCAGAATATTGCAGGCTGTGTGTCACTGAACATGTACATTCAAACTGAACTAAATATAAGGGGGAACTGCCATTGTCTAGGAGTATGCTGTGGAACGCCTATACGCCCCCATGAAACCGTATATATACATGAAAAAAATAAGTAGGGGAACGGCCAAAGATTCAGAGAAGGCAATAATACCCAGCAGACACCAATCAATGCCCCGTTTCCAATCGGATCCGGGATTACGCCTCATAGGCCGATTCAAAGCCCACGCTCCATACGCCGTGGGCGCCCTGGACGGGATGAGGTCCCTCCCAATCCCAGGACTTCTTCTTTTCCTTGTACGAGGCAGCGCCGACATGTTGCATCTGCGACGGCGACATGGCCAGCCGGTCCAGCCCGGTTTGATCAGCCAGCACCTCGATGGCGCTGTCGACAGCCATAAGGTTACTCTCTCCGGTTTTGCGAAGGTGGTCGATCAAGAGCGGGGCCTTCTCTCGAGGGAAGAGCATAGCCTGCGAGCAACAGCCGTTGCGATTCATCACATGGACCCCCGGATTCATCGGGCGCACGGTCACCCGTCCCGCGAGGAAGTACAAGACGATGATCAACGGCATGTACACCAGACAGACGACAGCGAGGAACCGATTGCTGATAACCTCATGCATGGGCCGGAATTTTCGGCGCGCGAAAAGACCCATCCCGCCAACGGCTGATATCGTCAGCAGGCTCGCTGCCAGATATATGGGCCACTCCTCAGAATTCCAGCCCAGGAATTTCTCCGTGTAAAACAGGCGGAGGTAGAGCCAGTCGTGGATCTTACCCTTCTCCTGCCATTCCTTGGCTTTGCGCAGACTCTGCATGGTTTGTCCGTACCACTTTTTCTGTGCCACCACGTCGTCCTCGAGCATCAGGAACCACTTCGCATCGGTCTTGTAATAACAGGCTTCTAGGGAGAGTCGGTAGTCGATTAATGATTTCCCTTGCACGTTCTTCTCTTGCTCGAAGTGCCGGAGGGTGTCGATGGAGGCATTGAGTTGGTCATAGGTCAGGACATGGTCGACCAGATTCGCGACCCACGGCTGGCCGTAGTCAGGGTGGTCGGTGAGATTAGTTTGGGCGAAGAGGACCTGAAGCTCGAGGCTGGACCACTGGTCTCGGGAGAGGCCATCGAGGATCGAGCCGACAGTGGTGTCGAGGTTCTGCTGCATCGGTCGCTTCACCGTGACGATTCCGGCGCACATGTCGATGTTCTCGGAGACAGCGGAGCCATTCTTGTTGTTGTGGGCGGGAACGGTGGCCGAAAGATTGAAAGTCGCCAGAAACCGCAAGGCTTCTTCGATTCTCGTCAAGCTATACCGGGGCTGATATCCCTTTTCGGGCTGGAAGAAGTGGGAGCCCGGATCTTCCGCGGAACGAACGCTGAACCAACACACGAGGAGGACATAGGTCACGACGAGCCAGACACCCACCAGGCGCTGCTTCTTGTTGAGCGCCATCTAGTTGGGGTGGTTGACGCCCATGGGAACATGGGCGCTGGTGTGAAAGGGGAATGGAAAAAAAAAAAGGATTAGGAAAGAGCGCACAATACATCATCCCGACAATCTCAGCCCCCACAGGCAGCAAAGGCTCCAAGTTAAGTGGATATACGGGGGCTCTCGAGCCACCCGATCGACAGCTATCTGGGTACCAAACTTAGATACTGTACATGTACCATAGACCCTGAATATGAGTTGTGTCCCCTGTTGAAGAAATCATGAGATTTGAGATTTTACCCAACTCTAAGTTAGACAACAGCATTGTATGAGAGACTGATGATGCTTTGATCATTGTTTCCAGGTACCTTCAAGAGACCTCCAAGGCTCGCTGGTTCTTATTGTACATGTAGGTACTGGTGGGGTACCACGCATACTGCTGCATGGTTGGTTCATTGCAGTGGATCCCTTGTCCCAAACAGGAAGGGCGGGAGACATAGCACAATGGACACGTGTGGCTTAGTCAGTTTTATACCGAGCACATTGTGATCTACAGATGGACTTAACAGGTGTCATTATTATACCAAGTCTTGTGTCAGAATAAGAGTAATGACATCAGTCACATCTTCTAAGGAGATCAGTCGAATTGATGGGTAAGGGGGGTTCTCAGGAGTTTATCTTTCTGGTAACGGACTCTTGACTGTGGGGCCACTTGCATTAGACCTTTGGAGGATATTCAAAGCCATCCCTTATTGCGTTTCTAGAAGGCCAACTGGTCAAGATTAAAGTATACCTTGTATCTTTTACCACCAGACCTCAACCTCAGCCGTTAATTCATAGGGTCCATCATATCTAGCAGATATGAATGATATTCGCCCTAGGGTGACTTGCAATAGAAAAGACGGGCTGAAATGAAATAATTTCAAATGACGCAGCGATTTCTCTCCTTAAACAAATTAAGTCACAGCCGTGTTTACGCAAAGTCAGGACACTGCCACACTTCAACCCCACTGTGTCCACGTAGTTTCCTTTCTTTAGTGCATACGTGACTTCGTTAAAACACGCAAATATTCTTTCTAGGTACCCCCCTTAGAAGGAATAGCAAAGGAAAATAAGATATACTAACAAAGACACTCGGAAAAACAGAAAGCAAAATAGAAAGACAAGTAGGGAAAGAGAGAGAGAGAGTAAACAAAATAGATGAAGATAGTAAAGGAAGAATATAAAGAAAATATCCTAAGCTTTTGTAATCAGGTCAATGATATGAAGTGTTTTAAATAAACCAAAGGTTAGATAATAAGCTTTCAAATATAATTTCTACTCTCTACTCTGCCTCCTAAAGTCGCCCGAACGAAGCTAGGCCAATAGCTTGTAGTTGAATCATTGACAACATTCCATCGTATATAACTATATCTAAGACCTCACGCATCTTCCACACCAATAGACTTGGCCTTCATCTCCCCAAACATTTGGTCCATTGCCTGGTGGCACTCCAACACCTTATACCCATATGTTCGCAGCTTCTGCACAGCCTTCGAGGAATCCATCTCGAGGTTGCACCGAGGTGCCTTGAGAATCTTGGCCTGCTCTTCCAGCGAGAACGTGGACCAGCTCAGGGATGGACGGAGGTGCTTCTTGATCAATTCCATTGCTTCGCTGAGTGTAAATGCCCCGGGGTTGGTCTGTGACGCGATGGACAAGGTAAGCCTTTTGCAATTAAATTACCAAATATACCGATTAGAGATCACATACGAAGTTGTAAAGACCTGTCTCTCCGTTCTTGGCGAGGATGATCGCCCCGGGGAGCAGGTTGGGGCAGATCGTCCCGGACTATTATGCGCGTTAGCAAATGTGAACACGGAAGCTGTGCCCCGTGGAAGATGCGTACATTCGGCACATCAATCAGCTTCTTGAAGCCGAAGAGCTTGGTCACAGTATTCTTGGGGTGCAGGTCCCCAGACAGCGGATTGCGGATTCGTAAGATGAGGACATTGGGATAGTGTTTGATTGCCTGGCGTAGAGAAAGCAGCCAGTTAGTCCTCGTTTCATTCCCCAGAGTTTTGATTGGTGTACCTTTTCCGAGATAATTTTCGTGTTCGAGTAGAATGACCGGAAGAAGTTCGGCTCCTCCTCCTCGGTATATCCCTTTCCACCCGGTGGATGCGCATCGTCGTAGTCATAAATGCACCCGGACGAGAAATGTGTGACATGAATGCCGAGCAAAAAGCAGCAGTCAACCACATTGGTAGCTCCGATGATGTTGGCTCGGATTGTCTCTTCCTTGTGGTCTTCGCACCAGTCGACGTTGGGCGTTCCTCTCACTCCAGCGGCGTTGATGACATGTGTGGGTTGCACTCTTCTCAGCTCACTATTGACACACGGAACATTGGTTACTTGTCTCAACACAAGAGAAAGAAAAAGATCCGTGCAGAATCATGCATGGATTCGCACATACCTAAGCACGGCCTCGCGATCTTCCAATCGGACCTTGGTCACTTCATATGATTCGCCTCCAGTCTTGAGGATGTCTCGGATTTGTCCTGCAATCCAGCCATCGCCTGTATTTCTTGAATTAGAATTCTTCAAGGGCGACAATTGCACTGATTGATAGACTTGGATCTTTACCAAAGACGAGATAGAGCGGTACTTTGCCGGCAGTCATTTTCTTTGATCGGATATAGTGAGATGGGAGGCGATGATGGAGATAGAAACCAGGCAGTAAGAACCACCTATAAATTGGGCTTTATGGTCGGGGTAGTTTCCTGGTCGATATGTCATAGAAGTTGACTCCATTCTGGAGTCAAGACACTAGCAACCGGAGTCAACTCCACCTCGGCCTCCCGCATCACCCGTGGGGACGAAGAGAGGCAAGTCCATTTACAAGACCGAGGACCAAAAAAGTCGGAGGAAACTAAATAAACCAGAGCCTTGGGGGCTTAAATGGAAGAGTGGAGTGGAAAGCGAGCTGGTGTCGAATAACCGACTCCTGTTTCTCCCAGCGAGATGGCTACTGCGCGGGCGTTGAACTATGGACCAGAAATGTTAAATAGCTCGCCCAGTGCCTGCTGCAATCTTGCTTCTCTTCAACAGAATACAAACCATCACTTGTATCCAAGACGCTCGCTCTCGACTATTCGCACATCAACCAGCGCCTCCAAAGCCTGAACCACCATGGGTATCAAGGGCGTGCAAGAAGTTATCACACCGGAGTCCCTCACTGGGACAACCGTCTACGAACAATATCCTGGGGTGAAGAACATTCTGATCACTGGTGGAGCTGGGTTTATGTATGTCCCTGGTGTCTTCTCCCGAGGTCCCATACAGCCCTAGCAGATCTAACGCCATCCACCCCAACAGAGGAAGCTGGGTGGCACGCCACTTTGTGCTAAAGTATGCCGGCACATACCATGTGATTGTGATGGACATCATGGCCAGCGCGGCATCAAAGAACAACGTCGCATGTCTCCAGGACAAGGCCAACTTCCACTTCGTTCAGGGAGATATCCTGGACCGGGAGTCAATTATCAACATCCTTGAAAAGTACGAGATCCACGCCGTCTTCCACTTTGCAGCCGAGAGCCATGTCCAGAAGTCCTTTAGCGATCCGTTCGCTTTCACGCGGATGAACGTCTTCGGCACGCACAACCTGCTGGATGCCATGCGGCACTACGGCAAGATCGTGCGTTACGTCCATGCCTCGACGGACGAGGTCTATGGCGAAACACAGGGCAAAGAAACTGATGAACGGGCCCTGTTGAGCCCCACCAACCCCTATGCGTCCAGCAAGGCCTCCGCCGAGATGTATGTCATGGCCTACCACAAGAGCTTCAACATCCCGGCGTTGATTCTTCGCTGTAACAACGTGTTTGGCCCGTGTCAATTCCCCGAGAGTGAGTACTTTTCAGCTCTATGAAGCCTTGCTTTTACTACTTTCTTCTATACTCTATTGTTTATCCTCTTTTTTTTTTTTTATTATTTAGATGGTCACGTTCACTGACCTCCTACTTCATTGAACAGAGATCGTCCCCAAGTTCACTCGTCTCATGATGGATGGACAGAAACTCACCATGCAGGGTGATGGCACGCGCACAAGAAACTTCCTGTATGTTTCTGATGTCGTGGATGCCTACGACACTGTGCTCCACCACGGTGAGCTCGGCGAAATCTACAATGTCAGCTCGTCATTCAACGTCAGCGTGCGCAGTGTCGCCGACGGCGTCCTTGCATCTTTCGGATATGACCCCGTCAAGGATTTCCAGAAGAATGTCACGCAGATCCCGGATCGACCCTATAACGACGAGGATTACGTGGTGGTTGGAGACCGGTTGAAGGATATTGGCTGGAAGCAGAACATCGACTTCGAGAAGGGTCTTACGACGTCGGTGAACTGGTATAGACAGAATGTGGATACGTGGTGGGCGGCTGCGTGAAGGCTGCAGGGACAGGTGCCCGGTGTTCCCTTGGATTGAATTCATTGTCTTATTACTTATATCTCACTTGAAAAATTCGATTTTATATATACTTCAATTTATCCTTTCCTGCGTCTTACCACGCTGGTCCTATTAATTATTCATTCTCGACTCTATCCTAATCGCAGATCATAATCTCATACAGTTCAAGTCATGTCAATCCGCCACCATTGAAATCCTAACTGCTTCAAAACCCTCTTCTTTCTCATCGACTGTACTTCCTATCGCGTCTAATAACGATCGAACCAGCCGCTGTCTGCGCGACTTACTGCAAGGAATCGTCAATGACAAGAGCTCTCGCTTCCCAGAGGCCTTGGTCGGATCGGCATTGCTCGACGGCCCTATACTTAGCGGATCGGCATTCTCGGTGATGCTTGGCTCAATTCCAACCTCGTCCCAATCTGGCACTACGGGTTCGAGGCTGGGGCCACCGAGTTCCTCGAATCCAAAGTTGCTACAAGCCAAGCCGGGCGAGATTTGTTCGTCGGGAGAGAAAGTGTGCAGCATCGGCGAGATGTCCAGCGGTAGTAGTGAGTCGAGATGGTTGCTATGCCCGGCATTATGTCCAGAAATTTCTGATGTTGATATGTGCTTGTGTTGGTTATGAAATGGGGAGATCCAGTTCATGCCTTCGTCGAAATGGTTGTTATTATAGTCTTCGCTGGGCGGCGTAGAAGTCTTGTCGCTCATGTCTTGGTCGAGGGCACTGCCCTGACCGTGTTTTCTTCGCTCGCTTCGCTTTTGTCGGCGGAGTAGCAACGCATGTCTGTTTTTGAGGGCAAGAGATGACCGGGGTTTAACGTGGTGCTCGGCGATTAATTTCCAGTTGCGTCCATGTTTTGTGACGAGTCGAAGGAGGTGCCGATCCTTTGGAGGACTTCAGTCAGTTTCTTTTCCAGGAACAGAATAAGAGAGAAGGAGACGAATAAAAAGAAACTCACTTCTCGGTCAGCCCAGGGACCATGATCAAGGACCGGGTTCAAGGCATTTCTCCAACGTTTAGCACACTGCTCGCCGTTGCGACTTCCAACTGCTTGTGCTAGGGTCTTCCACTTGGTCCCATACTTAGTAACTGCAGCACGAAGACGCTCATCCTCGGCCAAAGTCCAGCTCCCCATGTTTATCATGTTCATGCCACTGAAGTGCTCTTCTTTCGGCATTGGCTTGACATCGCCAGTGAAGAAATTCGGATATTCCATGTTATGTTGGGCAACCCAGGTCTTGGCTACGTTGCAGGTTAACAAGGAACTCTCTTCTACTGCCAGTCTGCAAGTTCCATGCGTGGCACCTTGCCCAATTTCTGAGTTAATTCTCCGCTTCCACCCGTGGTGTTGGGATGCGCAAGCAGGACTCATGGCATGCCCGATTCATGTGGAGACTATTTGTTGGGACTGAGGCTCTGCCAGTATTTCTCCACCGCCTCCCTGACCGCCCGCAGCGGACCTGTAGGTAGCAGATAGCTTCGCTTCTCTTCTTCTGCTCCCTTTCCTCAGCAGTTCTGCTCTCCCCAGCTTCACTACAGCACATGCAGCCTTGTCGGATGAAATGGTCTAGTGGCTTGTGATACTACATTCTTCTCTTTCTCTTTACGCAAAGATCAAGAATTCAAAATTCAATCATAGAGTTCAGAGTCAGCTTTGGGAGCGCCCCCCTCCCTATTTGTCATGGGGATAACCCGCCTTGGGGGCCAGAAACCTGTGCCTGGGGAACTGCAACTTAACCTTAAAAAAACGCGCATGCAGACTAGTGCATGTGCTAACGAACCCACAAGCTATCAGGCTGACAAGGCTCGCAGTGGGAAAACAATCGGAGAACAGTGCGGCCATACTTCCGGATTGCCGATGTAACCTCTGGCAAAATTGTATGAAATGCACGGATTCGGTTCCAATTAAATTGATCCGTCTCAACAGAACCTCCGAGCGGAGAGAAGTGAAAGGGGCCAAAAGGTGAATCTGGGATCGCTGATGTCGAAGAGCCACAGCGTGGTACGACGATCCTTGAAGTCTTCGGCACCGGGCTATTGGGGGCCGAACTATTGTTGGTTTTCCAACTTACGTACCATAGCGATGACAGTGATATTTTTGTTATTTTCTTGCAAGTAATGATGTTATGATATGATGGTATGCAGGGATTCAAATCTCCGGCGCTTGAGGGAAAAATTGCTTGGCCCTAGTTCCTAGGAAGACGATTTGCGTTCTGCAACCATATCCTCGAACCCGGACTGCTGAATCGTCAGGACCTGATCGACCGATAATATGACAGGATATCCAGGCCACTGGATCCGCCCCTGCTACGCCTCCACTGCCCAGGCTCGTCATCGAAGACATGATCAGTTCGTGTCACTCAGTGCCATCATTCCGGTCAAAATCGTCTTTCCAAAGTTCTCGAACAGCAGCTCCCAAAGATTCTAACATTTCTGCGGATCCCGCCGTCTGCCATAAATAGGAATGGCTGGTAATATCCATGAATAGTTTCTGGGTAGGGGGAGAACGCGAGGCATCTCCAATGCCTCCGAATTACAACAGATACAGAACCGAGCATAAGTGTTGCGTGCTTTGCGAAGGTCTGATTTGATTGGAGTCACTCATATGATATAGAGATACATACAAATTGGCGATCTGATCGAATTTTTGGGGCCAGTAAGGTGGAGCATGGAGGAGCCCGCTTGGCGGAGCATTTTGAGGTCCATCTCAAAGTCTCAGGTCCATCATGATCTCATGTCTTTTCTTTGACTGACTCGTGGGTGATGACTGCAAACTGCCCATCGCAGTAGGGAATGTGAGGATCCGTCGGCAAATAGTTGTGCTTAAGGATGATTCATTGCCCGTGCCATCGGGTGTCGGTGCCCACATCGCCTAAAGCTTTTCTACCGTTAGCACAACCCCTAGAAGATAAAGAGGTGCCAGTAATGATGCCTCTTGGAGATGAGAAAGTGCTGGCTATAGATTCACAGAGAGAGGGGGTGTCATAACTTGAACACCAACAAGAATATCACCGGATCTGACTTCTTAGCAGAGTCGGGACCACATTGTTTACATCATTTGTGATGATATCCTTTTTGCAACTCAACCAACACGTATAGTGCTGGCCTCTTTCAGGTCCGCTCATGGCTTCCTTATTCACTCTCTGCAGGTACCATTGTCGTCCTTAGTCGTCCACTCGTCACCAATGATCTGTGCCTGTGGCCTTAAACAACAAGTCTCGCGGATATCCTCGACGATTCGGTTGAATTGCTGCACGGAATGTGGCTACAAGAGGCTCTCTGCAGTAATCCGATCTGGAGAAGCCCTGAAAACTGGTGCCGGTCCCAACCGAACCAGTCCTCAGATATATTCTCTTTCGGAATCGTGGTACGTCTTTGCTCATCAAATTTAATGATTCCTAAATTGTTGCTGATACCCTCTAGATGATCTATATCATGCACAATATAATGGCCTTCCACATCAGCCAGGAGCATCTGTCAGCGAAAGACATGTGGCGCCCAATCCTCCGCCGAGATATCTCCTATTTTGCAGATGAAGACAGTCTGAATCGGCTTCTTACGCATATGGGAAAAGAAAACGAGTTTTTCTTCCGCCTGATTGAACTCGCCGGCAGCTTTACGCCGGGAGATCTCAGGCAACCTTTCGCGTCTTGGGATTTTGTGCAGCCAGAGCTAAGGGATCTAGTGAGTCAAATGACGAACCTGGACCCAGAAAGAAGGATCACTGCGAGAAAGGCACTTGATCACCCTTGGTTTACCCAAGATAGTTGAAATACGTCCCTGGTTGTGCTAGATAAGTTTGATCTATTTGTCTCAGCCCGAAATTTGATCGCTGGGCAAAATGAGATATTGAATTGTGTCAAAATAATGAGAATAATGGCATAATGGTTCATTTAAGTGTCAATTATGACCGACTCAAATTCTGGCACCTTGTAGATGTTAAATGGCGAGCTGATTAGGGCCTGGCAAATTGTGACTGGGACCTCCTTCTCTAAGCTATATCCTATCCCACCGCCTTGCTTTTCTAAAACCCTAATCAGATAACGAATGTGGAATCTATGATGTCTGCATCTATTTACGGAGCTTGCTCGTTTGGCTTGTTCTTATAAAAGCCCTTGAGAGTTGTATGGTAAGAAATGTTTGATTCCCTAAACTTCCGAGCTCGCGAGGGCCTGAGAGAGGATAGTAGTTCATAGAGACTACTAGCGAGGATCTAACACAAACAGAATCATCTCTCTGGTGTGCTCTGACTGGATTGGTCTGGTTGCTGTGGCTGGGAAGCCACCTGGGACAACTTGGTGGCGATATCCCGGATCATCTCTCTGTTCTGCATGCGATCTACCCAGTCCCGGGGAATAGATTCATACCCATAGAACACCCCCGCAAGGCCTCCGTAAACCGCTGCAGCGGTATCGGCATCGCCCCCCAGATTCACTGCGGCCAGCACCCCATCCGTCCAGGAATCATACTTGAAGAAGGCCCAGAAGGCCACTTCGAGCGTGTCGACCACCCATCCACTGCTCCGGATGTCTGCATCCGGCTTGGCTTGCCAGTCTGCTATTGTCTTGTACTGGGCAAGTCTCTCGGTCAGAGCCGGATGGGTGAGTGGGAAACTGGTCACTGTTTGCCAGAGTTGTTCTTTATCCTTGCCTAGATTGAGACTGGGGGTTAAACCAAGAAACAACAAGACAATGAAGTCCACAATATGGTATGGTACATATACGAACCATTCATAATCCCACACACCAGCTCTGTATACAGCTCGCAGGCCTCCCCGCACGCAAGCGCAGGATGCGTGACTTGACTCTGCTGCCTTGCCACCTGTCTCGCAAGCTCAGGATTTCTCCACAGCACAACCCCAACCGACGAAATCCTCATCAGGCTGCCATTCCCCGACTGACGCTCTCGATCGAATTTCTCATGAACTCGCTGCTGTGTGCCCGGGAGATCCTTTGTCCCATGCCTTTGCCAGATGGCCAGCGACAGACGAGTCGAAAACCCGATATCCCAGGCCGAATCGGCCGTACTGAACCGGCCGTTGGCGATCCAGTCGAGAAAGTTTTGGATTGCCAACGCGTGGTTGTATTGTCCATGGGAGTCGATGAACGACTGGGCGAGGGCCAGAGTCATGGACCCGTCGTCGGAGTAGGACCTGGGTTGTTGTTAATTTGTGGACCACATTGCTGATATGCTCGGTTGGACTTATAACTACCCCTTCCGGTTTTCGAAAAGGCTTCACAAAAGCCAGCTCGGTGACGCGGGAGAAAGTGTTAGGGCCCATGAATTGAACAGGACCCCCGAGGGCATCGCCGACACAAACGCCCCAGATGGCGCCCGAGGCACGCGATTCTGTGGATGGGGCCATGATCTATACAGGAAATATACAGGAAAACAAACCCGATCTCTTCATTATTCCTTCAACGCTTGCGAACACAGCCGTTCATTTTAAGCACCAGCGGGATAGTTCGAGAATGCAATGACGCAAGAAATACGATGTCGGCGATGAACTTATCAAGAGGCGCAGTCGGCAGATTCAAAGCTGCACAGCCCCAGAAAGTGAAGATGTCGCACCAACGAGGCTTGGGAGGTGGGCAGGTCTGGGGCTCAGCAGTATCGTCCAAGGACGCCATCGACGCCGTCGTCATCTGCACGCCGGATCGGACGCATCATGAAATCGTCAAGAGTTTGGCTCCGCTGCGGCTGCATGTAATATGCGAGAAATCTCTGGCGACTTCGCTGGATGATTTCTTGGACATATATCGGTATCTGGGACTCGATCGGTCTCCTGAGGTTTTGTTTGCTGTCGGCCATGTCATGAAATACTCGCTGCACAACCAGCTTCTGCGCAAACTGGTGAGCGAGGATGAAGCTGTTGGGGAGGTGGTGTCAGTCGAACACACGGAGAATGTCGGATAGTGGCAATTCTCTCACAGCTATGTTTGGCGAGTGCTTCTTTCTCCCTTTCCTTCTTGATTCCTGTCTTCTCCTGTCCCCGCTAACCCTAATCCCAGAGGAAACTGGCGCAATGAATCCACCTCCGGGCCCACCCTGCTCACCAAGTCCTGCCATGACATCGATTTCCTGCTCTGGCTGATGTGCGAGCCGAATATTCCACAGCCCGACCAGCAGCGGGATACGCCTTACCTGCCATCGAGCGTGTCTTCGTCCGGGTCCCTAACATTCTTCCGCCAACCACGCAAACTTCGAGTAGCGAAAAAGGCAACCAACTATCTGTCCTGTCCCATTGAAAAGGAATGTCACTTCTCAGCCCGCAAAATCTACTGGGAACAAGGGACCTGCCAAGAACTCGGCGGCTGGCCGTTAAACGTGGTCGTTCCGGATATAGAAGCCTACCTTGACGAGGGCGGCTTGAATGGTGCTGCGAGCGGACTTGACCGCAAACTAAAAGAAGACTATACAGAAGAAACCCCGTCGCAAGAGGTATCTTCGCGCCAGTGGTATGGCCGGTGCGTCTTCGAGTCGGACAGCGATGTATGCGACGACCAGACCGTCCACATCACCTGGGACGACGATGAGCCGAGTGGCCGCATGGCGAAACGGGCGACGTTCCACATGACTGCGTTCACGCAGGGCGTTTGCACCAAACAGACCAAGATCTTCGGTACCAGAGGCGAGATCGAGACGAATGGCAAGTCACGGTGCCAACAACGGTGACCTTGATCCACCATCTGCATCCATTATACTGAAATATCAAAGTCTGCCATCGAATCAGAGGCTCGGGTTGGTTATCGACCTGAAAATCGATGTTCTCGCCGTAGGACTTCAACTCCAAGTTGAAAGACGAGCATGGTTCCAGCTTAGACAGGATGCGCTGTAATTGTAGCTGTGTATATTCTGGGGCATGAACTCAAAGCTACGAGTGTATGTGTAGCTGCGAGAGCACCAGAAGAATTCATGAAATGTCGGTCAATCTTGCATTTAACACGAGGATGAAACGAAACCTATTTAATCTCGTGGCTATTTTTATAGTCCTCTTATGAATCGTCTGAAAGAACCATGAAAAACCAGTAGAAGAAAAAGGGTTGGAAAGGCGCTAGCAGGAAAGGCCCTCCTACTATCTCGATAATAGCTAGTATGTTAATCAGTCGCGTATGAAGCATCCAAAGAACCGAAAGACCACATGGGGAAAAAAAAAGATATGCCATAAAAAGGAAAGGCTTGTCAAATCCAATATCCATTCTCGTAGTTCATAGGTATCTGCGTATATATGTGATACACCTGTCTAACAAAAAAAGAAGAAAACTCATGTGTGCGAATCACTCTGCAAGCTCAAGTACTTGGCCTCCGCACCCCGGATACACTGGATGTTGGCACCAAGTTTGTTAATAGTCTCCATGTACTCATCATACGGGTCTGAGTCGAAGACAATACCACCACCAGCCTGGAGGTACGCAACGCCATCCTTGAGCAGCATCGTCCGCAACGCAATACACGTATCCATGGCGCCGGGCATCTCGCCCGACCCATCTGCATTGGCGATGTTATACCCGAAATAGCCCACGGCCCCCGCATACACACCCCGCTTCTCGCCCTCGAGCTCGGCAATGAGCTGCATCGCCCGGATCTTGGGTGCGCCGGACACAGTGCCCGCGGGGAAGATGGACCGGAAGGCGTCGAAGCGTGTCTTGTCCGGGCGGAGCACCCCGGACACCTGCGAAACGAGATGCTGCACGTGCGAGAACTTCTCGACGACCATCAATCGGTCCACTTGCGTTGTGATCGGGTCGCATATCCGGTTCACGTCGTTGCGCGCCAGGTCCACCAGCATGACGTGCTCGGCCCGGTCCTTGAGACTGCCGCGCAGCTCGTCTGCCAGAGCCTTGTCCTCTTCTGGAGTCTTGCCGCGTTTCACTGTGCCGGCGATTGGGTGTGAGATGATTCGCCCCTGCTCTTCTTTTACCAGCAGCTCGGGGCTGGCGCCTACGAGTTGGAAGTCTTGGCAGTCGATATAGAACAGGTAGGGCGAGGGGTTGACGGTGCGCAGGTGGCGGAAGAGGTTGTACGGGTGGAGTGATGTCGGTCGCGATAGCCGTTGTGATGGCACGGTCTGGAAGATATCGCCCTTGGAAATGTGCTCCTTCAGCCGGTTGACGTGACCCTCGTACCCCTCCTGCCCGATGTTGGACTTGTATTCTTGGTCCAGGACAATCGGACCCTGTGGCGGCAACGGTGTGCGGTCCTGCAGCAGCGTATCGATGGTTTTCTGGATGACCGTCTGTCCTTTGCGGTACTCGGCCTCGATGTCGGCGTCCGTGGCCGGGATTGGGACATACGTAATGACCTTGACAACCTGGAAGAAGTGGTCGAATGCGACAATGGTGTCGAACATCATGAAAAACGATTCCGGCACCCCCAGCACATCCTTGGTCGGCCGCGCCGTCGTCGGTTCAAAGTACCTCACACAGTCGTATCCTACATACCCGATGGCTCCGCCGGTCAAAGGCGGGAGAGTCAACCCGGGGACTGTCGCAACACGGAATTGAGAGATCTCCTCCTCGAGGAGAGGGAGAGGGTCGGCTGCTGGCCCATGACCCGGGCCGGTTTTGATCACCTTGTGGGGGTCTGCATGGTCAGCGACAGGGGTCGGATGAAAACATTCCTTGGGTGTGCACATACCTGCGCCAACAAAACTGTACCGCCCAATAGTCTCCGTAGTCGCAGCGCTCTCATAGAGGAAAGACAGGCGCGAACTATATGACACAGAGCATTAGCGATAAAGTCCCCGGCCTGTGTTCCCTCGCTTGTCCCCTGCCCTGGTCCCGCATGCCATTACTCACTTCTCCGCAAGTTTCAAATATGCCAATGTCGGGGTCAAAAGATCCGCAGGAATCGATGCGGTGACCGGAAGCAGATTCGGAGGAAATTGGGAGTTTCTCGACTTCGAGATCACGTCGCGCGCTGTTTCCAGCGACGGGATATTGGCGACCTTGAGTCATTGGCAATTTCACATTAGTATGGGTTTCTCGAGTTACTCAAGGAGAGTCGGGAATGGTCGGTGTGCTGTCGACACTCATACTCACGGGAGGAGCCATTATTTCCAAGGATCACAGCTCAATGCCCAGAGGAAAAGAGAGACGGAAATGGGAGTTGGTGGTGGGAAAACTCGCGGTGGGGTCGAGTCTGTCGGTTTCGGCGGGTGTCGCATCCACCTTGACTTCCGTCGGCTCAGAGAGCGAAAAAGCAAAAAGGAAAAAAAAAAGCAATTTAGGGATCCGCGATGATATTGAACCCTATCTTACATGATAGGGTAGCTTCCAAGGCTCTCTCCAAGAAATAGCACCGCTAAGAAAATCCCCCGACATCGTTAGAGGCGAGGCTGATTATCGATGAAAAGCTGGGTGGATGCTTAGTTACTCTAAACATCTTACAGTGGAATAGTTGGGAGTGCATTTCCGTAGATTTCACAAAAAAAAATAAATAAACAAGAGCCCGGCCCTGAAGAATCACCGTGACCACCCATAATCAACACAGAAAATCCAGCGTCGCCGAGAACCCATATCACGTCGCGCCTGCCCAAGCCCCGGTCCCAAGCAATGCCATATGCTTCTAAATCAACAATGTATGTCCAGAGAAATGTGACAGAGGAAAAAGGTAGAAGAAATGCGCCGACCCAGATTGAACCATTTTCGCGTGGTTTGCCGCGGGATGTATTCCTGACACGCTCCTTTGGGGCCCCTTGATGGCGGGAAGATGAAGATATAGGATTGTGGGAATGTTTTTTTTTTTTTTTTTCAAAAGGCACAGAAAGTGAGATCGGTTCAATTTTCATGTGCAGAGGACCGATTGTACGGGGTGGAAGGGGGTTTTGGATTGGCGGTCGTTTTCACTCCGCGCAATCGTGGCTTGAAAAAGCGCTTAGAAGGGGGTTCAATCGCATCTTTTGTTGTTGATGTAATCGCCGGCAAGAAGAAACAATCGGTCATCTTTGCAGATTCACAATTGCCATCTGGGAGGAGTTAGCAACGCCCTGGTTTTGTGATGAACGTGGACCGAAGAGGATACGCACCTGGTGCCCGAAGCCATAGGCAAGTCTTTTCCCGTCGGCATCCCATGAAAGAGCACTATCACCAATCGATGCCGCATGACCATTCTGTTCATTTGTCGCGCGGTCAGGCTCCTCCTTCACATCTTCCGAGCCAGGGGCAGCCCAAGTGGCCATGGGATGACCACCTCGCTCAACATTCCAGATCAACACCCGGTCTTTGCTGGCCGCACCGAGAGCATATCCGTCCGGGGAGAAACCTCCCGTGAGAGCGGGAAGTGACGGTCCCAGGCGTAGGCGATGGAGGCAGTCGAAATGTTTCGACTCCAAATCGACGTGCCACACCTTCACATCGTCATCTGTCGAAAATGATGCAACCACAATTGAGGAGTTTCGGCGCTGGGCTTGTGCCTGGGGACGAACCTCGATCGCGGTGATATCGCCCTTGTGGGCGTTTTCGATAAGAATGTCATGCGTTGGAATCCAGATTGTGGCAGTCGCGGAGCAAGCCGTCACGGCGACAGCAGAGGAGTCGGTATGCATGCAGCGAATAAACTGCCAGGCCGCATCGGGCTCATTCGAAGGGAAAGTCTTCGTCAAGCGGATGCTATTGTCCATCTCGCACTGGTAGACGGAGCCATCTCCGCAGGCAAACACCTGATTGCGCCCACACCAGGCCAAGTCGTAAATGGGGCTTTTAATCACCTGAGGTGGAGGGAAAACATCGGGTCGTCGGGTATCGTCCCACAGTGCCAGTTCCGAGATTCTGGTATCCGAAGCCACGACCACCAGCTGTGAGCTATCTTCCGCCCAATGCAGACCGGTGATCAATCGAGGTACCTCCGGCAAGAGATCAACGGCGTCACCGTTGACATTGTACATGGTAATTGTGCCTCTTAAGTCACTATAGGTCGCCACAGCCAACTTCTCGCCGGCGGTATCCCATGCGACAGCCGACACGCAGGAATTGGAGCCCTTCAAATCCACCAACTTCTTTTGGACGGGCGTCGAGGACAATGAGAGCTTCCACAAGCTGCAAAAGGTATCGCCAGCTGCCACGACCACCGTGGGATCGCGCGGGCGCCACATCGTCTGGGTCACGTGGGCCCCGATATCTAGGCAGGCGGTGTCGGGCGCCAGATCGGCTGCCTTGGCGGGGGTGATCTGAACGCCGACGCTACTGCCGGTCGTCAATGTAAAAGTGGGTTCGGGCTCCTCGGCCCCCATGCTCACGTCGCCGTCACCATCCAATGGCTCCGGGGTGCCTTTGCTCCGGGCCTCATCCAGTTCCATCGACTCATCGCCATTGGTCTCGCTTTTCCGAGATCTTTTGACAGTGAGAGCCTCTGGGTGACCGTTTGTCACGCGGTCGCGCGCAACTTTGCTTGGCGAGCTGGGTTGGTCTGTGCCAGCCGCATCGTGCGTTTTCAGGAACCCCGTTTCAAATGGCTCGGGCCCGAAAAATATTGCGACGGGGGAATGTCGATGGCATTGCCCTCCTGTGGATTTCAATTAGAATTTCCATTGCTTAATTCGAGAACAAGGGAATGATATTTTTCATCCCCTCGCTGTCGCATGTAGAATGGTCAGTCACAAAACGTACCTTGTCAATGGATGATTCCAGTTCGTGGTACTGGAGACCCTTTTGAACCAGCGACACCAGCGCATGGGTTCTGATGTACGGCGCAAAGGGAAGATTCTGTGGATCAGGAAACCAAGCGCGCTGCAGTGACACCGCGGCGTCGGCATGACCTGGAGGATCAAGTTAGAGGAATACAAAGAACCGAGTGCTCTCACATTTAAGAGGAAGATAAATTTGAGTAAGGACAGAGGGGAGAAAAACAAAAAGAAAATCTGCGTGAACCAACCTGACTCTTGAAGGTACCTTTAAAAAAAAGAAGTCAGTCACTTCTGCAGGTTGGAACGTGGAGTCCAATCAAGGGGACATACCGCCATATTAAGTAGTTGACATGATGCGATGTGAGGTCAGGGTGTGCCATGATTACATGTGCGACCAGTCCACCGCTGGCATGCCAGAGGGGAGGTTGCTGTCGGCGCGCTAGGCAAGGTGAAAATCAAAGTGGAGGTTGGATGCGCGGAGATGGAGGATCCAGGAACGCCCGGGCCACAGGGGGGAAAGAAATTCCGGGACCCCAAAGCAGGGGAGGGATCAGTTCCGAAGCGTGGAGGATTGAGAAGCGCAGAAACGGGGAGGCGTTGAAGACGGAAAGCCAAGACCAGGGAGAAATTCAAGGTTGTGGGAGGGAGCCGAGGCAGGCACAACGGGGACGGAAGAGACGGAGGGGATACGAGGGAAGATGAAGGAGAAAGAGAAGAAGAGAAGAAGAGAGATAAAATAGCGATGCGCGAAAGAGTGACAGGAATGACTGAGAGAGAGAGAGAAGAGCTTAAGACGGCACTAGCCACTTGGAACGCTAAAAAGGTGGGCTCAACGCCAATCTCGGCGCCTCAGGCTCGATTTCATCGAGAACTGGGTTTGTCTTGTTCTTCTTTCTCTTCACGTTTGCTTCTTCTTTTTCCGGGCCAATCTCCTTCAAATCCTTCTCGGGCTGCCCCCCTTAAAAGCGCCTAGTGTCTAGTGGATCACAAATGAATGGTGGTGTGGCGCAAATCATCCATTTGCGGATTGAATGGGAACTGTTCTCCACATTCGATTCGGGGGATTTCCAGCAAAATTCACGATGTCCAGGATCAACCTTGGTTACCTTGGGTTCTCACACTCCCCTCGTGCAATTGTACCTTTGATCGCCAGAGATGACTCGAGCGGATGTGCGGCAAGAAGCGAATGTTCTGCAGGGCAATTCCCCGGAGTGGATCTCCAGCAGTATATAGCCTGGCCTGGAGATGCCTTATACCACTGAACTTGCCACAAGTGATGACTCTCATAGCAGTAGCATTTCATGTCGCATAAGGACCAGAGAGCTACTTTTCTTTTCTTTTTCTTTTCTTTTTTTCGTTTTGTCCCTTGAAATAGCCCTGGACGGTATAGATGGCTTGCAAGAAATCCCAGGATTCCATAGAAGTCGTGTCTACCAGTTGAAGTATTGCTGAGCTCGTAATAATAGAAAAACGTAAAATCCAGGATGTCTCAGGACTAATATCCGTAAGAGTCGCAAAGAAAATAGAAGATGGTGAAGTGCATCGTCAAGTATACTTGGGTGACCGTGGTAGGCCCGGCTGTCCGCCTTGGGCAAATCATCCCCGAGCACTCCCGACCTCATCACACCTCGACTTCCTCCAGCCTCTTGGACTGCGTCTCGCCCCCAGAGCGCACCATGTCGCTCCGAATCAACATTCCTCCGGCCACTCGGGCTTTCCTCTTCAGTCTTTCAACCGCTTCTCTACTCTACAATGTTGCCAGATGGCAGCAAATCAGCACCGGAGGAACAACCACCATACCCATCGTTCCCTACCTCACCCTCGTCCCCTCGGACTTCTACTACTATCCGTGGACCCTCTTCTCTGCAACCTTTGTGGAACAGAATATTTTTACCGTGCTGCTGAATGGCGCTACCATCTTCTATGGCGGCAAATATCTCGAGCGCGCGTGGGGATCCCGCGAGTTCATCCAGTTCATTGCCGTCATCGCAGTGATCCCCAACATCGTGATCATCCCCATCTACTTGATCTGGGGTGCCGTTGAAGGTTCTTTCATCAGGGGGTAAGCTATCATTCTCCCAACTCCTTAATCTAGTCCTTTGTGCTAATCGTTCGTTTGCTCGGCCAGCCATCTCACGCAAATCTGCGGTGGGATCTCGATCCAAGCCTCTTTCCTGGTCGCCTTCAAGCAACTCGTTCCCGAACACACCGTCGCACTCTTCAAGGGGCTGGTCAAAATGCGCGTGAAACATTTCCCGGCTCTCTTCTTGCTCCTCAACACCATCAGTGGGGTCGTGTTCGGGACGGACACCGCCGCAGTTCTGTCGTGGCTTGGACTTTTGACCAGCTGGACTTATCTCCGATTCTTTAAGCGGCAGCCCGATCTCACCGGCACGTCGAACTCCGGCCTCGGCATCAAGGGTGACGCCAGCGAGACCTTTGCCTTTGCCTGTCTATTCCCGGATGTGATGCAACCCCCGATCGCCTTCGTCGCTGACCAGATCTACATTGCGCTCGTGACCGTAAAAATCTTGCGGCCCTTCTCCGACGATGATATTGCTTCGGGCAACCAGCAGGTTTTGGCTCGCGGCGAGGCTGGCCTGCCGACCTTGCTGAGCAGCCATCGCGCTGGGGGTCGAGGGCCAGTGGCAAGCGGGAGGAGGCGGAGCGGAGACGTGCCCTCGCGCTCAAGGCCCTGGATCAGCGATTGCAGGCTGCCGCAGCAGGACGATCGCAGGGTCAGCCTGCGACGTTGGTGGAGCCAACCGCATCCCAGCCACGACCGACCACTCCGACGCCGGCGGCTCCGGAAGCGCAGAGTATGCTGGGAGAGACGAGCTACAATCCGGACAACGCATAGTTGTGCCATGGTAGTTGTGTACCGTCTGGCACTTCAGTGTGAAGTGTCCTTGGCTTGTACGCATCCATTTTCAGCCTGTCCATGTTCCCAACCTGGCCTCCGACAATGGCCCCAAACATGTCTTTTCTTTGCTTCTGATGATGTACATGGTACTTTCGCATTTTGTGAATCTCATTCTTCTGGGACTTCGCTCTCCTTGGATCGCGTGGTTGCATTTCCAGTCTTTCTTTGTTTGGGATCGGGGTTCGGCCTGGTTCACCGGGGTATACTTGGCTCTTGCATCGCTTCTGGGTGGGAATTAGGGGGTTCTTGGTCAGTGTATGTTAGAAAGGACCAACCTGAGAAAAAACTTGGGTATATAATGCGAGGCATCATCCTCACGTCTTCCATCTCTCGATCTTCCCAATTGAGCATCACCTAAAGTGCGGAATGGAGGTCGATGTGGAGATATAGTTCACAATCAAAGATTTCCAAGAAATACATAGTCGTAAAGAAAACAAACACACAAGGATGCTATATGCTACAGACAGATGGGACCCCTCCAAGCTCGACCGGCAGAACAAACCGAAGGCCAGATGTGATCGAACAAAAAAGACGTTCCAGCCCAAATCTCCCTCCCAAACCCTCGAGAGCAAACAACGCAATCTGCGTTCTATCACATCTCCTTGAGCCTCTCGACCTCCTTCCGAGCCTCCGCGATCATCCGCTCCTGATCCTTCTTAGCCTCGCGGAACCCGAGCACGCGCTTGCGGTCCTCCTCGGACTTAACCCGCATATCCTCCAACTTCTTCAGCTCCTGCGTCTCTTCCGCGGTAGGGGAAACGCCCTGCGCGCCCGTCGCAGCCTGCACGCGGCTCCAGATCTCCGCATAGGTAAGGTCCTTGACGTTAACGACGGCGGCCTGTTCGCCGCTTTCCGGAGCGGGCGCATGCGAGTCCGTAACCTTTTTATCCGCTGCAAGCGCCGTCGCCGCGTTGCTAGCCCGTTGCGCGAAGTAGATCGTCAGGGCGGCGGGCCCGTCCTGCTCGTCGGTCTGCCGCACCGTCATCGGCACCCCCGGGTTGTGGTACTTGAGGCGCGGTAGGCAGCGCCGCCAGAAATGGCGCGCGCCTTGGTGCCCGCCGTAGATCTTGCGGGCATATGTGAGGTGGAGCCGAGTGACGGCTGGGTATTCTTTTGTTGCGTTGGCGACGCTGGGCAGGATGGCGGCGCCGCTTCCGAGTCGGAAGTTGAGGACCTGTTTGTCATGACCATTGCGTTAGTATCGTATGTAACTGGTATGGTGCTATTTGCCTCCATGTTTTCGTATCGTGGTAGGAGACTCGAAGGGTTGTTTGGTGGCCGAAGGTATCAGCATGGAATGGCGGATGGCGTTTGGATTTACCTTCTGTGGACAGAGTAAAGACTCTTGTTAGTCAATGGCCTCGTGTTCGCGTTAAACAGGAAAGTCGAGTCATCTCCGGCGCGGATTCACTTACTGTCCTCAGGTTCCGCATCCGCTTGAAAATATTGACCATGGTTGCAGAATGTTCCGCAAAGGGACTGGCCCTTATGCGATTGGAGTCGCAAGACCAGAAATATCAGGGAGAAAGATAGAATATGTTCACCCGGCAAGTACTCCCCTCATTGCCAGGTCCAAAAGAGCTCCAGAGTGCAGAATTGTTGGTCCGGGGAAACTTGTCTCGCGCCGTGTCGGCGAAGAAGTTGCTCCGTGATATCGGTCACGTGTCATGGATCTACACTATGTACTTGTGGACACTCTATGCCCAAGTTATATCAACCAGAATACCGATCTCCTGGAGGATTGAAAGAAAGCAGAAACAAAATTTGTATTGCTTTCTTTTGTCCATAGCTCTAAATTTCGCATTCGACCTCATCTCCAACCTTTTCATATATTGTAATATTACATTACATACAAACCCTGTGGTTTGCGTGCCATACCACCGCGTTACCGCCGCAATACCGTGCCGCCTCACAAACCGATTTTAGACCCCCCCCCCGCGATCTTTGCTCTCAACGAGTTTTGCAATCAGGGCAAAACCGGTCAACTGAGAACCATGGCCGCCGCGTCCGCTGCTGCGCTCGACCCGAGCAACAGCACGAAGAATACCCTCAAGTTGGAAAACGTTGATCTGCCCCTCCCCCACCATTAGATTTTCTTGTGCTAACTCTATATTCTTCTGCTCCTCAGACCGAAAAGCGTGACTCTCTGATCGCGATTGAAAAGAAATACCAGGCACAATGGAAGGAGAACAAGGTCTTCGAGGTCGACGCCCCCTCCTTCGCCGAGGCTCCCCAGGGCTCCATGACCCCCGCGCAGCTGCGTGAAAAGTACCCCAAGTTCTTCGGCACCATGGCCTACCCGTACATGAACGGTACCCTGCATGCGGGCCACAGTTTCACTGCCAGTAAGGTGGAGTTCATGACCGGATTCGCTCGCATGGAGGGCAAGAGGGCCCTGTTCCCGCTGGGATTCCACTGCACCGGTATGCCCATCAAGGCGTGCGCGGATAAGCTGGCCGACGAGGTGAAGCTGTTTGGACAGAACTTCGAGGCCTACAAGGAGGAGGAAGAACAGCCCAAGGACACTGCCCCGCCGGCGCCCACGCAGGAGGTAAAGGCCGAGGCCGAGAAGTTCTCCGGCAAGAAGAGCAAGGCCGCCGCCAAGTCCGTGAAGATGAAGTATCAGTTCCAGATCATGTTGGCCATCGGTGTGCCTCTGGAGGACATCCACAAGTTCGCCGACGCTGCCCACTGGCTGCAGCATTTCCCTCCGCTGGCCATCCGCGACCTCGACAGCCTGGGTGCTCGCGTCGACTGGCGCAGACAGTTTGTCACCACCGATGCCAACCCGTACTATGATGCCTTTGTGCGTTGGCAGATGAACCGCCTCCACGAGCTGGGGAAGATCATGTATGGTAGCCGTTACACCATCTACTCGCCCAAGGACGGTCAGCCGTGCATGGACCACGACCGAACGGAAGGTGAAGGTGTTGGTCCCCAGGAGTATGCTGCTCTGAAGCTCAAGGTCAAGGAATGGTCACCCCAGCTGGCCGAGCTGGTCAAGGACAAGGTTGAGGAGGATGCGAAGGTCTACTTCGTTCCGGCAACTCTGCGCCCCGAGACTATGTACGGTCAGACGAGCTGCTTTGTCGGTCCCAAGATTAACTACGGTCTCTTCAAGCTGAAGGAGAAGGAGTATGTCGTCGTTACCAAGCGTGCTGCTTGGAACATGGCCTTCCAGGGCCACTTCTTTGACAGCGAGCACTTTCCCAAGACCCAGGACGAACTGCCGCTTGTCTTCGAAGCACCGGGTAGTGCCTTCGTTGGTACCTTGGTCAACGCACCGCTGTCATTCCACACTGAGGGTATTCGCATCTTGCCCATGGACGGCGTCTCGGCCGCCAAGGGTACCGGTGTGGTTACCTCGGTGCCTTCGGACAGCCCCGATGACTACGCCACCCTGATGGACCTGGCGAAGAAGCCCGAGTATTACGGTATCCAGAAAGAGTGGGCCGAGCTGGAGATCTTCCCGTTGATTGAGACCCCTACCTATGGCAACCTGACTGCTCCCACGCTGGTCAAGCAGCTGAAGATCAACTCTCCCAAGGATGTTACCCAGCTCGCTAAGGCTAAGGAGCTAGCTTACTTGGAAGGATTCTACAAGGGTACCATGGTTGTGGGCGAGTTCAAGGGAGAGCCCGTCAGCTCCGTCAAGGACAAGATCCGTAAGTCTCTGTACGACAGCGGAGATGCGTTCCCCTTTGCAGACCCTATGGGCAAGGTTGTCAGCCGCAGTGGCGACGACTGCGTGGTCGCCTACCTGGGCCAGTGGTTCTTGAACTATGGCGAGAACGATGCCGAGTGGCAGCAGCAGACTCTGAACCATGTTGTGAACACCCTCAATACCTACTCCTCCGAGACCAAGAACGGGTTTGAGAAGAACCTGAGCTGGTTGAACCGATGGGCTTGTGCCAGAACCTACGGTCTGGGATCCAAGCTGCCTTGGGACCCTCAGTTCCTGGTTGAGAGTTTGAGTGACAGTACCGTCTACATGGCCTACTACACTATTGCGCACCTCCTGCACGGTGATCGATACGGCAAGTCGACTGGCCCGCTTGATGTGAAGGCGGAGCAGATGACGGATGAAGTGTGGGACTATGTCTTCACGAGACGGGAACTCAACGATGACCTGGTTTCCAAGAGCGGAATCAGCAAGGATGCTCTGCAGCAAATGCGCCGTGAATTCGAGTACTGGTACCCTCTGGACGTCCGAGTCTCTGGCAAGGACCTTATCCAAAACCACCTGACCTTCTTCCTGTACATTCACCTCGCGCTCTTCCCGTCGGAGTACTGGCCCCGTGGTGTCCGTGCTAACGGGCACTTGCTGCTGAACGGCGACAAGATGAGCAAGAGTACCGGTAATTTCCTTACTCTGAGGGATTCCGTGGACAAGTTTGGTGCCGACGCCACCCGGATTGCCTTCGCCGATGCTGGTGACAGCATTGAAGATGCCAACTTCGACGAGGCTGTTGCCAACAGCAACATTCTGCGTCTGTTTACTCTGAAGGAGTGGATTGAGGAGGTCGCCAAGGATGAGAACCTGCGCACTGGCCCCGCTGATGCATTCGCGGACAAGCTCTTCAACAACGAGCTGAACAGCCTGGTTCGGGAAACTCGCAAGCACTACGCGGCGTAAGTTTACATCATGGATTATTTGTCTTTCAACCGCTGACCCTCATCTAGCACTGACTTCAAGCTTGCACTGAAGTCTGGTTTGTACGACTTCACGAGCGCGCGTGATGCCTACCGTGAGGGCGCCACGGCCTCCGGCGTGGGTATGCACCGGGAGGTGATTCTGCGCTACATCGAGCTGCAGGCCCTCATGCTTGCTCCCATCGCCCCTCACTGGGCCGAGTACGTGTGGCTCGAGGTCTTGAAGAAGGTCAGTATAATTTTTTTATACTTTTATTGCACCGCAGTTTCATTCTAACATTTTCAAATTAGTCTGAAACCATCCACTTCGCCACCTTCCCTACCGTCCCAGAGCCCTCCCCCGAACTTTCGGCCGCTCAGGCCTACGTCCGCGGCACATCGTCGAACATCCTGTCCTCGGAAGCCAACTTCGCCAAGAAGCTGTCCAAGGGCAAATCGTCTGCGTTTGACCCGCGCAAGCCCAAGAAGCTCACCATCTTCGCGGCCAAGAAATACCCCGCCTGGCAAGAGAAGTACATTGACCTGGTCCGCGAGGCCTTCGACTCTCTGAGCGTCTCCATCAATGACAAGGAGCTTAACGCCAAGGTCGGCAAGCTCGGCGAAATGAAGAAGGCCATGCCCTTCGTGCAGACCCTGAAGCGCCGTCTCGTCCAGGGCCGCGAGGCTCCTGAGAACGTCTTCGACCGCAAGCTCCCCTTCGATGAGTTTGCCGTCCTGTCTGAGATGCTGGGCAGTCTGAAGCGCACTTCCGGCTACAAGGAGATCGAGGTCATTGCTGTCGATGAGGGCGGCAAGACCGGTGATGTTGTTGGCACGGGAGAGAAGAGGGAGGGTCTGCTGGCTGATAACGCTGTTCCCGGGCAGCCGACTTTCCAGTTTGCCAACGTTGCTGAGTAGATTGGTTGTTGACTTTTTCTTTTGTTGTTGATGCGGGCAAACTACAGGATCTGCCTTGTTGTGGGTTAAAGAGACATGGCTTGATGAGTTTATGTTTAAAAAAAAGAGTTAAGAAAGAATACAGGATTTTCTGAGTTTATGTTGGTCTAGTTATATTGGTTTTTCCGTCCCTTTTCCAACCCTTTTCTGATATTACTCGTCCATTGTGAGAAAGAGATTCCTCGAGGTTGAGAAATCAAGAACCCGTCGGCTTGACCACACTCAATAACCTAAATCACACCCAAGTTCAGTGTTTTTGTCGGACAAGATATACACGGAACAGTGTATAAGAACTCACCTCCTAAGCCCCTCCCGCAAAACAGCCTCCTCTTGCGAAAACACCAACCGAAACCACCCCGCATCCTTGGAATGCTCCTCCCCAGGATGCAAAAAGACACCAGCATCAACGAGGTTCTGCGCGAGCGCGAACTCTCGTTCTCGGGTGGGAGCACCGGGGTTGGGCAGATAGGGCGAGAGATCGATGTAGATAAAGAAGCCGGCGTTTCTGGTCAATATGGGTTAGCATGGAATCAGCAGCCTTGCCGTTTTTTTTTTCTCTTTTTTCCTTTGATGTCTTCTGTCTTGAATAATGTTTCTTACCCGCCATTGATGTAATTAATTCCTGCCTCATTCAGTGTCGAGGTTGTGTGTCGATAGCCTGCGGCGAGGCTCTGCTGCGATTTGGCCGTGAAGCTCTTCACGAAGGCTTCGTCTTCTAGGATGGCGGTTCCGATTGTCACCGCTGCTTGGGAGGCGCCGTGGAGTCTTCTGCATAACCAGGAAAGTTTTGGGTGAGTCGAATGATACAAACCTGGGATTAAAGCTAGAGAGAAATATATAAATCTTACAGAATTGCCTTGCACGCTTGCCGGAGCTGCTGGTTCTGGGTTACCAGGAATCCTAGGTGTAGGCCGCCCGAGGAGAAGTCCTGCAAAAGACAAGCACTATTAGTTGAAATTGGCTTTGTTGGGATGGCTTTTGCTCATTCACTTGCCTTGCTGAACCCATATAACACGTGAACGAGACTCGGGTCGATCAGGCGCGCCAAATCCAGTGAGAGGATCGAAGTGAACGGCGTAGCATTGGGATCGCCCGAGTCAAACACGCACGAGGCATATACCTCGTCGCTGATGAGATGAAGACGATGCTTGTTACAGAACCGGGCAATTTCTTCCAGGGTTTTCACCGGGTAGCACCGACCTAAAAGACATATCAATCAGGCGCCATGCTCTCTTTTTGACAGGAAGCAACATGCCCCACAAATCAACCAATTCAAATCAATCCAACTTACCAACAGGGTTATGAGGATTAACAAGAAGCACCGCACGAATCTTGGTGCCCTGGCTCTCAGCAGCAGCAAGCGCCTCTTCGTACTTCAGCACCGAACCAGGCGAGAATGCCTCCTCCGTCGCCGTGTCAGCATACACGATCTTGATGCCGGCTTCGACGCCATAATCCAGTTCGAAGCGGCCGTACACAGGCCTATTGACGAGGATGGCCTCGTCGCGCTCGGCCAGGTTGAAGCCCAGCATGTTGCCCAGGGAGGTGGGCGAGTCCGCCACGAAGACATGCTCCGGCTCGATGGATGCGTGCGGGCTCAGGATTCGGTTTAGGTGCGCTGCTGCGGCTGCGGGGAGCCGTGCGGCGGTGCTTGCGCTGGACCGGTAGCTAACAGAGTCTTGTGAGAAGACGACCTAGACATGGAATGAGTGATGTTAGGTGTGTATGGCGATTGAGGGACGCATGCTATGTTTAGCAGCAGAGACAAGGAATTGTTATGCTGGCGAGACCTTTTCATTGATATATTTGGCCATTTCGGCCCTCATTGGTTTCTAGTGCGCTGTTAGACAGCTCAATGGCTTATCGTGAGATGCTCAAACTCGGTCACATACATTCTCGGCCATGCCGAACGAGATCAGCCCCGTCGGGTTCGTCTCTGCATCGTATGATTGAGTAGGGCTGAATCGCCAGGGAAGATCCAGTTCCTGGACATTTTGGAGCCCGCGAGACGATAACATCTTCGGTGGGAGAGAACTGGCGGATGGTGCGTTAGTGTGTTGATTGTTATGGATACGTCCGGGGGTGGAGAAGAAGCGGTGTCCCATACTGGAGTCTTCGAATAGTCATGGCGTTGGAGACAAGCTCAATTAAACTTGGGTACAAAAGAAAACCAAGCAAGGAGATGATAATCAACGTCGAGAACTGCATTGAAGTACGGTCTGGAAAAGAACAATTGGACACACGTACCGCTGCTTTTTACACAGCAGTTTTTTGCTTGTTGAAAAGGAGCCCCCACTTCGACGGGGACCGTCAGAGCAACGGCGGTGGACGATGTGGACAACTGGAGAGGTGAATTGATACTTCATAATTACTAGATCTCTGCTTTTTATAGAAAGAAGAAAAACGCCCGCCGCTATGCCAGTGGAATAGTGTACATGTATAATGTCCAGAATACAGCCCAATATGGCTTCTTATGAACGGCGCAGCTTCAACCGCGGCGTCTTGCGCCTGTCGCTTTTGTTCTTCTCGGCGACGAAGGCCCAGCACTCCATCGGTGGTCGAGAGCCAATATGCTGACCGTTGGGAGTGAATACCTCGACCTGTGGATAGACCGGAGCGTCGGTGATAGAAGTCTGCTTACTGCGAATCTGCACGCTGACCTCAATCCAGCCACAGCCTTCGATGAGGATGTCGGCCGACATGACCCGGTACGGCAATGATGGCACAGTTGATCTCTTGTCACGCACAGCCTTTGCGAGGGAAGTGGGCAGGTGGGCGTTTGTGACATCCCATCGTAGCTCGAACTTCCCGGCCGACGACATGGTGCTCCCCGTACCTTCTTTCATGAGCGTACCGGAGTAGGGACGTGTTTCGGCCTGGATCTCAATGGCCTTTTCTGTCTTGGTGATGTGGGAGTCGATGGGCACGAAGCATGCCGCCATAATAGTATCCTCGAGGTTGACAGCCGTAATGCGGACCAAGCCACCCCCGAGAAGTAGAGATTGGCCCGGTCTGATGGAATAGCGCTCGGGCTTGATGCGCTTGGTCATGATCAGATCGCGCTTGTGTTCATCGCGCACGTAATCCTCGAGCTGGCCACGTTCCAGACCAGGCAGGTCAATAACCTCACCCTTTCCCCCGGCCGAATGGGATTCGGATTGGCGAAACGGTTGTGCCCGGCAGTGAAGACACAACCGGAAGCATGGGATACATGCCCTCGCGAGGCGCAGGAGGAAGGAGACTACCAGGGTCGAGAAGAGCCGCTTGCCGCTGGTTTGGGATCTCGTTTTCTGCCCGACGGTGCTCAACCCACTCCTTCATCTGCTCGAGAGCCCTCGAGTCTTTGGGAAAACAGGCTTCAATGAAACTGCTCTTGCCAACATTCGCCTTGCCAACCACCCAAATCCCACCACCGTGTTTCCGGATTTCTTCCTTGAGCTGCTTGGTCCACCAGCCACGGTGTGCACTAATCATATGCACATTACCCAGGCGGGCGTCTCTCCCCGCTCTGCCGATATTCTCACGGAGGAGTGACCGGACATACTCCATCTTCGAGTCGACCTGCTCCTTGGTCGCCGCTAAAAGATCTGAGCGTGTGATGATGAACGAGAGTGTGGGCAGTTTCTGGCCTTGAGAGTACTTCTCGGTATGGGACCGTCGGTTGTGAGACCGCTGCTCCTGGAGCGAGAGGGCCTTCTGGATACGCGGCACGAGGGACATGGGGAAATCGGCTGCATCAATGATGTGGTATACACGATTGTTCTTGTAGGGCGACTCAGCCAGGAATTCTCGGATAGAAAAGATCGACGGTTTGGGCGAAGTCACGGCCTTGTTGTGGTGAATCAGGTCATGGCATCGATCGCAGATGCGGGGTGCGCGATCCGGGGCTTCAACAGAATCACGGCTAGGAGTAGTTGTCTGGTCTGGTAAAGCGCTGTCTTTTGCCCCTGTTGTGTCAGCGAGGAATTGTAAAACTTCAAGGCCTATTGGGTCGCTTACCATGCATCGGTTGAGGAACCACATGTTCCTCAGTATCATTGCTCTGCTGATCCTTAGAAGTCGCGGCATCTTCACTAATACCCTCTGTACTTTCAAGCGCCTCTTTTCGTGCTGCGATGAGCTTCCGGTTCTCCCTTTTGGCCGTGCTGTAGTACCCCGGCTCGTGCGGCTCGATGGTTTGCGAAAACGCGCCGCATCCGGGGCAGAATATGGGTAGGATCTCGGTCAAGGCATTGGGGGGCGATTTATCTCGTTGAAACCGAGTTGTTGAAAAATAGCGATTCTGATGCGCTCGTTGGCATACGCCGTTAAGGGTGTTGATCGGCAACGCTGCAATGCGAGGCCGTAGAGAGCGTGTTTGCGTCAGTTGTCGAGGACATCGTTGAAGATTTGATCGCAATAAATCAAATCGCAAGAATCGTGATATTGCGCCGCGAGCGCAAGGCGACATGGTCGGCGTGCAAATTTGCGGAGTTTCACGCGGAGCTTTTTTTTTCTTGGAGACGCGGTTGTCGATAGGGCGGTCTCGGGCTGCCGTGCGATGTGGCAAAACCAACTACGAGGTCCTGATACTATGTAGGCTGAGATGAAGAAACTGTTGGTTCTTGTTAAATACCATCTGTGGGAAGGATGCATGCAATTGCTCTTGGATTAAATCCCAAAGGGAGTGCATAAAACTATTGACATAGAAGGCGCCGAAACTCAGATGCGCTGGAGAAACCCTGTGAAATACTGCCCAACCATGAAACGCCGTCATAGACCATAAGCAAGACTTTGCTGGAGTAAGGCTTAGGCACGAGCCTTGCCCTTGCCCTTGTCTTGCGCTTTGTCCGCCGGCTCCTCATCCTCCGAGTCGCTCATAAACTCATCGTCATCATCAAACCCAATGAACTTCCGAGGAGCAGCCGATTTTGGAGCGGGCGCAGAAGGTCCTGCGCCGTTCTCTTCGCCCTCTTCTTCGTCCGAACTAGACGAGGTACCTTGCTCACTGCCTTCGCTGGCACTGGTGCTGGATCCGCCCAGGACCGCGTCGCGGAGGCTGTCGGTCCATGCACCATCCTTCATCGCTAGCAGCACAGCCTCCCGGGCCTTCTCATTCATTTCCTCCTTGTCGTCGATCCATTGCCCGTCAATCTTGTGCTTTCCACCACCATTTTTCAGCTCGTCTTGTCGCTTCTCCGCCATATCCACGACCGCCTGCCACCGGCGCCGGCGCTCTTCCTTCTCCTTCTTATCCATTTCCGGCTTGACGGCCAGGTATTCGGCGAGTGCCTTCGCCTCGTTGACGGTGCGCAGACGGCGGCCATCCAAGTTGCGGCTCGAATTATTGTTGTCACCCTGGTTGCGCTGGCGCTTGCTGGACATGCGACCACCGGCAGCACGGAGCTGGGATCCGAAACCACCTTTTCCACCGCGCACAGGAACGGTGAGGCGGAGCGGGAGAATTGAAGATGCGATAGAGTCGCCATTTCGCGAAGAGAAGAGGGTCTGTAGCAGATCTGACGAAGAGGCAAGTTGTTTATTGTTGGTCGTGGTGAGAGTCAAAGAATGAAGCGAAATCGATGGTGGAAGGTATGAGGCGATTCTCTCAGTCAGGTCGGAGAGGGTCGACGTGGAGGGCAAAGCAAAGGACAGGGTCGACGGGAGTGACAGTCCAGGAAAGGACGAGAGCAAGACATTAACGTTTGACGAAGTCATTTTGGCAGTTGTCTTTGGGGTCGCCGTCAAGGAAAGAGTTGTCGCAGAGAGATGTAATGGCGATGGCGTTGAAGCAGATTCAGATCACCTGACCGTTCCAAGATTGCCTATCTAGGCTTGGCGCCAGATAACCTTGGGAGTCACTGGGTAGATCAGGTGACCACTCAGAAAAGGGCGATCAGGGCACCAACCCTAGCGAGCCCGAACAGGAAGACCGCACTTTTCTCGCCGCGCAGCTCCACTCGCATCCATCATTTAAATCACCCATTCTTTTCTGGCGTTGTCAAAGCGATTCCCCGAATTGCGCCAGGAACTCGCGACAATGTAAGCGCGGAATTCCTTTCCTTTTTCTCCGATACAGATGCACTGACAATGCCCCAGGCTTATCCCTAAGGACGACCGCAAGAAGATCCACGAGTACCTCTTCCGCGGTATGTGACCACCCTCGTCGACCGTCCACGCTACGCTCAGACCGGTCAAGATAATTCATGAGTTAAAATCCACTGACATATTGGTTTTTCAGAGGGTGTGCTCGTGGCCAAGAAGGACTTCAACCTTCCCAAGCACGGTGACATTGACACCAAGAACCTCTATGTAAGTCGACCCCCCCCCCCCCCCCGGTGGGGGTGACGATTCGCTCTAAGCACAGGTTGCTAACCCGTTCTCCAACAGGTCATCAAGGCTTGCCAGTCCCTGAACTCGCGCGGCTACATTAAGACCCAGTTCTCGTGGCAGTACTACTACTACACCCTCACCCCCGAGGTATGTTCTTTCTACTTGATTCGTCGGCAAACGAACAATATCTAATAATGGTGACTTTAGGGTCTTGACTACCTCCGTGAGTGGCTGCACCTCCCCGCCGAGGTTGTCCCCGCCACCCACATCAAGCAGCAGCGCTCGCACGCTCCCCCTCGCGGTATGATGGGCGGCGAGGAGCGTGAGCGTCGTCCCCGTGCTCCTCGTGAGGGCGGCTACCGCCGCCGCGAGGAGGGCAAGGAGGGCGGTGCCCCCGGCGAGTTCGCTCCCTCCTTCCGTGGTGGCTTCGGCCGTGGCCGTGGCGCTCCCCAGTAAGGAAAGAGGCCTTGGTGTCCTGTCATCCACTGCTCGGTCATCCTAGGGACTTAGTGTCGATGTCTCCGGTGTACGGTTCAGAGTAGACTTCGGGAAACCGGGTTTGAAATGGGCTGTTCCTCGGTGCATCTCAATCTGGTCCCCTTGTTTGGAGACTTGGGGATACAGGGAAATAAAAAAAAGATTTACAATGATGCCGCTGGTTTTATGAATAGCTAGGCTCAAATGCAACTTCATGATGACTCGGTATACTGATTGGTCAATGGTAGCTTTTCCCAATATGTGTAGGCCAGTATGTAGAGGTGTGATACTATTCTTCCTGCTACTGGGGCACTTGGCTTCATCATCGCCGGTTACCCCCTAAGGCTGTCAACTGAACCTCTTCCTATCATACCGAATTACAGCCTGCAGAATGACCGAGGCCCCGGTTGCGCAATCATCGGCGGAGCAAAATTCTTCGGGGTGATGGCTGAGCCCGTCCTTGCACGGAACGAAGATCATACTGGTTGGCACACGCTTGGAAGTAAAAACGCTGTCGTGGCCAGCACCACTCATGATAGGTCGCACCAGCGACTTCGTCTTCGCAACCGGGACATCAGCGACGACCGCATGAGCCGACTGATGAACACAATCGATACAATCCTCATGGAACTTGACAGCGGGCGAGTCGAAGTCAAGCGTCCACTCAACACGGCATGGCTTGCCAATACCAGCACCCTCAGCCGCAGCAATGGCGTCGAACTCGCTGCGCAGCTCCGTTTCGACCTCGGCAACCAACGCTGTCTCTGGCCCACGGATATCCAGACTAAAGCTCACCAGCCCCGGCACGGTATTGACGCTGCCGGGTTTGGCTTCGACGATACCCACACTGGCAAGACAGCCTCGAGCGGCCGCAACCTCGCGGGCTCGCACCATCATGCGTGAGAACGCATACAGCGCATCTGCGCGGTGCTCGAATGCCGTTGTCCCTGTGTGCGTATCTCGTCCGATCACGTTCACCCGGAACCATCGGTATGCCTGCACGGCCGTCACCACTCCGACCCGCTGGTCCGCCGAGATGAGATGTGGGCCCTGTTCGATGTGCAGCTCAAAGTGTGCCGCCATCGGCGTCGCCTTGTATGAGCACGGCACTTCTCCGAGATAATCGATCTTCTGCAAGGCGGTCTTCATTGTCTCCGGCGCAGATCCCGCTGTCGGCAGCGAGGCTACTGTCGGCACTTCCTTGAGGTTGTGTGCCTTTGGCAATGGTATGCACTCTGCCCATACACCAGAGGATACCATGCTAATCGGAAACCTGGCGCCCTCCTCGCTGTCAAAGGTTCGGTGGTTAGTTGGTCTCCCAGAAAACAAAAGTCTCGTAGGGGAACGAGTCAGGTACTTGGTCCAATTCACCACCCCAACACCTCCCTCCGTCTCCAATCCCATCTCATCCATGGTCTTGAGCGCTTCCACTCCGGACAAGACACCAAGAATCCCATCGTATCGTCCACCCGTGGGCTGCGTATCCAAATGGCTCCCAATGAATGTCGCCGGCACATCAGCCCTTCGGCCTGGACGGACGGCAAAGATATTCCCCATCTCATCGATAGTAATCTTGCACTTGAGGTCTTTCATAGTCTGAATGAACCACTCCCGCACGCTCTTGTCTTCTTCCGACAGGGCTAGACGCTGCATGCCTGTGTCAGTTGATCCACTGTATATATTCAACAAAATGGTCAGCTATCTTTAACCTCTTTGTCCTCTCCGAGGTATGGGGTTACACTCACTCTCCCCACCGGATCCCAAATCCCCACCGGCACGAATGATGTAAGTCGTTTGCCAGTCGCTCCTTGTTAGCTCTCAGCGCCGAGACCTCGGTCTCGGACAGCGCGGTGGTCAACATGGCCTGGGGTCTGGAGATAGTGAGAGCGCGACGCCGGTCAAGTAGACTGGTTTGGAGAGTAGTTCGCAGTCGAGCCGTGCGTAGGAATGTAGCACCGACCCTGGTTCAAGGTAGATTGTCTTTATATGATCGAAAGCCCCTCCCCCGTGGGGAGTCCAAGTGATAAGAGAGCGGGGGCGGCCGAAAGTCCGCTGTGATAACGTCTCCAACCGTTGGAGAAGGGAAGTGGGAATTCAAATGCAGCAAAATAAGATGAAAAAAAGATGAAATAGACAGCTGCAGGAATCGAACCCATGGCATCAATTGAGCAATTTTGGACTGGTGAAGCATCGCGAAGTACCTTGGATGCTCCTTGGATCACATCTAATGGGTTGAGGAGACACCTCGAACAACAATTACTTACCTTCATTCTTATAACACATACTTATATAACAACAAAAAATAATAATCATAAAAATAAAACACTATTATGAAATACATTAAAAAAAAGCAAGGTTCCAAAGATTGTATCCCCAGCGCCACGCTGTGCAATGTGACCTCCAGTGCCTATACGGAGCCAGCGCAGGCCCAAGCCAGAAAGAAGCAGTCAGAGGAGGGCTAAGCCCGGACTGTCACCTCCCTCCCGCTCAACCACCAGAATTGGGGATGTTGAAAGGGCTGCTTTTGGGGGGGGGGGGGGGGCAAGTAGGAACATTGCTCACCTAGCTCTTACTTCTGATATTGCTGTCTTTGGGTCATTCCAGCATTATTATTATTATTAGGTTCAATACTGAGAGCCATGGATTATTGATTTTATAATATATTAATCTACTCATTAATCAATCCGAGTGTTGTTGGTCTCGTGTGCTTCACTGTCGGTTTCCTCAGGCGTGTTTCCTTGATAATGATTCTTTCTTCCCTGAAACAACTACCATGATCTTGAAGATATCCTCTTGAACACACTCAGTTCTCTTCATGCAATATTTTCTTCGATTATTCCCATCCCCAAAGTCACTTATCCAGGCATCGCCATTCGCATCAACGGGATGTTTACAGCTTTGGCGTTGCCCCAAAGAACTCCAGCCCGGAAGGGCGAAGACAACAGTGGAATTAATTAAAACAAATGGACAAGTTCTTTTCTTCGCGATTTCAATTTCTCGTTTCCACTGTGGAGATGCTGAAACTTCATCCCCGTGTCCAATATATATACTTGCCCGGGCCCTGTAAGGCAGGGATGACGAAGCAATCGGGGCCAAATCTGAAACGGAGCGGGACTGCCGCCGACTCCTTCTTGTCAATCTGCGAGTTGGCCCAATCAGTAATCTGGACCACACGTCTGATTCAGGGCTCTGCCGATCCTACCGTCAACAGGTGGGACGGACCATCTCGCTCCGTTCGTCATGGACAACCGTGGGGTTCGCGGGCCCACGGCCTGCAGGACTTGCGCCAAGGCAAAAGTAAAATGTGATCCCGAAGCCGACGGCCCCTGCAAACGGTGAGTAGTGCCAAAGCTTGTTTCCTTAACGCCGATCTCATGGCAAGAAGCAGGTCCATGCTGACTCTGGTCGCCGTGTCAGATGCCGCCGCCTGAATAAGGATTGTACAGGTCAAGAACCAGGGTCCAATCGACGTCAACGAACCACTAATGGCAATTCGTGAGTATAACATATTCCCGGTATGCTGGAACCTGTCTAACTGTCTGCCTAGACAAGTTGCTGCCCTGGAGCAGAAATTGGACCGCATGGTTGCTTTGCTGGCCGCCTCGGAACGTTCCAGCAGAGAACGGCCTGAGCAGGAACCTTCGACCGCGCAATCCTCGTCGGCTTTGCTAGACGAAGAACCTGCTACGCCCAACGATCTGGAGGGCCAGATCCTGATGGAGTGGTTCGCGACTCGCATGGTGCATCTCTTTCCCTTTGTGGTGATCCCATCGCATGTCACGTCCGACGAGCTCAGCCGGGAAAAGTCATTCCTGTTCTTGAATATTGCCATGGTCGCCTGCCAGAACGCGGCCCGGCAACGAGAACTAGTCAATGCCGTCCATCGATATGTCGCAGAACATGTCGTGATACGCGGAGAACACAGTTTGGATATCCTGCAGGGTCTCCTCGTTCATATGGCTTGGTTCATTGCTGTGTCCCGTCAGCCTCGATCTAATGCTCCGAGAGAGCCACCGGGTTCGTCTGCCTTTGAGCAGAACTATTACAAGAACAAAAGCACAGCACAGATGGACTCTTTCATCCACTTGGCCATTGCCCAGTCAATCAGCCTGGGATTGAATAAGGAGTTGGCGGCTCAAAAATACTCGAACCAGCCCTTGGATTATGTGAAGGAGGCTGGTATGGACGATGAAAAAAGCCCCATTCGCACACTCGAGGAGCGGCGGGCTTACCTGGGGTGTTACTATGTGACGGTGATGTATGAGCTGTGGCTATTCCCTTTCGTGGATAGGAAATACTGACGATGAGCAAGATTTTCGGCCTGCGTCAAGGACCAGGAGCCGGTTCGGTTCACGAAGTACATTGATGATTGTTGTCAGATCTTACAGCACGCCTCTGAATATGCCACCGATGCTTATCTGGTCCATTTGATTCGCGTGGTGCACCTGGCCGACAGAGTCTACCATATGACATCCTACCAGGGATCTGGGTCTTCCGTGGCTTTGACACCTCCACTTGGGCTCAGCATGCACTGGTTCCAGGCAGAGCTTCAGCGTTTGAAAGGCTCTTTTTCGTGTGATATGCCACATTCAGGTGAGGTTTTACCTTGAAGTTCGTTGATTACCACAGCGTACATATGGAATTCAAGGCTGATCAAGTGATTACGACACAGCAATCCTCCTCTTTCATTACAACCTCCTAGAAATCCTCCTCTACCGCATCTCCTTCAACGACGAAGTATCCGACACCCAATATGGCGACCACCCCCTAACAAGACTGGACCTCCTCTTCCGCTGCCTGGAATCCACCAGATCCTTCTTCCACAACTTCTACTCCCTCCCCTCCGTCTACCTCCCCTTCTTCCCCTTCACCTACTGGTGCCAGCTCGGCCAAGCCGCCATCACGCTCTCCCGACTCACGTTGTACGACAGCCCGGGAGGCGAATGGGACCGAACGTACGTGCAGAGCACCATCGACTTCGACGCGACGATCGACAGGCTCGCACAGAAGCTCGAAGAAGCCCGCCCCTTTGCAGAACAGAAGAGTCCGGGTTCTGATGAACTGCCGGAGATCTTTGGCCGCATGACGGCGCGGATGCAGGTGGTCAAGGAGGCTCATCGGAGACGAAAAGTCGCTCTGGAACAGTCTCCGCCGGACCCGCTTCTGGCGCCGCTGGATTACGATGCTATCTTTAGTATGCCTGTTGATGCTTTTCTTCCTTTTGGGGAAATCATGGATGTTTGGGGGGCGATGTAAAGACATGAGTACTGGCTGATGTTTATACATGATTGCATTTGGACTGCGTATGATATTTTGGGTCTAACATCTGTGCTGCGTTCGGGCTGACTTGCTCTACCAGAGAAAATAGTGTTATGATAATAGCATCCTTGCCCTAGCTTCCAAGAAGCTTATCGGTTTATATGGAAAGGTACATGGAAAGGCACGAGGTCTAGGCAAATTCTCTAACAATATTCGTATCTCACTTTACTCGGAGCATGAAGAAAGTCCACCGAATAAGAATAGAATTGAAGGAGCTACCTTGATATACGAGTAGACGGTGTACATTTCCCATAAGTGAACATAACACATCTCTCAACAACAACAACAACAACAACAACAACGACAACAACACACTGACAGACGTAAGCCCATCCATCGGTCCAATTAAAGATTAGCCCATCACCTGCAGATATATCTACAGAGCCATGGCACCGATCACAGCAGCGACAACGGCAACAACACCAGCCACATTGGAAGCAGGCATAGCAGCCGCGTTGTAGTCCGGGTTGCTACCCGAGACAGGCGGCGAGTCCGTCGAGCCCGACGAGGTAGTCTTGGTCATAGTGACCAACGGGGTAGAAACGGGGGCCGGGGTGATGTGGCCGGCAGCAGGCTTGGAGCGAGGCGGCGACAACACCGGAGGAGCAGCAGCAGCAGAAGAAGATGAAGAGTCAGTCGGCTGGGCCGCCTCAGTAGACGACGTCTCCGCCACCGCAGTGGTCGACGGCACCGCCTTGCCGTTGGGACCCCAGCCCGGCAGGTAGCTGGGCGTCAGGGTCTCGGTGCCCGTGTACAGCGGGCAGCCGGGCTGGTTGGTCTTCGGGGGTGCGCGGCCGCCGCCGCAGTCGGGGATGTCGCAGATCTCGCCCGAGTTGGGCACGTACCAGATCATGCTGGCTTCGTGCCACTGGTTGGTGGTCTGCGACGAGACGCAGCCGCCTAGGTCGGTGCGGGCGACAGAGAGGCCGGCCAGGCTAAGGAGGAGGGGCAGAGTAACGGCCTTCATGGTGATGATGGTTTAGAATAGTAGTCGAACGAATGACTGGTGGCGAAAGTAAATATATAAAGAAGTGAATGAATGACGCCGGGTCACGAAGTATATAGAAAGAATGGATAAACCAAGAAAGAAAAAAGGAACAAAACATGGGAAATCACCATGATTTTATATCTGACTTATCATCCGAGCCTTCGACCCTGTTGGCCTTAGTTCTTACATCTGCATCTCTCCAAGCGAGAAGGCGTCCCTGCCAAGACGCCGGTGGCACTCGAAGGTATCGCACGATTGGATCGCAAGGGAAAGTGAGCCTCATTCTGGCCTGTTCATTTGCTGAGTTGGGGGCTCGGAGAGTCCCGGATTTGCTTAGTTACTTTCTTAGTTCTGCTTAGTGCTGCTTAGCGTTTGGAGCCGTTGATTTGCCCCCTTTTATTGTTGCGCCGAACCTCCGATGTTAGGGCTAACCGGTGCAATTTGGTTATTTTTAGCGGAGAGCCGCAAATCCCTGGAGAATTCTTCCAGTGAGACAGAGCCATAATTGCTTGGCAAATTTACTTTCTCTCGCACTAACTGAGACAACAATTCACTAGTTCCGCCCGGTCTAGCTAGACCAGCACCCATGGATCCTTGGGTCCGACCCACGCGCTTAGCTATATTATGTCTAGCAGGACAGAAAAATTGCCGATTGAATGCGCTATCTACTATACTGACATACTGACAGGATTCGCCGACCTGACCCCGACTTGTCTCCCACTGTATTTTAGACCCGCTGGGCCCGAGCAATAAACACCGTCTTGGTGATGGCCTTTCCATCTTTGGTGAGCTCAAGCGGCTCCGAGAGCACCTTGTGCTCGAACCCGACAGTCAATCCGGCGTCTTCAAACAGATTCAGCATATCTGCGCGCGAGAACCCGTGCGTCTTGATAGTTGCCGCTGCGTCGTCCAGATCAAGACTCTGGCGGCGATGCGTGTGCCCGTGAGAATGGCCGTGATCGTGGCCATGGTCATCACCATGACCATGTGAGGCTTGTGCCACGAGATCGATAATGTAACACACGCCGCCCTGCTTTAACCGTGCTGCTAGCCGCTTCAGGGCTTGGTCCGGGTGCTCGAAGTGGTGCAGCGCCATGCTGACCGTCACGACGTCGAAGTCGTTGAACTCCGGGCCCGAGAATTCGGCGGGAACAGACTCGGCGAGCAAGTCAGCCACATGGCCGGTTACTTTCTCGCCGAGCCCGGCAGCCTGTGCATTCCGGTTGTACTCATCTACCATGTTGCTGGCGACGTCGATGCCCACCACATTTGTGAGGAACGGGGCGAGGGCCTGTGGCACTTAGCACTGCTATGCTTGAACAAGATCTCATGAAAACTGCGGCAGGTCTGACGACATTTACCTACCATTGATACTGTACCTGGCCCACAGGCATACTCCAGCATTTTGACCTCCTGGCCCTGACCCGCTGCCGTGTCGGTCCATCGATCACTAAGCCATAGACGATGTTGCTGGGTCTGCTCGGTGATTGTCTTGACGGCTCTGGCGAATCGATCCTGGTATGTGGTGGCCAGTTGGCTGTGGGGGTTCTTTATTAGTCTGCTGTGGCTGTTTCACTGGTGAGAGTTTCTTGTGTCTTACTCGAAGTATTTCCGGTTGACTTCGGTGAAGTCAATCATGGTGTCGATGGTTTATCTATCTTCAGACACGCGAGAAGAAACAAAGGTTTGAGTCAAGGAAAATACAAATTCAAAGAAGAAGAATGAATTTCAAACGTGGTTGAGAGAATGGAAACGAAGAGCAAAGTGGTATTTATGTCTGGCTCGGAGACATTTCGGATACTTCTCATCCACCAGTTGGTGTCGGCTCTGCCACGTCAGAACCGGGGATCACCGTAGATATTTTGTTTCTTTCACTTCTTCTGTTTCTGATTGTTTGCCAGCAATGGTTTGCTTTCTTTTGGGTTGACTTGACTGTCCCAGATCATGCCTGATCGAGATGACCAAGGGTCACATTGTAGCAAAACAGCATAGAACTAAACCGGTATCTGCCAATAGCCCACATTAATAAGTCTCTGGGTCTCAATAGAAGATGGTCAAATAAATAGCAATAACCAGGGCAAAGTAGCAAGAAATGGGAGAAGAGTGAAGTGGACCGAGTATATTCCCAAATAGCTTACTCACCGCCCGCCAGCTCCCAAAAAGACATCATCGGCCCCGACACCAACCCGCATCGCATCCATTCGATTCTCTGCTTCTCCATTCCCCATTCCACCTCCCATTTCCTCCCTTCTTCTTCTTCTCCTTCCGTACCTCTGAACTTCCACCCCGACCTCTTCTTAACTCACCCCGCTCTCCGCCATGGAGTCCTCCAAGATCCCCGATTTCCTGGCCGAGCAGCAAGCACAAGGCTCCCCCGAGACGCAAACCTACTTCCTCACGTTCGAAGACTTCTGGGAGCGCAAGCTATGGCACCAGCTGACCGATGCACTGGTCGAGTTCTTCCGCCGGCCAGAGAGTGCCCCGCAGCGGCTAGCCATTTTCAAGACGTTCGTGCTCAGCTTCGCTGACCGCATCAATCAGCTGAAGTTCGTGGCGCTGGGGTTGATGGCATCGACGGAATGTGCAGGTGGGTTGGAATTTACTCCTTTTGAGGGAAAATATTTGCGTTTTGAGTTTCTGTTCGAATCGATTACTGATTTGTTTTCGTGGATGGCCGCAGATGACCAAGAACGACTGGCGTTCCTCACATCCCTCGCGGACAAGGTCGATAAGCCCGATACTCAGGATGCACATGTCTACGCGCTCGCCGATGTTGCCAACGTCAAGCTGCGACTACAGGATCTGGACGGAGCACAGAAGGATCTAGCGTCCTGCCAGCAGGTGTTGGACTCGTTCGACGCCGTCGAGACGGTTGTGCATGCATCTTTCTACAAAGTGAACGCAGACTACTACCACGTACGTAGAAAGACAAGCATTGCCCAAAACGAAATAAGCTAACTCGAACCAGGCCAAGGAAGAATTCGCCTCGTTCTACAAAAATGCCCTGCTGTACCTAGCCTGCATCGACCTGAAGGACCTGCCGGAATCCGAGCGCGCCTCCCGCGCCTACAACCTCAGCGTGGCCGCACTAGTCTCCGACTCGATCTACAACTTCGGCGAGCTCCTCCTGCACCCAATTCTCGACACGCTGACGAACTCCCCACACAACTGGCTGCGCGAGCTCCTCTTCACCTTCAATCGCGGCGACCTAGCCGCATATGACGTGCTGGCCGGCAACATCAGCAAGAACAAGCTGCTCGAGGCCCACCGCGTGTTCCTGTACCAGAAGATTTCGCTGGCCGCTCTGACCGAGATGGTATTCCGCCGACCGCCGCACGACCGCTCGCTCGCGTTCCAGGCTATCGCGACCGAGACCAAGGTGCTGCCTGATGAGATCGAGCATCTAGTTATGAAAGCGCTGTCACTGGGTCTGCTGCGCGGCTCGATCGATCAGGTTGCACAGGTTGCGCAAATCCATTGGGTTCAGCCCAAGGTGCTGGATTTGAAGCAGATCGATGGCATGCGCAACCGGCTTAAGGATTGGGATGCGGGTGTTAATCAGCTGGGGCACTGGATTGAGGGCGTGGGCAAGGATGTCTGGGCTGCATAGATGCGATCATTGTTTTGTTCTCCCTTTTCTTATTGCCTTGGCCAGTTTGTCTTTATAATGAAAATGAACGAGGTGGTCTTACCTGATGCCAATATGTCATGTGTGCTATACCTCGTAGAGAGCAGGATAGAATATATGGATGGATGTGTTGGGGCAAAATATTAATCTCTCTGTATCACTATGTCCGAATAGCTGTGACCAGCTACCCTAGAATTTATACTCGTCTGCTAGGTATCTGCATACAAGCTCTCAAAACATCGACGAGCCCAACAACACACACCCAATCAACCAAGCCGGCCACCACACACACCAAACAACAACCTGCGTCCACATGCCCCAGACATCCCACCCGAACGCAGCCTGCGTCAGCACCGTCTCCACCGACACGCCGGTATACCAACAAACTCCCAACAGAACCGTCGGCGGCGACAACAAATTCAGCAACACCAGCCCGAGGCCCGAGACACTACACCGCAGGGGCGCGGAAGAGGTGCGGAGACGGGTGATGAAGCAGAGCGGCGCACACAGAAGGCCGATCATGAAGGAGAGGGAGAAGTTGAGCGTAGCGAGCGTGGAGAGGGAGAGGCCCAATAGTAACAGGGAAAAGGATTTGATCAGGAGGTATTGCTGGGGAATGATGGGTGCGAAGGGGCCGAGGCCGTTGGAGAGGAGGGCGGCGAGGAGGAGGGGGAGGACAATGTCGACGACGACGAAGATGTAGGTGGCCATTGTGAAGTACTAGAAATACATACGTTAGCAATGCATTCCGAGTCGCCTGTTCTGAAGACATCCGAAGCTCACCTGGTGAAACAGCGTGTTGAACATCCAGAGCGGGACCAGGCCGAGCAAGTGTAGCCCGACAACCAGCGTAAGTGGCAGGGCCAAGTGTCGCTCCTCGACGCCATTTCCTTTAGCTTGCGCTGTAGGCTCGACGGACTTCTTCTTGTCCTTGGGTTGAGCCGCAGCCTTTGGCTTATTTTCCAAATAGTAACCAGTGCGCAACCACAATGCAATGGCCATGATAGTGAAATTCCCAGCAATCAGCATGGCACTCGGCAGATAGGTCCCAATGCTAACGAAGCGGTTGGACTGCATGAGCAAGTAAAAGAAAAAGCTCTGGTGCAGGTGCTCCAGCAAGTTATTCAAACTGCGGCAAATACTCTCGATAGTACGGCCCAGCGCCATTTCATCCTCCCACCCATGGCCCTTGGGCTGCAGGGTGATGGCGTCAATGTGGTACGGCATGAAGCTACTGTGAGCGCCAGTGGCGTAGCCGAGGCCTTGCTTGGTCATGCCACGGAAAATAGTCTGCAGGCGGTGCTCGTAGCTGTCCTTGTGCTCCCACATCTCCTGCAAATTGGAGCCAATGCCCATCTGGCCGCCGGCAATAGACACCGCCGTGTTGAAGAGATCCAAATTAGGCAGCTGGCCGTTCACACCATCATATACTATGTGGAGCGTGTTGAAGTGGTGGTCGAATGGGTACTCGATCACCAGGGCACCTTGCAATGCACCACTTTTCAAGGGAAGCGGTTGAACGGACTCGGGGTGCATGTCATGGTAAGCGTCAATCCATGCCTGCGTGCCAGATTTGCTGTCGGGCGTAATCAAGAAAATGATATCCTTGGACCACAATGACCAGCCTGCCACCTCCAGTGTTAGCAATCTAGCTGTACTAAAATGAAAGGACCAGTCAAGACTCACGCTTGAAGTACCGAGCCAGAGTCAGAGCAAGGGTCACGCCGTTCAGGTTCAATTCGTCGTCGGCGGTCTTCCATGGAGCAACCAGCACAATTGCCTCAGTGGCATCTCCGCGCGGCGCATGAATGATAGCATAGACATTCTCCCCTTGGTGCGTGATACCCGCCGAGGTATATTCGTATTTCTGCGTGGCAATCTTCAGTCCCACAGCCAGGAAGATCGACTGTACTTTGCCCGAAACCCTGATCGTCTATCAGCAAATGTTCTATTGCCACAACCACTCTCACTTATTCGCGGACACATACGTCGAGGTCACTTCCGCATCGTCCTTCTGCCCACCCCTCTCGCGCCCCTCATTCAACAACCCGTCGAGTTCTTGCTTATAGCCACGGAAGACATTCTGCTCGCTGCCCGAGAAATACGCATGGACCTGTCCCGGGAGGAGCGCGTTCTCGGAGATGTAGGTTTTCCGCGAGTAGTCGTTCAGCGGCAGGAGAAGCAGCCAGACGACGCCGACAACGATGCAGAGGAAGGAGAGGAAGTTCGGAAGGCGGACGAAGAGGAGTTTCGGATTATTCCGCAGGTTGCGGATCGCGGCTGACATTTCCCTTGCGGTTAGTTCTTGATGTAGTCTCTCCAGGTTGTTGGTCCGGGGAGAATGCGAAATAGTGCCCTAGTTGGCCGATCCGGGGGTCATGATAACTCACATTTCAACGCCATGGCTTGATAACCATCTGGGAATGTGTTCCCCCCACTCCAGCGACCCCGTCAATTGAATTGGGTGATTGGGCTGTCTGCAGCTCTCTTCTATGGAGGTTCGAGAAAGCTCGGGGTTGTTGATGCGTTGGAGATGGGGAATATTTACGCTGGACGACAGAGACCAACCACGCAGAATTGGATGTACTCTCGCTATGCTAATGCTCCCCCGACCCTGCAACCCGAAGATTATGATCAAACAAAGACAGAAAGAAAAAGAAAAATATACACAGGAAACGTAGAAAAGAAAGAATGTCAGTGGGCGCTGGATTTTTCAGGAGCCCAGGCGTTGGCTGGATCCCAGGTAACTCATGGGCGTTTGGCTACCGCTAACGCCGGCCGGGTTAGAGGTGGGAAGAACGCCATATCGACCGTAGGTCTTTTGGTCGACAGAGACGTAGTGTGGCAGTCGTCCGAGGAGGTTCAGTTTGCCCTCGATCCAGCGCAGGATTTTTTCAGGGGGCATGAACACCTTCATCCACCCGAGTCCGACTAGTCACGGAAGTCAGCAACAATTCTCAAATAACCACACTCCATTGATGGGAAACTCACAGAAGTAGCCGATGGTGATCGCGCAGAGGTGACCGAGGAAGCTCACGTTCGACACGAGGAGAGAAACAAAGACACAGGCGAACAAAGGCGAGGTCCACGTGGGAATCTTGTACGGGCCGAGACTAAAAGATCGTTAGAGAAAGCTCAAAAGCATTCATACCAGCAGTTTTACCTGAAAGAGGGGTTGGACTTGTACGTCTTGATGGCCTCGGACCCCAGCAGCAAAAACACCCAGACGCTTCAACCATCGTTAGAACCATTGGCACCGGTAACACATAAATAACGGCAAGCTCACCTCGACCCGACCACGGGAGTGTTTCTGTGCAGAAGAACCTTCTCAACCAGGATGTAGAGTCCAGCGGGGAAAGTCGAAAGGGCTACCCCAGACACGTTAGCAAGACCACACCACACTTGCGCCGCTCGACAATATCGGTGCCGAGAAGATCCAGAGAAGTACTCACGACCGATGAACAGAGCCACGGCAGTCAAAGTCCCATGCTCCGCCTCGAAGCGCTCAATCAAGGGTGTCAGTGCCAGGGCGTTCAACAGGGCGTGAAAGAAACCGGAGTGGATGAACGGGTAAGTGTTGAGTCGGTACACTAATTTTCATCGGATCTGTTAGCATTCCGTGTCTGATTCTAGTCTTCGATTCTGTCGGATGAATCCGAGGATCAGACATACTGGTCCCGATGCCAATCTCATTTGGAATCAACGCCCCCCACTGCACCACGCTCCACAGCGTCTGCAACTCGAGCAGCCAGAACGCCAGAATCACTACAAGCACCAGCCGGGTAAACAGCGGCAGTCGGACAAGGTAGGTTCGCACCCGACCCGGGTTGAAGGGGAGTGGGGGCAGCGCGGCCGGAGTTGCCATGGTGTTTTGCGCAGTCTGGGGTCAGAGTGTTTTTGTGGACAACTAGAGGATGCGATTGGAAACAGGGTTTGTTGGAAAGGATCTTGCTGGCTCAGGTCTTCCGCGATGGACGAGAGTCGAGGAAAGGAGGTGGAGATGCAAGACAGTCGGGGGACAAGGCGCCGAGCAAAATGCAATAGAAGGGGGCGTGTCAAGGCACAACAGAATAATCCACAGGGCCAATGGCTGTAATGATGAGTCGTCAGTCTACCAGCGTTGCGGTTGCGCGAACCGGGCCCTGAAGACCGCTGGCCCCGTTAGGCCCAGGGATAACTCACGCGATCTAGGTGGCTAGTCCAAACCAGATGAAGAGTATATAATACAATACACAGAGTGTATATAAAGTCAACAAAAGAAAAAAAAAATGCTGACCCAAGCCAGCCGTAGAGGCCACTGAATATAAGAAGAAAAAGCAAAGATGGAGAGAGAGAGAGAGACAGCGAGGAGTTCGTAGATCCCGGGGCTCCGCTCCGCTCTCCAGGCACAGTGTCACGTGGCCATCTACAAAATGTGGAATATTTTCCCAAGATGAATTTCAGTTGATCATCCATTGCTATGAATTGCTGAACATGTCCTCAATTCTCATTACCAACACAGAGAGATAATCTACAGGAACTGGTTGAACCACAGAACAGCCTGATAGAACGCCTGCTCCTTGGCAAACTTCTGTTTGTTGTCGTTCAGGTCGCCGCGCACAGCGAACCCATGCTTGACTCCGCCGAAGAGGTTGATCTGCCAGGGCTGGCCAGTTTTGATCAGAGTATCCTCGGACTCATGGCGGAGCTGGGTGGTGAAGATTTGGTCGATTTCTATCGAGGGAAAAAAAAAAGGAAGAATATCAGTTTCGGATTCTTCTTTCTTTCTACAGGAAACTTCAACTCACCAGCAGCAGCAATGGAAAACGGGCCTTGGATAGCACCAAGCAGCTCATGAGTGACGAACGAGGGATGCGCCGAGTAGCCAACGTCAATCTGGCCGGGTTGCAGGTACCGGCAGACATACTACCAGGGAGTCAGTCAGTCCAATTGTGGACAACAACAAGGCCGAAAAAGAAGATAACCATACCTTGGCTCCGAAGCAATACCCAACAGCACCAATCTTCTTCACACCCAGGGTCTCACGAAGATACTTGATACTCGATTCCACGACGGGCTCCACGACCGCAGGCTGGTGGTTGGAGATCCACGAGGGGAGGTTCACCTTGCCGCTGTCCATGTCGGCAACCTTGATCTGGTCGCCCCGGAACAGATCCGGGATGATGGTCAGGTAGCCATTGCTGGCGAACTCGTCGGCGAGCAGCTGGGCGTTGGGGAAGATGCCGAAGACGTCGGTTAGGAAGAGGACAGCCTTGTCGGGGGTTTTGTTGTCTTTGGGGTAGACGACGTAGGTGTTGACTATTTTCCAGTTGTATACTTAGCCGAACACTATTCGGAACATCCATAGTCTTTAATAATATCGATGATATTCCCTTCATATTGCCTTGTCAATTGATCCGCAGGACTCGCACTCACCTCCGTCAATGTTCTTCACCTCGCCGACAGGAGTACCCTCATGCTTGAAGCCAGAGGCACAGCAGGCACCAGGGGGGTTGGAAGCCATGTCGATATGAAAGTTGTGGTAAGGTAAATCCTTGGAAAATGTAGCAGAGAAGGAAAAGTGTAAGTAGGTCAATTATCACATAAGAGTTACCGAGGACACAACGACCCTATAAAAGAGCTCGCCGCGAGTAATGGGCATACCGTCCCAATTATTCTGTACGGTTTTGCAGCCTTGCCGGGCCCAATCACGTCGGCTAATTGTATTAACAATTCTCAAAAAATCCTGCCCCTCCATCCTATGCGACCCACTTGGTGGATATCCGCTCGGCCGCGTGGACGGCTGGGTGAAGAAGTACAGAATGTGTGACAGTTTTATTCCTTGACGCCAATGCAGTTGATAGTAGCCGTTGTGTGCCATTCATGTTACCATTCCGCCCTCGTGAAAACAGCGCATAGTGTTGTATACCGGGCTTTTCTGGGCTGGGGATGTATACCCTGGACGCGGCAGACGCTCGATACTCGGCACTTAGACATCGGGATTAGGGTCTTATTTCCGAGCAGACGGGACTGCGGGATACAACTCAAGTCGGTGCTATAGAAGAGACTATTAGTATAGTGGAAATTTAGCTAGCTGAACATTATATTCGTTTCTCAGAGCCACCCCTCACATCTGTACTGCATATGCATAGGATTTTCAATCCCAGCCAGTAATTACCACCAAATTAATCCACAGCAAAACATTTGAACATCTTCAACATTCCAATGAAACCAATCCCATGGATCAACACCAGAGCTATCGGGAGATTCTCTCGCGATGGCTCAACCCCCCCAGAAACAACAAAAATCAACAAAAATCAAACATGACTCCATATGTTCAAATATCGGAATCAAATCACACCAAGAGCAGAGAGTGGGTATCAATAGGGGGGAAATATCAAGAGAGCTGGCTGTTCAAAGGAAGCGGAAGTTGAGCGGGCGGTGCTCGCGCTTGACAGTCCACGCTTTTAGGGCAATCATCAGGATTTCATAGGCCATGACGAAGGCTGTCAAGCCCATGCCCACGGTGAAGGTGAACATAGCGTCCACCTTGTAGTACTCCATAGCCTGGATGACATTGCGAGTCTATGAAAGATGTTAGTATTTACCATCAAGTACACAGTACCAAGGCAGATTCCACTTACACTCAGCATGAAAACCAGACCTCCCGCGATCAGACAGAAGGCGGACACGATCTCGGTCGGGGGACGAGCCGGTAGGTAGGAGGTCGGTGGCTTGAGGAACAGCAGCACGTAGGTCATGCCGCGCGCCAGGGCAAATCCAACCAACATGTTGCCCCACTGCTTGTGTACCATGGTCGAGACCATGCTGTCCTGGTGGTGCGAGCCCATCATCATGCCCAGGAGCAAGATAATAAGGGCTGGCATCGGGTTGAGGGCACGCGCTGCGACTGGGGCGGTTGCCATGAATCATCCGAGGTGCGGTGAGTCGGCGTCTGCAGGACGGTGCTGTTCAGCCAGTCGCGGATGCGGGTGGATTCGAAGAGCATGCCGGCCTATATTTGAACAACCAATTGTTAGCAACCAGCATCCTCAACGAACTCTCCAATAACACAAAACCAGTCACTTACCAGTCCACCGCCAAAGAACATGACGGAGATCGAGGCATGCTCGAGATCAGTGGTCGACCACGCACCACCCGCGTTCGACAAGTGCTCCAGGAAAACATTGGTCACACCATACAGCCAGATGACGAAGGACTCGACGAACTCGCCCGACGGCACTTTGGCCTTCCACTTGCCCACAATCGACGCGGACGGCTTGCGGTTCCAAGCCCAACCGAGATCGGCCCAGCACCCAATAAAGCGGCCGAGCGTCAAAATACCATACCAGAAGAAAATGCCGCCTTTGATGAAATGCGCAAGACCATTGAAGATCTCCTTGCCCCTCATAATGCCGCCGTAGGTCACGCCACCGGTTGCAATAGCGATAAACCCGAACGGCAAGATGATGCGGTCAATGGCATTATACACTCCATTGAAGATCCTCAGCACCCGGCTCGACACTATCCCCGGCACGCGCTTGGACAGGAACTGGTCGACAAACGTGCTCTGGAACCAGCCGCGCGAGCCGGTGGGCTTGGTGGACAGGTCCTCCTCGGGCTTTCCAAATCCATCGTATTCGGCGGGCGACTCGCAGGACGGGGATCCAGGGCTGTGGATCGAAGACGGGTTGCTCTCCGTCCCCTGCCCGCTGTCTCTAGACCAACGGTAGTCGTGCAGCGAACCCGCCGAGTACTGGTTATCATGCTCGACCGTCGACACGGGCAGGAATGCAGCTCGTTCATACGAAGTCGTATCCGACTCGCCGCGCCCTGCGTAGGCAAAGATCAAGGCCAGGATTACTTGCGCGCTGACCACCCACGTCGCAATCCAGCCAATCTTGTGGTGGGCATTGTTTGGGTAGAGGTCTGGCGTCTGACTATTATAGATAATTCCCAGAAGCAATCCAAGGGCATTGGACACCAGGAACAAAAACTGGGCCGGAAGCGCGAATCGCGAGCGCCCAATGCTAAGCATGACGGCTGTCGCCAGACAAAAAAAAGATAATCAGCCTTGTCTGGTCCAATTTCTCTGCGCTGCGATTCTTGCGCCAGCTTCAGCTTCACTCACCAGCAGGAAGGACAAAGCACCAGCCCACGACCATCAAGGCAATATGCGCCATGATCGTCCCCGAGTGCTTCTCATAAACGAAATAGCTCATGGGCGAGCTGGTAGCCGCAGGTGCAGAGGCAGTCGGCTGGGGTGTTGTCGACGATGTCTCGGCCCCATGGTTCATATGCATGTCCATGTCCATATCCATATGCTCATCGTCGCCATGAGGAAGTGCGGTCGCAAGCGACGCGACCAAGAAAACGGCTGCAAGAGCAGCGCGAGTCACTATCGGCCGCATCGGGCAGTGAAAAAAAAAAGGGAATGTCACAAAGCTCGTTCTTTTCAACTACTCCGAGATGTGTCTAGGTGTAGTTACGAGAGAGTTGAAAGAGCCCAGAGCCTCCTGCAAGTGTGTCACGGTCGAGAGCTCTCGCGAATCGTGACGTAACGATGCTCAAACCCGGGATGCGACCCGCCTGTTCCTCTTTCTTTTTTAAGAAAAGAAAAGTTTTTTTTTTCCTGAAATCAGGTTTCAAGCTGTATTTCAGTGTAAACGACCCGTGGACGACTTAGGCGTTTGCTGGGTGGGTTGTGGTGAGGAGGAAAGCTGTAGGGCTGAGGGAAGTATACCGACAGTTGGGGAGGGGAGCGCGGTCTATAAGAAGGGCAGAGCTCTGGGGCAGCTGAAAGGGAATTAATAAGAGAATAAGGAACGAAGCAACGGCGCAGATAACCTGGTAAAATAAAAAAAAGATTTTCTGTAGAATTAAAAATAAAAAATAAAAAATAAAAACGCTCGCCGGCGGTGATTTCCAATGCTTCGGACAGGGCGGGAATAAGAACGCCGAGAGTGCGTGGAAACATCCGTTCCTGTCACTGCCATTGTATTTGCATTTATTATATTATTATATTATTAGTATTATTAGTATTATATTATATTTCAATATTCAATATTCATATTTAGTATTTTATGTTTTATTATCTTTCTATTTCCAAGTGGCTGGTCTGACATGTTATCCTGTATAGGCAGTCCTTTTGCGAGCGTCGCGAGCCTCGATCTGGCACTATGCATTGCATTACGGACTACAAAATGGATCCCAGGCTTGGCGATATTTCCCCTTTCTTAATTTCCGAGAAAGAAATAAGTTGTTCATTTCGGGAGTCTCGGGACCCGATCAAACTTGGCAGGATCCAGTATAAAATGGAGGGTATAAAAAAAAAGCACCCTGATTTTCGCCTACTCCCACACCTAGTCGGATCGAGTGAGCCGTGCCAAGCACCTAACAAGCTGGGATTTCATGACGTAGTCGATCGCTGCCCGGTTTGGTTGTTGGTCTCACCGCAACGCTGCCTGAAATAATAATTATCTTTTTCTTTCTTTTTTTTTTATAAACCTTTTTTTTTAAAAAAAAAAGAAAAGAAAAAGAGATATTCTTGTTCTTATTGGATATGCTAGTTATCCCATGGATTTAGTTAGCATCTCACATGGGTTTATCGGACAAATTACAGGCCCAAAATTCAAGGCCTCCCAGACTGATATCGACTGGTTCTTACACCTTTCCCGGTTCTCAGCCTTGCCGTTAATAATTCTCTGGGATCGGGCTCCCGCCATCAGCGACCAGAGAAGTACTGGATATCACACACCGATTTACTGCACAGCAAATATACTCCCTTGTAATGGCGATGTTGGCCCCTCGTGTCAGCTGCCAGCAATCTCGGGCCCCGGAATCGCCCCAACTGCCAATCCCTGTCTTCTCGGCCTCGCTTGATCTGTCCTCCGACCCGTGTTGAGTTTTTTAGAGTTATATTCTACTGTACTGTATGTGCTGGGTGTGGGTTCATAGTCCTTGACAAACCCGATCCTCCCGTCTCCGTAAGAAAATATGACAGCCAAATTAGGGAATTTGCGACGAACCCAAAAATTCGGTCGTGGGTGCATGGCAAAACGGCCAACTGAACTCTCGTGTCTAGGCACAACTGGTTTGGTTTATACCCTGTGAAGTAATCCGAAATGCAAGATGATGTTATCCCCGAGAGTAAAGCCGTGGGGATTTCCGACCCTGCCAGGTTAACCCTAAAATATCGACCCCTCACGAGAAATCCTATAGTTCGGGATCGATTGTCCAGTCTATAGACTCATAGATATACGCGCGTATTCCCTGTCGTATTAGACCACAGCCTCAAGCTGTGCAAATTGCGCCATGGCCAAGGCACCCACGGGCTGTCCTACTATGCTCTCCATACTCCAGATTCTTGTCCCACGTACGAGATGCTGCAAGGAGTCCTAAGATCAGCAGTGACACACCATAAGGCAGCATTAGCGAATGATCTGCGAGAATAGCTGCAACAATTGGCCAGTGCATCGGCATCCGCGGTGTTCCGGGAGCTCTGGACCACGGAGGCTGGGATGCCGATTCAGCCCACGCACTTGGGCCCACGCACTTTTTTTTTATGCGGAATATACAACCCGGTCTTTTGATCTCTTTCTAGGCAACTTTGGAAGCTGTCACTATGACTCATTCCTTCATGTGTGTATTATGGTTCAGGATCTATATTGTATCCCGAGCCAAGAATAACAGTCAGATTCGAAGACCTCAAAAAGCCTGGATCCGTAGTATCAGCCTCACCATCACAATAATCCCTACCGGTATTATTCAAACTCGAGTGATATTGCCAACTCGAGGAATCCAGCCTTGCAAGTCGGGAGTCCGGCACCGCGCCATCCGCAACTCGACGTGGACCTGGTGTCCCGCATCCAATAGCCCTCGTTAGAGCGTTGGTTCTTCCCGCGCGATCAGCATGAGCCCAGGACTTTTGGCACGCCGTGCATGAATTAATGCATCCCCGCATAACTACGGCGGTCAGTCAATCCATACGCGAAGCAAATCATGGCTGACCCGATGATTGGATTTAAGTAGGACGATAGTCGGCATGCTTAATCCTGTCACTCCTTTCGAGGCAATCTCAACGAGTATCCTGAGATCGGACACAGTAGTCGAGATAGGGAGAGTTGGTTTCTCTGTAGACGGCACAGCCCTTGCCTAGACATCGTCCTTTTGGTTTGTCGCAAAGGACTTCCAAGATTGGCTTTGGTGATCTCCGCATGGTGTCGATGCCTGTTGATGTCACATCCACCGGGTTCGCTCTGGACCCTATCTAGGCTGTAGGAGATCATATGAGAGCATCTGTGGCAGTAACGAGAGCCTGGTCAATGCAGTCCGGCGATCGCCGAGGTCATCACCGTCCATGTGCCGTGATCCTGACTGCGGGGATGACCCTCTCGTCTGTCTATCGAGAGAGATGTGATCGGCCCTGCGATCAACGGCGCCGAGGGATTCGGTAGGCATCGCAAAGAGTTCCCATCGAGTGAAGGGATCTGCGCCGGTCGCAATCGAGGGACCCGAATAGGGTTGGGCTCACTCCGCACACTAAAATCCAACCTGCATGCAAGAGTATCACGGGCCATGTCCATCCAGCACGAAGCGGAGAAAAAGAGAAAAAGACAGGAAGGAATGCCGAAGCACTGCCCATGGGGATCAAGGTGTCACGGCATACAGGCGATAAGGCGACAATATAGTGCTAAGGCAGCAAGGCATTGATCTGTCAAGATATATCACATGACCCCCCCAAAAGCAGCTTAGCCCGCACCAAGCGAGTTGGCCCGAGCGCCTCCCCAATTGGGGGGACACACACACGGAATTTCAACCCTAACCTTCGCCTTTCGTTCTTCAACGCCCAGCGCCAGCGACCTCCGTCCAACAACCACCCGTCAACTCCCAGGTTTATCCTCCAACCTCTCAAGATGACTCACGAGTCCGTTTGGTACAGCCGGCCCCGCAAGTAAGTCGTTCCGGAAACCACTGTGAGATACAAAAAGATCGCGAACTGACTGGTGTGCTTTGCATAGGTTCGGCAAGGGCTCCCGTGGCTGGTGTGTTGACCCCTGATGAAACCCCTCTCCTTTCAAAATTTCTCCGAGAAGATATCGAATTCGCAGTTTGGCGAGGGACAATTGGATGTTGGAATTGGGATACACACAATTGCACCGAATGGCTTGCGCTAATACATTCGCTCGATTTCAGCCGTGTCTGCTCGCACCGCGCCGGTCTGATCCGCAAGTACGGGGTATGGAAACTCTCTTCTTTCCTTGGAGTGCTGTCATAATTGGCGAAATTGAATATGGTGGCTAACATGGGTTGTGTCACAGATGAACATCTGCCGTCAGTGCTTCCGTGAGAAGTCCCAGGACATCGGTTTCAACAAGGTTAGTCCATTCGATGACTCGCTTTCGCCCTCCGCCATATCGAAGAATCTACACCGGGATATTCGACGCTGGAACGAACTATCACATCGATCACAAGAAATATACTAACCATTCAACTTTTCCCAATAGTACCGCTAAAGAAACCAAAAATCAAAAAAAAACCATGTCCACCTTCCTCCCTCCTCGATCCGTTCGCGTCCACGATCCATTTACGAGCCACCGACGCTCTCGACAATGCGTTAGCGTCCAGGGTGGATGAATGTTTCAAAAACGTCGGGAAATGAATTGCGCCATTTCTTTTATATGTGCTTTACGTTTTTCTCTTTTCCCTCGTGGCGGCTCAAAAATTTTTTCTTTTTGTTGGAGGAGACATGGTTGCTCGCTCAAATGGACGAGAGGGGGAGGACTTGGGGTTGTTGTGTGTGAAGAATCTCGAAAAACGAGGATGATACTCATCCTTTGTTTCTTACCCAATTTCAATGACGGAATCTGTTCTCTGGGATTTGTGTTCTTTCTTGACATGCGCCTAGATTGGCATGGCATGACACTTGAGCAATGGGTGTGGGCTATCGGGCATGCTTTGTCTTTGCTCGATGCTTTCTCGCTCATCGGGATATAAACATGTAGACGTGGCACTCGACAGGTTGCCAGCGTACATGTCTTGATCGTAGATATGCCCCGAGGCATCGGACTACATAGTAGCACGCGAACTGTCCACGAGGATCTTTCTACAAGACCACTACTACTCCGCCGACGCAGAACAAGACCCCGAATGCTACTACCGGTTCCATACCAGACCTAACAATGTTTATGTACACCCTGCAACCTAAAAGAGAGCCAAAAGAAAAGAGAAGCAAGTGAAATGAAATGAATGAAAAAAAAAACAAACACCCGCCGAGTTAAAACGAGTATCTACGATAAGCTCTAGCCGCAGATATGCACATGATCATTCGCATTCACCCCCATCACACCGGTCTTTTCAAAGACCACCCCGCGAGTCGACCGACCGGATGCTGTAGAACAGCAAGTACGCGTCCTGGCGCAGGACGTCGGCGACGCTGGCGACGGTGACTTTATTGTCATCCATCAAAACCCACTATAAGAGAAGAACAAGAATACGAATTAGCACATTGTCGTCTTCGTTTAGAGAGCAAATGCCAAGCAAAGTCAAATGAAGGTGAGAAAAGAATAACAAAATCGTTGCACGTACCTTGTCTCCCCCCAAGCGCGTGTAGGCATAGTAATGCCCCGTGTCCATGGTGCCCTGGTGCACCACGACCGTGGACAAGTCGTACATGTATTTGGACATGTCGATGCGCTCCCTGTCCTTCTTCACGGTGTAGGGTAGCATGTTCAGGGTCAAGGGGAAGTCAATGTGGCACTCCAACTTCTCGGAGGCCGCGGAGTTGTGCTCGTAGCGCTATCAAGCCAAAGAAAAAGAAAAAGGGTTAGAAGAACATTCCAAAAAAAAAAAAAAAAAAAAAAACAGCTGCAAACAAAAGACAGGGTCTAATGCAACGAACCTTCAGCTGCATGCACAAGACAACGGGCAACTTGCGGATCTGCAGCCGCTTCGATGCCCGCTGGGGGGTGTTGCCGCACTTCTCGCAGTGGTAGGCGGCGTCGGCGTGAAGGTCCTCGACAGCAGTGAAGCTGTCGAGGCAGCCAGTGAGGGTCGGGGTCGAGGAGAGGGTCGAGGTGGAGCGGCCGAGCTTGCGCTTCTTGTTCTGCAGCTGGACGTCAAGGCTCAGGTCGGCCATCGGGTCGTAGGTGTTGGTGGTCTTGCCGCACTTGTGGCACATCACGCTGCTGCGGAGCTCGCCGTAGAAGGTCTGGTGGAAGAAGCAGTTGCACTTGGTGTCGTAGGTCTCGGCATGACCAGGGGTGCAAGCGTGCAGTCCATTGACCAAAAACTGGAAGTATTCATGGGCATCTTGCTGGCGGTAGCCGGCCATTTCCTGGTTTGGATTAGCGAATTTCCCTGAGGTGGCCTAAATCAGACGAAAACATACCTTGGACGCATCCCATCCGTAGTAGAGAAGAGTCGCAGCAGAGACGGCTTCGGTCTTTTCACCGCTGTTGAAATCCGTGAACACATCGGCAGCTGCGCAGGCAATGCAGAAACTGTTCTGGCAGGTGTGAACGTCGTGACCCCCAGCCAGGAAATACGCGTTGAGAGTCGGCTCGTGAAGCAGCGCTTGCATGATCACGGACTGGTAGCAGGTCTGTCCCATGTTCCACACACCCCGAGCACCTCGTCGGCAGCAGGGGTTTCTGTACGCGTTGTTCTTGACATAGACCTCGGAGGCCGAGTCCTCAACCAACTTCCCATTGCCGTCTAAAGGAAGTCAGTGGAATTGCATTTCCAACGGGGGATATGTCCAGGAAAATCATGTATTAGATGACTGACCATTGCTCTCAAGCTTACCAGATGGGCCACGCAGTCTCTCCAGACCATGGTCGTAGACAAAATCCACACAAGCCTCACAAAAAACAAATCGGCTGCGGGATTCCATGTCTGTATCAGTGGAGTGTTAGCGATATAGATCGTCATGTCCTCAAAAGACAAGAGGCCACTTACAAAACCGATGTCTAGTCGTCTTGGTGTGAGCCTTTCGCTCGGTGTTCAAGCAGACTTCGGAGCAAGTCAAGCAGTGGTACTTGGGTTTCAAAGATTCCACAGTTCGGAGTCCACTGGTCTGAACGGCAACCGTCTCGGTCTTGGAGTACGGAGCCAGCAAGTCATCAAGCTTGCGGAATTGGTCCTTGAACTGGCCAGCAGTTTGACCATCCTTGAGGATTGCGGCAAGATGTTCTATGAGCGGGGCAGTCAGCACTATAGAGAACCAGCGGCCACGCAACTATACAAGAAAACCAAGTACTTACCACAGCCAAATGCGGCCTCGGAAAGAAGATGAGCGGAATCAAGATTCGCCATTGTGGGAGAGGGTCAACGACGAGAAGAAAAGAGATAAGAGACAAAGACAGGGGCAGGATCAGGATCAGGACTTGAGAAGACACAATGCTATGGAAAGATGCAGTCACGAGACGCCAATAGAAGTTCCCGACTTCTAATGCAGAGAAGAAGAAGAAAAAGAAGAAGAAAAATGGTAGATGGGAAAAGCCACAAGTCCAAGGAGGGAGTGACGATACTTATGGCCGTAGAATATGAGGCCGTCAATAGCCTCAAGGACTCCCCCTGAATAGGGCCAGCATTGCACTGTGGGGTTGACTGTCAGTATTGTTCCAACACAATAGCTCAATAAACGCGAGAGGTTGGGGGAAACCCACAATGGTTATTCAAGTCAATACACAAGGGCCGTGGGGGGTGGCAGCTATAGACCTCACTCAAGGGTTGGCAGTCGAATGCACTCAGGCCAACAATAGCCCCACCGTCAATCACGAGAATCCCAATGACGCAAAGCAAAACAATAAAGATGCTTATCTATGAGATGGCGCTGGATCCAAGTGCCTGGCAGTCGGATTTCGTGGCGGAGAGGTGGTTTGCCATCGGGCGGTCCTTTTTTTCGCCTGAAACCGAGTGACCGCCGGATAAGAGAAATCGGAGATGCTCCTTCCCCGATGCCATCACCACGCATCAACCTCAGGAGTTTGGTCGGAAACGAGGATTCTTTTTTTTGTTTTTTTATATACGCAAAATAGAGAATGCCTCTATGGGCTTGGGATGTTGCACGAACTCGGTGATTGGAAAGGGACTACGGTGGCAGTATTACTCGGGCCATTCTAAACAGTGTTATTTCTATTCATGATCATTCCAAAGGCATATTTCGTGGTATAGGCATAAACAATCAAACAGCCGACCGACTAGGGCTACTCAAATCGTCCGATAGAAGAATCCAGTTCGCCAAATGGCGCCACCATCCTGATTTCTGGATCCCAGGTCACTCCCTGGAGAGTAGACTGGCGCAAGAAACAGTGCGCGGTGTTTCCCGTATTTCTGCTGATGTGTGTCGCAATGACTGACAGACAAGACACGGCGTAACTGCTTATTTACCGCGTTCCTCTCCCGCGAGGCAGTGCGCTGGGTCGAGCACCGCGAGCAGTGCCTCGGGTGGTGTACCGGCTGGTCGCCGCGCCACGACCTGTACCTCGTGAAGATGCTCGTGAGGGCGCAGAGTATTTGGAAGTTGGTTTGGAGGAGACGGTGCTCGGTGGGTTTTCGACAAAGGAGGTGTCCGTAGTCCTGCAATGCGCCAACCGGTCAATCTCAGAGCTCGCGACGGGTATCTGCTGATCTGCTGTTCACCCGCAGATCTTACTCACAAGAAAGTCATCTCGCCCTCATCTGCCGGTCGCATGGGTTCTGATTCCGCCTCTGGAGGAAGTTGTTAGCGAACATCGTCATCGAACAGCCCCTCAACCCCACGCCACGAGAAAACGGGACCCTCAATACCTTTCTCTGTCTCTGCCTGCTTGGCTTGTCGGAAAGAGTCGTTGATCGGAGCCTGTGGTGGTTTGTTTTAGCATCGTCGCACGTCATTCCCAGTCGACGCGTCTCTGATCATACCTCGGGGAAATCCACACAAAAGGCGTTCATATTCAACCCGTACAGAAAACTGGCGAAGCTCTCACTGAACCGCGTCAGGCTCTCGTGCATCAATTGCAGATGCATGAAGTTGGCCTCGAGGTCCGCCATGGAGTCGGCGAGCTCTGCGAATTGTGGCTCCAAGGTATTGATGGCGGGCTGTGTGTACCCTGCATTGCTGATGCTATTCCCATATCCATGTGCCTCCCGTAATGACGAGCGCGAGCTGGGGCGTAGAGGGGTTGTAGGCCGAGAGGAAGGTCGCGGACGCGACGAGGATCGAGGGGCCGGCGCATCCATTGCGACTTGTGAGAGTCGTGGGGGATTCCGTTCGAGCGCGGTGGGGACGCGAAGGTGGGCCGAGAAGAGCACTGCGAAACGGAAGATTCGGTTAAAGAAACAAAGTGGGTTGGGCAGTTGACGCTGATCCCCCGGACATTGGAGGACCTCACACGAGGGAAAGACTATGACCATAAAACATCGACTGTAGACCGAGACAGCGGGTTGTAGATCTAATCAAGATCGAGCGATACAGGCAATTGTTACTATTCATTCGAAAGATCTCTTCCCCACAGATCACCGTCATCGTGATTTTGAGGGAATCCACTCGCCTTCTCCGATCTTCCGTCCCAATTCCCCTTTCAACTTTCTTCTTGCCTGGACTATCCCAGTCGATTGAGTCCTGCACATGCGTGCTTGTCTGCTTCTTCGCCGTCGCCTCTGCTCCTCGGCCAAACCCCCCTGTGCTCTGGGACACATCTCCGACTACGCTCCCCGGTCCAATCCACTCGCGCGACCGTACTCCACCTGCTCGTCATCAACAGAGCCGAAGAAGGCGTCCTCTTTCTGGACAATCACATTCACTCTGTTGGCCGTTGGCGGAAGTGCTTGGCTCCAGGATAAATACTTCAATTCCAAGCAAGACTCGTCCGCAATCTCTCCCTCGTGCCCCCCTCCGCAAGAACCGTTCCTCGGAGTCATCGACACTCTCAAGACCATGCCCACTGAACCCGCCCCCGGCACCATCGGGAACCTCACCCCTGAGCAAGAGGTCAAGCTCCAGGAGTTTTGGGTCCTCGCCCTCAAGGTCTTTGGGGTGAATCTGGACGGCCTCGAGCCCGCTGGCAAGGCCAAGGGCACCGGCGACGCTGCGCCCCCCAGCCCGACTCAGGATAAGAAGAAGTCCAAGCGCCGGTGGGGGCTCTGGGGTCGCGGTAATGATGATGATGATGACACCAAGAGCGTTGCGTCAGAGGACGGCATCGCCTCGAGCTTGGCCTCGATCAACATCACCGATGGAGACGACAAGTACGGCCAGTCCAAGGAATTCCAACAAGCCCTAATGGACCTGTCGCCGGAGGAGATCAGAACCGCCTTTTGGAACATGGTGAAGCATGACAACCCGGACGCTCTGCTGCTGCGGTTCCTGCGTGCACGCAAGTGGGATGTCAAGAAGGCTCTGGTCATGTTTATCTCCACGATGCGGTGGCGGTTACAGGACGTGCATGTCGACGACGATATCATGGCCAATGGCGAAGCCCTTGCTCTAAAGCAGTCCAAGAGCTCCGACCCGGCCGAGAAGAAGAAGGGCGAGGACTTTTTGTTCCAGATGCGCATGGGCAAGAGTTTCCTGCACGGCGTCGACCGCTTCGGCCGTCCGATCTGTGTTGTCCGCGTGCGGCTACACCGCGCATCCGATCAGGACGTCGAGGCGCTGGAGCGGTTTACAGTCTACACCATTGAGACGGCGCGCTTGTTGCTGGCGCCTCCCGTTGAGACGGCGGTAAGTCTCCTACAGCTTGTTTGACAATCGCATCTAACCCGACAAGACAATTATCTTCGATATGACCGACTTTGCATTGGCCAACATGGTAAGTTTCTCCCTTGGGTTGTCTTTTGTTCGGTGCTGATTCCCACCAGGACTATACCCCCGTGAAATTTATGATCAAGTGCTTCGAAGCCAATTACCCCGAGTCCTTAGGATCCGTGCTCATCCACAAAGCGCCTTGGATTTTCTCCAGTCCGTAACTCACCCCTCACAAATTCCGGGTTTTTCTAACGCGGTCTGCAGGTATCTGGAGCATCATCAAGGGCTGGCTCGATCCCGTAGTGGCCGCCAAGATCCACTTCACCAAAAACCGCGAAGATATCGAAGCCTTCATTCCCCCGGACCGCATCATGAAGGAGCTCGAAGGCGACGAGAACTGGGAATACAAGTATGAGGAAGTCAAGGAGAAGGAGAACCCTCTAATGGAAGACACGGGATCCCGGGACGAGTTGATCACCCAGCGCCAGGCGCTCGCCAAGCAAGTCCAGGACATTACGCTGGAGTGGATCCGCGCCAGCTTCAAGAAGGAGACCGATGCTGCGTCTGCTGCGCAGGAGAAGCGCAACGGTTTGGTCGATCAGCTGCGCAAGCAATACTGGGAGCTCGACCCGTATATCCGGGCTCGGTCTCTGTATGACCGAACCAATGTGATCAAGGATAACGGGAAGATCGAGTTCTATCCGGGTGCTGGGCAGAAAGATGACAAGGCAGGAAAGAAGGCCAGCACTGAAGCAACTGCATGATCACTGGGGTTTGGTGTGTCTGTCTGTGATCTCGAACTATGTGGCCAGGTATGGGTTGTAGTATATACGGCATTGGTTCTGTTCCGAATCTCAGCTAGAGAATATAGGATCGACTTAGAACAAAAGATTTGACATTCTACATTCATAGGCATGTCCCACGGACACCGGTCAAACACTACTACGTCAGGGACAGACAGGTTCAGTCTTAACCGATTGATACTTGTATCGCTAGAGAAACATGCCATTGATATTGACACACGAGTAAAGACCAGATTTACATCTTCGCCTTGATCTCCTCGTGCAGAGCCTTGAGTTTGTCCATATCAGTAGCCTGGTTAGGCCAACCAATGCTCATACCTTCCTTTTCGTTGGGCTTGGGGATCTACTTAGGGCGTCAGCATAGCTACAGTAGAACTTGTGGAACCACCACCGCATAAAAAAAAGGGAGGTCGAAATGAGGGATAGCATACCATGTGGAAGTGAACGTGGTCAACCACCTGGTGCGCAATGCGCCCGTTGTTCTGGAGGATATTGAAGTCCTGGGCGCCGGTCGCGAGGGCGATCTTCTTTGCCACGGGCTGCGGAGAATCATTAGCCATATGAATTTCTCTTCTCGAATGTAGTTTCCAGCGTCTCCGTCATTTGTCGACAGGTTCAAGTCCAAGGACCTTGTGGGCGCCGAGGTAGACCCATGTCGATCGGGACATAACCTTCTTTCTTTCTCTCTTTCTCTCTTCTTCCACACTTTCACACATCTCGAACCACAACCATCCACCCTGGTTGATGGGGAACGTACCAAGATCTCGAGCAGGTCATCGTCGGGAATATCGGTGAGCTTTGCGCCATGGAACTTGGGGATCACGAGCTGTTTTCAACGAAGCTGTCAGCTTTGATTGCTCATCTCAATTCGATTCTTTCCATTGATCGCGGTCCAATATACTGCCACCACATAACCCAGTGTGTATTGGCGACCACAGCATCGAAATGACCGAGAGGACGCGCCCGTGCGGGGAAAACAACCGGGGGAGAAACTCACCGCATGGCCACGGCTGAGCGGCTGGATATCCAGGAAAGCAAAGACCTTGTCGCTCTCGAAGAGCTTGAAGGAAGGGATATCACCTGTTGTGCAACGGGGGTGTGTTTATATTAGCAACAGCACTCTTCACCAGATGTATCTCGGGCGGTATGACCACAGGACATGTTTTCAAGGGAGGGGAATTGAGAGCTAGTTTCGGTGTAGCATGAGCATACCCTTGACAATCTTGCAGAAGATACAAGCAGCCGACGACATGGTGAGTGTGGGGGTGGTCGATAGAGATTGTTTTTCGCCAGGTAATGAAGAGCTACCAGAAAACTGAAGTCATCGATGATGCGGGGTTGAAAAGAAGAATAAGAAATAAGAATAAAAGAATAAGCGTAATGTGGTGGTTGCTGGACTCGAACTCGGGCCTGTGGGTGGGACAAATACCCCCTTATGTAGGACATTAAGTCGCAACTGGCGAGGAGTGGGACAAGCTAGCTCAGAACCCATTTCTTGCCTTTTACCAGAGATGGCCGTGGCCTGCCCACTATACTCCTCTTCTCAATCTTTGGATCGTCCACGCGACACAGCAGTCGTTTTTTTTTTTTTTTTTTTTTGTTTTAGTTTCAATAATTTAATTTGCTCTTCTCATTATATTCTCTCTTTTTTGATTTTTTTCGGTCGCTGGAAGGGGGTTTTCGAGGTGGTAAATAATTTTGGTGCGTGTGTTTAATGGGGAAACCGGCAGTGTGCATACCCTGCCTCGGCCACTATTGGCAGGTTACGACGGACTAAGCTGCTGTTTCGTTTCGGACCAAGAATTTCATGAATATTATATTCTAGAATTTTTTTGAGAATGGGTTGAGTGTGGAGGATTTTAAAAGGTCACCTTCACCCTAAGCACAAGGTCACTTTTGATGGTGTTGGGAGGTCCTGAAGACCATTGAGTGAAATCCTCCCTCCTCGACGACAGCATCATGTCCCCTGCATTAGAGAGGCGTGGGCTTTTCCTCAACCTTAAGGAGATATTTTTGTGTCATGTGTGCTTTAAAACCTCCAGCATTATCATTTACTATGGTACTTATTCATGGGAATTTGGTGCCATGAGCCTATAATGGCAAGATAGATATACTAATTTTTTTTTTTTTCTTTTTCTTTTTCTTTTATTGATATGAGTTATTTTTGCGACTTTGGTCCGTTAACAAGGGGTGGCTGGCCTAATGGTAAGGCGCTTGATTTCGGCTCTGATTCTCAAGAGATTGCAGGTTCGATCCCTGCGTCACTCAATTTTTTTTTACTTCATTTGTATATTTAAATAAAATAGTACACCTCTCTAGATCCTAATTAGTCTCTTTTTATACTTAACTTATTCGCACAGAATTTGTAATGACTTTTTGGGTTGAGTATCAGTCTTTATGGTCTACTTAATATATATATATATATATATATACATACTCTGCCCCAGTTCTGTGACCCAAGGCTGGGGTCGGACGTGCCCCCTGGTAGAACTTACTAATGAGGCCGGCCGGCCTTCAGCAACCTCACAAGTCAAGAGCTAGATGAGAGTAAAAAAAAGGGCTGATCAGACCCTTCAGAGTGTGAGTCTATATAGTATCGACTTTAGCATTGTCACTTATCAGGTAGCGAAACAACCGGGCGAGGGCACGCATAGATTCCAGCCAATCCTTCTTCACAAACACATTGTAGCCTCGCGTGAATTTCAATTCAAAAATATCCTCCTTTGAGCATCCATGGGATCAAACCCTAAAAATAGCATCGGCAGTGAAATGCCCACGGGCAATGTGGAGATGGGAACCATGAATTCCTAGCACGAAGCCTTCCTGGTCCTGCAAACCTATGCCGGGTATACTAAGATTCTGAGCAAGCTGTCCCAGCATCACACTCAAGGTTTCTGTGAGATATTGGCTTCAGGCCTGTCCTTAGAACCTCTGCTGCATATCAGGAAGAGAACCATGAGTATGATCTGGGGATTGACTCACGCTAGTATAAGAGATGATGGGTATGCCTTGTCGCGAACCAACCGTCACGGCACTGTCTGCTCGACTAGCGAATTGTTCACCGTTGACCACGTATTTCATCTTCCATCCTGTTATGGGGAAGCTAAGAGAATTGTGTCAAGATTCGTATCGCACGAAATAGCCGTAGAGAAAGATCACATACTAGAGTTTCGGGCCTTTCTTGTCTTCCAGGAGCAGATAAACCATTTGCATAAGCAGCCTTAATATTATAGCCTGATTTCTGACCAGGTCACGAAAATGCTCTCGCCTCGGCATCTTCCAGCTTTTTTTGGGGCAAGGAAATGGTCTCCTCGGGCTCTTATGGCGTTGGTGATTGCCGCGTCGTCAGACTCCCGGTCTTCAGTCATGCCCCAAGCTCGAGGGTTTGTAAAATCGGTCAGAAGGCTTTGGAAAAAGTCACGGAAAATGATGTATTTTTTCGTTCGTCCAATGATCATCGGTCCATTTCATCTTCGGTTGCGATGTCCGAATTCTGGAACATCTCCGGGATGAGTCTCTTTACATCCTTGTCTGTGATGACGGCGTCAGTAAGATGAATAACACCGTCATAATTGGCTTTAATTCTTTTTGTTTTATACCTTCCTGTTAGATGTCGACCAGTCTTGGGATCAAGTTATCGGGATCAACGATAGTAGAATGAATCGTTGCAGACATGGTGCAGAAAGTAAATGCTGGTCGAGATCAGTATCACATTTCAGCTGGGGAATGTAGAAATATACGCGGGAGAGTTAGAAGAGTTTGATTGAAGAGTCGACCCTGGTCTTCTGAGGGTTACCTGAGGGAAGGGTAGTTTCTGCGCCGGATTAATTTTACATCGATGTGCTCCAGTTCTATCTCTCCTTGTATTGGGGATAGTGCCAATACTAGATATAATACAGTAATATCATTGAAAAGAAGAGCATGACTATTTCATTCCCATTAATTTTCTTTTCTTGGCCATACTGATCTCCCAGTACACATATTAGGAACTGCAATATCGTATGTGAACTATCGCTTGAGGTATCCAGCAGAGCTCTGATTAAAATGAGAACCATATCACAATTATTTTCAAACAATCCAGGCATTTACAGTATAGGAATATACGAACGCAGCGAAACAATTTCCTAATCATAGTTTCTTAGCGCCCGCTAAACATTGAAGAAAGAGGACCTAGGGATTAGAGACGTCTCCTATTGCCCCCTAAGCGAAGCGAGGGTCAGCGGCTTCTGTGAAATCCATTCCCATTCCACTATAGCACAACACAAGGGTAATGCGCAGTGCGGCTCTATTGATAAAATATACCTCCTCCCAATCTCACTTTGGCTCTTCATATACCACTCGTAACTAAGCCCCAGCTGTCTTCTCTCGCTTTGTAAAGATCATCTGAAGTGACTCCAATGCGAAGTAAAGGTATCCTTCGATTGCGTGTCGAATGCCACCCCATCCTCACCAGACGCCAACGCAATATCAAACTCCATTGCAATACGGTGTAATACCCCTCGCATCTGGAGCAGAGCCAGCTGCTTTTTGGAACAGGAATAGGGGTTTTAGATATGCAAGCTAGCCTCTCGGCATAACCGAGCAATAAAAACTTGAATGCCGTAGCATGTGCATGCACAGAAATAGATAACTTACCTATCAGGAAAGAATATTACGCCTGCTCATCAAGCCAGATCCTTTCCCTCATCTGGCCATCGCTCTGGCAGGAAGTCGGACGCCCGTTCAAAGTACCTCCTGATATGTCTGAATAGCCGGTATGCATTCCATGGGGGCCCTTGTCGCACTCGGACACGGAGATCGCACATATGCATGGATGACGCAGCTTATGCTGGGCATACGAAGAGATGTTTATATGATAGGTGTAGAAATTGTCGTAACCAGAACATAAGGATCCAGAAATAAATTGAGTCAAACGACGTGGATAAACCCCAGTCAGCCTTGCTGTTCTCTCTGAGCCTTGAAACGCCAGGCTGGAGCCTCCATCTTGGCAGCTTGCAAGGCATACGGAGATTTGATGGGGCGACGGGGTATAGCATAGTGCTATTGGACCATGTTGGAAACAGCCCCCTGGGCCTTGTTGGTAGAACAACCTCTTGTAGAGGAAGTCTACAGTACAGTAGAAAAGACCTACCTCCCTGGGGTATAAAAGCATGAAAACCACCCCCTGGGCTTACGTCTTTCCAGCTCTACGATATTCACATACTCCCCACTGCAGCCTTCACAATGCAGTTTCTCGCCACTGCTCTTCTTCTTGCATCCTCTCTTCTTGGAGTGGTGCAATCATCTGTAACGGTCAAGACCAAGGACGACGGTCAATGCTATCTCCACCTCGACATTCTTGGCTGCGACACTGACACTGATGTCTTGGGACACACACAACCTTCTGGTAGCTCGCACTGCTGGTTCCGTATGTCTTCCCCGCCACCGCATCTTTGATGGCTTGAGCTGTGCTAACACCATGACCGCGAACTCCAGCGAGCTCCAAATGGAGCTATTGTGATCTGGATGGAGAGTTGGATCAACCTCAAGGCTCTCCTTTCGCAACCTTGAAAGTTACACCCAAGGGTGGATCGGAGACGACCTGCGCCCTGGATGCTCATGAGAATGTGTCATCTTGTGACATTTAGGATGTGTGCTGGAACATGAATGTGGCGGCTTCGCTCATTGGGGCGTCATGAGAAAACACCACCTGAACTAGGAGTGGAATTGCATCCCAGTTAATTTGAAGCAAATCGGTGAACATTTTGTTATATCGATCCAAGATATATCCTCCCTGCTTGTAAACATGGTGTCCGAGACCATTGGTCATTGCGATGAAATGCGAGGATAGGGTGGTTGCTTCGGCAAAATTTTCCGTACCGTCGACCTCGATGAAGAAATTGTAGATAAAACTGGATCTGAAAAGGGTGAATCTGCCTGTCTGCTGATCTCATAGAATACCTCATCAAGACATCCTCCACCAGACTATGAGTTGTGCGCATCGCAAAGCAGGCCATCGAAGACGACCAGGCCATCCAATCACAGAGGTTGTGTTGTCAGATGTGGGCTGGGGTGTTGCACCTCTGCGGTTGCTGCGGTGCTGCGCACAAAGCCCATTGACTATGATAAATTGAGATGCTCCAAAAATCTTGACCCAAGTCGAAACAGATCGATCAAGTCGAGGGTAAAAGAAGAGCAAGTCATTGAAGCACAAAAACAAGGTGAAGGGGTGGTGTCCGGATTGGGATTAGCGCCAAGTCCCGTGCTGGACTTCCTGCGAAAGCCCCGTCGCTGCCATCACCACTCTCCCCTCCTTTGTCATTCCCCCATCCACGGCCATGCAGAAGTCCCGGGCCATGCATTCTGTCCTGGGGCAGAGGGCCTTTGTCCCTGCCCCTCGGGTCCAGGTTCAATTCCAACGCCGTTACCTCCAGGATGTCTCCATCACTCGAACGGGAAAGCCCATCTTGAAGGTCCAGGGTGGCCGGTAAGCAGTCAATTGCATGGGAATTGAAGTGTATTGCTTTGAATGCTAATGCGCGGTGTTTGTAGCTCGTCTCTCGGAGGTAGCTCTACCCTTTTTGCTTCGTTTTTCGCCTCGGATATGCGATCGGCTCACATCTTGATTCTAGGTCACACTGCCACGGTTTTCGGTGCTACGGGTTTCTTGGGTCGATACATTGTCAACAAGCTCGGTATGTTGAGGATTTGGAAAGGAGAGAATGCCAGGATATAGGACTGATGGCTCCGCAGCCACCCAGGGATGCACAGTGGTCGTCCCCTACCGCGAGGAGATGATGAAGAGACACTTGAAGCCAACGGGTGATCTGGGACGGGTGAACTTCATTGTACGAGAGCTATTTTCGCCATTGTCTCAGCAAAATTTGCTTTTCTGACTCCGCCCTAGGAATACGACCTGCGCAACACCCAGTCCATCGAGGAGAGCGTCCGTCACTCCGACATCGTCTACAACCTTGTCGGTCGCCAATACCCTACGAAGTGAGTGATCATCAGAGCTAGACGGGGTCTGAATGTTCCATTGACAATGCTCAGGAACTTCACCTACGAGGACGTTCATGTTGACGGTGCCGAGCGCATCGCCGAGGCGGTCGCCAAATATGATGTGGACCGATTTGTCCATGTTTCATCTTACAATGCGCGCAAGGACTCGCCGTCGGAGTACTTTGCCACCAAGGTCGGTTCATATATTACTGTTGTTCAGGTACGGAACATGCTAAAGAAAGTTCACAGGGATGGGGAGAGGAAGTCGTCCGCTCCATCTACCCCGAGACGACGATTGTGCGCCCTGCCCCAATGTTCGGTTTCGAAGACAACCTCCTCCACAAACTGGCTGGCGTCACCAACCTGTTTACTGCCAACCACATGCAGGAGCGTTTCTGGCCGGTTCACGTAAGTTTCCGCGATATGACTCGGCGAGCCTCCACTGACGTATCTAGGCAATTGATGTCGGCCGCGCCCTGGAGCGGATGCTGCACGATGACAGCACTGTTGGCCAGACGTACGAGCTGTACGGCCCCAAGAATTACTCGACGGCCGAGATTGCCGAGCTTGTCGACCGTGAGATCATCAAGAACCGCCGTCACCTCAACGTCCCCAAGGCCATTCTCAAGCCTATGGCCTACTACCTCAACAAGTACATTTGGTGGCACACCACCTCCGCGGACGAGGTGGAGCGTGAGTTCATGGACCAGGAGATCGACCCGGAGGCCAAGACATTCAAGGATCTGGGCATTGAGGAGACCGCCGATCTTGCCGACCTGACCTTCCACTACCTGGTATGTGTACTCGATATTCCCAAGTAGGATATATATAAGCTAACAACTGCACAGCAAGGATACCGCAGCGCCTCGTACTACGACCTTCCTCCGGCCACGGAGCGCGAGCGTCGCGAGGAGAAAAAGTACCTGCATGTGCTGGACGACCAGTAGTCTGTTGATTTAATTTGTACATAAGCCTGTCCTAGACTCAATTCTTTCCTTGTGTTGTCAACCATTCCCGTAAATCATTCTGCCGACCCTGGCTTCGCCCAGGCAGCTTTGGACGTAGTAGAGAATAAAAATAAGATTTTAAGGCCTTTTTAACTCATTTTTAACTTACTCAATATATAGATAGCTATTTTACTACTGCTATCATTATTTTTTAATCCGTTTTCCAGTCAGTTTTCCAATCCTTTTTCCAATCCTTTGTAAACCCCTATATCCCCCTTTCTTCTATATGTATCCTGATCAAGTAAACCAGGTCACTCAAACGCTAAGAAATAAATAGGGAGTTGTTTCGCTGCGGTCACATGTTCTTATATTATAAATTAGGACAATTATTTGGGCTGTGTTTATGTTCGAGTCCTTTCATGTCAAGCAATCAATCCAAGACTCTCTAAGCCATCTCTTGTAGTCCAATAGGCTTGCTCAAGAAGTAACGAGCAAACAGCTTCCCGGGTGCACCGGCATCTTCCTCAAAGCTGAAAAGCGGCGAGTATTGTAATCAGAACGTTTCCCTCAAACGGGCTTGAGTGATCCGAGTATGTTTGACACCCATGTAAGAAACAAGAAGGACCTATCGGCAATAATTTGCAGGGGAAATTTGTTTACAGATAGTCCCATTATAGAAACTCACTGGATACATGGGATTGTGTTGATGCAGCTTCGTCAATGACCGAGCCGCCATAAAGATGAAGATTGCTCTGAGCTCATGAAGCGTCAGACTTTGGTCTTGTGTGGTTGAATTGACCCGAGCTGTCATCGCGAGCATCGCGTGAGACAGAGGCGATTCAGCGGAAGCATCTTCATATTGGCCATAGACTCTCCAGCTGGGCCGAGAACGACCAGAGGGAGACTCAATCCAATCGTGCACAAAGGGGAGTCGATCGGCACATCTGGCTCTGGTGATTGTTAGATTTTACCTATCGAATTCCATCAATGTATTGCTTACCTTCACGGCCACTGGAAATGACCCAGATGGTTGTACAAGGAACAACACCCCGGCAGTCCTTCTCTTGGAACATGGCAAACAAGACTGTCGAAATAGTCTCTGATCTCGCGGGTGTTGTCTCTGAAGTTAAAATCACTCGTGCGATCATACCACTGAACGCTGGATTCGTATCTACTGAGTGCATACTCAAATAGCTCTTCCTCGTCGAGATATAGGACCGGGGTCCTCCATCAAGCTCTTGAGAGTGTCTTTCAAGCACTGGTCCCAGTCCGGATCAGGATTCAGTTGCGGCAGCTCATAAATGACAACATAACCGATATCATTTTCGCTGTCATATCCCTGCCTCTCGCATGCCTCTTGAGAGATCGGGTACTTTTCCAGAATACTCTTTTCTGCGGGCTGGAAGAACGACGGCACGAATTTAAGAAGGCCCGTGTCACTGAGACCAACCTGGGTGGCGTGAACACCTAGTTTTTGAAGAATAGTATCGGGTGGGAAGTCACAGTGGAGATTTGAGCTCTTTGCAGAGGTGCATGATGGCTTTGCGACGATGGCATCGGATTTCTGCGTCCATCGTAGCGAGGAATTTCGAGCTTGGGGGGGGGGGGGATGGAAAGGAAAGTTCAAGGGAGAAGAAAAGTAGATAAAGTTGTCACTTTTTAAGTGTCTGGAGGAATTAAATAAATTGGATGAAGTATGAAAACTAAGATTTGTAAGATGGTAAGGAAGCAATATGATAATCGACATCACTGAAAGGGTTAAGTTGCTTTTATATACCAGGGTTCAATAAGTGTTACGTAGACTGACATCGAGCAAGACCTACGACTACACTTCGAGTAGCCTCTGTCTTGCCCTGTGGATTCGACACTGTAAATAAGATTAGAAGAAGTAGGGGGAAATTACCCAGAAATATCTTAAAAACCATCAAAAGACTGTATATTCAACTTCTATTTTGATCTCTAAGAAAGCTCTTTACAGAGACGGACTATACCTCTAGTCTATTTTATATCTATTAATGCCTACCTTATTTAGCTTAATAATAAAGGGAATCTAATCTTTTAAGCATAATAGCTCGTAGGAAACCTTCAGCTCATACTAGTCCTGATATATTTTATTAGTGTAGATCTAATATACTTATAGGTCAAATAAAAGGTTTACAGTCAAGAATTATTATGTATAAAATAGAGCAGTAGTCGTTTTTTATTTTATATATTTTATATATATATATTTTTTAAATTCTATAACTCTACAATTTTACCAGCTAATATAAATTGAATATAAGGGTGAATAGTTGGATATAAATATCTCTATTCTCCACTCTTACCTTTTTCCTTCTTATGACTCCCAATTTCCCAGTCGTCTGGGGTGGGCGGAGGGCGGCCCGCTTGGCCGCCCTCCCTGTGACCACTGCGACTGCCGGCCCCAGGCAATGGCCGGAAGGCATCTCCCACCACCCGTTCCTCTCCTCTTCCCCCCCCCCCCCCGGTTTGTAAATAGATCTCTTCTCTTCTCTTCACTTCTCTTTTTGTTTGGGTTGTGTGTCTCTAGTGTTTTTTTTTTCCGGTGGGAGAAATTTTTTGTGTTCTGTTTTTTAAACGAAGCAATTCCCAGAGTCTGTCACAACTTTCTCGTAACCAGTAATTCGAAGATTCTTTGAGGGCTATGCTCGATTAACGTATTTCTTAACTCCTATGGAAATTAACCGCGCTACTAAAAAAACAGCATCCAAAGTAGACCGTCGCCAGGTACTATAGCAAACTATGGTGCTCTCCCACTTGGGACCGGTGTCATACTGGCTAGTGTTGAGCTTATTGTATGAAGTGGCGATGCTACACAGGCCACAATAAGGCCTAAGAGATCTACAAAAACACAGATATGGCTGTTCATAGCTTTGCCCAACACCCGTTTGTTGGGGCCAACCGTCTCGTGCTTAGTCAAACCATCGTGGACGTCTCCAGGCATCTATAAAATCCCCGAGTTTGGTTTCTTTTGTATCACAAGGGAGCATTGCACTCGATGAGAATGGCTGTTGGCGGCTGTTTCTGCGGCAAAGTCCGAATCCAATATAGTGGCCAACCTATAGCGTCGGTTAGTTTCATTTGACATGATTCAAGTCTCTTTGCTATGAGCTATAATCTAATTCCATCTTACTCTTTTTTGTTAGGGACTATGCTACTGTCTTGATTGTCGCAAACTGACCGGATCCGCCTATTCCTACAATTTCATCGTCGACAATACCCAATTGACTATCACTGGCAGTCCGAAAGAAGTGGCCAAAACATCGGATAGTGGAAATCATATCAGGAATTATTTCTGTCCGGACTGTGGTCTGTATATGATAAGACCAGAACTCTAGTGACAATATCTGACGAGAGTGATGCAGGCACGCCGCTATATGGACGGAAAATGAAGTCTCCCGAGGTTTTCGCCGATATTACCATAGTGCGGGCAGGAATCTTTGATGACATTGGCATTTTGAATGAACAGAAACCCGAGGCCGAGCTATACACCACCAGGCGATTAGAGTGGATTAGTCCTATTCAAGGGGCTCATCAGTTTAGCGGTATGATGCCACTGCCATAAATTCAAGCATCGCATTAGGGCGTACAGAAGCTCCACCCATTCGTGGGGTAAATCCATCCGCTCTCCAACTCCACCTTATTCCTTTCCCTCCCCTTCTCTTCTCTTCTCTTCTCTTCTCGCTTTATACCAAACATGTCTACCCCAATCCTGCTACTCAAAACAAAATCTACCTCGCACGACGGATATGATGATTTCTTCTCCGCGCGTAACTACACTCCGTCCTTTATTCCGGTCCTGGAACACCGCTTCCACACTGTGAATCTCGCCCGCGTGCGGGGTCTGTTTGCCTCGGGTGCCTTTGGGAAGAGCTCCGACCAGGACCAGACCGATGGCAACCCCAATGGCAGTTCCAATGGCACTGCCAATGTCAGGTCGTATGGCGGCTTGATCTTCACCAGCCAGCGCGCGGTCGAGGGGCTCGCGCAGATGCTCGAGGCCGAGGGCCGTACGTTCCACACCACTACAAGCAGAAAAAAAACACCCACTAACCCTTAAATAACCTTGGAAAACCAGTTCCTCCACGCACCCGCTCCCTCCCGTTAATCCTCTACACCGTCGGCCCCGCCACAGCCCGCGCCCTCGGCACCGTGCGTGACGCCCACTTCCCACACGCCTCCATCCACGGCGCAGACGCCGGCAACGGCGAGAATCTGGCGCATATGATCCTGGACCACTACAATGCCCGCTTCGGAACATCTGCAGCGGGGCCAGATAATGCAAACACAAACACAAGCTCCAGCTCCAGCAGCAAACCAGCCCTCCTCTTCCTTGTCGGCGAACAGCGCCGCGACATCATCCCCAAGACTCTCATGGCCCCGTCCCTGTCCACGCAGGAGCGTGTAGATGTCGAGGAACTCGTGGTGTACGAGACGGGCGTCGTGGAGTCGTTTGAGCGCGATTTCCAGATTGCTGTCAGCGCTGCAAAGGACAGTGCGGCGCCGATTGTCTGGGTTGTGGTGTTCTCGCCGACGGGGTGTGATGCTATGCTCAAGGTTCTGGAGCTGGGATCTTTTGGGAATGCCAATGCTGGGGCTGGGACTGGGACTGGTGCTGGTAAGCGGCGTGTCTTTGTTGCGACTATCGGTCCGACGACGCGCGATCACTTGCGCAATAAATATGGGTTCGAGGCCGATGTGTGTGCGCAGGCGCCGAGTCCGGAGGGGGTGGGCGAGGGGATTGAGGCGTTTGTGAAGGGGTTGGAGACGGATTACTAGAGGTACTTGTTGGTGTGGTGCTTTGTTTTCTGTATATAGTTGTAGATCTGTATATACTCTTATGTCACTTAAGTTAGTTCTGGGTAGGAGAAGGGATGCCACCTCTTGAATCAAGCGAACGAGATGCCCTCTCTATGTTGCGTTGGGTACTTTCCTTCAGGCCCGAAGCTCGCCCTTGTGTTCGGCAGGTTTTTGATTCTGATTGGATGGTGAAATGGGCTCTGTCCGATTACGAGAGGATTCGCAATACTCAACACTAGCAAGGCTGTGCTATATAGACAATGAACACACCTGGACAGACTTGCGGACAACATATATAGGTCGACCCACAGGTCAACCTATAGGCGGGTGAAGATTATTTTGACCTATCCCGTGGGTCAATAGGTTAGCCTATTTAACCTATTAGGTCGATAATTTGTTTACTATATAACTTTTATAAATTATATAGTTCTTGGCTATAATTTTAGGTATTATATTTATTTTAAGCTTCGTCCGAAAGTACCATCCCAAAAAACAGTCAGGTACTTGCTTGAGGCAGTGAAAGTGAGCCAAATTGGTCTAAAAAGCCAGAGCCAGCCGAGTCTGGGGATTGTTGTATTCTGTACTCCTAATTATATCTTTCTTATCTAGTCGGTCTTATTAACTTTTTTCCTTTCCTCCATTTAGGAGTATGTTAGATGATACCCTTTATGTGAGTAATGGGCTAAATCTCAGGAACGGAAGTATATTGGATTTTCCCTCCGCTGCATTGACTGATTAAGGCGACTTAGGCACTACTCAAGTCCTCAAGAGACTCTTCCATACTAGAAGTACTAGTTGGTACTCTTAGGTTGTATCTGAATTTGATGCATCGTAGCCCTAATATGTTTATACCGTCTTGCCAAACCATGGATATTAATTAAAATGCAATTGCTGCGAGCACATAAGTGCAGTATACAAAGATGTTTCCCCGCCGGGAAACCGGGTATCCTAGCTGTGTTTGATCCATCTTGATCCCCTATTTCCGTCAAGATTTATGATTATTATTACCAGCAATGTTTCATTGGGTAAACAGCCAACCCCGCGTAAACAGGCCCCAAACCTAGAAAGAGGCTGATCCCAGATACGCCGGAATCAGTCCCGAAATGCGGGGAATGCCATGTATCACCCGGGATGGAAACCGAAACTACAGCCATCGCCAATTTTCTTTTCTGTGGGGGAACACACTGCTTGCAGAGAGCTAGCTTCAGCCACGCTTTGCCTTTTACAAAGGTATGTAGATCTTAATTCGCAATGCGTGGCAATGTTTTTGCAGATCTCGAAGTGTTGGGATATGATGAGAGTTGATGATCCGGAAAGGACCCGGTACGGAATCAACCCGGGTGCTTTCCACCACGAAATGAACCTTACTTGGTCTTCTTTGGTTGATACTTATAAATGTCGGGAAGGACTGTTGCTGCGATTTGAAAATGGATAAGAGGCAAGTTATATACATCGTACAACGTTTGCTCTAATGTCGTCCATCTCTTATATTCAGAAATGGGTTTTACTCATCCGAGTAATACAATTTCTCCTCACTGTTTCCATTTTTGCTCTAGCTTTATATGGTATGTTCGTCGCTACCTCTAACCTACGAAGAGAAAAAAAAAGACTAAACTTACTAGCAATAATTCCACTGCCATTTGAACATGTTACCGTCTTGATCCTTTTTACAAGCATCTGGACTGGGATGATCGTCATTCCATCTGCCTCTTTAGTACCACTTTACTTGCAAAAGTGGGCATGTCCAGTGACTCTGGTCATCGAGGCAGTAGCTTTGGCTCTTTGGCTTGCGGTATTTATTACGACCACTGTGTTTTTACACCGTGTTGGATACAATTATGGGGCCAATATTCGGAGTGCATGGATATCGATAACTGTGCTCAGTGCTTTAGAATGGTACGTCAACTCACGGAAGGCAATCCGGCATTCAGAATATCAATACCTGGAAAACTAATGATTAATATGGGATATAGGGTGCTTTTTGCTAGCACAACAATTAAGGCTGCAGTTGATTCCAGTCGATCCGAGTGACCGCTGTGTGGTACAGTTGGAGGTTTGGTCAACTATTCGGCCTACTTATAGGCTCGAATGAAGTTTTCTCAGGAAGCACTAGGGGAAGCTGGGGGGAGAACAGAACTCTGAGGAAGGGAACCGAAGAGAGAGAGGAGAAATCGTTGTTCGTAGGGAGAGAGAAGAAGCGAAGCTATCTGCTACCTACATCTGCTGCAAAGGCGGTCTGGAAGGCGGTGGAGAAAGGCTGACAGAACACTAGTCCCAATACACCCCCCCAGTATCGACACCGCAGAGCTTAATCATCATCGAAATCGTCAAAACTCGCTAAATCTCTCAAAAACGTAATAAAATAAATCAGCCTCTGATTTTCGTAAGCTAATCAAAGCGCAGGGATGCGTTAGTAATCATTCACGTGCCTTAGAGAGCTTAGTATTATCGTTTTCTTCCTATTTTAATTATTATTATTTTAATTATTATTATTATTATTATTATTATCCTATAATTTTATTATTTAGCAATATAGTTTTTGTTATTTTTATACAAAATTCGTTAGTTAATTTTATTAATTTTATTATTATTATTATTAAATTTATACCGATAGATCCTAGTTTCGTTATTTAGTACTATTAGGGATTTAGTAAGATTCAGAGATACTCAGAACTTATTAAATTTAGTAATAACGAGAGGTTTAGTTAATCTATTAGTTATATTATTATCACCGCTAATCAAAATTAGTTTAATAAGGCCCTTCTTTATTACTTCTTTAATAAAGAAATAATAATTTGTAAAGAATATACTTAGCAGGGTATAAGACCTATCGATCAAGTAAAGAAATAAGGGGAAGGAGTAAGAGAAGTAGTATATCTTTATTACTATTAAGACTAAATCTTGTCTTGTTAGCTAGATACGAGAGTATTAATTTATTATATAATATCTTTATAACTCCACGTATTATCGATAATATAAATAACTAGATCTTTATTATATATTATGATTATTCTATTATAGAGTAGATTAAGTAACGAGTTCCGATTTCCTTTAGGATTATATAATATCACCTAATTTACCCCTTCTATTAGTTAGGAATAACCTTATATCTTACTATCTTAATAGACCTTTTATAATTATCCCCTCTCTTAAGGCTAAATAGCTTTAACTAACACGTTTATCTTATTATTATTATATAGATATATTAATGTAATATCTTTTTGTAGGGTTTTTATTTATCTTACTATCAAGGCAATAAAGAGATTATATAGTTAACTAATAAATAAAGACGCGTTGAATTATATATTTAAATCTTTATTTATATTTTTAAGTAGTAACTTTTTTCTTCTTCTTTTTTTCTCTTCTATATTATACTTATTATATCTTATTATCTATTCTTTATTATTCTTATTACTTTCCGTTTTCTTTTTATTACTATTACTATTATTATACCTCATTATTATTGTTTAGGTCGGTTATTATATTAGCTAACGCGTTCTACCACTATTTCGCCTATCTATTATGAACCCTGCAACCACTAATCGATCTGGCCCATATAGAGTGGCACAATAGATCACCAGACAAAGATAGTTAAGATCATCACGTAACTATATATAGGTAGTAGAGGGGTATATTGATTAAACGGTAGATAACGCTAAGTCTTACTTATTACTATACTATCTACTAGTCTACTAGGCTAAGAAAATAGGGGATATAAGGATATTTATTTCCGGTATATACTTAGTTCTTTGTGATTAATCTTTATACTATTATTACTTAAGTACTATTTATAGTCTCGACTATAAAAGCCAAAAACCTTAACAATCTTAGGAGCTTACTTAGTGATCTCTGATCCCTAAATAACTGACTTAATCGACGCTCTAACTATCACACTTTATAAGTACCCTAGAGACCCGAGTCTATCTAAGGCCCTACGCGGTATTAGTACGGTTATAGACTATACTTAAGGATCGCAGTATTCCAAGAGAGGTATCATCCTTTAAGAACCTTACTCACCGTGACCAGTTAGCGGTTCGTAACACTATCTTCTTATAGTATACTAAGTACTTTCAGACTAAGGTTAAGGCGTACGACTCTAAGTTACCCTTCGTCATTGAATATAAACTAGATATAGTGGCTTTAGTTATCTATCGGTAGTGTTCTGTCTATAATATAGTATATTCTATAGTATCTTATTTTAATTTATACTAATATTCTTTAGATTATAGAGGGTATAGTTAAGGATATCTATAATTTATAAGTAATCCTTAATTAGCTAAGTAAGGAATTCCTAGAGCCTCTAGCTAAGGGTACTTTTAAGGAGGGAGAGAAAAAGGAGAAAGAGAATAAATAAAAAGATAATATATTAATCGCGGCTAGAAAGGCTATAATAGAGTTTATAAAGGCCTTCGATATAATAAAGTTAATATATCGCCGCTAGTTTTCTTTTATTACTATTTATAAATTAATTATAGTAAATAAGATCGTTAGTACTAATATAATTTTATTAATATTCTAGTAGACCTAATATAAGATTTATATAGTATATATTACTATTCGTCGCTAAGATATAACTATTTATATCTTTCTATCTAAGGGTCTCTTAAAGAAGTATCTCTAAAAGTTTTAGTCCTAATATTTTTTTATTTAGTTCCAGGAGATTATAGTTTTATATATTAGGTAACAGCGAAATAGGGGCTTCTAGAGATTCTATAAATAGTATCCTAAAATAAATATAGTCCCGATCTAGCGATCTCCGATCTAACTAATAATCCTAATATTAAATATCGCCTAAAGTAGTTAAAAAAGAATTTTTTTATTCCTATATTATGAACCCTACAACCACCAATCGATCTGGCCCACACAGAGTGGCACAATAGATCACTAGACAAAGATAGTTAAGATTATTACGTGACTATATATAGGTAGTAAAGGGGTATATTAATTAAATAGTAGATAACGCTAAGTCTTATCTACTA